CACATTCCAAGCCCGTCGAAACTTTTGCGGAAGCGTCTTTTCCCAGTTATGTTCTCAAGGAGGTTGAAAGTTTAGGATTTTCTGCACCCACTTCTATCCAATCTCAAGGCTGGCCCATGGCTTTGAGTGGTCGCGATGTTGTTGGTGTTGCCGAGACGGGTTCTGGAAAGACTCTTGCTTACACGTTGCCCTCTATTGTTCACATCAATGCCCAGCCTCTCCTCAAGCCTGGAGATGGTCCTATTGTGCTCATTCTTGCTCCAACTCGTGAGCTTGCTATCCAAATTCAGGTCGAATGCAACAAATTTGGTAGTTCATCTCGTATAAAAAACACATGTCTTTATGGAGGTGTTCCAAAGGGTCCTCAGATGCGTGATCTGGAACGTGGTATTGAGATTTGTATTGCCACTCCAGGTCGACTAATTGATATGCTCGAGTCTGGAAAAACCAACTTGAAACGTGTCACATACCTTGTTCTTGACGAGGCTGATCGTATGCTTGACATGGGATTTGAGGTAAGTTTATGTTTGATTTAAATTTCTTGAGGCAGTCTAATACTTTGATGTGTTTTATTAATGCGAGTATAACTTTTCAATTAACTGCGATGGTTTAGCCTCAAATCCGCAAGATTGTTGATCAGATTCGTCCCGATCGTCAGACCCTCATGTGGTCTGCAACTTGGCCCAAGGAAGTGCAGGCACTTGCTCGTGACTATCAAAAGGAGTTTATTCAGGTCAATGTTGGATCTATGGAGCTTTCTGCCAGTCACAACATCACACAGATTGTTGAGATCTGTCCTAGCCACGACAAGCGTCATCGCCTTTACAAGTTGCTTGAAGACATTATGTCGAATGCGGATCAAAAGACGATCATTTTTACAGGAACAAAACGTACAGCCGATGACATTACTCGTGATCTTCGTCATGACGGTTTCCCAGCACTTGCTATTCATGGCGACAAGAAACAGCAAGAGCGTGATTGGGTTATGCAAGAGTTCAAGTCTGGAAAGACCCCTATTTTGATTGCAACTGATGTTGCTGCTCGTGGTTTAGGTAAGTTTTTGCTAAATTTAAATTGTATCTATCTGTATATGATTGAAACAAGCCGAGATTATAGAAATGTGATGTGACACGACAATGAGAAAGTGGGATGGCATAATTTATTGCATTCAAATTACATGGTCGAATAATATGAGATGAGTTGTGTTTTCATAGCCATCATTTGGTAGTTGCACTTCTTGCCTTTTATTTTTTGGCAGACTGCTATTGTATGCTTTAATTTTGACTGTCTTCTTTTAAAGTTGTTGTTGTCATTACTATCCCATTACTTTTGAATCACGGCCATCTTTAAACAGTCCAGGATAAGGGAACATGATACATTGTTCATACACAAGTCGCCAATAGTTTATCATGAAATCCGGGGTTTCATGTGTTGTATTGCCATTTTTAAAAAGCAATATATTTGTATTCCATCGAGTAATCAAGCACGATCACGCTGAACTTATTTTGGAGCGCTCGGAGATGCACAATCCGATTGATGTTTTGTCCTTGAATAAGTCAATCGCGAAACTCTGTGTTCTTTGGCGTCAATGTTCAGACTGTTGGATTATGCAATTTTTACTACTCGACCGCGGATTCATATATTGTTTTGGTTATTTTACATGATTTTGGATTTAGAGCTATTGCACATGTGGTGGAGGGATATGGTTGGCTAGGTGCAATATCAAGGAAACATCTGATTGTTGATGGAGCAAGATCTTGAATTTTTACGGTTTGAGCCTGTCCATTTTCCATCTGACGTTTTTATTTGGTATATTGGATCTTTTGCATGCCATTGCGCTGAGTTTATGTATTTTCGCTACCCTTTTGGATGTACAAATGAGATGCTGCTGTAATATACTATCTTGTTTATTTCTCGCAGACTCTGAAGATGAAGAAAAACAAATTGTTGCCATTTAAAAATAGAAATACAGATTACAACAATCAATTTCTGTTCAATTTGTTTATTTTTCATTTTCGGTGTTTTGTTTTCACCTGTCATACTATTGCATTTGCCAGTGTATATTGATTGTGAGCTGAGAGCGGTCTTACAAGCCTCCTTTAGAGTTAGTTTGAGGGAGTTGCCAAGGGAATGCAATCTACTCTTTGATCTAATATACGAACAAATGATTTAGAAACTGAGAGTTGTGAACAAAATAATGTATTGATACGCTAAACACGCACGGATTTGTATAAACTAATTCTTGATGTGCTATTAATGTCTATGTTTAACAGATGTCAAGGATGTCAAGGTAAGAGGTTTTGTGATATTTGTTTATTCCAAGTATTCACATAAGATGGGACGCCTGCATTTATTTTGCAATCTATTTGCTCTGGAGTATACAGTGGTTGAATATTCCTTGTGCTTTCCTAGTACAAATTGACTTTGTCCACTTTTGGCATAGTCATACGTTGTGCGATCTCCAGATTTGGTGTAAATTATCATTTCATGAGAGTGGCATTTTTATTTGGTGTTCCATCCATGTGAATGCGACTGTATTTCAAGTATAGCTAACGAGTATATGCAAATTTAGTTTGTGATCAACTTTGATTTCCCAAACAATATTGAAGATTACGTACATCGTATTGGGCGTACTGGTCGTGCAAAGTAAGTACGCTATTACTGAATTTGAGTTGCTGAACGATTCTAATAGAGATTTCTGGTTTTCATAATAGTAACAAGGGCACAGCGTACACGCTATTTTCACCCGACAACTTTAAGAGTGCACGCGATCTGGTCAAGATTCTTGAAGAAGCAGGACAAGTAGTTGATCCTCAGCTGCATGATTTTGCTCGTAGTGGAGGATCAGGAGGAGGTCATAGCCGATACGGAGGTGGTCGTGGTGGTCGTGGAGGAGGCCGTGGAGGATACGGTGGTGGTGGTAGTAACGGAGGTGGTTATGGCGGTGGTGGCCGATACAATCCATACGGTCGATAAGCTGACAGACTCTTGGTTTTGGCTCATAAAGCCTACAGCCATCTTCATACTCATTTTTTTTATCACCAAATATAAACATGATTAGTTTCGTAGTTGTTCAAAGTGGATTGACGAGTAAAATTCTGATTTGAAGGGCAAGAATGGAACGAGTTTATTGAGATCATCCGAGTGCTGGATCAGCCTGTACACGATAAGATAGAACTGGCAGATGGCAATCGTTGCCCAAAGCATGCCCACTGCAACCATCAAGAAATGCTTGAATTCTAGGTCAAGAATTCTTTCTTTTACTTCACTCAACGCCTTTCTTCTGTGACCGACTGTCTTATTACCGATGTCGTCGTCCTCTTGTAAGTTGTTGATATATCTAAAAGACAGCCATTGCATTGCTAGTACGATGTGGGCAGTCCAGCCATTTGCCACCAAAAGAATGAGGCTGCTCCTTCGATCTATCCAAGCATTCATTCCTGCCTAGTCCAGACTAAGGTGCAGAGTGGATTCAAAGGAAGTCCAATAAGTGATTCATAGTACTGGTTGAACATCGCTGTTGATGGACTGGCTTGTTCGTATATGTGTGAAGGTGGTTTTCGGTGTCAATGGCTGTAGCTAACATTGTGGTGTCTCATCAACACTTGACAGTCCGTCTGCTCTATGCACTGCGGCCATTCATTTCTCTTATGCCAGAAGTGACCTCGCCTGACCGCAAGGTACTGATCCAATATTGTCCTTGCTGCTATTGTGGTCTCATTCGTTCAAGTTCTATCACCATTTCCAGCCTGCTACTCCTTTGTTTGCTCGTCTTAGTCTCTACAAGGCTTGGTACTGCACTACTACCAAGACTCCTTGTGGCGGTTTATTCAGAAAGCATTCTGTTCAACTGTCCTTTTATACCATGTTTATATCCATTCAATAGTGTTGATTATGGCTTCATACCGGCATTTCGCCAAACTGATCTAAACAAGTTTACATCTGACGGTTTCAGATGCATTTCATATTGATACACAGTCTATTCCTGAAACATTATATATTCTAATCTAGGTTCAATTCAGAGAAAAAGTCATGTGGACTGCTATTACACTGTTCATTTTCTTGGTCTGTTCCCAGATCCCATTGTACGGCATCATGTCCTCTGATTCATCCGACCCCATGTACTGGATGCGTGTCATTCTTGCTTCCAACAGAGGAACTTTGATGGAGTTGGGAATCACTCCTATCATTACCTCTGGCATGATTATGCAGCTGCTTGCTGGTGCAGGTATTATCGAAGTCGACTACTCTATCAAGGAAGACCGTGCCTTGTTTTCTGGTGCTCAGAAATGTAAGCTGCCTTGCACCTTGTTTTGCTAATCTACCGTCATTAATACTCGAGTTTTTATTTTTGGTTTGCAATATCATTCAATCTTGCATTTGATCAATAAATTCGTGTCAACTGCTCTGCAAATGTCTAGTGTTTGCCATGATTATCGCTATTGGACAGGCTACCGTGTCAGTATGGTCTGGTGTCTATGGAAATCCTGCTGAAATTGGATCTGGAATCTCTCTTCTTCTCATTCTTCAGCTTTGCATTGCCGCACTTATTACCATGCTTCTCGATGAGCTATTACAAAAAGGATACGGTCTTGGATCTGGCATTTCTCTTTTTATTGCCACCAATATTTGCGAAAACATTGTATGGAAGGCATTTTCTCCTACCACCTATAACACTGGTCGTGGTAAGTTGGGTTTTTTGTGCAAGTGTGTTACTATGGTTTTATATACTTGGTATTTTATGTTCATTATATTGTCTATTTACTGTTATAGGCACTGAGTTTGAAGGTGCTGTGGTTGCTCTTTTCCATCTCTTGTTTACCCGTAATGACAAATTTCGTGCCGTCAAGGAAGCCATGTATCGCTCAAATCTCCCCAACTTGACCAACCTGCTCTCCACAATCGTCGTTTTTGCTGCTGTTATTTACTTGCAAGGTTTCCGGGTTGAAATTCCAGTCAAATCCAACCGTATGCGTGGTCAGCAAGGCTCTTACCCCGTCAAACTCTTTTACACCTCCAACATGCCTATCATGTTGCAGTCTGCTCTTGTCTCCAACATCTTTTTTGTTTCGCAGCTGCTTTACAAGCGCTTCCCTGAGAACATTTTCATTCGCCTTTTGGGTGTGTGGCAAAATGCCGAAGGTGTCCCTCAAGAGTTTGCTACCTCTGGTTTTGCGTACTACATTTCTCCACCTAAAAATGTGTCTGTGATTTTTTCTGATCCCATTCACTTTGCCATCTACGTTTCCTTTATGCTGGGTGCATGCGCTCTCTTTTCTAAAACCTGGATTGAAGTTTCTGGCTCTTCTCCCCGTGATGTTGCCAAGCAGCTCAAGGATCAACAACTTGTTATTCGTGGACACCGTGAAGGATCCATGTACAAAGAGCTTAAGCGCATTATCCCCACTGCAGCTGCATTTGGAGGGTTGTGTATTGGAGCTCTTTCTGTTGCTGCCGATCTCCTTGGTGCAATTGGGTCCGGTACCGGTATTTTGCTAGCTGTGACGATTATTTACCAGTACTTTGAGATTTTTGTCAAGGAGCAACACGAAGAAGGCGCAGTGATGTTTTAAGAATGAATCTCGACTTGGTTCTTTTTTACGTTATATATCATGATTGGTTTGGATCGAGTTGCCAATTTTTGAACAAGATTAAATACTGATTTGTTAGCAGGGCTGTTGGTTCAGTGTATTTGAATTTACAGCCATATTCATGTAAAATAGAACTTGTATTCCTTTTCTTTGGAATATGCAGTACTCATTGCATTTTCAGTATCTGGAATCGCACCGTACAAACCTATTTGATAAATTATCAACGGGTTTAAGAATAGACATTATAAAGCTTACACTTTGCGATATTGATGTTTGTTGAACAGCTGGTAGATCATATTTATCAGTGAGTGTGTAGCTTTTTCAAGGAGTTCAAAGGGTAGTGTTTAATAAATGTGGTATAAATTATCATTTCATAAAACTGACTATTTATTACTTGGTACTCTTATTTAGTGCCCCGTTTTGTGCGAATATAACTGAAATTGCCAATATGCTACTGATGTATAAACCATGATTCATTGTTTAACGAGCTTTGTGAAATTCAAGTCTTTGGGAATGAACCTATTTGCATAGTTTTAGTAACAGTGATTACTGCTCAACAAAAAGTATAATTATGATGCCTTCCATATCAAGATGCCAATATTCCCTCCAAAGTACATGTGTAGCAAATTGCGCATCTCGTGAGTGATTTCAAACCCAAATCCTTCGCCGACAACTACATGCCATGAACTTCCGCATCGTTTATCCATCAACTCTTTAATTGTTTTTGAAGAAGCCTAATAAAACATACAGCAATGGTGAACAAGGGATGGTAAGGTTCAGATAAGGCTGAAAGTTGATACCTCGTGATTTCCTGGATGCTTTTCTACAGCTGTGACTGCCATATCGACTGCCTCTGCTCGTACTTCATCAGACATATCACAAAACTAAATCAAATAGATTTAAATGATATTAGTTTTTAGGCGAGCTGTAAATAGAAGTAGCAGGATATCCGATATTCACTGTATCAGGACAATTGAGCGCGTTTTAAGATGTATGCTAGATACCTTGACTAGGGGATAGTTGAACAGTCGACGTTGGTCCTTTTCATCAGTGCGGTCGCCAGACGGAGCTGTTGTAGCGCCGCCGTCTGCTGATTTGGCTGCACCAGCAACCAGGTTGGCCATACTACCTTGGTCTGCCATCATTTTGAAACCGAAAGATTGGGTGAAAATAGATATAACTTGACAAGATGGGTAAACTTGTTTAAATTGCCTGCCAGATGAATCTGATACATACTACATATGCTACGTGTTTTTTGTAGTTGCTGGATAGCGGTTGAGCCATACAATCAGACCAAGCAATGCAACTGCCTCAGTATTAAAGAATATTGCTGCATCACATATTTTGCAAAGGTTTAATCATTAAACTGATTTAATCTATCAGTATAGTTTTCATTCTATTGATGTTGTAATCCAGAACAATTGATCATCCATTATTGGTCATGTTTGCTGCAATGCGGTTTATGTAAACCCAATGACAAATTCAGCTGTGCAATACATATCGGATAATGAGTCAAGAATCGTAGTAATCGAAAGTAGTCGCTTGAATAGGAATTACTGTTTTGAACTAGCCGGTTTGCAACTCGAAATCATGAGTTTATTTGGTAGCAATTCTACTTGAGAATTGATTTGCATTGACAGAATTTGTTCATGTATTGTTTCCCTCCTTTCCAGTATCCATTTGGCAGCAATCAACTCAATGAGTAAACATGAACACAATCGACGTGGGGATAAATCCAAGAAAAGTAGTAAAGAACCTGTAGATTCCCACTCTCCCAAACCTATATCTGAAGAGCACTACTTTCAAAAGGCAGCCGAATTTCAAGTATGGCTGTCTGAAAAGGGGTATCGCTTCCATGATTTGTCCAAGTCTGAAGCACAGGATCAATTTAAAAAAGTATGTATATCTGTTGTTTGATTCTATACTAGGCTGCAGTTCTTTGATTCTAATGGTCCTGTTTTAGTTTATTCGGCGATGGAACAAGGGAAAACTGGATGGTAAGATGACTAAAGTGGACTCCTAGAAAACTGGTGGATATAGCTTAAACTACAGTGAATTATAGATAAATACTACAAAGGGATTCAAGCCTTGGAGGTGCCGTTTGCAGCACGAACTGGATATAAATGGAACATCAAAGACATTGTGAGTATAGCCATCCATTTCTATATTCCCACTACTATTACAATGACAAGACTGGCTAATCAGCACTGTATGAATCAATAGAATGAGTCGGAGCAGATATTAGTGCATGATTCTGTTGAATCCATGACAGGATCTGCTAATACGTTTAATTTTGGATTTCGAAATGGCAAGTAGAGTTGGGTTTATCCTAGTATTGCTCTATTTGATAAAACGTATAGACTCTAATTTTTAAACATATTACTATTATAATAGAGGCAGCCAAGGGTCAAATTACAGATCAATTTAGTGAGCAAATAAAGCCGGTAAAGAAATATAACAGGCCCACACATACATAGGATATACATGCAGAAAGCGAGTTGAATGGCAAAGACAGAGTATCGATCGGAAGTACTGCAAAAAGAGAAAATGTGTTGAATCAGATTATACCTAAAGAGACTGGAAGGTGGGTCATGTAATGTAGACTAGTTTATGCATTTCTAGTTTTACAGTCGTATTCGCGTAGAATGTAACACTTGTATTTGTTTTGCAGTGATTATCTTGGAATATGCAATGGTTAAATATCCGTTGCACTTTCTTGATAGAAATTGCCTTGGATAGACATTCTCGATTCTTCAATAAACACAGCGTCCATCGTATGATGCCTACAATCAAACTCCTGTTTGGTGTATCCTAAATCTCATATGTTTGCGCTCTAGTTTAAAAGCAAGGATCGCACATTTCAAAAATGCAGTTGTTTCCATGCCAATCATCAAAAGACCAGAGTACAATAGTGTCTAGTAAATTTAACGAGAATTATCATTGCATGACACTAGTGTTTATTTGCACTTTGGTTCCATAATTTAGTGGTCCATTTTATGTGGATACGGCGGTGAGTGTGATTTGAATATAGAGCAACGCGTTCAGAATGCATATCACAAGCATGAACGAAAAATAGATAGATTCCAGACAAGAACTTGATGAAACTACAGACCATCAAACACCATTGATACTCGACGCAAAAGGAGTGCAAGGAAAAAGGTTAGAAGCAGTAAAGACATGAGAAGATGGAGCAGTACTCGGATACGTGGGAGCACACCGAGCAACAAGGACAGGTTGTGGCCATGTTTTGAGCCATGACAGAAAGGGATGCGAATCCATCGAAATCAAGACGAGCCGGACCAGCTGTGATGGTTGATAACAACGCGGGTATCCATACCAAATGATTGCAGTTTACTCTTATCCTAACAATTTCTACCATTACTGCTGTTGGTTTTAGCTCAGAGCTGGGTTGCATACACACAGGTAAATGATTTTCAATGCTATGGTAGTGGTTTACGTTCAAGAGTCTGAACAAAGTTTTCAGTATTGGTGGTTGACTGGCACTCTTTGAATTGGCTACTGCTCATGGTTACTATAAATCATTAGATTAGTAGTAATAAAAAATAGATACAGGTTTGGTTTATTGCTTTAAGCATATTCGTACGAAGGGTTAATGATGATTTGTATTGATGAATGGGGTGGATAAACCGCTGTTACTATCTTGATAGTTGCAAGATTGACTTTCCATCCCTCTCATTATTGCATCGACCTCGTTACTAGTGGGTACGCAATCCCGCCTGCAAGTCCATCCGATGCATGAATTCATGTCCAGCTATGCCTTCAATTCCATCCTTCTATTGCTACCCTGAATTATGAATTATTTTACTATTGAATTATTTGAATATTTGAACCGTTTTATCCATATTGCTAACTTTTATATCATCCTATCACTACTGTTAGCTGCGAAACCTCTTGCAAATATATTTGAACAGTCCAGCATACACACATCCGTCTGGCTCTTACTAATTGGTCTTTGGCACAACGGATTTATTTTTCACTAAAACCACTGCTAGACAATGCTCACCTCAGACAACCAACCCGGCAACGGCGGAAATGACACCGCTGCAGAAAGCGACTCTCTTCCTGCTGCAAGTACCAATGCTGACGCCTGCGCATCAATATCTACTCAAATTTCTGCTTCGGATGCATCAAATTCACCAAATATGTTGTCGACTGCAACTGACTTGAACTCGGGCTCCGCTACTACCACAGAAACTACATCTACACCTGCTATACATAATCTTGTTACCCAAGTAAAACAATCTGCTGAACCTACAAACCCCATAAAGTCCAGTATTGAAGCAGCAAAACGCCGCGTTGCCAAATTAGAAGGTGCATTGACCCGGCTTTATACTGTTTTATGAACTCTCCCAGTCGTGACTATAGTTTGTATTTTGGCTAATCTAGTTTAATCTATATATTGATTTCAATGCTGCATGAATATATCTGTCTATAGTAAAAAATGAGCAATCAGCTACGCAACCTACATCTACAGTTATTCAATCATCACAACCTGTTCACGGCACCATTGCTTCTACTGTTACGATAAGTCCCACTCAGGGGATCTCTCAGAGTTCTCCAATCTCGAATGTGGCTCCTGTAAAATCAAAAAAGGCATATGCTTCACATAGCTCCTTTTGGTCCGCTATGTTCCCATGTTGCTGTTATAGCCCTGATAACGATATGATGATGGTCCCCATATCTTCTGTTACAAAGCCTCCTTCTGGTACTCAAAAGGCTCCTAGTCCTTCTGGGTTTCCTACTGCTTCACATCCGTCTACTTTAGTAGGTTAAATATGCATTATTGAACGTAATTCATCTAGATTCAATCATGTTAATTTTCACGTCTTTTTAGGATACAAAAAAATACCTTTTAAAGGAGTTGGCTGCTGAAGATGTTGGCCGAAAATGTCTGGTTCTTGATTTGGACGAAACTCTTGTACATAGCTCTTTCAAGGTATTTTTTACTTGCAAAGTCTTGGTTGGCTTAGGTTTTGCTGATGCATTTTATTTACTTTTTCTAATGCTGTCTCAATTAGCCTGTTGCAAAAGCCGATTTTATTATTCCCGTAGAAATTGATAAAACCATCCATAATGTGTATGTTTTGAAGCGACCTGGTGTAGATACATTTTTACAAAGACTTGGAACTCAATTCGAGGTTGTAGTTTTTACCGCGAGCTTAGCAAAGGTGTGTAATGCCTTGAAATTGCACCCGGTTTTCAACACCTGCTACTTTTTCAAATCAACTGATTGCTGAATTTACATTTTAGTACGCGGACCCTGTGCTAGATATGCTAGATAAGCACAAGGTTGTCAAGCATAGACTGTTTCGTGAAGCATGCATTCATCACAAGGGAAATTACGTTAAAGTGAGTCCTATCTATTGAGACCATCTTACTCGAACATTCATACTAACAATTCAATATTATTTTTATTGTGCGACCATTTAATATTAGGATTTGAGCTTGCTCGGTCGCAATCTAAAGGACGTCATTATTATAGACAATTCTCCTTCTTGTTATCTATTTCATCCTGCAAATGCGATACCAATCACGAGTTGGTTTGAAGACCCGAGCGATGCCGAACTATTGGATCTCATCCCTTTCTTGGAAGATCTCAAACTGGTTGACAATGTTACGGTGGTATTGGACAATTCGTTGGATGACCAATAAATGCAAAGGCAGTTTGATATTGCTATTGATAGAGCTTAACTTTGGATTGTTTTTATAACTACTTGATGATCAAGTTGGACGCCATTTGAGGAATGATCAAAACGGCATACCTGTAGCTGCTGTTCCATATCGATTGAATTTCAACATAAAGGGTGATTGGTGACAAACAACTAAGTAACCTTTTTATTAACGTTTGTGAATCCGATGCCAACAGATGTCAAAAGAACGGTATGTGATGTAGGATCAGCAACAATCTTGAATGTAACATCAAAGAATGTTTTGAGATCGCGTAAATACTGAATGCTGTTTGGCCATTCGAGTATGTTAATGGTATAGAAAATGTTAGATTAAAACAAATAGCATCATAGTAAATCTCTCCGTTGCCTCTAATACCAAACTACAATAAAACTTACGTAAAAGGAGAAAGCCCACCAAACCGTACTTTACCGACATCTTCTGGCCCAAGAGCAATGAATAGCAGATTCAGCCATTGGCTCAGCGTATCGACTGTTCCGCCCCGTTTGATTTCATGAAGTAATAGTCGTGCAGCGCGGACACCCAAGTCTTCAGGTGTTGGAAACGAATAGTCGTTCACAAGCATATTCGAGACATTGGTTGTATGCTGCTTTTCTGATGCAAAACCAGTTTCTTTGGTTCCTGACACTCCCTGCTGAGCCTTTTTAAACTCTTTTGCTTGATCAAACGGCTCGCTTTCTTGGTTTAATCTATTAACAACAGCATTACGAACCTGATATGCACATTCTGAGGATACAAGTGCTTGAGTGGTGCTTTCTGCAACCAGAGACAAGGCATAGCCAGGAGATTTTCCACTTTCTTGACCTTTATAGACATCTGTATAGATGTACACATCAGGTATGTAACGAGTGAGAATACCGCGAGCAGCCTCAACAACTCGATTAGCCATTTGTGGGGACATGCGAGTGGCATAGGCAATACCACGAATGCGCTTGATGTGGCCCGGATCAATAAATTGAACAGGTTTAAGCTGACGAACGATTGGACAAGTAAAAGTGACTTGTCCTCCTCCAAGTGGAGCAGCTCCTCTTTTCGAGATCTTGGTAATTGATTAAAATGCAATAACATGAGAATCTCGACAAACCAAAAACAATTCAATAGGTTTCATGCACATACCTTGAGCTCGACACCATCTTCAATTCCAAATCGGTTGAGTTGAGGAAGTAACAGCGTACGGATAAGATCCACCTGCAATGATCAAGTGTTCATAAGCAATACACAAAACCACGAGTCAATACCAATTTCAAACATTTCTCTCAAATACATCAAAGTCTACCATCATTACAATCGTATTCATGTAAAATAAAACACTAAATACGGATGCCAAAGTGCATAATAAACAGTAGTGTCATGAAATGGTAATTGACACCAAATTTACTGAATATTGTGTTCTCTGTTGAACTTTTTGATAGAGTTTGACAACATCAAACCAACTAAGCCTAATACTTGAATCGCAATAGATGAGTCTGGTTTTGAAAGTATTTAACCACTGTCTACTCTGAAGAAAAAATCGCTGCATGATAGTGCTCTGTTCTACATGAACACAGCTGTAGTTTACAGGAAATCAATCAATAAAAACTCACAGAAGTATCTACATTGTCGTTGGTAATGCCAATGAGAGTGAGCTCTAAAGAATCTTTTGCAAATGGCGCCAATGCAATAATAGACTCTAAAAAGTATCCAATGGCTCGGGACGGTGGGCATTCGTGGGTTATCCTTCCACCAGAAATTGTTCCAGGGTGATATGTGACACCAGTACCTGTTTTAAAAAAGTTGAATAAAATATTATAGCAGTTTAGTTGATGGTACACTTGATCGATAAATGAGTAGCTTGGACCGTGTAAACACCCCAAATCGGCTTAAAGCAAGTCTTACCAGCATAGTTGATTTCGATGATACTGCCGTTGGTAATTTTCTCGAGCAGTCGAAGAAAACTGGCTTCATAGTCTACAAAACAGACATATGGAATCAAATGTATCAGTAATAAAGTATGTTACAATGAAATTGCGAGTTTCAACATATTACAATCATATCCATGTGAAAAGAAACACTAAATAAAAGCCAATTTCATCAAACAATCGACACCGAATTTACTGGACAGCATTGTACTGCCTGAAAAGGTTTACTGATATTTCTTTTCCGTGCCCATTTTTGCATAAACAACCAAACGGGTGTTTACATCACGGTTCCAGCAAATCCCACATTTGCTCAACTCTCCATTCATCAAAACCAAACATTGGATGATTGGCATGGAGACAATAGTTGCATTCCTGAAATATGTTGAACTAGAACGCGAGCGTATCTGATTTAAGATACAACAAAGCGGGGTTGTATTGACAACGTCAAAACAGTCGAATTCAATGTCTGATTTTAAATTTGGCAATCGTACAATGAGTGATTATGCCAAAAGAGAAAAAAGGACAGGTTCAAACTATAGTTTGTGTGAACATCATAATGGACCTTGTGTTTTGAAGAATTGAGAATGTCAATTTTTAGTAGGAAACCCAATACAACGAACATTTAGCCATTGCTTATTCCAAAACAAAAGACAATCACTGCAAGATAAATACAAAAGTGTTCCATTTTACATGAGGATGGCTATACATTGCAGTCAGTGTGTACCTGCAAGGCCGGGATATTCTTCGTCTTCAGAACGAATGTTTTCAATACGAATTGATTTCCTACTAAGGGTTGCAAGAATAAGTCGCTGTCTAAAGTAGTTGTGGCCATCAAACTGCAGCATGCGTCGTTTGGGAGGAACTGGAGCAGTCATGGCTTACTCGATAATATAGATTAGTATGAAATTTTTTTAGTTGAATCGACGTTTGAAATTTTAAAAAGAAAAATGTTTTGAAAATTTCCTTTATAATGGCATTGGTTGCAGTCATGAAGATTCTACATATTTAGCCAAACGTTGGTAAATATTTACAGCCATGTTTGGTAAAATGGCTGTAAACAAGAGTGTCAGTGTATAATAAACAGCCAGTTATGAAACATAGTTCACACAAGTTTATTGAGAATTGTCCTCTGAACTCCTTGTCAGAACAAGACCAAATGAGTGACGTGCTAATTGAATCGACAGAACCAGCAAACTGACCGTGCCAACAAGTCAGATTGTCGTCGCGGTAAACGAGATACAGTCGATAGATGATTCTGTCATCAAATCAGCAGACAATCTACCAATATTTGCAAAAAACATCATACCCAAAAGTATGATTAAATTTTACACACAGTCCCAAACATATGATACACTGATGATTGCTGGCAATTTTTCATTTTATTTTATCTCTCCATTTTCATGTCCTTTATCACCGGTCATAAAACTAAAAACTGAGATTCCAAATGGGTTCCAACCACTATTTTACCATGATGGAGACTCGGATGTATCATCATTTGGAGCACTATATCAAATAAAGTTGAAAACTTTTGGCCAATAACAACATGATGTAGAAACAAGATATAATTACCTGACGTCATCTGCTGTATTCCCGTCACCAAATAGATTATCAGATGATAAAGATTTTTCAGAGTGCAGTGCCATCTAAAGACATTTAAAGAATAAATTGTAAGAGGGTAATAGATATGTAGCAGATTTCAACCGACACACCTTTTTCTGTAGTGTGGGTTGTTGTTGAACTTGGGGTGTGAGTGATGCTACTTGATCCATTTTCTGTAGATTTAAATAGTATCAATAATCAGATTAGTATCCGAGTTCTTCAGCGCATGCTTCAATCAAATCTAAGTCATCAAGCCCACCTGCCGATCGCGCCGTTCTTGTACCAAAGACATGTATCGTTGTAGTATGGGATCATTCTCAAGGCTAGTTATGGGATCTTCTTTTTTCTTGGAAATTTCTGCTGCTTGATTAGCTTCACGAAGGTTTTTTTCCTTCTGCTCCAGCTCCTTTTGTAGTATATCCTTTTCTTCTTTAATACGCTGCTGCTCAAGCCTCTCCTGGGTTTGTTTCTCCTGATGAATCAAACGCTGCTTTTCTTGAAAAATGGCTTCTTGTTTCTTTCGATCCTCCAACTGTCGCTGCTCCTCACGCTGCTGTCGCTCTTGTAAAACACGATCAAGCTCTTGTTTTTCCTTTTCTACATCTTGAATAGAATGATTAGAAATAAGAGTTGGTGCCGCGTTCTGATTAGTTTCAGGTTTGGATTGGGTTTTTTGCAACTCTAAAAAGGTCTGTGATGATGGGATTTTGCTCGAATTATCCTCAGCATCAACTGGCAATATTTCAAAACACTGCTGTGAAGAGCTTGCAGCGTGGTTTGAACTCGGCTTCAAATCAGATGTAACTGGCGGCATAGTCTGTAGTATAGCTGTAGACTTGGGCTGTTTGGCATCTACGGGAAAGGATGGTAAAGTGACAGGAGGATTTACTATTGAGGATTGAGTCGCCAAGTTGGCAAAGGTTGCTGATGGGTAACACGAGTGCAAATAGTTTTCAGACTGGGATCGAACATCTACTTGAAAACATCAATGATTAGTTAAGATATAGCTTATTTAGCAAAAATTCAAATCGTGAAACAAAAGCAATCGTATTTTATACCATTAAGCTCAAGTTCTTTCATGATATGCTGCGCCTTTTATATATCAGATTAGCACATCAATATACTCAAAGTCAGTTCAACAATATTTAGCAGAGCAGTCAAACATTGAATTTTCAATATCATTGATTCGTTTAATCACCATATTTATGCTGGGTGAACCAATTTGCTGATTAAATGAGCTTGAATTATGAGCATTGAATTTATCCATATTGTCATTAAATTCCGTATGTAATGGAGTACGCTTCACAATCTTTGAATACATGTGGTCCAATTGTGGATCAAGGGGATCAGGAAGTAGTTCTCTATTTTAGTGAGCACTGTTAATCATCCAACATGAGCATCATACATGATGTTGTTCGTGATGTTATACCTATGCTGTTGAGTGGTTATATGGAATTGTCGCGAAGCAGGAGCAATCGAATGGTGTGCAAGTTCTGTCGTCAATGCTGTAGGGATAAATAAGTTAATTCGAATGAAATTCAACGACAAATAGTTAAAAAGTAAACACTGCACTAACCAGATTGAGTCTGGTGCAAAAGCAGTCGGGTGTCAGCCAGCTCTCTCTCTAATTCCCGTGTCTTGAGCACTTGCTGATCGAAAAGACGCTGCAACTCATCTGACCTGTTCAACTATATCATGCATATTAGATTTTTGTTGTGGTAAATTTAGCAGGCTTAAACCATCTACCTCGTATTCTAATTTTTGAACAAGCTGCTGACATTCGCGCTGCCATCTTGCCTCTGCCATGCGCGACTTTCCAAGCTCTTCACGAAAATCGTCTTTTGGTAGCATGAAATTTTTTAATAGCTCTTGATATTCTATTAGAACATTTAATAAGATATTAATATGTAAATTAACTACAGACAGCAGATTTATATATTGCAAGTTACCTTCTTGTCGCTTGTTTGCTGTTTTTTCAGTCTCAATAAGCTGCCTGATAATATATATCAACATAATTCAGTTCAACAGCAAGCACTGCATGTAGTGCCCCACATAACAATCTGCAAAATCTTTCAATAAAAACCTACTTTTTAAGACTTGTGATTTCAAATTCCAACGCAGTGCTACCTCGATTTGTAAGAAGCTGTATAAACACTAAATTGATTAGTATTGCAGAAATATAATTGATCAAATGTTTTAAACTATAAAGCATATTTTTGTACCTCGAGCTGGATTTCTTTGGAATGCAAAACAGCATCGTCTTTTTCTTTAATCAAAGCCTCAATTCGTTGATGAGCATTCTTTACACTTTCTCTCAAGGCGTCTCGTTCATCTTCGGTGTATTGAATATTTGCATGCATTTTTTCTACTGCAAGTGTTTTTTCCTTGAGTTGAGCGCGCTCAGCTACATTAAAGTAGTCCAACGAGTTTAAAACAAAAAGATAAATGGGCTAGCATGATGGTAATTAAACAGGTTGGGTACAAGCAATAGAGTCAAACCTTCAAGATGAACGCGATCAATTTTGATTTCCGAGACCTGTGTTGCATGTTTATTATTCAAATCAATCTTGTATCTTGAATTTGCAAATACAATGAATTTTGGTTAGCCAAGTACAAAATCAACAAATCATTCATAGCATTGCCAAAAACATGCTTGCTTACTGTGCAAGCTGACTTTCCATCTGTTGAGTATATCGCTCCTTGAATGATTGTAACTCTAAAACCTGAGATTGGACTTCCTCGACTCTGCGTTGTAAAAGATCACGCTCTAGTCGAATCTGCCTAGTATGTAGCTCTGCTTCATGTCTAAGCTGCACCTCTTTAAGCATAGTACTATTGCTTTCATCAAGCAGTTTTTGGCGTAGCTGGATGTTTTGATGTTCAAGAGCCTAACAAACCGCAAGATTACAGTTTTACTGATCCATAGCATACACGGCATTTACAATAACTGTATTACAAAATTGGCACAAAAGTATCGCATACCTTTTCCTTTTCAGTAAGTCTCAACTGCTCTGCTTCATGAATAGATATCTGTCTTTCTTGAAACTCTAGTATTTTATTATCGTATTCCATTTTTTGCTTTGCTATTTCCATTTTGTAATGCGACTTTTCATCAATGCGCATTTGTGCCAGCTCAAGCTCTTGAAACTTTTGAAGCTATTATCAATACCAATCAAACCATTAATAAATTTAAACATGCAATGTTTTTCAAGTAAATGTTATAGCGATATACGCTTTGCACCTGATCTTTAAGATCCTGTTTCATCTGTAGTTCAAGTTGATTCTGATATTGAGACAAGCGATCTTCAATTAAATGTGAATGAATTTGACCATTATTCTTGCGTTCTTGAAGCAAACTTTGCTCCACCTGATTTATCTTGATCGCTATCAATTCAAAAATAAAACTTGCGTTATTACAATCGGCACATATTCGAATATGCCAAATACACCAAAAAATCACTTGCACAAAATATCTTCTAAATCTGTGTTGGTTTGCATTTCCTTGTCGGTTTTCTGAACATCATTAATGTATGCAATGCTAGAAAATAGTCGCACAAGCAATGATTCTTCTAAATATTTGAAAGCGATATGTAAATAATCAGCAACATTGGGACTCGAGAATTTAAATAAACTGGCAAGATTTGCTTTCAAACTGCACTACCTGGGTTACGAGACTCCATTGCCTTTTCCTATATAGTTATGCACATTAGAATCAAACGGCCTGATTAGAAATGAATATTTCTATACCTACCAAAAATCATTGGCAAAATATGTGCTTGTTTTCCTACCATTTTTCTCAATGCATCGCATGGCTTATCTATATGCAGTGCGTGAAGAACATCCTTATCTCCCAAAGCCTAGTACATCAAGTGAAAAATAATTAATATATCTCCAATAAAGTGGGGATGAATTGTAATATGCAAAGATACGCTTGATACAGTTTAAACTTTAACATGCCAACCTTTTGAGAATGCCCCAATCCAGTTTCAGGAACAAATACAGATAAAGTAAAATCCAGTTTTCGCTCTTGAAAGTATCCAACCAAAAGACTGTCAATCACTTTGAACAAAAGCACATTGGATCCGTCATCAAGTGCTTTATGTCGAGGAATTCCAGATCGAAGATGTAGTTCTGCATAGAGTTTTGCTCGCAGCTGTGACTAGATATCAATGTAGAAGTTGTAGGATTGTCATTATATAATCGGGGTTTCAGGATTGTATGAACAGATATCTATACAATTCATTAGTCTTGCAAGTATAACATTAATTAACCTTGAGTTTATCTGCCACTCCAGAACAATGCAAACTGTGAACCAATCTAGCTCTTAATTCAACGCTGGATAACTCTAGCGGCTGCTGATATGCTACAGTGGATGGATTGTTTTGAGACGGTGTTATCAATTCAAACATGTATACAAAATAGCAATAGAATATATATTTGATGTCGGTTTTATCAACTTGTAACTTCAAAAGTTGTTCAGAATCGGAGTTTTCCTTCAAGGCTGACATTCAACTAAAGTTTCATCCATCTCAATGGTATTCTTGGTCAAAATTCACCATTTTATTAACCAGTTGGCTCAAGTCACGGATCGACTTGATCAATCCAATCATCACCCCCGTACTGGGTATGTTTGGGATACGTAAAGAATACATATCGAGTTTATTTTAATTGCAAGTCTTTGACTATTTCACACCAACAGGGAGGAAATCAAGCCGATTTAGACAGATTTAGTTTGTCCAGACCATTCCAGATGGCGCAAAGCTCACCGCGATATATGGCATACGAAGCCATGGGAAGTAATGTAGATGGCACCAAATACAGTAATGCAGGCTGACCCATTTTCATCCAAAATACTGCAATAAATGCAGCAATTAGGCCAATAATGTATCCTGTCAAAACAATTATAAAATACAGCGGAGGAGTACAGTTTAAAAATGGATAGCATTTTGAAGAAAACGCATCCGATTGCATCGCATGATTGTCTGGATCTGGTTGATCGTCCGGGTCTGGCTGATCGTCGTGTAAATTTTCGTTAGATATACGCCGAGTTATAAATCCAGGTCTTTGAAGCAAAGGCTGTTGTTTGCTTTCAATATTTTTAGCTTGAAGTGGAGTTAATTCGTTAGGGATGTCCTCCATCACATCAAGACTTGACTCTGTTAAATGACCATCTGCAGAGTGAGATTTGGTATGTAGAGATGTCTTATCATGCCCAATAGCATGAGCAATATCTAATGCGCGTGCCAAGTGCACCAAGAGCCCAGGGATAATGATATCTCCATATCCCAGCATCGTATAAGATCCAAAATCGTCCGTAAAGCGAGGTACTCGAAACAGCATGGGCATTGCTTCCGTGGTTCCAGTAGCAAGAGCAACAGTTTCCATGACAGATTTCCCATCAAATGTAAACAGTTTTGATCCAAATACCCAAAAAATATCGTAGAAAAATAGTCCTACCAAGAGGACCACGGAAACCTAGATAGTCAAGTAGACAATAAGGTATGTATAGTTTGAGTAATTCAAGATAAAAATAGATGGTTCAGTCCCAAGATCCCTATTTTCCAGCATAAAATCATAATACCTGTAGATTCGGAAGGTTTACAACGCGCAGCAAGGATACAATCAAGCATACGCCAATAATATCTTGAAATAACCATGCAACATCACTGTTTCTAATGAAAGCCCAATATGTCAAAAAGAGAAAGGAAAAAGAAGTAATCAGGACATCACCCCAAGTAAGAGATGCCAGAATACTATCGGATTCGGTGTTCACTAAAGTAGCGGCACGATTGCTTTCTTTTGAATGAGGCGGTTTGAATACTAGCAATTCCATAAATTGAAGAGTTTGCCAGTCTAAAAAATCAATCAAAGCTTTTATACAGATAGATAGACTACCAATTCCTGAAATGTAAAATGCGACTAGAACGACATAGACTAAAATATGCATTAGATGGTTTTCGTATAAACAAAATCGGCATACGCGGCATTAGCAGACTATACCAAGAATAAAGGGCAGCATGTAGATTAAAAGCAGTGTAGCGCTTGATATAAAGACGTATATGACTGCATTGTAAGCAGTGATAGTTTCAGACAACTCATCTGGATCCATGCTGGATTCCAATCCTTTGAAATCACAGGTTTCAATGACAAGTGGATGAGTCCAAGCACCCCAAGTGCATCCAATCCAAAGAGTGATCACCACCAAAGCAAATACAACCACGACAGATGGATCTATGGTAGAGGAAGCAGCGGGAGTAAACAGATGGATTGAATAGAATTCACGATGCACAGCGTCAACGAGTGTCTGATAAACAAGAGCATTAATAAGCAGAACAGGAACATTGAATTCAGCAGTGAGATTGGGATATGCTACGGCTTCCTGCTCAATCAAATCTGCGACATGGTCTCGTTTAGGAATAAGAATGATGGCAGGCACCTTGGATGAGGACGGAACAGAGGCTGGTTGAGCATGAATGATATTTGAGATTCGAGAATGCATTGAGCACAGTGATTTGTTTGCCGATACATCATCAGCTAAATCTAAAAAATAAACGACTGTTTGAAGTGGATGTCCAGCAGGAATAGGAGAGGAAGCGAAAGGATCGCACAAGTGACTATTATTAGGGTTTTGGGGATACCATTCAAGAGCAAGTTTCAGTGACCGACTGGGAACCAAGACAGAGGAATTGAACAGAGCAAATGCTGGATATCTTGTAGTAGTAGGAATCCACCAGTTTTTTGTATAGGATAGTTGAAGTACAACAGGATTAGCAACAACCGTAGCTATCGCTCCTAATAATAACAAGAGTTTCATTTGGTAAAAGTCACGGCAGGAATTGGCCAATTGCCACCGCCGTTATTCATGTAAAATGGAACGCTAAAGTGCCAGATTGCATAATAAACAGTCGCGAAATAACAATTTACTAAACAGTATTGTTTTGTAAACTCTTTAGCTGGCTGGTCTCTTGATGATTGACATGAAAACAAAGAGTTGCATTAACATAAAGCAAACTCAATATCTGAATTTGAATGAATCTGGGTTCAATTTTGGTGATTGTACAATTCATGACTATATCAATGGGGAAAAAGGGATAGTTTGATAGTATTATATGATGGAGTTGTAAAGAATTGATAATTTCTAGTAGGGAAGCATGACATTTAACCATTGTTGATCCCAGTGCAAAACAGTGGCAGTGCAAGATCAATACAAATATTCTTACATGAACACGGATTTGATTCATAGAATGGACTACACTCAACGAGCCCTACTAGATGCTTCTCTTTCCAACCCTACTGCATTCTGGAAAGCTGCTGCGTCACATATCCATTGGTTTACCAATCCTACTCATGTGTTTGATGCTGCCTCTCCCCTATTTCCTGCTGGAAGATGGTTTGCCGATGGTCAAGTAGGTCGATCTTGTCAGCCATCAACAGTTATTGGGCTCGTATTTAACACTACTGATCGTACTGTATTATAGCTCAATACTTGTTATAATGCGATTGACAGGCACGTCTTGAATGGCAGAGCCCATCAAACCGCCCTAATATGGGATTCCGCTGTCACTGGCACCGTCAAAAAGTTTACGTACAATGAGCTACTGCAATCTGTTGGAAAAGTCGCTCGTATACTGATGGCTCATGGTGTTGAAAAAGGCACTACTGTCATTATTTATATGGTAACTACCGTCACTACTCTTTGGTAGTCTTTCTGCGTTGCACTTGACAGAATATTCGTAGATTTTAATGCACATCTATATTTAGCCACTTGTTCCAGAGGCGGTATTTGCCATGCTGGCTTGTGCCAGACTTGGTGCAATCCATAGTGTTGTATTTGGAGGCTTTGCTGCTCTTGAACTGTAAGTTTATTTTATGCACAATCTAATTACTACAAATTGTAAATGGTCATTTTCCACAATAAAAGGTCAAAATCTAACCATAAACTGCTTTCTATAAATATACTTTTACTGTGGTATACCAATATCTAGTGCCAAGCGTATCGATGATTGCAAACCAAAGGTTATTCTAGCCGCTTCCTGTGGAATTGAGCCTACCAGAATCGTGCCTTATAAACCATTGATTGATACCGCCTTGTTACTCTGCAAACATAAACCGATGGCTACGATCATACTACAACGGCCTCAAGGCCCAGTTCTTGCGCTAGACGAATTCAAAGGTGAATGGGATTGGAATAAACAGTTGGAGCTGCATAATGCAGCTCATTCTTCTATCCCTGCTGCTGTATCCGTCGAGTCTGGACACCCATTGTATCTTCTCTACACATCTGGAAGCACCGGTACACCCAAAGGTGTTGTACGTGATAATGGAGGACACGTAAGTTTTTAAAACTACAGATATCTTAGGGTTGAATTGAAGTGCATTCTTGGCTGATAAACTAATGCAATGGTGATTTTGACATCATAGGCAGTTGCTCTTCAATGGTCTATTACAAACATTTTTGGTTTATCTCCCGGCAATGTGATCTTTACTGCAAGCGATATTGGATGGGCAGTGGGTCATAGCTTCACGGTTTATGGTCCATTGATGGCTGGATGCACCACTGTTTTGTACGAAGGAAAGCCTGTGGGAACTCCTGATGCTGGTGCGTTTTGGCGTGTGGTGAATCATTACAAAGTAAATGTGCTGTTTACTGCACCTACAGCGATTCGTGCCATCAAAGTGCGTTGACCACATGCTCATTTGCTTTGTATTCATTTTGCTGTTCCTACAACTTAAATGCATAGAATATGCTTGATTGCTGATTGCGCTTTTATATTTATTACTACTAGCGTGACGATCCAGAAGGCAACTATTTGTCTAAATTGTCGATCCCAACATTGCAACATTTGTTTCTGGCTGGAGAACGATCTGATCCCGATACTATTCATCACTTTCAAAAGTTGCTTGGAATTCCTGTTCGGTATGCTGTTTGCATTTTTATAATGCTTTTGAAACCAACTATATGCTTGATTGTCTTGTCACTTGGGATATCTAATTATTGGTTCCAATTTTAGAGATCATTTTTGGCAAACTGAAACTGGATGGCCTGTTACTGCTCCATGTGCAACCATAAATTCGCTTAAATCCACTCCTATTCGAGCTGGTTCTGCAGGACTACCTGTTCCTGGCTATGATGTGCGCGTCCTTGTTCCACTCGATCAATCAACCCACGACGACCACGAAACTACTTATTCGAGCACAAATCATGGCGTTGCCTATCGTGAGGCTAGTTTTGGTGAATATGGCAATTTAGTAGTCAAGCTTCCACTTCCACCAGGATGCCTTCCGACTTTGTGGAACAACGCTGATGGATTTGTTAAAAGTTATCTTTCTAAATTTCCTGGATACTTTGATCTTACAGACTCTGGATATATTGACAAAGATGGGTATGTTTATATTATGTCCAGAACAGACGATGTAATCAATACTGCTGGGCATCGGCTAAGCACTGGGACCATTGAGCAGACTGTTTCTGCTCATGCTATGGTAGCCGAATGTGCTGTGGTTGGACAACGAGATGCCATCAAAGGGGAAAAGCCTGTAGGGGTAATGTATTGCTTTTCTACGACATCTAGTTATATTGTCAATGAATGTCTGACTCATCATTTTTTTGATTGCTGCTTATTTCTACCTAGTTTGTTATACTGAAGCATTCCCATTCGGCAAAGTCTTTGGACATGGGTCGCATATCTATGGATCTTGTTGACCATGTACGCCAACAGATTGGTTCGTTTGCATGCTTTCATCATGTATATTTTGTAGATCGACTCCCCAAGACCCGAAGTGGCAAAATTCTTCGTCGAACCCTTCGAGCCATGGTGAATGGAGACTCTTATACCACCCCACCTACAATCGAAGACGCAAGTGTTTTAAAGGAAATTCAATTAAAACTAAAACCAGCACATTTATAAATAACCTACATGATTTGGCCGTCTTAGTCTTGGTTGTATGTGATATGTTTGGATGCATCTTTTGTTGTCCATGATCATTGGATGCTATTCATCAATAAAATAGTGTCCCTTTAATTTTTATTATTATAAAATGGGCTAGAAATAGATAGACTCACGCACCTTGCTTTACCAGTCCTTATAGCAGTGTGCCAGATTAATTTTTGGAAAACGATTTACCCTGTTTCAGCACCCATTCACGCTCAATTCGAAAAAACACCCATACCCATCGCCGTATAATTTCCAGAGCCTTGAGAGCCAGATCTATCGCAGCAACAGTTCCTAGTAGTTGTGCATCCGAAACAAATCGCGATATATTATCGTGATGACCGCGTACAAGCGCTAGTTTGTACAAAAAAGTGATTTTGACAGTCCACGAAAACCGCAAAATGCAGTCTAAAACAATAGCCACGTAATACGGTGTAACATATCGAAAATGTAATATAGGTCGCAGTAAAAATCGTGTTCGTTGATATAGACGAATAAGTATATCGCCGTCTTGTTTAGACAAATCTCGATACACATTGTGAGATAGTTTTGGGGAAACTGGAGCAGAAGGCAGCATGGATGATTTCAAAGATGGCAGCACAGGACTATGCACGTGGACATACAGTTGCTGTCGTGCCAATGGAACGGCACATAAATTCCAATCCACTACAATATCCCAATAAAGAGAATAGACTGAATTGATCAGCGAAAAAAGAACCCTAGATAAAAAGTAACCAGAAATTAATTTTCAATAGTTTATTTCACCAATCCAGAATTTAATCTCTCAACACACAGGTTAAAGAGTAGCCGTGGAATAAATAAACAACCTACCATAATCCTACGACAGAATTAAACTGTACAACGTGCAACTCTGGATCAGCTATATTGCCGAAATGAGAAGATCTTTGTATCCTGTTGATTTGAAAGGCAGCTAATATCACCGGTAACGAGGTCAGATACTTAATAGCGTTCGCCATGTGGCGGCACTTGTGTTGTGGATCACTAGCTAGAAAAAACTCTGACAAGCACTGTCTAAACCGAAACACATATGGCATTCTACTCAAAAATGAGATTATGTTCCATATTACAAAACGATGGATAGAAAACAAAGGAATGCAAAACAAGTTTGCTATATCCACAAATTAAATCTAAACATTCAACTTACGCAATCAGCACTGGTGTAATGACTTCTGACCAACTGAACTGCTCAGTTGGCACACCATTAAAAGCCGTATGACTATTATCATTCTGTCTGTGCAACCCAAAAGTTAATCTAGACTGGCTTGGTGTAGTAGCTTCATTAACAATATTTACATTTGGATATGTAGAGGTAATATCAGAACCATCAGGAAGCAACACTAAATCGCAAAACACCATCTGCATATCGCCTACAACACGAGAAAAAGACGTGAGGATATCGCACAGGATTACATCTGAAAATGGAACTGCTGAATACAATCCCCCAAATGCAGACCGCTTGAGAGATCTGCAGTGTCAAGTCAAAAAACAATGGTTAGCAATTAAGATCAGCCGCCATAGTGTTTTACATTTCTCACAGTAGCGGTTCAATTTGATACAGCCCAATCTTACTCTAAGAACTTGAATCTCTCGTTATAATATAAGACGGGCCAAGGATTTACTACCAGAAATAATACAATAGCATAGGTAATAAGCGGAACAAACTCTGCTGCTTCTTCACCCCATTTTCTAGAAAACATTTGGAAAAAGCCCATCGAGATCAATGTCAATACAGTAAATCCACAGGCCATTGTGTAAAGAGCTCTGATGGTAGAACTGTGGTTTTTCTGGTGGATGGATTGCTTTTTGGTAGAACTGTCGTTGATATGGATGCAAGCATCATGGGTCTCAGTGTTGTCCGTGCCACCATGAAATAGGCCATCTGTGCAGAGCACAGATGGAAGTGCAGTTGGACTAGATTTGGCTTCCATAAGACAAGAAGGGTATAAAGAGTCGGAATCTAACTGTTGTGACAGAATATCATCATCATACACTCGACTGGGATAACCTGATGAGGAGCTGGTCTCTACAAAAGGAACCGATCTGGTCTGATGGTCCATCTCTTGTTGAAGCGTTGCATACGACTCCTTTGCAGTGAAAGACTGGCTATTGCGCATACTGCGTCTAGGACTAGTCAAGTTAGCAGCAGAGAATAAAGTGGTTTCCGAGCCAGCTTCCAGCAAGAAATATGTATTAATACCAGTCCATGCAAGCAGATGCAAGTTGGTTGCCCAGCACCATAATCCCAGGTTAAGCAGCAGTAGTACATGAAAGTAGATGGGCAGCTTCACCAGATAAAGCAGTAGAGCATCATCAATATATGAATAAAGCACCACCAAAAATAGCAGTAGTAACGCACAGAGTAACGCAGTTACTATTAGAGTTCGGCCATAGAAGAAGCAGGTCATATAAGCAGTGATGAGATTAATAATGGATTGAGTCGATTTAGAATTCTTGAAACAATCGAAACCATTGCGAGAATGTGGTGGATGAGCATCGTGCCGTACTAGTTCTTTGCCGTCGTACTCATAAAACGACACTAATGGAAAGATAAACGAGATTGTCAGCAGCCATCACCATTAGTGTATGTCATGCATTTGCAAGGTATTCACGTAAAATTCACTTGAACACTTTTGTGTTTGGAAATATCAGCAGATTGTCTGCTGATTTGAATGGCATGAACACTATCGATTGTATATCGTATATCACAGCGACAATCTGACTTGTTGAACGATTTTCTGTTCATCTCGATTCAATATAACGCAGCATCTTATTTGGTCTTGTTCTGACGTGAACTTTGATATCCCATCTATATAGTATACACTAACCCAAACTAATCGTTTACTAAATGCTGCAACAGCTGCCTTATTGGTGTTATTTGAATGCCTATTAGATATGTCAAAGTTGACTTGTTGAAATATAAATATTTTCACTCAGTCCCCATCCTCGTTATCACTGGCTGTGATCCATCATATTTCTTTCCAAGTTTATATTTCCTGCAGATTTAGTCAATATACTATAGAGCAATTGTTAAGCGTATAAGTATGTTTTGGTGAATGCTCAAGTACATAGAATTTATCTATTCAATCACTTGTCAGATTCAAGACCAGCTTATATCTGATATTATAATATTCTTTAAACATATGTTTGTCAAGCAATAAAAGTAATTACCAGAATTCAAACTGTTCAGGAATTTGTGCTGGTGTTTTTGGATCAAATAGCTTCCTATAAACGCACTGATACTACGCATTCATTCTCATGTCTAGACTCGTCTGCATATCATGTCTGAAATCTAATACAAATCAATTCGAATTACAGCCGTATTCACGTGAAATGAAATGCTCGTATTTATCTTGAAATAAACAATGGTTGAATCTTGTGCTTTCCTACTGCAAATTAACTTGGATAGACATTCTCAATTCTTCAAAACACAAAGTCCATTATATGATGTTCAAAAATCAAACTATGGATTTGAACCTACCCTTTCTCCTATTTTGGTATAATGATTCGTTGTAATCCATATGTTGGGTTGGACTGTTTTGATGTTGCTAATCAGACTCTATACAGACTTCACTTTACTATATTTTAAAAACATACGTTTGCGTTCTGGTTCAAGGTTGCACGCTCCGGGAATGCAACTATTGTCTCCATTCCAATTATCCAGTGCTTGGCTTTGATGAATGGAGAGTTGAACAATGTGGGATTTGCTAGAGTCGTGATATAAACACCCGTTCAGTTGTTTATGCAAAAATAGGCACGGAAAAGAAATATCATTAAGCTTTGTCAAAAAGTTCAAAAAACACAATGCTATCCAGTAAATTCGGTGTCAATTATTTGATAAAATTGGCTTTTATTTAATGTTTCTTTTCACATGGATACGGCTGTATATAATATTGCTGAACTAGGGCCATTTATTTATGTTTCTAATCAACTTTGGCCATTCTTTCCAACCAACTTTGTATTGTCGCCAATCGCGACATTTTGCATTTGATGCTAAGCAATAGTTTTTTAAATTAAAAAAAAAGAAATTGTCGCCAGGATTTTCAATTTCAGTTTTAATTTAACCTGCATTTAAACTTCCATTTAAATTTAAGCTAAACCAAATCTTGCAATTCTTGCAAACCAAACATTCGTTCTGTCTCAAACTTTGCTATACTCTGCTATTTGCATACTTATTACCTTATTACTTTTTTACACTTTTAAATATGTATCCGTGGGCTAAGATAAGCATGACTAAAATGCCCGAGTGTCAATTCACGGTAAGTAGCATGCTTTTTGAAATAATAGTGTTGTTTAAATGGTATTTTATCCCATATTCAGTCTGCATCAAGTTGAAATTGATGCATACTATGCCTTAATATCAGTGAAATAGTTTTACGATATTACAGCACTTACAATTTTCCATATCTACCTTCAAATGAATCCCTGGCATTCATAGGCACCATCCACTGCCTCGGCCAACAATAAAAAGCCATCTAAAAAGACCATGCGTCGCGCCATAAATCAAGAAAAGAATACTGCGCAGGTGAGTTTGACTGTATTTTGAGCACGACTATCTATTAGTTAATAATACCCGTTAATTTTCATCCACCTGGAATTGCCAGATTTCTCTTGTAGAGCCACTGATGACTGCCCCCACAGCATCAGCTATTACTTGTGTATCTCCATTCACTAACTCGACTATAGTGGGCCACAATGCCCTACCAAAAAAGCACTCGAGTGAAGATACAGTATCTATTGTTGATGTACCCGTCAAACCGACTTATTTTACAACACTCAACTCAACCAGCACGATTCCTCGTCGCGCTTCTGGTATGGTTTTGCAATTATTGGCTATACCATGGACCCCACAGATTATTCCTGCTCAGGTATTAAACTAACGTATCATACTCGATATGATGTGATATCGAATATATGCATTTTCTAACCATTATACTACATTCCATGCCATGATATATTAAACTGCTGATAAAGGTGTCGACGCAACCCATTCCAGTTGCAGCGCTGGTCAAGTCAAGCACAAAGACAATCTCTTCAATCGACACGATCCCCCGTCGCGCTTCTGGTATGGTTTTGCAACTATTGGCCACACCATGGACCCCACAAACTATTCCTGTTCAGGTATTAAATTAACGTATCATACTCGATATGATGTGATATCGAATATATGCATTTGTTAATCATTCCATTCCATGTTATATTAAACTGCTGATAAAGGTGTCGACGCAACCCATCTCAGTTGCAATACCGGCCAAGTCAAGCACAAAGACAATCTCTTCGACTAAATATAATCCTATTGATGACATTTCACTGTTCAACAGTGGTATTCCGACCAAGTCTTATCATCTCGGCATACTAGCACCAGCTGTCACGGCAGACAAGTCTGTTTTGGCTATTGAGAGTACTAGACACTCTGTGAATCATACCATTGATTCGAATTTAACTGAAAGCACCAGCAATGTGGACTCTACTATCTTGCCACATGTTGACTCGTGTATTGCGTTGAAACCAATTTATGAGTCAAGATATCCTTTTTCAAATGAAGTGATTTGCATGGTTGCCAATGCAGTTCATATACGGGATATTACCGTGCTTGAACAACTTGCACGTCTATTTACTATCTACACGACTGGCTCGGCACATTCAAAGGTTGCTGCCAGACAAGTTATAACAACTAAAACAGTGGCCACGACAGTTCCAAACAGCATATGTAATCCTGCTTGTCCAATCCAGTCTGTAGCTGTAAATACGACGCGAAAAACTTATTCCATCGCTGGGCCTGTTATAGATTTAGTTGCTATTGTTCCAGAGATTCCAACCATTTTACCGGTTTCTATTGCCAAGCCAAGTCATATTCAATCAACCACCATCGAGCCTTTCGATATCCCTTTACCTGATACAGCATCAATCGAGACAAATGCAACCACTCTTCAAATAGATACATCTTTAATAAATACTAAAGATGTAGCTGAAGCAGCCGCAACAACTTTGACCATTGGCAATACCTCGAATACCAATACAATTCTAGACCCATGCAAAAACACGACCAGCAAAACCTTGAGCTATAATTTCAAGGTAATTTGCAACTATCGCTCCATTAAAGCATCCATGCCTTGCTATATCTCTAATTTCTGCCTACTTTATATGAATTGTATTAATTTTGGTATTTACATTTGTTAGGACACCAAACTTGACTCTGCTGTCGATCTTGGCCAACAACAGGCAGAGGTTCTTTCTGATGAGAACGATGTGTCTAAATTAAACAAAGCACCTTCAATTAAATCAAAACAGCCAAAAAAGGCTGTAATTACAGTGAGTTGATACAAATGTATTGGTCATGGTTGATATTAAGCACCCATTTTGTATTAATTATTGTGAATTTGACTCCAATTCAACTCTAGTCTTGGTGGGATTGGAATTTGGGTGATCCAATTCCTGTTTTTCCTAATTCGAAAACAGTAACTCCCATTCCTTCCCAACGATCTCATCAAACACGCACTACCATTAGTCGCGCAAAAGTCGACGATATCCAATTACCTGCAGAACAATTACATTTAAAAAAACCAATCATCACATCCAAAGTACTCGTTACCGAGATCAAATCAACTACCAAGGCATCGAAAAAAACTGCAATTGAAGCAGGGTTCGTGTCCGCTCCTACTTCCAAAACTTTGTGCAATACAGTATTTGGACATGCCAAACCTGTCGAGTCGAAGCCATCTGCTCGACTCAACACTGAAATCAAAACACAAACTCTCACCAACAACACTGCTATTCCAAAACAATCAGATGCCGGTGATTCAACCGTACTTGCTCGCTCCACTGATCGTAAATACAGCAATATATTTGGATACGCCAAACCTGTGGAATGCAAGTCTGCATCCACCACCACCAATACAAATCGTCGCGCTACAACTGCCAATACAGCACAATCTCGATGATTGCCCAACTACATAAAGTTGAAAACATTTAGCCAGAGTTAAAATCCATTGATTGAATGGAGATTTTAGCATTTTATTGCTTCATTATGACTGCATAGATATCTTTTAAAGTTACTATTGATTAGAAAAATAAACAAGCTTGCAAGTTGAGTTGATATTAAAAGAATGAGAAATCATGAGCTTATTCAGTCCAATGTCTGGTAAATGCATTTGTAATATTGAATGATGGCATTGCCATTCAAATCAGCAGACAATTTGCTGATATTTGCAAAAACAAAAGTAATTGAGTGGATTCTATGTGAATACCTTGCAAATGCATGACATGGATTGACAATCTCATTTCATTTCTTGGATTTTCCTTCCTGTTCTCATGCCCTTTGTCACTGACCGCAAACTCATTAGCTATCGACTCGGTTATCCTTCAACTCGTTGGTTTATCCAAAGTAATACATTTAGACCAGATGTATCCTGGAAATGCCGGTAAGCCTCCTGGGGCTCAACAACAACCATTCAAGTGGATGGGATTCGGAAACTCTCAACAACAACCTCCTCCACCATTCGCACCTGGTTACAGCAACCAACCACCAGGACCACCACCAGGACAATATCCAGGACCACCAGGACCACCACCACCAGGACAATATCCTGCTCCATCAGGACCACCACCACCAGGACAATATCCAGGACCATCAGGACCACCACCACCAGGACAATATCCTGCTCCACCTGGACCACCACCACCAGGCCAATATCCAGGACCATCAGGACCACCACCAGGACAGTATCCTGCTCCACCTGGACCACCGCAATTTCAGCAGGCGCCAGGAGGTTATCGTAAGCTTCATTTGGGATAGTTTGTTTTTTAGCAGCAAAACAAGTAAACTACATCGAGATTCTTGACTAAAGTGATATACTTATTTTATTGTAGCTGCTCCAGGGCAGTTTGCGCCAGCACCCCAGATGCATCAGCAATGGCAAGCACCACAGGGATACTTTCAGCAATATGCATGCAAGTCAAACTAAACTTGATGACTATTGATTTAATATAAATGCGATCGCTACAATATCCTAACCATCTTGCTTTTATTCAATTATAGCACACTTTTCAAACTGTCGAGGCAGAAAAAAGGGGCTGTTGATTGGAATCAACTATTTCCGAACTCCTAATGAACTTCGAGGATGCATTAATGATGTGCACAATATGAAAACTTTTTTGTGCAGCAAATGGGGTTTTAATGATGCACAGGATAATATGGTGATTCTTACTGACGATCAGACAAACATGCACTTCCAGCCAACCCGATATAATATCATTGAAGCAATGAAATGGTTAATCCGTGGCTCTCAACCTGGAGACTCATTATTTTTGCATTATAGGTATGTCCAGCTGCTCAACAATGATTAGAATTGATCCATATGACTGATTCCTTTTTAATCCAACCCTGACGTGTAGTGGTCATGGAAGTCGTGTAGAGGATTTGAATGGAGACGAGTCTGATGGGTACGACTCTACAATTTGTCCAATTGATTATCAGAGAGCAGGAGAAATCATTGATGATGAGATGAATGATATTCTTGTCAAACCATTGCCAATGGGAGTACGTTTAACTGCCGTTTTTGGTAAGAATGTTTTGATGCTTGATTACTGTCTAGAATGCTCTAAATTAATATTGTGAATGTGCACACGTTTAGACTGTTGCCATAGTGGTTCAGCACTAGATTTGCCATTTACTTACTATCCAGATGGGCGACTCAAACAGAGCTCTAAAATGAAGAAACTAGGAAATGCAGCAAAAGACACTGTCATGCAGTATGCCCGAGGAAATCTTATAGGAGCAGTCACAGGACTTGTTGGCGGACTGCAGCAAGTGATGAAACGAGAGCAGACACTGGAGGAGAAGGTTGCAGCCAAGGGAAGCACGGTTGCTGATGTAATCATGTTTAGTGGATGCAAAGACTCACAAACTAGTGCAGATACGCAAGTGGCAGGTAAGCTATTGATTTGCAACATATTTTTTATGAAATGACGATTTAACATGAATGGGCTGATAACTTAGGACGAGCTACTGGTGCAATGAGCTATGCTTTGATCAAGGCACTCACATTGACTCCGAGTATTTCATATGGTGCCTTATTGCAAAGTGTGCGAAATATTTTAGTTTCCGAGTACTCGCAAGTCCCGCAACTTACCACAGCGAGATATATGGACATGAACCAAGGTTTTATTGTTTGAAATAAACATCAGCTTTTAGGTCACAAAGATGGTTAACTCGGTCTCGATTATTTGGCTCGAATTACAGCCGTACCCATGTAAAATGAAACATTAAATGTCGAAATACATAATAAACAGTCCCATATTTGGTGCCAATCTTACTGGACAAGATTGCTTTTGAACACATTAGTTGACTGGTCTTGATGCTCACTCTTGTACAAAATACTGTACGAATGTTCACATTTCTGTTTCAATACATCCTTGACACTTGTTCCACCTCCAGCCTTCTTTTTCTTTAACCCAAATACTGGGTGACCGGCATGTATAGTTGCATTTCTGAGATGTTTTCTTGGACTAGAGCGCAAAAGTATCTGATATTAGGATACAGCAGAGTTTCAATAGAAAGAATAGTCAGTTTCCAATAACGAACATGTAACGATTGTTCATTTCAAGATAATCTGCAAGATAAAGTATTCTATTTTACGTGAATACGGTTGTAAAATAGTAAAAGCTTTGTCATAATCGTACCGCTTTTTGCTCATCATTGATTGAAATCCGCCAAAAGCTTTTGTTACCGTCAGATTGATGATTACGGCTGGTGACAAAAGGAATGAGAATGAACGATTGTCAGCAATCATCATCAATTTGTATTCAGCTCGATTTCCCATTTTAAAAGCATTCTGACAGCATCAATAATGCACGTAAAAAGTATATTTTTCTCCTGTTCTCATCCCTTTTGTCTTTTGCATTAATCAGCATTTGACGCAGCAAAAATTCTTGCCGGATTTCAAACCAATGATGGGAGCGAAAAGCACTACTACTACGACAACCACTACGACAACTATTACTCATCATCCGGATGGTCACGATGAAATAGTCAGGAAACAGGATATAGTCACTACTCAATATCCTACAATTTTTGGCAAGCCTATTGTGCAAGAGGCCGAAGAGCATAATGAGCTTGAAGACAAACATGCCGATTTGCCCAACTTACAAAAGCATCGAGCTATCATCACTGGAAATGCTATGGTTGCTCCGTCCATCAATCCTGTGCGTCAAACTGCCGTACGCTCTGATTCCCGATCAACCATACAATGGGATACTCCTCCTACCAACTATTACTCAGAATATCCAGGTATGACTAATTAATGACCAATTGTTATCATAAGATGGATGGTGTTATTGTAATGAGACGGTAATGCCATACTGCCATGTGTGCCTTTTATTGGATTATTGTTGGGCAGGCCACCATGCATTGAATTAGGTTTTCATAGTCTTAATTTGAACTGGTTTTATTAATTTCAAATTGGGCCTGACATGTATTTGCAGGGCTTGTTTCATCTTGTCAGGGTCAGAAGCGTGCACTGCTGATTGGAATTGTGTATCGAGGAAGTGAACAGACACTTGAAGGTAGGCTGTACTTTTGATGTTGTAAAAGCATCTTTGATGATATGAATTCATACATGGATGGTGTGCTACATTGAATATAGATGTGTAAATGGAGTGCATCTTGACATTTAAGCTGTCTGTCATGTATGGCCTTTAATGGGGTGTCCATTGCTACTTTTTTTATTCCCAAAACAACCCCAAGTTGCATTCAACTAATCCTTTTGTTGGCATGTTGGATTTTACAGGATGCATCAATGATTCGATGTTGATGAAAAAGTTTCTTATACAAAAATTCAACTATGATCCTGCTCATATCCGAGTGCTATCTGAAGACATGGATGACCCTAAGCTGCATCCCACTCGTATAAATATCATTGATAGTTTTAATTGGCTTGTAAAAGACACTTTCCCTGGAGACTCGCTTGTATTTCAGTACAGTGGTCACGGTGGCCAAATTGCAGATTTGGATGGTGATGAATCAGACGGGTTGGATGAAATGATTTTCCCCTTGGACCATAAGGAGAATGGTGTAATTTTAGATGATGTAAGTTGTGGGCTGTGTGCTGTTATTTTATTATATTGTGTTCTGAGTATTTTTGCACTATGCAATGTTAGGAGTTGAATGTGTTGCTAGTTAAAGCTCTTCCCAGAGGTGTTCGCCTAACAGCTGTATTTGGTAAGCTTGATGCATTAACATGGAATCGCCTGTAGTGTTCATCTATTTTGGTCGACATTCGCTCACACGATTCAATTGTACATACCTGACTTTCATATAATGATATAGACTGCTGTCATAGTGGTTCTGCATTAGATCTCCCATTTACATATCTACCAAATGGACGTATCAAGGAGAATACTACCATGACCAAAATTGGTCGAATGGCACGTCGAACTGTGAGCGATCTCTCTAAATTTAAAATCAAAAGGGCCATGTCCAACATTCAGGGCGGCATCAAGCAGCTTAAAGCGCGAACTCAGTCGCAAAGTGAAAAGGTGGCATCCAAGGGTAGTTTAGTTGCGGATGTGATTCTTTTTGCGGGATGCAAAGACTCGGAAACAAGCTCAGATGCTAAAGTCAATGGCCAAGCTGTTGGAGCCATGACATATGCCTTGACAAAGGTATTAAAGGATGACAAAATGCCGACCTATGGTGAGCTGCTCAACAAGATTCGGCATGTGCTTGCGGCACATTTTTCACAGAAGCCACAGATTAGCTCGGCAAGGTACATGGACATGAGCCAGCCTTTTATCATGTAAAACTGTCTTTTCTGTAGGATCATGTTCACTAGTTATTATATTATCCACTATTTATGCCAACGATAAGCACAAGCCACTTTGTGCAGTAATAAAAAACATCATGCATCCATCATCTCATGTTGTATAGATCTACACATTCCTACCCTATCAAAACATGCCAATTTAGAGATGTGTGGTGTTTATTTTTTCGTCTTTAAATCCTAAAAATCTCTTGTCCATCCCATAATTACAAAGAATAATGAAAAGGACGAAATATAGTCTTGCTGTCTACATTCCGATAGCAAAGTTTAAACGCTCAGTTGTGATCAACAGACAAGCGCTTGTTTTCAGCCTCACGAGCCAGTCTCACAAGTTCATCAAACTCGCCAGTCTCTTCACACATTTTTCTAAATGCAGCTATAGGTGACGTTTCAATAAGAGAGATAGGAGATCCGTACTCTAATACTTTACCGTGATCAAGCACAAGAACCTTGTCATAATCAATGATGGTGCGGAGTCGATGTGCAATGCAAATGACAGTACCATGTGCAAATTCTTGTCGAATGGTTTGTTGGATCTTTGTGTCTGTGTCATTATCGACAGAGGCAGTAGCCTCATCAAGAAATATGACACGGGTGGAACGAAGCAAGGCGCGAGCAAGACAGAGAAGCTGACGTTGACCCTGAGAAAAGTTGCCACCATTTTCGTTGACAGGGTATTCCAAAGTAATTGTAGATGCAGTTGGCACAGAGGAAGGTGCCATGACAGTTGAAGTACTATCGTCCAAATCCACCATTGAGCTAGAAGACGAAGGGGATTGTATAAGTGTAGCAGTGCTAGATTGAGGTTGCTGAAGCGAGTCCAGGAAATGAACTCGGCGAAGCGCCATCCAGAGCGAAGCATCATCGTGCTCACCAAGAGGATCCAAGTTGGTACGCAAATTACCAGTAAAAAGAACTGGATCCTGAGGGATGATGGTAAGGCGAGAGCGCAGGTCGAAAAGACCAATCTCACCAATATCAACACCGTCAATCTCAATAGAACCGCCAGAAAGTGGAATAATACGGAAAAAGGCTAATGACAATGTAGACTTTCCAGCGCCAGTACGGCCAACAACAGCAACCTTTTCAGCACCTTTGACGGTAAAATTCAACTTCTTAAGCACATCAGGCTGCTCGGCTGCATATCGAATCGATAGGTCTTTGACTACAATTGAACCTTCTGCAGGCCATGATGGATCCGGTCTGTTGGATTCAATAATAGCAGGAGGCTCTTGTTCAATGCCAGTGTATTCCTTGACACGTTCAACAGAGTTCATGCTCATCTCCATTTCAGCATGCATACGAACAGTCCACAGCAAAGCATTTGTAAAATCTAGAGCATATGTTATAGTAAGAGCAGCCCAGCCAGCGCCAATGTTACCAAAAATGACGGCAAGACCAGCAAATAGTACTACGGCGGCAGAGATCAGCTCTGTACGAAGACAAAGCCATCGGTTTGCAGCCCAGATGAAAAAGAATGAACGGTGATTCAAATCCACCTTTTCATTGTTATCTGTAGAGAATCGGTCTTCGGCACCATAGGCACGGATAGTAGAGACACCAGTTAGGGTTTCAGAGAATTGGGCATAAATAGGACTACGAGAAACAGACTCGAGACGCTTCAGCTCACGAGAGGTGTTCAAATACATACGGGCAACAACCAAATAAAGAAACACGACTGGCAAGACAATGATCAAAAATGGAGGAGTAATGACTCCAATAACACATACAATAGTACCGCCCTGGATTACCTTGGCAACAAAAAACTCAATCGATTCCATCACAGAACTGTCAATGTTTTCAATATCCTTAGAGAAACGATTGAGAATACGACCAATAGGAGTGACTTCAAAGAAACGCAAGGGAGATCCCAAGACGGATGCCAATAGCGTATCGTGCATGCGACGCGAAGCAACAAACGAACCCCATAAGATAATAATCAGCTGAATATTATTGGCAAGAATCACACCTAGACCAAACAAGGCATACACTCCCACGTAAAATATAGCATCTTTCTGAGTAAGGGCCGGGGAAGCAGGCTCTGGAATGGCAGAGAAGGTGGTGAATGCAGCAGTAGGATTAGATGCAGAAGCACTGCTTTCTTGTCCAAGAGCCGACCAAACGGACTGAACAGAAAGCATTACAAATTTGGAGTTATGCTGCATTTCAGCGAATCCGAGATCGCTGTCAACCCCTCCAATCGAGGAAGAAAGAGAGCCAAGACTAGAAAAGGACGAATTGGCAGAAGATGAAGCAGCGATGGCTGCAGTGGTGGATTGATCCGTCCAGATTTTAAGCCACCAATCATTAGCAAGAGTAGCTCCGGAAACCAAAAGGAAGGACAAAAGGAATAGTACAATATAAGAAGTACCACCAGCAGCTTTAAAGTATGTATTGTAGACTTCGGCGCGCACAGATCCGGTAGCCTTTTCCTCGTCCTCGACCAATTTCTTTCCATTGCTAATGGCGCTGGCATTCATGACAGAAGTGACGGCAGCAGTGTCGGCAGCGGCACTAATAGTAGCAGTAGCAGCATCTTCTTCGTTCGCGAGCGAGTCAAACGACAGATCGAGACCAAATATACCATCGGCATCAACATTTTGAGTAAGGTCTGTAGGAGATCCTTGACAAACAATCTCACCATTCTTGACGACAGCAACGAAATCAGCATGTGGAAGAACCAGAGAAACGGCGTGACTGACCAAAACAATGGTTCGGCCACGCATGGCATCAAGAATGCAGCGCTTGAGTAGATGGCGAGCCGTGGGAGCATCAACAGCACTCAACGGATCGTCAAGAAGAACAAACGAAGCGTGAGAGTAGCAGGCACGAGCGAGAGCAATGCGCTGTTTTTGACCACCCGACATGTTGATTCCCTTTTCACCAATCTCAGTGAGATCACCTCCTTCCAGGTTTTCAAGATCCTTGACAAGAGCACAAGCAACAATCACTTGATGGTAGCGCTGTTCATCATATGCTTCACCAAACAGGATGTTGTCTCGAATTGTGGCATTAAGCAACCAAGCGGACTGAGCAGCATAGGCGATGCCGTTTGACGTGCCAGTAGTTTGATCATCTGCAGATGTGCAGCGATCTGGAATGTAATTGCGTCCTTGAAGACGTCTCATTTCACCAAGAAGTGCAGAGATCAAACTGCTCTTACCAGAGCCTGTGCTACCACAGATAACAGAGAACCCACCAACAGGAAATTCAATATTTAAATCACGCAGCACAAAAGCAGGATTGGTGGCGGATGCTTCATCAGTACTCTGAGAAGAGATCAGCGGTGTATGTTCAGTAACATTCTTGACTGCTAGTGTTTTGGATAAATCATCCCCAGATGTGGTATTTGTAGAAGCAGCTAAAGAGGCAGAGCTATCTGAAAAGTAGGAGAAATGACCGTTGTGAAAGCCAATAACGGGAGCACAGTTGCTAATTGTGTCCGTGTCTGAAATATTATCAGAATCAGATCGAGGAGGCATGGTGACAGTCTGGTATTTTTCAAGCTCTTCCTCCTTGAGAAATTCGCTGATACGATCTAATGAAACCTTGGCTTTAAAAACCTGCATAATCTCATTAGGGAGGTGAGAAAGAAGACCACTGACAACATGGAGCAAGTTAACGGCAGTAAAGGCGGTAGCAACATCCAGAGTCTTTCCAGCAACCAAGGTGTAAACTGCAAACGTAACAAAAGCTACAAGCAAACCTGATCCAGATCCAATATTACCAAACCCGATCCAGGCACTCCACAGATGGAATAAACTAAGCAACTCGGCAGCACGTGCCTCGGCAATCTTGGCAGAAAAGTACTCTTCCCAAGCAAAGTACTTGACAATGCGAATACCTTGTAACATTTCATTGATTACATTGATGCGTTTGTCGGTGTTGGCCATGAGTTTTTCCTGGATAGTAACAATCGCCTTTCCAAGGGGAGTAGCGCAGGAAGAAATAATAACAATGAGAACCACGCCTGCAAAGGCAGACCAGCCAAGAACTATAAAAAGACCAGCTATTGCAATGATAGCAGAGAGTGGTTCACCAATAAGCATTTGATGAAAGTAGGACACGAACATGCGGATACGCTCAGTATCTACACTCATAAGGGTTACAATTTTTCCCAGAGAGGCCTGGGGATCAGTTTCCTCAGAAGTACTGTCAACTGATGAGGCACCCTGAGCACGACGCAGCGACTTTGTGTAGAGTTCAGCAACCAAAATAGATCGAATACGAGTACCAACTCGGCGTCCGGTGAAATACATTTGGCCATCAATCAATGATTTTGCAACAGTGCATGCGAAAAGACTAATCAGATAGTACCAGGCTTGGGTAGGAGGTCCGTTTGCAGGGTCTTGAATATGAGAAATGATTTTAAAAAGGAAAAAAGGACCAGCAAATCCAAAAACAGCACTGAGAATTGCACAGCTAGATTGGAAAAAGAGATGATGATAAACAACACTAGTCATGTTGTACATAAGTGAACGAGTTGGGTTACGTTCCTTGATGGCGTTGTATTGATCCATGAGCAGAGCGGTCTTGTCATCATCAATCAGCTCCCATAGATCATCTTGTTCCAAGAATTGTTTGTTTCCAAGAGAAATCAAATCATTAAGCCAAAAGAAAAATAGGGAAGAAATAACTGAAGCACCATTTTCACGAGAAGCCTATAGTAGCCAGTATTTGGAATTAAAAACGAGGTTGCATTCAATTTGGTTAGTAGTAATCACCAGGCTAAACACATTGACAGTTGTGTTGAATTTACCTTTGCTGACAAAATCAGAGAAGAATTATCAGAAAACAAGCCGACAGCAAACATAATACCGACAGACAAAAGCAGCAGCAATCCATTGATAGCCACAGTTACATCTGACCACAATAGATAGTACCACTGATTAGATGCAAGAGATGCATCCATAACGGCTTGAAATATGGAAACAGTCTGATAAGCAACCATTCCCAGAGCAACAAAAAACAGTGACCACAGACCACCATGGAAGGCAACATTGGAGCGAATAGCCAGTGGACAAGTACCAAGAAAAGCAAGCTGATACGTATAAATATAAATGATGTGTATTTGATGGTCAATAAAAAGTTAGTTTACTTGATCCATCACTAAAAAGCTAAATGAAATTCAGCACGTTCGCAAAGAGTCGAATTACACCGTATTCACGTAGAATGAAACATTAAATAAAGGAGTCAATCTCATGGGATGATGGATACCAAGCTTACTAAACAACAATGTCCTTTGACAAAATCGACTAGTATTTCTTCTGGTAATTGGCATGAGAATAACAGTTACATTCCCGGGATATGCAATCTCTGTTCCCTTGAGCCAAACGCGAACATATTCGAGATTTAGGGTACAACAAAGTGGAGTTTGATTCAAGACAGTCAAACCCAATGTCTGGATTTCAATGGATGAATCTAGCGATTGTGTAGTGTAGGGTTATATCAAAGGAAGAGAAAAGAATTGTTTCGGTTGGAAATTATAGTTTGATTGTATTATGTGATGAACACTTTAAAAGAATTGAGTGTTTATCAAATCAATTTCTATCAACAAAGTGCACCGAATATTTAAGCATTGTCTATTCCAAAGCAAAATAGAGACTGCAAGATAAATGCAGGTGTTGCATTTTACGTGAATACGACTGTAACCCAAAAAATCTCAAAATAAACAATTCAACTGCTCAGCCATGGCAGTAGAGATAGTCGATGGTAACAACAAATGGTCAATCAACTGAATCTCAAATTCTTGGTGGAGATGAAATTACACCGCAAAAACACAGCACTAGTAAAATAGTAAAATATTGCAAAAATGCTAAAGTGCAGATCAGTGTATAGCATACAAAGTCGGCTATATACAATCAGGCCAATTCAAGTATGAAGCGTTCTTGAACTTTTGAAAAGTTCAAGACATCAGCACACTGTAGTCATATGATCTTTGATTCCAAAGTAGATTTCGACACATTGTAGATCACTTGCGCAATATCTAAATCATGGATTGAAACTCACCCAGGATACAATAGCAAGAAGCTTGGACAGTACTGCAGGCTGAGTTAGCAGCGATAGCCAAACATTGGAGCTGGACATACCCGCATTCACTGCCATTACCAGTGATGCAGTTTGAGCAGCAGCACCAAGAAGGATAGCCAACACAAGTCCGCCATTGAGCAAACGTAGACGTTTGGACAGATATTGCTTCAAGGCAAGCTCAGATGATGATTCAAGACCAGTTCCGTTCTGAGATACTGGACCAATGGGTTCATAGCCAGAATCGATACCAAGAATTGGAAACCGTAGACAGTACATGACAGTTGGGATCAACAGCACGGCGGGCACAGAGGCCAAAACCATCTGAACTTGTGGATCCATGAATTCACTCATTGCTAGAGCTCTGGAACAAAATAGGAGCAACTAAAGGAAAGTCTGAAAAGTAAAATTCGAAGGAATTTCAAAGGAAACTTTAAACGGGTTCAAACGTGCACTCAGCACCCGGATGTTGTAATTACGGTCGGGTTCGCGTAACTTGAAACCATTTATGTTGGCAGTAAATCGTATCGATTTTGCTTTGGAATAAGCAATTGTTTACAAAGTATTAATTCTGTAAACGATTGTAACCAGTTTATGAGGTTGAACTGATTATTTCACGTTTGGTTACTAAGTTCAAGACTGGATATTGCTTTCATCTGTTCCAATGTTAAAACAACTCTATACAAACTTGTCTTGTATCCTGATCAAATACGTTTGCTTACCAACTCACGACAACATCATATGTCTCAGTAATGCAATTGCTGTTTTTATGCCAATCACCAATGTTTGGTTTGTAAGGAAAAGGGGTTGAATATTGAGCATGAGATTTACTGCAACGATGATGTGAATGCTGCTTTGAACATTTGTCCAGTTTATGCAAAAATAAGCAGACAATATTGTCAAAAAATCAGGACAATATTGTCCAGTACACTCGATAGAAATCAACATTCATGATTTCATGACACTGGCTGTTTATTATGTAGACTTTTGTTTGGTTTCCATGTTACATGAATACGGCAGTAAAAGTAAAGTGTCATGGCAAGCTTTACAATGGCATTGAATCTATAGTACCAGTTCCAGACACCTTACCATTGGCAATCTCTTGCATTAACGCATCCTTATCAACTACTACCCGTTGAATAACTTTAGCTTGACTGGCTAATGTATGAGCATTGGCCAATCGCTCAAATACATCAATTCCTCCCATTGCTCCTGTACTGCAGGCTGATATAGATGGGGTTGTGTTTGAATGTGTCGTTGTATTAGTCTGACCAACTCCATGAGTGGCAGTGTTGGAAGAAACTGTAGTCCCGGCTACTGAAGCCATAGATGGCTCTGATCCAAGGGCTAATGCACCGTCAGATGGTGATGGCTGAGTAAGTGTCGAGGCAGTCGAACTCAATGCAACAGAGTTACCACTCGACCCTCCACAGCCTGCTAATAAAGCATGTGCAATAGGTCCAGACAACAGTCCGGCCATCAATGGCGGTGAAATCGCTGTTGATCCAGCATGCCATCGTCCATGATTAATAAAATTACCACTCAGATTTGTCAAATCTTTTATAGCAATATCACCAGATGCGCTCGCGTCCGTGTTTCGCCACACAGGCAGAGGCCGTACAGGTGACATGGACAATCGATGCTTGAGTGATCCTGCCACATTCGTGCTAGACTGTGTATTAGTCACACTTCCTTCTCCTGTTTGAACCGTCTGCTCAACAGACTGCCGTCGTGTCGATCCTCCATGTTGCTGTGAATGAGTGCTTTTGGCTGCGCGAGATCGAGTCATAACGCTATATGGTGCTTCAATGGGATTCACATTCGGTTTGGCTAAAGCACTACCACTGTCAAAATTAGCCGCATTTGTTGTTGCTGTAGAAAGAGTGGAAGCCATACCCAAAGTCTGGTTTCGTCCTCGAATAGGAGATAGTTCACGCACACTTTTGCGTCTTCCAGCCGAGCCAAGAGCAACGGCTGTAGAAACATCTGGATCTGAAATTTTAAGACTTTGTTTTCCACTATTTGGCGATCCTCTTGTAGGACTAAACGAAGCCCTTGCATTTGATAAAGGTAATGCCTTGGACAGAGATTGTCCAACCAAGCCTTGTATATGGTTTAAAAGTGTTGACTCTGTCGTACTGGTTAAATCAGACCCAATGATCAGTCGAGCTACCTCTGCTTGATTTCGTGGTAGTGAATCTAGCAAGGCATTTGGGAGTTTGGGAAGATCTTCTATTGAACTAGTAGTTTTGAGTGATCTTCGACTACCAGATTTGCAAACCTTGATGTTCTCATCACGCATTGGAGGACAGGGTTTGACTTTGGTAGACTGCAGAGTAGCCCAATAATCGCCTTCATTGTTATCATTGACCGACGTTTCGTAAACTCGATCACAAGATTGATTGGATGATTTAATGCACTGTAATGGCTCGGTAGAAATCTCGGAAAAACAAGGATCTGCAAAATCATGCCGCCGAACGTCTTGATCGTATGTGCCTTGAGTAGGATTCATTTCACTAAACGAATGCTGGGTGTGCTCAGCTTCCTCGTCCATTATGACATCGGTCACAGATACTGAATTCACTACTGCCTCGACCTCTCGCCTTCTTTCTTGTATGGTCTCAGATTGAGCCAATGCAGTAGCACGTAACACCTCCGTCATGCGCTTCAGCTCCGCAATGACGTTTTCTCGCTCTTGTATTCGTATCTGAGACTCTTCAGCAACAACACGATATTCAATGATATCCTCCAAAAATAACCCTACAGCAGCTTCAAGTTCCATATGATCCAAAGATCGAATCAAATTCAACGCATTTTCCCAACTCAAATCCAAATCTTGCTGATCTCCATGGGCAGTAGGTGACAATGCCGTATTTTGATATGAAATAACTGTCGTGTTTTTTTCTATGAGTCCTTCAAGACTATTCATCTTGATATCAATTGATCCAATTTCTACATCAATAGCTTGAAGACGCTTGTCCATGTATTGCGGAGTGTCGGCATCATAACACCCAGTGCGCTTGTACTCAGCTTGCACCACTCTGCCTCGCTCAGCAATCAGCTCGTGCTGTTCTCCACAAGCTTTTGTCGACGGGCTTTAAGGTCATTGAGTGCTGCGTGAGTACGGCGGGATAGTACGCATGCCGAAAGTTCCTTGTCTACCATTTGCTTTTTAAATTCAGCACGGATAATAGCAGATGGATTGGAAGTAGCAGCAGAGGCTGCGTTGAGTCTCATTGGGGAATCTCTTCCAGTGAAAAGCTTGCTAGCAGTTGTGTTGGAAAGAGCTCGACGAAGACTTTCCCCAGCACTGTTGCCAGACCGTCCACCCACAACAGTGGAAGGACGAAGAGTGTTTCCTGCAGAGCGCTTACCAGTTGGAGAAGATGATCCGGATCCCATACCAGCAAGTGATTTAAAGATCCGGTTAGGAGTTGATGATCTTTTAAGTAGTCGCATGACGTTTTTCAATTTTGATTGAGACTTGGACATTTCCTCGTTATGTTTTTTAAGTACAAGGCGCTGAAGTTGATTACTGCGCTCAAGTCGCTTGGTTGCCTCGGCTGCTGCTCGCTCTTTGCGTCTAAGTCGAGCAATTTCTCGCTGATTGGCAGTGGATTGGTCGCGGTGTTTTTGTGCTTCCTTTCGAAGATCCTGTAGCATGCGTGCTTTTTCAGCTGTTGAATATATTATTGTTAGTGAATAAACATTGTTGAGATTGATACAAAAAGCAAAGTATACATATTGATTCAAACCCAACTCACCCTTGAGCGCTTCGATTGTAGTATGAAGTTCTTTAGTCAACTGATCAGCACGCGATCGACTATTGCTCTGTAGTCTCGAGTTATCGCCCAACTTACGCTTATACTCTTCAATCTGTCCATCTAGCCTCCGCTTCTCATCGTCATATTTTGAAGTAGCTGCTGCAATTTTTCCAGCACGATCTTTCTTGGACCCACCAGTTGCGCTCTGCATGCGCTTCAGTGCCTGGTCACGCTCCTTTTGGAACTGAGACAACTGACTGGACAGTACATTAAGTTTTTGCTCGTATGCTTTTTTCATAACATCGTACTCTGCATCACGACGATGGATACGCTCCACAAGAGCCTCATGGTCGGAAATATCGTTTTGAATTTTGTTGATGATCAAAAACATGTCTGGATCAGCCGTTGATCGGTCGTCTGTGCCATTTGCTTCAAGCATATCCGTGCCAGACATTGACAAAGAGTCGTTTATCAAGGCAGAGGGTCGCAATGAGCTAGCAGTGTCGATATGTTTCAATACAGACGCATCTACACCAGTTGCACCTGCTTGAGACTCATCAAGATGAAACATTCTTTGCACCAATGGATCATTACGCAATCCTTTCACTAAAGATCTTTCATGCATGATTTCTGTACTATGCGGACTGGTTTTTAGTTCCTTGAGCGACTGAAGTGATGGTGTAGTTGAAATATTGATTTTCTTGTCCTCGGCTTCTGTCCATGCCATTGCAGGTTCGGCAAACCGGGCGCCTTTCCGACCTAATTTAGACATGGTTTCAGTATGCCAGGCTAATCGGTCCTCTACTACCGTAAGTTTGATTCGAAGAGCAAAGATGGTAGAAATATACTCTTGAACAATAGGATGGACATCACCGAGTTGTGAGGAAAGTGGTGCATTATGCAAAGTGTTATTAGTAGCAGCATCGATCTCTTCTAATGATTCGTCATTGATATTTACACATTTTTCAAGATCTACTTGGTTCTTGACTGGCTCATGCTTGATGTCATCGGTGTCAACATTCAAATCCTCTGCATTGGCATTGCTTATATTCTGATCAAAAATCATGTTTTCACCATTGACAGACAACTTGGTTCCGGGAACTAACAATCGACATTTTTCCAGCACAGCGGCATCGCGTTCAATTGAAGTCTGTGCCAGCTCATGAACAAGATCCAGCACTCGTGAGTGCAATCGATTACATCGAAACTGAAGACGATCCATATTAAATCTGATTGTACGCTGTGTACTCTTGTATACATCCAATTCAGCCATAAGATCACGTTCACGACGTTGGTAATATCGTGCTTCTTTGGGATCCAATGTAGATTGTACCGGAATACCATCAGACTTGATGTCAGCTCTATCAAGCTGCATAGATCCAGATGACAGGGTCATCCCAGCATCAGAAGGACCCATACCACCTGTAGCCCGAATCATAGCAAGCTCCGTACGCAATTGGGATACTGTCTGTCTCAACTGTTTAATTTCTCGATCCTTTTCAAGCGTACCCCCTCCTACTCCTGATCCTTGCCATTCTTGATTAATGGATACCCGATTTTTGATGTTGCGCGCACGGTTGGCATAATGCAATGTGTTGACTGTTTCTGCATAGTTGAGATCACTGGGACTGATACAAGCAAGCATAAGGGTTTGGCTGTTTCCTCCTAAAGAGTCTTGCAGCATGCGAGTGAGCTTAGAGTCGCGATATGGAACATGGCTAGATCTGCGAGTTTCATCACCCAATGCAGATATCACATTTCCAAGAGCAAGTAAGCCTTGATTAATAGAAATGCCTTCTTTTTTACGCTCTCCTTCAGCATTTGTGCGTTTAAGTCGTTCAGAGCCTGCTAAATCGACAAAATGAAATTTAGAAACAATAACTTGGGATAGAGGTGTATTGGATGACGATAATGCACGAGTCTGCATCTCGGATGCATCTGGCATATCATCTGCAGTGTCAGTAAGTGACTGGCTGCCTTGTGGCATTGAACCACTTGATTTTTCTTGTCGGAGTGTCATTGTAAATATGGCATGTGATCTAGAAGATGAAGCATTCATATCGGTAGATGCGGTTGTGCGGCACATAGTTCCTCGCTGTAATAGACTGATAGTACACCATAATCAATTAGTGGTCAAAATCGATTTGTCAATTTCTATGCATTCAATCACGGCACTTCAATCATCACACACCTTAATAATTCATCTGGCGAATTGACTACTTCTTCTTTGGTATTTAACCACATAATACGGCCAGTTCCGTCTTCACGAATTGTTGGTGCCATATTAGCAGCCACAGCAGACCTGGGCCGAGGATTCAGCAAATCCACCAGTTCCTCATTGTGTAATTCAAGAAATGATACAAACAGCTGGGCCTTGCTTGAACTTGTTCCATTTTGAGTCAATCTTTGGATTTTTTGAAATACCGATGCAATAGCTCGCGGGACTATACCCTGATACGATACAGGTGATGCAGCGGCGACGGTATCCAGTCCGATTCCCATAGAGTATGTTTTTCCTGATCCAGTCTATAATATAAACATCAAATGGCAAAAACTAGTGAGTACAAGAATGTGGAATAAATATGCACCACATAAAGCATTTACTTTTCCAAAACCACAGATTATAATACAACGTGGTTTTGGGATCATATTGAATGCACATTTAAATACGACTCAATATCAAGATGCGTTTAGACGAACAGAAATGAAAAACACACCTGTCCATAAGCCAAGACAGTTGCGTTGAACCCCTCTAAAAAACGGTCAACAAGAGGGGCAACGCAATCTGCATACAGCAAGTCCTGTGTGGTTAATGGATCAAACACGTAGTCAAATGTGAAGGATTTCTGAGCCATCCAGTAAGCGCTATCTGGCCCGACTGTCATGACATTGGTGTTACTACTAGAATTGGAGTTGTTGCTCCCACCAATAACGATTTGGTTTGTTCCAGAAATGTAAGAAACACACTCGGTCGAGTTGGCCAGGAGTTCTTTGGCAGCCATGGGTCTGACACGGACAGCTACTTTGACTGTGGAAGTAGACATTGTGTTGATGAGATTATACAAGATCCAATAGCTCCAAACAACTACTATTCAAGAGGGTTCGCAGACTGTAGTCACCACAACTAAACAACACTTGACAGTTTTTACTGCCAATCCGTTTCAAATTCACATCAAAGTCGGACACCGAAATTTGATGTTGTTCACTCACGTGATTTATTTTCACTTTGATTCATCAGTTGACAGCATACGTTGTGATCATTTGCATGTTTATTGTAGTTCAAGGGGCGAATGTGGAACTCAAATGCAATGTCAGCAGAAAAGGCTCGAGCATAAAAAGCAAAAGATTTGGCAATTTGTAATCAACTTTGTGGAACCAAGAAAACTGCAAATCAACTAAACAATGGTTTCATCACCCATCTCCATAGCAATGCAGAAGCATTCATCAAGCATAGCAGACAGTGGAACTTGGCCACTTGGAACTTCACCAAAGTCGTTCATAAACTTGCCATCTACACGAGACCTTTCCATCTTGTGCAGATCTGTAAGAATTTCAGACAGCTGTGCACTGTAGGCTTCGTTGAATTGCGCAATAGTCTCTTTGGCTCTTTTCATCTGTACATCAACCTCGGATTCGGACGGCTTGACTTGAGCAGCAAGATACACCCTGTTGCGTTCGTTGCGCATTTTCCTGAGAGTTTGGCGAATGACATGGAGAGTCTCGTATTGTGGCTGGAGAGTCTCGTCAATGGGCTCAAGCTCTTCTCCAATCCGATTGATAAACTTCATTGTAGAAGAGGCAACAGCTCGCAGCTTGGAATAAGCTCCCAATGCAGCTTTCTGAGGATGAGCGACAGTATCAGTCGCAATGACCACTCCCTCTTTGGCTACATCGTACATGAGTTTCAAAGCAGGCTTCGAAATAGTTGCTATACTATCAGTAGCAGTGCCAGCGTATCTGGTCAAACCAATGCGTACATTGAAAACACGGTCAATAAGTGTATCCAAGACATCTGAAAATGGATCATCGTTGGCATCCTGCGCTTCATACTCGACCATGCATTCGTGAATAAGATCAAATGCTTCTTCCAGAAGCTCATGCAAAATTGCTTGACCTTCAGGGATATTCCCATTCTTATCAAAAAACTTTCCATCTTTGCGCATAGAATCAACAGCCTGTGCTTGCTCCTGGTAAACATGCAGCTCTACAGGGTCAATCTTATTTCCAACGCTTACCGAGTCAAGCATAGATTTCAGGTTGGAGATAATATCTTCGAGCAACTTTTTATAATTAAAAAGCAAGGGATCAACTGATGTAGACAAACAGATAGAGTACAATAGTTTATATAATTAGAAACTTTTCGACCATGACAAATTGTTATCGTTGGTATAGCAAACATTTCCCAAGCTTAATTTTATGGCAATTTGGGGAGTAAAATAAAATAAAAGGCAGTCAAATCAAGACATACCAGCAGGCTCGGCATCAGAGATTTTTCGAACAAGTCTATAGCAGCGCTCCATCAACTGAACACACATGGCTTGCCCACTGGGGATATGGCTACTGGTCTCGGACCGGCCATCAGGAACTAACTTGCCATCGACCATCTTGTTTTCAATCGCATGCAGACGATCTTGGAAACCGTGCAGACGAGACTCACGCTCACTGGCATCGACATTGCACATGGTTTGAAGGCTCTCTAGACCATTCAAGATTAGACACAGTTCTTCGTAGATGGGAACCATAGAGTCTTCAAAACGCCACAGAGGCATGATGAGTTCATCGAAGCGTTTCCACACAGTTTCTGTAAGTCTCTCCAACTATGCACACAAGATATAATAAGAGGATATTCCAATGCATTCATAATGTCAACCACAAAAGCAATGGGTTGAGAATGGCCTAATAAGGGTAAATAGGACAGCAATGCCTAATTGTTTTGACGCGGGAATAACAAGATCTACCAGGGGTAAAACACCCTATTACCACTGCCATGTACCCATTGCTGTCAGATCTACAAATAAGCTATATGCTACTACCCACCTGACGTTTCTCTCTTTCCAGCTGGGCTATACGATGTTCATAGGCAACATTTACTCGCCAGGTACGTTCAGCCAACACTTGAACATCCTTTAGTAGTGGGGTCGCATGCTTTTTGGCAGCAGTCAGATCTGCCACAAGAGTAGTCAGAGCTTCCATGGCGTCACCAGGCTTAACTTTGGGCAGTGGTGAAGTGGAGGTCAAGGTAGAAATACTGGCAGCAAGCTCTGCAGAGATTTTCTCATCAGTACAAACGTTTTTTTCAGTAGTAGAGGGTAGCTCAGGTAGTGTGGTCATGGTGAGCTATAAATCTTGGAATTGGGTAAAAGAAGCGAGTCTTGAACAGATGAATCAAGTTTGGTAAACTAATAGTTCAACTCATGACATTTATTCACACATTTCTATTGACTCATTGATTCTATTAGTGTCGGTTATGACAGAATATAGATTGTCATTATAATGATGTTTTACTGATGCTATCGGAAACGCAGACATATCTATCAATATCCCACTATCTATAAGTTGGAAATGTTATCACCGTGTCCATATAAAATACATTACTAACAGTCGGTCTTGTGAAATAATGGGTGCCAATTTACTGCACTGCTTGAATTGATATTCCGATTCAATAGACAGCATCCATCATATGATGCTCGTAAAATTAAACTCACTTTCCACTTTTGTCATGACTATACATTGTACAATCACCAAATCCATACATTGCAATCTACATACTAGGTTTGACTGTTTTGATGTTGTCAATAAAACTATTTGTTGTATTTTAAATCACAGATACGTTTATGTTTTAGTCCAAGAAATCAATAATTGTCATTCTAGTAATGCAGCAGTTGTTTCTGCGTCAGTCACCAGGAGAAAGTCAGTAAACATAGTAACGTCCAGTAAACTAAAACCAATCAATTTGTAAGATTGACTGTTTATTGTGTTTTGGCATCCATAATTTATTCCAGTTTACGTAAATACGACAGCAAAAGCTGCTACTACTATACATATATATCCTGACCAATCCACTCAAGTCTAAAAGTAATGAATGAACCGGATGATGCAAATGGGGTAGAGGCCCAGCAAACTGTTCAGGAACTAGATTCCATCAAGTCCAAACTGCTACTTCTTATAGAATCTCTCAATAGTATCCTAGCACTACATCCTTCCACTTCATGGTGGGTCTACCTTTGACTGATATGCAGCCAAGCCACAACTGTCTATGCAGCATGTTTATTTGATTCACATATCTAGCATTTTAAATGGCCAGATTGGTATTGATTGATACTTGCAATATATACAGGCCGCCTGTTCTTGATCAACTAAACAACATCATTGCAAGATACGAAAGTATTTTGCGTGAGCTCCAATCACCAGTATTCTCACAAGCCTTGGTTCATCCACATATGCTGATTCAAGAAGATCCCGAGTTTATTCCTCGCATCTTGCTGCGAACAAAACTTATTCCTGAAATCGATGATGAAGAACGGAATGTTATTTCAGCATATATAGGGACTGGACAGACTGAGAATAAAGATAATGGCGGTGCATTTCGGGATCAGCAAGGTATACTTGATCCATTGGACCAAACAAATATTCTCAAGAGGCAGCGAGAATGGGAGGTACTGCATCATGCATTTTAAACTATGGCATGAGATCTGGATTAGAATTTGACTTTGCTCTATATACAAATACTGTATGGGTAACACTATCAAATACTTGCACCATTCATTTCTAGAGCAAAGTCCAGCAGCATGAGGAGCTCATGCAGGCTGCGCTAGAGATATTCTCAGAACTTAGACAAGAACTGGATCCAATGCTGAAAACTCGAATGCGAAATTCAGGCCCAGATACAAAGTTGGGAAAACGACACGGCGCATTTACTTCCTTGGAGCATACGCTGGCATGGATGTCATCGGGGCCTTTAGACTGAATCCATCAAAGGATACGCTTTTGGATTATTTGTCAATTTCAATTTCAATGAACGTATTGGCATTGTTCTGATTATCCAAATAACTATCAACATTTGTCAAACATTTGAAATACTTGGCAGGGCTCAACTCTACTTTCAAGTATCAATTGTAAATCGATACTTTTATAGGCTTGAACTTGACCATTAGCACTCCCTTGAAATCCCAGACACCCTCAAGCCATCCAGTCCTTCATTACTGGCACAACCCTTATCGTCTAGCAAACGAGTTTTAGTCTCAACGCATGTGATTTTGCAATTCCTGTGATAAACTTTAATTTGAAACATTTAGACTTTACTATTCAATAGACATGCAACGCATTGCTTGGATAGAGCGGCTACATACGCTTCAAAAAAAGTGGATACTGGTAGTTTCGCAGACTATTGCCCACTTTTTATCTACTCATCTTCTATTACTGCTGGTCTCGTCTGCCGCTTGGGCTAGAATCAAAAAATATTTTACTGCCAAACATGCAAAACTTGCTCATTCACAATACACGGGTGGTGATGACTTTCTTTCTACAGTCGGTACTGACAACTCGACAATATCACAATCTTCCTGTAAAACCTTGCCCGTTCCTAAGCCACAGCCATGCGTCCAGTACTATGCAAACCATCATGGTTTTGACTGCCATTTTCATCATACAACCACTCCGGATGGATTTGTCTTGGAGCTATTTCATATTACCAAACAAAAGTCTCGTTCAGCATCAACTCGCCTGCAAAGTGCTGGCCTTGATTCCAATACCACTTTTTTGGGATCAAAAGGACCTGTGCTGCTAATGCACGGTCTGTTTCAGAGTGCCGGAGTGTTTGTTACCAGTGGCCCATCATCGTTGGCATTTCATCTTGTTGATGCAGGGTATGTCTACTTGATTATCAGTTTGCTCAACTTTGATAGTTTGTAAAACTGTTTTCATTTAGAATTACAAATTATTTGCAGGCATTTAAACTATTCTTTTTGCAACTCTGCCAAATTCAAGTTTGCTAACTTGTATCTATGCTTTGGTTTCAAGATTTGATGTGTGGTTAGGAAATAACAGAGGGTCTGGTGGATATCACAAACATCACGACTTGAGTTCGCTCGAGTTTTGGGATTGGAGTTTAGAAGAACTCGCCCGGTATGATTTCCCTACCTTGGTCGAGTATGTCGCAGTGAAAACTGGTAAAGAAAAAGTCACTTATATTGGCCATTCACAAGGAAACGCCCAGGTAAATCTCAAAGCTAATATTGCTTTGTATTCAAACCTGATACTCGATAGCTATTCATCAATATACTTGTGGAATCTTGTTTAAACATGAATATGACTGTAAATAATAGGCTTTTCTAGGTATATCCATTAATCCAAAAATGGCAAAACGATTGCGCTGTTTTATTGCTTTGGCACCTGCAGTATATACTGGTCCACTATTAGAGTAGGCTTTTGTTTTTTCAAATCACTACCTATTTACTGCTGTTTTAGCCATTCTAACAAAACAATCGTGTATTATAGGAGTGGCACAACGGCTGCTTTAATGGGATTCCCCAAAGTCGTATTTGAATTGATATTTGGTAACATGCAGTTTCTTCCAATCATGACATTTGCGCAGAAATATATTCCAAGTTCCATTTTTTCCACTTTGGCTTATAGCATGTTTCACCATCTCTTTGGCTGGTAAGTGACACGTCTATCGACTTCAATCGTGACCTAAATCTAACTGTATTCCTACAATGCATCTAATCAAACCACAACTGAAATCTAATTCGTTTAGGTGCGACACAAAATGGGAACTTGAACATAAGAGCTCATATTTTCAATTTTCACCACGCCCTACATCTACCAAGGCTATTCAATACTGGAGGCAAAGCTCGTGTCGTGGTTATATCGGTTTATTCGAGTCTGCAGATTCATCAAATTGTTTACTCTCAAGTCAGTCTGATGTTCTTGACCTGACAACAGTTACATGTCCGCTTGTAGCATTTTTTGGCAAAGAGGATTTTATTGTAGACGGGGATCGATTTTCTAAAAAATGTCAGGAAGAACAGCTAAATGTGCTGTATAGCGAGCATATTGATGAGTATGAGCATCTAGATGTTATTTGGGCCAAAACAGCACCAACAATCGTTTTTGAAAAAATTGTTGCACTAGTAAATGCGTTGCCTGTGCATTGATCTTTAGGCATATCTACCGTTACCGTCGTATTTACGTAAACTGGAATAAATTATGGATGCCAAAACACAATAAACAGTCAATCTTACAAATTGATTGGTTTTAGTTTACTGGACATTACTGTGTTTACTGACTTTCTCCTGGTGACTGACGCAGAAACAACTGCTGCATTACTAGAATGACAATCATTGATTTCTTGGACTAAAACATGAACGTATCTGTGATTTAAAATACAACAAATAGTTTTATTGACAACACCAAAACAGTCAAACCTAGTATGTAGATTGCAATGTATGGATTTGGTGATTGTACAATGTATAGTCATGACAAAAGTGGAAAGTGAGTTTAATTTTACGAGCATCATATGATGGATGCTGTCTATTGAATTGGAATATCAATTCAAGCAGTGCAGTAAACTGGCACCCATTATTTCACAAGACCGACTGTTAGTGACATTATAAAGACAATTATATCCAACACTAGCTAATCACCGAGTTTATTTAAAGAATTCCTCAAGCAGACTGAAATGTTGTCTAAACTCGCAATCAATAAAGTAATATATTGCAGTTGTCCATCTACATTTGATCTGCTGTATTAACAATCCAAAATATTGCCATGAAAGATTCGTTTATTATGAATGTTATCAAGTCGATACCACTTGATTGTTTGATCAACTATAGTCTCAGACTATTACAAGCAAATCTTGAACTGGTTCAATATTTTGATGGTGTATCTGATATGCAAAACCCTACACTCCAATCAGCATGGTTAGGTTGCCATTGATAGCAATCAAATCTAGCGAGTTCCGGATGGCTTGGATGTAATTCAGTAATCTGATTGGTCAATGAACTGCATTAGTGCTTATTCTCCAACATATTCTTGTATAAAAACAGCACTTTTCTTTTTGCTGACAGACATTGGCTCTTTCAAGACCATTCCAGCAGTGCTTGCACTGGCTTGTGTTGCCCTGTTCACATACGTCATTGATTACTGCCTTGTGCTGATAAAAGGTTTACCTTTGTGAACATTATCAGGTATGCCTATTGCTCTTTTTGATTATATGTTCTGTAAATACATGGTGGTTTTACAACCAAGTAATTGGTGTATGAATGCTGGGACGATGACAACAACTTCTTTCCCCGTCTTATCGACTATGCTGAAAATGTCGCCTCGTTCTGCGGAGCGAGGTTGTTACTAGCCAGTGCCTGTCTGACCCTTATTCATATACAACCTGAGTTGATAATTTTTTTATCGATTTTCTTTACTCACATTTTTTTGTAGATTTAAATTATTTGATTATAATCCAGATGGTCATTTGACGCACTGATTTATAGCATTTTTGTGATATTCAAGGTATGCATAACATGCTGAATAGTGCTGTTTGAGGAGAATATTGATTTGTCCAGGATGAAGACTTATTCCACTTCGCAGTTTCTACCGTAAGGACGGTTAAGTCCACAGACATTGAAGATGAAACTGTTTGGTTGTCTTGATCTTTACTGCGCTGCTCTCTACAAGAGAGCGTGCTGCGTGTTTAGATTTTGACACTTGGCAGTCTTCCTTGTCTTCCTTGTGACGGCTAAAAAGCGACCTTCCTTGGATGTCTGAGACGAATCTGGTTTAATCTCTTGTGCTCAATTTTCTGATTGAATTTGACTGACGTTAAATTTTCCTTGCAAATATTACAGCTGTATTTACAATGAAACACTAAACAAAAGGTGCCAAATATACATAAACAGCGGTCTCATTTCAAGTGCTTGTAATTATAATAAATTTAATGTGTATATAATTTTTGCTATAGTTTTAGATGGTTTGGGTTTTCAGAGGCGGTCTGATTAGGAGCATTGGGTTGCTCCAGTCCTTATTATTCAAACCTATGTTTGCTATAAAAAGTAGACGGGGTTGTATTTGAATCAACGCTTTGCCAGGCCTGAATACTGCTAATGGATGCACATGGGTTTTGCTCAATACGATCTATATCAGTCACTAGTGATTTGCAAGTGCATTGTGAGATTTATCAATACCAAGACAACTTGTCGAGTTGGCGGTTTATTGCATTAGGTATCATGGCAATGTAAATCTTGTTGGGTACGGAGCTATGTTGATTCTTGACAGCCACATATTGATTAATCTTGATATGTTGCTTGGCTTTCATTAGTGTAAACCCTTCCGAATGCATGTGTATGCATACCTAATTAACAGCCCTTTAGGCAATACACAAATATGCTAGCACATTATATTTTTACATGATTAGCTTTGCAAGGAATGCGATGAATTGAATCCAAGAGATTGCTGCAGCAATCTCGAGCCAATATTACTTTACATCGTGTCTGGCAAGTAATATGCTGCTTTAACTCACAGCTGGTGGAAATAGGAACAAAAGCAATGAAATTACCAGCAACCATCACCAGTGTATTATGCTCGAATCAATATCAGGACACATGCTGAAAGGGAGGTGCTGATTTCCAAGAGTTGAAAGAGTCCAAAAGCTGAATTGAACAAGCGGAGGCTTGACATATGAATGAGCATTCCAGCCACTCATTTGACGAGAAATTTAGTCGCCCTTGCTTAGTGTTGGTACCGTTTAGCACAAACCGCATTCATCACCTGAGCAGCAGCGACTTTAATTTGTTCACAGCCAACGCTTTCTAAATAAAGCTCAAAGCTTCCTTTTTAAACCAACTTCAACTTGACTGAATAGTTGGTTTGTCAGTAGTCCCATCTATTATATCTAACTCTGTATTGGAATTGTACTAGTATATACATATTTCCCATGGATCAATTAAAAACAGATTTACCAGCAGCTCAGTCGTTGGTGAATCGTGCACTGATAGCCCACCCCAACAATCACAACACTTGTTCCGAGGCAGCCATCGAGTCGGCCAAGACAGGTTATGAGACATATGATGATATGGAAGATCATGTTTTTGATACTTCTCCTATTACTCCCAGAGAGTTGCAAGGTTGGAAAATATTTGGTTTTGCAGTAAGTATTTCTTGTGCAATTATTTCCTTTAATGGCAGACAGCATTTTACTTGGAGTCCATATTCGGCAGCTGTGGATATGCTTTTTGATGCAAGCTTATTTCAATCTTTGCTGACATTTTGATGTTGACAACCAATATCTATCGTTTGTTTTTAGACAGAAGGTTACTCGTAAGTCGTTGGTGTTTTTGTTGAAGATTGCTGCCTATTTTCTCAGAAATGGCCGCTTTTATAATTGCATTCACGTAAAATACAACTTGTATTTATCCTGCAGTCAGAGTTTTGGAATAGGCAATGGTTAAATATCCGCTGTGCTTTCCTGCTAGAAACTGACTTGAATATGCATTTAATGCTCCATTTTGCGTGAATATGGCTGTAAAAATCAAAGCAATGCTAACCATTTTCATTGTAAATGTACTGCTACTCTTGAACCGGACTTTTGCCATCTTTGGAAAATAGTGCTCTTGCCGCCGCTGTTTTTTTCCCACTTATTCTTGAAAACTTGGCATCAACTCAGGCATACGATTCGAAATCAGTTCGTGAGGGCGATTTTCCTCTAATCCCATGCAATGTTACAAGTTCGCAATACTCTTGCTCCATCTTTGTTGGCAGTGTCTGGGTTGATACTACATCGTTTGTATTTTGTACGCATTATGCTATTTTTTGTGACCATCTAGATTGCCAATACAATTCTTTGCTAACAAATCCAATCTTGCTACCTTTTAAACTTCCATTAGATGCCACTACTATTTCCGTTTTTCTTCAGTTTCTGCTGTTCATTAATCTAGGAGCACTTGCTGATCATGGTGGTTACCGTAAAACATTTCTGATTGGATTTGCTGTAACTACCTCACTTCTTGCAATCTCCACTCTTTTGGTGACCAGAAACAATCTTTTATGGCTAGCGACAATTATTTTTATGATGAGCAACGTCACCTACTGTGCCTCGTATGTCTTTTTTTACGCTTGGGTTCCTATTCTTACTCGTTATAATCCCGAAGTGATTGCCGCTGTCGAAAAAAAGATTTCCCATGAAGAGTACTCTCATATCTCGGAAACTGTTGCAAACTCTGTTTCCAGTCAGGGGTTTTTTTGGGGATATCTGTCTGCTGTTATCCAACTTATTTTGGGTGCTGCTATCTATATTGCCATGGGAGACGGCAACAAGTACGGTTTACCCAGCGTGTATCCTCTGCAGATTGGAATAGCAATGAGCGGCATCTGGACGCTCATCTTTCTTCCCTTTACACAAAAATGGCTTAAACCTCGTCCCGGCACCCCACTTCCAAAAGGCGAAAACTTTGTTCTTTTTTCAATCAAGAAGCTTGGTCATACTCTTGCCAAAGTGCATCGTCTCGGCCAGCTTTTTCTGTTTTTGCTCGGATGGTTTATTTACTCTGATGGCTTTACTACAATTATTGCTGTCGCCATTCTGTTTTTTAGAACTGAAATCGGGGTTAGTACCACAAATCTCCTTATTGCCGCCATCATCACTCCCCTGTTTGCCGCTATTGGCTGCTATGTTTGGAACAAGATTCAAGTATATACCAAGGCAACTACTAAGCAGATTCTGCTTGCCCAGGCATTTTTGTACTGTTTGCTATGCGTCTACGGTTTAATTGGGTTCTTTACCAAACCGGGAACATTTGGCCTTCGAAGTCGCAACGAAATCTTTCCACTTGCTGCTTACCACGGGTTTCTTCTTGGTGCAACCCAATCTGCTTGCAGAGTGATGTTTTCCGAACTCCTTCCTCCAGGATACGAGTCCGAGTTTTTCTCACTCTACGAGATTACAGACAAGGGATCTGCATGGGTTGGACCTCTCATTGTTGGTTTGATTGATGATCGTACTCATGAAAAACGCAACTCGTTTTGGTTTATCTTGGCCATGTTGGCCATTCCTATTATTATCTTTGGAGTTTTGGATATTGAAAAGGGCAAGAAACAAGCACGCGAGTACGTTGAGGATATGAAGGCTCTTCGTGATTGCAAGAAAAAGGCCGAGTTTGCCACTGAGCAATGATTGTGTCTAGTATAATATTAAACCAATGTTTATGATAAACCAGCATATTTATTTAGTTTTTCAACAATTGTGTCTGTTCAAATGGTCAGCGAGTAACAGTAATAAGCCAAGTGAGATTTGGTTAGATAATACAGACTCTTGTTTGGCTCGAGATTAATTTAGAAGCATTGTTTGAATTTTTAGATATTCAAACCTTTGATTCAAACACATGAAAGTATCTGTAGGTCATGTTTCCAAGAGAATATGCCAAAGATCTTTGCAGAATAAAACATCAATTAATCCAACAGCTTCTGTTCATGGCAGACATCATCGAGTGTTTAGAGAGCCGCACATAGACTTTTTGAAACTGTTGAGCAATGAGCTTGTAGTGCACATCTTTCTCTGTCTTGAAGTTGAAGATGTTATTCGTCTTTCGCAGGTAGCAACTCACTGGCGCTGCATGGCCTATGACCGGATTATATGGCGAACACTGTTCATCACTCGGTTTCTTCGTCCGTCTATTTCATCACAAACACACTCGAATCACCTTGTCCGCTATGAGCAAACCAAAGATATACCGTTACCAACTGGATCTGGATATGTATGCAGTAGACTATGTTGATGTTATTTGCTGATATCAAAGTCGCAGTTTTTTACATTTGGACTAATATTGGATGCAACCATATAGTATTGGTTTCGCCTTTACCGGATCAACCACAATTGGGTTACCGGATCTTATTCATCAAAGCGAATTGATGTGGGCACCAGCTCACTGATGCATAGTTTGCCTTTGACTCGGGCATTGGTTGCAATGGGAGAGAACTGGTTGTTCTACCCAGATTGGCATGAGCATTTAACCCACACCGGTCGGATTTGCTGCTTGAACTTGTCTACTTTTCAGAATGGCCCTTGGTTTGAGCTCAACTCGGTACTGCCAACATGTACTGCATCCATTTCAATTCTCAAAATTGTCAAGCCATCTCCAGTCCAGTCAGGACTCTTTGTTGGTCTAACTGATGGCTCTTGGCTTTTGTTGGACATTGACGGTTTTGGAACCTTGTCTGTCTTGTCAAAATACACGGCAACATGCAGCTTAAAGGTTCAAGATTGCAGTGCCAGCATCGTGACCGTGTCTGTTCTTGATAAAGTTGTGTGCACTTGCTCTGAAAACTCAAAAATTGGTCTGTTTTCCTTGAATTCTGGACTGATGGCACGACACATAGCATCGCTTACTGGCATTCGAGGTCCGTGTCCAATTGATTTACACCTGTCACTTTCCAACAGCGATGGATCATTCACTACTCCCAGGACGTTTCTGCTCAGCATTGCATCTGGCTCGTCTATATTTGGTGGTGGCTGGGAGCCTTATATTCAACAGGTCTTTTTCACAGAAACTGCAATTGTTTCGTCTTGCCAACTTCTTCCATCATATGCAACCATTGATTCGTACAAGTCTAATTCATCACGCTCGGATGGTCACTGCATACACCACGCATTGCTTTCAGATGCTGCAAAATCGTCACTTTTGGGACTGTATTGGAATCCATTTACAATGGCAATGGAGCCAGTCGTTCATTCCTATGCTCCTATATGTTTGATCTCGTTATTTCCCCCCTTTGTTGTTTGTGCACATATGGACAACTCTATTCAAATATACACCCTGACCAGTTCAGAGCAGGCCACTACATGTATTCGCTGCACTTCAAAATCAGATAAAAAGCAGTTTATTCTTAGGCATTCAAAAACTCTTTTTGGACATACTTCACGTGTGACTGCAATGGTTCTTGTGCGTGGCAGACTCATTACGTGTGCGATGGATGGTATCAAAATCTGGGAGTTTCCTGATGTGAATATGCACCGCTTGGTCTACGCACTTCCTTTTTCAAACTCTATTCCAACACTATCAGCTATTTCTGACATCGATATAGAAGATACAAAAGCAGAATTTCCAAACATGCCAATAGTTACGCTAATGGACAAAGCGTCTCGTGCCGAGTTTCTGAAAAATGTTGGTGTGATGGGAACTGTTACATCTTGGGTTGGTGTCGATCACACCAAGATCGTACTGCATGAAACTACATCTATTTTGAATTTTTCAGCCGAATGTAGCAACCACAGTACTACTAACTCCAGACAAGTTGGACAACAGCATACCATCAGAGTTGTATCATTTTTGTGATGGTTTAGCTTATTTATATTGTAAATAGTTTGCAACTGTACAACCATTCCTTGATCACGGTTAGTTTGTTGACCGATCTACGCTACCATCTGCTTGATGCTGCCAGAATGCTTTCAAAACATGACGAGGCTGGGTTGAAATACAAATAGCCCCATCGTTCTCCATTCTTGTCTTTAGTTGTACTTTTCTTGCTCCAACTACAACTGTATTTACGTAAACTGGAATAAATTATGGATGCCAAAACACAATAAACAGTCAATCTTACAAATTGATTGGTTTTAGTTTACTGGACATTACTGTGTTTACTGACTTTCTCCTGGTGACTGACGCAGAAACAACTGCTGCATTACTAGAATGACAATCATTGATTTCTTGGACTAAAACATAAGCGTATCTGTGATTTAAAATACAACAAATAGTTTTATTGACAACATCAAAACAGTCAAACCTAGTATGTAGATTGCAATGTATGGATTTGGTGATTGTACAATGTATAGTCATGACAAAAGTGGAAAGTGAGTTTAATTTTACGAGCATCATATGATGGATGCTGTCTATTGAATCGGAATATCAATTCAAGCAGTGCAGTAAATTGGCACCCATTATTTCAAGATAAATACAAGCGTGTTTACTTTATGCAAATACAACTGTAAATCAAAGTATGAATGGCTGGCCCAATATGGTCAATCTGTATATTCATCTCGAGTCACACATTTTATCAATTTTTGTATTTTCACAAGTACTATGAAATAAAAATAGATACTTTGATACAACTATAAAAATAATATTTTGATGGCATTGATAGGAATACCAAAGATTGGATTGATATAGTTTAATGATTTCCACATCTCTACTGCATATTAGTATACACTAAACCTCATGATGAATCCTCATGATATTCTAAATATAAAAGCTGATGTATAGCAAACTCAAAACAGCATCAGATCTAACGAATATAAAACATTTAATGCTTGGGTACAGTAAGTGTGAATAAGTTTATTATTTTGTTATATATTAAAACCTGTCAAATCTCCAGTGCGTGGATGATTCGAGCCACTTGATCGTGAGCAACAGGTAGCGACTCCCCTTGTATACTCAATGCATCTGGTCCTTCAAGCTTAGAAATGGTACAAGAAACATTAGTCTCGAGTAGCGTGAGAATGTCCAGTTTCTTTGAGATGTCAGCTGCCTTTTCGATACTATTTGCAAATTCGGCAAGAGTTTTCCCAAAATCTACATTTGAATTATCAGCAAAAGCATATAGTTTAAAAAGAGCTTACAAAAATCAATAGAGTTGAACAAAGTTTGACTAGAACCAAGTGCATCTATTAACAAGCTTGTTTTAGATCAAGTGTACATACCTTGAATATCTTGAGAGCTGGAGAATTCAGTAGACAATGAAATGTAATCGGTGCACCAGGTGTTGAATCTATTCATGAGGTTTCCAAGCAGTTCAAGTTGAGATCGAGTTTTCAAGTATTGTTCCTCTTTAGTAAGCAACACGGGATCTAAAATATGCTTTTTGTGATCTTGTGCAGTCTTTACGAGATTAAGCTCATTCTTCATTCGATCAATGTCTGACATGAGTAGTTTTAAAACAGTTGTAGGTTCATCCATATGTGAGATATCCGAGGTTTGGGTAAGAAAAGCAAACTGATCATCTAAGCATTCAAAATTAGACTCTGTAAGCGCAGACATATTGGATATGACAAGATTGTCTGTAGCCTTTAATGGCGCAAGAGTATCAGAGTATGACGATATTTTCGCAGATAATGCAACCAGTTTGGCAAGCTGATACAGTAGTTCAGGGAGCGTTTGAGAGTGACTAGAATATTGTATACCAAATGTTGAAAAAACAGTGCTTAAAACTATTGCAAGGTTAGTGATGGTCAAACACATGATTACATTTAGTCCAGCAGTGGTATTTCCAGAATACATATCCAGGCAGCTTACTTTGTTGAGATTCCTCTCTAAGCAGTTTAGTGGGCATGGCATTTTCAGGAAGCAGTCGACTTGGTAAAATGCTCATGGCCAGCTGCTTATCAAATCTAAACAGCATATGCAGCACCAGGATAAATACTTGTGCATTGAATCAAATGACTGAATGATTAATCAGAGCTGGTAAAATATCACTGGGAAATACCTCCATGTCAACCATGCTGCAAGAATAGCACCGTACTGCTGCTTGTCATTTGCACCATTTTCAGTGTCCGAATCAAGCTCCAGTGCCGATACATTGTGTATCAGCTCCGCGGAGCAGTTCAACTGTAAAAGTATAGCCGATATATCAATCTCCAGTGAAGGATGCATTATATTAAGCTATAGCGATAATATCAATATACACGAATAGATGACGCTAGATGATTATTGGATAAAGCACTTGGCAGCTGGTGATAGAGCATGAAAATGGAGAAAATAAAGCGAGATTGTCAGCAACCATCAACGTCTTATTGAGAAGGACAAATTCCATTCAATCATTTTCTTGTTTGGTAATGTCGGTAAATTGTTTATCTGTTGATTTGAATGGCAGGATCATCTTTGCTTGTTTCTCCGGCACCGCAGCGACGATCCGACTCGTCGACACGGTTAGTTTACTGAATGGTTTGCGCTATCACCTGCTTGATGCCGCCAGAATGCTTTCAAAACATGGAATTGGATTGAAATATAATTTTTTTTATCGTTCACCCTTGTGCTCATTGTTTAGCATTGCCGCTGTACCTGCTGTAGAAACAACCTAATCTAGTCATGACGATGCAAACATTGACACCGTGAAATAAAGCTCAGTTTCAAACAATGTATGTAACGGCGCGACGTGCTTCACTATGGCATACGACGGCGGTTTAAATCCACCCCTAAACTGATATTCAACTTGGAAACCAGGAATGCTTATAATAGCCAAGTATTTAATGTGCTGCTTTCCCACATAGCGTATTCATCTATCAATTCAATCATCTTTTGACTTGTAATACAAATATGGTGGTGATTATACATGCAGTGCTGATTGCTGCTTTGGCTACAGTCGTTTGTAAGTATGATTTGCACTATCTAGCCATGTGTCATTTGATCATCCACAGGCATAAATGCTAACGGGTTTTATTAAAACAGTTGGACAGCCTGGTATGCCGCCCACAGTCAGTAAAGATGGTCAATGTGGACCCAATAGTGGCATATGTCCATACAACACATGCTGCTCTAAATATGGATTCTGTGGAGAATCTAGCGGTCATTGTGGAGTAGGCTGTCAAAAAGATTATGGAATTTGTTGGGATGGTGATAAACCACCCAAATCATCAGCACAGCCAAAAGCTAAATCATCAGCACCAGCATCAAAAGCTGACTATCCAATTAGTGCAAACAGCCAATGCGGAGAAGAATTCGGCACCAGATGCCCATACAACACATGCTGCTCTAAGTATGGATTCTGTGGAGAAACTAGCGATCATTGTGGAAACGGCTGTCAAAAAGATTATGGAATTTGTTGGGATGGTGATAAACCACCCAAATCATCAGTACAGCCAAAAGCTAAATCATCAGCACCAGTACAACCACCAGCAGCTAAATCACCAGCACCAGCACAACCAAAAGCACCAGCACCAGCACCAAAAGCTGACTATCCAATTGGTGCAGATGGTCAATGTGGAGAAGGATCTGGCACCAGATGTCCAGACAGAACATGCTGCTCTAAGTATGGATTCTGTGGAGAAACTAGCGATCATTGTGGAAACGGCTGTCAAAAAGATTATGGAATTTGTTGGGATGGTGATAAACCACCCAAATCACCAGTCAAATTACCAGCAGCTAAATCACCAGCACCAGCACAACCAAAAGCACCAGCACCAGCACCAAAAGCTGACTATCCAATTGGTGCAGATGGTCAATGTGGAGAAGGATCTGGCACCAGATGTCCAGACAGAACATGCTGCTCTAAGTATGGATTCTGTGGAGAAACTAGCGATCATTGTGGAGTAGGCTGTCAAAAAGATTATGGAATTTGTTGGGATGGTGATAAACCACCCAAATCACCAGTCAAATTACCAGCAGCTAAATCATCAGCACCAGTACAACCACCAGCAGCTAAATCACCAGCACCAGCACAACCAAAAGCACCAGCATCAAAAGCTGACTATCCAATTGGTGCAGATGGTCAATGCGGAGAAGAATTCGGCACCAGATGTCCAGACAGAACATGCTGTTCTGGAAAGGGATTCTGTGGAAAAACACCTTCTCATTGTGGAATAGACTGCCAGAAAAGCTATGGATCTTGCTTGACACCCGAAGCACTAGCCAGGTTATTAGCTAAATCATTAGTCAAATCACCAGCACCAGTACAACCAAAAGCACCAGCACCAGTACAACCAAAGGCATCAGCCAAGTCACCAGTAGCTGAATCAAAAACTGAGCGTCCAATTAGTGCAGATGGTCGATGTGGAAAAGAATTCAAGACCAAATGCCCAGGCAGGACATGCTGCTCTGGAAGTGGATTCTGTGGAAAGACTAAATCTCATTGTGGAGATGGCTGCCAGAAAGACTATGGATTCTGCCTAAAGCCTGAAGCATTAGCCAGGTTAAGAGGCGAGTTGTAGTTTAAACTAACACGATGGTTATTACATTAATGGATCCAAACTGTCAACACATTGATATCTTGGCAGTAATATAAAATAACGAGTGTGACTGGTTTAGTCATCAGTTGCCCAGTCGATTGATTTGTATTTGCCATGACCACAAACGTTTACAATAAAGATTCAGATATTGTTCATGATCGACTGATTAGTATTGGATCGTGTAGATATTTGAGCCAAAAGAGCATGTTAATACAGTATCGAGTGTTGGATAATCATGATAGTAGGAAATAAGATTGATAGTCATGAATAGAAACGGTTAGCCAACCAGTCGGTAGACTTGCAGTTGAAAGGCTTTGATAACGATTATTAGGGTTATCAGGATTATTAGGGTTATCAAGACTAATAGGATTATCAGGACTGTTGGAACAAGTACCAAGAGATTCGATACATAATGGGAACAGGAACGGTTCATATCCAGCCAGATACTATGCATCATACGCCATTGCATCGTATGGACTTGACAGCTATCAAGCAGGAACTTGCTGATTCTTTGGGTCCATTTCATGCACCGGCTTACTGGTCATTACTGCGTTCATTCTTGAATGGTCGCTGCTCTAAACAGAGCTTTGATATGGCGACAGTGGACATGCTTACTGGTGTTCAAGGTAACCTGTTCCATGTAGCATTCATTGTACTGTATTCATGGTCTCGTATGTGATCCTCATACCCGTCATGTTGATATTCCTGAATTGGCTCTTGCCATGTTCATATTGATATTCATATTAATGTTCATATTAATGTTCATGTCCATCACAACCATTCATCATCTCATTCATCTCATACATTGGAATGTTAGCGAGTCTACACAACAAACTCATCTTGGCCATATGCTACAACTTACAAGCTGGTGTTCCTCCACCAACTGGCCCACCCGACACTGACTTTGTTCCAAAGAATAGTCTGGCATTTGCTGCTCCCATCGAAATATCCGTCACTTCGATCGCAGACTCTTTGAAACGTCCTGCTCAGGAAGAACTGCTATCTCCCATGGAGATCAAGAAACGCTTTACCACTGCCATGATCATGTCGCTTTCTTCTCAAGATCGTCAACGACTCATTGGACTGGGTATTGTGGTAAGGATTCGAGTCCATTTAGATTAGTATCCAACATTGTGTTGCAATACAAGCTGTTAATTCAGTGTTGATGCGTGTTGGTATAAACCTTGCAGAAGCATAAAGATGAACCGGTTTTGCCGCCTTCCAAGAAAGTGCTCTTTCCAAACGGATTCCCTGTTGGTATGCATACTTGCTCTAGTCTCGGTTCTAATGTAACGTTTGAATGTCCAGATTTGCAAACAGTAACTCACTCCAACATCACGACATTAGGAATAGATTCGATTCCTAGGTCATGCAAGGATGAAGGCGATCTTCCATTGATGGATATGCTTGAGCAACGACTCCGGTTTATAAGTGGAATTCAAGGACTGGGAGATCCACCTACGCCGGAATCAGCCAAACTGATTTCATTTGCACTTGATGTAAGCCGACCATTACATTTCGAATGTGTTGATTGAGCCGTGCTTGATGTGTCGCTATTGTTGATTCCTTTACAGAATTATCTCAAGAACTTGTTGCAGGCTATTTTGCGAGCACTGACTCCGCTCCGTGCTATGCGTACCACGACTGCTAGTGATTATGCACCGACCGATCCGTTGGTAGCTGCGTCGTTGCAATGTAAACCAAACCCAAAAAAGCGTGCATTGATTACTACAAAGACATCCAAGTCGGTTGTAAACGGATCGGATTTGGTGATGAGTAAGAATAGTTGACTGAACACTTTGAATGCATGTTGTGATTACAATGGATATCAGCAATCGTATATGCACCAGATGTAAACTCGTTTGATTGATTGTGGTGAATTGTAACTGTATAGCCAATACATCCAAATCTGGCGACAATGCAGTCCAGTCGATGTGTACAACGACGGATTGGTCAGCATCACAGTTGACAGATTGTCACGTCAAGCCATCTCAATGCACACTGGCATCGACGATTTCATCACTTGAAGCACTTGAAGCACTGCACCGGCCTTTTGGGTTAGACGAGCTACGATTTGTGTTTGATTTTTTGCCACAAATGGAAACCGAGACACTGGAGCGTATTGCACTCGAGGCATTATGAGATGCACCGAGTGGGATCAATTGGGACACATTGTAACCAAATCGATTGGTATTACTGTTTGGACATATTTATTAATATCTAGTATGCTTGGCATTGATTCTAATAGACGATTCGACATATCAAAGTGTTGATAGTATCAGTGGTTTGACATCAAAAGTGTTTATAGTTTTGAGATGTTCATATATCAAGTTTTTAATAAAATGTCGGTCCATATGTTTAACAATAGTGATTTCAGATGGACAACAACATGTTGATGGAAAATACAGAGTTTGAGCAAGTGTTTATCATAGATTCAAGCCTTTTTTCAACCTTGCTCGACTCTTGAAGCCAATGCACAGTTTGATGCTCAACTCTTGTATTGTTTTTATAAAAATCTTCATTTTTATTCAGCCAGCATGTCATTTCAATTTCAAACCAAGAATGCAAATCAAACATTGAAAATGTAATCAAGTGTTTAGTCGTCATCATCACCTACATCAGAGGGACGATCAATTTGAAGAGTTTCTACATCATGTCCAGGAAGCGCTCGAGCGCGTTTTTCTGCAACCATAGCGTAAGCAGCAAATCCACCTGCAGCACCAGGAACTATGGGAAGTGCAGGAGCACTGAGATTCAATACAGGAGCAGATCCTTCGTCAACGTGAGCAGAAGTACGCAAAGGGGAACCACGAAGTACAGTTGTATCTGTATAATGATTAGCTTTGTACAGATCGCTTGGTGAATTGATGCCTATTGGACTGTTGGATTGAAGAAGTGGCTCCGTAGCTATTCCAGCTGTTGGACGAGATACGTTGCGGCGTAAACTGAGTTCAATAGGAAGACCTTGAGCTCGGCCATGAACCGCTTCAATACTACTAGTATCAGTCGAAGGATGGGTAGGACCTATGGAAATCACATTGGACATGGCAAAGGCATTGTTAATGGCAGACAAAACAGCCACGCCAGTAATTGGGGTACCATGATCCGATTTGGAAACACCAAGCGAAGTAATGTCTTTCGACGTAGCGCCAGTGCCATGTGTCGTGGCATTGGAATCAATGTAGCTCAAGGTTTCAGAGACTGCCTCATCACCCATATTGACACGTAGAGCACTAAGCACCATCATACGTTCCTCCATAAGAGTTTGGTAGCGGTATTGAAGACGAATGTTGGGTACATTTGTCTTGTGAATATCATTTCCTGCCGGACCGGCCATATAGCAGGTATTTCCTAACCAGCGCTGCTTGATTTTGAGTTCCCAACCGCTCTGGAGAACACTGTTTCGTGCAATTTCGCACATGTCTGTGGATGATAATTTCCAGATCTGTCGCAGTTAAAAAGGCTTATATTTAGTATAGATACAATATGAAGTACAAAGAATGGATAAAAAGCATAATTACCTGAGCAGCAACACTGTACTCTTCAATAAGAGGTTCCTTTGTAAAATGGAATTGCAAAGGATCGTCCGTGGAAAGCGAGACATTCATACCACGTTGAAAAAATGTCAAAAATGGGTTACGTTCATAGTTGAGGAAAAGTGCATTGTTGGACAATGGGGACATGGCAATGCCAATCTGCTCCAAGTAAAACAGGTACTGCATGGCCGGAACCTTGCGCAACAGAATACCATGACTGATACTATGCGAAGTAAGGAACGCACATGTGAGGTGATCAGGATCACCCGCTTCACCGGCGTGAGGACGCAAAAGAAACGTATTAAAGCCACGCTCACGACGGAAGAGATTGAGCGATGAAATATTGGCAAACATGTAGTATAGGTAGTACGAATATGGAGGGTTCATGGCAATCGTCCAGGCCCTGGGAGCAGGAAACTTTTTAAATATACGTTTCTCTGTCTTGCTTTCGTCATCCACACTGTCGAAACCAATTACTCTCTGTAAGAATATATGCAGCTCAGGATGGGTGCGAGGATCCTTAGTGACCTCAAATAGTGGCTCAAATACGTTTCGAATGATGTCTTCAAACGACTTGACCTGATGCGATTTCTTATAGACGCTATACAGACGTGGAACTTGAATCAACCAGCGTACATTATGCGAAAATAGACGATGATCAATCACCCATTTGGCAATTTTATCCCATTCGTCTCTTGACCGACCGTATATGGATATACGATACTCGACCATCTGATACTTGCTGGCTTCCAGATCATTAATCACTTCTTTGGTTAGTTCAGCCAAATACCTGCCTTTTACAAAATTGTCCGTTTTCAAGAAAATCTCACGAAGACGAGATTCTCCAATGGGATTGTACTTGAGATTGAACTTGTCAAATCGATGAAATGAATCCTTGTGTGCATGCATGTCCAAAGTATCAATACTGAGATCATATGCAGTCAGATTCAAACTTTCAAATACTTCTGCAATGGTCAGGTGTTTACCATCACGGAAAATGACGGCCTCGCTGCTATTTTTTTTGATTTTTGATTTGATGAAGCGTAGCAGATGCTTTTGGTTCATGCAGGACGAATGATGGATATGAGTGTCTACCTTACGCACGTTGTAGAAATCCCTATGAGGCACACGCTTTGAGTCGGCCATTTCCTGATACTCGTTCAAAAGAACATACATTTGAAATTTGCTTTCCAGATATCGAAGACGACGAAAAGCAAAGCTTTTGGTGGGTCCATCAGAAATGATATTTTGAATGTACTCCATGTCTTGAAAATAGTTTTTGACGGATGGAACGTGGCATTTTCCATTAGTGTGTGTAGCAGCATCATTCTTGTCCTTGTATATTTGGAAAACACCACATTCGGTCATGGCATACTCTCCCGAATGTTCTTCAGGAATACGAAAAGCAGCAATATCCACACCATGGTCAAGGGAGGTTTGCGAAGCATTGTTTACAGACATTGGGATTTCAGGGGTAGCGATGGAAGGATCTTGAGGTGGCCAATAACTAGGTTTAGGAGGAGGAGGATAAATCTCCCAATCAGGAGAATCTTTTGGATTGTCACCAAAGCACTGGTAACTCGCCTCCATATACTTTGCGCGCATTTGAACACATTTTTCCAGCGTCTGAAACATTTCTTCAAGTTCTTGACTGAGTTCAAGATCTAAGAAATATAGAGAATGATTGCATGTGAGAAACAGACTTTTACAGTGTAATCATGATTAGAATTTATAGTGCACCTCCAACTTCCTGCCTGGAATATTTAGCAACACCTTCAGAGGTAACAGCAGTGCCAACAACTTCAGCCATGCGCTCAGCAATACTGATGGATGCTTGACCCTCGCTCACACCAAGAGCACTCATGGACGAACGCGGAGTTTGACGAGATTCGTTATCTAAAGAATCGAGTAGAAAGGGCTGAAGTGATTGAGAATGCTGAAGAGAATTGCGATCTGTTTGTTGACCAACCCTGTGAGCCCAATATCGACCGTCCTCCTACAACACAGCAGCAGACAGGACAGTTGCAAATGGTCATTCAATTAGGACTCGCGAGAAAACACATTTGGTAGCGAATCAACACTTGATACATACATTGAAGGTAGTCTTGTCAAGAAAATAGTCTATACGTTGATAGTGAGTTGCATTGACAGATATTCAATAGTCCAGGGTCAATGATCGTAGTTATAACGAATGAAATTCAAGACCTTTCCAGGTATGCATTTTTGAGCATTCTCCAATGCAATTCAACTTACTGTAAAATGGACTCTTGTGGGATAAAGCAGAGTTGCTCTCATTGCCAGTCGCACTGGGATCCATGTCAAACGTACCCAATGAGTTGGCATGGTGCAGACCACCAGCACTGTTTGGAGGACGGACAGCATAAGCAGCAGTATGTAGAGCGGTGAGCCTTGCGGGTCCGCTGGAGTCGGGGATTCCAGCAAGATTGTCGCAAGAACTGTTGGCATTTTTATCAGCCAGGGCTTGAGCAGAAAGACTGGAAGAGGAAGCAGCAGGATTCACTCTATCCTTTGCATTGGCCATGTCAGCAGTGTTATCTGTCATTGTCTTGATAAGAGAACAAGTGTTGGATTCCAAGCAATTCAAAGCTTTATGCTGGACTGATCGACTTCAAATTGAATGGGAAATACAAGTTTATTTTGTAGATTCATGAATATGATCCACTGAGTTGCTGTTCTTACTGGTACACACTCCGATCGACTTACACCAGTCATCGACAAGAATGTCAGGAAGTTTGATCCGTAGCTTAGGATCGGGCTGTAGTAGTTTATACAGCATTTCCTTGGGTCCGGGCTGCAGTTTCTCAAATGGTGCAAATCGAGTAATGCTATCTAAAAATGTCTTGTATCGGGAATCCGTTATGATGGCAGTCTTCCACAGTATAGAATTGCTCAACATGACAAAGAAAATCACTCCAATCGCCCACACATCCACTGGCTCAGAGTCATACTCTATATTTACAAACTCCTCTGGCGCAATGTATGGTCCTGATCCTGCAATCCCTCGTGTTTTCTTGCATACTGTTCCAAAAGGATCTCGAAACACCTGCGACACTCCAAAATCAGTGATCTTGAGGATTCGTCCGGTTCCGTCTAGCAGCAGATTCTCTGGCTTCAAATCCCGATGCGATACACCCACCGAATGCAAAAAATGCACACCACGAACCAACTGCATAAAGAAACAGTTCATCTCCGCATAGCTTTTGAGTGTGCCGTTCTGTATTCGTCCAAATAAATCTCCTCCCGCGCAGTACTCCATCACTACACACCATTGCTTCTTCGAATCTTGAATCAAGTCCACTGTTTTGACTACATTCTCATGCTCCAACGATGAACTGATGCAAAATTCTGCCACAAGTTTCTTGACATACTCTTTTTGGGACTCGTCCTTGTGTCGTTTACGAAATTCCTTGACTGCATACTTTTCCTTGGAATTTATTGGACAACATAGTTTGACTATGGCATAGGCTCCTCGTCCAAGAACATCTTCTGTTTTACCGTATTTTTCTGTTAGAGATACTTCGGATGATCCTGATCGTGCCAATGACGCAGTGGATGACTTGCGCTCCATACCAATAGTTGCTGGTGGTGGGATGTACAGGGATCCAGGAAGTACCATGGATGAATTGGGTGAAAGAGAACCATGCGTCTCCAAGTCTTGCAAGTGGGGTTGTGCTTTGGACATACTAGAAGTAGAACTAGAAGCACTTGAGCGATAGGAGGCATCTTGGCTCGAAGTGGTCGGTAGGGGTTGGGGTTTTTTACTCCGTGGACTCAATAGATCCTTGAAGATATTATGACTTTCATACTTTGTTTCAGCTACTGCAACATGGTCAGATCCTACTGGAGAAGGAGGTTCGCCATGGTAAATATCATGCCCAAAATTCAATAGTGGTGAAGTCAAGGGTGGCGGAGTAGTTTTTGAAGAGTTGGATGGTTTTCGAGGACGAGTGCCTTGAAGAAGATCTTTGAATAGATTGGTACGTGTTGGTTTGCGTTGCACTGATTCCTCCAAATCCGACTCAAAATCACTCGAGTCTTCACCAGCACCAACAGAAAAAATGCCCTTTTTGGATGGCTGACGCTTCATGCGATCCTTTTGACCATCCGAGGAACCAGACTGAGAGGTGGACTGTTGCATTGGAACTTGACCAACCGCTTGCTGTTGATTGAGGGGTTTTTGGCGAAAGGGAGCACTACCAGCACGCTTTAAAAAGTGATCCATGGTTTCACCAATACTGGATTTACGACCCAGCTTTCCAGAATTATGACTTTTACGAGAGGTGCTCATGGAATCATCCGAGTCATTTTCATCTGAATCCGCCTCACTTCCACTGAAAGAGCGACGAGATCTACCCCAAAGTGAGTTTGATGCGTGAGAAGCTCTATGAGAATCAAAGCCATCTTCATCGTGATGTTCTGGCGGAGTAGAGTCGCCAAGATGAAAGATACGGTACATGACCCCAGTTTTTTTAGAACCAAGAGTAGGAGAAGTAGGAGAAGACGTTGATCGCTTGCCACTCCTGAACACAAGGTAATATGGTGATATCAATCAGTAAAACAGTTAGCGTACCAATCGCAACATTCATGCCATTACAAAGACAAACATGATTTTAAAAGACACTAGCAATCACGATAAAGACCACATCGATATACACCAATCTCAATAGTCGTGCGAAAACACACAACAGTGGTTTGATTGGATAGTCAATGCACCCTGGATAAGATGACTCTAATCAGAGATAACACATACATGGACAGTTCGGCCAAGTCTTTCGAGACTGAAGAAGCCAGTCCATTCACGTTACCAACAGACATATTCAATACATTCGACATGGAATGATGACCACCATCCATTGACGCAATGTTTCCAGAGGCACTGTTGTCCATGGAGTTGGCATTGGTTGGGTTGGAAGAGTTTGTATTGGCAGAGGAAGCCGAGTTTGGGTTGGATGTCGCATTTGCAGCATTTCTCCTGTTTACAGTCTGACTCTGGTGCAGAGCACCAGAAGTAGACAAGAGCATAGGATCCCATACTTCTGTGTTGAAGGTGGACATTGATGGACTGCAGCTTCACTGTCAATTCGAAACATTGAGCTTGAAGTTGCCATTCTGAGCCCGTCGCCATTATACAGTCTACACCCCATATTTATGCGGTGTCTTTGCTAAACTGTTTCCGAGTCTTCGCTTCGACTCTTCACACATCGACTCTGCCATGAGTTCCTCTGCTGACATCGCCATCCCCACTGCTACTCCAGAAGACCGTCGTGCAAAGGCCTTTTCTGCCTATCGCAAGCGTCTGCTGGAACATCGCGAGTTTGAGGCAAAGGTCAAGGAACGTAAGTTCTTGCCAACATCACATCTCCAGCCATTCCTGGCTTCTGTTCAGATATGTTGTTTATGCATGACTGTTGTCTTGGGATGAACTCGGCCATGTTTGCAATTTGCTTCAATGGCTTGTTGCTACTATCGTGTTCAACCCTTGCAGATTGTGTGCCCTGGCTGTCATGGTGTTTGGACAAAATTATCGCAATGCTCATCTAGACTGCATTCCAGTCCCATCCATCGTATAATCATTTTTACTTTTGGGTTCGATATTGACTGGCTCCTGAATCGCAAAGTGCTTGCGCTATACCAGTATTGGTCACTCTGACAGTGTCTGCAGCATAATCCCATTGTCAACTTATCTGAATTATGGTGTTACCAGTACTAAGTTTATCTTGCTGATTTGATATATTTTTAGTTCGACTCGGTCTTCGTGTATTTGAAAAGTCACTCGACAAATCAGAAGATGATATCAAGGCCCTGCAAAGTGTTGGCCAGATTATTGGAGAAGTTCTAAAACAACTTGATCATGAAAAATGTATGTGTCCGAGTGGTGTGCTTTGTACAGCATATCAATCGAATCTGGCTTTACTTGAAAACACTCGGGTTTTACACCCTGCTAACTTGTTTAAATCTTGGAACTCTCTACTCATGAATCGTTTATCAATTTGAATTAGTTATTGTCAAGGCATCCAGTGGTCCTAGATATGTTGTTGGCTGTCGCGAAAAAGTTCAAAAAGATAAACTGAAACAAGGTGTTCGTGTTGCACTCGACATGACCACTCTCACTATCATGCGTATTCTTCCTCGTGAAGTCGATCCGCTTGTCTATAACATGTCTGCTGAAGACCCTGGAGACGTCACATTTGCTGGGGTTGGCGGCCTTGGTGAACAGATTAGAGAGCTTCGCGAGGTATTTTTTATGTAGCTACTGTATGTCTATTTATTGATCAACTCAATGTTCTGCTACATTGGCATCGTATTCTAGGTGATTGAATTGCCACTGCTCAATCCTGAACTATTCCTTCGCGTGGGAATTAAACCCCCAAAGGGTGTTTTACTCTATGGTCCTCCGGGTACTGGGAAAACTCTATTGGCTCGTGCTGTAGCTGCTACACTTGAGTGCAATTTTCTCAAGGTTGTTTCTAGTGCCATTGTTGACAAGTATATTGGTGAAAGTGCTCGTCTTATTCGTGAAATGTTTGGTATGTTTATACTCTGCTGGCCCAGCGGCCGTTTGATCTCAAGTTTCTATAGTGCATGACTTGTTTTACGTACTCTGTTGGAATGATCTAAATTGTGTTTATGGTGTGTTAGGATACGCCAAGGAGCATGAACCCTGTATTATTTTCATGGACGAGATTGATGCCATTGGTGGTCGTCGTTTTTCTGAGGGCACTTCTGCAGATAGAGAAATTCAACGAACCCTTATGGAGGCATGTAGTTCTGTGATTATTCAGTAAATACTGGTCTGGTGTGCATGACTGTCTAACGACTTTGTTACAAATGTGTGCTGGATCCGTAATACAGTTACTGAACCAGATGGATGGTTTTGATTATCTTGGACAAACCAAACTTATTATGGCTACCAACCGTCCAGACACGCTTGATCCTGCTCTATTGCGACCCGGCCGTCTTGATCGTAAAATTGAAATTCCGCTTCCCAACGAGCAAGGAAGACTCGAGGTTATTAAAATTCATGCATCCACTATTACCAAGCATGGCGAAATTGGTATGTTTTATCGGTACAAGTGCCAAACAATTTAATAGACATTGCATATGAACAACACGGTTGCTGACATGTACGGTATCTTTCTATGCTTATCATTGCTGTGATTGAATTTGCTGGATTTTGGCATATGTAGACTATGAAGCAATTGTGAAACTATCCGAAGGTTTCAACTGTGCCGATTTACGTAACGTTTGCACAGAAGCTGGTAATATATATGCTGCTTGTCTGCCCTTTGGTATTAAAATTTGCAACTCAGTGCATTTACTTTTAAAACAACACCTCATTAGGCATGTTTGCTATCCGAGACGAGCGCGACTATGTTGTTCAGGATGATTTAATGAAGGCGGTGCGCAAGGTGGCCGAGACAAAGAAATTGGAGACAAAGATGGACTGTACGTATATACAGCTACTGGTTTTTGCATCTTATGAATGTAGTTGTTTAATCAATTTACTCACCATGTTATTCCATTAATCATACAGATGAAAAGGTCTAGTGGTTTTCTTACGCGTCTGTGTGCATCAGATACGGCTGATTAGGAATGTACATGACTAAAGTGCTATGCATTTCGGTTTTTGAAACTTGGGTATAAGTAATCTTTTTGTAGTGATTTTCGCAAGATCTCTAGTGACTCCTACATAATAATAAAATGACAGTCGGATTCGCGTAAAATGCAACATTTTTGTATATACAACCCTATTCATGTAAAATGAGCATTAAACATGGATATCAAATGCATAATAAACCGTCAATTCTGACCAGATTTACTGGACAACATTGTATCTTTTAAACTCTTTTAGTTGACTGGTGATTGACATGCAAACAACAGCTGTGATTTGCTGTTTGAACTAAACCACAAACGTATCTGCAAGTCTTTAGAATACAGCAAGAATGTTGATTGACAACATCAGAATCCAATATCTGGTGATCGTACAACGTATGACTATCAAAATGGAGAATCTCGGTTCAAACTATACTGTGTGCATTATACGATGGTCGTTGTTGGAAAGAGTTGAAAATCCCATCAGAAGCAGTCGATTCTTAATAGGAAAGCATAACACCCATTCAACTATTGTCTTCCGAAACAACAAGCAATCACTGCAAGATAATGCTCCATTTTACATGAATACGACTGTCAATCAAATCAGTAAAGCTTATGCATGTGTATACCATATACATGGAGAATTCGTTTCCTTGACAAGAGAATCCGTTGGCAACAGTTTCAAATACCAGCCTGCCTAAGCCAGATCCAGGTATCAAAACATGAATTTCCCCTCTAACCAGGTTTATACTTGTTAGCGAGACTTGGACTACAGATATGCATCGTAGTATGGCATACCTCTCTTGCAGCGGAACATGAGCATAATATAAATTCATAAAGTCTAGAATGGGACCATAGACATTTGTCCGTTCGACTCGTCCCTAAACCAAAATACAGCAGTGGTCAGACCTACTCACAGATTCATACCATCCAGTAGCCATACCTCTTCAGACCAATCTCGTACAAACTGTCTGATTGTTGATTGGACTTTGCTTAGATCACCCTCAGTAATATGATAATCATCTGAAACCTTTAACTGAAGCTGCGTATATTTTTGCGAATGATCGTTCGACTGTTTGTCCAACTGTTTGTTCGACTGTTTGTTCGACTGTTTGTTATGTTGGTCAGTCTCATCCTTTTGACCATTATCAGGCAATAATGACTGCAGAAACTCATTTTGGTGCTCGCTAGTAATCAAATTTAATAGATGGGCATTATGGTTGATGCAATGTATATGGGAATGAAGTCTGGCTCGAACTTGGTCGTAAAGGGGTTTTTGTGGAATGGCAGCTATCTTGTGTTCAAGAACGAGAATGGATGAGCGTCGGTATGCATTATATGTAGCAACCACTTGAGCTAGATGCTGTTGTTCCTGCAACAGATCGTCATCATTCAGTCGGTGAATGGATGAATGATCCATGAATATTTTTGGAGTAAATTGATATCCATCGAGTTTAAATGGAATGGTTGTACAGCGAGCCAATCCATGATAGATGTCTGTTAAACACTATGTATGATATCAAACCTGTTTATACAAGTGTGCTGATACCATCCACACCTAACACTAGCGGTTTTCCGGATGCGGCCATCATAGTGCGCATAAACTGTTGGCTTAAAATACAGTGGCAGTACTGAACCATCTTGATTGGACTGTTTAGCATTGCCACCGTACCTGCTGTGGAAACAACCTAATCTAGTCATGACGATGCAAACACTGACACCATGAAATAAAGCTCAGTTTCAAACAATCCAGTGTAGTGGCGCGACGTGCTCCACCATGGTATACGATGGCAGTTTAAATCCACCCCTAAACTGATACTCAACTTGGAAACCAGGAATGCTTATAATAGCCAAGTATTTAATGTGCTGCTTTCCCACATAGCGTATTCATCTATCAATTCAATCATCTCTTGACTTGTAATACAAATATGGTGGTGATTATACATGCAGTGCTGATTGCTGCTTTGGCTACAGTCGTTTGTAAGTATGATTTGCACTATCTAGCCATGTGTCATTTGATCATTCACAAGCATGAATGCTAACGGGTTTTATTAAAACAGTTGGACAACCTGCTAAACTGCCCACAATTAAACCGCCTGCTAAACCGTTCACAGTCAGTACAAATGGTCGATGTGGACCCCATACTGGCACCACATGTCCAGACAACAGTTGCTGCTCTCAATCTGGACGATGTGGACTTTCCCCTGACCATTGTGGAACAGGTTGTCAAAAACCCTTTGGAACTTGCTGGAAAACTACCGTGTCGCCTGTCTTGGGTGACGAGTATGCAGTCAGTATAAACGATCGATGTGGACCAGAATACAAAACTAGGTGTCCTGACGATAAATGTTGCTCTCGGAATAGATTCTGTAGTGCCGATGATGACTATTGTCGAGACGGATGTTTGTTTGGATACGGACTCTGTCTTGAAGTTTCTGACCCCACTACTTTACCCAACGGTCTTACAATTGGTCGCCGCCAATGTGGACCAGACATCGGTGTCAAATGTGCCGGATCGAGTTGCTGCTCCAAAGACGGGAAATGCAACCGTAATGAACATCATTGTCACGCAAACTGTATGGAGGGATACGGAGTTTGCTGGGACAATAGCGTGCCATTCAGTTTAGAGAGCGGGTTTCCAATGTCCAGAAACGGTCGATGTGGAAAAGAGTTTGGCACCAAATGCGATTCCAATCATTGCTGCTCCAAAGATGGGGAATGTGGATCCGATGAGGACTATTGTGAAGCAGGCTGTCAAAAAGGATACGGACGTTGTTGGAAATACAGCCCAACAACTTATGCAGAGGGCGAGGCTCCGCGCGATCTGAATAATAAGTGTGGGCAAGATCTCGGTGGTATGAGTTGTAGGAACAACCAATGCTGCTCCAGAAGTCAATACTGTGGAACCTCGGACTATTATTGTGGAATAGGATGTATTCGCGGATTTGGAACTTGCCTAGGAATTAACCCACCAAGAGATGGACCTTATCTCAGCATAAACGGTCAGTGCGGAGTAGATCTCGATACTGTATGTCCAGGCGCGCAATGCTGCTCTAAAAATGGAGTCTGTGGAACAACTAAAGGTTATTGTGGAAGGGAATGTCAGAGAGATTATGGAGTTTGTTGGGGTGGTGATACACCACCCTATAGAGCACAACCACCACCACCAGCCAAATTACCACCACCCAGATCACCAGCACCAGCACCAGCACAACCAAAAGCATCAGCACCAGCACCAAAAACTGACTATCCAATTAGTGCAGATGGTCGATGTGGAGAAGGATTCAACACCAAATGTCCAGGCAAAGAATGCTGTTCTGGAAAGGGATTCTGTGGAAAAACACCTTCTCATTGTGGAGTAGACTGCCAGAAAGGCTATGGATCTTGCTTGACACCCGAAGCACTAGCCAGGTTATTGGCCAAATCATCAGCATCAGCACCAGTACAACCAAAAGCACCAGCACCAAAAACTGACTATCCAATTAGTAAAGACAATCGATGTGGAGAAGGATTCAACACCCAATGTCAAGACAAAATATGCTGCTCTAAACATGGATTCTGTGGAAAAACACCTTTCCATTGTGGAGATGGTTGCCAGAAAGGCTATGGATCTTGCTTGACACCCGAAGCACTAGCCAGGTTATTAGCTAAATCATCAGCATCAGCACCAGTACAACCAAAAGCACCAGCACCAAAAACTGACTATCCAATTAGTAAAGACAATCGATGCGGAGAAGGATTCAACACCAAATGTCCAGACAGGACATGTTGCTCTGGAAGTGGATTCTGTGGAAAGACTAAATCTCATTGTGGAGATGGCTGCCAGAAAGACTATGGATTCTGCCTGAAGCCTGAAGCATTAGCCAGGTTAAGAGGCGAGTTGTAATTTATAGAATTACAACCCTATTCATGTAAAATGAGCATTAAACATGAATATCAAATGCATAATAAACCGTCAATTCTGACCAGATTTACTGGACAACATTGTATCTTCTAAACTCTTTTAGTTGACTGGTGATTGACATGCAAACAACAGCTGTGATTTGCTGTTTGAACTAAACCACAAACGTATCTGCAAGTCTTTAGAATACAGCAAGAATGTTGATTGACAACATCAGAATCCAATATCTGGTGATCGTACAACGTATGACTACCAAAATGGAGAATCTCGGTTCAAACTATACTGTGTGCATTATACGATGGTCGTTGTTGGAAAGAGTTGAAAATCCCATCAAATCCAAAGCATAAATATTATGTATTGATTTTACAGTCGCTTGAGATTCAATTCTACAATTTGTGGCAATTCAAATGATCAACAGAATGATATTTGCTGGACATGTCAAAAAACCCTCAGGAAATCTTAGACTTTGAATCCATTAAATGTTTCGATAAAATGATCTAGATTTGTATTGCTGTGTATCTGTCATGCTCCTACTCATCAAAAGACACAAGACAACCTATCTAGTAGAGACATCTCTTCATGAATCTGTCCAGAAACTCAAGAGCCGCATTTCACTCATTATTAACAAGGAGAAAGAAGCTAAAGAACTGCGTCTGATGTATAAACCTCCCAAACAAACAACCTACACAGTCCTTGAAGATGCTGCAGTGTTGGAGCAAGTTGGTGTGGTAGACCAAGACACTTTATATCTAATCTATTTAAACAGTGATGGTATGTAATGACTGCATCATTTACAACGGTCGACAGCTGACTTGAACCCAGTCTTTTCCTTCTGCCAAGATGGGTTATAAAGTTTATTGAGCATTGTGTGTAGAGAGCATTGGCCAACTAATTTTTGCTTTTTTATATTTTGGAATATATTATTTAATAACTGCTGCAGATGGTAAATGGGAAACCGTAATGGTTCCACCCTATGAGCCACTTTATGAGGACGCAGATCTGGCGGACGAAAGTGCGGCGAATAAGGGAAAGGCACCTACAACTCATTCTGCCACATAATTCTCATTGGTATGATTCGACGATTGGCTTTATTCAGGTCTGTGTGGTTTTGCTACACAGTATTACCCATAAAAGTAAACTATCGTGTAATATCATTCAAGAATCGTGCATGTTGTTGGCAGTTGGTTTTGTTATTCCTTTGAGTGCCTCCAATCTTGCTCTAGCTCTTAGTAGCACATCTACAGAGCATTTGATATTATCAAGTCAAAGTGTTAGATTTACATTACGTTTGAATATACAACAGAAATTGACCGCTAAAATTAATCAATTGTTTCTACCAGAATGCTCGGATCTTTCTTTGTCACTTTGTCCAACTGTGCTGGTTTCCCCGTATGGTTCAAGACTTGCATAGCATTCAAATATTTTGATGTTGAGTAGCGGAAAAAGAGTTAGCCATAGAACATGAATCAACTGAATGTTTCATTAAACCTGAATACTCCAACCTGTGCTGTCTTGATACACTCATTCGTATATTTAACGATCCACTTGTTCTGGTTTTGAAACCATACTTGTTTACAACCTTGGACTATATTTATATAAAACATATTCCATGTGTGCATAGAATTGTATAAGCACCCACTGCACATAACTTGAGATAAATGCTCAACACTCGAAGAGAGCAGTGCCATTTCAGCATTACCTTGATGTCTGTATCGCGAATGTATTTAAGATCTTGAAGTTCTGGTGACCCACCAAGAAAGAAAGACTTCATTTTGTGCATAGGAGACTGCTCTGGACACCAAGTCGGCAGTGTTTCTTGATAGTAGCCTGGCTGATCAGGAATAGGCATTGCGCCATAACCTTGAATAATATGTCTGTCTTTTGAATCCACAGATGTCACCTTGATTAATAGATTCGACACAACAGTGCTGCCCACTAAATATAAATTGCAGAACATTTATAAACATATTGCCCGCTTTATGTGGATATGTGTGCATCATTAAACAATAAAGTTTTGATATCCATTTTCATGCATACCATTATAAACAAGTATCACTTCGAATGGAAGTGAGAAATTAGCGTGTGTGTCCTTTCTGATTTCTGCCACTTGAGAGGTTCCACTTGTACTTGATTTTGAATGTAGCTTGATTCCATTTGCAATATCAATGTTGTATTCTGCATAAATCCAATCGCCGTCAAATCCAGATGCTGAAATAAGCTCTCCACAAATTAATAATCGCGCATAACCTGTTTCAACTGGATTATCAAATGGTTTTGATATGAGAGCCAATTTTTTCATTGCATTCCTTAAACAGTATGGTAGATTAGTAAACTACTATAACTTGAATCAATTTGTCAGCAGGATTAATTTCATTGTAATGATCAAGGTGCTGCTTACTGCAAGTGAAACTCTTCAAATATATCCTGTTCCTTGATTTCTTCTTTTGTCATTTCTCCACAAACAGCCGATACTGTATACTCGTACGTTTGTTGGCCAATTTGGAAACTATAGAGGCTTGTTTCATCCTTGACAAATCCCGGCTAACATTTCAATCAAACCATGCCACGAGGTTAGCTGCTTTTTTGTTTGGTATATATATCAGACAGTCCAATACTAAGCTAAACAACAGTATAAAAACTCTGACGTACTGAAATGGCCATCAGCCCTGAGCTGTAACAGCGAATAGAACATAGACACTTTTCCACGCGAACGACTTGATTATTGGAATCCAATGTCAAGGATCTATCCAAGCCAGATTTGGATGGTTGACTAGTACTGATTAAACTCAAATTGTTATATATGTTAAAATGAATTGCAGCAGCAAAAAAAAGTGCATGGGTTTGAGAACTCACTGAGGAATAGATGCCATAATATACATGGTTTGACAAGTCATACCGCTGGTTGCATTTTTCCATTGCCCATTTCCTTGCATTGTAGTTGAATCATTTACATTTCCAGATTCATTTCTGTATATATCTGCAGCTCGCTCAACTGCGATCCCATCCTGATTGAGTTTTTGTATTTGATTTGCAGATTTGATGAGAGGGATTTGAACACCAGTCATCACAGGTGTATCTATCCATTCCATGTCGATGTAGTTATCCTGATCAATATATGTGAATAGCACAATACCGCCTAAACATAACATCAATCAGTATGTAGTCAATCCATCACTTATAAAATGACACTCACCAGAGTCATGAACAGATTGCAACTGTCTGTTGCGACGTGATTTTGTATGACGTCGAACAGTTGGATTAGTTCTTGAATCGACCGCCAAAGAACTAATTAGACAATTATGTTGATATACAACTCAAGAATGCAAACTTTATTCAAACATGACAACTTGCTGAAGTCTTACTCTGGGCCAAACACCTTTTCCTGCCAATCAACTGTTAATCTTGCAACGAGATGTCTGTCAGCAGAAACATCTGTTTGACTTGTGAGGTTGGATGGCATGTCGCTTGAACAAAGCGAAACCAATGCAGAATGGTCTGCAGTCGAATACAACACTGTTTGGATCCGAAGTGCATCGATTGAATCCAACGTTCGATGATAATGCACTGTGTGCGGTGAATGAACAGCTGGACTTGCCAGCATCAGACTTGTAATGCAAGTCTGCAATACCAACTCGAGCCTATTTTAATCCAACAGAAACTCCGCCCAAAATGTGGCTGCAAGTCTGTTACAACTTGACTTTTAAATATTCATTATTTGGTTATGCACTTCTCTTGGGCTACTGTAGTGCTGGTTGCTGCTGCTTATCAATTAACTGTCGCTGTTGCTCCTTATACAATCCCAGGCTCTAGTATTACTGTCACAGACAACTCAAATACTCGACCTCTCAAAAGTAGTCCCAAGCCTGTCTTTCCACAAAAGGAACTAAAGCCTGCTCAGACCCCTGCAAATGCAATTGGCTTTAAGCAGGACCACATTGATCCAAAAAAACATACCTCGGCTCCATTATCAGGCCAAATTAAAAAAGAATCGTTGAGCAGTATTGATGAAAAGGTGCAATACAATGAATTCCATACCCGATCGAGACTGGATGTCTATCTAGTCTCATCCATCGCAATGAATACATGAGCTGTTTCACCTTGTCTAATCAAGTTCTAACCTGTATATTCAATTCTTTATTTAGCCACTTGCAAAGCTGGACTCATTTGATATCGATAGTGTGATTCAGCAACGAGAGCGATTGATTCAGCAAGTAAATCAAGAAAAAGATCGTTTGGAGTGGGAAAACGAAAATGGTCGTAATGACGGTGCTATCGAGCTTATCAACACAAGGTTGTTGTATGCATTGAAATACCACAACATTTGGATAGCTACTATATCGGTTCAAATTGATTGTTACACGAGGATCCAGAGTATTAACAAATGTCTTTCAATTTAGAATCAAACGAATTACATTATTGGAGGATGTTATTCGATCATCTCTAGATATATACAAGGAAATTGTTCAAAACCAAAATGTTTCTACAATCGATCGTATGATGGAGAAAGAAAGTCTTATGATTGTGAACGAATTTCAAAAGGTAGACTGATTTCTGCAAACTCTACCATGATTGACAGATAGATTTTAAACTATTGGGTTAAACATGTTCAAATGCTCAAATACTGATCAACTTTCAAGCTTGTTTTGAGAGCCAAAAATGATCATCTTGCTATCCAGGAAACAAAAAAAGAAGCTGACAAAAACACAAAACTGAAGCAAAGTCAAGATCCAGCATCACCGCACAGTCCGTTATCTGGAAGCAACAGTCCAACAGAGACCCCAGTTATTGGAAAAGCAGCTTCAAAGATAGTAGAAAATGTTATCGACGGAGTATCAAAAGAAGCAGATAAACTGGAGTCGAGTTTAAAAGGTGACTCTTTTATTGAAAGCCAAAAGTCTGAAGGGACCACTGTAGAGACTGTTCTAAAAGTACAAGACACGAGCAAAGGGTCTGGAAATTCAACCATCCCATCACATAATGAGCCGGATGCTCCAACACTAATAGACTCCCATAACAATCAATATGTACTTTCTAAATCTGGAGATACGACTGCACATGTTGAAGGTAATACCATGTAGTTTGATAGTGATGCTTTGTGCGTTTGAGAGGCATAATGTGTATTATTTTAGCTGGCTATATCTTGTCCTAACTTTGCAGATATTCGAATGCTTATTTATATACATTGAATGACTCGATATTACAGATACGCGACTATTGAATGATATTCTACTGTTGCTGATGGCGTGTTTTGTGTGCGTCACGGTTCTACATTTGATTGGTCTACCATCATTTTTTGGTTATATTCTTGCAGGAGTTTTGCTGGGCCCTCCGGGTTATATCAAAAATGCAGTTCAGGTTGAAACGATTGCTCGTGGTCTTGGTGTGATTTTCATTATGATTTTTCTTGGTCTCGAGTTTAATATCACAAAAATCAAAAAGGTGTGGACTGTCAGCATTGGCGGGTCTGCTCTTTTACTTTTTCTTACCGAGCTTTGTGTAGTTTTTATTGGAAATAAGTTTGGAAGTCGGCCCTCGGAATCTCTTGTTGTTGGTGCTTCACTTTTTTTGAGCAGCACCGTGGTTGTTCTTAATTTTATGAAGGCTGGAGAAGTAGAAACTCAATACGGCCGTAATATACTTGGCGTTCTTATTGCTCAGGTAAATCACCGCTATGTAGATTGATTAAATACAACGAGTATGCTACTGCCGTTTATTTTTAGAAAAAATAGATGGATTATTCATAGTCATACATTTTTCCAACTGCATGTATTTTAGGACGTGCTTTTGGGATTTTTCCTAGCACTCATGCCTGCGTTAAAATCATCTGGCACAGATGCCGTGTATACTGTATGCATTCTTTGTCTATCACTAGCGGGTTTTCTATGTACATGTCTTATCTTGTATTTTCCAGCAATCTGTATGCTGCAATGGCTTCTTCCAACAAGTGAATCTGGCCAAGAGATTTATCTTTTATCAAGTATTGGGTTCTGCCTGATCATCATCCAAGTAGGCAGCTATTTTGGACAGTCCATGGAACTTTGCTGTTTTGTAGCAGGTGTAATGATCTCCACACGCAAGTCACTTGGTAATGCAACTGCACATGTAGCAGAGCCACTTCGAGGCATGTTTGCTGCGCTCTTCTTTGCATCTATAGGACTGCACATATATCCATCGTTCTTGCTGAATGAGGGGCTACTGCTTATATCATTGACGTTTTTGGTTGTAGCGATCAAGATTGCTCTTGCTATAGTTGTTTTCAAGGCTGTTTTTAGGTTTTCTTGGTCAACTTCCATGACGGTTGCAATTGGCTTGGGGCAAATGTCTGAATTCACATTTGTGCTCGCATCTAAAGCTAAAAGGTAACAGTTTTATTTAGCAGAGATCTAATGAGATGTGTGTAACATGACTTTTAATGGATTTCCATGTTATTTACCTTGTGGAAGTCTCGATCTGGTGACTCGAGAAACCTTTTACATCATGCTAGGTGTTACAACGCTGTCTATGGTAGCATCTCCAGCACTCTGGTACCTCGGTGGTTACCTTGATGGGCGTCGCTCCAAATCTGAATTAGTATTGAAAAAGGAAAAGAAGCCAGAATCGGATGACGAACTACAAGTCCTTATAGAGTAGTTGAATCCAACTGCTTCAGAAGCCAGCCCTTTATTCAAGAATGGATATTGAAGCCAACACCGATTTGCATGTACATTAGACTATCCGAATCCTTTCCTTCAACCCATTTTATCTCAATATAGTTTATTTTTGAGAAATGTTTTGCAAAATAAGTTCTGTTGCATCTAGAAATCGATCCAGACAGTTTGACACACATTCTGTTTCAAGTATAAATTGGATAGTAGATATAAGTTGAATACAGATAATTAGTACTCTGCCAAAAAACAAACTAGTAACTGAGTGTAGACAAGTATTGAACGACTGACCTCGATCTGCACTATCCAACTGTGGTCTGATTCTTGTAATACACTTGTCCCAGCAGGTTTTTGTAAAGTCGCTGACCTGTGAATGAAACATGGCCTTTTGCTGCTCATCCATAAGGAAAGAATTGAGTTCCTTCTGTGTTGCTTCATCTAAACTGATGGCTAGTCCGTTCTTGGATTCAAACATGCTGAATCTAGACAATTGAATAAGATGGGAAAGAAATTTTTATCCAACTAGATAATGGTATAGCAATTTACTGTTCATGCAACCAATAGGTTTTAGTAGGGCTGTCATCAATATTATGCCAATAGATGCCCGAAAAGTATCGGTTTGTAGGATTGCTTATTCAGTTTCTGGTGTACGCATTGTTCTGTTCAATTACTTTAAAATCACATAAGCATCAACTGTAAAACACTTGAATGTTATAGCAAAGCCTTTTTTAGACAAGCTTTGAATATAGTCCACTGTTAAGCTCAGTCTATACATGTTTTTTGAATAAAAGTAGATCGTATTTATACTTTATTGAGGCATCCACTTATGCAGAGCGTATTCTCAATCAACTGGATTGCGCAACCCAAAATTCTGATTGGTATTCGTAATTCATCATGGATTTGCAATTATGAGCATATGTGGATTTAATAGTCTGCTCGTTCTAACCATGGCAATCGTATTGCAAAGCATGATTAAGCAAGTTAGCTTTAGATGCATTCATGAATCAGAAACTCTAGCATTTACTCAACTTGAATTACGAATCCAAACTCTGTGATGAGATGTTTCACTTCTTCCAGTGTAAACTCCACTGCATCTGCATTCCCTTCAAAATGATATAACAGCGGTCCCACATTGATCCATATGCCTTTTGGTTTGAGTGCATGCTTGATGACTGCCAAATACTGTGTCAAGTCCTTGGCCGTATCAATAAAGAAACACGTAGCCACCACATCCCATTGATCTATTATGAAAGTTAGTTATACGTAAAAACAGTCATTTGATCCACCAACAGCAATGATCGAGTATTTTTCAAATACTGGCAGTCATGAACCGAATCTTTATCAAAAAAGTTGTACCTTTTTGATTTGGAGCTCCGTAGATTTGAATGAAATCCCCCGCCACCATTGAAAACGATACGGTTGGGGGAACATGATCGCTGACAAGAATGTCAGGAATCTGTATTGCTTGAAGCTGATTTGCTGCTGAAGGAATGTTTGAAAAGCTATGAATCCAAGGATATATCGTAAACTCGTGTGCACGTTCTGGCATATTTAGAATAAAATTGGAAGCAAGAAGCTAAATGTTGTAGATTCAACCCATTACAGTATATGGGAGCCATATTAGTATAAAACAAACGACTAGAAATATAATACAATCCTTGTACAATTGATTGAAATTACAACCCTATTCATGTAAAATGAGCATTAAACATGAATATCAAATGCATAATAAACCGTCAATTCTGACCAGATTTACTGGACAACATTGTATCTTTTAAACTCTTTTAGTTGACTGGTGATTGACATGCAAACAACAGCTGTGATTTGCTGTTTGAACTAAACCACAAACGTATCTGCAAGTCTTTAGAATACAGCAAGAATGTTGATTGACAACATCAGAATCCAATATCTGGTGATCGTACAACGTATGACTATCAAAATGGAGAATCTCGGTTCAAACTATACTGTGTGCATTATACGATGGTCGTTGTTGGAAAGAGTTGAAAATCCCATCAGAAGCAGTCGATTCTTAATAGGAAAGCATAACACCCATTCAACTATTGTCTTCCAAAACAACAAGCAATCACTGCAAGATAATGCTCCATTTTACATGAATACGACTGTCAATCAAATCAGTAAAGCTTATGCATGTGTATACCATATACATGGAGAATTCGTTTCCTTGACAAGAGAATCCGTTGGCAACAGTTTCAAATACCAGCCTGCCTAAGCCAGATCCAGGTATCAAAACATGAATTTCCCCTCTAACCAGGTTTATACTTGTTAGCGAGACTTGGACTACAGATATGCATCGTAGTATGGCATACCTCTCTTGCAGCGGAACATGAGCATAATATAAATTCATAAAGTCTAGAATGGGACCATAGACATTTGTCCGTTCGACTCGTCCCTAAACCAAAATACAGCAGTGGTCAGACCTACTCACAGATTCATACCATCCAGTAGCCATACCTCTTCAGACCAATCTCGTACAAACTGTCTGATTGTTGATTGGACTTTGCTTAGATCACCCTCAGTAATATGATAATCATCTGAAACCTTTAACTGAAGCTGCGTATATTTTTGCGAATGATCGTTCGACTGTTTGTCCAACTGTTTGTTCGACTGTTTGTTCGACTGTTTGTTATGTTGGTCAGTCTCATCCTTTTGACCATTATCAGGCAATAATGACTGCAGAAACTCATTTTGGTGCTCGCTAGTAATCAAATTTAATAGATGGGCATTATGGTTGATGCAATGTATATGGGAATGAAGTCTGGCTCGAACTTGGTCGTAAAGGGGTTTTTGTGGAATGGCAGCTATCTTGTGTTCAAGAACGAGAATGGATGAGCGTCGGTATGCATTATATGTAGCAACCACTTGAGCTAGATGCTGTTGTTCCTGCAACAGATCGTCATCATTCAGTCGGTGAATGGATGAATGATCCATGAATATTTTTGGAGTAAATTGATATCCATCGAGTTTAAATGGAATGGTTGTACAGCGAGCCAATCCATGATAGATGTCTGTTAAACACTATGTATGATATCAAACCTGTTTATACAAGTGTGCTGATACCATCCACACCTAACACTAGTGATTTTCCGGATGCGGCCATCATAGTGCGCATAAACTGTTGGCTTAAAATACAGCGGTAGTACTGAACCATCTTGATTGGACTGTTTAGCATTGCCACCGTACCTGCTGTAGAAACAACCTAATCTAGTCTTGATGATGCAAACACTGACACCATGAAATAAAGCTCAGTTTCAAACAATCTAGTGTAGTGGCGCGACGTGCTCCACCATGGTATACGATGGCAGTTTAAATCCACCCCTAAACTGATATTCAACTTGGAAACCAGGAATGCTTATAATAGCCAAGTATTTAATGTGCTGCTTTCCCACATAGCGTATTCATCTATCAATTCAATCATCTCTTGACTTGTAATACAAATATGGTGGTGATTATACATGCAGTGCTGATTGCTGCTTTGGCTACAGTCGTTTGTAAGTATGATTTGAACTATCTAGCCATGTGTCATTTGATCATTCACAAGCATGAATGCTAACGGGTTTTATTAAAACAGTTGGACAACCTGGTATGCCGCCCACAATTAAACCGCCTGCTAAACCGTTCACAGTCAGTACAGATGGTCGATGTGGACCCCATACTGGCACCACATGTCCAGACAACAGTTGCTGCTCTCAATCTGGATTCTGTGGACTTTCCCCTGGCTATTGTGGAACAGGTTGTCAAAAACCCTTTGGAACTTGCTGGAAAACTACCGTGTCGCCTGTCTTGGGTATCGAGCATGCAGTCAGTATAAACGATCGATGTGGACCAGAATACAAAACTAGGTGTCCTGACGATAAATGCTGCTCTCGGAATAGATTCTGTAGTGCCGATGATGACTATTGTCGAGACGGATGTTTGTTTGGATACGGACTCTGTCTTGAAGTTTCTGACCCCACTACTTTGCCTAACGGTCTTACAATTGGTCGCCGCCAATGTGGACCAGATATCGGTGTCAAATGCGCCGGAAGGAGTTGCTGCTCCAAAGACGGGAGATGCGGCAATGATGAACATCATTGTCACGCAAACTGTATGGAGGGATACGGAGTTTGCTGGGATTATAGCGTGCCATTCAGTTTAGAGAGCGGGATTCCAATGTCCAGAAACGGTCGATGTGGAAAAAAGCTTAACACCAAATGCGATTCCAATCATTGCTGCTCCAAAGATGGGGAATGTGGATCCGATGAGGACTATTGTGAAGCAGGCTGTCAAAAAGGATACGGACGTTGTTGGAAATACAGCCCAACAACTTATGCAGAGGGCGAGGCTCCGCGCGATCTGAATAATAAGTGTGGGCAAGATCTCGGTGGTATGAGTTGTAGGAACAACCAATGCTGCTCCAGAAGTCAATACTGTGGAACCTCGGACTATTATTGTGGAATAGGATGTATTCGCGGATTTGGAACTTGCCTAGGAATTAACCCACCAAGAGATGGACCTTATCTCAGCATAAACGGTCAGTGCGGATCAGACCTCGATACTGTATGTCCAGACGCGCAATGCTGCTCTAAAAATGGAGTCTGTGGAGAAACTAAAGGTTATTGTGGAAGGGAATGTCAGAGAGATTATGGAGTTTGTTGGGGTGGTGATACACCACCCTATAGAGCACAACCACCACCACCAGCTAAAACACCACCACCCAGATCACCAGCACAACCAAAAGCTAAAGCATCAGCACCAGCACCAAAAACTGACTATCCAATTAGTGAAAACAATCGATGTGGAGAAGGATTCAACACCCAATGTCCAGGCAAAACATGCTGTTCTGGAAAGGGATTCTGTGGAAAAACACCTTCTCATTGTGGAGTAGACTGCCAGAAAGGCTATGGATCTTGCTTGACACCCGAAGCACTAGCCAGGTTATCAGCTAAATCATCAGCATCAGCACCAGTACAACCAAAAGCACCAGCACCAAAAACTGACTATCCAATTAGTGAAAACAATCGATGTGGAGAAGGATTCAACACCCAATGCCAAGACAAAATATGCTGTTCTAAACATGGATTCTGTGGAAAAACACCTTTCCATTGTGGAGATGGTTGCCAGAAAAGCTATGGATCTTGCTTGACACCCGAAGCACTAGCCAGGTTATCAGCTAAATCATCAGCATCAGCACCAGTACAACCAAAAACATCAGCACCAGCACCAAAAACTGACTATCCAATTAGTGCAGATGGTCGATGTGGAAAAGAATTCAAGACCAAATGTCCAGACAGGACATGTTGCTCTGGAAGTGGATTCTGTGGAAAGACTAAATCTCATTGTGGAGATGGTTGCCAAAAAGACTATGGATTCTGCCTAAAGCCTGAAGCATTAGCCAGGTTAAGAGGCGAGTTGTAATTTAAACTAACACGATGGTTATTACATTAATGGATCCAAACTGTCAACACATTGATATCTTGGCAGTAATATAAAATAACGAGTGTGACTGATTTAGTCATCAGTTGCCCAGTCGATTGATTTGTATTTGTCATGACCACAAACGTTTACAATAAAGATTCAGATATTGTTCATGATCGACTGATTAGTATTGGATCGTGTAGATCTTTGAGCCAAAAGAGCATGTTAATACAGTATCGAGTGTTGGATAATCATGATAGTAGGAAATAAGATTGATAGTCATGAATAGAAACGGTTAGCCAACCAGTCGGTAGACTTGCAGTTGAAAGGCTTTGATAACGATTATTAGGGTTATCAGGGTTATTAGGGTTATCAAGACTAATAGGATTATCAGGACTGTTGGAACAAGTACCAAGAGATTCGATACATAATGGGAACAGGAACGGTTCATATCCAGCCAGATACTATGCATCATACGCCATTGCATCGTATGGACTTGACAGCTATCAAGCAGGAACTTGCTGATTCTTTGGGTCCATTTCATGCACCGGCTTACTGGTCATTACTGCGTTCATTCTTGAATGGTCGCTGCTCTAAACAGAGCTTTGATATGGCGACAGTGGACATGCTTACTGGTGTTCAAGGTAACCTGTTCCATGTATCATTCATTGTACTGTATTCATGGTCTCGTATGTGATCCTCATACCCGTCATGTTGATATTCCTGAATTGGCTCTTGCCATGTTGATATTGATGTTGATATTCATATTAATGCTGATATTAATGTTCATGTCCATCACAACCATTCATCATCTCATTCATCTCATGCATTGGAATGTTAGCGAGTCTACACAATAAACTCATCTTGGCCATATGCTACAACTTACAAGCTGGTGTTCCTCCACCAACTGGCCCACCCGACACTGACTTTGTTCCAAAGAATAGTCTGGCATTTGCTGCTCCCATCGAAATATCCGTCACTTCGATCGCAAACTCTTTGAAACGTCCTGCTCAGGAAGAACTGCTATCTCCCATGGAGATCAAGAAACGCTTTACCACTGCCATGATCATGTCGCTTTCTTCTCAAGATCGTCAACGACTCATTGGACTGGGTATTGTGGTAAGGATTCGAGTCCATTTAGATTAGTATCCAACATTGTGTTGCAATACAAGCTGTTAATTCAGTGTTGATGTGTGTTGGTATAAACCTTGCAGAAGCATAAAGATGAACCGGTTTTGCCGCCTTCCAAGAAAGTGCTCTTTCCAAACGGATTCCCTGTTGGTATGCATACTTGCTCTAGTCTCGGTTCTAATGTAACGTTTGAATGTCCAGATTTGCAAACAGTAACTCACTCCAACATCACGACATTAGGAATAGATTCGATTCCTAGGTCATGCAAGGATGAAGGCGATCTTCCATTGATGGATATGCTTGAGCAACGACTCCGGTTTATAAGTGGAATTCAAGGACTGGGAGATCCACCTACGCCGGAATCAGCCAAACTGATTTCATTTGCACTTGATGTAAGCCGACCATTACATTTCGAATGTGTTGATTGAGCCGTGCTTGATGTGTCGCTATTGTTGATTCCTTTACAGAATTATCTCAAGAACTTGTTGCAGGCTATTTTGCGAGCACTGACTCCGCTCCGTGCTATGCGTACCACGATTGCTAGTGATTATGCACCGACCGATCCGTCGATAGCTGCGTCGTTGCAATGTAAACCAAACCCAAAAAAGCGTGCATTGATTACTACAAAGACATCCAAATCGGTTGTAAACGGATCGGATTTGGTGATGAGTAAGAATAGTTGACTGAACACTTTGAATGCATGTTGTGATTACAATGGATATCAGCAATCGTATATGCACCAGATGTAAACTCGTTTAATTGATTGTGGTGAATTGTAACTGTATAGCCAATACATCCAAATCTGGCGACAATGCAGTCCAGTCGATGTGTACAACGACGGATTGGTCAGCATCACAGTTGACAGATTGTCACGTCAAGCCATCTCAATGCACACTGGCATCGACGATTTCATCACTTGAAGCACTTGAAGCACTGCACCGGCCTTTTGGGTTAGACGAGCTACGATTTGTGTTTGATTTTTTGCCACAAATGGAAACCGAGACACTGGAGCGTATTGCACTCGAGGCATTATGAGATGCGCCGAGTGGGATCAATTGGGACACATTGTAACTAAATCGATTGGTATTACTGTTTGGACATATTTATTAATATCTAGTATGCTTGGCATTGATTCTAATAGACGATTCGACATATCAAAGTGTTGATAGTATCAGTGGTTTGACATCAAAAGTGTTTATAGTTTTGAGATGTTCATATATCAAGTTTTTAATAAAATGTCGGTCCATATGTTTAACAATAGTGATTTCAGATGGACAACAACATGTTGATGGAAAATACAGAGTTTAAGCAAGTGTTTATCCAACCGATCGGAATGACTGGCAAGAGTTTGGCACTGAAGCGGAGTTACAGTTTGAAGATTGCCATTTTGAACCAAAACATTCAATAAACTCATGTGGCTGTTTCGTTGTGTGACATGTGAGTAGAAAGACTTTCATAAAGCAATGGCTGCGCCTCCTTCCTTGGCATATATAAACCAGTCTAGTTGGCACCATTGTCATCGCAGACTTCACTCCAGCCTTGTTACTATCTCACCATGTCATCGAATACTGGTTCTCCCGTCACTGCCGAGGCTCTTTCTGCTGCAGCATCAGCAAGCGTATCACCAGCTCCTACTCCAAAAAAGAGCAACAAGTGCTATCTCGAGGGTTGTGGAGACCGAGTTGTCAAGATTGTTGGTGACTGTCGTTACTGGTAAGAGCATATTGCTATTTGTGTCCAGTGTGTCCAGTGTGTCCATACACTGCTTACGAGTGTTGTCAGCTATATCAATGATTTACAATCGCAACCCTTCTAATATGCACTCCAACTTGCTGCTGTCTAGTACGAACAAGTTTTGCGCAAAGCATCGCTTGCCTGAAGCTCATGCATGCTCTAATATGGAACACTGTAGACAGAGTTCTCATGAGCGACTTGCAGGCAAGCTGCTGAAAGAGCGAACAGTCGCTGCCAAAGTCTGAGAGCTTAAATATCACTTTTTAGATGCGACTTGATTCTACTTTTTCACTGGCTGCATTGGTCCAACTCTTATTCAAATAAACTTTTTGGAATTCATGGGTTACAACTTGTGTATTCCATGCTGACTTCCTGCATCGCTGTTCATTGATAAATGTGTATAAACTGGTCTGCAATAAGTAATTTCAATTCAATATGAGACCAAGCCTATGGCTTGGGTAATTCAATGCATAATTGGCTGGTTTTAGATTTACAACAAATACAGCTCCACTGTAATCATTTTAACTGTATGACTTACAATCCAATATTTTGAAAATCAATATTACTCATCACATGCTTATTTCATTGCCTCGAAACTTGTCTAATCATGTCTGATTCAACATTTGAGGACATTTGCTGTACCTCGCTATCAGCTCCTCAGCGTAGTTTTCTAGACTCATTACTAAGCTCCTATAATCTTTGTTTGGTTGCACCATCATGCAAAATATCACCTGCTGTATCAGATCTCATTAATGGTCCTTTTCTGATAAATCGTACATCTGCTATTTCTCCAGACTTTGTTATCCACAACATGTCATTCAACCCTACAAGTACTATTTCAAATAGCACTATTACGTTGGCAGATCAACTTGTTCAACAAGCCAACAAGACCTACACTGCACACCAGTCAGACAGACACAGTCTTACTGCTTTGCCCAAGCGTTACAAACACCAAAATAGTATAGAGAAATCCGATTTGGTTATGGGTGTTCAAAGCCTTTCCAAAAAGCTCTGCGATACTATTCAACATGCCATTCGCATTTCAAGCAATTTGTCCACAAATGCTGATGAAAAAGATAATACTGCTACTGCACAAGCTCAGCTTATGCTTTCTCAATCCAAAGCTATCGAACGATCTGCCATCATCTGCTCCATTTCAAGACAGATTTGCGAATTGGCACAGTCGTTACAGGTAACATTGACTTGAATATAACCCATACATCAAGATGCACCCATATTACTGGATAACCTTGTTTTATTTTAAAATACAGTATTTATCTAAAGAGGATATGTTGGATCCACCAATAATTGATTTATTGCTACTATCTGATGAAGATGCACTGGACATTATAAGGATGTTATTTGAACCAGATCATACTACAACAGCATTCACCACTGCCTTTGACCCATTTATTTTTGTGTTTAGATATGTAATTCGATGGCTCTTATTTCAACGACTGGTTGAGCTAGATCGTCCTTTTGGCCGTACACTCGCGTCAGCATTACGAATTGTAATGAAAGCGCAGCCTAAATTGGCCATGAAAGAACTCATTGTTGACCTTTTATGGGACTATTCCCAGCGGTCTGGTGAGTTTGTAGAATTCAATGAATTGTATTGAGGTTTTACATGAGACTCGCAAGGGTCAATGTCTTGGGTGTTTCAAAGCGTAGGCATTACAGTATGGAATACTGATTGATTGACTGTATTAGCTACTGCTATGATTGAGTCAATTTGCAAAATATCCAAAGAATCCTTATCTCAAGAAGACCAGTTATATCTATTATGGCAAGCAAAAAATATTTGAATGTATGGGTTTTCTTGGCTAAAACCAAAGCTTATTTGTCTCTATTATATGATATTTTTGGTAGTATCATTGAAGAAAATCAAGAACGGCGATTGGAATTGAATAGCTTAATGATCCCACTATTGGATTTGCTACCATTGACTTCAACATCAGTGGTAGTTTCCAGCAAATTTATTGATGGTGAGTGCTTTGAGAAAAAAACTCCAGTGTCTAGATTTGATATTAATAGAGTTTTCTCAACTCATTTTGTACACTTGAACTAGTTATTCTTGCATTTTTGTATAGATTTCAACCAGATATTCGGCAGAGTGCTGTTAAATTCGCATCAGCTATTCTCGGCGTGTGTCATGCATTTGAAGACATGGTGAGTTGAAATAATGAAATTCAAAATATTGCACGAGTAAACTTGTAATTGAACTACTGTATTCATCAATCCAACGGATACTCACCTGGATCTTTAATGTAAATAGAAACTCTCTTTTATTCAAATCAAAATGCTTGAGCAGCTAGCATTTGGTACAAACACCTTTTTGCGTAGAAAACTTGTATCTAGCACATCTCGACTTTTGGCAAATGTCATTTAATATAGAGGACATAATTAATGAATGGCCAAGAGCCATAGTTTATGGGTTAGATGACACTTGTTTAATTTCTTTAAATTATCAGCTTACAGTCGTATTGACGTAAAATGAATCACTATCTTGCATGGTAATAAACAATGATTAAATATCTGTTGCACTTTCCTACTACACATTGACCTTGATAGATATTCTCGATTTAATCAACACGACGCCTATCATGATGCTCACAATTAAAGGATAGTTTTAAACAGATTATCCCCTTTTTGTGGTTATACAGCTGACACATTTGAAACCAGATTCATCCATTTCAATTCAGATATTGAATTCGACTGTTTCCAAACTCTACAAACTCATCCTTGATGTATTCTAAAATCTCACAATAGGCTTTCAAAAAACCAATGATTACACACCTGCGATTATTGTTTCCATGTCAACCATCAAAAGACCAGTCAAATAATGAGTTTTAAAACAATGTTTTTTCAATAAACTCTTGATCATTTCATAAGACTGTTTGTTTAGTGTTCCATTCTGCGTGAGTATAGTGGTGAGACTGGATTTTATATCAAGACTCGGATTTTGAAATCAAAAAATTTACTCACCTTGCAATACTTCAAGGTGAATTTACAGGTGAAAACTCCAATAAGAGCCATATCGAATCCCGTTTTCCAATACACTTTCAGTATACAATTCTTTTATATTGATTATGCGAAGCGAATCTACAATTGCAACAGACCGAGTGTTTTCACTCGAGTCTACAGAGCGATTCAAGATACCGTCGGGAACATCTCGTATTAGAGTGTATAAACTTAGCCATTCAGAATTCAGAATAATATTTGTTGAAGTGCCTGGTCCATTGTGCTCTGCCAGTATTGTTTTTCCAACTATTAGTGTTGACAACAAAGGACTTCCGCATACTCTCGAGGTAATAACTTGATTTGTTAGTTTTGGATATATAAATGGATCGTATTTGGCTGCAATGTTATGCATACCAATTAAATAAGGATTCGAGTGTTTTGATCTAACTTTGGACAGAGTTTATAGCATTTGGTATTCTGTGGATCTCAAACGATCCCTAATAGAGGGTACTTGGATTTTCTTGCTACTCGATGCTTATCTACTGGAACAAATGCATATACCTCTGAAGATCACACCTCTTATGAAATCACCACTGCCGGTAGACTATGACTGTGCTTACACTCTATATCCTTTTGATTGTTATTTTAATTGTCTTTATTTTATTGTAGGATCGGAGGGAATGATTGAAATTTTACCAGTGTTTTTGGATCATATTCTTAATCCAACTTTGCGCAAGTGTCAGTTTACTACAGAGGTGTATCATTTGAATCATGAAGCCAAACATCAAGGGGTTGTGTACTGCGAGATGGCGAGTCGTGAGAATGGAGAGCAAGATCTGCTGGATCGAAATATTCGGCAGCTTCTTTACCAAGGCGAAACAACTTATTCATTCGAGTGTGGCGGTTTAACAAAAGACATCATCAAGCTCAATAATCAAGAAATTATAGACTACCACTCAAAATTCTATCGAATTGAAAATGCCACTATGGTTATTACAGGAACAATTAGTCAGAGTGGATTATTTGCTAAGCTGCTAGAGCATGAAGAGATTTTTGCTGATAAACCACCACTTGAAGATTCATTTGTGACTCCAGTTATCAAATCACCTGCGCTTTTGAACGGAACTGACTTTGCAATCTCCAGAAAAGTACCATTTGCGTCTGCCGATATGGATGTTGGGTCAATTGGCTATGGTCAGTATTTGTGTTTAACATTTTTTTGCTGTTGATTTATTTTTGTATATTCATTTCATTTAACGTATACCACTCGAGTATCGTAGTTTTCAAAATTCATTCCTTTTAATTATGACTAAATCATTTTTGTTTTGATGTGTATCAAGGCTGGCGCGGACCGCCATCAGAAGATGTATTTACAATCATTGCGCTAGATTTATTATATACTTATTTGCATAGCAATGCTGCATCGATCCTTTCCCAAGCGTTTGTTGAGCGCGCCGATCCTCTCGCGTCCTCTGTTGATTTTGATATCAAGGGATATGTTGATACATCATTTATAATCTATTTCAGTGGCGTGCCTTATTTTGATCGAGCAGACGTTGGTTCGGATGTGGAAATGGACATTGAAAAGAATTCCGACAGTAATGATGAGGATACCGACTCCGAGGATGAAAGTGATGATGATGAAGATACCGACTCCGAGAATGACAGTGATGATGATGAAGACAACGATTCTGCACATCGTAACCTCTTTCAGCCCAATGTATTCTATGGGCTATTGAGAAACGCCTTGAGATCCTTTGCTACAAATGGATTTACTGTTCCAGGTGGGATGCTGGCAACTATTAAAAGGCATCGTTGCAAGATCATGAAGGCCTTGGAAGAGGAGCCTCATGACACCATTACCAATCTTTTACTTCCAGACATTATACGGCACCATCTTGCAGCCAGGTGAGCTTTACTATTTAAAGCATTTGTATGCTTTAACAATTTCTAGATACACCATTTAGTTTGTCAATGTCTTTAATATTTTTTTACAAATCTTTGGTTTTCTTAGTTCAGCACTTGGTGATACACGAGCCGAACATGGAACTCCCAAGATTGCCACACGATCCAAGCTTTTTGATATTCTTGATATACTTGAAAAAAAGGATGACGAGTATTGGAAAAAACTCACGTGTCAATGGCTTCTTGAAAAGCCTATTTGTGAAGTCTTGATGATTCCAAGCAGTAAGCTTGCATTGGAACAGCAAAAAATAGAGCAGTGTGGAATTCAAGACCGAGTAAAAGTACTTGGTAAAGAAGGACTTGGCAAACTAAAAGCAGAAGCCGACCGAGCACTGGCGGAGAACAAAATTAACATTACTGATGATCTAATGGCCAAATTTCCAGCTATTCCTGACGCATCCAAAGCCCCGTCACTTGTATCGAATATGACCAACATCAATCTTGACGAGTATAGCAACACACGGGGTCCATTTTCTGCGTGCCAGGTGGTTCGGACAGAGACTGCTTTTGTGAGCATGCGTTTTGGACTCAATACCAGCCATATTTTAGAAGAGCTTCGGCCTTATTTGGTTTTATTTCAAGAACTCTTGTTTGAAACTGATCTAGTTTTGCCAGCTACACTGGGTTCAAAAACCATAACAATGGAGTATCAGGAGGTTGTAAGGTATGCATCCCAGGTGTTTGTCTCGCACGAAGCAGCTATAGGTTTTGGCAACGAAGTATGGAGTGCAAGTTGGCTAAGCCAAGTTTTGATGGTATCGGCAGTATCAGAATGTGCAGATTGGGAATGCATGATCAGATTCCTGGCTCAAGTGTTGTTTTTTTCAGAATTTACTGAAAGTCGAATTTTGACTGTTGCCAAGAATTTGCTGAGCAACATTACAGAGATTAAGCGAGATGGAGCCTGTATGCTATCCGCAGTAACAACACGCTTATACTCTGCCAAAAGCTTATCAAGCAAAAATACATCTGATAAAGCGTCCGATGCAAAGTGTGGGTTGCCTGAGCAGTCTGATACTTTAATAGATCAGCCTACATTGAATGACGCTGCCATTAGCATATTCACTCAAGAAAAGTTTTTGCGGGGTATAGTCAAGTTACTCAAGGTAGTGTATTATTGAAGAGTTATGATTTTTTAATTGATCAACTCTGAAGCTATATCGAAACACTAAACGCATTTGGTTCTACTTTTACAATAATTCAGGATGGCGAGGGATCCAAGGTCAAGGACCATCTAAATCAGCTAAAATTAGCCATACTTTCTGGGAATCAGAAAAGTACTCCAGCATTTATTCAAATTGGAGTGCCAAAGAACTTTTCACTTTCAGGTGGAGCTTCACTTGGCCAGAATTCCGAATGTGTTGATGATATTTTATGCATTTGGAACACGGAATTTACCAAGTATAAATCTCGACAGACACCCAAAGGCACCAAACGACGTCTATCAGTGAATGACACTGCCGATCAGCCTGCTTCATTGATTAGCCCGTTTCCATTTCCAAGAAACCCCTTTCAGTATAGCCATTTAGATTTAAAACTAGGACGTGGACTGCTTGTGCCAATTCCTGGACTAACTACCTCGTATGTATCACAGTTTGTAGCCTGTGATGTATTTGCATCCCATCCACATCCAGATTATTTTGCAACCGTGCTGCTAGCTGAGATTTTATCGCGTTCCGAAGGACCTCTATACGACGCAGTGCGAGGTCCTGGGTGAGTAAAAAGGCATCTATCAGCTAGAGATTAATTAATTTTTTGAGCTGCAAGAAATGAGAGATGTGTGTATTTATATTGTATCAATGCAATTTAGCTATGCGTACGGAGTTTCACTCAGCGTATGCCTATGGATTGGACAGCTTTCATTGGATCTATACGATGCATCAGAACCACACAAGTCGGTGATGGCATTTTATCGTATCTTGAACACTCTTGCAACCAAGTCTGGGATGGAAGAAATATGCAGCGAGTTTAATATAGAAACAGCACGAGCTGCAGTTGCATACAGATGGGTGGCGGATTGTGCAACAGCAGACGGAGTTGTGCAAACGGCACTTCGATCATCACTGCAGGTAAATTGTCGACCTTGTACTATTGACTGATGATTTCCAGCGGGATGTGGTTATAGTATAGATTAACGAGTATTTTGATTAGGGATTTGAGTCGCTTGAACAACATCAAAAGTATATTGAGCATTTATACACGGTAAAGCTGCCAGACCTTGAGCGAGTATTTAGACGGTACTATGTAAACTTTCTGAAAGTATCAAAGCGAGTGACTGTAGTTGTGACAGTTCCAGGCGCCTCGGCGGAAAAGCTTATAAATGAGTTTAAACAGGGAATGTGCGAGATGAATCAGTACAATCAAGGAGATGATGCAATGACAGACAAGATTGCATTAAAGCAGATCCAGTTGAGTGACCTGCAATATGGGAATAAATAGTTGCAAAATGATGGGCGTGACTTGGTGTCCACGTGATTGTTTTAAACATTAAAAATCAATAAATAGTTTACTGTCGAGACTGTTGATCCTTGTTGGCATGGACACTGGGATGGATGTGAATGCTGCAATCGATCACCAATCGTTGAAACATGCAGTTCCTCAGCAACAACTGCCTTCTATAAGGCAATTTTTATCATTGGGTCGTGCAAAGAAACCCAACAGCACTGCAGCCATCATCCATACTGCAGCTCATAGTACTTCTACTAGTCCTACTGGACCATCTCTCACTCCTACCAAGAGTAGGCTAAGCACCAGCAGTAGTGTTTCCAGCAATAGCAACAATCATACTGCTGCTGTCCCTATAAATCATGACTCGCAAACTCATTCACCCGAACCACACAGTTCCGATTCTTCATTGGAAAAAGAACTTCGTGGTATTTTAGAAGGTCCTCGATGGGCCATAGTTTACAAAGACCTGCCTCGACTTGCCGATCGAGTACAGATTCGAAATTCCGACGGAACATTGCGACGCCCAAAAAACATTCATCAGCAGTATGTAATTGGCAAGCCTAGTACTGCTACTGAAGATAACCCACTGGCGGTCAAGGCGCCATCTGCCAATTCCACTCATTCCATAAGTTCACTTGGTGTAGCTACATTGCCACAAGGACCAACAGCCTCATCCAATATTCAGCAGCCATTATCCGACCAGAGTACGGCCACTAAATCTACTGAAGCGATTAATACGACTACGGCCACTCAACTGCTATTAGATGTAGCTTCTCAGCTGGAACAGCCTGCTATTGTTTGCGCTATGCACCAAGCCATCGTTGACCATCCCGATCTTAGTATTGGCGATACGTCTGCTGTCAAGTTTCTCATTGAGCACGTACTGACTCAAAAGTCCCGCACTGCTCGGCTCATGCGAGCCATCAACCAGTCGGTAGTTATCACGGGTACTTGGTATCTGCATCAAAATTTACTGACTCCTGCTGGCGTTCATGTCAAAGATGTTCAAGGTGCCGATGGATGGAAAGTCCTTCTTGATTTTCATAGGGACAGAGCCATGTTTGTTACTCATATTCGACGAGAACAAAGCCTACCATCATCGACGGATGCGTTTGAGTTGGAATGGAGCATCCATCTGTCCTTTGATGGTGATGCAGTGTTTCAAGGAGCAATGCTCAAGCTGTTGTCGTTTGAGATTGCTCGAGATCATCAACACATGAGCCCTACTCGAGTCAAGGAACTGATGACCAGATTCTGTAATGGCCATGAATTGGTATTGGAGCAGTATATCTCGCAACATTCTGCTACTCTTGGTTCTGCCATTTCTGGTACTTCTCCCGTTCAGCAACCATTCATGTCACTATCGCGTCCATCAAATGTTCACCAACGAGATACAACTACTTTGCCATCATTATCACCAGCAACTCTTGAAAAACCAAGCCACAGTCCTAGTCTTTTAAAACGAGTCCCTGCCAATTCTATGGTGAGTATTGGAGCCAATCGTCAAGGATCCTTTGAAGGTGCTGCTGCTGCTGCTCTTATTGTCCCTATGGCATTTTCTACGCTACCTAAATCTACTACCAAGCCCATTCCTGTGCGATCATCCTCCGTTGGTGGATCCAAACAATGTCCCAATACAGAATCTACTCAGCCTTATAATGACAGACCAGACACTACTTTATCTTCATCAGCTATTATTCCTTGCCTTCCTGCAATTTCTTCGTCACCATTGCCATCTCCGACTGCTCTACTGGCCACTGCTTCAGATGAGTATGATGCATCACATATGGCTGACTCCATTACCACAAAAAGGTCTTTGACCAAGATCGCCACTCCATTTAATATTCCAGTTCCAATATGTCCATCTCCCATGATATTGTCATCGCTATCTCCATCTCCTGAGCCATTAGAAGAAAACTCTGTGTTTTTGAATAATAGAGTCAATACAGATGCTGTATTGCATCCTTTTATACGCGCACCAGATAATTGCATAGACTCATTACCACATACTCTTCCACACTCCTTTTCTATGGCAGTACCAGAAGCACCTGCTGTCCAGCTGTTACCGCCAGGCTTCTTATCTTCTGCCACTACACTTTTCCCTAAAGAATCCTCGCAAAGATCAGAAAATACAGAACCCGACCTTTTAGCTATACCTCACATTAAAGAGAATATGCCAACCATTGAAGTCTCCAAATCCGAAGCCAGTCTAGATCATTACGCTCATATGCCATCCAATCCACACCTGGCTCCAGCCTTGGAAACTCCGCAATGTGATACTTTTCCTCCCCGTCACCATCGATCATATGATGATACACTATCATCCAAACACTTGTCTCCAACACGACTTAGGCTTAAATCGTTTTTATCGTGGCTGAAACCAGTTTCTGCTGGATCTGCTCAGTCGATAAAGCGAAATGTATAAAGAATCATCTTTTCAATTATTGTAGAGTATAGTCATGTGTGTTACTTTTTTCCCACTAGAGCTCATGTTAAACTGAATGCATTGAATGGTGGTCGTAATAAAGATACATACTTGACAAATTACTCTACGGCTTATCTGCAAGTAATGTGTTGGGATTTACCTACTAAACTCTGCATTTTCATCGGTTTGAAGTGATTTGATTAATATTTACATCTGTAGCATATTTTACAACTGTATTGACGTAAAGTGAAACACTTGCAGTCCTATTTTGCTCGAGAATAAACAATGGCTAAACATTCGTTGTTTTTCTACTGGAAATTGATTGCTTGATAAGAAATCAGTGCACTTTCTGCTTGAATGAACCAAAATCTCACCATATAATGCATTTTCAAATGGAAGCAAACCATTCGAGAAACGATGAGGAATTATTTCACCCGTTTTTATCCAAGTTTTTGACTGTAAACGATCGACATGAATAGTCAATCTCTAATGGATTTGTCAAAAACCGTTAAAGTACTGCTATAGACTAAATTCATATATTTAGTTTACTCCATACAAATAAACACTGATTATATTATACATTGGGTACTGATAGCCGTGTAAAGTTTTAATGTTTTAAATTTCAAGATTCATCAGTTTATTCTTTTGTATGCAATTACTCCAAACACCAGACAAAGATCAAGAAACAGCGATTGATGCTGCTATTCTACTCAAGAGTAGCCGTAGTCTATGTGGAATGTATTTAACCATGGATGATTACGAATGGGGTGACTTTGTGTCCAATTATTGATAACTAAAACCATGTTGCCATTTTAAATACTTGTAGTTGTATGGTGCAAGGATCATCCTATACCTGTCCTCGATGCAACTTGCCATACTGTTCACTAAGTTGCTACAAGTCTGACATGCATGCAGATTGCACAGAAGCATTTTACAAATCAAACTTTGTAAATGAACTCCATTCAAACAGAGTATCGGATGCGGATCGACTCCATATGCTTCGAATACTAGATGAACATGAAAAGGCTGCATTGAATGAGGAGCAGCAAACCTTTGAAAATGTTCCTTCTACTAGTACTATAAATAAGATGACCGACTGTTTAAGCGATATTGATTTGGGTAAGCTTGCTTTATTTATTGCTGCCAGATGCAGTTAAACCTTGTATCTACTTTGCTGATTTATGGTCTTGATTATTGTGGATATTATAAATGATAGATACCGCCTCGGTCAAGGACATACTTTCCAGATTGCCACCACAAGAAGTTGAACGATTCAACTTGATCATTAAAAACAAAGATGCAGCAATGCTGTTGCTTCCCGATTGGAAACCATGGTGGAATGCAAAAGTACATGGTAATTCCATTATAGATATTGAAGGAACTTATGATGACGGCATACCTCTACTTTTAGAAACAAAGCAAATATCTACCATAACAAAAGTCAAGCCTAATGCAAGACTTGTATTCTCCATATTAGATATAATGTATGACATGTATGCTTTTGCTGGAAAAACATGTAGCACGGTTGGTTTTAAATATGAAATGCAAGTCTAAACGTGCTTTATATTGTAGCATCGCATATGTCTATGTGTGTCGCACATTAAATGGAGATGTTTTTGAATCCTGCTCAGAGTCGTTTTTTCTCGTTACACAAGCCTCTTATATCTTTGACGCATCATGTTCATGCAAGTTTGTGTTCGAGTCCCCAAAAGAAGTCGTTTCTACTCTTTCTAGCAGGCTTCTTGCTCATTGTGATCTTTCACCAAAGGGGGTAATGGCCATACTATCTGATGCATGCAAGATTATCCAATCGCGTTTGTTTATTGTAGCAGCACTGTCGGACCTACATAGAATGGTGTCCAATGTGCCAAAAAACAGCAGAGCCAACAGTATATCTCAAAAGATCTATTTTTTTGCATGTCTAGCAAACGATGCGGCTTTACAAAAGGAGTTTCAGTTGGATGCACTGTTTAAGGAGTGTCGAGTATGCTTAGAAACCGAAATAGATCGATTGTATGCTTTTGAAAAAACCGCTTCAGACCTACAAAAAGCTATCAAAGATGCTGATATACAACAGAATAGACGGCTCATTCAAGAGGTATCAAGTGTTTCCACCCATTTGGTTAAATTTTGATTTTCGACTGATTGCTAAGCGCATTCCACTTTACACATTTTTATACTATAGATGGAGTAGCACCCACTTTATTGGGTTCTCAGAATACTATAATGCATACTACTTTCTATAAACTCATTGCACAATAAAAGTTTGATTTAGTTTGAACATGGTAGGCTTTCTGGATACTGATAATAAAGAACGCAACAGCTGTACGAATTCATTGAGTGTAGGAAACATTGAATAGGTTAAAAAGGCCAGAATAGATTTGGTTATTGTGGTGGTGGACGGAATCCAGGAGGAGGCATGAATCTATTGTTTGTCAAATAAATAGCAAAGGGTTCAAGAGTAAGTAACTCGGTATCGTAAAAACAAAGATATCATTACAGCCGATAAAAGGTCACAGTAATTTACCCAGGAGGTGCGCCAGGCATGGGAGGTCTGAATCCAGGAGGAGGCATAGGCATTCCCTAATTTTAGATCAAGATTGTAAAAAAGCAACGAATTGGACCAAAAACATTTCAAATATAAAATAGTTAGTTATAAAGATAGAAACAAAGCCAGAAGCCTTTAGTTGCTCCAGATTAAACAATGCAGATCTAGGAAACGGTCGCGAAAAACGAATTTGATCAAAATTCAAATTGCGTAGATCTACATTATTGCAGTACGCTGCAAGATACCATTCAGATTCGTCCAATAATCAAGTCTACGTACCGGAGGTCTAAATCCTTGTGGAGGCATCGGAGGCATACCCCGACCAAATGACATGGGTGGAGGAGGACCAGACATTCCCATAGGAGGCATGCCCATCATTCCAGGAGGCATATTCGATATCGGCGGGCGACTGAAGCCCATTCCGGGACCCATTTGAGGTTGCATTGATTGTGGAGCAGGGCCGCCAATACCTCTGATCGGACCTCCAAGACCAGCAGGTGCAGCAGTAAGTGGTGCAGCAATGGGCAGACCACGACCAGCACCGCGAGCAACACCAGGACCACCTAGAGCAGCAGATGATTTCTTTGGATCTTCTGCAGTGGGAGGAGGAGCTTCAACGCTGAGCGAGATGATGGTCTCGCCACGAAGGATAACAAGACCAAGTGAACGTTTCTCCTCTCGTTCCTGCTGAGACTTTGTTTTTGGGCGGATCTTACGGAACTCTTCGCACTCGGACAGCACCAAGTTCATGTGTTTATCAAATGCTAGCATCTGGCCAATAAATGTTCTGCCGTCCTGGATAGTGATCTTGAGCCGATGGTTGAGCAGCTGCAAAATCCTCGAGTTCTTTGATAGTGACTAAGCAAAGGCATATTGGATTCCATGGATATTTTTCAATAGCAATGTGAAAATCAATACAAGTGTTAGCTATATCTGCTTTGCGACAATGGCTAACAACAGTCTTACCATGATTCGGCCTGTTTGTGCTAATCAATAAAAAGGTTCGAATGAAAGAATTCCAATAGTATGCTTAAGAAAGTGAATGAATGTCACGAGAGCTGTTTTGATTGGCTCAACGACTTGCCATTTTATATCCAAATCGACTGATTTTGTAAATTCTGTCCAACTGTTGTTGATTAATATTGCTACGAATGGCTCCTATATACCACCTGTGCTCACACATTGAAAACTCGTATCGTTCACAAATGCGTCGCATTGCTGTTCCTTACTCAAAAACAAACAAGGCCATTTGTGCTGTTCTCTACGAAGAAGGTTTCATCTCTTCACTGACAACTGGCGATGAGAGTGGACCTTTTGATCGTGGCTACATGGTTCCCATCACTCCTGACAACGTCGCTCAGCGGAGACTCTGGCTGGATCTTAAGTACAGATCGGGAATTTCCGCTCTTACACAAATGAAGGTCATTTCCAAGCCTTCTCGGAGAGTTCATGCCAGTTTTGAAGAATTACGAGCTATTGCTGCAGCAAATCGGGCAGGTCCATTGTTGAAGCCTCAACTAGCTGGTCAGATTACGATTGTGGATACTCCTTATGGAATTGTGGAGTTGAAGGATGCTTTATCAAAGGAAGTCGGTGGCGAGGTCTTATGTACCGTTTTATAATTCATCGGGTTATATTTCTCTCAACAATACTGACCGTAAAGGTTTAATGCCTATTCGTTTGGGGGTGGTATAACGAGCTAATAAGAGTATTGGCTCAAGTATAATGATATTATAAAAGCAATGCATTGGTTGATCTCAATATAGAAGCCTGTTTGTTCTGAATTCAATTTATTTCAAAGTTGGAATGGCGAAACTGGGTTCGTTTATTCTGGATCTTACAGTATATTGACGTAAAGCGAGACACTGATACTAGCTGACCAAATGTTTAAAGCAGCATTCGTATCACAGTTCTAGTAAATCCCAATATTTGGACTGCAGTTGATGAGTCTGGTTTCAAACTCGGTGATTGTCATTGTATGGTTGTGTCAAAAGACCAATCTCGGTTTAAAACTATAGTCTAAGCGTCATATGATGAACGTTGTGCTTATTGAGAATATTACTGAATCAATCAATATCCAACAAATGCAACAAACATTTAGCCATTGTTTATTACAAAGTAAAATAGAGGTAGCGGATGCAAGATAAATACAAGGACTCTGTTTTACGTGAATACGACTGTAATAAGACTAAGATGGAGTAATGACCAATGTGCATTTGCTATGATGCGTGTTTTGGCATGGCAGATGATCTTTCAGTATAGCCATTTCGGGTGGTTTAATGGTACTCGTACCAAATCTGTATCAAACAGCTCAATAAATTCTGTTGATTTGGAATAGACAAGATTGCCATATTAAAACAATCCATATACAAACAGTTAGCGTACGTGTAATTCAAATCAACATCACTAACAATATTTGTCAGTTTTAAGACACTTACGCTCTGAAAGTATGCGTACTTTTGGCCCAGCATATCTCCGGTATTCCTCGAATATAGAAGCCAAGTTCCATTTTTGGAGTTTACGAAGACATCCAACAACAGTTCCTGTTCTATGCCTTCCAAGATTACACATCACCATGACTGGATAATTTCGTGGATCCAGCATATGCTCTAAACTCTCCAATACAACTTCCTCTGAAATAGGATCCCATGCATTGGCTGTTGAGTTGAATCCAAGATGGAAAAAGTTGATCTCTTGATCGTCGATAAAATTGAGACTATTTGGAGAGGTTTAGCAAGACAAAGCTATAATTGGTTATTATTAATGGAGCAGGGGAATCAAATGCCCACATTCTATGACCACTAAACGTTGATAGCCTAGCAAAATACATACAAGCGCTGATTAGGTTCTTCAGGTGCCAAGAAAATAACAGTTTTTAAACCAAGCTTTTCTAAAAACGGAAAGTTGAGTTCGTTTGGCTGGCCAGATCTATAGAGTCGTTCTTCAACTAGTCCAAAGTTCTGATGGCAAATTCACAAGTATATCGTATTAGTAAGTTGGCAGTACATAGTACCGTTATGGTTTTGTAATACTATAAATTAAAAGTATGATGTTTATACATTTGATACTAAACCAGCTTACCAATGGTGGAATAAAGTGTTGTGACATGCTGAGATTCTTTCAAGGCAAATAGTAATATTTATGGCCATCAACTTTATATCCACGTGATTCGTGAATTGCTGAGCGATGTTTTGACGAGAATCTTGAGCTTGCGTTCAAGTCTGGTTCAACCGATTGGACGAATCTAAAAATAAAACTGGAATGGTCGTTTGAGTATTATACTTGGCAAGTCTGCAGTAGAACTGCAAGGGCAGTCGTGCATTGTAGCAAGCATTAGCCAGCCATATTTAAACTTGTACAAGCCATTTAAGACTACGTTTGTGGATACCACAATTATATTTATTAACAATTGGCTACCTCTGAACCACACAGTAGCTTAGCTAGTTGTAGTTATTCCACGTCACGTTGTTATAAAACGGCATGATTCGCGATTTGTATTCTTAAGCTTTGCGTAGATATTTGAATCCTTGAAACTACGCAATCATGGAGAAGCAACAGGATACTATTCAAGCAAGTGCACCACCGGGGCAAGGACCTCCATATATGCAGCAACCACCAGGACAAGGACCTCCATATATGCAACAACCACAAATGATGCAGCCTCAACAACCTTATCAGCAACCACCAGGACAAGGACCTCCATATATGCAGCAACCACAAATGATGCAGCCTCAACAACCTTATCAGCAGCAATCCAATCAGGGTGCTTATCCAGGACAACATGGACCTCTAGCACACGGCGAAGTCCCTACCATGCAGCCTTATACTGGTGGAAACATTGTCTGTCCATTCTGCCATCAAAGCGTACAGCCTATCAATCGTACATTTGTAAACTATGGTAAATCCACTAAACCAAAACCATTATTGTAACCCATGCCTTTAACTTGATTGTTGTGTACAAATGTAATTTACGCTGCTTTGTTTAATAGATGCCAAGACGAATCAAGCTGGATTTTGTCTCGGAGCTGCATGTTGCTTCCCGTGCCTTATCTGTCCATTCCGTTCCGGCTCTACAGTCCAAAAAACAGTCATGCAATGTCCATCATGTAAAACATTCATCCAGTAATGGCTTTCAAATGAGTCAGCAGCAACTTTATTATTATTCTCGTTAAATATGAATCGATCAATGTGGACTTTAAAGAACCTTGCATCTGACTGCCTTTTTCCTTTGCTTCACTGCCAGCTTAGCTGCTGTTGTAAACACCTCTTTAATCCCCTCTCCTGTTTTGGCTGAACATTCAAAATACTTGAGTGCTCCAATCTGATGCATCATTTGAACTCCCTATAAAGTTTTTTACAAAAATAAAATTAGTTTTTTCGTCACATACGCGGACTACCCAATGTGCTAAGCTGAATAATACTCGTTGGCTTACCTCTTCGTATGTGATGAGAGCTTCGGGTATACGTCCATCGATAACAGGTTCGGGATATTTGCGAATGTCTGCCTTGCTCCCAACAAGAATGCGTGGAACTCCAGGTAAAAAATGTTTGGTTTCTGGGTCCCACTGTAAAAGAGAGCCAAATGTGGTATTATGGATTAGTGTTGGCATCAGATTCGATTCGGTAAGCCGATTACAATACTGATTGGATAGCAAATGATATCCAACTTACTCTGTCCCTAATGTTATCTAATGTGGACGGGTCATTGATTGCAAAAGTCATGATGGCCACATCGGTATCAGGGTAGCTCAGTGGTCGAATTCGATCATAATCTTCCTGTCCTGCTGTATCCCATAGTGAGAGCTCAACAGTCTTTCCACTACTGAGTGTGATTTTTGAAATATAGTTTTCGAAAACAGTGGGAATATACGACTATGGTTTCCATATTATAATAAGTTTATAATTAGCTTGAATTCGATCACAGTCTGATTGGGGATGCTTATCCAAAACCCAACGCCTACACGTTCATATAAAATGAACAAAAAATGAATGCACTTGTCATTCAAATGACAGGTCTGCAATAGAATGGTGCCCATGTCGAGTGAAAGCTTTAATGCACACCAATCTTGCGAAAAATTCCATCAACCTGCTGTTTGACATCATAAATATATATAGCTGGGCTCACTCATTCACAAAGTGATGCTAGAAATCAATCTATACATTGCAACATTGACAGCCCATCACAACGGTAAAACAACTTATGAAACGCTACTTGAACTCACCTCGGGAAACGGCTGCCCAGATTGAACCATGAGCATAGCTGTTTTTCCACAAGCTCCATCGCCTACAATAACCAGCTTTTTTCGCAGTTGATTTTGGTTGTCATAAACACGCATTTAAAGTATATCTACAAACGGTGTTATTTAAGTAGCAGGGTACACATTCCAGACACAATATTGGTATAATACTTGAAATTTCGTCTAAATACCTACATTTAAATTAGATAACTGGCTAAATAAAAATGCTCAAGAAACAGAAGAGTTGATATTTTTCTGGCTCTTGAAAAGGTTGTAAAATTGTTGGACAAGAAACGAGATAGCTGATGTGGAACGTTATGTGCGCGATAGGTAATGTTATAATTGGATGTGCTTGTCAGATTTTGAATGCATCAGGATTGAATGGGCTGTTTATACGTGGGGCTATCTGACACGAGCTGGGCCAGAATCAACAAACTACACCACGCGGCTTTATATGGGAAGGGCTTCGCAAGCTAGTTCAAGACAAGGCCATATAACATTTATAGTATTTGTTGGCATCCCTTCCTATTCAACCTATGATTTTTACCAACGTGAGGGTGTTGTATACTTATTGACTTGTTGGCCAAGATCAATCAAGTGGTTAAAACATTGGATTAAATTCAAGGAATAGTGACGCGCTGTTATCTTACCCTTCGTTCAGTTCTAATCTAACCCCAACAATGAGTAGTCTTGAAGAGGACCAGGCAGTGGTGAGTGCTGAAAGTGTTTGCTTTTCCAAGTTTTTATACCTTGTCAAATGCAATAATCAACTCTATCGAGTGAGACTAGCTCAACTTGTTTTTCATTGGACACTTTTAGATAAACTACTACTTACGTCTTAAAAGATATCAGCATGTTTTAACATACTGCGATATAAAACTCAAGAGGAGGTTGTCTGAGCCTACACTGATTTTATGGCGAGCATTTTCACTCATTCACATAGGTATTGCAAACGTGATAGATGACAATATTGCAATTGGAGCGGAAACACATTGTCCTTTTTGATTTGTAAAACTATCATAATTTAACGTCATTAGCTGTGTACTATAGAAAAATGTGCAGAGGCCTTGAACGAACTCGGGCAACTGCAAGATAAACGTGACTTGACTTTAGCCTATCCCCTAGCAGCTATTTTTGCATATGAAAGTTGCAAGCATATTGGTAAAAATATTCCAACTTGAGATGCCTTTAAAATATTTGTTTCCATAAAACAAGCACCAAGAAAATACTATTTCAATGGAAATTCTAGTGTATTGATATACTCTTACATCCTATACAACTTAGACCACGAAGCAATCCAAGAGCTGCAAGCTAAACTTACCATTGCATCATCAAGTGAAAATATCACAGAACGTGCATATATCTTGGCTGGACTATTATGCATGCATACGGAACGCCCAGACATGGCTAAAGCCTATTTCAAACAGGCATCAATCAAGGAAGGTCCAACTACAATCGGATATGTGTATCTTGGCTGGCTTGAGCTTAATGGAAATACCAATGAATCTGCAGGAAAGGCCAATTCGTGGTTTGATAAAGCTCTTGGTAGAAACCCCCGAGATGTTGAAGCTCTTTTTGGCCGCCTTACGTTTCTTAGAAAAATGAGGCGCCAAATATCAGCAGCAGTCGATATATCTACTCAACTCATCGTGTATCATCAATCGTTTTTACCTGCATACATTGAACGAATGCACATGTACCTTGAGATGGGTGTATGGGATCAAGCTATGGAAGCTTCGCAACAGGTTATAGCCATGTCGCCAGACAATATTGATGGACTGTGTCTTGTTGTTTTACACGAGCTTTGTCAAGAGGGAGGTGCACGCATGGCTTCGACCTACATTTCTAATATTTTTGATGTGCTGGGAAGACTTGAGCCTAAAAATGCCAACATGTATTACTCGATTGCTCGTCCATTTGCACGATTGGCAAACCGCAATATACAGATTCTTGATCAATGCCAAAAACTTGTTGAAAAAGCTATATCGTTAAAATCAACAAGTGAATTTCATACCGAGCTTGGATACATTCTGTTTTTACAAAACCAGATTCCTCGTGCTAGAGAATGCTACAATACTTCAGCCTTGCTTGATCCTCACAACATCTCTGCTTTGGAGGGAATCGTCCGATGCCAGCTTTTTTCTGGTGATTTGCAAGGAGCAAAAGATCAGCTGGATATTTTTAACGAATTTCACAATTCTATGGACCATTCTGCCGAGATAGCTTATCTCAACTCATTATTTGTTTGGAAACAAAGCATGGATATTGAGAAACGAATTGAATATTTGAAGATTGCTGTACGGAAACAGCTTCAGGTTGTCAATTCTACTACACTCAGTTTAGACTATTACGTTGATGCCAATCCAGATTTTCTTTTTGAGATTGTCAAAGACTATATGGAGCACTGTACAGCCGAAGGTGACAAGGAAGATATTTCCATGCAGACTGTTCTCCAGCTTGTTAAAGAGTTGCTAGAAGTAATATGTCGCATTGTTCCAGCATCCACTGAATCTCAATACTGTTTGGCAAAAACAAAGCTTTTTTTAGGCGACAAAATGGGGGCAGAAACAATTTTGACCAACAGTTTGAAACTTGATGGATCGAATTCAAAGGTGTATTTGCTAATGGCCGAGATTCACATGTCTAATGGATTGTATAAACCAGCAATATCATGTTTGGAAATGGCCCTAAGTTACGATTTTGAGATTAGGCATCTGCCTTTATTCCATTTACTTAAAGCGCAGGCACTCAAGTTGAATGGGTCGTATGATGAAGCCCTTACAGCTTTGAAAACCGCCATGAACCTTCCAGCTGTGAAAGATTTAGCTAAACATATTGGCACAAAAACTTTGTCCCAATCCAGTACAAGTTCTGAAAAAATCCCAACGTTATATCTGCTTGCATCGCTGCACCTGGAAGTCATTGATGTGTATACCAAGCAAAAAGCCATGCATGATTGCAATCGTGCCATACAGGAGGCTTTACGAATATTTTCTGGCACGAATCAGGAACCGCGTATTACGATTGCCAACGCCAATGTTCTTTTATCCAATCAAAATGTTGAAAATGCGCTGAACATGTTGGAATCCATTCGGTCAGACCAACCTTATTTTTTGGAAGCAAAGACTTGCATGGCAGATATTTATTTGAAGTACAAAAACGATCGTAAGAATTATGCTCGATGCTATAGCGAAATTGTTGATCGGAACCCAACAATCAAAAGCTGTTTGCTTCTTGGCGACGCTTATATGAATATTCAGGAGGTATGCTATTGGCTTTAAAATTCAAGTCGCTAGGGCTAATTTAAAACAAGAAAACATTGAATTTAGAATGCGCCTACTAAACCAACTGTATTTTTAATCAATTATTTTGCTGCAATGTATACAGCCTGAGCAAGCTGTTGCGGTATATCAATCTGCGTTAAGTTCTAATCCAAATCAAAGTATTCTTGCTTGTAAAATTGGTAAAGCGCTGATCAAAACGCATGACTATTCACGGGTTAGTGGTCATGCATGCTCTTGGAGAAATGGCTGTAATGGGCAAACAAACTTTGGTGTCCATTGTGACTTATTTTGTGCTAACATTGGATAAATGTATAGGCTATTGCATACTATGAATCTGCTTTAGAAAACAATCCAGATATTACATTTTCACTGCAGTTTGACATTGCAGAACTTTTTATGAAGTTAAAACGTTTCGAAGATGCAGAAAAATTGATTACAGAAGCGCTGGCACACCCAGTAGGTCAGTTTATTTTTAACTCGAATTATATTTTGTAGATTTCCATATTTTAAATGGTTTAGTAACTTTTCAAATTTTGAATCAGACAACGAGCCGGGTGTTCTTGCAATGTATGGAAAACTACATATGTTGTTGGCACAAATATTCAAACAAACTGCCAAGCCAGATCAGGCATTTTCTTCTTACATGAGTGCACAAGATATTTATAGCAGGTAAAATTTACAGCCCATTCAACTCTTTATACTAAATTGAATCAGATAGTAATCTGCAATGGCATTTAATAAAACACAGGTTAATTTCACAAGGAGTTGCAGTGGATGCGAATGAAGCTAAATGTCTGTTGGCTGATGTTTGCTATGAACTGGCCGAGATTTCACAATTTAATATAAAGGATTCGGATCGAGCCATTTCTTTTTACAACGAGGCAATTCAGCATCACACATCACATAAAAAGGTGATTTTTGGCATGATTTCTATACGCTGCATTCTACCATGATTGATTTTAGATTTAAAAGGCCAGTTTATGACAATTTTAACTAATTTTTAAAAACAATATAATTTGAACAGGCTGCAATTGCATTGGCCAGACTGTATATCCGTAAAAACGATTTAACAGAAGCTCAAAGACAACTTACCACGATGATGAAAAATGACATTGCTTTAGATGATGCCACGTTCATGATGAGTGAAACCATGTTTTTAAAAGGGTTGTATCAGCAAGCGATTTTCCACCTTCGTCAATTACTGGATAAAAACCCTCTGCACTTTGAAGCTCTTGCTCAGTTTATTGAACTGTCGCGACGTAATGCAAGTATGGATGAGATAGAAGGATTACTCATTTCTGCCGAACATCAATCCAAAAAAACTGCAATAAGCCCAGGATTTCATTACTGCCGCGGTCTATACTTTCGGTAAGATTATTGTTTAAAATTATGATAGTTGGAAATGGATAGCAGTTTTAATGCAATACCTATAGATACAAGTGCAATATGAACGAAGCATTGCAAGAATTTACAGTATGTCGTCGGGATACTCAATGGGGAGAGCGATCACTACATCATCTCATTGAAATATTTTTAAATCCAGACAATGAGACTATTGGAGGAAGTGCAATGGATAATGGTCAAGATTTAAACAGTTCAAAGGCTGATGATACTCGGCAAAACACGGATTCACTCAGTATGATGACGGTTGAAAAGCTTGTCAATGTAATTATATGATGACAGGAATGTTTTTTCCAAGCCAATACTCTAACATGTTGGGTGTGTTGGTGATATTTAGGAACTGCCACAATCGGACAAGTCACTTCGTACTCGCGTTATCGAGTGTCAACTGTTGATGGCAAGCAAAGAAAAGGCATCCATTGAGAAAGCAATTCATATCATGATGGAGATTTTGAATATAGAAAGAGAATATATTCCAGCAATATATGTAAGTTTGACAGTATTGTTCAAATATGGTCTGTAGTAGTGCTGATAAAATGGAAATTTAATTTTGGGATTGCATTAGGGCACATCTGTTGGATTTATGCTTCTCAAACAACCACCTCGAGCACGAAACCAGCTCAAGCGCATAGCCAAGATGGAATGGACGATCGAGTATGGGGATGATCTAGAACGATGCTGGTTGCTTTTATCAGATATATATATTCAGGTATGACACGATATATTTTAATGCATCAGTAGTCAGATGTGCAGCGATTTAAATGATTGTATATGAATGCAGGGAGGTAAATACGATCTAGCAACCGAGTTATTGAAAAAGGTGATTACACATAACAAGTCTAGCGGGAAAGCATATGAATATCTAGGATATATAATGGAAAAGGAAGCATCGTACAAGGACGCAGCGGAGCATTATCACCAAGCATGGAAGCTGGAGAATGAGACGAGTGCAGGAATAGGATTTAAACTAGCATTCAATTATTTAAAAGCAAAACGATACGTAGATGCGATAGATGTGTGCCACAAGGTTCTCAAGCAAGTGCCAGATTATCCAAAGATTGAAAAGGAAATTCTACACAAGGCACGCAGCAATCTAAGATATTTATAAAATAATAAAACGTGGATTTGGTGTCGAGTCAAGTTACCCACCGAGTCAAGTGAATTTCTTTTGGTTGGGTTTGCTGGGAGTAGGATCATCCACTCACTAACAACTACTTCCAACGGTTTATGGAACCCAGTGTTGCTGCTGATTCCTCTTGCTACAGCCAGCACTCATTTTCTGATTTTTATTCTGACTGCAGGATGGCCAACGATGCATCGTCTGTCAAGGATACTGTCGTATCTGCATCATCTGTCAAGGATACTGCCGTATCTGCGTCATCTGTCAAAGATATTGTCATGTCTGCACCCTTCAAGGAGAATGTCATATCTGAATCACTCCAAGATGATGCCGCATCTTCACCATTCAAGCATACTGCCGAGTCTGCAGATACGGCAGTAACCTGCAGTTCTGCTCCTGTTCCTCCACCACTTTCTCTCTCCATTACAGTCGATGTGCTCTCGGATGCTCCCGACAATCATCAGATTTGGTCGCCAACTCCACCGCCATCTCCAGGTAATCGTTGGCTTCTCGCCACTACCAGTGATAATACAAGGTATGGTTTGCACTTTATAACTGTCATGACTTGTGTTGACCTGTCAAGACTGGCCAAATGGCCATGTGGTTGACTAGAAACCTGTGTGAACAGAACTGCTTTTCTAATCGCACTGGCTTGTTACTACTATAGCAAGCCCGATTCTACTCATGGCATTGATACCAACAAGCCGTTGCATTCTGCTTCTTTGACAGCCGAGTGTACTGACAACGATCCATCTCAACAGTCGCTGCCGGACATGTTGTCGACGGTCTCGAGTCTTGATGCTTTGTCCGGTAATGACGGTGTGCAAAGCGTTGCAGATAACAATGTGTTCTCTTTGACAAAGCCGGACAGATCTGCGCTCAGCAGACATGTCGGTAGTGTCAAGGATGGTGTGAGTTTGGGCTCTCAGACCGGTGGTTCAACAGTCACTGCGATGGACAAGACTCAAGGTTTGCCTCACTGGCCACGATCTGCTAGCTTGCCTACAGCTCCCAACACACCTGGTCCCATCAAGATACCACCAGCATGGCAGACTGTCGCTCATCAGAATCTGCAAGTCTCGATGGGCAGTGGAAAGTCTCTTGATCTGGGCAGCCACGCATCTGTCGAGCAATGGTCTGATCAACCCACTCCGCCATTGCAATCGCAATACCACGTGCAGTATAGATCTGCTGCTGATCTCAGCTCGCATTCTTTGCTGCCGTCTTCAACTGTTGCTGCTGCTCGACGTACAGATGGCGCTCATGTTGCTTTAGAGGGAAAGTTTGAGAGTGCATTCGCATTTGCTAGACACAACACTGGCCGCCATTTGACTGGCAGCAATATCGCCAATCTCGCCATCACTGGCGCTAATATGAATACCAATCCTCGCGTCCAAACGACGCTGCATCGCCAGACTTCTTCTCCTAGTTTATCCTGGAGATCTGGTTCGGCTGCATCTACACAGCAGATCAATCATTTTCAACCAGAAACATCCTATCAACAGCAGCTCACTCCAATGGTCAATCGTCTACACCATGCCTCTTCTCATGACCATCTTTCTACTAGTACTCTTCAAGTTACAGACTTGCCTTCTCAATTGACTGCTTCCTCTTTGACATCGTTCATGTCACACGTTCCTGCTAATTGGGGAGCGCAAGAACAAAAGACGCCATCATCCTCAACCTACATCACCCATCCAAACGCGTCACCTTCTAGTGAATTGAGATCTTGCGAACAACCTTGGATTTCTGAAATGCCTGCTGCGTCCAATGCCATGATGCCGGCATTTGGCACGCATTCATGGCAAAAATCTACTCGTCCATCCCATATACGTTCCTCTAGTTCTGGATGGGGTTCATCGTCTGATGATCAAAATTACAAGCGTGGGAACTCTTTACCCATGTCCACTAATGGCTCGGCTACTCCCTATATGAATTGGCAACAGATTGAAAATATCCAGCAACCAAAGCAAGTGCAACAGGCAATTTCTCAGCATTATAAACAACAATCATTTGGCTCTTCTGCTTGGGATTCGTCTATCCCATCTCAGGGATATAACGAACTACATCAGATGCCATCAATCACTGTGGCTGCCGGATGGGGTGTTTCTCCCCAGTTATTGAATTCTGCTGGTCTTTCCGATCAAGTTCATCCTAGTGTAGGCTATTCTACTCGTGACGATTTGACTATGAATCGCACTACCAAATGGATTAGACCTGCTCAACAGACTTTGCCTCATTCTACCCATACTCCAACTCAGTCCTCACTGGCATCCTCCAATGTTAATTGCGCTTCTACACTGGGGGTGCAGTTTCCAACAGCCCAGCAGCAATTATCATCGCCCACGGCTCATGGAAATATTCGCCGTGTTAAATCTGCCGCAGTATTGTCCGACTTGGCCTCGGCTCGCAATATCAATCAACAACAGCAATCACTTCGTCGTCCTCCAAGCGATTATCTGCAATCACGTCTTGCAGATCGTATCATTCAACAGCGTTTTCCCGACGATTTACGTCGAAATAGTTTTACTCACGGTGTTACTTGTAACAACACGGTTGGCCACGGCATTCAAAATGCTGGTTCAGCCACTATTACTCCTAGAGTATCTCTAAATCGCGTACCTGTTCGTACAGTCGATGAATTGAATCGTCTTTCGCAGGCTACTAGTCCGGTCCTTCACTCTATACCACTCACTTTTGCTGGAGCTCTACCGAGCACTATAGCTACTACTTCTGCTACCATTTCCACTGGAATGGATTCTACAACTCAGTTTCAAAGCGCTCTGCGTCGTCCTCGTTCTTCCCGTTCCATTACAAATGGAAAGCCTTTGCTTATTGGAGAGCCCATTGGTATTTTTGTGCGGCGATTTCCCGACTCCACAAAAATAGTAGATCTTCTTCAAACATTTTCTATATTTGGAGATATTCAGAATGTTGGTATTGATGCCAAAAAAGGGTATGCATTTATTGACTTTGAAAATGCCAAAAGCGCCCGTGCTGCTATTGATGGGGTGCAAAATACCAAGCTGTTTGCGCAATCAGAGTCGCTAGAAATCATCCCACGCTATGAAAAAACTGGCGTGCCAGAATTTCTATCTACCTCTACAGCACCAACCACTACTGGTGCTGCCACCAGCACTTACTCTGGCCATACCTCTGCTCCAGTTCAGAGATCAGCTCGTCGATCAAGCAGTTTTGATCGAAACTCGCTTGATGTCAATACATGTAGTCGAACAGTGCATCTTGTCAATTGCCCACACAACATCAATAAACCCGAACTTGATGCTGTACTTGCCCCGTTCAACGAAAACAAGCGAATAAAGATTTTACAGCGGTCCAACGAGCGTCGCGCATCTGTTTTTCTTACTTTCCGGACGCCAGAAATTGCTCGCAAAGCTGCCAACTTTGTGGGTACTCGACCTCGACCTGTATTTCGAGACATGAACGAGCCTGTGGTCATTGAATTTCCTGTCAAGGATGCTGCCATGACAGCTGCTGCGGATTCGGCCACTATAAAAAGTGTTAGCATAGCTGCTGCTCATAATGACTCAACAAAGAGCGACTTTAATTCGCGTGGCTTTAAGAAAAGTCGACGCACTGCTGCTGCCGAGAATCGTACTGTATATGTGCGTCAAGTAGCACCAGAAATTGTGACATTGGAAGAACTCAAAAAAAGCTTTTTCCCTAGCACTGCATCGATTGTGTCATGTCATATTCTTCCAAAGAGTGACTCTGCCCTTCCATCGTCTGCATTTGTTGTGTTTGATACTCCACAAGTAGCTGCGGCCGCAGTCGCTTCCAAGCTGGGTGGATGCACACTCCCTCGCCACAAACGCGTTGATATGCCTTTGGTTCCATGGACGGTAACCGCCGCTGAATTGGAAGAATACCTTGCAGATGCTGGCGAGATCAAACAAATGTTGCTTCCATCAGAGTACAGCGCAAATGGCGTATCTACTGCCATGGTCGAGTTTGTGTCTGCAGTGAGTGCAGCCAAGGCAATCGTTCTTTGTAGAGAGGTGATTCCCAAGTTTGGAACAACAACTATCAAGGCAGACTATTCTTCATCGCTTAAGCCAAGCGAAAGCTCTGATCAGACATGTGGGGAGAGTATGTCTACTTTTTTTGTTACTAAATCCAACAACGGGTCATCTTGGACTCATGCTGCGCCATCGCCATTTGATCAGCATGTCGTAGTGACGCTTGCTGAGCTGGCCACTCATGATACATTTACCAACCTAGAATCTGGATCTGGGTCTGCCTCGGAGGCTATGGCAACATCACTATCTCATTTTAATGAACTTCAGCAACATGATGCCGTAACTATGGATGAGCTTGTTTCCCATTCTTCTCCTGCAGCCCGTGTTGCCTTTTCTGTCAATGCAACTCCGTTTAACGGAGTACCATATCCAGAAACTAGCAGAAACGCTACTTTTTTCCCGCAGTCAACTCAAAACGTGGCTGATCAAGATGATCAGGTCGAGGAAACCATCATTACTCTTAGTCAACTGTCAGCTCTTGGTGTTGATAGCAAATAGGCTTTTGGTTTGATGAATGTTGTTTGCTTTTATTCTAAAATTACTGTAGTTAATCTTTGTTCCGTACCTACGCGATGCATACTATATGTGATTCCTAGAATGTAATCTACTGTAGTCCTATAATACCTTAGATTAAACTGATGTTTTATACTACATTCATTTACTCTCAGTCTTACATTCCCAAGTCTTCATTTTTCGGTTTATTCTACTCATCCCTCATTCTTTCTTATCATACCTTGTCTGTCGTATATACCATCCTTTTCGTTTGTTGGTATTTGATTTTTCTACAGTATTCATACAGCAAACATCTACTCTTGTCATATCCTTTTATACACACCCTAGACCGTTACATTCATCCCACCTCTTCCCTTTTCTCACTTTTTTCAAGCCATGCCAGCCTGTTATTTTGTTGAGCCTATTTTTCTTTTAAAGCTGCGTGTCTTCAATCATCATCTTGTTAGCAGAGCTACTGTATTGCTGTATGAAACGCCTTATAGCTATCTGGTGCTCATTTCATTGTTTTCAAGCTCACGAATTGGATTCAATTGTAGATTGCACTCTTCAAATTACGTAGCCTTTTATTTCTTCTTGCACCTTCAATACTCGAGCGAAGATTTATTCTTTTTCCTAGTTGAAAATATACCCCCGATTATACTTTTATTTTGCTTTTAGTGGATATGTTGCAAGTCGTATTCTTAGTGTATCGGGTTTCTTTGACTCCATCCACTTTTTGTTTTCATTGCCAACTCGGAAATCTTCAAATTGAATCTGGAATAAAAATACCAATGAAACCGCCTTTTATTCAAATCACTAATATGGGTAGTCCAAATAATACATTTTGAATGTACAGTCATATTCACATGAAATGAAGCACTAAATAAGAGTCAGTATAGTAAACAATCAATTCTCACCCAATATGCTGAACAATCGTGTCATTTGGCTTTTGTTGGTATCGGTTTTGGCTATCGACCAGTTGGCCGTAAACCGATGGACATCATGTGGTTTATACCCATTGTTTGAGTATGAAAAAGTGGTAAGCAAAAATAGGTTGGCTTTACAACCGTATTCACGTAAAATAGCATAGGTTTGTTATTGATGCTGTCTGTGATTCATTCGTGTATATATATGGCACCATGGTGTTGTAACCATTGATGGTACTTTAAACCTACGCATCTATTTTTGTAATGCACTCTTTATACTAGTGTTCATTTCATGTGTGTCGTCTTCAAACCCTACTCATCAATATGACCTTGCCAACCCAAACCACTAGTGTTGTCGATATCACCCCACTTTGTTGTATCTGGATACGATTGCAAGATCTAAATCAGCTGTAAATCGATCAATATTGATAAATCACTTTCCGATTGTATTGTGGATCAAACAGGGGTTGGTTTGATTTGAATCGACGCTTTTGCATGTCATTGGTCAAGAGATGTAGTGTTATGCAAATGATTTTCAATTCCAAAACGCACAAGTAATACAGACCATAAATAATAAGATGTGACATTTATTGATAAGGTCGGGCATAGTGACAAAAATGTGTTCCAGTTTGGTTTGTCCAAACAAAGAAATCAAAAATAAAAGGAAACCGTGCTTACACGAATAAGAAATGAGCGGAAAGATGGTGACAATTATAAAAAATAAAAGCACAGTGGTCAAGCAAAATAAAATTCTGCCTCCAAGATCAGCCAAAAAAGCTTATTTAGGATGAGTTGGCTGTGCCCATTCAAGTATCTGCCGCAGCTCAGATGGTGGCAAGCTCTCCATATCATCAATATACTTTGTTTCGCGCTTTTCGGAATCAGGAGTTTGGGTAGTGTAATCGGAAATACCATTCAATTGCAACTGTAATGCAACCATAGGATCTGATGCAGAGTGAAAGCTAGTTGTACTAGTCCGACTATTCTCCAAAAAATACGAAGCAGGCTTGAAGTTGGAAGTGTTGCTTTCTCCTGGCATCAAATGCGGCTGATTTTGCCATGGAGGCTCAACAAATCCCATGGCATTTGAAGATTCTTGAATTTCTGTGACAGAGGGATGCGCAGGAGTTGTTTTTGGATATATCATCCCAATGGGAGGCGATAACGACACGTTAGCATTCGTTAATGGTCCTACTAACGATTGATTGCGTGTAGGAGTGGTGACCGGTACAAGTGTTTCTAATGGTGGCTTAAAAGGAGATGTTGAAGCGTCTTGTTGAATATTGGGAGCAGATAAATTAGGCTGTCTTTTTGAATACAACCCTTGATATGGCACATCCATGTTTGAATCTGTAGAGTGTTTTAGCATTTCCTGTGCTTCGGCACTAGATGCCTTTCGGCGCGGCAATAGAATGGGCAATGCATGTGTACTTTCTCGTGGTATGCCCCCAGTCTGATGCTGAGATGTAGGTGTTCCACTTGACGGATGAGGCTGACGCGATGAGTGATGCATGAATGGTGATGCCATAGAATATCGATTTGAAACCAGTGGGTTTGACTCGGACTCTTTTGTAGAAACTTGGTTTAGAACAGGAGGTTCCAGTGGTTCTGATCTGGAATCTGTGCGATGATGAGTAGAATGACGTGGCTTTTGATAATCTGATGCAGTTTCAGAATGCTCGATTATGGGTTTAGGCTCGCTGATTGAAAAAGACTGTTGCTCAGGTAAAGGCTTGTTTGATTGAATAGGTGCTGAATCGGTGCTTGATGAGGGCAGATTGTGGCCACGCTCAGGATCGTTCAGACTCCAAGAAAATATATTTTGATATTCTGCCATCATCAATATCAAAATATTGGCGGGAATTCCCAAAGTAGGTGAAAATACAATGTTGATGTTCTTGACTGACATCTTGTTCACTTCAGAACGTTGAACAACCCTGATAAGGTGCCCTAAAACCACTTTTAAAAGAGTGTAATTCGCAATGGGGAGCATTGAAATCAAACGAGTGAGCTCAGTAACACGTGTGCTGCGATCTGCACAATCAATGAGTTGAAAAAAGTTATTTCGGAGCTCTTTTGTCAAAATCGGCTCTGTAAGCTCACGAAAAAAAAGCTTCAAAACTCCAGCAATGGCATGGACATCACTGTATGTTTCAACTTCTTCAAGTAAATTCACATCCCCTTCAGTATCAAAGCGATGCTTCAAATTCTGAATGACTGTCGAGCTTCCAGAAAGTCGGTACAATCCTTCTTCTTCGTAAGCTGTCAAACAATAAAAAATAATTAGTATATTCGGTAAGACAGTTTTGGCTCAAGGTCAACAAGCCCACCATTTCTTGCATCCAAGTATTCGATACAGCGAAAAACAATTGATGGTAATTCCAATCCTTCGTGAATTTTATATGCTGCAATAGCCTCTTGTAGCGAAAATCCAAAAACAGGTCTTGTAGTTTTCCCAACCTCTTGACCTAAATAGAAAAACAGTTAAAACATGCAATAAAACTTTATGGAATCGGATAATCAAAAATGTACCATGGCTCTTCTTTTTGACCCAATCTTTGAAAATATTTGCTGGCTTTTTCTTTTCTTTGATGACAGGCCCCCGCTGTTGTTGAGCCAGCAATGCGGGTGAATCCTCAACCAAAGTCTTTGGCCAAGGTTGTTGCATAATGCGCTGGTTTTCGTCTGTAAATGTATTTGCTCCGCGAGGTAAACTAGTTGTTGGCTCAGAAGCTACAGGTGAAGCTGGGGATGAGCTTTTATTTAAATGTCCAGTATTTGGAACACCCATAAAGGGACTCATCTTTGACACCCGTCTGTTTACCCCAAGACCAAGGGGGGTGGAGCGATATGGCTTGAGATCGTGTGATTTTGCAGGTAAAGGTGGACCCGGTGTATGTAGCAGTTGCGCGCCTGTTCCGCTAGCCTGTAACTCGGATTGAGCCGATGAATTTGGTTTTTGGTTTAAATCATTCCTTGGTGGAATAACTGTTTCGGGGAAATTTACAACCGGTAATCTCTCAATAAAAGGTGCATGAGGTTTAAATTCAGAACTATTCGCAAAATCATCAGATGTAGGTGGCAGCGGTTGAGTCAAGACTCCATTATGCAAAGAAAGAGCCGAAGTTCCAGAAATAAAATTATTAGGAGCGTTTGGATGAGTGCCAGCCACATTTTCAGAAAGACCGGATCCCATATGCGGTGGTATATAAGCCTGGTGAGATTCTAGATTACGAGGTGTTGATGTTTGCCGTGCAGCGTGCTGACTCTTGGCTATACCTGTAGATGATTGAAAAGAATCGGCCAGCATTCCATTTACTGCATAACCACTACTAGGATCAAAATTGTTTGGTAAATTTGATTGCAAAAATTGCTGGTGCAAATGGGATTGATCTACCAATAACTGTGGGTTTTGTGGATTTACTCTAAGACTCGCCAACTTGGTTGCTTCATATGTAGATGATAAAGGTCCAACCAGTCCATTATTACTGTGCTGTCGAGCTGGAATCGCTGAGTTTGGTATCATATTTTTCAATGGATCCCGAAATGGAAGTAGTACATTCATACTGCGTAGTTCACGAGCAGTCAGTTGGTCATCAGGTCGCATAATTAAAATTTGACCAGAAAGACAAAGTACCCAGTCATCACGCTCATACTCGCTATCCGCAAAAAGTAAATGCTTACACTCCAACTTTGCATCTGGAAGCCCATCAGGACCAATAGAAGGTGGTGCACTATCTGGAGAAAACATAGCCTTTTTGTACTCTCCCAGTACAAGCCCAAACCGATCCATTTCGTTTGGTACACTTCTAGAAACATAGCAGTATCGTAAATTGATGGTTCCAATCTGTTCACGGTCCTTGGATTCGGAATAGCACAAATTAACTCCACTCGGATCAATTAGAAAGAACCTAGATTTCCACCCACCAAAGCTTTTACCCTTTTTGTAAAGACTTCCCGCTTTGAGATATTTTTGTATCAAGCGTTTATCTGCAATGGGGGAATCTACAATATTTGTGCACAAAAACTCGACAAAATCGGGATGTTCACTGCACAGAGACTTGAGATGAGAAAGGTACATTTCAATCACCATGCATCTTTGATCCTCTTTGGATGCAGGGGCAAGAGGGCTAAAAACTGGCTTTTCAGGAGCTTTACCAATACTCATGACCATGCTACGAGACTGGTTGTTTTTGAGCTTGGTTTCTAGCGTTATAAAATCCGCATAGAGTTTTCCAATGTACCACTGGCTTCCGGCAAGTGTATCCGAGACTAAGATAATAAATGTGACAACTTCACGGCCACGTACACTGACATGGATCTTGGAGCAGACAACCTGGATCGTGATATTGGAAAGGGATGTGAATTTGTCAATCCTTCTATCTGATGTAGTGATGTGGTGATCATCAAAATCAATGCTTCCCATTTCCTTTGGATCGTAGATTCGGGTTGGCATTTGACCGCTATTCTCACTGGGACCAATAGAATTGGACGATAAGTCTGGTACTGAAGTAGATTTGGGGTTTTGTACAGCACCACCAACAGACATGCCAAATGCATTTGTGGAGTTGCTTGCTTGATTATTTGATGAAAATGTATTGACAGGAGCCATCCCTCCATCAACCGATCCGATATTGGAAGATGATGCAGAACGAGGAGTAGCTTTTAAATTTTTGTTTGATGGTCTTTCGGATGAACTTTGCACGGAAGTATTTCCACTACCCATGCCACTTATAAATCGATTTGACAAGACAGCCTCAGACTCGAAATCAGTCGATTGCACAGGAATACCAATAATTGATGGCGATGTGTTGGACCGTGGTCTGTTAGCAGAGCTTATAGCACTAGTGGTAGACGATCCGTAATCTGCATTCATTTCATCAGATAAAGGCTGGCCAGATTTTGAAAAATAGGCAGCAGATACGGTGGTGGATAATGATGGAGTTGAACTCTTTGCACCTCTAGGTAATGACGACGTGCGACTTCCACATTCAACAGCATTGGGTTTAGATTGAACCACAGACAATTCATGTTCAGACCGAGTCACTGTATCAGACTCTGCAAGAAAATCCGGTGCTGCTCGATCACTGCTACCAGCCATATTACTCAATGAATGGCGAGGATTAGTGGTAGGAACTAAAACATCGTTTGAATGGAGATTAGCAGTGGCATGAGGGATTTGGGGTTTTGTAGTTTCATCTGGAATAACGCTTGACATGGAGATGGCTAACGGTGCTGTCGATTCTGAAGCATCAGCAATAGGAATATCCTTGAATGGAGTCAGTGGCAGTTTATGTAAAAGAACAGCATCTAGCATGTTGGCAGTATTGGAATGGCCGTCATTGATTGTAGTAGCGAATACAGTATCCATGGGCTGAGATGAAACCCCAGCTAATGAAGTGGGTATTGTTAGTGTAGCAAATGATGGATCTGGAAGTTGAGTATTACTCCCAGTAGCATTCAATTGAGCTTGAAGGTTGGTCATGATGGTTCGCTGTCGTTCAATAATAGTCCACAGCTGCTCATTCTGCACTCGCAGCAAATCTCGCTCTGCCACGACCGTTTCTAAAACAGAAACAGGAACCTGCATGCCACTCATCTGAGGGATGGATGTTTGATGAGAGTTTTTGTAATGAGGCTGATTAAGAACTGCAGAATCGTTTTTAGTAAATGAAGGGGCGTTTACAGTTGCTGCATGAGCATCTGCCTTGTGTTGAGTGTATTTTCCAGAAGTTTCAGAGTTAACAGAAATAAATCCATCAGGAGCATTTATCGTTGCAGTGGTTTCAGCAGATACCCCACCATCACCCACTTTCCCTAACTGGTTCATAACTACAATTTGGTAGTTGAGCAAAGTGCCGCGTCGTTGAAATATGAATTGAATTTACTTATTGCAGACCAGTTTATACACATTTATCAATGAACAGCGATGCAGGAAGTCAGCATGGAATACACAAGTTGTAACCCATGAATTCCAAAAAGTTTATTTGAATAAGAGTTGGACCAATGCAGCCAGTGAAAAAGTAGAATCAAGTCGCATCTAAAAAGTGATATTTAAGCTCTCAGACTTTGGCAGCGACTGTTCGCTCTTTCAGCAGCTTGCCTGCAAGTCGCTCATGAGAACTCTGTCTACAGTGTTCCATATTAGAGCATGCATGAGCTTCAGGCAAGCGATGCTTTGCGCAAAACTTGTTCGTACTAGACAGCAGCAAGTTGGAGTGCATATTAGAAGGGTTGCGATTGTAAATCATTGATATAGCTGACAACACTCGTAAGCAGTGTATGGACACACTGGACACACTGGACACAAATAGCAATATGCTCTTACCAGTAACGACAGTCACCAACAATCTTGACAACTCGGTCTCCACAACCCTCGAGATAGCACTTGTTGCTCTTTTTTGGAGTAGGAGCTGGTGATACGCTTGCTGATGCTGCAGCAGAAAGAGCCTCGGCAGTGACGGGAGAACCAGTATTCGATGACATGGTGAGATAGTAACAAGGCTGGAGTGAAGTCTGCGATGACAATGGTGCCAACTAGACTGGTTTATATATGCCAAGGAAGGAGGCGCAGCCATTGCTTTATGAAAGTCTACTCACATGTCACACAACGAAACAGCCACATGAGTTTATTGAATGTTTTGGTTCAAAATGGCAATCTTCAAACTGTAACTCCGCTTCAGTGCCAAACTCTTGCCAGTCATTCCGATCGGTTGGATAAACACTTGCTCAAACTCTGTATTTTCCATCAACATGTTGTTGTCCATCTGAAATCACTATTGTTAAACATATGGACCGACATTTTATTAAAAACTTGATATATGAACATCTCAAAACTATAAACACTTTTGATGTCAAACCACTGATACTATCAACACTTTGATATGTCGAATCGTCTATTAGAATCAATGCCAAGCATACTAGATATTAATAAATATGTCCAAACAGTAATACCAATCGATTTGGTTACAATGTGTCCCAATTGATCCCACTCGGCGCATCTCATAATGCCTCGAGTGCAATACGCTCCAGTGTCTCGGTTTCCATTTGTGGCAAAAAATCAAACACAAATCGTAGCTCGTCTAACCCAAAAGGCCGGTGCAGTGCTTCAAGTGCTTCAAGTGATGAAATCGTCGATGCCAGTGTGCATTGAGATGGCTTGACGTGACAATCTGTCAACTGTGATGCTGACCAATCCGTCGTTGTACACATCGACTGGACTGCATTGTCGCCAGATTTGGATGTATTGGCTATACAGTTACAATTCACCACAATCAATCAAACGAGTTTACATCTGGTGCATATACGATTGCTGATATCCATTGCAATCACAACATGCATTCAAAGTGTTCAGTCAACTATTCTTACTCATCACCAAATCCGATCCGTTTACAACCGACTTGGATGTCTTTGTAGTAATCAATGCACGCTTTTTTGGGTTTGGTTTACATTGCAACGACGCAGCTATCGACGGATCGGTCGGTGCATAATCACTAGCAATCGTGGTACGCATAGCACGGAGCGGAGTCAGTGCTCGCAAAATAGCCTGCAACAAGTTCTTGAGATAATTCTGTAAAGGAATCAACAATAGCGACACATCAAGCACGGCTCAATCAACACATTCGAAATGTAATGGTCGGCTTACATCAAGTGCAAATGAAATCAGTTTGGCTGATTCCGGCGTAGGTGGATCTCCCAGTCCTTGAATTCCACTTATAAACCGGAGTCGTTGCTCAAGCATATCCATCAATGGAAGATCGCCTTCATCCTTGCATGACCTAGGAATCGAATCTATTCCTAATGTCATGATGTTGGAGTGAGTTACTGTTTGCAAATCTGGACATTCAAACGTTACATTAGAACCGAGACTAGAGCAAGTATGCATACCAACAGGGAATCCGTTTGGAAAGAGCACTTTCTTGGAAGGCGGCAAAACCGGTTCATCTTTATGCTTCTGCAAGGTTTATACCAACACGCATCAACACTGAATTAACAGCTTGTATTGCAACACAATGTTGGATACCAATCTAAATGGACTCGAATCCTTACCACAATACCCAGTCCAATGAGTCGTTGACGATCTTGAGAAGAAAGCGACATGATCATGGCAGTGGTAAAGCGTTTCTTGATCTCCATGGGCGATAGCAGTTCTTCCTGAGCAGGACGTTTCAAAGAGTCTGCGATCGAAGTGACGGATATTTCGATGGGAGCAGCAAATGCCAGACTATTCTTTGGAACAAAGTCAGTGTCGGGTGGGCCAGTTGGTGGAGGAACACCAGCTTGTAAGTTGTAGCATATGGCCAAGATGAGTTTATTGTGTAGACTCGCTAACATTCCAATGCATGAGATGAATGAGATGATGAATGGTTGTGATGGACATGAACATTAATATGAATATCAATATGAACATCAACATTAATATGAACATGGCAAGAGCCAATTCAGGAATATCAACATGACGGGTATGAGGATCACATACGAGACCATGAATACAGTACAATGAATGATACATGGAACAGGTTACCTTGAACACCAGTAAGCATGTCCACTGTCGCCATATCAAAGCTCTGTTTAGAGCAGCGACCATTCAAGAATGAACGCAGTAATGACCAGTAAGCCGGTGCATGAAATGGACCCAAAGAATCAGCAAGCTCCTGCTTGATAGCTGTCAAGTCCATACGATGCAATGGCGTATGATGCATAGTATCTGGCTGGATATGAACCGTTCCTGTTCCCATTATGTATCGAATTTCTTGGTACTTGTTCCAACAGTCCTGATAATCCTGTTAGTCTTGATAACCCTAATAATCCTGATAACCCTAATAATCGTTATCAAAGCCTTTCAACTGCAAGTCTACCGACTGGTTGGCTAACCGTTTCTATTCATGACTATCAATCTTATTTCCTACTATCATGATTATCCAACACTCGATACTGTATTAACATGCTCTTTTGGCTCAAATATCTACACGATCCAATACTAATCAGTCGATCATGAACAATATCTGAATCTTTATTGTAAACGTTTGTGGTCATGGCAAATACAAATCAATCGACTAGACAACTGATGACTAAATCAGTCACACTCGTTATTTTATATTATTGCCAAGATATCAATGTGTTGACAGTTTGGATCCATTAATGTAATAACCATCGTGTTAGTTTAAACTACAACTCGCCTCTTGACCTGGCTAGTGCTTCAGGCTTTAAGCAAGATCCATAGCCTTTCTGGCAACCATCTCCACAATGAGATTTAGTCTTTCCACAGAATCCACTTCCAGAGCAGCATGTTTTGCCTGGACATTTGGTCTTGAATTCTTTTCCACATCGACCATCTGCACTAATTGGATAGTCAGTTTTTGGTGCTGGTGCTGGTGATTTAGCTAACAACTTGGCTAGTGCTTTGGGTGTCAGGCAAGATCCATAGCCTTTCTGGCAGTCTACTCCACAATGAGAAGGTGTTTTTCCACAGAATCCATGTTTAGAACAGCATATTTTTCCTGGACATTTGGTGTTGAATCCTTCTCCACATCGATTGTTTTTACTAATTGGATAGTCAGTTTTTGGTGATTTAGCTGATGATTTAGCTTTTGGTTGTGCTGGTGATTGTGCTGGTGGTTGTGATTTGACTGATGATTTGGCTAATAACTTGGCTAGTGCTTCGGGTGTCAAACAAGATCCATAGCCTTTCTGGCAGTCTATTCCACAATGAGATTTAGTCTTTCCACAGAATCCCTTTCCAGAACAGCATGTTTTGCCTGGACATTTGGTCTTGAATTCTTCTCCACATCGACCATCTGCACTAATTGGATAGTCAGTTTTTGGTGATTTAGCTGATGATTTAGCTTTTGGTTGTACTGGTGATTGTACTGGTGATTGTACTGGTGATTGTACTGGTGATTGTACTGGTGGTTGTACTGGTGGTTGTGCTGGTGGTTGTACTGGTGGTTGTGCTGGTGGTTGTGCTGGTGGTTGTGCTGGTGGTTGTGCTGGTGGTTGTAGTGAATAGGGTGGTCTACCACCATTCCAACAAACTCCATAATCTACCTGACAGCCCTCTCCACAATAACCGCTAGTTCTTCCACAAACTCCATTTTTAGAACAGCATTGCGCGTTTGGACACGAGGTATCGAGATCTGATCCGCACTGACCGTTTATACTGAGATAAGGTCCATCATTTGGTGGGTTAATTCCTAGGCAAGTTCCAAATCCGCGAACACATCCTATTCCACAATAATAGTCCGAGGTTCCACAGTATTGACTTCTGGAGCAGCATTGGTTGTTTTTACAACTCTTAACAACATCTCGCCCACACTTATTATTCAGATCGCGCGGAGCCTCGCCCTCTGCATAAGTTGTTGGACTGTATTTCCAACAACGTCCGTATCCTTTTTGACAGCCTGCTTCACAATAGTCCTCACCGAACCCACATTCCCCATCTTTGGAGCAGCAATCATTTGAACTGCATTTGGTGCCAAACTCTTTTCCACATTGACCGTCCATTGTATTTGGAAACCCGCTCTCTAAACTGAATGGCACGCTATAATCCCAGCAAACTCCGTATCCCTCCATACAGTTTGCGTGACAATGATGTTCATCATTGCCGCATCTCCCGTCTTTGGAGCAGCAACTCGATCCGGCACATTTGACACCGATATCTGGTCCACATTGGCGGGGAACAATTGTAAGACCGTTGGGTAAAGCAGTAGTTTTAGAAACTTCAAGGCAGAGTCCGTATCCAAACAAACATCCGTCTCGACAATAGTCATCATCGGCACTACAGAATCTATTCCGAGAGCAGCATTTATCGTCAGGACACCTAGTTTTGTATTCTGGTCCACATCGATCGTTTATACTGACTGCATGCTCGATACCCAAGACAGGCGACACGGTAGTTTTCCAGCAAGTTCCAAAGGGTTTTCGACAACCTGTTCCACAATAGTCAGCGGAAAGTCCACATAGTCCAGATTCAGAGCAGCAACTGTTGTCTGGACATGTGGTGCCAGTATGGGGTCCACATCGACCATTTGTACTGACTGTAGGCGGCATACCAGGTTGCCCAACTGTTTTAATAAAACCCGTTAGCATTCATGCCTGTGGATGATCAAATGACACATGGCTAGATAGTTCAAATCATACTTACAAACGACTGTAGCCAAAGCAGCAATCAGCACTGCATGTATAATCACCACCATATTTGTATTACAAGTCAAAAAATGATTGAATTGATAGATGAATACGCTATGTGGGAAAGCAGCACATTAAATACTTGGCTATTATAAGCATTCCTGGTTTCCAAGTTGAGTATCAGTTTAGGGGTGGATTTAAACTGCCATCGTATACCATGGTGGAGCACGTCGCGCCACTACACTAGATTGTTTGAAACTGAGCTTTATTTCATGGTGTCAGTGTTTGCATCATCAAGACTAGATTAGGTTGTTTCTACAGCAGGTACGGTGGCAATGCTAAACAGTCCAATCAAGATGGTTCAGTACTACCGCTGTATTTTAAGCCAACAGTTTATGCGCACTATGATGGCCGCATCCGGAAAATCACTAGTGTTAGGTGTGGATGGTATCAGCACACTTGTATAAACAGGTTTGATATCATACATAGTGTTTAACAGACATCTATCATGGATTGGCTCGCTGTACAACCATTCCATTTAAACTCGATGGATATCAATTTATCATATTGGAAAAATATAATATTTAATGAAACGTAACCAAGCAGTTACATATACTAGCAAACTGGTAATATATATCAATGCAGTAGAAACACTCGATCATTTTCCTGAAAATAATGGTATCACATTTATTACAAGTTAAATCCACTTCATTTCAGATTGCCATTTCACTGGCACAGTCACTATTGAACCAATATTGTATCAAATAATAACAGCTGTACATTGAATGCAATCAATAATATTCAGATCAACACGAGTCCCATCAATTCACAACACGATCAAATGAGTCAAATAGTATTGAATGTCAAACTGATAGTCTGTTAATCAAATGATTGAAAGTAGTATGACAATGGTCAAGCAAACAAAAATAAAACCATTGATATCAAATCGACATGATGTTGATTGGATAGTAATACAAGACTAGTACATCCAATGACTATTAGATTGCAATATTAAATTGTTGGCTGAATAGTATATAATTACAAATGGGGGTTCAGGAATTATAAAGACCACACCCAGATATGATTTAACCATTCTATTACTTTGCCTCTTGTTGAACTCTCTGATAATCCCACAATTAATAAGCCTTAATCGCAGGCCGAAATATCCGCAACTCAGAATCTCTTATAAAAGAGATTACTTTCCCTTGATTTAACACTATTGTGTTAACAACGTTTACACCAATAAAACCGTTTAACACACCACCTTCTTGTATCTCGTTAGCCTCGCTCAACCTTGAGCCGAAACTCCTCTTGACCTTCAACATGTAAACTTTTCAACATTTGCATATACTAATTTAATACTACTTGTATTATTTTGATTGGTTCAGAACCATAAAGTTTGATGACCCAATATTTGTTTTTATCGTCACAGAGCGACTGAAATAGAAATACTTTTCAAAGTATGGCTGTAACTATTTGATAAAACCAGTGTAGTCATTAGAATCAAACTGGAAACGTTTATTTTTTGAGAAATGGACATTCGTTCATTTTGATAAATCCCATGATAAAAATCGGACCGAGTTTTAATTAGATTTAATATCAATCATTGAGTTGCAAAGAACCCATGTCACAACTCCAATACTATTCAGTCAATATATTTAATAATCTGGATCAGAGTGTGTGTAAAGGTGATTCAGTGGTTGAGATACAATGATACCGTCATGCATTATATCCATTCAATCACTTTCCGTACAATATCAAGTGTATTCAACACAACTACTTTTGTAAATTCATGAATGGTTGATCGACGTGGTGGACCAATATCAATTTCCTTGAACATGCTATCAAATCCAAACTCAAAGAGAGAAGGTGTGAAATACGTTTGATCTACGCCCAATGTTGTTGCAGTGTGAGTATTAGTGATGGGTGGAGTTGTACAAGAAACATGTAGAGTTGGATCGGAGTAAAGGGCTGTATTATAGAAAGCGGAAACTGGAGTAGGTGGAGTCCAGATCAAGCGAGTCGTATCATTCGGCACTTGGATGTTTTCTAATGTGGATATGTTGAGTGGTACAAGCTCATGCGATTTTGTTCGTGTTGGATGAGTTAATAACAGCGATCGTCGTATGCTATCTCCAGGAGTGGGCAGAGCACCACTCTTTTCTAGTGGCAATGGTACAGTAGATGGCACATGGGGAAATAAAGGTGGAGGTTGCGTAGTTGGATTTATCAATGTACTGGTGGAGTTTCCCAATGGAGAATAGGATTTCAGTTGTTCCAAAAACTCTGGTGAAACTTGTTCATTTAAAACCGAGGGAAACGTGGCTCTACGTTTGATTTTACGAGCAACAGGGATTCCCGATTTTAATCGTTCGATTTTTTCAAGTTCTTCCTTGACATTATTTGTCACATTCTCGGCATTTTGTGTACACATGGCGTATCTCTGCTCAATGGTAGAGAGAAGGGGAGTAATGGCAAGGATGATGCGGTTCCGCAAAAGTTGCTCTTCAATTGTTGCACTCAATGCTTGCAATCGCACACTGTTGAGCTGTACAGTCAAAGTGAGTCGAGTATACCGCTGTCTTTGAACAAATTCAAGCTTTGACTCGTCCATCCGTTGCACCAATGGCTCAGAGTTTTCCAACAACTTGAATTCATGTTCTCCAGCAATCTCAGATGTGCAAACAGCCGCAGAATGAGGATCAATTAAGCCATTGTAAGTCAATTGATCCAGAGTCATTTCATATTCTTCTCTTGCATCAGAAAAAGCTTGCTCAATAAGAGTGCAGTCACGAAACTGTAATGTTAGATCTGACAGGACACAGAGTGGTCGAACAGGGATGCCCAGTTGGTCCAGTTCTTGGCGCCTAAAGCGATACTCGAACCTTAGCTGGGCAAGCGCTTCCAACCGATCCTGACATACACCTTGTAAAGCTTTGACTTTTACAACTTTATCGAAAAGAGACTGATTGATTTCAGTAAAATGGGTAGATATGTCGTAAATGGTCATTGCCGCGGATAGAATGGATTTATGCTGGTCCAATGCTTGGCAAATCAGCCCAGGAAGCAGTTGCTCTATTTCAGCTGCTGATGGCTCTTGAAAAATAGACTCGGTGCGTGATAGAATAGCTTCTTTAGTGATATTTGTCTCAGTTCCAGCAGATATTAATTCCAAGCTTTTTAATGGAGAAAAATGAACAAGATCATCAGCGGATGCCTGGTTTCCATCTTGCACACAGGATTCGTCATATCTCTGTTTGCCAAGTATATCTGCAGAGGACGATCCAACCGCACCAGTCTGGCGCAGAAACTCGACCCCAGGTATGGATTCAAATGACGCTTGTTGTTGAGAATTTTTTGACAGCGATGGTTTTTTAATCAATGGTGATCGATAAGATGGTTCTTGCCTGTCATGGCCTACATCGGCCAAATCCTCTGCAGTCGATTTAGCCCATTCAAACAACTTCTCTGTTGGAATTTTGAGTTTGCCAGTCTGAATACGAGACAGATGAGTAAAGTGCTCGTCAAAAGGTTCGGTAAACGGGACAGGATATCGAGTAGTGTCAAGAATATTTGGAGCAGATTCAATATGTGGTCTTTTTTCAAATATTTCATTATATTCCATGCAGGATGGAACTGTTTGGTCCTTGTGTAGTATGAATTGTGAAGACAAGTCGGTTGATTCTAGTTGTAATGTTGCTGATTCTGGTGGTGTGAGGGGTGCCATTGCATTTGCATCCAAAGTCTCCATTGAGACTGCCAAGTAGCGAACAGGAATAGCAGAAAGCGAGCCTTTATTAAAAGTAAATTCTAGATATGATAGTCTAAACTGAGATAATGCTGTTATTGGAGTTCTTGAATAAGATGCCCATTCCAATTTGAACAATTTGACAAGAAGCACCAAAAGCAAATCTGGCAAAGCGGAAGATGCAGTCTCGACCACTGAGTCTGCATTGGGCAACAGGAATCAGTATTCAGCTCTTTTGAATGGTATGCTTAGTCAAGATACAATTAACCATCTTTTGATAGCTGTTTCTACTACCATTTTGTCGAAAACTCTTAATATTAGCTCCAATCCGACTTTTAGACCAATTTGGTTGAAACTCGCATAGTTTAATATATATTTAACGACCATCCATAAGCATGACATATCCAGGTAAATCGTACTCCTAAATTAATCAAATTGATTTAGTCGGAATTAAACAACAAAATATAGAGCAGATGGATTAAAGCTTACTCGCATAACATGTGCCAGAAACGGCTTAATAAGAGCAAATGCGACTAAAGTTGTGGTCAGGATTATGAATGCATATACAATAATTTCATCCTTGAAACTTCCTCGTTCTAAAACAATCAAAAGGGTTAGAGTTGCCATTCTCTAAAACAAGATCCAATCATGGAGCTGGTAGTTGGATTCACATCTTATGTAGTCGAGTCGAATCCAAACACACATCTCGACATTTGGTTGATGCTAGTATCAAAAACTTACGAAAGCAAACAGCTGTCCAAGACTCATCTCCACGAAGTGTAGGCGATGGACTGGGTGATATACTCTCACTACTAGTACTGCTTGTTGCAGTCAAACTCACAGATGTTGTGGTAGCTGGTATATCCACTTTTGGTAATGGCATAAAACAGGCATTGCTCTCTATGCAAAAGAGCTTGGTGCATCCATTGCAGCTCGGTACACTAAGGATAGTGGAGTTGGGAGCACATTCACATTTGCAGAGAACAGTGACATTGGCTGCTGTAACGGATGTCGCTGTAAAAAATAGAAAGAGTGTCATTGTCAAGATCTTTGATAGCCAAATATTTGATGCTGGCAATGCTGATGTGTTTGTCATGTCAATGTAATACAATCAAACTGTGCATTGGCTTCAAGAGTCGAGCAAGGTTGAAAACAGGCTTGAATCTATGATAAAAACTTGCTCAAACTTGTATTTTCCATCAACATGTTGTTGTCCATCTGAAATCACTATTGTTAAACATATGGACCGACATTTTATTAAAAACTTGATATATGAACATCTCAAAACTATAAACACTTTTGATGTCAAACCACTGATACTATCAACACTTTGATATGTCGAATCGTCTATTAGAATCAATGCCAAGCATACTAGATATTAATAAATATGTCCAAACAGTAATACCAATCGATTTGGTTACAATGTGTTCCAATTGATCCCACTCGGCGCATCTCATAATGCCTCGAGTGCAATACGCTCCAGTGTCTCGGTTTCCATTTGTGGCAAAAAATCAAACACAAATCGTAGCTCGTCTAACCCAAAAGGCCGGTGCAGTGCTTCAAGTGCTTCAAGTGATGAAATCGTCGATGCCAGTGTGCATTGAGATGGCTTGACGTGACAATCTGTCAACTGTGATGCTGACCAATCCGTCGTTGTACACATCGACTGGACTGCATTGTCGCCAGATTTGGATGTATTGGCTATACAGTTACAATTCACCACAATCAATCAAACGAGTTTACATCTGGTGCATATACGATTGCTGATATCCATTGCAATCACAACATGCATTCAAAGTGTTCAGTCAACTATTCTTACTCATCACCAAATCCGATCCGTTTACAACCGACTTGGATGTCTTTGTAGTAATCAATGCACGCTTTTTTGGGTTTGGTTTACATTGCAACGACGCAGCTACCAACGGATCGGTCGGTGCATAATCACTAGCAGTCGTGGTACGCATAGCACGGAGCGGAGTCAGTGCTCGCAAAATAGCCTGCAACAAGTTCTTGAGATAATTCTGTAAAGGAATCAACAATAGCGACACATCAAGCACGGCTCAATCAACACATTCGAAATGTAATGGTCGGCTTACATCAAGTGCAAATGAAATCAGTTTGGCTGATTCCGGCGTAGGTGGATCTCCCAGTCCTTGAATTCCACTTATAAACCGGAGTCGTTGCTCAAGCATATCCATCAATGGAAGATCGCCTTCATCCTTGCATGACCTAGGAATCGAATCTATTCCTAATGTCATGATGTTGGAGTGAGTTACTGTTTGCAAATCTGGACATTCAAACGTTACATTAGAACCGAGACTAGAGCAAGTATGCATACCAACAGGGAATCCGTTTGGAAAGAGCACTTTCTTGGAAGGCGGCAAAACCGGTTCATCTTTATGCTTCTGCAAGGTTTATACCAACACGCATCAACACTGAATTAACAGCTTGTATTGCAACACAATGTTGGATACCAATCTAAATGGACTCGAATCCTTACCACAATACCCAGTCCAATGAGTCGTTGACGATCTTGAGAAGAAAGCGACATGATCATGGCAGTGGTAAAGCGTTTCTTGATCTCCATGGGAGATAGCAGTTCTTCCTGAGCAGGACGTTTCAAAGAGTCTGCGATCGAAGTGACGGATATTTCGATGGGAGCAGCAAATGCCAGACTATTCTTTGGAACAAAGTCAGTGTCGGGTGGGCCAGTTGGTGGAGGAACACCAGCTTGTAAGTTGTAGCATATGGCCAAGATGAGTTTATTGTGTAGACTCGCTAACATTCCAATGCATGAGATGAATGAGATGATGAATGGTTGTGATGGACATGAACATTAATATGAATATCAATATGAACATCAACATTAATATGAACATGGCAAGAGCCAATTCAGGAATATCAACATGACGGGTATGAGGATCACATACGAGACCATGAATACAGTACAATGAATGATACATGGAACAGGTTACCTTGAACACCAGTAAGCATGTCCACTGTCGCCATATCAAAGCTCTGTTTAGAGCAGCGACCATTCAAGAATGAACGCAGTAATGACCAGTAAGCCGGTGCATGAAATGGACCCAAAGAATCAGCAAGTTCCTGCTTGATAGCTGTCAAGTCCATACGATGCAATGGCGTATGATGCATAGTATCTGGCTGGATATGAACCGTTCCTGTTCCCATTATGTATCGAATTTCTTGGTACTTGTTCCAACAGTCCTGATAATCCTGTTAGTCTTGATAACCCTAATAATCCTGATAACCCTAATAATCGTTATCAAAGCCTTTCAACTGCAAGTCTACCGACTGGTTGGCTAACCGTTTCTATTCATGACTATCAATCTTATTTCCTACTATCATGATTATCCAACACTCGATACTGTATTAACATGCTCTTTTGGCTCAAAGATCTACACGATCCAATACTAATCAGTCGATCATGAACAATATCTGAATCTTTATTGTAAACGTTTGTGGTCATGGCAAATACAAATCAATCGACTGGGCAACTGATGACTAAACCAGTCACACTCGTTATTTTATATTATTGCCAAGATATCAATGTGTTGACAGTTTGGATCCATTAATGTAATAACCATCGTGTTAGTTTAAACTACAACTCGCCTCTTAACTTGGCTAATGCTTCAGGCTTTAGGCAGAATCCATAGTTTTTCTGGCAACCATCTCCACAATGAGATTTAGTCTTTCCACAGAATCCACTTCCAGAGCAGCATGTCCTGTCTGGACATTTGGTGTTGAATCCTTCTCCACATCGACCATCTGCACTAATTGGATAGTCAGTTTTTGGTGCTGATGCCTTTGGTTGTACTGGTGCTGATGCTGATGATTTGGCCAATAACCTGGCTAGTGCTTCGGGTGTCAAGCAAGATCCATAGCCTTTCTGGCAACCATCTCCACAATGGAAAGGTGTTTTTCCACAGAATCCATGTTTAGAACAGCATATTTTGTCTCGACATTGGGTGTTGAATCCTTCTCCACATCGATTGTTTTCACTAATTGGATAGTCAGTTTTTGGTGCTGGTGCTTTTGGTTGTGCTGGTGCTGATGCTGATGATTTAGCTAATAACCTGGCTAGTGCTTCGGGTGTCAAGCAAGATCCATAGCCTTTCTGGCAGTCTATTCCACAATGAGAAGGTGTTTTTCCACAGAATCCCTTTCCAGAACAGCATTCTTTGCCTGGACATTTGGTGTTGAATCCTTCTCCACATCGATTGTTTTGACTAATTGGATAGTCAGTTTTTGGTGCTGGTGCCGATGTTTTTGGTTGTGCTGGTGATCTGGGTGGTGGTGTTTTAGCTGGTGGTGGTGGTTGTAATTCATAGGGTGGTGTATCACCACCCCAACAAACTCCATAATCTCTCTGACATTCCCTTCCACAATAACCTTTAGTTTCTCCACAGACTCCATTTTTAGAGCAGCATTGCGCGTCCGGACATACAGTATCGAGATCTGATCCGCACTGACCGTTTATGCTGAGATAAGGTCCATCTCTTGGTGGGTTAATTCCTAGGCAAGGTCCAAGTCCGCGAATACATCCTACTCCACAATAATAGTCCGAGGTTCCACAGTATTGACTTCTGGAACAGCATTGGTTGCTGTTCCTACATTTCCCATCACCACCGAGATCTCGCCCACACTTATTATCCAGATCGCGCGGAGCCTCGCCCTCTGCATAAGTTGTTGGGCTGTATTTCCAACAACGTCCGTATCCTTTTTGACAGCCTGCTTCACAATAGTCCTCATCGGATCCACATTTCCCATCTTTGGAGCAGCAATGATTGGAATCGCATTTGGTGTTAAGCTTTTTTCCACATCGACCGTTTCTGGACATTGGAATCCCGCTCTCTAAACTGAATGGCACGCTATTGTCCCAGCAAACTCCGTATCCCTCCATACAGTTTGCGTGACAATGATGTTCATCAGCTCCACATCTCCCGTCTTTGGAGCAGCAACTCCTTCCGGCGCATTTGACACCGATATCTGGTCCACATTGGCGGCGACCAATTGTAAGACCGTTAGGCAAAGTAGTGGGATCAGAAACTTCAAGACAGAGTCCGTATCCAAACCGACAGTTGCGTCGACAGTCGTCATCATCGATACTACAAAACTTATTCGAAGAGCAGCATTTATCGTCAGGACACCTAGTTCCGTAACCTGGTCCACATCGATCGTTTATACTGACTGCATACTCGTCACCCAAGACAGGCGACACGGTAGTTTTCCAGCAAGTTCCAAAGGGTTTTTGACAACCTGTTCCACAATAGCCAGGGGAAAGTCCACAGAATCCAAATTGAGAGCAGCAACTGTTGTCTGGACATGTGGTGCCAGTATGGGGTCCACATCGACCATTTGTACTGATTGTGAACGGTTTAGCAGGCGGTTTAATTGTGGGCAGTTTAGCAGGTTGTCCAACTGTTTTAATAAAACCCGTTAGCATTTATGCTTGTGAATGATCAAATGACACATGGCTAGATAGTTCAAATCATACTTACAAACGACTGTAGCCAAAGCAGCAATCAGCACTGCATGTATAATCACCACCATATTTGTATTACAAGTCAAGAGATGATTGAATTGATAGATGAATACGCTATGTGGGAAAGCAGCACATTAAATACTTGGCTATTATAAGCATTCCTGGTTTCCAAGTTGAGTATCAGTTTAGGGGTGGATTTAAACTGCCATCGTATACCATGGTGGAGCACGTCGCGCCACTACACTAGATTGTTTGAAACTGAGCTTTATTTCATGGTGTCAGTGTTTGCATCATCAAGACTAGATTAGGTTGTTTCTACAGCAGGTACGGTGGCAATGCTAAACAGTCCAATCAAGATGGTTCAGTACTACCGCTGTATTTTAAGCCAACAGTTTATGCGCACTATGATGGCCGCATCCGGAAAATCACTAGTGTTAGGTGTGGATGGTATCAGCACACTTGTATAAACAGGTTTGATATCATACATAGTGTTTAACAGACATCTATCATGAATTGGCTCGCTATACAACCATTCCATTTAAACTCGATGGATATCAATTTACTCCAAAAATATTCATGGATCATTCATCCATTCACCGACTGAATGATGACGATCTGTTGCAGGAACAACAGCATCTAGCTCAAGTGGTTGCTACATATAATGCATACCGACGCTCATCCATTCTCGTTCTTGAGCACAAGATAGCTGCCATTCCACAAAAACCCCTTTACGACCAAGTTCGAGCCAGACTTCATTCCCATATACATTGCATCAACCATAATGCCCATCTATTAAATTTGATTACTAGCGAGCACCAAAATGAGTTTCTGCAGTCATTATTGCCTGATAATGGTCAAAAGGATGAGACTGACCAACATAACAAACAGTTGAACAAACAGTTGGACAAACAGTTGGACAAACAGTCGAACGATCATTCGCAAAAATATACGCAGCTTCAGTTAAAGGTTTCAGATGATTATCATATTACTGAGGGTGATCTAAGCAAAGTCCAATCAACAATCAGACAGTTTGTACGAGATTGGTCTGAAGAGGTATGGCTACTGGATGGTATGAATCTGTGAGTAGGTCTGACCACTGCTGTATTTTGGTTTAGGGACGAGTCGAACGGACAAATGTCTATGGTCCCATTCTAGACTTTATGAATTTATATTATGCTCATGTTCCGCTGCAAGAGAGGTATGCCATACTACGATGCATATCTGTAGTCCAAGTCTCGCTAACAAGTATAAACCTGGTTAGAGGGGAAATTCATGTTTTGATACCTGGATCTGGCTTAGGCAGGCTGGTATTTGAAACTGTTGCCAACGGATTCTCTTGTCAAGGAAACGAATTCTCCATGTATATGGTATACACATGCATAAGCTTTACTGATTTGATTGACAGTCGTATTCATGTAAAATGGAGCATTATCTTGCAGTGATTGCTTGTTGTTTCGGAAGACAATAGTTGAATGAGTGTTATGCTTTCCTATTAAGAATCGACTGCTTTTGATGGGATTTTCAACTCTTTCCAACAACGACCATCGTATAATGCACACAGTATAGTTTGAACCGAGATTCTCCATTTTGATAGTCATACGTTGTACGATCACCAGATATTGGATTCTGATGTTGTCAATCAACATTCTTGCTGTATTCTAAAGACTTGCAGATACGTTTGTGGTTTAGTTCAAAACAGCAAATCACAGCTGTTGTTTGCATGTCAATCACCAGTCAACTAAAAGAGTTTAGAAGATACAATGTTCAGTAAGATTGATACCAATCAAACATGAAACTGTGCGTTTATTATGTATTTTGACACTTATTTAATGTTGCACTTTACGTGAATATAACTGTAATTCTATAAACTACAACTCGGCTTTTGACTTGAGCACTGTTTTAGCTTTTGAGCAGGATCCAAAACTTTTCTGGCAATTTTTCCCACAATGAGAAGGAGTTTTTCCACAGAATCCTTTTCCAGAGCAGCATTTTTGACCTGGACATCTGGTGCCGAACTTTTTTCCACATCGATTGTTTTTACTGATTGGATGCTTAATGTTTGATTTGGGCAATACCGATATCAGGTCGGTTGATGTTCCAGCTTTTGAGCAGGATCCAAAGTCTTTCTGGCAATTTTTCCCACAATGAGAAGGAGTTTTTCCACAGAATCCTTTTCCAGAGCAGCATTTTTGACCTGGACATCTGGTGCCGAACTTTTTTCCACATCGATTGTTTTTACTGATTGGATGCTTAATGTTTGATTTGGGCAATACCGATATCAGGTCGGTTGATGTTCCAGCTTTTGAGCAGGATCCATATCTTCCTTGACATCCTACCCCACAGTGATAATTACTTGATCCACAGACTCCACCTATAGAGCAGCATTTTTTGTCTCCACATCTGATATTGACATCTGGTCCACAGCTGTTACTCGGGTTATATACAAAATTGCTATTCAAAATAGACGGTGTATTAGTACCCCAGCAATCTCCATATCCTTTCTTGCATCCGGCTTGGCAATAATAGCTGCCAAGTCCACAGTATCCTTTTTTAGAACAGCATCGATTTTTGAAGCATTTGATTTTAAACTCTGGTCCACATTGTCCGTCATATATGGTAACCTTGCTAGATAGAGTAATAGAGCTACGAATTTCTGAACATAATCCGTATCCAATCTGACATCCATCTCCACAATCGCTATCGGAGTGGCCGCACATATTATTTTGAGAGCAGCAACTGTTGCCTGGACATGTGGTACCCAACTTTTTTCCACATCGACCATTTGTACTGACTGTGAACGACATACCAGGTTGTCCAACTGTTTTAATAAAACCCGTTAGCATTCATGCCTGTGGATGATCAAATGACACATGGCTAGATAGTTCAAATCATACTTACAAACGACTGTAGCCAAAGCAGCAATCAGCACTGCATGTATAATCACCACCATATTTGTATTACAAGTCAAAAAATGATTGAATTGATAGATGAATACGCTATGTGGGAAAGCAGCACATTAAATACTTGGCTATTATAAGCATTCCTGGTTTCCAAGTTGAGTATCAGTTTAGGGGTGGATTTAAACTGCCATCGTATACCATGGTGGAGCACGTCGCGCCACTACACTAGATTGTTTGAAACTGAGCTTTATTTCATGGTGTCAGTGTTTGCATCGTCATGACTAGATTAGGTTGTTTCTACAGCAGGTACGGTGGCAATGCTAAACAGTCCAATCAAGATGGTTCAGTACTACCGCTGTATTTTAAGCCAACAGTTTATGCACACTATGATGGCCGCATCCGGAAAATCACTAGTGTTAGGTGTGGATGGTATCAGCACACTTGTATAAACAGGTTTGATATCATACATAGTGTTTAACAGACATCTATCATGGATTGGCTCGCTGTACAACCATTCCATTTAAACTCGATGGATATCAATTTATCATATTGGAAAAATATAATATTTAATGAAACGTAACCAAGCAGTTACATATACTAGCAAACTGGTAATATATATCAATGCAGTAGAAACACTCGATCATTTTCCTGAAAATAATGGTATCACATTTATTACAAGTTAAATCCACTTCATTTCAGATTGCCATTTCACTGGCACAGTCACTATTGAACCAATATTGTATCAAATAATAACAGCTGTACATTGAATGCAATCAATAATATTCAGATCAACACGAGTCCCATCAATTCACAACACGATCAAATGAGTCAAATAGTATTGAATGTCAAACTGATAGTCTGTTAATCAAATGATTGAAAGTAGTATGACAATGGTCAAGCAAACAAAAATAAAACCATTGATATCAAATCGACATGATGTTGATTGGATAGTAATACAAGACTAGTACATCCAATGACTATTAGATTGCAATATTAAATTGTTGGCTGAATAGTATATAATTACAAATGGGGGTTCAGGAATGAAGCAGAGATAGTATAGTGGCAGTACTCCACGTTGTGGCCGTGATGGCCCCGGTTCGATTCCGGGTCTCTGCATTTTGCATTTTTTGTTGTACAAATCAAGACACAATTTTGGTAAAGTTTTAATAGAATCTGAATTGCCAACATTTCAAGAACGATTCGAATGAATTCTTCGCATTCTGGTACAAAAAATCACATCAACTTTTGACATATTTAGTAAGATGGTCTTGCTTCCAAAAACGGTATTATTCAATGCTCTCTATATACTACTACTGAGATTTAACCTGATAAAAATCATAGCCTAAATCAAGATGTTTTATCAGATTGCTACTTACACCTGATTGTAGATCAATGTGGCAGTTTTCACATTCCTAATCATATTACACCAATAGTCAACTACAGGTCCACGTTGTTGTCACTGGTCATTTCATCACATCTGTCAAGAATAGTCTTGTTTAGCCAAGCGCTTCCTGGATTTGAAACACTTTTATGATTCAAGATCAGCTAATGTAAAGTGATATGCTATCTGTACTAGTGTATTACAAGACGATTAGCCAACGCTAACCAATCACAAGACACAATACCATTCATTAATTGGTGTGCAGGGTTTAGTATGGCGGATTGTGTTGACTGAATAAGTTGAACTAAATTATAAAGCACAACTATTGATATCGACAGCAAATTCATTCAAGGCACCAAAGATATTAGCATCAGACTATTCATCGTAGTGTTTACGATCATTGGAAGAGCGATCGCCATTACGGTCGCCACCACGGTCACCACCACGGTCACCAGAAGGACGGTCATATGGCTTGCTAAAGGGCTTGCGGTCTCCATATTCACGACGCTCGCCGCGATCACCACCTCTGAAAGAAGATCTTTCGCCACCATGCTCACGACGGCCACCACCTCCAAAGCGATCACCCCCACGATCACCTCCGCGATCACCCCCACGATCGCCTCCGCGATCTCTACCACGATAACCACCACCATCACGAGGCGGGCGGGGATTAGAGATATCAACGCGAACGGTACGACCATCAAGTTCTTGATCGCGCATTTTTTCAACAGCTTCTTCAGCACCCTTGGGCTCGGCGTACTCGACAAACCCAAAGCCCTTGGAGCGGCCTGGGTTAAATGATAAAAAATTGTGCAACAACCATGCCAAAACAACATGGTTATTTGCGTAAAGCGTAGTCATGTGAATATGTTAGGAATTTAAAATATAGGTCATCGGTCCAAGCATAGATGCTGTAAAGGATAGTCCAAAAGACGTTTTGTGAATCGAAACTAAATTCCAAGATATAGACAAGCTGTGCAAGAACTCTCGGAATAGAATGAAAATGTGCTAGACATATGACGAATCCAAAGGAATCAGAATATGGCCCTGATACAACAAGGCGCTTTCTAGTAGCAACAACACCCACGAGTATATTCGACCTGACAGTTTGAGTGCCAAAACAGGGATCGACGACAGCAAGTGTAGTTATACACTTGCTACGGAGAAGCCAGGATAAACATACGCAATAAAATATCGTTCAAGCAGATAGTGCGCTCATCACATAGGAAATCCCAGTTTTGAATTGAATGCATTCTAATACTAAATAAAAGGCCTTTGGATAGTGTGGGACAGGGATAGCGTACTGAGTTTAAATCAAAATGGGTTCTACACAAAGATGGATTGGAATAGTCGAGCCAGATATTTGGTTTTACAGCCATATTCATATAAAATGGAACACCCAATAAAGGTACCCAAGTGCATAATAAACAGCTAAACAAATGTTCAAAACAGCACACACATCGCAGCTCTAGTAAGCCTCACATTAGAGCAGTTGAACCCAATATCTGGATTGCAATGGATGAATCTGAAGATCGTACAATGTATGGCTATGCCAAAAGAGGGAAAAAGCAGGCTCAAAAAAAAGAGAATTTCAGTTCAAAACTATTTGATTTTGAGCATTGTATGATGGATGTTGTTGGAGGGAGTTGAGAAGGTCCACAAAGTCAATTTCTAGTAGGAAAGTGCAGCGAGTGTCTAACATTGTTATTCTGAAGCAGGGAGACAGTGCAAAATGCAAGTATTCCATTTTACATGAATACAGCTGTAAAAACATGCCGAATTAGTGGAATTTAGACAGCAAAAAGACAACTCCCAAGCCAAACTAAGTACAGTCGAGTGATGAGGAGACTTGAATCAATAGTCACTCAACATAGCTACACAAGCAGTTGACTAAAGATAGTATGGTGCAACACTGTGTCTTCAACGCATCAAGAGATGGATGTGATATTAGAGTGAACATCAGCATGAACAGATAAACAGCCAATGTAAGACAAGAGCCTGTATAAGCATATTCCAAACAGTATAGATAATAATGGCAAAAAGACTTCTAGTAGAACTAGCACTGTAGAATATCAGTCATTTCATGGCGCCGAACCTGTTTCCCGGTCCATGATAACAACAGCAGAAACGATTTCGCCAAACTCCTCAAAGCGAGTACGTAGAGAAGAGTCAGTAGTGTCCCATGAGAGGCCACCAACGTATACTTTAACAGACATTATTCAAAGAGTTGATCAAAAAGTAGATGTGTAGCAAAATATTAAAAAATAGAGTTTAAGAAAAAAAGGGTCGAACCAGCAATGTTGAATAGCGTGGCAAACAGACCAATAGATTCACAGCTTTGGCAGTCGAATCGTTGCACTATTGAGTTTATTTCAAGCTCTATAACAGGATAGCCATCCTTGAATATTAGATATATCGCTGTCAGATATGGGGTTGCCTTGCAAGTGAATTTCCTTTAGAGTAGGATGTTGCTTTACGCCTTCTGCATCCGATGCACTTGAAATACCTGCATTCACGCAAATGGCATTAAGTACCAAGTTGATTTTTCAGAAAAACTCATAAAAGGTATACTACTTACAATTACGCTGCAGCGATATCGATTCAAGTCGGACAAGATTATGGAGAGTTTTTGGCAGAGATTTGATGGAGTTGTCATCCACAATAAGCTTCTCGATAAGAAGAAGCGACAAGGCAAAATCAAGGCTGCAAAGACAGTTTCCAGACAGATTCAGATTGGTCACAAGTAATAGTGGTGTGGTATTTGGAATAACGCTCAATCCAAGGTTCATTGGATGGCGACTCACTTTGGTTTGAAAGTGTGCTTCCGATACAGATTTGTCACTATCAACTACATGAGCTCCAATAGAATCAACATAATCAGCCCACACAAAGCGAGATCCTAGTCAAATCAATTGTGTAAATATGGCTTAGCTATCATCGATATTATAAAATTAGAATAATTAAACCAAATTCCTTTTGATATCAAAAATTCTTACGCCAGTCTCTATAATAGTTTGTACGAAGTGGATCAATCTCGGCTAGCCGGTTAAGAATTTTAGAGGCAGATTTAGCATGTTTGGCAGAGTCAACGTGCTCATAAATGTATACTAACGTCAACAAAGGCCCTATTATAACATGGAAATACAAACATGTAAGAGATACAAGTTCAATCAGACAAGTTTACAAATCCAATTACTTACATTTGCTATCTGGCTCAATTTCTGACAGTTGCTCAATGAAACTCAGTTCTTCTTGCCATACAGAGTTCGACTGCATCATTTGTGTGCTTACTGATTGCTCACATAACATGACGTTCATCCAAGTGGTTTTTGACCCCATCGTTCCATGAATGGTTGTGGTGCTCGAGTTCAAATCTAGGCGATTTCCAGAAAATCGACCCGAATCAATAACCATATTCAGTATTGATTTTTCATTAATTAAAGTCCCCAGATCAAGTATGTGAAGTCTGCCATAAGTCGGAGTCTTGATATGCGCATGATGCACTTTTCCATTAATGGTGAAAGCGAACGGAAGAGTTGACTGATTTAATTTAGCCTCCTGGTTAAACAGGATAGCCAGTATACAGTTTTTTGCATTTCCAACTCCTGGTACCATAAATGCGCATACAATACTCAAAGGTATAGCATCTTTCAAATTATGCCAAATGTTAATGCAAAATCAAGGTTTACAAAATTCCAAGTATTAGATTCATGCTGTTTTCACCTTTTCCAAGAAGCCAGCGCTGATAAAGCCATGCAGATTGGTCCGCAGGTTCAGTAAATACGGCATTACGTACAATCTCAAGATCTAAAGAATATATTATAAATAAGACAATGTTAGATTAGGCAAATTATGTATATACACTGCTTATATACCTTGTGATATGGCAGTATTGCAAGATTTTGGATCAATAAAAATCCATGGAAACAACTTGCTACGATAATGCCAGGCGGAATAGTTTGAAAAGTTTTGATTAATCTTGTTAAGCGTATACTCGAATTCTTGTTGTGGTTTCCTCGTTTTGATTTCGGCAACAACATATCGACGATAGTCCCACCCATGAACTGATTCAATTCATATTGAATCAGTAAAAACTCGGTCAATATCTTATATAGTATACGTGACTAAAATGTCTACCGTTTAAAACTACATAATGGCTTACAGTTACGAGCATCCAGATCCAACATGTAGTCGAGCAATTTCAATTCTCGTTCCCAGCTTGGATTCGGCATGTGTTGAAGAGTCCAACGTCGATGATTCCATACCCAATACGATTTCGGAGCTCCTTGCAGAAGCTGCTCGGTAAGTCTAAGTTCTATTTCACAATCCGTTTGTACTTGATCAGGTTCACTAGATTGATGACTGTACAGTAAGTACTGGATACAGGTCTCAAGTTGAGCACATACGCCAATATATTTACATTTCTTTGTGCATATGAACCAGAATATCTCGACGAAAGTTCCAGATGGTATAAAACTCTGGGTTTTGGGTCAAAAGTGTTGTAGTTACTTGTAGAGATTCGTTATCGAGTTTGGAATGAGCTCGCTATTTAACATTGAATACAAGTGTATGCAGTAAAAACAAAGTCAGGAGTAGCTGGAACAAGTGAAGGATTAATGCTGGTAGACGTACCAGATCTGAAGCAACTTGGCATAGTTCTTGGTATGCAACAATCTTGCCATGCTCTCGTTCAACCTTGAGGGCTAGAGCATCGGCTGTTGTGGGTATTTTCTTTTGCCCATGCTGAATTAAAAGAATAAGATATGCTGAATGTACATTCGACAAACGATAGTTCATATAGCAAGATGCATTGCCATACCTGGCCATACGCAGACATTGTTGGCTAGATGGCAAAACAACTTGGAATGGATCGCGATGGATAACTGCATTGGCATCGCACTCAACCGGGAATATATTCTAAACCAATCTTTTATTCACCAATCGAGACATTCCAAATCAGCCAAACAAAAGTCAATTCATATCTGGCTCAATAACCATTAATAGTCTGGATGCAAGAAGTTTCATCAAATCACCCCAGCCACTGCCATCTCCAGAATGAATAATCGACAAAGCTACTCGATGATCCAGTCTGCATACAAAGTAGGTAAAATCTACATTGCGATCATAAAATGTGATGCTGTTTTGAACACCTAGGTAATTGTCCTGGGCTGCTTCGTATTCGGTACCAGAAAATCTACGTTGGTGGGTCTGAGATGACCGCCATAGACTGCCAAAAATATTTGCAATTATCGTGCTATGTCGTGATACACTAGCGGCTCCTTTAACAGGCTGCGTGAAAAACTTGTGGTGTGACTGTAAAATGGAGATGATGTTTGCCATGTGTCGTGCCCAAAATTCACCAGAAAGATCCTACAACATTCAAGATAAATTCTAGATAAATTTGTAAAAACAACACTATGGAGTGTCTGTATACATGTTTATGACTCATACCATGGGGTAGCTCATTATTCGAGAAAAAGACTGTATTCCTTTACTTGTATAATCATTTAAAGCGGTTCCCTGACATACAAACCCATCGGTATATACCGAGTTATCTTTTGGGATGAAAATGAGCGAAACATTAGATGGCTTTGCAATTTGCTCATATTCCAAAATTCTACAGATAGCAAGAACCAAAGTAGATGAATCAATCCGTATATTGCATCAAATATAATCAAAAGTATTTATGCAGTCGCTACATACGGTAAAAGATATTCGGGTTCAACATCATCTGGAAAATGAACCTTGCGACCATTCAAAAAAGTGCTTGCTATCTGCCGTGGATGTATTACATTGAAGAAATACAATGCGATTTTGACGGAAATCCACTTGAATAGCTTTTGAAAAATCACTGCTAAATTCCCTGTTTTCAATGATCGAATATTCTAAATAATGGATATATACAGTTGTAGTTACAAGTAAATATTTCAAAACTTTCTGTGGTCCACATGGGCATTTTAGATTTAAAAACTAGATGGACGCTCACAATAGTATGCCGAACCAATCCTCGGTATTTCAGCAGCAAACTTTTTCCCAAATGAAAATTAACAACAGAGTTTTGAAAGTGATGATCTTGCACGGCAATGCTAGATAATATCAAGTGTTTGCATAAAAAAAGCTCCATTCTAGACACCTCCAACATAGTTGCTGTTAATAAACATAAGACGCGAATGTTGGATATGAGGTTTTTGCGTTACCGTACCCAATGACTTCGCCAAGAATACCCAATGGTTTAAGAGATTCTTCATTATAGAGTTTTTCTGTAATTTCTTCCATTAAACTCGCAAGTCGGATTGGATCTGATGCGATATTTTGAAAAAGTATGAGCAAACTAGATGTCATAAGTATTAGTATATTCACTCGAGATAAACCAAGCAAACTAAAATGGGGCACATACATATAGACAAATTGTTGTCGAAGAAGAGCAAATCTCTTTATTGCTTCCAAAATTGAATAGATCCGTGCATGGCTGATGGCATTTGTCATGTGGGAGTTGTGCAGTTTTGTCAAGGCAGTATTTGCATCTGAATCTAATTTTCCAAATCCAAAGTCTACCGTCTGAGGTTTAAAATACCCTGTTAGCTTTCAATGCATTTTGTATTGAAATACAAGTGATCATATGACTCCATACTCGGTATACCTTTTTATAATGGGGCGAGTTTTGCCCAAAGCGAAAGATGAAGAAATTCGACTCGCACACAAGTAGATCCGAGAATATGTTGAATAAAAGTGATTTCGTACTGTGAATTCCCTGATTAAGCTAGTTAGTATGCTCTTCAAGACAGGATCAATCCTGCCAAAATATACTATATAGCCATGCTCTATTTAGTGGATATAAACTCCAGCATTTTCTGATGTATTGGAGAATGCTGAAAAGCATATCATCTGATATATGAATAACCAGCACAGGCCAAGAATTGCTTACTTCAATACGTTGATGAAGTATATACTCTATGGCTCCATGAAAGTTTTTCGTGGCAACATTCAAAAGAACCGGATTTACATCTGCGTCCAAGTTCAAAACACTAGCCATTGCTGATGACTTTTGGATATTCCAAGAAACGAATGCGATGTTCAATCAATTGCTGGAATATCGTGCACGATCAAACGGTTTAGTGCCAACACGATAGTCACGTGAACTGGAATAAGTTGAATCCGCTCATTGCAGATATCAACTTCTGCATATTCAACCACTTTGGTCTGGTCAATTACCAAACCCGCTGCCATGTCTCGTCAGCGCCATGTTCCCCAAAAGCTGCTTACTAAAGATATAATAGCTCATTGGTCTACTCATGGACGTACGACAATGTATAGTTTTTCATTGGGTCTGGTTAAATCGCCTGCATTTTGCTAATATTCAAATACTAGAAATTGTAGTGCCGATCTATGTCCAAATGAAACTCATTATTTACTAACCACTGCCTGTTTTGTATCATGCGCTCATTGGATGGGTTTGAACCTCTTGTAAATAATTATTGAAATCTCCAGATTCGACAAGGCCAGCCATTTCTTTGTTAATGACAAAACTGCCGATCCTGCCTTGGCTTCAACTAGAATGGCATGCTTGCGCTCACTTCTCTATGAAGCTATTATCTCAGTAATACAAGAGCAACTTAGTCCGATTCAAGTTGCCGAGTTTTGTTATCTTTTGTACACTGATGTTGCAAAACATTCTCCAGGACTTTCCCGCGACTCCCCATTCGGATATGTTGGTGCATCTGACACTCACGAGCCACTGTGTATTCCGTCAATCCTAATCGATGTGATATCAATGCTTGATGTTTCTCCAGATGTAAGACCCGGAAGCACGACTACCGATCATACTAAGTTGATTGGTCAGCGACGATCTCGTCTGGTCGACTTTACAAAACAAATCATTGTATGTTTACAGCTTCCCAACTAAAATCTAAACTATCTGTTTTTTATATATTCCCATGTGAATTCCTATTCATGTTTAGCTTACTGAATTTACATTCATTGTTTGATTCTGATTTAGGCTCGTGACTTTATTCCAGTGTCTATTTTTATTGAACGGCTTGAGATTGAATTCCTCGGATTGATTGGCATCATTGCAAATGCAGCTGTTTTTGGTCGCAAAATTATTCGCAGTAATACAGCACTATTGTATAAGCAAAACAAATTCAATCTTTTGCGCGAAGAGTCTGAAGGATATTCAAAACTATTAATTGAGCTGACTTGTGATCTTCCTCAGCCGCTTGATATATACTGGGCAGCAGATAAGGGTAGAAAATCACACTCTGATTTGGCCATTTTGCGAAACAAGCACATATGCGAAAGAACTCTCATAGTTATTCGAAATATTCAAAGTCTCATTGGGTCATTTGATCTAGATCCCAACAGAGTTTTGGACATCATACTTGATGTTTTTATTGCAAATGTTTTGGACTATTGGGATTTTTTTATCGAGCTGTTACTTCAAGGTCCATGGAAACCACGAACGGTCAAACAAAAGGTCAAAAAACTAACTCGGGCTTCTGATTCATCAGAAATCATTGAAGAAGAAGTTGAAGTAGAGACACTGGTCGGACGCGATATGGTTGGACAGATTCTGGGATTTAAATTCCAGTTTTATAATTCTTCAGAAGCAGCTCAACCTACTCCACAGCAGCTAGTTTGGGTTTCAGCCATTTTGATCAAGCATAAAATGGTACAGTTATCCCAGCTATACCCGCATCTCAGCTCAGCAGACTCTACTAACGAAGCAGATTTTGAAGAGTATTGCAATGAGTTGAAAGTAAAGTGCAGTACAGCAGGAAGATATGCGACCTCGTCACTCTCTGGCACGCTTGGCGAAGATGGCACAGGATTGTCTGCACCAATAACTAGCAAAGAAACTATTCAGGACAAACCTACAAATTCCAGATTACCTGATCAAAAAAGTGCTTTAGCTGCCGCGCTTATTGCAATCGGTGACCTAACCTCGGCTCGTAAAATTTTAGATCGACTTCCACATCTTGCAACCATATATCTCGACATTCCTGAAAATATGTGCCGAGTGCTGCAAGTCGTTGTAGAGGATATAGATTGCAACTTGCGACCACTTCATTCTTCCAGAATTACTCGCAAGCAGGTACCTTCACTTGACAAATTCCCACCTCCAGTAAACACTCTTTTACCAAAGCTCCAATCTGTGTTTGATACGGTTCATGTTGGTCGAAAAATGCAACCTCCGCGACAGCAGTTCTTTTATCAGCTATGGAAGGATGGTATTCCACGCGCCTTTGATTATCCTTCCGCATTCCGTGTTATCAAAACCCTATTGGTGTATGTCGGTCCCAATCTTCATTTAAACCATACTTTGCTGTCCAAAATTATCCGTATTGGTCGTGCTCATATTGAGCATTCTAAAATGAGCGATGTGGTAATGAATGGATGGCTGTCTGTTGTTTCCAATCATATATTTCCAGCACTCTCTCAAACTCATTCAAATCCTGGATTGGCACAAGACGTGTGGTCGCTTGTGAAGCTTTGGCCATACACCACCCGATATGCGCTATATGGCGAATGGAAGCATGTTACTTATAAAAAGATACCGGAGCTAGCAGTAGCCCAGGCAGGCTGCCAAAAGGATTGTAGATACATCATGGCACGTTTATCTAAAGAAACCATGAAGCAGTATGGTAGGCATATTGCCAAGGTGGCCCACTCTAATCCAGTGATTGCGTTTTCTTATATCCTTAAACAGCTTGAGAGCTACGATAATATGATTCCTGTGGTTGTAGATGCCTCTCGCTATCTCACGGATTTGGAATTTGATGTCATGAGCTTTTGCTTGATCGAAGCACTATCTGATCGTCGAAAGCAGCGAGTGGAGGAGAATGGCACTTACATTTCTCCTTGGTTAAAGGCTCTTTCGTCCTTTACCGGAATGCTTTTACGCAGACATGAAGTGGATATGACTGGCATGCTGCAGTATATTGCTAATCAACTTGCATCCGACAACGTCTATGATTTGATTGTTTTGCAAGATATCATCATTAGTATGTCTGGTATTAAACCTCTGGATGATGCAACCGAACATCAACTGGATGCTCTTGCTGGCGGAGAAACTGTCCGGCGAGAAGCGTTAATTTTAGAAAGTCTTCGCCTTACTCGTAAACCGACAAGTCGGCTGGTTGACACGCTTGTTCAATCCCAACTTGCTATGCCTATTGGTATGCTGATTGCTCGGCAGCGCAAGGAAATTATATTTCGAACCAACACAGATGAGCTCAAAATCCTTGGTTGGCTCAACGACTACTGTCAATGCAAATTTTTGCTTTACTTTGACTTTTTATCCTGCAATCTATCGATTGATGTATATTCCAAGGATTTGGCAACTCTTGATGAAATGGTTGGCGAGTTTGGACTGGATATGGAAGTTGCATTCCATATTCTTCGGCCTGTGTTATCTCATGTCTTGCGCTCATGTAGTATAAAGCTTGCAAAGCAGTCTTTGACCCAGACTTCAGCTTCTGATGCTGATTCTAACCATGCACTGCTGGATAATACCCCAGCTCCTGGTCTTGATGACAAAATGGATGTAGATCCTCCCTCAAACAAAGTTGCTGCACAGTCTTTTTTGGATATCAACCACCAGTCGTTTACAGCCGCGTCATCCTTAAATGACAACGAGGTTCATTCTATGAAAACACTAGCATCGCACCCATTGCTAGCTCAACTTGCCACATCAGTCTCTCGTCTTTTGCCTAGTTATAAGTTTTCAGACATGTCTCCGTCCTTTTATGTTACGTTTTGGCAGCTGTCGCTTTATGATATTTTTGTTCCTATTCAAAGATATCAAGCTGAAATTGCTCGCCAGCAACAGCAGATTGCTTTACTTGAAGCCGATCGCTCAGATATGTCTTCTGCTGCCGTAACCAAGAGAAAGCAGGAAAAAGAACGAAAGCTATTGCTTCAACAGAAACTAACAAAAGAACTCAAGACTCAGCAGGATAATTACGACCAGACCCGATCTCGATTGAATATGGAGAAAATGGAATGGTTTGCGCAAAACAATCGAAGAAGTGAGGCCATTCATGTCATCCTTGAAATGTGCCTCTATCCGCGAGCTCTCTTGTCGCCCTCTGACGCCATATATTGTGGAAAGTTTATTTCATTGATACATTCTCTAGGCACTATGAATTTATCGACGGTTTCGCTCTATGATAATGCAAGTATTTAGCTATTGATGGTTGACAATACGTCAATTTTGACACATGCTAATTGTGGTCATGATTCTAACACACCTTTATAGATTTTTAGCAAGGATTGTTTACATGCCACTATATTTGCACTTACAGAGGTTGAAGCTAAGAACTATGGTAATTCGCTTTCATCAAGTTTGGGTGCTTGATTTTGGAAACTTGGAGCATATTTATTAATTTTTGCAATATTTTATTGAATTTTCTTTATACTCAACTAGGTCTTTTTCTTGCTGTCAATTTGCAGATCTTGTCAATATGGCATGCCAAAAAAAGTGTATACGAGAAAGAGGGGCAAGGCGATGGTCTTCCCGGATTTCTTTGTCGTTGGCCTACCGGTCGAGCACTTTTTGATAGGGCACCCAAGGATGACATTATGAACTATGAGCAGTTTCGCAGAGCCATGTCGAAATGGCATTTAAAGCTTCGCAAAGTATGTTTAGTTTATTTGCATATATTGAATGGGTGTTACTTGCTCTTCAAAATGGTTATCAGACATACTTACTGGGCTATACCCATTTTAGGCATTTTTAGATGCATTGCAATCTCAAGAATATGTTCAAATTCGTAATGCTATTTTGATTCTTGATAAGCTGATTGATAATTTTCCAGCAACAAAGGAAGTTGGTATAAGTATTCAAAAAGTTGTAAAAAATATCGAGGATACAGAAACACGTAGCGATCTTAAACAGCTGGCCCGTTCATATTTTGCAAAACTGTATTCAAAAGAAAAGCACTGGATTTCCGTTACTCAGTTTTCTGATCAGCACCTCCAGCAAATCCGAGCTCCGACTGCTCCAGTTGCTTCTACGCCGTCTGCACGAGATTCAAAGGAAACGGTGCCGTCTTTAAATGCACCTACTATTCAGTCTTCCAAAAACGCTAGTGCATCAAAAGTGCATTCTTTGCCAGAAAAAGACTCACCGTTGAATGTCAAGAATCCTTTGTCCTCTACACATATTTTGGAAGATCCAGAACTGATGGTTGAGCTAGGTAGTGCTGATGCGATTAGTGTAGTCACACCGACCACACAAAGCACTTCACTGGCTCATATGGATATTGATGATGCTTCTACGTCTGGTTTACCCACTCACCAACGTACAAACAAGGACACTCTGCTTGATAGAAAGCTAAGTAGATCCACGGATGGAAATAGCAAGCAGAGTCGTGGTAGGGACCGTCAAAAAGATCGCGATCGCGATCGAGAAAGTGGACAGTCTAGTGACACTTTGCCACTTTCCTCTTCAGCACAGCACCATGAACGTCAACACACTACTATATATTCTCGTATGAAAACTCCTGAGCGACACCGAAATGATGGAAAGAATGGAGAATCTGACATCCGCTCTGCATCACCTGCTAAACTAGATCGACTTCGCACAATAGATTCAAAAGAAAATGCCAGCGCCGAGTCTGGACAACACTCTACTTCAGTAAATGATCCAGTGAATTCTGGGAACTCGTGGAGAAAGCAAGATAGAGATTGGCAAAACGAGCGTGAGGGGGATCGTGACGGAGGACGTAACCGTGATAGAGACTCTGATAGATATAGTCGTGGTAAAGATCGCGACCGCCATAGTGACTCGACTCGTCGTGGAACGGGAAGTAGTAACTATGAACAAGCAGCGCCAGTTTCGACTTCTTCAACAGTTGCTTTTAGAAGAGATGGGAGTGATCGACGAAGCGGTCACTATGATGCTAACCAAGATGGAAAGCAATGGGATCGATCGGATACATTATCTCGAGAGGCCCAATCCAGTTCCAGCGCCGAATTTAATGTGGATGCTTCATCTGGTCGAGAAGGGCGTGACCGCAATATCTCGCCTGCTAATGCTCAATCTGGCTTTGCTGACCGCCAACAAGCTCGCCGTGACGGGCGTGGTGGTAGAGAAAATAAAGATACTAGGGATGGATATGAGGGCAGAGAAAGCCGCGATAATCGAGAAGGACGTGAAAGCAGAGATGCCAGATCTGGTCGTAACAATCATGATTTCCGAGATGATCGTGACAATCGAGATGGAAGAGAACGAGATAACCGTGATGGCAAAGAGACTCGGGAGCCCTATGGAAGTCGATTGGGTCGAGACAATGACGAGTCTCGTTCCCGCAAGGATGGCCGCAACCGAGAGGGCGATTTTCGCGATACCAGAGAACCTTTTAAAGATAGTACTAGAGAAGGTCGAAACCGTGATGACCGTGATCGTCGGGATCAACGAGATACCTTTCCGCGACAAGGTGGAGGAAGAAGCGAAGCCAAGGAATCTCGACCTGACACTTCTGAGCGGCATAGTGCAAATGATGCAAAGCTGCAGCAAAACGGACAAGGAAATGGCCATAGCGCTCGTAACGAGCATGGTGATAGAAACAACCGTCATGGTCATGGTCAAGATACATCTGCAGGAAATACCGGTCGTAACACGTCTATTTCACACAACTCTCGCTCTCGTGATCGATCTCCTGTTGCAGGTACAAAGCAAGCAGTTGCATCAGATCAGGTTGAATCTAATCCCTTGAAAGCTACATCTGTCTCTCAAGTTTTACCAGGCTCCTCAGTGGTAGTTCAAGAAACCTCTGATATATCTGGACAGAAAGCATCACGAGACCAATCCAAATCCAGTTCTGTTGTCAGTATTGAGCCGGGAGTGCCTGAAAAAAATGCTCGTCTACCTCGAAAATCAAAATCGCACATTTCTACAAATCAAGATTCATCAAATACTGTACGCACAGAGACTGCTGTTCTTTTGCCATCAGTGCCGGCCAGTGCTACATCTGCCACAGCGGAATCTGCGCTTTCAAAATCCACGATTTTAGATCGTCTGGGTGGTCGTTCTCACACTTCTCTACAGAATACTAAATCCACTGGATCGACCATTTCCGCAGAATTGGACAGACGAAAGCGCTCGCGTGATGACGTAAGCGGATGCTTTATCTAAACTTTATTGACTTGACTGAAACCTAACATTTTTTGCAATTGTATTGATTTAATGTCCAGGTTTCTGATTTTTCTTCCCGACGTCAATCAGGAACTGAGACCAAGTTAAAGTTGGCCAAGGACAGACCAGAGCAGATTCAGGAACCGCATTCTCAAATTATTGGCAATGGTAAGATTTTTGAAGCATTGGATTGAAGTATTGCAAGTTTCAATTGTTTAGTGCGGTGGCATGTCCAACACATACTCATTAACCTCTAATTGTATTTGCTTATATAGTTGATGTATCCATGCCAACTACATCGCAGCTGCAAAATGCCGTATCAGGAACTATCAATAGCGAAACAGGTGCCAACACCAACCGAGGAAGCAAGCGAGTAAAAATTGTTCGAAAATGATTCCAATGAGCTTAGTATTTCAAATGTTAAAATGTATTGAATTTGACAAAGGAAAATAAACACATTATTTTAAACAGAGTGGATTATATGGTTGAGGCATTATTTTATTTTCGCTTGCGCATTAGCTTGACCACATCACCGTCTGCAAATTCGCTCGTGAGTGCACGGGAAGCCATCTGAACTGCTCGACGTTTCATAAGGCTTGCAGAAACAGGCTGATCTTCCTTTGATCTCTTCTTTTCTTTACCTAATGCCTCTTGACCAAGACGGCTTACCACTCCTGTAGGAGCCTCACGTAGAGCAAAACTTTTTGCCCAATGTCCAAGATGCAAGTTTTTGATGTGGAAAATATGCCGCTCTGCGACCGTGTGTGTAGCATACGCTCTAATCTGAGACGTGTATGCTTTTTGAGCAGCTTTATTGCTCTGAATAAAAGAGATCCAAATACGAGGTTAGAATGAAATTAAACAAGTGCGCAGGGACATGATTTAAAAATCTATGAACTTACAGATGGAGAAGCCATAATGTGTCGCTCAAAAGCCATATGCAAATCAGTTGCAGCTACTTCAAATGTTTTGCGTTTGGGTTTTCCATTCGCATGGGTCGTGTATGATTCTAAAACCCCGCCAAACTTACACTGAGGTAGAAATTCAAGTAGGTTATTGGTTGGAACGAGGTCGCAGCCAGCTGATTTCAGGGTCTCGAGATACAGTAGTTCACTTGGCATAAGGAACAAGGTGGCAGCACCTTGACGTCCTAGACGAGCTGTTCGACCGATTCTGTGAATATAGTCGCGAACTTCACCTGGAGGATCGTACTGCACAATGTGTGCAACATCTGGAAGATCAAGACCGCGTGCCGCCACATCTGTGCACAAAAGAATAGATTTATCTTCATTAGACTGTGCACAAAACCCAGTGTATGTCGCCTGACGATGAGCATGTGGCATTGAACCATGAAGCTTGAATAGACGCACGTTGGGGAATAGATTTGTGGGTTGAACACCGGCCTTGAGCTTGACAGCATCATAAGTTGTCTTGTCATCCTCATCCTCAGCATCTAAATCAATACCAGCACCCGTGTCATTTGAGTCCAACGCATGTATGAACGAATCAAAATGAAAGTCGACTGAATCTCCTGTAGCCATGAACACGACAACTTTAGATGCATTGGGAGTCGATGTAATCTTGCGTAAAAGAGCAATAAGGGTAACTAGTCGAAGCTTTGGTGGAGTAAGAACGTAGGATTGCTTGAGCTGTTTAGGGATTGTTGCTGCATCATTGGTATCTGCCACAGCAGCTGTTGAAGCATCAAATGTCGAATCAGATTTGGAGTTGTTACCTGGAATCACGGCTGGCTTATTTTCTTTTTCAGCAATGACTACAGGTTTTATAATAGAGTCTGCTGCTTTGGTGTTTGCAGCACTCTCTTCATTGACAAAAATCTCTTTGCTGACGGATACCTTTCCATCACCGACACGAATGAAATTGGGTTTTACCAGTGCATATTCGGCTAAACGCTTTACTCCGGCCTCGATTGTAGCAGAACAAAGCACTGTCTGACGGCCACGCGGCCATCCCGGAACATGCACTCTGGTTTGATTGTAAAGTCCAACATCACGCTTGGTATCCAATATTTTTAAAATATCACGCAAAGTTTCTTCAAACCCAAGATGAAGCAAGTTATCGGCCTCATCAAGGATAAGCCATCGCAGATTGCTCACATCAAAAGAGTCTGTTGTTCTTAAATGATCAAGCAAACGGCCTGGTGTGCATACAAGGATATTGACACCCTTGCGCAATCGAGCCTTTTCAGATTTTCGTTTTTCACCACCCACAACAATACTTGAAACAATCCAGTGACGATAGTGCACTTGCTGCTGTTTTTTGAAAAGCGTTGTGCTTGCATTTGTGATTGAGCTTGCTTCTGCAACCTCTGCAGAGTGTGCACTCTGCAATGAATATTTGAGAAGTGAATCCAGCACCTCAGAAATCTGGTGTGCCAACTCGCGTGTTGGTGCAAGAATAATGGCAAACGTGCCAGCAGTTCTAGAAAACATATGCTGCGTAGTGGGATGGGTGGACTGACGAGCAGCAGATCTAATTAAGCTGTGCAAAATAGGAAGCAAAAATGCAAGAGTTTTTCCAGATCCGGTCTGTGCTTGAATAATCGCATCATTGTGAGTTGGGTCCAGCAGAACGGGAATCGAAGCCTTTTGAATAAGAGTAGGTTTTTCAAACTCGAATTTTTTGGACAAATGAAGACTCAACAGCGGATCGATACCAATTCCAGTAAATGTTTCATTTTTTACAAACAAAGGGGCAGCCTCGATAGGCTCGGCAGCTTTACGATCTGCTTCCTTTTCTGCTTCCTCTTTGGCTTTTCGCGCAGCAAATCCAAGTGGTTTTGAGGATGCTGGTTTAGTAGACTGCAACACAGACTCGGATTCTTGAGTTTCCTGACCTTCTGGTCCACTTGAAAAAAGAGAGGAAATAAATCCTTGACTAGATATTTCTTTTTGAGGCATGTTTTTTGGTTTTTTGTACAAGTGATTGTCAATGACAGGAGCAGAGTAAGATCGTTTCGATGTTGGCTGTGAAGAATTGGGCAAACCAGATGGTGTAGATTGAGGTGGTTGTGTAGCAAGTTCTCGTGGAGTAGTAGATGATTCTGATTGATTATCAGCAGCCATGAATGCAGTTTGAGGATTTTTTGATTTAAGGTTTTCACTGTGCACAATCTTCATGGCAGCCATACGTCGTTCCTTCCATGATTTTTTTTTAATGTCCAAAGACACCTGTCTGATATAAGCCGAGTTTGATTTCTTTTCCAATGGCACACTGTCTAATACCAAATTGAGCTCCAAACCGACGTCCATAGTTGGCCAATGATTTTTCAAAAAAAAAGAAAAAAGTTGAAAGTGAACATCGACTCCACGTGTGTTTATAAAAAAGAATCCAAAAACCAACCATTTTATTTTCAATTAGTGGGTTCAAGTTGGCCAAGTTGTTTCTGCAAAAAAGCTTGGTAAAAGTAGTTGAAAATCCATTTGTTTAGTGATGACACAAGTACAGGATGTTGTCGACATGGAGGAATCGGAGGATTTGAGGGGACCTCAAAAGAAATATTACCGACAAAGGTGTTGATCATTTGGCTGTAGAATGTCGCAACTACAAAAACAATCTGTCAATGTAACAAGGCATTCACTAACAAAATCATAACTGAATTAGAGCGCATGCGAATCCGTTCTCTGACCACCAACTCGAATAGCAAGTGCTATATGTTTGATACTGGCATACTGCAATGCATCTTGCTGACTTGATTGTATAAACTTAGCCCTGTACGTCCAGAAGACTACAATTGGTCAAAAGCTTACCCAGCGCATTTTGATGAAGACGGAACTCCCAAGAACAGCGATCGCTTAGTCGAGTTTGCTGATATTGGATGCGGATATGGAGGTGACTCATTGCTGCACTTTATATATCGACCAAGCTAGTTGATTCCAATCTGAGGATTGACTGGATTTCCAGTTTACTAATCTACTCATTCTGTATTTGTAGGACTTTTGGGTAGGTTGAACAAGTGCCGCGAATTTATGGTTTGAATTGAAATGAGTGCATTCATCCGAGACTAGAACATTAGTCCTGGACTATAGTCGACCCTATTATTATTTATTCAGCTTACTGACTCGAGTAATCTTTTTATGGTTTCAAGTGGGATTATCTCCCATTTTCCCTGACAAGCTGATGCTTGGCATGGAGATCCGATTAAAGGTCGAAGAGTTTGTAAACAAGCGAATTCAGACTATGCGTCTTCAAAACTCGTCAAAGCAAGTCAACGAAGCTGGATCTTATCAAAATATCTCGGCGATCAGGATGAACGCAATGAAATTTGGACCCAATTTTTTCCAGAAAGGACAGGTATGTGATGTCAGATGAAGGATTAGATCTATTTTAAAAACCCAATATACCAAAGGTGCATTAGTATTGAGGTAGTTGGCATGCATGTCATGGCAGCACCGAGGCTTATGAAGAAGTGGAAAATTGTGGAATTGATCCTACTTGAAACTACATGCTTGAAGCAGTGGCTAACCGTTAATACCCTATTCATGAATGTTGAACAGCTCTCAAAGCTGTTTTTTTTGTTTCCTGACCCACACTTTAAAAAGCGAAAGCACAAGGCACGCATCATCACCTCATCTCTGCTTGGCGAGTATGCATATATTCTTCGTCCAAGCGGTCTTGTGTATACGGTGACAGATGTAAAGGATCTACACGAGTGGATGGTTAAACATCTAGATGAACATCCACTTTTTGTAAGACTGACAGACGCAGAACTCGAGTTTGATCCCTGTGTGCCCTGCGTGATGCAAGATACAGAAGAAGGAAAGAAAGTAGCACGTAATTCTGGTGATAAATATCTTGCTGTATATCGCCGTATTGAGGATGACCCTACTAAGCAATGGAGTGGGTTTGCACCCATTATTAGTGGGGGTATCTATGCTGGAAAAAATGCTCAGGGCATGAGTAGTGACAAGGATCAAGATCAAGATCAAAATGAAAAAGCTTAAGCCAAGGATGGTCTAGACAGATATTGAAGGAATTTTGTCGTGGCACCAAAGATTGACGCTTTATCCAATACCAACTGAATTGGTAAACTCAAAAATAGCCGAATAAAACAAGCTACGAATGCTTTACAAACGAGTGCTCATTAAATTTTACGTATGGTTGCAAGTTGAGTTGAACTATCGAGTTGTATATAGCAGTATTGATCTAGTTTGTATGCTGAAAACGGCGACGCAGACAGCACTGCCTTTATCAAACTATGACGATTCTATCAGTATTGCTTTTCGGCTACTTGTATTCCAAGCCAAGGGGTACAAAAAGCTAAACAGCTAAGCGGTACACTGGTATGGACAGCAACAATGTGGTATAAATATGCTGCCGAAATACACGCAGCAGTATGTTGATTCTTTACTTTGGTATATTGCTTTTATCTTGAACCTCAAAAGCTTGATAAGTGGTGGCAATTGATCATGTTTAGAGGGTGGAGTTTATGCAGCTTCAGCACCACACGCAGAGGCGGACAATTGAAATACAAACCATATACATCAACTTTTGGTACCTGCAAGACTTGCTAGCTTGCGTGCTTGAGCAAATTTGTGCTTTTCTTGTACTATAAGCATTCTATAAACAAGAAAGTATATAAACTAAGCAAGATATCCCAAAATGGTTGGATCAAGCTTTAACTTTTGGGTCAAGAAATATTCACTTGAGCCAGCAACTTTATTGAAATCTTCAACTTTAGGATTTTAGGTTTCTTGACAGTTTAAAACAGCAGACTATTTTGTTGGCTACGATTCCAGTGGTTGCTCCTTGTTGACATCAAAACTTGCCATCAACTTGCTCACTCTGCGATCTAAGCAAAGTGTAGTGAGCACAAGCCTGAACAAAGCATATAAGCATTAACCTAACACGGTAAGAAATCTACGTGGATATTCTGTAATGTTTTACCCATGGCCCGTGGCTGCAGTGTTAGATACTTGTATACCTAATATTGCAGGAGGCACGAGTCACACTGCCTATTGGCTCGAGTGCTTTTGTCAGCTTGGATCCTTCAGCTTGATGTGCAGTTTACATCCCACACCCCACTTATATTGAACTGAACTTTACTAATACTGCCTTGTACAAACTACGTTTAACCTCGACTTATTAGACCTTGGCTGTGCACCCATCAAACAAGTGGTTTTCAGCTATCGAATATTTGACAGAAAAACAAAAGCTCGCTGAGTTGACGTAAAAGCAAAGTTGTCAAATTACAAGCCCAAAGGCATTGAGAAAAATTTACCAACATTCATTCCCGAACCCTTTCATCCAAGCCAAGTTTAAAACCATTTGAAGCGTGACGTGTTTTGTGCGCCTTCATTTGATATCTCATCTTCTAAATCCGTTTAAATCAACTTCCTTTCATTCTTTTTGCAAACACGTGGTTGCTCTATCTTTACTACAGTACTCGTTGGTCATATTAGCAATCATTTCACCTACCGGCCCAATTAGCTGACATTTGCCAGATTTTCTCGATTCATCAGTAATACCGTCAACATATTCTGACATATTACATTCAATGGGACGTAGATCTCTCAAAACCAGAGGGCATCTACTTCAGTACATTACCTCATTCGCTAGCGACAAGCTTGGAAACAGTAATGTGTTGCATGGAGATGCTCTGCAGCGCATTATAGCGAACATCGTTTACGGAACATCGCTTAAAGCAGAATGCACTTTAAGACGAGTTTTGACGCTGTCGGATCAAGACCGGACACTTTGGATGGTGTCGGTCTTATCTGCAGCGCTGACTGAAAATGGGCTTCACGATGACGCCGAGGCCATTGAAGAATATCTGACGCAAAAACAAACTATGACCAATCACCGAGTTTCTGTCCCCAACTGGAGCAACACATCGTCTACTTGTCTACCCTCTTCGCCTACTCTCTTGCCACACCTATTCGAGCTTCTATCCAAAGCACCCGTCGCCAACAAAAATAAACCAACTCAGCTGATGACATCCCCGCTACAGGATTTATCGCTTGTTTCGCCATTACGAGTAACGAATGCTTTGCTCGAATCAAATGCTTGCTTTCTCGACGGCCAGTCAAGCATGGACTACTGTAAAAACCCTACGGCCGTATCCTCATGTTTAGAACGTGAATACTCTATACCATCGGCCGTGCAGCTTTCTTCGCCTACCTTTCGGCCTAGTATTCCGGTTGATTCTGAGCCACAGACCCTATTGTTGTCTAATGAAGATGGTAGACTTGACCCAACATCTAAACCAGTAGAATCTGCGATTGAAAGTTTGGACATGTACGGCCGTGATACTTGCCATGACTTTTATGCAACACTGCATGGTACTTCGCCTCGACTGTCAATGTCCCTGCATCAACATTGCTTGACCCAACCAAAAGCACAACCCTCATTGCATCACCAGTCAATGCTAGGTTTAGAGAATAGTAATAGCACGAGTGCTCTCCAACCTTCAATTGGTTTGCTCACCCCTTTTTCACAAGCCTCAGAATTAAATCGGCATGTGCCTGCAACCCCTTTTGTGACTAATTCAACTCGTGTTGACTCTTATAAACAGCTTTATCCTGGTACTTCATTTACCAGCTCCGTATGTGCTGCCATGAGCCACCTCTGTGCCTGCGGGGCCGTCATGACGCTGATTCAAAATCGCAAGGTATTTTGTCCATCAGGACATAATTCAAGATTGCCCCCACAAGCCCAAGAGGCTTTGGACAGTTCAGTGCTCTGCACTCCAACTATAAGTGGTTTTATTAAAACCGAATCTAGAAACTGTGCTACATTGGTTTCTGCACCAATCATGATTCATCAGTCGAATAGTAGTATCAGGCATCATGATGCCAATCCGAATAGCAGGACTAATCGCATCAGCAACTGTACATCTAGTGCTAGCCCAAGTGCATCATACGCCAACACTTTGAGCAAGATCAGTACCACTACCAGCATTGCAACTGACCATTTGGCACAGTTGGGATTGTCAAAGAGACGGGTATTTGGACTTCTTCGACATGAGATGGCAATACATAGTAGTGCAAGAGCCAGAATGGTGCTGTAGTTTTGGTATTACTGTCGTATTCATGTAAAATGGAGCACATTATCTTGCAGTGTATGTTGCTTCAGAATATACAATGACTGGTGTTGCCCTTTTACAAACCGACTGCTTTTTCAACTCTTCTAAACAACGTCCATCTTTTGGTGCCCACAATCATTTTTTCATTTTTCGGCATAAGCCATACACTACAATCTTCAGATTCATCCATTGCAATTCAGATATTTGGTGACTTTCAAATCACTCCTAATTTCATACATTCTAGCGCAAAAAACAAAGATTGCACGTCCTGGGAGTACAACTGCTGTTTTCTTACCATTCGCCCAATGTTTGGTTTGTAGGAAAAGATAGCGAATCAAGTGTTGAGGACTTACTGGAGCTGCGATGTGATGCAAACATTTGTTTAGTTGTTTTATGCAAAAATGAGCACGGAGAAAGATCAGTAGACTGTTGGGAAGTTTAAAGAGCAGACGTCCAATGGAATCGATGGGAATTGATACCAATCACTCATGAAACTGGCGGTTTATTATGCAGACACATCTATTTAGCTTTTCATTTTATGTGAATATGACTGTAATAGATGCGTGGTTTGCATATGGCTAGTCATGATGTACTTTTGAATCTACCAATCCATGTATATGTGACTCTACATTAAAAATTACAAACCACCAATATTTTTTATCGTTGATATTTTAGTGAGTGTTTGACCTGGCTTTAGAAACACATACGAGTTCATTTCCAACTCGGAAGAGTTTATGCTAATCCATTCGAACTGCAGTGGCTCGACCAGCGTCCTTGTTGGAGGCGTTACTTGAAATCCACTCAAAAATTTCACGTGACCATTTGAAACCTCGACAATAACCGACTTTGAAGTCTAAACCATTCAAATCTCTCGACTTGTTTATTAATCTTGCGATTACGCAGCTTCGATCCTACCCACACCACTTGCTGGCGATTGTTATTCCTCATCTATTGGTGGTGTTCAATTCACTTATTTTTGAAGTTTCTGCCCATTTTATTCCGACTACAAACTTATAACTCACAGCAGCTCCTATAATAAGCCATATGCCATCACTGCTAGATAAAATAGTGTTGTATCCACTGGCTCAGATGGGCGTCCAAGTGAACAAACCCAACTGGCCGAAATTGACTGTCATTCTATCGATTGTTCAGACACTGATCATTTCAATCATACAGGCGATCATCATGACATCTTTGTTGGGATTCACCAACACTGTCTTCACTGCTACTATGTCTGGGTTTTCTCCATTTATTGCTGTCTATCAGGGACTCTTTATCTTTGCGTTGTTCTTTCAGCTTTTGGGCTCCCTTGATGCTGTAAGGATTTATGCATTGCAATACCATTCGCCATATCCACGACTCCCATCCCCATTACTTTTAATTTTGGCTAGTATCTATAGTATTTGCTGTTCAATCCACATGGCTTTTATTGTTCTCCATGTTTCATAATCAGAATGGATCTTCAAGGTTGATGTTTCTGGTCTTGGCGGGATTTTCATCAAATCCCTATTACTATACTTGTCTTGAACTCCTTTTACAACTACTAAAGCACATTTATCATTCTATATGATCTGGATTACTCACATGCTTCATTCCATCAACTTTTAGTATCTATCACGAAACTCGATGCAAGTCATTGCTGTCGGCGCATTTCAAATCCTCACTTTAATTTATTCTGCTGCCCGTAAGTAGATAGATGCCCATCTAGCTTAGGATTTGTTCTTCATTACTTTATATACTTGTACAACTGCTAACGCTGTTGTACAGAAATTGCACAGATGCATTCTTTTCAACAATGTATAGACACATATCGTACCATTGGACTATCTGGCATGAATCAATTGAACATGTTTGCTGCAATTTGGGATTTGGAGCAGGATGGATGGTGAGTTTCTTGATTTCTAATGCAACTACGTTTTAGTAATTGATCTAGTGCTAATTTGTAATCATCCACTTTTATTTTCAAGCCCATTTCGAACAGTCAACAAGGTCAATTCAACCTTTTATTTTACCATTGGAGATTCAACCAGTGCCTCACCAACAAATATTAGCACCTCCATCAACAGCAATTTTTCAACCATCACCGCCTCACTATCACTGGCTTACGTTGTGTTAGTCTTGATGCTGATTGTTACTTTTGTTGGCGTGCTTGTTTCTAGAAAAACCATTGATATTTTTGGCTGGGCTATTTTTTATTCGCATGGTGCTGACATTGCCAAACGGGAACTGCTTACTCGCTACCATCTTTTTAATGTGTTGCTCAAAGTCAATGTTTACTTTTCGATTGGCATAGTGCTGCAAATGCTATCGGCACTGTATTTTTCGCAAAAAGTTCAGATTACAATGGCTAGTGTTCCAGCCAATGTTGGACATGTTGCCGCGCTAGCCACAAAACAAACCTTGATTGCAGATCAAGTCAATATCAGCAGAATTTTATTTGCAATTGCTGGTAGTATTGTTCTTATAGTTGCTTCTCTGTACTACCTGTTTGGGTATTATGGAGTGCGACGGGGCAGCAAACTTCTTATGGGCTGCTTTTTTGTTGTCATGGTTTTCAATGCGTCGGCTGTAGGATTTGCATTTTTTGAGGCTATTTTCAACGAACTCTACCATGTTGTCAAGATATGGCTGGCTACATTTGGTGAGATTTGGAATGTATTTTTGGGGGTCTAATCCTACTTTAAATAGAACCATGAATTGCTAACAGTATTTTAAACTCGATTGTTTAGCTGTCATACACTTTGCTCTTAATATTGCAACCGTTGTTAGTGCTTCACTATGCATTCGCGATTTTGAATCTGGATTGCCAGAAATTGCTAGATCGCTTGGTACTTTCAAGATCCCATCTTCTGATAGTATCCCATCGATTGTCGTTCCACAAGACAAGTTAATGCCCTTGCCTAAAATATCAACTTCCCAAGTATCGCTTCAAACCGGGTTGAACGTAGGAAACAGCTGCGCTTCTACAGCAGTATTAGCAATTCCTGATGATGCATCTTTTAATGCACCAAGACAATCTACAGCAAAATCTCGGAGATCATCGTCCGAGGGCTGTTCTATACCGTCTACACGACCAAGAATGACCATTGATTGATTTGGACTGATGGATATGTATATATGGAAAGCTTTTATTTAAACAGTTTACACGGATTTACTACTATTATTTATTTGCTACTACTAAATGCTACCTGTATCTTTCTCTTGACAAGGTTACTATGATATTGGTTCCTGTTGCAACACTAAATCTGATCTCAATGCCACATTGTATTTGATCAATCATTGCATATTCTATCTCCTCTTAATACCTATCGATGGCTCGACTGCTCTTATTATTTTACGAGCAGTCGATCATTGAAATTTGCAAAATAAATGCAATTGGAACTATAGTGACCAGTGGTGTTGATTTAGATGCTTCAAGTCATTTGCAGACTGTTGCTTTGAACCAATTGGGTTTCAAGACCAATTCAAAGTTTAGAATCCGCTGTGATTCCGGCTTTTGAAATACGACATGCACAAGAACAGATGCTTAAACGAATCGGATGATTTCAGTGCAAGCGTTGCACACAAGCCAAGTCAAGCCAAGCCAATGCATTTGATTGCAATGACAATTGTCATGAAGCATACGAGTCGTTTATGAGAATACTAAAACTGTTGAATGTGAGAACATTCAGTCCAAAGACTTGATTGTAGCACGATGAATAGCATGATGTTGTTATGGGATGCTTACCAAGCCACACAGATCCAGGGATGTCCTGTGTGATTAGGACACCATCCTGTGCTTTCAACCCGTTTGAAATTGGCTCGAAACTTCTTTTCAAAATCGAATTCAACTTGCGCTAGATTGTAGTCTTGGATTCTTATTGGAAAACAATCCAGCAACTTTACCTACAAGTTTGGGTTTAAAAACTTGGCCTTTTGCTGGCTGAAGAATCAGAACACTTTATTGACTACAGCTTCATTCACTCTGTTCAACATGCGATTCTTTTCAAAAGAGTCGGCTCAAAATCTACTTACAAAAAAGTCGGATTGGCCTACACTGGCTGTTGGCTTATCACTCTTTCAGGCCATTGCAATTACTTTCCTGGAATCGTTTCTCATATACAAGGTTGCCTATCATTTAGACCAAGCGTTTTCTCAATCCACATCAGGATACGCTCCTTTTGTAGTCATTTACTTGTCGCTATTTATATTTGCGCTCTGGTTCCAAGTCTATGGTGCATTGGATGCAGTTGAGTATCATATTATCTAGTTGGCTTGCAAGTACTAGCACAACTCATTCATTGGGATATTACTTGGTCTTCACTTCATAATGGGCTTGTATGTTTTGGCCACATGATGATTTCTACAATATTATACATGTTCAAGTTGACAAGATATAGCCTGTGATGGCAGTTTTGCCCGAGTATGGGTTTGAATCAGTTCTGTTCATGGCAGTTGCCATCAGGATTTCTTCAATTCATGTCTGTTGGCTTCTTGCTCAGCATATCTATAGAGAATGAGCATATGCTTGACACTTCTGTTCATTGTTCTACAACAATGATGACCTGCATAGATGGTCAGTCCTTGTGCACCCACTCAGTAACCAAAAGGGGTGCTTTATTTCTCCGCACATGTCACTGTTAAACCTTCTACAACTTGGGACTACTTGCTCAAGTCGAGGGGTTGTGGCTATGTACAGTAGTTTGGTGACTTGTCTACTGTGCGGTATATTAGCCGCATTCGGGCTTCTCTAATTGTGCATTATAAATCTGCTCTATGTGTGGTGAAATGTCTTGGCTTTTGTCGTGCTTTTCATGAGATGAAGAGGCACATTTTCCATAATTATCTGTAAATATAAAGCAAATAGTGTACTAACATGGAATCCGATTATTACCGTGGTCATCCATGCTTAGTTTTATCATCGAAACTCTATTCAAGTTATTGCGGTAACTCTGTTCAACGCAGTGACAGTCATCTATTCTATCAGTCGTAAGTAATCCGAGTTTCTCATCCATTGTTTGTCATCCAACTCACTTTAACACTCGCTTGGTTTTACCTGCAATCTTGCATGTTTCAATAGAAATCGTTCAACTGTCCAATCTGAGGTTTTGCTTGGTGACATATCTGGATATTTTTCACCAAAATCATACTACTAGCGACGCATACCAACAGGTCTACTCTTTGGAACAGGATACTACAAAGACATGGTTGGTTTTTCTATCCATTCACTATATATTTGTTATGTGGAGTGCTGACTCTTCAACCCAATGCATTGTTTTTAGCCGGTTTTCATCCGTGAAAATGGTAAACGGCACGTTTTCACCTTCCTACGTTGCAATATCCAGCGTGTATCCTCCCGAAGTGATCGCTCTAAACCTGGGTGTAGTATTGGGGGCATTTGAAACCGCCGTGTTCATTGGGTATGGCATCATTGTGGTGATGGTGCTCTGCAGCCTTGTTGGACTGTTTTTGTCTTTCAAAACATTTGGAGTCTATGGTTGGTCTATTTATCAAATACAAGGGGCTGACATTGAAAAACGAGGTAACTATTGTTGGCTGCCATTGATCTCTTCTGTCTTCAACATACTGATATTGAATGGCGATTCTGATTGGTCTGTAATTGAAAACAATAGAAATTTTAAAAAGATACTACATTTTTGCAACGACCATGAAGTTCAACGTATTCTTCTTTCTTGGAATTATTGCTCAAATTGGATTTGCCGCTTACTTTAAAAACAAAGTGGCCACAGTCAATGCCCTTGATGATGATGGTAGACTACATGCTACTTTGGAACGGAATCGACTACAATTATGGGGGTATGGCGCCATTACCTTGTTCACATCACTCTTTTACTTTGTTCTCGGATACCTCGGTATGCGACGTACAAATTTTTTGATGATGTGTGCGTTTCTGGTCATGATGGTTGTGTATATTGCCGCAGTTTTTTATTTCCTTATTCAAGCAAATAATGATCCAGATTTAAGCATTACACGGATTTGGCTCACTGTATTTGGTAAATGCATTCATTTTATCGCTGGATCGTTCCGGTATAATCATTTGAATTTTATTCTGGTTTACGTCACTAACATTTGATATCAATTGGTATTAGCTGCATTCCAAATTCTACTCAATCTAATCACTCTCTATAGTGCAATTGCTTCAATGCGAGATTTTTCTAAAGGATTGAAAGACATTGGTATGCTGATCTCATCTTGTGCTGCTTTTGAGCTTACTGTGTTTGGGCTGTTAGTTTTCTTCTGACATCCGGTCTAACCTATTCAAATTGATTTTTATAGTGCAATCTGTTATTGTTATAAAATCTTCAACAGATGCCAAGCAAATGGAGTCGACAGACCATTCACGGATGATTTTAGACTAACCATTTCAATTCTATCATAATCTTGTTTATCTTTTAATTCATACTATCACTGCTTTTAATACAATTGCCATATCTTTAACGAGACGGATCATTTGCAATAGACAGTAATAAAAGTTGTTAATACCCTAATTAGGCATGTTCTACAAGACTGCCATCGAGTTTCCTAAACTTTGTGTTTGAGAAATAGGTCTATATCATTTTTATAGTCAAACTACTGACAGGATTGATTTGGGCTCTCTAGACAATGGGATAGACCTGTTTTTGCTGATCGCAGTGCTTGGGAGGCCAATTTGTTTTTTCAAATGGATCTAAAAGGTTTGTCCTATCCCATCATCATATGTTGGTACTACCTTATTCATGCAGTGGACACAAGCAATGGAACGAATGTCGAAAACATCCATATCATTTGCAGTCAATCCCGTCTATTCAATGTTCAACACCCTACAAAAGATACAACACAATGAAGCGTGTAGAGCTGGATCCACCTTATCAAACAATTGGAACCATTCTTGCCAGATGAACGTATTTTATTTTGGATGAATACGGCGTGAAACCAGAAAGTTGGATCTTGAAATTGAACCATGTTTTGATTTTGCAAAATGGGCAAGAGGTTCAAGAGGTTTACTGCTTGGTGGCAGCAGCTTCCTTGTCTTGTTCAGCCTGTTTGGCTTCTTTGACCATTTCCTCACGCATCTCTCTCAGTCTTTCTCCTTCTTCCATCTTTTTCAGCCTGTTTTCAAGTGACTCGGCTAGACTGGTAAATTCTTTGATTTTGTCTGCACTCACACCAGGTCCATATCCAGTGGTTTCGCGCAGTCGTTTGACAAGAGCTTTGATACTGGTGAAATCACGCTCGTCAATGCCAGCTTGAAGACCCAATATTGCACCCGCTGAAGATTTGGAATCCAGTGTAACTAGACCGCGAGCACATCGGAAACGTACATGAACCGATTCGTCACGAAGGCCTTCTTCAAACAGTTCAATGGTGGCTCGAATGAATTGCTGCGTTTGCCATGGAGCTACGCGAGATAGAGCTGTATAGACCTCGGTGCGAGAGTTTTCTGGCTCAATGCCTGCAGCAGTGCGAGAGACAAGGTAGGCAAACACGGATGGGTCACGCATCTCGCCAAGACCGCGAAGAACACCAGATCGGATCATGCTATGCATTCCAATTTGGTTAGGATCTTGGGCAACAGACAAAAGGTACTGAACATCATCGGGATGACGCTGAGCACCCAGAGCCGTAAAGGCTTCAGCTTTGCTGCGAGGTCCAATGTCCTTGCGTTCCACAAACAGGCGGAGAGCATTACGAAGGTTGAGATCGCGAGCAGTGCAGCGAGCAGCAATAAAAAACATGGCTTTGGGATCCTTTTCATTGGTGAGGACTTGAGCAAGAAGTTCAAGAGATGCGGCGGTTTTAGCCTTGGCTAGAGCAGCAGCAACTTGGATACGCACACCATAAAACTTTTCCGTGGCAACACTAGCACAGACCTTTCGCAACGCTGCAGAACTACCCATTTTTATAAGCTCCCTGTAAGCCCAGATACGATTGCTGACATCACCAGCATCAGCAGCAGTTTTGGCAAGAATGTCTAGACCTGGATTCATGTCCAAAGTAAACAGAATGCGACCATGGGGATCAAATCGGATAGTTTTTGGTTTGGTCTTGGCATTAGTTCCAAGAGATAAAACAGCAAATGCCTTTTTCTGAGTCGAGTCGTTGAACACAACTTGACTTGTATGGATCTTATCCTCGGTATCAACAACTTCGACATCAATAACAATATTGAAGAATGGGATTTTTGCAGATACATCAACTTGAGTCTGCTCGAGTGTGATGCTAACAGTAGAACAACCACTATCACTGACACTGGCAGGCTTAAAATCAAAAGATCCTTTCAAGGCAGGATATCCTTTAGAGTACAACCACTGATCAAAAAAGGGAACAAGGTTGATGCCGCTTTGAGCTTCAATGCATTTACGGAAATCATCGGTTTCGACAGTTTTTCCAGAATACTGTTTCAAGTAGTTTTGAACACCCTTGAAAAAGGCATCATCGCCAACATGCTTGCGAAGAACGTGTAGACGACAGCCTCCGCCTGGATAAGTGTGTCCGTCAAACATGCGCCAACTAGAGTCAAATTGACGGTTGACAATGGGACGCATATACGATTCAGTCTCGGCAATGTAGCGGTCGGCCTTCCACCACATCTCGTAACGAAACTCGTCTTGTGTAGCATTGTCTTCAAGCCAAAGACACTCTATTTGACATTCAATACAATAGTGTTTTGATGAAATAAGATGGGTTATTTACACATTCCACAATTGTCCAGATATACAACACATCCACATACCAACATAAGTAGCCCAGCTCTCTTTAAGCCAAACATGCTCAAAGTGGCGAATAACAAGAAGATCACCAAAGTAAGTATGTGCCTAAAGTTTAATTTGTGTTAATATATGGATAGTTGAAAAACACTGATAAGCATTAACATAGTACAAGAGCAGATTCCTACCATTTCATGAATATTGACTCCATCAATGTGATGAGAAATTTCGGTAGCAAGCTTTTCATCCTGAATGTATCGATCAAGCCAAGTGACAAAGGAAATGTTTTCCATGGCACCACCAATAAACTTGGAGCAGATCTGGTAGTACTTGGGCCACGGAAAAGGGTAGTCGAGTTTTTTTTCAAGCCAGCGAATCATGGCAGGAGTGCGACCAAATGTGCGCATCAAGTCCTTTTCCGAGAAACCGCGAGGAGCAATGTACTTGATGGGGATGCCATTGACAGTCTCGTCATCGACAGTGACAAAGTCGCCGACACCAACACAGATCAGGTAGGATGGACAAGGCGTGCTGAGGGCGTATCTAGTTGTGCGAGTACCGTTTGAGGCATTTACAAGCTCACCTTGGAATGCGCCATTGGCATATGCGAGATACTCTTGAGGAGCGGTAAGCGCAAACGAAAGGGTGGTTCGCGCAGCAGGAAAATCCTAATCAATTAAACAATGAATAAACGAATGGTTTGGAGTTGACTCGAATCCATGACTTACCACCAGAGGCAGCCAGTAGCGAGCACGTTCAGTCTCATGATCAGTGATGGCATGAGCAACTCGGTTAGGAAAGGCACTGTAGGCGTTGTTGGGCACATCAAAGTACAGTCCGGATATCTACAGCAATGGTCATGTTAACAGCTGTCATGTCAACAGAAACGAGTCATCACTTACTGGCTTGTGGATGGTGTACTTGAATGTCACCTTGCGCTCTTCCTGAGCACCAAATGGAACAGCCCAAGCAAGAGAGAGAGTGTCATTGTCATAACAATGGGTCAAGCCATGATCTTCCATTTCAGAAACTTCCAAGTCAATGAACCCAATGGCATTGAGACGGATGGTTTTGAGCAGCGACTTGTCACCTGGCTGGTGATTGGCATCATGTCGATTGGCAAAGGTCTGAGTAACCACTGCATGTACAGTCTGTTTGGACAAATGAAAGTCCAATGCAATATCTAACATCAATGCATAATCCAGTAATGTGAAGTTGAAATCAGCATTAGCAATCACCAACCCAACAGTGATCAAACCATGTCCATTCAGACAAGCAGAGATCGCATCTGTTTGAATTCGACTTGTGTCGAATTCAATTCATTGACGGTTATAGCAAGAGCGGATCAGAGTCATGGTTTAATAAGAAATCACAACTTTACCAAGATGGATTGGCTCAATGACCAAGTTTGGAGCATAACTGTTTGGACAGGAAGCAGGCACAAAACTGCCGACATCAGAGGATGAAGCGGCAAGAGCAGAAGCCTCAGCAAAGCCCAGAAAGCCAGCACGATGTTCACAGCAAGCACCAACAGAGAGATTAGGCATTGAATTGTAGTATTTGGGGCTTGATAGAAAAATGAATTAAAACTCGAATGGTATTCGGCTTACAAGTCGACTCGGTACTCCAACTCGGAACATCAAGATTCGCATTCTACACACCAACCACTCGCTATGAAATCGAATGCAATCCTGTTTCAATAAGCATCATGTTCATTTATTCCAATATAGAAGCCTTTGGATGCAAGAATCTTGTCCACCTTGTCCTTCCGTCTTTTTTTAAAATCCTGTTCATGTTTGAATTTCCCAACCGTCTCGGATGCGGTTGCTTTGGTCAACTTGGCTAGTGCTTCCGCATCCTTTTCTGGATCCTGAATGATTCAAAGTGGTTAAATAGTCAAGGTGTGAGTCCACCATTTTATAGGATACGATCATTAAAGATGCAGTCCAACTTACAATTTCTCCAAGCAACACAACATTCTCTCCTCGAATAGCAAACACTCCCCTATAGACATCGCTATATGTTCCATCAATAAACGTTCGTTCTACTGTATCCTGAAGTACCAGGTTGGCTATAGCAATTCAAAGAAGCTTATCAGATACAGATCTCGTTGACAGTCTTGAATGTATATGCATAAATGATGCATCCTGTCTATTACCAAACATATCGTATGAGCGCAGCCATCCATACAGATTGCGACCATCTCGGAGAATGACCAGGAGTTTTTCTATTTGAAATCAAATGCCAATTCATAGATGGACAAGGTAATGAGTTTCCAGAATTCATCAAGGACATGGCCCAGTGAAGAGTCATGGGTGTGCAAGGATGAACAAGTAGTTGGAATGAAAGCATGAGTCTAGTCAACCATGAAAGAGCGCAACTCAACTGTCTACACAGTCCACCAAGGAAGCAGATCCAGGCAGGAAATTGTCCATCTGACAGTTGGAATGGTTCTGGAAAGTTGATGTTTTGGTAAGTGAAACACGAATCTAAACAACACTTTATGGCTGTAGATTCAAGTGTTATAGTAATGTCAGTCTTTTATTCTGAATGAATAGCAAGTGTTATGCCAAACAGCATTCAAGTGTTTTTGATTGCGATTTACGACAACTGCTCTTGTATCGACAGTTGTCAACTTTATTTCCATCTTGAATTGCTTCATGTACGGTCATCCACAACAGTCTCCTCCAATACTGCAGGCTCCTGTTCCACAGTACTCTACTCAGCGTATCATCAACTCTGGATCTAATGCTGCTCCCTCCAGTGCGTCATCCCAGCATCCCAACCAACAGCAGCAGTATGGGTCTGGCACGTCTTTCCAGCAACAGCAGTTTCATCAACCCTATGCCATGTCTGGATCGTCAGGACAATCCGCTCCTCATGTCCAACAGCAGTCTGTGTATCCTGCCAATATGGGCGGTTTCCAGCAGCAACAACAACAATTCCAACCTCAATTCCAACAGCAATTCCAGCAACCTCAATTCCAACAGCAACAGAATAATCCAGTCTATGCATCACAGTATCCTTCTGCTTCTACCAACAGCATGAGTGCATCCATGTCTGGTGGTGCATCGGGTTCCCAGCCACAAGTGGCCGGTCCAACTGCAGCCACCTCACAGTCTTATCTTGGATCTAACTTTGTCAACGACTTTCAAGGATCTGCTGCTGGTCAGATTGGCATGCAACTCGGTACTCAAGCATTTGCTCAAGTTCAACAGAATGTTAACCAAAATGCAAGTCTATCCATCCACCAGGGTTAAAGCTTTTTTTGAATCGATCGTTTTGAGCTGACATTCCCTACTTTTATTGTCATGCATTTAGATCAACCGATACGTTAATGTCACTCAGCTACGGTACTACTTTAATGTTAGCAACTCGTATGTACTAAATAAAGTGCGGCTGCTCCTGTTTCCTTATCGGCACAAGTCTTGGTCGCGATTAGTACGGCGATCTGAACATAGTGGTCAGGCTGAGGGCTTTGCTCCACCGCGCGAAGATCTCAATGCTCCCGATCTATATCTTCCTGTCATGTCTTATGTGACTTATGTTTTATTGGTTGGATTGTCTATTGGTGTCGCTTCTGATGGCTCGGTTGTAAGCAAAAAGTAACATTCTATTGTTGGAATAATGTCCACATTGCTCTTGTATTGGTCTACTACTGATTCAGCATGCTACACTTTACTAGGTTTACACCTGAAGTGCTAGGATCTTCTGCAACCGGTGCATTCTTTATAGTATTTTGCGAAGTCTTGCTTTTAAAACTAGCATTCTACTTCTTGAGTGTGGTGAATGATGCAAGTTTTTTGGACTTGATTTCATACTGTGGGTACAAGTTTATTTTGTAAGTGTCTATTCCACTGTTGAAGTCGTGTTGGATCATTTCTCAACTAACAATGCTTTTTAAACTAGTGTGTGTATTCTTGTCGTGTTCAAGTCGATGCTTGGTATGTTGGATTGGCGGTTCTGGATTCCTGGTGCATACCTCATTTTGTCATTTGGGTTCTTTACAGTAAGTGAAATGGTCCTTTCATGGTAAATAGCTCAACTGACCATGTTTTAAATTTCTTACTAGCTGCGGACCTTGCGGTACCTGGTCATACCTGACCAAAGCACAAATAGTGTGGTGGGTCGCGATGGTCGCAAACGACGGGTTTTGGGCCTGTTTTTAATTTGTGCATTTCAATGTGTATCGATGCTGGCACTGATCTGATTGGATTTTGTGTTGACGCAAATCTTCAACTTGTGAATCGAAAAGTGACAAGAGTAGTATATGATGGTACTGACAGACTTGGTCAAAATCAGGCAAGTTGACCAGAATAAAAAACTGCACATGATAATGGATTAAATTGCATGAATGGGTGATATTGGATTCTACCGCCTATTCACGGAAAATGGAACATTAAGCTAAACTACACAATAAGCAATCATGGTTGATGGGTGCCAACTTTACTGTAAACCCGTTAACGTGCGCTAGTTTTTGCCCATTCTTGTACATATAGTGCAGACGTATCTGATATTAGGATACAACGGAGCTTGTTAGAACAAGCAATCGATGTCCTGTAGGAAAGCAATGGCTGTTCAAGCATTGTTTATTTCAAACAAAATAAGACTGCACGATAGTATTCCATTTTGCATGAATACGGATTTAAAACCACACTTTTAAAATGTTCCAAGTGGATACTCCTAAAATGAGAACCATTGTGCCAAGCGTGGAAAAAGCACGAGCAGGACCATATGCCTTTTTGGTACAGATCATATCACTCACATGGGCAGCACGCATGACTAAAAACAGCGACAAGGAGGTATGAACATAGAACGAATCCAGACCATTGTATTCAGCCAATCCAACCAACAAAAACACCTATTCCATATACAAGGCTGTCAACAGGCAATAACACCAATATACATCTTTAAATCCACACAAAGACGAGATAGATCAGCATCAAGCCAAGACTCGGTCGCTACTTACCCATGGAGCAGTTTCGATAAAGTTTGCATGGGCTCGCACGGCCTGTGTGAGCTTAAAGTACTTGGAGTTGAATGGTGTAGCTAAAACACACAGTATCAATCATCTAAACTAGACAGTAAATACCAAACATCAGAAACTAGGTTGATGCATGACCTACACAAAGACTTGTCGTCCAATACAGTTGGCCCCTTGTCAGTGTACTTTTGCAGCAGCTCCAAAGTCTGCTCGTAAGTACCATCTCCAAGCGACACCTTTGTTTATTAAAAGACCATGAGATGACCAATACACATCAAGTTAGATATTGAAAAACAGCCGATCGACATCCATGGCTGGACTTGGAAAGGTTAGATCTAGTGGAGAGAATACCAACAACAGGATTTACCATCAGTTTGGATCTGTAGCGAGCAACATTAAGAACAAGGCCAAGACCCATCAGGCCAGCAAGAGAGGCGTATCCAGCAGTTACGAGCATATGATGGTTGTTGTTAAGATTAATAAACATAAACCCTTTTACAGTCGTATTCACGTAAGATGAAATACTAAAATATAAGATAAACAGTCATGCTTGATTGGTGCCAATCTTACTGGACATTATTTTAACTTTAATTCATTCTTGTACAAAAATACAGAATGAATTAGACATTCTTGATATCTTTTCAGTCTTTTATTTAAACCAAATACTGGGTGATCACCCAGTGTTGTAATGCTCAGTTGTAGTAAACGAGGGTTGAAAATATATAAATATAAAAACATAATTCTGACAATTCCATAAACATGCTGGTTAGCATGTACTCTAATTTCATACAAGCCCATCAGGCTCTATCAAAACCCTAACCCATAACTAATGGCTTGGTATGTGTATTACTATATATACTAAGCACATAGAGTTACGACTATTTTTAGTACAAAAAACACATTAAGCTTTAAAATCAAGTTACGTAAATCAGTTTATTGAAAATTGAATGTTGCCTGATTCAGTGCATAAATTGAGTAGAAATGAATGCAACTAGCGCCAAAACGACACAGAGTAAAATACAATTGACCATAAACTTGTCCCCTTTCATAACCTACAAAAATACAAGATACACGTCACTATTATTGGCATGATGGTAGCAATCATAATACATCTTGGCCAACTTACTCCATCTAGTGTTTTTTTCATTGTAATGTTGATATTGTCGACATGGTCTAAAGCACCTTCCACCTTGTGATCAAGGTTATCCAGGTTTTGATTTTGATTTTCAAGCTCCTATTGTTTTATATAAAAAATTAGCATCTCGGATACTTGCTAGAATGATTGTATACTTATTGTACAGTCTACAGATCAAATAGCAACATGAAAAAATGATGACAAGATCTCAAGTATTGTAAATACACACCTGTCCCATATCTAGGGCAATCTCCTTTAATTTGGCCACACCAACACCAATGTTTTCAAGATCTTGATTCTAAATGCGTTACAAAATTAAAATATATACGTCAATAACCAGAATATATCAGCATAAACCCGATTCAAAGCAGCACTCAATCAGTAAAAACTTACAATATCCTTGTTTCTATTTTTAATGGCCTTCAAGTCTTCCTCTACATCAATGTCTGGAAGATCTGAATGGGTAAAAGGGTCATTGTGATCGTCGTTATCACCATGGCCTATTTCAAAATTTAGCAAACGTATTTCTATGAGTACTCTGTAACTATAGAGGTAGTAAAGCACATACTCGAAGCTTACCTGCACCAGAAACACCATCACCTCCATTTGTATTATTTCCACCTCCACTAAATAGCTCGATTCGATCAGCTGCATATCCATCCGCTTGTCTTCGTTTCTCCAAATTCTCACATTCATCAACGTGTTGTTTGCATAGTTCCAAAATCTCTTTATGCTCTGCAACCAACGCTGGATCCTTGGGTCGTTTCTTTAAAAATGGTCAACATCAGAATAAAGGTAAACATTTAAACTATAACTTGTATCACAGGATCGTTTCTTGCAATGGTAATCAAGTAGAGTGTCTCATACAAAATGTAAAATCATACTAATACCTTTCGACCTTCCTTGTCCACGATTTCTTGCATGCGTGCAGTCTGCTCTTTTAATGTTTTGATCATCACACGAATTTTGTACGAAGCCTCTGCCGATTCAGTTGTTGTGCAACCTCCACGCATCACATCTTGTCGTTCTTTGAGTGCCTATGTTTGCTTATTTATAATGTATTTTAAATTGAACAGTAGTTCAAAGTCAATGTTGTAAATAGCATGCATCACGATTCGTCGATTTTGGTTTCCAACCGTGTTCGTATCAGACAGTAAAACCCATGTAAAAAGCATAGTACGAGTTAATAACTATAAAACTACTCTTTACACACTAGATAGGGTCACAACTATCATAGCTGGAATGCAATATTATGTTCATCTAGTATGATGGACTATGTATCAGTCGAGTGTTGGTCAAGGGTATGACGCGTCCATTCAAGTATAAACTCGATTGGTCTCTAATTTGACTCGATGGAAACAATCAAATCCTGCTGTTTTTATCATTCAACACTTCATTACCTGACGAACAGACTTGACATCAGCATGCAGCTTTTTTCGAATACGGCTGAACTCGTCCAAGCTGGCGTCTGTGTTCTTTTCTTCAATGGCTTCTGGAGCACACTCTGTATAGATTATCTCCAGTCGCTTCATTGCATCTCGCATACTCGCCATGTTTGCTATCTATTGGTAATAATTATATGTCGTGTGTTGTTGGGGTTTGAGGTAAGTGCGCGTTGGTATTGATAATTCAACTTTGCTTTAATGCTAGCGACAATGAGGATGAGAGCAGGAAAAAAATATTTCTCTTGACTATATAGGAAACTCCACTTTTATCATGTTTTGAAAACATTGACAGCATCAAACAGGTCGCTGTTGCGTTTTTTAGAAACAAGAATTTTGTAAAATTGTAAAGTGGGTTTAGGTTAGTGTACAGAATACAAGTGGAACACTAAAGATTGTGTCAGAACAAGATCAACCGAGTAATGCTGTTCTGTATTGAATTGATGGGATCAGCAGGTTGTTCAGCAAGCTGACCGTGTCAACAAGTCAGATTGTTGCCGTGGTATATGATCCTATCATTCAAATCAGTAGATAGTCTACCAATATTTACAAGAGAACATCACCAAACAGGAATCAAACTCGATCATACACAAAAGTGTAAATGAATTCTATACAAGTACTGCCTAAACACATGATATATACTGGCGATTACTGATAATTTCTGATTTTATTTCATGTCTCGATTACCCGCATTGTCGCTAGCTGTAATGAATCAAGGCAATAACAATAGTTTCATTTTACACGAATACAGCAGTAAAATAAACTAAAATTATTTAAAAACTTGCAGCACACACTTCAACTGTATTTCAATACAGGCTGATTGCAAGTACAACCTTGCAGTTATTGTTCAAGTAGAGATTACGTCAAATCCTTTTTTACAGTTGGTTTATATTCGAGGATGGATGGCGATGAATCTACTTGAGAATTAAGATTTGGTCGGTAAGCAACCTTTTTAGAGCCAGTATTTACTTCGTCCATTAACCAGTCGCGAGTATAAAACCATCCCTCTGCAAATCCAACAACCAATGCGCCAAAAAGTCCAAATAAAACTCTCTATAATATCATTGGGTTAGTCACCTAGCTCACATCAATCCAAGTCGAATCTTGAAATGCATCTGTGCTTACAAAACCCTGATCTTCCCATAAGCGTTCTGCAAAAATATAAAGAGCTGTAAAAACAGCTGCCATGGAAATAAAGATATTGAGGAGTGACATCATTTGGCCTGAAACTTTCCGTAATTCGACCAAGTCTCCTGATATACTCCCCAATGCATCTCTGGATTTTCCATGAGGCATTTTGCCAACAATATCCTCATATTCCTTATTTTCCAGTTTAATCTTGACTTTTTCCATAAACTTGATATACTCGGGAGTCTAAAGTCGAATGTTGAATGATTTAGTTGACTATATCTCATACGTTTCGATCCAGAACCCAGTTTAAACCAAATCAATTATATTGCATAGTCAATATCTATATCATCTTACTATTTCTCTTGGTTTTGGACAGACAAACTCGATACGACTTCCTTTTATTAGCCGATGAAATGCATAGTGTGGGCGATCTAATGTCAAAGTGATGAGAAACAGACAGTAAACCCAACAACTTCAACACTATATCATGCATCTATTGAAACATACCAGGGTATGCTTTGACTAAAAGTGAACAAGCGCTGTGAAGTAGTTTATGTGATATAGAGCTGGCTTTAGCTGTTGATGAAAAGTCGTGATCCAAAGTGCCGTTTGGTTCTGAATCCTGTGCATGTTTAGTTTCTAATGCTGCCAATTCCAATGCTTCCCGAATCGAGTCTGTTACTACCAATTGCATGTTGATGGTTGTCTTGGAAAGTTGTTTCGTTCTTTATTTACTTGAACACACCTTCAGGAAAGAATAAAATTGAAGCAAATACAGTTGGTAAGTGCATGTCAAATCTCAGCAGATCTATATAGCCAACTTGAAACACATTTAATGACAGTTTTACGAGTACTTGTTGTACATCTCAGCTGTACTCACGCAAAACGAACTACTAAATAAGAATGTCTACATAATAAACAGCCAATCTGATGAATGACTGATATTGGTTTACTGGACAACGTTATGTCCATTGAGCTCTTTAGCTGACTGAATCTTTTTTTGATGATTGGATGGAAACAACAGTTGGATTGCTGAGATGTACAATATGTGTTCTCTTGAACTAGAACGCGAACGGATCTGCGAGTTTGTAGTTGGATTAAAAAGATGAAAGCAATTAAACTCAATATATGGATTGATTGAATACGCTTAAAACTTGGTGATCGTAGAATGAATTGTTATTTAAAAACAAGCGACAGTCATTACAAGATGAATACAAAAGTGGTTTATTTTACACAGATACGACTGTAAACGAACTGATTTGCCATTTCAGATGTGAATTCAACTTTGACCGATTTGCAATCAGTTGCAAGTTTAGCGTCCTTGAGTGAAGAAATGCAATTTGAAGAAATCATCCACAACGAAGGCTTGAGAGAATACACTGTTCGAACTCAATCACCATTCTCATGGATAGTCATTGACATATGTCTTTTTATGCTGATCGCATTGCGCCTTGCAAGTGAATGTTTCCAACATGCTATTCCATCCACGTTAGCTTCTGGACAGATGCCACATCCACTTGATACAACTTTGTTTATGACTGCTACTCAGACTCGAATACACATTCAAGACGTAGAACGCTCAATAGAATATTGGCGTATGCTGTGGCTATGGGTAGAGTTGTTTTTGGGAAAGGTAGGTTGTGGGTCTTGTCGATTGATGTATCTGAAACTACTCAATTCATCTAGCATCACTATTGATTTATCAACGGCATCCTTCTAAACTACTGTTTATTTCATTTACATCTGGTTTATCGACTATACTGGGAGATACAGTTACAGTCGGACATATGTCGATCTACTGTCGATTTGCGGGCTTTGTCAATTTCAATATGGAGCTCGACATCTGGACTTGCAGCATTCGCATCAGAAATGCAAGCATGCATGGCATGGTTGTCTCGGTCTGATGTCAGTCTCTGCATTCTATTACTAGTTGTTTTCCGCATCATTTTAAAAATATCTCAGGTCACATCAGGTAACGTTGATGGCATTCCTAATTTTGCCAGATTTATTGCTCAATTCTAAACTAGCAGTCATACCATGCAAATTCAAACACTAACATCAGGTTTTATAAACCGACTCTGACCCTAGAATCAGTGTTGGTATTTCGAGACATGGGAATTCAGCTACAGACACGGTTTTGGGGTGGATTCCGCTCAACCACACGGTTTATCCCTGCATCAAAAATCTTGTCTGTGATCATCAATGAAGGAATCACACTCTGGCAGGTGAAGTTTTATTTGGCGATTGTCATTGAAGGCGAAAATGAAATGACAGTTGCATTTTCGGTAAGCCAAGTTTCTTGATTCGATTTTGTATGTCTTCAAAACATTGGAATCTGAATGTTTCATTAATTCATGTCCTGTAATTATTGCTGTGGTAAGAGAACACTTCCTAGATTACATATATTAGAACGAGTCTATGTCAATATTCGATCAACACTGATGCACGATTAGTCAGCATTGCCTAAACATGGATAGTATGAGATACGCAGAGGATAACTTATTGGATTAAAAGGATATAGGATTTTTTGACAAAATAATATTGTGTTTTGTGGATATCTGGCAAAGTTTACTGGTCTTTGAGCTCATTTTGTATAGCTGGATTAATGTTCACATCACAATTCCAGTCCATCTAGCACTTGTTTAATATCCAATCCTTCTTTCATTACAAGTAAACATTGGGTGATTGGTATTATATTCCTGAAATGCACAATCCTGTTTTCTTGAACTTGAACGCGAACATGAGTTTGAGAATATCAAAACCAAACCCAATACCTGAACTGCAGTGAGTGGATCGAGTTTCAAACTTGGCAATCGTACAATGTATGGCTATACCAAGTGAGAAGAATTCCAGTCTAAAACTATAGTTTGTATTATATGATGGTCGTTGTTCAAAAGAATTGAGACCATCTATTCAGGTCAATACCTAATAGGAAAACGCAACACATATTTAGCTATTGTTTATTCCAAAGCAAAATAAAGGCAATCCACTGCAAGATGAATACGAGTATTTCATTTTACATGAATACGGCTGTAATTCACTCAAGATTTAGTGGTGAGCGTTGAGAGAGAAGGGAGAACGAAGGAGAGCAGGCTTTTTGAACTCCTCGTGATGATGGTGAATGTATTTCTTGACAAAATCTTCCTCGTCTGCAGAGTCAAACTTGATGGGTGGAGTAGCCTTGAACTTATTGTATTGGACAAGGCCAGTGATACCGGTAGCATAGATACCAATGACAATAGCAACCACCTACAAAGTGTACACCAACAGCGGTTGGATGTCAGGACATTCAACAATCCATAGCATATGTATCAATGACAAGCAGGTTAGTAAACGTCAGGGTTCTATCTAGTACAATGAGAATGATCTAGATGGCCAGTATAGAAAGGATGAAATGTGTAGTCGTTTTTTACAAGGATCACTAAAGCCATGAATCAAACGAGCGTGCTAGATTTTATCCTCCCAATGCACAAAGCCTGCATGGTCAAGAATTCCAAGTGTATACTGCTGTACCCAGTCATTAGAAGTCAAAGTCATGGTGTATGCAAGCGTATCCACACTTGATCAACTTGGAAAACAGAACCACCAACTCCTTATGCTGATCCAAGGTTTGGAATGGCGGCTTATTCTCACAAGTCCAGCCAGTCTGACAAAGTGATGGCATTCTCATGAACATAAAAGGATATGATAGATCAGAGAACAGGTGGATGTACCTGATAGCGAGGCAACTTTGCACCAAAGATATTGAAGATTTCAAAAGGAGTACCGCCAGCCATTTTGTTGTAGAGTGTTGGGTAAAGGAATAAAAGAAATTCGTGCTAGATTGACAACTGGATTCACAAAATAAAACAGAATCCCAAAATAAATGAACAGTCAGTTTACTGCACAATATTGAACTCTTTAATTGGCTGGTTTACTGATGATCGGCATTGAAACAACTGCTGAATTGTTAATGCATGCAATCTTTGTTTCTTAAATCAAGACACAAATGTATTCGCAAGTTTTAGAATATAGTATGATGGAGTTTATAAGAATTGTCTTGAAAACATCAAAACTCAATGTCTGGATTGTAATGAATAAATCTGGTGATTGTACACTATGCAATTATATCAAAAAAGGATAATCTTAGTTCAAAACTATAGTTTGAGTGTATCATATAATGTAGTGTTTATTGAAGAATTGAACATGTCAGTTTGAGCACTACAGTTCATCTGGAATAGGAATGCGCAAAGGATGATCATTGTTTAAAGTAATCGTTGCAAGATAGTACAGAAAAGTGTTTTATTTTACGTGAATGCTGATTGTGGATTCATTGCAGATCTAGCCTCGATTTACTCGAGCCTTGTCAAACAGGTCAGCAATCGTATATATTTATTGACTCATATCATCTTCATCGTCCATCTCAACTCTTTGCTTCTTAGTACTTGTCTTGACAAAATTTCTAATGGTTTTGGATCTTACTGCCTCGACAGATTCATCATCTTGGGCCCATTCTAGCACTAAATGGCGACCATACAAATGTGTGGCTCCGAGTGTATCATATGCAGTCTTTGCTTCTTGTTTTGTAAGAAAATCAACAAACGCAAATCCACGATGCTGGCCGTCATATTTGGTTGGAATACGTACAGATTTGACTTGCGCAAACGAGCTAGAAAGTGATCCGACATGAAAAACAAATTAGTAAAAGTAGACTGACAGTATACTACAAAACAGATGCATACCTAAACAATTCCTTGATGTCTTTCTTTGATGCTTCAAAAGGCACATTGCGTACAACAAGTTTTGTGCCTTTGATAGTGTCATCCTCATCGTCCATTTCCAAAGTTCGTTTTTGCGGTGCAACTGGCTTGGAATACTTTAGTTGCAAAACATGATTGTCCAATTTAAAGTTTTGCATGGCCTTAAGACACTTGGTGGCATCTTCAGTAGAAGCAAACCCAAGGAACCCAAACCCAAGTGACTGTTTTCCGCCTGTTTTGGGATCATCCTTCATTTTGATGTTTACTGATCGCAATCCAGATAAACCGCCAAATGCTTGACGCAGCCCCTCTTCTGTGGTTTGAAAGTTGAGATTCTTGATATAGATGGATGCAACTGGTGGGGCTGAGCTGTCATCCTCAAGATCTTCAAGTCGATGCTCCACTTTACTAGACACATTTGGATTTTGAGTAGCCGAATCAAATCCAGCAGCGTTAAACTGGTACCCTGTAGATATCTCCTTGGCTGCACTACGAGCTTCACGACGTGCTGCTTCCTTTTCTGCATCAAATTCTTGAGTGAAAATACCTTGCGATGCCCACTGCAAGTAAAGTGGAATATTTTTAAATTTGGAGTATGCCAGCTTTCGAAATGCTGCTTTGGCTTCATTGCGTTCCGTAAACTCAACTAGCGCAATGGTTTTTGCGGGTGGTAGAATAATCTGATTTAGCAAACAAGACCAGCAACGTTTGAGTTAGTTGTCGATTTAAAGACAGCACCATAAACCTAAACTAAATACCAATAATACTTACACGACCAAGAGTACCAAACTTGCCAAACGTTTCAATTAGATCCTCCTCCTCAGTGGTATATGGAATGTTCTTGACAAGAATAACTGTGTTGCTTCTGGTTTGTGTCGATTTCAAAGCATCGATCGACACACCCTCCTTTTCAATATACGCCTTGGTTTCGTTGATAATATTTGTTTCGGCAAGAGCCAATCGCACAGCCATGTTGTCTACAGTCTTGTCAAGAATATCGCTCTTACGAACATTAAGCTTTTTGGCCATGGACTCTGCAACCGTGTCCGCATTCATAAACAAACTATTCCAGTTAAAGTCATTCGAAGCTGCACCTTTTCGCTGCGTTTCACGATTTTTTTTAAATGTCTGCGGCCCTGTCAAAGTCTCATCTGCTGCTTTGGGTCGCTCCTTTGCTGGAACAATCTGCATGATACGACCTTGAAAAATTGTATTGTCCAGTGTTGTGTAAGCATTGACGGCATTTTCTGGCATAAGATACATGATAAAAGCATATCCCTTGGATTTCTTGGTTTCACGATCAATGGGAATATGCACTTCGGAAATAGGACCAAATGGTTTGAAAAGCTCCTCAATGTCTTCTGGAGAACACAGATAGGTAAGATTGCGTACCATAATTCTTCCTGTGTCGGCAATTAGCTCTGCTGGTGGTAATTCGTCTTCTATTGGTTTGGAGTTGATGATACGAGAGCGATCAGCAGAATTGTCATCCTCGTCACTCTCGGCCTCGACTACTTGAACCTGCTGTATCGGTTCTGACCTGGGTGCCGTGGGAGTATGAATATTATAAATGTCATTTGCATCAACAGCACCAGTGCCTTCAAGAACAGCAAGACGGCTGGGATGAATCTTGACCATTTCCACCTCCTACATTTATCCAAATATTTAAGTATGGCATCAAGCATCTACTTGACATTTAAATTAATCCAAACTATTAAAATGAGTTACCTCTGGCTTTTTCATCTTGGATCGCATATACTCCATATCAGACATGGTCGAGTCAAACGCAGTACTTTTAATATTTGATTCATCGACATGCTCTTTATCTTCTGTCACTGTAGCACTTTCTTCTATATCAATATCTTTATGATTTATAACAGGCAGCTCGTCGTATAATTCATCGTCCTCATCACCAGGAACTGTGACTGAAGCCTTGACAAATTCATGATCGTTTCGATGTGCAGCAATTACATCATCGTTTCCCCAGATTCGGGTTTGAGCAGCAGCTCGAGGTCGCATGACTTCCAAGAATTCTTTCAGCTTGGGATCTTCTGGATCATCTTGTAAATCTGCCAAAAACTTTTTCTGTTTAGAATTGAGTTTGGATACTGGGTCAAGATCCACCATGGTGGAATCATTTGCAGTGGTTTGAGGAGATGCTTCCAATCGTCGAAATTCTCGTTCTTTTTGTCTGTTAATCATCTGAGTGTTGGCCGAAGTTCCTGGCGTGTGTTTGCTCCATCCTCGACTTAGCGAAGCATCTCCAATCTAAAAATAGATTAAATAACGATCAAAAACAAATCATACATGCTGATAAATGGAGTAAAGCAGTAAATTAAATCCGACATACTGCTTTGGCTACTTCTACTTCGATCCTTGATGTGTCAATATATGATTTGTTGAAATACGCAAGAGCACTTTCAGCTTGTTCTTGAGTTTTAAATCCAACAAACCCAAAACAGCGAAAAACTCCATCTCTACAAAAAAGGTGAGTCGTTAGAATTGATGGTAAATGCAGGTGGTTATGATTTGACGAGGCTTTTACATACTTTGTAGTGGCCAGTTTAACATCGGTGACTTGACCCTTTTTAGAAAAGTGATTCTTGAGTCGTTCAGGAGTAATATTATAAGGAAGATTCTTGACAATAAGTCGAGACCTAAAGTATAAAGACAATGAAGCACAGTTAAATTAATATATTCTCCATGCTGGCCAAATTGGTATTTTTTTTTTAAACATGCCAAAAAGAGTTTTAAGCAGACAGCAGCGAATGCATACATTTTAAATAGAACAGATTGAAATGTTACTGTAAATACTCTAGCAATCGGCAGACAACAAAGGTCAGTGGTGGAATCGACAGCTTGAATGCAATGCGAGGTTTGGCTTTTTTAGATAGCAAATTGGTTTTGATGAATTTGTGGATTGATTCCTGATGACATGTTTTGAAAGCAGTGTTGAATCGCATGCGAGTGTTTAACTCATTGCTGCATTCAAGATCATTATAGTCAAGTGAGATGCTCTCACTTCCCGTCGGTTGGTTTCGTGCACTCCTCGTTTCGGGTGCAGATGGCAGACGCATGGCTCTTCCAGGATCAATCCTTGCAACACTCTTGATTAAATGGGCAGTTTCTCTGCATTCGCATTCTGGATTGAATACTCCGCCTATGTTTGGTGACTTTGAAGCACAACGTCACTGGATGGAGCTGACAACTCATTTGCCTCGTTCAGAGTGGTATCGCTATGACCTGGGATACTGGGGTTTGGATTATCCGCCCTTGACTGCTCTCCATTCGTGGCTTTTTGGAAACATGTATGCTTTAGATCTCTGGATTGTAACCAATGTAGTTGTCAATAGCATCGTGTATATGAGTTGTCTAATTGATGTTGTTTTGTGCAAGTGCAGAGCCCATATGATTGATCCGTCGTGGGTAGCATTAAATAGCTCAAGAGGAAACGAAGATCCCAACTTAAAACAATTTATGCGTCTTACTGCACTAATAACCGATATGCTAGCCTTTCTTCCTGGAGTTGTTTTGTTTTCCAAGTTATGGTTTTCATCGCCCACATCATGGATTGAAAAAGTTGGTAGCTGGATTTTATTTTTAAAATTATGCCAGGTCTGATGTTGACTTTTGTACTTTATGTTTCCAGCAAACGTGGATTTTCTTGATGCTCCTATGCCCAACGTTAATTGTAATCGATCATGGTCATTTTCAGTGCGTTATGTAATCATTGCTATGATCTCGTTTTGGCATATTTTAGTTTGTCTTGCTTACTTGCTTGCATTCATTATAACTAGATACAATTCTGCAATGCTAGGGTTTGCCTTGCTGGCATTTGCCTTGTTTTTGGATAAGCGATATATTTTTGGAAGTATATTTTTTTGTCTGTCGCTTAATTTTAAACAGATGGCTTTATTTTATGCGATTCCAGTCTTTTTTTACCTACTTGGACAATGCGTTCAAATGGGTGCTGTTAGAGGGTATGTATTTTGGTCTAGATCCAATTTGAATCATGTGCAGGGTAGCTAATATTTGATTTTTTGGTGATAGACTAACGATGCTCTTGAAGCTTGGACTTACTGTTGTTATAACTTTTGCTGCGTGCATTGCGGCTGTTACACCTTCCATCGATGACACTTTTCAGATGCTTGTGCGTGTATTCCCCGTCAATCGTGGGTTGTATGAAGACAAGGTTGCCAATTTCTGGTGTGCAATCAATGTTGTCATCAAACTCCGTGAAATGTTTGATGTTCCTGATCTTGTCAAGCTGAGGTGAGAAACGGATACAATTTACATTAAAAGTTCAAGTTATTTGACTCACAAATTCTGTTGTATTTCTAGCATGGCGTGTACATTATTGGCAGTCATCCCAGCCGGTTTGTTGGTTTTCCGGTATCCCAACAGACGCACGTTTTTGTACTCGTTGGTTGTTGGATCGCTTGGCTTCTTTTTGTTTTCGTTTCAAGTACATGAAAAGTCTATTTTGCTTCCAGCTCTGCCTGTAATGATATTTGTGCTTGACGATCCAGTGGCAGCATCCTGGTTTATTAATGTGGCCATGTTTAGTATGTTCCCGCTATTGAAAAAAGACGGACTTGTTCTTGTTTATATAGCTTTGGTATGCCTATGGAACCTCTTGAACCCCGCCATGTTTAATTATCGTACAGATTTTGCAAAGATTTGCACCTTTGTAAGTTTGCATATAAAAGTTGTATTTTGGATTGCCGGGTAGTGTTTTTGAACTAATGCAAATCTTGAATATGATTTCTAAAATGCATTGTTCTGCAACAGGGATCCGTATCGTTGATGGTGGGATGGCATATTGTTGAAATAACATCGCCGCCTTCAAAACGGTATCCCGACCTAGATGCCGTGTTCAATATTCTGATCAGCACTGCACACTTTGGCATCTTCTTTTTATATTTTTACTACCAATTGTGGGTATCATCGACAAAAGGGGCGTTGTCATCTGCATCATCATCGACGGCAGTCTTATTTGTTGCTTCACCGACTTCATCCGTATCGCCGCTTCGATCTCCAACAAAATCATTTCCAAAGTCTTTGTCCAAAACCAAAACTGAGTGAGTTTTGGATATGTTTATAGGAATAGTAATTATCTGTAATGAAATACATATAATTTGAGTCTTGGCGATCCATCTGAAAGTTTTGATATATTTGAACAAAAAGTTGAATTCAATATTGAAATAGTTTGACTAGCCGGATATAAACAACGGATGTGGAGTGTCGCTCATGACGATCGCCACATGGTGACTTGCGACAAATACCATTTGAGCAGTCTTTTAAGCATATTTCCATATGGTCTACTCTTGGGAATCCTTGTAGCAATCGCACTTGTAGCATGGACACCAGGAATTTCTCTCTACCATCGTTTTAGCCATATTGCTCAACCACCCAAAGCAGCTGCTACAAAGGGCGACCCATCCAAATCATTCTCAGCAGCATTACCTCCATGCCAAGAGGACAGTTTATCCATCATTTCAGAGGCAGATAATGATTCGACCACTCTTGAATGCGATGCAAACTCGAGTGCATATTTAGAATGGAATCCAACTCTGAATCTTCAATCAGCAACTACAGTGGATCCATACAGCGATTCTGAACCAGAGGATGCTTATGCGGTGTCGCAGAGATTGGAAGATCCAGTTGTCGATTATCAGCAGTCTATTCAACCATCTGATGTCAGAGAACATACGACAGAGAATTCAATGAGTCGAGATGTGGATGATGCAGACAGAGTATTGCAACCTCGACGACTTCGCAAGACTAGCAGCTTTTATGACATGACGATTTCTGCAAGTCTCAAGTGTCGGAATGCTGATTTATCAGCGCATACAATATGTCGTAGACGGTCACTCCATTCAAGGAATTCATCGTTAGGACGATTATCTGTGGGCTCGACTCCACCACAACAAGCAGCAAGCATTCCACTGTCACCACCTTCTTCACCATCTCGCATTCCACGACCATGCAGTCTACACAATCAGTTGAGCAGAACATCACCACACGTCTTTTCAACTGCGTCCAAAGCCAGTCCATTCGAATGCGACCGCAATGAAGCTGATGCAGGCGATGGTGAGCTCGCAGGTTTCCACTCACAAAGTGGACGCGACTTTCTATTCATTGCAGCCTCGAATTCTGCTTCTTCCAACTTGAAGAATACTTTGAAGAAAAGAGCAGGCTCGGCTAGTGATATTGCTGCAGTTGGTACTAGAACTAATCGATTCACTTGTATAGATTCTTCTTTTTCAGGCACTTTATCCAATCAATTAAGCAACAAGGACTCGTCCAATCAGTCAGTTGGTTTAGCATCGCAAACATTGCCTTCAAAAGTATTGCAGTCATCAGTTGCTCTATCTGCATCTATCTCTGCTGAATCAGCTTGTTATTCTGATACTACTGCTTCAATTTATACCACTCATCAATCTTCAACTACCACTCAATCCAAGGCAACCATTACTGCTGGTGCTATTGTGGCCAATTCAAGTTCTAAGCGACTAGTCCACTCTCGATCACAGCCTGTCTTACGTAGTGACCATCTCACACCGTCTTCAAGTACCATCTCAGCTCGTATTCAAAAATTTCAAAATCCATCTGCAGCATCTATACCAGGATTTCCAACCCATCACACGTCTGCCATGAATTCTTCTGCATGTCCTAAACGAGACCATGCTGCATCTGGGTCAGTTGCATTCACTACTACAGCACTTTCACACCACAAAAGTCTTGCCGAGCAGGCATATAAGAATATATCTTCTGGATTAGATAAAGAGCAATTGCATGGCGACTTTGAAGGTGCGTTGCACTTGTACCGATTGGGCATTCGCGATATGCAGTCTGCCCTCAAGATTATCTTTGCTTCGGATGCTGAAAAGTGAGTAATGATCAAGTCTTTATCTAACCCCTGGACTTGTGCTATCAGAAACTTGGGATACGCTTTATCTCATGCTAATTTAAAAATCTTGATTTACTTTGAAATCATAGAAACAAGGCTGCTCCGCTTAATGCCAAAATGAGATCCAATATGTCTCAGATTCAAGAGCGAGCCAAGATTCTTTCTGCCAATCTCAGCAATCAGCGTGCTGCTCGGCCAAAACCAATCGAACGGCTAGCCACTCCCCGAGTAAGTTTGCTAGATTCGACTCTAGATTCAATACTTTTTGAATCTAACTCGTTCTATTATTGACGATTTAAACTCTAGTCATCACAATCTTCTGGAAGAGCAACTCCTACTTCAACACCTCCATCGGGAAACTTGTCAAAGCTCAAAAGCTCAAAATACGAGTCATCTGATTCCAAAGCCATGTCACATTTAATTCTTAACGAGGTTATTGTAGATAAACCAAATGTATCATGGGAAGATATTGGTAAGACTACCGGATGCTTTAAAGTTGTCTTGATTACATTGTCAGTCCATCTTATGAATTGTTGCGATATCATTCTGGTTAGTTGGATTGGATGCAGCGAAACAAGCTTTGCGTGAAATTGTGGTGCTTCCAAATCTTCGACCAGAGTTGTTTACCGGATTGCGTGCACCTGCACGTGGGGTTTTGCTGTTTGGTCCACCTGGTACTGGAAAAACCATGTTGGCAAAGGTACACATATGAGCTTGCTTTTTTATAGAATTCATTGTACTGCATATTCTAGTATTTACTCTTTTGAATCTATTGCTAGGCATTGGCAAAGGAATCCAAGGCGACATTTTTTTCTATTAGTGCATCCACTCTCACGTCTAAATATGTATGTCTATTAGTAACTGCTGATGAAAGTTTAAAGTATTATATAACTGATTTGTGCTTGTCCACTGAAAATCTCTGGCATTAGTTTGGCGAGGGTGAGAAAATGGTTCGCAGTTTGTTTGAAATGGCAAAACAGCTTCAGCCATCCGTTATATTTATTGGTATGCATCAGTCATGACATTGGTCTATTGATATTTTTGAAAATCTTTAATTCATACCGAGAAAATGAGTTTAAACTGGTAACACTATTTTTAACTATTTCCAACTCTTGGTGTGCTGTATCTAGATGAGATTGACTCCATATTAACAGAGCGATCCGAATCGGAACACGAAGCGTCACGGCGTCTCAAAACAGAGTTTTTGCTTCAATTTGACGGGATTGGTAGTTCTTCGGATGATCGTGTGTTGGTATTAGGTGCAACCAATCGGCCCCAAGAACTGGTATGCTTGCCATTTTGATTGGGTGTCGAGGCAAATTTTAGGACAGCACTAAAATGTTTGATAATTTAGGATGAGGCTGCATTGCGACGACTTGTCAAGAGAGTCTATATTCCACTTCCAGAAGCAACCACGAGATCTGCCTTGCTCGTGCATTTACTTAAAAACCACAAACACTCATTGTCAGAGGCAGATGTTCGACGCTTAGTTGGAGCATCTTCTGGGTATTCAGGCAGTGACCTGACTGCTGTTGGTACGGAGTATATTTATCAACGAATAGTTTTAGGGTTTACAGCTTTTTAACAGTTTTTCTATTTTTAGCACGAGAAGCATCGCTAGGACCTATTCGTGTACTTGGAGATAAGCTCATATCTACACCAACTGAAGACATCCGCGGCATTACACTTGGTGATTTCTCACATGCACTAAAGATTATTCGGCCCTCAGTGTCGGCATCTACTATTCAAATATTTGAAAAATGGAATCTGGAAAAAGGGACAGCCGGTGCATAATCCGGTAGTTTTTTTACAACGAATGACATTATATAGCAGTCTGCAAACATTATCGAATAAATAATCAGGTTTAGAACGCAGTATAAACACGAACAATATTATTGTGGTGCATGCGGCGCCGTACTATGCAATGCAGCGATTTGGTTGATGTACTCTGTGCATCTAGCAAAACTGTCGATACGATCCATTCCTCGGAGTAAGTTTCGAATCTCGGCTGCATCTTTTGTAGCAATGGCAATATTAGACCTAGTCTGTAGAAGAGACTGACGACTATTTACAATTTCTGGAACCTTTTTATGGACATGCTCTTGAATCCTGTATATTCCCAAGGAAGTGTCGTTTGCCATTTGAACGACAAGATCCGATAGTCCTGTGGTTGCTATAGAATGAATGGTTTAGATCCAATAGTAGATTAGGTTATGCTGATACTTGACTAGTGACAGTAGTCTGATAAGGACTGCTGCACCAACGGAACACTCTTGTGCAAGTAGCATGCAGGCTTACCTTTCTGAACCCTTGTAGTCACTTCTTGCTCCATCTCTTGCTCATGTCGTTTTGTTATAAACAATCCCATGAGCGGACCTCCCGATCCATTTGTGCGGAAATTCATGGTAAATTGGAACGGGGATAACAAAGAACTGGATCGAGTATTTATTGAATACCGAGTTGGATGCAGAGATACGCCCAGTTGGACAGTGTAGAGTGCTATCAGGAAGGTGGAAAGGCAGGACTGGAGACAGATGATGCAAACATTCAGGCATTGCTGTTTCAACCCAGTAGACAGCGATGGTCACACTGGGCTCATGGTGCACTTTCAATCTATAAACGCAATACTCGACTGTCTCCTAAACTTGCTCTATCCACAAGTTTTATTTTGCTTTCTCACCACACTTGACAAAGGTTGAGTTTAAAGCGGGTGCTGAGCATTAAAACAATGAGTTCCATTCATTGATTGGGTAAGTGTCTGGGCGGCGGCAGCATGTCATGGAACAGCCTCTGGCTGTTGTCCATATCGTATGGCTGTCGTTTTTCCAGGCCGCATCTGAGAAAGAACAATGACTAGTGGAGCATGGCTCTGGATATATAAACTGATGAACAAAAATGATTGATGGATGGGTCTCATCACATGGTATCTTGTTACATAAAACTCCGCTCTTCAAATTAAATGCACGAGTTTTAAGCGCATTATCTAGATTGGCAACTATAGCTCGGCTCAAGCCTCTAGATTTGGCTCGGTAGAAATCTTGTTCATGACTTCAGTTCCTATTCTCCCGCTTATTTATCAGTGGCTCAACACTGCGGCTTTGATTCAAATCTTTGTTGTTTTAATCGCCAAACCGATCGAGACTGGCCCTTTATAGTATATAACAGCTTGTTTAACCAATTGTTTGTTTTAGTCGAGTTTCTCTTGAATTTGCTGTTTATCTATTTATTGTGAATTATTATTCTAAATCTGCATACTAATTTAGGTTGATACATGACTAAAATTTTATTATTTACATCTTGTATTGTTCTGTTGGGATATTCTATCCCTTCAACTTCCGCCCATGGTCTATTTCTTTTTCCTGGTCCACTTGATAGTCCTGGGTTTTTTGGCGCAACTCGAGGGTATGATCTTGCCAAAACAGATATTAGCACTCTTCGTAATCCACTTTCATCCCCCAACTTCTGCCGAGGAAAACCCTCCCGGTCTCCTGTCAATATCTCTCTTAAAAATGGTGCACAGTTTACTATCACCTTGGCGTTTTCTCTCCAGGCAAATCATATTGGACCATGCTCTATTCAAATGATTGATCCAAATAACCCCGATTCCGACCCGGTTATTATCGCGTCTGTGAATGGACCCAACGGGTGCGCTGTTAAACCTCTTAGTCGATACTCAACTCTTGATGGACCAACCAGTCAAGTTTGTCCTGGATTGGTTCCACCTGGGATAAAGGATGCTTCAAATGACATGTGCATGAGTGAATGGACGTTTGATGTCAAAAATGTTGATAAAATCAAGTGCACTACCTGTATTATGAGATGGCTTTGGTCTGGCCAGCATCTGTCTGTCACCGACCCTGAAGAATGTACGTATCTATTTAAATTCCGCTTTTGGCACTCAGATTTACAACCTTGGCAATCCTCAAGTCACAGTTGCCATGCTTATATTTATTGCTCTACAACTACTCTATTATAGATGAGAACTGTATTGATGTCCGTCTTTCTGGAGAAACTGGAGGCACTCCAGGCCCTGTTATAGTAACTACAACTTCTTTGGATACACCTACTGCTACCACAGAAGACAATCGCGAGCCTACACCAAGTTCAAAACCGCGTAGAAAAAATCCCAGAAAATCTAAAACTCGCAAACCGACCAAAACCTCCAAAAGTCCAAAGTCGGTTCAAGCCAAAACAACTTATCCTAAGCAAGAGGAAAATAACGAAGTTAGTAATTTTCTAAAAAAGTCTGATCTTGACAATTCTACTGCTACTCCCTGTTCTACATCTGATGACTCTTCACTTGTAAACGATTCTGCGAATAACCAGGTCACTGATTCTTTTACGTTATCTACTGCTTCTCAGGACACTCAATCGGATGATCTTACATCTTCTGGATGGAGCGAATGCAAGAAATCCGATAATTCGTCTGGTCCTTATTACGCGTGTGCAGCAACAGATGGAGAAGGCGCTGACTACTTTGCTTGTTATGCTGAAGATTCATTGCGTCCACCACGAAAAGAATCTTGTGCACCAGGAACATCATGCAACCAGGCTGGAAACTGGATTAAATGCTATTAAGCTTTCCTGATTTGTTTATTTCTGTTGTAGGTTTTCCTTATGTTTGTCCATCTTCCCTTGAAAGTCATCTTGATCCGCCCGTGTCTATAACTATTATTTTTAAACCATAAATACAACAGTAAATAAATACTTGTGTGCCTATTTTCTCTGATACAGTTTTTGCAGTAAGCTAACTATAAAACAAATGGAGATTACGTCGCGGCAATTGAAAAGTAGTTGATTTTCTAATTACAATTGTACTCATGTAGGACAAAGTACTGAGAAAGAGTGCCAATGTGCATAATAAACAATCAATTTACTGCAAGACCGAATGAGCAATGATGTTTTGTATTTAATTGGGGGCAGCAGATTGTTTAGGAAGCTAACCATGGTCACAAGTCTGATTGTTGCCATGGTACAAGACACGATCAATGAATGATTGTACCATTCGAATCAGCAAATGAACAATTCGATATTTGAAAAACATCAAGCCCGGCCCATACAATACGGTCGAATGAATTTAGCAAATACCACTCAAACACATGATGTACACTGGTGGCTGCTGATAATTTCTATTTTTTTAATTTCATCTTTGCATTATCATCCTTATTACCACCAGTCATAAGCCAACCAAGAAATCATGTCAGTGGCAGGCATTACAGCAGAAAACGCAGAAAACTTGGAAGGTGACATTCAATGATTGATGTTGAGGGATGAGCATGTAGGAGTGATTGGCTACATTCGAGTATTTGATTCAATTCTGTCAAGCTGTTCTTTAAAACAAGACATGCTCAACTAGAGTATACTATACAGTTGGACTGAGGAAATGGGCTAACTCGATCGCACTTTTTGATAATGTAAACCTAGACATTGAGAAGCAATGGGCAGTCAAGTCTTTCCATCATGCCGAAACATACTTCCGGTTGGTTAGCTCCATTCCGCCCAATAAGATCAAGCTCACACCCATCGATGATGAAATATACACTGCTTTTAGAGCAGAGTTTCCAGACTTGGATGTTGGGATCCTGAAAGAAATGGAGGACTTCAAAACGGACAAATCCAAAGCCAAATGGAGGGAGTTTATCATGAAGTAAGGATTATCTGCTCATCATTGACAGAACCTAGCCGATGAATGACTGACACCGATTTGATTACTAGGTACGAGGACAAGGTTGAAGACTTTAACTTTGGCACGCTGCTTCGGAATCGAAGTGGGGAAGACTATGGTCCTGACAATTGCTTTTTTGGTAAGATCTGCTATTCAATAGATTGGTAGAACTGGTGTATACCCAGTTTAATTAGCCTATATGAGCGACTGACATTTTTGAGATTCAATTGAATGATCTACAGTAACCCGATTTCAATTTCTCTGTATTGAAATTGCTCGTAATCGTGAGGGTAGCAATGATGCACTTTGCAAGAAATAAATCAATGCAAGCTTAGTTATATTCTATTGTGTCAAGATGGGTTGGTACTTGGCTATATATTATCCACTTTTATTGGCTTTGTTACAGTACACAACTACCATGTCTATTACAACCCCTACGCAGCTAGATATTTGAAACTGCATATATTGTAAAACGTTTTCATCCACAGCCAAACGAGTCGCGTCCATCCCATTCGGAGTTGGACTCCTGCCCAAACATTCAACTCGAGTATATCCATGCTTATTTATCGCATTGAACCCAACAAGCAAATGGATAACAATCACCATAACAAATACATGTCTTGTTCAATTTTCTACTTATTCACGATTATCCCCTTGATAGAAAACTATTTTAAATCGACCTTTTCCTACCTTAGCTTTAATATACTCTTGTTCTGGCCCTGGTTATATATTTTACCCTTTTGTATTCTGTTTTGGAAATCCATATCGTGTATATTCGTGTTCTAGCATATCCACCACTGCTATAAAGTGTTAATATGTTGCGTCTCGCATCAAAGGCTGACCTTGATGGACCAAACACGCTCAATTCTCACGATGCATCGACCTTGAATGATGATAACTCATCCTATACTGCAACCAACAGCATTTCAAGCCAAGCGCATTTTCCTCCTAGGGCTTCAGGAAATCTTCGTAGCAAGGGAAGGTTTACCAACAGCTTATCCAACATCTCATCCTACTGGAAACATATGGGTAAAGATTCTATAGATTCATCGCAAAACCATTTTATAAACGACTCAAAGCCACTCAAGGAACGATCTTGGTCTTCGTTTCTGCAAGACGTAATCAGCAAACGTGCCACTTTGACAAATGAAGCTAAACTCGAAAAAGATTCGAATTCATCCTCTATACTAGGCATTTCAGCTCCATCTGGGCTGAATCCTAAAACACCAAAACTATATCGATTTTCGAGCTTGCGAAGTCCAGCTGCAATTTTGAGTCGTGCTACAGGTAATATTGGAAAATCTAATGAACCATTCGATGGTGGAAAACCAGTATCTCGAGGATGGAGCTTCAGATCCAAGCTGGACGTATCTGTTACACACCATAACGTGGAAAACCAATGCGATATTTCACATCCATACTCTAAACCGCTAGATTCAAATAACCAAGCAGAAACTTCAAATGCTATTTGTAATCATTCCTTTAATTTGGATTCTAAACGCACCAAATCTCCAGTTATTCCAACCAGAAAATCATCTTCAGCTATACCATATAGTAACCAGTTGCACTCAATGGCACGTTCAGATTTGCCCACGTCTGCTAAAAACGATCATTGCGTGTCTACACCCATCAAACATGATAAAAAAAGGCTGGAGCTTAATATATTCAAGGGAGCAGGTAAACTAATTTCTTCATCGACAGTAGCCGCTGCTCCAGAAGCACCATCTGGAATGGCTCAAAGTGTCAAGAGTGCAAAAGTTGCTGTTTTTAAACGGTCTCAGTCAATTCCTCGAAAACCAGTTACTCTTGATATGTCCAAGTATGACAAATATGCTTTATCCAATACACTTGAAATGTCACGGTTAGATTGTAGCAATTCGGCAACTCAACCGCTTGTTACTGTTTCCGAAAAAACCGAGGAAAAATTCCATTTAGCTGCAGACAAAAATCCTGAATCTGGTGAAAACCCTCCAGTAATAAGTGGATCTAACATAGAAACTTTAAAGCCGCCTTTGATAATTGTCAAGGCCAAGAAATTCTCTCCAAGTGCGACTGACCATCAAGTACCAGTAGTCCGAGATTCTGTTCAACCTTCAAAACCATTGCCCGAGTTTCCAAAAAACAAATCTGGAGCTCCTGCACCTGCTTCTGGCTCTTTGACTGCGGCTGACCGAGAAGAAATTGAGCGAACTAAAAGACAGCATGACTTGGCTTGTTTAATGAATGGAAGCAAAAAGCTCAGTCATGCATTTCATAGCAAATATACTCTTGGTGACATGCTTGGTGATGGTGCATTTGGATTCGTCGTCACTGCATTCCAAAAATTAGACAATCGCGAGGTGGGTATTTACTATTTGGTCCACGCTACTAGATGATTGAAATTGAATATGTTATTGTATACTGGGTTATATACTCCATGTTTATTTCAAAGTTTTTAATTACTTTTTTCATTTGTTTGGATCTTAGATAGCAATCAAGTTTATTGCCAAATCCAAAATTGCTCGTAATCTTTGGGTTCCATTTAACGAAGCGACAAAAGATCCTGTTCCTTTAGAAGTTGCATTGTTGCATCGATTAAAGCATCCTAATATTATTCAATATATCGACTACCTTAACGAAGAAAATTACGTGCTTCTTGTTACCGAATTGCATGGCACATCATGGGACTCTGTACCTTCTCCGGGGAAAAAAGAAAAAGATGAAGAAGGGATAAATAGGCTTGTGCGTGTAAAAAGTTTAGGATCTACCAAAACCACAAACACTTCAAACCCAATTGCTGTGACCAAAACAGCTCCTACAACCACACTCAATTTTGGAAAGGCGGGTGTAGTCAAAAAGCGTACTAGTTGTGATTTATTTGAGTGCATTGATGCTCGTAAGTATTTCTAATTGTGCTTTGAAAGTGGATCATTTAGTGTAATTACCAATTGATGTACGAATATTTATATTTAATCGTAAACTACATAGATACTTGCATTCCTGAAAATATTGCAAGGCATATTTTTGCACAGATTGCCATGGTTGTGGAGTATTTAAATTCAAATGGTATAGTTCATCGCGATTTGAAAGACGAGGTAAGTTGTCATGACTTGTATACATGCTTTATAGATTGACTGTTTTAATAACAGTTACATTGCCGTGTTTATTTTTGTAAAACTACTCTATTTAGAATATTGTGATCAATTCTGATTACTGTATCAAGCTGATTGATTTTGGCTCTGCTTCACGTATTCCTCAAAAGGTTGAAGACTATTTTTCAAAATTCAATGGTACTGCACACTTTGCATCTCCGGAAATTGCTAGAGGAAATTCATATCGTGGTCCAGAGGCCGAGATTTGGTAAATTTGTCTTTATAATACCGTTGAAAATACTAGACATAATAACACAAGCAGTCTAAACTGATTATATTATTGTTATTATCAGGGCATTGGGAGTTTTGTTGTATACGATAATTTTTGGAGAAAATCCATTTCAAAATAGAGCAGAGATCATAAAGGGAACATTTAGTTTTCCAATGAAAATCAACTCTGGTATGTCAAGATTTCATCTCAACTATTTGTGTGTGCCTCCATGATATAGAGTTTAGCTTGCCAAATCTTCACGTAGTTAACTGTTGCTGTATATTGTATTGTGCTTTTAGACTTGAAAAATCTTTTGGAAAGCATGCTTTGTTATGAAATGACAAAGCGAGCTACAATCAATGATGTACGTTATCTAGCCTCTATTGGGAAAATGCATATTTAATACTCTGCAGAGGTAGAATGGTATTGATGATTGTTTTAATTATATATTTTTAGGTTCTTAATCATCGATGGCTTGAATCGGAAGTAAAGATGCTCAAAGCAAATTACAGAGCCAAAAGCAGATCTCAAGCTGCTTCTCAAACAATTGCCAATGACACCTCAAACTAAAGGTGGTTTCATAATTCACAAATAGTTGGAATATGCCAAGCCTTTATATAAGTGGCACTAATTAATCAATATTTTAATAAATCCCAGCATATCTAACGTATCTTAGAATGGTTTAATTTGTTTAAACCGTGTTGTGCATTGCATTCATCATGCAATGCTACCGGCTGTTGATACATTGTGGCAATATACAACAAAGTGCCAAATATCTTATCATATCTATATTCATCCAAAAGCGAATCTGCTTAGCCAACTATGCTAAGCGGAGTTATGTACAAAATTTGGCTGGTCGTGATAATTCCTTTGATAATTAATGATAAAAGTGGTAAGCCACATTCTGCCTCGTCGAATATAAATCAGAGGTATTCCTCTAATTCAATTCCATATACATTTTTTTGACTAAACAAGACCAGACAGACTAGAATACTACAATATACTTTTCCAAACTAAAGACAATCCAATAATGAAATTTACTCTTTCTGTTGTTCAAGTTGCTCTGCTTGCCACTTCTGTATTTCATGCAGTAAAGGCTCAATCTCGCGTCTGGCTATCGTAAGTCTGTAATTTTGTATTGTCATCTATCTATACGCAGTGTTCAGCATAGTGATATGCTATTTAAGATTTGTGGATTTTAGCAATTATTATACGCTAATGCCAATATAACCTGTGAATCTACTACTACAGATGTCCTCCTTCCTTTAACACATCCTTGCTAAGACAGGCCACAACTACTGGTCCATGTGAAGCTGCTAATATCAATAATGTTCCCAGTTTTGGTGTTCAAGCCGGCTCTCGTCTCAAGGTAGGATGGGATTCCGGAAACCGTGGAGGTAATTACCATGCTGGTGCTTGAATGTAAAACTGATTGTTAAACCTATCATGTAATTAAAATTTGGTATGCACTTTTATTTAGGTGGCTATGTTCGTCTAGCTCTTGCTCCTGCAAGCTCTTTAAACCAAGCCACGTTCAATCAGTAAGTGTACTACACCAGTTTTTGAATAATTTGAAAGACGGCTATTCCAGGCGCTAAACATCAAAAGATTTGCTTTATCGCAAGAATACATCTAACATTTTTATTTGGCTTTACTTTTGTAGGAGCGTTCTTAAGCTTACTTGCTTTGGATATGATAGTCGACCAGGCAGATACGCGTAAGTATAAATTTGATGGTGCACGAGGAGCGGAGTTTGATGAGTTTTTGGGGCTGAATGCATAGTGTTGCAAAAGCCACTATTGACTCTGTTTTTGATAGTATTCCAACTTACACGCTTTTTCATTTCTATTCGATTGTATGTCTAATCTTAGTCTTGGAAACTGCAACCATCCTTGCAATGGTCGTGGAGGATGCCAATACCAGTCCAACACTACTGACAACCAGCGCTATGATACGACCATCACTGTTCCATATAATCTTGCCAATGGAGAGTAAGTTTTTTTTGTTGATCTGTATTTGTGTTGCTTGATGACGGATAGTTTTGATCACTGTGCTAATTTCAAATTTTTGTAGTTATGTGATTCAGTTTACTGCGTTTGTTGGCAACTCTGATACCCCTCTTTATAGCTGCTCCAAGCTTACAGTTGCTGGTGGAAATCCATCACTTGTTTGCCCTGCCGCAGCTTCGATTGATATTCCAAGCTGTGTTGTTGCTCTTGCACCCGATTTTAACTCGTTGACTGCTGACTCCTCTCCTGGCAAATTTTGCTATCAACCCAATGCAGTAAGTACTATTATCTGATTTTTTCCAAAATGGCCGCCAATGTATCGGATACTTATTTTGATTTTTACAACTATTTAGGCTGGTAATATTGATGACAACATTGCACAAATTCCAGTAAATGTGGATTGCGATCCGCGAATCAGCTGCGATATCTCCTTGAATCAGCAGTCGTGTCTGAATGATTTTCCCTCGGTACTTGATCCCGAAACCTCTCCACATCAGATCTGTACTTTCACAACCACTTTGGCGACCAACACGGGTAGTCCAACAACTACTACCACTACTACTACTACTACCACTACTACTCCAACAACAACTACTACTATCACCAGTGCACCAGAAACTATAACCACAGTGCCTTCCACTACTACTACCACTACGACAACCACCGCGTTTGTTTCTACCACTGAAAGCTCACCAATTGTCTCGACTTCCGTGGCCACATCTGAGGCTTCATCGACCACGCATGGAACTACTGAGCTACCTTCTTCAACATCATGCCCTAGCAAATACCCCACAATCCAACCTGGATCACCATGCTCAATTTCTGCTTCAGCCCTTGATTGCTCAGGAGACAACTATGCACAATGTTCATGGGTTGAAACATCATCTGGAATTCCAGCTGAAGGATGGATTATTCGGTCTTGCGCAGAAGGCACTGCATGCCGGCTTCTTGCACCTGGATTCCCTGTTTGTGATTACACATCAGCAACTTGCAATTAATTTTACATCTTTAAAATTCGGCATTTAATTGTGAAACGGTGTTTAGTTTTTAATTTATTCTGGCAATGTCATAAGCTTAACCCAGCCTTTCTTTATCCTTTTATATATATGCAGTCCTTGCTCAATATTGCTTACTTTTTCAAACGATTGAAAAAAACTATTTTCATTTCAATATTTAATCTATTATTATTGGGGAGTGTTTATGAAAGCAGCGAGATTTGAAGTTGGATTCTTTAAACGATACTTGAATAAGATCGGACAACCGACCTGCATTCAGGGTTTCCCGCATTGCTATTGATTTGGTAGTTGTGCACTATGCAGTCACTGTTGACTGTGTTGATAGACTCTTCTAAATACAATGCGGCTTTGTTAAAAACTGTTGAAGCTGCACTCAATATCAACTGCAGTAAAACCAATCTTGCAGCAGTCTCTACCACTGCGACGGGCAGGACTGGTGATAGAAGAACTGGTAGAACAAGAAGTTTGAAGACTAGTTCTACCACTGCTGCAGCAAACAAGGAGAATCGGTCTGATGAAACCAGCTCTTTTCCAGAAGATATGACTGCATTTGCATCGACCATCTTGGAGCAGGTTATCAAAACTACTCATGGATACTCACAGACCATGACGGATATAACTACAACCTCAAATGTCTTGCATTCCAGAACTGCCACATGCAGTTCTGTCGGTTCTGGCACGGATACCACTTTAAATGATAATGCTGTTAGTTTGGGTAGCCAAATTCAATCGAATCCACAGCCTATTGTCCGGAAACAGACATCAACCAAGACATTAAATATTCGAAACACTGGATCTGGTGATACTGAGCGATCAACTGTATCCGCTGATCAAACTGCATCAATTGGCAGGCATAAAGTAATTGGCATCACTTCAGTGCGTCGTTTGAGAACAGCTGCATCGACTCCATCACTTTCTACCATGTCAAACATTGAAGCAAACCATCAGCTAGCATCCTCCAATTCAACAAATAATGCCCAGCAGCGACAGTTTTTAGATACTGCGTTGGAAATTGCTCGTATTTGCATATCAGTGATTGATCAAAAAGCTACACCTTGGCATGTGGAGTCGCTACATACTGCAAAAATGGCATGCAATCTAACTACTCGATTCTTGGACTGTAAAGCTGTATGTATCCGAGTTTACGATGATTCTAGGGTTTGATTGAGATGCTTGAAAGTATACTAATCAATCCAATTATGCAACACTGGATCGTGATTTTATTTAGTACATGCATGCATTTTTTATGCTGCAGTATGCATTTCACAGACTAGGTGTTCCAAAACCTGTAAAAACTATTGCAAGTCGTATTCGCACTCTTAAATCCAAAACTATATCCGAGAATCCTCCATTATCTGCATTCGGGAGAACTATTTCAAATACAGGCTCTAACTCGCTATTGAGAACTGCATCAACAGTGTCCAAAACGCGTGGTTTTGCTGCTTCCTTGACAAACGAAACTACAGATCTGGATCAAATTGATGCCATTTGTAGTTGGTTGACATCATGTCCTTTTGATAAAAACTCGTCAGCATTACACTTGCAAGTTTCTATGTTGCTAATTATGAACTCACTGCGATGGATGCTCGGACATCGTCCTGATGTTGGCATGACTCAACGCTTTCTTGATTCTTTAATTTCCATGTCTGGATTTATGGGAGTATATGAAATTTTTGTGGTTTTGGATGAAAAGACTGCAAAAGCTCATTGCGATTTCATTTTTCGAATACTGTTTGAATTCATTAGCAAATGTAAGTGGTTTAATTTTGTGATGGTGCCGTGGCTGACCGTAATCATTTGCTTATGCATTTCAATTTTCCTTTTCATTCTATTTTACCAGTGGAGTTTCCGCACAACATTCATTTGACCATCACAGCCATTCACTTTTATTTTAAATCTAAAAACTTTTCTGCCAAAGGTCTACATACACTTATTCAAAAGCCAGCACTATTAGCAAATAAGCACTATATGCTTGAACCTGCTGACCTCCTTTCGAATTATTATCATCGCATTGCCAGTATTTCACAGGTTAAAATGCATTTCAGCATGGATGCTCTTTCTTGGATTGAGCATGGCTGGCTGGTATCAAAACAGGCATGTGTTATTTTACTTTTAAACTTTCATGTCTAATTTTGGATATTAATACCGCTGTATTGATACGTTTTAGTTTCCCGAAAAAAGAGGATTTTGGCATACATTCACGTCAGATTTTTTAAAAAAGGGGATTGAAGTTGTTCCAGATTATCAAGATGCATTCTACATCTTTGAGTTATTTCATGAAATAGAACTTGCAATCCCGCTGGTTACTTTTGAAAAATCGGGTAAGTACATTATTGATACACAAGCTATGTTGGTTTCAGTAATGAGTGGATGGTATCTGATTTAAAATGTATCGAATCACTGTAGACTTTAATTTGCCAGAATATGAGTTTCCAACCTGTCTTTCTGAAGATTTGAAGCTTTTACGAAGATTTCAGCTATTGTTGCTAGAGTCCATCAAAGAGCTACGTGAGCTGTTAGATGTGGACTCCACCACCTTAGAAACAGTTTCAGCCAATATTTTAACATCTACAAATTCGCGTGTGGTGCATTCACTTTGGTTTGCCAATATTGCTCATAAAGTGTTCAGTACGGCTCAGCTAATTCTGCCTAAAGTATGATAAAATTGCATACCTTGTTAATACTATTTGCACTTTTAATTGAAACTAGTTTTTTTTTGCATTTTAGATGGATGGGGATATTCAGCAAAGAATGTCAAGGTATGCACTGGAAATCAAACTGCTGCAACCACTATATCATTGTCTACTACCCGAATGTACCTTGTCAGATGGGGAAACTCTTTGGTCGATCTTTGAAAATGCAGTATTGTATAGCAACACGTATAACATAGATGCGCGAGATCAGATTTTATCCGGTAGTGCATATCAAATTGCTGCATTACTTTTGCGTCGTAAATGTGCAGCAAATGCACTTCCCTTTTTACACGCCGCAGTAACACACGCATCACATATGCTCAAATCTGTCGATAATTCTATTTCTAATGATACCAAGGTTCATCTTGCAAAGCGCTATGAAGTGCTTTCATTTTGTCAACAGGAGATGGGTGAAACAAAGGTATGGCTTGTTTAATATCCAAATGGCTTTAGCGACAATCAAACTTGTATATTAACACTTTTGTGATATATATTGATCATGCTACAACTTTGTTGTATATTATAGGCAGCGATTGTGACAGTATGTGACGCATTGAAATTTTATCCAATCTCGTATGCCCGCACTGCTGGAAATAAATTTGTCAGCCCATTCAAGCAACTTGCAGCAAGATATATCTGTTTATCCTGTAAAGAGTTGAGCAGTTTTAAGCCTATTCAGGCTTTGATCAATCCTAGCGAACAGGCTGATAAATCAACGGTAGATTTTATTATCCAACTCGAATCGCAGTTACTACAAGGCCATGGAGCTGGACACTATGCCAAACTTGCAAACATTGTTGAGGCAGGATCTTATTATCAAAAAACAGGAAATTCACTTGCACAAGCCAGGTAATTTGACTGCTGCATAAAGTATCTACTTGTGATTTCATGTATTACAAACTTAATTATATACCAACGTTTATATTTTCTAGAACGTTGGTGGATAAGGCGCGTATTTTTCGCAATAAAGTTCAAACCCCTGCTTCCAATATGCAAGGGCAAGAACTGGATAGTTTAGCTACTTCAAACGCCATGAGTTCAGAGACTGATGATCCTGTCAAGTGCTGCGAGCTTGCAGTTTCTCTTCTCAAGAATCTTGTAGCCCAAGGGTCTGAACAATCAAAGAAGCCCGAAATATTGGATGAGATCAAACATGAGTTGGCGATAGCTCAATGTGAGCTTGGCATTTCACTCAACTCGGCCAACATGTTTGATTACAGACCGTTTTATTCTGCACTTGCTTGGTGGAAAAAATACTTTGCAAACACACACTCTTTCACACTGCGTAAGCTTGATTGAATTGATTGCATTTTATGCCAAAACGTTTAAAGTAGCAATGCGGTTGACACTTTGTTTGGCAGCGTTACAAAAAAATTCCATTACAGAATCACGCACCTTTGTTCCAAAAATGTCTGAACGGCTGTTTCAATATATCGGTGAGTGATTCATACATGGTGATTCTGCGATTTGGTGAAATTAACTTTGTTAAATGGCATGAATAACTATGAACAGAAATGCTTGCTGGCTATTTTCAAGCGTTGAACCAACCAATCAATGCACTGTATTTTATTCGTATACTGTTTAAGCTTATACAGCTGTGTCCATCCAAGACTTTAGTTGGTACGTGTTTATTTATTCATTAGTATGGGTGACTATTTATTGATATTCAAGTCTACATTCCTACTTATAAATTTTCTGGTCATTATACCAATTTGTCTAGATGTTCTCAAATTGTATCGGGAAATGGCAGACACATATCTGGCTCTTGGGTGTACAGGAAGAGCAGGTGTCATGTTTTCCCTTGGAAAGCAACTATCACAGAGCTCGAAATGCACAGTTTTAGCAAAAGACGAATTTCAAAGCAGATTTGGCAAATATTTTTCAATGATTGGGAATGTAGAAAAAAGGTATTGGATTTTCAGTTTTGTGATTGATAATGTTTGAATATGTTATTTATTCTATGCCAATCAACCTTGGTTTTTATCATTAGCCAGGAAATATTTTCAAACATAAGCTCATTTGCTAGTATCTCCAACAACACGATGCAAGTAGATGAAGTTTTGCAACGTGCACAGTTTTATCTTGATAAATCCGTATTTTTGTTTTACAAGGTATATTTTTTTAAAAAAACTATCAAATGGTATTTTAGCTACGACACTTTGCTTTAAAATTACTAACTCATTTATGCAGAGCAATGTTTCATTGGCGATATCGGAAGCTACCACTGCTTATTCCATGATTGCCAAAACCTCTCGCCGAATTCAAACACGCAAATCCTCCACATCACACGAACCTAGTCATATCCATTTCTCTATTACATTAAATCGTGTAAGTATTCAGGCTTTTAATTTTTGATGTATACGCTTTTACCGAGCAGTTATTCTAATTTTAAAACGCAATCAAATCATCATACGTCAAGACTGTGCTGGCTTGCTGCTTATGGCTAGGGAAAATGCATTCTTTTCAGGGTTCATTTATACAAGCAGATGCCTATCTTCGTCAAGGTTTAGAGATTGCTACACAGACTTGTTCTGGGGGATATATTGTAGAGCTCTCAGTATGCATTGCCGACCTATACTCTAGAAAAGCAAGTGCAACTACTTCACTCGAGTTTATCCAATCTGCACTGTCACACGCAAGCAAGGTAAACAGTTGTCATTTATGCATACAAGTATTATTGAACCAAAGAATTCACGTTGCATGAATTTGGCAATGTATGATCTTGATTACTATAGATTTCCAATCAGCTACCTGCTTATGTGATTGCTGAAATGACTATGGTTGAAGCTGATTTACAAAGACAAGGCGGGTGTTTACATAAAGCCATTGTGCAGTATGAGGATGCAAGTACACAACTCACCAAGGCATCGGATCAAAAAGTGATATCTCGATTGGAAGATTTTCCAGCCGATTCGTGAGTTTATTTGAATAGTGGTTGATGTTGTTTACAATTTAGTATTCATTTAATTGCCTTGCCTTTGTATGCCTGTTATTTTGGGATGCCAAATAATAGGACAGCTGCATTATCGTTTACCAATACGTCCAATAGTCAATCTGCTACCACACCATTTACACCACTTGCTAAAATCAAAGTCAAAGGCAAACACGACAATACTGTTTTACTGCGTTGTTTTGGTCTAGAAAACGTCAAGGCTAATGTGATTTGCCAGATTGGTGAGTATTATTTTCAAACTGTCCATTCAATGCCAAGACTGAACAATATTTGAAAATGATTTTAATGCATACACTATGTTTAGCGGATACTCTGATAGAACAGTCCAAGTTTGAAGAAAGCTGGAATCGTCTAATGAAGATTGATGAAACTGAGCACGATATGTTTCAAGAGGTATTTAGCTTGTTTGGCGTATCTTACACTATGGCAGCTGAAATATACAAATTCGATACAGAAACTGATTTCATTATTGGGTTATTACATATAAAGGCACACTACTATGCATCTATGGCTTTGACTAGATTCGAAATGTTTTTGGTATCACAAAAGGGCAACCAACGATTGCAGATGTTTTTTGATTCGGTTTATGCTTTTCCGTGGTGTATTCAGCCAGTTAAATCCATCAAACCTACAACTGTGTGTGCCAAGTCGAAAGGATCTATTAATTTAACTGCCACCAAGAGATCCAAAATGACTTTGCAATTTGAAAAAGCAGCTAGTCAGCTAAAAGGTTTATTGCAGCGTTCCCTTGAACTCACTCAAACTTATGGATCATTGAAATGCCGTGAAGATGTTTTGTTTTCATGGACACTGTTTCAGTCTATACAGACTGTTCTTTTTCCTGGAAATGCTGTTCCTTTGGATTGTGCGCTGTCGCTTATTTCTCATTTGGGTATATAGTTGATCAAACCGTTGATTGTATTTAGACTACTGTTGTTAACTTGCCTTGTATCAATATATAGAACAAAACAAGGCCATTACAACTCAACATCAATGCGAATCTGCCAGACAAACACGTCGGATGAACGCGACATTGGAGTTGACACAGCCATCAGCTACACTGCAATACGACCCTCTAGATTTGACTGCTCGATTTACAGGTGTTACGATCAAAGATACTTTGCAACCATTGCAGGCCAAATCTCGTGAATCGGTTCCTGTCAAGAGCGATTTATTAAAAGAAAACTTGGAATCTTCAATCGCTGCATTTCAATCCGTCTTTCTAGCTAATATTCCTGAAAATATTATTGTATGCTCATTTTCGTTTGATGTCAAAAGGCAAGATCTGTATATTTCCCGTATGGAATACGGGGGTGCCTATGCTCTATTCAAGCTTCCGTTATTGAGACAAGCGACTCGAGATGGCGAGACAAATGGGCTAAGATTTGAGGATGTGAATGCTGCATTTCAAGACATTATGGAAGAAAGCAAAGATACGATTGAAAACTCAAAAGGTCGCACTTTATCTCGCAAGGAAGTCCTAGAATGGCGAAAGAGTAGAGCGCAACTTGATGAAAGATTGCAATCGTTGTTATCTCAGATCGAAACTGTTTGGTTTGGTGGATTCAAGGTTTGTTGAAATAATTTGATGCCAAAAATAATCGATTCAAAAGGTTTGCAGATTTTCTAATCTATACTGCCATATGCTTATTTTTGTACGCAGGGTATACTTTCAAGCCACTGTCTAGATAGCACTGATCTGGAGCCTAGTATTGCATTGTTTAAGAAACGACTCGAGTCACTTGTGTATCAAGCAGTGTCAAAATCCACTGTGGTTCGTACCAAACAGCTTTCGTTTGGTCTTGACCTGTGCAAAACAATTTTACGAATGGGTGCATCGTCAACAGATGATAAAGAGATTGAAGATGTGCTTTATTATTTGCTGGATGCCTATCAATACCAAGGTGTTTTTGTAGATTACGATGAAGTCAACATTGATGCGGCAAGTGTTTAGCAGATAAAAAGGTTATTTTATTTGCATGCTTGCATTACTAATTTTGAATCGACTTGTGTTTATTAGGTTACGGAAGAAATCAAAGAAGTCATTATTGCTTTTTATCAAGATCTAGAGTCTTGCCAGCATCGCTCATTTGAATCTAGCACAGATGACATGCATGATTCACCACAAAAGCACATGGTTCTTGTACTGGATAAACATTCGCAGCATCTTCCTTGGGAGAGTTTGCCTGCACTGCGAGGTCATTCTGTGTCACGAATGCCCTCGTGTGCAATGCTCGGTGAAATCTACTCATCTACTAATTTCTGCTCAAATGTGTCTAAAGAACAATGCTTTTATGTGCTCAATCCCTCTGGCGATCTTGTACATACCCAGGCAGAGTTTGAGCAATCACTATCAAGGTATTATCTATTGGTTTTGTTGCGCTCAATTTAACATTGTAGTTGGATTTATATTAATGTGTTTGTTGATAGTAATAAAAGCTGGAACAGTATTGTGGGACGATCACCTACAGAAGCAGAGATTCTTGATGGACTTCAGAATAAGGATATTTTCATGCAAGTTATTTTTCCTTGATTTAAAGCACGACTGCATTCTTGTTAACATTTCATGCTGTCTTGTTGATAACGTGTCATAGTTACTTTGGGCATGGAGGTGCAGAACAGTTTGTGCGTGGACAAGCCATTCAGAGTCTTGATCGATGTGCAGTGACATTGCTGTTTGGATGCAGTAGTGGATATATGATGCCTGCTGGCGAGTTTGAACCACAGGGAACGCCTTTGCATTATTTGATGGCTGGATGGTAATGTATTGGTTTGGCTGGATGATGATACACTTTGACATGTTTCTCAAACCTTGTCTGGCTTGATGCTTGTATATAGCCCAGCTCTTGTTGCGAATCTGTGGGATGTCACTGATCGTGATATTGATCGATACAGCAAATCCATGATGGAGCAATGCGGACTGCTGTCGGGCGACAGTGATCAAGAATGTGTATCGTTGCCCATGGCAGTATCTTTAGCCAGAGAAGATACGCTTTTGAAATACCTGATTGGTGCAGCACCCGTTGTTTATGGTGGTCTGCCTATTTACATAAATAAATGAGTTGATAGTATGTAAATTTAGCGAGTCTTGACTGGATCTGTTGATTTGGAATACTCAATGTCCAATAGTTTAAACAATCCACGAGTATTTGAGATTGCTAATTCATGCGGCTCTATGCTTGATTTATCCACAAAACATGCTGACCTACACATCTAATTACTTTTATTATTCTTCTTATTGGTTTAAGTGGATAAAGTTGGTGTTGATTTAAGCTAGTTGCTATTCCTACAAAAAACAATCTTAGCCAGCTTATGGATATTATGATCACCCAATAGATCATTGAACAAAATCATTAGTCGTATTGTGTAACAGGTTTGGTGTCATGTATCTTCTTCACCACGCTCCAATGAGAACCAGTCTTCCTCGGCAGGCTGAGGAGATCCACATGATCCAATTCCTTCATAAGAAACAGTAGATGGAGCAAGAGATACTACCGATGTATCTGTAGACCGTCGCAAGGGACGATCTCGAGGTGGAACCAAATGGACACCGTCCATTGATCCCTGTGGTTTTGTGCTAGTTGTGTAATTAGCACGATCAATTTCTATCACCTGCTGCACAATCCTATGTAGATTCAAAGCCATGTCAGGGTTACCAAATATAGCCAATCAAGTCTATACACTCAAACGTGTGAAACGTACCTATCACAGTCTGCATGCTGATACACTTCGTCAATAGCACGATCAAAGTCCCGCCAAAATCCACTCAAAAGCCAATTCTTTTTTGCAAACGAAGTTACCAGGCGAGAGTGTGCCTGAGAGGATTTCTTCATGTGATATTCACGCAGGGCGGGAAGATGCTCATAGGCATTTTGGCACGTACATGAAAGGGTAGGCGAGCTCCCATTGATTTTGACTTGCAAAAGATGACCATGATCACGAAAAAACCGCTGTTTAAAATTAAAAGACTATTATAGTTAGCATTACATCATGCCACTTTATAAATTACTAGACAACAAGCAATGCACTTGCCAAGAATGCAGCACGTGCAACTTGATCTAATGTAGGTTCTTCGGTTCTTGAATCAAACATAACACGAGTCCATTCATCTAAACTGGACATGGAGGGCAGAAACAAATGAGACGAGCTTTTCGGAACCAGCTATTATAAATAATACAAATTGTTAAAATACAGCTGTAAGAATTATAGCCAAAGCAGCAACAGTTTGTGTTGAATAACAAACCAGCATACCAATTTCTTTCGCCCCGACTTTGCATTTGTAATTAGTTCAGAGAATCTAGATCCAATTTTCTCTTCGTGTGTATGACTTTCCTTGACAAAATTGTGCAGCGACATGTAGCTGTTGGGATGCTGTCGCAAGAATTTCTAATAACAAAAAGATATTTAGTCAAAGCAAAAGTATTGGAATGTACATGCAGTAGTAGCGTACCAAAATCTCCTTATTTTCGTTTTCACAATGGTATGGAGCTCCTCGCACACCGTTCATCCGCTTAGCAGCAATGGTTTTGAGCTCTATCTGTAATGACAAAAGGGTAGTGTCACCTATTTTAGTCTTGACATCACCTTTATAAACATCTAGTGAAAAACATACCAAGCATGGATTTGAAATTTGAAGATTAGTCGATGTTGTACTCATGGCTTTTTCAAGCGATCGCTCTAGATTATCAATTCGAGACAGTTTTTGCTCAATTGCCTCCAATCTATCAACAATACGATCCATCTGAATAAGCTGAAAAAACTGGACAATCTGTGGTGATGACTAGAGCACATTTAAAAAGCATAAACACCGTCAGCATATTAAAACCCAACGAGCCCACAATACAGCTAAACAAAATGGATTGAACAAAGTATGAATAGATCTTGCCATCCATTACCTTTAGATTTCAACATACCTCAATTACATAGGCAAGTTCTTTGTTATTTTTGACCCTATCGCTTACTTCGTTTTTTGTAGCCAAAATTTGTTGAAGCCCAGGGCATCTAATTAGACTCTGCTGATCGGCAACAGGTTCCTGTGTAAACTGATTAAATTTTCGCTTGGACGGTGGATGATGAGGATGTGCCAAAGAAGATGGATACTGCACTGGTGAATGGGAGGGTTGGGGTGGTTGATAGGACTGATGCTGATATGGATGCTGTTGCCGGCTTGAAGATGCGTAGCGATGCGAGTATGGTCCCAAAGTAGGAGCTGCTGCCAAAATGCCATGGGAAGATCCAGGATGCATTTGATGGCTCGGATCCATTGCGTGTTGTGTTAGCGGACTGCGCTGACCTTGTTGGACATGCGGACTATGCTTTCCGGGCATGCTGTGCTGCTGGTGTATAGAGTCGGGTTGACCTGCGACGTTGGGTTTGGCCCTTTTCATGTCGCCTTCGATATGCATCGAGCTTAAAGGCAATTGATCTGTAAATCAATAGAATATCAAAACATGAAAAGAAATTAAAAGGTAAGCCAAATGTGGCAAAAATAGACCTATGGCGCAAAAAGAAGTCGGGTATAGGAATATACAATAACGCCAAAAGATAACACACCGTTTGCTGAATTCAGAAGCGGATCGACAGGGTGTACAGATGTGTATATTCCGCAAAAATTCGAATTTGCGTGCAGTAGTAGAAAAAAAAGAGACCGACAAGGGCGGGCCGAAAAAGATGATTCGAAAAACGCAATAAAATAGCAAAAATACCAAAACGGATTAGCTGCTGGCGAATACAATCAGAATTCCAAATACAAATCAGACGAATGGGCAGCAGTATAACAGCCGTATTCACGCAGGGTGAAAACTAAAGGTGCCAAAATATATAATACACCACCAGTCCCATGGCATCATTGATGCCGGTTTACTGGGGTTCCCTGATTGGCATGTATAGTTATATTCCTAATACTGAAATCTTTGTTTCAAACTAGGCGCGAACGTACGAGATTAGGATACGACAAAGAGGGGGTGTACAGATTTAAAAAGTCAAACACAGTATCTGGATTGCAATAGACGAGTCTGTCGATCGTGCAATATATGGTTGTGCCAAAAGAAAAGGAAAAGGTAGGTCAAAAAGATAATTTCAGTTCAGAACTACGGTTTGACTATGCATCATATGGTGGTTTCAAAGAATTAGGAACGTCTATTAAGAAACAGCCAGTTTCTAACGGAAAAGCACAACGAATATTTAACCATTGTCTATTTGCAAGCAAAAGAGGCAGTGAGCGTGCAAGACAAATATAAAAAGTATTCCATTTTACGTGAGTACGGTATTATACAAATTCCAACGGCACGCATATTCACGGGTAAAGGCATAATATAGCTCAAAGATTTAATTGATGAGACTAAAGCAGATCGTGGGGTATGATGCGTGGTACCAGTAAAGTTGTAGAAATACAATGCCGAAGCCTGCAGTAAAAGGCATGTGCCAGTTACCAGGCATGGCTTGACTGTATCCTACTCTTGACCAAAGCAAGCAGAATACCCTAATTAGCAGCATCAAAATACAACTCAAAATACACGTCCATTAGCGTATTTTGGCCTCTAAGCAGAAGATCGGGAACATAAGGAGATTAAAGGAGCAGCAAGAGTTTTGAAATGTCTGCTGTATAAACGATTTCCTCCCTTGAATGCAACAGATCAAGCCCAACGTATAGTGGTAGATAAATAGTTTCGAGGCTGTGATTTGAATGGTTCGAGTCTTTACCAAAATAGATTCAATAGAAAAAGGGTTGAGCATTTGCATTGAGGACTGCTCGAAAAACATCAAGATTTGCACAGTAGCATAAACCCGTCATTTAAGCGTGGGGTATGTACTTGTTTTTTGCTTCGTCTATATTTTCTGATGTTAAAGGTGCTTTAGACTAAAATCACAACTGGAGTCGGAAAAACAGTGTCCAACCGCACTGAGTAACCAATCTACTGCTCGCGCCAACTCGGCCAAATTTACGGCATACTTCCAAAACCAACTTTGTTACATCAGTAGCGTTGGTTACAAGCGATTACCAAAGCACAGGGGGAACACATTACAAAACATTGCGAATTTCGCTATGCATACGGTAAATGGGTATATACCGCCACAAACGTAAACGCGAGTTCAAGGATTGAATAAAGATATGACGTACAGAAAAACAAAGATGCTGTGGCAAGGGATACAATGAAAAAGCAACCGTCTGACTGCTTCAACTCGACACCAATCTAAAAGCAAGGCGATGAATTACATAAAGTTACGGTACTGGATTGATCAAACTAAACCATGCTTTTTTCCAAAGCCCAATGGTAAAAATTGAGGAATTACCTTGAAACAATCTATAGCAATAGCAGAGTCAGACCTTGTCTACTATACAATGGCTCTGAATATTGCTATGCCGATTCTTCCAAATTTATCCATACTTGTAGTGACACAATGCCGCAAAAGCTGCTAAGCAAATTTAACCGTGTGGCTAAACATTAAGACAGCGTGTGCTTAGATGCAATAGTACAGCTCATTTGGCATTTCTCAATATCGAAACAAAGCATGAGCTATGCCTAATGACTATACCAACTAAATATATGCAATTGACCTAACCTCTGCATGATACTAGCATATCTTGATAGCTAGAAAAGCAAGGAACAAGCAAAAACAAGGTTTGATTGCCACAATTCAAAAATCATGACAGCAAGTTAAATTAACGAGATGGAAGATGATCATCCAATGGTGTAGTGCATCTTGACAGTGTCGCCTGATTGACCTACAAGCATGTAAATCCAAACTATGCAGCTAGGAATCAATGATGAATTCAACAACCAATCTGGTACAAATGCGTCAACACATCCCCTCAATTCATGCTGTTTTTGCTTGACAATATCATTGGCCAATATAAACAGTAACTATTGAATAAAACATGCCGAGCTGGTGTTGAATTAGAATCACCACAAGCATGAGTATTGAACAGACTTGTTCAAACAAATCCTTAAGTGGCAGAATTGAGAGCACAGCCAACTGAGAAAGTGACAGCAGTAATGGCCGCCACTTCCGAGTTGGTGCTGGGCAGAATAAAGAGCAAATCAAATAGAATGACAACAATAGTGACAGGCATGAAAAGCCAATTAGGGAATGCAGTAAAATAATGACCAAGTAGATAGAAACCAGATCTGATTCATGCAGCAATTCAGAGCGACTACTCAACTGGGTCGTTTGGTTGTGATAACTGGAGCCTGGACAGCAGCCGCAGCAGATAAAGAAGCCAACGACAATCCCAACACTGGAGCTTGGTGTAATTCTCGCTCTTCTGAAAAAGTTTCAGTGTGTGTGAGTGGAGTGACAGGATCAGATGTCGAAGACTTGATGTTTTGTTGAGCGGAAAATGGACTACAGTCCAGAGATGATATGTTTATATCATTGTCGGCAGGAGGACTAGCTACGGTTACAGTAGGAACGCCAGAGAATGAAGATGAATGTAAACGAGAGGGACTATAGTTATGTGCGTTTGTTTTGGACCATTGAGTCGTATCAGATGGCAGATGATTATAGTGAGATGAGTGGTATTGGCTAGACTGCAATGTAGGTGACAAAGGCCTCAGATTTGGAGGGCAGTGAGTTGGCAGAGAGTGTAGATTACTACTGGGCGGTTGAGCGGATTCTTCACGCATTGTAGAATGGTATGAATGCATAGACTCGGAGGAATGACGACGTAGGTCAGTCTTTGGCTGTCCTTGTGGTTGATGATAGTGATGAGCCATGGCTGGGTAGCTGTCTTGAGGATGGTTGTAGTGATGATTCCAGCCAGATAATTGTGTTGATTCTTGATTGTTGGTGTGGCTGGATAGCACAATTGATGGCATATGCTGATTTTGGTTTAAATCAGACAGTGGATGAGTGCTCTGCACATACGATTCATTGAGTTCTAGATTTCCATGTAATCTAGAAGGGGCTCCTTGTATAATAGGTGGCAGTTGTGACTGGTTTGCGATTGTTTCTATTGGTGTTACTTGTATATGCGATGATGGGCACGACATTTCTTTTTCCGATTCAATATACCAAGTGAGCGAGCAGTAATGGACTTGATCACGTCCCAAGCCAAGTTGAATTGATGGCTAATACCGGGAATGTGTCTGCCGTCTCGTCACTTGTGTGGGTGTTGTCAATTTTAGTTTGGATTATTCCTTACCACCGTGGAAATAACACTAGGCGTACAAATCGAGAGCAGGCCAAGCAGCAAGTTTCCTTGTATTCAATGAACTTGGACTAGGTCGTCAGCTGTCGCACAGGTCTTCAATTGAGAAATAAAACAGTCAATTAGAAAGCCTTGGCAAGTGTAAAAAGTGGATTCCAGCAGATGTTGTATAACTGCTTGGTCGAATAAAAAGATGGATCTTGCAAATCTCTCAACCGAGGTTTGGCTACTTGATTTCGTATAGAACTAGGTTATAGGCGACTGCGCTGCAATTGTGTTGGGGTCGGTTAAAGTGAGAGCAGACTATTTTATAGTGCAGTAGTGATCGACAAGCACCGTCTACCTATCTTACTGTACTCTACAATAAACAGAATCTGATGGCTGACTGCCCTAAATTTTTATAGTCTGCTCAGGATCAACGAGTATTGGTGGGAATAAATAGGCGGGTTTTTACTTTGTTTTGTGGGATGAAACGGATTTGTTATTCAAAGTGACAGCTTAAAAAGAATCGATTTGCTTGGTTACTAGGTTTTAAATTATAATGTAAAAAGCAGTCTGAATAATCTTCAATGCTCAGGTGGGTGATAATTATGCTAGTAAACAGTTTGAAATCAAGCGTATACTTGCAAAATCCATACAGTGCCGCCGGAAACCAGATAGAATGGCGAGAGCAATTAACAGTGGATAAGACGATCAACAAAAACAGCTCGCTGACCAGTTCAAGATAATGTATTGAAAATAAGGCACAATGTGTATCGTGTTTATTAGTGGCAAGGATGATAACCCAAGGTTGCGTCCGTGATAACAAGTGGCGGAGCTGTCTAGACTTTACTGCTTCTGTGAATATCAGGCTTTGAATGATTCAGTTTGACGTTTTTTAGGGTAGCCCTATAATTTTCCGGTTCATATTGCAGCCATGGAAAGGAAGCTAATGGGAACAATTGCTTGTTGCCAATTGATCCTCAAAGCTTTCATTTGTACCTCAAACTATTCCCGTCAGCCATCGCTAAAAGCATACTTTTTTCAGCCACATGCGGCTTAGATCTTGGCACTAAATGTTTACCACAAGCAAATGAAAGGACTGTTACACCCTTTATCAGAGTATCAATAAACCAGACGATTGGCGAGTATGTGGCAGGCATGGGTAGGCCATTGGTCCATATGACACCGTCACCGCCGTATTCGCGTAAAGCAAAACGCTAGCAGGGTGCCAAAATACATAATGAGCCCTTGGTCCCATGGAACGACATCTTCAACTTAAAGGACATGTTCTTTAACTCGAGTTGACTGGCTTTGTGCCTATTTTTGTATAGCCAAACGAATGTCCAGTTTCAGCAATCTCATTGTCAATCTCCAACTCTCCTTTTCTACGAATTGAACATTATGGCATTGTGTGATTGGCATGGAAACAACTGTTGCATTTCTGGGATTGCAGTCCTTGTTTTTTAAACTAGAGCATATCCGAGATTTAGGATACAGGAGTCTTACAGAGTTGTATTGAAAACATCAGAACCCAGTATCTGGATTGCAAATGGTGAATCCGGTTTTAGTCTTTTTAAACCTACTTTTTTTCTCATTTGAATAGTCATACACTACAATCAAACAGTTGATTCCAGCCCAAAAAATCGTTGGAGTATCCTATGATGAACATTGTGTTTGGAGCCATTAGTACTGATTGGAGAAGCCAACTTTGGTAGAAACCCAAAGATTTAATCACTGTCTAACCCAAATTAATAGGCAGTCTGCAAGATAAATAGTGTTGCATTTTACATGAACACGGCTGTAAAAGTGGTAATTGAGATTAGCAAAACAATCTAATTCTCGACTTGACTCGCTATTGCTTTGGAATTTCTGTATGGCAAACATCACATCCACCCAAGTGTTTGAACAGTTTCTGTCGTATGACTTTGAGAAAGATGAGAGGTTTACACAGGGACTGCAGCAAGCCATGGGCTCAGTCACAACCCAAGTGCAAGACCAAATGAAGCTAGAGCAAGCCAAAGTATTTTATTTTTCAAAGTAAGGCTGGCAGTATACCAACACTAATCTGAAGATGCAAAGTTTTGTCTATTATTTCTAAACTCACACTGTATGATGGGTCATTGAAATATAGATTTATTGCACCACTAGACTACGCAGCATATAAAAAATGGCAAGCGGCCACTGCACGTGAAGCGCAGACAAGACTTGATTCAACACTTGCACAAGGCCATCTGAAACAATCAAAAGAGTGTTTGGTTGAAGAAAGCGATACAACAGTAGATGGAGAGACTAGCCACGACTTAAACGAAACAACATTGACATTTCAGGAGATTTCAGAAAGAGTAGCAAGAGGAGAACCCATTCCAGGAATACGCAGTATTCCAGATACAGTGCATGAGCATCGTAGTAAACCAGCACTTTTGCCTCTTAAAAAGCCTTGGGAATAACAGATCTGGAACACTGCACAATCGCTTATAATAAATAAATCTCGGATGGTCGATGGATCGACCACGAATTTGAAATCGGTGAGCATGATTTTCTCGTGACAATTTTACATGCAAAAGTGAGTTGAAGAACGTTGACCGAAACCAACCAACTGGAGGAGTGACGAACAGGATACTGACTGTCGCCAGCAACTCACTACGGCAACTTCAGGTTTAATCTGCTTCAACTCTTGCACAGATGTCTTCTCGAAAACACACTGCTAGCATTCAAAACAGCCACTATGTACCATCTGGCCTTGCTAGAGCTGCCTTTGTTGCTGCCTCAAATGGTCTTTCCATTGGTGCTGGTCCATCCTCCATTAAAACTGCCGATGGTCTCAAGTCCCGCGATAGTCGCTACTCTCTTGCTGCGTTATGGTCAATGGCTGCTGAGAACGATGTTGAGGTTGATGACGAGTTGACCAAAGGTATGCCTGTTTTTTCTCCTTGAATCTACACCTGCACTCTTTGTCCATTCATTTATCGTATGAACAGCGTATACTTGAAAGTCGAAACTGCTGCCATATGCACTATATTGGATTTTATCAGTGTATTGAGGCGTCCTGCTACTCAATTTAATGAAAATTGCCGCATGAATTGTGGCTACCGCTATCAGTTGCAGGTCGAACCGATTGTTGGAAATGTCCATGTATTACTGAGACAACAATTCAATTTTTGATTCGATATGATCTTGCATTTGAATGATTGACAGACTTGCTAACTTTCATGGTAAACTCTTTAAACTGCAAAAAGCCCAGAAAAAACTGCGTGATCTCAAACTCAGAATATCTTCTCAATCTAAACGTAATTTTGTTCTTGAACGAGATGTCCGCTATCTTGATTCTAGAATTGCACTTCTCATTCAAAATCGCATGGCTCTGTCCGAAGTAAGTATATACGATAATACCTTGTTGATTTGTAAAATTTTGCGTCGCTTTAGTTTTATTAAATCGTTTCATGTTTGACTTGTTTTGAATTCTATAGCAGCAAGAAGTTGCAAGCCACCTTGAAGAACTTGAAATGGGAGAGGGTCACATTCCAGACGATCGTCGTCGCCAAGTAAGTGACCTATTTAGTTTTTCGGATGATTTTGGAAAACACAGGACCAATACTTGGTGCCATTGAGCCTATCTAATACCTTGGCCCTTTATTTTTTATTTAGCTGTATGCCAATTTATTTTATCTATTACAATCAGAGCCTCGTCACATTGCTGGTCTTGCAAGAATTGTCAGCCTCTCTGAAATTGATACGCTTTTGCAAACGGTCATGTTTACTATTTTTGGAAACCAATATGAGGCTCGTGAAGAATATTTGTTACTTTCCATGTTCCAGGTACAACATCGAGTTTTTTATTACTTGGCATGCATTATTGGATTCTATGCACTCATCACTTTGCACAGAATGTATTGTCAGCAGAATTTGAAGGCGCAACAGATTTTGGAAGTTTAATGCGTGCAAACACTCCGATTTCTCGAATGATGACAACTTATACTAGGTGGGTTTGATCTCCTATGGCGATTGCTAGATTATGAAAGTAAATGCACTAATACTATACACCTAGACGTGGGCCAGGACAATCATATCTTAAGAATGTGTTGGCAGAGCGCTTAAACAAAATGATCGAGTTGAAAGACTTGGATTTGGAGATCAATCCATTAAAGGTTTATGATCAAATGATCAAGGACATTGAGATTGCGACAGGTCAAACATGCAATCTGCCTCGTGGAATTACTGCCGAAGCAGCACTAAAAAATACGGATGTTCAAGCCATCATTGCACCTCGGGTCAGGACATTGATTGAAATTGGAAACTCATTTCTTGCTGTTATTATGAACTCTTTAAAGCAAGTGCCATACGGCATTCGATGGATATGCAAGCAGATTCGCTCATTGACAAAAGTTTGTGTTGATAATCCAATGTGATGCATATTGTACGCATGCATTTGACTGACTAGTATTACTAAATTAGAGAAAATATTCGGATGCAAGCGATTCTCAAATATGCTCACTTATTGGTGGCTTCTTCATGCTTCGATTCATTAACCCTGCTATTGTTACCCCACAAGCATATATAATTGTGGATGGAACACCCCAAAAAAACACTCGTCGCACTTTAACATTGGTATGAATTAGATGATATGTATATCAGTCTGTTCAGTGCTGGCTTCATTCAACTTTTTCTAGAATACTAAATAGTTTGCTTTTTGAAAAACTTTACCTGGCTTTGTACCATTAGCTTGCTAAATTGCTACAGAATCTAGCCAATAAGCCTTCCTACGCCAAGGAACCCTACATGATGGCACTTGCACCGTTTATCGAGCACAACAAACCAATCTTCAATCAGTTTTTGAATGAATTGTGTGAGATTGGAGATTTTAATGAATCACTCGAGGTGGGATTGTTTTGGCTGCATTGGCTGTTTATCAAGTGCTGTGGCATCTCACCTTTATTTTTATAAACTCTTATGCTTTAGATGGAACAATATATCGCTCTTTCTAAAAAGGAAATTGATCTTAACATTACAATGAACGAAATTCACAATACGCACGGTCTTCTTGCACAGCATATGGATATTCTTGCAAGTATACACTTTACCAATTGGAATTCAATACGTGAATACTGACTGCTGATCTATTTTATTTGATCTAAACTACAGTGCCCTGATGAAGAAAGTCATTTGCGCATTTGTCTGGTTGATCTTGGTCCTGCGCCGCCCCAAGTGCCCCGTTTGGAAAATAAACAGATTTCACTGCAACTGTTTTCACGGTGGGATCAGACTAACCAAGTAGAGACCCCGTCAGCAGCCGGCGCTGATCAGCAGACATATGGAGATTTTTTGTATATGGACACCAAGGCGTTGTTTGTGCAAATTCTACGTTTGGCGCCTGGTCTGGCATCTCAAAAACCTGTTATGCTAGGCAAGGTAGTGGAGTTTGCTGCCACATCGCGTGACGCTGCTCTTGTTCGTAAAGGTCTAAAGATTGGCGATATGCTTCTAGAACTGGAACGGCTTGGTTTGGTGGATGCTAGTAACGGCCATAGTCTCATGGTTGAAGAAATCCTCAAAGAACTTGTACATCTTGGTAACCTCAAGGACAAGATAAACACGGAAATGGAGTCTCTTGAGGCTGTATACAAGACCATTCAAGACCATAACGACTATCTTCGATCACAGCTAGAAACATACAAAGCATACCTGTACAATGTTCGTAACAACAGTGGTATATCTGCCAAGAAAACAGCACATCACAAGAACATGGCGCCTATAAAGTTTACCCATCAGAAACTGGAACAGGAAGGAATCATTGTTGAAAGCAATATTCCCGAGAATAGGTATGTGCTGCTGCCTGTATTTTGTTGTGCTAAAACTTACACTATTTTGGTGACTATAGACGCTCGAATATATACTTTACGATATCGTCGCCAAATCCTGGAACTTATATGATTGCACTATGTTTTAAAGGTATATTCAAACTACTGAATGTCCCTAAAAGTATACATGCCGATTGCTTTTCTGATCCAAACATTTTACTTTGCAGGTCGTGACAAGCCAATTTTGGAAATGGATTTAAAGCTTGACGATCTTCTTGAAAAGCAGCAGCTTGGCGTACAAACACTTGATGTGGAATATGTGACACTTAGTGTAGCCAAGATGCTTGCATTGCTCAATAACTCATTCAACAAGAAATGAAGAATATATTCTCAGTCATGTGGAGTAACTGATTCATTTGTTTAGCGTTATTACTTTTGATTGTGATTTGCACGCATGACAAAATCTGACACTGCCAATTGGTGATTATATTGACAGCTTGAGCAACTTGATGGGTTTACAGCTGTATTCACATAAGATGGAATACTAAATAAGAGTCAAAACACAATACAACCACTCATGTTTTCAACTATTGAGCCTTTACTATTTCTATCATAGATTTATAAACAAGCATTGAGGTTTAGATGAGAGTTGCAGTCATTGACGTATGAAAATACAGATTGTAAATGCGTCTGTTATTTTTACATGTAGATATATTGCCGCTACATCTATATTGGAATGGATATCAATGTACGAATCTAAAAGCATTCAAAAATCTGGCAATTCTAAATGCATTGCAATAAACACCAAGCTTTGCAATGCGTCCTATATACTCTACTTGTTTATTACAAAGCCAGTCAGAAAGACAAATGGATGTTCAGCTACTATTGTTCTAATCGCGCTTCCTCCAATAACTATCGATCCAAGTGAGCACCACCCGCAATGTGAATATAATCTTGAAGGATTAGAACAGTAATCTGACCAAAAAATTTGCTTTACCCGATAGTATAAAATAGTTTTGCTTGACTTGGAAACACAGCTGTATGTCCATCATGGCTACAGATGCCAGACAGTATGTGTACATTGGTATTTTCTAGAGCATACATTCAGATTTATATATGTTCTATACCCACAACTGTTATGACTTTGGGGTGTATTTTATATATTGCTGAAACACTCTAATCATGCATTGCCATCCATCATGCTCTGATTTAATAAAACCTTGTCCATGTTTTGAATGATAGAGCTGTACTGGACAAGCAACGCTCCAAAGAGATAGATAGCATAATTGCCAAAGAGCGCGCACTGTTGAATAAATACCACGACCCCAAGATTCTATTACTAGGCAGTGGCGATAGTGGAAAGTCCACCTTTGTTAAACAGTTGCGCATTCTTCATGGAGGAGGGTATTTTGAAGATGAGCGCAAGTCTTTTCGTCCAATCATCTTGGAGAACATTCGTGATGCCATTGTAACGCTTATTACTGCCGCCTCTGAAAACAATTTCGAAATTAAAAGCGACGAGACCAAGGTATGTTTTATATTTCCTGCTACTAGTGGGTATAGTAATACTTTGAGATGTAAACACATGTCGAATATACATTGCTGGATAAACAAAACCTGGCATGATGTTTCAATGTGCTATTTCCAAAAGTTAACATTAGCATGTTTATTCGTGGTATCATATTTTAATCTACACCGAATATACTGACTGGTGACAATGATCAAATATATAGGCACGAATTAAAACTATTTTTGAACATTACAGAATCGGCAAGGATGCACTTTCAATCTTTAAGTTAAACAACAAAATGACTGAAACGATCCATGCTGTTTGGCAGGATCCAGATATTCAAAACGTGTATTCCAAGCGTGCAACTCTTGAAAAAAAAGCAATGATTCCAGACAATACTCAGTTGTGAGTATTGCAACGGTTTATGTAATTTGGCTTATCCAATCATGTGTTATGGTCAATGTTAGATGCTTATATCAATCTTTTATTGTACTCTTGTAACTGTTGGGTCATCTCAATACTACAATAGTTTTCTAGATCGTGTTACAAACTTTTCAGACCTGTCGTATCTCCCGAGCAACGATGGTTGGTTTATGGAGGATAACTGTACATAGTTGGGCAATGCCCATTCACTTGGTACAGACCATGCTTTACACTTTAATAACACGAATGTGTTTTGTTTTAGACATTTTATACTCTAGAACCATGACGGTCGCAATCACGGAAACCAATTTTAGTATTGAAAACACCAAGTATCGGTTTTTTGATGTGGGTGGACAGCAAAAGTATCGAAAGCAATGGGCTCCGTATTTTGACACTGTAGACAGTATTCTTTTCATTGCCTCTGTTGCATCTTATGATCAGTTTTTAGTAGAAGACCCAGCCATTAATCGCATGGCCGATGCAATCCAGCTGTTTGGTGAGATAGCACACAATGTCCTTCTTCACCATATCCCATTGACGCTGTTTCTCAACAAAAAAGATATATTTGAAGCAAAGCTTTTGTACTCGGATGTCATTAAGCATTTTCCCGACTTCAAGGGCAGTCCAGGAAATGTCAAGCATGCTGCCAGGTTTTTCCAAAAGCAGTTTGAATCGGCATGCATGGACCAAAATAAGCAAGTCTATATTCATTTTACCTGCTGCACAGATACAGAGGCAATGGATATTATTGTGATTACCGTCATGTATGTATTCATTCTGCCATTTGAACCTCACCACCCGATATACAGTATTCTGATGGTCACTAACTGTATTTGAAATGTATAATGCTATAAATCTATCCATTGATCAGTCAAGTTATGCTCAAAAAAGAGTTTCAAAATATTGGTATGCTGTAGCTCAGCGGCAGACAATAAAAATAAAACATCAAGGTTGAAGATAAAAGGGATAGAGTTTTATTATGAGGACTTGATTACCCATTTGTAAAATTGTGTGATTGGTTAGATTAGCGTGCAGACCATATATAGGTGAAATACCAAAGATTGTGTTGGAACAAGGCCAACACCAAGATCAGTAAGCAGTCTCTGCTAGATCAAATGTGCAGCATTATCCTATATTGAATCAACAGGATTGCCAGATCGTTCAGTAAACTGGTCGTGTCAACAAAAGTCAGATTGCCGCTATAATACAGAAAACACAATAAATGCTCGCGCCACTCAATCAGTAGACAGTCTACCGACATTTTCAAAACACAATATTGCCAAATTCAGCTGCACACAAAAGTGTGATTGAATGAACTCTGAATGAGTACTTGCCAAACACATTATATAGACTGATGGTTGCTGACAACCTCTCACTCATCTTCGTTCTCATGTCCTCGACCATCAGCTGTGATTGTCAACACCAACCCAATGAAATCACGCTCAAATAAAAATATCTCATGTCACGTGAAATGATTTAGAAGCATCGTGGCGATTTGGAAACCCGAAATCTGACATTTTAAAGCCACTTTCCTTCATTGCCATTTGAATTACATTTATCAAAATGAGGTAATACACTGTTTTTGTTAGTTGAGATACGAATACGTCGTGTCGGCAGTAATGACACTTGGTATCAAGATGTTCCCAACCTTGTATACTGTTAGTGAAGAGTCTTAATTTATTTTGTTGTGTACACTCCTGCATTCAAAACATCAACTCATGTTCCCATGTCGGCAATTGAAAACCCATTTAAATGATACCATCAAGTGGATCATCTACTCCTACGACTACAAGAGCAGAGCAAGCGAGAGTAAGCCGAGAAATAGATGCTATGCTTGCTCGAGAAAAAGAATCAATACTCAAGCGAACAAACAAAGAGCCAAAGATTCTATTACTAGGCAGTGGTGATAGTGGCAAGACGACATTTATGAAGCAGCTCAAAATTATACATGGTGGAGGCTACTCAAATTCTGAACGTGCAAGTTTTAGACCAATACTTCATAGTAATCTTTGTGATTCAATACATGCGCTTATTCTTGCCTCGGAGCAGCTTCGGATATCGCCAAAAGATACTGTGATTGAGGTAGATGACTCTAGTCTTCTGAAATATAGAGTTTAAGGGAGTTTTTGCCAACCCAAAAACGGTAGTTTCGTGTTAAATTAACAAGTCTTGATCAATATAGGAAGTCATGATCAAATTGCTCGATTTTTGTCAGACAAAAGACCAACTTGTGACTTTGGAGATTGCAGAGCTTATGAGCCAGTTTTTTCATGATGAAAATATTGCAAGTATCTTGCCGCTACCCGCCTTTTCAAACATTATGATCCAGGATACAGCGGCCTAGTAAGCATTTGCCAATAATCCAGTATACTGCTTTTAAGCAATTATGATTGGCTCTCAACGAAAAATTTAATATATGCCGCATTGTGATATGTATCCTTGTAATTTAGCTTCTTGTCCAACGTAAAGGAGTTTTCAAAAGAAGAATACCTGCCCACCGATCAAGGTAATCGCAAAACAAACGGCAACTAAAAGCATCAGTATAATGCATTATTGGTAGGTTTCAAATTAGCTGTGCTAACCTACGTGCTACTTTGATAGATATTCTCAATCTTCGACTACCCACATCACAAATTACAGCAACAATTTTCCACATTAACAGCTTCGACTTTCATATCTATGATATTGGCGGACAGATTAAACATCGCAAGCAGTGGACACCCTATTTCGATAAAGTAAACCAGATTATATTTTTTATTTCACTTGCTTCATATGATCAAGTGCTTGCCGAAGACCCAACCATCAACCGAATGCATGACGCTTTGGATTTATTCGAAAAGATTTGCAATAATCCATTATTGAAGCATATTCCAATCACACTTTTCTTGAACAAGAAGGATCTATTTGAGAAAAAGCTGCTGAAATCAAAAGTCAAGCAACAGTTTCCGGATTACGCCAAAGGTATATAGTTTTCAATGAGTTGGGTGATGCGTGCTAAATGATCTGAGACTTGGAGTACGAGACTTGTTGAGATTCATGTCTGTTGAATTATAGAAAACACACTCAAGTATGCATCAAGATACTTTGAAAAAAAGTTTTTGGCGCAATATAACACAAAAGGGTTGTCGGAGGATGATATCAAGCCGATATTTACTCACATTACATGTTGCACTGATACTCAAGCAATGGCCTTTATCATCTCCAATGTGATGTAAGTCTATGGTTAATATCTAAATTGAGTGGCTTTACAATTGCCTAAATACCAAGACGCCAATTTAATCATGAATCAACTTTGAATATCACTATACAGTCAGGCGATGCTTGTAAAAGATTTAAAGTCTGGAGGGTTGATGTAGTTTAGTCCTACTGCCAATCCGGGAAAATCAAATACCAATAGAAAATATTGAGCAAATCTCTTGTTTCCGAATTAAAACTATTTGAATACTTTAACGACCCGCTCCTTTATTCAAGATCCGAGCTGCTACTTCATACAAATTCGCGTAAGCAGGGTTGCCGTGCATTTTGAACAGCTGTAGTGTAAGTATAGGTTTGGATTTACGGTTTCTTGGAATGTGTCAAGTCTTGGCCATACCGAATAATTTGGAATGAAGAACAGCCCTGTGCTCTACTTGTTTATTTCTTTAAGCATATGCCCAAACCATAGCATAGTTGTAGCAACTGATTCAAAATGGCAGTTAAAAAGGCGCTTTTGAATATACCAAGCCAATGACTTTGCATATATTTGCTTGTAGCAAAACCATGAATGTGCTTGGCTGGGTTGCTGGGAGTGATACTTGCTTGGTGTGCTACAAGTGCAGTGGCCATTCTTGGCAGTACTTGGTCCAGACTTGACTGTTTAATCAGTGCTACCTTTGAAGATGTTTCCTTTGATCTGTTCTGGCTAAATATGCATAAGTGGACAGTCGTCTGCATGTCAAGACATCTGAATAGTCAATTGAGGTGCTGATTGCCACACTATCAATCATCTCTTCATGTTCAGCACTCACTTGGATTGAAACACAATGGCTCTCGCTTTGACTAGAGTGTGGCAATGCATTTATTGCGGGCCACACTGGGATAAGACTGCAGCCAGATGTGTAGAAAACTGGCGATCTCCCTATATAGATTGTCTGATTCTAAACTGACCGCTTCAACTAAAATACCAACTTTTCCCCTTGCCCAGATAGGTGCGTTGTCATAGTTTTACAATGAAGCCTGAAGACCAGTCTATTCAAAGCATGTAGGTTTTATAAATTCTATACTATCCGAATGTGTGGTATGCCGTTATATCCAAAAATAATGCATTTCACAGAGGCTTGCTATATAGCCATGATTGAATCTTGGCAGTTCGAATGCCAAACTTGTTTAGCGCATGCCACTTTATCTATACTATTATACCACTTTAATCGTTTGTTTTAGACTGTAAAGCATGCTGACTTTGAACATCAATACAGTTTAGCTGCACAGAATCGCCACTCTTTAGAAATTGACCGGCAGATTGAAATTGACAGGCTGCGTCGGAATAAAATAAAGGAAGAGGTGCATGTTCTCATTTTAGGCAGCGGGGATAGTGGGAAAACCACCTTTCTAAAGCAAATTAAGATTCTGTATGGTGGTGCCTATAAGGAAACAGAACGAAAAGCTTGTCGTTTTCAGATTCTGAAAAACATACGCGAGTCGGTAATGGCCATAATCGCCTTTTTGAATTTTGACGGGAGCATGGACGATTTCTCCCATTTAAAAGTAGGATCTATTGTTTTGAGTAGTGGTTGGCGCTTTTTGAATTGTGTCTAAATATTGAGCAAGGTTGACTAGTATGCATACATTTTATTAACATGTCAATATCTACCTTTATCTTGCGATGCAATTCATGCTTTTATAATATAGAAAAGTATCCAAGTAGTATCAGAGCATCTTAAACAGCAAGAACCAGATGGAGTATGCAATATATCAGCAAATTGTGCTGTAGAGATTGAAATGCTTTGGAAAGATCCCAAATTGCAAGAGTATTTAAAAGAATTGGATAGAACAGAGCTTCAACTTCAAGATACTGCAGGATAGTAAGTTTTTAGTTTAAAATTAAATAGTTATGCAGGTTAAAACGCTGGTTATTTTGAGCCAGTTATTGACTATCTTTGTAGCTTTCTCTCCCAGGCATCAAAATATATTCCTGAAAGTTATCTTCCTGTCAACGATGGTAAGCTAGTAACATTATTTATCATTAGAGTAGCATTTTATCTGCACTTGGATCAGCTGTTTTGATGCTACTTTTGAAATTCAAACTTCAAGACAGCTAATTTTTATTGCTGAAACGATCTTACTAGATATTGTTCGCATTCGTAGTCCAACATCACAAATCACAGAAAGCATTTACACCATAGAAGGATCTGTTTTTCACTTTTTTGACGTTGGTGGTCAGCTGAAACATCGTAAACAATGGGCACCTTACTTTGATCACGTCAGTACAATCATTTTTGTCGTGTCTCTGGCTTGCTACGATCAAAATCTTGCTGAAGATGCAACAGTCAATCGAATGCACGATGCACTTGAGCTATTTGAAGGTGTATGCAATAATCCACTTTTGAAAAAAATATCAGTGACACTTTTTTTAAACAAGAAGGACCTTTTCGAGACAAAAATAGCAACCGTTCCAATCAACAATTACTTTCCAGATTTTCTAGGTATCAAAAGTTGCCTGAATCAGTGTTTTTAAGCCGCACATATTTTAACCCAATATCAACCTTGATGGTTCTCTAGAATTGAACACTACTTTAAAGAAAGGTTCTAAATTCTTTGATAGAAAGTTCCGGTATACTCTTTTGGACGATGAAACAGGATCAGATCACCAGCGTAACGTGTTTACATACGTTACATGCTGTACAGATACGAATACAATGGAGATTATTATTCTCACCGTAATGTAGGTTGAATTCGTCTACTCTATCTGTAAATGTCGAGCAGAACTAACTGTGGTCTGATTAAAACTATAGGAGCTCTATTATGCAAAAAAATTTGAGCTCGATTGGACTCCAGTAACCTCAAGTACAATATACTGATGGATTTATAAATGCAGTCTCGAGTCATTTTTTATTTGCAGGATTCTTTGGAGTGGTTGATACCTTTCATTAAAAATGAATTTATGGGTTTTATTTGACTCGTGGTCATAAATAATCGATCTGTTTGTAGTACCTTGTTTAGATGGATCAACGTAATTGATGATGGCTTTGCATATTCAAGTGATATACCAGCATTGATCATCGCACTAATTAGAGCTTTACCGATCAAGACTACACATTGCCTGTTAATCTAGTCATCACAACTAGTGGCAACGGGGATGGGAATGAAAATATAAAATAAGATGATCAGCAACCATCATCATTAATGTGTGTCATATGTTTGAAACAGTACTTGTGTAAATGTCATTCAATCGCACTTTTGGGTCTGTTTTTGTTTGATGTTTTGCAAATATCAGTGGATTGTCTTGAAATAATATATGCAATCCTCTGTCTATGCATTTACCTTTAAATGTCGATAGTTTTTATTATATTGGTATCAGGAAAAATGGAAGATGTGTAATATTACAACTGTAATATCTGAGCAAATCACTACCTAAATAAAAGTTGCTACTCTCAGTGACACTGCTTTGTAAGACGAGCTCAAATTAATCAACAAAAACTCTATCAATACATTTGCAAGGACCATTGGACGTATTCGTTGTCTAGAAATTAGTTTTGATACTTTCAGAAGTGGAAGGGGATTTACTGTTGGAGAAGTTGCATTATCTGTCATTAATTCAGAAACACCTATCATGGTCAGTATGTAGTGAGTTCCTATATGGATATCAATGCAAGAATCAACTATCATTTACAAGTTTGAATTGAGAACCAACAATTGTACCAGCAGATCAATGTCAAAGTACTTGCAAATTAGGCAATTCATTGCACAGGACCGTTTTGCTCTTAAAAGCTACTTTCTGACTCGAAAAACCCGAGTCCTTCATAGAATGGCTAGACAAGTCGCTAACCTTGGACGTCGAGGCAAAAGCGACAAGGACTTTGAAGACATACGAATTGCAAGGAGAAAGAACAAGACTGGAGAGGTTGAACAGAAAACAAACAAGGCAGAGCGATTGCCATTACACAAGCCACGTCCATACATTGGGTTTGTCATTGGATACGTTGGCTTTACACACAACCAAGGAATATCTGGCACGATCATGGCACTAAAGAGACTCTTGTATTCTAATATCAGATACGTTCGCGTTCTAGTTCAACATATTTCAGGAATGCAACTCATATGCCAGTCACCCAGTATTTGGAGAAAAGGAAAGTTGGAAGTTGAACAAATGTCAAGAATGTGGAATGTATTGGAACAGAAATATGAACATTTGCTCTATATTTTTGTACAAGAATGAACATCAAGACCAGTCAACTAATGAGTTCATAAAACAATATTACTCGATAAGATTGGCATCAAGCATGACTGTTTATGTAATGTTTCATTTAACGTGAATACGGCTGTAAATCGGCTACAAAGAATGCTCGAGTGAATCAAGGCTTTACAAACTTTTAATCAAAACTCTTGCATTCAGCATGGGCCAGGCAAACAGTTTATCCAGGACTGATGACGATTTCCCTCCATTGTTGGCTGCAAGACTACGGACACTCTATGATGCCATCAACAAGAAAGGCGAGTCTGCGTTCCATGAATTGTGTTGGACAGCAGCCTCTGTCCAGTGTTCATGCCAGCCACCATCTACTCATGCAACTGGCCCAGAACTGCTTGGATTGTACAAGGCTCTGTGGATTCATCTATCCAATAAAACAAATAAACAACTGGCATCCTATTCTTTGTTTTCAAAAAAAGTAGCAGTTCTGCTTCATGGATCTCACTACGACAAATCAGAGTTTATTCGGGAATCAATTGCTCTGATACCAAATCTACAAAGTCTTCTAACTGCTCTGTGGTCTCAGGGAAACGGAGCACTCGCACACTGCTCGTCCACAATCCCACTTATAAAACACACTGAACCCCCATCTGTCAGCAAACCGCATTCTGCCTTGGCTGCCTTTCTTCTGGCAAAACCGCGTAAAGTGGATGCATCTTATTCTGCCTTGAATGTCAATGACGACCAGCTCACGTATTCGGATCTCGCCGACTTTACTGTCTGGATCTCACAGAGTCGCCATGTTCATGCATTGTGGGATCGTGCACTGGGTGATATATTTTTCAGTCCAGACCAGCAGCCTCCCGCCAAATCTAGACCCACCAGCACACTGTTGTCAAACGAATCATGCTATGTACTTGATCTGGCAATGCGCAACAGTGGATTAGACTTACCGGACTGGAGTCTGTCCTTTTCCACCAAACTGCATGGTCAGAGTTGGACCATCTTTTTGAATGCCATCATCCCACCAGCATCTTCACTGATTATTCTTCGTGATCGAGACGGCTACATATTTGGCGGCTTTGCCAGTATGCCGTGGACAACCAATCCTCATTTCTATGGGGAATCATCAAGCTTTCTCTTTTCTATTTCACCCAAAATGGAAATATACCGCTCTACTGGAATCAATACCAACCATCAATACCTGAACACGGGACGCCAAACACTTCCAAACGGACTTGGATTTGGCGGCCAGATTGAGTTTTTTGGACTTTGGATCTCTAGTCAGTTTGATCACGGCAACTCAATGGCAAAACCCATCTCAACAACGTTTGGCAATCCACAATTGAGTAAAAAGGAAGAATTTGAAATTGATTTTGGCAAGTCAATCTACCTAATATTGTGTTTAAATACTGTAGAAAACTAATTATATGTACATTGTTATTCTTGCAGTGGAGGTATGGTGTGTCAAGCAGCAAGATATTGATGACCGACTCGTTTCTACTATGGAAGGAAAGAGTTCGATTCTTGACCACACCGCAAGCGCTGCAATGCTAGAAATGGCAGGCAAAACCATGTACGCCAAAACACTGCATGAGCCCGAGATTTCATACGACTAGCTTTGCACACCGCTATTCGCATGCCAGCTTAGCATCGAAACTACATATCATTTCAGCCAATGTTAGATTCTTTTAGACTGCAGTCACCATTTCAACAAACGATCCAAACCTTGTAAGCACTACACCAAATGCTGCTACAAGGGAGAATGGATACTGAACATCCATTGTGAATGTATCGTCTGAAACTAAAAAATTAATAGTTAAAACCAGCACTGATGACTATTGGTACATCTATTTCAAAGTGTAAATACCTTTGCCAAACTGAATCACAATGTACTCTAGGTCGTGATCATGAACAATCTGAAAGTTTTTGACAGATGCAATGGTTACACGCTGATTAAAATCTAAAACAAATGATTGAGTTTCTGTATAATGCATTGCCATTCAATGCAAGTGTGTTAGTGCCACATATTAAGCATCTTATCCATCACACATTCGAAACTCACCATCACTCCATTTTGGAGATTTGTTATACATCACCACAAGATCGCGATCACTCATGGCTTTATGTCGCTCCAACAGTGTTTCTTTTTCCTGTGCATCCAAGAAATGTTGTGATATCAAGCCCAAAGTACAGAAAACAAAACCAAATATCTACTGTGCATGTAATGTACCTCGAGGGGTCTGATTTCAGCCAACGTTCCTTCAGGCAACAAAGGCGGGCTAATGATTGTCATTCTCCTAGGACCGCGATGACCCAGAAAATTAGGTTCATACACCACAGCAGCTAATTCACGGCGTCCTTCGGCCATGTTATCAGAGTTGGTTGATGGCTGGATACTACTGGATACTGTAAAGCCAGTTCCTAAAAAATTGGATCTAACCCAACAAGAAATGCTTAAAAGATCGATGCGAGTGATACTGTTAAAACTCGAGTTCAAAGCATCCCATACCTGACTCGGGCAATAGACTTATTTCTGACACCTCGATCACCTTCACTGGGAAGTGTGATGATATAACACGAGGTTTGACTACGCATCTTCTTGGCAAAGAGAACTGGTATGACAGTGTTGTGCTCCTCTACAAAGACTTCGTAAGTATGGCTTCCACCTGCTAACCCATCCCTTTTCCGTACAATTCGACACAGTTTTCTAGTGCCATATGGGACTGGACTGGAATCCTCAATCAAGATGTAATCAAGATATAATCAATATCATTGAATGCAACGTTAGAACCCAACATCATCCATAGCAGTGCATTCCACCTTGCATACTCTTACCTGCACAAGAGCCTTATCTGCTCTTCCCGAGCCACCAACGACTGTGATCGAAGCCCTCTTCCCTGACGATGCATATCAGCTACTCTTGGTAGAATTTCATTATCAGCATGTGTGTTGGTAGCTGGCGATACCATGGCCTCACGAATAGCTGGATCCATCTGGTCTACAGAAACATCCTACATCATCAGAACCAGACTGGTGAGTTGCAAATCTTGAATAGCATCAGCTAGTTTAAAACACTTGTTTTCAAGTGATATTTACTCTGCGCAAGGGGAAAGCATGGCCAGTATCTGACCCAGTATCAAACTCGGAGTCGTCTGAGATGTTCATGATAAAGTTGTAGCTATTCGAGATAAGAAGCAGCCTGAATCAAGGCGAGAAACCGTCGAATCTTGCCAAACTTGAGGCTCCTTTTCTTACCAAACAAGAAAGCTTGAATTGACTGCTGGCTTCATGTCGTTTATTATAGATTGGAATCTTCTGAATGACGGAGTAGAGGCTGAGAGACTAAAACTGTTGGTCAATGACCATTTCCAAGAAGTTGCTCGACCAAGCTTTCTGGGCAAGGTAACGGTGATGCAGCTGGACTTTGGTATGTTGTGATGGTCCATGAGCCTCTGGCTTGATGCTCATTTAAACTCACTAACGACCGTTGGGTTGACTTGCATAGGTGATATCCCACCAGAAGTCACCATCGAGGATATATGCGATCCTCTTGCTGATTTTTACATTCAGGAAGATCCTGCCTTTGAATATGAACATGATCATATTCAGAGTCATTCATACAACAGTCGTCAGAATATAGACACTACAGCAGCTAGTGAGCAGATTTCTGTGTCTGATGGTATTGGACATCATGGCAGTGCTATATACAAAGAACCGTCGCTGTCATTTGACTCGACCAACAATCTACGCTATGTGCAACTTCCTCCGCAAGATACTGATGCACAGCTGGAACTGAATGTCAGATATCATGGAAATATGCGTTTATCTATATCCACTGAGCTTATTGTCAATCAACCCACTCCTGCATTCATGGTACTGCCTCTTGCACTCACGCTCACTGGCTTTTCTTTTGACGGAACGGCAGTCATTGCCTATCTAGGATATGCAATCAATTTTTGTTTCAAAGAGCCTCTTGATGGAAATAGTATTCTGCAAGATATGACCATCGAATCGGAAATCGGTGATAGAAACAAGCAGGGTACGAGTAAATGATCAATGTATCGTTGCTTCAAACAATCCTAACCTCATGATTCATACAAATCTGTTTTTAAATCGACTATAGTCTTGAAAAACGTTGAAAAGATTGAACGATTCATTGTGCAGCAACTAAAGAGTTTCTTCAACGATTTCCTTGTGTTTCCCAACTTCCATTCAATATATCTTACTCAAGACGATACCTATACAGAGTGTTCGAGCCAGCATAGCGGATTTAATCAAGCAGACACTGGGATTTGAACCAGTGCATTGTTTTTGTGTGCGTTATCATTCCAAAACACATTTACAGCCGTATTCACGTAAAATAAACTACTTTTGCATTTATCTCGAGTGATTGCTCGTAATTTGGTTTTAGAATAAATAACAATCAAGTGTTTGCTGTGCTTTCCTACTAGACATTGAAGCTAATGGACGTTTTCGATTCTTGAATAGATACAACACCCATCATATAATACAAACTATAGTTTTGAACTGAAATGATCTCATCATTTGGTATAGCCATACATTGTACGATTATCAAGTTTGGTTCAACCGTTCTAATGCTGTCAATACACCTTTACACCTGATCTTTGGTTTATCCTAAAAACTCGGATACGCTCAAATTAGAGTTTAAGAAACCAACGATTGCACGTCTCAAGAATGCAAGTTGGTTTCATGTCGATCACCACAAAAAACATCAATCAAGTTTGCCAAGAAATTTAATAAATATGGTTGATCATTTTAATTTGAAATACGTCAAATTTCACTAATATAGCGCAAAATACAATAGACATGCAACAGGTACTCTGCAAAGTTGAAAAGTGATGCTCAGTTATTTTTGTAGTTGAATAGAATGCATGTTGTAAACAGTATATATTTTAATGACTGATTGTATACAGAGATATATCACGATTTAAGCTAATCGAATTTAACTTGAATCATCATTTACTATTGCTACTGGTAAAAATAAACAGACACTCCATACAATGTATAAGTCTCGATCCAGTTTTATTGTAGAATAAAATTGACACGTATTTCAATTTTCTTTTAAAAAGTAATTGTCGTTGAACCCCATGGCCAGGATATGAGCAGTGATTTTGTTTAACTGGTAGATGCTTGACTCATTTCCATTTTAGTACAATGCAATCTACTAATTCTTGAATATACTCTTCCATTGTCTTTTCCTCGTCAATTGCCATTTCAGCATACTCTGTGTCCACGCTATGAACACTTACGCTTCCATTGTCAAATCCAACAATAATGGTAGCACCATGACTTGAAACTGCTCTCAAATTATCCAACGAGACTTTGGAGGTAGCAGATACATCTGTTGGACTAAAAGCAATGCGACACGGTATGTTTCCAGTTGGTGAAAGGTCACTGGCTGGAACGGTCATCCTCGCGTCTTGATCGTTTTCAATAAGATCAAAAACAGAGATTGTGCCAGTGGAATCAAGTACAACAAACACTGCTGATCGATGAGATGACCACTCAATATATTGAATGGGTGCATTGATAGTATCCCATACTTTGAGCGCAGGACGATGGTGCACAGAATAGAGTGCAATCATTCCCGAGGCATGACCTGCCAAAAATAGAGATGGAATATGAGGGTTTATGGATATACTTGCCACTTTATCTGATCGTGGAAGAGCAAGAGAAAATGATGGACTAGCATTCATGACTGTAGGCTCGTAAATATTTGGATGGCATCGATCACGAAATCTGGACTCGTGCATGACAGATCCTGAATCTGTGGCAACAAGAAATGTATCAATTTGATTGTATATAGGCTTGCAATCATATATTTCAATTTCTCTTGAAAATGCATGCCTGTGTATTTATCATTTGATTTAAAATATTGATCAGTGTTATTTCTAGATTATAAAACTATATTGACATATTGACATTTTCAAGTCTTCTGATACCCCACACACTAAAAAATTCGACATTAGTGCAATATCAAAATTGAATTTACCTATCTGGATGCTGCATTTGAAAGGAATTGCTACCCATCAATTTTACCCGACTTCCAATACGTCGTCCTAAATCTGCATCCAAATCTATAGCAGATTCTTTAAGCTCAATCACCACCTAAATTTACAAAATGATTCATTTTAATAAGATATTAGTCTACTAGACAAAATGCACTTGTTTATAATAATTTCAAGCTTACCCAAAGTTGAAAAACCCCCGACGAATCTATTGTAGCAAGCTGGAAAGAGTTTGAAAAACTGCTGTTGGTTTGCTGATCTTTTTCAACCGTCTTGTGATCGTATTTATGCAACGGTAGTATGGATACAATTGGGTGGAGGTGAGACTGAGCAAGAGTATATATTCCATCTGTGCTGTAACTCGGTGGCCGTATTGAAAAAGCATCTTGGTCAGGAAATAGCGTCGCTGATATGTGATTTGTAGCAGGTTCACGCAAATCCCATACTTGAACACCTCCATCGACTGTTCCTGCAAAAACAAGAAATGGTTTTGTGGGAGCAAAACAGCAGCACGTTACTCGAGATTGACATACAAGAACACTAAAGCAGGTATACACGATAAATAAGCTTTGTCAATACAACATTGGCTGTATAAATCTGAAAAACAATACTTACCGAGATGGACGCTTGATGTCGCTCAATCGCCATACAATTAAAGCACCTTGTGATGATGAAAACAGTGGATGGACAGGAGTAGTTACTCCACTCCATGCAATCAACACTGATCGATAATCTCCTGGAGTAAAGCATATATTTTGAACACTCTGGCCTAGACAATCAACAGAAAACCACATTAATTACACTTTTAAAATAAGATAAATTCAATTTAAAAATACACAGTACCTCTTAAAAAGCTTGGAATATTTAAATCGTTAAATCCTTTGCTCAATCCAAACGATGCCGAGGATGTGCACACAGATTCATCAGTAGCATACTTGGTATTTTCATCCAAAAGAGTATCTACAACCTAAATAAAGTCATCAGTGTTGAATCCCACATATACGCAGTGTTATATTCAAAACAATAGATTGAATATTATCTACCTGTGATGATCGTTGTAAAAACTTGGCCAGTCGAACTGAATCAACTTTCTGAATGGCATTTTCTACTGCGCGTTTTATTCCACTGCGATCTGATGATTTACTGGCATTGAAAGTCATAAATGGTGTGCCTGCGTCGCAGTCACAAATCGAATTAGATGGAATTTGAACCCATTTATCTTCAACACACCAATCATCGGTTTGTATATCCCGATCACAGCAGTCATCATTGGTTTGTGTACTGGTTTGAGTAGTATTCGACAGACCGTAATTTCTAATATAGAGGTCATATGAAGACATAGGTGCTAGGTCAAATATATTGACAATGGTAAAATTCAAGTCGACAAGTTTTGACAAATCCTATCAACGTGTCAGCACAACTTATGTTAGTTGAAACCCCAAAAGATTCAGCAAAGTAATTTAATCAATCCTTAACCTATGCGGTGCTTACTTTAACCCGTTGCGCTTGCTTTTGAACTTTACTTGCTTTGTCTTTTTCTTGCTGTGATCGTTGATGTGCAACGTTTATATCTACAACTTGTCGTTTGGGAAGGTTTGATACTACCACAGGTGATGTATCGGTCGTCTTTTTTGTAGCAATTATTTCTTCAGAGTAACCTTTTAAAGCAGATAAACCAAGTAATGTATACAATCAATTCAATATTGTATTCATTCAAAGTATAAATCGGCGTGTTGACAGCAACTTGCGAATCTGGTTTTAACAAAAACATACCGGGATTCATGGGATTTTTTAAATTCCATTTTGGTTGTGCCATGGCTGCACGATTGTTTTCTTCTTGCATTGCTCGTTGCAACTATATATCAAATTGGGTGCTTTTTAGCATATATATGTTTGACAAGTGTCAAATACACACAATTTCAACTTTATATTAAAAACTCACATCAATGATATCTGATGGTACATAAGGTGCAAGTTTAGTTTCTACAGAGTCTTCAAACTCTTCAAAGTCCTCGTCATAATCTTCAAAATCTTGTTCATATTCATCAAGTATCTGTTGATCATGTTGAATAAATCCGTTATTGCCAACACTTAAATTCGGTTCAGCTCTCGGTGCATAGTCCACTGGTGCTAAACATTTACGTCATATAGTAATCATATGCTTTGTCAAATCAGTTATGCGTCTACTGAACATGGTAGGTTGAAGGTGGCTTTACCTTCGCGACCTGGGTTGATTACGGGTGATATTGAACGTGTGTGATGAGAAACAGATCTAAACGACGCTGTTTCAGAATGTATTTCTTTTCCAGATTGATCTTGCACTTTAGCATGTGAATACTGGTTTACTGGTAATGGGCTGGGTTGTGGCTGAGTGGCTGAAGATGATGTAGTCCGCTTAGGCGTAGAAGACAATGCGCGGCTTTGGATTAAAGATGCGAGACGAATACAGACATTAGTGGTCTATTTGACTCTTACTGAGCATAGTACAATTCTGGTTTGAACTGCAGTATATAATTTTACGCTGATACCAAAAGCAATTCAAAAGATACGTACATGTGCTTGTTACTTTGGCCGTACGAGTCATTGCTGACCATTACAGTTGAAGTATTTCGCGGCTGAATTAATGGTGATTGCTGAGTGCTAGACCGAGTTGAACTAGACGTTTTGCTAGATACAGTGGCTTTCAGTGGCGACTTTGAGCTTGTTGTTACTCTTGGTGCAGGTGCCTGGAATGGGCAATTGAACGCCAAGTGCATCAATGGTAGAAACAATGTGAGCCTTCATTTTCAAAGTGCGTGGTAATAGTAGTGCTAGATAAAGTCTGATGAATGGGTATATGCCTACCATTTTTATAGTCTAATAGATTCAAAGAGTCGAGACTGCTAGAATACTCGTCTAGGACAAAAGTCAAAGTTTATAATTATTCGCGTTTTAAACATCAGCCAACAATAAAATGGAACAAAGCAATTCATTTTCAAATGCATTACTAAAAGAAAGTTTTATTATCAAGGTATGGAGGCAGTTGTTGACCCAACAAGAGACATGGCTGGCATGTTTCCAGAAGAGTTCAACGTACCCATCACAGGAGGAAATCCTGGAGAAGCAGGTGTGGATGAAATCTGATTAGCATCTGATGGATCTCCAGTATATCCCTTGATCGCATTGCGCATAAATTCTATAAACCGCTTGCCATAGAGCATGGGATTGACTGCAGATATTTTGGTGCTGTCATTGCCAAAGGATTTAAAGAAATGCTCAACCTTTTTGGTCGCACTGTATTTAGTAAAAATATCAATGATGCCAATATAGTAAATTTCCTTCAAAGGCATATTCGTTTCATCTGTTGCACGGAAGCCACCCTCGTCTTGATAAAATATACAGTAGCGACGTTCTGGTGGTGCATTGTCGGGCAATTTTGAGCTTGAAGGACCCAGCTGCATGATATCAGATTCTACCATGGCTTTACGGATGACTTGGGCCTTGCTCATACGGTTAGCGGCAGTTGCACGCCGTGACAGTGTTTCGGGGTTAGGCTCGAATACCGAGAGTGTTAGATCACGAATATTGTCACGATTTCCTTTTACTACGTCGTGAAGCCCAACAAGCAAGGAGTAGTCCATGATCTTTTGGACAACAAGGAAAGCGCAGTCTCGTTCTATCTGTTCAATCAGTAACCGCCGCTTCTCTGTTCCAAGTAGCATTTTTCTACTCCGATCAAGCCAATTCAAATCCTTCATGACAGCACGGGGATTTTTGCAAGCCTCTTCTTCAGAAATAGACCGACCTACAATGGATCCCTTTAGGTCATATACTTCGTGAATATCCTTGTTGGGGGGAAACACATTTCCCATGACCACAAAATGAATTTTGCGGTTTCCAGGCAATTTTACTCTGTGTAGACCAAATATGCGAGACAAGAGAGTGTGTGGATTAGATCTAATGTGGTTGTAGTAATACTCGAGAATCTTGAGGATAAACTTGTGCTCAGAATGGTGAATGGTTTTAATGATGAAGCGATAGTCTTGTGAATAGTAAAAAAAGCTGCCACTTTTACCAGGACTGCCTAATTCGGAAAGGACATATTTTCCAGTGAGAGACAACAGGTATTCGGCAGGATCGACATGAAAACTGTCACGAACCCGCCTGAATACCCACGGAGCGTAGTCTTTAAATTTGAAATCATATTTTGATGATGGGGTCATCTCATTGCCAGTTACGTCAAAAGCAAGCTTGTGTGCAGCTGTGAAATCTTCAGCAACAATGTCCCGCAGCGGCTTAGCATTGCAACGAGACACAGATATTCTGATGCCAGTCAGCATGTCGTACATAAGCATGTAATTGGCATGACCCTCCTTGACAGGAGTGCCAACCAGCACTTCCCTTCCGTGCATTGAGCGCCTTCCAGTCATCAAATCCTGTGAAGTGAATTTCCGAGTGGGACTCATTCTTGAAGCAGGCTCGCTTGTGGGCAGTAAAGGGACATCTATAGGCACAGCAACACTTACTGCGGATTTAGATATGTTGAATGCATCACTGACAGTATTGCGGCGTATATTGGGTATATGGTAAGGACCTGAGATAGCGTTGATGTTGGTAGTGCTAGACTGAGTGCCGGGTGATAATGCCGCTGCAAGCGGGAGAGTGCTTGACACGGAGCGAGAGGTTTCCACCAAGTCTCTCGACTTGCGCAATTCAATCTCCGAGGCTGTTGGAGAGCGTGCTCTATCACGAAGAGTTTGCATGCGAATGGAATAAGCAACGGGACTCACCACTGCAGCAGTGTTAGTAGCTATGCATTCGGTCGATGCAGCGGTGGATGAGGTCTCTTCAGGAATAACAGTGGTCAAGAGATTGTAAGATTTTTGCTGGAGTGTCGAGTCATGGACTTGCATTTGAGAGATACTCTGAGCAGTGGAGTTATTTAGAGGTCGTTTGAATTCAGTGTCGACAGCCACAACAGCTGCACTTTTGATGGCAGGCAGTTCCGTTTCTGCATGAACAGAGTTGGTGGTTGACGAATGAATGGCATTTGTGATGGAGTTGGAGCTTGGGCTGGGTTTCAAGGCATATGCGCCAGGAAAACCATCCGGCAATAACGAAGTTTCTCTTACAAGAACAGCAGTATGAGGAATGGTAGAAATCGTACGAGGACTATCTAGTAAAGTCGCAGGCATGGCAGTAGTATTTGAAGTAGAGTTGGTGTAAGTGGACAACCCCTCGACAGAATGACCAATGATATCTGCAGCCATTGTCTGGTAGTTGTTTTTGCTGTCAAAGTAGGAGTGATGAGGTACTGTTATAGTAAGCAAATGATCTGAACAGACTGACGTCCTTGCTAACAAAGTGGTTGGATAATTGCAGAACGGGCAAGGAATTGGAGTTGGTTTTGGTCAGTGGTGATTGTTGCTTAGTACAAATAGTCGGTGACAATGAGTATGAGAACACAGGAAAAATATTTTTTTGTTTGTATTTCAGCCAATTTTTGTCATATTTCGGCAACAGGTTTTTGGTTCGTAAATTGAATGTTTCAGATTAGTGTCGAGGTTCTTGTGTCAGCAAAATCAACACCAAGATCTGCAAGCTGTTGTCACTGCACCAAACAAGTCTTGTTCTATACTGAATCAACAGGAACAGCTGATTGTTTGACACTGATCATGTCAACAGGTTGGATTGTCATTGTGGTACACAGAGCACGATAGATGCTCATGCCAATCAACACTCTAATATTTGTAACAACAAAAAAGCATTCAAACAAACCCAAAGTGTGAATACAATTTACATAAATACATGATACACACTGATGGCTGACAATTTCTCATTCATCTCTCCATTCTCTTCGGCCGTGAAATCCTAGCAACAAGATCATGCCTAGAACGCATCAACATACTCATGTCAAGCAATAGTATTGTGTGGTGGTGGTTACAAAGCCAAGTAATGCATTCTTCAAACAGATTCAATACCAAAATAAACCATTTGATCATAATATTATATAATGTTTGTTTTCCCAACAGAATAAATACAATATGATTCAAGCTTGAGCTGTAAAGTTTGATGTTTGCTTCATTATTGTCACGTGATAGTATTTTCTGTATATTGACAATTCTGCAGCTTCAACGACGAGCCAATTCATGTGGAAATCATTTACTCTTGGGAATCGGATGGCAAGTGCAGCTTCATTTGCTCGTACTGCAATGCAGAGTATTCGACTAGACTTGGCCAATTTATTCAAACCCAATTCCTCACCACTCACTCGTGCCAGCGGTGCAGTCTACATATGGAAATACTCGCATTCGCTGATCAAAAGTGGACTAGCTGCATTGCTGTTCGATCACTACATCTGTGGCTTTGGACTGGTAATTATATGAAATGGTTTAAAGAGTTTAATACCGTAGTTTTGAACTTGATTGGATTCATGTATTGTAGGAAATAATAGCTTATCATACTGGTGGATCTTAATTAGACTGTTGGTCCATCCATGCTGCCCACGCTCAATATTGCAGGTGATTGGGTCCTGATTGAAAGAATATCATGGCGAAACAGACGCCTTGCTCTAGGAGATATCGTAATATGTACATCTCCAGTCAATCCTTCTAGACTCATTTGTAAACGTGTTCTGGGACTTCCCGGCGATATTGTCTGTACTGATCCTCGCATGATTTCACCTAAATGGATCAAAGTGCCTGAAGGCTGCGTATGGCTTCAAGGCGATAATTTTCAAAACTCAAAGGACTCTAGAGAGTTTGGTCCTGTTCCAATGGGATTGATTCGAGGCCATGTGTTTTTCAGAGTACGTTGGGTTTAGATTCATTCCATATCTGCATTACCAAACCAAACCAAGCCAATCAGCTTACTAACCCAAATTCCATTTTATTAAAACAACTGATTCGTATACTTAGTTTTGGCCTTGGTACATGTATCCCATGCCTGGACTTGAATTTGCAACACAACAAGAACTAGATGATTTGGGAGTGAATTTGACCCATTGAAGCTATATTAGATTTACATAATACCCATAGAACCAATATTTTTAAAAAATGGAATAACAATCCATTGTGAATAGCACAGATTCGAGTCTGTAGCCGATTGGATTGGAGTCGATATACAAAATAAATGTTTTGAATAAACCACTTGACTGAAATTTAGTTAACAAATTGCATTTTGATTCAAGTGATGGACAAGTATCGCGAGACTGCGACCTTGCTGCTTAACCACCTGCATGTATACCTAGAGTCAGTCCACCTTGCCACCATAGTGTCATATGTAGCCCTCTCTACATTTTTATTATTTTTATTCCGCACTATCCGTTGCAACTATCTGCTCAGACATTCCAAAAAACAAGCAAGTAATCACTCGACTCAATTCGGACTTGGACATGAACCTGTCAATCAACCGATTCACTACGCTGCCGAGTTGGATTATAATCAAGATATGCCAAATCAAAATAGTAACAGCTTGAAACTAAAGAAATTCCAAAATAATCGAGCTAAGCTGGCCATACAAGACTCGGGTGTGGGATTTTTGGAAGGCATAGGGTCTGATGATGGTTTATCTCGAGTAAGATCGTGACATGAATTGATGCCAAGTTGTAATTGCTGCTTCATTTTATTTGTATATTCTAATCAATTCACATCAATCCACTAATCGTATGTGCATTTCTTGAATTGCATGTACTCATCAACCATCAATAGAAGGTGGATGCACTTTCAACAAGAATTGGAGCAATCGAAGCGTGGATGCAAGATATTCAACGCCAGCTTTCGTCAATCGTACCTATTTCTAATCATCAATCTGGATTCTCTAGTACGCATAATCATGACATTCATGAGACTTTGGTAGTTGCACCGCCTCCACCACCACCACCTCCTCCTCCAATGAATTTGAATCACTCTAATAAACTCGTCATCGTTCGATCAGAAAAAACGCAAGAAGAAACCAAACCAACAATGAGCCAAGTTCTCAAAGAACTATCATCTCTCAAAGTCAAAGTAGGCAGTCTTATCAAGTAAGTTGCATGTTAAACTTGAGCAGATAAGCAAGCCAGATCTGTCATGCACAGTAATATTAAATTAATCTTAAATTTTAGCTCACCTCGAAGCACCTACTTGACAAAACGAACACATGGAGATCAACCCAAGCCTCCATCTCGTCTGTCTATTGTGCAAGAAAACCCATTTTTAACTTCGACTGGACCACAACAATTGAATCATGTCCTTACATCAAATGAAAATTCAGCATATCAAGGAAACAGGGCTCCTGTATCTTTGGCAGATGCACCTCAGTACTTGGCACGGGAGATTCAAGCCATTAGACTAAAAAAGACAGATATTCCTCGATCACCAGGCGGCACGACAATATTGCCTCTACGCAGAAGTAGACGACACGGTGGATTACATCCAGATTCAATCGGTAAGTGCTGACTACTTTGTATGACTTGTGATTTCGATTCGACACATTAATAAGATTTGAAACCGACTGTTTTAGTTCATTCGCTGCAACAACGGTTTGCTAATGCGTATCCATCTGACATGGACGGAGCAAGTATGGATTCTAGTCCATTCTCTCCTGAAACCAAATAAATAGGATTTTCTTTTTGAAATGAATAAAGAATCAATGCAATCATGGCTCAGATCTGTTAGTGGGAATCTTTGATTTCAACCAATCAGAAACGACTCGGCAAGTATTGCCAAAACTCGACAAAATCATAACTTGACCAACAACACTTCAACATGTCCAGCAACAGATATGATGAGGAGGATGAGACTGAGGAACAGTCTAGAGAAGCTCGTTTTCGCAGACAAAGAGATGAGGACGAGGACGACGAAGAGGATGAAGAGGAGGAAGAGGAGGAGGATGATGAAGACCATGAACGTGGAGTGAGTTGAGAAGACTTGATGAGCTATATATGGCTGCACTGCATTATAAACGGCTATAATTGTATATTCATTTGCAATGGTTAGCAATTGCATATAGAATGCACACTGCTACTATTTGCTACTCTTCAGCGGATAACCTGCTTATTGAATGGCAAGCTACGCTGTCAGTCCTTACCACTCGGTGATAGAGCTATCCAGCCAATTGCTTGTTATTTTCTCTTTTAAAGACCTATGTAAACTAGTCTTGATCAAATCACTGCTAAACTTGTAATTTATTCTAGCACGATCTAATCTCTAGATATAAATAGCCTAATATCAGCTCCTTTTCATTGTTCATATAGGCGATTAAAAACTAATTCAACTGGTCTATTGTTAAATGGTTTATTGGATTAGGTTCAAAAGCACCCAAAGAAGCGTCAACGTAGGCAAAAGGCCAACCCTTTTATTGATTATGAGGCTGCTGTTGATGAAGATGACGAAGAAGACGACGAGGAAGCTGAGGATGGTTTTGATCGTGGTGAGGCTATAACTGGACAATAACCTAAAGAATGGTCTGTCGTGCATATATGTTCAATCAAGTGTGACTCATTTTTTTAAATCATGCCAATTTGAATAGAGGAAGCTGAAGAAGTTGAACGCACTTTTCACGACGAAAGCAGACATAGAGCGTTTGATCGTCGTGTGCAGCAAGAAGAGGACACCAACGCTGAAGCAATCGCCGAGAGATTTAAGCAGCGATATGGTCGATCCGAAATGTCCCGTGGTGCTTACCGTGGCGACTTGGATCATGTGCCTCAAAGTGTATTGATTCCATCCGTCAATGATCCCAAGTTGTGGTTGATTCGATGCAAAGTACGTCTAGAAACTGTCGTGTTGAATCGGTGTATGCTTTTGTTTTTTGAAATGGCAATATTCTAATCCAAACGGCTATTTATTTTTATCCCCATTGAACTTGCGTGTCTACTCTCTAGCCAGGAAAAGAAAAGATTATTGTCATGCAAATGATGCGCAAGTTTGACGATCTAGAACTTACTTCCAAAACACCGCTCGAGATTTTATCTGTTTTTAGCAGAGACTCCCTCCAAGGCTACGTTTACATTGAAGCCATGAAACAAGCCCACGTTATGGCTGCTATTCAAGGTGTTAACAATATATACGTATCCAAACTCCAACTTGTCCCTGTAAACGAAATGGTGGACTGTTTGAGCATCAAAGGCAAAACATTGGATCTTAAAACCAACGCATGGGTACGAGTCAAACGCGGCAGGTACGACGGTGACTTGGCTCAAGTATTAGAAGTTGCTGAATCAGGTGATACGGCCCTTGTGAAACTCATTCCTCGCTTAGAGCCTGCTCGCGGTACATTAGGTCAGGTCCAGTCACGTCGTAAAAAGGGTACAGATGTTCGTCAACCACAAAAACTGTTTCAACCTAGCGATTTCAACAAGCGTGAAATCAATGCAGGTAATGGAGGATACACTTACCAAGGTGACTTTTTCGACAAGGATGGATACTTGGAGAAAACCATGAAGGTAACATCACTATTGACCGAGATGGTGAATCCTACATTGGATGAAATCACCAAATTTTCTGGTGGATCAATCAATGAGCAAAACAACGACTTGGCACTTTTAGCGAGCGCAAATCAAGCCACCACAGATGATTTTCAGATTGGCGAAGGAATTACGGTTATTAGTGGTGAATTGAAAAACGTTCCTGGCGTGATTCAGTCGATTGAAGGTGGTATTGTAACTGTTATACCCGACAAGTCTTTTGGACTGAGTGGGCCACTGCGATACCCTGCACGAGATATTGCAAAACGGTTTGAAGAGGGAAACCACGTCAAGGTAGTTGGAGGCGTACACAAGGACGAAACAGGCTTGATTGTCAAAATTGACAACAATGTGGTGACGATTTTATCTGATACGTCATTGAATCCAATCTCGGTGTTTTCCAAAGATTTGAGAACTGCAAGTGAAGTTTCTGCTGTGGGGACTTCTTTAGGTCAATATGACACGCTCGATCTGGTGCAACTTTCCGCTAGCGATGTTGGAGTGATTGTTAAGATTGAAAAGGACATATTGTTAATTTTGAACCAGTATGGTAATCTTTTGCGTGTCAAACCACAGCAAATCCAAAGCAAACGCGATTCTTCCAGGGCAGTAACAAGTGACTCGCATGCTCGGCCAGTTACTGCTGGTGACCATGTGGTTGTCAGCGATCCTTCATCTACAATCAAGCGCAGCGGCACTGTGTTGCATATATTTAGATCACATGTATTTGTCAAGTCGCGTGAGATAGTGGAAGACAATGGCATTATTGTTGCTCGCAACTCCAATTTAGTCGTTATGGGTGGAAAAGTGCCCATGCCTGCCTTTGGCAGTCATGCACCTGGTGCAGGACGCGGCAATGCTTACAACCCTTATGCTGCATCTACAGGTTTAGCGGGCCAGGGAAGATCAGGAGGCCCTGGTGGTATGGGTCGCGGAAGAGGTAGAGGCCGAGGCCGAGACGAGTTTGTTGGAAAGACTGTTACTATTTGCGGCGGTCCTTACAAGGGCTACCTTGGTATTGTCAAGGATGCCACCGAAACTCATGCACGAGTTGAGCTTCACACTGGCAACAAGACGATCAACATGGAAAAAACAAAACTCAGTATGCATGGAGCTGAATCACGGTCCATGCAATCCCAAGTCAATGCCGGATACAACGGATATGCAGATAGGTATGATCGTAACAGTAATATGGGTAGTCGTACGCCAAGCTACAGCGGATCCAAAACACCCATGTACCGATCAAATACCGAGTCGGCGACACCCAACCCACATATGGATGGTGGACGCACGCCTGCATGGGATTCTGGAAGCCGTACTCCTGCATGGAATGCTAGTAGCAAGACACCTGCTTGGGAAGCTTCAAGTCGCACACCGGCTCGCCCAGATTCATTTTTTCCGGGTGCAGATCATATGCCGTATCAAAATGCATTGGCAGATAATGCAGACACGCCATATATCCCATCTACACCTGCAGTTGATGGTATGCATGGACAATCTCACAATGTCACAGGAACACCGGGGGCTTATCCGTCAACTCCAGCGGCACACAATTTACCCCAAACACCATTAGGTGGTATAGGTGGACAGTATCCCAACATGGGAAGCGTGCCCAATACTGGATTACCGCAAACCCCTTTTGTTCCCGCAACCCCTTTCAACCCATCTACACCTGCCAACGTTCATGGAGACTATTATGGCTCACCCAATGGTGGTATGGACGTCCACGTATCTGAAAACTGGCTGTGCGTTGGTATTGAAGTGCGCATCATCCAATCTCAAACTGGGCGACGATTCCGCGATGGACAATATGATGGCCGACGTGCTGCAATCAAAACTGTCGAGCAGGGCAACCGCAATGCACAGATTCTTTTTCTGGACGGTGGTGTAGACGGTCATGGAGGAGAGGTGATTTCAGGTGTGCCAGATGAGTGTCTTGGGCCTATTCATCCAGAAAAGAAGGAAGCATTCAAGGTCCTCAAGGGTGAATATCGGGATTACACTGGCGTGTTGTTAAGTATTGATATGGAGGAGGGCGTGGTAAGATTAGATGGCCGTAGCGATATTTTGATGATGGATATGTCGTCTCTTGCCAAGATACATGCTTCATCTGAATAACCGATTGCACAATACATGACGCTTTGCAACAAGCATGTCTGATTTTAGTTTATTCGTTTTTACAGCCAGAATCTGTTTAATTTTCCTTTTGGGCCGAATCCAATAAAAATAATGAATCTGCTTATTGATGAATTATAATAGATGGCATGTGTGCTGGTTGTAAGACTGCAGGCTCAACTTGGATACCACCACTGGTTTGAATCAATCTTTGACTAAACCTATCTGACCAGGCCTGACTTCCACTTATATCCCTCTCAACCAAGACTATCAACGAGCAGTCACTATTCAGCAATCTGCTTGATCGTTTAGCAGCATCCATTGCCAATGAGCTTGCATATGTCATCAATCCCTCTGATCCCTGGCATATCGAATCCATACCAACAATAACAATAGATAAATGTGGAGGTTGTTGGGCTGGCTGATCTTGCATGATTGAATGCCAATCTGGCACAGATGCAAGAAGGGACACAAGCTTAGACGGTGTTGGTGTGTATCTAATATAGTCATGCACTTGATCAACAAGTTATTTCCAACTAGGATTGAATATATTCTTTCAGTGTCGTACCGTATATATACATGATGTTCCATGATCACTTGAATAGACTCGAGTGTTTGCGAATTGGAGTTGGCCGGATTTGAACAGGTAAATGGATTCAGTTCATCCATTGATGGCACAGGTATTTGACGGAAAGTGTCTGGAGACTGAGCAATCACTAGTACGGCTGTGGTAGGCTGGCGGCGAAGAATTGTTTGTACTATCTGAACAATCAGTGATGCCAGACTAACGACCAGACATATTCAGCAGACACAATGGTTAATGAATGCATCGAGTGCCAAAGGCTATCTTAAAATGGCTTACCATTGGGGATCAGCAATACGAATCAATGAATAATGATTGGAGTTTGAGCTAGAATGCAACAAGCTAAAAAGGTCTTTATATATCAATGACATGAGTTGAAAGTATTGGTTCAAGTCGATATTTATTGGCTTCATCGCCGTATTCATGTAAAATGGAACACTCGACAAGAGTCTGTCATGGAATGATAATTTACACAAGTTTACAGGACATTGTATTTTGAATCACCTACAACTGGTAATAAATAGTATAAAAACAGATAAATGAGATTGCAACAACCATCGCTCTTGATAACGCTTTGCAAATCTCAGTAGATTGCCGATTTAAATGGCACGATCATCCATTGTGGTTCATGTACCACGGCGACAATCTATAGTCTACAAACTCATTTGTTGTATTTTAATCGGATACATTCGCGTTTTAGTTCAAGAATGAATCTGTTCCTATGCCAACTGCCAGAAGACTAGTCAATTTAAAAGTTCAAAAAAACAATGTTCATTAATTTCGATGAAAATTATCATGCCATGAGACTGGATATTTATTATATACTTTGACGCCCTCAGTGTTCCGTTTTATGTGAATACAACTGTAATGTGGGCAAAACTGCCTGGCCTGAAGATGGCATTAATGTAGAAGGAGTCAAGGATACTCCTCCACTTCCTGTAGTGGTAACGTTACTGCTAGATACGCTTGCTTTTCGATAATCCAAAACCAACGATCTAGCAAGCATCCTTAATGGCTCCATAGCAATCAATCGATGGGGAAAATGTCCCATAAACACTGTAAATGGCTTAACCCATTTCAACAGCTTCTTTGGCCATACTCTTATATCCGAGTTCGGTACTTCAACTAAACTAGCTGGCGCATACTCTTTAAACAGCGATTGAGAAAAAATCATTGTAAATAGTAACGTTGCAAGTGGAAGGTACATCTCTGCCCCTTGGTCTCTCGTTCCGTAATGAATCAGTTCGTCAATCACATACAGGTATAGGAAATGTACCGCGCTGGCCTTTTCAGCCGACTCTTGAGTCAGATTACATCCAGTAAAGTACATGGACGGCATAGCCTCTAGTTCATGCGAGAGGCGAACAATGTGTGATTCGAGATTGAAAAAACTCCTCCGAGATCCAGACGCGAAGTGGAACATTTCTACATTGCCAAAACTAAGCTTAACATGAATACCATACTTTTCCGACGGTCGACGTTTGTTATACAGAATCATATGCTCTAAAACGTATTTCTCCTGTAGATAATGGGTTGATTAGGTTTATAAAATAGGCATTTATGACCCCCTCAAAAAATAATGAAACATGCCAAGTCAGGGTTACCTTTTTAAGTGCATCAGTATTCTTGACCAAAATATCCATGAGAGGCACAATTCGAAGTTTCTGCGACTGCATAGGTCCCAGTGTTAATACTCCGGTAGAGGTCCACAGAGGTCTGAAAGATCCAACAGGCTGAGGACAAATCATTCCTTTGTTGCTGAGCCCGGTGCCTCCAATCAACGACAAAGTAGATCCAACACAACCAAGTTTATCTTCCCCCACTTGAGTATCGTCACTTGTGCTTAATGCATTCACCAACTCTATTGTGAAATACATACCATCGGTCAAGATCTCATACTCGAGAGTATCATGCAACAAATTAGTGACTGAGAATGTATCATCTACAGGAGAAAATTGAATGATATTTGGACTAGTAGAAATATGATGCGATTGTATGGTAGAATCATGCGTCAAATCTGCCCCTACTGCAGCAGTTTTTTTGCTTCGGATCATACCAGAAAACAAAAACACGGACTGGGAAAGCATGATTTGAGGTTGGCACAACATTGCACAAAAAGTAATGGTTTTTTGGTAGTCTTTAACTAATCGGCAATTGATATAAATCTCAACAATCTTTTCCACAGCACCTTGCTCCTCCAATGATTTGGAGGTGTTTTCAATGTTTGTAGAATATGCTTCCTTGTCGCAGGGCATGGACTGGCCGGGCCAAAATCGCACACAGACCCTTGAACAGGATTCAGGCTCTATAGTCAGGCTTCTAAATAGTTTTACACTTGTTGGAGATAGCGAAAACAACATCTCGCTATCATCGTCATAGGTCAGATTGCTCTTGAACAAAAACTCCAATGGAACTGATTCACGGTTACAAATCACCAAACTGTGGGATGAGTACAAACAGCCCAGATAAACAGGTGAAATTTCCAATGATGAGTCGTCCCAGTCCAAGCCTTGTGTAAAAACGTCAAACGCATGATTATTGTTGGGTTCAAGCTGCATTATGCGCGAGTTGGACGAGTTTGAAGCCATACCTGCTACACTCACAGCAGATCTTCGTACGTTTGATTTAGCAACAACTTCAACCGATACTCGAATAATTTTTGTATCGTATCGATTGTCCACATTTTCAACCAGTAAATAAGTGGAAAATACGCCTCTTAGCGAAACCATGATATTCAAAGTGATGGTATGACTGGCTGACAAACTACTTGAAGCTGATGTAGATCTAAAAGCATCCAGAACGCCTTCGCTACAACTACACACCAACCATGAACGATCGTTTTCTGTAATAGATCCAAGTCGATAAAATACTTTGGAGTTGGAAGTGTTTTCAATGACAATTTTTTTGGAAATGGGAGTTTGACCAAGATCTTGTTGACCAAGATCAAGCTCATATAGTCCTTCAAAATCGCCACTAATTGCATCCGCTACTTTCTTACATCCACGAAGAACAATATGACCAGTAGCTCGACGACCAGATGAGTTAACTATCGAATCGACAGTGCTCATGTGACGAGAGGATGTGCTTCCAATATTTGGTCCAAACGATGCGCCTGAGCGAGTATCAGAAAATGGTATGTCATCATCCTCGCTAGCCATATGTGCATACGAACTCACTGTAGTAGAAGTGGATGACATTATACCAGGAGTAACTGCGCGTACACTTGCACCTGAATTCGATCCGCCTGCACCTGTGTAATTCATAGTATTACCAACTCCTCCAGAAGCAAAATTATAATCATCGTCCCAGCGCACAGAAGAATTATTTGTCTCGCCCCGTATATTATCAATAGCCGTTCTGTCGGGTGATATAAACGGTTCAAACAGACCCGCAGGTGGATGCGACACGTTATTATTGTCTTCAGAGACTTTCAACGCACCAAACGTATCCTCCACAATCGATATGAAAATGGTTTGTACCTGTTTACTCAAAGAATTGATATCCAGCACGTGTAGCTTAACATCTTCCGACACGCCACCAATTTTTGGATCGAGTAATTCAATCCGTAATACAAATGTTCCACCAGGCTCAACACGACCACACATGGCACTGTCAAGCGGATGCACCTTGATTTTATCCGTAGTTGAAGCAAGTTCAATTGGAGTTTCAATCACGATTTTGAACTCAAGATTAAAGTCGCTGGATACGTTGGTAATGACTACATCCTTGTGCTGGACTCGAAGTGGACTGGGTGTATGCATCATTTTCGCTTCAGACAATTCTTCTCCGTTTTCTAATTCGCTGTCCGATGGCATGACACATTGAAATTCAATTCTGCGATGAGAAAGAATAAATGTAGAGCCTTCAATAATTGTACCACGAATTGGAATTGTCTCTGTCATTCGAATATTTGCAGATGCTGGTGTTACTGCTAAAGACGTAGGCGAAACAATAGATACATCAGCATCAAGTGGTTGAGCTGTAGAATTGGATACTTGATTTTTGGATGTAATCCAAAGTGTTCCCAAAGTGATGCCATCAACATTTGTCAAATACTTGGACGTGCTTTCATTGGCGGTCAGTTTTGATTTGGGCAATGCAGAAGCTCGAACTTTAATTTCAGTCGTTCCTCTGGGTGCAAGACTTAAACTGCCGACTAGTGGAGAGTTTGAAAAACGCGACAGGATTGCAATTTCCACCAGATCGGCAACATCAGGTGCCAGTGTGCAACCGACTTCAAACTTCACATCTTCGTCAGTGATATTAATAATGGTAAACCAGTTGTCACATGGAAGAGCATTGGGTGGTGTCGGATGAATCAGTGTTGGAAGATCAAGCTGTCCAGCAACAAGTCGATCGAATCGCAGCTCAAACTGGGTCAAAAATGCAGAAACATTGCAGATAGAAACATTTCGAGGATTATACACGTTAATGATGTTGATAGGAAAATTGCGTAAGCCAGGTGTGGGCGGGTCGATGTTTCGTGGTTTGAGCACTGCATCCACGGTATGGCTCATCCCAGGATCAATACGACGCTTAAACACACCCAAGTCAGTTTCATTCGATATGGAAATGATATCAATCACATCCGGTATCTCCAGCTCATACTGCATTGGACAGTGAGACGTATTGCCAATAGTGAATGAAAACGGCATTTCTTTCCACATGTTGAAATGTCCAACTTTACCCAAATCTATTGACACGGGTGCAACTTCTCCAGTCGAAATACAGTATTCTGCAGAAAGTTCTACAATTTTCATTGTAGAACCACGATCCACGTTTTGTAACAGCAACACGCCATCCTGTACAACTTTATGGCCGGCCATAATAGCATTCCAAAAATCACCTTCATAAACCAGCTTTGGCCGTGGAGCGGACATAACCAGCGTCGCCTTTTCTCCAGGATGAAGCAACAGCGTTGCGCCGCATACAGCCATACTAAGCCTCTCAGCTATGACTCTCATTGTAGTCGATTCACAGTCGGACTCAATTTCAAAGGTGGTTGGACCTTCAACAACAAAACCACATCCATTGGGTACAACCCACCTCACATTGATATCCATACTGCTTATGGGCTGGATCTGAAGTAATTCGCGCGACAGGTTCTCTACTTCAAAGCTGCGCTCATATAATGGTACCGAATCTATACGATACTTGTTTTGCAAAACCAGCGAGTTGGCAAAGTTCTTATTTGGATCTGTCACTGCACCACCTGATATCACATAAATATTGTCCCATTTTACTGCTGGGCGAGACTCAGTCTTGAGCTGTGCTTCTGAAGTGAAACCCAAATCTTTCGCGCCTAAAGGTGGAAGCCAAATAACACCAGACAATGATAGCAGAATGGGATCCACAAATAGTCGAATCTCTACGCGTGTCTGTTGCATCGAATTGTTGATGTTGATCACATCAATAGCCTCATGAATAAATCCGGGCTCGGTAGTAGAAAGTGTGAAATCAATACGATCGCATTGTGGAACATTTAGAGTGGTTGAATTTAAAGGTGCTTGCAGTACCGGGCTTAGCATTTCTCCAGTAAGCAAAGACGGATCACTGGAAGGTGAAAGCGCAAGAGAATCAAAAGGTTTAGACAGTGATGCGACTGGTGTTGTGAGTTCTGGGGACATTGCTGCTTGTGATACATATGATACACCGTCAATATACCCTCGTACTTTAGACAATCCAAGATTCAAACTAGTTGTCTGTAACTCATACTCTAACGGAAGTCGTGGCGACAGATTGTAAATCCAAAAACTTCCAGTATGCTGAACACCAGCAGTGGTTGATACGCCAAAATTAACAAGGTTGTGTGATACCATCAACAGTGACTGTCCAATAGTAGCAGTGAATTTAAGTGTCTGTGTAGTAAGTGTCATGACCCCATTTGCAGTAGGAATGCTTTTTGTAGCCAACAAAGTGTATTTGTTAACCATAGTATCACGGATCTGTACAACAAATTTGATACCGCCAATTAGGGTACGGCAGTCGATTTGACTAGAAATGCGCGAAGCCATTTCGCGAAATAATCCTGTAGGACTCGACGAAGCTGACCGTTCTGGTGTTTTTGTCTGTTGTTGGTTAGTAGAAGACCCACCACTTAAATTTGGTTGAAGGGCAATATACAAGGTGCGTATCTTTTTCGGTTCCATTAGAATATCGACAGCAGGACGACTCAATGCCTCGTCACTAAATATAAAGCATTGCTGTGCCAGATTCGAGCTTGCAGAAATATTTAAATCATGATCTGCAATGTTTTCAATCTCTAAAGGTTGAATAGTGGCGTACTTGCGTGTTGGATCTACATAGCAATTTCCAAAATCCAGCTCCGTTGCTGTCACAGATGTATTTACACTTGAGCAGCCAAAGGTATGAAACCGAAGGTAGCTTGATTGAATTCCGTAGTAAACAAAAACAACAACCAATTTCTGGTCAGTGACAGAGTCTTTGACGGCCATTGTGTTGACAAAAAATCCTCGATTGGTAGGGATAATGGTGAGATCAAACCGACCAGTTTCTAATGGCTTCAACACTTGCTCGGCTGTTTGAAATCGCAAGTCAGACGATCCGTCCGGCCCTTCAGTAAAACTGAATCGGACCTCTGTGTCTGCAGTATTCGTTAGAGTAGCATATACGTCTTTGCGTTCTCCTATCTCAAGTTTACCCAGGTCCACAAAAGGAGCCTCAACCAAAATCGATATCGGCAATTGAACTGGCCGTGTTTTTTGAATGTCTTGCTCTAAACAAGGTTGAGAAGTAAATACGCTTGTAGACTGTAAATCAGATGTATTGCAAGAACCCAAAGTAGTATTACACAAGGCGTTGGCAGTTTCGGATGGCAAAGTACTATCAATTTGTGGAATGATACTAGAATCAGTAGCCGTAGACACATCTCCTGTTTCAGACAAGGTAGCGATAGGGCTTTCAAAGTCAACTAAAGGATTTTCAATAGCAGGTTCTTGACGCTCGCGACTGCTTAAGACACGAGAGAAATTTGGAGATAATTCAGATAAAACATTGGGTGGGACAGTAGTCAGTGCAGTCAATGGGCTGGTTGTTTGTCGAAAAGCTGTGACAGTTGGAGGATCATTTTCACCAAGATCTGACAATACTGATACGGGAACAAGTTTTTGGTCGGCTAATCCAGCCTCACTTATTTTCAAGTTATTCTCCTCCTCGATTTTTTGCTGATAAGTTGCTAAATCAAAGCATACTGTAGTTTTACAAAGTATACGCTTGACAATATCTGTGTTTTTTTGCTCATGGACATAGATGCGCGCTGTGCATATTTCACTAAATGTATCTGGCGCTACTGCATCCACCGTCAAGGGCGACGATTCTTGATACGAGGCCGCACTGGTCGAAACTAACATATCAACGTCACTATCTGCAAAAGACGCCATTGACAAAGTACGACATTTGGACTCGGCAGGAGATTCAGGTTGGATCAGTGGACTAGTAAGCATTTTTAACAAAGGAACCGCTTGACTGGCTACGTTTTTCTTGATAGATGGTGATTTTTCCACTGCTTTCAGCAACACACGTACAGATTTGATGCAGCGAGGTTCAATTGTAAAGATGATCGAGTATTTGCTTTTTTTGACCTTGAATGTCGGAACAGTATGCAAGGCTCCTTCTACTGTTAATCCTGTTGGTGTAGCATTGGCTGTGGTAGACTTTATTGTATTGGCCAATGCGGGTATTATAATATTTGTAGGCTGTGGAGATGAAGTAGAATTTGATTTCAAAGGAGTCGGAGCAGGTTTTAAACCTGTTACGCTAATAATCGAATCTGCGGATGATCTCGGAGCACTATCAATTTTCAAATCCGTGGATCCAGCAAGAGTAACAGACGGAGAACTATCAACAGATGCTTTTATGCATTATTCATCAAATATACAAGATTTAGCATTACTCATCAAACTATTTTAAATAAACATTCGGCAAAACCAAAATATACCTGCAGCAATAGCTTCTTTTTTGAGTTTCTTATCATCTTTATCCGTAGCATACTCATCCAAAATCTCCCCAGCTCGCAATTTGTCCAATTTTTCCGTAATTTTTAAAATTTTGTCTTTGCGTCCTTTTCGTTTAGCAATCTTGAGTTTTTGTTCGGCCTGCTCAATTAATTCCTCGATTTCACTAGATAGAATCTTTACGGGACGCTTTTTCAGTTTTTGGTGCATATGAAATCCAGCTGTACTATCTTTATAGCCACTGTTTGCATCATTGTCGTCATCGTCAATTAGCTCAAATTCAATCTCAACACAGCATCGTTCAAATACAAGCTCCTTAGAATCCACTCGAATCTCAAACGTACGAACATGTGTCTGACTAGTGTTGGAGACGGTAAATTCTTGTGCGTGGACGTGTTGATCATTGATCATACACACTCCAAAATTCAACAGTAATTTTTCAATGGCAAAATTTTCTGGCTGACGGATATTTGCTTTAAGAATCATAGTTTGATCATTTTCACGATCGTGAATATTCTCTACAATAAGCTTTTCTTGGAAAATACCTGCCAAAGAGGGATCAAAAATAAACTCGACTTCGCGTTTACCATATCCTCTCACTAGACCCGTACGGTAGTTATCTAAAAGTATATCGCCAGACGCAATAGACCCAGACTTACGAATAGTGTAAAGAAGTGGAGCCTCGGAGTTGTTGCGAATAACGATACTTTTGTTACGTCGCTCGTTCTTGTCAAGCAATCCAAAATTAATGTTTTTTTGTCCAAGCTCCATGATGGATCTGTATAGCAATGTGCGCAGCATAAGTTCTTGAACAGGAATAGCATCTAAAGGACCATGAAGCAATTGTTCAAACTGTGGTTGTTTGATATCGCGATCAAATTCCTTTAGACTTAAAAACAAGCGAGCATCATGTTTTCGTGGCTTTCCCTACCAATGTAATGTGTCAAAACACAGTATATTAGCAAATAAAACCCAAATACCCAATACCAAGCATGGCAACAAGAAATAAACTCACTTGAACATGAGGTCGAGTATTTCCCAAAGCTGTCAAAACCAATACAATCGTAGCACTAGACTCGGGTTGGATATTTACAACTGAGGTAGCAACCAGTCTTTCTTCTTGAATTGCATTTTCCAGCTCGCGCCTTAACATCAACTGCGATCTTGCATATTTTTCCTCCAAAGATGCACGAGGAAAAGGTGGAGGTGGTACCCCCGTGCCTTTATCCAAAAGCAGTAGCAATACGTCTAAAGTAACTTTTGTTCCATCAAGTAAATCTGTAAACTGCATCGCCAATACATCATCTAAAAGAAACGATGGATCATCCGCCATTGAATCCGCCATCGAGCTACCAATAGGTACTTCAGACGAATCGGCAGCCACTGCTAATCGGCTATTTTTATGGATTCCTCCTGATGTATTTACAGACGGCGTGAATACATCATCGCCTGCCGACGCCATATGTACAAGCATTCGATTCAGAGGTGGACGTAAGTTTGACTCTTCCTCATGAAACAATGATTTTCTCTCTCGACTGTAATGCTGACGAAGAAGCTTAAGCTGTGCAGTCTGAGTAATTTGCGGTGGTCGGCGCTTAGGAGAGCGTCGTCCTGGACCATCCATCAACGAGGCAAGATCCAAATAGTCGGGAGTTTGCTTATCATCAGGGCATGTCAATGAAGATTGAGCATCGCCTGCTCCACGACTAGATTTTGTGATATTAGCAAGTCCTAAACTGGAGCTGGTAATATTACCTGCATTTGAACTGCCAGAAAGTGCATCAGATGCAGGTCGCTTAAATTTGCGAGCATCGTGTAGAGTTTCCAGTAATTTTTCACGTCGCTCCAAAGCACTACTCGCACTTGAGATTGAATCAAACTTTCCAACCGACTCGACTGACTTGGTAAATATTCGAATATCATCCGGCATTGACGAAGTGATTTGCAATGATAATACCTTTTTGGATATATTCTCAATGGTAAACGTCCGCACCACAGGTGAATTTAAAACTACCGCTCCAAAATCGACAAAATTAGTTGAAGTAGGTGTTAAGATATGATAAAACAGCGAATGAAAAGTCACACGATGCTTATCAATATTCGTTGAACGAACATCCACAATATGGTCATTTTCGCGATTGAGAAGGTTAACAACTGTGATTTGTTTACAGTAATCCGGGTTGATTTTGCGTGGGTATATATCAATTTTCACCTCGATGTGTTGGCGAGCATGGATTGTCATTTCACCGCGAAATGAATTCAAGACTTTGGATACAAACCGAAGTTCTACTCGTGCTGGGAGCTCAGAGCAATTTGTAATTTGAATTGGTAGAGATTTAAAGGTATTGACATCGGTATCACCAAAATTAAGTAGCTGTGGAGTCACTTCGATAAACGAAGTGCAAGTGCGTGCTACAGCTTGAATGGTTTTTTTTTCACGAGTTTGTTGGCTGGGATGTGCATACATGAGAGTAATTCGAAAATTGCGTTTTATAAGCTTTCCTGCTCGATAGTCTGGAGTGGCAGCATCGAGTGCAGGCTTATAGCATATTTCAATTGTTCGCTCAGTACCAGAACGCAATTGCACTTCATCAATACGAATCACATCCTCGGTAGTGACGCCAAGAGCATCAATTTGTGGTAGATCCAGAATACAAAGGTTATTTACTTCGTCATTTTTCTCAAAGCTGCTGTTACTAGACGATGTACGTGCCAGGCCAATTGGTTCAGTTAAAAGGCTGCCTCCTCCACTTCCAGCCGCATTTGTACTTCCTAGTGAAGCCCCACTAGCTGCACCGGACATATTAAGTGTAGTGCTATTATTTCGTTTGGGAGGTAGCAAGGGAGATGATGCATGTGAGCTTGTCGAGCTCTGAGTAGGTGACAAGTCACTGTTTGTACCAGATATGACTGCAGAAATGTCCTGCATACGCTCAACTCTAGGTCGCTCAATACAAGGAGAAGCACCATCTATTTGACTAAAGCCCTGTGCTGCGGTGGTGTATTGAATAGATCCTACTCCTGTAGATGGATTGGCAGATTTTTGTCGGTGGTGGTTAAGATGGTGGTGATGGCCAGTGTAATTATGCTGCTGTGGAGAGCTCTGTATATTATCAACAATCGGATCGTCGCTTTTAAGCTGAAACACTACTCCAGGATTATCGCTTTCAAAAGATATATCTAGAGTGGAATTCGACATGTTCTTGAGAGTAATGCGACGCTTCCTCCATAACCCGGCACAGCAGTCACCAAAATCAATCATACTTCCGGTACTTACAAAAAGTGCTTCTTCACGCAACACATCGTGCACAATGGCGTGAATACGAGTCTCAATCATATTTTCAGAGTCGTTTTGGTTTTCAATCTGCAAATCGTAATTGAACTCTCCCGTCTCATGAGGCTTGAATGTCACACGAATGCGTTGATGAGAATATGCTGGAACAGATGCATTTTCTACTGGATCGCCAGTATTGTAGTCTGTAAATCTGAGCCAATTCTTGCCATTCCTGTTGGACAAATCGACGGTATTTAAACACCAAAAAAGATCAATTTCAGACCGATTCCAAACTGTAAAATCCTTAAAATAACTTCCTCCGACAATACAGTTATCAAAAATAAGACCAGTGCTACTAATATCTGTCCAGAGTAAAGAGCGACAGACACGAGACCGTAGTTTGATGGTCAACTAAAGATATAGAGAAAACAAATATTCATGAATATAATTTAACACTAGCCATAAACGATAAAATCTATCCAAAATTACCTGAAAATCGGGAACATTGGAGGATGAATCACCGCCTGTAGCTGAAAGAATATTGGGGTTGTCTAATCCCTCATCTGGAGATATTTCTGTAGAAGATTCTTTATCTAACGTGCCTTTAGATTGACCGATAGTATCTATAGAGCGTGTTTTAGCATCAGAAACAGTAACAGGCTTCTGCACTAGTGAATCCAGCTGCTGATTGGTACTAGACTGAACAGATTTGAGTTTCCGGTTTACAGTTAAATTATTTTGATAGGTCTGTCCATTCACATTATCCATTGTAGAAATAGAGGTGTTTGTTGGCGGATTTACAGTATTTCCGACATTTTTACTGTCAGCTCGATAGGCGAAAAAGAAAATAAGCCCATTGACTTCAAAAAAATCAAAGGTCTCTTCTTCTTCTCCTTGAGATACAAACAATGAATCCATCATTTGACTAGAATTTAAACGATTTCCTGTAATTGACTTGAGTCTACTATTCGCTGGTGCCTGTGCAGTCAAAACACTCTCGCGACTATCCTTTATCTCGGGAAGAAATGCAATGATGATTTTTTGCAACTGGCCAGGTTCTATCAACACCTCGTCGATATGATTGACATAATTAAACAACTGATTAAACTGGTGTCCGTGACCATATTCAGAAGCATGGCCAAATCCAGAAAGACTCATAGCAGCAGCCTCGACCGTGTTGCTGGTAAAAGATTGAAGAGGATGATTTTGAGATAGCGATGTTTCAATATATTCAGAGGAAGCAGAAAACGACGATCTCTGAGTAGATAGCATGGGTGAATCTGACGAATCATTGGTATAGGATAAAGAGTCCATCGAAATCAGTAATGGAAAATTATGCCCTGTATTTAGATGAGATGGTTCATAGATGTCTTTAGTATGCGCAGGATTTTGACCTAAAGAAGTGCTGCTGGGTCTACCAGAACGAATAGGTGAGCTTGTTTGATGAATACCTGAATCGTGTAGCAATGATTCAGGTCCTGGAGAAATGGCCGAGGCTACAGAAACGGATGCCAATGCCGAAATTCCACTTGTGTTGTTTTGAATTGATCGAGATGGGCGACTTTCACGATCTAAAAGGTTTTCGTTAGTCAGCTGAAAGGCTATTTGAGAACCCAAATTTGATCGCATTTTAACAATAACTGGAGTGGATGATATGTTGCGAATCTCAAGACGACGCAGAGCATGCAAGCTATTAAGGTATACATTATCGAGCACTAATTTATTTCCAATGCCAACGACTTCGATCAATGGCTGTTTGATAGCACCTGCTGATGTGACGGTAGATACTACTTGTGGAGAAGAAAATGGCGGCTGCATTTCAAGAGCATAAAGACTTGAGTTTCAAAGTAATAAACGAGTCTTTTTGTGAGGTAATGGTGTGAATACTATTGCAGGAGCAGTTTGAATACAATTGAATCTGAATTAGAACAACTCAAGCCAATGTGGATAATAAATACTGTCTAGTAATAAACTGAAAGTATAAACAGGTCTTTACAGTAGCTGGCTCCACTCTTTCCGTCCCTGCGTCTTGATGACTGCCGATACCAACAGATTCGCTCAAATTTCAATGTTCGTCCAAGTTGGAGTTTGTCAAATGAAATTTACAACACGTGATACACAGTGGAATTTGTTGTCTTCAAATTTGGTTTATTTTACTGCCAACAGCTTATTCACATCGACTCCTTTTGCCGAAGATAGTGAAATAGAGCCTCTCGAACTGCGTCGTTTTGATAAAACTCACTCCTTCGAATCTCATCCTCATTGATCCTAGTATCTCCAAGAACCAGCTCCAAATCTCTGCTTTGGCTCGCTACCCATTGATTAATCAGCCCAACTGGATCCTTGGCAAACCAAAGCATGAAATCACGTCGCACCTTGATAAGATTAATCGACTGCACTGCTGCAGAAATTTTGTCATCCAAAAAGCAGATATCTTGGGTTAGGAAGGCATTGGGTGCTGCTGCCGACTTGTATCTGTCACGAATGGGATCTTCAATCTCGATTTCAATGTCAAATGCTTGTGGGTGTACATGGTACTCCTTGTCAATACTATATATTCATACAGTTTGTCCATTTAGCCAAACAAGCCATTGCCATATCGTAAAAAATCTGAGCTATCATGCTCTTGTTTTTCGCATCAAATATTATATTCATCTTACCAAACAATACCCTCGACCACTGCCGGACCACATGGGAGCAAATGCGGTTTTAGCAATAATGGCAATTGCGGAAACATGATTTTAGACTCGTTGAAAATCTTCATTGTATATGTTGAAATAATCCACGGTACATGTTAAACTCCTTGTCAAAAACTGTACAATACAATAGGTATTAAACTTGCCTGCTTCATCAATTCATCACAATGAACAAATCTACGGTCCTCTACCTCTTGAAGGCGATGCAGCTAAGTTTAACCAGAGAGAAATTCATATCAGACAAGAGCTGACCACTCAACCAGAAATCACCTTACCCTTTAATCAATATCTAAATTAAGCATCATGAATTCAATTCAATTTTATACAACTAACCTTGACATACTGCCAAAAAGCAGTAATCACATTTGCAAGTGTGTCTGTGTGTACATCCAACATCCTGGACAACAAAGGAGACAACCGATACTTTTCAATATGATCTTCTACAAACAACATGATACGCACTGGAAAGTTTGTGTTTGCCTCTCCTTTGATTTCAAATCCATCCACTTCCTGTAAACCAACGGTTTTATTCCACTATAATATAATGATTGTAAATATTTAACGGCGCAATCATGGAAACACCAGTAATAGTAAATGTGCATTTTCAAATCATACCTCTATCACATTATCTGTTGGATACACAAGTGGATCGCGCTGTAGCTCAACAACAACTTTTTTAATCAATGCAGAAAATTTGGGAAGATAGGCAGGTTGTCTGCGAGTATTTGGAGCCTAAAGCATGGTAAAATATCAGCCATAAACAAACAAAAAACAATCAATAAGATGTCACTTACATCAATCAAACGACCCTCCACTTTGAGTGTCCAGTCAGCCAAAGTGACACCTGTTTCCATACCATCAGTAGAGGCATCGGCTGACTGATGTGAAGTAGCGAGATTCGATAAAAAAACGCGCAAAACTCGAGAGATTCTCTAAAAAGTAATACCATTGATTAAAAGTTATAAAGTAGACCTTGTTAAAAGTAAAAACATACCTTTGAAGGCTTGACTAGAATGTCTTGAATGTCGAGCGTTTTTCTAGTAATGGTTGCATCAAGCCGCTTTTCAAACTCCTGCATTTGGCTATATAGCCGAGCTTCTGGAACATACGTCTCCATCTGAATTAAAATATTATAAAGCCCGGTTTAGTAACAAAACTAGTCATCATAATCATAAAAAAATAGTTCAAATAAATTCCAGTAATACCTTTTTCGGAAGTGATTTATCAGTAGGTCGCTTCCGTCTATTTGTTATCAAACAATAGTGATAAGCGTCAAAGATACAGTTGTTTAGTATTATAATGATCCATTCTAACCATAACACTCATGACTAGTATATTCTATTTAAAAATATGCAGCTCTTCAAAACTGTAAACAGCTTACCGTTTCTGCTCACCGTCAGCAGAACTGAGTCGTTTTGGCATTTGTAAACCAGAATTAGCAGCTCCAGCTGAAGTGTTTATTGCAGCAGCTCCTGCATCATGTACTCCAGCAATATTATTTGAGCCAGGAGTGGAATGCGTAGCTGCATGAACAGGTGTGGCAGCATAACCAGAAACAGGATTTGAAGTAAGTGGTGTAGCAGCCATAGGTGGTGCTAGAGCGGAAGGAACTTGCGCAGATCCTAAGTTTGTAGAAGCAACTGGAGCTCCATGTGGCATCATACCTGAAATAGGCGTGGCTTGCATCGGTAATTGAGTGCCAGCTGAAAATGGAATCTGTATGTTTAAAGCTGCGTGAGGTGTGGGTTGAGCTTGACCTGGATCAACAGCAGAAGATGTAATAGAAGTATTTATCATATTGGATGAGCCAGCTGGGACTGCCATAGATGCCTGAGCAAGTGCAGAAATGGGTACTGCAGATTGGGCTGGAACAGATCCTGCTTGAACAGCAGACGCATTAGTAATGGACAATCTTTGCTGAATGTTCTAAAATTAAAACCATAAACTCTAAATCAGTATCATGCACATTACATTTTAAAAAGTAGTAGACTTTCAAAGTCCATATATCAGTCAAACGACACCAAAAAAACAGTTACGACCGTGATCATGTCAAATGGAACATTAGATAAAAACTCGGCAAATGTTCACATTACAGTTTCAGTAAATCCAAGACTTGCTCAATCCCAACCCTCTTTTATCCAAACCAAGCATTATGCCATTGGGTGATCGGTATGAAAACAATAGTTGCATTCCAGAAATTGCAGTTTTTGTTCTATTGAACTAGATCGCAAACGTATGTGATCTCATGATACAACAAAAATGAATTTGAAAGCAGTTGAACCCAACATCCGGATTACAATGAATTTGGTGATCGTACAATATACGACTACCAAAAGAGGACAATCTGAGTTCAAAACTACAGTTTGATCGTATCCTATGATGGATGTTGTCTATTAATGTCGATGTGTAGTGGGAAAGAGCAAATATCTAACCATTGTCTATTCCGAAACAAAATAGCGACTGCAAGATAAATACAAACGTTCCATTTTACATAAATGTAATTAAATTAGACAATATAACTTACAGGAGCAGCAACAGAAGTGGATGTAGCAGGAATCTGCATACCATTAGGCATCTGCATGTACATTTGAGGTTGCATTTGCATAGGCATTTGCATAGGAACTTGTCGACCTAAAGGCATCTGCATACCAGGCTGCATTTGCATGGGCATCTGCATACCATTGGGCATCTGCATGCCATTAGGCATCTGCATACCATTAGGCATCTGCATGTACATTTGAGGTTGCATCTGCATAGGCATTTGCATCTGCAGAGAAGGGTCTACCATATTAGACTGCTGACGCACGGCATTTGGGTTAGAATTTGCTGCCTGCTGTCTTTGCTGACGTAGCAACATCTGTTGTTGCATCTGCATCTGCAGTTGCTGTTGCTGTTGTTGCGACATTTTCTCGGGATTGAACTCGACTTTGGCGGTCAAAAGTGAACTATACAGTCACGTGATATCATGTTGATTTCGGCAAGATCGCAAACTATTCAAAGCAACAATCGTATTCAGCAACACAATGAACTTTCTATCGCATTTAGACAGCTCACAGATATTCAGTACAGAAGATGCCTACAAACCGTTTTTATTCGAATTGATTTCTCAAGACAAAATGCGTGAGCTGCTTCAGCCTGCATTCAAGTACATTCTCACTGTTGCTGCTCAAAGCTATCCAAGATGGCTGCTCCTTGCATATCGTCACGATAAACTGATATATGCGCTAATCATGGCCATCATAGATTATCATAGACTTTGCAGATGGGGTAAAGTACCCTTTTACAAATTAGAACCTTGAATGCATTCTTAGTTAATCTGCTCGTTTATTCCAAACATCAACTTTAGGTGGATCTTTTACTGAAACCTTTTATGGCCTTTGTCGATCCGGAGTTAAAGATTCATCATCCACCACCACATCTCTCTCACCATCTCAGATTCGGAAATCTCTTGCAGCACTGGTAGGTTGGTGGATTTTTTGATTTGTGTGTAGAATGAATGGTAATGTTATTCATATGCTGCCAGATTCTTGTTCCGTTGGTTAAATCCAAGTTGGACGAGATTCACGAAAGACTTGCACAGAGACGGACCTCGGAACGATTTGTGGGGTTTGTCCCAGAATCAGATTCTGAAACTCAAAGTCCTAGCACCAATCTATTTAACAGTGTAAGTCTATTATTTTAGGTCCTATTTAAAGCAACAAAACTTTTAAATCAAGCAGTTTTAATCGGGAATGTTTGGGAATGCATGTTGATGTTTGGCTTTGTATGAATCTAGTCATCAAATCTGGAAAAACTTGGGAAAATAGCCGTCAAGGTTTTTAAAGCAGGCTATCCATATACAAATGCCGCATATTCGGCCATTATTCTTGGATTTCAGATTGCGTACATGTATGGCAAAACTCCATACTATAGTCCTTGGCTTTATTTGTGTGGTTTGAAACTAAAGCGATTGAGTGTATCAGACTATGTGAGTATACTATATATTTTTATTTGCATCCATCACACATATTCAATTCATGTACTGTTTACATGTTTAGCAAGAATACGATCGCAAAGCAAGACAGACAAGAGGACAGGCTTTAGATGTAATATCCAACTCTCGTGGCATGCAATTCGTTGCTCGTGTACTGCAATTTGTAGCGGGTGAGCTTGTTGGGGTGATTCAATATGCGATTCCAATGGGAATACTTCTTTTCAAGTTTTTGGAATGGTGGTATGCATCTGATCATCATAAATCTGCCAACATGCTGCCAATTCCACCACCTCCAGATCCCATTCCTGTAAGTTGATTTCATGGGATAAAGACTCGAATATACCAAATCTATATAACTACTAAACTTGAATTGACTATAGCCACACATTGATGGAACCAAGCTTCCAAAAGATGCTCATATATGTCCATTGTGCAGTAAACCACGTACAAACTCGGCAATGCTCTCCACAGGATATGCGTTTTGTTATCCCTGCATCTTCAACTATGTGTCCGAGTATGGGAAATGTCCAATCACATTTATTCCATTACGCATTGATAATTTACGCAAGATTTATCACACATAAAATAAATGCTATTAGAAAGCGATAGCTGAATCTGGCTGATATAAAATGTAAAACTCGAAAGCTGGACCAAGTTTTTCATCTTACCACCAACTTTACGAGGGTTGTAGACTGCTAGCGTCCTCCCTTCTGTCAATACTATTTGAATATGGCTTCTCCTGATGTTCATGGGTTTCTGGTTGGTGTTCCTATTACCTGCCATGCCTTTAACGCTGACCGCACTCGTAAGAATTACAATATTACTCTTGTGATGAAAGTTGCATCTGGCAGAAATATCTATTACCAGACACTGCACTTGAGATAAACATGCTGTTGGAATGCATTAATAGATAAAATGCTGCTGTAATGTACTATGAACAAAGCTAATCTTGCCATCATCCTCGTTATTGTGTGATCCAGAGGTTGCTGTGAGTCCCAACAACAACATTGTCAACATCTACCACAAGACTGGAACTGGCTGGACTCTTGCTCATGTGCTGACTGATGTACGTTACTTTTAGTTTGAAGCTTACGCTGAATAACATTCATCTAGTGTCTTGTCAGATCTAGATTCAAGTATGGGATGGTCTTGAATTTTAGCTACCGTTCTAACTATTAAACAACCATGAATATTTAGCATGATAAACTGGTTACATGTGTCGACTGGTCTCAGAAAACCAACAGGATTGTGACCTGCTCTCAGGACCGAAATGCCTATGTTTGGACATGGGAAGCATCTGTTCAACAGTGGAAACCCACCCTTGTTTTGCTCCGTATTAACAGAGCAGCAACGTTTGTTCGTTGGAGTCCGCTGGATAATAAGTTTGCTGTTGCTTCTGGTGCTCGTCTAATCTCCATCTGCTATTTTGAGAGCGAAAACAACTGGTGGGTTTCCAAGCATATCAAAAAACCAATTCGCTCGACTGTTTTGTCTCTGGATTGGCATCCTGACAATATTCTCATTGTTGCCGGATCTGCTGATATGAAGGTGTGTCTTGCAATGCGATCATGTTTTGGTTTATGGCATTGATGCTAATTACCTTTTGGTTGCAATCAACAGGCTCGCGTGTTTTCTGCCTGGATCAAGGGCATTGACGCAAAGTAAGTTCAACCGAGCCAAGACTTTGTCAAGACTAATGTATTGCAGTCGATGCTTTGTGAAGTGATCTAACTTTTAAAATGTAATGCTAGAGCTTCCAATGCAGTATGGGGTGAAAAACTTCCATTTGGTACAATCTGTGGCGAGTTTCCTGCTGGTGGATGGGTCCATGGTGTTGCCTTTTCACCAAGCGGAAATGCCATTGCCTATACCAGCCATGATTCGACTATTACTATTGCCAATGGTCCAACGGCTCCGCTTCAAACAGTCGTTACCATGAATCTGCCATTTGTAACGCTTTTTTTTGCTTCAGAGCATGTAATTGTGGCTGCCGGTCACGATTGTGCACCTTATCTGGTTGTGTTTAAAGGCACACATTGGGAACTTTCTGAAAAGATTGACGCTGGACGCAAAAAGAGCGTATCTGGTAATTCTGCATTCAACAAGTTCCGTCAAATGGACAGTCGCGCTCAAGCCACTACAGACACAGAACTGATGACGACTCATCAAAATACAATTACTTCTGTTCGTCCTTATTCCGGTACCGAGCAAAATGTCAGCAAGTTTACTTCTACTGGTGTAGATGGAAAACTTGTCATTTGGGATCTTTTATCTGCTGGTATTGCTGGCTTACGTCTGTGAGGACTGCCTGAATACTCGGCTTATTCTTTTCAGATGGTATTAAAGATTCAAGAATAAACAATGGACTCGACTTTGCAAAGTGTTGAGAAACCCAAGTAAACGGTGTGCGTTTTGAAAAGGATTCAGTTTTTTAAATATGATCATTGACTATGTGATCATGACAAGCTATTTACATTTGAATAATTCATTGATTCAACATGGTTGAATTTCAATAGCAAAATCAAGATGATCTGATTGAATGCATTTTTGACTATTTATACATCAATGAGTACCACAACCAGCAATGATGATTCTACTGCTAATGCAGGAACTCCATCAACACATGAAATTCCTGCTACAACACCATCCCTTCCGTCAGTTTCTAGAGAAGATCTTATTGCCAGTGCAGTCAAATTCCTACGAGACCCAAAAGTTCAATCGGCTCCATTAGCCAAACGGATTGCCTTTCTTGAGACCAAAGGCTTGACTTCAGGAGAGATTGAAACTGCTCTTTTTAGAGCTACATCGACTACTGCTGGTGCGAATGGTCCCAGTCTTCCTCCAAAGGATTTGGCTGTTCAGAGTGCTGATGGACACTCTTCCAACAATGACTATTACGCACAGGTTGTTCAGCAGCAACAAATGATGCTGCTTCAACAGCAACACCAAATGGGATTGCAGCGGTTGCAGCAGCAATGGACCTGGAAGGACTATGCGCTTGGAGGGATTGGTGTTGCTGGATTGGTCTATGGAGTATTTCTTCTCTCCGAGGTGCATTCATATCTTGTCATCTTGGTTTACCTTGTATCCTATACTGACATGATGTTTTGGATCTATGGGCTTTATAAAATATAATTACAGAAATATATCAAACCTCTGATAAACTTTCCTACAGCATCATCGATCAAAACCGATACGGACAAGATTGAAGCTCAGCTTGAGACTACATCCAAGTCCGTAGATCTGGTTCGGGTTCAAACATTGGATGTAATCAAAGCTATTGAATCCAATGCAGATGATCTACAAAAAAGCTTGGTTGGCATGGCCGAGGTGATCAAGGGTTTAGAAGAAGCAGACGAGAAGCGTGGTAGTCAGATTGAGCAGATTGATCAAGAGATTGGCACTTTAAAAGCCATGATTTTCAAGGTAATACTACTTGCGTATATGCTGATATTACAAATGATATCTTATGGATCGTGACTTTAATCGTACGGATTTGGATAGATGACGGAGAGAACCAAAGACCAGCAAGATGAAATGCTGACAGATTTGCAAAACGAACTCAAAAGCCTCAAGAGCTTATTGCTTAATCGTCGTATTGCATCTAATTCTGGGGGTTCTACTCAAATAAACGGATCAGGAGTAGAATTAGCAGGCACTGGTTCAGGTGGTTTAGTCGGGCAAGTTACTGCTCAATGTATTCAGGAAGGCTCAATGGCTGCTATCGAAACTATTCCCGATGTTACAAACGAATCTGGATTTGTTAAAAATTTACTATCAAGTAATACCAAACCTGCAATTCCTGCTTGGCAGATTGAAGCTGCTCGTGCTGCCAAAGAAAAGCGATCCGTTGCCTCCAATTCATTAGGCAACTCTGGTTCATCTGCTAGTGTAGATGCATAAAGTCTGAGCGTTTAATTTATAGTTCCTCAACTGGCATTATAACAAAAAATCAATAAAGCATCCACCATTGACCAATGGCTGCATGCTCACGAGTAAATGGCAAATTTGACTTCATAAAGGTTATAAATTTAAAGATTTATTTCAGTTTTAGCAAGCTCTGGCAGCTTGCATAAATGATACATATCAAAACAAGATCCAAAAGCTACTGCTCAACAGCCAAAATATGCTTTTTACGCTCAGCTTTGAACGGCACGGCATCGGGAGCACTGTGATTTCTACGATTATTTTCTTTAGCTTTGATAGAATTCTCCATAATTGTCTTCTTGCGTGCAGCTCCCTTGACGGCCTTTGGAACTTTTCGATGCTTATCAATACGTCTGATTTCTGGCATATGCTTGTATCGGTTTTTGACTGCTTTAGAGTACTCGAGAGCATTGCGTTCACGTTGTGTGAGCTATAATTGATTTATAATTATTCGCATTATTATACATTCAAATGTGGTAAGAAATTAAGCATTAGCCATTTGATATGGTTTTGATGCATTTACAAAACTAAATAATCATGCATCATTTGAGATTTAGAGGCTATTTATAGATATACAAAACATACCGTTCCAAGTTTATCTGATGCATTGGTTTTCCACAAACGAATATTTCCATCGTCAGAGCCAGACAAGATGAACTTGGCGTCCATGCTGAATTTGACACAGAATGTCCTATAGAATGGATTTAAATTCAAATGAGTACAAAAAAAGTAGACAACACCTTGGCTAAAACAAAAGCGGGCTTGATAAACTACTCGCATTACCTTTGCATACGCTTGGTATGGTAAACTTCCCTAGAGCGGCCATCACGAGCACCAAAGATACGAATTGTTTTATCGTAACCACCAGTAACAAACTCTTCACCAGTGGGAGAGTAATCAATATCAAGTACAGCAGATACATGATCCTTGGCAACAGAAAGTGTATTTCCAAGATTACGCATATCAAATGTGTAACAATTGTGATCTTCGTTCGCCTGTGATAAAGTAAAACCAATTGTATGTTAGAATTTCAAAACAGTAAGCCAATCAAGTAGCCGTTTTAACATTCTATACAGAAAAACACCAAGTCAATCAAAATAAAAAACTCACAGTGGTGAAATTGAAGGCCTCCATTGGGTTCCAGGCAATCGCATTTGTTTGCATTGCCATGATGACTTTTGTAATGGGAGAGGTTGTGCGAATATCATAAAGAATAATAGTACGATCTGTTCCACAGCTAGCAACGATGTTTGTCTCAGTCTGATTGAACTTGACTGAAATTGCCGTTTCCGCACCCCATTGCAATGTCTGTGTTGGCTCAGATCTGTAGGAAATAAAAACGGTGAGTACAGGCAAAGCATGATTCAAAAATAAATTCATAGCACAGTTGGGTGAAATTAAAATGCACACCTATGATGATCCCATAAGTCAATACCAGTACTAGACGTGGCAAACAAGGGCTTTGAGCGATGATGATCAATGCCAGTAAAAGCGTATTTGGAAATGTATGTGTTTGTGGGCTGCGATTCATTTTGGTCCCACATTTTAATGACTTTGTCTTCTCCGACCGATAAGAAATGATCATTGAATGGAACGTAAGTAAGCCCCTTTACAAATCCCTTGTGCCCTATGGATTTCCAAGTACAAGTCTGTGAAGAAAGAGACCAAATTCTGATTTCTATACATACATTACAAAGTCACATTCGTAGAGTTAATATGCAATGAATTTAACTGCATCAATCGGTTGTAGCCATATCCACTCAAAATGAAACACTAAATGAAGCCAATGGGTAATAAACAACCGGTCTTATGACATGATGAATGCCAATCTACTAAACTTTAACAAAATTGATTGACATGAACACAATAGTTGCATTCCTGAGATATGCAGTCATTATTATCCTGAATTAAAACGCAGGCGTGCGAGATTGTGATATAACAAAAAAGAGTTTGAAAGTAGTTGAACCCAATATCTGGATTAAAATAAAGGAATTTGGTGATCGTAGAATGCATGACTACCAAAAGAGGACAATCTCAGTTCAAAACTATAGTTTGACTGTGTGCATCATATAGTGATTGTGATGCTTATTGAACAAATCAATGTGTAGTAGAAAAGTAGCGAATGTTTAACCATTGCCTATCCCAAAGCAAAATAAACGAGTGTTGCATTTTACGTGAATACAGCTGTAAATAGACTTACCACCATCACCACTTCCAGATAGAATTGTAGTCAGCTTTTTAGGATGTTTAGTCATGCAATAAACACCATCAATATGGCCAGAAAGAGCACCAACGAATGGTTTTGCAAACAATCTTTCCAGCTTAGTCGAGTTCAACGCTCTGGTATATTCACGAGCCTGCTCGAATGGATGCAAGACTGGGTCCAAGTTCTTTTGTACCTTGAAAATATCACCCAATCGCTCTCTAGAAAATTCTTCTGATCTGCTAATTGTTTTTACCTTCTATTAGCCGATGTACAGTAAATACCACATTGATGCAAATGATAATTCATGCATTCAGTTTAAAAAAATAATTCAACAAAAAAAGTAGATGGTTAGTTGTTTTCATTGTAAAACAATCAGCTTAAAAATAAAACAGACACATTTGATTTTGAGCACAGTGTCTATACACTACAACACTTGCCATGCTGGATGCAATTGTCTGGCTTGTTGAATTCGAAATGCAGAGCAACCAACAATACTTGATTTGAAAAAAGTTTGATAATTTTCTCAAATTTTGGCCAAATTTAAATTCGACCAAATTGATAAAATCTTTGAAATTTGAGTCAACGTGCCAAATGGCCATATCTGATTGGAACCTAAACTCGAGCAATATTTCTCGGATCTGCAGCTTAATAACAAACTGATGACGGAGTTTGCCGGTTTATATTTAAACTTGTTTCCCTGTACACTTTCTTGAAACATGTGTTTTACTGATTGGTTCTAATTGAATGAAAATTTAGGCTGTCATGGTTGCCTAAATGCAACTGCAGTTGATGGCAGACATGCAGAAAGTGACAAACATATACGAGCAGCGCAATGTGTGGAATAAATCTAAATTCTGTTTCAATACAAGAATGAAATATACGAAATATTTGATGGTTTCCATGGCAAACGGCAGTTTAGTTTCATGACAATCCAGTCCAACTTCAGCCATTTCCTGCGCATCGGATTGTCGCGTCAGACTTGCACTCACAACTGACAACTTATCGAGGATTGCTGGCCATTTTGTTGTTTTATCTATCCTGCTCAACTGCCTTCACATTGAATCCATTAGTTCAGCGAGTATCATTCAATTAAAGCCAGGTATTGTCTTTTCTCTAACTTCAAAGGTCCTGGTCTCATGCTAGTGCAGAGTCTTTGCCCTGCCATTTACATACAGTATTCTTTCGTACTGCTAGACTATCAATGATGCAGTTGGTCGCCTCATAACTCGGCATTGTTTCATTTATCTAGAATTGGTCTACTTGATATACTTTATAGCTATACATTTGGATTGCCTGCTACTATACTGCTTTCGATATCGCTATAATCAAAACCGTTTGTACCAGACAACTACAAATAGGATATTGAAAATACAAATGCTTTACATTCCTTGATGAGCAACATTCTAATTACTACCGTATTCATGTAAAATGAAACACTCTTCTGTATTCATCTTGCAGTGACTTTTCTTTGCTTCAGAGTAAACAATGGTCATACGTTGCGCTTTCCTACCAAGAAATTGACTGTTTGAATAGATATTCCCAACTCTTCAAACACAACATTCATCATATGGTACTCAAACTATAGTTTTGAGCTCAGATTGTTTTTTCTCTTTTTTTTGGCATAGCCATACATTGTACGATCATTAAGTTTGAAATCAATATTGAGGTTGACTGTTTTCAATCAAACTCCTTTTGTTGTATTCTAAACTTGCAGATACGTCTGCGTTTTAGTTTAAAAGAACAAAAACTGCATATCCCATGAATGCAAGTATTGCATCCGTGTCGATCACCAGGAGAAACCCAGTAAACTTTGTAAAAAAGTTTAGATACAATGTTGTCCAGTGAATTTGGTGGTAGCTGGTACCAACCATTCCAAAGGATTGATTGTTTATTATCCATCGACTTTATTTAATGTTTCATTTTACGTGAATACAGCTGTAAAATCTATATTTAGTTGGTTTTGGTCAAATCTTAGACTCTACACACATACTGTTTTTATTCTATTGATGCGCTGATACACTAGTTTGATTTTCTAACCCAATTTTTCTACACCGCTTGATTGTCCATCGATATGGTTAATTTTCAGGTCCTTTAATTGTAGATTTCGCTTGAAAAGAATACCTACATTATCTATTTGTAGGGCTTGCATGGTATTGGCTTGCATCCTACCCTCTACTGTTTTTATTCAAAGCTCTGCTGATTCTGATTAATTGTACGATAAACGTTGTATTTTTCGATTCAACGTACAATTTTCTGCAGTCAATCAATCAACGTCGAAGCCTTCCTATTGCAAGGGTCTTACAATCCTTTGATCAACAACATCTGAAATTTCAAAAATTCATTTACAACAACTTTTTCATACATGTCCAAGAACACACAAGATAATATTCTACATTTACCGTTAGCGCATGTGGATACTACCGCGCAATCCGTCAACTATGCCAGCGATGTCAAAATAGACACAAATGCTGCAAATGCTGCAAATTTCAAACAAGTATTTGATGGCGTTACTCAGTCTGTAGTCAAGAATACCTCTGATCATAGTAAAATGTTGGAGGATGATGCAGATCCTACCAATGAATTTCTACATAAGCACTTTACTCTTTCCTGTCCTATAACCGCTTCTGAAAATACGAATTCTGTTTTATCGAAAGGTATGTTTTAGTAATGTTGCTGATATGGCGTTATGAAAAAAACAGTAGTCAAATGCCTATTTCTTTTATAAAGACAGCTTGGTATTCATTTATTGAGAAAACTGGGTTGGGCATTGGATGAGATGAATTGGGTTAAAAGTTTATTGATTTTAGTAACTAATCTGATTGGCTTTGTGATTACACTACTTATTTTGAAAACATTAGGAACATTGTCAATGAGTGTTGAATCCACCATGGCATCTGCACTTTCAGCAGCCCTTGCAAAAACAGCAGCATCTATTACACACACACAGGATTCAGCACTGGGCTCATCATCTATATTGTCACCTATAGCAAACACAAATCCAACAACTGATGCCGAATCCGTGGCTATGGAAGTCCCAGCGCCAGATAAAGCTTTTTTGCGTGGCTCGGCATTTACTGCTCCATCTTTACAATTTACATCCGCTTCAAATGGCTCTCCTTCGCTACTATGGAAAACAGACTCGTCACATTCCAGGCTCAATTCTTTGCCGTTAGAATCACAATCACCCAACAGTTTAAATAATCTTGGATTGCGAGATATATCTCCTCTCATGTCTTTTACACAAGAATCAGTACCACAGGATATCATGTTATTGCCTGAATCATTCATGTCTACACCTGTGGAAATCCCGCATGGATCAAAGTTGGAACCCCGGTCATTAACTACATCAAAATCATTGCTTTTACCTGCAGTTAGCGAAGAAAATTTAAACTTGAGAGGCAGGGGAATGCATGATCAGAGTAGTAGTTATGATTCCAGACACACCTTGAAACAGTCGCGTCATTTTCGCTCGCTTTCCTTTGGAGCCATGGACGATGAGGATGATGAGGATGATTACCGAATCAATAAAATGACTACACCTTCACTTCCTCTCACTCCATACAAAAACCAAGTTGGGGGTCATGCCGTATTTTTACGGTTTTCAGACAAGGCATTGTGCAAACCATTGGATCCTCGTGAACAGGCATTTTATGAACTTATTGAAGCGAACCATCCAGACCTGAAACCATTCATAGCAAGCTATCTTGGAGTTGTAAATGTAACATTTCGATCTCGACCGGCTGATACTGGCGGAGATGTGAGCGAAAATGATCGGTTTATGACCAACACTCCCGTCATTATTCTGGAACATAACAAACACTTGTTGGATGTGTATGAAGGAGTTAGTGGGGATCGGTCACCTGATGCATCGGGAGAATACATGGTCAATGGTGCACGGCACTATAATCGCAAGCTGCAGCAACAGGTGCTAAAAGAGGCTTTGTCACCAAAAAGCCTAAGAGCAAGATTTGCCCAACTGAAACTTGCAGCATGTGCAATGCGACATCGCGATACCACTACAGGCCAACATCCTAACGAGTCATTGACCAGCGTTGCTACAACTGTTACATTTGATGGGGAAAATGGCCATACTAATGCAAGCGACTTGCCTGTGCCACGGGAATCACATATTTTCATTAATGAGCCGAGTATCCTCAAGGCACCACGTCCAGTATCACATGGCCCGTCACTATTTCCCCATTCTACTCCTAAATCTTCGGCCTTTCCATCAGCTTGTGATGAGTTACTATCTGACCCAAATCACTTGCACGACGGAGATACTAATACACCCATTTTCCACATGTCAGATGATGAAGATATGCATTGCTCTTTGCCACAGACTCGGTCATTTTCTTCCCGACCTCCACTGGCACCCAGCAATGCAAGTACTGAATCAAAAGATCGATTGCATGATTTTCAATCCAAGCGTTTTGCTCGACTCTCAAAAAGCGTATGCGATGATCCGACATCTTTGGATTTTGGGAACGAATCGACACCTCCGAATCTGAGCATATCACTTAAATCAGCCTCTCATGCACATACCAATCACTCTGTTGGCTCGCTTCCTACACCTAATGACACATCAGCATCATTCAATCCGTGGTCGCTACATCTCTACAATACCAAAATGTCCAAATTGATGCCGTCGGCACCTTTGCCAGCAAATATCATTTCTACACCAACAAAGCAACAAGAGCTGGAGCAACAGGAGCGTACACACAAATTTTTGCTTCTTGAAGATCTGACTGAAGGCATGCGGCATCCATGCGTTCTTGATCTTAAAATGGGAACTCGCCAGCACAGTGTCCATGCAACTGTGGAAAAGCGTATTTCTCAAGAACGCAAGTGCGAACGCAGCACAAGCAAAAAACTCGGTGTTCGTATTTGTGGTATGCAAGTTTATAAGCAGTCTACACGCACTTATCTATATCTTGACAAATATGTTGGTCGACAGATTCATTCTGGAAATTTCAAACAGAACATTCTTTTGTTTATTGATAATGGAGATATGTATCTTGTGGGATTGATTGGCAAGATTTTAAACGAGTTAAGAAAGCTATACAGGGTGATTGCATCAATGCCAAGCTATCGCTTTTATGCGAGCAGTTTGCTCATTTTGTATGATGGAGATGCGCCTGTTGATCCTAGCTTACCTCGACGTGATGCAGATATTCGTATGATTGACTTTGCAAACTCTGTGACCAATGCCGACGTTTTGCGAGCAAAGCCGAGATGGTCCGAGACTTCCATTCTGCCTTCATCTCGAGCAACACAACCCTCTACCCAGGTGGAGCCAAATCCATTTATGCCTGCTTCAAATGCACCAACACAGAGCACATCCGTAGGATCTGGTTTGAAACCAACAATACCAATTGTACAACAAAAAGATAGTGCTACACCTACTCGCTCTGTCATTCTGGACCCATCGCCCTTTTCTCCATCATTTACTTCACTCGTAGCATCTGATTTTACCGTGTCCAGATCGAATCCCAAGGATCCACTCATGGCATCGCTAGCAAAATCAAACCCTTCCACTACACCCATCACTCAGCACTTGTCTCAATCTACAACAGAAGGAATCGTGTATGTCAACTGCCCACCCACAACCAAAGGTCCAGATAACGGATACCTTCTTGGTTTGGAAACCCTCATAGCCAACTTTGAGGAAATTTTGACTGAATTGGGAAGCGATCCTGATATGCTTGATGCAAATGGACACGTCTCCAAACAGGCCTTGTCAAAGTCGAAACGGGTTGGAGTCGAGCTGGGATTACTGTAGACGACTCATGTTTATGGTTGAGATGTGTGAAAACCTTTTTACAGGGAATCTTCCCTACTTGCATAGTTTGGATATTTTATTAAAAACTTATTTTGGCATAAATGAACATTGTCTAAAGATGATGTCAACACTGTTTTATAGATGGAGATACATTGATTATATTTTGTTTACCACCTACAAGTGCTGATCTCATGCTTGACTTGACATGCAATGCACTAATTTTAAACATCATGCTCGTTTCTTGGTCTTGTTATTCCAATGAAATTTCTGGTAGATACAATCCAACATATTCCGGACGAACACTAGTTTCTCCAGGATATTGATCAAAATAATACGTCTGTTCATGAAGTGCCCATTTTCCTGTACGACGTGTGAATCCCTCTGGAATCGCTCGAGTTGATGCCACAAATGGATTATGTGGATCGGATAATATGCCTTGATTGCCTACGATCAACTCTGCAGTAATGTCATAGGACCGCAAAGGATTGGCCACCATTCTAATCCATCCCCGAATGTTTTCAAACGCATTAATTGCTAGTGGTTCTGATGTATACATTTTAGAAATAAAGTCAGCCATCGTGCAAACACATGAAGCCTGAATAGTCAACAACATGGCAGTGTTACCTTTGAGAAGCAAACGCACTTGGTGCCAGTGGGTCTTTTCAGCCTGTGGAGCGGTTGACAAAATGTATCCAGCCAAATTGATATCAAACCATGCACCAATACCATGTATCAATCCAGTATATGTTGCCATCCATGTGAACGGAATAACGATATCTTTCAATTGGTTTGCTGTTACTGTACGAAAGTCGACTAAGATATCGGGAAACATAAAGCAGTTTTAAAAGCATAAGTACAAAACCAAACCAGTCAAAACAAATGCAATATAAATGTGAAAGCTGTACTGCATTTACGCGAATGATTCATGGACAATATAGTTTATCATGAACGTACCAATGTGAGAGCAAGCAGGAGCAACCAGTGATCGTGCATCAAATCCACCAACAACAGGCTGTGTTGATTGAAAGTTAGTATCCTGATCTCAGTTAAATAGCGTACAGATCAGACCAATGGGATAGTATACCTGTCCGAAAATCTCGTCCTTGGCATCCTGTGCCAAAGGGGACAAATCTACACCAAAAAACTCTTGTTGCTCCCAAAAGCGTACTTTGGACATAGTCTGTGACCAAAGATTTGAATCTGAAATCTAATAAACAGTATTGATTCAATCAGCTATATTAGGCTAGTACTTTTCTGTGCAAAGTTTTGATGCACGATATTTACACAAGAAACTCACAGGTGCAACGTAGATGGTGCCCATAGAAGGCACCATAATACCATCCGGTTTAAGAAATCGATCACGAGCAAGAATATATGACTCCAGCATACGCTCATGTACAAGTAATACACCGATTGGCTCGCTAACAAGGGTGTCCACCATAGGTAGATTCTCCACATCTTCAATTTTGCCTAGATGCACCAATAATTAGATTTGCAACAGATTGAAAAACAAAGTTGACACTTACTTTTCACTACTGTAAGCTTTCCGCGTAGCCATGAGTTTGTAATATGGGTATAGTCGATCAGCTTTTGAATTTTATCAGCCATTCCACTGGCTTCGACAGCAATCACATGTTTTGCACCAGCACGAATGGATAAAAACGAAAGAATTCCTAGAGAAAGCATTCCAAATCAACAATCGTATTGTTTATAATGCAGTCAAAAGACGCACATTAAAATCATGTAAAATTCAAGATATTCAGATGGTTAGCCATTTGAATGCTACAACTGAGTACAATCAACCTGTGAGCAGTGCAAATAGACTTTCAAGTCAATCCAGTCTAAACACCAATGTTTCGATGCATTTTAAATAGAAATCGCATGAACCCAGCCAATATCTAGATTACAAGTCATTTGGAAACATACCACTGCCAGCTCCTAGATCCATGACCATTTTGCCATCAAACAGCGTAGAGCTGTTTGCTAAAATTGCGGTTTGATAAAGTGATGTCCGCACAGTATCCTGTAGCATATTCTGCTGGTGAACAAACTGTGCATAGTAGCTGTAGTCATATCCAGTCCAACAGAAATACCCAAAATGTATTGGTAATGGGATTGCAAAGCAACAAAACAAAAGCCATATGGAGGTATACAGTAAAGAAATTAGAAACTAGACGAAGCCAATACAACTGTAGTGATCTATGCATGTCTTTGGTTTGATGCAGACTAGAAGCCATCCATGTACAAAGTGCATTTGAACAGATGAGCCAAGAAGAAAACATTCTGGCCAAAGGCCGAGTTTCCGAATTGAACAAGTTGCTGTCACCAGCAAGATGGCCATACAATAAAGCGAGATGACATACGAAAAGTAGGTTGTGTCCCTCGAGTCTGTGCTGGTTGAGCTCTTCTGTGCTTCCATATGAATGTTCAGTTGATCTCAACTTGATTGAGTTTTTGTTTTTTCTCAAAAGTGAAACTGCAATTCAACAACGAATCTGCAAGTAGATTCACCATATTTTATATCCAGTCATGACATTTCATTGCAACACATTCGTCATCATTAAAGTTCATTCAATAGACTGAAAAACTGCTTCATTCAATGCTGTTTGCCAATCACTTCAACTTGAAATCCAATTCCTCGCAGTTTCTTTGCGTCCAAAATCAATCGTCCGTCAAAAATAAATGCTGGTTTGTGCATATGCTCGTAGATGCGTCCATAATCAAGAGTCTTGAACTCATCCCATTCTGTCACAAGAACAACTGCATCTGCTGCATCCGCTGCCTCGTACGCGGTCTTGCAGACCGTGATTCGTTTTTGATATACCTCTAATGTGCTGACTTCAGGATCAGTCAGGTCAAGACGAATCTGTCCTTCACTGACTTGTGGATCATAGATAAAAATGTTGGCATTCTCACGGAGGAAATACTTGATCATGGTGATGGCCGCTGATTCACGGGTGTCACCAGTATCCTTTTTGAATGCAAAGCCAAAGATGGCAATCTTTTTGTTGGTAACAGTGTTGAAAAGACTCTTGACAACACGTTCTGTAAAGCGAGATTTCTGGTACTCGTTCATAGTCACTACCTGCTTCCAGTAAGCTGCCACTTCAGGAAGATGCAAGCTTTCACTGAGATAAACTAGATTAAGAATGTCCTTTTGGAAGCAAGATCCTCCGAATCCAACACTGGACTTGAGAAATTTGGGTCCAATACGAGTATCCAGACCACAGGCATAGGAAACCTCGTCAATATCAGCACCTGTTGCCTCACAAATAGCTGAAAGTGCGTTGATGGAAGAGATACGCTGAGCAAGAAGAGCGTTTGCAGCCTAGAGTTGTAGGGTTTAACAGTAAAACGACAGGTTGTCAGTAAACTTTCAATCACCAATTGGATACAGTAGCAAAAACTCACCAGTTTAGAAAGTTCAGAAGACCACAAATTCATGGTGATGATGCGCTCAGTAGGGATCCAGTGCGCATACACTGAGGAGAGAGTCTTTTGTGCCTTGTGGCCTTCAGGCGTATCCAGAGATCCGATTAAAACACGGTCAGGCTTGAACAGATCTGAAATGGCAGTGCCTTCAGCCAGGAATTCTGGGTTAGAAAGAATATCAAACCGAATGCCTTCGCGAGAATTGGCTTCAAGGATGGTACGCATGCTCTCGGCAGTACGGCAAGGAACAGTCGATTTTTCAACAACAATCTTGGAGGATTTGGAGACTTGAGCAATATGGCGAGTAGCAGACTCGACATAACTGAATAAAGAAATATTAGATTGTCAGCAGTCATCATAAAATGATGTAGATCAGAACTTGTCAATTGAAAAGCACAATCAACATGCTTGTGGAAATGGTAGGGTTATGATAAGGGTTTCCACCCTAAACGGCAGTCTCAACAACAGACAAATGTACTTGAATATTCAATGGATCAATACCAAGCGATCGTTTCTAAAAACCTCTACACCACCTGGCCGCTTGAATACACATCAAACCACTCCGACACCACAATAGCTAAAAACAAGATACAATTCTAATATACTGAAACTTACGCAAGATCTGCAGCAAAGCCAGCACCCATGCCAGACTTTTTGGTAGGAGTGTTGACTGACACAAAGATGATATCGGCCTCTTCAATGGCCTTGTCCACATTGGTTGAGAAAAACAGATTACGGCCTCGTGCAGCCTTGACCACATCATCCAAGCCAGGCTCGAAGATGGGCAACTCGTTCGAGTTCCAAGCGTCGATACGGGCCTGATTAAGGTCTACAATAGTCACCTGGATATCAGGACATTTGAATGCAATAACAGCACAAGTGGGACCACCTGGATATTAAGACCGCCAGTTGAATCAAATAAGTAAAGGCAATATCATATATGCACAAAGATAACAATAAAGCCGGGGTGAGTCGGTGATGGGATTTGCTTGCAAGATCAATGGTTCTAATCATGAATGCATTCATAAACACCAATTATAACAATAATCTACATACCAACGTAGCCAGCTCCAATACAGCAAATCTTCATGGTTAAACGGTAAACTCAAGAAATGGTAGTTTCAAAGGTAAGAACAATGCCAGGTCAAAGATGAGTGTTTAAATATCTTCAGAGCGTACTTGAAGAAATATCAAAACACGTTCATGTCACAGCTTGCCTGACAATCCGCTGTTCAGCTTACTGATTATGCAAACAGCATTCAAGATTATCAATTTGGTTTATTACAAAAATCCAGATCGAATATTGCTAAACTGTTGTTGTACATATTGCACACCTTGGCTTATTCCTCCAACAGGACTTTTTCTACTGTTATTCCCACTAAAATACACAGATGGTATATTGAGTGATGGCTGATACATTGTTGTTGTTCTATCCCTGGATCTAGATACATCTGCAGATGTTGATCCCTGTAATGTGTTCCTAAATTTAGATTTCTCAGTCTTTGGCTCGGTAGTAGCTGATCGAGCGTGTCCATTCCATAGTGCCCTATGATGGTTGGCACTACCCTCGTGAAAGTCTCGTTTGCCATCAGAAACTAAATAAACTCCTGTTTCTCGTTTATCTCTATCCTCTGATCTGCTTCGCGAATGATGCGACTGTGTTCCATCAAACGTCCCTGAAAAGGTATCAAAAATCGAAACATCGGTCGATGCAGGCCGTATAGATTTCTCACAAGACTCTCCGCTAATCAACACTCGGGGAATACCCACAGCAAACCCATGCATTGCTTTTTGCGCCTGCTTAACAAATGCCTTTGTCTGTGTTGGATCGATTGTTAATGATCCTTTTTTCCGGTGCATACTCATTTTACCCAAATGTGTAGCAACTACATTGGCATCCTGATGGAACATGGTTTGGGGTCGATAAATCTGCGATGCCTTTTGTTTACGTTCATTATACAAGTGATGCTGAGTGTGACGATATCGGTTGAAATTGTCTTTAAGGCTTTTGTACTCTTTGGGTGTCCACCAACAATTCAGTCTGCTTGGCACGGTGTGCCGACTTGCCTCGTCCGAACCATGTAAAGTGGCTGGTCGCACAACAATATTGTCCATATTGATCACCACCTAGTTTGTAATTGAAAGTATTACATGATTGATTGGCATGGTTCCATTAAAAAGACATAATTTTGCTTCAATACTACCAAGTGCATCTTACCTTTGCAGATCGTTTTCGAAAAGTACCCAGCGTTCGACTGGATTTTGATGCAGACTGAATGGGTGACAACTCTTTGACAATAGAGGCAATACCACTTTCTTTGCGAGTGCCTGGTCGCGATTCATTCAACAACGGCCCTATCATTGGAGAATCCATCTCATGTGTCGAGTTTGTCACCCCATGATGTCGTGCCCCTTTTTTCCGATACAGTTTAAAATCAATCTCTGGCGGTGGTTCAATAAACCGATCATAGGGTACAATCAATGCACTTTCAACAACTTCTTTCCGTATTGGAATGTTATATTTTTTAAATCTGTCCATGATAGTGTTGCATTCTTTTTGAGTATTATGGAGTTTGGGATCCGTGTCAATGTATTGGTTGACAGATACGTAATCTCGTCTACAGTTACGATGGCGAGGACCTCTTCGGTGATGATGATGATTGTTGTATTGGTAGTGAGAATAATGCTGATGCGACAGAGAGGGTTTGGATTCAAATGTACTACTATTAGATTTTCTGAAAGCAGTACCTTGGGGATAGCTGTCCTGTGTATGTTTGGAAAATGAGGGTTTATATTTTTCTCCAGATTCTATCAACGCCTTTTGCTCTGTATCTCTGTGTGTTGTTTTGGCTGGTATATATTCAGAAACTTCGCTTCTGGCAATATTTAAATCAGAAGTCGAACCCGTTGATCCTTGAGCTGATGATGCACGTGGGTTTGAGCTTTCATCTGATACCCATTGTGCACTATAAACTCCAGCCGCTGAAGCTAATCTATATAAAACGCTGTCCTCGCCACCATTAACACTATGGGTACTATTGTAATCATTTGTCGAGTCCTTCACATGTGTTTGAGATGCATTGGTTTTGATGGACAGCTTTGGATCTGCTGTTTTAGGATCGTTTGTAAACTCAGCCTGGAAATTATTTGGCACAGTACTAGATGCAGCGCTTGAAGTTTGATGGGGTCTAGTAGATGACTTCAAGACATCTTTTTGTAAATGATCCATCGCGGCTGTTGCTGTCGTTTTTTGGATGGACATTCTTGGTTGATTGAACAAGGCTGATCGTGATGTAGTTGCATGTTCTGAAGTCATTTGCAAATTTGCTATGTGTGATTGGCTTGAGCCAGCAAGAAGTACAGATTTATTTGACTTTATCCGAAGTGAACGTGATATTGCAGGTTGAGGTTTTGGCACGGAATTTACCAATTGGGAAGTAACCACTGTATGTTGTCTACCGACTAAAGTGGTTGCTTGATTTAAAAAAAAGGTACTGGTCATGTCGGGCTTGTCAGATTCAACGATTGCAGATACGACACTCTTTTTACTTTGATCAGCTTCGTCTGTAGCTTTCTGATCCATGGCCAGACGTTGTGGTACATCCCTATTTATTGTGACGGCAGCATACTTTTCTGGATCGGTATTTTGATGAATAGGTCTCAGCGACGTAATGGCTTTACGTTGTTCAATTTTGTCCTTTTTAATGTATGGCGTTTTGACAGATGTAAGTACAGGTATTGAGGTGATTTGATTTTGCAATTTCCGTGTTGGAGGTTGCGAGAAATTAGCAATGATTATCCGTGTAGACAGCATTCCTGGACGCCGAAACCGCTGTTCCCGCATAGCTACTCGTTTAAGTTTGTTTTCGAGCAGGTTGGGTAGACGGATTCCTTTTAGGTCGATGGATACGGTTTGAAACACAGGATTGACACCCATCCGCGTCGTGACAGATTCGAATGACTGACCAACTTGAGTTAATGAAGTTTCTAAAGGATGAGACCTGGGATCTATTAACCCTATATTACATTTTTCTTTGCTTATCAATGCATTAGTGTCAAAGTCTATGAATCTAGCTGGGCTGAAAGTAGTCATTTCAATCTGAGTTTGCTCCAATGACTAGATTAATTGCCATGCAATGGAAAGTTTATTACAGTCGTATTCGCGTAAAATGGAACACTTGTATTTCAGTGGCTGCCTCTATTTTGCGTTGGAATGAACAATGGTCAAATATGTACTGTCTTTTTACTAAACTTGACTACACTGCCTATTCAATATGCATTTTCAACTCTTCTGTATTTGGAACTGCATGCTGTACAAAATCACTTTATTATGTCAAAGTCATTTGAATCAGGGTTTAAGAATGAGTAAGGTGTAACAGTGCGATGAAGCTTCAAGCCTTGCAACATTTCCAGTTGTCGAATATTTGGTAAGCCAGTTTAATGAGCGAATTTGTAGTCTCGTGAGATGGTATGTCGTCTGAAATAAGATGGCGTTTAGGAAAGTCTTGGAATATCATGGCGTTCACTACTTTATTAGTTTCCAGACACAACAACCATCATACAATGCATACAATCAAACTGTAGTTTTGAATTGAGATGATCCCACTTTGATAACCATGCATTGTACGATTGCCAAGTTTGAAACCAGGTTCATTCCAATTCAGATATCGAGTTTGACTATTCTTGAGAAAATTTGTATGTGTTGTATTCTCATCTCGGATACGCCACGTTCTAATTCAAGAAAACAGATTGCAATAGTGATTTTCATGTTGATTACCAGAAGAAAAGTCAGTGGAGTTTATATGACAGTATTGGCTAGTAAATTTAATGGGGACCGGCACCAATGATTTGATGAGACTATTATGTAATCTGACACCCTTGTTTAATGCTTTGTGTTATATGAATACGGCGATAAATTCAGATGAAGTCAGGGTATATATGGTGTAATTCAGCTAATGTGTTATTGTTGGTGACCCATGAAACCAAGCAACAGAGCTGAATCAGATGCAGTCTTTGACCCTGAACTAGTCAGAGTTGCATAATACTGGAATGAAGCCTATAAAGGGTAGACTTGTCCTCTGACAAGAGTGTATCCACATAGTCAACAATGATTGCATCTCTATTTAACTCGGCCTCTTTGACCATGCTATTTGCAGCTACTACTGCTCAGACATATGCTCAACTGCAAAACGGCAATTTAGGCTCTGCCTGTCAAGTCCCCAACAATCCCATCGAGTGCAACTCTGGTCTACTCTGTGCTCGTCCTGACGGTGTTGGTGCCGAGTCTCCAGGACTGTGTGTTCGAGCCGGCGGTTCTGTTGCTATCCTTGGTGGTTCATGCGGAGGATTCATGCCAACAAACCCACGCTGCTTCTTTGGCCTCACTTGCCAACTTGGTGACATTTCTGATGCACCAGGCGTATGCGTCCATTCTACTACAGCTACAGCTACGGCTACAGAGTCTGCAACACTTTCATCTCCTGCGCCTTCAATATTTTCTTCTGCTCCCTTTTCTGGAAGCACTGCTGTGTCCAATAGTACCAATCCCACTTCTGGTGCTGTCAGCATTTCTTCATTGCCAGGCGTGGCGTGTATGGGATCGCTAGTAATCGCATTATATGCCACTTGTTTCCTGTAATTGAAAACTGTCAAATACCTTATATTCTCATTATTCTTTCTATAAACTTGTCATTTTATCATTCTGCTGTTTTGGTTGGTGTGCACCCATCAGTTTCCGGTTTGGGTTGGGGAAAAACTAGGACATTTATGATTGTGTTGCAAACGTTTATTGAGTCACACTAAACCATCTCATAATCTGCTCAATGACATTGGCTCTAATTTATAACATACATTAGTCAATCTAATCAAACTGCAGATAAACCAGCCAATTAAAGCTACATACTTGATGGCTAATACTGTATCTTCTGGCTGCATATCTCTTGTAAATGGCAACTTCCACTCTCGAGATTCAGGAATATATGAGTCGGATGACTGGAATTTTGTTGGTGATGATAGAATAATTACAATGGGTTCCAATGGATACAATGCAGAAATATGCACTGAATCCATCAACATAAATCATCATGGCACGCAAGCGCAATAGTAAGATTCATGTGTTCTCGAGTTTAAATAGGCAATACAATCCAGAATTCAGTCTTACCATTCACTACTGCCCCTGCAACGACTTCACAAATCTGTTTGGTTTCACTCGTTGCATATGCATTGATGTACAATCCAACATAAGAGAAATTCACATCATCGTATTCAAGGACATACTCTGCAAACTCTGTGACAAGACACTGCACTAGACGTTCGCGAGCCGCATGATTATTGAGTCGTATACTCTGTGTTTTCTGAAGAAGATCTTGTATTTGTGCCAAGTAATCCACAATCAAGGTGTCCTTGTCACACGATGGCAGCTAAAATAGGTTACGATCATTGATTTATAGAGATTAGATTCATTCCAAAAATCAGTAGCAATAGGTTTTGATGATAAACCAAATGATGAAATAATACCTTGATTGTCGTATCCGGTTTCATTGTTTTTAGAGACAGAAATTCCCGAGTGATTGTATTTACAGCGCTGTTATCTTGGTTCATGTCATACTTTACATATAAAACAGCGCCTGTATATAGAATACTCAGCTTTTCGTATTCCAACAAAGTGTCGATAACAAACTTACGTTTAGGTGGATCATTTAGATCCAGATCCGCCAATGTTTCATGGTAGCAAACTGGCACGTATACATGATATTCTTTGCGCAAACTGGTGCTGTTTGTTTCTACAAGAAGCTCCAAATCCTTTAAACATTCAAGTGAGTTATGAATTCGCCAACAAGTGTCGAGTTTTTTAAAACGTTTACCTCGACATGGGCTATGCATCCTATTTCAAATACAAGTCTTTCGACATTGGAGCTCATAAACTGTTCAAGTTGATATTTCTATTGATATTTCATGCCAATACCACCAGACCAACCAGCAGCATGAGTAAATTTGGTGTAAACATGCCAATACCGATCGACACGAATGGAAAAACCTACAATAAACTGTTGGCGAACTTCTGAAAAAACATAGAGTAGATTTGATTCATCTTGTGCATCCCATTCGACGAGATACTTGATATCGAGCAATCGTACATTGAATTCATGGACAATCAAATCAGGCGGAAAAGCAATATCTCCCGCATCAAAGATAACAGTGCCTATGGCATTTCAATGCAAATGAGATGGCAGACATAATAAATGGTGCACATGGATAGTATTGACAGCTATCCCATACGATATGGCAAATCAGATCATAGGCTTACAATGTAATGCAACTTTATTACAGACTCGGATACCGACTTTTAACCGAGTAAATGAAATGGGGTTAAAGGCATTCCAGCCAGAAGGTTTGAACAAAGAGCATTCGACCCATTTGGCACAGTCCTGAACTTTTCTGACAGATGACAATGGAGTGACTACATGCATCTAGTCTTATGTTGCTCAAAGTAGTGAGATGGATAGACTTGACTGTTTAGATTTAGATGGCTCAATTTGCAGATAACAATCTTGGAAACCAACAACTACAGGATCTGGCTTGCTCAGACAGCTGGTACAAGTAATACCAATGTTCAAAGGTCATTCACTGTCCATCAACCTGCCGGAACCATGCATCACGTGGGAATCGAATGTGCTCCATCTTGCCAAAGTCGAATTTATAAGCTCTACAGGATTGGCAACGAACATGGCAAAAGCAATTATTGACGAAGCAAGAATACAGGGAATGAAGGCTATATCTCTTGATGATATAGGGCTAAAAGAAGTCCCATTAGACCTACGTGAGTTTAATTTTAAATGTCGACTGGCATTTTTTGATAGTTGCGGTTATAGTATAGTGTGGGAGATTGGCTGAAACAATAAGTCCTAATATATATACTTGGTATCTTATTTTGAATATACAGTTGACCTCAAGGCATTGCTTCGAGTGAATCTATCGCACAACAAGATTACTGGTGTGATACACGATATGCACTACACTTTAATACGTGCCATATAATTGTATTTACATGTTATTTCAAAATAGAACTGCCCGACGACATTCCACAACTAAAAAATCTGGAAATATTGTCTTTGTATACGAACCGTCTGACATTGATCCCTAAGAGCATCAATCAGCTTTCATCATTACGACGACTGATTCTAAGGTATTTTATTGATTTAAAGTTGTCAGCAAATGGTTTATTCTATTCCAACAACTCACTGATAAACTATCTAGCAATAACTCTATAAAAGAGCTGCCTCAGGGTTTCGGCACCTGCTCATCGCTAGAGTACTTGGATTTAAGCTGTAACAAGCTTAGCTCCCTCTCTGCAAATTTTGGATATCTTAGTAAGTTTCAACATGACGTTTCAATCAAACCGTTTACTCTAGCTCTATTTTGTTGAGTTGCTTTATTCCTTTAACAATAATAGCTACGCTCAAGACGTTGTACCTCTCTGATAATATTTTGACAACGCTTCCCAACGAAATTGGTAATCTTGCCATATTGGAAATTGTAAGGAGTCGATTCGTGCTCAAAATGTTTATTTTTTGCAAATGCTATAGCTTAATCTTTGAAATTCAATACATCCCACTCAACAGTTTGTGCTTCGAGATAATAAACTATCTTCACTCCCAAAGGAATTTGGCCGGCTTAAATCTCTTGTGCACTTGAATCTACAAGGCAATCAGTTCAAGACTCTTCCAACTTGCTTATGTAAATATAATCATCACACGACAGTTGATCATTGTTTTGGTTGCTAATTGAAACACTTGATATGGATTGACAAACGCAGTGGAAATACCGCTAAATAAAAAGGATACAAAACTGCTGCTAGCAGGGAATCCTTTCGAGCCCAATGTCAAGCGTGTATTGAAGCAAGGAGGAGTACCCAAACTGTATAAAGAAATGAAGGAGCCAACATGGAACAAAGAAAAGCCTGAGCAGCAATCGCAATAAAATGCTTATTCAGGATTAGCAGGATCTGACAATGGAGCAACTCTAAATCTATCAAATCAGCACGGTAACCCATGGCAGTTCATGCCCAAATAAAATCTATGGGCCTATTCCAGAGTTGTATTGACTTGATATATAAAATATTGTAAAAAAAGAAACCATCAAGGCATACAGTCAGCTGGGTTTAGATTGTATTCAAAACCCATTCAACCAATACAAACAAAAGTGCTTTGAAAATAATATAATTAATTCCATAGTTGTAACGAATGAGTTGATTAGAATACCACAACTATCTGATGAAGAGATGCGGCCTAAAAAAGTCAGGCAAGTGCAATAGAAATTCAATTTAGCAACCTATCCAATCCTCCACTGGTACTGTAAGCAGACAAGTCACTGTAGCCACCTAATACCAAGTATATCGAAAGATTAGAAGTTGGACATACAATTCAGTATGGATCAAGACACATGCATACCAATATGAGCCTGTTTGATAAAAATATTGGGAACAGTCCTCTGGTTAGTCTTTGTAGTCAAATATGATTGAATACTAGGCCCATCGTTTCGCTTATCCAGGTCAACAACAAAGAAGCTGAGGCCCTTGGACTCTAGGAGTTGCTTGGCCTTGAAACAGTAGCTGCATGTGGTTTTGGCAAACACAACAATATTATTTCCTTGAATTGCGGATTCGACAAACGTAGCCACAGATGACATTTGTATTGGTGGGGATACTTTGGGAAGTCTCAAAAACATAAAGATATCGTGCAGATGCGAGTTTTTTAGGAGTTGCTAGTCAGTATAGCCAGTGGATTGACTAGCTACTTCAAATGATGACTTTTATATTCCAGCTAACATCTGCTGGGTACTGTTACCATTACACCAAATGGTATTACTCAGCATGCAGTGTCTTCACCAAATGGCTGAATTTAGTGATGAAATCCTATTATTTCATTCGGCTAAGCGTGGTCAGTCCCAACCAAGATACATTTTAAAGCTGAAACACTCATTGCATGTGTTTTCTAGCAGTCTCGTACAAATGCAGATACTCATTCCTACCAAACTAATAACTGGAGCACGGATATATTGTATTGTTCAAGGCTATGACGTTGAAATGTAAAATCTAACTGATCTTAGCCAATGGTTTGTAAGTAGGTTCTATGGGTTGCATGCAACTAATTGAGCCAGCATTTGAGCCTACAAGAGTTATTATCAAAGTAAATATCTTTGACTATCTTTGACAATAATTGTACAAAAGTATACCTTAGAGCATCTAAACCATTCATGTAGTATCGGCTCAGTCGTTTGTCCCTGACAAATCCCAGTCGTTCGTATAGTGCTAGTGCAGCTTTATTTGTTGCTTCTGTTTCCAGCACAACCTGACATGATAAAATAAACAGATTAGTCTTGGAATGTACTCATTAAAGTTCAATAGTGGAACTTGTACCTCGTCTGCATTCCGTTGTTTCATTTCCATTACAGCAGTTTTTACCAACTGTGATCCTAGCACAATAATATCAGTTATATGAAGCATTCAAACTGTAGATGGTGAATGTTTAGATCATGAATCAAGTCCAAATGCAGTGCTTACCAATGCCTTGTTTCCTATACGCTGCATTCACAGTGAGCATGGCAATATACCCTCTATATGATTTTCTATGGTAATCCAGCTTGCAAATGATCACACCAATAATAGTTCCAGTGCGAGTATCCTTGGCCACAAACGAAACTGTCGGATTGGTTTGTAGAAAGTGGCGATATGTGTAGACTGAGTATGGCTCTGACAAATCCTTCTCAATAAGAGCAGTCATTTGGGGAAGTTGTTCTTCTGATGCATATGGTTCATAGATCACCGTTGGTGCTGGAGCAGCAGTAACTGTTGAAGCAGCAGGGTCGGCCGACATGTTGAAAACTTGTAAACGATAAAAACCAAGTCGAATTGCCGACAAATGCTTTGCGATGGTAGCAAAGTCTAGCTGGACTGCGATCGTTGCTCCTTCATTCGACTGTTTATTATACTTTAAGACTGCAAGTCATTGGTCGGGTTCACTGTCCTCAAACCCGTTTTTACAAAACTCTACCTGGATGCATTCTACCAGTGCTTGCTACTTTTTTTACTTTGAACCAAATCCATTGAGTTTACATGAGTATTGTTGGTAGGCAATTCATTGGAAGCTCTTGTCTATTTTTTATCCGTCCGACTGTAGTTTAAACAGTCTAGCACAATCTCCAATACTGTCTAAATGGTTCAGTCTTGTAATGTTGTGGCGTTGAACAATACTTTCAATGTCCAAGACATATTGGTACTAATACAACCTATGATTTGATTCCAGGTGTTAGTTTAGCCGACTTTAATACAATGAATACAGAATCTTCATCTTCAACGTCTAGCAATCCAACACCAAAGCAAAATCAATTTACTCACGAGTCGGATATTTCATTTACTAATTCTTCCACTTATATGGAACTACCTGCGCTTCAGGTATATTGCTGTTAATATGGCTATGCATTTTAATAATTATGTGCAGCTGTCTTTCCATAACGGAATCATAATAACCCTTTGCTATTGACTTGAATACCCACCTGCTTTAGCTTCACGACATCATGTCCTATCAAGATCAGCTGGCTGTAATGGAAAAGGCAAGTGCCTGGCCAGTGATCAAATCGGGATATATGCGTAAACGTGTTGTGGAGCAATCAAGTAGAAGATCATCTGTTGATGCAGTAGATTCTGTCAATCTATCTCATTCGTCTGGTGATGCTCATCCAGTGTCACCTTTAGCTAGACCTGTATCTGATCAATGGCAGCTATTTTATGTTCAAGTGCGTGGTGTATACATGTTTTTTTACCAGTCGCTCGATAGTGAGCGAATTGTCCAAGAAACGGCTGACCAAGATATTGTAGCAGCAGGCAATCAAACCATGTCGATTAATTTCTTTTCTAAAATATTCGCTAGCATTAAACCTCCGAGTATGTCTTCTACACTGCAGTCAAGTTTCTCACCAGAAATGGAAAACAACCCGCTCGATACTGTCAAGCAATCTACTAACAACGAGCCGTTTTCTCGAGTACTTGTAAACTATATTTGTCTATCAGAGGCTATTCTTTCTTTTGCTAGTGCGCCTTCTCAATCTTCAGATTCGGTTTTTGATTCAGACAAACACATTACAGATTGCATGCTGCTAGTGCCAAAAACTGATGAAAAGATTGGGTTACATCCAGCTCAAGTTTATTTAAATGTTGTTGTTTCTCAGAACATACTTGAGAGTCAGTGGCAATTAAGAGACACAAAATATCAATCTCAAACTATTGAAGAGGTTCAGGAGCAAGTGCGTATTACTGAACTTTGCGATTGGACGGCTGCTCTAGGAATCGTTGGTGCGTGCATAGACAAAACCGAGTTCCAAAAACTAGGTCGTAACAACACCATCACGTCATCCTCCAAACCCTCAGTTTCTGTGGCGATCAGTAGAAATAATACCTTTCCAGCATCTAAAGCTACAAGCAAAAGCGGATCTAGCTTGACTCAACGCGCCATTCAGCAACGTCCAAAGTTTTTAACCTCGTTCAACAAAAAGTTTAGTGCATCTGCACTCTCGCTCAAAAATGACACTGATGCTCTGGTTTTAAATAGAAACACACCACCATCGACTCCACCAAGAATATCTTCGCCACAAATTATTGACTCGACTTTACCTCATCTCTATGACGGAGATGCCAGTCCATCATGTGTTCCTATGTTTTCTAAATTTGACAACAAAATATTTAAAAGTAAAAAAGAAAACTCTGTTAAAACCCCAAATCTCGAGCCAATTCCTGACACAGCTCAAGAGCGGATTCGGCATTTTCAAAAACTTTTTGAAGAGTACGACGTTCAACCAGTCATCAAGACGAATTCATCTTTAATAAGCAATCCCACACACACATCCAATCGATCCAATTTACCCTTTTCCATACCTCCCGCACCCATATCACCTTCAAGTTCTTCTGAAAGCAGTACATCTTATATTCAGCAGATCCAAAGTAAACCTCAAAAAATCCAAACTAAATCAGATTCCAAAATTCAGCTCAAAAAGCACTGGCAACGACTATGGAGTCGATCTTTTTTGAACGATACGTTCAACATAGAATTGGCAGCGGATTATGCAGACCGCATTGTACCGACTGAACCGTCAATTCTAATCCGAAAATCCAGCATACAGTTTGAAAATGCATCTACTTTGTCTCCACGCGGGCGAGAGACATTACATCTGGTACCACGAGCATTGCTGATGTGCATTACAGCCATTGAAGATTTGGGTATGGACACTGCTGGAATTTATCGAATTTCGGGCGTTACAAGCAACGTAGCCTATCTCCAGGCACAATTTAGCCGCGGTCTAATTACTTCTTTGATGCTTCCATTTGAAAAAGTTGCAGAATCTAGTCAAAATTTAAAGCAAAAGTATACCCAGTCGTCTATCCTTACCAAGTCGTTGACAAAGTACGTAGCTACTGATATAAACAAGCTTGTTTTTAACGACGACCAGTCAGCTTTTACAGCCGAGTGCGATGAATCAAAGAGCGAGCAATCTGTGACGGATAGCAGCGTATTTGAACAAAAGCAATACATTCCTGCAAGTAATCAACGACAGACTTTGTACAATACGATTCTCTACAATAATGATATACATGTTATTACAACAGTTGTCAAGAATATTCTTCGAGCAGGACTGGGAAAATATTGCGAGCCGGTATACACTTTTTCTCATTACAATCTTTTTTTAAAAGCCAGCCAGATAGAAGACCCTATGATGCGTCTTGTAGCTATCCAGGATGTAGTTCACATGCTGCCAGATCTTCATTTTGCTACTTTGGATCTGGTATGCAAACATTTGGCCAACGTTGTATCTCGATCCGACTCGACATGTATGTCATCGCGCAATCTTTCGATTGTATTTGGCCCGACTTTATTCTGCGAGCCATATGATTATAGATTTGATCATTCACAAAAGAAGCACGCACAAAAGGTGATGAAAAATATGCCTATACAATGTGCGATTGTTCAAAGCTGTATTGAATATGCAGAATGGATGTTTGATCCAAAAGTGTTTCGGCCCAGTGTTGTGAGTGAAAGTAGCTTGGTAGGAGCCATGATATTACCACCGACTATGAAGGAAGTTTACTTTTAACTTTAATACCCATGAATACAGGATTGATATGCGATGTTTCCATTTTTGAAAATAATGGTACATATCTACCCATTCAACCTGTCTAGTGACTGTTGATACTTATTTGACCGATGAAATGTGCAATTGCAGCCCTATTTACGTAAAACAAAACACTAAACAAAAGTGCATAATAAATATTCAATTTCATGACATGCTGAGTGTCAGTTTACTGGTCGATATTGTGGTTTGGCCTCTTTACTTGACTTGTCTTGTAGTGATTGCCATGGAAACAACATTGTATTCTGAGCTAGAACACGAATGTATGAGTTTTTAGCAGTGAGTTGAGTTGACCCAACATCCGATCGCAATGAATGAATCTGGTGATTGTACCAAAAGTGGAGAATGGATAGTTTGACTGCTGCATAATATGATGAATGTGATGCTTATTGAATCAGTCAATGTGTAATAAAAACTACAATGAATATTTAACCATTGTATATTCCGAGCAAAATAGTGATTGCAAGATAAATACAAGTGTTTCATTTCATGTGAATACAGCTGTAAAACAGTTTATTTACTGCTCAACTCGGCAATCCTCTTCTCCTTTTCCTCGATGGTTCTCAACAAGATCCTAAACCCAAACGTAATATTAGATTTAGTAGTATTCATATCAGCAGTATATTATGTATTTGACCAATGGCTTACAAAACTCTAAACTCCAGTTTGGCCCTAAAATCATATACGGTTTCGAAATAAAGATCAGAAACTAATTAGCCAGATATAAGTATTGATTGAATACATACTTTTCAATTTGAAGGGATGAGACCAATGCATCAGTTTTATTATCCGGTAATCTAGAAGTTTGTGCATGCACTTTATACACCAAGTTCGTCCAGTCATAATCATGATCAAAGTCAAATATTAGTATCCAGGTCGATAGTCAGTTGTGAAGAGCAGAACCATGTTGATATAGGAGATTGCTTAGGATGGGATAAAAGTATGAGAAGATACCTGGCTGTGTTGATGCAGAAGTTAGATTGGATGCCTCAAGAAGAGACTCGATCAACAATGCATGTTTTTCAAGACCATCTAGTCTAAACTCCAGTTCAGATGTTGATTGCAATTGACAATTGTCAGTCATTGTGTTGAATTGGTGTGTATCGAACAAACTTGAAAAGTGGACGCTTTTGTATTTATCTTGCAATCACTATTTTGCTCGGAATATACAATGGTTAAATATTCATTGTAGTTTTTATTACACATTGACTGATTCAATAAGCATCACATTCATCATATTATGCAGCAGTCAAACTATCCATTCTCCACTTTTGGTACAATCACCAGATTCATTCATTGCGATCGGATGTTGGGTCAACTCAACTCACTGCTAAAAACTCATACATTCGTGTTCTAGCTCAGAATACAATGTTGTTTCCATGGCAATCACTACAAGACAAGTCAAGTAAAGAGGCCAAACCACAATATCGACCAGTAAACTGACACTCAGCATGTCATGAAATTGAATATTTATTATGCACTTTTGTTTAGTGTTTTGTTATGTGAGCATCTTTAACTGAAAATTTACTTGCCACAAATTATTCAAAATCAATATGGATAGAAAGAGAATTAATGTAAAGTATTTGCACTAGATTGGACACATGGTTCAAATGGATTGGATAGTATTAGTCAATAACTTTGTATATTTTGATATTGCTAATTCAGGGACCAGAGAAGAGTATTGTTCCTCAACCGTTAATCTCTACTGCACTGGGTCATCCACATACAGGTCAACGAGCTGACAAACGACGACCAGACCAGATCAGACCAATATATACAAAAGCAGGCACAATCCCTCAAGCCAATGGCAGTGCATACATTGAAACCGGAAACCTAAAAGTAATATGCGCCGTTTATGGGCCTCGTCAGTCTTCATCAAGACAGCTATCATCATCGACTGGAACACTTCAATGCGATTTCAAGTTTGCACCGTTTTCTGGAGAGAAACGAAAGGGCTATGCCAAGGTAACTCCATTCAAGCAGGATGCATTGATATACTGTGGTAGTCTGGATTGCCAAGTACTGAGCTTCATTCTAGAATTTAATTTTCAGACATGAATATTCGATTTTTCATAAAATTCAAATGTGCATTGAATTCATTCGACTTATTTACATCTGAACGATTTCATCTAGGATGATCAAGAAAAAGAGTTCTCAATGGTTTTAGAGCAAGCACTTACTCCATCGATCCGTCTAGAAAACTATCCCAAGTTTACAATTCAAGTATTCGTCATTGTTCTTGAAAATGATGGATCCATGTCAGCACTTGCAGCAGCCATATCCTGTGCTTCTCTTGCCTTGGCAAACGCTGGCATTGAAATGCTTGATATGGTGGCTGCGTCTTCTATTGCATACTTTGGTGAATCGATGTTGTGTTTGGACGTATCGCTCAAGGAAGAAATGGTGCAGGATGGTGCAATGTTAGTTTCATACATGCCTTCGTTGAACGAGGTCACACATCTAATTCAAACAGGGCTAGCAACTACTTCGCAATGCACCAAGGTAAGGATGACTATTGGTGTAAATCTACAATAATGTATTATAAATGTCATTTTTATTGTACGAATCTGATTGGTCTTGACAATTTTATGCATTTAAACTGTTTAGGCGATTGAGCTGGGTGTTGATGCATGCTCTCAGATTCATACTATTTTACAAGAAGCTTTATTGAGCGAATAAATCTAACCATTTAACACTGCAAAAATTAACCTATACTAAATCTAAGCATCATCCAATCTGATTTTCACTTGCATTTTATTTCTTAATGAATGCACCTAAATTTCGACCATGTCTAGGCACTCTTGCTCCTGAATCAGTCTCATCTGTAATTACGTCATCAATATCTTCAATTCCACCAGGCACCCGACTCGATTTAATCGAGTTTTCTGATGTTGATGTTTTGATTTCCTTTTTATGCTCGGCTAAACTCCATGTATTCGGTCTGCTCTGCAATGTGGAATTTTGCGCTACATGGCCAACTAAATCCTTACAATATTGCTCTTGATCTTGCAACTCTCTCTCCAGATCCTCAATCAATGATTGCTGATCAGTGCATGTAGACTGCAAAAGTAGAATCTAAAATATATACATTTAGACATCAACTGTACGATCGGGAAGATGAAATAATGGTATGACCTTGAAGGAACTAGAATAATTTCATTGAAAAATGAATGGCTGAATTTACCTTTTTCTCGTCGGTTGCTTTTTGTCGACGAAGTTGTTTTAAAGCAACTTCCGCTTGCATATTTCGTTCATTTGACGATTTTTTAATTTGATTCCTAGTCTCGTCTAGTTCAAAAGTAGCCTTGTCCAGCTTTTCTTGAAGTTCAGCATTGCTATTGAAGCGAATATGAGATCAAGCAATAGCGAATCAACACTTGATACAATTACACCAACAGTAATTGAAATTTATACAAATAGCTTACGATTGAACAAGTAAAGCCTGTTTATCAGCCTATATAGTACAAAAATATCAGATTAGAATGTTGAGCTAAAGCAGCAGTTTTTAACTCATCAACATGATACCATTTTCTTTAATCGATCAATTTCTGCTGTCATGTGAGCTACTACAAGTACTTTTTGCTCAACTTGACGCTGTAATGTTTCACACTCGACCTATTCATCCATACAATAATTTTATATATGTTTTAACGAGTGAATCAAGTGGAAAAAGTGAACCAATAGATTTAACAGCAATAAACATACTTTGAGTGCTCGAGTGTTTTTATCAGATACTACTTGATGGAGCTCTGTAGCATGATTAAAATCATTCATCATGCGTCTAAATCGAGCTTCCAGATCATCCGTGCTATGATGATCTGTAGCTTGTGCTGAAGCAAAATGACGCACGTTACTTTTCTGTGTGCATACAGCTTCTTGGTCAAGTTCATTTTGAGTTTCCTCGACAAAATCATGATCAATGGCGCCGATGGATGAGCCTAGTGATGAATGCGGAGGTGGCGAGTTTGGTGCAAGATCATCTTTTTTGGGAAGCTCCTGCGATACAGTCTGTGATGATTGATCTACTGATAATGTAATTATATCAGGATGACCAAGCAACTTTCTCATAATCCTATACATTTTCAAAGCAAAAATCAATATACCCCATCCATAAAATCAGCCAATATTGGTATTTAAGCATAGGAAAACAGTAAAGGTATACCTGGCAAACTCGGTTTGGTTAGTATTGACTTGAAGATTGTGCATATATATTTCATATTTAGGTGATATGACGCGATTACAAAACAGTCGTGAAAGGGATGTTGACGCAAAAAGGCAATCCACCATCAATGTAGATACATTCAAAACCATTTCTGTATACCACTCCACAGAAAGCAATAGAATTACTGTGTTATGCATAATTGGATTGGCTGATTCATACTGGTTGAATGCGTCTAAAAATGTTTGAAGCTGAGCACGACGATCATTGATGCTTCCAACAATTGGTCTGATTTCATCCAATAAAACTCGTTCTTTATGAATTAAAATCCATAATTCAATATACTAAACACAAGTAGTATTTGAAATAGTCAACAACGCAAATCCGCCAAGCAGTCATGAGTAGATAAAAAAGTACAAGTAAACCTACCGAATGCAAGGCATCATGCATTTTGGCAGACATGGTAGGGAGTTGATATAAAATGTCAAGTGAAGGCCAGTTATCTGAAACATAAGTAATAGTATTCCACACGATGCCAAACAATTGATAAAGTATTGCAATGCTTTGCAATTTAGGATCCTCATTTAAAAGGATTGTTGATGATGTCTGTTATTATAAACTGTAGTGTTAGCAATGCCATTAAACTTTTAAATACAGTCGTGTAGGATATATAGATAAAAGTACCTGACGAGATAGACAATCTATCAAACAAGCTATATGAGCCCAACAGAAATGGCTCGTAGTCAACCGCAGCTTGTGCGACTCGACGTATTTAGAAAATAGTGAATAGTCTAATTCCCGCAACAATATCCATACGTTGCTCATTAATGGCAACTCTTTCGATAATGCAGCCATCAACCGTAAAACGCGATCAAATAGCTGACAGTCTTGCCACAACCCTTTGATAATCCACTCGACTAATGGCAATTTTTCATTAAACAATCTAATATGGTATATAATGGGTAACTTAGCTATTTCAGATACACCAACATTTTGAAAAAAGCAACTGCATGGTAAATATCACTTACTTTTTCGAGTCGGTCGACAGAGTACTTGATTCAAGCATACATATCATCAAATCGATCATACACTTTTGTAGCTCTAGTGGCGTGTTTCCTTCTTCGCACACTTCAAATACGATATCTAAAATGCGTTTTATATTTTTATCACTGAACAACTAATAGTTTAAAGGGAAATGACATGGTCATTAGCTTGATCATATTGGCGTCATATAAGATGCATAACAACGCATATTTACCTGCTCTTGCAACTTTGAATCTTTTACAATATTGAATAGGATTCGGAGAGCACATCCTACATGATCCATATTCTTTTTTTATACCAGTGAGTAAAAATGGATCAATGCTTACATTGTGTATAGTCAAATCTTGCCAAGATTGTATTACCATTGATGCTGATATTTTTACAAGTTTTGCACATAGATTAGCAAATCCAGAAAATTCAATAATGCTAGTTTGATAACTTGGAATGCTAGACAGTGTTGCCAACAAACTCAACGTTTCGCTCTCTGTGTTGTCCATTTTTTCTCCAAATTCGGTTCTAATAAGCATATTTTAAATAAGTATATAGCTGTATTACCATCAACCCGAGAAAAATGTATAAGCCAAATAAACCTACATTTCCTGTGCAAAAAGAATTGCCATATTTAAAGGTATTGTTGTGGATGGATTCAGCTGTCGATCGAGTAGTTTAACCAAGACAGATTTAGACGAGTGTTGGTTTGAAAGTGCTGAATTTTTCCAGAGATGTTTGATGTAGAGATCGTTCCGAGCCAAATACACATCACACCCTTCTACTCTATCAACTAGATATTCATTCATTAAAAGTAGAATTCATTAGCAAATCAAATGTTAGAGTAGCTAAAGTTTCGTGAAATCCAAATCTAGGTTTATAAACATGAATACATACCCAAATCACTCAGCAACAGCCCACACTCTAGCGCAGTTGGAGATTCTGCTCCGCCAAGATACTGGTTTACCAACAAATCCAACGTCAATTCATTGACAGGTTCCTCCCAAGTGCTGATGACCGTATCAGCCAACATCTTCCTTACTGCCTAGAAAAGGCATCAATGTATACAATTAGTATTTAGACAGCCTAGTGAAACAGTATCAGGAAAATCGATCAAACCAGAGTGTACCTTGATAGCATTGACAAACTGAGTTTCTGTGGGTGGGTCGCTGTGCTGGTGCATTTGATACAAATGCTCAAGAAGTGTCCGTAAATGATGTCCGGTTTTTCGAGCAGCTGGAGGCGTATCGACTATAGAATCGCATGCCAAGAGTTTTGCAGGATATTCTCGCTGTGAATTGGATGGTTTTTCTATCTGCATAGCAGTCACAACAGACACTCTTGCTGACTGACGATGTGTGTTCAAATGGCTTTCAGATGCAGCTGAATTCGACTCGGTGGTGTCTGCGCTGGTCAGGACAGTAAGAAAGGGTTTGTTTTTCATTGCATTATCAGCAATAGCAACATGTTGAACCACAGACTCATAGTCGCTATCCGTATCTGAAGACTGCGAATTGTTACCCAACATATTTTATTATCAATCGATTTTTCAAGGCAAACCCTAGAATGTCAAATAGTCCAAAAACTCGATCGTCACTATTTCTATCCGTCTGATGCTCCATGTCAAGCTATGCAAGCTATGCTTCAAAATCATAAAATAATGTTGAATAGTGAAAATATGATGACTTCATTGTGAGAAATGCCAATATAAGCGAAATTAGCGAGTTGACAAGCAAAAGATAAAGTGCTAATGGTGGGTAGGCATGTTGACGTTGGCCTGAGAAGATTCGGCATCCTCGCTACGCCAGAGAGCAGTGACAGTCTTGGTGGAAGTATAAAACTAGTAAAATGTTGATCAATGAATCAGATTTAGTTTAACATCACAATCATTGTAGAGCTGCATTGAAAAAGCATGGCATAATAAACTCACCTGAACTCCGCTCTTTCCGTAAAAGTTGAGATCTCCACGGATGGATCCACGGCTACCAGTGAAGGAGAACATGGGCAGAGGGACGGGAATGGGAACATTGATACTAATAATGTAATGGCATCCAAATGTTAAGTGATTTGAATATACTCGGTAAAGTTGATCTAGCAATGTCATCAAAAACATACCCGACTTGGCCTGCGTCGACGTTCTCAGTGAACTTGCGAGCAGCACTGCCAGAGTTGGTAAAGATGGCAGTGCCGTTACCATAGCGGTTATCGTTAATGATCTGAGTGGCTTCTTCAAGGGTATCGGCAGTAAGACAGACAAGGACCTAGAGTACGTGTTCAATGACCCAAAAAGCAGTAGATAAGAATAAATAAAATCGGCACTGGGATAGTCAGGATTAGATTCACTTACAGGTGCAAAGATCTCCTCTTGGTAGCATTTCATGTTGGGTTTAACCTCAGTAATGATGGTAGGACCAAGGAAGTTACCCTTTTCAAATCCTTTGGGCTTGAGGCCACGACCATCAAGAACAATTTTGGCACCCTCAGTAGTGGCAGACTCGATAAGTTCCTCGGCACGCTTGAGAGCCTGAACAGAGATCATAGGACCAAGATCGGCATCTTTGTCAAAGCCACTGGTGACAGTGAGCTTCTTGGAGCGCTCGACAAGCTCGGGAATCCAGTTTTTGGACTCGCCGACAAACACTGCAGTGGAAAGAGCCATGCAACGCTGACCAGCAGCACCAAAGGCGGCACCAATCAACTGGTTAAGCGTGTGGTTTTTGTTGGCATCAGGCATAACAACACCATGGTTCTTGGCACCCAAGTTGGACTAAAATAGGAGCAGCACATAATAGCAAATCAGTACAAGATATGGCTGTTAATGAATGCAGACGTGCAACAAGAATTGATAGCAGCATTCATAGAATAATGATTGCAGTACCTGGACACGTTTGCCATTTTCGGTACCACGCTGGAAAATATATTTTCCTGCTTGATCAGATCCAACAAAAGAAATAGCCTTGATGACGGGCTCATCGCAGATGAAGTTGACAGTATCAACACCTGAAATAATATGCAAATAGAGATTTAAATCTACAGCTATAACTCTGAATTAAATGTATCCACTTACCACCCTGAACGACATTGAGAACACCCTTGGGAACACCTGCCTCTTCAGCCAGCTTAGCAAGCATCATAGTTGCACCAGGATCCTTCTCAGAAGGCTTGAGAATGCAGGTGTTACCACATGCAATGGCCAATGGGTAGATCCACTGATAATTTGATTCAACATTGAAATTAGCCAATGGCGTATTGTAGAAACAATGCATCGATGCAAGAGAATGCTCACCAGGGGAATCATAGCTGGGAAGTTGAAAGGAGTAATACCGGCAACAACACCAAGAGGTTCACGGATCGTATAAGTGTCCATATCACGAGCAACACCGAGTTTCTCGCCAAGAAGAAGCGAAGGAATGCCGCAAGAAGCCTCGACAACTTGAAGACCACGAAGAACATCACCTTTGGCATCAGCAAAGGTCTTGCCTTGCTCGAGGGTAATAGAATGGGCAATGGCATCCTAATTTCATAAAAATACCGCAACAGTCAACAAAACGATCGATTTGCACAACAAAAACAAAAACAAAAAACCAACCATGTTGTTGCGAATGAGCAACTGAAGATCAAGCATGATACGCTGACGACTCAAAACGCTGGTTTTGCGCCATGTCTTGAATGCCTCCTGGGAAGTGCGAGCAGCTTCTTTCAGCTCAGCAGGAGTTGCTTGTGGAACATATGTGACGATCTCTTGAGTAGCCTATTGATTAGTTAAAAACATGAATTACAAAATGAGTAAATTGAATCAAACAGCATTGGAGTATCAAACAATACATTGGGTTTCTGCAACACAGCAGTATGAATGCGATTGATGAACAGTTCAAAGCAATACCATTCCACATTTATCATTGCAACTCTTGTCACGCGATCAATGCAAACCTTTCAAGGCGTAGTATTGGATAATCCATCAAAGATCACAATTGCAATTGTTACTTACTGGGTTGCGCAGTTCAATCCACTGGTTGGTCTGAGAGTTCATAAACTGTCCATTGATGTATAGCTGAGTCTCTGGAGCGCCTGCAGGCTTTTTCACCATATGCATGGCAGGAGCCGAGTAGAATCGCTATAAACAAGATCAACCCATTAGTATACTTGATGGAGTTTCCAACACTCGACTGCATTCATAATCATCCAAAATACTTAATACCTTGGCCAAGCGAGCAGTGTTTGTAGCACGAAGGAATGCAGACATTGTTAGGCTACGATGGATTTGTGGTTGATATGAGCACAAGAAGAATGTTTTTATAAATTCTGTTCTGCTTTAAAGTCGCGATTGAACAACCCGTAACATCTTCATCAGGTGATGCTGTCATTTCTAACCATCCCATGATATCAAGTTTTTAGTTCAAATCTACTAGTGTCGGGCCGCATCTACTTATTCATCTGCCTTGGCAAAACTACTCGGTTTACTCGACATCTTATGAAAATATACCCAGGTTATTGCAGTTTATTCATGAAACAGCCCTAATATTCAGATCTAATAAAAACTGTCAAAGTCCCAGTCCTTCATAATGGTTACTGCGATCAGAGCCATATTCGCGTAAAATAGAACACTAATCAAGGATGATACAATGCATGATAAACAGTCTGATTGATGTCAGTTTACTGGACAGCATTGTATTCTTTCGAATCATTGTTTGGAAACCGTTTTTAGTGTTTAGCATTCAAAACATGATTTTTTATGGATTTCTACTTTCATGTGAGGGCTTTATCAAGCACACATGTCTCGACCAACAATCTGTTAGACATGGTTTACCAACCATTCAACACATGTCGCACAGATTGGAGTTGTATATTGTTCATTCTTGAATACTGCAGAAAACGACTCGATCACAACAAAGAATGAGTTCGTTTGTCGAGCAACTTCAGACACTAAAGAATTGGGTTCTACTAAAGTCAATGTCCAGTACTAAGCAACGAATATTCAACCATTATCTATTTCCAATCAGACTGCAAGATGAATAGAGCTCTGTTTTTGTTGAGTTGGATTGTTTGATAAATTCCATAATAAACAATTCGTATAAAGTATGCATAGTTGATGTATAGTATTGTATGGGTTTTGATCAGTATGAGAGCGTAGTAGTAGCCAAGTCAACAGTCCAAATAAAACGATATAACCTTGCGTGTACATTGATTTGTTGATGTCTATTTGCAACGAGTCTTACATTTTTAAACCATGTATCTGCTTGAACAATAAGGAAATACTGGTGTTGTCCAGGCCTAGATCTGCCAGATGACATCAATGATAAGCGCGTAGTTGTATTTGGATGCAGTCTGCCATCTCCATATAGGCATTGCGTTTGCTTCACCGTTTCTCAGAATTTACACCAACCATACTGCTTGATAGTGTGGTAAGTAAAAATATAAAAAACATGCCAGTTGACATCAATTAGATGCTCAATATTTATCAACCCGTCTAAACACCCGACCAATATAGTCTATCATGATCTAGCAATATATCAGACCATTTTAATGAATAAAACCTCGTACTGAAAATTATACTCAATATATCGTCATGGTTGTGGTGGGTTAGGCAAAGTCATGGCAGTCGTGCCAAGAACAGCAGACATTTCAGATCGACGTTTAGAAACCACATTTTTTTCAGAAACTTCACACATGACCACCGGCTTCCTATTTCCAGTCCGTGTACTGGATATACGCTGTTCATAAATCAGAGGTGATCCAGTCCGCGAATTCCCAGCAGAATTCGTGACATTATTGTGCTCTACTGCACCACTTTCAGACCCTTTCCTCAAATGCTTACTCGTTACTTTATCAGCAGATTCATCCTGATCATTAGTGACAATAACCGAAGCAGCGCCAGTTTTATCACCTAGCGTAGCTTGATTAGCATCCAAGGGCTTGGATAAAGGAAAACTACCATTATTCCATTGACTACCAATACGTTGATATGAGGCGCCGCCAGGTGCAACACCTTTGAGCTGATAATAAGCAAAATCGTTTGGAACATTGCTTTGAGATAGCCTATTAGGTTCATCCATTCCATGCATAAGCATATCAGTCAACTCGGTTGCGTCATCAGCGGCAATGCCTACAGACTGGTCAGTGTCGTCATCATGAAACAGATCTTTAAACCATTCTGATGTTAATCGTACCGCCTGACGGGCTTCGGGTAGAAATGTCATCATTTGGAAAAACGCATGTGAAATGCCTTGAATGATTTTAACCTTGACCATCTTGTCGGGTCCTTGTGAAAACACATGATGCTCAAACTCGGCATCTTCAATAATTGAATTCATGCGCTGTAGTTCAGAATGGTGATTTGGAGAGTCGCCATTTACTGATCGACGCGAATGTCGCAAGTCTGCCAGAGATAATCCATTGCTCATAGTAGTATTCAATCCCAATCTATGACGCTGCTCACGAACCTTTTCCCACTCACGCTTTGCCTTTGCTTTTGCTTCTCGAATTCGAGCTGCAAAGATCACAGTGTCGTCTACAAAAGGGTCTTTTTCGCCTACAATAAAATAGGTTTTGGGGAATCTTGCAAGGATTTCATCAGATGCAATGACCGGACTGAGGTAATGATCGTGCATGAGATCCGGCACAACAGGAGATCCAGAAAGGTAGAGCAATGCCATTCCACGCAGCACTATTTAGCATGTGCATTTTACATAGCGGATATAAGCTATTACAATATAGGCATACTCATGTTCTATAAATATTATGATACCTACATTCAGGAGTGATGATACGATCAGAAAAGTATGACATGCGCGAAGTCATTGAAAGTGCGCTAGGAATATACGGGCCAGTGGATTTATGAGCAAATATTTGTGGACGAAGCTTATGGTACCATGACAAACTACGATCTGCCTGATTGTTAAACACATCAATTGCACGTGGAGCCTCTGATGTCTCTAATGGAGCTAGTTTTCGTATGTGTAGCTTTGAATCAATAAGTGGAGCCAACGATGTGCTTGATTCAGCTCGTAGTAAATTCAACTGGCGTGGTGGAATCCTATCCATTTTAATTCAAAATAAACAATCGGTCATTGCACAACATTGCAACCGCTTCAACACTAGATAAGCACATGCTTACCAACAAGCCATGTCATATGAAAGACAAGGATATACACAGATGAATGCAGCTGGTGGTTTTGCATGCTCCTGATTAAATTCAATGCATTTGAAAATCACTCCTGTAGCCAAGTTTGCCCCACTAAATAATAAAAATCAGTGCTTTCGTCATCAAAGCAATGAGTTCATCAAACGCATCATTTATCTTACGCTGAATCTCCAGTCATGACAATTTTGATGGATTTCTTTGGAGAGATTATCCTACCGGCTTGATCAAGCACATGCCATCCACTCATACCGATTACTTCACCATTTGACTCGACAATACTTCTATAAGCCTCATAACATTCCTCAAGAGCCCATGGATATGGAAACTCTGGAGCTTTTCCGTAATTGATACTCACAATTGGCACTCGAACTTGTCGTGCCCAGCTTGACACATAGTCATCATGATGTGTTGGAGTAGTTGTAACAAACCCGCCACCAGGAATTTGAAAAATAAGTTCTGTTGCAGCTGCTAGTTGAGCCGGAGTACCATCAAAATATAGTCTAGCATTAATATGAGGCTTAGGACGATTTAAAAAAACAGAGTGAGATGGGACTGTTGGGAGTGGAATGGTAATATCCTTTCGAATCTGAAGAAAGCCACGATCGAATGTAGTAAATAGACGTAGAATTGGATTGGTAGATTTTTCCCAGGAACATCGCATGATTTCAACTGTTGCATTATTTCTAAATGTGCGAACCTATATAGATGAAGATGCAAAGTATAAAAACCAAGATTGTTGAATTTAAAGGCAAGATTGTTGATCAGCAGTACCACAATCCAAATCACTGCACACTGGATCATCTACCTTGTGATCGGCACTTTCAGGAAAGAACATGTAAATTATGGATAACAAAGGCGACAGAACATCACGCAACCACTTTGGACGCATGTGCATGCATGTCAAAAATCCTGCATCCAAACTTGTCATGATCCAAGTAGCACGGAAAAAGTTGCGAGTGTACTAGAGCAATAGTAGGTAAAAGTTGAATCAATACCAGGCATGTCTTGATTAATATTAATGTCTGAGCCATTGATATCCACATATAAACCCTTGTATTTTGGTTAAAAGTAGTTTATAAACACCAAGCACTCATCAGCAACGGTTACCATCTTGGAGTAGAGTTCAGGACCATTTAGGAATACCAAATGCAAAAAGTTTTCAAACAGGTATGATCCCAGCAACGACACAATAGCAATTTTCCAAGGAGGCAGACATCCTAGTATCCGGTCAATTCGTCGCAATATTTCTATAGGGGCTCTTCGCTTAGACTTGTTAAGAAAGTAGGCACTTTAGATATTATAATTAGTATGACATGTATGACAAATCCAAGGATGTGCTTCAGTCGAATGACGCAGAGTCCCAATAGACATGCTATCAAGCAGATTTAGACCTACACTGTTAGAATGGTAACGAGAATCTGAGAACGTTTCCAACCAGACGAAGGACGACCCAGTACATGATCAATCATTTGGAATGCAGATGTTTCAAAAAATAACTACAAGATATTTTAGTCAATTGTTGGTGCACCAGCTCTTCTTGATCGACACCAAAGCCAGCAAGCAGTTGGGCAAAGTGCGAGTCGCGCTTTAGCTTTTCAAGTGAATCGAGTGTTGCTTCAAGCTCGACTGTTGGCATTGCTCGTCTAAGACTTTAAATGCACGCAAAGATGTACTCAATTTACTCGGAATTATTGAAATAATCAACACGTAGTTTCATCTGTTGGTCAATTGCTTTCATTCGTTTCCTCTTTTCAATCCATATTTCTATTCCAAATTGATATTTTTCTTGCTGGTCTAGCGATTTACACAACATCAACCTTTTCTTTTTCAAACACAATACGATTGTTGCCAAGTGTTCAAATTACCGAGTTGCTCATCATTTTCAAAACTCAAGCTACTAGCCAAAACCAGTCCCATAGGAATGCTGATTTACAACGATCAGCCTGACTTGATGATGCTGGTTTTACAGTCGCATTCGTGTAAAACAAAACATCAGACAAGTTAGCATACATGATAAACAACCAGTTTCATGAAATAATTGGTCAGTTTACTGGATAGCATTGATTTGTAAACTTGCTGACTGATCGTTGTGTTCATTTTTGTATAACTGAATGAATGTTGACATCACATTTCCAGTAAATCTCAATGTTGTACCAGTTGTCTTGAGCATCTTCATCCACATGCATTGTGATTGAAGGATTGCGTATTTGATCCATCAATGATCGTATAGTTTGCTTTTCTGTAGTAGATATATCAACGTGGTTTTGAGGATAGTCAATGGAAAGAGGATCTGTAACCGGACATTAGTTCACTACAGTCAGTAGTAGTTACAATGCATGGGCTTAATAGAATCAATTTAAATCCTGGATTGATCCAGAAACCTTTAATGGTTCTTGTTGATAGAAATGCAACTTGTAAGATCGGACATGTTGATGGTTTGCTGTAAACCCAACAAAAAGTTGATTAAAAGAACTTGGATAAAACATGCTGACTGCCACCAAGCCAGCATCTAGCACTGCTGCTACGAATCCGGAATCAACTGCTGGAGACACTCTGTCCAGACAAAAAAAGAGTCATCCGCCCGGTCGTTTTGTGAGTTCCAAGTTTATGCAGCCAAAGAGTCAATCACATAGTGCTGCTATATCTCGAGCTGAACATCGATCCTCTGACACTACTCTAGTAACCTTCAATAAATCTTCAATCCCTGCTGCACAAAACCATCACAGACTTTCAAATGGTTCGTCACTTTCATCATCTGGCAGGACTTCCAGGTTAGTCAATACTATTGGATAGAAAACTGCAACAATCTTGTCAAATTAATGATGTTGGTATGCGCACTAGATTATTGGTTGGTTCATCTATGCATGCATCCACTATCAAAACATCATCCAATCCCATCAATCAAGATCCACTTGACTCTGTTCATCCAAGTCCAACTTCAGACCCTTTTTTATCCACACTCCAGCCTCCATCAGTAGCTAAAAAAGAGTTGTCCAAGCCAGTCCAACAATCTCCACTGGTGAATCACGATGATGAACAAATGATTCTCAATGCTCGAATGCTTCAAATCCAACTTGTGCGTGTCCGAACAGAAAAGGCTTTTGCAGCTCAAACCATCTCTGCACATGTAAACATTCATGCGCTATGCCAAAATACCAAAAGTGGAGAATCATGCTAATAGTCTAATTTATTTTATGTGACTGAATTGAATTAGACACAATTAAAAAAAGCTGCTGCGTATATCATGCAGCTACAAACACAAATCGATACACTGCAGCAGCAAAGTGCCTTGCGCGATCGTCTTGTTCAAAGTGTCGATATTTTACGTAAACAGGTGTATTTTTATCATCGTCTTTAAATCTACAACCCCATAAAAGCTAATCTGTTTATTCTATATATCATATTACAGCAAGCAGACATGCTGATGGTCAAAACACAACTTGGACCATTTATTGAAAATTATAAAACACTATTGAATGCAATAGAAACCACGTCTAAAGTCGTGCGTTTGAATGGAATATCTACGCCAGATCAAGGTATCCCAATACATCTGATCAACAGAATGTGTTTTCTACAAACTGCTTCATTTTTATTATTCCATTCTTGTGTTAACCATTCAATATTGTAGATTCATTGATTCATGTCATGGACAGAGCTTCAAAACAAGCATCAAACATGTTTTCAAGCCACTTGGATCCCAAGCAGGTACTTTTTTGATGGAAATCTGATCGTATTCACACTAAATGGGTGAGATATATTGAATTGTTAACACGATTTGACTTTTATAAACCTCTACATATTGAAGCTGGCCAATGTCATGGAGATTTCAAAAGCTGATCATGATGAGATAGAAAGTATTGCCAAATCAATCAAAGAAAGTGTTGCTTTATGCAATCAAGAAGCTGATATAGCCATGATCCATCTCAGCAAAAAAATCCATCAAATTGAATTGGCCTGTAATATTCCCAATGCATTTCAATAAATGGTTGATCAATACGGGCTTGGTGTTGGTACACGTAAATTCATTCTGGCAATAGATTATATTGCAAAACTGAATTTGGATACAATACATGGATCAAACCTGACAATAATATACATTTGAAAATTCAATTTGAAAGTTTATTCGATCTCTCAAACCAATTCAAAGTTGTCGCAGCCAACAGAGCAGGTATTGATCTGTGTTGCTCAAGATACATTTGCACATTTTGATGCAATGCATTGCGTGACTCATTTGTACCTCCAACAAGCTGTAATTCAATCTGTGGGTTTGTAGCAGAAGTAAAAAGCAACACGGGATCGTCAATGCTATGAGCATACATGGATGCCACTCGTACTTGCCCATCAATCTGAATCTCTACTTTAAACCCTATACACCACAGCTGTGTCAGGTTATCTTGTAAAACAGTATATCAATACATTACAATCGCAATTAAATTATACCTAGTAATATGTACACTGCTTCGCGAAACTCTTGTATTTTAGTCCCAAACACCTAGACACATCAAAAAGATTAGATTGTACAAGGTACTACAACTGTTTGGCTGAATGCACAAATGACCAGTAAGGATGTATACCTCTTTAAGTCGAGTCATGCGTTTGTTACATCCATCCAACTCCTCTTGAAGTTGATTGCATTGAATCTCCTTGGTATGCAAACTTTCGATTGGAATCATACCCGACTGTGGCTCATCAGCACAAGCAGATCGGCTTGGCATACATGCACCGCCAACCTGCTCTAATCTCATTCTCAGCTCTTTATTTTCTGCAGCCATTGCCTCATGAATTTGATTTCTGTCCAGAGCTGCTTTTGATTCTGGATTATCGGCTAGCATTACAATCTATAAATAGATCCCAGCGTGTATAACAACAAACAGGTATATGAACATGCTTTTCTATACCGCATAAAATATAATCAAGTTAAAATGCATAGATTGAGCTTACGCGAGTGGTAGTTGGATCATATTCTCCACGACCGATTGCATGCTGCAGCACTCCAACTTGTATCTCAAGTGAATTCACCTCAGTCTTGAGCATTTCATTGGCGTTTTTCAATGTAGCCATTTCTACACATGAAATGTAAGCCAAGTGAGGCCGGATTAAAATTGATGGTTAGTTGGTTTCATGGACATAAAAACTGTCATACTATACAACTAACCTTGATCGAGATGGAGTGTGTCATCCTGTGCATATTCGCGCTTTACATGCTGTTGCAACTGAGACTGAACAATACTTTGCGATTGAGTTTTAAGCTCTAATTCCAACATTTCATTTCGAGTCCTGTAGTCAACAATCAAAAGTTCCAAATCCGCAATTCGATGACTTTTTTGAATATCGTAAGATTTCATCATGGACTGCTCTTCTAAATCATAGCTTTTCTAACACCCACAAAGCAATGTATCGTTAGAATAAAGGGAAAATGTACAATACTACAACGTGGATTGATATGATAGTAGATAAAGAGTTGAACAAAATACAAGACACACCAGCTGTGCTTGAAGAGATGTGATTTGCTTTTGTAAAAGTTGATTTGATGCTTCAGTACGCCTAAGCACATTCGAATCCTCCTGCCGAGCAAATTTAAGCAAATCAATTTCCTTGTGCATTTCTTCAATCTAAAAGTTGTGTATTGATAGAACATCATTGAAAATTAGTGCATAGACATAAAGCAGTCATTGTGTAAATCTGGGCAAACCAACATGCCTCGTGTTCAAGCTGTTTTGTGTATGCCTTTCGAGCATGTATAGTATGTTCACCAACTTGTGTCTTCAAAGAAGCAATTTCAGTTCGCTGAGAAGATATTAACTTGGCCAAGGCGTATGGCGAATCAATACCCAAATCTGTGCCAACATCATTTATAAAACTCTGCCATCTAGCCTTTTCAGACTCCATATTGGTCAATGCAACACGCGCCTCGCTTAATTGCATGCGTACAACAGATAGTGACTCAATTTGTTGTTGTAGTGCTGTATTTTCTTCCTTGAGGCGCTCAGTGTTTTCTTGTATAGCTTTATGGAATGAAATTTGATCAGCTTGTTGAGCGACTTTTTTTTCAAGTTGACGGATATAAGTAGTTTGCTCTGTACAATTGTGATAAAAAGCAGATACGAATTAGAAGCAGTGAATTTTTGCTAATCTGATGACAACAGGAATGAAAACCAACAAACCAGCTAATTGCTTGTAAAGAATCGCATCAGCATCTTTGTTTTCTTTCATCGATCCTATGCTTTGCTTAGTAAGATTGGATGAGTGCAATCCTGAAAGTTTTAGCTCATACTCTTTTTTCTGGATTTGAGCATCGTCAATCAGTTGCTTTTGCTCTAAAATCTATTCAATCAAAATAGAATAGAATCATTCAAGACATTCAATTAAACATTAAGCCATTTGGATGAGCAAATAGCAACACTACAGTAATTAAATTTCAGTTTTGAATACCTGTTGTTGAGCAACTTCAAGTTGCAACATCAAGGAATCGACAATGATTCGTTTCTGATCTAGCTCAGCTTTTACTGTGCTGATGTTTATTTCATTTGTATCTTTATCAAATTGCCACGATTCTTTTAATTCCCTAATTTCATCATCAAGTCTATGGATCTCTTGATTCCTTAGGCTCTAATCACCAGAAAATCATCAAGTTTAGCATACACATGCAGATGGATATACCTATATACTGGGTTTACTCACTTTAGTTTCAATCAACTCCTTTTGAAGTTTTTCAATACGTTCACTCAAATCTGTATCTCTTGAGAATAAAAAACTACGATCCGAATCCAATCTTTCATGGCGAATAGTTGCATCACTCAGCTCTGTTTCCAGCCGATCTCGGTCACGCTCAGCTTCAATCAACTTTGCCATATAAGTGGATTTGGTGCTAGCTAATAATCGTTCCAGACGTTTGATTTCCTTTTGAGAAGTTTGTGCTATGGATTGGTCTTGAATAGGTGATGCTGCTCGTTTGCGAGTGGTGGGAGAGTCCTATATTAAAGCACGTTTAGTACTTAAAAATGACTCGAGTATATACCAAGATATGGATCAACAGCATTTGTATTTGGTTCTATAAACACTATTTAAAATATAAGACAATGCCAATAGTAGTGTTACCGTTTTTGTAGGAGATTTGGATTGACTGACTTTAGGAGATCCTGAATCCGCCACAGCTAAAAAGTTGTAAAAGGAATTCAGAGCAGGATTGCAAGTTTCGAGTTGTACCGAGGCAGAATCAGCTTTAGACGAACTCATCATTCCAGTCGTCTGATGAGTGCCAACTGATGGTTTTACTGAATGTCTGACTCCATATCGCAAGCCAATAGGAGTTTTTGTGCCTTGACTAGCTGTGGTGCGATGAAAGAGTCCTTGAGTGTTACCAAACGAACGAGTTGCGGATGAATGAAGCAAACGACTGGATGGAGTGTGTAAATCAAACTGCTGTCTTTGAGGAGTGGTTTCTGTAAACGAATCGTTATCAATAGAAACGTTTGGTTTTCTGTCCATGGCTCAGATCAAACTCCGTTGAGTGAAACTGGACAAAGTTGAACTCGCGTCGACTCGAGCTGTCATGGCTCGAATAATAATATTGCATCGAGTCTGCTCGCATTGCAATACATTCGTGTTCGATTCAACACATTGAAATCCAAAAAATAATAAAAATTGGGATTTCATTTGTAACGCAAAGTCATTGTTTTAATCATCATCGACCCATGTTTAATCTTGGTTTCCAATCCCGAATGGGATGAGTTTCGGGTGTTGCTTGCTCATCTTCCTTCCATACTTTGATGGTCTTGTCAGCTTCGCCTGTAATCAACCGTGATCCAGATCGATCAAATGTCGAACAAAATACACCAGCTTCACTATCCAAAGATCCAGGCTGAACAGGTGATTGTGCTGTTTGAAAATTATACCCCGACTTCCAGTCCCAAAAATACATGGATCCGTTATTTGCACCTGAAAATAAAACATTGTCTTGATTACAGCTAAGCGTGTTGATGATCGCATTATGGCCTTCAAGGTTTTGAATGAAATTGCCTTGTGGGCATCTCCATTGCTTGATGTAGTCGGTGCTTCCACTTGCAAATGTAAATTCGGTTGGATTAAGTGCAAGTGCTCGCACACTTTTTTTGTGATGAGTGAGTGTTGACATGGTCTTTCCTGCTACCAAATCCCATAGACGAATGGTTGAATCTGTCGATGCTGTAATGATTTGTGGATCTGCTTCTTGACATTCAACAGCTGAAACGGTCGATGTGTGGCCAGTAAGTGCAAAAATTTGTGCCTTTGTTCTCATATCCCAAACCTAAAAAGCCAATTAAAACATTGCTCATTTTAAAAAAGGGAATTCAATAAGACTTACACGAGCACTTGAATCACGACCACCAGTGACTAAAACATCCAGAGTAGGATGTAAAGAAAGCGTGTAAATGCCACTCAGATGGCCATGGTAGTGACGAATGACCTTGTTGTATTCTAAATCCCAGCACTTGATCTGTTTATCCTCACCAGCTGAAAACAGGTACGGATGGCGTGGTGATACTGCAACACCACGCACAGCAGAGATGTGACCAGTAAGCGAGAGCTTAAGAGTACCTGATGCTAGATCCCAGATCTTAATCATACGATCGCCAGCACCTGTAACAAACCACTCGTTACTTGAATCCACAGTAATACAACGCACCCAGCCAGTATGTCCACTGATGACCTATTTACAACAAGATAGTATCATTTAGTACACGGCAATAAAAATGATGGCATAAACGACTCCAGACACGTATTAAAAAGTACATGCCCGCATAAGTTTCCAAGGTGCATGCCAGGTAGGTGTAGGTATCTTGCGTCCTTGCTGTATGCGAATAAGAGCAGTGGTTCCGGTATTGGAGGATTGGGTAAACGAAGGGAGTTGTGATCGAAGTGCAACTACACCAGATGGTACATTGGATGAAGAAACGTTGCTAAATAGAATAAAAGTGTCAATTTATGCACGAGTTCAAGGCAATATACAAAATAAATATTTGAATCTACTAAACTTACTTTGGACGAGTAGTAATGGAATCAATCATATCACCCACAGCAGTATCTTGATTATCAACAAGAGCACTTTGACCCGATTTAAGTTTTGGTTTAGATTGATTCTGAGAAGCAATTGCAGCTGGCAGCTCGGCTACATGACACCATTCATCCAAGATCTTTGAAGCAAGCTTAGTGCGTTGACTAAGTTAAAGTAATGATTATTATTCCAGTTTAAATTTTAGACCCAGATTCTAAATCAAATGATTACCTAGGAGGATCAATAGGGACTTGAACGACAAGAGGGTCGTTGAATAGAGCATGAGTTCGTTTTAGATTAGCCGAGATCAGACCGAGAGCAAAAGCAGCCGATTGAGATGATTCAGGATCTACAATGTCTGTACAAACAGGATTATTTTCCACATTATCTGCAGGATGAATAGCAACAGATGGCTTGGAAGGAGAGTGTTTTGCAGCACCAGCAGCCTTTTTTGGAGTTCTGGCCATTGCAAGTCAAGAACAGAAAAGCCGAAATGGCGGAAGTTTGACCCAAGACTCACGTGACAAAGATTCAAATATTCAAGCGAGCTGCACTGCAAGTTGAAGCTGCAACCATCGAGTTACTGCCAGTCGAAGCTGCAACCCTTCACTACACATGAGCGAGACTGCTGTACAAGTGCCATCTCCCATTGTCGGATGCAGACTTCCTGTTGAAAAGCGAGATGGTGCTGAAAAAAGCTGGCATCAAGCCGAAATCCTTTCTGTCCGGTTCTTGGAGAGGGGCATCCAGCGAGCGCAGTTCTATGTCCATTACGAGGGCTTCAACAAGCGACTGGATGAGTGGGTTGCCTACTCAAGACTGGATCTGGATCAAATGGAACTGCCAAAGTCCAAGAAAAAAAGCCAGACTGGTGGAAAGGGTGGTTCTAAAGGACACTATCCAAATGCTCCCATCAAGTTCATCAATGAAGACGGCTCTATTCCCAGAAACAGAACCCCAAAAGTTCATACTGCCAAGGCATCGACTCCCACTCCATATGACCGTTCGGCTGCTGCCAGAGAGCGCGAACGGGAAAAAAAACGTAAACGACAAGCTGCTGCTTCAAAGGTCCAGCTGGCTGCAATGTTGGGCAATGTCGGATCTGCTTCGGCTGATACACTGGATACAGTTTCAGAGGATATTGCCACTTCTGCTTCACAGAGTCCGTTGGCCAAACGATCTAAACTCGTCACTGATGTGGTTTCTACCGATCTACTTGCAAGTACCGACGCGGATGCTCCAGATACTCGTCCCTTCACTCCCAGTGTTGTGCTAGATGCTGATGAAACCTCTCCAGCTAGGCCTGCTACTAGCCAAGATGGTATTCAACCCGCTCCGTCTCTTGAACCTGCAGATCTCGGACAGTACGATCCTTCTTCTTCTGCCGGAACAAGAGAAACAACTCCAAAGCCTCCAACATTCTCCAAAGAGAAAGAAATTGAAAAACTCCGCACTCACGGCTCTATGACTCAGTCCATCACCGAGATTGGACGTCTCAAAAACATCAATCGTATCTGCATGGGCAGTTTTGAGGTCGACACATGGTACTTTGCCCCTTATCCCGAAATCTTTGTAGAATTAGATATGCTCTACATATGTGAATTTTGTTTAGAGCCTGCTGGTACATTGCGCATGCTGCAACGTCATCGCACAAAATGCACTCTTCGGCATCCTCCCGGAAACGAAATTTATCGCAAAGATGATCTTTCCTTTTTTGAAATCGACGGTCGAAAGCAGCGACGATACTGTCGTAATCTTTGCCTCTTGTCCAAACTCTTTTTGGATCACAAAACCTTGTATTACGATGCTGATCCTTTTCTTTTCTATCTCATGACCAAGACTGATGAAAGGGGAATGCATTTGGTGGGCTACTTCTCAAAGGAAAAACAGTCTGCCGAAGAGTACAACGTGGCGTGCATTTTAACTTTACCGCAGTTTCAGAGAATGGGATACGGCAAGCTTTTGATTCAGTTTTCATATGAGCTATCCAAAATAGAAAAAAAGACGGGTTCTCCAGAGAAGCCTCTGTCCGACTTGGGCTTGTTGTCCTATCGCTCTTATTGGGCTGATATCATCATTGAACTGTTGCACAACATGAAGCGTGATATCACTGTACAAGAAATCAGCGAGATCACATCCATCACACCCGATGATATCATGCACACTTTGCAAACAATGGACTTGCTCAAATATTACCATGGCCAGTTTGTCCTGTATTTGAGTGAAAAAAGCATCAAATATTATGAAAAGAATGAGGCCAAGAAAAAGGTCAAGATTGATCCCACTTGTTTGGTATGGACACCTCCAAAGTTTATTGGCGGGCATTTGCGGTTCGCTTAAATGGATGTCTTTACTGAACAATGGAATGTATATTTTGGCCAAGTATTTGTCTGTGGATGACAGTAGATAATGGAATGTGGCATATAGCACGACGCATAATAAACCTAATATTAATCTTTTTATTATTCACCACTGTATTCATGTAACATGGAACACGACATAGCATCGCCAATATGTTTATAAAATAAAACTGACTTTATTTCAAAGTGATAATAAATGCTCGTATGCACCAGAAATAAATGTCTAGGTGCGTGCAATCGATGGCCACCATAAAGGCGCAAAAGCTCGAGCACGCATTCCATTTGCCAGAATCAGAGGCTTGATTTCATTGCTGCTCAAATCTGAAGATCCAAGCATAGATTGATTCTCCAAAGGCCGTACAACAGATTCCAGTCGAACAAGTGCCAATCCAATATTATGTAGACCACCACAGTATTTTCCAACGACTCCTTTACTACGAGTAAGTGTCGTTTCTTCAGAGGTGAGATCACCCAACTTGATATCAGACTGACTCGGCGGATGCTCCATTGTAATGGATGTATCAAGTGAAAGCGATTTAGGCACACTATCAAAAAATCAATGGATAAGATGATGATCAAATAAGATATATACCATTCCACAAATATATCATCATCTAAATGCCTTACGGGTCATGCTCATTGTAAAGTTGAACCGGCACGATTCTTTTACGAGTAAAACCTGTATGATATGTTCTGATTGTCAATTCCTGTCCTAGATAACATCCCTTTTGAAAATCAACTAGTCAAGCAAAATCTATCAGTGAGTACAAACTTGAACGTTTCAAGAAATCAAATCGCTAGCAACTATTCTGATTTGGAGTTACTTACCTCCTTGAATCAATTCTAGATTGGATTCTAATGGGAGCGACTTTTCATAAAAAAAATCGGTTGGTCCTTCAGGAATACCAAGACATATGCGTCTGGCAACATAATCTGTAAATGGAACCTTTTTCATTTGATCTGGTAGCAGAGCTAAAATCTATATTAATACAAAAGCGTTGCTCATTGGCCTATTTACCACAAAACTCAAAATGACGACTTACTTTGACAGGTCTTGAGTGCGATGCCTCGCATGCCCATATCTGCATTCCTAGGATCAGCACACCACATGCCGCCATCACTGTTTTTTAATTGATCACGATCCAATGATCCCCATATCTGCCAAACATCAACACTATCGCTGATATTTGTAATCTTTACTTGTTTTCGAAGTTTATATCTTTGCAAATGCTTTTCTAGCAGTGGTATAACCGTATCAGCACATTCAACCAAAAAGCTTGGACCGGTAGATTCGGGATTTTTTGGTTCACGGTATATAAAGGCATCCATCAGCACTCGTCCCTAAATTTCAACACATTCATATGATTCGCAACACCAAGATCAAAATCAATGTGTATAGTATTGTCAGCAATAAACCAGATCCATTTTCTGTAGATTATTGATAAACCCAACTTGGTAGATGAAATTACTCACTTGTGCATTTAGAAATGCTGCTAGCTTTAAAGAGTTTTCAGGCATGGAATCTGTAATATGGTTGGTGACCAGACCTTGCAAAAAAATCGCAGCATCCGATCCTTCCAATCTCAAAACCATCCTATTTTTCAGCAATGCATAGTGGCATTCACTTGATGGTTTTGTTGATGAGTTCAATTGATTTGTGCTACAGCTGTGGAAGCCTTGTTGGTTGGCAGTGAACATGGCCAAACATAACCGAGTGAATGCCGTGCCAGTTTGAGCAAACGATACATTAGACACACCTGTTTTGAAATGTATACTTGTGGCTAAAGCGTATCTACAAAATGGTCTTGAAGCCCCACTCACTGATGCTTGTCTAATGCAGTTCAATTTCATATTGGTTGCAAGATTTCAGAATAAATAAATTTCCATTTTTGATGTCAAGCTCACTTGAAAGGCAATTGGATTTTTGGTTTGTAGCAATTGCGCTCGAGTCTTGTTAAATAGGAAATTCTAGATTCAGGTTTATCAAAAGATTTTCGATCGAATGTCAACCCATGTTGAGCCAACTTACTTAATTCAACTAGTTATAGTGTTTGACTTTTTTAAATGTTTAAAAATAGTTTATCTGGGTTTTAGTTATTATCTTGAAAGTAATCGTACTCTTTGATCATATATCACATCAGTACAGAATCTAGTTTAATTTAGACTCTTGAAGTTTATTGATTAAAACCTTGGTACGTGCATGGATCCTCTACTCTTATTTCTTTTTATATCTGTAGTAACCATTGATTGAGTGAGGCTATTTCACAAGGCAGTACCATTCTTGATTGAAATCAAAGCACTAGAGCTTCTATTAATCAGTCAAACCTAACCCATGGGTTTTGATTTAAAATAGGTTTACTTAAAATACTTTTAACCGTCTAAAGCAAGGTACCTATTTTTCCCCATTATATCTACAAGTCAGATAATCATACCAGACGTTTTGAGTTGCAGTTTTACCATGGCCTCCCTGATTGATCAAAAACGGAATAATGAGTATCAATCAATGATAGAAATTACACGTAAAGCGTCAATAAGAGTTGTACTTACAGAACTGTCATAATAATCAGTCCCATAGCCGACGTGTCTGTACAACACGTAAAATGGCATGTGATTTCCTTTCCTGGAACTTTGTTTTGATTGTGAAACTTGTTTTCAAAGTATCTCATTGCTTTCCTTATGTCTTTGGCTAATAGGTTGCAAAAGTAGAAGGGTGGAAATTAGCAGGTGAATTTAAAAAAGTCTGTATTGAATCAGATTCAATTCAGCAATAGCTTCACCTTGGTAATCTGGAAAGTATTGTTGAATATTTGCTGTTGGAAACTTTTGAGCAAACAAATCCTTTTTGTTTAAAAACAACGTTATGGGAATATGTCTGAGAAGAGGATGGTCGCTAATTTGACCAAACAGATCTAGTGCGTCGTGCATTCTATTGATGGTTGGATCTTCTGCAAGAAACTGATCAAATGATGCCAGTGATACCACAAACACAATACTATGAACAGTGTCAAAATAGGGTGTCCATTGCTTGCGATATTTTATCTGTCCGCCCACATCATAAAAATGATAGGTGTTTTTTCCAACAGTGACAATGGTTTCAGTAATCCGCGTAGTTTGTGAACGAATCCGAATAATATCTACAGATCAAGTATGTTTTTCAAACACAAAAGTAAATCAAATGCATTTAAAAACAAATCGTTTCGAGAACTTCAATCAAAAGCTTGAGCTGTCCTACCTTCTTCTGTCGGAGTATAGTTTTCTCCCGCAATTGTCATGATCCTGGACAAAAAGCTATATATTACAATTGATGACTGGGTAAGCAAAGGGCAGCTGCACATGAATCAATCAAACTCTACAATTGACGTACTAGTCAGCTGTGTCTTGAATCTGAAGCTTGAATTTTGCCCTGTTAGCGAATAGCTTTTGAGTATACTCATCATTCCAAATGATATTGATATGATTGGCCAATTCTAATGTAAATGGTCGAAAGACTATAGAAAGATTTCCAGTGCTTCTAGAATAACTCAATTGACTGTGTATCTTGTCGATGGATTCCTAAAGCGTGATTATCACAACGGTTAGCCGCAATGAGAAATGAATCATTCAACACATACTGATGACAAGGACTTTCACACACAAGTCGGATAGTTATGGTGCTCAAGACTGCCACTGAATGACAGCCAAGATTCGGCAGTACAACAGATTTTAAATTTGACAAGTGCTGACAAATTTAAATCTTGACATCTATATATTGGCATAAAAGAAAATAACCCATTGAAAACATGCCACATACCATCGTGACAGCGGAGAATGTGCCATTGTTTTCAGACGCACCACGCAAGAGCTCTGCAATAGAATCGAATATGTTGGTGGCAATACGTTCCAAGTAATCTCGCTTTTCTTCTTTTGAAAAGCCTCCTCCGTGTAGAATCTTGATTTGTCGAAGAAAGGTGGTCTTGCCGCTGTCACCACTGCCCAGCAGCAGAAGATGTGGCTCCTTTTTGGTTTTTAAATAAAGCTCCTTGTCTTTTTTGAGCTGGACTTCTATTTCTTGGCTTTCCTTTGTTGATACATGGCTGCTTTAGCCGTGATTAATGCATCAGGAATTCAGTAGAGTGAGTTTAAAACGTCTAATACAACTATAGAAATATATGGTTTTATACTATCCAGCCGCAGTGTCTCGAAAGAAATAAACTGGCCTATATAGATTTTAAATCTGGCCTATAGTGTTTACCTCATGATTCACCTTTCCAGCCCAGATGCAATAAAGGTTAAGCGTAGAAAGCAAGTTTGAAATTTTGAAAATGTATTGTTTATTGGATTTTCAATTATGCATCTAGTTTAGTGCCAGCATTTAGATGTCTAGATGAAACCACTAGAGTGAAGCATTTGCGAAAGCATTGTTGTCCTATTCATGTAGGATACCAATACAAAAATACACATTTGATTTTAGCAGTGTTAAAAAATAGGCTTGACTGCAGATGGGCTATCAGGAGTAAACTTACAGTACAGTCGAAATGATAACGTCCATAGCCTTTGTGTCTGTACAGCAAGTGATATGAGTCGAAATACGCTTATTATCCTGCTGGTTTTGCAAAATAAACTTTTTTTCAAAATACCGGTAGCCTTTTTTTATATCATTGCCGCCCTTATAATCTGGAAAGTATTTGTTGATGGGTGATTTTGCAATTTTGGTTGCAAAGATATCACTCTTGTTTAGCATCAAAGTCATACTGGTGTGCTTCAACAGGGGAGCATTGCAGATATTTCCAAACAAATCAAGCGCATCATGCATTCGGTTGATGGTTGAATTTTCTTGAAGTTGTTGATCATATGAGGATATCGAAACAACAAAAACAATATTGTGAACATCGTCAAAATATGGAATCCATTGTTTCCGGTACTTTTGTTGACCACCGACATCAAAAAAGTGTACCGTGTTCTTTTCAAGCTTGATAATCGATTCTGAGACCTGGATGGTTGGAAGTCGAGTATTGAGAATGTCTAATATACAAAACCGAGTCATAATAAATTTGTGTTCAATAATCATCTCAACTCATGGTAAAACAGTTGGATGCAATGAAGCGACTTGACCAGCATTGAAGTTGTTTGACCTTATATTAGGATTTGGTTTTCATGCTCTTACCAGTATCCGTTGGTTTGTATGATAAAGAAGTAAACTTGACTGGATCTGCAAGAAAGCTTGGTTAAAATGATACATTGGACAATCGAGTTAGATCTAATGGCAAACAGCATTTTTGTTGCAAATATGTCCTCATTTAGATCATATTGCTTACTATGGCGCAGTATCTTGAATTGTAGTTGTGCTGTAAAAAGCACCCTTAATATCTTCATCGGCCCATAATTTCTGAATAATCTGTGCAATATCTGCAGTGAGAGGCTTTTGGAGTACTTCTTCGGGGGATGTTTGAAAATAATTGCGCAATAGATCAATATTGGTCTAGATTTCGATTGGATATGCGTCAGTATAAACGATCTCAGTATAATACAGCTGTATTCACGTAAAATGAACCACTGAATAAGAATGCTAAAGTGTATAATAAACGGCCAGTTTATGAAATGGTAGAATGTTTAAAGCAGCGTCCACATTACAGTTTCAGTACATCTACATCCTTTACATCTGTTCCATCTTCAACCTCCTTTCCTGCAAACCAAACATTGGATGACTGACATGGAAACATAGTTGCATTCCCGGAACGTCCAATCTGTTTTTTTGAGCTAGAGCGCAAGCACATCTGCAAGTTTTTGGCATACAGATACGAGTGATTGACAACAGTAGAGCCCAATATCTAGATTTCAAACTTGGCGATCGTGCAATGTATGGTTATGCCAAATGAGGAAAAGGAACAACCCCAATTCAAAACCAGTTGGATTGTGTATTTATGATGGGTGTTGTGTTTGGAAGAATCGAGAATTTCAATTTATAATAGAAGAGCGCAATAAAGATTCAACCATTGCATATTCCAAAGTAAAATAAATACAAGTGTTCCATTTTACATGAATATGGGTGTAATATAGGGATGTGTGAGAATACCATATGTCAATACACTGAAATAGTGTAGTTGTGGTCAAATAAAAAGCACATGAATCTGGCACGGTATCACCATCTGTGGAAGCAATGTCAATTCCAGCCAACACCAGTTTTAAAAGCGTCACTTACCTTGGTTGTGATATTTTTCACTGAGATATTCTTGATGTGCAGCAAGGCAAGAATAGCCAGCATCGAGTCGACAATATTATCGCATATTTTTTCGTTGTAAGACTGGCGCTCTTGGTCGCAATATCCTCCAGCATGCAGAATTTTGAGCTGCTTCATTAAAGTTGTCTTGCCACTGTCCCCACTGCCCAAAACAAGCACTCTAGGTTCTAGCATAATCTTATCTCGGAGTATTTTTTCTTGCAAAAGATACTGATCAATCTGCTTTGAGTGCATTTGCTCGAGAGCAGCAGCACTAGATATTGGAAAATGATACCAGTGAGCTACCCAGTCGCTAGCTTAGCGATTAAACCCCCGTACGCAGCCATAAGATTCAAACCATACTATTACATTCATCAACTCAATGTTACCTAGTGGAGTTGGCTCTCATCTGATTTTTAATTATCACGGGCAAGTCGATTTACAACCGTATTTACGTAAAATAAAATACTTTTATATTTATTCTAAAGTGATTGCCTTTATTTTGTCTCGAAATAAACAATGATTAAATATCCGTGTGCTTTTCTATTGAAGATTGACTGCTTCAGTTGACACTCGACTCTTCAAACACAGCATGCATCATATGATGCATACACAATCAAAACATAGTTATAAACTGATATTGTTCTCTTTCGAGTTATACATTGTACGATCGACAGGTTTGAAACTAGGTTCGTTCATTGAAATCTAGACATTGGATCTGGTTGTTTTTAGCCCAACTCTACAGATTTGTTTTTATTGTATTCTAAAACTCGTACGTTCGCGTTCTAGTTCAAGAAACCAAAGATTACACATTTCAAACATGCAACCGTTGCTTCCATGTAAACCATCCAATGCTTACTTGCAATATTCGGTATGTAGGAAAAAAGAGTTGAAGAGATGCAAGATGGATTGTAACAAACATGTGAGTACTGCTTTAAACATTCGCTTAGTTCTTAGTGTTTCATTTCACGTGAATACGACTCTCATTCTTGGCAAATCCAATTACCATGCAGACTACCTGTTCTTCAAGCTCCACACAATACGAGTATGCATCATGATGACATGCTTTTATGAAATTTGAAAAAAAAGGTGAGTTATATAGTTGAGCCTTATCCACACCCAATAAAATATGTATACTGTAATATTAACTAATCCGTTTCCACTGCTTGAGATTTAAATCGTATCCAATTATACGGGCTAAACAAACAAGCCTCGGTGTATATGCTATGGTATTTCCATTGCCACCATATTTTGGCAATAATGACTAATTAACGTGGCGTAGACTCGAAACCCATAAAAGTGTATACTTTTATCAACACAATGTATCCACAATGTAAAACCTTGAAGCAGTCTGCTTGTATCTACGCGCTAGTTTAAATCCTGTACTTGTCCATTGTGGAAGCTTATCTATCCTATTGTAGTTTATAAAACTGTACAAGCGCTTCCAATGGTCTGAATCAGCACACGTATTATCCACAATAATAAAAATAGCTTTTTATCCTAATACTCGGTATTGTTCTTATCAGTGTTGGTCGGAATAGCATTGCTTTCGGTATCGACTAAATGGAATTAAGTAGTCAAAAACAGTCTTGTGATGTTTTTCTTGCAGCATTCTTGTGTATTTCAGTTGGGATTCAAACAAACTGTACCGACTCTGATTCAAAGTCACTTTAATCATCTATACGAGTCAGTAGCCGTGTTATTTTAGCACTAATCTAGCAATCTTGAAAATTAGGTAGTGTTTTATAAACAGTCTATTGGATTTAATGAGGACTTATTTTTTTTATCAAAAAGCAAGTGTAGATTGCGGTGTTAATGTCGTGGGTCCTATTATAGATACAATTGACCGTTTTGGTGCTTGTATAGTAAAATTTAAATCATGATTTTATGTATAGTGGATAATTAATAGTATGACTAGAATAGTACAAGCACATTAGGATATTTTAGTTCACTATTTTTCGATCAGGGAATGAATGTATACCTATTTAGACACTAAAATACAGAGTATATTTAAAATAATGGGGAAATTGAATAAAGTCTAAACGTAGATCTATTATGCAAACCAAGCAGCAACAACACCGAATAAAGCAACACATGCACTACCAATAAACACGACCCATGGAGTACCTCCAACTTCCCACATCCATCCAATAATGGACGGTCCAACGGTTCGCATACATGCAGCCATAGTACTAGCAAAACCATGAGCAAGTCCCAAAGCTCCGCTTCCTGCTGCACTTTCCGTGATCATGACAATTACACTAATGTATGCAGTTGCTTCTGCCAACCCAAACATGGCCATAATCCCAATCAGCGCCAAAGAAAACGATGCCGGAATTGGATCAGTCTCCTTTAGACCCTGAACAAATACTGTTACCAATGGAACCAAAAGCTGTGCAGGAATGAGGAGCATCATTGCAGCAAGAAAAGATCCGCGAGACTTTCCCCATGTTGTAAAAATTCTTTTAATGTGATGAAACAGTATGAGTTGAGTCGATAGCTTTGCAGCGTAAATGGCAGTGAGGTAAAACGAGGTATCGCGAGAGTTGAGACCTGCACCGGTTCCATTGATGTGATGGGGTGTAGATTGTATAATGGCAGTTGATCGCGGCGCAGAAAGAAATAGAGGAAGACTAGTCACATACATACTATTTGTCAGCGCAATAGCACAATACAGTATGATAGGACTTAGAGTTTTTCTGCTGAGAAGAACAAAGGGCTCTGGATGAGATATAGGCTGACATGGTGGATAAATGAAATGTGTATTGTCCGTATTTTCGTCACTCGTCTCGTCGTCATGTCGACGTGTTGATCCAGATCGCTGATGTACGTTGCTATGATGAGACATCTCACTTGTGTCGACGGGTAAATAGGCTGCAGAGATGGACGATGCATGGCCATCACTCATATAGGAATCATCATCAAGATGATGTGTCAATCCCTTCAAAGATGCCTCGGAATGCATTCCAATCATGGACATTTTTCTCCTAGCTAAACGCATTGTCCCACCAGCGGAGATTGTAACACCAAGAGAGTCATTTAGCAAGATTACATCAGCGCCTGCGTGATCATTTTGCTGGTCCAACCTCAAATCGTTTGTAATGCTATCTATGCTTACTCTGTTATTGTACAAGTCTGTCGCATCGTCAGTAGTCTCCACGGTAGAATATGAGAGTTTTGAACCATATTGTTCATTCAGCATTACTATGGTCGTCAAAAGACTCACACATGTTAAACCGGCACCAAGCAAGCTAGGCAGAATAAAGGGAAACTCTTTTAGAAAGTGATTGTTTCCAAACAGATCTGGGTACACAGTTGCAGGATCAGCAAGAATCCCACCAATAATGGGTCCTACAATTCCACTGATACCGTAAATACTTCCGTAGAGAGCATAGGCAGTAGATCTGCTTGCATCATCACTAGAGATATCTCCCAACATTCCTTTGGCAACGGTGGAGTTTGCTCCAAATACGCCTGCAATGAACCGAAATGTGATGGTCAGCCAAAACGACTGACTGAGACCTATACCCAACGTAGTGACAAGACAAGCGACAAGTCCAATGATGAGAACTGGCTAGTTGGCATAGATTTTTAAAGTTTAATCAAGTTTGGGAATCAATTAAATCGGTAATAAACTCGACTCGACTCTAAATCCAATCCACTTTCACTGAAATCATCTCTAGATAGATTGTTAAACTTACTTTACGACCATATCGATCCGATATGCCACCCCAAACTAAGTTCATGACAAACAGAGGCAGATAAAATGATGAAGCCATTAGTCCGACGTATTGACCAATATTCGATTCATCGGGTAAAAGATGTTTGACTACAAAGGGGTACAATGGGATCAAGAGAGCATCAAATAGTGCTTCTGGGATAATAGCTAATAGCAAGAGTGCTGTCTGTCTGGCTTGAAAGGCATTGGATTTGGGCGATTGGAGCGGTGGCTGAAGAAATGGAAGTGTACGAGGTTGAAGCAGAGGCAAGTGAGATAAAGTAGCATCGTTGGTAGCAATGGATGTTTCTGTAGCAGCAGTATTTATGGCACTGGCAGGAGTAGATTCAACTCTCTCGAGTATCGAGACTGGTGGTGGTCGATACGTGGCCATATCTAATCTCAACTTGTAAAATGCCACATTTTGATGGATTGAAGCTTTGTCGCCTGAGGGCTTGCTCTGATTGCCAGGCATTTGTATTCATATAAAATACAACTTATTGATCCAAGATATGCAATAGTTGGATACTCGTTACGCTCTTCCAAGACATTTTCAATTTTTTAAACAAGATTGTCCAGTAAACTGACACCAATCATTTCATGAGACTGATTGTTTATTATGTATCTTGTCATTTTTATTCAGTGTTCCATTCTATATGAATATGGTAATGGTAACATCAACGAGAAAATAAAAGTAAAAAATATAGTATTGTATGTATTCAGTAGCTACCAAAAGCATGAAATTGATATTTTGGAAATGGAAGATATAAACGAATGCGCCAATACCAAACATACTTACATACTTGCCAAAGTAGTTCAAAAAAGGGCAAAACTGAAAGTTGGGAAAGCTATTAAGATGGAATGAAAAGAAAGATAAACGGTGGATGCAATAGTATCGTTGAGATTGCTCCAACGACCATGCAATTCCAATTAAAACAAATCAGCTGGCTACCAATAAGCAAAAAGTACGCATACCTTTCACCACCCTAACCAATATGTATACCCAGGATTCCACAAGGCATTAGAATAGGAAAAGAGAGGCAAATCCCCAATATGCAGCCAAAATAGCAACAACAAAACCAATGCTGCCAGTAGATTTGTCGATTGCAGCATTCCTATTTGGTGAATCGTATGCAAGATAAGGAGTCCACAATCTACTAGGATTCCATGATTTGGGCTTAGATTGCAGCAATTGGATAGCATCCATAAACGATTCTTCACGATACACAATAAATGCATGCTTGCAAAGCTCATTGACAGTCGATGGGTCAAATTTACCAATATTGGTTCCGACCCATCCAGCACCGTTGTTTTGCGCAAATGGAATTAGATACTTTAGTGCATTGGAAAGAATTGGCTGTTTAGTGGATGGATCGATATACTGGAACAAATCCGTTGATAGACTACGGGAAAGTGAGCCCAGAACATACAACGCTTCCAGGTTGTGAACTGAATGAAACCATGACATTTGGCGAGTCTGTTCAATTGGTTGTGAGCCATCTGGAGATGCAATCTGTAGCGCCATACGGGAGACGGTGTTTTTCAGAATTATATTATTAGCATCTTCAGTTCTATTAAGAAACAAAAGAATCGACACCTGCTGTACATCGTTCCAAGTTCCTTGGTTGTTGACCGACAAAGCAAACGACTTTGCACGCTTACTGGATTGTGACCAATCATAAAAACTCTTCATCCATGCATGCATGCCCTGATAATGAGCATTGGTGAAAGAAGAAGAGATACGAAGTAATCCAATGGCATCTATCAGCTGATAAACCTTGTTGAAATCTAGAATCATAAAATGTGATGTTTAGCCCAGCACGCATACCAACATTACAGCAATTATTTCTGATCGGTTCAACAAAACACAAGCAGGTTTTATCAAGGCTGCTTGAATGTGTCATCTTTTCAAACTATGTCGAGTCTTTACAAGAACCCTGTGGCATAGTAGCCAACATGGCCAACGGTTGGTTTACCGTAGCACAAGGTTGATAATGAACGAGTAATAATTTGGAAAAATAGGGTTGATTTCAAGTAAAACAGCATTGAAAAATAACCTCTGCATTGTAAAACGTACCCATTAAAACACTGGTTGCATCCACCTGCATGGTACCATTGGCAGTAGTTACATCAAAGGTGTTTTTTCCCTCAGTAGTATCGACGCCACGAATGGAAGCAGCAAACTCCATACTGGGCTTCATGGCAGTGGCAGGATCCAAAAACCAGGTATTAAGTCGCTTGGTGGCTGTTTGGGCATAAGTTTCATTGCCAGTAAAAAAGAATGCAAGAGCACAATGATATACATCATCAAACATGACTTGAATGTACTGTGGATCCTGATAAAGATAGACCTCTGGGTTGATATATCCATCGTAAAAAGCATATGGAGCACCAGAGATGGGAGAAGAGTTGTTGTTGGCAGCTTGAGGCCAAAACTGAGTCGAGAGCGAGTAGTAGTAGTGTGGGTCATTGGAAGGAGACAACAGTGAAGTATTCTTTGAAGTAACCGAGTATGATGTAGCGTCCAGAACAGCACCATCAGCTAGACGCAGAATACGACGGATAGCAGGACGTAGTTCGTTATGGCCCTGCTGCCAAAACTGACGATTGATCCACAGATTCTTTGGACTCATGAAGAAGGTTTGAATAGAACCAGAAGCAGGAGTTCCATTGTCATTGAGTGGCCATACATGAGCAAGGACAGTCTGAAGTAATACAAATGCCAGAGTAGCAATCCGCCAATGCATGTTATACGAATCAACCCAATACAATCCGTCAGATTTGTTGCTGTTAAAAAAGGAAACTCCAATTACAGGTTTTAAACTTGATGGCGGCCTCCCTGTATGACTGATGGATGCATGAAACTCATCATACACAGTAGCTAATTCACTCTTCACTCTCCAAAGGCTTCCATCAATGCATTCATATTAGTCAAATGCAACAGAATAGTTTATTTTGCAGTTTTGATTGCAGACCACTGCAGCTGAGTTAATTCTGTCTTGGAATGCCAAGGTTTTCTACTTGACGCAGGACAGCAGGATACAGGTCGGGAGTAGGGTGAGGAGTGTGTTGATGGTTGGGAGGATTGGGAGCACTTGGAGGACAGAGCTTATTCTCCAAGCATTCGACAGCAACCTTTTCAGGGTGGTTGACAGCCTCTCTGTAGAGTTGGGGATAATCGTCAATGTGTCTGTCAGTAGCTTGTGCGTTGATACAACTCATCTTGACAGTTGGAATAAGAAACGACTGAACTCGACATACAAATACAAAGACTGAGTCACTGAGCAGTCCAGCTGGCTATGGTGTGAATCGCAACGCACAGGATCGACTGACTTGTTCATATGAGCTGAATGCAGTCCATTTGCAGTTGATGAAAACTTTACCTGTCGATCCACCACAACAGTTCTGGTCTTATTCTCGCATCTACTCATGAACGACTCTTTGGTAGAGTCTTTATCACTCCAGAAACTTCATGGTCTGACCGATATTCATCAGATTAAGGAGCAATTGGCTATTTTGAAGTTGGAAGAAGCTAATGTCGATGCTGATCTGGACTCTATCCTTCAAGGCCAACATCAACTGAATGTCACTCTGGACAAACTAGAATTGTTGAGGTATTGCTGCTCTATCCAGTATAGTTGATGGCTTGTTCAGTACTCTAATAAACATATTTCAGACCACAACTGCATTCGTTACGCACAGATACTGATGGGTTACTAAGAGTCATTGACAAGACTTGGAGTATTGCCCAGGGAATCAGCGATAAAGTCAGGCAACTGGATTTGGAGCAAGTGAGTCCATCTTGTTGTATGTCATCGTGTAGCCAACTGTCCTCATCCACATTTAAATACTAGTCGAGAGTTAAAACCACTTTGGAGCTGCTTCATGACATCCAAGAACTCAAGGTAAACACTCAATCTTGCTACTGTAATCAAGTTGAAGCTAATCGATTTTTATACATTCAAGATCTGCGCATATGGTGCTCACATGGCAATACTAGAGAATGATTATGAAATGGGTGCATCGTATATTCACAAATATCTGCAATTCAATGTGGTTCCTATTCAGGAAATATTCACCATAACTACTCTCCCACCAGAATCTACCAACACACTTTCCAATCCTGATTCGTCAATCACTAATATCCCTTCAAATCCTGATACCGATACGCTTGGGCTTCTTGGTCCTTCCCCAGTTACTCAATTAGAATCCGCTCAGGCTACTTTGACAAATATGGTCATGGAAGCATTTGAAACGGCCGCATGCAATGATAAGCCTGATGGTATTGTAAGATGCTTTAAGCTATTTCCTCTGATAGGTAAAGTAGATTTAGGCTTGGATTTGTTTTCTGCGCATATCTGTCGCACCGTATCTCGTAGTTGTCAGGATGGTATTCGTGCTGCAATCGAAGCCGGTATAGTAATCACTCCATTTGAATCCATTGCCTTTAGGCTTGGATCCAAAATCGCACTCATTTTTTTCAAATTTATAGGAAAACAAAAAATGGTTTATGTCGATCTTCTTACCAAGTTATTCGAGGCCATTGCAACCATGATTGATCGTCAAATCGATCTAGTAGAAACATATTATGGACCTGGTCGTATGTTGCCCGTAATGGTTCGTCTTCAGCGTGAGGCTGATATTCAATCTTCTATTATTTTGGGTGGTCTCAAAGAAACTCTCCAACTAGAACGAAAGGTATCGGTATTTGCTACATCATCAAAGCTGGAAACACGACTTGTAAACATACTGACTTGTCTGATTGCTGCATTCACACCAATAGGTCAAGGAAATTCAGCAGTATGAGAATCAAAATAGGCGCAAACCGCAGAAAGGCACATCAAATCTAACCGATACTCAACAAATGCAACCACCCGTGGATCCGCGCGAATTAGACTTGATTCTTGGTGAAATCACTACAGTGTGTCAAAAGGCATATTATTTTGACCGATTCTTGCGCATGCGTGCATCGGACCAAGTCAATACTCTCAAAGCAAATGCTAGCAGCGATAGTCTTTCTGAAAACGGCAAAGATGGGCTTATGCCAACAAGCAGCTTAAATGAGCAGATCCATATATTTATTGGATACTATATCTCTATCGAGGATTACTTTATACGTCAGAGCATTGAAAAGGTAGGTTGCTGCACTTGAATGTCTACTTTTGATATCACTAAACTCCAATCCAACACTAATCTATTTTCTGTGCATATATCTAGGCACTAAAGATTGATGAGCATGATGCTGCAAGTCTCACTTCTAGTTGTGTGGATGATGTGTTTTTTATCCTTGAAACAAGTATTCGTAGAGGAGTCTCTACTAGCAACACGGATTGTCTAGCTGCTCTCATCAACTCTATTGATCGTCTTCTTGAAGTTGAATTTATAAATGTTTTGCAGCGTCGTCTCTCGCAAGCCTTTACAAACAGCAGCGGAGGCATTGGCTTATCTGGAACTTCAGGTTCAAATCATGGCAGCGCATCTGCAGATCCAAAACAAATGTTTATTGTTACATTGAATAACATTGGTGTCAGCTGCGAATATACCATCAAGCTGGCCAAGGAAGTAGAAGAACTGGTCAACAAAACTTTTGGAGGAGTCACTCAAAGGGACCATGAGAAGATTAAAAGTTGTTTGGATGTGTTGACTGAGCACGCACACAAATTTCAAAACATTTTGCAGGTAATTACCATTATTTGTTTGTATTAACTCATGGCAGATACTATATCGATGCATTTGCTTACCATTTAATTGGGGTTTATTTCAAGACTTGGATTGAAAACTTTTTCAACCAAACCGTGAAACCCAGAATTCGTCCACTTATGCAGACAGTCTACTCTGACACCAAATATATCTTGTCAGAGGATGAATACAACCATCACGACGCGACCCAGACGTTTCTCAAACGATTTGCCAATGCTTTTACCAAGCTTGTTGCTTCCTACAAACAGTCTCTCACTGAAAGCAACTATGGGTTGATCATTAACTTGACTGTAGAAAGTATCGTCAAGGATTTTGAGCGGTACATTTTAGCATCAACCACTGCTAGCGGAGGTTCTGCAGGTGGTAATGGGGTAGCAGGTACTCCTGGTGTAAAGTTCAATCAGTTGGGTGCGCTAAGATTTGACAAGGACGTTAGAGGCATGACGGCAGTTCTGGCTGATACCACACAGTGGAGCATGCGTGATAAATTTAATAGACTAAGCCAGATTTCTATGGTGTTGAACGTCGAGTCAGTTGAAGAGGTCTACGAGTTTTGGGGTGTCAGGGCTGGACCTATCAGCTGGCGTTTGAGTTCTTCCGAGGTTCGCAAAATTCTTGGTCAAAGGTAAACCATCATTTGAAAATTGACTGTTTGGAGTGTTGTGCATTCATGCATATCTAATTCATTCTTGATATTTAGAATTGATTTTTCTGCTGATGCTATTGCCAAGTTGAACTTGTAAAAGCATTACTTGGTTTGACTTTTTTGTAATACAAGGAAGCTTGACAAATATAATCAGAAATACTTGATTTATAAAAAAATTACACCTATTTTTTGCTATTGGTTTGCTTTAGCTTGTTCATTCAATGACTTGATCAGTATCTGAGATATTCATATTTTCCATATCGTCAAGAAGATCATCCACATCAATTTCAGGGAAATCTTCTTCTGGCTCCTCTAAATCATCCATATCCGCGTCATCGGCTGGTTTGATTTGCTCGGGAGCTAAACATATCGGTTGGTGTTAATATCAAGTATTGATACGCAAAAAATGAGTCCCAATCCATCATACACAACATACCTTTGTAAAGATTGACCATATTACGCAGTTCAGGGTCCTCTTCAACATCTCGCAAGAATACTTCGTAATCAGCTTCGGTTTTAGATTTGTCTAGTTTTGTTCGGTTGACTTCTCCGTCTTCCTCCTTGACCAATCCCTTTAGTTTCCAGTTACGACGACGACGCTTCCTTCTTGCGTTTGGATACGATTTTCTTACAAGCACCACATCTGGAACCAATCCACGTCGATTGCTTGTCATAAGATGGTCGAAATTGTCATTGTTGAAATTAGCATTCGCAATAATGTATCCCTTGGCATGATCCCCTGCATTGAGAATGAATCCCAAATGTGTACGGACGATAAATGTTCGCGATAAATCGTTGGATCTGGAAACTTCTACTGTAGCCATTTGATGCTAAACACAATTCAAGGTTAAAATGGGTTATCACACTATTTGATTGCCAAAGACATTGGGTTGGATGGCTCTATGGATTTTAAATCTACATAAAAGTCAACTTACTCTGCCAAATTGACCTTCGAGTTGCACATCAATCACATAAAACTCGATCAAATCTTTGGTTTCACACAGAGTGGGAAACGGCGAGTCCCAAAATTGAGGTGCACGCATCTCAGCAGCTAAGACCAGAAGATAAGCATGTGTTAGATTCTGAAATGCAAACATGATGGCGCATTGTTTGGTCCATTAAAACAGTATATACGTACATTTTCCAGTAATAGGATCAGTGAATGTGACCACGTTGCTTACACGAGTGCATAGTGCCAATGGACTAATTTCAGAAAGTGTACGAGCCATTTTATGACTAAGACAAACCAAATCATCCTATAAACAATTTAGTCATTGAACGAGATTTAGTGCTTGAACTCGAATGGTTTTTACCAATAGTTGCATTCAAAACTACACACCTTGCAGATAGGAACGATTTCAACCGAGTAAGTAAATTTATAATCAGAAGTACCGGCATGAGTATCTGTTGAAATTAGCTGTTCAGAAGTTTTGGATTTAAGTGGAACAACCGAAGATAAAAATTCGACCATTTTGATAGCATGCGATCTCTGCGTATAATAAAAGTCCAAACCATCACGAAACTCCTTTATGTTGCTTGTGTCTTTATGGGCATTATGCTTGAGAATAAACTGTTCAAGCCACAGAAAAGTTCTCTTGTGCGCAACCTTGAGATAGAGTTGAGCCATATCAATGCATTAATATGGTTTGTGAAATGATAAGAGTCTGATGGTTCTGAAATCAATTACCTTTTGACGAAGCTGAACAACTGCCTTCCATGTCAACTGGGCATCCACACGAGTGCATTCTTCACAGTATTGGCCAGCAACAATATACTCAACAATAAACACCTGCTGTAAAATAGTTGATGCAAAGACCTATCAATTGAGCATTTAGATTTGTATTGGATAAAGCAGGGAATTCAATCATAAAATGAATCAGCAATGAAATTAAAATGATAAACTGGCTCTACTATGAGTCAATATTGAACATGAACTAAAAGACGGTTAAATCACCTCTTTTTGAATAGTTAGTTTGACCTTGATACGCTTGGAATGCGGCTCAGTCCAAGTGAAGCCTGCATCAACCAATCTGACTTTTGACAATCCTTTGAGTTTTCTCAAACACAAGGCAAGAAGCTCACGGCTTTCAAGTTCGCAAGCAACCCATATATTGGGTGGTTGAAGATACCGGTCACAACCTCTGCAGAAATGCACTGTAGCTTGTTTTGGGATTCCGTCAGTGATGTCCACATTTGCACGAACACATTCTATGCACATATTGGCTGCATTGGGCACAATCAGAGTACCACATGATGCACAGAGACTATTGATGGATTACATGAATAAAATAGGTAGTATTAGCTCCTGTCATTCCAGAATAGCAAGAAACGGCCTTTCTTGTACACCATTTCATGGGCCTACATTCGTTGCTCAGTTGCTTGAGGATTGTATATTTCCATGATGATAAATTGATATGATTGCTAAAATAAAGATTAAGCAATTGCTCGAGTCCTACGATGTAGCAATGCGCTGAGTCCAGTATAAAATACTGATGTTTTCAATCAGAAAATAAAAAAATATTTTTTAATTCGTATCCAAATCCTGAGGATGCGCATACAGTCGTGTAATTTTGATGAATCGCACATACTTGTGCAGTTATACACGTATATCTTTGCCATCCATCCCATTGGTTTTCAACTACTTTTAAAGTAGTATAACACATTTATATCATTCAATTTATAAATACTACAGATGGGAAAAAACCAAGCTAAAAAGCAAGATGTCCCTCTACACAAAATAATCATGGTGGGCTCAGGTGGTGTAGGCAAATCTGCTCTGACCCTTCAATACATGTACGGTGACTTTATCGAAGAGTATGACCCAACTAAAGCAGATTCGTACCGAAAAAAGGTGACTTTGGATTCACAAGAATCCTTTATTGATATTCTTGACACGGCTGGGCAAGAAGAGTATGCTGCCATTCGTGACAATTACTATAGGTCTGGCGAAGGATTTCTTTGCGTGTTTTCACTCTGCGAAGCCGAGTCATTTCGTCACACACAAGAGTTTCGTGACCAGATTATGCGAGTGTTGGATGATGAAAAGGTTCCGTTTATTCTTGTCGGAAATAAGGCTGACTTGGAATCTCAACGGCAAGTAACCACTAGAGAGTGTGAGGTCAAGGCCAAGGAGTGGGGATGCCAGTATATTGAGACTTCCGCCAAGACTAGGATGAATGTGGACGAAGCATTTACCAAGCTAATGAGGTGCATTCGCGATCGAAAGGATGAAAAGGGTGGTGGAAAGTCTGGAGTGAACAAGCAACCAAAGAAAAAAAGTGCATGTCTGATTCTATAGTGAGGATGCTTGTTTTTATGGTGGATGAGTGCAAATTTGACTTGCAGATTGCCTGATTGACTGTCATCCCAAGTAAATAAATAGATGTCGTTCAATCTTTGTTGGAGAATTCTAGCATGTACTGATGAATTAAATGGCGTTTAGCAACCGTCTAATGGATCTTGTTTTGTAAACCAAAACGGATGCCAGAAACAGATTCCCGACACTTGGCATGAGTTAAGATTCTATTCATGAATTTCCCCCAAAATCTAGTTCACTTGTAGTTGAATTCAAGTTAGTTTTGTATCTGGAAAACATATCAATGCTGGTTGATGGATTTCATCAATAGACTATATGCTATTATCCTATGCAATGATTAACAAACCTGCTATGTCTAACACTATTTATTTATTCCTCGCTGGTTATCTGCAACTTGAACTTGATATTTGGCAGCGCGCATATGGTAAGCTATTGTGGATCTTGAGCATTGAAGAGCCATTCCTGTATAGGATCAGTCGAGTGTTTTACTGTAAACACTTGTCCGTTACATTACTTTGAATAACATGTTCTTAGAGTACTCAACCATCACCCACCTCTGCTACAGAGGCAATACTCGGCAGCAGCCAACACCAGCAGTACGAGTCGCCTATTGCTACTACTACAGCTCTTCCATCTACTCTGAATCGAATCAGGATAGATGGTTCAACTCACACAGACCATTCTTTCTCTGAGCATGCTGTTGATAGTGCTGCTACAATGCACGTCGTCGAGCCCCTGGACAGATCCAACACCGAGTATAACTCTGCGGTGGAAGATTTGACACACCAGCTCCAACAACGGGGTGAGTGTTTAGTCCGAATGGATTCAGAGTATATAGTGTTGACTGAGGATTGTCAATTACTCCAATCGGATGAGACCACTGGTGCTGATTTTTAATTGAAATATACGATTGTAGATGTCGAGATTAGACAGCTAAGGACTCGATTGACTGAACAACAAGCATCTATGGCCCAAAAAGGTGAGCTAGCGACATACAGGTTGAATGGTGTAAATCCAGTGTGCCAACCTATCTGACCTGTGATCGTTTACAGAAAACCAGCACGCCTCGCAAATGGAAGAATTGCAAGCCAAAAATGCCAAACTGGAAGAGCTTGTACTATCACTGCGAGAATCCTTGGCAGAATCGAATTCAAAGCTTACCGTCTTGCCTACCTCTGGACGACCATTGGCACATGCAAGTAACATGCTATTGTCATCACATCCAACTACTGTATATATCTCGATGCATTGATAAATCCGATCCCGACTGATTTAAACTATATTGCATTGACTTTGTTGATTGTAATAGATGACAAAATGGAGAAGTAATCCACGCAACCCGATCCGCCAACCCAATGCTCAATCTTCAACTGAAAATCTCAACTCCAATGACGACAACAATTCTGTCAATCGGGACGAATTGCAGTTAAATGTTGTTCAAGTAAGTCTTGATTTGTTGATCCACACAATTTTTGATATCGTGTAGACCAATTTAATTTGTTATGTAGCCATCAAATGAAGATCTTACCAAGTCTGACTCGGTATCTCAACACAAACAGGTTCATTTTATTGCTTGCAGTCTTTTGTTGTTATTTTCAAGATTTGATTTGACTCGTTAGTTTGAAATAGGAGTCAGAGACGTCACAGGAAGCACTGCGCAAAAAGATGGTAGGAATGGGTGGTATGAACCCACTTCTTCCGCTAGGGTTCCATCCAGGTGCAATCAAGCTTCGACCATCATCTTCCATAAATCTAATTGATGGAAGCAGAGCAAGTGAAAGTAGTTTTTCTGGATCAGAAGTCTCTGAACCAGTAGTGCGAGCATGGCTGTACTCGGTTCTTGCAGATGAAGATTTGGCCCCAGACTCTGGCGTATCTCTCAGAGAATCTCTTCGTGACGGTAAACTTTTGTGCAAGTAAGCCTCATATACATAGCGTTTTTGTAATCCAACTTGATCGTCTTCTTACTGTGGTGTTTTTGAATTGTTGAATAGGCTGGCAAATGCAATAAGCTGCAAAGAGTCAATTAAGATCAATATGGGTCGGTTTCCAATTATGCATATGGAGAATATCGCAGGGTTTCTTGGTGTAGTAGAAAGTATGGGAATACCACGACATCAGCTGTTCAGTGCAAATGATTTGTACGACGGTACAGATATGCCACGGGTGGTACAGACTTTGGATACACTGAAAAAGGTTCATGACACTACTGGAAAGTCTTTATAAGACGGGTTGTGTGGTTTTGCTGATTGGTTCGGAAATCTTGGCAGTTTTTAGTATTTAAAAACAAACGCATCATTCGAGTTTTATAGTAACTGTTTTTGAATTAGTTATAACTATGCGAATATTGAGCAGCGATCAATACTGTTGAATGAATATAGTGGTGAAAATCCTAGTATTTAAGCCTGTTGATTTATTAAGCTGATTCAAGGTCAAGTGTACTCAAACTAGCGCAGTTGTTTGCATCAGTCTACATTTGCAACACTCGACTTTGTAACGATGAGTATACAGAGTATATATTTGTAACCGTACTCGCGTAAAATGGAACACTAATCAAGGATGATACAATGCATGATAAACAGTCTGATTGATGTCAGTTTACTGGACAGCATTGTATTCTTTCGAATCATTGTTTGGAAACAGTTTTTAGTGTTTAGCATTCAAAACATGATTTTTTATGGATTTCTACTTTCATGTGAGGGCTTTATCAAGCACACATGTCTCGACCAACAATCTGTTAGACATGGTTTACCAACCATTCAACACATGTCGCACAGATTGGAGTTGTATATTGTTCATTCTTGAATACTGCAGAAAACAACTCGATCACAACAAAGAATGAGTTCGTTTGTCGAGCAACTTCAGACACTAAAGAATTGGGTTCTACCAAGGTCAATGTCCAGTACTAAGCAACGAATATTCAACCATTATCTATTTCCAATCAGACTGCAAGATGAATAAAGGCTCCGACTGCATATAAATACAAGTATTGTATTTTACGTGAATGCAATTTAAATAGAAAGCGTCGGGTTTCTAGCGGGAAGGCAAGATCTGAGTTTAACTCTTGTTAATATACGTAGCAGTAGTCTTATTCTTTCCGACTTGGGATTTTCTCTTAAAGTACCTTTGGACCTACTAGATATCTATCAATACACTCGACTTGAAGTCCGATATACAATACTTGAATGTCGTCGCCCTTTAGACTGCTGAATATGGCATGGGCAAATGGACCGTGTGGACCGTGTGGACCACTACAACATAGCAACATTTCGCCTGTAGCTACACCAGTACAAGTACAGGGTGTGCCTAATTATCTAACCATTGATATAGATAAAGTAGAAGAAAGTGCGAGTACAGACACGAATATGAACTCGAGCAATAATGTAGCGTATAGCACTGCAACAGCATATACCGACGGAGATGCATCAATGCCAATGGATTTTTCACCCGCTGCCGAAAACACTAGTCCCTTCGTATATGCTCATGCAAGTAGTTGTGGCATAAATAAGGATGAAAAAGCATCAGATACTATTCATACTATTAGAAATGCTGGCAGCCGTTCTACCCAACAACAAATGCATCAAGAACATGTTTCGATTGAATCTGTAGATATCCATGTGCAGCCGACCAGCGTGACGTGTACTCAGCAGTCATCCATGGCTGGTACTGCGTCCGTTTCTGATTCTCCTGTTTCTAATCATCCAAACCTTGGCAATGTTTTACGGATTAACCAAAACTATCAAGCAGCAGAAAATTTGGTGGTGCAGCCGTCGGTCATGAATCCAAGTGGAAAATCACTAGAGGTATAGTTTTACGATATTTTACACTAATGCAAGCATACCATATTCTAGTTGACTCGGAAAACTACTTTCCTATCGAGAATCTGCCGTCTTAATGTGAAATCCAGTCTTGCATATCTAATCAAACGATATTTTTTATAATATCCTGAAATTAATACAGGAACATAAGCGCATTTTGAACAACTCTCCATCCACTCCAAGATCAATCACAGGATCAAAAAAGCGATTGGCTGCATTTCATCGACAGATTCAGCAGCAAGATATACAGAATGCATTGCATTATAAAGGAGCTCATGCACAACCTATATCGGCTACTCGTTCAGCAGAATCTCTATCAAGTGAATGTTTATATCAAAACTTTATATCTGAAAATCCAAGCGAGCAACTGGTAAGTGTTTTGGTTTATCCATTATAATTATGCAAATTAGAACCAGATTGATCATTACTAAAGTTATTTTCATGGCTGGCGTTGGTTTAATTGGTAGACTGTATTGTATAAAACACTTCAAAGCGATTTAAAAAACGCCGCACTCAATACTGATATGCTTGGTATGATTTTACAAACTTACGGAGTCCCGGTCTCATTTCGTGGGCGGTTAATGGAGCGATGCGTCGAGATTTTTAATATGATGAATGCTGATGGTCAAAATCACTTGGCTAATACGGTACCGCAAATCCATTGGTGCCACGTTGCTCGGTAAGCATTCCATGTAAAAAAAAGAACAGTGTAATGTGAAACGTTTTAAAACACTCTTACTTATATATTTTTATTGATCTACAGCTTGTGGAAGACACTTTTATGGGAGACTTTGGATGTTGATCAGCGATGTTTTGCATTGCTTAAACCCTCTAGTTGCAATCATCTTCTGCAGGTGCATATCGAAACTGCTGTGGCTGATGTGATTCGTGACCTGCCTTCGTTTGCATTTTTGGTTTCGTCGCAGTCATTCATGAGCAGATATGGTAAAATGCCATATCTGCAGTTGGAGTTTTTGAAGCATGTGTTATTAATCATACTATTTTTTTAAAATTATTCAAGTCGAAACGGTTGCTACTAGACTATTTTTGATGAAATCGTCAAGTTTCAGTCCAACAATGACATTGCGAGAGTTTCGAAAATTAGAGTTTGTACTACAAATCAGCCAGCTCGAAAGATGCGCGACTTGCCTTGAGCCCAGTGTAAGTTTCAGATTAAGCCTATAGCTTACCGGCTAAAGACTGCCAATACTAACCTATGCCATTACAATATTATGTAGGTGCCACGAGCGTTTTCATATAAAGACTTTTATGTCATTTACTGTAAATTTTGGGAGCTGGATCTCGATCATGACATGGTAATGACAAATTTCTAGTTTAAACTTGACATTCGTACAAAATATGCTTTGTATTCCTGTTGGTTGTATTTGAAAACATTAACATACTTTTTTAGATTTTACTTCCAACAGATATTCAACGATTCGAAAACTACTCATTGTCTCCACTCATGGTATCAAGAATTTTTCAGTGGAATCAAATACGTGCTCTTCAAAAACCATCAAATAGTACAACCATGGACTTTCGTGAATTTGTTGGTATGTCTAATTTCAAGTATGATTGTGCATAGTTGAGCCAAATCTATGAATATTTTACTAAATTGTATTTTTATGATCGCCTATGCAATAGTCTTTATCATATGCGTGATGGGGAAAACTACTGATTATGCACTAGTATATTGGTTCAGATGCCTTGATTTGGATGGCGATGGTGTTTTGTCTTTAATGGAGCTTGAATCATTTTGGTTTAATCAAACTCGGCGGATACGTGAACAATATTCGCTGGTGGATTTCTTTTCCATAGTGTGCGTATCTCTACATTGTATTTAAGCTGTTTAATGCATGGATCACTCATTTTTGTGCTTTCCTGTTGACAATTTAGATCCGATATGCTTCTTCTTGGTGAAAGATCACATATTTTACTATCCGACTTCAAAAAAAACCGTGATAATACTGGAATATTTTTGGATCTGTTGTTTGATTCCCAACAACGCATCGAGTTTTTACGGCGAACCAGCGATATTGCATTTCGTAGAAGGGTAAATATAGTTTGGTTTAGTCTGATGTAAAGCTATACTTTTTTCCAAACTGACTATTTTACTGTTTAATTTCAATTCGAATATACTACAAATTGACAATATAGGATGAGGTATGGACAAATGTATCCGTTTTTTGTGCCAATCATGATAAACCGAGTGGTACTATTGATTCCTGGGAAGTGAGGCGTATTAAGCTGCAGTGAGTATATTTTTATGTCTTGATTTGTTTTGGGTGTTTAATCCTAACCATTTTATTTAAACACTGATGAACAAACGGCTAAATTAGTGGATGGGACAAGTTTAGCGAAAAATGCTATCGTAAAATGACACAAACTAGATTAATCAGCGATACTTTTACTAATATTGGCTGCACCACCGATTCATCTGTTAACCTGAATACATCTCTTTATTCGCCTACTGTAAATCAACAATACGGGACATGTCCTAGTATTGAAATTGATCGTGAAGAGGACGGCAGCAACCCAAATGGATTTGATCCTGAAAATCTGGTACGACCCATGCACTACGATGGTGAGAGATCCGAGTCAGATGGAGGTAGCAGAGTGTTATTTAGCGACATTACAGACATGATTGCTACCACATGCAGTAATACAGGTGTCTTGGATGCTTCAAGCGATGCCACCTCCGCAATGGCTATGGATACAGCTTTGACTGTGAGTAGTATGCCCAATATTACTGCTACACCTCTACATACAGCTCAGCACACCATGATGTATGTATATTCGAACACACCTCGCACATCGTCGCTGCCTGTCTCGCGACCATCGCGTGTGATATTTACAGACAGCCAGGTCCAGCCTATACCCAAACCACCACTCATTGCAACAAGTGCCGAGCCCCATCCAACCGGTGCTGGGTTGATTTCTAATGCCCAAGATAGCGGTATTTCTCTTGTATCGTCTGTAAATTTTGGCAAAAAATCCACAACCAGCCTTCAAACCATTGATTAATGCAACCTATATTCATGGAAAACATATTTGCAAAAGATTTCCAAAGAGTCTTGCAAGATTGTTGGTTTTTTGTTGAGCTGCATACTCTTTTGAGTTGCTTTTGTTTTTTGGTGCACGGGCATTGCATACCTTTAAAGCTTTCGACTATGTATCTAGTATCTTTCAATTTCTACATAATTTTCAATCCTTCACGCCTAGCCTATAGCCTTTTCATCGACTTTTTAAATGAATGTTTATATCTCACACTTGTTCATTTTGTTTTGTCAATGGCCTTGCTTTAGTGGTTGCTCATTAAAATATACATTTGATTCGGGATATTTCCAGGTCAGCGTGCTAATAATGAATCATCCTGTACATTTGTAATGATTGGGATCACATTGCTTGAATTTTGAGACTGGTTAGCAAAGTGTTTACCATTGTAAATTATTTGTGCGCCAATCTATACAATGCAATTCATAGTAACCATGTCCATCTAAAAAGCTTATGAACAACTTTATTGCAACTGCTTTTTATCTCTTTTGGCCTTAATTTTGGCTTGCTTGGCACGAATTCTACCCATCAAGTCTTTAGGATCATTGATGCCACTTGAAATTCCGCTTTTACCAGATATGCCACGAGCCTTGTCAAGTAACGTTTTGGCAATTTCCTCACCATCCGTCATTTTTCGCTTTTTGGTCGATTTGTCGTTTTTAATATTCACAATATTTGAGCCTCCATTGATGGTCAAATCTTGCCAATCTTGGTCATCTCCTCCAATTTCAAATCTACATGGATTCAAAAGGAATAGAATAAGTTATATAAATCCAACTTTGTGTAATAGAGCATATGGGTTTACTTTACCTGGAGAGATTGAGAGAATTGATCATCTCGCGCTGTTTCTCTTTAAACTGACTCATGGCTTCATTTCCAGCCTCATCCAAATCCTCATCCAAAGTCATTTTGATGGGATCCCAAGCCTCATCGTCCAGCATATCCCTTGCTTCAGAATTCGATCCATTCATGTCCGACTTGAATACTTTGGAATTGTCAATCTTGCTATTCACATCTTGTGTAACACCCATTTCAACCAGCCCATTTAGATATATACTAAATTTTTTAACCGCTTTTCCAAACAGTGCCAAAATTTGACTAACAGGCAATCCGAGTTCAACTTCCAACTCTTCGACTGTTTTTTTCTGCATGCCGATACCAATAAAAATCGATGCTTGGACAGCTGAAAGTGCTGGCGGTTTTACTTCGTTGCCCATACCACCATCAGATAGCGATTTCCAGCCAGACATGTCTTGCATAAAATATCCACGAGACAGTTGAGGAATCAAATCAATAATAACATGGTAGTCGAGCAGGTTTTGTGTGTAGGAATCGAGCCGCTTTAAATCAAACGGTGTGTATCTCCGGTGCACCTGTTCAGCAGAGTTGATACGGTTATCGCTAAAAAGTTTTCTAGTAGTGTCATGGTGATCAACATCATCTGTATCAGTGGAAGACATTCCAGGTGATAGTTTTACGCCTGTAGCATCAATAATACTTAATACCATTTGAGGCAAAAAAGTACGAAACTGGAATGCCAAAAGCTCAAGAAATCGACGACGAAAATCCCATGAAAACTCTTTTAGCCAAGTATTGCTGCCTATTTGTACCTGTCCACCACTGCGATGCACTTGCTTCAACATAATGCATGTATGTTCTCCAGTCAGGTCGTTGGAAGTTTGACGCATATAAACCGGAGCAAACCCAGCACGTTTCCAAAATTTGTGAAGAGACGAAGTGATGCCATAAGAAACACCGAGCCAATGAAGGTGTTCGCGTGGTGGACGTTCAGAAAGTTTCAACAAAAGTGGAGGCATTTTTGCTGGATCGCGAATAGAAACAGCATCAGTTTTAAGAGATGCATTGGAAAGCTCCTGATCAGATACACGAGTAAACTCTTCTTTGACAACGGTCTGCACTTCACTAAGCGACTGGATTTTACCACTATAGTATGCTTCCATTTGTTCCACGGCACGTGCACCATATCCCATGCCAGTGTAGTCTGGATGAGTAGCAATACGCACAATACGTGCACCAGAGAGAGAGGCAAAATCATCGTCTTGGAACTGTTGAGTGACGACCCAGGGAATAAGATCTCCAGATGCACGCACACCACGGGAAAGCGATGCAAGCGCAGATCCTTTAGCAATGGTTCCTTCCATACATACTTGGACAACACATAAAGGCTCTGGAAGTACATTTACATTGCGCTCATCAATGGGTGGAAGAAGGACAAACAGATGATGAGCAGGCGCATCACTTAGCAACTGCAAATCGTTGGGACTGTTTTTGTAGTGGCTAGCAACATATAGCGACATCATCATTTGCAAAAAGGCTTCAGATACGGGATGGTAGCTGAAAAGTGTATCACGATTAACATAGTAGAGTTCACACTTGGATGGGTGTGGACATCCTGAAGCAATACGGGATTTGGAACTAGCTGGAGTGCAGCAGTCCAAACACAGCAGTTTGTTGAGCCAAGACTCTACAGGATCTTTGATATTATAACGAATAGGCTCTTCCAATTTAATCTCGCGAAGAGAGCGACTAGAGGCAGCAGCAGAACCAAAAGCATGAGAGGTAGATCCATTAGTAGTTACAGCGGCAGAATCAACACCGGAAGACTTTTCTTTGCCATCGCGACCGACTATAATACTATTGGATTTTTCAGCCTTGTTTCCATCAAATCCACGAGACTGTTCACGCAGCTGTTGTATCAATTTTAACGAAAGAGATCGACCAGTTCCCTCGTATCCATTGATAGTGGATGCCATAAATACCAAATAAGGACCAAGCAACTTTTTGACAACAGGGAGCGGAATAGCAGCAGCTTCGTCAATCACTAAAAGTTCAGCTTGTGCAAGTATACCAAAATCAGAAGGTTGAATCCATTGAATAGTTTGACGATGATCACGGAAAAAGTTGACACGAACAATCGACTTTTGAAATGCAGGGTTTGTTGACTGGATAATATCATAGTCCAAATGCTCCTCGTACCCAAGTGCATCGAATCCTTTAAATATGAATTCAAAAAGAGTTTTGATGTTTTCAGGACTGGGGGAGGTGATGAAAATGTTTGAATAGCCGTACGAAATAGCAGAGGCAATAGCAATACCGAGGGAAGCAGATTTTCCACGACCACGAGATGCAGTGAGTGTGACAGTGGATCGAAGTGTTTTTTCGGCAATTGCCTCGATAAACGTAAGTACTGCTCGTGCCTGATCCAAAGTCTTTGCGCAGCCAACCAACGATCCTACAGGCTGAGTATCCTTGAGAGATTCTTTTAGCTCAGCGAGTTCAATCTGTGGTGGAGTTAGTAGTGTAGAATCGTCTGCTGCACGAGGAAGTGGCTTTACGTTCTTTCCAGCGCTCAAAGGCAAAACATTGAGTTCATCGTCAAGAACCAAACACGTTTCGCATCCACCAAGCGACAGAATGAAGCGTTCATTGAATCTGGCAACTGTGTCTTGATGAGATTCAGTTCTATATCTACTATGTACATCCATAGTCATGGTGTAGAGCTGCTTGAGAGAAGTCATGGTTTTGAGCAAAAGGACAACGATGCCACCTCCTTCAACGGTCTCTATGGTGCGAGCAAGTAAATTCGGAGTCAGAGCCTCAAAATCCTGCAAAACACACATTCCAAATGTATTTCCAAGAATCTTTTCGGTTTCTTTGTAGTAGGCATATCGAATTGAAGTGGACGACACAAACAACTCAAACGGATCATCCTCGTCCGGATCTCTGGCTCCTCTAGCAATCTGCTTCTTGATCTGACCCATTCTCTTTTTGCGATTGCTAAAAACATGCATTTTGCATAAATATATTGGGTCCATATTAGTAAATATACCAGATTTAAAAGGCTGGATTTCATTCTCATTGCTGAAACCATGGTCTTAAACTATAAGTAAAAAATCAAACATACCTGCTAAACCCAAGTTCTTTCTTGTAGCACCATAGTACAGAAGGACGTGAAGCAACTCTGGCTTTGGAGAGTAAATAATATAGAGTAACTACCTGATCACGACCTTTGTCGCCGACCAGTACAAAAAAGGAGCGATGGTTGGTCTGTACGCCATTGGAAATCAAAGAAGGAATGCGGGAATCTAGCTTTTTACGTTGAGAATTTTTGCTTGATGAGGTCTTCAAAGTACTCTTTCCAGCATCATCAGTGGTTTCTCCTGCCATTTTAAAGGATAGTCGTTTATGGCTTGAGGGAAAAAAAATTAATTCAGAAATTGATAAAATAGAAAAAATTCAGCCAATCAAAACATGAAATCTTGGCAGTTGAACAGCGCTCGCAGGAGCAGTTGACCTGCAAGCCAACACATCGTAGATTGCCATCAGCAAAAAGAAGCTTATTTGGATAGACTGAAGTGTATCACATAGTATAAAGACAATGGCAAACTCAGCAATTATCGCAAGACGATGGATGTCACAGCCATTCAGAATCAATAGACTTGGACTGTCATTGCCATGTCAGCAGGCATCTTTCATCAGTCCAGCGTCTAGTCAATGTCATGTCTTTCCATCTAAAAGACTATTCTCAACACCCACTCAATCGGCCTCTATCCAAAATCACTCAGCCACTACTGCTCATAACAATGTAACCATGGTATCCAAAACTACTGATACTCGTCGCAATGAATCTTTTGGAAACGACACACTTGGAACTGTCGTTTTCACTGGAAAATCTCAAAGTTTCTTAGTTTTAACAAAAATCGCTGTCATGATCCTTACTGCTGGTGGGGCTGCTCTTATTCTAGATATTAATGAGAGAGCCAACGAATCTCCTGCTCCTGTTTTTCCTCTGTATCTAGCCAGTTGAGTTTATATTGTTACATGGACCCACCAATGTATTTTTACTATAAACTCACCCAATATTATCTGACAACTATCCAAGTCGTCGGGGTTGTTGGCACCATACTCGTCGGCACCACGATCGTTAATAAATCGTATGTCATCAAGATCATTCGACCCCTTCCAACCTATGTTGCTTCACCAGTAGTGTCATCTATGATCAGAAACCAATCGGCTAACAAGATCATTCGATCCGGTTTACAGCCAGTCGCATCTTCTACATTACATATCCAGACGCAAACTTGGTTTAACCTGGTCAAGACACATACAATAAATATTTCCGATTTGCGGTGCAGATCATCTGGGGTCATTCGGACGTGGATGCATCTACCGGGTAGTCCCAACTCCAGAGGACCGCTTATATTTCCATTACTGGCTAAAAGATTTATTTTGGAAGTCGGGCCAGATAGCTCACTTGATTCCGAATTGAAATGCATTTTGGACACTGTCAAAGTGAACTCTGGAATGACTGTCATTCCTGATCAACGTGTGTCGATTGAGCCAGATTCTACTGAATCTAATTTTAAAAGATGATTTAAATGCTTAAAATTGATTGGTCTGTTTTTTCATTGCATATTCCTAACTGGCACGACTCGATGCATGCCCATTGCTACAGTTTATTTTGTACAAGGCTTAAATTTAGTTGTGTATCCAAGATTGACAACTGGGATGAAGATATTTGGTACAATTTGAAATCAGTCCATTTTATTTCATTAATGAACACTGTTTTTATTTTGATCAAGCGACTGTTGTTTTTTCAATAAATACAATCATTTTTCACCCATATGTTTTCATTGACAATTGAATATGGTCAAGTAAAGATTCGACAGATCCCATCAAGTTGTTTCCCTTACAGAATGTGGTTGCGAGTGCATGTGCTTCGTCTCTCTACATTTAATAGAATATCACAACATTCAGATTAAAACAGTTAGCCTATTAAAACACGCCTGCTTTATGTTTGTAATGTCTAATTTAATAGGACAACAATGGTGAATTACCTCGTGAACTGGGAGCATGCGGTACACGCCTGCCTTGATTTCAACTTTTAGACAGCACAGTAGCCGTCCTCGATCAACATGCAATTTGATGTGCTTTCTTGGCAATTTACTAGCCGACGATGGTTCGTTTCTTGATATGCTTGATTTGGACAAGCCTGTTACAGGACGCGATGTGGATGATTGGTTTTGATGGTGTAGATGTGAGTTAAGCTGGGGTATTGATGTTGTCATTCCAGTATATGTAACGTGCTGCATTGGCTTGCTAGCAGCCGATTGTTCTTGTCGAGAATCTGTGTTGGATTTCAACATTGATCCAACACGTTTTGTCCATAAAGTTTTTGATGCAAGCAATGGCGATCCATAGCATGTTTGATTTTTTACATGCAAAGCAGTTTTAGTATTTTGACTAGCCATCTCGTTTCCACCTGCATGTCCATGCTTTGCATTATGACTTTTGTTTGGTAGTAAAGTAGTCTGATCACGATGAGCTCCCGTAGCGTTAGCCAATGGCGAGGCAGAATCATTTAAAGTAGTAGTGTAATTATGTGTTAGCTTGGTGCTTGATCCATACTGTTTTGTGTTGTGTGCTGTTGCAGATGTGTTGATTCGCGGCGTACAATAATATGGATCTCGCAGCATTGCAGAGTCAGCAGTGCAGTTTGCACCTTCTAAAGTTCTGCTGCTATTAAAGTGAAATTTGCCATCACTAGTATGGGGTTTCCCTTGGAAGGAGACTTGGTCTGCATCATGCATATACTGTATATTATTCAACGTGATGTTTGCGTTGGAGAGGGTAGGGTTAGAAGCACGGGTTGGTTTAGAAGATATGCCAAGATTTGGCATGCTGCTCACAGGCTCACCTGGCATGCTTTTCCGCCTAGAATTTGTTGGATGCTTTTTAGGCAAAGATTCCAATTTGGTGTATGTATTTTTTTGCGATGCGCTTTCCAACTGAGATGATCCATGTGCAGACCCGTGGTCTATTGGATCCGCAATATTCCCAACCGATTGTGAACTCAAGCATGTACTTGAAATACCAACAACGTGTATATTGGACTTTGACAATGGCTCAGTGTATGAGTTTGATGGCAGCAATGGTGTGAATGGGTCTTCGAAATCATCGGGTATACTTTGGATCCAAGAAGCAATGCGCTCCATTGCTGTTAAAGTATGTTTTTTTTCTGCCATTTCCGTGTGTCGCTTTAGGTTGTTTTGAGTGAGTGGAACATTGTCCCAATATCCAGCGACAAATGCCTTGCTTTTATTAGATCGTATTGAAATTCCCTCTAATGGCGTTGGATTGCCTTTTACATTAGGTGCTCCAGATGGTTTCTTTTTGGTCAAGTCCACTTTGTTTTGATAGATTGAGTGTTTGGAGCAATGGTACGATTGATGCTGTGAAGGTGACTGAATGCCCACACATGCCACGTTGCCTCCATTTTCTCGATAGAAATGTGCAGAATCGGTATTGTCTACTTTTGCAAATATAGTATTTTCAGCGGCAACAGTGCTAGGCCGACCAATACTGGATTCAAATACTCCAAGACTTTTCCTGCCAATTACAATAGGGGTTCCGTTTGCATTGATGCTGCTATAAGCACTGGGACTGGCAATGGTAGAGAACTGTATACCTTTGTTGCGTATACTAGATTGTGCTCGATACGCATCAGTATGGAACTGGTCACGTCCGCTCTGATGGACAGGTGCTGTTAATATAGGTTGATCTGCATCTACACCTGTAATAGGACGCGACAGAGCATTGGAAGAGTGCGAGAGTTGCTGGGAATGATGTATGCCCTCTGACCTGTCTTTTTTCTGTATGTGCTGCTGGGTACCATTTTGGTAGGATGGGATTTCATGACGATGCATAATATGGCTGCTTTGTAAACCCTGAGAATCATTTCCAGATACTCTACTTGAAAGAATCTGCCGTTTGGCTAATTGCAGCAACTGGAGGGATGCGTGATGAGAAGAAAGACCAGATATATCATCTATACTGATGCTTGTGGATGCGAGTCCAGCTTGTTTGCGTGTCGCCGATGGAGTGCGTGATGCTCTGAATCCCATAAGTTGCTGTGATGGTTGAAATAAGGATGGTGGTGATACAAAGGCGCTTTAAAAGGCGTATGATGATGGGACTGCTATGTGTAACTTGGAGTTTTGGTGTATTTATACTGGATAATTCTGACAAGTATTCTAATGCTGAAAGGATGTCGCGTAAAATATTTTGTACTATTGTTGACTTGTATCGTATGAATGAAGCCAGATCAGGACTGCATGTTAAAAAGTGATTTAGTGGTTTGGTACCGCACCATGATCAATGATGGCTATAAAAGGGAATGCAATAAACGCATAAATTGCACTGATATTTTTCAATGAAATCATACAATGATGTTGGGCTAGTCATGTAAAATGACACTTGGTCAGCTTCTGAATATGAACAGTTCTGGAATAGCGATCTTGATGGGATTCAAGCTGATGTAAATTAGTCACGTGAAGCTGTATTCAATAAAAATGCCATTTTTGACAAGCTCAGCTCGAGTTCACTTTACGCAAGCCGATCGAGATGACTGCTATCAAGTTGAGTGGTTTTGATTACAGCTGCAGCATTTACTCTAAAGTTTTAAAAGAATTCAGAGTTTAATTGATTTTCCCGGACGAGTTTAGAAACATTCTGCTTCTTGGGTCAGGATACGTTGCACCACCTTGCCTCAACTACCTTCTTCGTCGAGAAGAAAATCATGTCACTGTTGGTAAGACCATTTCATGATTGATTTAACCAGAAAGACACAGTGATGGATTTTTGGCTGATGTGCTGATTAAATGCCTTGCTATTGGATGATGACATGCACATATAGCCAGCAGACGAATTGAAAATGTTGAAGCTCTTGCCGCAGATCGGCCAAGAGTCACTCCAATCTCACTGGATGTAGACAGTGACAAGGCTCTTGAAGAAGCTATTTCCAAAAGTGATATAGTGATTAGGTTTGTCCTTTAATCATCACACAGCTATGACTTGGATTATCTCGAGACATTTAAATTCAACTTGTATTGGTATATATAGCTTAATTCCTTATACGCATCACGCCAGAGTGATTGCTGCTGCCATCAAACATAAGAAACATGTTGTTACTACTAGCTATGTATCTCCTGCCATGCTTGCTCATGATCAAGCGTAAGTAATCATTTCGTTGAATGGTGTGCGGCCAGTGCTTTTATTTAGTAATATTTGCAATACATCTGATTATAGGGCCAGGGAGGCTGGAGTAACCATATTCAACGAAATTGGTGTTGATCCAGGTATATCCAACTGGTTTACTATTTGGCGGATGTATTATTTCGAGATTAGAGCATGGCTAGAGCTCACGCATATCTGTCTGCCATTTTTATAAACTGTAGGTATTGACCATCTTTATGCCATCAAGACCATTGATGAGGTTCATCAGCAAGGCGGAAAAGTATGTTTTTTTGTCATGTATCAGTCTTACTGTGTGGCATTCTGATGTTTGATGATTAGATTGTGTCATTTTTGTCGTACTGCGGCGGTCTTCCTGCTCCAGAGGCATCCAACAATCCACTTGGATACAAATTCAGCTGGAGCTCGCGGGGTGTTTTGCTGGCTCTTCGAAACGATGCCAAATATCTACAAGATGGAAAGGTATTATTTGATTAATTATCAGTAGTTTGTCATGTTGGATGTATTGAGATGCCTACAATCATTTATTTGTATGAATAGGTTGTTGAAGTCAATGGTCCTAATTTGATGGACATTGCCAAGCCCATTTATATTTTCCCTGCGTTTGCATTTGAAGGCTATCCTAATCGTGACTCGACTCCGTACAATGAGCGTTATGCTATTCCAGAGTGTAAAACTCTTTTGCGTGGTACTTTGCGATACCAAGGATTCCCCATGTTTATCAAGGCTTTGGTTACGCTTGGATTTTTGAATGATGCCCATGTGGATTGCTTGAGTGCTAAATCTCCAGAAATCAAATGGGTATGTTTTCAGTGTATGAATCGTTTAAAGTATACATGATTTGTATGCTCATTATAATGGAACTCTAGAATGCAGTGTTTGCTCATGCACTTGGCACTCTTGATACGAGCGAGTCGTAAGTAAATCTGTGCAGATCAAACGTAAAGCTGTTTGAAAATATATTGAATCTTACATTATTTTTAATCAGGAACTTGACCAAGCTTGCTTTGGCCAAGACTGGTCTGGAAGGCGAGAATGCTCGTCGGGTTCTTCACGGCCTTAAATGGTATTTTATTCATTCAGTGTAATTTTCTTGTAGTGTGATGGCTTATTTGTGCAACTTGCCTGATGATACAAAACTAGGCTTGGACTTTTTTCAGATACACTTGTCACTCGCAAGGAAACATTGCTGGACACACTGTGTGCTACTCTTGAACAGAAGATGCAGTATGAGGAAGGCGAGCGCGATATGGTGATGCTGCAGCATAAGTTTGAGATTGAATGGGCCAATGGCTCCAAGGTAAGAGGGTGTATTTTGATGGTAATATAATGCAAGCTAATGCTGAACATTTTGACAGGAAACTCGTACTTCTACTGGACTGTGGTTTGGAGTGCCAGGCGGAGATTCGGCCATGGCGACTACTGTGGGAGTTCCGTGTGCAATTACAACGCAGCTTATTTTGGATGGCAAGATTAAACAGACTGGTGTACTTGCACCCATGACTGGCGAACTTGTGTACCCCATTATGGAGGCGCTTAGAAAGGAGGGGATTTATATGACGGAGGAAACACTTTGAATATCAAGCGATATGATGGAATGAATAAAGTGTTTGAATTGATTCTACAATATAGTTGTATTCAAGTAAAATGGAAGGCAACATCTCGTGAAATGATGGCCAAATTTACTGGGCAATATTGTCCTCGAAACAAATGTTCAAAGTGCAGATTCAACATGGTCTGCTAGCCCTTCAACGATGTCGCAGATAGAGTTTCGCATTCTTGTTCATCTCTAAACCCCGCCGACAACTACTTTGGCATAATAAAAGATGGTTTTTTACGGCATGTGATTCCAAACAAAAAGACTTGGAATGCATTAAAGAGGCAATACAGTCGGATTGAGTAGGAAAGCATAACGAATGTTTAGCCATTGCTTATTCCAAAGCAAAGTAGAGGCAGTGACTGAAATACAAGTGTTTCATTTTACGTGAATACGGCTGTAAAATAAATGGCATTGAACAAACCATGTATGCAACTTTAGAGGTTGATTGTCACCATTCTGCAGCCATGTCTGCATGAAATAAAGCATTTTTGTGTATCTGCAATCACTGCCTTTATTTTATTCCAGAATAAAGTGGTCAAATATTCGTTCCGCCTTCTTAATAGAAATGTATCGCTTTTTGTATTGAAGCTACAAGTTGTTTGGTGTCTGGAATGGCTCAGCACACAGTCATTCCAAACACCAAAGTAATTGTCAGCAGGGTTCAAGGATGGACAGTATGATGCTGTATAGTGTAGTTCCAAACCTCGCGCTGTTTGTTGAATAGTTGGTAAACCATGTCTAATTAGAGTTGTTTTGTGGAATGGAATGTTGTCTAGAATAAAGTGACCGTTTGGGACCGTTTGGGAATGTTGCATGTCATTGTTTAACAAGTTAATATTACAGCATTCACTGCTGCCTTGATCAATCTCCAAACACATTGATCGTCATATGAAACACACACTATTAGACTATAGTTTTGAACTGAAATGTTGTTTTTGGACTGTACTCTTTCACCTCTGTTTGTATAGCCATACATTGTACAATCTCCACGTAATGTTGGACAATACAGACTGTATCAATCTTTTTCAACTTTTTAAAAACATTACTTGCTTGAAAACTTTAAACTTTCCAAATTTAAAGTTGGAACAAGTCTTTGACAAAACAAGAGTTGAAAACACCATTGGCACACGAATAGTTTCTGGAACTTTGACAGTTGATGACTTTCAAGTTTTTTTATACCATGAAAAGAGTTTGTTATCTGAATGAGAAACTGGGACAATCGGAATTCGATCACACTCCAATATAGGAAACCACATGTTTTTGGAATGAACCCAAACAAACCAGAATGCTGCGTTGTAGGACTTTATATCGAGTGAGGAGTAAAGTCATCCATTCATTTCAACCTCTTGTATAACGAGTATATTGAAAAGGCTTGAGCTTATAGCGCTCGTCATCGTCTAGAGTGGTACACGTTTGATAATGGCTACAACACACTCATCAATTCTATAACAGCAAAAACTTGCAATTCAGCTACAATTTTTGAGCGCCTAGCAACATTCTCGACTGTATTTCAAGTGCTTTTGAAAGGATATTTCAACGGACCTTGTAGATAAGACAGATGGAAAACAACACTTGGAAATAATAGTCATTTATAGAGTTGCTAACCTTGGACATCGAGGCAAAAGCGACAAGGACTTTGAGGACATACGAATTGCAAGGAGAGAGAACAAGGCTGGAAAAGTTGAATGGGAAACAATGCAGAGCGACTACCATTACACAAGCCACGTTCATGCATTGTTTCGTCATTGTTTCATCGGCTTTACACACAGCCAAGGCATTGAAGAAACTCTTGTATTCTAATATCAGATACGTTTGCATTCTAGTTCGATATATCTCAGGAATGCAACAGCTGTTTCCATACCGATCATTCAATGTTTACTTGAAATGCTTGATTTAAAAAAATAAAATTTGGAGTTGAAAAGGTGTCAAGGATGTAGGATTGACTGATGTGAACACTCGGTCTGTATTTTTGTACAAGAACGAGCATGGAGACCAATGGATTTTGTCAAAGGGCATATTTTTGCCATTAAGATTGATACCAATCACACATGAGACTGGCCGTCTATGATGTATCTTGGAGCCCTTATTTAGTATTTTATTTTGTGGATACAGCTGTAAAAATTCCATATTAATGCAGTTGATCATTCTGTTATTTCAAATTTGGAATGTTGTAATTTGAAGTGGGCTAAATATGAATGACGCAACTAATTCGAATACCCTGATTATTACAATAAATGCATAGTACCCATGCAAGTCCAACATATAAACGGGTATTGTGTAATGCACTGGCTTGCAATGTGTTGCACCGAGTCGTATTTGTCATCAGCAAATATCAGAATGATACGCGTTGCGCATTGTAAAAACATGAATGAAGCAGTTGAAACAATGCATACTTGAACTAGGAACATTGTACACTGACTGTTTGAGACTTTGAATACAATTCAAGTAGACATTAGCTCAAGTCAAATAATGAACAGTCTTGTTGTTAACGGTGCCCCAAAACAAATAAAAGCAAACACGCCACATTTCCACAACTCTTGTCTTGCGCAACTCGCTGCCACTTGATTTTTAAATTCAGTCGCAATGGTACATGCCGATGCTAGTAGCGGCCAATTGATGTTGCAAAAGTCAGTGTGGCCTGACGAGTATTACAAGCAAAGTCAACAATATGGTGGCGTATCTCCGTTTTAGTTTAGAAACTGCGCAGACCGCCAGATTGGAATCAAGCGCGTCATGGCGCACGGCTTGCTTTAAATATCGAGTTAAACTCTGTAGTTTTTGCTTATAAAGACCCGCTGTCTCTGCTGTATCAAACCGTCTAGCAATTTAATATCTTTGTAGTCGTTCATATCCCATTATCCGATCAAAGTCCTGTATTGTTTCTTGTTTGATTCTGTACCTATCACTCGTCTTTTGTTTAATACTTGTAGTTTTTGAAAGACATTCATCCTATCCTTTTCTCCCACTTCACACACTATGCTTCTCCAATCCGCATTCAGCTTTATTGCTGCCTTTATTTTGACCACATCCAGTGTTAGTGCCTTGCCTAAAGGTGCACCAAAATGTGTCATCAATTCAGATGTGATTTCCAAAGCACACAAACATCCCGATGATCCCACCCTTGGTTACGGACTTGATGTCAAAGTTTCTGGTAGTTCATTCGAAATCACAGTTACCAGTAGCAATGGACGCAAGGACTTCCAGGGCATTCTCATGTATATTGAATCCGTTGACAAACCAAAGTTCCATATGGGCAAATTCCAAGTGGACACCAATAACTTTAGATTCCAGCAACAGTCGATTTGCGACGCTGCAGGTATCCAAGGAAGTAACGAGGCCACAGTCACGCATGCCAACCCATCGAAAAAGCCACTTGGCTCGACCAAGTTTATCTGGACGCCTAATCCTGAAGACCTGCAAGTTTCAGGCGAGACAAAGATCCACGTAGCAGTTGCAGACAATGATGGAGATAGTCCGTCTACTTCACCTCCCCGTTTCATGTCGTTCCAAGTTCCAATCAACTTCAAGACTGGCGGCAATCCAACAACCACTGTCACCGTCACCGTCGCGCCACCTGCTGGTGCCACTGTTGTTACCACTACTCGCCGCGTTATTAAATGCATGCCCAAATCTCATCGCATGCCGCCAGTGCCGGCTCAAACTCCAAAGCCTATTGCTACTCCCACTCCACCTGCTGCACCCCCAGCTTATCCAGCACCCCCCGCTCCACCTGCACCTCCAGCTGAACCTCCAGCAGCACCCCCAGCTTATCCAGCACCCCCCGCACCTCCAGCTTATCCAGCAGCCCCCGCACCTCCCGCAGCAGGTGGTTACTAACTCATCTTCATTACCAGAAAATTTCATTGATGTACAATTAAACCATTACTTACAGCCATATTCACATAAAATGAGGCACTCTTCTGCTTCTATCTTGCAGTGACTGCCTCCTTTTCTTTCGAATAAAAAATGGTTAAATATTCATTATGACTTATTACCAGAAATGGTTGTACATATCATGTACACTGAACAAAAACTGAGGGTGTTGAGCGGTACAATCGAGCCATGGGTTTGATCTGAAACCGTCCCTTTTTTTGGCATAGCCATACATTATACGATTATCAAGCTTTGAATCGGACTCATCCCTGATGTTGTCAGTTGAATCCCTTTTGTATCCCATACGTTGTGTTTTGGTTTGAGAAAGGATTACACAAGTACGAGGTTTACTCGTACAGATAGGTAGACACTTGCCTAGTTTTTGTACAGAAATGATCGTGGAACAGAGCACTAGTAAATCAAAGAATCCAGGACACTTGTAAGTTTAATGAAAGTTGGCATCGATTATTTTGAACTGGCCGTTTATTGTCTTGACGCCCTTGGTGTCTATTTTGCGCGAGTACGGTTGTAAATAAAAAATTGGAATCGTTGGTTTAGGTCTTGCATGAGGGTTGCTGATTATTGGAGATTGTTTTTTCAGTTCCAAATTAACACTGCTTGCTGTACTGGGCAAGTCGACCATTTTTGAATAAGAGGTGGCCCTTGTGAAAATGCCAAGTGGTCTCACTGATATGGTGCATTATTGTGCAAACTGCTGTCAGATTTTAATGGACATGTTCAACTGTTGTTTAACTAAAAATGATTCAAATTCAAAGCATCTTGCTAGAGCTTGAATAACAAGGATATTTGATGATTAATCGGCCTGCTCATTGGCAATATTTTACAATGGTTTCGCCAAGCGATCAAGCTTATTTTTAAAAGCAATCCCTACTAATCATATGAAAACTAGTAGGGACTCATGTTAGTAATATTTAATCGGCTTGTCATGGATAAGCAATCATTTTTATAAATTCACCCAATACTGCCGCAGCGGTTTAATCCTATTTAGGAACATCGATGAATTTTGACCCTATCTGGGCGTATCGGTGGGGTTTGACCCTATCTGGGCGTATCGATGGATTTGGCATCCCTTTGCGGTTGAGTTAGGGCGGTTTAATCTTTAATCGCGATTATCTCGATCCAATAAACTGATGGAGAAAAAGCACAGGGTTGATGTTTGTGTTGAGTCCACTCGGATGAGTTTAACTATTTAAGAAGGGATATAACCGCATGTGCTACGTTTAAAACCGTCTTATTCACTAGTTTTCAAAGACACTATTGAATCGACACATTTTATCGCATCTTGGCATAGTCTCACCACTGGTAACCGCACGAGATGAGGCTCATACCGATTGTTGTGATCTCGCTACTGTCAACTGTAGTCAGCGCAGTAACTACCCCTACACCCGAGGATGACTCTAAACCACCATACAAGACTGAGTCACAAATAGATCCGTACCTGAGACGAGCAGATGAATTTTACAATTCGCTTATTGCTGCTAAAGCACTTAGAGGACAATCTGCCAATGTGGCTGGTGATTTGGGTCAGTCAACTTTGAGCTCTGGTGATTTGAAAAGTTCTTTTAAACACTCTGTTGAAAGCAAGCATAAAAAGCATCTCTCCAAAACCATCGAAACAGGCCATACATCCGGAACTCGTACCGACTCCAGTACTGGACCAACTGATTCGGAGGATGAGAATCGTAAGCGCTTATTCCAAGATAGACTGATTAAAATCAAGGGTATGCTGCGCGACCTTGATATTTCTACTTCAGAGGACTCTGGGAGCGAACATTCACAAGCTGTAAGCGAGGAAACAATAGCCCAATTTCTATATCTCTATCTGGGTCAAAGAGAAATACCCCATGATAAAAGAAGAGAAATGGTGAGATTGATTTTGGAATCAGAGGTTAGGTATATCATGGATTCTATCGACAGGCTAAACGGAAAATTGGCGGCAAGTCAAATTGTTAATGAATGTCGCAGTGATGGCTCAAAGAAAAGTGGGTGCTGTCTTGGAAAGATTTGTAAATCGACCGGTTCCTTTTTCGATAAACTTAAACTGGGACGCTGGACTAGGAAATTCGAACCTCACAAAAACGATCAACCACAAGCTGTGGGAAGGTATACTCCAATCGAGGATGGCAAACCCCAAGCCGAGGGAAGCAAGAGAGTTCAGGCTCAAGAAACGCAAGAACCCCAAAGTGAGGAAACGCAGAGCCCCAAGAAAGAAAAGAAATTCAGATTCTGGAAAATCTCATCCAAATCTGGTGGTAACAATCAACCTCAAACCGAGGAAACGCAAGAATCCCAGGTCGAGAGTCTTCAAACTGAACAAGCACAAAAGCTTCAGGCTCAAGAAACGCAAGAACCTCAAAGCGAGGAAACGCAGAGCCCCAAGAAAGAAAAGAAATTCAGATTCTGGAAAATCTCATCCAAATCTGGTGGTAACAATCAACCTCAAACCGAAGAAACGCAAGAATTCCAAGCCGAAGTGACGCAAGAACCCGAAGTTGAGGAAACTCGGAAATCCAAAAAAGAAAAAAAATCTGGATTCTGGGAAAGTACGCTCGCGTTTTTTGGATTCAAACCCCAAGCTCAGAAAACGCAAGAACTTCAAGCTGAAGCAACACAAGAACCTGAAATTGAGGAGATTCAAAGCCATCAAGTTGGAGATGACGAATCCCAAGCTGGAGATGACGAGTCAATAAAAGGCAACGGGTGTTGTTTTGGAAGGTTTTGTAGATCGGTCGGTTCCCTTTTGGATAAATGCAAACCAAAACGCCGGATTCGGAAACACAAAGAAATCCTATCCTTGAAACCCTCATTCCAAACTGAAGAAGCCAATCAACCTCAAGCCGAGGAAACGCAACCATCCCAAGCTCAAGATAGTGAAATTCAGACTGACGAGAAACTTGAAGCCAAAGTGATGCAAGCATTCCAAACCGATGATGAGAAATCACTGACATCCCAAACTGATGATGAGCAAACGTCAATCGATGATGAGGAAGTTCAAGTCGAGGCAATGCAAGAACCTCAAGTTCAGGTTCAGGAAACACAGGCACCACAAATTGAGGAAATGCAAGAATCTCAAATTGGAGATGACGAAACACTGACATCTCAAATTGGAGATGAGCAAGTGCCAATCGATGATGAGGAAGTTCAAGTCGAGGCAATCCAAGAACCCCAAGTTCCAGTCCAGGAAACACAGGCACCACAAATTGAGGAAATGCAAGAATCTCAAATTGGAGATGACGAAACACTGACATCTCAAATTGGAGATGAGCAAACGTCAACCGATGACGAGGAAGTTCAAGTCGAGGAAATGCAAGAACCCCAAGTTCCAGTTCAGGAAACACAGGCACCACAAATTGAGGAAATGCAAGAATCTCAAATTGGAGATGACGAATCACTGACATCTCAAATTGGAGATGAGCAAGTGCCAATCGATGATGAGGAAGTTCAAGTCGAGGCAATCCAAGAACCCCAAGTTCCAGTTCAGGAAACACAGGCACCACAAATTGAGGAAATGCAAGAATCTCAAGTCGGAGATGACGAAACACTGACATCTCAAATTGGAGATGAGGAAACGTCAACCGATGACGAGGAAGTTGGAGTCGAGGAAATGCAAGGATCTCAAATTGGAGATGAAAGCCTTCAAGTTGATGATGAGGAATTTCAAGCTCAGAAAGCACGGATTCTGGAAATGCAGAAATATAGGGAACAAAGGAAGTTCCAACTCGAGAAAAACATGCCCAGATTTACTGAACAAATGCAACCTCAAGTCCAGGAAACGCAGCAACTCCAAGCCGAGATGACACAAGAATCTCAACCCGACGCAATTCAAGAGCTTCAGGCTCAGGAAATTCAAACCAAAACCCAAACGCAAGAACTTCAAGCTGAAGCAACACAAGAACCCGAAGTTCAGGAAATTCAAAGCCATCAAGTTGGAGATGACGAGTCAACAAAAGGCAATGGGTGTTGTTTAGATAAGTTTTGTAAGTCGATCAATTCCCTTTTGGATAAATGCAAACCAAAACATCAGATTCAGAAACACAAAGAAATCCCATCCTGGAGACCCTTATTCCAAACTGAAGAAGCCAATCAACCTCAAGCCGAGGAAACGCAACCATCCCAAGCTCAAGATAGTGAAATTCAACCATCCCAGACTCAAGATGAGGAAACCAAGGTTGAAGAGACGCAAGAGCCCCAAATTCAGGAAATTCAACCATCTCAAACCGAGGACGAGGAAATTCAGCCATCTCAAACTGAGGAACTTCAAACCGAAGAAACCCAAAAACCTAAAAAAGGAAGAAAGTTCCGACTTGAGAAAAACATAGTCAAATTTATTAAGAAAATGCAACCTCAAGTCCAGGAAACACAGGCACCGCAAATTGAGGAAATGCAAGAATCCCAAGTCGGAGATGACGAAACACTGACATCTCAAATTGGTGATGAGCAAACGTCAACCGATGATGAGAAACCCAAGGTCGAAAAGACTCAACCCGAGGTAATTCAAGAACTTCAGGCTCAGGAAATCCAAACCCAGACCCAAACGCAAGAACATCACGCTGAAGCAACACAAGAACCTGAAATTGAGGAGATTCAAAGCCATCAAGTTGGAGATGACGAATCCCAAGCTGGAGATGACGAGTCAATAAAAGGCAACGGGTGTTGTTTTGGAAGGTTTTGTAAATCGGTCGGTTCCCTTTTGGATAAATGCAAACCAAAACGCCGGATTCGGAAACACAAAGAAATCCCATCCTTGAAACCCTCATTCCAAACTGAAGAAGCCAATCAACCTCAAGCCGAGGAAACGCAACCATCCCAGACTCAAGATGAGGAAACCAAGGTTGAAGAGACGCAAGAGCCCCAAGTTCAGGAAATGCAAGAATCTCAAGTTGATGATGAAGACCTCCAAGCTGATGATGAGGAAACCCAGGAATTACAGACCGAGGAAACCCAAAACCCCAGGAAAGAAGAAAAGTCTCAATTTGACAAAATTATGCTTAGACACTTTGGGAAAATGCAACCTCAAGTCCAGGAAATGCAACCTCCTCAGATCCAGGAAATGCAACAGTTCCAAGCCGAGATGACACGAAAATCTCAACCCGAGGTAATTCAAAAACTTCAGGCTCAGGAAATCCAAACCCAGACCCAAACGCAAGAACTTCAAGCTGAAGCAACACAAGAACCTGAAATTGAGGAGATTCAAAGCCATCAAGTTGGAGATGACGAATCCCAAGCTGGAGATGACGAGTCAATAAAAGGCAACGGGTGTTGTTTTGGAAGGTTTTGTAAATCGGTCGGTTCCCTTTTGGATAAATGCAAACCAAAACGCCGGATTCGGAAACACAAAGAAATCCCATCCTTGAAACCCTCATTCCAAACTGAAGAAGCCAATCAACCTCAAGCCGAGGAAACGCAAGCATCCCAAGCTCAAGATAGTGAAATTCAGACTGACGAGAAACTTGAAGCCAAAGTGATGCAAGCATTCCAAACCGATGATGAGAAATCACTGACATCCCAAACTGATGATGAGCAAACGTCAATCGATGATGAGGAAGTTCAAGTCGAGGCAATGCAAGAACCTCAAGTTCAAGTCGAGGCAATGCAAGGATCTCAAATTGGAGATGAGGAAATGCGGGCATCCCAAGCCAAAGTGATTGAAGAATTACAAGCTAAACTGATGCAAGAGTCTCAAATTGAGAGTAAGGAAATTCAGCCATCTCAAACTGAGGAACTTCAAACCGAAGAAACCCAAAAACCTAAAAAAGGAAAAAAATTCCGATTCAAAAAATTGCTGAACTTTTTTGGAAAAAAGAAGCCTCAAGCCGAGGAAACACAAGAATCTCAAGTCCAGGAAACACAGGCACCGCAAATTGAGGAAATGCAGGAATCCCAAGTCGGAGATGACGAAACACTGACATCTCAAATTGGTGATGAGCAAACGTCAATCGATGATGAGAAACCCAAGGTCGAAAAGACTCAACCCAAGGTAATTCAAAAACTTCAGGCTCAGGAAATCCAAACCCAGACCCAAGAACCTGAAATTGAGGAAATTCAAAGCCTCCAAGCTGAAGATGACGAATCAACAAAAGGCAACGGGTGTTGTTTTGGAAGGTTTTGTAAATCGGTCGGTTCCCTTTTGGATAAATGCAAACCAAAACATCGGATTCGGAAACCCAAAAAACACCATCAAAGAAAGGGAGTTCGGACTCTGAACAAGTATACTCAGACTGATGAAACACCAGAATTCCCGCGAATGAAGAGAATTCAGACTGATGAGACGAGGAACCCCAAGGGAGCAATGGTGCTCAGACTCGGGGAAGGTACGCTCGAATTTCACGGAAACAATCAACCCCAAGCCGAAGAAATGCAAGAATCCCAGGCTTAGAAACCTGATTCTGATTTTAAAAACGCAAGAAACAATCCCGAGCTGACTGCATGATATATCAATCTCTGGACAATATATCGACCGCTCGTTTACTTTTACTATCTGATTTATCTGCTCGTGCAAGATTATATCATGCCTCATCACTCGAGTTTATTCTAAATAAATAAAATTCATTCAAAAAAGACCCATTATTTAATGACTGATTTTTAGTGTCCCATTTTACGTAAATATAGTGATCAAAGCTAAAGCATTTATTAGATTACTTGTTTCGAGTATTTATCAGCCAGCAGATGCATGCGTAGGTTGATTAGTCTAGCAGAAATCTACTATATACATGATTATGCAGCCAAAACTGTCGTCAAAAATGAATGCATAATTGGCTATTCTAACAATCTTTCTCAAGCCTGTTTGTCCACAAGCACATCAGTTTCTTCATCTTCAGACTTGGAATTCAACCATCCTAATCCATAGCCTTTGAGACTAGACTCTTCAGCTTCTATTTCTTGATCCATGGTCCGAGTCATTCTCTCAAGGTCACGCTCGAGTTTATCCAAGAGCTCCTGAGCGGAATTGATGCCTCGATCAACTCGGTGTGTTAGACCGTCTGCCCACGAAGATACTTGTTTTGAATCAGCACCCGCATTGTACGGCGATTGTTTTTTAGGTTCACCTATTGGACCTGGAGCTATGCTGGAAGATTGGTCAGTGGAATCTGGACTTTCCGAGAGTGTTTTGCTCTGCTGACTGGATGGAGGATAAATCGGCATTGCCATCGAAAAGAGTACTGTGCACATCAACGAAAACAAAGTAAGCTTCATTGCAATTTTGATTTGTATAAAGTAGCCGACTTGAAGTAATTTGCAATATTTATAAAGGAATGCTTGATAGACCAACACAGTACTCTTGTGGCTACCCAGTCAGCAACCCTTGTGTCGGTCAGGATGATAGCCCTTTTATGCCATCAGAATACTCGGCACAGTCAGGGTTATTCAGTATAACACTGCTTTAAACTCCCTAGGATCGTTTTATATCCGCATTCATGCAAAACGAACATTAAGGGTGTCAAAGTGTATGGATAGCCTCAATCACAACTCCCACCCAATATACTAAACAGCATTGTCCTCTAAACCTATTTGTTGTATTTTAATTTCATAAATACGTTTGCGTTTCTAATTTAAAAAACAGTGCTATTTAGTATGTTTGGTGGGAGTTGTGATTGAGACTAGCATAAACTGACACACTTTGTGTTTTGTTTTACATGAGTATAGAAAAGTGCTGGTTTCCGTAGCATTGGCTCATTACTGTCATTTATTCGACCTGCCAGATTCAGCGAGGTTTGGCTTGCCGCCCACTTGAAGCTTTTTAATAGTCTAAATACACAACATTTGAAACTGGCCATGCTTTAGTCAATTACTACCAGATTTGAAAGCACAGTATCTATTTATTATCCCTTAAAGACATTAATATCTATTTTATTTCAAGCATGCTTCTTCATGGTTAGGTGGGCTCAAAGTTGAGAGTTTGTTGAAGCAAATAATGCTTGTCAGATTAATCACCTAACCCTGCAGTTCAAAAATCAACAGCAGCTTGTCAATTACGCCAAGCTAATGCAATACAGAGGCCGCAGGTTGATTCAATAACCTAGACGTATCAGAGATTCGTTGCTGGATATTCAGTATGCGCTGAGAAATATCCAATCGTGCAGAGGATATAGGTGCTGCATCTGTGTTTATAGGTTCTACAAATAGAGGCTTGTGATGTTCAAGTTTGCGTTGATTTGGCACAGCTGGTTGTACATTTAGATCAGAAGCAAGCACATTTGATGGAATAACATCCAAGGTTTCTTGATGCTTAGTACGGCTATCTAGCAACGAATTAATCTGGTGTTGCATTGCTTCAATGCGTTGAACAAGTGTTTGAGTAATCTATATATTCAAAAATATTACATGGATGTAAATCAAAAGTTGAAAACAGTAATTGAAAATGCAATGCATCAACATACTTTTTCCAACTCGGTATTCTTGCTCGTCATGGTTTTCAGACTTGCAGTCATATCCTCAAACTCTTTTCTGGAAATTGGTGTTTCGCCTACTGTGGAGTGATCAAAAATGGCAGGGTTTTCTAGATGGCCCGCATCCGATGGCTTTGTTGGTGAGCCTGGCTCTTTCTCACTAGGACTGTCAGGAAACAAAATATCACGAGCACCTGCATCTCCGTCAATCCTACAACTATTTATATTTGCTTTAGGTGTATCAACCAATCTTTCACCAATAAATGTGCTTGGGTAGTCATCACGCTGACCCCATTCAAGTGGGTAGTACCGATACGAAGCCAAATGTTCATCCTGTGATATGGATTCGACAATTCGGAATTTCTTTGGTGAAAGGCGCATAGACCGAGTCTGGATATCCACTTGACTGGAGCTTGTAAAATTGGAATGATTAGTATCTGATCTGATGGGAGATTTCTGCGGAGATGTTTTTAAAATGGATCGAGGAGCAGCCGAGTGATTGCCATGGTTGTTTTTGGTAGGAGTATGCTGTGATTGACCAATTATAAAACTGTTTAATAGCTGCTGTGGTGGCATACCAGTAGAAGCAGTAGCTGTATTTTGAGTCGGAGGTTGCTCCAGTAAAATTGGAATAAGATCTGGATTTGGAGCTGGAGCGGGAGCAGGAGGTATTTGTGGCTCGTGAACAATACTTTCATCGTAAATGGCTTCCAACTCGGTATCGTGTCCATGTTCAAACACTCTATATTGGTTTAGTGAGATCGAATGGTTATCAACGGTTTGTGATATGTTGGATTGTGGTACTTGCGTATTTACAGCCTGATGTTGTTGAACGTATACATAATTAGGATGTGTTTGAGTTGGTGTGGGTTTCTTATTCAGAGAACCCATCGATCCATTTGTTGAAAAATGCAGAGTGTCGGCAGTCCAAACAGACGGAGACTCTTTTAGTCCAGAATGAGCAGATCCTAATGAGCTTGAAGCATGGTGAGATGAGAATGGTCGAGATGCATGGCAGTGTGAGTGCACTATCGGTTCAGGCACGGCCAAACTATGAGTGCTCTGGCCATTTGTAAAAAGACTACCGCCATGAACTGAGGATGCTTTAGATTGTCCATTTGAACGAGAGGTTCTTTTCAAAGAAACCACCAGCTCTCGACACATCCGACCCATGTCACATATAAAGATGAGCTTTCGTTCAGCAAAGCCCATGGCAAAAAACTGGTCCCGAGATATTGATGGTTTGTAATTGAATTCGTCACGGAGCAACGAATACACCGACTCCATGAATCTGGCATCCTTCTTGCCATATAGGTCAAACGACTGCTCTGCAAAGTATCTTGCCAAAATCCCCGAGTAATTCAAAAGTATGTGATGGATAATTGGTAGAAACACTGCTGGATCTCCTCTACTTGCACTAATTATATACATACTAGTGTTAGTTTACTGGCCAACTCACACACCAGTCAAAGCATATCAGCAATGTGTCCCTGTTATGCTTACCCAAAAAGGTCGACACTTGTACTATATTTAAGCAGCTTGAGTTCTGACTGGAACTTGAGCAAGTTATTTCTTAGATCCCCTGTTGCCATTCCAAAACAATAGACCAGATTATATTGCAGTATGTTCCAGCAAAATAGGTGGAAAATGCTAATTTGCAGTTGAAGACGAAAGGATAAAAATATTTATTTGCATTTCAAACCACTTTCATCATGTTTGAAGCTATTCCGACTGCATCAAACTACTGTTGCGGCCTTTCAAAACATGAATTCTCTGTAAAACTGCACAATTGGTTTGTGTTAATGCACAGAGTTTATAAGTAGAACGACAAAAATCATTTCAGAATAATACCAAACAAGTGGTATTGTCATATATTGAATCAAGCGAATTAGCAAGTTGAGCAAACTGGTCGTGCCAATAACTCGGATCGTTGACATGGTAAAAGAAACAAGCGATGGATATTCCTGCCATTCAAATTAGCAGGTGAAGCAATTTTTCATTCAATTTTTCATTCCCATATCCTGTCATCAGCCGCAATAAACTTTCTGTTAAATAGCAAGAGCCAATCAAGCCCAAAGCTTGTCTTCAATGTTCAAATTTCATGTTTGCTTTCGTCCATTTCATTTTCTAGATTTACATGCACATGCATGTCTGATACCAACAACGATCTAGGTTGATTTCTTCATTTTTCATTCTGAATGTATGGTTTTTATAAACCCATTCTTATTGTGCTCCAGCCTAGATCGTTTGTCAAAATAAATAGTGCACATGTTCCAAATCCAAAAGATGTTATATTTAGTTACTGCAGCAATTATATCGGTTTTTATGATGCGTATTGGCTGCATTTTTCTAGTCTCACCTCGGAATCTATAGGCATCGTGTACTTGTACTTGTTGCTAATAGTAAACCCTGATTGCGTAATACTATCGCACTTGAAATTATCCGACTTGAAGTTACTTATTGGTTTAGTAAACCTACATGTATGAAATTTGAATCATTGTGAGTCGAATGTATACAAAGGCATATCATTTGATATATTGTCAAAAAAGCCAAATATTTGTCATACTGATCGGATGTTTCGGTGGTAAAACGATTGCTAGTAGATTGAATGTTTCCTCCCATAAAAGGTCGGTTGTTTCGAATACTCCCAGTATCCTGCTTGGAACCAATACTTTCATTGAGTTTTTTCAATGTCATTGCATCCTTTATAGGAGACAATCGGCAATGCACATAGCTATTTAATCATTTAAAATAAAAATTCATATAAATAATAGAGTTTCATGATGAATCAAAAATAGACATTATTCGATTATTAGAAATATAATGAATTTACTTGGATGTGCTTTGGTCCGTTTCGTGCATCATCATCCACCGTGCTGGATCGGATTTTCTAATGTGGTCCTCGGAATTCTTGCTAATAATGCCTAAAGGATTAGTCTTGTAATCTAGAATGCGCGATCCAACTGATCGAGTAAACCCATTTGGATCCATTCGGTACTGTCCCATTTTTTCTGATTTTTGCCGCCACTGGTCTTGTTTTGTCTGCACATTCTGTATTAAATTCAAAAGTATCAGCAACTTGCTATATAACCATCAAGTAGAAACAAATACACTTACCGCAAATGGAGAATCTACCAAATGCCCAAATGCATGCAAATGGCCCACATCTGTTGTGAACGCGCTAGATGATTGAAGTATCCGAGATCGGTCAGCGCTGGGCTGATGTAGCACATGAGCAGATTCAGTAAACTTGCTTTTAGCTTCAGATTGATTTGTCAGATATTGCTGTTGTATTGAATGCATAATCAACAATATCGGTCAAGTTAGATGGTTGCAAATTAACATGGTCCAAATAATACGATTACAAATATTTTCAATTTCAAACTCTTGCCTGTCCTTGATCAGTGACATTATATTTTGGAAGGCGAGTAAATCCAGATTCAATTACGTCCTGTGCGATATACAACGGCTTTGACGATTTTTTAGTAGCATTTTGAGGTGAAATATACGACTGACCATGACTTGTCAAATGGGCTTCTTTGCTAAATCTTGAGTATTGATTCAAAGCATATTGATATGGGTTAGATACACATTGATTTTTCAACAAGGCCAAATGAATATAGACTAGATGTCAATCAAAGCACAATGATATATTTAAAGCCATTCCATTAAGCCATAGATCACTAGTATCATATTGCAAACAAGCATCAATTCACCAATTTAGGGAATCTAGCCAGCGAAAACACGTACTGATATTGAGTCTCATCTATAGCGGGATCGTACTCTACATAGCTAGAGCAATTTTTGGAAAATCCTGTTCCTGGTTTTATAATTTGCTTACGACCATGATTTTGAGTTGGTTGTGCTATATCTGTTGGTGAAAATGACGACTGAGCAGCATGTTTTTCGGGAGTTTTCAGATGTAGCGTGAATTTGGACTGATAGATTGGTAACCAGTTTACATATGTGGTGGATGACGTTGTCGAATATGGACTTCTAGAATCATGCGATGCTCCCGTTGATATATGAGCAAAAGTATCGTGACCCATTGCTCCCTTTATGCTTTCCTTGGTATATGTTTTATAGAGAACACAGGACAAATTAGATTGCAGAATAAAAAGTTTGAATGTTTGATGGATGCTGAAATACAACATTCTGAATGCATGTTTGAACAATGTATTCAGAATGTCATGAATACGATATTGATTTGTTCGTATAATGGCTCAAGGACGGATTTCATCTCGAGTCATTCAACCATCGATTCAATAGTCAGTAATGACCAGAGCCAATCCAGACAAGCAAACAGCTGATTACTCGCTATTGCTTGACAGTTCGATCTGAACTCAGCCAACACGAAGGGCTGAATCAGCATGACAACAATTGACATTTTAGATTTGACGAGTCAAACAAGTTGTTCAAAAAACAGCAAACTATTCGACGCTAACTCTATTCTACACTCTTTATGCTGACTGCTAGTGCTATCAAGACTGCTGCCGAGGCAAGTCTTTATACGCATTCAATTCATCGCATTCGTTTCCATGCCATTCTATCGCTGCTGCAACTTGGAAGCGATTCATACTTTCAAGACAATTATACTTGTTAAACCCGCTATATACTTGTACTAATCCTGAATCAATTGGCATTGCATTGGGCCATTTCTTGTTTATGATTCTGAATGGGCTTTTTAGACAGATAAGCTAACCCAGGAATATGAGGTATGCTTAATATTCAGACAATTGTGCCAAGTAGTCATTTGCATTCAAGGCTGCCTATCCATAATCATATAATTGGAATGAGTTGTTTTATAACAATGGCATGTGTTGTGACTGATGTATTACAGGTGATTGTTATTGGCGCTGGCATTGCTGGATCCGCTGCTGCTTATGCTCTTGGAACCGACGGCCGCAAAGTACTTCTCATAGGCAAGTGGAGTTCTTTTTGATATTTATTTCACTATAACATATTGATTATAAAAATGCCGACTCGAACCTTGAATTCAATTGCCATGCCTTGGCATACTTTAATGTCTAAATAGAGCGTGACTGGAAAGAACCGGATCGGATTGTTGGTGAACTGTTGCAGCCAGGAGGTGTTGATGCGCTGAAACAGCTGGGATTGCAAGGTAAAAAAGTACACTATCCTAAAAGACAAATATGCATCACCAGCTAACATGGCGGATTTGATTTGAATTGTTTAGAATGCATTGATGGTATTGATGGCATTGATTGCCATGGGTATGCTGTTATAAAGCCTAATGGAGAAAGTGTGCTTCTTCCATACCCTAAAGGTTCGCCTCCTGCTATTGGTCGCTCGCTTCATCATGGTAGACTCATTATGAATTTACGCAAGGCTGCCAGAACTGCCCCAAAGTATGCATCATTCGATATCTGTTGGTTGTAGTATCATGTCTCAATTCTAATTGTTTCTAATCAATCATTGAAAACTGTCTAGTGTGACGTGCATTGAAGGATCTGCTGTTGATCTCATCACAGATTCAAAGTCTGGCGATACTATTGGCGTTGTGGTCAATAGCAGAGCTAGTACAGAACCGTACATGTTTAAAGCTCCTTTGACCGTGGTTGCCGATGGGTGTTTTTCTAGGTTTCGAAAACAGTTTATTTCAACAGATGTAGTTACCAAATCTCATTTTGTTGGGTAAGAATGTATTCTTAAAGGCGTATACTGCTGAATGGTGTTGTATTAATAATTTATTTGATGAATTGGTAGATTTATCATCAAAGACTGTCCACTCCCGCACATGTATCACGGACATGTGATTCTTGCTAACCCAGCACCCATACTGATGTACCAAATTGGTACGCACGATACACGTATTTTGATAGATATTCCTGGCCAACTGCCGAGTATTGGAAATGGTGCAATGAAAAAATATATGTGTGATGTTGTTGGTCCGCAACTTCCTGATGTCATTCAGGTATGTATATTAGCTTGCTGGCTTCAAATGAGATGAATACTTAACAATTTTGATATGTTTAGCCATCTTTTTATGCTGCGCTCAAGACTGAAAGAATTAGATCTATGCCTAATGGATGGCTTCCTCCATCACGTAACAAATCAAAAGGGGTAGTCCTTGTTGGTGACGCCATCAACATGCGTCATCCTCTCACTGGAGGTGCATTTTGATTGTTATTTGATTATTTTTTGCTTCTAGACTGATAATTTATACCAACTATCAATGCTGTATATATTTTCATTTTACTAGGTGGCATGACGGTCGCGTTTGCAGATATTATACATTTGAGAGATGCACTCTGTCAAACAAACGATTTGACTCGAGTTGATACTGTATTGAAGCATATTGGACGTATACACTGGCAACGCAAGTATATGTCGTCTGTGGTCAATATTCTTGCCAATGCATTATATGAGCTATTTTCAGCAGGCAATGGTAAGCATAAACTGGTACAAATGCTCCGAGAATCTGAAGACTGATTGTTTTGGCATTATATACATTGCACAGATCCAATAATGAAGGAGCTTCAAGATGCTTGTTTTGCTTATTTCCAAATGGGTGGTCGATGCGCATCTACTCCTGTAGGTCTTTTGGCAGGGTAAGTGACATGCCATCTTTTTGAATATATGATATTGGCTGACGAATTAAATGGGTTAGATTGATTCACGAGCCATGGACATTAATTGGCCACTTTTTTGCTGTTGCGTTTTATGGCATGCTTAGAATGTGGATTCGTGGACCAATCTATATGTTTCCAGTCCATGTACTATACAGTTTTTTGGTGGTCTACAAGGCCTGCATTGTGATTTTCCCTTTAATCCTGGCAGAAATGAAGCCTTGATATCTATTTTCACAATCTAGTTTAAGCTTAATGGTTGCTGCATTGCTAATGCTTTACAAAAATTTAGACATTAGAGATTGCATCCATTTACAGCTGTTCCATTTACGTGAATACGGTTTTATGTTTTTCAAATCATCAAACTGCCAAGAATCTAATGGATAAAGAGATATTCCAATACAGAAAAGACAATCAAGCTTGTTTTACAACCACGAGTGACGAAATAAAGATCATTTATTTTTGATAAATCATCCGCTTATTCATCGACAGTCTGATTGAGAAGACCTATTTCAAAATACCCAATGAAAAGTCAGTAAAGCCAGCAGTGACTTGATGATTGAGCATTGCCAAGATCACGCAAACTTACCCTTGAAGTTAACTGTGGGAACGACTGTAACATATGTGTACAGCTTCTCCTTGGCATTCTCAGAGTCGTTACGCTTGCGGGAAAGACGAACACGGACTCTGTGGGGAACAGACTTGACACCGTTGGCCCAGATGTGCTTGTTCAGAGAGGGATCAACACGAACATCAGAAGTACCCATGGCTCTGGTGGCAAATGTCTTGATTGCCTTGATAGCCTTGGGTGCACGCTTCTTGAAGGTACTATTACATATTAGCAATGCAAGATTGGAGTTAGTACTAGATTGACTCTTCAAATGTAGCTCAAAAACTGGCTGAATTCAAGTCATGGTAATGCCCGAGACTGTATTTTTCAGCTCTCCTGCTTCACTTTATGCTGATTGAATAGCCATTGTTGCATGATATTCACCAATACAGTTGGTCTTGATCATAGCAAGATACTTACGCTCCAAAAACAAGCTTGTGGAGGTGGATAGTGTACTCGCGAGTCACAACCTATATAGTTATAAAGGGAATGAGTGGTGAGCAAGATGGTGCATGGCCAAGTGATCTCTACATGAAGAATGTTGGCAATCGCTACCTCATTGAGTGCGCTCTTTTTAGTGGTCTTTTGAGCCTTTTCCATTTGAAATAACTAGAATTGAATAGATGCCGAGTGTTAGCTGACATGCCTGTGGATGGATGGATAGTAATGGCATGCATGGATGGCATACAGGAGACATACCGTAAGCGTTGTGGTGCAAGACGAACTTGGGCTCGACTAAGTTTGAACTTTCAAACCCATATATGCACGTGATTTTATTTTATCACGTGATATGTTGGTTAAACAAGTCGCTGCTTACTGGTTTCCCTTTCTCCCAAGTCAACTTGCTGCTTTTTGCTTAAACCTTGCATTTGACCACGTTCTCGGGTGAGCATTGTTGTTCATCTATTGCATCCATCCATCTGCATGGTGATGCAGTCTTTAATACGGACATGCATTTATTCGACTGATTCATTGTTGCTAACATTTATTCGACAGAAATTCAAAAATGAAGGTCCTTGCAGCATATCTCCTCGCATCTCTCGCCGAATCTGGTGAGCCCAACAAGAAACAGATCACCAGCATTCTATCTTCTGTCGGTATTGAATCTGATGCCGATCGTGTTGACACTCTTATCAAGGAGCTGTCTGGTAAGACCATTGCCGAAGTAGTTGCTGAAGGTGCTACCAAGCTTGCCTCCATGCCTGCTGGTGGTGCTTCGGCCTGTGCTGCTCCTGCCGCTGCTGGTGGTGCCGCTTCATCTGCTGCTGCAGCTGTTGAGGAGAAGGAAGAAGCCAAAGAAGAATCTGATGATGTATGTAATTTTTGATGGCATATATCTTGATCTGGATTGCAGATACTCATTTTTATGATTTAGGACATGGGCTTCGGTCTCTTTGACTAAGTGTTGCGTATCCCTGAAATATCTTTCAATATATTCATTGGTACTATAAACTAGCAATTTGTTTTAATCTTTTGTATTGATGCCATATTTTTAATAAGCTCGGATTAATTTCTTGGTAGCAGCTTTTTATTGTTGCCAAGACCAGACACTGAGCAAAAGGAACGTTTAGACGAGTCCAGCACTTGACTCGTTAGAAATACTAGAATGCATCTCACATGGCTTTTGCCTGTGAATTGCATGTCTTGAAGTACGAGTGATTTTTACATTACAGTTGTATTCATCGTTGCCAAGTGTGCTGACTACAACTGCACCACTTGATTGTTCAAATAAATCCAGTTTCAGCATTTTCAATTGATTGTTGGTTGGGTAAATTGACACTACAGTCATCTAGTACAAGAATTTTATTTTCCTTTTTCAAGCAATTCTTTTGCCTCGTTGATTTTTGAGGCCAGGTATGGGCTGCCATTACGATCAGGATGATTTGATAGCATAATGGATCGGTGAGCCTGCTTTAGTTTGTCTTTTAATGGAGACTCTTTGACGCCCAGTAATAGTGCAGCTTCTCTGCGGGACATTTTGGGTTCGAATCCACCTCGTAAAAAAGGTTTTCCTGTTGCACTATGAATTGCATCACCTGCTAATGATGTGCCAGAGGTTGCCTTGAAAGCCCGGATAGCAGCCCGACCTACCAGTGCTGCTGCAGCAATTCCTGCACCTACAAGAACTGCCGTTGCCATATTATATGCTAATGTGCTGTGGAGTAGTAAGCAAAGTAAAATTATAGTTGAAGTTTTGGAAATTGGTTATTCGGGCTAATGTTTCAGGCATTTGCCATTCCTGTCGACACAACACACCAATCTCAGACTTGCTATATTGTGTCCTCTAACCTTTACATGACAATATTTCTCCTGATGATTGACATGTAAACAGCAGTTGCATTCTTGAGATATGCAATCCTTGTCGTCTCACTAGAACGTACCTGAATGTCAGGATACAACAAACATGGGCTGTCGAGTTTGATTAACAAAGCGGTCAAACCACATTCGGCGATTTAAATTGTACGGTCATACTAAATGAGCAGAAAGCAATAGCTGTTCAAGACTAACTTGATCGTGTGTACCATACGATGGACGGCTGTGTTACCAAAAGCTGTCAATATCCAATAAGCACAACGAATCCTAACTTTTGCTTATTTCAAAGCAAAATAGGGACAATCACTGCAGAATAATACAGATATTCGACTTTTCATGAATAGGGATGTGAATCACCCTAAACTTGAACATCAGGGTTGACTGTATTTTAACCCTAACGTTGCAGTGAAATTTAGGGCTAGGTAAAAGCTAAAAACCTGACCCTACTTGATCACAACACCGTGATTAAGCGAACTGATCAATAATCCAAGAAAAAGTGTTGTGTAAATGTGGATTTAAACCTTAGGGCGACTGATGGCCGCAATCAAGCCAATGAGTAACACAAACCCTGCTATATAAATATAGTATTATCTCCATCCACCACTGACTGTTACGTAGTTCTAATCCGAACCAATACATCTAAATATTTTGCAGCTAACTGCACCATAAGATCCCATTATTCAATAAGCTTTCAGCCATCTCAATTTTATCATCAATAACCTGACACTATGCAATTATTGGTATTCTCATTTGCCGCACTTCTTGCAACCTCCCATGTAGTTGCGACACAGAGTCAGCAGTCGCAAGACTGCTCCGATTCAACCTCAACTAGTGCTGCGTGCGAGTCCAGTCGTTCTTTGAGCAATCTTCGACTAGAAATTGAAGCTCAAGGAAAGATTCGATCTTTAATTGAAGACCATGATGAAGAACTTGGCCAAATTAGATATTACTTTATGGAAAAGCAGCATACGCTTAACGAGGCTGACGAGAGGTACAGACATACTATGGTCGATGCCAAAAACTCAAACTTACCACCTTACATGAAGCTTCGGGCAAATCAGAGGTTCGAGGCTGCGACAGTTGCCTGTAGGAAAGCAAAACACGATTATGAAAATGCCAGGAAAAGTCTTATGCATGCACAAGACTACAAGAGTCTCTTGAAACGGCTTCAAACTCGGCCTGGAGCCAACTATAAACAATTCACCACCTATTTGCATAATATCTGGAGTGATATGAGAAACGCCAAACACGAATATATGCAAGCAAAGGAAGACATGGAGAGAGATCGAAGGGACGCGGTACACTATCATGGTTCAAAAATACACTTGTACAAAGCGTATCGGTCATCCCTTGGAATCTTTCAAGAAAAGAAACAGCGCTTTGCCAACCTTAAAGCAAAGTTTGAAGACTTTGCAATCAGGAATCGTGGGCAATACGAGCATTTTGTCTTTAGTAGACTTCAGAAAAAGTCGGAGGATAACCCTGAATTTCCAGATTCTAGCTCCAAGTGCGTCGGAGTCTGGATTTCTGGTTTTAGACCCAGGCTTACTGAACAGAGTTTCACCTCCACCAAAGATGATTCTCAAGATGCCGATCCTATTTCTGAGCCTGTCGAACAGAGTTCTATTCCTGCTGAAGATGATTCCCAAGATGCTGATTCTGAGCCTGAGTCTGTCGACCAGAGTCATAAAAAGCCTGTGATCTACAAAACCACTACTACCACCACCACCGCTGGAGATCATACCAAAGGTGTTGATCCTATGTCTGAGCCTGTCGAACAGAGTTCTATTCCTGCTGAAGATGATTCCCAAGATGCTGATTCTGAGCCTGAGTCTGTCGACCAGAGTCATAAAAAGCCTGTGATCTACAAAACCACTACTACCACCACCACCGCTGGAGATCATACCAAAGGTGTTGATCCTATGTCTGAGCCTGTTGAGCAGAGTCCTATTCCTGTTGAAGATGATATTCAAGATACTGAGCCTGTCTCTGAAGATGATCTTGAAGATGCTAATTCTGAACCTATCGAACAGAGTCCTATTCCTGCTGATGATATTCAAGATGCTGATTCTGACTCTGTCTCTGAAGATGATCTTGAAGATGCTAATTCTAAGCCTATCGAACAGAGTCCTGCTCCTGCTGATGATATTCAAGATGCTGATCCCAAGCCCAGCCCTGCTGAACAGAGTCCTATTCCTGCTGATGATATTCAAGATGCTGATCCCAAGCCCGAGCCTGTTAAACAGGGTCGTAGAAGGCCTGTGATTGTCATGATTAGTACTACTACTACTACCAACACTGGAAGTTATATCAAAGATGCTGATGCCAAGCGCAAGTTTGTCGAACAGAGCTCTACCGCCACTAAAGGCGATCTCCAAGGTGCTGATTCCAAGCCCGAACCTGCGTCATGATTACTACCAGATGAGGTTTTTCGAGCTAGGTTAAATTTGAATATCCTAAAATTTTAAAAGGTGATTCCAAAGATACTGTGTCACAAGGTTATAGAGCCTGCCTCTAATCCTGCTGAACGTAGTGTATACAGAATTAGTCTAGTCTTGGTGATGTTTTACATGCAGAATCGAATAAACCTTTTTCAGTGTAATTGATAAATGAGCCTTTGAAAATAAGAGTTTTTTGGTTTGTAAAGCTGCATAATTGGTTTAGATTAGCGTAGACTATAAATGCAGCGCCAGAGATCGTGTTAGAACCAGATCAGATGAGCGATTTATATTTAACCGAATAGACTAGCAGATGTGTCAACAAGTCGGATTGTCGCCGTGATACAGCAACGAGCGATCCATGATCCTGCTATTCGAATCAACAATCTGCCAGTATTTACAAAAGGACACCAAGAATGGCAATTGCTGACAATTTCTCATTTATCCTTTCATTCTCATACCCTCTGTCCAATTGAAATGGCTGAATTGACAGGATGCAGCAAGCATTAGCTGTGCCTACACTATTCAATTCAGCCATTTCATTGTACTGGGAAAAATAGGAGCACGTATTTAATGACCAAGAGTCTATCTCTGTATCTGAATTGTCAATCTATTGTACTCGAATTACAATCATGAGAGTTGATTCATACTCCTGATACCCATGTTGAATGTTTGATCAAAATAGATTGCTTTAAGCACATGTAGCAGTATACAAGCAAGATTTGGAAATGGTAGGATTGATGGGCAGTGCAGTAATTGATTGGATGACAAAGCCAAAAACTATTCTGGCCGTTGAATCCAACTTTTGTTTTCGCATCAACGATTTCTTCCATTTCATCCAACTATTCTATCTGATCATGACCTCTGAATTCATCCTCCTCGGCATTGAGAACCCTTTGCTTGATATCTCTGCGGTTGTCAAGCCTGAGCTGCTGAAAAAGTACAATTTGAAGCCTAATGATGCCATCCTTGCTGCTGATGAGCACAAACCGCTATACGCCGAGATGATCAAAGATTACCCTGTGCAATATATTGCTGGAGGTGCTGCTCAAAACACTCTCCGTGGTGCTCAATGGCTACTGCCTGAGAAATCTACCGTCTACTTTGGCTCCGTTGGAAAAGACCACGAAGCCGAAGTGCTTGCCAAGATGGCTGCCAAGGACGGTCTACGCACAGAATACCATATATCTGACCTTCCCACTGGAAAATGCGCTGTCCTGATCACTGGCATTCAACGCACTCTGGTCACTGATCTTCTTGCTGCCAATGACTACAAGATCGCCCATCTTGAGAAGCCAGAGGCCTGGTCACTGGTTGAGGCTGCCAAATTTTTCTACATTGGTGGTTACTTCCTCACCGTATCTCCTCCCGCTGCGATGAAGATTGCTAATCATGCTATTGCTACCAACAAGGTGCTAGCTCTTAACTTGTCTGCTCCATTTATTCCTCAGTTTTTCACTCAGCCCCTTGATGATTTGATCAAGTGCGCTGATGTTGTTTTTGGTAAGAATTGGATCTACAAAAGATAAATGATAATGATGAATGCATTGTATTTTTTGGCATATTGACAGTGATATACTCGGTTGTCAGAATCCGATCAGCCCATTGCACGAAAACTTGTATTCCAATGATTGGTTTAAATCTGACTCTATGCAATCATGTTCCTTTATTAGGTAACGAGGCTGAAGCAGAGGCTCTTTCTACTGCCTACAATTTTGGTACCACCGATCTGGCTGAAATCGCACTCAAAGTCGCAGCCCTTCCCAAGACAAATACTTCACGTCCTCGTCTTGTAGTATTTACTCATGGTGCCAAACCCACCGTTTCCGCCCACAACGGTGCTATCAAGACCTACCCCATCATTCCTATTGATGTCAAGGATATCGTCGACACCAACGGTGCCGGAGATGCTTTCTGCGGTGGATTCCTTTCCCAGTTTGTTCAAGGACGTTCTGTTGATGAAGCTGTTGCCGCTGGTCACTATGTTGCTAATGTGGTTATCCAGCGTTCCGGCCCAACTTACCCATCCCATGCCCATACTTTTAAATTTTCTGCTTAATTATTCAACTCACGTTTTAGCGAATTGGTTTGCATGCACTCTTCAAGGATCCGAGTTTTTTGAAAGGAATCCATGTCGAGAGCAAGATCTGGCTGCTTACCTATTCAGTACAAATAAATGATGTATACGCAATTCTTTATATATTTCTTCCAAAAACAGGTGCATTTTCTGACGGCACTCTAAATACGATTGTCATCGGAAAATGGATCAAACTCTGATAAAACAGCCTTTTGGTCCTGCGAATAGCGCCGCGAGCTAGAAATGAGAGTCGGTTTGTTGGTGTCCGCGAATGCATGTGGGCGACTTTGAGAAGGATTTGCATGGAGTGCAGGCAGTTGATGATGGGTCTGATCGGATGAAGCAGCGAATGGATTATGTGCACTCGAACTTGCTGATACAGCTGGAGGTAGACCAGAAGTATACGAAAATCGATCGGTAGAAGATACACCCTTGAAGGCAGAGTATGGATCAATGCGTTGATCAGGAGTGGCGGCTGCACCATTCCTCCCATTTCCATCACCCATCCTTTCCGATGGAGTAAACGACATTCCCGAGTTCGATGGGTTGCGAGGCGGTAGATATGGGGGTTGAGAAGATAAACGAGTAGGTTGACCATATGCTTGATCAATAGGAGTTCCAGAAAACCCAGACTGTAGCGTATCGGCATTCTCAATCAATACATTGGCAGCAGCTTCTACATTCCATTTGGATTTATCCAACGCATGGCGAATCTTGCCTTCATCTGTAAATCCAAGACCAGCAAGCTGCAGCACAGCTTGTTGCTGGTCCAGTTCCAGTACTGGGAATATAAAGGAGGGACCAGAAGAAACGCTTTCATTATTATGAACAGCAGAATTCGGGAGATGGTGTTGGCGGATTTGTCCAGGCAAGTTACGATATGTATCAGCTAATGGACGATTGTCTGCACTTGTAGTGTCAGCATAAACTTCACCATTTGTGATGAGCTCAATGGCGTCGTTGATGCGGCCATGAGCCATGTGTAAGGCCTGCTGATTGACTTTAGAGTCAGAAAATCCCATGGACTTGAGCACTCGCAGCTGCCCAGCAAAGTCTTCATTTTCTGCCATGGTCTGTTCAACCTTGACTATTTCATGATAAACTTTGGTTCTGTGAAATTGCATTCAGCAGATCCACGTGACACAAATTGTAAATGCGAATTGTTATTGCTATTGCAGTTTGAACAATGACCGACTCTGTGGGGAGTGATGGTCATGAAGCATCCAGAAGAGGTCGTTCTAGAAAGACCGCCGTTGAAACTGCTCCAGAAGCCTCCAAGTCAAAGACTGCTCGCTCTCGCAAGATAGATACTGCTGCTGAACCGACCGAAGCTGAGCCATCTACCAAGAAACCTCGCAAGGCAACTGCCATTGCCAAAGTCAAAGCTGTTGGTCATGCAGGAAATGCCAGAACTACCAGAAGCGCCAAACCAAAAGTTGAATTGGTTTCTACAGCTACTAAATCTAACAAGGCTGCATCCGCATCTGAAACCGTTGCTCCTCTAGCTGATCATGACTTGACTGTTGCTAATAGTGGAGGGTTTATCACCATTGAGCATGCCATTAGCTGCTCAACATACAAGGGAAAAGGATCGGCACTTGGAAAGGCTCTCAAGGCTGCTTTCCCTAAAAGCACTATCGAAATCAATCCTGTGAAACCTCGGGCTGCTTCATTCGACATTCGTGTGAAAAAGTCTCCTTCTGATGGTAGTTGACAATCTTCAAGTGTCTTGATGGGTTATCTTGTAATGACATATCTGGCTGCACTTTAACACTTTTGTATTTAGATTGGACAACCGTTTGGAATGGCCATAGTATGGGCCCACCACGCAATCTCAAGTTTATAGATGTCGAAAAAGCCGTTGATCTCGTAACCTGCTATTTTGACGGTCAAACTGCAGAAAGCTAAAGTACTCACTACACCTTCTACAGCCGTATTCATGCAAAATGGAACACTGTACTTATCTTGCGACGATTTTTATTTTGCTTTGGAAATAAACAATGCTTAAATATTTGGTTTCCTATTACAGATTGACTACCTGTTCAAAAACACAACGTTGTCCAGTGAATCCATAATCATTTCATGAGATTGGCCGTCTATTGTATTCTAAAACTTTATTTAGTGTTACATTTTACGTGAATACAGTTGTAGATCCATCTCTAAACTTCCATATCCTGATTAGTACCATCGAACCCATCATGGACATTCAGACGCCGGCTTAATCGCATCTAGATGCAGCTCATATTCGCATTCGCTGTTTCTTCCACTCTTTCAAACATCCTTCCCAATATGCAACATCTGGGTAGTGTCCAACATATTTATAAGCTCTGATGACTTCATCCATGGTCGTGCTATGAATATCTGTAATAGGCGGGTTAATCCTCGCACAATCCAAATACATATTCAATTTTTCAATAGCACGATCCATCAGCTCATCATTGCTTTTACTTCCATTGGCAGAGTGGTACACTTTTTTGGCAGCAAGCACAATCAGCCGATTCAAAACCTTTTGTGAAGGTTTAAACTGCATGTGCACAGGATGTTTATCACCAGTCTTGCTGGTAATGTAGATCTGTCGCGGCAAGTTTATCGCATGCTTGAAAACCCAATGTAAAGCAATATGGCGATTATACTTTTCCAGGACAAGCATCAGATTATTAATCAGTGCTGCGTGACAACAAAGACTCCATGATGACTGAAGCAACCAACGCATGGAATGAACTAGAGTAAACAAAAGTCTCTTGTCAGTTTTAGCAAGCTGAGATATACCGTGAATGGCTTGAATGGACGGTGGCGGCATGTCCTCCACTTTGTAAAAGTGCACTCGATAAATACTAATAATAGCATCGATATTTCTATGCTTGCACGCACTCAATATATCTGCAGAGTATTGAAAAGCATTCATGAGTGATTTCAATCTTTTGCTAGGCTCATTGGGTGTGGCTGCCAAACATAGATCCTGTAATGGATCCAGTACCGTCTTTGTGGCGTATAACCACTCAGCTTCAGCCTCTTCAATATGACATAAAGCAGATGTATCCATGTTACAAGATAATGATGATGAAATCCGTGATCGAGCCAACTTTGTCCATACAGATACATCGTAAAGGTGTCCTGCGCTAATACAAAACTCGCTCATTTGAAGAATCTGATCTGTGCCAAATAAAACTCCATCATGTTCAAAATTTTCAAGGCACGATACAGCCGCTTTTGCACCACGACTCAGCTGCATGGCTTGCAGATATACTAGTGCCGTATTGAGCTTATCAGCATTTGGTTTGGACTGAACGCGGCTGTCAGTGCTGTTTAGAGTTGTAGAGACAGAAGTTGGTGGACTCAGCGTAGCAATACGTGACAAAATTTTTGCTTTGGAATGACCTTGATCAATCATCAATCCAAAAAGCCTCGCAAGCCAGTTTCGACTGAGATATATTCCGTGCGTGCGATACATTTTTAATGCCCATTGTAAACCCGATTCTGCATCCTCAAACTTGATGAATGATGTCGTGATTGATGTCATGCACTCGGCACTCAGCGGCTTGATTTGCTCTGGTATATTTTCGGCAACTTTGTTGACAAAATCAAGATATGCATTGTGACTAGACATAAATGGTAGAACTAGATCGAGATAATCAACTGAAATGCGAATTCCAATGGAATGAGTAATGTCATACAGTTCGGAAATGAAATACGCGTTGCGCAGCTTGTAGAACATGTGGAGCAGTGTATGGGCATGATCAAGAGAAGGCTTGTAAAGTGGATACTTTTGTGCATCTTGAAAAAGTAGCATGGCTTTCATGGCTTTCATTTCTGTGAGTTTATAAATACTCTTGCGTGGCTGTAGAGTGTGGTTGATTTCCCAAAGATTATTGTAAAAGGATTTATCATGATCGGCTCGGTCCATGGAGTCATCGTATCTTGCTACATCTAAAGTGTGATGCTCGGTGTTTTCGTCAGCATTGTGTGTATCATTTGCATCAAGCTTGGTATTTCGAGCAACGTCACGATTCAACAAAAAATCCATAACTTGGATATACAATTCAGGTGGAAAGCTCAATCCAAGCATATGTATCCTTCTTCGTAATTTGATCACCTGCTGCCAATTGTATTGATCTTTAGTCAGCAAATGCTGAATTTCGTTAACCAATGCAAACGCCTCGCCTTTTTTTCTAAAATGATTAAATGTGGTATGTGAGCATCGCTCCTCGTTTGGATTAAACATGTCTTGATATTTTTGAAACTCGCTATAGTCCATAGTCATATACTTTGTTTGCATTACGGTCACAATGAATACATTGCTGATTTTAAGGTATTTAGAAGAGAAAACCTTCCGAATCCAAATCTCGGCCAAATCAAAAAGTCCTAGCTGATTACAAACAGATATGAGTTTGGTGTAGATATGGATGCCCACTTGCTGGTGGGATTTACGCATGTCATTAATGATGTTGCGCGCTTCTGAAAGTCTACCTTCGCGACACAAACCCAAAACCAACAGTTCGTTGGCTTTTCGGTCCAGCTCTACTTCCAGTTCCTTCATACTTGAGCGCACCTTCAATGCTTCAACAATATTACCCCTTTTAAGCCACATGTAAATTAGCGAGGTGAATGCTTGAGGAGGAGGAGTGCGACCTGAAGCAACAATCTGTCCAAACCACATCATGGCAGCCTGTGCTAGCCCCAAAGTGCAGCTGCGATTCAACAACCAAACAAAAATATCGGGATCTGCTTCGCAAAGTTTATCGTGCTGGGTCAAGACATCAATCCATTTTGCAGCGTGATCAATCTTGTGAGAAGTAAGGTAAGCATCAGACATGTGGTAATAGATGCGCCACGGAATATCTTTTGGGGAAATGCCAATCGTGCGGAGTTGGTCAAACCATTTGCGAGCGTTTGAATGAGATGAATATACCGAGTTTGACAGAGCACTGCTAATAATCATAGCCTCGATGATTTCCAGATCAATATTTGATCTTATTGTCTGTGGACTAGTAGTATTTTGAGTGGTGGTATCAGCCATGGCGATTTCTCTGGGTTGGACAGAGAGAAGCGGGAGAGTATTCAACAAGCCGATGCGTTTCAGTGCAAGATCATAGTCACCATTGCGCGCATACAAAATAGCGACCGTACGCAAGGACGAGTAAGTTTTGGTAGGATATCCATTGAGATCCATTAACCGGATAACCTGCTTAACCTGCTGAATTCTTTTTTTGATAGGCATCCCACCTTTTGATAGCATATATAGCAGTTGATCGAATCGGTGTAGAGGCCAGTTTGCCAGTTGTAGTGGAGTAGCAGCTTCGAATGTTTTCCACGCCTCACCAGGACTCAAGTTGGGTAAAGGAACAGTGCAAGTTCCAGAAGGTAATGAATCCCACATCCCACGAGTTGAGGTTAATTTTATCACATTAGCAGATGAATCAGTGATTGGATTGATGGATAGATTAGTAGATGGTTGAAGTAGCGGTGGATTGCTGTTCAGAGTATCAGTAGAATAGTTAGAGACGTTAGAAATCAAAGCAAAGAATAATATACAATTAGAGTCGAGTTTTTTAATAGTGGGTTTATATGCAGAACAACTATACAAGACACATGCATGGTGCAATGCGATTTTTGACATTTACTGAGCAAGTTGGATTCAAGATTCGCAACCAAGTGATCGGATAACAATTCAAATGAACGTCTTCGCTCATTTGCTATATGAGCCATTATCACTGGCAAAAACAGTTAGCATTGCTGGTGAAAGTCAATGAACCTGTCGGGCCGAGCGTCGAGTGATTCTGAAGCGCATCAACCATCATTACCGACTCGCACTGAAACAACCGGATATACACCACCTGCTACTAACATCCATCATGAATCCATATCCTATTTATCTACTCCATTGCTTCCTCCATTAGAACCAATATCTCCACTTTTGTGTCCTATTGTTTCCATTCCTCAATCGAATAAATCTACCATTGCTACCACAGACAATAATCTTAATATATACGAATGCCATATTAAATCCACTATATCGCATAAACCAGAATCAGCAGTAGTTCCTCAATCACTTCAAAGATCCTTTTCTGAACCATTGATTGATACGCACATCACTTCATCTTCAGTCTCTGTTGCCTCGATGGATTCATATCAAGCATCATTGCCCACCACTGTAGCACATGTCAGTCACTCTTCTAATATAAATACATACCCAATGCTTAGATCACTTTCCGTATCTCCTTACTCTCCACCATTCATCACACCGTTGAGAACCACTTCAAGCAGTACTAGTCTACATACATTTCCCATCCCATTCACTGCTTCGCCATTAAACATACCAGATCAGTCTCTAATGCTACAGCATCCCAATCAGGCTTTACCCGAGTCACTACAATCCCTTTTAGAAGTGGGTACTCGAATGGTCAAATATCCCAACAAGGCATCGTCTCGTCCAGAACTTCGTTTGATTCGCGTCGATTCCATGCCAATGCGTATCACTTGGGAGTCGAAAAAAAAGACCGAGTCTACAGGTATCTCGCTTATACATTGTAGCTTGATGCTCATGGGCATTTTGTCTTAAAGCTGAGCAGTCTAACTCCAGTATTGGCTCTGTTGTATGGTAGTGGACTTTGATTCAATTCTAGAGATTCGGATGGGTCAGAATACCAAAGCATTTGATATCCACGGAAAGCACCCGGATATGGACGAAAGAGCATTTAGCATCATTTACATGTCAAAGGGAAAATACAAATTTCTTAATTTAATTGCCCCTTCGCCCGAGATATGTGCTCTTTGGGTTACCGGACTTCATATTCGCATGACCCAGTTTGGTCATGAAAATGGTAGTGATGCATCGATTGCTCACTTGACAGACATGTCGCAGTGGTTAAAGACACTCTGGTACGAGGCAGATGTGTCTGGACTTGGTCAACTCAATGTAGATCAGATTACCGCACTGATGGAGCGTCTTAACTTTCGTCTTTCCAAATCGGAAATTAAAAGTACATTTAGAGCCAACATTCTTCGCACAGGAACAATCACTTTTGATGCATTTGAAAAACTGTACAACATTCTTCGGTTTCGACCGGATATCGCCGAAATCTTTTTTCAAATTGCATTGCTGCATCCGTCACATATCACCTTGGAAGAGTTTAGGCAGTTTCTTATTAATGTTCAAAAGGTTGACTGGAGTGCAGAACGGTGCTCCGAAACGTACGACAAATTCAAATCGCCAATATCGGGTGTAATGGACATTAATCATTTTTCTGCCTTTTTGATTTCAGCAAGAAATTCTGTATTGAAAAAGTCTCATCAAGCTGTTTTTCAGGACATGAACAGACCACTGACTGACTATTTCATCAACACTTCTCACAATACGCAAGTATATGGCTTGATATTCGATATAACGACAGTTTATATTGAGTGCATTTTGATTGTAGGATATAATGCTTACCGCAACCGTTTTATTTTTGTTGTAAAATATCGCATCTAGGTACTTACTAGGAGATCAGCTCACTGGAGAGAGTTCAGTTGAAGGGTACATTCGTGCTCTACAACGGGGATGTCGCTGTATTGAGTGTAGGTTTTTTACTGATCGAGTTTGGCCTATTTTGGTGTTTTCACAAACTATACATGATCAACTCAACTGTATGATCATTTTAACCATTACGTAGTGGATTGTTGGGATGGTCCGTCTGGGCAGCCGCTGATCTATCATGGCCGTACTTTTACGTCGAGACTCTTGTTCAAAGATGCCATCGAGGCAATAGCTAAATACGCGTTTGTCACATCTTCATATCCTCTAATCCTTTCTCTTGAAATCCATTGTGCTGCAGAGCAACAACAAGTAATGGTAAAAATCCTTCAAAATACGTTTGGCAGCTCGTTGCTACTGGCACCTGTTAGAAACGACTCTGTGTTACCCTCACCCATTGAATTGATTCGTAAAATAATTATCAAGGTAGATTTGTCCTTTGAATTTGCATCAATCAATGTCTTATGAGCGACTGATTTTGTTATTTAATTAGGGGAAAACGGGGAAAACAGATCAAGACAACGACGACACGTATGATCAAACCGATGATGAAACAATAGACACTAGTGGAGGTAGATTTGTCATTTCTAGTCTGTAGCCATTATCATTTTTACTTTTGATCTACCTTTTCTAACATGCTGAATTAGGCTCATCTTCCATAGTCAACACTCCGCTAATGAGTTCCAACCCTGGATCTGGCCTTTCACACACTGCTAGTGTTTCATCATCTTCAAATATAATTGTTTCTAATATACCCATGAGTTCAACCTCTACACTACCACCTCAGAATCAATCTAGTCAAGAATCCAATACACTTTTGCTTAATTCCAAAGACACCAGCAATGTTACAAAAACCAAACCTAAAGTCATCATTACCAAAGCATTGGAAGCATTGATCATCTACTGCAAGGGTGTGAGTCTTCATTCAGTTACTTTACCACAAAGTAAGCATTGCGTTTGACTTGTACTTTGATTTAAAAATTGTTTTAATCATTCATGTCTGAATTTATGACTAATTCTAATGTCAATAGATCCGTTAAAGTTTGACTGTATGTATTCATTTAGTGAGCGAACAGCAAACGCTTTATTACAGAAACAACGTGATAGACTCGTGCATATAAACCAATCACACCTATCAAGAGTCTATCCATCTGTCATCCGTATCACATCATCCAACATGGATCCAGTGCCATTGTGGAAATGTGGGACGCATATGGTTGCATTGAATTTCCAGACATTTGATCGAGCAATGCACCTAAACAGTGCATTGTTTGATGTGAATGGACGCTGTGGGTATGTGCTTAAACCTCAATATCTCTTAAAAGGCGGCTCTATTTCGACGAGTACAGATAAAGCTGTGGTTATCAATGAAAGAGAAAAGTACAAGACTGATTTTACACGACCAGTTCAGTTGGATATTACTATTATATCTGCGCAGCAGCGACCCAAATCAAACGATGCCATCGCGACAGATAGTATCAGTTTGGTGGTTGAGATTGAAGTGATTGGTGGAGGAACTTTGTTTGGTACAACAGGATCTGGTGTGCTAGATGCTGATCCAACAACCAAATTCCGCACATCTCCTGTAAAATCCAAACTGTTTAATCTAGTATGGAAGCAACGTGCTTCGTTTCTGATTCTCGACCCGTCATTTACGTTTATCAAGTTTGCTGTATTGGATGCAGATACAAAGATATCAAAGTGTATTGGCATGTACTGTATTTTTCTATCCAGTTTAGAAAAAGGTAAGCGAATGCAAGTCTATTTGATATCTTCAAAAGCTGGGTTATTCATTTATTATAAATAGGCTATAGACACATTCCGCTAAACAATATGCAAGGCGAGCGATTAAGATTTTCGACACTTTTTGTATATGTGGATATCCAACCAGTCGGACATTGAACATCCTAAACTGTTTATCTTACAGTCGTATTTGCACACAATGAAACCATTTGTATTTATCTTGAAGTTCTATTTTGTTTTGGAGTAGATTGATGCGCACAATCAAACTATAGTTTGAACTGAAGTTGTTCTTTTTTGGTATAGCCAACATTGCATGATCGACAAGTTTGATTGTTCTAATAGTACAATAAAATTATGTACAAACCCTTTTTTGCTGTATCCTAATTTGATGTAAATGATTGTTTATGTATCTCGGCATCTTTATTGGTTCATTTTACGTGAATACAGCGGTAAATAAACAAGTGTTATAAGAGCACGTTGGATGCCAAACAAGCAGTTTATTCAAATATAAAAAACTAGACTCTGTCAAATACAATATCATGGTGTAATCATATTGGAAAAGTGCTTTAAACAATGACATTCATTTCAAACAGTTGGATAAAACAGAGATTGGTTGATCAAGTCAGCTTATAAATGAAACTGGAAGCTTTAGAAACCGAGTTTTTCCAAATCTCTAAAAAGAGCTTCGAGGCTAGCTCTCTGGCCCTGTGGGAAGTTTGGGTTATCGAGACTGGGAGACGAGAATCTACCGTTTCTTCTTGGAAACCCAGGGAATTGGCCAGGTCCACGTCTTGGTCCTGGGAATTGGCCTGGGAATTGACCTGGGAATGGACTGGGTCTACGTCTCGGTCCTGGGAATGGACCTGGGAATGGACTGGGAAATTGACCTGGGAATTGACCGGGTGTACGTCTTGGTCCACGTTGCGGTCCAGGTTGTGGTCCACGTTGTGGTCCAGGCTGCGGCTGCGGCACACGTCGTGGTCCACGTTGTGGTTCACCTTGTGGTGCACGTCGTGGTTCACCTTGCGGTACAGGTTGTGGTACAGGTTGTGGTGCAGGTTGTGGTGCAGGTTGTGGTGCAGGTTGTGGTGCAGGTTGCGGTGCAGGCTGCGGTACACGTCGTGGTTCACCTTGTGGTACAGGATTTCCACCAGTACTTGGAGGTGGAGGTGGAGGTGGAGTATTTTGGCCAGTTCCACCACAGTCGGCAGGAACCGAAAAGTCGTCGGATCTACTTCGAGCATTTGGCCCAAGACCACGCTTAGAAAACCCTTTGATAATCTCGCATCTGTTGGCACCTTGGTAAAACTGTTGATCAGCCTCGAGGATCGCATTTTTTGCATTAATAAAGTTGGGATTGCAAGGCTGATTCATTAGTCCACCTATAATAACTTGAATTGCAATGATGTTTCCTGCCTTTTGCTTTGCATCAAACAAGTTGGCGCTGAATCCATTTTTGTTGACCAAGTTCCAGTAGACCTCCCAGAGCATGGCTGCCCAAACCTCGCCAATATCGTGCACCTCATTGCGACGCGCAAGATCGCTGTTCTTTAGGGGATTGACTCCAAGATCGGTGGAGTAAGGACGGCTTCGAATACCCCTTTGAGAATTGGTGACATAAGTACCAACAGCGACAGGGTCTACATCTTTGTCGCCTTGTTTGGCTGTCATAACAAGACTAAGCCAGTCGCTCCATCCTTCACCCATTCCGCTAGACTCGGTGTTTTGAAGACATTGTCCAGTAGCAGATCCACCAGTGAGGCGGTTAGAAACACCGTGCATATACTCGTGGATAGTAACGAGAGCGTCCATACCAGAGTCTCGGCGAGGATTGGTATCAGTGAATTGGAACATGTTCATTATACCGCTTCTGCCATCGGGAGGAGTCAAAAAGTTGGCATTGTCAGTGTCCCTGTTGTTGAGAGCATTAATCTTGACAGCATCACCACCTTGGCCACCTTTGTTAAAGTTGTCTTTTTGGAAGTTGCCATTTTGCTCGGTGAAACCATATTGATAGGTGATGTCATGTACAAGATTGCAAACATAGAACAGATTGACAGTACTAGCTTGAGAGTTATCGGGGGTGCGGGGATCAACTTGTGCATTAAAATTGGTGTCAAAAATGCCACCTTGGCCAGCGCCTGGCCGACCACTTGGGTCGGTAACTTCGACGTTATTTCCAAGGGTTCGACTGCCATCGGTCCAGCCATTGGGAGAAGAACCAGCGAATTCGGGATCTTTAACAACGCTGAAACCTTGCTCTGGGTTGGAATTGGGTAACTGTACAACTTTGTAGGAAAATTTGTTGGAGTAATCAACCACATTAAGAACCTGGCCAGTATGAGCATCCACCCAAACCATCATCCAGTTTTTCAGATCAGGGTCGCGTACTTCAAACTTGTAGGTATAGCGAAGGCTACCGTCAGGAGTTTGAATGTATTCGTTGGTTGGAGCAACATCAGCATAGTACTGTACGCCAGTTTGTTTGACCGCATTGGCAATAGCCTCTTCAACAGTAATATAAGATTCAGCAGGTGCAACTTTAAGATCACGCTTTGCAATGTGATTCTCTGTGCCAAATGAAGCACTATAGCTGATAACTACATTGTTCTGAATATTAACAGACCATTGATGATTGGCGATACGAGCACCTTCAGCAGTAATTTGAGCACCATAAATGTGGGTGGTACCAGAGCTATCCGTGTACTCGTTATAAATTTTAAACTCGGATTTGTCCAAATTGAGTAGTTTGGAAAGAAATTCGATGGCAAAATCTCCAAGATTGACTGGAGCACTGCCAGAACCAGTCAGGCTTGAACTACCAGAGAAACTAGAACCTTGTTTAGACGAGCCGACATGCTCGTAGCTAGCACTAGGGAAAAAAAACGGTTGCTTTGTGCCAATCGATCTGCGGTAAATATACTGAAGTTCAGGAAGAACCGGCTTGAGAGGAATGGCAAGGATGCAAGAAGCAAAAGTGAATGCAAAGGCGACAGTTGGAATAAACATTGCTTTGAACAATAATCGGATTGACTAGATAAATTTTACAAGAACGGTAGACTACGATATCAAATAGTATTTAGATGACAGATTGGTACAAGTGCAAGCTTGAGCTAGACTAATAACAAGTATGGGTTTCTGAATAAACAAGATTTGATAAGATTAGGATCCAATGGGATCGAAAGTTGAGTTGAGTAATATGCAGTAAAATAAAGTCGATATATATAGGGCAGAGGCACCAGTGGAATAGAGACCTCTGACCTCATGTGGCTAAGGGTGAATTATTTGAGTTTGTATCACATCTACTATCAACAACATTGATCTTCAAGGATAACAAATACTAGCAATACATTATGTGCCACCATATGATAGCCATATGAAATTGCACTAGTTTATTCCGATTTCAAGACAAAGCAGCTCAACAAGAATGGAAAGTTCAACAGTTTTGGTGCCACTATTAAGTTAAGCTGCGTTTCACTGGCTTTTGTCAAGACTATTGGCGATCCATTTCTCGCCATCAACGCGACTGCGAGTGAGTCGGGCTATTTTAGCATATCAAACCATATGCCAAAGTGTCTGAAATGGGCTAGTTCAAGAATAAATAGCATTCAAATCCTTGTGACGGAGTCTTATTCCATACAAATGTATATTCTTTGATGATTTCCAACTGCCGTTTTGGGCCTATTCGCTGCCATCTCAAATGTGGCAACGTGTACCAAAGTGTTTAATTTAGCCACCAGCATACAAACTCGAGGAAATTTGAAACATCTTCATTCTGAAAATGTAGCAAGAATAACTTTTGATTGACCGCGACTCTGCCGCATTTGATGCTTATACCAAGGAGTACTATTCCAAGCTGTGTTGGCCAAGGACTGATGTAATGGGAATGGGCAGTCATTAGCAAGTTAAGCACCTACTAAGGAGTACCAGGATAAAGATACTGGATTATGCAATCTAACTGCCAGGACAGGGGTTGACTAATATCTTAAAACATTAGCCATTGTTTAAACCTCGTGTTGAGAAATGAGTTGTTTACTTTGCCACTGGCTGATCTACAATCAAATTTAGACTAGATTCTTGACTTGTGGCTCACTACAATCGAAAAATCATGTGGAAAACTTGCTATTGAAAGCATGGCTTGTTCAAATCTAATGTACTTCAAATTGCTTTGGTCCTAGATTTCTACTAAATTTCTTTCATCTAATTTGACTAAATTGTATATATGCTTTAGTGTGGTGAAATAGCGTCCAAGATTAACGTTTCAAAACTTGAACAGCCTCCCAAACATCCTTATTTACGGCCGTATTCATGCAAATGGAACACTATCTTGCATTGACTGTTTTTTACCCCGGAATAACGGTGGTTAATGCGTTGCGCCTTTTTACTAGGAATTCAATCAACATTCAACATATAATGCACAAACTATAGTTTTGAAGATTCTCATTTGGTATTACCATACATTGTACAGTCACCAGACTCGTTCATTTCAGTACAGAGATCCAAGTTGATTGTTTTCGATACGACTTACTCTTGTTGTATCTTGATCCTACAGATATGTTTGCATCCAGTTCACAAGTCAGAGATTGCACATTTCAGAAATACGGCTGCTGTTTTCATGCTAATCACCATGAGAAAGATCAATAAAATTTAACAAGGTTAGAGGACACAATATTGTCCAGTAAATTTCATGTAAATTGGCACTCTTATTTGATGTTTCATTTTACGTGGATATGGCGGTAAATTGTACTTGATACAGTATAAAACCATCAAAAAAGAAACATTATGCGGTGGCATCAGTTTATGAAATCCAGCCATAAACCATGTGTAATTATGACATTGTTTCTTGGAAAAGTCTATCCTATGGCGCCGCTGATTCCCAAAAAACATAGAGATACTGACTCTAGAGAAAGATGGCTGCTTGGTAGTTTCCAGGGAATATTTAGTGGTTGCTTGGTAGTTTCTAATGAATATTTAGCTGGCTGCTTGGATAATTACGTATTAGGATACATAAAAATAAGCACTAGTTTAGCTCTTCCATGCATCAAATTGCCGCTGTATTCACATAAACTGGACCACTAAATAAAAATGCTATACATAATAAACGGCCAATCTCATGGAATAATTGGTGCCAAATTTACTGGTCAACACCATGTCATTTGGAATGACGAGGCTGACTAATCTGCTTATTTCTGTATAAAAAACTAAGCGAATGCTCATATAGTCCCACTACATCACAATTGTTCAATCACCAACTCTTGTTTTCTACACATCAATCATTATACCATTGATTGATCGGTATGGGAACAGCAGCCGTATTTCTGAAATGTGCAATCTCTGACTTGTGAACTGGATGCAAACATATCTGTAGGATCAAGATACAACAAGAGTAAGTCGTATCGAAAACAATCAACTTGGATCTCTGTACTGAAATGAACGAGTCTGGTGACTGTACAATGTATGGTAATACCAAATGAGAATCTTCAAAACTATAGTTTGTGCATTATATGTTGAATGTTGATTGAATTCCTAGTAAAAAGGCGCAACGCATTAACCACTGCTTATTCCGAGGCAAAATAAACTCGGTTACTGAGATACAATGTGTTCCATTTGCATGAATACGACCGTAAATAGGTTGTCGTAGTGACTGACCAGTTGCAGAACAATAGGAAAAACTCTGCAATCTACAAGAGATTGCATTCATCAATAAACTACAAGCAATTCAACCGTAGCTTAGACATTCAATCAAATCAGGCTACAAAACTTGTTCTTTTAATCAATATTCGTTCAGTAAAATAACATGACGTCCATTGGTCAAGATATTGCACCCATTCTTGATAAGGTTCTATCTGTGTTGTCACTTGTTGAATCCAAACTCGAACAGCTTTTCAGTCTTCATCGCATGTTATGTCTCACTATCCCTTATGAAAACCTTTCTGTTTATTATGGCACTCAGCCACCAACAATGGATGTCCGAGCCATTTGCAAAAAGCTTTCTTCAGGAATAAGAGGAGGCTACTGTCTTGAGCTGAATACATTCTATGCACTGCTGTTGCAGCGACTTGGATTTGGAGTTGAGAAGCGATCTGCTAAAGTAATTCTTGGGATGACAGAGGAATGTGACCGAGCTAATCGAGACGATTCGCATATTGTGTTGATAGTGAGCTTGCCTCAAGGAGTGGCTGCAGATGGCGAATCTGGATGGACGGGCAAGTGGTTGTGTGATATTGGTGCAGCAGACTTTGCACCAATGGAGCCAATGCCATTCAGAGACTATACAGCAGAAATACCGGCAACTCCCGGGTCTGGTGGCAAGACTTTCAAGCTTGTGCAGGGCAGCTGGCTAAACAAACAAGGCTGGTTCTTTACTTATCATGACAAGGCTAAACAAACTGATTCAGATCTGGTGGAATCTGCATCTCAATCCACTCCCGTTTATGATCGCTTCTTTTTTTTTGAGGATGTAGACTGTGACGATGAGCATTTTAATGCCATGAATGACCAGGTCAAGCAGCCTGAAAAGTGTCCACCATTTCCATTCAATACCGAGTATGCCACATTTTCCAAGCCTGACGGTAGTAGAATGACTGTCATTGGCACCAAGAAAGACGGCTACACTTTTTATGAACGCAGCCATTTAGGCAAGACATTGCGCTCTGAAAAGCTTATAGGAGAAGAAGAGCTGAAGCAAGTACTACTTTTACATTTCTCTATAGTCTTTCCCATATAACTTGTTTTTACCCATCGACCCATTCAGATGATTAAACCCAAACACCATAGCTATGAAAATCAATCGTTTATTTTAGTTACGAGTGCTGTTGGCGGAAGTAGGTCAACGCCCAGACCCGACAAAATAAGTAGACAGCCCAGCTCAACAGATGGAAATGAAAAGTATGGCGTGAATGCAAGCGCAAAGAGCTGTAGGTGAGACAGAAGTGTCTATAGAGTAGTCAGCAACTGTATGATGATGATATTGCAGGGAGAGGGTATATTGCAATTGATCCAAAGTTTAGAGATTTAAACTTGGGCAGGTAGGTCATTGCAAATTCTCAAGAAACTCGCGAGTTTGTCGTAGTTTAGAAGGGGTGATCAATGGCAAGTTTAGATACTGTGAAGTAATAGTTCCTCGACAGATACACCGGTAAAGAGAGTAGTGGTAGATTTGAGCGAAGTCCGTCGTAGTGGAGGCATTCTATACAATAGCGAAATTAAGTGTTGATTTAGAGTCGTTAATAGGCGCCATATAAACAGACATCATCACATGTTGTGGGAACATATCAACCTACTTGATATTCTGCTCAGATTGCTGAGACTGCATGAGAAGCGGATGCTGGGGTTGATGGTCCATAGTAGCACTGGTCTGGCTCATCATCCGGGGGATGGTAATAGCCCGCATTTTGATTGTACGTGGGAGTGAAGAGAATGGATATGAAGACTGATTAGATTCAGAGCCAGGGGGAGAAAATGAGGATAAGCTTGTTGCAGAAGCAGCTGCATCGGTTCCAGTTCCAAAATTGAATTGTGAACCAAGAGAGGATGTTGGACTAACAGCATCCGACATGGATGACCTACGAGAGGCATTTCCCCATAGCGAGCTGAAAGAAAAAGATGAAAAGGTGCTACCAAGAGGTGCAGTAGTAGGAGAAGTAGTGTCAGATACGACAGAAAATCTTTTTTGGGGAGATGAGTGATTGGTAGTGTCAAGAGGATTCATGGCTAATGTGATGACAAGGCTAGCAAGCGAAAACACTCCACTTTTATCCTAAACTACAACGGCGCCACGAAGTTTAGTCACGCAGTCAACTAGATTTATGCATTTCTCCAAGCACAATTGTTTGTTGATACGATCGACTCACTATTTGTAACAATCTAAGCAATTTGCACATTTTGATCCTTTTTTCAAGCACTCGAAAAGTTTATTACAGCCGTATTCACGTATCGAGTACCTTGTATCTCAGTAACCGAGTTTATTTTGCCTCGGAATAAGCAGTGGTTAATGCGTTGCGCCTTTCTACTAGGAATTCAATCAACATTCAACATATAATGCACAAACTATAGTTTTGAAGATTCTCATTTGGTATTACCATACATTGTACAGTCACCAGACTCGTTCATTTCAGTACAGAGATCCAAGTTGATTGTTTTCGATACGACTTACTCTTGTTGTATCTTGATCCTACAGATATGTTTGCATCCAGTTCACAAGTCAGAGATTGCACATTTCAGAAATACGACTGCTGTTCCCATACCGATCAATCAATGGTATAATGATTGATGTGTAGAAAACAAGAGTTGGTGATTGAACAATTGTGATGTAGTGGGACTATATGAGCATTCGCTTAGTTTTTTATACAGAAATAAGCAGATTAGTCAGCCTCGTCATTCCAAATGACATGGTGTTGATCAGTAAATTTGGCACCAATTATTCCATGAGATTGGCCGTTTATTATGTATAGCATTTTTATTTAGTGGTCCAGTTTATGTGAATACGGCTATACACAGCTAGTGACTAAACTGCCGACCATCACTACTTTTGTCACCAACTTTGGACCCATACATGCCACGGCGCGCCTGTTTCTTGTTCTGTTGCCTACGGTCAGTCTTTCCCGATGCCCCCATTGTAAGATTCACTGATGGTGGAACTGTAAACCCATATGCTTTTGCTACCCGTTGCAAATCCAACACCCCAACATCAAAAATCTTTTTGAGTGAATGTGATGCATATGCTTGCAAGTAGGATCTATATCCATCCTTGGCTGATCGATTAAGATAGTAGTTCTTTTCGATTAGTCGCTCAAGTTGACCTTGCACATTTGCTATTTTGTTTGGGGGGAACTGGTATTCGTTCAATGGCACTTTGGCATGCTTCAAGTACCGTAGGAACCCAAGCTCCGTAGGAAGTAGAAACAAGAGTGCTTTTCCTCGTCCGCCTGCTCGTGCTGTTCGACCTACTCTATGAATATATTCTCTTGGATCATCTGGTGGATCAAACTGTAGAATCCAATCAACTGCTGGGATATCTAAACCACGAGCTGCCACATCCGTGCACAACAAAACACCAGACTCGGCATTTACAAACTCAAAAAATGTGCTTGTTCGCTTCTGTTGCTTTTGTTTGCCCTGTTGTGATGATTCGGTGCATTGCAGTTAGATACCTTGAACTGAACATGCACCAAAATACAAAATCAAATGCTTACATGAAGATCAAGAACTGGGATATCAATAAAATTGAGCAACTCGGCATGGTACTTTACAGAATTGCAAGATGAAAAAAAAACAATAATCTTTTTCTTCAAATTTTTCTTCAAAAACGTGAACAAAAGTAGAAATCGCTGCTCAGAAGGACAAATAACATAGCCTTGCTCTAAACCCTCATTTGTTGCCATATCCTTGTGCTCATCGACATTAATGTATAGCGGTGCTTTTTTCAACGAGACTCGGGCAAGATCTTCCACTTTTGTGGTTTGTGTGGCAGAAAACAACATGGTTTGTCGTTCTGTCGTTTTAATGTGCCATATGACCGAAGCTCAGTTAGATAAAAGCAAAACAGGTTGTATACAATGAAATGGTAAGGTAGGGGTATATCTGCGTCATACCTATAACGCCGATGCATTTAGTGCAGTTTTCGGCGCCTCAAACAGACGCAATGTGTTATAGCAAAGATTGTCAGTGCCAAAAGACACATAACAAAACAGATACAGATCTACCCACAGGGATGTAAAGTGGGCGATCTGCACTTCAATGCGGGTCAAGGTGATCATATCACTGAAAAAGCAATTATAAAGTAATAAAAAAAACTCACCGGTTGGCAATAGACCAATAATTTTGTGCATTTCCTCTTCGAAACCAACCTCTAGAATACGATCGGCTTCATCGATAATGAGCATCTTCAAATTCTTGAAAATAAAACTCTTTGTATTCTGAAAATATCAAAAAATGAGCATTACAATCAAACATACAGCACATTAGTAGCACTAGCATACCTGAAGGTGATCAAGCAAACGACCAGGAGTAGCAACAATGAGATTGACGCCCTTGCCTAGTTTCTCTGCCTCTGCCTTACGATTAGCACCACCCATCAAGATACCAAAGGTCTGGCTATGATGCTCAAAAAGCTCTTTGGCAACCCCAAAGATCTGGAGGGCCAGCTCACGAGTGGGTGAAATAATCAACACACCGCTGCCTGTAATGATTCAGCATACAAAAAGAAAGTGAAAGAAAAAATTAATTAATTGTTGCAAATTCAATCATCCGTGTAAAAATATTGAAAATAAAAACCAACCATTGCGAGGCTTGAATTGTAACTTGTGCAGCAGTTCAATGGCAGGAATCAAGAACGCCAGCGTTTTACCCGATCCAGTCTTGGCAGCACCAAGAATATCCCTGCCGGTCATGGCAGGTGGAATCGATCTCGCTTGCACCTCTGTCATCTGCTTAAACCCAAGCAACTCGATGGCTTTATGAGTTGCATTCGACACTTGTAAGGAAGAAAACGATCGATCTACATTCGTGCTAGATTCTGTTATAGCAATGTCTTCCCTTTCAAGATGATCTTGCGTATCGTCCTCAGCTTGAATGTCATCTTCCTCAATATAGGTGGTCGATGGCTGTGTGTTGTCCTCGTTTTCGGGATCACTGTCACTGTTGCTATGATATTCTTGTGCCTTGGACTGTTTAGCAGTCTTTGCTTTTTTGGTATGTGTCTTGAGCTGTTTTCCGACGGCTGCCTCGGAATCTCTAGATCGCTTAGACGCCTTCTTTAAGGATTTTTTGGCATTTGAACTAGTGTCGGGATCCATGATAAGTTGAGAAAATAATAATTGGACTGATCCCGCTAAAAATAAAATTAACTGAAGAAAGACCGAATTGGGTGGAATTGCGATTGGTTATAAAATGATTTGTAAAAGTGAAATTCAGTGTCAGGTGAAAATCACGAGACAATATATGGTTGGTGGAAATTAATAATCCTCCGAATCAATATCAGCTATTTCAAATCTCCCATTTCAGCCGGCGGCAAAAAGCATGAAAATGGAGATGAAGGATTGCCAGCAACTATCACCATCAGTGCGTACCATGTATTTGGAGACTGATCAAGGGAGTTGCAGAGCCGTAATATTCCAAGACTTGCTAAACAATGACATGCAGCATTTCCAAATGCGCATCTTATTCTAGACAACACCCCATTACACAAAGTAACTCTAATTAAACATGGCTTACCAACTATTCAACATATCGCGTAGATTGCAACTACACTATAAAGTTTCATATTATTCATTCTTGAACCCTGCAAAAAATAATTCGAGTATAAGTGTGAATCCAGACACCAAAGAACTGAGAATATTAATTAAAGGAGCAATCAGTTTTTAGTAGGAAAGCAACAAATATGTAACCACTGTTTATTCTGAAGCAAAATAATCAATTCAAGACAAATATATGAAACGCTCCATTTTACGTGAATATGGCTGTAAATAAGAAATTCATACGGTAAAAATACTAATGGAGCATCAAAAACATGTAAATAATACGACCTTCTAGATACTGCTTGATAGAGAGCTGGGCATAATCTAATTGGGGTTGTGCAAAATCATTACAGGATGCTGGCATAATTTACAGGTCGGAATATATTACCATGTTGTAAAGCTAAATGATCTGCATTCTTGTGATCAAGATTTGCGTCGTATTCTCTCAACGTTTATCTGGTATGTGAATCTGTTTTAGGCAACATTGGAACTGGAGTGTAATCAGCCTGCGAAAAAACTTGTTTGGATGATAGCTCAAGTAGATTGGCAGGATGCCAAGCATCAGTATTACTACCATCTGCTCCATGTCCAACATATTCGGCTACCATGACTGAGATTTCTGGTGGAGTAGTGTCATAAGTTAAGCTTTGAAGTGGAGCGCTTTGATCAAAAGATGCAGTTAGATCCATGTTGCCCAATGAATTTACCAAAAAGGGATGGTCTTCTGGATCTTGGTTTTCAGTCTCAACCATTGTTAGCGTCAAGTCAATCGGATCTGATGGTAAGCTATTTGACATTTGAGTCCTTGTAAACGACGTGACTGGATCGACAAATGGATTGCAAGATTGAGCAGGGCCGCTTTTTTTGTTTGAACCGTCGATTTGAGAATTTGATTTATGAATCACAAACGAGCTGTTGAATGGATCTGCTAAACTCTTGACAGATGGTACGAGTAGTTTAGACGATGCCCTGTAGTCTGCTGAAGGAACTGCCAAGGCATGCATGTTGGGATTGTTTAGCATATGTAGTTTCTGCATATTTGCAGGCTTTTTATTTGGCGCGGCATACATGTTTGATTTGAAAGAAATGTTGCTCATATCACCATTCATAACTGTGGACTGCTGCAATTCCTTGTATGACATCCCGTTTCCACCCCTTCTTGTCAAAGAAGACGGCAAAAACCCATCTTCTCTACTAATGACTGGTGGTGGCAATGGCAAATTTTCTGTTTAAACATACAAACTTTTGGATTAGATCTCTATTTTTCAAAATTGATAATAAATTGGCGAGCCCACAAGTCTATTTGAAAATGTCAACATATCAAACCTGAAGCAAAAAAGGATAAGTTGTCAGACGCCAAGTTATGATCACGACTGCTTTCCCCCAACTCATTTAAGCTTGGAAACCGGCCAGAAATATCCACTGATATGGATTTTGCATTGCTAATATTCATACTCGATGTGCTCATATTGGCTTGACGATATACTTTATCAGATCGCATCTCTGTAAGTGGAATATACGTGTCAGACTGATTTGATGTAGTATATTGAGTTCGGGGCCACTGCAAAGCACCATGAGGTGTAGAGTACGGTAAAGTTGGTCTTTGGGCACCTACTGGAGCGCGAGATACACCAGAAATGTCGTATAAAGGATCACGATGAGTTCCTTTGATACCTTTTTGTTTTGTCACTTGTGCTGGATACACTGCTGACGTGTTTGCAAATGCTTGATCTTGTCTATGGTGTGGAGTTGTCAATGAAGACAATCGTACACTAGCGACAGGCTCACGCTGATTTATTTCGGGTGCTTGAGGTGAACCAGACTTGGTGGGTACATCAACGGTTGTGGCATTAGTATTTTGCTGCATTAACATGTCTAAAATATTTCCATTATTATTACAGGTATTGAGATTCTCGACATCGGTCTCATCGTCAATATTTAACACGGATGAAAATGGAATTAATGATCGTCGCATTGCTGATACACCTGTGCCTAGATCAGCCTTCATGACTGTATTGTAGTTTCCGTTGCTTGAAGTACCATCAACTTTTTCAGATCTGCCGTTAAAGACCGACTTATTTTCAGGTCTTTTCTTTTGTTTAGACTGAGATGCAACTCCTTTAGGTTTTGTAGGAAGAAGAACAGAATCAGCTTGATAAATGGCTTTTTCCAAGAGGGACAATTTGGATGTATCTTGAGCAGAATTATTTGACAATGCTGTAAATGACGCGGATGGGTTATTTGGCCTGTACAATGGTGGTAGTGGAGGATTATCTTGCATACGATCCATTGTTGGATATGGGCTACCAATTCCAAGACTGACAAAAGATGCACGATAGTTGGGATTCACAGAGAGATTTGGTTTTTGTCGAGTAGCAACAACGGCTGGTGACTCTTGCGAAGTAAATTTCAAGTCCGACAGTTTAAATCCGACAGTCATCCTATCCATGTAGCTATCATCTTTCCACATAATACTTGAGCTTTCCAAATCTGTGTTGCGGTTTCCAGCGCCAAAAATTGTTCCAAGACTCCAGCCAGTACTTTTGGGTTGTGAAAGAATAAGGCTGCTACGATGCTCTTTGGGTGTAGTAGATGGCTTTGAACCCAGTCGAGTGAAATATCCTTCAAGTGCAGCTCGCCGATCTGGATCACGCCAAACACGAATATACATGACATAGATTACCAATATAACAGCAGCCAATCCTACTATAATGAGTGATATCAAAATAATTATTGTAGTGCTACTAGCAGTTCCAAATTCCTGTTGAGAACTGGATGCGTTGAAAGAAAGAACGGCAGATTTAGTCAAGGGTGCATTAATGGTTGATGTCGACGTGGTTTCGCTAGTTGGGTTTGAAAATACTGGGATGGATGGTTGGATTATAGTAGCAGATGCGACTGTTGAAAAAACGGCATTGCGGTTAGACATTTTCAAGTCGGTTGTATTTACTTGCTGTATAACAAGGGAGTGCCAGATTTACACTAGATTCAGAGAAATGATAGCAATGGATAAGAGTGAAGGAAACGGAGATGAATCAATCCAATAAATTGGCAAACTACAGTTATTATACACGGCTCAGCCCTTCAAATAATTGAGGCAACAGCCACAAATTTGAAAGTTGTTGCGGCTTATAGCATGAGATTTGGATGGTTTTATGGTCTGGCAAGCTAAGCCAGATATGGTAATGATAGGAGCGGAGTTTGACTTGTGGCGCCTTTATCTGACCGCACGCGCTGAAATCTTCCAATGCCAAATTGAATCGTGTTTGCCATGACTGCTGATTTGGCACTGATCTTGCTTTAACGATTGTGATGCGTATAAAACGGAGCTGAAATAAACTGAATAAAGCAATTGGCTTTTATGGTTCAGCAGCAAAAGCCAACTCTCAAGTCTATCAGCCCAGCCTCTAGTTCATAAGTACTCAATTGGGTGCCACTTTGACCTTCAAATACTAATACTTTGAAGGATCATAGTCGATCTATTAATTTAGCACAAAATCATACATTGGCTAATCGTGGAATGTGTCGGATATATCAGAAAGGTCTTAGTATTTGCAAACCAACTGGCATAACAAACCCCAAGCTATATAACCATGTTATGGTTTTCAAGGCTGATGCTTTGGATTATTCCACTAATGCCAGAGCTGAAGCTTCATAATAAAAACATCCACGTGATATAGATTTACTCTCCAACACTAAATACAGATCTCCAAACTCCGACTACTTTAAAAAGATAAAATAGTTGATACCTATATATAGCAAAGTCAGCAAAAACCCTAAATAATCATATTTCAAAGATACAGTAAAATGTATAAGCGAAGTATAAGCAAAGATATGATTTCAGGGCCAATGAACCCAGAGTAAGTTTTACCAAAGAGTAGATTTGAATATATATCTAATTTTTACCTCGAGTATAGCTAGATGCAAGCTAACGAAAATTAATATTATCATTTTGGACAATGGCTTAGACACCTGGTCCATATTGACGGTACTGGACTTGGTGAAACGCCATTATCAACATTACTAAATGCGAGTGTAACTCGTACGTATCATACGCCTATATATTCTAATTCACGTCTGGTGATGTCTTTTGAAGATGCAGCTTTTGTATCCAAATTTCAGCAACTCGAGTGTGTAGATGGCTAAACAAACCTTTTTTTTATTCGTCGCGTATGAATTCAAAATACTACTGGGATGTCTAATCATATAACCCAATCTAGCAAGAGTGCTACCACCTAGTCATCTGATTCAGGCATCATCTTCAAATGCTTTAACAGATGCCAAACCACAATTAAAGAAACTGATTTCGACACCAGAGAATTTCGAGTAAGTCGAGACATTTGCATTTAAAACTAGAGTGACGTCTAATGCTGATGAATAGACTAGTGTTTTTCATTTTAAAATGGACTAAACATTAAAACCGTTTTAAAATTTTAAATCCAACTATATGCTGGTCAACCTACAGTCACCGACTGCATGCAGAGACAATTGAACAGGCGGAGCAAATGCTATCTACAATGGTGTTTGAAGCTCGTAAGTTTATATATTTTATTGCAACCATATTGTTTATTGATTGAAATTAAGCGTATTGTAAATCTGTAATGTGAATATACCAATTGCTCGCCATAGTCAAAACGACAGAATGCAATCCAAAGTCAGTTGTATCTGCTGGAAAAAGCGATGCAGTTGATACACCTGAAACTAAATCTTCTCGTCGAGCTGGAGCAATCGACAAGGCTATGATTTCAGCACCTATCGGTTTTGAGTAAGTGATTTTTGATTAGATTTTTACGTAGCACGCCATGTTTAAAAAAGGATAGCCGTTGATTTTTGGTTGGAATCATGCATTGTTCATTAGTCACATTGCACATGCGGACACGGGAGAAGACATTGCTGCAATCGCTCAGAATGCACCGCAAAATCAATGTAAGATTTCAAATATGTATTCATACTTTTTATAAAATATTGGAGTCATTATGGTATAAGCCAGTCCTAAATACTTGAGTAGATGCACAGGCACAGTCTGCCGAACCAACGTTTCTGTCACCTAAGCGATCCATGACGATGCAGCGTACAAAAAGCCAAAAGACAGATGATTCATCTAATGTTCGTACATATCAGAAATCCTTTATTACCAACGCATTATCCCGTGCAACAACAATGAAAAAACCACGATTGCAAATCGGGTTGCCAACGTTAGTTATGAGTTCATCAAGTCAAATTGAGCCTACAGCAAACTTATCACCCAGTACAGCTATTACACCGAGTTCAGCTGTAAAAAGTATTCCAGGTTTGATTGATGTAGGAGGTTTTAATGCAGAAGGAAATCCACGCCATCCTCCTGATCTTGCAGAGCATCCACATTACACTTTTCTATCAACGACTAAAACCCAAGCTGCGCCAACTTCATCTACTTTAAAATCAAAAACGTTTATTTTAGATCAACTTAAAAATACCAAATGGGAGGGGTTGCTCAACATGGGCCCATCAGCCCGTACGCTTCGCAGGGTTGATCTCGATACCCAGCTTCGTATAACAGAAAGCCAAACCGAGCGCCGTAAGCTCCATGAAGCTTATCTCATCCATGAAAGTCAAACCCTTCGCCACCAGCGAGAAAAAATTACCATTACAGATTTTGAAGTACTGAAAACCCTCGGGCATGGTGGATTTGGTGTTGTTCGCCTTGTTAGAGATAAAACCACTCGCGAGATTTTTGCCATGAAGGTTTTGAGGAAATGCGAAATGATTAAAATGAAACAGGAAAGTCACGTCCGAGCTGAGCGTGATCTCTTGGGATGTGCTTCTGAAGTCGCCGAGTGGATCGTTCGGCTAGTCTATACATTCCAAGACCCAGACTATCTATACTTTGTACTTGAATTTATGCCAGGTGGCGATTTGCTTGGATTACTGATCAAGCTGGATATTTTCAACGAAGATTTTGCCAAGCATTACTGTGCCGAGATGGTCATGGCAATCGAAGAAGTGCATAAGCTGGGCATGATTCATCGAGATGTAAAACCAGACAACTTTCTTTTTAATTCACAGGGGCATTTACGGTTAGCAGATTTTGGACTGGCAACAGATTTTTATTCATGGAGACAAAGAAATAGCTTGTTTGATGATCAAGTGAGCAATGTGACCACTACAAATATCTCTGATACAAGAGAGCCATCTGCTGCCGAAAACAAAAACACTGCGGCATCCAAGCCTATTCCAATTGGTATGCAAATGGGTCAGAAATTTTCCAAATCTGAAAGTATGCTCAACGAAAAAGTTGTAGATGGAACTGCTACAACTGTTACAGAAAAGGTGGTGACCAACATAGCTGAAGCATCTCCAGTAAATGTAATTCCTGCTCAACCTCCACACCAGGTTCTCTCTAAATCAGCCAAAACATCCATGAGAAAATTTGCTGCCTTTTCCATTGTTGGAACCAATAATTATATTGCTCCAGAAGTCCTCAGAAGTAACAGTTCACAAGGATACGACAAATCTTGCGATTGGTGGTCATTAGGAGTCATTTTATTTGAAATGCTATTTGGGTTTCCTCCGTTTTGCTCAAAAACTCAATCACAGACAAAAACCAAGATTTTGAATTGGAGGCAGTCTTTAGTTTTCCCAGATCAGCCAGTTGTTTCAGAAAATGCCAAGGATTTGATACGGAGATTGATTTGTGATGCCGGAAATCGGTTTGGATCCAAGCCAATTGTATTTGGGTCTAGTGGTGCTGATGTCTTGGGTACTCCGACCAAGGGAAATCGCACCCTTTCATCAGACGCATTCGTGAATCGTATTCTTGGTGAGGGCGATGCCGAAGACATCAAAGCACACCCATGGTTTTCTGGTACAGATTGGGAGCAGTTGCATGCCATTACACCACCTTTTGTTCCCGATCTCCAAGAAAACACGGATACATCATATTTTGAGCAAGTGGACGAAGATGAGATTCAGCGTATGTTGCAAGTAAATTCCAGTACTAAAGACAATGAGAAAACGGCGGATATGATTGATGCTGAAAAGCGATTGGCATTTGTTGGGTTTACGTACCGAGCCCCAAAGGCGCATTCAAAAACCGTAAAAGTTGCTCAACCATCCAAATTGGGTGACGCCCAAGCATTCAATGGCTTCAAAATCATAGATAAAGAAGACTCTGACAGTATAGACAGCTTGTAATATTCAGCTTTTTTCAATTCATGAGATTGAATAAAAATTAATACTTTTTGCTCGTTCAACTACTCGGTCAGCTTGCAACCATAGACGAATAAATAAACTACACATACGGATATAATCTGATTTATTTTGCTTTAATTTCAACAGGTTTGAATTTTATTTGGTGATTAAAGACTGCCGTTTGAATATTTAATCGCCAATTTTTGGTCCATATTCTCCAGTGTAACTATGCTTTTTTCTTAACAACCTGGATAATATCTTCATCTTCTACAATGTGACCAAGACCGACTCGCTGAGGATTGTGCTTTGCCGATACACCCCACACGAGCGCAAACTAGCAATATAGTCGAGTCACTAGTTAAATTGGGTATACTAAAACGGTATTGCAATGCAAGTCGAGCAAAAATCAACAGCCACCAAATAATGTCTTACCTTGAATTCATCGAGTAGTGATCTATGAATGGATCTACATACTTGTTCAACGGTGGATCCTCGCTTTAGAATCAATCCAGGTTCAAAATCAGGAAATTCGCCACGCTTTTTCGTATAGACACGAATCAAGTCTAAATGATGCCACAGCTGATCAACCAAATACTCCAAATTCAGGTCAGATTCACATGAAATCACCACAGTATAATCCTGCCGTGCAAGTCGATCAACTTCCTCGATTGAAACCTGTGATTGTATGACAAAATAGGTCATTTGAATGGTACATGAAATAGTTAATACAAGTCCATTTAAACAAGAGATTGGCTGAGAAACAGAGTAATGCACCTGATCAATCTTGTTATAGCAGTATAAACACTTGATGTATTTTCTATTTCCAAGAACAACGTCAATAAACTGGTCAACCGTGGCATCTTCTCGAACCAACACTTCTGCATTGTGAATCTACTCAATGTGTTATAAAATGAGTTGGTTTTATACATTCTTCAAATCGAGTTTTGTGAATTTTTTTAAATCTACCTTGTAGTCGTGCAAGATCTAAAACCAACACCAAAAAAGTAGTTTAAGTAAATACGTTGATGTTTTTGGATACACTATAGCAAGTCAAACCCACATTGTACACCATCTTTTCGTTTAAATGTGTCAATTTTTGAGTGGCATTGAAGGAAATACCGCCTCCTTTTTTCACTTTGAAATAGATATTGGGTCTGTGCGTATTGATACGAATACCAACAGCTTCTAATTCTGTTTCAAGAAGCTCACGTTGACGAGGTCCCTTTGTAGCATCCAGCATCATGAGAATCAAATCTGCCGTTTTGGCTACAGCAATGACTACAAGACGATCCATTGCAATGCATAAGAGCGTGTTCAATTTGGCAGTTGGCAATAAAACCGGCAACTAGAGATTTACGGAGATCTCGCAGCACTACACATAGCAATCAATAATGAAATACCTTGTCGCCCACGACCTTTTCCTTGTGATGCACCTTCAATGATACCAGGCAAATCCAACAATTGGATCTGAGCACCATTGTAATTGATCTTTCCAGGACTAGAGTACAGATACATGGTAAACCATTTGGATCTACAATACATTTTAATTTAAACCCTACGACTTACATGCAGGTCAGGGTTGTAAATTCATACGATGCAACTTCAGATTTTGTTTCGGTAGTTTTGCTCAGTAGAGTGGATTTGCCGACAGATGGGAAACCGACCATGGCCACACGAGCATCGCCTGATCGGACAACATCAAAGCCAACTCCCTTTGGTCCTGAATTTCCGGTTGGTTCGAGTAGCATTGTGCGATACTTGGCAAGTTTGGCCTTGAGAAGACCAAGATGGTATTCTGTAGCCTTGTTTTTTTGAGTACGAGCGACTTCTCGCTCGATATCAGCTATGGTTTTGATTTATCAATACATATGTATGCCAGGCAACATGAGTGTCTTAGTCTACAGCAAATCCAGTGGTTTGATCCATAGAATGAGGATGGAATTCCAGTAAAAACTGACTTGGAGTTCAAGGAATTCAAGTTCCAGTCGACACTGAATGACGATGGGGTTTATTCATGAATGCATCAGTTCAAAGTAAATCCAACAAGAAATAAACACTACCAATCTTCTCCAGAATCCCCATTTTATCAGACTGTTGCAGATGTGATGCAGTTTGCAGCTCAAGATAAAATGAATGAAAATATTTATATTTTAATCCAATTTCGCCATGTTTTGAAACTATTGACAGCGTCCAACTACTGCTGCATGTTTACAAAGGTTTCGGTTTGTAAACATGCAGAACTGGTTTAGGTTAGCGTACAGTTCAAGTAGAATATTGAGGATCGTGTCAGAACAAGACCGAATGAGTGGAGTCTTGTATTAAATCGACAGGATCAACTTGCTGACCGTGTCAGCAAGTCAGATTGTCATGGTGATACGAGTGATGAATACTCTTGTCGATATTTGCAAAAGAACACACCAGGAATGATGGCTGCTGACAGCTGTTATGTCCTTATGCCATTTATCACCAGTCATGAAAAGGAAAATTCTCAATACCATTGATTGAAACCAATCATTCAAGATTCATAGCACTTGGATCTTGCTTTAGATTGTGGCAGAACGGACTGTATTTATTTGTTCAATAATCCTTGACTTGCTCAGAAAAAGTCTTGAAGTTGCTGACAATGGGCAACGAAGCCTTTTTCCACGCAGCAATTCCACCAGTAAGGGAATACACATTGCGATATCCCATTTTTTGAAGCGAGTCTGCAGCAATAATGGATCGCATACCACCCGCACAGTATAGCACCACATCGTCGTAAAGATCAGGAACTACTCCTTCAATGTCTCGCTCGAGATTACCACGACCAGTATAATGGGCAAAGGGAATATGATCTTCATTCCATTCGTAAGTTTCTCTAAAGATTGATTCATACAGCGGATTAGTATTCTCAAGCATAAACCATGCTACCTCGTCTGCAGTATTTGAAGAGTTGACTAGTCATCCTACACAACATTTAAATTACCTGACATCAAGAATGTGCAGATTAGCGGGTGGTCCATGGATATGGTCGACACAAAGACGTTTATCTAATTCCGAAACCGTCATTTCCTTGACGTTGGGTTGAAGAGTTTTGATATGATCAGCAAATCTGCCAAGTGGAGTAGCTGTCATGGAAAAAGGCATTGCATGAGATGCAAGAGGCATACGCTGCATACAAGGACAAATATATGAACATTAAATAGGATTAGCCAATGAAGAGTTGGTTCAATGCTTTGCAGTATATTCATAAAATCATGATGCATGCCAGCATCCATCAACAGGATTAACCAGCTGATCCCAACAGAAGATATTCGAGGTTTGGATAAAGACTTGCTCAGTAGCCCAACACATTATAATACTATGAAAAAGACTCTTATCACTCATAATAAATAGTAGCAGTAATGTCTGAGTAGTGAAGCACTAGCATATCCCAGTCGGTGATAATAGTCCAAGACTATAAGTTGTAGATAAAATGGGACTGCAAAAAGCAAAGAGCAGCTTCTGTGACTAAAGAAACTCATAAGTACTCGCAGTAAGAATAGCCAGTAAGCACCTACCAGTGCAGTGCGACGGACAGCAGAGACCAGTCCAGTAGAGATCATTTAGAATTCGTCAATGTGAAGGGAAAATGAATTTTTGATTCAAAACGCATCGTCAATGATGTCAGTTTAACAACTTTTGAATTGGTAAATTCTCAAACTTGTTGCAAATGTTAAAACTAATGTTTTATTCATTATCTAAAAGTCATTCAAGTTTTTGGCATTTCAACCCATTGAAATATACTCTTAAACAGTCTGATCCATGCTGCGAGAATCCTGTATCTTGATCAACTTGCCTTGAATCTCCTGCACGCTTACACACACTCCCTTGTTCTTGGATAAAGGATCATCGCGGTTGCGGCAGTTGACAGAATCGCTCTTTTCTTCTTCCTCTCCAACAACAAAGATAAAATTCCACTGAGCAATCTCTGCATTTCGAATCTTCTTCTTGAGTGTCAGATCGCTTACATCTGCTTCGGCATAGAGTCCCGCTGCATAGAGTTGATTGGCAACTTTGGTAGCATACTCATTAAATGGCACAGCAATCGGAACAACAATCACTTGGCGTGGAGAAAGCCAGAATGGCCACTTTCCTGCAAAATTCTCTGTAAGAATAGCAATCATTCGCTCAACTGATCCAAGAATAGCTCGATGAATCATTACTGGACGAGAAAATTGATTCGCTGGATCATCTGTACGGTACTCAAGCTCAAATCGATCTGGAAGTTGAAAGTCCAATTGGATTGTGGCACACTGATGACGACGACGAAGTGCGTCTGAAATCACAATGTCAATCTTGGGTCCATAAAAGGCTCCATCCCCTTCATTAAGCGACCATGTAGACCCAAACTTGTTTAAAGCTTCTTCAAGAAGCTTTTCAGCCTGGTCCCACGTAGCAATCTCTCCTAAAAAGTTTTCGGGTCTAGTAGACAGCTTCAGCTCAAATGTGAATCCAAAAATGCTGTAAATATGCTTGAGAAAATCCAGGCATCCCTCCATTTCAGTGCCAATCTGCAATCGTATTTCAATGTTATTTGAAATGTAAGCAAAGGTATCGAATGTGAGCAGTATCCACCCATTCATGTATGAAATAAAAACGACTAACCTGGTCCAAACGGCAGAAAATGTGTGCATCATCCTGCTGGAAACGACGTACGCGAGTGAGTCCTGAAAGTGCGCCAGAAGCCTCGTTACGATGCAGCACTCCAAAATCTGCCAGGCGAAGTGGAAGCTCACGGTAAGAACGATCGCGATTTTTAAATATTAGACAATGTCCTGGACAGTTCATGGGCTTCAATGCAAACTTTTCCTTTTCAACATCAAGGGCAAACATATCCTCGTGGTAGTTGGCCCAATGACCACTACGCTCCCATAGTTTGGTGTTGTACATGTTAGGAGTGACAACTTCATGAAAGCCACGCTTGCGGTATTCGCTACGCTGGAGATCAATAAGGGTGTTGTAGATACGAGTGCCATGGGGCAAGAAAAAGGCACTGCCAGGACTAAAATCGTTAAAGAAAAACAGCTCTTGTTCCTACAATAAAATGACATGTAACAAGCACGGTAAATACAATATTGCTTTAAAAGCAGTATTCTGTAATGTGATGGACTTCCAAAACGTACTGTTCCAATCTTGCGATGATCACGCTTTTCAGCCTCTTCAACAAATTTTTCGTATTCTTTCATAAGCTTGGTATCAGGGAACGATACACCGTACACTCGCTGTAAAGAATCGTTTTGAGCATTACCAAGGAAATAAGAGGAAGAGTTTTTGGTAACCTTGAGAGCTTTGATACGGTTGGTATTGGGAATATGAGGACCATAGCACAAATCAATCAATGGACCACATCGATACACAGTAGTGGAGGTGTTGTCAGGAATCTTGTCCTTGATTATATGCACCTTATATTTGTTGTCCTGTATACATTTGAATATAACACATTTTTACACAACAATGCACTGTCAGTCTCTTGATTCGTTCAAACAAACAGCATAGATTCAAAAACATACTTGGAACATTTCCAACAAGTTTTCCTTGCTGACAACAAGACGCTCAAATGGCTGCTTCTCACTAACGGCTCTTTTGGCAAGAGTCTGCAGAGACTCGTAGTCTGCAAGAGTGACAGATCGCTCCATGGACATTTCGTAATAAAATCCTTCCTCAATTGGTGGACCAATGCAGAGATGACATCCATAGTGGAGTTCACAAGCCTCGCCCAAAACATGAGCCGAGGAGTGCCAAAACACCTTTTTGCCTAATATACAAAAGATCACAACAACCATTGATAAATAAACGCATAGATATAGGTTGTAATAAAAAACCAGCCAAGTTTTTAAACTACCGCAACGCTATACCTTCTTCGTGGTCAAAATCAAGAAGTTCCAGTGAGCAGGATTGCTCCATTGGACGAACCAAATCAAACAAAACACCATCAACCTAAACCGCGAAATTTCCAAATATAAAGATATCGAGTTAGATCTGTGCAATCGAGACAAGTCCGTTTAATAAAGCATGTCGCAAGACATGCCTTGGCAATAACAACGCGATCGGCAAGAGATTTGCTCAAGGTCTTTGCAATTTCAAATGGAGTGGTTTCCCAGGCTACACCAGGCATTATACGACCATCAGGAAGAGTGACTTCAATGGGAGTACGAGGTTTGGCTGTTGAATGACGATCGAATGGATGGCATGATTCCAGTCATGTCAGCACAAATATAATGTCAGATTCTCAACACTCGACAAATGGGCGGAATAAACCAACAGGCATGAACATGATTATTAGCCATATAGCATCAATCATGCCAAGAATGGGGTATGCATGATCATGCCGCACAATCAGACAACTCGCCTGCAATTTCAGCGTCGTATTCCTTCTTGAGCCTGTCAAACATATCGATCCTGTGCTGGATGAAAGGGGCCTGAGGAGAAAACTATATTGAATAATAATGCGAAAGTTGCAGTAAATCAGTACATGTATCCAAACTGCTGTTCATGGTGAATAACTAAAGATTGGCCTTTTGATCCGCCAGATTCAGTCCAAGTGGTTATGAGATGATTGCTGATTCAAAAATACAGCGTTACCTCTAGAGGATATGGATTGGCACTGAGAGCATCTTTTTTCTGCTGCTTGTCCTTGTGCTGCTTCTTAACCTTTGCTTCTGTGGGCTCCATTCGTATGTCGATTCTGTTAGTTGAAGAAACCAAAACAAGGAAATCAGACTCTATTTTACAGCATCTTCATACACTAATTTGGTGGTTGAACTGTATATTTCTGTCCATGTGTTTTGGATTCGTTTGATTTGCCCAACATCAAAGCTCGTCAATTCAAATCATGTTCAAATGCATTCTATATAAACCTGTCTGCAAAGTACCCTTTACAAAACACTCGAATTTATTTCGGCCTATTATTAGTCAGAGTGTATATGCATTTCAATTCAGATCCATTGCAACCACCCTAGGTTTGAGCTCACCCAACAACAATGATCGCCTGCTGTCAAGTACTAAAGACCTCATTTCTGCAATGACGTTATCCAAGAATAACATTTCAAAACTATTCAAGACCATTGATGAAAAAAAAAATTGGGAAGTGGTCGAGTCCAAGGCCAGTGATCTGCGTGATCGACTCAAGGTTTGAATTGATTATAGACTGCTGAACTCGTAACTTGAATCAAAATTCTAAAAAAACAATGTTGAATGCATGCATGATAGGATGACAATTTGTGGACTACAGATACAAAAGAAGCAATCGAGATTCAAAAAGATATATCAAGATTAGAGGTATATTGAATTCATCTGCAACAGTCATGTATGCTCTGCAATCAACTGATTATAAATATTTTTATTGACATGTTATGAATGCAGTCTGAAATCGCAGAGCATTCAAAATTCACTGTAAAATGGAACGAAACACAGAGCATGATCGAACTTGCGAAAGAAGAAGGCGATGATACACTATTAAAAGAAGTAGTTGCTGACATGGAGGATCTTGAAGCACAGTTACGCCAATACTTTATTAAATCTCTCATGTACGTACGCATACACCATATTCTTGATTTCTTGGTAGTCTAACCTTGTTAACCTATAGGACAGACGAAGTAGATCAAAGTGGGTGTTATATTGAGATTCGAGCTGGTGCTGGTGGTGCCGAGTCGTGTGATTGGGTATCCATGCTAACAAGGTATTCTAATCACACCCATCTCATTTTAACGTGGCTTAATTTAACAACTTGGCATTTTCTATCATGCTATTAGAATGTACGAGAGATGGGGTGCGGACCAAGGACACACAGTTACTTCTATAGCGCAAGTCAAAGGCGATGTTGCGGGGCTCAAGTCATCCACAACACAGATTCAAGGCGATTACGCATATGGATGGAGTAAGAATGAGTCTGGTGTTCATCGTTTTGTTCGCGTATCTCCTTTTGACTCGAATGCCAAGCGACACACATCATTCGTATCTGTGCAAGTTTTGCCAATCCTATCGACTAGCAGGCTGTCCACAAAAACCATAGAGATTTCAACAAATGAACTCAAACTAGAATTTATGCGTGCTCAAGGTGCTGGTGGACAACATGTCAACAAAACTGAAAGTGCTGTTCGTATGACTCACATACCAACTGGTATTACTGTCTTTGTAAGTGGGTCGACTCTAAATGTACTGATATGGATGTTGGCTATATTTCAACCTGGTCTGACTAACTTGTGGTATCTTAATATTGCATATTTCCAGTGCCAGTCTGAAAGATCGCAAGTTCAAAACAAGGCCACTGCGTTAGAAATGCTTAAATCAAAACTCTACCAAGTCGAACTTGACAAACTATCCAGGCAAAAACAAGAACACCATGCTAATCTAGGCGAAAATGCGTGGGGAAATCATATTCGTTCTTATGTATTGCAACCCTATCAGTTGGTTAAGGATACCAGAACAGGGACACAGACCACAAACGTACAAGACGTACTGAATGGAGGATTGCAAGAGTTTATGGAGTCCGCCCTACTTTTTTCTCATAAACCCTAATGGTTCGGCAAGTTTTAGGTAAACTAAGCGTTACAAAGCTTTCACCATTAAATATTGAGACCACAAACACAATCAAATGTACAAAAAAAGTAAAACTTGTTTTTTAGTCTAAAAAGTAAAAATTGGGAGTAAGAAAAAAAGCACATTTGACCACAAAACGGGTGACAATCCTCTAAACGGTACATGTCAACACAGCATAGCACACAAGCTATACGAGTCACAGTCTAGCCACTAGTAATAGTAACGATATCCTTGACAGAAGTAGTGGAAAAAACGCCACTGGTATCACTGCCGGACCTCTCGGCAGCAACCGTAGCACTAATCTCTTTGCGCTTGGAAATAATACGTGCATATCGAAGTCCGCATGCATTGCAAAGGGTTTTGCGTCCATGTGGTCCACGACGCCACTCGGGACTATGTGTGGTCTCACATGCCTCACACTTGTAGCGGGGAGTGTCAAGAGTAGATCTGTCTTCAAATTCTGTGCGTTTTCTACGTAGTGTACTGGTGGGAGATTTAGCAGTCCATTTGCAGTGTGCCTGCCTTTTAAGTAGCAAAGGATTGGGCTCGTACTTTTGAGACGTATATTCGTAAGGATGCATCTGTGATTTCGAGTAGGGCTTTTGACTAGGGTGTTGAGTATGGTTGGGATATATGCGATGTGAATATGCTTGGGAAGAAACGATGGGCTGCTCATCAAGGTGGGTGTGGTGTGAATTTGGAGGACTATGGCGATAACGCTGTTGCATATTCCAATCATGGGGCTGGTCCTCTATATGGTGGGCAGCATTATGTGAATATGAAGGAGGAAAGTGATTGTAAGGCAAGGCTTCGCAATGTGGAGGTTGATAATGCTGCCGAGGTGGCAGCGGTGATCGATTATCCACATAAGATGGATGTGACATGTGAGCATGCGAATAGGATTGAGACTCTGTTATACTATGATGGTACGATTGAGGATAGTCATCTGAAGCATGGTATTTTCGCGACTCGTATTGATTCGACACTTGGAAACGAGGAGAGTGAGGTGAAAAGTATCTCGAGTCAGACTCGTTTTGATAGTACTCTTCTCTTTGTGGTTGATGTGCTGCCAAGTATGATGGTGATGGCTGAGAGATATGGGGCAAAGAGTTGGAGGAGTATGGATCAGTAGAGTATAACGATGAACGCCTTGTAGATGAAGCCATATTGGTAGGATGAGCCATATGAGAGTGTTTTGATCGAGTGTTTAACTGTGGAGATAGTATTGGTCTTTTCTCGGGTGATAACTGTGAGCGCTGATGGTCCGAGTATGAGTATGCAGGTACACTAGAAAAATGTGAACGGTCAGTTGGAAATGAGACCATGCTATTGGGTCTCTTTGACATGGTTGGATGTGAATTCATCAATTGTTGTGTCGGTTGTGACGAGGGATAAATACAACTGTTTGTATCCATTGTTGATTGTTGTGTCTGAAATCTCGTTTGAGAGGGTGACATGGGAGTGGGCTCACGCATAATAAAGCCTGATGTCGTCTCCGATATTGTGCTCGAGTAATCCGTGCTTTTTGCTGAAACTGGTGGATAGGATTTATAATCAGTTCTTTGAGACATTTCCAGAGAACCATGCCGGTTTTTATCCTCAATGCCAGGCTGAACCAACTCGCTTTGATCCTTATGATATCCACCACTTTCAAATTGTGAAAGCGGGGAGTTGTAAACCCTCCTGACTTTATAAGAAACGTGTTGTTGAGGATAAGAGAAATACGCACGATCAGACAGAGCAGAACTGGATCGAGAAAAATGGTGCTCCATATCAGCATCTATACGAGGTTTTCGAGTTGGCATATCGTGGTGGACAGAAGATGGATAATCAAAAGATTGAGGAGAGTCGTTCATATCAATACCGTTGGTATTGATGGGTCTCAAATCGTCCTTTAAGGAGTTGTAATAATAGTTTCTCTTGTTGGATGTATACGGATCAGCTTGAGTCATGAAGTTAGGAGGACTCTTGAAGTGTTCGAGTGAGGAAGGTCGAGTGTGAGGAAATGGATGATGCCCAGAACCGTGGAGTTGGTGATTTTGTGGGTGCGTTGTGTCAGGAAGTACTTAATCGCAAAATAAGGCGAAGGGAAACCAGGTGCTTGTTACTAACTAGGATCAAGGAACTTTATTGATAAAACTGAGGTAAACATATATGACAAGTATGGTCTATTTATAGACCTCAACAAGAGTACAGCCGTAAAGGGATCGCACAGGTTCTTAGTGAGTTGCGTGTCCCTACGGCGGTCAACATGAGTCCTTAGGGATTCGATCGGTCATAAGGAGGTTAATATCAGTCCTTAGGGTGTTGTGTAACCGCAAGGTAATTAATCTAAGGTCCTCATGGCTGTGATCCTCACATTATCTCCCCTCCAAACGACGACGTCTCTGGAGTCGATACGGTTACTTGGGTTTCGATGCGGTGGTAGTTGCCTGGATACGAGGTAAATCTGAGGTTGGCAACTCAAAACAGGAATCATTGACAAGAAAACGAGGAATAACTGGGAAAACTAGGAGGTTCAATGAAATGTGAATCATTGACAAGAAAACAAGGAATAACTGGGAAAACTAGGAGGTTCAATGAAATGTGAATCATTGACAAGAAAACAAGGAATAACTGGGAAAACTAGGAGGTTCAATGAAATGTGAATCATTGACAAGAAAACAAGGAATAACTGGGAAAACTAGGAAACGAGAACAGGAAACGGGTATGAACAGGATGGAGTTTTACATTGAACAGACTTAGCATGGTGTGTGGGTTTTGCTGGCTGATGCGAGTACAAAGGAGATGTGGAGGGCGTCTGTGTAAAAGAGCCTGTTTCCCCAGAGGTTACTACCACATCAACATCCTTGTCAAGCATACCACGGGCTACATCCACTGCTTCACCCATAACTGTTTTCAAGAGGCAAAGGTGTTGGTTTGGCGAACGACGGATCTGGAACCTGGAGTCGTTCTTCTATTAGGACTTCTGCTAGGGCAGTCATGAGCTCGGTGACCTGGCTGGCCACAATATAAACATAAGCCGAGCTGACGTTGGCGCTTCCTTTCTTGAGTGGATAACGGGCCTCGAACGACTGCGTCAATCTGCATGTCGTTGGACGAGTGCGACTGGAATGTCGTGAGTGAGGGGAACCGTCGATTAGATTGGAACGGGCTTCCGGGGAGTTTTTCATGACGAGGTTTGAAGTTGGGATAAGAACAGGGACAAGGAGTAAACAAGCAGGTGGTTTAGGAAAATATGAGTTTTATCAATGTGTCAGGAAGTACTTAATCGCAAAATAAGGCGAAGGGAAACCAGGTGCTTGTTACTAACTAGGATCAAGGAACTTTATTGATAAAACTGAGGTAAACATATATGACAAGTATGGTCTATTTATAGACCTCAACAAGAGTACAGCCGTAAAGGGATCGCACAGGTTCTTAGTGAGTTGCGTGTCCCTACGGCGGTCAACATGAGTCCTTAGGGATTCGATCGGTCATAAGGAGGTTAATATCAGTCCTTAGGGTGTTGTGTAACCGCAAGGTAATTAATCTAAGGTCCTCATGGCTGTGATCCTCACACGTTGGATGGCTTGAGAAGCTAGGAGGCATATTTATGGTTTTCCCAGCGTGATTATATGAAAAGGGCGGGGTAATTGAGGTACATTGTTGGTGGTAACCAGCATCGAGTGACCCTAAAGTTTGTGATTCTGCGGTTTGAGGACAAAGCATTTCAGACGGACGGCTCATCAATTGAGGGTTATATTCAAATTTTAACTCGGTACATTTTTGTTCAGTGCTGGGTGTTTCATATGAACCAATGACTGATGGTACAAGAGTATGGTTGGACGCAATCTTCTTGTCTGTACTAGGCGAGTTTTGCGATTGAGACAGAACAGACGGCTGAGCTGATGTAGAGGAAGATAAGGACGGGGATCTATGCAGTTTTTGGAATAGGTCTGTGTAAAAGAGCCTGTTTCCCCAGAGGGTACTACCACATCAACATCCTTGTCAAGCATACCACGGGCTACATCCACTGCTTCACCCATAACTGTTTTCAAGAGGCAAAGGTGTTGGTTTGGCGAACGACGGATCTGGAACCTGGAGTCGTTCTTCTATTAGGACTTCTGCTAGGGCAGTCATGAGCTCGGTGACCTGGCTGGCCACAATATAAACATAAGCCGAGCTGACGTTGGCGCTTCCTTTCTTGAGTGGATAACGGGCCTCGAACGACTGCGTCAATCTGCATGTCGTTGGACGAGTGCGACTGGAATGTCGTGAGTGAGGGGAACCGTCGATTAGATTGGAACGGGCTTCCGGGGAGTTTTTCATGACGAGGTTTGAAGTTGTGATAGGAACAGGGACAAGGAGTAAACAAGCAGGTGGTTCAGGAAAATATGAGTTTTATCAATGTGTCAGGAAGTACTTAATCGCAAAATAAGGCGAAGGGAAACCAGGTGCTTGTTACTAACTAGGATCAAGGAACTTTATTGATAAAACTGAGGTAAACATATATGACAAGTATGGTCTATTTATAGACCTCAACAAGAGTACAGCCGTAAAGGGATCGCACAGGTTCTTAGTGAGTTGCGTGTCCCTACGGCGGTCAACATGAGTCCTTAGGGATTCGATCGGTCATAAGGAGGTTAATATCAGTCCTTAGGGTGTTGTGTAACCGCAAGGTAATTAATCTAAGGTCCTCATGGCTGTGATCCTCACACGTTGGATGGCTTGAGAAGCTAGGAGGCATATTTATGGTTTTCCCAGCGTGATTATATGAAAAGGGCGGGGTAATTGAGGTACATTGTTGGTGGTAACCAGCATCGAGTGACCCTAAAGTTTGTGATTCTGCGGTTTGAGGACAAAGCATTTCAGGCGGACGGCTCATCAATTGAGGGTTAGTTTCAAATTTTAACTCGGTACATTTTTGTTCAGTGCTGGGTGTTTCATATGAACCAATGACTGATGGTACAAGAGTATGGTTGGACGCAATCTTCTTGTCTGTACTAGGCGAGTTTTGCGATTGATGCAGAACAGACGGCTGAGCTGATGTAGAGGAAGATAAGGAAGGGGATTTATGCAGTTTTTTGGAATAGGGCTGGTTGTATGAGGGCTGTATATGCGGATCAGAGTTAATACTTGCCACAGATTTTGGATGTGAAAAGACGTGCTTGTGACGAGAATAGGGTGCATCCATATAGTCACAAACAGGGTTAGACACAGCAAGGTATCTGTTGCTGCCCATTGACTGGGAAACCACAAATACGAGCGAGTGGTGGATTAATACACAAGAGCGGATATGCACATGCTTGCATATATTTGATATTTGGGAATTTGGTGATTGTTTTTGTTTATGTGGTGCTTTAGTGGTTCGATGTTCATTTGACGATGACACACCACCAGAGCCCCATTCTGAATCCATCCTTGAAAGCGTAGGTTCAAGCATGGATGAAAATGAAAACGAAACTGGACAGTTGGAGTCATATTCTTTTGGAGTCTGTGAGCCACTTGACTGTATATTGAGGGCTCGCTGAAATTGCTGACTCTCCTCAGACCCAGAAAACTGGTCAAGCAAATTGGGCCCACAAAGGACGGCACTCAAATCAAGACCAAGGTTTTTGGAAAAGTAGTGGTTTGGCATCATGAAGACAGGACTCAGGTCAGATGCATGCAGAATGTGCAATGCCTTTGGTGGACTCTGAGAGTGTGCCAAATCGACATGAGACTGTGAGGATGACAATAGATGGTGAAGTTGTTGAAGAGTATCGTCATGTGTCGGACAATGTCGGCATTCAAATATATTGTGAATAAGAACCAGCAGCAGGTGGTCTGTAGCATGCATCAGAGTGACATTTACATCGATACAAGATGATTGTTGCTCATTAGTGCCAGAATTGGTATATGAGCCAGGCGATGGTTGATTTACAGTCAGTCTCCATCTAAAATAAGTATGCCAAGAGAAAAATATGGTTCGCAACGGGAAAATAGATTAGCCTATACCAATAAAAGTAATGGAGATTAAACTGGATCAAGAACAATCGACATTATTCATTACAATTGACTTTAGCCGACATGACAGCATCGGTAGATCAAGTCAATTGCGACGAAAACATCAGTTATAGGAGTAGCAAGACTAGGAGTTGAATGGTGCTTGACAGTATCAAATTGATCTTTGCATGAGCCGAATTCAAGCTATACTCTTGTAGCATCAACTTGCAAATGAATAGTAAGCCATGTCATGTGAGCTTCTATTGAATTAGCAAAAAGCTCAATGCCTTCAAAAATGCTGCAGCTACTCGACTGCTTTTAAAGATTTCATCCAATCCTTGTACAAGCTTATGGCATCTAGGGATGGTCAATTCAAGCAATACATTGACTTGACTTGAGGGCTTACCTAAACATACTTGGCTGTAATACCTGCTTGGAACTACTTATGCAAAAGCATTCCCAGTCCATGTCAATGGAATCTGAAAATAAATCTGATAACCTTGTGATTTGTGGTAGCTCAGTTGTCTCTTTTAGATCCGAGCTCATATCTGGTCTAATCGCTGAGGATGGATGCGACAGAGCATTGTTAAACTGTTCATGTGTATGATTGTGAAGATGGTGTTTTCGTAAAGACGATGGCTGAGGCGATACTGGCATCCAGTGTTGCAGACTTTCAGAAGCAAGGACTAGTTGTTGAGAATCTGCCCGAACCACACACCAGCCGCAAGATCCGATATTGGTAATGGGGTGAGCCATGTCGTGCATCTGTATGAGCAATGTGGATAGATTCTTATAATGGACCCGGTGGCTATGCTAGCAAGTCGTTTCTTTATAGTCCAGGTGTGAGTTGTAAAAAACGTATGGTATGATTAACCTTGAAGTGACTAGTCGGTTAAATTGGTAATTTGAATCAAGACTGTCGCAAGCTCTAGAGAGGGATACCAGATATCTGCTAGGGGTAGAGATTTTGAAAGGCTACAGGAATGGACAGATATTAAAGTAAGTAATTGGCCAAAATAAGAATATGTCAAGCTAATAAGTTATTATATAAGAATGGAAAACCCATAAAAAGGACAGGTTGAAAAAGATTGAATTTGAATGCTGATTATAAATACATAAAACAAAGCACTCTCAGCTTTTATAGAATGTGCAAGTCAAAAATATTCCGACGAATCGGTAAAGCTACATCAAGTTTACACTAATTCAATACTAGAATAGCTGCTCAGCAATACCACTTTAAAACTGATACAGCATGTGGTATTTCAAGGCCATGTGGATGCGAGTTTTAAGAGATGGATATGGTTGATTGGATTTGCTCTGATACCATTAGCAAATATGACTTGAATTTGCAGCATAGAATGTGATACTCGCGGTTTGCACAAGTATACAGCCATATTCACGTAAATAAAACACTAGTGACAATGTATAATAAACTGCCAGTCTCATGACATGAGTGATGTCATGAGACTAGACAGTATTGTCCCTAGACTCCTTGACAAAGTTTAGTCATCTTTGTGCTCATTTTTGTATTGAAGACGGAGCAAATGTTTACATCACAGTTCCAGTACATCTCACATCCTTGGCACTTGTTTAATCTTCAATTCTTCTTTTCTAGAAACCAAACATTGAGTGATCGACATGGAAAAATAACTGCATTCCTGAGACATACAATCCTTGTTCCCTTGAACTAAAGCGTGGACGTATTTGGGATTAAAACACAATAGTAGGGTTTACAAGGGTTCGATTGAAAACAGTCGAACCCAATATCTGGATTACAATGAACGAGTCTGATGATCGTACAATGTATAGTTATACAAAAAAGGAAAAGGGGAAGAATTGAAACTATGGCTTGATTGTGAGCATCATTGATGGACGCTATACTTGGAAAAATTAGGAGTATCTATGGAAGAAACAGTCAATTCCCAACAAAAAGCGCAACAAATGTTCAACCGTTGTCTATTTCAAAGCAAAATAAAGCCATTGCAGGATAAATACAGGAATTCCGTTTACGTGAATATAGCTGTGAAAAGCAACCACACATGTCGGTGAAAAAGACATTTTAAAACTCAGCAATCCACCAATGTTCAAGTCATCTTGATCCATCCACGATTCAAACAGGATAGATTATCAATATTCACGAACTCATCGAGTTACAGGTTCCATCAACATCAAGGATCGTCAAAAGCAGTGGTGTATTGATGACAAACCACGTGTTAATGGTGATGAACGTTATTAAACACTAAACTCGCGTGTTTAATTTCGGGGATGCTGCGTGCGTCTGTATGTATTATGGGGTAAACTCACCACACATCGTGATGCAGTTCGAAATAGCAAGGGAAGTATAGGAATCCGATGAGCTTGGTGAAAGGTTAGGGGCTTAATGGACACTGACAAACAAGTCAGAAATACTCCCATGAGCTGAGGTATCAATATAGATGATCAGACTCTGATTGGCTAAGGCTGTACTTTGATCCTAAGCATCAAGGGAATATACTTACAAAAATCATGATTGTATGATTAAAATAGATGGCTTTGCCAAGTGAATTAAGCGAGTGTTTTAAACCATGGTAATGGGTAGAATATACCATTATTAGGAGAATATAACATTTCAGCTTATTTTCAAGTTCAATTTCAATCCGTCAAGCTCAAAGGTAAACATGATACTGTTGATAGTTGCTAATCAAATAGTAATGGTGCAGTTGGTATGTACCTGTTGAAAATGGCAAATTGTGCTTGCAAAGATGTTGTAAATTCTCTGGAAATACGCTCAATCTATTAGAGCAGCGATTCGGCGAGTAGTAAAATAGAGTGAATTATGACAAACGAAGTTGCTGCTGATGATTTATGGTCAGCACTGTGGTAAAGTAATTGATTCCAGTACAGCGATGTGATACCAATCAATCCAATAAAAGCACAGGTGTTATTGATGGAAACTACCCGAGCAAATACAATTGTGTAGTCAAAAAGTTCAGCTGCGTCAAAACTGTGAATAGACCAAAAGTTATTGGATGATGTTCAAATTGAGTTGAAATAAGCAAATGGGACAAAATAGCACTGGAAATATGGGTTTCAACTCTGTTCAATGATAACAATGCACGGGTAAACTTTAATAATGCTGATCAAAGAAAATCAACAATTGATTGATCAATAAGGGTAGAGCTGATCAGCCAGTATAGCTATGGCACAAAAGCATATGCTTACCTAGAATAAAGCAGATACAAGCAAAACTATAGAACATCAAGCATGTATTAGTAATGAGTTGTCAACAGCTTAATAGAAATTGACCAACAGCCCTTTGACATTGCAAACATAAGCCATTGCTCATAGCCAATGGACATGGACATTTCATGGCAAATAATACAATACTGAATCAATGTCTCTACGGGTTCAGCACGATCCATACTTTACTACTGAGCCAATTTAGACGGATTATTTGTTGAACAGACTTGAATATATCAAATATTGGTCTTGATCAATGCGGTCTTGAATTAAAAGGTAAACAACATACACCATTTCCAGCCTACTTCTAGCAAAGCATTAAAATAGACGTAGGGAGAGCCAAAACAATGGAAATAGGGCGACTTGCTTGTAACAAAAGTTGGTGAAATGTTTTTGAGGGGTGGGTAGAGTCGGGAACAGTATCATAGAGTGGCATTCGCAGCCGGTCTCAAAGTGCCTCGAACCTTTCCGGCAAAACTATCTTGCAGCCGTATTTGCGTGAAATGGAACGCCAAGAATACCCAAATACATAATAAGCAGTCGTCCTATGACATGATTGGTCCCAATCTTACTGTGCAACATTGTGCCATATGGACTCCCTAGCAAAAATTTCTGATCTTGTCATCCGTGCTCATTATTGCATGAAAAAGCCGAACAAGTATTCAATGCAATGCTTGTAGCCGTTTCAATACATTTCGCATCCCTAGCATCTCAACTTTCAACTCTTTCCTCAAACCAAACATTGCGTGGTTGATGTGGAAACAACGGTTCCATTTCTGAAATATGCAGTTTTTGTTATTTTGAACTAAAATATGTCTGATATTGAGGTACAACAAAGCTTTTTCAATGACATGGTTGTGCCAGATATTCCTTGGTTGCGTGTAAACTCAGCATCATCAATAACGAAACCAGTGCCTAGTCGTGGCTTGTAGGTGGAAGTCTTCTTTCCTTGTTTGTTTTTGGTTTGTATCAATGACAACTTGAGCTGGAAACCAGTGCTCAGTACTTTCACATGCTTTGTTGATTGTGTCAGATTCTGGACTTGAATAGGATATTGAAATCATTGCTTAGAAATGGTTTTTGGTGGTGTTTGGCATTCAGAACATATTCTTTTACGTATAGGTCTCTACTTTCATGTTAAAACTTTCTATAATATATTGTCATGAAAACTAACACATCAAACCATTTATTGATGGTCTAACAACCCTGTAGTCACCAATGCGTGGGCAACGAGGCGTTGCGAGCGCACTTGTGGACCTTTACCAAGCGCAAGTGTCTCGGCTAGAAATGTCAATGATTTTGAAAACAACACTACGTCAAAAACCAACACTTGTGAATGACGGACAAGTTGGCAACAAGGAATGTGTCCAGGTTTTTATCAAGATATTCAAACAGTAGATCCAAATATCTGGTATCAATCTGATGATTGTACAATGTATAAGTATGCAAACAAAGGCAAAAGTGCAAGTTCCAAACATCAGCTCAAACCTATGGTTTGGTTGTATGTGTCATGATGATCCTTTTATTTGGAAACTGGCCAAGGAGGCCCTCTATTGTAATATTTTGACTTTCTAAACAACAACATGCAACATTTTCAAACACGCATCTTATTCTAAACAGCATTCTATCCCAGAAGCGACTGTTTACTCGGACATGGTTTACCACCCATTCAGTAAACGACACGAGGATTGAAGCTACACTAGACTGCTCCATATTGTTCATTCCTAAACCCTGCAGAAAATGACTCGGGTACAACAAAAAATGACCTTGAGCAATTACAGACACAAAGAATTGGGTGTTTATTGAGAAACAATCCATCTAGTGGAAAGGCACACAAACATCTAAGCATTGTTTACTTTCGAGCAATGGCTTGTATAAACTCGAGTTTCATTTACGTAAATATGGTTGCAATTGTTTCAAAATAGACTTGGTAGTTGAGATGATGAGTCATAAACACAATACAGCCACCACTTTGAGAATTGTTCGTGAGCACAAGGGCGGATTGAGAATCATACTCAACACGAATAGGTACAACCATGACGGTCTAGATGATATTCACCTAGAGAGTCATGCCCCTGCACCTATCTTGCAATGGCTGTTTCTACTATATTGAAATATACAATAGCTAAATATTGGTTGTGCTTGTTAGAAATTGACATTCTCGATTCAATAGACAACGTTCATATGACGGTCAATTGAATTAGTTTGAATCTTTCCCCCCATTTGGTAGTCATACATTGTACAATCATCATGTTCATTCATTGCAATACAGATATTTGAGTCGACTCTTGTCCATTAAACCCATATTTGTCGTACCCTAACAACTCAAATAAGTTCTAGTTCAAAAAAACAAGGACCACACATTTCAGAAATGCAACAGTTTCTATATCGACCACTAATAGAAGGAGCGTTGAATAGTGTCAGAACTACTAAATGAGTGATGTCTTGCATTGGATCGAGAGAATCGACCAACTGGTCGTGTCAACAAGTCAGACTATTATCATAATATAAAAGATACAATTGATAAATGTTCCTGTCGTTTCAATCAACAATCCATCGACATGAGAGAACGCCAAGAGTGATGGTTGCTGGCAATTTCTCGTTTTCATGTCCAATTCACAAATCATTTTATAACCAGAATGCTTACTGCCAAACTGGCTGGTCATACCGAACCTGTATCAGCACTCACACAATCATTGCAATCGTCCATTATTGCAAGTGCTTCTGAGGATTCCACAGTCAGAATATGGGATATGACTACCCTTCAAACAACAAAAATACTGTATCCACCTACTCCACAATCTAGTCCTACAACTAAAGTCGATTCATGCAGTGACGATGATGAATGCGATGGACCAGTTGCTATTAGCTTTGCTGCCAATTCACCCAATTTAATATTTGCTGCTGTTGGATCGTCACTTGTCCTCGGCGATTTGCGATTAAATGGTGCGTCAAATTCATGGCAGCAACTCTTTAGTGCTTCAGAAAACATCAATAAAGTATGAATGCAAACTTTACCAAGTGATTGTTCAACATAGCTTAACCACAGTTATACTAAATTGCATTTGTCAATGAATTCTAACCTTTTATACCTCTATACTAGATTTCTGTTCATTCAAATGAACTGCACGTTGGTTTGGCTGATGATTCTGGCAGTGTCTATGTGTTGGAAACAGCAAAAATACCTTATAAACCATATCGAAAGATTCGTAAAGTGCATACCAATGTAAATCAATGTTCTGTAGTATTTATTGAAAAATGCATCTACGTTCATACCGATTCAAAGAATGTGTCAATGATTAAACTAATCTGCAAACCATATCTAATCTATAGATTGCGACCAGCGTGTGCTTTCGACCAAAAAAGTCATGGGAGATATGGTCTGGCAGTATGGACTATTCTGTAATCCAATGGGATTATTCGCGTGGTTCAGTGCTCAATCATTATCAACATGGTATCAAAGATTGATGTCTGGATCTTTAACGACATTGTATCCACTAACCATCTCATTGTGTTCTTGCAATTTTATATTTATAGACCCTCTCGTTCAGCCTAATCTGGCAGCTGATAATCCATTTGCACAAGGTTTGAATCCTCCATTTGTATATGATACCGCCTTCAATTCAATGGGAAATACATTTATTGCAGCTTTGGGAGATGGATCCATTGACTGGATGCATTGGCCAACCACAAAGTCACAGTCTCGATCAACTCGCAAAACAAAGCAAGCTCAATATATTCAAGAGAGATTAGTCGGACCCCATGCATGGTCAGTCACATCTGTTTCATTTGAAAATGGAAACGATAAACCAAATATGTTTGTTTCTGGATGTATTGATGGGTCTGTTGCGTTGTGGAATTTACAAAACGCTACCAATGGATTTACAACTGATGAGCTAGAAACACATGCACCCAAATCTGTTAATTCTGTGAAAATGCCATACAAAGTGAACACCGTGATGATGCTGGAAAGTACCAATGAGTCAAAAGCTGTTGTAGCTGTAGGAGGAACTGCCAAGCATAAAGCCAAACATGCCATGGATGCATTTGCAATTGATCTAGTCTCGCTTGCATATTGAGCCGTCAAGATTAGGAATTGTTGAATAAATGATTTATTTGTTGATTGGAAATCAAAGTACTATGAATGTAAAACACATTGATTGACCAATCGATTCAAGTCTGATAGTATGCTGGATATACAAGCCGGATTGGCTCACCACCAACCAAAAATAAAGTCACAAGGTGACAGCATATATATAGACTGGAAAAGTGGTATTTAAAAACTCGCATAGTGCATATTCATAACCGTAGGAATATTCTGCACATGCTGTACTGTAATAACAAATGGATCAACAGGGTGAAAAATATATAGCACATTTGTCCTAATACATTCAAAAAACAAAATAAGTACACAATACCAATACACACTTTATATTCTGAAACCTACTTTTCACCACGAGTTCGTCCATTAGCCATAGCATTAGTCTCCAGCTTGAATTTTAGCTTTCCCGTGCGTCGACAATAGAATTTGCAAGGAAACTCCAAAGAGGACCGCATACGATCGCAGCTATTCAAAACTTTATCGTCATACGAAAACAGGTCGTGATCAAAATAGGCAGAGGTGGAAAACGATTGCGGATTAATGGGCAGTGAAGAAAGAATACGACGAATAGCTTGTGATGCACCTCCATTGCGAGCTTTGCGTACCGCATACATGTGTTTGCGCGCCAGATCGCGAGCATATTCATTGTTACAATAAAGAGTCGCATACTGTTGCATGGCATGAATGGTTACTCCTTCGTCGCTATCAGGATTGAAAGGATCTATCTCAGATTGAGAGGTAGGACAGTCAGGAACCGGCGTGGATCGAGTAGACATGTATGATGTGCCGTGAAAACATCCCCATTTCTCAAAAATATCAAACAGCTCTTGAGAACTGTTCTCGTATACACCAAGAATTTTGGTTGTCGAAAGTGAGTATACTACAAAAAACGAGATATATCCCGTGGCTTGCTCCATTAACTAAGTAATTCAGTCAGATTTTGGTCAATTCTATACCACTGGATACACGAAAATCACTCTAGATAGTAAAAATAGTACCTGACCAGTGACATTATCGATTGATCCAAGTTTCAAGAGAATATGATCACAGTCTAGAAATTGCATGCGCCACATCACCAATGAAGCAAAATATGGATACGTAAGATGAAAATGACCAATAGCCCTAATCATACAGCAGTCATTACATGCAGTATAGTGAGATGATTGAGTAAACACGGACCAAAATACTTTACACTAAAATGCATAATCCTTACCCTGGAACTTTACTAGCAATGGCACGACGATACAGGTATGCTAGCATACGATGCTTGATGCCACTCAACGGATACATTGATTCAGCTTGGCTATCATAGCCTTCGTTAGTTTCCACGGAAGAGTTTTGCCGTAAATAATTATCTCGAGTGTATCCTAAAGTAACAGGACGCTGAGTAATAGGGGGAACAAATGGACGAGAAGAATGCTGAGTTGCTATTCCATGTGAGGTGTGCACCATTGGCCGAAGTGTTGGTCTGCGAGAAAGTGAATGAATTGTGTTTTCAAAACCAAGATTACTGAAATTTCGGTTTCCAGTATTAATTGGCATACTATCAGTGCTACCTTGCTCGTTACGTCTATCCAGATTATTGTCAGAAGTTGTAGCTACAGCGGACGCTGTAGCGGTGGGACTAGTTACTGCACGGGTTTGTAATGTATTAGCATCCGTCTGAGAAGTAATTTGTCTGGAAAGTGCATGCAAAGAGGTAGATGGTGGCTGTAATGTAGATCGGATAGGACCTCCGCCAGCTAATGGCGACCTAGGAACATTGAATCCCGTATCAATATCTACGCGACGTCCAACGATATTGTATAGTCGTGTAGCTGGAAGAGGGGCGTATGGATGAGCAGACTGGCGAACTTCAAAAGCAGTGTCTTGCGGAAATTGCTCTACCCACGACGAATTCCATTGTGATGGATCCTGTTGTTGAATATGTGGAAGTAAACGACCTGGCTGTGATTGAGACGAAAGGCGAGAATGTGGAAGAGGATATGGATGTGCCCGAAAATGTAGATTTGGATTTGATATAGGAGATACTGGCAACAGACGAGCAGTTTCACTAGCTGTTATTGGCAAGGTAAATGAAACACGCCTTGGTCGAAATGGTTGATGACTGGGATTTTGTTGCTGTTGCAAAGGTTCAGGCTGTAATACACGCCCCGACTCACTTTCCCTTTGCACAGGCAGCGGCACATCTGCAATTGTCTGTGTCCCTCCAATATTGGTATCATGTGTAGATACAGCATTGAAAGTTGGTGGAACTAATGGCGCGGTGCTACCAGCATTCTCCAATGTATCTATTAAACCCACTTGCTCAAACTGTGATAGAGATGAAGAAGATACTGTACGTCTATGAGGTGTATGAGGATTGAACCTGACAGCTCGGTGGGGTGTATCCAACTGAGCTTGACGTTTTTTTGCTTCCCTTCTAAATTCTGCCTCCACTTCATTTTGGCGTTCAATGATGGCTTCATCATCTTTCTGTGTATAGTATCCAACCGTGTTGATATGAATAAGCTTTCCAGCATCCTAAATGCAAAAGCAGTTGAGTAATTGTACATATAGCCTTTAAATCAGATCTTTGCTTCAGTTCTATCTCAAAACAACTGACCAAGAGTTTTAAAATATATACACATTGGTTTTGAACCGAAGTAATCCCAAGAAGATTTTGATGCAAATGTACACCCGCATGATTTGTCAGGTAAATATAATCATTCTTGAACGTCATTTTATCCGTTACCTATTGAGTACACACCAAAACAAATCAGTACAGTAGTTATGCAATCTAGCAAGCATCAAAACCATTATTGATGATCATAGATATAACTACAGAATATCTCACCTCGCCTGTATGAATATCCATTACCCAAAATGTAATATGATCCAAATTTCGAATACAGTCAAGTGATGATGGAAATCTCCGACCTTCTTCGACAGTATTTCCAGATGGAACAGCAGAAGATAAAATCATGTGTCGTCCATTGGGTGCAAACAGGCAAAAGTCTTTACATAACATCTCACTCCCACTCGTCAATAATTTTTCAAAATGTATTTTAAACACTGTGTCAAACTCTAACTGGTGATCTTCGGCAGGATATACAGGATCTGATGGCATCCCTGATTTTGTATGTGACGGTTTAAAATGTGATTTGGACGAGTTTAGTGAAATGCATATGGATGGATCAACAGTGCTCGAGTTGGTAGGTTTTGACTGTGTAGTTGATGCTAGATAGGATCCGTCTGCAAGTGAAGTTTCCAACGAATCATTGCTCCGTGCAGTATTACCGGAAACAAATGGAAGGGGCTGAGAAGCAACATGTAAAGCCAAAGGTTGAGCATAGATAGTAGAATTGTGCGGTATATGATATCTGTAGATTCGAACTGCATGCGTGTTTTTTGAAAAACAGATCAAATACTACAATAATCCATCAATAATAATATTAATAAATAAATTTGGAGTTACAATATGACAATTATTCCCAAAGCTTTGATTTAAAGTGAAATGCATGCATCAAAAACGGCCGTATTCGTGTAAAATGGTGCACTAGATAAGAACAGAGCGAATGCTCACATACAGTCCCAGTAAATCCTAAACTCTCAAAAGTTGCTCAATCTTCAACCCCTTTTATCCAAACCAAGCATGATGGCATGGAAACAACAAACATGGGTTTGATTGTATCATATAATGTACATTTGCAAGAGTCGAAAATGTCAATTTGTAGTAAGGAAGCGCAACGATGCTTAAACAGTCAATTTCAAAACAAAGAGGCAATCACTGCAAAACAAGTTCCGTTTTACGGTGAATACGGCAGTGAAAACAATTCTTTTGGCCCTTCAAAGCAACGGTATAAAATCAAGAATGTCATAGTAACATACATGCCCATCTACGGTAAACTTTCGAACGACAAACTCTGGCTGCTGGTTGACCTTGAATGCAGTTTTGTTTGGATACACGTTGGAATAGAAGCGATTGTTGTCCAATGTGAGTCTTCCAGGCAGATGCGGACACATTTCTCTTTCCTGAAGCCGCTTAAGAAGATTCAAACTGCGAGTAGATAGGTTTGGATGCGGAGAGATGTTTATGCTACATGGCTGAGAAAGTGGCATGGCTGAGTTTAAGATGCTGCCCATGTCTAACGAATGGTCGTTGAATGGACGAGTTACTGAAGATGAAGTCGAAGCATGGTTTGACGACTGTCTCCAATCTAAATGATAGGTTGAATGGCTATTATGCATGATGACTTTAGCAATGCAACAGTAGTAAAATGCTGGGCTTTGATATCGTCTATAACACTGCGGATTGGACAAGTTTGTCGAATTTCGCCAAAACTTCAAAATTGCTTGGTTACGACTGCATTCACAAAGTGCAAATTGTCGTCTGGAATAATGACCAACAATTCGTTCCTTTTGCTGGAATCGACACTCCATTAAACACAAACTATTCTCCACTTTTGGTAATCGTACATTACACGATCGACAAGTCTGAAACCAGATATGTTTATCGTTTATTGCTATTACAAATTCCAATTCTTTGGAAATTTTCCTGGTTGGGGAATCTCAACCCATTTCTTCCGATCCTTTCTACGTCCATGTCCACGAATGCTAATGGGATGCGCCTCAGTGTTAAACACATACTCGTTCAAATCAACCGTTTGATCATCCGAAAATAGCAAAAATAAATATTTAAGCGTCTCGGCAATAAAAAAAGATTCTTGACGGTCAAAAGGTTTGCCCGAGTTGTTTAACCCGTGATATCCTACATCATCTTTACAGCTTGTTTCCAATGCCTAATCAATGGATAGAGCTGTAAGCATCAAATGTAGAATCATAGCTATAGGTTGAATCAAGATTTCCTAAATCATCTATACATACTCACCTGAACAATGTTCCATCCCCATTCACGATACTTTGGGTCATGGGTATACCTCCACATGTAGAATATAGATTCTACCGCCTCTGGCCTAAATATACATAAGCACAATCACTAAATCGTAGTATATGGATCCAAATAAAAACCTTTAATGCATGCATCTAAATCGACTACTACCGTAAATGATATGCATGACCGGAAGCATAAAGATCGCCTTCTTGACTCACTCGAGTCCATTCTCCACCCAGTTTTGTGGCACGTATCTGATACGAATCATAACATGTGCGTGTAAGTTCAGCAGCAATTTCTATGTAGCGATCCGAGTGTTCATTTTTTAGCGTAACCGCACCACTGGCAAACATCCCTCCTGCAAAACAAGACTGCCATTTTAAAATTGTAAATGCAGCCCAATGTAATTCCATCAAAAATAGTATGCATCAGCATTCTAAATCCATTTCATGCATTTGGATACACAAACAGCAATGCAAATAGCATACCAAGTGGTGGAATTCAAGTCCTAATACATCGTTATGTCTTTCAGGGATATATGCTCGACCATTTGGTGTTCTGACTAGTATATACTTCTCAATAGCCTATTTATCAAACAAAATAATCAGTCGCTTCATAACAAATAGGAAAACACTACTCAATCAATACTTTTTACCGAAGCCGCAGCGTCATATAGTTTGCGATATCGTATATCCCCAGTTGAAATCCACAGTTTGTTTAAATACTCATAGTAAGAGTCTGTTTCAGCTGAAACTGAATAATCTCGAGATATTTCTCTAAGGAATTGTGAATTAAGTGTCTTTGGAGCAAGTCCCTCGATACTTGTTTTGATTGACGTAATCTGCTCCAATGCACGCAATGCCTAAAATAAATAACAAGTTAGACACGCATCCAATAATCCAAATCACTAAAATGAAATACTTGCATTGTTGGCATATTTGGGATTGCCAGTGACATCAGTCAAATACTGGTATTCTAGTTGCTGTGATCCAGCAGAAGCCAAACTTATGTAGCCTGGACTCGACCGACGACTATAACCCATCGTCATATCAAAGATAGATTGAGCTTAGTACTAACAACATATTATCCTATAGTATATACAAGGTCAAATCAAACAATAACACACGCTGCGGGCCAAACCATATTATTAGGGATTCCTGTAGGGGTACGAAACGAACTTTCCAAACGATCTGCCAAGTCCACTGCAATATCCAATAGTCGCTTGTCTTGTTCTAAATCATACGCTGATATTAATCCGCCCAAAGCGCGAATTACAGTTTCAAAGACATTGATGTCTGTTTTGATGACATCGTAATTAAGCTGGTTTATCACAAGTGACTTTGCCTCGTTGAACTCTTGAGACAATCCAACAATATACAAAGTTGACATGGAGTCAAGTGGGGTAAAGAGAGTCGAGGAAAGGTAAGTCCAGTTCATGTTAGATTTTGATAAGGGCTTAAGCTCATCAGATCCCTGTGCATATTTCATGTATCCAGACCATGCATGTCGAATCATCTGTTTATATATGCATTTTATAGAAAACTCGCAACAATCAGACAACTGGCTTGATTTCCACATGTGTTGATATTCTAAATGGATAATACTTTACGTTGCGAATAAACTCTTGTTTTTCAGGATCAGCTTCTCCAGCAACTGGGTTCCCATTTAAATCTTTCAATTGATAGCGATAGATATTATCAATAACTAAAGCCAAAACATGACACTTTGATGATCAGTTTTCAAATCTAAATAAAACGACTCCACTCAACGAATCGGCATTAGATCTTTAAACACACCTGGAGAGTAACTTGAGATTTCAGAAGTATTATCAACTAATTTTTTTTGGTTAGTTCTTTGTGGTGGACTTTTTGGAGTTTCATGATATTGGCTGCCCTCCATTTTAGACAGTATTTCTGCAGTTGGAAGTAGTGTGAAGGTGGAATAGGTGAATAGTGTGTACATGGCGTACAAAATGGCAACAGAAAGCATCAATACCCTTGCTCGTCGAGAGAGTTTAGGCGTGCAAAACATTGTCTTTTGCTACCACAGTAGTTGATATCAGGAACCAACTTGGTAGAACGTCAGCAGCTTCCGCAAACAGCAAAGCCAACCCATCACGTGATACACTCCATGAAGTGCCAATACTAACTGGCTATAAATCATCGAGATCTGCATGACTTTAGTCTATTCATTTACGCAGCAATTTCCACGATCCTTTGCTCGACTTTTTACTAATATCTGAAGTCTTTTCAATCCGATGGCCATCTTCTACCATCCGACGCAAGATCCGAGCAACATTACTTGCATCGTCAAATCCACAATGCTCTCTCCCTTCAAACACCATTCCAAGTCCCTTGAGCATCCCATCCAAATTAGTTTTTTCCTTTCCATACAACTCGGTATACAAGCTGCGGATATTGATGATCTTGCGTGTATAAAATCTGGTCGTTGAATATTGGAGTAGATGAACTCCTTTTCAAGGAAATCGCGCAAGTCCCATGGTCCATCGGTAACAAAAATCACCTCGTCTGTCAATGCGCTCACTCCGTCTGTCGATGGATACAAGGATAGCATCCACTCGAGAAAATCTGCAAACACTACAGTGAAAGGATCGGCAGCATCCGTTTGTTCTTGGGTAATTCCAGTAAGCTGTTTACAAAAGTCGGTCAGAGTGGGATGCAAGATTGGCCTGCAATATCTCCGAAATGTCGAAACCTATTGATTGACAATTTAAATCAACATGTAAAAAGTAAGCCGAGTAATTCTGCAATGCATTGACCATCAATTGGCTACCGTTTCCATTGTGGTTCCATCGATCGCAATGACTGGAAACTCGATCACCTCGCTGGCAAAATCAAATCCAGAATCAGAATCACAAGTAGCTTCAATATCACAGACCAGATAAATCCTGTAGGGTTGAAACCTATTGATTATATTTATCAGACCGAGTCGAGCAAGAGTTTAGCAATGCAGGACCAGTCAGTGTTAGAATAATCCAATACGATGTTGATACTAGCCTGGCGTCTCGTTCTGCCTTGACAGCTGCTTCCTGAGTTGCCTTCAACCTAGACTTGGCCTGTTTTAGCTGCTTGATGAGATTGGACCTTGAAACCTTGCCAATCGTAGACGATACATCAATACCGAGCTCCAGCAACTGTTTTTGCAGATCATTCATGCGAGATGCTGCGTCTTGTTCATTCTGGCTTGCAGCAGTTTCTGTATTTGTATCTTGGTTCATTCGTGGGAATCAATGTGCAGTGACGTCAGCAATCAAGCAATGACTGATTTCAAACTAATAGGTAATGTATATAAAATGAATCGAGTTAAATTCAGAATGCTTATAAATCTGATCAAATATTGTATTTACAAACTATAATTTTACTTAGACAATAATATGTAGTCAGAGTAGTACTGGATTCGACGATACATTTACAACTGTATTCACGTAGAATGGAGCACCAAACAATGATGTTAGAATACATGACGCTTTTATGAAATGATAATTCACACCAAACTTGCTCGTCACATGTGTATTCTGAGTTCTGACAAAGTTTATTGGGGGTTCTCATTTATTTTTGCATAAACTGAACAAATGTTCACATTACAGTTGCAGTGGATTGCGTAATGTATGACTGTCAAATGACGAGAAACGCTAGATTCAAATGGATTGTTTCAGTTCAAACTAAAGTTTAATTTGTATACGTCATATAATGGTCATTGTCTTGAAAAATGTCAGTTTCTAGTAGAAAACCTCAACGAATATTCAACCATTTTGTATATCAAAAAACCCCAAAAAGTAATTGTTGCAAAATAAATATAATTGTTTTATTTAATAAATTTATATAATATTTCCTCAAAGTAGCGGGATGTTCAATCATCCAACAACTACTGAGGGTTTAGACCCGGTCAGTACTGACCGGTGTCTTCAAGCCTATTACAGGCGCTTCGAACCAAGTGATTTGGTTGTGACCAACCGAGTCAACTTGGTGCAATAGCGCCTGCACGCTTTGCGGACTGTTTCCCGAGATATCTCGGGAAACTCGTGCAAAGGCGGGAAAGCCTTTGCACTAACAAGGTTAGCAAAGTTGACCGAAACCACTTTGCTTTTGTGGTTAGCGCAGGGTTTGGCCCCCTTGCTGACCTTGTTATTACCAACCAAAACCGCCGAGTATAGGCGGTTTTGTACAGCGACTTCTTGCGAAGTGCTGGGTTGGACTGGGGTTGCATTGCAACCTACAACTAATCAAAGTAATAATAATAACATCAAGTTGGTTAAAATAATGTTTATATTGGAATAATAAAGTTTAAATTAAAATGGCAAATTGAGTTTTCAACATTGATCTCAAATATGCCATAATTCAAAATGAATATCAAAAGTATACGAATATAATATATCAATCTTACCATTTACAGTCTTGTTGTCATGAGTATCCATAACAGTTGGTGTGGATTCAATGATTTCCTCAACAGTTGATGATGTGGATTCGATAATTTCCTCGATAACAGTTGATGATGTGGATTCGACAATTTCCTCGATAACAGTTGATGATGTGGATTCAATAATTTCTTCGACAACCGTTGATGGAATGATTTCAACCTCGGATGATTGTTTTTCAAGACTACTGAACGTATAATTCAGTAGCCCATCTGAAGAGCTTCGTCGCATAATGGTATTTGGAGGTTTTGGAACCTCAGTGTTTTCCTATATCAAATAATGTTTTAGTCATTAAATTCAATCAAGTCTACCAACACGTAGCTTTTAACACTAGATGTTGGTCGATACATTTATAATATTTACAACAAGATGATTCAACTCACCTGCTCAAGGGCCAAGCTTTCTTCAAGGAGATCCAACTCCTTGGAGTCCTCTGCTATGGCTAGCAGAGTCCTCAAAGCGGCCAGTATAATTGGATTGCTATCTAAATACAAGCCAATGGCTTGGTACTCCTGTGGAGTAATCTTTGAATAAATAATAGTTTACAGTGCTATACAATAACAACACTATAAAAATACAATAATACAATCAAGACATTCAAATTATACATATTAAATATAGTGCATCATTATAAAATACCTTTTCAAGAATTATAGGAATTACTTGGTACATTTAATAGCAATAAGGTGTGTTTGTAGAGACTAGTGATAAAGTAATAAAAGTAAACCTATAAAAACAATCACCACTGAGTGTTAATAAACCAAAACCATAATATATGCATGCACTAGTATCCATAACCCAATCAGGCTAGATTAAGCTAGTGTTACGATAGATAACACGACTTGCAATCTTGCTGATGATCCTAGTAAATACATATTGTAGTAGTAACTTGCCTTGTGTTTAAACTATACAGACCAGACCAGAACAGGAAATGACCACACTTTATAAGCTCGAGCAAATCCTGCAAGACAATACAACTCTATTGACAACTTTAACAAACAATCATGACCTCAACAGTATCCAAACATTAGATATTTGTTGATAATGGTCATGATTATTCAAAATCTGACTGTTAACAATAAGCTTTTGCAAAAACATTACAGATTTATCAATCAACTATTTGAAAAACACAATACAATGTGCTTATGAGCTAAGCCATTTTCACCACCACAATGGATACGTTAATAGTCTGCAAAAACGTTTACAAAAATGCAGATACGCCATTGCACTTTCGGAGCTAAAGATTAGCATAATGGCGAATCAAGTTGCATTGAATGGCATTGCATTACATTGCATTGAATGGCGAATCAAATTACATTGAATGGCATTGCATTACATACACCCGATTACAATCAAAACAATCCAATACTCAATCTAAACAATACTCGATAATGTCGAGATATGTTCGAGCCGAGTGCTAAATACAAAATCGTGAAATCCAAACATGTATAATGCAATTCACAAACTACATTATTTTACTCTCGACCATTTTAAACCTTGTTGGCGATCCAACATCTACTCACTCAAACCTATACACCTAAATACGACGCAATCTTCATATACATATCATTGATGGCTAAACAGAAACAATACGCAACACAAAAAACAATTAAAACAACATATTTTGATTTTCGGATATACACAACCCATTGCAACGTTTGTTTGAATGGAACAAGATTGAACGGCTATTTCTTTATTGAGGTGATACTTGGTAGATACATGATTGATAAACTGCCAGAGTATTAAAATAGACACACATGTCTGATTCGTAACATACTCATATTATCACTCCATTCCGATATCTACACTCGAGCAGTATCACCTGTTTGATAAAGAAATACATTATTATAAAGATTGGTGTTAGTTCAATATCTATAATCAACACCACAGGCCAAATCCAGATTCATATGTCGTTGAGCATCATACAATGTATTGCTTACAGTTTCCAACGCCAACTGGTAATCATCTTTTTATAATAAATACCAGTTGCAATGTCCTGTCTGCTACTGCATCGAGTCTAGTCGCAACTAAAGAATAAGTGGTGCATATTACAATATAAACATGACAGTTCAAATACTCACCATTCAGAGTAACTGGACTGAACATGATTACACAACAGCATGCTGTGTACCAAGTCGTTACTGGATAAACAACCATCAGTTAGGTGGAGACCATTGTCATTCACCAGATTAGATGGCACATTCAGACAGTAGCAATATATCCACCAACAAGTATGTGTGCTATTTACACTATTAATAGCTTATACACTTTGTGACTACACTTGAAAGTACAGTGTGTTGACCATTGCAATTACTTTACTGTAATACAACAGTTTGATAATCAAACTGGATAGTTCAAGTTGGATAAAAGCCAATACGCGCTTGAATGTCGAAACAAGTCGAGAAATCCTTGAACCAAGTCACAGTACAGTTGTTGGATTGAGCATCTTGTGCTGTTTATGTCAAAAATGGTTGTTAGGCAAGTATAACAATATTATACTGGCAGCTGTATTGACGTAAAATGGAACTTGTATCGCAGTGACTAGTTTATTTTGGAATAAGCAAATGGTTGAATTGTTGCAACTTTCTATCAGATTGTCATGTTGAATTATTTAAATACGTTTGCGTCTAGTTCAAGAAACCAATCTTGGCAATACAACTACACATGCCAATCACACAGTGTTTAGTTTGTAGGAAAAGATAGCTGAATATTAAACAAATGCCGAGAATGCGGAATGTATTAGAACAGTAATCTGAGCATTCGCTTAGTTTATTCAAAAACGAGTTTGCCCAATTTTTGCATCGAAATCGGAGTCTTGAAACTTGAACTCGACTTACCGAATAGGCAAGATAGTGTTTTATTGACTATGGAACATCAACCTCTACTCCAGCCGGATAGCTCTCAGACTCATACTACTGCATCAGTAAATCATATACCAAATATATGGAGTATTGACAGACGCATTGCTCTCACTTTGCGCAAGTATATTCCACTGCTTGCTGGCATTTTGATTCCACTCGCCACATTCCTAAATATGCAATCGGTATCAGTGCCTGGATGGACTTGTGAGAGACTCCTAAACCTACATAGTGGTATATCCCTATGCAATGCTCCTGGAAATGAGAATTGCTATCAGCATGCATCGGATTCAACTGTTTTACGACAGTCGCTCAGCCTGGCTATTTTATTGTCTTACGATTCACTAGACCATGCTTCGGATGATAATGAGCAGCAACTTTCAAAGCATGATTCAAAACCTCAACCTATTGCAACCCATTTAGTAGCCAATGATAGCAATCGTGCCATTTTATATCCAGATATGTCGCAGCAGAAATCATATCCAGTGTGTAGACGATCGCAACTGATTGTTGTGTTGTCATTTGTTTCATTTGGGTTTGGGATTCTGGCCACTACATGTCTGTTTGTGCGGATGCTTGAAAAAAAGATCAAATGGATGACAAGGTTGATCATTTTGGGAGGATGGGGACAAGGTAGTTGATTGCCACTACAATTGTATGATTTTCAAGATGGATGCTTTTGATCTTAAATTCAAGTCTAGTCTGCTCAACTATACGTGATTTTAAGTATATTTAGACTTTTGAACTCATGTGATTTATACTTGGTTTTATAGGCATTGTTGCATTGATAACGTGGCTTGTATTTTACTCTTTTTCACCAAAAGGCATTTCAGAGAGCTATACAGCAGCAGTCACATACAATGCAGTGTCAGCACTAGTATCCCTTATTTCAGCAATTCTATTCACCTTTCACCATCACACTAATCAGCAACAGTGGTATAGCTACACTTTATATGAGCTATCTCTTTCACAACGCCAGCTCACCCTTTTAATGATCACGTCCCTATTTTATCTGACTCTCTCCGCTTCGGTGTATAGCTGGATTGAGGATTGGGTGTTTGATGACTCTTTATATTGGGCTATTTCATCATTTTCTACGATAGGATTTGGAGATTTTGCACCAAAAACAACAATTGGAAAAGTTTTGTTACCACCCGTTACGGTTGTTGGCATCGGTCTAGTTGGTGGCTTGATTTGGTCTTTGCGTGATGTTGTTTTGGAATTGCTCACATTACAACTTGCTTCGCAATATTCAAAGTGGTTGGATGCTGCGCAAGGAGAGAGTTTATCTGCTGGTGGAGGGTTTAGATCTAGTGCTGCAAACAGAGATTTTGGAGCGCAGATGCACAGCTCCGCTCATGGAGACAAGCTTACTTCAAGACATTTGTCATTGACAGATACGGTTAGAGCTAGACTTCGTTCATTTTCATGGTCTGGAACTGGCTCTGCAAATGAATTGACACCGCTGACTTCCCAATCTGATGAAAACCATTACAGCAAAACACACCCTGAAAGTGAAATGAGTGCCACAGTAAGCTCATCGAGTTTACCCGACTCTTCTTTAAACGAAGAAATGTTGGGAAAAGGTAGTGGTCAAGAAACACGAACCGCAGCATATATTCAAGATGTTGGTGGTCTAGCTAATCCACTGTCTAAGCTGAATTTAAAAGCAACAGCCTCTGCTTCTGCATTGGATATAGGCAACTCACATGCTACTTCGAAATTTTTGCTTCCATCAGCTGCATGGTCAGATCCGATTGGTGCGGCATCAGGTAGAACTCGACTTGCTTGTACCAACTCTGCCTCTGCGGTCGACACATTTCCCAATCTTGCTGAATACATGGACTCTCCATCTCCATATCACTACCGCCATAGCGCGTCTTCTCATCATAATCATCTCACGAATCCTTCCTCTAATCGGCAACAGACCATGACAATCTCTAGATCGCACTACCTTCCACAAGTCACTATTGTAGCAAACGGACCTTTAGCTCATCAAAAAGTTCAAGATGCAACTCGCGAGGCTCTTCAGTTTCAAATACTAATTGGTGCCATCCTTGTTCTTCTCAACATTCTTCTTTTTGGTTTAGCATTTTCATATATTGAGCAATGGCAGGTTTGGGAAGGGTTTTACTTTGCCTATTGTGCCATTACGACAATTGGGTACGGCGATTACACTTTAAAGTCTAATATGGGCAGATCATTGTTTATTTGGTATATCTTTTTGGCAATTGGAAGCTCGACTTATCTAGGTTCGATGGTGGCTGAATTGGCTATGGATCAGTGGACTGTTACTGTTGACCATATTGAGAAGCGGGTTGGTCGATATGAACGGAAAGCTCAATTGAAGAAAATATATGGCGTAAATGGAAGTAAGCGCAGAAAGGGTGAGAGCAGCAATGGCAGTTCCAATCAAACTGGGTACAATATGAAATCTATATCTGATGGTACGAAAGAATTAAGCAACTTTCGCTTTGAGCGTGCTAGTGGGAGTGCTTTTGGCACAGAGGATTTACTTGACAATGACCACAGCAACGCTAAACTTACTCGGTCGCCTACTGAGTTGGCTACAGATTTAGATCACTGGTCCAAGGATAATCACGCAAAAAGCGCTTGTGAATATCCTATGAAGATCGATGCTCATGCTTCTACCACTGCAATGGCTGAACAGCATTCGACCCATCATCTTGCATTGAATAAATGCTTGTACCATGAATCCAAATATAACAAGGCGCAAGATCGTTGCAGTCAAAACTACTGTGAACACGGTCATACTCTTGAATGTAGCAGTAGTAGTGATAGTGGTGCAAGCAACAGTTTTGAAAAACCATCCAATGGCGTAAATTGCATACCCTCCTCCGCATCAATTGATACACCACATCAGCTAAAATCACAAGACAGTCAAAGTATGCATGAGCACTCCATCACTATGCAGTCGTGGTTACCGACATCGATGGTAAGCATCCATCCACCACTCGCATACTCTATGGACAATTCAAGTAATGGAAGTATTTCGCGTCGTCGGGATAATGGATCTAGATTGCACGAACGAAATATAAGCACAAGCAATATAGGAACAGGTCTATTTTATACACCGTCCATTTTATCTAGATCGTTCCTAGCTAGGCCGGGAAACGGAAGTCTTGATAGCGGTGGAAATGGATTGGCTGGCGCGATTGGGATTGCTAGGAGCCAACCAAGAGTAAAGAGGTCCAAGGATGATGGTATAGGAAGCAATAATGATCATTCTAGCGGATTTAACTTGCCGTCAACTTCTATTCAATCTGAGCAGTCATTTGGTCGTCGTGGATCGAGACTAAGATTTGTAAACCAAACCCAAGCGTCAATTTCTGATCATACAGTACAAGACTCAGTTCCTTGAATGAGCCGTTTACTATTAGCTTAAACCACTAGTATTTTTTAAAATGCATTCATTTCAATTTTTAATACTTTCAACTATTTGGGATAGTAGGTGGCTGATTTAAATTCATTGTCATTTGAATCTTTATAAGACAACATATAATACTCGTCATTTGAATTTAAGCGTCTAGTTCCAACTCATCAGTGGAAACATTATTATTGTTTATTTTGTGACAAACATCCATCGGTTTTCGATTAGCATGCCAAGTTTTTTATAGGTGAGTCCACGAAACCGAGCAGGATCATTAGCAGATTTAGGTATTTGCGGAACAGAAACAATACACGACACACCACAATCAGAAATCACTGGCGAGCACTCATCACACGGCAGCTTTGTGGTTACCATGATTGATCCAGTTGTAAGTGGTACACCTGGTGGATTACGCCATAACAATGCATTCTGTTCTATTGTGAAAATGCAACGAAAAAGTTGAAGCATGTATAAATCACACAAATAGTGAATCCATGAACATATAGTGATGAATCATACCTGCATGAAGAATATAGTCATATTTGAGTTCTTCATCCTCGACTGAATCGTCTGCACCAGCTTGGGGATAATCAAAATGTGCTGCCTAATATCTCCATCATAATAGCAGCCAATGAACAACAATGAGCAAGTTCCGCGTGAAATCAAATGCACACTATTTAGCAAATGACATTACCTTTTTGGGATATCCATTCCATCCAACTGAAATATAATTGAATTCAGAATCAATCAAAACAGCGCCAACACCAACTTTCGGGTCGTCAGTTCTCTTGGAAGCAATATGTGCCAAAACCATAGCGTGTCGGGCCAATGTAGCCGTGTATGAATCCATTTCCCTCCAAGTAGTTTTTTTCTTAATGCTAGGTTTTTGATTGGCATTACTTTTTTCAGTCATCAGATCATGCAAGACATGTCGAGTCAGCATGGCCGTTGCATAACGGTATTGTAACAGACTGATTGCTCTAACTGTACGATTGAACTTGGCAACAATCATTGGCCATCGGGCTGATAATGCAGGTGTGTGTCCAACCGACATGTCTAGTTTCCAAGTGAGTGGATGGTCATCTGCATCGCAATTATCCTCTACCAATTCATGCTTCTTGTCATTGTTGTAGGCATGCGTTGGTGAAAGATCTGTTGCAGCTGTGGGCATTACATAAGAATCGGACATGCTTGTGCTCAAAGATTCAGGTTTAAGACTTGAGTGATCCCATTGTGGAATATACAAGGACATGGCTATAGGATTGTTGCTCACTAGCCTATGCACTGAATGATAATTGGAATCGCGCTTTTCAGATATAGCAGTAGTGAGTGTTGATGGTCTTCGTATTGGTGATGAGCCTGATCTGTGTCGCGAGGTTGAAGGTGGTGGGTATGGAGATGATGGAGATAGGCATGCTAGTGGTACGTTTTTATGAGGTGTTGGTTGTTGTTGATGTGACTCATAATATCCAAAAGATTGACTATCCAAGACGCTGTTGTCACGAGTAGGTACTGCACTCTGGCTGAAAACTGTTGTTGAATCAGTATCACTAGACAATTTTGTGCGTTTCAGTTGATGTATAGAGTCATCATTATGATCTACGTGTGTATTCCCAGTTTTGCTGTCAGCAGGCATTACCAATGGTAACGAGGAAACTTCGGGAGATAAAAACCCTTGATCAATCTGCATTTCCAATTCACAATGGGCAGCCCAGTCCATCTCCCAATTTTGAGCTGGAAAATAGTATATTTTGCGAATTCCTGCCTGCACCATCACTTTGGTACACATGGCACAAGGAAACCTGGACACGTATCTAGGTAAAAATCAAATCTCAAGCGTTAAATACTAGGTTCCTGAAATAAGTATTGCAATGACACCTTATACTGGATCTTGGCGAGTTTATGGCACGAAGCCTGCATTTGAAACCTACATATCGCATCCTCGAGGGTCGTAAGGACATCGAAGGATAGCACGAACAATAGCATGTGCTTCGCCCGTACTTTCCAATGCAATGACTCTGTCCCTTGTGTCTACCAACACACACCCAGTAGGCCGTACAACCTGTGAAGTTTTTGGAGTGGATGAGCAAGGATAGAGTTCCATCCACAAAGCCATCAGCATGAACGTATCGCGTGAGCGGATTCGAGTTGCAGCATTACAAACAAGAAGAGCATCATCTTGTGTCGTGATGCTAGAATTGATAGCAGCTGAAGACTGAGTATTTAGCGCTATATTTTCAGAAGAAGCAATGGCGGGCTTGATTTCCATTGATTTCTGCTATTAGATTCACTTACAGCTGTATTCACAAATGGAAAACTAAACAAGGTGTCTAATAAACAGCCAGCCTCCTGAAATAGTGGGGTTCAGTTGCCACCAAATTTACTTGTTCTCGACCACAACCAAATCTATCCAATAAATAGAAACTACACTGTATTTATTTTTCAAACTGGATAAAGCAATCACAAAATATCCCGAATCTCATCTGCTTTTAGCACAAAGTCTGTGGATATGGTTTCTGCATTCATGTGAACCCACAATCGATCCAAATCATAAAACTGGCGAGATTCAGGAGTAAAGCAATTGAGTATGACATTGCCCAAATCCAGTGCCATCCAGTCTTCGCTATCTGCACCTTGAATCTGCAAATGGTCTGGCATTGAGCCATTTACGGGTGTGACCGACTTTACCTATTGTTTTCAAGAAAAGGGATGATAATTAGTCAAATGACACATTACATCAAGCCACGCTTAAAATTACCTTGCGACGAACAGCATCCGCAATGGAATAGATCTGCTTGGTAGATCTTCCCTCTACGATAACCATATAGTCTGTATGATCGCACTTGCTCCTTACATCGATAACAGTCAGATTAAAACCACGCTCATCTGCAATCACTTTGAGCACATGTGACAGCAGTACACTGGACTCTACAGATCCGTCCATTGCCATTGCTATCTCATCTTCAGATTCGATAATTCCCTCCTGTCGATTATGTGCAGCAGCCACACCACGTAGCCATCTTGGCACAGTTGGAGCGGCTTGTGTATACTCTTCAGGAATGTTATGGGCTACGTCCACATACCAATCATCTTCCTTTCTCGTAGTTTTGACAGCATCTTCCAACTTTGCAGTATCACTCGTATCTTCATTTGGCCCATCTTGAACATGCTCGTGACGTAGATCATACAGTTCCATAACAGCTGCTCGTCGTCGCGCTATATCATCTAGTTTAGCACTTGAAGGCTGAATATCCATCTCAATCTGTTGCTCAATGTATTTATCCAGCGCATCTGCAGCTGCATGACGGGGATCGGCCGACGCCTTTTGTTTCTGTTCATGTTTGGATTGCGAGTTAAAAACTGTTTCAGCAAGTTTACCTAGTTTACCGAATTGAGTCGAGTCAACAAAAGTCTTGTTCTTGCCTTCTGTTACTTGTTGAGAGTGTGGTTCTGGTTGCGGCTGAATTACATCTGAATTAGCTAATGGCGCAGACTGATCACTATGAGCATCGATATCCTTCAAATCTGCACTTTCCAAAGCATTGGAATCTGATAAAGATTTCTTCCGGGGCTGTTTTCCATCATACATGGATGCAAGGACATCGTCTGCAAGCTGATCTAATTCATGAGCTGTTTTGAGCTGCTCCATGGTCAGCCGTTCTGCTGATTGGCTAGATTGTAGTGGAGGTATTTCGTCACTGCCATATTCAAGTTTATAATTAATTGGAACTACCATTGGTCGGCGAATACGAGCATAAAGCAGGATACCTGCATGCAAGTGTTTGTATTGAGGTTGACGGTTGATGTTTTGGCATAATGGGAACCTGGCTGCGCGTATAATGGATTCTGGTGAATGTTGAAGCAGAGATTGGCTGCAAGTAGTTCTACTGGTAGTAACTAAAGTATATGTATTCTTGAGCATAAGTGAGTGCATAGGAGTATGTTTTGATTGGTATGATTAGTGCTACAGTCTAGTTGAAAAGCAGCTCTGAAAAATAAAAACTTTTTGGAGAATCAAAACGCTTGATTGACAACCACCAAATTACAACCGTATTCATGTAAAATGAAACATTAAATAGGGGTGCTTCACTATAATAAACAGTCATGTCTGATTGGTGCCAATCTTACTGGGAAATATTGTTTTTAAACTCTTTTTAGTTTGCTGGTCTTTATGCTTATTCTTGTACAAATATAATGAATGTCTACATTCCTGTTCTAATACATTCCACATCCTTGACATCCTTTCAATCCCCAACTTTCCCTTTCTTCAAATCAAACACTCGGTAATCATCATGGAAACAACAGTTGCATTCCTGAGATATGTTGAACTAGAGCGCGAAAGTATCTGATATTAGAATACAACAGAGCTGTATAAAAAAGGCAATCCATTTCCAATAACAACGAATATGTAACCACTGTTTATTCCAGAGAAAAATACAAGTTCCGACTGCAAGATCAACACAAGTTTCATTTTACGTGAATACGGCTGTAAAATAAATTGCCAAAATATACAGTTTTTGCCCTATAGTTTTAGCTGGGGTTATTCAACATTGACGAAACAGCAGCACATGGATAGAAAAGCATCCATTCTCCTGCTAGTGGCATTCATCATTCTCGTGGTGTTGTTCACCACTAGACCAGATGAAAGCTCTTTCCACCGTCAAATTTCTTTACAAGTCAAACAAAGCAGCGGCATGCTATGGGGAATTTTATCACTTGATGGACTAGTCAAGGCTGCAACAGGTGAATTTCAAATGCACTTAAACCCAATCATGCCATGAGACTGGCTGTTTATTGTGCATTTCGACTCTGTCATTTAGTGCTCCATTTTACGTGAATACAGCTGTAACTCTTGATAGTCAAACTTGCCATGTAGTAACTCTGATTTTATTGAAACTGGAATTTTGGGAATGAGATCAGCCAAACTGATGAGATATGACAGCTATGGGATTTTTGCAACCATGTCTTTGGCTCACGGACGGTATGGACGCTCTCCTCTGAGATCGCTGGGTCTGTTTTACACATGGTTTGATGTGTCAGGGCTCACGGTATTGGATCACTTACCTCGACCAGATGCGCTCGTTCATTGGGTGGATCAAATTCGATCGAATTGTCCGGCATGTAGGCGAGGTATTTTTAAATATGTCATGTATTGGATTACTCATGTCTGGTTGTTTACATGATTTGTATTGGATACTATAATGCGATTTATTTGTAGGAATATGCATGCCAATGTCCATTTCACCGCCTACATCAAGCTGCGTGTGTATACCCGGTTACATTGGAGTTAGATGCGACAGACCCCTTCCCAACACAGTAACAATATGGGACGCTTATTTTGAAACTCCGCTTGCAGTTGCAGCTGCTCTCCACCCACAACTATTGGTGCCTATATCGGACTGGTCGCGATCACCAACAGTATTTGGAATTCCACTATTGTATCTATCTCGAATTCACGCTAGTCTACCGTCTTATATGCGTGCATGGGGTCTGGTCAATATCTCGCAATACATTGGTATTCTTGAGGTTCTGGTAGGCACCATGATTATCGTGCATCTGTTATGGCAATTTGTACGATTAACAGGATCACTCAGATTGGAGATGAGTCTTGTGGAAACATTTACAACATCCTATAACCAGATCGTGCACAAATATCAAATTGCAACTGTTTTTATGAGTCAATTGAGTCACGTATCACTGGTTCATCTGGCGTTCAATGTATATGGATTTGCAAACTATGCTCCACTAGTGTATCAAGAGATTGGCCATTCTAGATTTGTTGTGTTTGTGGGTGCTACAATGGTATTGGTGGTAGGGACGTCAGTTGGGCTAGCATGGGCAATGAGCGGACATCGCGTAGGTTGGAAACTCGAGAGGGTTTCAGGTGCTAGCGGATGGATCATGGCGCTACGACTTTTTTCATTGCTGGAAAAGATAATAGTTTTCAAACATGGTACTAAATTGCAGTGGTGGAATAAGAACAATGTTGGAGTGATGCAACAGCTGATGCGGATGGATTGGGGCGAAGTGTGGGCTATAGTTGGTCCCCAATTGGTTATGGATGTAATTGTTGGAGGGAATCTTGGGGCTGACGTGGGAGGGATAGTTGCTGCTGTTGCCTACTGTTGGTATAGTTTAGCTTTTGTTTGACGAATAAATTGATTGATTAATTTTAGAATATTATAATTGAAACTCGAACTATGTGATGTGTTGCAAAAATGACATGTCTAGTAGATTGGTAGTGAGAGTGCAGCAAGTATATCAAGAGTCTAGTTGGCTTTCCATTTAAAATGTATAGTTTAATCTAGATGTCAAGCAAGAAGGTTGACAAGGCATTACAATCATATTCACGTAAAATGGGTCACTAAATGAGGCGATCAGATTACATGGTAAACTACCAATCTCATGACATGATAATTCCCACAAAGTTTACTGAGCCACACTATGGGGTTGACATGGAAATAACAGTTGCATTCCTGTAATTTTGTTCTTTTCAAACAGAGCGCGAACGTATCTGCGAGTTTTTAAAATACAATACAGTTGTAGTTGAAAACTAGTTTGTATCATATGATGGGCAATGTATATATTGAATTGGGAATATCAATTGATGTCAGTTTGTAATAGCAAAGCACAATGAATATCCAAATATTGCTTATTTCAAAGCAAAATAGTGATTGCAGGTAAATACAAGTGGTCCGTTTTGCGTAAACACGGATGTAATATAATTGGTCGAGTCTGTTCCGGGCTTTAGCTTGGCGGCGTAATCGCAAATTGTCTTGTTCGAAATTTTCCGAGATGCCCAAAGAATATAAATTATATCTCAAATCCTATTACAGCCATATTCATGTGAAATGAAACATGTATGTCTGTCTTGCAGTCAATGCCTCCATTTGGGAATGCACGATAGTTTGATATTCACTGTTTCTCTATTACAAACCGACTCGCTGCTCTTTCAACTGACACTCTCTAGTTTAATAAACATAATGCATTATGTTTACTATAGTTTTGAACTGGAACTACTTTATCTTAATACCAGATACGTTCGCGTTCTAGTTTAAAACCCAAAGATTGCATATCTCGGAAATACAACTATACATGCCAATGTCAGTGTTTGGGAGAAACGAGAGTTGAATATTAAATAGATGTGGAATGCAGTAGAACAATGGTGAGCATTTGCACAGCTGTTTTATATACAAACGACTCGGAGGAAAAGGACCAATAAGCTAAAAAGGTTAGAGAACACAATGTTGTCTAGTGAATTGGGTGGGAACTGGCACCAACCAAACACGAGATTGGCTGTTTATGCATTTTGGCACCCTTATTTAGTGTTCCATTTTATGTGAGCACGGTTGTAAATTTGGATAAAGCTCTTTTCTTTCAACATTATTGGAATACCAGGACCCACACTAACTAAATAGCACACCTTACAACTTCTATCGCTTTAAACATCAGCTATTCAGCAATGCTCTCTTCTACTTTCAGCTCTGCTCATATGTCTGCACTACGGCTGGCAAAGTCTGCAACCTCTTTGCTTATACCTTCCTCATGCTCTGCATCAACCACACTAATTCCTGGCTTCCAACGGCAATCTGCTGCTGTTCTTTTGCAAGCTTCTCGAGCCTATCATGAAAAGGTATGCCCTTTGGAACTTTGTCCTCCTACTTGTGTTTCTTTTAAATTATCTCCATTCTTTCTATAACTGTATTCATGTAGAGTAAATCGCTCCTGTATTTATCTTGCAGTGACTGTTTCTATTATATTTGGAATAGAGAATGATTAAATGTCTGTTGCTTTTTTCTATTGCAAAATGACATTCTCAATCCTTGTTCCAATATAACGTCCATTATATGGTACAATCAAACCATAGTTTTGAATCTGCCCTTTTCATTTTTGGCATGACCATACATTGTACGATCACTAGATTCATATGCTGCAATCCAGATACTGGTTTGATTGTTTTCAAACTCTACAAACCCCTTTGCTGTATCCTAGAATATTGGATACGTTCGCGTTCTAGTTAAAGCAGAGATTGCATATCTCGGGAATGCAACTACTGTTTCCATGCCAATCGCCCAATGCCAGTGTTTGGAGGAAACGAGAGTTGGAGAGAACAAGTGTGGAGTGCATTAGAACAGTGATGCGAACATTTGTTCAGCTGCTTCATACAAAAATGGGCATGAGTACCAATGAACTAGAGAGTTCAAAGGATACAATGCTGTTCAGTAGGATTGGCTATTTATCATGTATTTTGGCACCTCTAGTGGTTCATTTTACGCGAGTACAGCTGTACATCAAGATACCATATTTTTGCTAATTCAATTCATATCAAACCTGTGGAATGCTTTAGGTTCTTGAACATTACAGCAAGCCTCGAAATGTAGGCTCCATGTCCAAGACTGATCCAAATGTCGGCACAGGTCTCGTTGGTGCTCCCGCATGCGGTGATGTGATGAAACTCCAAATTCTTGTTGACGACGTCACTGGCGAGATCAAGGATGTCAAGTTTAAAACTTTTGGCTGTGGATCTGCCATTGCGTCTTCATCTTTTGCAACCGAAAAAATCAAGGGCATGTCGGTCTGGGATGCTGCTAAAGTGAAAAACACTGACATTGCCAAGGAGTTGTCTCTGCCTCCAGTTAAACTGCATTGCTCAATGCTTGCTGAAGATGCAATCAAATCTGCTGTCAAAGATTGGGAGTCGAAGCGACAGGCTCGCAAAGCTTTGGGGCATATGGCGTCTGCCATCTCTTAAATTCTGAACCAACACTTTGATGGCTTACTCATCATTGGCCTTTAAACATCGAGCTCTTGTTTTTACCTCTTACTGGACTGAATTTACATGCATTTATCAGAGTAGTTTTACCATTTTATTGGAATAGCAAATATATCTTATTTGAACTATTGGGTTTTGATCTGGCTTTTGCAGTTGTAATGAGATCACTAAGTTTTCGAATGATTTTGTCTTTAAATGAATCTCTTGGATAGTGGTAACTAGAATACATTTGAAAACAGTTTATTTCGTTGTATTCGAAACTGGCGGGTTATTTAAATCCCATTTGCTAAATGTATTCCAGAATATATTATGCACAACCCAATTGTCCGCCATTAACCTATCTGTGCCATAAGCCCTGAAATGCCACTTATTCCCATTTACTTTGCCGTTTGTAATTCAACCAAGGGTGACACAGCCATTCACTCAATGTGTGTTAGTTTAATTCATTCTCGCAAGTCTTTATTTCTGGTCTTTGCTCGAGACTTTACATGTTGTTCTAGACCTGATCGCTTGCATATTAAACTGTATGGTTGCATTTGACTTGTGAAACTCTGTTGTGTTATTACTCTTGATTCAATTGGAATTCAGCCGCCTGTTTTCAGCATTGATGCGTGAATATCACCAATATGTGTTGTCTCGACAACTTTATCATATGTGGCAAGTGAATCGGCATCCAATTAAGCAAAACTCATTGATGGTTCCTACCTATTCAAGTCGAAGAATAGGTGTTTAATTACAATGTGTGGCTTGATTGTCAGCTTATCATTGCCACCATTCTAATCGGATGAATCTGCTGCATCGTTCCAAAAGGTTTAGCATACGTCTAAATGATCATCTAATGCAGAATGACCTGCAAAAATATTTATCCGATACAGTTGATCTCTCGAGTTATTGCTTGGCAATACAGCTGAGACGAGAGGGTTTGACTAGAACAAGATACGGCTGAGTAACTTGAAGTACTGCTATCCAAGCTCTTTGGTCCTCGAGTTGAATGACGAACTCGCTTTCATCTTGCATTGTATAGGGTTGCTGTCCATGTTTAGAATCGCCGTGTTTTCCGGATGTTCTAAAGCAACGAGACTGCACACTCTGCATTCGACTCGAACTGAGTAGACTCCAGAGTGAATTACAGTTCATGTCAATGCACTTTGGAGTATTGCTTTATTCCCGCCACCATCTTGCTATTGGTTTTGCTTTGAACTGTTGATCTAATTGTTTTTAAATCTTTGCTAATTCGGTCGAATTTCTTTTTGCTTGACCAGCAGGATTTCACCGTCTTTTTTCTTTATTGCTTTACAACCCACCGACTGGATTGATACGACATCGATACTCGTATTTCTGGGTATAGTCAGAGTCGAAACATACAATTTAAACTGATCAACTGGAAGCAGTAGAGATCGCTGATACTTTAAAGCCCTCATTTACCAACAATTGACAATTTGCCACCACGGAGATTCAGTCGTCCAGCATGCCTTTAACTACACCCACACCACTTCACTTTAGCCCGCCTCATACCGAAAATAACACACTGGCCAAGGATCCATATTTACAGTCATTGGACATTGTATCTTTGATAAATTTGACAGACATCAAGGTAAGAAACCACTGACCAGGCCTCATGAGCAACTTGCATATCTTTTGCTTGCCATTCGTTTTTCATGCCTAAAATCCATCATCACGACCCGATGGATTTTGTGGCCAAAACGCCGCCTCAATTATACGAATGGTATGAAATTATAATGGGTGTGTGCTGCGAGCTTCTGCTTCAATCTGGCAAGTGGAATGAGTGTGTCATTGTGGCCCTTGAGATTAAGCTTGCCGTTTTGTGCGGTGAGGGCATACCGCATACAATTTCATCCCTTGAATTGTAGTTTACTGTGCTGCAATGAAAGGTCCCGGTTATAGGCTGTCACTTTGACTTTTATGCTCATTGGGCTTCATTTGGCTGTTACAAGCCTCAAGAAACTGCTGGCATGCGTAATATACGGCATGTGAATTGGCAGTTTCTTATGAAGACGCTTAAAACTCTTACGAACATTGTCCTTTCCAAGCAGTCACATACTTTCTCTGGCTGTAACTCGTTAAACTCTTACTAATCTTTTGACTCATTTGGTGCACACTTTAAATTTGTCGAATTACCAATGCTACAGATTATGGCCAATTTGGAAAATGTGCCTGCCGGGTCATACATTCCTTGTTATACACTGCGCTTCCATGCTCATCCACACACCTACAATCTACACGACCTGACGCTCTCTGCATCCGCTGTCGCTTCTAGTATAGACATGCTGCTTTTGTTGGCATCTACCGCTACTTCACTGGATGTGGACTCGACTACATGTGACACTACAAAAACAGTTGAGTAATAATTAAACATCATAAATTGCTGTTCCATGATAGATTGTAACTGGTTTGAAAAATGTTGCTTGTCCTATGGGAGTTTCTTGAATATGGAATACTCCACAACAAAACTTCACAAGATGCCGCGCACCATTGTGCAGTATGAGCTATTTAATCATTCGGCATATAAACTCGCTAACATCCACCAATATATAATAGTTTCAGGCAGATCCTATCACATCCTCTGTTACGCTTGGGTCTACCTATCTTAGTCATTGCGGCGGTCCATGGACTGAAGTACGCGGTCCTGCTTTCACTGTTGCATCTTCCAATTCAAACGTAGTTGTTCGAATTGAAACTTCTCCATATGAATGCTCAGAATCTGATAAATCTTCTGCTATACTTCGATCCGGTCTTGATATCGGCTGTGTTTGTCTCATGCCAACCTCTCCCTCTCAAAAGCCATTGTATGTGCAACCTTTGGTCAACTTTTCCAGTCCATCTCAGACGGTCAAATCAGAACACCATAGTGAATCTAATGTGAATGCATTTGATTCACCTCTCAGCAACTACATCCCGCAGAAAAGCTTTAACAGCATTTTCAATCTTTTGAATGCCGATGAAGAGTCCTCTAGACTTGAAAAAATATATACTGCCCATGAACCAAGCGTACAACACGGTACTTCTAGCAATAGCAGCTCCACAGATCACATTAGTACTGACAGAGATTTTGTTCGAAAAGTATCGGATCCGTCACTATTTGAATCCCCATTGATGCAGAAAAAACACTACAATGATGGCTATGATGATGAACATGAAAACGCCAGCACAACGTCCACAGATCCCGACTATACAGGAAAGATATATGAATGCCCAGAACCAACGTGCGATCGTACTTTTTCTCGTCCTTTTAATCTCAAAGCACATGTCATTATTCATAATCCTGTTCGTAATCGCGCTCATAAATGCACCTCGTGCGAGCTATCTTTTTGCCGATCTCAGGATCTTATAAGGCACATGCAGATTCACAACCGCACCATCACATACAGCTGTCCAGGTTGCAAAAAAGTGTTTTCTCGCAAAGACGCGCTACGTCGACATCAGCGCAGTAGTCGCAACTGTCCTTTGTTCAACGATCAGCCTGCTCGCCGAAGTCGCAAAGGACACGAAGATGCCATCCCAAATACGGTTCATTCTACACCCAAACCCTCACCCTCTTTCAAACAGCATAATTCGCCTTCCACCACTGCATCATCTGACGATGTTCTACATGCGCTTCCTACTCCAAGAGAGCCTTTAAAGATTGTACAGTATGTGCCTGGCTACACTCGATCATATGCACGTCGCTTTAAAACGGGAAGCAATGATAGCGGTATTGGATCTATGCATTGTTCACATTCACCTGCTTCTCCACCTAGTACGGACTGTGAAAGCTCGAGCACCAGTCGCATTGGTGTATCATCTAGCAGCACTACTGTTTGTTACGAACCCAATCTTCAGATGTCATATGCTTCTGAAATGACTGCTTAAAGTTTCTACGTCTTGCCATAATTTTTAAACTAATACTGAATATATTTCTTTATTTTCCCTTTTTGATTCTCAGGCTTGCTAATTCCTGCTTTTGCATCCTACCACATTAATTTCGCTTTTGTACGAGTAATAATATTCCAATATATGTCTGTTTTTGATCTAATAGTCTTACTTTTGCATCAATCACTATTTTATCTTTAATTAATATCTAAAGTGTCGAATTTAAACTATTATTTTAAAAAAAATCTGGTTTAGAATTGTTTTGAATACTTGAATATCGACGCTCTGGATACTATCACTCTTTTTACATTGGGCAATACATTGTAATTTACACATTTTCATTTAGTTGAATTCAAAACTAGCAATCACAAAACCTGCGACTAAAGTTAGCCTAGGTGTAGTAGTGCATTATTTTAACAAGGCAGCTAATCGCGTATGTGTGCTCTGGGTAGATCGCTGAAGATCTGGTCCTCGCCCAAATTAGGGAATGCTGGTAAGGATCCACCAGTAGTAGTTGTGGTAGTGCGACGTGTTCGGGTGGTGCGCTTGGTAGTTTTGCCCTTGCGGCCAGTCTTTCCTCTACCGCCGGTTTTGCCTCTGCCACCAGTCTTGCCTCTGCCACCAGTCTTGCCTCTACCGCCAGTTTTGCCAGTACCACCGGTTCTGCTTGTACCGCCAGTTTTGCCTTTACCACCGGTTTTGCTTGTACCGCCAGTTTTGCCTTTACCACCGGTTTTGCCAGTACCGCCAGTTTTGCCTTTACCACCGGTTTTGCCAGTACCGCCAGTTTTGCTTGTACCGCCAGTTTGGTCTGTACCACCAGTACTTGGAGGTGGAGTATTTTGGCCAGTTCCACCACAGTCGGCAGGAACCGAAAAGTCGTCAGATCCACTTTGAGCATTTGGCCCAAGACCACGCTTAGAAAACCCTTTGATAATCTCGCATCTGTTGGCACCTTGGTAAAACTGTTGATCAGCTTGAATAATCGCATCTCTTGCATCAATAAAAGTGGGATTGCAAGGCTGGAGCATTAGTCCACCCATAACAAGTTGGATTGCCATGATGTTTCCTGCCTTTTGTTTTGCATCAAACAAGTTGGCGCTGAATCCATTTTTGTTGACCAAGTTCCAGTAGACCTCCCAGAGCATGGTTGTCCAAACCTCGCCAATATCGTGCACCTCATTGCGACGCGCAAGATCGCTGTTCTTTAGGGGATTGACTCCAGTATCGGTAGAGTAAGGATGGCTTCGAATACCCTTTTGAGAATTGGTGACAAAAGTACCAACAGCGACAGGGTCTACATCTTTGTCGCCTTGTTTGGCAATAATGGCAAGAGCAATCCAGTCGCTCCATCCTTCACCCATGCCACCCGACTCGGTAGTTTGAAGACATTGTGCAGTAGCAGATCCACCAGTAAGACGACTAGAAACACCGTGCATATACTCGTGCAGAGGAATAGGGTTCTCAAGACCACCATCACGACCGGGATCGGTGCTGGTGAATCTGAACATGTTCATTATACCGTTGCTTCCATCAGGAGGAGTCAAAAAGTTGGCATTGTTAGTACCGCTAGTGCTGAGAGCGTTGACCTTGACAGCATCACCACCTTGGCCACCTTTGTTAAAGTTGTCGTCTTGAAAGTTGCCATTTTTCTCGGTGAAACCATATTGATAGGTGATGTCATGCATAAGATTGCAAATATAGAACAGATTGACAGTACTGGTTTGGGAATTTTCGGGGGTGCGGGGATCAGATTGTGCATCAAAATTGGTGTTGAAAATGCCACCTTGGCCAACACCTTGTTGACCATTGTTTTCGTCAGCAACATTGGCATTATTTCCAGAGGTTCGACTACCATCGGTCCAGCCATTGGGAGAAGAACCAGCGAATTCGGGATCTTTAGCAATGCTGAAACCCTGATCTGGACTAGTATTAGGAACCTGTATGACGTTGTAGGAGAACTTGGTGGAGTAGTCGACCACATTGACAAGTTCACCAGTTTCGGCGTTAACCCAAACAGTAAACCATTTTGTGACAGGATCATCTCGCAGTCCAAATTTGTAAGCGAAAGCAATGTTCCCACCAGGAAGATGCACATATTCCATGGAGGATCCAGACTCCTTGAAATAAGGAACGCCAACAGCATCGACGGCAGTCTTGATTGCATCTTCAAGAGATACTTTCGCGATAGGCTGAGCCATGTTTAAACTACGCTTTTCCAGGTGCTGGTCAGTACCAAAAGACGAAGAGTAGCTAACAATTTTACCATTGGAGTCGATATGAACAGAAAATTGATGGTTACTGATGGGAACACCCTTTTCGGTTATTTGAGTGCCGTAAAGATGGTTTGTGCCAGACGCATCGGTAAAATTGTTGGAAATTTTGAATTCAGATTTGCCCAGACCAAATTTGTCAGCAAGAAACTCGGTCAGAGTTTGATCTTCCGGTGCCAAAGATGAACTGCCTGTAAGACTTGCACCTGGAGATTGCAGCGACAGATGCTTAGAAAAAGAACTTGGGAAATAATAAGGAAGATTCTTTTCAATTGATCTGCGGTAGATGTAAGAAAGATTGGGATTTGGAGCAGAAGCGATTGGAGTAGCCGAAATAGCAGCAGCAAGTGCCGCTACAATGGCAATGGTAGAAATAAACATAGTTTTTTATAGATATTGACAAGATATGTGAAAATATGTAAAAATGATGCTTTATCAAAAAGCAGAAATTACAAACAGAGTTAGCGAAGAGATTGGAGAGGTATGATTTGAATAGTTTGACGAGACTTTGACATGTATTTATATCCAGAGCAGTTCCTGGCTTCAAATTAGAAACACGGCAACTTACGTGTTATTCATCACATGTGCATTGACGGCCGAGTTTGAAATAGGTTTATGTTGGTAAAACAGCCGATTTGTAAGAGTCCTACAAATGTGAAACTAGAAAAATGACTAGTAATAGATGGCATCTGGTGCCACAATTTCAACTAAATTATGACCAAAATATGACGTTTTCAGCTCGAAAAAAGTAGGGGCGTCGTTTTACTATGAGTTGAAGTCATATTTGCATTGTCGGTCATTTCACTGCTATAGCATCATTTATTTGCACATGTATCTAATGATTTACATTTATTTCTTGGATAATCTAATATATTTTTAGGGCTGATTGTATTAAATCAATGTATCGTCTGTAGACTAGGTTTACTATTCATAGACAGCTGAATATTTTTGGCACTATTAATGACCGCAGTTTTGGAAATAGGCTACTATGTATTCATAATGCACCCATTTAGAGGAATCAAACATTTCCCGTGTCAGGACTCTAATGATAATGGCGTTTAATTCATCAGGGTTTGTTTGTATCTTAAGGCCAAGTAAACTCATATACTTGATTGTATGTTTATGTTTTGACCATAATGTAAAGTATTTGGTCGAGACTTGATTTGGTGAAATATGCTTATTGTTTCAAATAAAGTTTCATTTATTGTTTCACTCGTCACAATTCATGTGGATGGTTTCTAGTGGATGTTCTAAACATATGCATGACTTCATCCATATAGATAATATCGACTTTCTCACCACTTTATTATTGAGGCTTGTTTGATAAACACTTTGATGGCATCAAACAGGCTGCTGTTGCAGCATTTCAACAACATGAATTACTTGTTTGTAAAATTACACGACTGTTTTAGGTTAATGTAAACTCTAGGTGGAATGGTGAGGCTCTTGTATCAAAACAAGACCAATATCAAATGAGGAACATTGCCATATATCCAATCAAGAGGAGAAGCATGTCGTTCAGCAAACTGGTTGTGGTATAGGAGACACGAGCGATGGATGCTCCTGCCATTCAAATCAAATCAGTCTACCGATATTTGCAAAACACTGATGGTTGCTGACAATTTCTTATTCTTCTCTTTGCTTTCATTCCTTTTGTTATCAGTCATAACTACTCTCGATTTACCGATAGTTTAGATGCGGATATCATAACCGTATTTACATAAAATGAACCACTCATGCTTATCCTGCACTATTTTTGCTTTGAAATAAGCAACGGTCGAATATTAATTGTGCCTTCCTACTACAGATTGACTTTAATCAGCATTCCCAATTCAATAGATGCAATGCCCATCATGATACAATCAAACTATATTTTAAACCTCCTCTCTCCTGATCTGATAATCGTACATTATACCATCACTATATTCATCCATTTCAATTCTGATATTGAATTCAGTTGTTTTGATGTTGCCAACCAAACTCGATAACCTTTGTTGTATCCTAAAATTACATTCGCGCTTTAGCTTAAAGACTACATGTTTCAGGAATGTAGCGGCTATTCCCATGCCGGCCACTAGGAGAAATGCCAATAAGTTTTGTTTGAAAGTTTTAAAAAAAACATTACCCAGTAAATTTAGTAGAAATTGGTGCCAGTCGTTTCATGAGACTGGCATCCTTACCAAGTTACATTTTATGTGGATGTGGTGGTAAATCATCAATTTATTTTTTTGTTTTTCAACAATTGAATCCAAAAGGTTGGAGCATTTGTACTACTATATTATACAGCCTATATATTCAGAAACCATTGCGTACTAGAAATGCCAGCCTACCTTGTTCGATTTGCCCAATACCATGTTCAGTTTCGTCTTGCAGGTGAACCTACTAATGCACATTGGAATTTGCTATCGAGTACAATAGTTAATGCAATAAATTCAATATCCAATTACGAATAGAGCTGCTCTCGCTTGCAAAGCTCCATAATATATGGCTAGAGTATAATGAGCAGGAATATACAGATAGGGTAGTATTTTATTTAGCTCTCTTGAACTATAGTATAAGCCATATTGAGATTATCCCAAAAAGCTCTGACTTTTTTATTTGCATATTTATTCAAGAGTGCATTCCTGGTGATTCAGCTAGAAAATAATGCAGCAGCTGTTGATTTAGTATCTCGGTCTATCCTTATCAAGTAAGCCAGAGTGCTCACCCATGCTAAATGCTTTACTGGTGCATGTGCACGCCGACGATCACTGACGTTGACGTTTGTTGATTTTAGAGATATTATAGAACTATGGGCAGTAGAAGGCACGTTCGAGTCTATGGTTGATAGCATCAAGTCCGGCTCACAATGGAAGCGAGTAAAGTATTCTTCCGTAGCAACAGTTTGGCTGTTACACAACTATCACGGCTAAAAATTTCTTGTTGGGTAATGATATCGTAGCCCGAGTATAAAGCATGTTCATTCAAGTTCATGGTGCAGGCAAGCGGGATTACAATGTCTTTTCCACAGCAAATTGAACGGATCGAGCGATTTGGATGGTTGGGTTTTGACGGACCGATTGAAATGCATAATCCAGATGCTATCTTTGCATATTTTGAAGATTATGGATTCGGAGCATCTGAAGGCGTAGCAACTCCACAATTACCTTTAAAAGTATATTTTGGTTTATGGGTAAGTGACTTTTTATTTGGTAGTATAAAGCCAAACGTGTTTTCTAACCAATATATGTATTCTGCGATAGGTGTCAGCTGCCAATCGTAAATTAGTTACTCAGTATGATCTTAAAAAACGTGGATACCTTGGTACAACAAGCATGGATGCCGAGCTATCACTTGTGATGGCTAACCAGGCACTTGTAAGTAACGCTTTGAAATTGAATATCAATATAGTTTTTTTTGGTTCAGAGCTTGCTGTCAAATCAATTTATTTTGTATTGTTTCTATTGACATGATTGAGTTTTGAAAACTTGTAGGCACAACCTGGATCATTTATTCTTGACCCTTTTGTAGGAACTGGTAGTTTTCTTGTATCCTGTTCTCACTTTGGCGCATATACATTCGGATCGGATATTGACGGTAGACAAATCCGTGGAACTATGGGTAAAAGCATCGAGACGAATATTGACCAGTATATGCTTCATAGCCGAGTTTTAGGAAGCTTGATCTGTGATATCGGTGCGATAATACAAATGCATTTTGTTTCTAATGATATTTGAACTTGGTCCAAAACAACATATTCATTCTTGGCATGTTTTTTTAGCTCATCATCCATGGCGCAAAGGAGCTTGGTGGGATGCTATTGTTTGTGATGTAGGTATCATGCACCTCAAGCCGTTTGAAAAATGTATTACCCAAACTATCTTTATAACGTTGAAACTTTTGCAATACTGTGTAAATAATTTTTGCAAAACATGGGTCAATATATAGCCACCATATGGTGTACGTGCTGGAGCAAAGAAAATTTCAAGTGCAGGATCTGGTAGTACTAACAAGAGTGGCAAGGATTTGACGCATTTTAAAGAGTGAGTTTATTTTTTCAGTTTTGCTTCATCTGCATTAGCTTAAAATCAAAAAGCACGATTCATTTTAAACAACTCGACGAATTTTTAGGAATGGCGAGCCGCGATATCCTTCAACTGAAGTGTATGAAATGGAAGATGTGATTGTTGATTTAGTTGCCTTTGCTGCAGCATACTTGGTTCCAGGCGGACGCTTAGTGTTTTGGCTCCCTACCCTTAATGAGCAGTGAGTCTACCGATTCTTATGTTGATACTCGTATATTTAGCCATCAAGTGCTGACAGATTAATTCAATCTTTTGGTTGCTAGATACGAGCCGCAGGATATTCCCACACACCCTCAACTTGTTCTAATCTCCAACAGCGAACAAAGTTTTGGTAAGTGGAGTAGACGGTTAATTACAATGGAAAAAGTGGCGGACGATGCTTTAGGAAGCAATGACACCCATCTGAAAGACTTGATTTCGGAAAGAGAAGCAGTTGTTAGGGTCAATTCAAATGAGAAGGTTCCTGGACATGCACGATTCAGAGAAAAGTATTTTGGAGAGATTTGATGTTCTGAATAAAGTACATACCAGCATTATCGATGCACATATGATATGCTTGATATGTGACTCTAGCTTTTATACAAGTGTTGAATCGTGTAAAATACAAGGCTTTATTATCAATGCAAACTGACAGGCTTACTTTGGTGTACTGAATAGCGTGAATGCTCTTGCTTTGAATAGACTGGTTAGATATTTGGTACGCTTTCCCACTAAGCATGTCCTTTCAGTTGACATTTGAACTCAATAAATACAACGTCCATTATATGATGCTCGCACAATCAAACTATGATTCTGAACTGAAACTATATTGTATCCCAAAACTACAGATACGCCTGCGCTCTAGTTCAATCGTTTCATGAAACTGGCAGTTTGTTATACTTTGACACCTTTATTTAGTGTTCCACTTTACATGAATACAGCGGTAACACCAACTAGAAGCATATTGGCAAAAAGCCGGTATCACTATAAACATGCATATTAAACAAGCAAGCTTCAAAAATCAACAACTAAAAGCGTAAATGGTTCTTTACTTTCATCTCAAGGACCATGAATGATACATTCTCGCATCCAAAAATATTTTGCCCGCATATATGCTCCAAGTCTTTTATACGTTGCCATATTGGCTGCTTGTACCGTATGCATAAAATCAGAATCAAAATCAAAATCAGACATCATCAGATTACCGCGGGAAGTTAGCTGAGAAATCAATGCTGATGCATTTAATAGTTCAAATCCCGGTATGGCTAGCTGGGATATTCCCAATGTAAGACGATACAATTTTCGGTGCGAGGCCATGAACGGATCTAGGCTTTGCTTTTCCCATTCTGGCGTGAGTGTCCCTGCACAGTGTGCACCTATGATTTCTAGGGATGATAGATTGGGCCAGACATTGCAGAGGCAAATAAACCCATCGTCTGGAAAAATAAAGCCACTGGTGTGCAAAGTAGTGAGGTTTGGACTTGAAGTTGTTAGATGCAAAAGATGCCGTAAAGGAAGGGATGCAGTAACACGACATAGCGCAATCAAGGAAAGTGATGTCAGATTAGGGGCATTTGAAGCAATCATGTCCAGCACCGCCAAGCAGATGGCATGTGCAGCATTCGATAATCCACGAATCTCTAAAGTTTTTAACCGAGATAACTGACTGTACTTTTCGCTACCTTGAGTGCTGCTATGACCATGCTGAACTGGATGCGTGTCTTGAAATGCAGGAATAATTGCTGGATAATTAATAACCAACTCTTCAATTGTGTCTACATTTGGACGAAGCAGAAAGTGAGGAAATGAGGTGAAGCACCACAACGATAGTCGTTTTAAATATGGCATGCGGATGGATTGATCGATAATGGCAGAATCCACAAGCGAGTCGCTTGTATCAGGTAAATGTTGAGGTTTCCCTGCACGTAATTCAAGTGTACGTAGATTTGCAAATCCACGCCGAAGGCTTTCCAAAAAAAAGGCATCTTGGATTGGAAAACAATCGCATGTCACATCTAGTCTCAGCACGGTTAATTCTGGAAACGTAACAATAAGAGTATGTAACACACTTGAGTCCACACGAGAATGTCCTGTATCAAAGATTTTGAGTTGCTTAAGACCAAAAGATGGTATATGTGGTTGAGGTGTCCGAGTATAGGAATCGGGATGGTGATGGGTATGTGACATCAGTTGTTGATACTCCTCGTGCCAGCGTGGTTCTTCTAGGATTTGGATTGTGCACATGTTGAATGATAAAGTTTCCAATCCTTGACTGGTAGTATTGACATTGGTGGATATCTTCCGGGAAGCTAAAAATATGCAAAAATGAGCCCAATTCTGGGACACAAACCAAACATCGCATTTGGATAAAGTTAGACTCTTGAGCGAGCTCATATATGTTTTGATGTCAAATATTAAATTATGAGGAAGAATGCCAAATTTAATCTTTAGTGACTGAAGATTGGGGCTGCCTTGAGAAAGAACCTTGATTGCATTGGCTGGAAGGTAGAGATAGTCAATATCTAGATAAAGATGCCTAAGATTGAATAGGGGTGCTTGATCGTTGATGGGTTGAGGAATATTGATTTTAAACTCGCTTGCATCATGCACTTTGAATTCTTTGTCGACATCTGATATAGCTACTCTCGAATTATCGGTAATATTTCGGTTGTAGCTATCTAGCCAAGAAAGAAAATTGATCATAGTCCAACTATTTACAGATGTTAATTTAAGAGATTCAAGGTGATGTCCGATTCGCCGAGGTGCATGCACTGCATCACTAGACTGCCCAAATAAGCAATGACGACGCCAGAAAGACGGTCCGTCGACATCAAGATTTTTTAGTTTTGGCAATGCGGCAAGAAGAAGCCCAATATTTCGACGACCGCGAGGTCCTAATGGGGTTGAATCGTATGACCTAAAGTTGGATGTAGAAGTACTTTCAAGATTGGTTGTCACCGATCCCAAGTTCATTTCTTGGTTCAGCTGCGTCTCGTAAACCTGATCTTCATTGTGGCTTTGCATTATTGGTTCGGCAGTTAGAATGACAGATTCAAGTTTCGGGCAACCTTTTAGCACGCCTTTGATAATCATATCGCTGCTGCTTACGATAAGGCGCAGGTTAGAATGTCCTTTGAACTGTTGGGCAATTTGATGCACCAATGCAGTATCTTGCATATAGTCGGCTGTTTTGAGGTGCAGTTCTTGAAGAAGTGGAAATAACGCAACAACCTTTCCCAAGTCTGCTTGTTTTAAGCTAGGAGAAGCCTTGACTACAAGTAGCTATAATCATAAGCGTGTGCAAATGTATTGGTTCAGTCACCATGTATTTTTTCAACGACAAAAGCTAATTTCGACACCAGAATCTCTCGACTTTTGCCCGATCATGGCATACCAAAGTACCGGCTGATAAAGCAATCCTCTTACCTTGATATCCTTGAGTGCGGCATACCAAATTGAATTTACTGTTGGTAAGTGAGGAAACTGTTCTTCAAAGTCAAGCCGTGATAAAATGTTCGTGACCAGCTCTAATGGTAATCGGTCCATGCTAAACCTGCAGAGCTGCTTTTTAAATAATTGACAATGATCGTCAACGAGATGGTGTTTACACTGCTATATATACTGGAATCAACTACAATAGTATTCAACAACCAAACGATTTACAATAAAACACTGGTTATTTAAAAATCAAAAAGTTTGCAATGGTTGAACTATACAGCACCAATGCATATATCTGATACAATGTGCGCCTGTAAACCACGCCGCCCTTTTGAAACACACGTGATATGATTGTTTAGGCTCTGGCTACATTCTTGTTTTGATATTTCGCGTTTTGTATTGGCAGCTGCTGTTATCGCGGTTTTAATTGAATCCACCTTATTTACCCTGAAATCTAGTATATAAGCTCTAAACGTTGATTTTAAACCTATAACACATATGCCACAAGTTTTGACCCGACCACTTCAGAGATCCGTATCTGGAAACACGTTGCTAGATACAGAGGCAAATGGGATTCTTTACAAACATACTACAGGAACTCTTAAAAGATGGGCACCTAGACATTTCAAACTCACCAAAGATACTTTTTCTTACTCGCATACAAAAACTAGTGCTCCAACTTGGCAGATTAAGTGCAGCGAGATCCAAAATGTAGGCAAGGCTTCCAGCACTGAACTCGAAATCACCCAAACAAATGGAGAGGTAATCATTCTTCGTGCTGCAGATGAAGATACACTCAATTATTGGACTCGTAATATTGAGTCTAGAATTCAGAGTCAATGGTCAAAGCAGTTAAATAAATGTATTGGATCCTCCTCTGCTCTATCCATCTCTTCGCTCAACGATCTAACCACCATAAGCCATAGGAATACTGCCAGTAAACATATTCCCTTGAAAACATCTGCCTCGGTAGCCGACGGAAGATCCCTTTCAAACATCAGATCAACTATTAGTATTGAAAACAGTACGGATGGATTATACAATAAGCTTGAGACCAGCCTAGTATCCTCAAAGGAAAAAATGACATGCATTGATTCGCCTGGTTCTCGCATATCTACCGCTACACTTGGAAAAACTAATACAACCAAACTAAAAAAGTCCATCTCTACCGGTTTACTTCAATCCAATCGTGCTAATACATATTTAAATTCTGGAAGTCACATCGATCTAGTGGTGACAAGCTCACAGGCATCTGCCATGGGATTCAAACCAACAGTATCATCGCGTATCAATCGAACACCTGCATCTGGACTATCTAACAGCTTATTGAGCATTTATTCTACCCACTCACACGGAGTATTGAGCGAAAGCTGTAATAACTTTGAAAATCCTTCAAATGGACAAGCTTTGCCTCTAAAATCTACTCCATCATCAGAATATGCATCTCTACACCAACCTTTACCCTCGCCGACTTTTCCTAAATCTGAACGAAATATTCCTGAATGTCCTCCAATCTCAATCATTCCTCTGTTTTCTGATGAAAATGATCAACCAAAATCCTCTCAAACAAACCCAGAGAGCTTGAATACATATACTCCAAACGAACATGAAGTACTTGACAAAAGTATGGATACAGCCAAAACTGCTTTTCAGATCACTATTGCTGAAACACCACTTGGGCAACGTAACCTTAATGACATTTTTCTTGAGCTGCTGATGCAAATGATGCAGCTTCGCATCAACTCGACTGAATTAAATTCAAAAAAGGCCAGTATGCTCCTAGATTTGGTGTCAAAGGAAAGCATCGAAATTGTATCACGCATCCAAAAAGAAATTCTTTATACACATAGACTTGGTTTATCCAAGAACGATCTTATTGAAGTTGGATTACAGCTTTCTCAACACTTTTTGGATACTAAAACAGGCATGGATACTTCATACAAAAAGCTGCTTGATTACGATTTCACAAGCTGTGTTGATAGTGTGACTTTGAATCCACTGGTTAGAAAAGAGTTGATTCACAAGTTTTACCTTTCAATTGATTGTATGGCACAAGCTGTTGAAAAAATTATGGCGTTTTTTAATCAAGATTAATGAATAAAATGGTTGATTGATGATATCTCAATTTATTACCGTGTTGTGTAAAATGGAACGCTAATGGGGATGCCAAAGTACATAATAACTAGTTTCATTAAATGACTGGTGCTAGTTTACTAGACAACATTGTCTTTTGAACTTGTTAGTTGAGTGGTCTTTTTCCTGGTGATCGGCACGGAAACAACAGTTGCATTCCTGGCATGCAATCATTGGTTTCTTGAACTAAAATACGCGAAATATTAGAATACATGGGTTTGTATAGACTTGAGAATAGTCAAACGAAATATCTGGATTACAATGGATAGCCTGATTTTCAACTTGGTGATTGTAAAACGTATGGTCATACCAAAAAAGAACAAAGGGATAGTTTAATTGTTTATTGAGCTGAGAATGTCGATTTTTAGTAGAAAAGCGTACCAAATAGTTAACCATTGTCTATTTTGAAGCAAGCCAAGACAATTACTGCAAGATAAATGCAAGTCTTTCATTTTACATGAATATGGAAAAAACTATGCTGAAACAAGTTTTTTGGCAATGCAAATAAAATTGACATCTATTGTCAGATACTAGACCATCCATTTCAACAATTTCGAAATGAATCCAATGCGTTTGTTTCTTTACTAAATTATTCATTATACTTCTACTAAAAGCCCTCTACTAGCCAACTACAGTTTTGTTGAAAGAGCTTATGACACTTACAATAATTGATTCTCAACCAAATTACCCCACCATTACTGTTTTAGTAAGACAACACCAAAACCAACATCCTGTGCATTCGATTGTAGACCATGAGTCTACATCAACTAAATCAAGTAAGCCAAGAATCATAGTCATTAATCGAATCTCTAATTCTCAGACATATATGCAAGACTGATTTCTGTGTAATGATCGTGCATGACACTGCAAGAAAATGATGCTCATAGTACATCAGATCGCGAGATTCAAAAAGTATCAACTTTTATTCGTTGCAATAGATACATTTTAATTGGTCTGGTCGAGGAGCTAATTCAATATTATTAAACCGTGTATTTAGCATGCATCACATTTGCTATCAAAAGAAAAGCCAGCAAGCGAGTATACTACTGACTGTATCAGAAGTGTCGTGCATAAAAGGAAAAATGACTCTACCAATGTAACTACTATGTATTCAGACACGTCTATATCAGCGTGGATATCCAGTTCGTCCCAACTCGCTGCTTCACTCAAACATTGTAACTTGGGGTTTAAATTGCAATGGGATGATCACCACATTCAAGCAGTGAATCGAGCCGAGCATTATCTACGTGTAATGTCGGCATCCAAGAATAGTACTGTGTGTTCAGAAAACGAATCTAGACTGATTACTACTACAAAAAATATTGCCCAAAAGCCAGTATTGTCAAAACCTGTAGCAACTACAAATACTAAAAATGGCATATCAAGTTACAATCAACAAACAGCTATATCCAAAGCTGTACAGAAACGAAATGGCAGATTGATACCCATACATACACAAGTCATGCAATTCCCAATTGCACACTCTTTAGAAAATTCAAAGATATCTAATCAATCACAGAGCGAAATGGTCGACTCTACTCTTTTTCCAAATGTGCAATCACTAGTACAGCTTGTTAAGCAAAATCACAATGTCAAAAATGCTATACCCATACAATCTATTCGTTTGAATAGTTTAAATTCAGTAGCAGATTCGAGTTATTACAGTCCAATTCAACCATACCAGTCAATGATACTTCCAACAATAACTCCATTGGATGATAATCAAATGACTGAATTGCAATCATATACGTTGGAGGTTAAGAAAAAACTGCCCGCTCCACATGGATGGATCTTGGTTGTCAAATTTTCAGTGCTTCAAAAAATCAGCCTAGCCTACGAACGTTTTGTGCAGGTAACAAAGCAACTGCAGATTGACATAGCTGTAACCTGGATGATTGAATCAATTATCAAATTTATATCAGAATACGGAAGTATGTTTTTATGACAGAATAATTTGAACTTGTACCATTTCACCAGCATAAACTATTCTGATTAATGCATGTATTTGACTCATCTACTGATCCATTTCAAACTGTTTGGTTTTGCAGTTTCCTATGTGGAATTATCGTGTGAGCGAATCATCGAGATTGCTCAGCGACCGTGTATTTTACCATTTAAAAGTTCAGATATGATCGATTGCATTCAAAATATTGATGATACCATGGTGTTTATTCAACAACCAAAACAAAGATTTCGTACAAAAAATGGACAAGAGATTGCAGCTGTTTCCATTCAAAATGCATATCGTAGATACAAAAAAAGGTGATTGGTTGCATTTATAAATAGTGTAGAGCACCAATTTCTGATTGTAGTTTTTAATTTTGCAACATGACTTTTGAATCAATGATAGACAAGCAATGTTAATTGGGATTGTTAAAATAAAGGCAATGCAGATAATCCTAAGAGTTTGGCTCAGACTAAGCAAGCGAATGTCGATTCAAAAACGGTTATGCAAGCAATATCAAAATGTATCGTTGAAGGGGTTTAAACGACTATGGTCTACTCTCAAGCGTGATCGAATTCAAATCTTTACATTTGAAAGAACAATTGTTTACTTGTGCACATGGTCATCGGCAGCAACGGATCCAGACTCGAGGATTTCTGATGTGGATATTGGACGGTATAGTAGTTTATGTGAGATAATGGTCAATAAGCTTGCCACTGTAGCAATCTAAATCTGATGTTTAATTGGTTATAGAGCTCTTGCAATGTATGATAATAATGTGGACATGATTCTTGTATTACCCCACCTTAATCATGATCGGTTACAGTATTTTAAAAGTATTTTTGGTATGATAGGTTTTACATTAATTGTATTGCATCAGTTATACTTGAGTATTAACAAAGTTATTGTTGCTAACTCGGTGAATAGACACGTCGGCTTTTCCTAAAAGTCCTATCGAGTCGGGTAGATTGCGATTTGTTGTACCAGAAGTAGCACGGTTCTTACCTAAATCGTCATCAATGGCTGCAGCATTGTTTTTCAGTTGCAATGCGATTGCTCAAATCAAAACCATGTGTGCAGGTCGAACAGCTCTTTTATGTAGCGATGAAGTCAATGAATATGTTGTGCGATGTTGCACGGTAAGTTGAAAACTGCATCATGATATTTAGCCATGCTTGCGTTTTCGTAATCAACGGATACCAATCAAGATAGAAATATATAGTAAGCTAATCCATACGAATCGTGAATAAACTACAAAGGCACTGAATATGCCTTACTTTGGCACATCCATTGAGTCATTCAGAGATCTGACAAGTAAGAGATCCAGAGAGCGAAAATTTCTTCGCGACTCATGTATTCCGTGCATCAAAGAGTTTGAATCAACTGGCGAAAGCGAAACTGAGATCCTGAATACAATTGCAAAAGCTACTATGCGTCACAAAGATGTCTTAACTTGGTCATTATGGCCGCTTCGCAACATACATCACAAACATGAACAGTGCGAGTCGAGTTGTATGCCTATCGGATTAATCAGTACGCTATCTGAATATACATCTCTATTTGAATTTTGATGGATTTAGTGAATGTGATTTTAACTGTTGCCTCATATTTTGTATAAAATATTGATAGGATCTATTGAAATTCAAACAGCAGTCATGGCAACTAGCATTGAAATGTACAAAAATTCACGTTCAATATCTTCGTTTTCAAACCCAAACGTTGCTACCGACATATATTCAACTTCACCCAGCTTATATCGTTGTTTAATTCTTTCTCGTCGATTTCAAAAAAACAGTTCACCTCATGATGATGGGTTATCGATGGAGGAAGCGCATGCCAAGTTGCATATTAAGCCCGCCATGTCCGCATCGCCAGATATTCCAGATATATCGGTGAGTCAGTTGATATCCGAGTGGACACAGTATGGTGGAGGTGTAATTCGACAGTATCCAAACTTGAACGGCGCATATCGGATTGTTGAAGTTGGGATCTATATTGAATGGTCACTCCAATGGCGCCTGATTGTTACATGTGAAACGGTGAGAAAGAATTTGATCTGGTTTTGCAGTATTTAAATACAAGGAAATATAAGCCTAGCGTGTATACCTAACAACTATACTTTAAACCAGAGAGTAGCTGCTGGAATCACTCATGGAATGCTTGTTCCACAGCAAAGCTGTGGCACGGAAACTCTTATTCGATACTTGTATAAGATTGCCAAGGTATGTGCAGCACATGAGATTTTTGGCGCCGTGTCAATTGAATTCTGGGCATGGACAAATCAAGAAACCGTAAGCATATATTTTCTAAATAGCTGATAAACAAAACCGATATTCTTGGAACACTAACACGTTACGACTGTCATTTTGGCAATAAAGAAGAAAACAGAATTTGTTGCCAGTCGGCTTAAACCATATTTTACTCCGCAGTTGCAACGTGCGTCAACCATATTATTATCTACTGGCTGTAAAATCGATACAACAGGATATGGTATGTCGTACTCACGAACAGGATTGCCTCTTAAACTCGGTCACTTGGATGCAGCCAAATATTGTAATAAAGTAAGTGGATTACAAAAATGTACGCAATAGTTTATCTACGGTTTGATCAAACCAACAAGTACTAATCATCATTGCTTGAATTTGCCGACATTAGAAAAAAGTAATTGCGAATTTTAACGATACGATACCAACTCGTCCCCATCGAATCGCACTTTATTTTGAAAATCTGTGGCATGATATTGTTTCCATCTTGACAAGACGAGGAGCATTGGCAAAAATATCATTGAACGGAATCGGATTTGATCAATGGCGATGTAATGGGTTCTTGTTTCCAAAAACGGATCAAAATGGTCCAAAATCGCTTCCCATGATGTACGTATTATCCAGCCTATTTTCCAATGATTAAAAATACAAAAAGGTTTGCACATTGATGCAGATAAGAAAAGTAAAAATCTAAAACACATGAATTCCTTTAAATGATGATGTGTAGGTGCATTGCGAGTAGCTTAGAGGAGGTGCTTCAGCAGTTTTTGGGAGGAATAGTATTGATTGAGCGATACCTACAGGCCAATGATGCAAAATATGAAAGCAATTTTGAAGTATGCAATTTGTATTTTGTAGATAAAACATTGGCATGTTTAAAAAGTAGTAAACTAAACATGCACAACTATCGTGGCTTGCTTATTATAGATACACGTGCGGGTTATACTGGATGAGCTGCTTGAACTGAAAAGACACCATGATATGGTTGAAAATAGTGACAATATCCTTGGATTTAAAGAATCCTGTACCAGTTTCCACTCAACCTGTATCCGACCAGATATATATGCCCAGCCCATACCAAAGTCATTAAAAAAGCCAAAAATTCAAGATATCCTTCGCGCACATATTGTTCTGCCATATGGAGAAGTGTTTGACGCTCAATCCAGCTCAGTCGATGAAAGTATCGAACCTATGGTGAATGACGAAATGGAAGACGAGCCAAGTGAGCCAACCATGAGTTCGGGTACAATGCTGTTGCTTTTGGAAGGTATTCCATCTGAGCATGCAGCAGAAGCAGATCCGACGTTTTATAAGCCAGTAGTTACACCACCTGGGCAAAAACGAGGAAGGCGAGCCAGCTCCATTCACTGTGGTAGCAAATCGTTTGCGTCCATGGCTGTTTTGGCAGAACAGCTTGAAAATCAGAAACGTGTAGCAGCATTGGTGGGGCAGCTAGAGCAAATGATGGATCAGGATGAAGATAGTACTCATACTGATATATCTAAACTTCAATGGAGCAAACTAACACATGGGTCAAGCACGTTAGAGGCGTCCAGATCTCAGGGCCAAGAAGGAAAGGGACGCAGACCAAGTATTCTCGTAGCGATTCAACAAACATCTGCATTCAATTTCTCTGGAAATCCAAATAATATTATTCGGATGAATGACGAGTTGTCATCTTTTAAAAAAACTTGACCAAAACGGCTCAGTCAGTTTACGAGTTTTTAAAAACTTCCATGACAGCAAAGTGACGATTTGCAATCAAGCACTTGGTCCGACACAAACCATAACCTCTAATTGACCTGGCATGCTGCAAGCAAACCCCCGCTTTTAAATGATTGAAAATTACAGAGATTACCAAATAAACAGTTTTAATCTATTACGTATTGCTAAAATTCTGCTTAAAAAAGCTAAAAAGTAATGCAGAATAGCTCAGACAAGAGATCGAAAACAAAGGATTATTTCAAAGAGCATATTCACATTCTGAAATCAGCAGAAAGACAACCAATATGACGATCGTCGACAGTCTTGACATCAACATGAATTCTATACCGACCCTAAATACGCCAATGCAATAGAGTTGAATCGGATTCAAGTAAATATGTAGTCAGTATTCATCCATGACAAGGTATAAAATACAATGACAAAGCATCAACATACAAACGGTAATTCTTTTGGGATATCGAATGATTTTACGACGGAGATAGGACCTTCACTGATGGGACACTGCAAGTCAACAGCAGAAACCTGGTCACACAAGTCATAGGGCCTATCGAGAATCTGAATAAAGCCCAGTTTAACAGTTACTTGGGCAACAGCACCCTTGACAACAGCCTCGGACAGTGTGCCAATCAATTGGATTTCCAAAGGACTGCCACGCACAGGAGGGTCGGGAGACAACTGGAACTGGTCCAGAGTGAGGATATCGCCAGGCACACCACAGTTTTCAGCAGAATCCAGGGTATCCTGAGTAGCACCAGAAAACCATAGAGAAGAGATGGAGCTTATAGGATTGGGAGCTAGCAAGGGTTCTTGATGCACTTGGTTTTGTTGCAGCTGTTTAAAACTAGAAGAGTCCGAGGTAGGAACAATTATGGCATATACAGAAGCATATAAAAGTGAAGAAAGTAGCAGTGGTACGGTTGAAAAGATTAGCTTCATAAGAGTAACTTGCAATCCTAAACAACTTGACAATTTCAAGGTAAAAACTCGAATGAAATCAACGGCAATGCGGAGTGACTGGTGAAGGGATTAAAATGGATTTAAATGGATTAAATGCACCAGCCAGAGTTGTTTGAAGAAGGCTGAGTAGTTTGAATCAATCGAGATGCTTGAAATGTCAAGCCAATTTCTGCTGCATTCATGCAAAAATCTCTTGTAAACACTTCAACATAATCATGTTGGTTAACTGCACAACACTGCTCATTGGCATCTCTTCTGGATTGACATGTATAATTATACTTGTGAAATGCAGTCATTAAACTATTGAATACAATATTGAGTTTGTAATGAATATAGTTTTTGAAAGTTTTTCAATTAAATAGCCCGGCTGGCGCAATGGATAGCGCATCCGCCTCCTATGTTTATTCATTCGGCTGAAAGTGGAAGGTTGCAGGTTCGAGTCCTGCGTTGGGCGTATTTTTGCTTTTGCCATTGTTGAGCCAAACAAGTGGTATTGTTTTATATTTAATTGGCAGGAGTAGGCTGCTCAGTAAACTGACCATGTCAACAAGTTGAATCAACAATCTATTGATACTTGCCAAAAAGCAGCATCAAGGATGATGGTCGCTGACAATTTATCTTTATTCTTATAACCTTTGTCACCAGCCATAAACTGACACTTTAACTCTGCTCAATGCATTCATTTATTCACTAAAGGAGGTGCAACAAGGAAATGCTTTTTGAATTCAACAGTAGATAGATGAATCCCATCCTGCTCAACCCGGCGTGTCTCCAGCAGCTGCTCGCGTTTATTAGTATCACAAAGTGCACAAGTAAATGCAGGCTCTTCTTGCTCGACTAGTTTTTGATATACATCATCTGTCAGTTCTGGATCGCATCCAACATGTACCCATCTAAAGCACATAAAATAATGCAGAGATAGTGTTAGCCAGCTATTTAAAAACAAATCACATTGACAACAGTGGAAGCATATTAAACATTACCTGTCACATTCATCGCAGCAAACCATAGCCAAATCATCAGAGTCTTCGCTATAGACATGAATACACAACGGACAAAAGCGATCTGCTTCAAAATGATCGTAGCAATCCGTGCAGTACGTGCAGAGGTATGTACCTAGAGCTGACGTGGCTGGCGGCGGCTTAATCTGAATTTCCTGTAACGAAAGCGAAGGAGGTATGACTACATGCCTCCACATATCCTCAGTCCCTTCTTGCTTTTCAGGTCGCTTTTTGCAAGATTTGCATACTGCACACTCAGAACACAGCCAAGATCCTAAAATATTTTAAATATACAATCAATTGATATCCCCATCTAAAAATCATTCACAAGCAACTGCTTACCTTCAGGCAAAACTTCCAACGGTGGATTTAGGCAGTACATGTGATATCCACGATCACATGTATCACAAAATAACAGCTTGTCGTCATCTCCAGCATTATTGCACACAGTGCATAGCTTGCAGTTACTGCACCGCCAGTCAAATGTCATGACTTTTGTAATCAACACCTTGTCTTCAAACTCAATACAGCGAGGATGATGTTTAGTACCGCACTGGGTACAGTTGAGCAGCAGATCTGAAGGAATCGTGTCAGAGGCTACTGGACAATTATGGGCAAAACAATGACAGCACACATTTTCTTCTGGCTCTGTAGATCCCTGCTGAACTCGAGACCTCTCACTTCGCTTTCGAGGTTGAGGCTCAGCTTGCACAGATGGATTGAACCCGACTGTAGAAGAAAATGGAGTGGCTGCAATGGCTGGTGCTTGAACTTCTACCTCCATTTGTTTCTGAATAGAAAGTGGTACTCGTTCCTGATCCTGGCAAGCACCATCTTTCTCACTAAATCGCTCCCGATAGAGAGAAAAGGCCCCCTGATATTGCTGGGGAGCAATTGCAAGAGGATATTTACTAGCAATCACGTCATCTGAAACATTAATCCAATGAGATTGTGGCTTGCTAGAAGGACTGCGTATATTGAGTGCCTTGTCGAAAACAAAAGGCCGCTGCTCCGATCCTTCACGCATTTCGACATTAACAAGCATAGGCTGAGTGATGAGAGGAATTTGTTCAATGTTGGTGTGAAGATCAAAAAACCGTGTAGGTCGAAGCTTATTAAGCCGCTGGTTGAATTCGGCAGCTGAAAGCGCACATTTAAGCATCCAGCTGTCCTGTCGCAACTCTTGTGAAATTACCAATGGTTCAAATCTTTCCATGGGGGATTCTGTGTGATTGAATCCCAAAATGGTAATTGGAGCAGACTGGCGAGTGAATGGACCACCTTCTGTAGAAGATAATGTTTTTATAAAATCAGCAGTAAAATCAGCATCATCATCCAGCTCTTGGCGAGGCTCTGGATAATACAAAGGCTCCACTTGGTCTCCTACAAAGTAATCATCACGCACAGGCTTGCCACGACGAATGATTTTGTGCCCAAACACTCGAAAAAGATTCCGAGCAGTTACCAACGTAATTGGGCGATTGCGTAGTTGAGATGGCAGCAAACCTTGATCACGAAGAAAGTCACGATCAGGCTCATCGCCATTTACACGACGAACCATTGGATTGCGAAGGAAAAATATATAAGTGTCACGAAAGCCAAGAATCTTGGATGCTTCTAGAGAAAACATGTAAAGTCTGGTAGGATGACGAGGCAGAGTGAACGTTTTGATGCGAAACTCTCGTCCTTGATATATTAAAATGATGCACATGATGTCAATAAAGTAGATGGACAGTGAATGTAAATAGTCGAGTATAAGCACAAAATACCTCCAAGCAAGAATCCGTCTTTACTAATCTTGGCTTCGCCCTTTGGATCTACATCAAGATCGGCGTCCTCGTCAGTATCCATATCAGAGTGCTCGCCCATGGCTCTCCGACGCGCATCCGCCTGTTGCATGGCTCTAGAGGTAGCTGTAGATATAGCGTCGACTGCACCATCAGCACCGGTTGCCTTGTCGTCAGTATCGGCCTCTCCATTCAAATCCGCAAGGCTTTCTGCAGCCCTTGCATCAGAATCTACATCAACGTCCATGCCATCCTCATGCTCAGTATTCAGGCCCGACTCTGCAGCATGTGTTGGTTTGCGGCCTGGTCTTCCTCTTGAACTTTTGGCTGGCAAATGAAGCTCAGCATCAGACTCGCCGTCTGTCTGTCCAGCCCCAGGATTCTCCTGTGTAGTTCTTCTTCTTCTCTTTGAGGAAATGGGAGTGCTTGAAGGTTTCTGAGGGCTGGTTTTTTTCAATGCAGCTGCACGAGTAGGTCGACCACTTGCAGTCAATACTGGAGATTCACCTCTCTGTCGATGGTCAAGTTCTTCATTCTCATCGTCTCCCTCCTGCTCTTCACCAGCACTGGCAAAAGCATCCATTGGCTGCTGTTCGTCCTCTACTTGATCTTGGTTCATAAGTTGCAAATGGCCGGAAACAATTGGCAACAGCCAAACGCAAACTTTTTTGATTTCGTATTCATGTAAAATGGAACACTTGCAGTAATCGACTCTGTTTTGCTCATGAATAGACAATGTTCAACACTCGGTTTTCCTATTGTGAATTGACTTGATTCAACATTCTCGATTTAATCGACGCAACATCAAACTATAGTTTTAAATCGTAATGTTCTTATTTTGGAATAACTGTACATTGTACAATTACCAATGCATTCAGTACAATCCAGATATTGGATCCAACTGTTGTCAAGAAACTCATCTTTGCTGTATCCTAAAAACTCAGACACGTTATAGTTCAAAAAACAATCATTGCGTATATCAGTGCAGACCCTATATAGATGGAATACTGAAGATTGTATTAGAACAAGACCAAATGAGAAAAGCTACCCTATATTCAATCGAGGGGAGAAGCAAGTCATTCAGTAAACTGGCCATGTCAACAAGTCAGATTATCGCCACGGTACAGGAAACACGAGCAATAAATACTATGCTATTCAATCAATAATCTACCAGTATTTACAAAAGAATACCAAGAAAGCAACAATCAAATCCGACCACATACAAAAGTGTGGTTAAATGAAATTCATAAAAGTACCTCATACACATGATATAACTTGGTGATGGTTCTGAGCTTCATTCATCTCTCCGTTCTCATTCCGTTTGTCAATATTAGCGAGTAATTCAAATCCACAATTTTGGCATCAAGCATGATACTGACTGTTTGTTTGTTTTGAAATTCTTATTTAGTGTCCCATTCTGTATGAATATAGCTGTGAATGGCATGAAAGTCGACGGCAATATAGTTCAAAGCAAATGGATTTACACATGTTGGGCCAAGTACTCGTGACAGTAGTCACGCAGGATGGAACCTGGCATTTTGATGTAAATAACTTGATCGGAAAAAATCTGTTGATTTGTATTGATGACTCGTATCAATACTTTCATGGATGACAACCATCGCCAGACATACGGTTTTAGTTTGGTGTGGATATGCTTTTTCAAAATACCAAGGGTATCGCTATCTCAACACGCTTGATGGTTTGTTTGTAGCTTAGCACTAATATGACAGTGGACACCTTGCAGTTGGAGATTACCACCAAAGTCATCTCAATGGTCAAAAATGTGAATGTTAGTGTAGATCACATTGCATTAGAGTGAATACATGACCCATCGTGATTAACCCCGACCCAAAGCATATTTACGCAGAAAATATACCGCCAATCACAACTGGGATCTAACAGTATGAACCAGTACTTATAAATACATCGAATGCCTCTTGATACGCAGCTATTTATCCACCATAGTACTGTCAATTCCAAATCATAACACTATCGCTCATTCCACTTGATTATCTCGTACTTTGCTCTAATCAATTTACAGAAAGGCATTGCATATTGTCGTAATGCCACAATCGAGTTTAGAAATGACCAATACTACCGTTGCTTTAGATCAGACAGATCAGTTGATGCACACGGCCGAATTTGGCTTGCTGAAGCTTGTTCTGGGATCAATACAGGCTCTTTTAGTTCTCGTTTGTGTTCCTTTGTTTATTCACAAGCAACAGCAGCCAATGGTTAAATGCAGGTCATGGAAATTGACCATTTTGGGATGCATTTCAATGACCGTGGTAATGTATATCGACGCATGGCTATCTATGGATGGATGGGTTAGTTACGGCATGCAATCTCGCCTTTACTTTTTCAAGCACATTGGATGTATGTAACCACTATTTTTATCTCGAATATGTTGCAAATTTCAACCTTGCCAGTATCCGAATGTCTGATTATGCAGCCTCTAAACACCGTCAAACTAATATTTTTTAAATGTCCAATTGTCATTCAGTTATTATTGTCATATGTTGCTATCCGCCCATATTTATCCGGCACTATTTTATGCTGAAAATCCAGTCTAGATTGATCGAGATTGATATCGCGAAACATTCTTTAGAGAGCAACAAACTATCAAGTCCTACCAACCATGTCAAGTTTTTTTCAAGTGAAGCAGGGGCTTGGGTGATTTTCCTGCTCAACTTGTTTCTTAGCATTCTATTTGGAATTTATTTTCAAATGCAGACAGACACTGGTGTATTACCATCGAGTTTGCCTGCGCCAATCATAGTATATAGTTTGTCATTGAATATCTTGCAAACCTTTGGCTCTGGAGGCAAGTTTATATTGGATTATTTGTACACGTTAAATATACACTAACGAATTGGAATTATACTTTTAAACTGATCATCAATAATTAAATATTCAGCATTTCTTTTATGGTACGGTCTTGGGTACCCTGATGATCACTCTCACACCATTGCACAATTTTACACTCGGACCATACTGGCTTTTACATCATCCTTTGTAACGTTTGCTGGGTTCATGACCAATGAGAAAAAAATGATTGATATTAGTATTATAATTAGCACATTACTGCTTTTTTGGACAGTATTGGTCGACTTGGTGGTTCCACTTCGGCTTATGATTTTTTCCAAACACCATCGAGTTGTCGATATTCAGCATCGTTCCATTGAATCACAGCAAGAGCATGGAGTTTCCGGCCCAACTTTGCTTGAAGATCACATCATCCACCAGCATCAAGATTGCCTGATCGAATCTAGTCATCATCGCGAATCCTCAGCATCTACTCTTAACCCTACAATGGATCTTGTCGCAAACTCTCAGCTATCCATTGCTCATATCTTGAACAGTATGACGTTGTACGATGCGTTTGGTTTATATTTATCACGAGAATTCTCGTTAGAAAATCTGCTGTTTTTAAAAACAGTGGAATTGTACAAGCTTCGGGTATCAACAAATCCCGCCCATGTGTCTTTTACATTACTCACTCAACCCATTCACAATGAGTTTGTTTGTCCAAACTCTATAAACCAAGTCAACCTACCCAAGTCGATTGTCAGCCGAATAGAGTGCAAACTAAGGGCTTTAAAAGATGAGGAAGCACTCGAAGCGATTAGAAAAACTAATGCTGTGAATCCAATGGCGATTCAAATGAAAAGCGAAATAATCGAATTGGCTTCGAGTATATTTGATGAGGCCGCGGAGCACATTGAGCATATGCTGATTCATCATTTACGTCGATTTAAATCAAGCGAGTTTTTTCCAAAATAACTGCCATTTAACAGGGCAGCTAACAATTCAATGTTTTGATAGGATCAATACTGTATTGTTTGCATACTAAATACGCAGGATATGGCATCACTAGCATGCCAATGATTAATAATAAATGCCAACAGGCTTGTACTGGGTGTATATTTTTTGAAAAGTATGGGGTTGAGTCCAACAGTTTTTGTCCAAGCCAATAAAGCAGTCGTACTGGCAATAAGTAACACAAGAGTTTGAAATTATTGACAAGAGCTGTATCAGATCTGACAGGAAATGGGATATGCGTGAACAAAATGGCCTGCTTTCCCACAACATAGGCGGGTTTAATTTTCTATGACGCCCTTTTCTGTTTTGGACAATAGTATGTGAAGCACGGAGTCGGTCGCATGTCTCCAAGTCGGTATGTCTCGAGCGGAGATGATAAGGAAACCTCGTGCCGGATTGAGCATGCCGTTCTTGCACCCGCTAGGCTATACGTTCATCTATGCGGATACACATATCTATAGAATCTTGCCGTTTAGTTGGAACTTCCAGAGCATAGGAAAGAGCTTTTTTGATCCCCTCCAGCAGTCCTTGTCAGAATATGCATTTTTGCGCAATCGTCTCACTTGGTGTCGGCCGCTATCAAAAGTTCTAAAGCATATTCGGAATAAGAACGACGGCCTTGTTTCAAGGAATGCAGCTCAATCTCTGCGGTATGCTCTCGAGTGTTATCTTTGAAAGCTAGAGTAAGCAATTCCAAGAATTCTTATATGGCTTCAGGTGAACATCGTCTGATTTGAGCGTAGATATTGCCCATGGTAGAGCCAAACCTTTGATTACAGCCCATTCAAATGAAATGAAGCATTAAATAAGCCAAATTACAATATTTGGGTAACAAGATATTGCGGGTGTTTATCAAACACAAATGCCGGTCAACAATGTCAAGATTGTGTCATGATGATCCTTGTATTTGGAGACTGATCAAGGGAGCTGTCAATACTGTAATATTTTGACTTTTTAAACAATGACATGCAATATTTCTAAACACGCATCTTATTCCAAACATTCCACTCCATTAAAGTAACTGTCTACTCAGATATGGTTCATCAATCGTTCAACAATGTCGTGCAGATTGAAGCTAAACTACACTGCTCCATATTCTTCATTTCTAAATCCTGTATAAAATGACTCGAGCACAGTAAAAAATGACTTTGAGCAATTACAGACACAGAGTTGAGTGTTTATTGAGAAACAATCAATCTGTAGTGGAAAAGCACACCAAACATTTCATTTTACACGAATACGACTGTAAAATATGGAAATTGAGTAGCGTAGCCGAATGCACCCGAGTTTAGTTTTTTAGGATAGAGGCGAGATATAAGACATAGCAATATCCAAACGGAAACAAACCCAAGACTGTACAGGGCAATTTTTTAAAAAACTATTGTATATGAATTTTAGAGGGGTCTACAGAAAGGACTGTTGATACTTGATGCGCTACCTCTTCAAGACATCCTAAAACGTATCTATTTCCAGAAACAAATCCATATGAATGAAACTCTAATCCGTGCTCCTTGGCAAAAGACTCGACCAAAGGCCGAAGCTTGCGAAGGTTGGGTCGTGGAACACGTGGATAAAGATGATGCCCAACCTGGAATTGCAGCCCACCGTGAAACCAGTCCATCCAACGAGGACAGTCAATGTCCATCGTAGTGCGAAAAGCCTTTTCAGCGTATGTCTCATCAGTCATAACACCATTCACCTCTACCAACGCATTGTCTGTAGACATGCCAAAGTGTGAAAGTGTGATTTGTAAATGCAAAAACACTGTAGCCATATGCGAAACAAGAATATATCCAGCAATATGCCATCCAGTAGGCAGGTGAGAAAGTAGCCAAGAAAACCAAATCCAGAAACACACCATGCCAAGAATTTCTAAAGAGCGATGGGGAACAATAAATGAGCGTGAAAACACATAGGACCAGCTATTGACATATAGGTTAAACCGTCCAAAAGCGAGAATAATGTAAAAAAGATAGTGCTGTTTAGGAATAAAGTACTGGGCGACCACGTCAAACTCCATAACACGATTATAGTACGTTGAATACAAGCTGTCCATCAGCTTGGTGGTAATAGCCATGAATGGCATATGCTGAATGTCTGGATCGTGTTCTGCATCGTTGGTCACAATGTGATGCACATTATGATTACGTTTCCACCATCCGATAGAAAGACCTCCAAAAAAATTTGCTAGTCCAATTCCAAAAAGAGTATCGCCAAGACAGCTATGCGAGATACCAGAGTGACCGGCTAAAGTGAGTTGATCCAATACAACAATCAAAGTATGGTTTGGCAAATATTGTTGTGATAAAAGTTGCACAGTAGTTTAATGCATAGATATTTGCGAATATGCGTTTCAACAGTAGAAATGAATACAAACATGAACAAAGTGGTGATAATAGTTAGATACAATGATAGAGGTTGCATGCAGCTACACAAACAAGTATGCAAGTTACTGACCATCGTGGGCAACAAATGCCGCTTGGTGCCAAAGAATGGCAGCACACATAGCACTGGCAAAATACCAGATAATAGACTCTTTAGCATACAGAGCAAAATAGAGCATGCCAAGCCATAGTGCCAAGAACTTGATTATTTCACGGCCGTAAAATGAATAGTCGGTGTTGAAAATGCCTGCTTCGTGTAGCTTGAACTCCAGTTGGCGATAGGCTAAAGAGACTGGGGAAGTGATACGATCTTCAAGAGCAATTTCTCCAATACAGAAATTGGGGAGTCGTTCAGAAAAGACTTCTGGTGGGTGAAAGGCAATCATGGCATCTGTTGCATCTTTACCTAGTAAAAGCGCCATGTGAATACAACATGGGTTAATATCAGGGCGGACAAATAAAATAATACGGTTGTCAAAATTAGAGCGCTTCAAATCCAATCAAACCAAACAATTTGGCCGATAGTCGGAGGTATAATGGCGGTTGGCGTTGACAAACTGAACCAACAGCCTCAATTTTAAATGGCTCTACAGTTAGCGGGGTGATTAGAGCCGCATAATAGTGTAGGGGAAGCTGTGTGGGGTGCAAAAGGCACATCAGCCACAAGTTGGGCATTCATTAATCGGAACCCCCTTCGGCAATATTTTTTAATAGGTGTATCTATTATGAGCATACTGGATTGAATGCAAGTTTATCATTAGAGTAGATACCAGTTATGGATAGGCAGTATATATCTGACTAATACTGTCTTGAAACAATACATGGTATCTAGTCATGCGTCAAAACAGCCTCCCAATAATAGAAAATACAGCAAAACCAGTCAGATACAAACTTGTATTGATCAGCATGTAATAATAAACTTACCAGACATGTGCCTAACAGCCAAATCACCTCCAGGATGGTACTTGACCCACTTGGTTAAATTGTATACTTTGTGATGTACAATAATAATAGTCTCTCCACTCTTGGCTCGCTCAATAATATCAGCTCTGGCGAACTGCCGCAATGGTTGACCTTTAGCGAGTTTTTTGGCCGAATACGTAGCGGACGCTTTTTCGGAAGCTATAGCACCTGACCGAGTGGGAGGAGTTGACGGCTTCTGCGCTGATCCTAAGTTAGGACTTTCCCCTAAAGGTGTATCTACTGCATCATGTCTTGGTGTGGTAGTAACCGACCCTCCAATTTTTGGTGTTGGCTTGGATGTGGAGCACATCAATTATTTTGAGATGTTAAAGTTTTTGGGACTCACCTTGCCTCTTGAATTCAGCTTCAGTTACAGGCTCGACTAATCTCCATTTCCGTGTTGTTATTATTGCTTGGATATTTACTCGCATTTAGTCCACTGAAATTGGCCACGTTCACTCTCCGAAGCCAATTAGACCAATCTTGAATCACTCACCAATAGAGTTCAAACCTGACCAATCATTGTTCATTGAATGCTTTATTTAGAGTACTAGAGTATCACTCAGTTCTCAAGACATGCTCTTGGAGAACTGTCAAGCATTGGCTCCGGCTCCGGCTCAGCACTAATGCCAATGATTTTGTCATGAAATTTTCGCAAAAGTGTATCTACTTCTTCAATCCCCAGAGGCCGAATATCAGCAACATGCTTGATTTGCGCAGTTACATTTTTGATCTCATTGTCACTAAGCAACAGGTTGAGCTGGTTGACTCGATTTTTGACTGCATTCCACCCAGTCAGGCGATGCCCAATATTGACATATCGCACCATACTAAACTCGAGTTGCCGCAGTATATAGCCAAGTCATTAGCCATCTATCCATGATTGAATTCAAAAGATTAAAGTGCAACTGATTTTACTCCCTACCCAAAATCCTCTGGACGAAGAATTTCATAAGTCGATGGATTGTTTAGAATCGCTTTGGCGTGAATTCCTGCTTTATGCGTAAAGGCACAGTACCCCGTAATGTAGTTGTTGAAAGGTACCTGGATTTGAACTGCATCTGCCACCAGATTCTCTAGATCACGCAGCTGCTCAAGCTTATACTTGCCCTTAACCCCTTTTTTGTTCGCAGTATACATTCTAGAGATAAACCCTCCTAGTGGGGTAATGCCATTGCGCTCTCCAATTCCAAGGATAGATGTATCAATGTGGGTAGCTCCTGCTTCAAGCGCTATTTCATAACAAAATTAATCAAAGTCTTGGCAGGGTTTGAAAATCTAGGTTTCAACAAGTAAAATTACCAGTGTATGCATTGGCAATAGCACAACCCGTGTCGTTGTGAAAATGACACTCGATATCACAGCTAACCACTGATCGTAAAATACGAACCAGGTCATACACCTGTCGAGGATCAGCGCATCCAACCGTGTCTGCAATGCCTACCCTATTCACCCCAAGCTAATAGTACACATGTCAAAGATAGATGCTTATATCTACAGTATTGGTTTAAGCATCAAAGCCAATTCAAAAATGCAAGTTTACATACTTTGTCAACAGCACGGTAAAGAGTAAGCAAATCAACTAAATCACTTCGAAACGAATCCTCGGATGAAAAACGCACCTCCAGCCCAGTACTCTTGATATAGGTAATTACTTTTGTAGCTTGCTTCAGAATATAGTCCATATCTTTGCCATGAGAAAACTTGCGTAAAATAGAGGATGTCCCAATAACAACATCAACTCCATCAACACCTGACTCGACCGCAATACGTGCATCATCCATATGGCACCGGATATGAGTCAAGATCTAGCAAAACAATGTACATTTACTGAGTGTAAAAAGATATGTTGCGGAAAGGTTAGCTTTCAATGAGATAAATTTCACACTTACTTTGGCCTTGAGATTCAATTTACAAATAGCTTGGCAATCATGGAGAGACTGCTTGGAAGCTACTGGTGAGGTAAGTTCAATGTACTCGACACCAAATGCATCCAAAGCCTCGGCAATCTTGATCTTGGTATTTGTGTCAAAGAATGCATTTGCAAACTGTTCTCCTTCTATTTATGGCAATGGCATAGATTAAAGATTAGTTACCAATTTTGATGGCAATATCTGAACATTCAAGTGTGCGAGTTGGATGGGTTGAAATGAAACTCGATGGCATACTGGCATTGTATCGATTGAAGCTGTGGTACACGCATCATCTAAATTTAGACGGTGCGTCAATGTCTCCCAGCATGATCCAATACACAAATCTGTTTCTATGGCATCTTGACATTACAGTATTGAAATGAATAGTGGGTACTGTAACATAACCAACTCTAATGTTGATTTGAGATGGATCATAGCATTTTGCAAGATATACAAGCCATTTTATCAGTCATGTCTACTATAATTTACCTCGTAGAGTAGATTCAATAATTGAAAAGCGGTTTATTCTGGAAAAAGGATTATATTGGTAATAATCAAGAGGCTTTGCATTGCAAGTATCCATAGTATTTCTGCAATCTTCAGATTGGATCAAAGAGCTATCAGGTAGCAAAGAAGTGTTCATGGGATTGATTGGAAATTGTGAGACAATCGTTTGGAAATAAAATGAAAAGTATTTACTATTCACAAGTTTAAATTCGCGAACCTGAACAGTTTGCTATATATCGACAATACACTCGAGAATCTGGTTGCTAGCAATGAAAACTAGACATATTTCTGAGCAATTTTGAACAATACAACTGTTTTGTCAGACTGGAGTAAACTATTCTGCTCGTCTACCACAGCTTTACATCAAAATGTAATGTGTAAATCGAGTATGTATTTACACTACGTCCTCTTTACAGGTTGGTGCTATAAGAGCTCCTTTACACACTAGATTTGTAGTCTTGCTAAAATATACTCAATAAACTTTACCCTGTTTTTTAAATAAATACCAATAGGAATTGAGAATAGATCGCCATCTCAAAACTGTCATTCGATGCCAAGACTATCATCGCAACAGTTGATATCAGTTCTTATTGATCAATGTTAAACCTAGTTTCACATAATTAAAAGTGTATATAGATGGTACAAGCCATTTAGCGTTGCCTCGTGAACACACCGAACCTTTAAATCAGGCTACAATAAGGGATTGGCAAACAACCTTATGACCAACTCTTGCTTTGGAATAGAATAGTTGGATGTTTGTTTAGTTCTGATACTACAAATCGACTATTTGCTCAATAAGCATTATCAATTCTTCAGTGAGCACAGTGTTTATGATATAAAATCAAACTACAGTTTGATGGGTTTTTTCTGGAATAGTCATACTGTAGGACTACTAGATTCATCCATTGCAATACGTATATTTTGCTTGACTTTTTGATGTTGTTAATATAGCTCTACAAACTCGTTACTGTTGTATCCTAAAATCTCGAATACATTCTAGTTCAACAACAATTGCATGTCTCGGGAATGCAACTACTATTTTGATGCCAATCATCAGTCAACGTTTTCAAACAGTTCATGTCACAATATTGCTCAGCAAATATGGTAGAAGCTATTATTTAATGAGATTGGCCGTTTACCATGTATTTTGGCACCCCTATTTAGTGTTCCATTTACGTGAATATGGTTGTAAATTTAGAAAATGACGTAGTTGCTCTATGCGGCTGAGATACAGTATTTGATCAGTAATTAAGGGTCAAGTCATGTGTTGAAAAGATTGGCAGGGGTATTTCGTTACGGCTAGCAGCAAATGGCATGGTATAACAATGGATAAATTCTCATTAGCGTGTGGAAATGAAACAAACGGTTGATGGCTTGCACCTTCCGAGTTGAATGAAATATTGGTTGTTTATTTAATAATGGCTTGTAGATAGTTTTAAACATTGCTGGACTGTACATTCTTCTACGACTTTAGATTATTATGGCTCCGTATTTTTGCAGGTTTGATATGCTCAGGATACAGTCGTGTAAAAAAGTAGTAGTGGATAAAGGCGTTGCAATTAGATATTTAATGTACAGTGCCGTAGAAGATGGTGTTTTGTATTGGAGTTTAAATATATAGCACAATGTGATGATTAGATTAAACATGGTCGCGATTATAAATACAGTAGCAGCAGGCGAGCTTGGTGCACTACTAGTTCGCCTTTGGCTTGATAGATTGGATACAAATGATTGTTTTAGTAATACTATGAGCTTTAATGTAAACATTAGTATTCTTGAAGCATATCCTTGAGAATTGCTTGTATTATTGGCGGATGAATCAATGTATATAATTATTTAGACAGTCCACCACGCCACCGTCGTGATGAAAAAAAGTTGGCCATGAATGGCCAGCCAACAGCCAAATACGCCACTAAACTTATTGAATCTAAAGTTCATACACGAGTATTATTTCTATAAAAACTAGTAGGACTTATTCCCTCATGCATTGAACCCTCGATCTAATTCAGTGCAAAGTTGTAGTCTGACTGTTTCAATTTTCTTTTGTATCTACAATCCAAGTTGATAGTGTATCTAAATGATTGTCCCTATAGCATTATTTTTGGCGATCGGTTCACTTGTTTCTGGTAGTTTTGCTGCTACCAAACCCAAATGTCATCACAAAGGTGGTGTACCAGTCGCCGAACCTGTACATAAACCACCTGCCCCTTTCAAAACGAAACAGCCGCTTCCTGGTCCTGCTCGCATGCGTCCCTATCACAATGACAGCAGGCCGTCTGAGCATTCCATTTGCCACTGGTACGATCCTACACGCGGTAACAATTCCATTATTGTTGCTGGTATGAAACTCACTGCATCTGTTCCATCGGTAAATCTGGAAAATTCTCATGGACTAGAGTCCATCAAGTGCCAAGGCGACAAGGTGTTTGCCTCGTATCAAACACTCAAAGAAGCTCAAAGCTGGACCGTTGAACCCACTCTTTTAATTATATCTGCCCTTCATAAATGCGGACCTAATAACACGGCCGAGTTTGTCATGCTTCTTGCACAATCTTGGACTATTGTTGTAGAAACTAAAACCATTGTATTTACTACGGTTGATCCCCAGACTGCAGGTGTGACGGGTAATTACGAAGTAATTGCTCTACCTGCAGTTGAATCTCGTCAGCATGATTTTATTGCTCCCACTACGGAAGAGCCTCGTCGCATTTACAAGCGAGACATGTCTGAATCCGAACTTGAGCACCATGAGCTTGTTAAGCGTATCTTTCATTTTGATAATTCCTATGTAAGTAACTCTTGGTAACTTTGTTTCCATGGCGCGCATAATCTGTAATGTGCTCGACTATCGAGACTTTCATTTCTGTTGGCTTCGCAGCCGCGACAATATAAACCGCAGTTTGCTTGCCAAGTGGCGTTTTACTTTCTCTGCCTTTGCGCTGTTTTTTTCGTTTTTTGTAGCAATGGAATGGTTGTGCTTACTTTTCAACTTCAATATGAATCATCTTTTTAATTTAATAGCATCTTCCGCTAAACATTGATATTGGCATATCTACTGTTGTTGATCTCCCTCTCGGAAAAGTTGGCACTCTTACTACCGGATGTGATCCTTGTGGTATTTATGGCCAGTCCGTTGCTACCTTTCATGCATTTGGTGGTCTATTCGAAACTCCCGGCGTTTCTCTCAACTGGGAAGGTCATGTTCAGCTTACTGCCAATATGCTGTTTAGACTCAAGGCCAATGTCAATGTCGAACAGTCTGAAGTCACCCTCGTAGAGCTTCCCATCACTCCTATCAACATTCCTGGTTTCCTCGTTGTTGGTCCAGAGCTTATGCTCAATGGTCGTGCTGATGTTGCTATCCTTGCCGATATTGATGTTCATGCCAACTTCACTGCTGCTCTCCCACACTTTCGCGCTTTCCTCTCTAGCTCCGATCCAAAGAACATTACTGGATTTGTCCCTGTATATAGTCTTCGTACCGATGCTCATGTTGAAATTGATGCCAACATTAAAGTTGCTTTGATCCCCAAACTGGCTCTTGTTGCCAAGATTTTTGGCAAGGACCTCCTACATACATCGCTTTCTCTAGACAACACTGCTGATCTTAAGATTGGTTTGCACGCCAAAACAAACAAGACGATCACTTCTACTGATGGAAAGCCTCTTGACCCAAGAATTAGTGGCGATGCTTCGGCTAATGGTTGTATCACACTTTCTGTTGGTACCACTCTTATTGGCGAACTCTTTACAATTAAAAAAGATCTGATTACGATTGCACCAAAAAAGATTATCGATAAATGCTTCAATGTCAATTCCCCCAACCTAACCATTGCCACTAAAGGTCCAAGAAAGACTGCTTCTGCTCCTAAACCTAAAGAGACGTCTGTCACTCTTACTAAGCGCTCCAACCATTTGTCCATCAAAAAAAGAAGTCGTACTTTTCCAAAAACCGTAATTACCAGCTAGAAAAGCCTCGGCATTTGAAACAATATCATTACAGCTTGCATGGTCTCTCCATCTTAAACTTTAAGCCCAAGTGAACATTTCACAAACTTTTTCCCAACCCATATTGTTTAAAATGCCAGCCAATGTATTTTACAATTTATACTTGAACATTTAATGAATCGAGTATAGTTATCTTGTATTTGCCATTTTATAAAGTATACTTTGTAGTTTAGAACCGCATTCGTGCAGAATGAAACAATCGTCTTGATTCGGCATAACCATATATTGTACAATCACCAGATTCGCAACAATCCAGATATCGGAGTTGATGTTGTCCATGAACACCACCTTACTATATCCTAGATCACATAGGTTTATGCCATAGTTTAAGAAAACAAAGATTGCATGTTTTATAAATGCACCTGTTGTTTCCATGCCAACCACCCAATGTTTGTGAGAGTTGGACAGGTGTCAAGGATCTGTGATGTGAGCATTCATTTAGTTTTTAATACAAAAATGAGCATAATGTTGTGCAGTAAACTGACACCCATTATTCCATGATATTGGCAGTTTATTACAGGCTTCGGCATCCTTATTTAATGATTCATTTTATATGAATGCGGCGGTAATACAACGCATGCACTTCATCTATGCAATTCACTGCAACCATTTGAATCAAAAAATTCTTTTTCATTTTCTTTCTGATCCAATATTTTTGTAGCAAAATGGCACAACCCTTTGAAGATGCTGCCAGCCTGCATATGTATGAGCTGTTGGGCCAGCTGCTGACTGATTTCACCTCTGTTGAAAATACTTGTCGTACTAATGCCGAGACACAGTTTCATAACCACTGGCTAGTCACTCAAGCGCCAGTTACTTTTGCTGGCATGGCATATTTGCTGGCAAATCACCCTGCTGTCGAGGTATGTACAATAAAATTTGAAGATTCCTAGAGGCTCTTTTTTAAAACTTATTTGTACATATATCTCCTGCTCTGCTGCACCATCATGAATGCATATGGTATATAGTCAATTCTGATATTCAGTGATCGTTTTGCACCACAATATCTGTTGAACTACTATATCTTTTCATTGCTATCTTGATTTAAAAATCGTTGGTTTCCAACCAGAGTAGAGGAAAATGGACATTTGCCACTATCCAGTATATTGTTTTGTTTCCTAAAATGCATCGATATTGCTACTTTTATGCAATACCAATTTTTATCTAGATCCGTTCAATGGCTGCTATTTTGTTGCGTCGTAAAGGATTAAAGCTCACTGATGGCAGTAACAACGTCATTTACTTTGTGACCTTGGGAGAGGATGTTCGTGGATATATCCGTACCAAACTGATGCAATCACTTGCTAATGAAGCAAACAAATCTGTGCGCAACAAGGTCTGTCATGCTACTGCTGACATTGCTGCCCACATGTGTGATCTAGGAGGTTTGTTTTCATCTGGCATGCATCCATACACCGAGCTCCGGTTTGATCTAACTAGTTAATCCAATCACTAAATTCTATACAAAACAGATGTTTGGTCAGATCTGGTGCAGTTGACGATTCAATTTGTTCAATCTCCAAATGCTGAACACAGAGAAACTGCATTCAGACTTTTGAGCGAAGCGCACTCTCTTTTTTACAACGAAGACCCTACATCTTTACTTGCAATGATCACTGCAGGACTTCAAGACTCGGAAGAAGCTGTGCGTCTTGTAGCACTCAAGGCAGGCTCGGATATTCTCATTAATGCCGAAGAGTCGTCGCTTTCAAGTCTTGGTACTGTCGTCCCACATATGCTGAATGTAAGTTTGAGCAAAGAGAAAAGCTGAATGAACTGACGCGTGACTTGTATTCACTTAATTTCTATTGTCTGATTAGATTATCCCTTCGATTGTCATGGATCCCTCCAAAGACGAAGAATCCAAGGCTGCTCTCGATGCATTAGGCGAGCTTGCTCTTAACTGTTCATCTGTGTTCAAGGGCACTCATCAAACATTGATTAGCTTCATGACCACCGTGATGAAAAACACCAACCTGGATAGCGCCGTTCGCCATGCTGCCTTGGAGTTACTTTTAACTCTGGCTGAAACCAGTCGTGCTCAGATGCGCAAGCAAGTCGATTATCCCCTTATTTTAATCCCTATTCTTTTGGAATGGATGAGTGAGCACGATGACGATGAGGATTGGTATTTGTCCGAGAACCTCGACGAGTTTGACCAGTCCTCTAATGAAACTGTAGGTGAACAGAGTATGGATCGCGTATCTCGTAATTTGGGTGGAAAGATTGTGCTTCCCATTGCATTCAACATTATTCCTACTTATTTGTCTGCTCCCGAGTGGCCCAAGCGTCATGCTGCACTTCGCTGTATTTCTGCAATCGGTGAAGGCTGTCTTAAGCTCATGTCTGCAGAATTAGAAAAAGTCGTTGGGTTGGTGGTTCCCCATCTGGCAGATCCTCACCCACGTGTTCGTCATGCCGCCTGCAATGCAATTGGTCAAATGTGCACCGATTTTGCTCCCAAAATCCAGCAAAAGTTTTATGACCAGATATTGCGAGGCCTGATTCCTGTCATGTCCGATGTACAGTTTCCTCGTGTGTCCACCTATGCAGCAGCTGCAATGGTCAACTTTGCCGAGGAGGCAAAAATGGAGTGCATTGCACCTTATCTTCCCGATATTATCCCTAATCTTGTCGTTCTTCTCAATTCCAGCAAGTATTTCTCCAGAGAACAGGCCGTTACAACTATTGCCACTGTTGCAGATAGTTGCGGTGAAGCCTTTGCTCACTACTACACTCCCATCATGCGTCTTCTTATGGACATTTTGAAGGAACCAGATGTGGAGTTGAGTCGTCCACTTGTTGGCAAGGCACTTGAGTGCTCCACTCTTATTGCCATGGCTTGCGGTAAAGAGATGTTTATGCCTATTGCCCGCGAGTTTACCGATGCCTTGCAGTTTGTCCAGTCATCTGCTGTAAGCAGTGATGATCCTCGCACATCATATCTTCTTGGAGCATGGACTCGCGTGTGCACTGTTCTTGGACCTGAATTCGAGCCATTTATGAGTGTTGTTCTTCCACCTCTGTTTGCCGCCGCTAAACATGTACCTGAGTGTGCCTTGCTGGATGCAGATGACGAAGATCCTAGCTCAGAAGATGGTTGGGAAGTGATGAATACTGGTCTCCAGGTATGCTATTTTTACATGCATGATTTTTATTTTTGTAAAGCTAGTTGACTTATTAAATCCAATTTTGCATTTCTACAGAGAATGGCAATCAAGACGGCGTACATTGATGACAAGTGCACTGCAGTTGAAATGCTAATGTGTTATGTTAAAGAGCTTGGACCGCTTTTTCATCCACACGTTGAAGAAACCATGCAAATGATTTTACCTATGTTTGGCTTTATTTTCCACGATGGAGTTCGTATTGCTGCAGCGTCCGTTGTACCCCTTCTTTTACAATCATGGGTCAAGGCAGACTATCCTAACGAAAAAGTTATTGCGTTGTGGCATACTGTTGCAAATACTCTTATTGCCACCTTAAAGAAGGACAATGATGCATCAGTTGTCAGCCAACTGTTTGATACTTTCCATGATGCCTTGGCCTGTGCTGGACCTACTATTTTAACAGAGCAATTTTTGATAGATCTGATCGCCCAAATGGTTAAACAGATTTCAGACTGCCACGCTCGTTTCCTTGAGCGTTCAAGTAAGTACTTTACTGTTCGAATGTAACTGCTATTATGCACTGTATCGTTTTTATCATGATGATTTTATTGGGGAAAACGTAAATAGCGGCCAATTTGTATAGTATTCGGTTGATTGTCAGTGATGATACGAGGGTTTGCAATGCTTAGTATTCTCTCGCGAGGGGAATAATATGCTGATATATCTTTCACTACACTTGATCTGAGACATGACACAGTTATACAATTTAAATTGAACTGATTACAAGCCGATGAGCCTTTTAATGCTGGAATATTCTTATCAAGTACTGATTTTATCGCTTGTATGTTATTTAGAAACGGACAGGTCTGAGGACGCAGACCAGGAAGAGGCTATTTATCTTGAAGAAGAAGAAGAGGCTGACGACACTATTTTGCAATCAGTATGTTTTAGTTTGTTTGTAGCATGTTTACTGGTCCATTTACTAACTGGTTAATAATAGATTGGAAATGCTATTCATCAGCTGTTTAAAGCCTATGGCGTACATTTCCTTCCCATCTTCCATCATCTTGTGCCTGCTCTGGATGCATGCATGAACTCTGCATATCCATCTGAACGTCGCTTGGCGTTGGATGTGTATCAAGAAATGATCGAGTTTACTCCAGCAGAATCCATTACATATCAACCTCACTTTCTCAAATTCATGATCGAAACCCTGCTTGATCCCGAAGCCCATGTCCGCCAGACAGCAGCATTTGGTATTGGCGCAGCTGCTCTTTCCACTGGTGATTACTATCGCGATATTTGCATTTCATCAATGCCAAAATTACATACTGTTATTACAGCTCATGACGCTCGCTCCGATGAAAACATTTTTGCTACCGAGAACGCTGTCTCTGCCATTGGAAAAATCTGCCAACGGTACGGCGCGACAGGCTTGTTCGATGTCAATCAAGTTCTTCCTATTTGGCTCCAATCACTTCCTATTATTGAGGACCAGGAAGAATTTGGGCCTACATATTCATATTTGTTGGATTTGATTGAAACCGGACATCCTAGTATTCTCCCAGAAGGTTCTACAACAAAAGCAACTCCACAGCTGGCAAAGATTGTTGATGTACTGACACAGGTTTTGGCTATTCCTGGTCTTACTGGACTAGATGGACTAATGGAGCGTATGTTGACGACCTTGAGACGGTTGTTGTCGCAGTGTAATGATGAAACTCGAGGAGGGTTATGGAATGCTTTGCCTGATGACCGTAAAAAGATGTTGTCATCCAAAGGATATTTTTAAATGAGATACGCTGATGTATTGGAATTGATTAAATGATATTTGCAATGATAAAAATGAAACTTGTTATATTCAAGCGGATTGCAGTGCAGTCTAGGATTCTATTTGTCTACAAAACATCAATCTGAAAATGAACCATTCCGTTTTTGTTATTGAGAATGTTGGTTTTACACAACCAAGGAATATCTGACACGAGCATGGATTGAAGAAACTCTGTTGTATCTTAATATCAGATACATTTTCAATCTAGTTCAAGAAACCAATCCCGGGAGTGCAATTATACATGCCGATCACTCAATGTTCGCTTGTAGCGTTCATTTTGGAAAATTGAAGGTTGAACAAATGTCGAGGATTGGAATGTATTGAAACAGGGTGAACATCTACTCGGTATTTTTATACAAGAATGAGCAATGACTATTCAGTAGAGTTCAAGGGTGCAATGTTGCCTAGTAAATTTGGTACTCATCATCTCATGAAACTAGCTGTTTATTATGCATTTAGGAGCCTTTTGGTGTTCCATTTTACGTGAATACGGCAGAGTACCGGGATTCCAACAATCACTAATGTACCTCTATCAAAGCTGTCCGCAATCAGCAATCATGACTTTTTGTTTTGGCTTCCCGCTCTCGGTACCAATCTTGTCCATCTTCATAACTAATTCCAACCCCTCAATGACATGCCCAAATACCACATGCTTTCCATCTAGCCACTCTGCTTTTCCTGTTGTCAAAAAAAACTGACTCGAATTTGTATCTTTTCCCGCATTAGCCATACTCAACACACCAGCTTTGGTATGCTTCAGTATAAAGTTTTCGTCCTTGAACGTTGGGCCGTAAATACTTTTTCCACCCGTTCCATTGCCTTTGGTAATATCCCCACCTTGACACATAAATCCGGGAATAATACGGTGGAATGGTGTGTTGCGGTATCCATAGCCTAGCCTGGAAGTGCATAGAGCATGAAAGTTTTTGCATGTGAGTGGAGTGGTTTCCAGTGCAAGCTGGATTACGATACGACCTGCTGGTTTTCCTCCAATTGAAATGTCCATAAAAACACGATCAGAAATGGTTGTAGGTTGTGAAGTAATGGTAGATGTGGCAGATTCCAGCTGTTTTTGTTTTTTGGCTTTGTGGAGAGCAGCTTCGGCAAATGTGGTTGGCTCTGGTGTTTTTTCTCGCTCTTCTTTAACAGGTTGTGTAGACTCATCTACAGATTCAGCAGTAACCAGTGCTGATCGATTCTCCTCGATCCATTCCTCATCCTCCCAAACTAATTAAAAGGATGCAGATAGTTTCAAACATGAATACATTGATAAATGGATCTCCATCAATAAACACCAGTAATCGTTGGATTTCAATGATCTGGTCAAGTGTATAAAACTTACTTGCACGAGTATGAACTGAGCTAAACTTGATCGGTCGAGCCATATTGACTTTAATTACTCTACCGCAGAGCTCTGCCAAATGCATGTTATCCATTGCTTCCCTAGCATCCTCGGCCAATTCATACTGCACGAATCCAAATCCTTTGTTATTAGCTAAAGACGAATAAAAATGCAAATTCGACCCATTCATACAGTTAGATCCAAAGCAACCAAGACGAATCAGATATATAACACAACATGGCTGAAACTCGATCTTACAGTTTTTTGACTGATGGTTATTGGTGGAATGCGAGTTTCCTTCAGTAGATGTTGGGATATGTACATGGACAATCTCACCAAACGGCACAAAGGCTGCTTCAAGAATCGCTGGGGTGACATTATGTCCCAATGATGCTATACATTGAATAATGCATTATCGCAGTTTATTTAGATAATGGTGAATTAAAGATTAGAATCGACAGTAATGGACATACAAAGCTCAAGTCAGAGATGGCCATTGTAAATGATTAACCACTCTTTTATTAGTTCAAAATACTTACACACAAACACTGTCGTCCGTTTATCTTCCTTTGGTTCTGGCATATTAGTAAATGGATTTGATTGGAATCTGAATTGGCCAAAAATTCAACCTGTTGCATGGCTACAGTTTGGTGGTCTGGCTGTATAAAATAAGGTGTGGATCTGCATATTTACAGATTATTATATTTGATATTTTCAAAACCATCGATTCTAGCAACTTGCAACACCAACTGTATTTACTATAATTCATAATACATGCAAACAGTGCGGGAAAGATCAAAGATGGGATATGACAATGTCTGTTACGCTTTCGGTGGTTCCTTTTCCGCCTAGATCTGGTGTGAGATCATGACCAGATACAAGAGTTTTGTCGACGCTAGCATAAATACGCTTAGCAATATCAGAGTGCCCTATATACTCAAGAAGTAGTGCAGCTGATCGAATGGCAGCTATTGGATTTGCGATTTCTTTTCCAGAAATATCAGGTGCAGATCCATGCACTAGAAAGTGGTTTACAAAAATAAACATTTGAATCAACACTTGGAAGCCTATTGAAGTTACCTGGTTCGCCCATTACAAACGCGCTGCCCACATTGGCACCAGCGACAACACCAAGACTTCCAACAAGAGCAGCAGCAGCATCAGAAATAATATCACCATACAAATTAGGTGCAACAATGACATCAAAGCTATACGGTTGTCGAATCATTTTGTACACCATTGAATCCACTAGCTGTTCATCGAGTGCAATCAAGTTTTTATACTCGGGATACTCGTTCCATACGCGAAACACTGTATCGCGAAACAAGCCATCGGTGATGGAAAGAATATTTGCCTTGTGAACAACGGTGACTTTTGGATGTTTAAAGCATGGTGGAATACTGCCTTCTACCTCTGCAAGGGTTTTACAACGTGAATGATGACGAGCAAGTGCTGCATCGAAAGCTATCTTGGCAATTCTCCTGCTTGCGTAACTGGAAATCTTTCGTTCAGCGAATGCTGTAATAAGTCCTGATTTATGATCTGTTTCAAGTCTTTCGTTCTTGATGTACTATTTTAGCCAATATAGGCCGATAGCGTTGAGTATAATTGAACTTGCCAAGTGAATTTTGGGCTGATCTGGGATATATCAAAAATTGAGGAAAATAAGCTTACCAGACATTCCGTGTTTTCTCTAACAATCAGCATGTCAATTCTGGAATTGGTGTTAGTTGTATATGGATTGAATGGCTCAATGATTGGACGAATATTGGCAAATAAATCAAGCTGTTTTCTCAGAGTTATAATTGGAGAAGTATAGCCTTTTACATGGTGTAGTGGGGAACTAGATGAAATGACAACAGTGAGACCATGATATACGATATGGTTGAATTGATGTATATATGTACCTGACAGCACCAAAGAGAGCTCCATCACACTTTGATTTCAAGCACTCGATAGTTTCTTGAGGTAGAGCAATGCCAGTTTTTTCAAAGTGCTCGAACCCAGCATCTAGATGGATTAGGGATGGTTTAAAAGGTAGAGCTGCGTTCAATACTTTGCAAGCAGCCTAATACATTCAAATATATGAATAATATTAGTTGGTAAAACACTCGAATACAATACTGATTATGGAGTATAAATAGTATATTTCTTTAATCAAGGTCAATATTAAGATTACCGGAATAACTTGCTTTCCTATTCCATCAGCAGGAACAATACCGATCGTAAGATCACTCTTAAACCTGGAAGGCTTTATGGTTTGAATAGTGGAGAATGGACAGCAGAGATAGTGAGAATAAGACTTTTTGGCTGTATGGGGATAGTTTGATAAAAGATGTCTCCCAGTAGTGAACATGGCTTGAATAAAAGACTTTAATCAACTCGACTCGAAAACAATTCAAACAATAATGAATGCATTTATCGATATACATGACAAGTTTATTAGATAGGAATGGATGCACTCAAACTGGTCATATTCTCTGCTACAATCTTGTCCAGCAATTCACTATCCAACAGATTCTCATATCCATAATTATGATGAATTAGTTTGATGAAATCTCGAGCATTTCCTATCATCGCATATATTGCACGGCTCCAATTAGCACGAATAAGCTTTCAAAATCAAATCCAACACGCTGGGCTTACCTATCAACTCGCCCGATTCGACCCATATAAGCTGGTCAAGATCATAAGGATTTCGTATTTTTCTATCTCGTGCTGGCCGTATATTCCATGCATATTGATTAAACATTTCGGGGACAAATAGCTTCCAGGACTCATCCGTATGAAGAATAACTTTTACATGAAAATCAGGTAGATTCTCTTGTAAAAAGTATCCCATCATTTCCACCTATTGAAACAGTGATCATGATCAATATGAATTCAACCAAACCATCTACCAAGCAGTGCTGCATACCTGTGCAAACTCAGAATCGCTTGCTTTTCCAGCCAGAACAAATCGAGCCATTTTCGATTAAGTTGTCAGTTTGAGCGTGGATTCTGCTTTAGATTTCATTGGGGTTCCACGTGACTGCTCAAATTACAGTTTTTTAATCAAGACGAGCCAAATCTGCGATGGTTGATTTACTTTGAACCTTGCATTCAACTGGCTGTATAAAGTCTATCTTGCTTGATCTCTATTTTATATTTTCAAGTCATGAGCAGTGGTACTGAATATAGCGAGGCAGGCGATGACTACGCTCCCCTGAAAACGGTATTTACCATCAGCCTTGGTTCTATTGATGATTATCTTTGGCTAAAATGCTATCAACTCATGTGCATGTACTGGATCGACCCATTATATTTGCTAGACTGCTGCTTCCAAAAAGATTGCTGTTGCAAAACCTAAAAAGGCTCCCGCAAAATCAAAAAAAATACTGGCCAATGTATCTGCTGCTGGACTCGGTGATGCTGCTGCTGCTGCCGAACCTGATGGATTCGATTCTTTTTCCGGTTCGTTATCTGCTTCTTCCAAAAAGCAAATTCCTGTAAAAGGTGGCAAGTCTATCGAGGAAGTGAGTTGTGCAAGATCTTGTCCGCATGTTTAAATCTAATGAGTTGTTTGCATTAACTTGATATGTCCGAACTAATACACTCAAATGTCCGAACCAATGCATCCACAGCACAATCTAAATCATATTTTAATCTTCTTGTTTTGCTGCTATACAGATTTATCAGAAAAAAACTCAACTGGAGCATATCTTGATTCGTCCTGATACATATATTGGATCGACGGAATTCATCAATACCCCGCTCTGGGTGTTTGATGGCGAACGCATGGTTCATCGCCCTATTTCTTTTGTTCCAGGTCTTTACAAAATTTTTGATGAGATCATTGTCAATGGTAACGTTTTTTCAAGCTATTCGGCTGTTTCTTGAAGATGCCATCTTTCCATGGTAAAACACACTAACTTGTTGCAATTTTAAACCAATATATTTATCCATAAAATAGCTGCTGACAACAAGGTATGAATTTAATGCCATAGTATTACCAGAATTACACGTCACTGACAACTTATTGTATGATATCGTTTGATTTGTTCAAGGTGCGAGATCCCACTATGGACACTATCAAGATTTCCATTGATCGTGAAAAAAATACCATTTCAGTCTACAACAATGGCCGTGGCATTCCCATTGAAATCCATGCCAAGGAACAGATATATGTCCCTGAACTCATCTTTGGACATCTGCTCACCTCGTCCAATTACGACGATGATGAGAAAAAAGTTACCGGTGGTCGCAATGGCTATGGTGCCAAATTGTGTAATATTTTTAGCACTTATTTTATGGTTGAAACTGCCGATTCCCGTTCAGGAAGAAAGTTTAAACAGGTATATTGATTGCGTTGTTCTATTTCAACTATTCGACCTATAACTCATTCAACTTTGGATTGACTTTTTTCAATCAAATCATAACATTACACAGGTGTTTTCAAACAATATGAGTTCCAAGACTACTCCCACAATCACTCAGAATAACAAAGGAGAAGATTTTACTCAAATCACTTTCAAGCCCGATCTTGAAAAATTCAAAATGACAGTTATTGATGATGATTTTGAAGCTCTTTTAAAAAAACGGGCGTACGATCTGGCGGGGTGTGTTCGAGGCATCAAAGTATTCCTCAACAATACTCGTATCAAGATCAAAGACTTTAAGGACTATGTTGACCTTTATCTTGATAATGTCAATCCAGAAACGGGATTAAAACCTCCGATCGTGTACGAAAAACTCAACGACCGTTGGGAAATTGCATATACTCCAAGTGATGGTCAGTTTAACCAAGTCAGCTTTGCTAATAGTATTTGCACTAGTAAAGGTGGAACTCATGTCAACACTATTGCGGATCAGATTGTTACTGGACTGATGGATCAAGTCAAGAAAAAGGACAAAAAGGCTGTTCCTCTCAAACCCCATCAAGCCAAGTCTCACATTTGGATATTTGTAAACTGCCAAGTAGAAAACCCCACATTTGATTCGCAAACCAAGGAGACTTTGACACTTCGCACTAGCGCTTTTGGATCTAAAACCCCAATTTCTGAAGAGTTTATGAAAAAAGTGTTCAGGTCTGGCATCATTGACACAATTATGAAGTTTGCCAAGTTTAAACAAGATCAGCTATTAAAGAAAACAGACGGATCGGGTAAAAAGTCGCGCATTAATGGCATCACCAAATTGGATGATGCCAACAACGCTGGTACTAAAAATGGCGGAAAGTGTACTTTAATTCTTACTGAAGGTGATTCTGCCAAGTCGTTGGCTGTGTCCGGTCTGTCTGTGGTTGGACGTGATAATTTTGGTGTGTTTCCTTTACGTGGTAAACTATTGAACGTGCGTGAAGCGACACATGCACAGATCACTGGAAATGCAGAAATTAGCGCTATTAAGCAGATTCTTGGATTGCAGCATGGCAAAGTATATGAGGATGCCTCTACGCTTCGGTATGGTCATTTGATGATCATGACTGATCAGGTAAATTTGATTATTTAATTAGCTGAAATCATGAGCTTTCAAAAGCTAATTTTATCCGACTTTTGTTTTTGCACATTAGGATCATGATGGCTCTCACATCAAAGGCCTTATTATCAACTTTTTAGATCATTTTTGGCCTTCTCTGCTTTATATTCCTGGGTTTCTTTTAGAATTCATCACCCCTATTGTGCGAGCTACAAAGGGTAAAGGCCACAACAAGCAAGAAATCTCTTTTTTTACAATTCCCGAGTTTGAACAATGGAAAGAAGTCAACAGTGGTGGACGTGGATGGACCACTAAATACTTCAAGGGTTTGGGTACCAGCACGACTGCTGATGCCAAGGAGTACTTTTCGGACATGAACAAGCACTTGAAGCCGTTTTGCCGACTAGATGATGAATCCCGTGAACTCATTGATATGGCATTTAACAAGAAAAAAGCTGATAGTCGTAAGGAATGGCTCGGCCGCTTTCAGGTGTGCTGCTGATTTGTTTTATTGTCAACTGGATTTGGTTTTAAATATCTGTGAATTTTGAGGTTTATGCCAACCACTTACAACTTTGCATTTTGATAAACAGCCCGGCACATACATGGACCATAGTGTTACAGAAATCTCCTTGCCTGATTTTATCAACCGTGAGCTCATTTTGTTTTCAATGGCTGATAATGCTCGATCTATTCCCTCAAGTGTCGATGGATTCAAGCCTGGCCAGCGCAAAATTTTATTTGCCTGTTTCAAACGAAATCTAAAATCTGAAATCAAGGTAGCGTTCAAGCTTATATCCATATGATAGTTTAAATGACTTGCATTCAAATCTGTTTATTTTTTTCCGAAACTAGGTTGCTCAGCTTGCTGGTTATGTTGCTGAGCATTCAGCCTATCATCACGGCGAACAGAGTCTCAATGCGACCATTGTCAATATGGCACAAAATTTTATTGGCAGTAACAATTTGGGTGTGTTGGAGCCACTTGGTCAATTCGGTACTCGTTTACAGGGTGGAAAAGATGCTGCCTCGCCTCGTTATATTTTCACCAATCTGACACCACTTGCACGAACAGTGTTCCATCCGTCTGATGATCCTCTCTTGACCTATTTGGTTGATGATGGCCAGAATATTGAACCAGAGTGGTATTTGCCAGTGTTGCCTATGCTGTTGGTAAATGGAGCCGACGGTATTGGAACAGGTTGGTCATCTTCGATTCCAAATTACAATCCAAGGGATATTGTCGAGTGTCTACACCGTTTGATGCGTCATGAGGAGCTTTTTGAAATTCATCCTTGGTACCGAGGATTTAGTGTAAGTAAATTTGGATATAATTTTAAATACCAATCATTTCATTTTTTCAATCATGCACTTTGTATACTTATACATGCTGGGTGTATCTACATATAGGGAAAAATTGAAAGGGAAACACCTGAAAGATACAAAGTGACTGGATGTATTAGAAAAATTGATAGCAACACTGTTGAAATCACTGAACTCCCGATTCGAACATGGACCCAATCGTATAAGGAGCAGCTTGAGGCATGGCTTACAGGAACCGAAAAACAAACTGCTTGGATCAAGGATTACAAAGAGTATCATACCGACTCCAAAGTTCATTTTATCGTGACGCTTACCGATCAGGCCATGTCGCTTGCCGAATCTGAAGGACTTGAAAAACGGTTCAAACTTATCAGCTCAGTTTCGGTTTCTAATATTGTTTGCTTTGATCTTGAAGGTCGTATTAGAAAATACGATGGTGTTCAAGACATCATCAAGGACTTTTACGAACTGCGGTTGAGCTACTACCAGAAGCGTAAGAATCATATGCTGCAGACGCTGACGTTTGAATACGAGCGGTTGGAAAGCAAAGTCAGGTTTGTAACAGAGATTATTACTGGAAAACTTGTGGTGCAAAATCGAAAGCGTATTGATTTGTTGAAGGAGTTGGTTACAAGAAAGTATAAGCTGATTCCAAAGAAAAAAGCTGGTTCTGAAGCGACCAACGGTAGTGAAGGATCTGACGATGCTAACGATGGGGACGAGTCCGTGCAGGATGATGATCCACGACAGGGATATGATTATCTTCTTTCAATGCCCATTTGGAATCTTACGTGGGAAAAGGTACAACAGTTGCAAAAGGAAATGCAAGATCGGGAAGACGAAATCAAGGCATTGATTGGCAAGACAATCCATGATTTATGGCGGTTTGATTTAGATGCATTCCTGGCTCAATGGGATTTATACGAGTCTGGTTTAAATCAGCTTGAATCTTATCGACCGGATAATTCCACTAGTGCCATGGATGGATTACACAAAAAAAATGGCGGAACAGCTGCAGCAAAGAAAGCCATGGCGGCGATTTCACGCAAGGCAAAAAAGGTTGCCAACAACAAACGTGATAGCGATGACGACTTTGATGATGATTTCAAGCCTATCGACAAACATTTTGCTTCCAATAGTGATGGTTCCAAGGCACCTAAGCCTGCCTCTGTTCGTGCACCAACTATAAAAACTGAACCCAAATCACAGTCGCTGATATCCAACTTTGTTACCAAAACATTGCCTACTGCTTCAGAAAGTGTGTCTTCCAAACGCGACTTTGCAAAGCTCGAGTCCGTTGATACTACTATATCTCCAGATACTAGTATGGATAGTATTATTCACAGCGTGAAATCCAACTCATCTGATCCCGAGCAGGCACCTAAACGCCGATTTATTGGAGGTAAAAAAGCTGCTGTGCCCACAAACCAAGAACTCAAGCAAGCCGTATCAAAAACTTTGAAAAAACCCATTCAAATGGTTGTGAGCGATGAGGAGAGTGATATTAAGAAAGCGAGTGAGTTTGATATGCTTTTGTCTAGCCCATCCAAGGTATTGAAACCTGCTAAAAAGACGGCTCCATCCAAATCAAAAGCAGTTGGTAAGCAAGCATCTATCAAAAAGATTGACGATGAGATTGATCAGGATACAGACAGTACTCATGTGCAATCTACTAGCCAGTCGCTAGCCAGATTGAAATCGGTCAAAATTCCTGCAACAAAAAAAGTGAAGAAAGAGATTGTGGTATCGGATGATGACAGTGCTTCTGAATCATTTGGTAAAAGTGATGAAGATGATGATTTTAACTTTGATAGTGGTTTGGACGAGGATGTAAAACCTGGAAAATCCAAACCGAAACCTTCCAAGACCTCTGCTGCCTTGAAATCCAAACCAAAGGCTACTGCATCAAGAAAAATGGTCGACTCGGACGATGACATGGAAAAGTCTGATAATATTCGTGTTGGCCGTGCTACTGCACGTAAAGTAACTTCGTATCGTGTAGATGACGAAAGTCAAGCTTCTGAATCTGACTAGGCGATTTATGTATGTGTGAGTAAAACTACTCGTTTTCAATAAATTAAAATGTGATCTGTATCTACAAGGATTATAATCCGCTGTAATGCTTTGGTGTATGCCATGAATTCGCTTTGAAAAATACACATGCCAAGTTTGATAAATTAATCGAGCAAAATTGTTAAATCGACTTTATTCAAGCCAAATTTAAAAGAACAGTGCCAAGTTGGATATGAGGCAGGGGAAACATTCAGAATCAAAGTAAAATATCTGTAAAAAGGTTTCGAGAGCCCCAAGTCATGCCGGTTAAGAATATAATCCTCATACACAATATCTGATTTGATTATTCTTCCGCGGGTGGGTTCTGTCGAATGAATTTGTTGTGCGCCGATCCAATTGGTTCCAGTCAGTGTGGTTATGATGGCAGATTGAGTCAAAAGTCAGACCAGTTGGTTTGTAAACAACCTGAAGGATTATATCCGAGTCAACCATGGAAAATTTTACTTACAGGAACAAAAACATCGTTCTTGAACAGAGGATCAGTACCCCAGGGGAAAGGCTGTAGTTACAGAGTAGATTAGCTCCAAGTTCAATAATTATCTCAATATCGACACATTGACCAGAGATCTGAAAATGGCAATTCTTACATTCTTCTGCTTCTTGAGATGGGGCCATGGAATATACTCGTTGGGGTGCTCGTACTTGTGTTGGATATGAGCTACTTCACCTGGAACAAGCCACCAAGCGGCCAAAAGCATACCAGGAAGAAAGAAAAACACATTGAGGTAGTACCATGTTTTGGCAGATGCTAGTAGTGAATGTTAAAGTATTAGAGGTTGAACAAGATTGGTTGTAGAGATTGCCATGGTTTAGAATAATCAATGCCAATAAAAAGATTAGTTGTTAGCTAAACCCATCAGTCACTATATCAAGGTGCAAGAACTCATGCAGAGTAATCGACACCAACAGTCAGCATGAATCATTTCAAAAAGGTTTCTTTGACATCTACGCACTCGCGGCAGGATCACTCACACTTTGCGTGCATACGAGCAGCGTAAGCCTCCTTGAGCATGGTATGCTCGACAGGAGGAAAAACCTTTCCACAGTTGACGGTGGACATGGGTGCTCTGCGCACCATCATAGAGGCGGCTGCGGGTCTTGGCAGCAGTGACAGGAAGCGACTTGCAAACATTAGTTGTTGGTTGAGTGCAGTTGAGCTGCTGCAATGAAATCACTTGCTTGTCACATGACTTCGCGTGACTGAGTTGATTCTATTCACTTGAAGCTAATTTGCATTCACAGTAGTAAACATGGCCTTTGCATCCCCAACTCGTTCTAGACATACTTTGTCAGCCACTACTATAATGGGCCACAGAAAACATGGCTCTGGGGTTGCTGCTACAAACAACACTCCCTTATCCACCGACTCTATCACTCTTGTTCAGACTCCTTCTTCCACTGAAACACTGAAGCCAAAAATCATACGCGACCACATGGCCGGATCTATTCATCCTCATTCCTCTTTCAGATATAATGACAATGGCCGATATTTCACTCAAGAGCCATCTAAACCTGTAGTTATATTCCACGACTATACATCGCAGCGCATTCCTACTCCAGATTTGTTGAAACCAACTTTGAATAAACCAGTTGTGCAAGATACACAAACTACAGCTTTACCATCTAACCAAACCAAAGCCTCGCGAGCATCAGACTTGTCACAGCTCACTGGATGTACACATTCAAGAGATAAGCCATTACAGCTACCAAATTCTACCTCCAAGCCATCAAAAAAATCATTGACAAAAAACCCTGCCAATTCAAAAAGCTCTAAACCAACCAAGCACAATCATATACTTTATAAAGTAGACAATAATTCTCAAATTCATATTCCCAATCAAGTCCTACACAAGCATGCTCACAAAAAAGGGCCAACAAATATCTGGAATTTTATCGACACGTATCCGTCTCTAGCAACCAAACTTCTTTCATCAAAAAAAGAGATGGTAGCTGCACAGATCATTCGAGCGCACGAGACAAAAATGCATGCTAGACATGCACGTGAATGTAGACAGTTGGACGAAGCAAATCAAAAAGTGCTTAATGAAGTCATGCAGCGACGGATAGATATTGACGATTGCTTGATTAAAAAAGTGGATGGCATGAGTGAAGAAGTTCGGGAAGCTGTAGTCAAGGATTTGGCAACTCGATATCCGTTAAGGGAAGCAAAAATCAGACGCAAAATGGATCATGCTAACCAGAGTGTACAAAATCGACATAAATCTGTTTCTGTTCATCACGTTGCCATCAAGTCTAAATCTGACCAGCCTGAACATCAATTACGCACAATTCAAAACGTCAACAAGTTGATGCATGTAGGTCAACATGGTATGAGAGATCAAGCCAATAAGGCTGAGACTAAAAGTAGTTTACGCCGTATTTTACATTCTGTCTCCGACTCGAATCTACCTGTGAAAATTCAATCGGCTCAGATTAAAAAAAATGAAGGTGTGATGCAGCAAAGCAAAGAACCAAGATCACCTGCAAGAGTATTGCCAGCTTGGGGAATCAATGGCGTTTATGACTCTGATACGGCTAGTCTTGTTCCAGACGAGAATCGGTCTTTTGAAAATGCAATAAAACATGATCGGCAAAGCACCCTGTCGCTTAATGTTGACAACACATTAAAGCTTGCCAATGAAGACTGTAGATTGAGCCTCGTGGATGGTTCAGTTATTGACTCGAGTCCTTTAAATTCTGACAAAAAGGTAGAATTGCAAACTATCGACACGCACAAGGTGCGCTTATTTGGCAGTATTGGAACTTGAAATGCTAATGCTTGAATTATAGGAGCATAAAGTCGACGATGTGGCATCCCAACTGGATCTTTTTGTGGCAAATACACAACGGTCGGAAAAAGTAGCCAAAGCATTTTTATCACTGGACCATTCAGCAGAGCATAATAGTGGTGGCTCAGAATTGACTCTAGATATCAGGGCTCAATATGTGCAATTTAGAGATGAATTACAAAGCAAAATAGTGCAACTTATGGCAATGTACAATTCGTTTTCTCAATACATTGGTAAGAAGAATTGCATAGTGACATGTAGATTTAAGTTACTAATGTTGAGTTTTAGATGATGTCGTGGATGAGGAACAGATGCGACGAGAAAAAATACAGCGTGATGGTTCGTAACAGTAATTTAATAAAAATGATATATTTCCAAACCGCATGCTCGAGTTTAGTACGATTGAATTGAATGGATTGTTCATGAATTCGTTTTAAAGTTGAGCAAAGCATGGCTTGATACCTCCAGCAGAACAAATGTTCCATTTATGGCTGTTATTGCACTCTTCACGTGGATGCACATGACACAAGGCAGATTTGCGGTTGAAATTTCCAATTTTTTTCTAGTTCAAAATAACAAGTCGACGAATTTCAGCAACTCTCAAGCCAACATCGCCATGGGTTTATTTGAAGAATCATGGACCTACTCTTATCCTTGGGGAATACTGACATCTGCAAACTTTCAAAAGTATCCCAACGAACATGCCAGCCATGTCCTCTCTGTTGACGTCCTGGAACGTTCCGTCAATCCTCAGTCTGGCATCATCACATCCACTCGCCTTCTGCGGTGTAAGCAAGCCATGCCTTCTATCATCCGTCGTATCGGCTTTGACACTCCAGAAGAAACATTTTTTCTTGAGACAAGCACTCTTGACCCTAGTACCCAGCAGTATACTGCAAAGACTGTCAACCTATCTATGCGTTCGCTTTTTACTGCCGAAGAAACTTGCATTTTCAAGCCAGACCCCTCTAACCCACTGCAACATACTAGGTTCTCCCAACGGGCAGAAATCACTACAGTTGGTGCACTAAGTTGGTTTTCTAGAATTATTGAAGATGCTGCCGTTTCGAGGTTTAAAGCAAATGCTGTCAAGGGAAGGCAAGGATTAGAAAGCGTGATCAAAGCAGTGGTGGATGAGGCCCAAAACGTAGAGGCACATGTAGCTGATGGACTACGGTAAGCGTATTATGATGATTGTTCTAGTGATGCATGCTATGTTAATACACAAGCAACCGTTTAATGACTTTTGACTAATATTTTCCTCATTTTGCTGGTGCTGAATTGATCAATTGTTATGGAACTAAATGACTAATGCGCTACCCGACATTATGCGCATTGATCACTATTATAGATCACTGCCATCTCTTGGCTAACTACTAGAACGATTGACTCGCTTGTTCTATCCTATCTGCAGTTCCTTTAATACTGGAGATTCGTTTGAAAATGTTTTGGTTGATCACTTTCCCTCAGCTCATACCCTCCTCTGTTACTATCAGTTACAAGCAGTCTTTTTGGATAGTCTACGGTGGACCTGTTGACAATCAACTTTAAAATGTTGCGAGGCGATCAACTACAACACCTATTATTATTGAAATAAATCTACCTATTGCATTTAATTCAACCGTAGTACTGATTTTTGGACTAGTTTGCAGTGTATTCACAAATGCAACATCAAACAGCCAGTTCCCACTAAATTCAATAAACAGCATTATCCACTTTAAACTCCTCAGCAAAGCCAAGTGGTTTTTGGTGGTCGGCATGGAACACCCGCTGCATTCCCTGACGGCAATCTTGTTCTCTTGAACTAGAGCGCGAGCTCGAATTTTAGGATACGGCAATGGCTTCAATTGAAGATCGATCTGAATGTATTGTACAATGGCTGTGTTGGATTGAAAACGACAATCTTTAATATCAAGACAGCGAATGTTCAAGCATTTTATTCAAAGCAAAAACGATTGCAGATAAACGATTCATTTTATGCAAATACTTTGCAAATTCAATTGGCATGACGAGTCCGGCATTCTTTTTCAACCCATTCATTGAAAGATCGGAACAATGGCTTTGCATGGTGCTCGATCTGTAGCGTCATGGAAACAGAGGCTGGCTAGCAAGACTCTCGAGTGTATGACCAGGGGCTTTGGTCCTGCACATACTCCACACGGCCAAGTATGTATATTGTAAGTTGCATCAAGCACTCGAGTGATGACTAGTTTAACTGGGATTGCAACTGACAACTGCTGTAAATATAGTCGAGGAGATATCACCGAGCTACCTGTTGATGCTATTGTCAATGCTGCCAACAATAGTCTGCTTGGTGGTGGTGGAGGTACATATCACTCGGATTGTTATCCAATAATATCTTGATCATTCTTATTCATATATTCTTGCATTCAATCATCTAGTGGACGGAGCTATTCATCGCAAGGCAGGCAGAGAGCTCTTGGAAGAATGCATTAAACTTGACGGATGTCCTACTGGCCAAGCCAAACTTACTCGGGGCTATAATCTTCCATCACCACATGTCATTCATACAGTGGGTCCGATAATCCGTGGCAACCAACTTCAGCCTAATGTCCTTGCAAGTTGTTATACCGCCAGTTTGAATGTAGCAAAACACAATCAGATCAAAAGTATTGCCTTTCCTTGTATTTCTACAGGCATATATGGATATGATCAAGATTCGGCTGCTCATGTGGCTCTCGGAACTGTTAGGCAATGGCTGATGGAGAATACTGATACAGTCGATTTGGTTATATTCTGTGTATTTTTAGAGGAAGATTACCAGATCTACTCAAGGTTAATCCCGGAATATTTCACTGGAATCAAAAATGATTCATCTTCAACTCCCGATCGATAGTAATACGTCAATTGATTGAATAGATGCCGACTTTTGATGATGCTTGCAAGGCTGTCACACTTTTACTATCATCTCAATACCCAATTATAAACCCAACCATCTTTTCTATCATTGCTGTTAAAAATAAAGTTTAGTGCCTCTTCCATCAAATCGCTCCAAAAACTGCTTTTCCCATCGTTGCTGATCCAGCCATACTGGAACAATACAGTTCAACATTTTCGGATGCACCTCGACAGTAATCGATTCATAAGACACCTCTTCTCCACTCACATCCATGATCCCTGGGTTTCTGGTTGATGCAATACGCGATACTCCCAGTGATTTTGCAGCTGAAGATTGACTTCCATCTCCAGCAAAATCTTGGGTATTCTTGGGTATTTTATAGACATACGGCTCAGGTTCAATTACAAACGCCACAGCTTTTGCTTGCCGAGTCGAATCAAACGTCAAAAACTTTCCTGTTTCCTGATCAAGAATCGCCAAGAGTGTCTTTTGCGCACCCATATCCTCTGACCATACAATCTGCATCTGTCCATCATCGCTTTTAATTGATGGTGCAACAAGAAAATCTGAGGATATGTATGGATGTTTTGTTGCAACAAAGAGCTGGAGATAGGGATTGATATGAATTGGCCAATTTTTGTATGCCTGCGAGTCTGCGCTGGTGTAGAGCGACGGTGGTCCAACAGCTGTTTCAAGTACCAGTATTGACATATTTAAACATTAATCAGAAGCTGAATATGCCATTTAAAAGAGGTGGATAGATTGTTTCCCCCATATATGCAAATATCTGAAGCAGTTTAAAACATTACATTTTTGCACAGCATTCTTTTCCAATTTATAGTGACTGGCCTCTTCTGCCGTTAGTATGTGCACATTTGCTTTATAGTTTCTAAACTTGAACAGCCTCACAATGGCAGCAAGTATAAATCGACTTGTGCCAATATACCTGTACTTGTCGGATTCAATATCTATGTCTGCAAGAAATGCAAACATGACCAACAAATGTGAGAACATCCTAGTGTTGTTCTGAGTATATGAAAAGATGTCTATTGACTTTGTATGACCTAATTTCAAGTTTTAAAAGTAGCTGATTAGTACCATTTGTAAATCTACATAAAATGTATACACTGGTTACATGCGATTAAAACACGGCTTACATTTGAGTGTAGCAAGAGTTCCCAGTTCGGCAAAGTTTAGATCAAGATTTTTACTCATGGCGTTGGATGAGCCTAGCATAGCCAGTATTCGGATTAGCAACTATACCAATTGGATAAATGATTAGAATTCAACACTATACATACCAGCACCAATAATCCCAACAGGTAATCTACGAGCAGCGTCCCAATCTGTCCTTGTAAACAGCCCATTGATAAACTCGTGAAATACTCCATCGCCTGAAATTGTAGTAGCGCATTTATATTGATTCACATCAAGTGTTTGTGCAATTTTGGTTGCATGCATAGGTGCTTGTGTTTCTATTAACACCATCAAAGATAAGCTGTCACACTTAGCAGATGGCTTGAAACTGACTTTTAATCTATTTTAAACAATGATATTTACCAATGAGCTGGTGATGATCCCTGTAGCCAGCCATGCACATAAAAGGAAAGATGGTATCATGGTAGCATGATTTTGCCTTTTTAACTCCACCGTGTGGATTCAGAATAAACAGGATTTTTTTTTCTAGATGCATGTGATGGCTTTACAAGTCAATGACAGATACAAGCATTGAATGGCTGTACAGCTTCAATACCATTATAGCTATAGTAAACCTACCAAGTCTATCCGGATAGAGTTTGTTGAGGACTGTATCGACAGCTGTCTTGGCTGCGTCTGCGTCTACCGACCGAAACTTGATTATCCTCAATACTGGCTTCTTGGTATCCCCTAAAGGTGTTTTGACCACCTCAAGAATAAAAGTAGCCCATATACCGGTCGGTATGGACGAGATTGTATCTACAACAGCAGAGTAGGGCGAGGGTGTAACACATGCATACAGTCTTGAAGCCATACCCATTTGACAAGGAAAGCGAGTGTTTGGACTAATGTGTGCTGCACCTACTATATACTCCAGCATAACAGATTTCTCTATCATAACATGCGTCGAGTTATTGAAATGCCATTAGCAAAAATGGTAATGCTAGCCTATAAGCTTACCGCCTGTTTTGGCTGTCCATTGCAGATGAGTATCGTTCATTGTTACATTGGACTGGATTTCAGTGGATCCTGCATGCATCGAGTCAAACAGCAACGTATGAATACCTAACATTCGTGAATGAGTTGATTCGGGAAACTTGCAAATAGCTGTACATTTCCTGTAATGATTACGACGCATTGAATCCAGTTATAATAAAAGCCAACCTTTTATTTAATTCTCCAACTTAAACTTTCCATAACAAGCAATCTCAGCCCTTCATCCATGAGCATTCCAGATACAATGCCAAAAGCAATACATCCCATTCCTACTGCTTCTAAACCAACAATCACATCGCTACTTGCATTGAATAGATGCAGCACACCGTGCTTGATATGCCCAATCTGAGATGTACTGGAAATCATTAAACTCTTTCTGGTCCATCTCGCCCAGTACCGAGCTAATCGGTGTCAACACAGGCTGTTCGGACGTGAACTCCTTGTCAAAATTAGACACGTCAAATGTGCCAGCCTAAACATTCAAACATATTTACATTTAGTAATAGCAAATATGTGAAAAAATACGAGTCTATTGTGCAAAGACAAATCAGCTTACAATTGTAGGAACAAAGGGTGCAGTCATTTCTTTTCTCATTAATGCTGCCCAATCTACATTTACAAAATAAGGATGCTTCTTGACTTCTTCTGCGTCAGCGCTTCCTCCTCCCAGTCGACGAGATGGTACCTTGTTCATAAGCTGCTCACACGTCATCAAAAAATAACTTTGTGTTAGTCTCATAATCCTCTACCCGATACAGTATTTTAAATAAAATTGATCATTGGTGCTCACTGATTGTAAGAGCGACAGTGTGATGCGTGGCATATTGGATGGATATTCAATCGAATCTGACAAAATGGCTTCCAGAATATCGTTTTCATCCTCACCATGGAAAGGATACTATCAATAATGTCAAGGATATTAGCAATCAAATTGAATTGTGCCAACTCGAATCATTTGAAAAGTCCAGGTCTACTTACGCGGCCAACAAGCATGACAAAAATAAGTACACCAAATGACCACCAATCAACAGCAACGCCGTATCGTCGGTTCATCAAAATCTCAGGGGCCATGTAGTCGGGAGTACCACAAAACGTTGAAGTAGTAGCACCATATGGCATATTTGCCTTACATATACCGTAATCAGCTACTTTGATGTGTCCATCTATCCCCAACAAAATATTATCAAGTTTCAAATCACTGTATACACCCGCAGGTCAGTTAGCCAAGTATTACAGTCTCCGTATTTAAATCAGACAAAAAATCATACCGATAAACAATGTTGTTAAGGTGAAAGTACTGTAAAGCAAGCAATACTTCACAGGCGTAAAACCTCGTACGCGCTTGAGAAAAGCGCTTCTTGTCTTGAATGTGACACATCAAATCTCCACCAGCAACATATTCCATGACAAAATAAATGCGAGATTCAGTTTGGAAGCTTGAGTGAAGATTCACCATAAATGGATGATGCTCAGCTGAAGCAGCCTGGAAAATAAACTTTTCAAGCTTGGTACTAGATTGGACAAACATGAAATTAAAGCTCTGCTGTGAATAAACAGGACAAGTCTAATATGTACCTCTTGACATCATCGTTTTGAATAATAAACTCTTTTTTTAATGCCTTGATGGCATAGACTTGATTTGTAGTCTTTTCAGTGGCAAGCATAACCTACAACCAATTCAATCAGAAATCATGTACATAAATAAATACAACAACACCCTAGTTTTAAAATAGCAACCTTTCCAAAAGCACCGCGACCAAGAACAGCAACGAAATGGAAGTCCTCGAGCGTAACATCTTTAGGTGGCATCTTGATTTTGAGAGAAGAGGTTCGTGCTGAAACATGGAAATCAGTCCCAGAAGGTCGTGGCTAATATATCAAAAATAAAATAAAATCCGTGTACTTTGAGCATTAGCCTATCTTCGGTATCCATAAGCACGCCAAACAGCAAAATAATAACTTACAGATCTATCAATAGATTTTCGAAAGCTTGGTGAAGATTCTTTGATTGGAGGAGGAGTAGGTCCCGGTATCTTATTGATAGACTCAAGATTGGAAGTGCCCATAGCAGGTACAGGAATAGCAACTCCGTCTGAGACTGTGTGGCTTACATCCTCACCGCCAATCCTTTCAGCTGAAAACTCGGCACTGTCCGTGCTAGTAACAGAATCAAATATCGGCATGATTGTACGAGATTTTTCAGCCTCTTCTAGTTCCTTCTGAATCATTTTCTTTTCATGCTCGTCAAAGGCTGCCATAAGAGTATCTGCCATATCTGGTGCCAACCCGCAAAAGTAAGGCACCATCATGGAGCATTCTTTATGGCTACTGCGAGAGCACTCTGAGCATCGATGAATTTTCCGACCTGGAGGAATTAGGTATCCACAGTGGACGCACCATGCGGCAAGGAGATTGGTAACATTATCCCATCTGTGAGGTATCTTATACTTCAAAAGCTGGCCTGTGTTTTTATCCTCCACCTGATTACCACAAGAATATGTACGTGTAAAAAGGCTAATCAGAAATCCATCAAAGCAATTTTCTAAAAACCAATCTCAGTTCCTTGCACTTACAGTGTTGATTTCTTCAGAACTAATGCACTTTGTAATCACACGGTGATGGCACTTGGGATGAACAGTATACCGGCAAGCTATGTGCAATATTTGTGTTAGTTTAACAAGTTTGATCAAATCAGATATATTTATAGACTCACTTTGACATTGATATCCCTGGCGGCCAAGAAATTCGTTGCAAAAAGCACACTGCATAACTTGGTAAAATTGCATTGCAAAAAATCTATGTCCATTGCGAGGGTATATCTTCTGTACAGGATTGCGACGGAAAATACGATCCTTTTCTGTTTTGGATCTTTGAACAGAGGCTATTTGGTTGATGAGTAGATTGTCCAAAGTAATTTCATGTTAGAATTTAAAACAAAAAACATGGTTTAAACCAAAAGATAGGTCCTGTAGCACGTTACCAAAACTGAGCTTGATATGCAACTGGCCGCTTGGCTCCATCTCTAACCAAGTCTCTGGCACAGTATCCATACTTGATGGCCTATTGATTCCAAACCGCTTTTCCAAATTTTCGTCCAAATCTGCTATCTTGAACCAACACATGGCAAGCAGCGCGCCGCTTTTCTCCAATATATTGATTTCAACTTCCAGTGCTTTATCTACTGTCAAATCCATAGACTCTTCCCACTTTTGTCTACTTGGACGAGTAGTGTATTTTAAAACACTGTCTACTAGCACTTGAGCAATGATTTCCTCACGCTGTGATTTTCTACCAGTGATGTTGGCTGCACCAATAACTTTAACTGAAAGTTTTCCTGTTTTACGTTTTGATGATTCTATTCACCAAAGTTCAAAATTCAGATTAACCATGTGTTCCAAGTACGACATGGTCAGGTATGCTACACAAATCAAAACACAATAGTACTTGCCGTAGATATGAGAATCATCTTCATGCTCATTATCTTTCAGATAGATCTGATCTAGTTTGGTTTTTGCCTTGAAAAGCAGCATCTCCTTGACTTTAGCCTCGGCAAGACGCTGATCCAATCGTGCCTTTCGTTTAGGATCATCATTGATTGTGGAGCCAAGAGCTGCCAACATATTCTCTGTTCCTGTCCGCACCTTTTGTTCAATGTCTAGTTTTGATTGAATTTTCTTGACACGGAATTGAACCTGCTCAGCTGTGATGGCAGCTCCATATCGGAGAAAGTCTACATACAATTGTGAATGCATTGGAACAAAGTAATATTAAACGTGATGGTTTATAAAAATGAATAGCTTGGTTATATTATGGAACAAATGAATCTGACTGAGCATTTACCAAAATTAGTTTCCACAGTGTTCAGAGCTGGTCCTGAATCAGGTAAATCATCCACAGAATGCGAAGAGGATCCACCAATAATAGTAACTCCTATAGAATATATTATTTTTCAAGGTGATTGTCAGTGCAAGTCAAGCATGCAACCCCTTGAATTCCAAGACCACTTGGCAAGACTATCTTGTGGAAATGATCAGTGGCGATGGTGAATCCAAGTTTAAATTAATACAAAAATACCTTGACGAGATGAATCCAGATTTGAAGTGGAAGTTCGGGCGGTGACGCTAGAATGGCCGCCAGTAGACTCGTGTAGATTCATTTGTGTCAACGAGCCGCTCATGGCCAGCCCCGTGGGGTGTGATGACGATGGTGGAAGAGAAGATGGGATAGAAGCAGCAGTGGATGTAGGATCTCGTTTAATATAGAGCTTGCGCAGTTCACTCTCTAGAAACTCGATACGCTTCTGAGCCTCGACAACATTGACTTCAACCATCTGACGAGCACTGGCCTGGGTCTGAACGGCAAGCATCCTTGTAGCGCCATCCAAAACCATTCGCTCCTTTTTAAGTTTTTCTTGTACATCCTGGATCCTGGAATCCTGTTATTTAATAGGATAGAGTGGTTTATGCATGCCATTGCATTGATTGATGGTTCACAATGGAACGAGGTTGAGCAGCAGCATGGGTGTAAAATGACAATCAATAGTATCAGCACTACAATGTTACTTTTATCTTTATACGTTGTATGAATGAATGCCAAGAAGTTGAACACTTGATTCAATCCATGGTACAAGAATATATAATGCTTGTTGGTATCTATATAACAAATGAGTTTCTTTTGCAGAATCCACTATTGCCATGTACCTTCAAGAGCTTTATCCAAACATGGTTCAAATGAAAACATTCACGATGACATTATAACAACTGATAATTATAGTAGCAACTGACCATAGCAAACAAGTACTTGTAATAATGACAAAAATAGAATGTGGTCAGATTTGTTGGGCAGGAATCTGATTGCTGCAACTTTCGTGTTCTTGCTGTTCTGATTATTGGCTTCCATTTATCGAGTCGTGTAATATTCCACCTGCTATTCAATGCATTCGTTCTTTTATTCATGCATTCCAAGCTGTTTGTCATTTTTCCTATTTTAGAATAAAACTGTACATCAGTCTATTTATTACGACAATCTTGAGATACAGTTTTACTGCGCTGTCGAGCTCGCTCTTGATGTGTTTCAATCGAGTCTTTATGCAGATTGGGTTGTTCTGTAGTAGACAATCTCTTTTGCGGCTCATTTCCTCCTACCATCGATGACAACTTGTTGAATATATTGACTGCGCTTGTCGATGCCTTGCTTAAACTAATACTACGACTTCTATGCGTTCTTGTAATATTCCCCTCTGTCATTGGTTTACTATGAGTAGCGGATGGCATTGTAGGAAATACAGGTTTCATCATTCCCAACAAACTGCGTTGGCGTGATGGAGGCAAGTGGACTGGTGTGGCAGCCTTGTGATGTGGGAATGGCTCGGGCGAAATAGTTGCTGGTTGGGACGTCTTTGTGATCGTGCCAACATCGAGACTCGGCAAAAGCGATGCGTTGGAAGGAGCTTCGTGTAGCTCGCCATGCATGGCAGGGGTTGAGGATAAATCAGATCCCCACTTGTGTCGTGCATTGATTGGACTCATAATGTATGGACAGTGTTGGTCTTGTGATTCCTTGATGGTCATCATTTGTGGTATCTGAAGTCGTAGCATGACGTTTCTTAATGGGGATAAGCTTTCGCTACTAGTGGTATCAACAGATCCAGCAGCAAGCGTACTACTGCCCATCTTTTTATCGTGATGCAATGTTTCGTGTGATGCTGCCTGGAGTGACCGACGTCGTTCAGAAGCAGGCATGGCAAACAACTTTTTTGCTCCCAATGCTCCAGCAGCAACAAATACATTACCATCGACGTATCTTGACGATGGGCCTTCGGTGGTCTCGAGCCAAACCCCAATCAGAGTCACGATAATGCTCCATATGGTCATGACTGCAAATGGTATGCCAATCGATTTGAATGCACCAATCTTGGCTGCTAACACTGTTCCTATGGCAAGATTTGTCCATGATGAAAACAGTATGATGAAGCCCAGTTGGCCATGCATTTGGTCATACCATGGTGGGTTTTGCAGATCTGGGTTGTAGTAATGTCGAGCAAACCCACCCAAAATGATCTGAGCCAGTATCATGCCTAGGATCATGTAACCTAGAAACTGATGAAATACATTTACATCCCGTGGTTGTAAGCCTGCATCTTGTAATGGATGCAAGTCAGATCTAACCACTGTACAAATTGCAACTATGGATAAAGTCAGGCATAGAGTTGCAGCAGACACTAGCACAATATGAATTCCTAGCCACCAATGCTCAAGTTTTTCCTAATTAGCATGCGAGTTTGCATCATTAAATAGCAAGTGTTTAAACAAAAAACTGTTAGCTTGCAATACGGAGAAACAGACAGTAGCAGTCTTGCATATACAAGTGGAAACTGTTACCCACGCGACTGTTTTCACCAAGTAGTTGTCGACAGACGAGGTATTGCAAATCGTATAAAATAAGAATAAATACCTTGAAATAGCGAGATGTCATGGCGGCAATAGGCAAGAGGAGTAAGAAGGCTATAGTCATCAAAATACCTACAATCAAATTAAGATCCTGTCATTAGATTCTTGAAATAGATACCATTTCATTTGATATAGATCGTAGCAAATCATTCAGATCTGGATTGATATTACCGTGTAGTCTGATGTAGAGTGCATTTTGGTATGATATATCATGTATATTATTGGAAGAATTCGTTCCTACTGATGACACAAGTGGGGACGATGCTAGCCATTTATCGAGCTCAGCCATTTATTACTAAAGTATTGGAAATTCCAGAGTGAATGACTGGAATAATGGCCCGATTGATGCAACCCTCACGTGTAATGCAAGTCTAAATTCCGTCATTAGATTAAGGGTTCAATGACATTACTCCAGTCTGATCAAATGCTAGACCAACAAGATACCATCTCATACATACTCCTTTGGCGTTGCATATTGGCTTATATTCTGAAACCCCATTTTAAACAATACATTTTAAATGGCCGATTTGGCATATTTATTGCAGTCTTGACAACATTCGTATCTACTCATTGCCAAAAAACACTATCGTTGGCTTGATGTGAATTACAGAGAATCAACAAGTACTGAGGATTGATCATATTTGTTCTGTTGTTTATAAGTAATTGGAAATACAAATCCATTAAATATCAGGATAAGCTTATCGTTCGACTATGAGGTTTCTACCCTTGAAAAACACAAGTCTTGTATGACGCAACAGTTGTTGAAGCTTCAGTTACGGCATTGTCCAAACCATTGCTGCTCTCAAAATAAAAGTGATCATGCTATATTCTCGATAGACGAAACTGTCGACCAAAAGCGAGTCAAGAGAGCCAGACTGGAGTTGCAAAAACCAGCAGATGACAACACTGCTCAAGATTGGTCCTGCCCTGATTCCTCAAAGGTAATAAATAGATTGTAGATCTGCTGTTCATATAACAAAAAGTAGTTTTATCAGGACTTACAAACGTTTCTATTTTATGTCCATCCAGCCTCAAAAGACTGGATATGTTAATATTGCGGTCCATGTTGCACAGGTTCAGCTTCAGCACTTGGACAATGAATCAGATGCTCAAATACTGGAGCAACAATCAACTACTTTTCCATATTCCGCCAATCATGTGTTGGGAGTATTACACTTTTCAGTCAGTGCACCATCTATAGAGCAGTTGATGACAGATTCTGATCAATATTCCGAGCTGGTGTCATTGGTTGATTCAAATCAGCTATCAGTCTTGGATTGGGCAAGATCTGTTCCAATCGCACTGCTCGTTGGTTTGGATGGCCATATGTCGTTAAAATTTCCACCATCTAATCCAAGATTGCATTCGAATTCTTTTAAGCACTCATTACCAGATGTTGTGCTGACACTTGCCCCAAATTTGGATGGTCATGACCAATTTTGGAATTCAATTCATTGCTTGTCTTTAAACAATATTATTACTCTGGATGCATCCATCCAGTTTCATCAACAAACTGGTATTTGTTCAACTTGCAATAATTGTGGTAAAGATTGCGCACAAACCGCCACAATTCGTATAGAGATCCGTCATTCTAGATATGAGCAATTACCTTTCAACGCTGCCAAATTATATAAAAATCAATGGTGTGAGCTGTTTGATTTGCTTTATCCTTCAACTTACTCGACAGATCCATTGAATCTCTTGGATGTTGTGGTATCACACAAAGCAACGACCAGTATTGCTACCCAGCCCCACCAGCTTGTATCAAGGCTTCTTGCATTTCAAATGCAGAGTTTATCTTGGATGCTGGATTGTGAGCGTGGAGTTTCTTTATCTAAAAAAGTTGTTATTGCCAACATTTTGGGAAACAGTACATTCAGATTCTGCTTTTGGTCCTATATATATCAATCGACTTGATGGTACTTTTACGTTTGATAAGAATCTAATTCAGGATAAATCCTCCATCAACGCAAAGCCGTTTTACGGGGGTATATTGGCACATGAGATGGGTCTTGGTAAAACTGTTATTCTAATTGCACTCTTTCTACTGCATCAGCTATCAAATACATCAACACCAACACTTGAAGAAGTGACAAAACAAGCGCAGATTAGCGACTTAAAAGTATGCAATGCTACACTTGTAGTTGCTCCTGGAGCCATTATTGATCAATGGGCAAATGAGATACACCAGCACGCTCCTAGTCTTCGCGTTCTAGTATATGAAAAAAAATCCAATGCAGACCAGTTTGATTCGGTAGATATCGTGTTGGTGACAAGCGATGTGTTACGTAGAGAGTTTCATGCTGCAAACCCACCACCTGAACGATCTAGGCGTCAGCAACCAAAATACAAGCGACGAAGGTCTTGCTTAGTTGAGCAGTTGTGGTGGCGAGTGGTATTTGACGAAGCGCAAATGGTAGATTCATCCATCTCAAATATTGCTGGTAAATTATAAATGCCTTTTTAAAAACTGAAAGCGGGTGAGGTGTATGCAATTAGCTAATATAAAAATGCTGTCTTGTGTGGTACAATCAATATTTTTTATATAAAAAGCAATGGCACGGCTTATTCCTAGGATACACCCATGGGCAGTAACAGGTACTCCAACATCTAAAACCGGGCTATTGTCAGACATGCATGGACTTTTTTGTTTCTTGGGACTAAATACATGGATTGCTGCATCTTTAAACGCAACACCAAAGCCGCATCTTTCATCATTCACGGAACAACACTTACGATTGACTCATCGGCATCCTGGACTAGTTCGAGACCATCTTGCACGCATTATGCACAGATTTACCAAAGTCAGCGTTGCTAGTGAATTGGAAATTCCACCACAACACGAGCATATTATTAATGTTCAGTTTGATCGTACCCATCAATTATACTACGATGAAATTGAGGAAAAATGCTTACAGGCGGTAAAAAATCGTGTACAATCCCAATCATTCATCCCATACATAGATACTATGCAAAAAAGTCCATCTGTGCAAGATCAAACTGAATCAATGCATTTGTCTGCATCAAAGCATGGCTCACAATCAAAACAATCCGACTTGCCAATTCTTATGCTTCAACTTCGTCAGACCTGCTGTCATCCTCAAATTGGCACACATAATCGACGCCGACTTGGTGGAGTTCTCTGTACCATGGAACATGTTCTCACCACCATGATTCGCCAATGTACATCTAGCGTGTATACTATGCAACATAAACGTATCTCGACTTCTATGGAGCTGCTACATATGCTCGAGTATCAGGGAAAGTTTAAACCAGCACTTGATAGTTATTTGATACTATTAAAGGAGACCAGAGAAGTTGTTGCTGGTATACGATTGGATGTGGATACATTGATGACCAGAAAAAAACTCAAAAATCAAGAAAGATCTGAAAACGAGTTGGCGCTAAATAATGAAGATCAACCAGCTAAAGCATGCGATGACAATGATGAATCTGATTTGGATTGCGATTTTGAAAATTTTGAAAGTTCTAATCCAACACAATACTCGTACACATTGCTTGAAGACGAGTTGGGTCAGCTTCGCAGTCGGCTTAATTTTTGGATTGAGCTAGAGCACCGTCTTCTTTATTTTATAGCTACGTCATACTATATAATTGGAAAGCGGATCGAAGATGCTGCCATTACTGCATCAGGTGAGCTTCATTCAGATAAAGATGCTCAATCCTTTGTAAATAATCGCGATGAAGAGTCTGGATTTACTCGTCAAGAATGCGAAGAGTTGGAAAATATTTGGTATGAGCACGCCAACAAACTGCGTCGTACCACTTTGCAGATATTTGAACTTCGAACAACCCAAATGGTTGAAAAATTTCAATCGGGATTTCTTGAACTCCCTGGCGAGTTGAATCAAAAAGCAAGTGTGTTATCTAACATTAGCAAGAACGAGCGTATCCTATACAGCAATGATCAAAATTTGATGCTGATTGTGCTTTCACCCGAGTACTTTGGAGGTATTGTGACAGGTGAAATATTTGAAGAGATTACACAGCTTGTGGCAGTTTTAAACAAGCAATGGCAACTTATTGAAGCTTGGCGATCAAAACTCATCGAGTTGCTGACACTTCCATTTGAAAATGAGAATCTCAATAGCAATTCGGATCATACAGATATTTCTTGTTTTCAGACAATTCAATCTTTGGGTGTAAATTCAAATGCCAAACCTAACGATGGTTCAATTGCTGCTCCAACCGGCAATGAATATAGTATTGGACTTGATATCCAAGAAGAAGCTAATCAGTATCAATATGCATATATACAAGTTCTATCAGATAGGCTTACGCTGCTGACTGCCATGCGACGTGATGTTGATCATAAATACTATGGCACAACAGACCTTCAATTCAAGTTGTTTGAACAACGTAAAGCGTTTATTCTAAAGCAAAAACAGCAATCCTTTTCTGAATTGGTTAAACGTTTAAAAGGTGTGAGCTGCAGATACGATTTGCCATCTATAGAAATCCAGTTGGCTACCCATGCTAGTCTATATCTTGGCAAGTGTCTGGATGTTCATGTGGCGTGCTTGGAATTGCTTCGAAAGTGAGTTTGGCATGATATGCATATATAATTTTACAATGGAGTTTGATGTTTGTACTGCTGGGTTTCCCGCTAGTTTGATTGACGTCTATTTTATTTTAGTGAAACAACTAAATTTTCAATACTGGGGAATGCACGCATCGTGTATTTTCGTGAACTCCAAAAGTTTCATTCAGGTGTTGTGTTTCCCGAGAAACCAACCGATATGGAAGCTCATTGTACAACACTTGAAGATAACATTCGTGGTTTTGAACGATCCATTGCTACTCAAAATGCTCGTCTTCGATATCTTGCTACACTAGAAACAGACAATATTCAGCGTACAGCCTTGGGTGAAAGTCTACGCGAGTGTGGAATATGTCGAACCATGTTTAAAAATGGTGTCGTCACACACTGTGGACACATGTTTTGCGAAGAGTGTAATGCTGGGTGGATTATGATTCACCTTCGATGTCCTATGTGCAATCAATCCATATCTCGTGAATCCATTGCTAAAGTAACATTAAAAAAGCAGCTCGACACTCCTCAATTCAATCAAACTATTCTCAGTATTTCTACTGTTCCAAATGCCTTTTCAGCAGGCTCAAAATCGATTGCACAGCTGAATATTCCACAGTTAGCTAAACGACTAAACGCAATTAAAGTACATGGTTCCTATGGTTCAAAATTTAACACCATCATTCGACACATCAAGTATTTGGTATCTACTCATCCACAAACCAAAGTGATTTTATTTTCGCAATGGGAGCAAGTTTTAAATATTCTAGCGGCTGCATTTCAGGATAACGGAATTGGGTTCGTCAAGATGGAGGGTAGTGGGTGGACACAGGATAGAGGAAAGTTTAAACTCAAATTTCCTGGACAGAGTGTTACCACATTTAGCGAAAGTGGCGATGTTGTCGCCTTTATGCTGAATGCTAAAAGTCATAGCTCCGGACTAACGCTTGTTTGTGCTATGCATGTGATTCTTATCGAGCCGTTACTAAATCGTAGCATTGAGCAGCAAGGTTTGTATGATTATAAAGTAATAAGTTTATTACAAGGCTAACTTTCAAATAATTTAATAGCCATCACCAGAGTTCATCGAATTGGTCAACAAAATGAAACCCATGTTTGGAGATATATTGTCCACAACACAATCGAGAAACAAATAGTGAAACTGGCAGATCAACGCATGTCTGTATCTAATCAAATAACACTTTCGTCTCAATCGAGGCTTGCTACAAAAAGTTTGGGTGGTGGAGAACTAATCGGCGAAACAGACATTCAAGATATCCTTTGTGATCGTAATGCCGTGAATGCTGGCACATCATGACTAAAGGTTTTTGATTTGAATGTTACTGTTGTATCTGACTACAATAAAGCCAGTACATATTGATTGAAGTACAATAAATAGATTGCTTTGCTTATCCATTGTGTTACTTTACCTTTAAATTTAGGTAGCAAATCAATTAGATTAGGGAATTGGGTATTTGTTTTTGTACTACTTTACCAGGAATATTGCAAGCTAGTAGGGTTTGACCAAAAAGCTACAACACCGGTTTGAATGATCAATGAGTTTAGTTTAAACTCGATCATATTTGTAAATTGCAACACCATATAATTGCAATCATGCTTTGATATATACTCGATTACCAGACTTACCCAACTCCGCATTGCTTGCTGGTAGTTGGCCAATGTCACATGTGTAGCTTTTGATTTCAAATTCAAGTCCGCTTCTGTGTTTTGAAATTCTGTAATGTAAGTTTGGCTGAATACAGAACGCAATATGGACAGTGCTGAATTGCAACGCGTCATATCAGCTAGATCCAAACTCCGATATAGGTATCTCTACACATGCATCCAGCTGGCCTTTTTGTCATCATTGCTATCTGTAGTAAACTGAAAACTCGCCACCCATTAATAACTTGCGGTCATTTTCACTAAAAATTATCAAGCTGGCTGACTGATGCGTAGTTCCCTACGCCGCTACATCTCGTTTATTGTGGGCTCTGTTGTGCTATATATCTGTACTCTCAACAGCATAAAGCAATAGGCTCTTTTGCACCTTGAAATATTTGAATATTTGTATCTTTAATTTATTAGTGTAACAAATCAGCGACAAGTTAGCATCAGTTCAAGTGGTGAGTAGCATTTTTTACATATTGGAGACTCAATTTTCAAGATTCGCTGTTTCCAGACACTCGAATATCTAAACTTGATATTGCACTTTTATTCTACACAATTCCATTCACTTAATCTAACTTTACGTGCTATTGTTTCAAAAAACTTTGCATAGCTTGTTCAGATCTCAGCCTATTCAAATTCCATTCACGATTATGTACACCAAGGCTACCAAGAAACTTTTTGGGCTACTAATAGCCATATATGTTCTAGTACATATTGAATTTGTAATAGGTGTACCTTTAGTGATTTCATTGAATATCTTTCCATCAGATACAGTCTCAAGTACAGCCCATTTGTCCAAGATTACTGAGAGTTTATCTTCAGATACAACTAAAATTCTAAGCCAATCAGAATCAACAAGTACACTCGCCACGGATTTACCAAAAAGCACTACTGAAATAGTGACCACAACTTTATCATCTATTACTGAAACAACTGTTACAGATGTCTTTACTACAACTACCGCGTCTAGTATAGCCTCTGTTATTGTGAAGGATAACAGTGATACTATTTTAAATAGATCCAGCGTGACATCTTTGGTGCAACCTCCCAAAACTGAAAATGAGAAAGAAAGTGCAATTTCTTCCGTGACAACTAGTAAGTATAAAAAACTCTGTCATTAATGTATGGTGATCCTGCATAGTAAATTAACTATTTTTATGACGATATATTGTTAGCTCGGCCTGTCAGCACTTCAAAAATAGATGTAACTGTAAAAGACACTACTATAGATGATGTTTTATCTACTACAGCCATAGCTGGATCTTTGGTTGTAAATTCAGAAAAATTCATTGATACGAGTGAGCCCAATTCAAGCAGTGATTCTATTAAACCGACATTGAAAATATTGCAAGCGTTACCTGAACAACTTACTATCCCGCCTACACGTAGTTCAACCAGCTTTGATTCTCAAACTCTTGCTGTGAATCTGCCAACAACCAGTTTGTCGTCTACAATCCTACCTTCTTCCATTCTACCCGATCCGACTATCACACAATCTTCAAACTTGAGCACTGTTGATATAATTACTACCACTGCCATTGTAGTACCCACCTCAGATAAAAGTGAACGTTTACAAGAGCCACCGTCAACCATTACTAGTAATGAAATCGCTAGCACGAGTAGCTCTACTGATTTACCAAACACCATTGCTATTTTAAACCGACTCAGTGCTGAAACAGTATCATCTACTACAATCTTTGCTACATTATTGTCAAGTGACTTTACAACCAGTATACAACCAACTGCCACTCCGTCGCGTCTGTCGCCAGAGCAGCTATCGAGTCTATTGGCTGGCACGTCGATTTCATTTGATCCACAAATTTTGATTGTAAATCTACCATCGATTAATGTACCAGCTACTACGACTACAGTTGGATCCAATCCACCGGTGATTCAACTTCCGCCTATATTAGGACTTCCATTGCCACAAATTCCAATTCCAACAATTGGTCCTGTAGTGCTGCCAAGTATTATACCAGGAGTTCCACCGGTGATCCCAATCAATCTTCCAAGTATCATTTCAGCAATACCATCGGTGATCCCAATCAACCTTCCGAGTATCATTTCAGCAATACCACCGGTGATTCCAACCAATTTGCCTGTTGACATACCAGGACTCCCGCCAGTGATCCCAATCAATCTTCCGAGTATCATTTCAGCAATACCACCGGTGATTCCAACCAATTTGCCTGTTGACATACCAGGAGTTCCACCAGTTCCATTACCCGTTCCACCAGTTCCTCGTGCAACACCAACATTGCCTATTGTGATTCCTGGACTACCACCTATTGTAGTTCCACCAGTTGATAACACTATTACTGCATCTGCACCAACTGCCACTCCGTCGCGTCTGTCACCAGAGCAGCTATCGAGTCTATTGGCTGGCACGTCGATTTCATTTGATCCACAAATTTTGATTGTAAATCTACCATCGATTAATGTACCAGCTACTACGACTACAGTTGGATCCAATCCACCGGTGATTCAACTTCCGCCTATATTAGGACTTCCATTGCCACAAATTCCAATTCCAACAATTGGTCCTTCAGTGCTGCCAAGTATTAACCAGGGAGTTCCACCGGGCATCCCAGTCAACCTTCCGAGTATCATTCAAGCAATACCACCGGTGATTCCAACCAATTTGCCTGTTGACATACCAGGACTCCCGCCAGTGATCCCAGTCAACCTTCCGAGTATCATTTCAGCAATACCACCGGTGATTCCAACCAATTTGCCTGTTGACATACCAGGAGTTCCACCAGTTCCATTACCCGTTCCACCAGTTCCTCGTGCAACACCAACATTGCCTATTGTGATTCCTGGACTACCACCTATTGTAGTTCCACCAGTTGATAACACTATTACTGCATCTGCACCAACTGCCACTCCGTCGCGTCTGTCACCAGAGCAGCTATCGAGTCTATTGGCTGGCACGTCGATTTCATTTGATCCACAAATTTTGATTGTAAATCTACCATCGATTAATGTACCAGCTACTACAACCACAGTTGGATCCAATCCACCGGTGATTCAACTTCCGCCTATATTAGGACTTCCATTGCCACAAATTCCAATTCCAACAATTGGTCCTGTAGTGCTGCCAAGTATTATACCAGGAGTTCCATCAGTGATCCCAGTCAACCTTCCAAGTATCATTTCAGCAATACCACCGGTGATTCCAACCAATTTGCCTGTTGACATACCAGGACTCCCGCCAGTGATCCCAGTCAACCTTCCGAGTATCATTTCAGCAATACCACCGGTGATTCCAACCAATTTGCCTGTTGACATACCAGGAGTTCCACCAGTTCCATTACCCGTTCCACCAGTTCCTCGTGCAACACCAACATTGCCTATTGTGATTCCTGGACTACCACCTATTGTAGTTCCACCAGTTGATAACACTATTACTGCATCTGCACCAACTGCCACTCCGTCGCGTCTGTCACCAGAGCAGCTATCGAGTCTATTGGCTGGCACGTCGATTTCATTTGATCCACAAATTTTGATTGTAAATCTACCATCGATTAATGTACCAGCTACTACAACCACAGTTGGATCCAATCCACCGGTGATTCAACTTCCGCCTATATTAGGACTTCCATTGCCACAAATTCCAATTCCAACAATTGGTCCTGTAGTGCTGCCAAGTATTATACCAGGAGTTCCACCGGTGATCCCAATCAATCTTCCAAGTATCATTTCAGCAATACCATCGGTGATCCCAATCAACCTTCCGAGTATCATTTCAGCAATACCACCGGTGATTCCAACCAATTTGCCTGTTGACATACCAGGACTCCCGCCAGTGATCCCAGTCAACCTTCCAAGTATCATTTCAGCAATACCACCGGTGATTCCAACCAATTTGCCTGTTGACATACCAGGAGTTCCACCAGTTCCATTACCCGTTCCACCAGTTCCTCGTGCAACACCAACATTGCCTATTGTGATTCCTGGACTACCACCCATTGTAGTTCCACCAGTTGATAACACTATTACTGCATCTGCACCAACTGCCACTCCGTCGCGTCTGTCACCAGAGCAGCTATCGAGTCTGTTGGCTGGCACGTCGATTTCATTTGATCCACAAATTTTGATTGTAAATCTACCATCGATTAATGTACCAGCTACTACGACTACAGTTGGATCCAATCCACCGGTGATTCAACTTCCGCCTATATTAGGACTTCCATTGCCACAAATTCCAATTCCAACAATTGGTCCTGTAGTGCTGCCAAGTATTATACCAGGAGTTCCGCCAGTAATCCCAATCAACCTTCCGAGTATCATTTCAGCAATACCATCGGTGATCCCAATCAACCTTCCGAGTATCATTTCAGCAATACCACCGGTGATTCCAACCAATTTGCCCATTGATATACCAGGAGTTCCACCGGTGATCCCAGTCAACCTTCCAAGTATCATTTCAGCAATACCACCGGTGATCCCAACCAATTTGCCTGTTGATATACCAGGAGTTCCACCGGTGATCCCAGTCAATCTTCCGAGTATCATTCCTGTCGTATCAGTTTTAAATATACCTACTATTCGCAAAACTTCACTTTTAACTCCGACTGAAATTGCCCAGCCTGCCTCGACAGAACCTTTTTTACCAGCAGCCCCACTTCCAGTCTCAAAGTTTTCTGAAAGTTTTTCTTCACAGCAAGTGGATGGCGGAAATAGTATACCTGCTTCAATTCCAACATCTGTAAATGGAGATATAACAGTGCCAAACCAGTCTCAGTTTCCTGGCCAATTCAATATTCCAGTGCAGCAGCCAAATTCTGTTCAATTTCAATCTACTGCTGCTGCCGAAGCTACCATTATTTTTGGAAGTGGAGTTTCCAATGTACCAGCTGTTGCACCTGATGCTACTGTCAATCCTGTCAAGGATGGATCAATAATTACCGCTAGTGGTTCAATCCCTATACCACCTGCTCAACATGCTTCTCATGATGAAGTTGTTATTCAAGATTCTAATGCATCTCAAATAGTCAGTCCTACACTTGTAAGTTTTTGCTAAATGATTGCTGTTAACTCCGTGTAATATATCGAATCTCTTGATTGATTTAGCTTACTTATGGCAACATATGATTTTAATACATAATGCATTATTCAGGCCCCTGTAGTCAATATTGTTGCAAACAATCCAGGTGGTGCAGTAATTGTTGGAGGCAAACAGTCCAATCCTATTCCAAGTGCCCAGCCAGGGGATATAGTAGGCAATTCAGGTCCCACGCGGAACAATGGACCAACAAGTGATTCCAACACTACAACTCCACCTTCAAACAATAATGGCATGTCAGCAACGACCTTGGAAATGATCTTTGGTGGTATAGGTGCAGGATTGGTAGTGTTAGGATCTGTATTGGTAGTGACGCGTCGTAGCCAACTGTCTTTACCTAATGCAAGCTCGGGTCTTTCGGCTTCTGAAAATGGAGCCGCTTCGACACTGGCTCTTCCGATTGCAATTGTGGGTCCAGTTTTAAAAAGTGGAAAAGATGCTGCTGAAGGAGTCGTAGTAAGGCCCGAGTCGCACAGATCGACTCTACCTCCACTTTTGAAACTTTCCAATAGCAAAACAAAAAGCTTTAGTATTTTTTCAACGGAAAGTTTGTTTTCAGGACTATCCCTGTCTACCATTGCTTTTGCTAATCAAACTGAAGCCACAGATATTGAATCTCCAGTTGAAAAGAAGGCCAACACTTCGTTTTCAATTGATATGCATGATGATAACCATCAAGCAAGCACACATACCAACTATGGAAGCGGTGAAAGTATGCCAGAAAAATCTTTGACTTCGTATATTCATCCTTCCGCGCTTTCCGGGTCAAGCTTGTATTCTGATATTGATGCTGTAGAGCCCGTAGCCATGCCTAATATAGCATCGAATACCTCACCTTTTGTAGCCGTTCCTATTGACAACGAAATCAGCTTTACGTTTGGCTGTGGCATGTCTTCGATTGATCGTGTTTCAGATCTCACCGTGACAACAATTTCTACTAATCCTTGGAGGCGACAGTCAGATATGGAGGCTATCTCAACACTACAACGAAACAATAGTGTTTGTTCAGGAGTGCATATCACAGATACGATGGACAGTTGGAGAATTTCGCATATTTCCAAAGCTCCTACTTTGAATGAAACAACAGAGTTTGATCCTGACAAAACGTTTAGCGGCAAATATCAATACGTAACTCATGGGATCACTGAAACTCAACGAGAACGCATCTCCTTTGAAAATAACTCGAATGTACTTGCAGAAAAGGCTTTGGACAAACATACTGAATCTTATTTTGATATTGATCAGGAAACGGGTGAAGACAAGAGCAGTTGGTTTGATGAGCAGTCTAGTGGTGCACTTAGCGGAGCGGGAATATTTTCTCAGCCAAAACATACTGTTGCTAACTGTAACCCATCTCCACATGAAAATCTTGACAAGTTTTCTCTTGCTGATTATGTTCAAGATCCATCACCTCGTTTGGGCTATATTCCTCGGGAATATAAGCCACGGCCTATTCTTCGTGACTCTGATTACGATGAGCACACTCAATCCAATGGTGAATGGACCATAAACGACACCACTGTAACTGGATTTGATTATTCTCTGCACAACCAGTCTAGGAGATCGTCTATAACTTTTGCATCGCAAAGCATGGAATTTCATTGAGTTGCATACTTGAGCAATTCTTAATATTCACGTAAAATGGAACTCTAGTATCTATTTTGCAATCCTATTTTACTTTGAAATAAACAATGATTAAATATTTGTTACGTTTTCTTACTAGAATTGACTTGAATGAACATTCTCAACTCAGACAACAACCATCATATAATACAAACTATAATTTTGAATTGAAATTATCCTTTTTTTTGCTTTTTGGTATTGCCATACATTGTAACCTAGTGATTGAGTTTGACTTTTAATATTCTCAAACTCATCTTTTTGTGTCCTAAAATCTCGTAAATTCGTGTTTTGATTCAGAAAACAAAGATTACAACTGTTGTTTCCATGCCGATCATCCAATGTTTGATTTGAATGAAAGAGAGGGTGAGACTGAAGTGATGTGAAGGATGTAAAATTTACTGAAACTACAAGCAAACATTCGTTTAGTTGTTTTGTACAAAAATAGGCTCAAAAAACACAATGTTACCCAGTAAGCTGACACCAGTCATGCCATGAGACCTGCAATCTATTATATACTTTGACATTCTTATTTAATCTTTCATTTACGTGAATACGGTTGTAAAAAGCTACATTTGATTTAAATATCGGTCAAAAACTGGCAATGCCAATACGATGCTACAATCTCCAACAGATAGATATTAAAATTGACACCTCGTAGCTTAAAGTGTTTTCCAAAAATTCGATAGGTACTCCTAGAACCAGGCCAAAGAGTAGGGCCATTGTAAGATCTATCCATGAGATTCATCAATAAAAACATGCTGTTTGCTCAAGTTTTTTTCCCACTACTGTTTCGTGAGGCAATCTGGCGAGCAGCAGACCGTATGTCTGCTGTTTCCACCTGTCCACCCAAAGCAGGTGAAAGAGCCATCTGTCGTTGTAGCTTTTTGGCTTGTGAATCGTATTTAGAGATTGAAGCTTGGCTTGTCAATGGTATATCAGTAAGATGTGACAATTGAGTTTCAGATGGCGCGACTTTTATCGTTGTGGGTCTGATTGGTGGAAAGTCTAACGAAGATAGGGTTGGTATGGGCTGTTTTGGGAGTGTCGGTGTGTGCATGGGAGGATCTTCCCAGGTCAACGGTAAAACGGTCTAAGTGATAGTGGAATTTAATTCAAAAATAAGTAAAGTCTAGTAATAAAAAGATAGAATCAGGCATGATATAGTTGCGTACAACTTACAAGAAAGGCCGCGCCAATTAATAGTAAAAAGAAAAACACTGGCATCATACAGTTGCTGCATTGATCTAACCAATCCTCATCCGAGTCGTTGGCTTGTGAGGATGCTAAAAGTAAATACATGCGTATATTAGAGTTGATGATAGTCAACATGACACAGGCTGAGTAGTTGCAAGAGTAAATCCAGGGGAATTGTTAAAGTTTAAGCTTACATGTGGCCTGAACTTGAGAATAAGTGGGCAGCTCATCTGTATTACTTTCTGCATCTGAATTATAGTATGGAGGAGGATCATCAGGGTATCTGTCGTCTATCAACGAGAGAATGCTATCCCCAGCTAGAAGCGGTGTTTGTTCTGTTGAAATGCCATCCAACATCTCTTCGTTTCTGGTATGATTGCTGCTCTGATTTGTAGTGAATGGCAATGAAGAAAAAACTCCATGTGATGCATTCAGGATCCATGTTAGATATGGAAGCAACAATCCATGGATAGCGGGGGTTGAGTCAGGGTTTGTTGGAGCTGATGCATTCAACTGGCTTGAAGAGATTTCCCATGAAGATGAGTGTAGAGTTGAACGATTTACTGAATTATTAATGGAGTTTTGGAGAGGAATTGCATTCAAAGACTCTGCTTGTGATGAAAGGTTCCTGGATAGAGGTAAGAGTGCATGCTGATTGCTGTCTGCTGAGGCTGACATGGACAAGATAGAGGTCGAGTCTTGGTGTTGGATTGGATAGTCGTACATAGAAGTCACAGAAGTGGGCTTTGAAGAAATAGGTCGACCTGAATAATCCGGCATGTCCTCTTGAGTACTGCTGCTAGCATTATTAGTGACAGCGGCATTGACAGCCATGACTTTTGTGTTTTTGTCCATTCGAGATAAAGTGAAGCTGCTTGACAAAAGTGAAATATTTTCACGTGATATACAAAGCTTAATTCACATTCACGTGACAGTTGAAGGTTATGGTCAACAGATCTGCGCATCAGCAAAGTAATGTCCAATAATAGCCATGCCCAGTCATTTGATTAGTAGTATAAGTTGCTGTAAACAGTTTAAAGACATTAATATCAAATGGTTTACTACTATGGCTGCATCTTTATTGAAGCATCCACCACAAACACTGATTGAAAAGATTGTTCAGAAATACACTGTGCAACAGCCAATTGACTCTTCAACTGCTCAAAAAGTACCTAGGTTCAAACCAGTCTATCAAGGAGAGTTTGTTGCTATTCGTCCACATAAAGTCATGACGCACGACAACACTGGCGCAGTGATCTCAAAGTAATCCAGTTTAGTTTGGTAATGTGAATCTAGTAAAATGACTGGCTGTCTATATGTTGATTTTTTCTATAATGTTGTACTGTTTTTTAGATTCAAAAGCTTTGGATCGTCTTCACTCTATGATTCAAAACAAGTTGTCTTTACTCTCGATCATGATGTTCAAAATATTTCAGAATCGGTGAGACACTTGATGTTTGGATTGAAAATTTACTATTTACACTCCAAATCAATCTCATTTTACCCAAGAATTTGAACAAATACAAATCCATTCAAGAGTTTGCAAAACTGCATAATGTAGATTTTTATCCAGCTGGAAGAGGAATCGGCCATCAAATTATGATCGAAGAAGGATATGCTATGCCCTATTCTATGGTAGTTGCTTCAGATTCTCATGCTAATATGTACGGTGGTATTGGATGTCTCGGAACACCGATTGTACGCACCGATGCAGCAGCAATCTGGGCAACGGGGCAAACGTGGTGGCAGATTCCCAAAATCATCAAAGTAGAATTGCATGGAAAAATGCCACCTTACTCGACTGGAAAGGATATTATTGTTGCATTATGTGGTTTGTTTTGTGATGATCAAGTGCTGAATTGTGCTATCGAGTTTGTTGGAGATGGTGTATCGTCACTTTCTGTGGATGATCGATTGACAATATCTAACATGACTACCGAGTGGGGAGCATTGGCAGGTGTTTTTCCAGTTGACAGTATTACAATTCAATGGATAAAAGAGCAGGTAGGAAGGATTGAATCTATTGATTCCAATGCTACACGCCGTGCACTCGCCTTACTGCAACAAAGTCAAGATTATCCGATTGCTGCAGATGTGGGAGCTTATTATTCCAAGCATTTAGCTCTTGATATTTCCACTATTTTTGAATATGTATCTGGCCCCAACAGTGTCAAAGTCTGCACTCCACTCCATCAACTCGAGTCCAATAGGATTCCTATTCAAAAAGCGTATCTAGTCTCGTGTGTCAATTCGCGTCTTTCTGATATACACTCAGCGGCACAAGTACTTTCCAACAGAACCGTTGCTCCTGGAGTAGAGTTGTATATTGCAGCGGCATCTAGTAAAATCCAGCATGATGCAGAAATGAATGGTGACTGGCAGACTTTGATTAAAGCAGGAGCAAAGCCGTTACCAGCGGGGTGTGGACCATGTATTGGGCTTGGAGTTGGTACACTTGCCGAAGGAGAAGTGGGAATATCTGCTACGAATCGCAACTACAAAGGACGGATGGGATCGCCCAAAGCATTGACGTATCTGGCATCACCTGCAGTTGTAGCGGCATCAGCAGCGACAGGATATATTTGTAGTCCTCGATCATTAATGCTTAGCAACTGCAAGGTTGAAGATCCGATAAAACCAAGATATTTTATCCAAGAAGCACCACCATACGAGAACCAGTCCAACACAAGCAGCGAGACTATAGCAAACCGTATAGTATCTTGTAATGTCTCTAAAGTTTTCAAAGCGTTTGAAGGACATATTGTATTTTGCGATGCAGATAATCTGAACACAGATGGTATTTACTCTGGAAAGTATACATATAATGATGATATGACACCAGAGCATATGGCGCAGGTTGTGATGCAAAACTATGATCCGGATTTTGCAAAAATAATTATCAAGGTAATGTATAAGCTAAGATGGGAGTACATGAATGACCAAGATTAAGATTAACAGTTGTATTTGCAGGGGGACATTCTTGTGGTAGGATACAACTTTGGAACAGGATCATCTCGAGAACAGGCGGCAACAGCACTGAAGCATGCAGGAATTTGTGCGGTAGTTACAGCAAGTGTCTCTGAGACATTCAAGCGCAATGCAATCAACAATGGATTGCCAGTATTGGAATGTCCAAAATTAGTGGTAGATTTAAGAAAATGGAATAGAGCGAGTGAAAAAACCACAAGACATGGAGCGAGAATGATGGTTGAATGGGAAAAAGGAACGATACGAGTAACGCACAATGGAATGCATTCGGACTATACGGTGAACAGACCGGGATGGATGACTAAAGAGATTCTTGTAAACGGAGGAATGACGCAGTGGGTCAAGAATTGGCTGAAAAATGTCCGAATTTGATTTCGTGTTTCAAAACTGATAAAAGCCATTGCAAACATTACGCTGACATTTTAATATTCAGTATGGATTCATCCATCAGTCATAAGACATTGACTGACGGGGAGACACTCCCCAACGAGTCTCGTTCATCAGTCTTTGATAGTATTATGGAGATGATATCTCATGTACCATTTACTGCAGATACTCCCACAGCTGACTGTAAGATACCATTCCACTTGCTTATACTAAACCCATCATCTTGGTCACTAACCAACCTACACAACCATCAATACTTGAAACTATGCAATTACAGTGTGTTTACTTTTGCCTGCATTCAGTAATCCAGTCTATCCACCACTTCATGCCCAGAATTCATCTCAATCAGATTTTGAAACTGTTGCTCCTTTTCTGCAATCTGTACAACTGAAACCCATGTATGTATTCAATGTCTCTTTGTGTTTATACTCGAGGTTCCTAGTCCGTTCATATTTAGCATTCTTTTTACTTAGCAAATGGCGTACTACAGAGGACATGGCTGGTCAGGCTATATCAACCTCGACTGCTCGTGGTATTATAACTGACAGGCTTGTATTCGACAATCAAGCCCATACCAATTCATCTGCCATTGCTGCTGAACCACCACATTTATCAGCAGCACAACAACTAGCCATCTTAAATGATTCGACTCTTTCGTTATGTGCCCGTTTGGATGAGCGCGATGGGGTTGATTACACCACGTATACATCATGCGTTAACAAAACCGATTGCAATCAGATATTATCCAAATGGACTGCTCCCCTAGCAGTCACCACTTTACCAGTTTTATCTTCAAATAATTCATTACCACCTCTACCAACCACCAATTTACATCCAGGCCCTATTTCTGAAAATCAATCTTCAAACAATCTCTTGCCAGAAAAATCAGATCGTGCCAAAACTCTTATTCATCCTGCACCAGATACTGACGAATCACTTAGAGATCAGAAACGTGTACGAGTTTCTCAGCTGATAGATGTACCAGATGCTTCAGAGTCTTCATTATCGTCATTTCAAGAAATGGGTGTTCCCACAGAACCCATATTGCTAGATTCAGAAACATGTAATTTATCTTTCAAAGTGTCTATCAACGCCACTTCTGATAACAAGAATTCCACATTGGATACCCCGTCTTCAAAAAAAACATTGAGTTCTTATTCAACAGAAACTGACAAAAGTCCGTCCATTGAGTTTCATAATCCTCTCGAGATAGTTTCTCGGCTTATTTTGAATACTATTTGGATGGATACACACAGATCTATGGATACCATAAACACTGCAGTCACTGACTTTGATGCCGCTCAATACGCAAAAATATCAAGATATCTTTCTAAACTACTTCCTCGAAGTATAGCGGCATTGTTGAAGCGGCTTGATTCTGGCGAAAATAATGAGCGAGGAGTGGATACGCTTGCCCAGTTTATAGATATTTCACATCGTAGTATACTATTTTCGTCTCACGCTAGTCTATTTGCCTCTAGTGGGCACACCTCCATATGCGTTGATGCTATGAGCCAATTTGACACCAATTCCGCTTTTTCGTGGGATGTTGCACTAGCTCAAAGTGGCGATGTAGATATGCTAGAGTCGACAGTACTGTCTTTTATGCATCATATTCACTCTACATTATCTGCAGCAAGCATTGTGCTTCAAGTTTTTTCATCTGAACTTGCACATCAAAATATAGTTTCTGTTGACGGTTTAATCTCAAACAGAGAGACTCAATCCCGATTTTGTCGTGAGGAGCTACTTGTATCCTGCATTGATGTTTTAAAATCTCAGCTTTCTAATACAATTGTTCAAGCCATTAGTTTGATTTTGAGCGCGGAAGATCGACCGTCAGATAAAAAAATACAACAGCGCCGTATTTTACTACTTACCAGTGCCAAGGATATTTTTTTGCAAATATCTCTCAAAATTTCAGAATGCTTTGAGCTTTTATGCATCATTGGTACATCTACAATCATGAACAGAGAGGCTATTCTTTCCCTTGTTTATTCGCTTATTCCACCATTTTTCATTGAAGCCTCTGCGTTTGATGGCGAAATTGGATTTGATCATATTCTTGTGCAGTCAACGCGATTGCTTTCTCTTATTTTTTACAAATATCCTCATCACCGCCAAGTTATTCTTGAAGAAATCATGTCTCATTTTTCCAAAATTTGCACAACCACCAAAAAAAATCATCGCAGTTTCCGACTTGTAGATGGCAAACTTATTAATGTTGTGACATCCTTATTGATGAATTTGCTGCAGAGTTGCGGATCCATGCTAAATCTTTCTACCGACTATTCAGAACTACTGTCGGCAGATAGTCAAATTGATGGGGCTGCCGCTTGCTCTGTACAATTTGCAAATACTACTAAAATGACTGATTTGGCTCTTCATCAAATATACCAAGTAGTTCATTCTTCTAATGCATATATTACATTTATCATCAAGTATCTTCTCAGTCGGTGTGTAGTTTCTGCAGACGATAAAGAGTTTTCCAAACAAGAAACTCGAAAACGTGCTGGCTCATTAGAATCGGAATACTGTACTGTTTTCGATATGTTTTTACGCGATCTACTTTCTGTAGTCGGCTCTCCAGAATGGCCTATTGCGGAAGTCTTGGCTCATCGCACGACAAGCATTATAGTGAGTTTATTTTTCTATGCCGTATTTATTTAACTGGTGCGGTTGATTGCCTTGGTATATAGAGTTTTAATTTATACTGCTATACACCAACGCTTTACAGATCCAAATGTTTGACGATTCATTCAAGTATGCAGATTCTGTTGTTTTACGCGTTATTGGTCTTGACTGGCTTGAAAACTTTGGTGCGTTTACAGCCGGGCTTCTTACTCAATGGAATAGGTTTAAAACTGAGTCCGGGCTTTCTGCCATTCCTTCAATGAATCCATCTGCTGAAGATATTCCGCGACTTTTCCAGTTGCAAGGAGATTTGCTAAAATGGCAATCGTCTAGCTGTTTACAAGATTCAATGGCTATTGATAGTTTAGTTAAATATACAATAAGCAAGTGGGTTACTGCAGCTTCCACTCCTACATTTTCATTCCCCAAGCTGGACTCTATAAATGCATTTTCCAAACAAATTCTTGTCTCGCACTTTGCACACTTGACAGCAACTTCATATACACTGAATAATTCTGCAGTGTTGAGTACTAGAAACAATGCCGAGTTTTTGTCAAGTCATCTCATGATCACTCAGAACAAGTTTGACGTTCGGGACGCAATTCTCCACTGTATCTGTAGTTGTCTAAAACTTGATTCTGTGATTCTTCGTACAAGATCGCTCAAGGCACTGCATGAAATATTGAAACGTGATTCTTCATTGCTACTTGCTGCAAATATTCACAATGTGATTCGCGATCGATTAATGGATTCAAGTGCCAATGTGCGCGATGCAGCGATTGATTTGTTGGGAAGCTATGTTTTCGTTGCAGGAAGTGATTCTTTAAAACTGTACTATCCTGTTCTTTGTGATAGGGTTATGGATGTGAGCCCGGCCGTGAGAAAACGAATTCTTCGACTTTTCAAAAATATTTACCAGACTACTCTACATTCAGTATCTGGAGATTTGACTATTGAACAAAAAGAAATTGTTGTTGATATTGCGTTACGAATTATTGGGCGTCTCCACGATGAAGAAAGTGTTGCAGACCTTGCATCTAAGATTCTTTGTGAGTTTTGGCTCCAAACAGCTCAAGGCTGTGATTTGTCTACCATTTCAGACTGGCAATCTCTACCAGAGCAGAGCAAGCACCATCTTCAAAAAAAGTGCATAGTTTTTTCCTCTGTGGTGAGCAAGTCGAGCGCGTATTCTTTGCTCGTTGGAGAACTTTTAAAGTCGACTGTGAAGTCAACCAGTGAAAAACCTCAAGCCATGACACAATTACGCTCTCACATGAATGGACTGATCTTGTGTTTAATGGATCAGCTTTTGCTGTATTATGAAAAGTCACAAATCAACAACATTTCTTTCAATTTAGCACTTTTGTTACGACTGAGCGATGTTGTGCCTGACCTTGTTTCTCCCCATTTGTTTACCTTATACCCATTTTTGAAACCATCAAAGTCCACTGTACCTGCCGAAATTCAGCAAGAGCTAGCAATTACCCACCATGTTTTGTCTATATTTATGAATGTGCTTCCCATGGTCAAAAACGTAGATCTTGCGCTCGTCGAAAGTATTGAAACCGATTTATTGCAACTTCTAAACAAGAGCTCCCAGAATATTCTTCAAGCAGCTGTTCCATGTCTTTGTATAATTGTTTCCAAGCATACTCGTAACGTTTCCAAAATTGTTCGAGTCGTGACAACGTGCTACTCTTTATTGGAAAAATCTAAAACGCAGTATTTGACATCAAAAACTTTGCCTCCAACTTCAGTTCGAAGTATTTGGAGATGCATGATTTTGTTGTCACAAATAATGCAACACTATGACTTTTCTAGTCATCATACTGATTCAAAGTATATTATTCCAGAGATTGAGATGATTGCCAAAGGATTGCCGGTGATTTGTGCTGTATATGACTTGATTATGTTTTTCATCGTGCAAGTTAACAGTGCGGATACCAACCTAGTTGCTCTTTCTTGTCTTGGTAGTTTGTATCTTGCCCATTCGACACTGCTAATGAACGAACAAACTGTTGCAGTTTTTACTCGTGTGTTTTCTGGCAAGGCTACAAAAGAAAAGCGACAGTTACTCATGATACTAAATGAATATTTTGAGCGAGAAAAAAGTGCTGGGTTGACCGACTCTGCATTAGTTCTTGGTATGTAGTATTTATATGTATTGTTGTTGAATCTAAGATTGACTCGTTGTGTTTTTGGGATTTTATTTAGATTCAGTGGATAATGCTACTCAAAAGACACAAGAGTTAAAATCTCAGGTGCCCACCAAAATCGATATGAAGATTTTGGTTGGTAGTGCAGACGAATTTGCCGAAGCTGGTGTAGCAAGTTCTGTTGCTCAGCGATTCCTTGGCAATATTATCGATTGTCTTGTTTGCGGGGACGTTCAGCTACAAACGCTTGCGTTTCAAACTCTTGCTCTTATTGTTGAACAGGGTTTTGTGCATCCTATTTTGGTAAGTGATTGGGTGTATTGATTTTGATTCATGCTGAACCATTTTAACAAAATTTTAATGAATTGGCAGGTTGTACCAGCTATTGCTGCAATCGCTTCATCTGATTATTCAGTGCTCGCCAGTAATGCACTTTCTATGCATCAAAAATTAGCAAATAAGCATGCATCCTTTATCCATAGTAAGAACATGAGTGCGGTGAGATGCATTTACGAGTTTCATGCATTGCAATCATGTAAAGATGCAGAGTATACACGGGGATATGTTTACAAGCCTACATCGACAGAAACTGACGTTGCCTTGCATGCCTTTGCAAGAATTGGAAACTTGTATGCATTGGTACAGCCTGTTCGAATCAAACGAAATGAGTTTTTGCGAGCCATCGTTCGTGTTTTTGAAGGATCCAAGTCAGATATGTCGATCGAGGTTAGTCTATAATACTAGGCATAATGATTTCGTTTTTTAATACTCACTTTGAAATATTTATATTGAATGGATCAGCATGTCAGATATCAAATATTCATATCTGAAAACTTGGCACATCTTGATTTCAAAACATTTGACGAAGTACTACTGGTGATACACTGCATTACGCGAATCTTATCAATCAGTGGCGAGTCTACTATGGATACTGTACGAAAAGTATTGTCTGATAGTAAAGATATATCAACAAGTGAGCTAATGATTACTTGAGAATGTAGGAATTGCGTGTTTTTAAAAACTCATTTTTGTTTCATTTTGAATATTAGAAGGCTTGAAAGTGCTCATGTATCGAGCACTCGGCGTTGGGATAATGACACTAACAAAGCATCATCTTCAACAGCGATACCAATTATCTGAATCGTGAGTCTAGATGATCTTGTATGCTGATTGTCCACGACTGTGTTTTAATGATTTTATGCACGGCTTTTTAGACGGTGCAGCATGTATATTCCTACAGCCACGGCATCTAAATCATCGGAGAAGCAGATTGTTGATTCTATGATGTCAACACCCATCAACTGGGAGCTACTGTTAATTAAACCCATAGCGGAATTGGGATGTAGCGACCAAGACGAACTCTTTCAACAATGTATCAAGGTGAACTCGGTTATATCTACTTTGGGAAATGCCGCGAGTGAACAAACGTGTGATAATATTTTGAAATCAAAGAATGCATCGTATGAATGTGCACACTCGATCAAGATGTCTCAAGACTCTGAACCGCATGATGCTTCGGGCGAGCTGTCTATTTTGGCATCGCCTAATTCCAAGAGTTTGATAGCATCTACTTTGAAGGATCATCAAAACCCGGCACAGAACAATATAAATGTAGCGACAGCTTTAATAGATACACCTGTTGTGGAAGTAGACGAGCTTCTAGAGTCGGGTTCAAGCACACAGCTATTGCATCGCCAAGCTCATGTAGGTTTGAAGCAGCGAAAGTCGGGATTTACACATACTGATTTGGACAAGAAATCAAATGCATTTCCTATTCCTTGCAAATCATATTATCAGCCGCCTAGCAAAAACGCTTCTGCCAAAACGGGATCCCATAAAGATATATCTAATGCAAAGAAACGCCAGCGCATGATTGGAAGCTAATTTAATTAATTGCTTAATCGACGGAGCAACTTTAATGTATATCGAGTATTCAAAGTGATGAATAGCCAGTGATTTTTAAGCAAACTCGAGCCAAAATTGCAATAAAAACAGAATTTTATATCTAGTGAATTGGTGCGATTTAGCCACTAGCATAAATTAGATGAAGGATTGATACACTAGCACGATTGCTTTAATTCAGGTACTTCATAAACCCTTTAAAGAATTTTTACAAACAGCAACACATCCCATAGCATTCACATTGCCGTTATAATATCAAGGGTGTTTGAACTCATAGTAAACCTTACAGTTTTCAATAAAGTGTTGAATATTTTGAATTGCAGTTTGTCGTGATTGGAGATGAGAATGGAAAATATATTTTTTAGTGTAGAAAACTTTACCTGTACAAGCGGGACACTGAAGCTCGTGTCAGAACAGCACCAAGATCGGCCACTAGATTAAATGAGTTGTCCTATATTTAACTGATAGAAGCAACAAATAGTTCAACAAGACAGATTGTTGCCGTGATACAGGAAACATGATCGATAGACGATCCTGCCATTCAAATCAATAATCTACCAAAATCAGAGAGCACAAGAGTGATGGTTGCTGACAATTTCACATTTTATCTCGATTCTCGCACCTTTTGTTGCTAGTTTCGGTTGCAGGGTAAAACGACAGATTGCAAATTGAAAAGTCGAGTCGGACTGAGCACTTGAAAGTTTGATATCAGATTTTCATCAGCAGCTACTCATCACTTGCTTGACTTCAAATAGGCATACACACTGATACTATAGTTATGACAAAGAGAAATGTGGTTTTACCCGAAGAGCTTATACTACGGATCATATCGTATGTAAATCTACCCATGCCATTATATCATCAGCTATCCAGTCTTTCACTGAATGGAAGTCATACCAATACTGCTAATCGCTTGGCTGCACATCCACTTCTTGCAATCAGCATGGTGTGTCGTTCTTGGAACAGACTTGCGAATGACATTTTATGGCGAAAAGTCACTCTGACTGAGCACTCTTTGACCCCCTTTGTCCGTAGTGTCCTTGTTAGCGCACAGTTCGATCTGAATCGCAGACTCAAACAAGGTGCTATTTCGACCCAGAATCATGCAGAGGTCATATCTGTCATTACTGAACGGTTGAATGCTATAGAATCGTTTGAAATGCTTGATTCTCCACCATCAGATCCGTATACTGCATATCAATTTTCCAGAGTAGCAACCGATGCTCCCATCAGCGGATTTGATGCTGATACTGCATCTCTAAACCAAGATGAATTGGAAACTCTTCAGACAGCTACAATCATAAACTTTTTAACTCCACAATCGCAGTCGCATGTCAATGTGCTTCTACAGCATCGTCAGCAGCTGGCCAAGTCGAGAGAAATCAGACGAGCTCCACCGCTTAAAATGCTGCCATATGGCAATGGTCCATTGATCCGGAAACTAGACATTCCATCTTGGGGTCAAAATCTGTCGCTTGTTCCACTTGTCATGGAGTTTCTTCCTAACTGGTCTAGGTGAGTATCTATTGTTTCTACAAAAGTAGATTGGGTAGCAGTGTATCGCTAATGCAACTGGTGTTGAACTGCAACTATTTTAAATTTTAGTGTGGCCTTCATGCATCCTCCACATGGAGAAGAGCATATTCCAACACTTCGACCAACTCTTATCCAATCACTCCGGCCTATTCTGTCTCAGTTAGAAGCCATCACTGTTGAAGATGTAGATGAGGATTGCTGGATTCCATTGTTACGAGCCATATCAGACAACTGCAGTAATATTCGGCATCTCAGCCTGGAAGCCATATCTGAAAAGGAACAGTACGCTAGCAATGTCGGTCTTGTTTATCTGTTTGAAAGCGTGCCTAAGCTTGAGTATATTCGTATGGACGGTGTACCTGTAGGCCACATGCATTTCACTCCATTTGGCGGTGATCTAGATATCAAAGCTTTGCCAATCGTATGTCCCAATCTTCGTGCAATAACGTTGGACTATTGTGATGTTACCATGAAGTCTGTTTACACACTCTGGAATGAGTGCAAAAACCTGGAATTTCTTGGCTTGGCAGGTCTTAGTCAAGCTCCAGAGATTCAGCAGAGTTTGTTGCCCAAACCAAAGCTAAAAATCTTGCGATTTGTGGATTGTGATGTATCTGATGCATTACTGGAAGATGTAGCGCGAAATGCACCCAATCTGGAGATGTTGCGGGTTGTTTTTGAAGACAGCGAATCTTTAAAAACTCTTGATGTCACTGAAGGTATTAGTGATGCTATGCTGTTTGCAATTGGTAAACATTGTCTACATCTTCGAATTTTAGCTATATCCGTTTGCAGACGCATGACTTCGGCTGGATTGATCTGCATTCTTCGCAGTCCTTCTGTCACCATTTTGGATTTCCACAAAACTCCTGATTCAAATACAGGGATGCTTACCGACTCATTTTTTTATGCAATCGCACCATTTCTGTTGCGCATTAAAACGCTTAATTTATTTGGACAGGCAGCATTATCTGAAACCATGTTTATATCCATTCTGCAGCAAGGATTGCTTTCTTCTTTAGAATCGCTATGCGTAAACTCGACAAATATGGCCAAAGCATTTCTTGACGCTTTAGCTAATGATGCATGTCCTCGGATACAACGTCTCAGTATTGTTGACTGTAAATATATTGGTCAAGCAGACCTGATTGCATTTCTGAGCAATATCCAGTCGCGCTCACCTCGACCATTGCAGCGTCTATACAGTATTTATACTTATATACAAACGCATCCTATATACCCTACTAGTCCCACGTCCCATGCATTGGAAACTACTGCGGAAACAGTAGTCTCAAATCAAGATGGTATACCTCTTGAACTGGATTTACAAGCAATGGACGAATCACGCAACTCAGATCCACCTACAACGACACTGGACAATGCATGCGATATATCAGCTCGTACCCATTCTATTGAATCAGATCAAGTCTTTACACAGCATGAAGTTGATACTGTGCTAGAAACACACCGGCTAATAAGAAATGCTGATGTATGGTTTACAGACGAGCATTTGGATATTTTTTCATTATGGCTTCAAGCAGTATCAGATGGTGGATGTAGCACATGATTCAAAATATAACTTTATAAGCAAATTTAATCTCTTGATTGCTATTTTGCTGATTAGATTAAATCCTGGTAGTCTGATCGTATAGTATTTGAATAGACAGGATGAAAAATAGAAAGTGAATACGGCTGTGAATAAATGCATTAGCAAGGTAACTCGTGGGAAATCTCAGTCCAACGTCGAGATTTCTGCGACTGTTTCTTGTAGCAGCAGATTGGCTTTTGCATCTGGTCAATTTCCAATCGATATACAGTATTAGTGCATTTGTAGCAGGTCATATAATCGCAAAGCATCAAGCCAATTCAATTACCACTCAAAACTAAATCCGATCTCAATTTAGAAATAATTGTCTGGTTATATTTGATGGCCTGCGACTGAACCAGTTTGATCGTTCCACCAACATGGACAACTTTCACCATACATATCCGTTTATTGATAGCAGTGATAAGCGACACACATGCCCAAACCAAGCGCATGTAGTCTCTATTGACTCTCACAATAGCTAGCCCAGTGAATGGATTAAAGTATTTCACTTGCAGCGAAATGGCTAGAACGCCCAGACCAAATACACCAAAGTTGGTAGAGAGACTTTCCTTGATTGCATTAAGGATCTGGTATAGGTTGAGGGATTCCGATATCTTTCCATTTTCAAAAATAATCTCACAAAGAAGATATCTGTTCTTGAACCTCACCATCTTCTAGCTGGCTCGTTATGTTGGCAAAAAACCTTTCAAGCAAACGCTATTTAAATCACGTGTTTTATGAGTTGAAATCGTGAAATTTGGCTTGCAATTAAAATGAAAACGCAGATTGGTTTTGGTGAGTTTTCAAGAATCGACTAGTTTGGCATGATTTGGTTTGCATGTTGGCTATCCTGTGTTGCTGATGATCGCACAAGCTGAAAAATTGAAAAAAGAAAGAGTTTGAGAAACAACAATATCTCAGGCTATCCACGACAGCATCGTCATCTCAATTTTAAATCGATGAAAGCACTCAAATAGTGCGAAACTCGCACTAGTGTCAACTACTTTGCATTTTATCTTGAAGGAGTTGGAAATGTTTAATTTTCTGTCCTTGTACTAGAGCCATTGGAAAAAATTCAACTGTTAAAGCAGTGGTTTGTGCATTTTGTTGGGCAATCATCATTGTAAATACCATGTCATATATCTGCTCATTGAATAAGCCAAACTAATCTATTTTTCAAAATCTCGTTTGCAAATAGCATAATTAATAGACTAAAATATGGATGCCAAATAAAACATTATCTCCTTCAACTAATAAATTTGTTTATTAGCTAAATGAGGTAAAAACGTTGCAAGTCATTAAACTGTATGCCATCAAAGGATGAGCATTGTTTTAGAATTAACACAAAGCAAAGTGCAAAACACAGTAATTGATTGCTGGAAGAGTATAACGAATACATGATTAACTGGAGAAAGTATGAGATGAAGTAGATCACACTCATTTATCCAGTAAAAACCATGTAGCAATAATCTAGTATATCAATACAAGGATTTCAAAAGTGCTCAAGATTAGTAGACTTCAAGAAATAACAAGTTTGCGTTTTTATCAAGCTTAGATCTTTTCTACTGATGCACGAACAGCAGCTATACTATGTCTACTTGGATGAACATCACCACTAGCACGTTCGTGTAGATTGGAATTACTTTCTCCAGTTCTAGGCTGACTTTTTGACAAATTTACTTTGCTTGAAGTAGATTTGGACGCACTGGAAAACAAACTTTTTTTGCTATGCAATCGCTCTTGTGAGCCTTTTGAATAAACCTCGTGAGTGGAAGTCGAATCTTTTTTGTTTTCAGCAGACTGATGTTCGTCATGATCGCCAACTAGTTGATGTTCACTTTTGGAAGTGTGTTTAGTCTTGCTCTCATTATGATTCAAATTATTTTTACTGCTGGCTAATTTATGCTTGTCTTTTCCTAGATTTGCTTTGCTTCCATTCAGCTTATTGTCACTTTTACTTAAATTAGTTTTGCTACTGGTCAGTTTTTGCTCACTTTTATGAGCATCGTGGTGACTGGTGGATTCGTGAGTCTCGTGCTTATGCTCATCATCATGGAGTTGATCCTTGCTACCAGCCAGTTTTTGCTCACTTTTATGAGCATCATGGAGTTGATCCTTGCTACCAGCTAGTTTCGGTTCACTTTTATGAGCATCATGATGACTGATGGATTCGTGAGTTTCGTGTTTATGCTCATCGTGGTGGAGTTGATCCTTGCTACCAGCCAGTTTTGGTTCACTTTTGTGAGCATCATGGAGTTGATCCTTGCTACCAGCTAGTTTTTGCTCACTTTTGTGAGCATCATGATGACTAGTGGATTCGTGAGTCTCGTGTTTATGCTCATCGTGGTGGAGTTGATCCTTGCTACCAGCCAGTTTTGGTTCACTTTTGTGAGCATCATGGTGACTGGTGGATTCGTGAGTCTCGTGTTTATGCTCATCGTGGTGGAGTTGATCCTTGCTACCAGCCAGTTTTGGTTCACTTTTGTGAGCATCATGGAGTTGATCCTTGCTACCAGCCAGTTTTGGTTCACTTTTGTGAGCATCATGGAGTTGATCCTTGCTACCAGCTAGTTTTTGCTCACTTTTGTGAGCATCATGATGACTGATGGATTCGTGAGTTTCGTGTTTATGCTCATCGTGGTGGAGTTGATCCTTGCTACTGGTCAGTTTTTGCTCACTTTTATGAGCATCGTGGTGACTAGTGGATTCGTGAGTCTCGTGTTTATGCTCATCGTGGTGGAGTTGATCCTTGCTACCAGCCAGTTTTGGTTCACTTTTGTGAGCATCATGGAGTTGATCCTTGCTACCAGCCAGTTTTGGTTCACTTTTGTGAGCATCATGGAGTTGATCCTTGCTACCAGCCAGTTTTGGTTCACTTTTGTGAGCATCGTGGAGTTGATCCTTGCTACCAGCCAGTTTTGGTTCACTTTTGTGAGCATCATGGAGTTGATCCTTGCTACCAGCTAGTTTTTGCTCACTTTTGTGAGCATCATGATGACTGATGGATTCGTGAGTTTCGTGTTTATGCTCATCGTGGTGGAGTTGATCCTTGCTACTGGTCAGTTTTTGCTCACTTTTATGAGCATCGTGGTGACTAGTGGATTCGTGAGTCTCGTGTTTATGCTCATCATGGAGTTGATCCTTGCTACCAGCTAGTTTTTGCTCACTTTTGTGAGCATCGTGGTGACTGGCAGATTCGTGGTGTTTTTGCTTGTCGACATTTGTTGGATCTATTTTTAAACATTGAGGTTGTAGCAATTTTTTGTTAAAAACCTTGGATTAGTATAGCCCTGTAAAATTCACCAACATAAACTACAGTTTTTTTCATCATAATTCTATCTGATAATCAAATGATACAATTGAGAAATTAACAAACAATCCAAATAAAAGGTGTAGTAATATATTAGTACCTTGATGCTGATGATCGACTTCAGCTATTGGCTCCTGCTTATCAACTAAGCCAATAATTGTTAAATTGTCAATATTTATTATAAGCGATTGATTTAAAAGACTTGCAAGATAATCTTACTATTGGACTTGAGAGCTACATCGTTTTTATCAATGTGTCCACCCACCGAGTGATCTGTTGGATTCAGATTCTGAAAACCAAAAATAGCAATATAACCCAAAAAGATTCAACAGCATATTAAAAAATGATTAGATGATTGAAATTTAGGCAAAAATATTTAGTCAATAGGTGTAAATGCACTAATTACATTTTCAAAATTATATTTGATGCATTAGCAGTTTTTAAACCAGCCATATTGTGCCAAGCCATATATAGATGGATAAGCTTTTGCCGTAAAAAGTATTTTTCACTTTTGGATATACTTTTAATTATCCACGCCATTTAATGGATATATGCAATTGAAATAATATAGTTTGATGTCCATGTATGTGTTCCAATTGCACGTTGGCAAGACACCTAAATAGTTGACTGAGTATACTACTTTATAAAACTTACTGTTGGTTCTCTCACGATGATAGCAGGAACTCCTGGCGGACGCGATTTACCACTATCGGCAGATTGAGATTGCTCAGCAGCATGTCCTGCAGGTTGGCTACCATGCGCAGCAGGTGTGCTATCCTTGTTTGCATCTTTTGATTGTGTGGTTCGAACTACGTTTTGCTTTGACGAACCACAGCCCATGATTGTATGTGTGTTGGTTTTAAATGGGTAGTGTATCGAATTATTGAGCAATTAATGTTTACTTTTAAAAAAATACAAGCTGTTGATGAGTTTATAAATCTGGCACAGTTGCGTGGATATAGTGCCATCGTGGCTTTTTTATTTTGATATCTTTAGGAGGGAACACTGCTTGTTCAATTATTAGCCAACAAAATATGTACATTATAGCACCTCTAAATGTGTAGACCTGTTCAAATGAGATTGTTAATGGCAAACATTATGAATCACTGCAACGAAAAACTTGTTTACATTAGCGCTCAGTTAGATGATATTTACAGTCGTATTCACGTAAAATGAAGCTTGTACTCATCTTACAGTCCTATTTTTCTTGAAATGAACAATGGCCGAACATTCGTTACACTTTCTTATTGAAAATCAGCTTTTTTAATAGACATTCTCGATTGTTCTAAACACAATGTGCATCATATGATGCACACAGACGATAACTTAGGCTAAAACTATTTTGTATTCTAAAATATCACAAAGTTCGCGCTCTACTTTAAACAAAGGTTATATCTCAGTAATGCTGCTGTTTCCTGCCAATCATCCAAATATTTGGTTTGTAAAAAGGGAGTTGGATACGGAGGAAAGGATCAGTAAAGAGTTTAGTGAACATATGCTATCTAGTAAATTTGTCACCAATCATTCCATGAGACTGGCAGTTTATTATGTATTTTAGCTTATTTAGTGTTCCATTTTGTGTGAATACGGCTGTAAATACTTGCTCCTATATTGTCTTCCGATGCATTATAGATTGATTAAATCGAAAACAAGATTGCGAGCTTCAAGACTAGATACAATATATATAATCTTGGCATTATAGTCCAGCAATGTTTTCAAAATCAAAATCGGTATTGGTGCAAAATCCTGATTTAGTATGGGCATAGTTGCAGGAGTTGACACCACGCTCAATAAAACTCGCATTTGCAAGCACTACATTCTTCTGTGTAGTCCCAACAGCATCCTTGGCTACACAGTGCAAACGTACTAGCTCATCTTCAACTTGATCAAAATTATCGCAATCATTTTCATCTGGATTTTCGTCCCATTCGGCTGAAAGTACGCCATTAATATATCCTTCAATGCATTTTGGATCTTCCGACTCGTCAAAATCCATATAGGCTGATTGTGATTGATAGTTGTCCTCGTCGGATAGCTTTGAGTAAGCTTTTGCTGCAAACTTTTCAAAACCTCTGGGCATTCAAGATATCATACAAATCAAGTTAAAAAAGCAGTTTTATCAAGAAAGTCGACAAAGTAAAAGTTTGAAATGCAACTTACTCCAGCCGAATGGTTTCGCCCGTGTGTTTTGTAAAATATACCATTTCCTGTTCGCGAAATGCTGGGTCAATACGACGAGTATATGTTTCGTATTTTCGTAAATCAAATAGCATGTCAAAAAACAATGAAGCACTTGTTGATCTTTTCAAATCTTGCAAAGTGATTTTGTTTGGATATGCAGGTTTGAGAAGATCAAATCTATTGACACAATTGAAGACATATGACAAGACAGTTAAATTGCATTTTACTTGAACAAGCATTATTGTTGCATACATACACTAGCCATTTTATCAAAAACAAAGGTTTGACAAAATACTTACAAACTGCATATAAAATCTTCAAATTTCCATACATCACTCATACGACTATTTAGCATTCGCTGATACTGTTCATCGAAAAAAATCTTTATCTCATACAGGCTCAAACAGCCGTCACCATCCAAGTCCAGACATCTGAACCAGTATTCAATGGCGGATGGGGTGCTTTTATCTTCTACAGCAAGGATAAACCAGACAAAGTCGGCATAGGACATGGTCGGCGGAGATGTTTTTATAGAAGGAATTTTTCCGTATCCAAGTATCACTCGAGTTAAAATCAAATCGGTCATACTGTATCGATCGTATTTTTTCAAAGCAGCATGGTCAATCGCAAGCTGCTGATCAGTATCCAATTCCCAAAACTTGCAGTAGATGACGTAAAAATGTTGGTATGAGAATATATCAACCGTCTAAAGTATTTAGGGAAAATATATCAGAGTAGCAAAGTATTAACGGAATGCACAAGTCCAAACACGAGCTGGGTATCGTTATGTAATAAAATCCGTCACCTTGTTGATATCATCCAATGCTTCTAGATCCGTCACGTACTCTACAAATCTGCTTTTGAGAAACTCGGAAAATGTCATTTGATTGTTCCATTTTTTAGGTTTGGTGTAAAACAGTCGCAAAACAACAGTCTCAACTGTGATTGTGGCAGTTTTATATGAAACAAGTTAGCCAAAATGTTTCTTATAAATAGTAAAGATTAATGGTTTATAGTACTCAAATACCAAATATATATCTAAACTCACTATAACGAATTTGAAATGGTTTATAATCTTCAAGGAATCTCAGGCCTGGATGATTTTGCACAACATCTATTACAGTCACATTACAAAGTCAAATAAGTATCTATACTGGCCAAATACTTTTAAAATATAAAAGTACCTTTGACAACTATTTCGATATCGCTAGGAGTAAGGTATGACTTTTTTGGATCCTTCAAGAGACCAAACAAGATAGCTTCAGGAGTATGGTATGTTGACAAATGAGTCGTCCAAAATCTAAAATGAATCAAGTTTCAGCATCAATATAGCGTAAGCAACATTGTAATACCAACCCGTATTGGTGAATCTACAATCAGGAATACATACGATATGAATTTATCAAATGTAATGCCGTCAGTGCCATTGCAAGCACGAATATACATTGCTGAACTGAAATATCGGGAAATATTGCATGCTAGCGCCACGTCAACAAAGTCATGTTGATACAAAGGTACGTCGTTTGCTTGTAGTTTTAGTTCTGGACTTGCTGTAAAAATTGATCGAAGTTTTTCCTAGATTTACATGTATGAGTATTATTTGATGTCTAGTGAGATGCAACCCAAATAGAAAAGCATCCAAAACGTAGCCAGCCAAAGTAGTAATATGTAATCAAGGTGTTTAGATCTTGCAAGCATGATTTACTTTAAGCGTATCAGTCATGATCTTATTTCGCGCAATGGGTTTACCAAATGGATAGTAAAATTTGCCTATGCTTGGTTTCTACAAGTAATAAATTCACCATAAGATAGCAAAAACTACATGTCAGTATAGGCGGGGTTGTAGAATGCATAAATAGATTGAGTGATAAAAAGCAGGACAATCAAACAGATCGAGTATTTACCTGAGAAACAGTGAGGTCTACTCCAGAATCTTTTTTGACCACCTCCTGTTCTCTAGTCAGTGGTATTTTCCGACTATTTATTGCAGAAACTGCCTCATTTCTGGAAATGCTCTGATGTGTGGTATCTATGCAGGTTAATTCAAGTTTTGATTCTGGAGATGACAAGGTATCGACAGATGGCTTATCAAATTGTGTGGTGGTAATATTAAGTTGTTGATCAGAAGAAATAGTATTTTCTACAGACGGTTTGGAATTTAAAACATCAAACGATATTAATATATTGAATTGCGTCGAGGATAATAAATGACTTACCGAAATGTGATTGTGCAGATTTGATATTTGAAATGACACCAGGAATTGAGCAAATAGGTTCTGTATCAACATGACACCTATCTAATGGTAAAATGCACGTAGGGGTTTTACCCACCAGTCTACTTTCATTCAACACCGAGATGGACGCACTACCAGGGTAAACATCACAGTTGGGTTTTGACCGATTGGACATGTCATCAATGTCTGTATGAGGGGACAATGGCGCTAGTTCAGAAAAAATCCCCATTTCATCAACACAATAAGATGACTCTGTATGGCTTGAAGAAAGGGTATCCACTTTGGTAGAGCCCATCACATCCAATGCAGCCAATTTATTGGTAATGAATGTAGACGCGTCTGTCTGTACCAACCATTGCATCAAGAGAGTATCAGTGTTTAGTGTTTGGTTAGGAATAAAGTCGAATGGTGAAGATGCCAAGGTACAAGTTGATAAAGTATCTTTTCTTGTATTAGTTGGAGATTTGGGTTGAAAGACAGTTTCCTTTAGAGAGCGTTGGATGGTTTGTGGGGTTGAAGTTTCATTGCCAACAAGTATTGAATTCGATAAATCATGCGACTTTACTGTTTGTATTGTTTCAGGACTGCTGACAGAGTCAATTGGCTCTGAATCCGGGTTTTGTAGCTTGTTTTTCAAAACTACATTCTGCCATTCCATGCTGGTTGTTTGTAGTAACTGTGGAGTAAAGTATTTCGGTTTATTGTATGTAGTTGATGTAGGATTCTAAAATTGAAGATTGCTGGGCTAGTAGATTTGGATGTAATATTGTTTGTGATAATATAATAATTTAAAACAAATCAAATATAGATTTAATGGTTGAAGCTGTCTTGCGTAGTGGTATCAATAAACTTGCCTGTAGTTGGGCTAGAGCGTAATTACGCAATCATAAGCGGAGTATCGAGGCAAACCAATATGCGGTCTAGTCGCTATTTATTACGGACTGATCGTTTAAATTAATGGCGGTGAAATTCAAGTTTTGCTGCAACAAAACAATAATGAATACTCCAGCAAAGCCTATTGAACATACTGCGAGACTCACTCGCTCTTTTTCTAAAAAGCTAAAGGATCAAAATACAGCAAATGGATCTACTGCTGAACCTTTAATAAAAACTCCTTTAAAGAGAACCCCACGGTCTCTTAAAGAAAAGGCTTCAAAAAACACTGTCGAGATGGTGGTTCCTACCACTACTTCGATTGCTATTGCTGCCTCTGCTGAGGAGCCTACTTCTGGTGTTTCTGATTCTTTTGCTTGTGATACTGCTGACACAGTGGATAAAGCTACAGAAACTACTACTCAGGTCATTCATGATGCCGCTACTCAGCAGATTGCTACTGTAGAGGCTGTCGTTGCAGCTGTATCCAAGGATGAATTCTCTGTGATCGTTGCTGGAACTACTGCTGACGAGGCTCTTGAGCAATCCACTCTTGAAACGGATACTGAAACTCTTTGTGGAAAAAAGCGCTCGATCAGCGAAACTGAACCGCTTGCCTATTCTGCAGTTGTACTAGATATTGAAGGAACCACCACTCCCATTTCCTTTGTGCATGATGTTCTTTTTCCTCATGTTGTGACTTCAATTGACACATTTTTATCTGAGAAATGGGATGATGTTGAATGCCAAGAACGAGTAGCTGATCTCGTTAAACAGGTAGAGCGTTAATATTTTCAATGATTTATTGTTCAGATCCAATCTAACCGTTGTATTATATTATGCTCTAGTCCGAGGCAGATGTTGAAGCTGGATTAAAAGATGCTCGACAGATTTTGAGCTCCACTACAGATCGCACTGAAGCTCAGAAGAGTGTTTCTGACTATGTCAAGTGGGTCATGTCTAGTGATCGCAAAGTCACTGCCCTCAAAGCTTTTCAGGGTTATTTATGGAGATCTGCCTATGAGATTGGTGATGTTTCTGGAGTGTAAGTTGCATCTGTATTGCATACATATTGAACACTATCTTCATCTTTAAGCCTATTCAATGCTATTTATTAACTTGAATATATATGCTAGTGTTTACGACGATGCTTTTGAAGCGCTTAAGCAATGGAAACAGCAGGGCGTGCCTGTTTATATTTATTCGTCAGGGTCAGTTGAAGCACAAAAACTGCTTTTTAAATACTCCGACAAGGGTAATATGCTTGAATACTTTTCAGGACATTACGACACAACTACTGGATCCAAGATAGATCCCGAGTCGTATCGTTTGATCGCCAATGATATTTTGCAAGAACCAAGCCAGATACTGTTTGTGAGCGACAATGTCAAAGGTAAGCGTGCATCTTGCATATCCCACTTTATCCTGACCTGCTACTCACATGACGAGGGTAACCACTGGTTTTTGGAATTTAATAGAAATTGAGGCTGCATACGCTACTGGATATCAAGTTTGCATTGCAGTGCGACCAGGAAATGTTCCTATTTCTGGCAGTGTTGAAGAAAAGTTTAACATTAGCAGTGATTTTACACTTCTTGTAAATGGAATCAAATCGGAAATTGGGGAAAATAACGGGCATTCAGCCAAGATAGCTCGAGTGGAAACAGTTAAAATGGATAAATAAATTAAACATCTTGCGGTCATGCCGTGGTGTAGTTGGGTAACTAGCCGATCCAATAACTTGTTTTTATACCAGTTGAATACAATACATGGCAATCTGATGCATGCAAATCTAGAGTCCAAAATGTTCAGTTTGTGATGTATGAGCAGATTTGCAATACTATGCGTATCTGGATACTGAAAATATTTATCATGCAATACTTTGAGATTTAACTCGGCACAACCCTATTACAGTCAAAAAGTCCATGGTTGCTACCAAAACAAGCTGATTTGCTATATTTGATTTCATTCAGCGATGGATTAAAGTTTAATAAAATGCATTCAACATTTTGATTGCTTTTTAGTTGCAAGGCAATTTGTCAATGAGGGAACGCAAGGCACTGATTTCGGTCAGATCGGTCACCCACACGATACGACCGCTTTGTGACGTGTGTTTATCTTCAACTGGAGTCTGGCTTGTAGCCATGATGTAAATAAATGTAAAGGCATTTTGGGCGGCCTGCTCAAAAATTGAGTGTGGTAGATCTGCTGCAGGAATTTTTTTTGCACCATGTATTTTTGACTATGGATAAACAGCAGCATTTTCAAAAGTGTTACAAAATGTTCTGCTAGTATAGTAATGCAATCTGATAGGCTGTAGATTGATTTTAAACCTACTATAGGAATATCCAGAATGATGTCGTGGATAATATCTAAGCTATTCCCAAGTGCCACCACAATATAAATCTATAGTTCAACGTATTATTTCGGCAATTAGCCAGCTGTAAAACATACTGCAGATTAAAACTTTTACAAGTTCATCTCAACTGTACCTTTTTTGTTTGGAAAAGATTGGCCAGTACAGAAAATGTAGATGGAACTGGACAATTGACACCTTTTGTGTCTACAGCTGGCACAGACTCGCCAGTTGGCGCTTTTATGTCCCAGTCGTCCATCTCCTATTTGTACCAGAGTGAATTCAGATAAAATTAACATCAAGTATATAAGCTAAAATAAACACGATGCATTCAAAAACATGATCTTCACTTACATCTGGCGATTTTAAAATCTGGTAGTTTTTGCCAGTTGTGTCATTAAAATCAAATACTTCATGCCACACGTTATTTAATACATCGAATTTGGCAACTCGGAATTGCTCTGAAATTATCAAAAACAAGTGTTGGTATTCAAATAGTTGGCAATTTGTAATAAATTCAAGAAATCCCAAAATGCTCACCGTTTAGCTCAGGATAGGCGTATCGAAAACATCCTATTTGTATTTTTGAGGAAGTTTCAATAACTGGTTGTGTGTGTGTATACAAGCTTAGCTTGATATCAGTACATCCTTTTAATCTAAAATATATAGCATATTTAAGGAAAAAATTGTATTTAAAAAAAACTAGTCGATGCAATATACGACCGACTATTACCTAATTTGTTGTGCAGCAGCAACAATCACACAGTGATGACAGTCACGAATAAATACGGATCCTTCACATGGAGCAATTAAGATGAACGTATTTTCGCAACAATCAATCGTAACTTGAGCCGATATATCCATCACAAACAGTGCCGCATTCTACACATTAATGTTCAAAAAGTCGTCAAATCCATTAATAAGATCATGTCAGATTTAATAAGATTCAAATAAACGTTATGAATGATAATTCCAAACCTTGCAATCTTCAATAGTGAAGGGAACATTTTTTGGAATTGTGTTTGGAAGTTTGGTACATTGAGTGCCTTGAACACGACTGAATGTAAACGCGGACAAGTCAGGTCGAATGACAGTCGATATTGGTAAAGACTGGATAGTGGATGATGGCTCTTGAGTAAATGAAGTGCTGTTTGATTCCATTATCGATGTTGATTTAGGTTGAGTTGATACATTTTGACCTAGTTTGTGTATTCAGATATTAGCAAATTGGATGATAGTGTCACCAAGCAGAGGCTAAAAACAGATAATGTAATATACGATATAATAGTCGTCTACGTCTATAATTACGTTAAAGCGCTCACCTGGAATGGATTCTATTGTATTAGTGGGTTTTTGGCTATTACTTTTTAAATCCACACTAACGGTATTAGATTTGAAAGCGCAACATGGCAGATAGCTTGCCCAAACCATTAAATAACTATGACAAGGTAGTTAAATTCGTATTTTTATGTTGGGTAAAAAGCTTGAACACGATGCATTGAAACAACCGTCTAAACTATAATCGAGTCAACTAAGGCATTTACAACTGTTTATTGAATCAAACATGATTAGTGCTGTAAAGTGCTGTTAAATTTGAATCATTCCCGGCAATGAATCTAAAATAGCAAATAGAATGAGTAGCAGTGGATTTAGTAATCTAAAATGAACATCCATTAAAGCAGATACATCGACTTGACACTCACAATATGTCTAGATAATCGGTTGATGTGTCACAGAGAGATTCCAATGTCGGAGGACGGAGCGAGAGCGGACAATAGGACTGAGTTGTATGGTGCTGAGGAGACTGAGATTGTTTAATGATCAAATCAGGCATTTTCATGGCCTGAAGCTGATGTGACAGTACATTTGTCTTGTCATGGTTCATGCCAGATTCCAATGTTTAAAGGTAGCAACAATGGTGACAAGAACGAGAGGAATTTTTTGGTTATATAAACTCTATTTTTACCATGTTTTGGAAACATTTAGACAGCATCAAGCAGGCTACTGTTGCAGCCTTTTAGGAACGAGAGCTTTCGGTTCGTAGCACAACATGGTTGTTTTAAGTTAATGTGCAGATTATAGATAGAACACTGAGAATCGTGTCAAAACAAAACCAACACCAAGATCAGCAAGCAACCATCATTATATCAAATGAGGAACGTTGTATACTAATCAACAAAAACAGACTGTTGCAGACTGTTCAGCAAACTGACCATGTAAGCAAGTCAGATTGTCGCTGTTGTACAGGAAACACGAGCGATAGATCATCTTGTTATTCGAATCAACAAACAATACTTGCAAAATAGAGCATCACCAAGGATGATGGTTGCTGACAAGTTGTTCATCCATTCTCATACCTATTGTTGCTAGCCTAAAACTGAATTCAAGATTGATCGCCAGCAGCAAATCATCCCAATAATCACGTGCTACTGATTTCACTTTTTGCACAGTTGAATTCAACATTTGCAGCTGCCAACAACAGAACGATCCATGGATCAACTTGCAGCAGTCGAAAACAACGATTCAGTGCTGCATGACACTATTACTGCTACCGAGTATTTAGAGCAGCAGGAGGAGCTTGAAAAAGATGCCGCAGAGGCACTTCCATACGATTTTTCAGTGTGTTCTTACTCTCGAGGTATCTAGCCTAGTCCGAGTCTTGTATCATCATAGATACGACTGGCTGACTATAACACAATATTGTCTTTAAATAATAGGATATGTACTGCAAAAGGTGTATTCTTGTAAAACCTGTGCCGTAGATGCTGGACAATTCGTTGGTGTTTGCTATGGCTGCTTGTAAGTTTAAACTTGTAGATACAAAGATCTTGTAAAGCTATGGTATTACTATGGAAGTGCTGACTTGTTGTTGTAACTGTAGCGTATCGGTGTGTTCTTATCCCATAAATGCTTTATCCATCGGTGTACAACCCTAACAGTTTTACATTGATGTGTTTTTAAATGATATATTAGTGCCATACTACTCATGAAGTAGTTGAGCTGTTTCAACGCAGACATTTTAGGTAATTTTATTTATGTTCAAATACTTGTTTCCATTGACAGTCTCTTAACGCTTTGAATAGATGCGATTGTGGCACGAAATGCATCAAAGGAACTCCGTGCATGTTAGATCCGCCAGGTCTACAGCAAGAAAAGTCTATTCAGTCCAATGTTGAAAACCGGTATAATCGAAATTTCGATGGAGTGTTTTGCGTGTGTTTGGAACCATACAATCCAGAAGTGGAAACACGCACCATGTTTCAATGCGTTATATGTGAAGATTGGTTCCATGATGAATGTGTTTCCAAGGTAAGCGGATATCAATCATGATTTTTGATATCTTGATTCGAATGAATAGCAATGATATTTAATTCATTACGTGTGTTTTAGGTTCCTGATGAAGATGCTTTTGAAGAGTTTCTCTGTAAAGCATGTGTTGTAAAACACCCATTTCTTCAACGGTACATGCATGACCCGAAAATGTTTTGTCAGGTTGAATCTGACAAAACAAAAACAGTGGACGATTCTACTCCCACATTCAATGAGAACGGAAAACGTAAACTGGCCATGCCAGCCACTCAAGTTGATGTCCTCACAGACCTATCCAAGGTTGAAGAGGATGTTAATGTTGAATCAGACAGCATACAAAACTGTATTATGCTGCCTATAAAGCTTGAATGCGTTCCAACACATCTTTTTGCGCTAACCAACTGGCATGAGAGGTTATGCCACTGCACTGATTGTATGGACATGTACGAACGTGAGCAATTAAGTTTTTTGTTTGAAACTTTGGAGGAATTCACAACTGAAAAGGATAGTGATGCAGGTATGGGATCCTTTTAGATACTTTTCACCATTGAGCTAGTCAAATCTAGTGCTTTAAACAGGACTTTTTTAACCTTGTAAAGAATCTAATTTTAATTTAGGACGGTCATTATTGGATGTTGGCATGGAGCGCCTTGGCCAAATTGATTGTGTCAAGGCAATAAATGGTGTACATATCTACAACAAATTCAAAGACAACTTGATGGCATATTTGCGAGAATTCGGTGAACGTGGCCAAGTAGTTACCAAGAAAGATGTCGAAATTTTCTTTCAGGTAAATATGCTTGTTGATTTACGCTATATTAAAATAGGAGAATCACATTAAATGTCTTGTTTTAACAATTACATACTTATGGTTTTAGAAGCAGCAGGAAATACAACACGCCAAGAAACGAGCAAGAATATGAGCTCAGTTTGATCTTGATAGTATTTGACAATTACAATGTGTTTTCAATGAAAAATAAATCTGTAATTTATTACAATGGTGGTTATCTAGTTTAATGTGAAATAACACAATAATGGACAAATAGGTTTTAAATCTTTTGTAAATGTGATTACAGGACAATCATAATTCTGTTTTGGACTGCTCATGCAGCATTTTAGACTGTCTGTAGAGGGCAATCACTTGTTCACGCTCTCTGAGCAATGCAATCTTTTCAACTGGTGCCAGATCCTTGAGCTTGCGCTTACGGCCAATTTTTGTATCAGAAAATGTACCAGATTCAATTGCCTGCTCTTTTTGCCTCTTGAGTCTCCGAGCTCGCTCTAGCTTGTCTTCATCTGCAGCATTGGCATCGTCATAAAGAGGTTTCTTTGGCATGGGAACATACTCTTTTCTAGCCTTTGGTTTGACAGTGATGTTGGGAGGTCTCTGGACAATTTGACCAAACTCGACATGATCTACTAGTTTTTTCTCTACTTCCAATCCCCTTTGGAATGGCTGCTGTACTCCGTCCAAATTGGAATACTCCTCTTCATTACTTTTGCCATTTTTTTTGGATCCTTTATGTTGTTCCATCCATGCCTTGCGCTTAGCGTACTTGTTGGTAATGGACTTGGCTGTATGATTAACTATTCGTCTTAATTCATCCTCTTTTGCATGCAATTGATCCTTTGTAGTGATCAACTTGCCATTTAAACCTTTTTTCGTCTTTTTTTCCGAGATGCTCTTTTTGAGTTCTGCCTTTGTTTCAATGGACTTTACAAACTTGAGATGCTCGCGATACTTGCGAGGAAATCCTTGGGAAGTCGTGCCATAATCGCTTACTACTGGATCTCTTGTGCGATCCTTCATTTGTCGTGATTTTCCCATTGCTGCAAATATTGAACCTATATCACAACCGTATTCACGTAAAATAAAACATTAAATAAGAAACTGAAATACATAATAGACATCCAGTTTTGTAGGATGGATGTCGCCAAATTTACTGAGCAGCATGTTCCCTTCAACTCATTAAAGGTTATAGGTCCTTGTGCTCATTTTTGTATAAAACAGCTAAATGAATGTTCACATCACAGTTCCAGTCAATTCTAGACTTGCTCAACCTTTAGCTCTTTTTCCATCCAAACCAAATATTGGATGATTGACATGAAGACAATAGTTGGATTCTCGAGACATACAATCCTTGTTTTCTTCAACTGAAACGCAAGCACATGGGATTTAGAATACAGTAAAGTGGAGTTTGTATGGAGTTGTATTGATAATATCACAACAGTCGAACCCAATATCTGGATTGTAATGTATGAATTTTGTTTCAAACTTTGTGATCGTATAATGCATGACTACCAAAAAAGGAGAAAGAGATAATCAATTTAAGCCATAGTTTGTATGCATTATATGATGGTCGTTGTGTTTTGAAGAATTGAGAGTGTATCCAAGTCAATTTGTAGTGGGAGAGCGCAACGAATACCTGTTTAGTTTGAAGCAGAATAAAGAAGGTCTGCAAGATAAATACAGAAAAATATTTCATTTTACGTGAATATGGCTTATTTGATTTTTATCTGTAGTAGAATCACGTGCAACACAAGCAATCCAATGAAATGCGACCAGCTTATTTATTGGTAATAAACATAATTCAACTCCAGTCAATCCCAAACTTGTTCAATCTTCAACTGAAGCGCAAATACATGAGATTTTAGGGTATAGCAAGATGGAGTTTGGTTGAAAACACTTAAACCCAATATCTGGATTGCAATGTATCAATCTGGTGATTGTACAGTGTGTATGTCAAATGAGGGAAATCCCAGTTTAAAACTATAGCTTGTGCTACATAATAGATGTTGTGTCTATTAAAGTAGTCAATCTGTAGAATAACAAATATCTAGCCATTGTTTATTCCAAAGAAATAGAAATCACTGCAAGATGAAAGTTCCATTTACATGAATACACTGTAATTGCAACCAATGAGCCAAATATAAAAACATTCGGCTTAGATGCTAAAACAAGACTAATGGCAAAATGATTCGAATACAAAATAGCCTTTTGATGCCAGCATATTCAAAGTGAAAAATAGACTTGCTTTATTACAATGCTGCTGGGGTTTAACCATCACACCAAAATGCATGGCATGATTGCAACAACATCTATAATCAAAAAATGACATTTGCAGCCAATACGATCGAGGCAACGATCAACATCAATGGCTGAACATGGCTAGACATGACACTGCTGGATGCAGGCTTGCTTCCTGGAGCAGGACTGGAAGTGCTTCCAGGTAGAGAAACGCTGGAGGAACTGCCAGGCGAGACAATGGTAGCAGTGCTATGAGCACCAGTAGATGCAGCAGGTGAAACGGTTGCTGCATCTACACACACACCTCCAACATCAGGTATGTCCTTGGATTTACATATCTGTCCAAAGAAGCAGCTGGGAGCAGTACGCATCAGTCCACCGCACGGACCACCAAGTGATGCGATTGTAGAGCCAGTAGGTATACACATACCTGCAACAGTAGTGTCGATACCAGGTGGACGAGCGCATATATTTCCAGTTATGCATGGCAAAGGGGCTAAATTAGTGCCGCATGAACTGCCAACATCGCCGGTTTGTTGAGCAGCAACACTAGCAATGGCTGCAAGTAAAACACCTGCAGAAAGAGTAGAAGGATTGGCAATCATGAATAGAAACAAGTGAATAGGTTGAAAACAATGGGTTGAGTTGGATTATTCAACGTCCATGTCAATGGACTGCCATGCTATTATATCTGGGGTCAAGGCATGCCGTAGACTGCCATTGAGCGACTTACAAATTCAACCGCCACGTGTAATTCATGTGTATTCCAGGTCTGGGACTCTGTTTGTATCGAGTCAAATAGGTCATGTTACCCTATGCTTTACATCAGATTGGACAGCCCAATAAGCTTGACATCAACAGTCTTGTTTAGATAAAGTTGGCGACAAAAAGTATGAGAACACAGAATAAAGTCGTTGTCTCAATCCGATTTCATCATGTTTTGAGAGTATCCTGATGGCATCAAACAAGTTGCTATTGCATCTTAACCAGAGTTTTTGATTTGTAGCCTTGCACGATTGCTTTAGTTTATTGTGTACTCTATAAGTGAAACGCCAAAGATCGTGTCAGAACAAGACCAAGTCAAGAAAGTTGTCTTGTTGAATTGATGGATTAACAAACTAGCCCTGCCGAAAAGTCAATTGTCGTGGAACAGAAGACACGAGCGATAAATAATCCTATCATTCAAATCAGTAGATGAACAATCCATTGATGTTACAAAAAACATCATCAAGAAATACGAGTGGTTGAATGAATTTTATGCAAATCGTCTTCAAACACATGATGCATACTGATGATTGCTGAAAATTTCTCATTCTATATCTCCATTTTCATACCCTTTGTCGCCAGCTGTCATGACAGGATTGGAAATGCCGAGTTCAGTTTATTTGAAAAGCAGACCAGCATTATCTCATTCCATGAGTCAAATTTTTTAATTGAGATGCAGTAGTATGAGTATTTTAAAGTAGAGGTATTTATTTGTTCAATTGCATGCAAATCTAGCACTGACAGTCAGCCTACTCTTTCAAACATTGTTCCCTCGCTTTGGAAAAGCATATTCGCTAATTTCAACTTTTTAGAGGGTTTTTCGACAAAAAAATCTTATCCGCGTGTAACTTGGCAATCATGGCTGCTATATCAGAAGATATTGCAAATTCGAGCATTCCACCCCCTACGCAGGCTCTGATAGACAAGGCAGACTTGGAAACGGGTAGCGTATTCGCAATAGATCCGGTTCAGCCTCGCATACTACCACAATATATTCCATTATCCAAACACAATTCGAGTAATACGCAAGAAATATTCATCGATTCCATCCTAAAGCAAGACATTCAGAATTCGACTGGCGAAACACCGTCCAATTTCATTGTATCCACGCCCTCGCTCTCTTCAAACACACTACCAAGTCAAGGCAGTGCTGCCACTAATACACAGGATCCATTTGCTGATTTATCAACTTATATCACTGAACTGATAGAAAAAACATCAAGTACCGAATCTACACTCTCTAATGTGGCTGTAAATGGTCTAGAAGGCACAACTAAACTGGTATGTCCATGTTGACTACACATTAGAAATCGCGTTTACCTTGATTAAGCTTATTTTCTTGGTCTTTTACAAGTGAGTGGCCATTATATGATTTACAATTAACCCAGAACTGTGTGCATCAATTCATATTGTTTTTGAGCAGAGCTACGCTATTCAAGAAATCTTGATACAATCTGGACAAACCAAGGAAAAGTTGAATATCAGCACAAAAGCCCAATTCATTCGTCTTGAAAAGCAATTGGTTGATATCAATCAGTGCTGCCAGTTACTCAAAACTCATCTTCATGATTTAAATGCAACCCGAATTGATATTCTTGGTCGCTTAGTCACGCCTTCTACAATGGATCGAATAGCAAATATGAAATCTACTGTAAAAGTCATTTTGCCACACCAGCGTCATGAACAGTCGGGAGGTCACAGTAATCATGGATCAATTGCTCCACAAACTAGAGCTTCTGTTGCAGTCACATCACTTGATAGTCAAGAAAGCGATGCTTTTCTTGATATGGGTATATTTCCCAAAACGGGATTGGCAGCTGCCAATCACGTCAGTATGGCTCCAGTAGCGCCTAAAATGTTTGCCAAACTTCCTAAAGAGGTTACTGACGCAAATCTGCCTAAACCAGAGCTTATGCGATTATCTGCTCTTTATGAACTAATCGAAACAGAAGCTGATTATTGTCGTGATTTAATGACGATGATTAATGTGAGTTCTCATTGATGTATTACATATATATGTAAGCAGTCTACTATCAAACACCTAAATTAATCAACCATGCATATCTAAACTATTGAATTGTAGTTTCACAGAGCACAGCTTAGAGAAAGCAAAATTGTGTCTGAACAGGACAGTACCGCATTGTTTTCTAATATCGATCAGCTTTTATTGGCCAATCAGGTATCACAAATGTATAGGTGACCATTTTGATTTCAGAAACAGTATTCTCACTATATTATTGCCTGCTGTGCATAAAATGCATTGTATTTATAGGGACTGTTAGCAAAGCTTAAAGCGCGGCGTGATCTTAATCCAATAGTTCAGGAGATTGGTATATTACAAATGTATCAATGCTATGTATGAATACTTGAAATGATTAATAACCAAGCTTTATATTTTATACATTTGAATCACAAATAGGTGACGTGATCGCTGATTCAGCCAATGCAAGTTTTGATCAAATTGAATAGACTCTTAAAGCATACGAATGACTAATGCATCTTTATTTTTCATAGGCTCTTAAAGTGTACTCTATATATGCAGCAAATTATCCTGCTGCCATGAAGCTTGCTTACAGCCTTCAAGGCCGACCAGAAGTGAAAGAGATGATGCAGGTAAATCCTGATGTCTAACTTGATTATTCTGTGCTAATCTATTTCTGCTGTCATACTAATTTTCCATTTTTAAACTATTTTGATAGAAATGGATGAACAACCCAGAAGTTCGTGGACTGAGTTTAGAATCATTTTTGGTAAATACTACTCAACAAATATTACAGTATGCTGCTAATATGATCTACACTAATAGTATGGTTGTATATGGAAATGTTTACAGATCAAACCAGTACAAAGAATTTGCAAGTATGTATATTTTTGATTTGATTTGATTTGATTTGATTTGGTTTGGTTGAAAAATAATGCTAACGCATATATATTGAACGGGTTGGTTAAATTATAAAATAGGTATCCTTTACTGCTAAGAGTACGTATCTACTTGTAAAGCCCACATAGTCTAATCGCTATCAGCGTGATTTGATTAAAATAACCGATTGACATGATACTTGTTATAATTGGCAGGAATTAGAAAAACACACAGAGCGAGCAGGAAATACTGTGGATCAAGCCAATTTGCGAGCAGCCGCTGAAAAAATTGAAGCTGTAGTTACATTGGTAAACGAAGCAACTCGAACTGCTGAAGAAAAACAGCGTATATTAAACTTGGAATCAAATATCGAGTCTCCGATTGTAAGTAATGAATCCATCTCAGCGTCAAAATAATAGATTGTCTTGTAGCAATGCCATTTAGACTCATTTTGTACTTTTCAGCCGCTTGGGTTTGCAGACAAAAAGCATATCAAAGATGGACCTCTTCTGCGACTAGCTGGAGGGAAAACTAAAGAAAGATACGTTCTTTTGTTCACAGATATGCTGCTCATTTGCAAAAGTCAAAAATCCCCAGGAAAATACGAGCTTGAATCTGGATATTCTTTGGCAGAGCTTTTACCACGACAAGAGTTTAAAGGTAGTTTTAATGCTTATATACCTGGCACACTAATAATATGGGTATATAAAACATTCTGTTTTTTAAACTATTGGAAAATTTTATAAAGATACCGTCAAGAGTCGTGGGATCAATATTGTGACTCTTAGTGTAATCACGTCAGACGACAAGGATACGATCGTATTTGCTTCCAGTAATGACGAAGATCGCCTCAAATGGATAGATGCATTTACGGTTGCATTTAAAGATATCACGGAAGAGCACCGATCTGCAGTACGAAGCACAATGAATTCCAATATGCTTAAACAGCCCAGTTTTAACGAAAGCGGCGGCTTGACATTCAGAGCAACAGCAAAAAAAGGAAAAGGAAATATTGGACGAACTATAGCAATCGGAGCTGGATCATCAATGCTTCGAAAGGTTAGTTTAATATTAATGCGTTTTAGACTTTAAGCTACTGTACTAGATTTCTATACTTGCTAGCTAACATGGTCGTAAAATAATGTATAATCTACAGCAAGCTGCCGCACGTGCAAGTCTAATGGAAAATTGGATGGTAATACAAAGTTACTGATTGTTTTTAAAAAGGATTGATTGATTTTCTAACTGTTATGACTATGAAAATGCATTTAATATTGGCAATAGAGTTCTCCAACTCCAAACGTAAGCATTTGATCTTTTGATAAAAATATTGCGCAATAATTTTACTCTGTATATTTAAACCAACTCATGAATTTCAATATGCCAGGCTGTTGTGTTGAGTGAACCAGAGATTGTTGAAGTCGGAGGTGAAATCTACAAACGAGCTTTTGCTGCAACTGGCCATATCTACTATTTGTAAGTAGATTGCAAAGCCTTGTACTTTTAGTATGAGATACAATGGCAAGCGTATTAATAGTTGCATTTTATTCAGTTCGACTCAAACACACAAGTCTATCTGGAAACTACCTGATGGATATACTATAGTAGAGAACTGCGCTGTTACATCTGCAAATGGAACCGAACCACATAACCCAGATTTAGATGGAAATCAAATGGCATTTGATATTGAGGAGGAAGAGGGAATGATACTAAACTTGGTTGAAGGCTACCCTATGTGGCGTTGTGTCGATCGCGGTGATGGAATGCCATACTTTTTTAACATCAATACACAGGAGACTCGGTGGGAGCATCCCAAAGTATTAATAGCCGAGGGAGAAAATACAAATGCTCTAGCTTGATGTATGTATCCATTGGATTGACGTTTAGGACCAATAAAAATCACTATTTTTGATATTTTATTATTTACTTGAATCTTGAGACAGCTATGAATTTATGATTACTTGAAACACAACTATTGCCAATCGTTTTAAGATTAAAAAACCATATGTTGGGTTAAATATTCATTGCTTACTATTACAAATTGACTTTAAACATTCTTAACTCTTCAATAAACACGATATTCATCGTATGATACAATTAAACTATAGTTTTAAGCGTGTTCTTTCTCGCCTTTTGCATATCCACACATTGTACAATCACCCAATTCATCCATTTTAATCCAAATATCAAGATTGACTGTTTTCAAGAAAACTTACTTTTGTTGTGCTTAATCTCGGATAGATTTACATTCTGGTTCAACAAAACAATAGTTACATGTCGACAAAATATCAGTAAACTAAAAAGTCCATGTCAAAATTCTGATCAATAAACTGACGCCCATTATTTCATAGGATTGGCTATTTATTATACACCGACACTTTTATTTAGTGTTTCATTTTGCATGGTACAGCTGCGATAGTTACGTTGGTATCGCGGGAAAGGTTTGAAATGGTGTGGTAGATGCGGCTTGTGAAATTGAAATGGTGCTAAACTCTTCATCATTACCGTTTTCAGCTAACTGATTCGATGGTAAAATGAAATTTGACTGTGCTGTATCATCGATAGTTTCAGTGCCTACGCTACTTTGCACTTCCATGTCAAAATGATCAATATTGGTCTTGTATTCCATTTCTCGGACAAAACCATTTGTATCCCTATTTCCCTGACGGACTGAACTGATTTGATTACATGAGCGCTCAGCAGCCTTTGCTAATGACGTGCCATTCATTTTGGCAAATAGGATCCGCAGTACACGCTCCTTATCTTCCCATGTAAGATCCTTGATGTCGATTTTTGCCTTGTTGCTTATACTTTTAGCTTTGTCTTCCTTATCGATCAGTGTTTCAGCTAGAAATTTGTCTAGTGGATTTTTGTTTTGAATTCTGAACGATTGAACTGGGGGGATGGGTGCCCTGTCCTTGAACATCTATTTGATTGCAGAAAAACAATTAGTGCCAATTTCAAACAGTGCAAAATACTATTTTCTACACTATTTGATAATGCCAATCAACAGACTCACCGTTCTCATCCTCTTGTCGTATTCCATTTGTGCTTCTTTGAGCTGCTTTTCTCGTGCCTTTTTCATCTCACTTTTAACCATCTCCAAAGCTTCCAAGAAAAACTGCTCTAGTTCTGTTCGCTGATTTAAAATATGCTGTGCTAATCGCTAATCAAAATGTATATATTTGAAAACAATTAAGCAATTTTGATATCTTCAACATTTTGCAAATCCAGTACTCAATGACAGCGCTAAATACCTTGATATGTTTCATTTCTAGTGTTTTTCGAGCAAGACTGGCTCTTAGTTTATCTGCCACTTCACGAACTTGATTTAGTTCATGACGCGCAAGATCTCCTATAATGGTTCGTTCATATTCAAATTCTCGTACAACATGCGAAAGCGAATGCTCCATGCTAGCAATCTTTAATTTCAAGTCTTTGATCTAGTTTCAGCCAAGATACCACATTGAATAGTGTTTTAGCAAAATACGCATCATTACTGATTCGAAATCCACTCATCATACTTCTTTTTCTTGGGTTTTGGCTTTTATAATCTTTTCTTTTACTATTACATTGTGCAAATCCTTTTCTTCGGATAGTTGACGATTTGCTTGAGTAAGTTCAATATTTGCTTTGCTTAGTTCCTCACCTTCCTGTACATGGTATTGCAATGCCTCTGCCATTCGAATGTTTTCTTTGTATACTTCCTTTGTTGTTTCGTTCAAGTTGAGCACTGCTTCCTGTTTTGCAATAAAATTCACCAATTATGATTTGGTCAATCAATTAAGCTTTATTGGCTATGAATTAAACAATGGATCGTGCATGTGAAAATAGATGGTATTACTTACCTTGTGTGCTTTGGTTGCAAGCTCGGATATTTTTCGGCTAGCTTCTTTTTGAAGTCTGATTTTTTCTTCAAAAAACTTTCGTTCTAATCGTATAATAATCTCCTTGTGTCGTTTCTCGGTATCATCCAGTTCGTGCTTTTGCTCATCCAAATTTTGCATCAAATCCATTCGTTTTTTCTAAATTGTTGATCAGTTGATGCAGGGTTAGATTACTACAGTTAAGTCGATTGTATGCTGAAAGTTGCTTTTAATTTACTCTGAAATCCTTGATAACAGAGAATTCTTGTTGCATAATTTTAAATGCAGCTTCCTTTTCACTTAGTATCCCATTGATTTCTGCCAAAATAGTCAAAATTACAAATGTCAGTTTTGCAGGCAATTCAAAATTTGTGTTTTTGTTTAATACGCCTTTGGCAAGGTAAAGAAATGTGTCGTACCTGCTGTATTGCGACTGCTTTCTTCGATAACTGCATCACGAGCAATTTTAAATTGTCTTTCTTGTTCAGCCATCTGGTCTTGAAGATCTTTGTATAATTTATTTTTAGATTCACATTCTTGATGTAAAGCAGCAATGACCTCGAGCTAAATGTATCAGTAAATTAGTACTTTACAGATGACGCACAAGATTCAAATGTTTAATTTGTATAAAATATTTGAGCCTCTTACAGCATCCTTTTCTTGTTGCTGGCATGTTTCATTCAACAGTTCGTTGGTCTGGACTCTGTTTTGTTGAAATGGAGATAGGTTATATATAGTGAGTAAAAAAAACATTTGATTTTGCTTCAGTGGGATATACAGTGCTTTGCAGAATTTTATTCAACCTACAGACTCATCATTCGCTCTTGTGTTTGCTTGAGTGATTTTGCTGTTGCCTCCAGTCTGTCATGTCGATTGAAATTTAGTTTAATTTGATAATTCACATTGGCAAATGTGTTTGAAATTGGCAGTTTAAATATACATGAAAAACATCATGAATCAGCAATCTGAAGGAATACGTCTCATTCAACAAGACTGAATTCTTAGTTCAAATGAGACATTGACAATATTAAAATATTATACAGATACTAGACGAACACTTTTTCGAGCGTGTATTCTTTAGTCGTCACAAGTTCGCCCTTGTCGTTTGTGACCATGTCTCGCGGGAGTTTTGATGCTTTAGACTTCTTAACCTTTTTGGTCTTCTTTTTTAGTTTGACAGCCTGTTTTGTTTCTGGTACTTCCGGTTCGTTGACCATACTTGGCAAGTCGACTGTACTCATGTTTGAAGATATTATGGTTTTGATTCTGTCGCGTAAAGTAGATTTCGACAAGTGGTTGCCCACAGAATATGTCCAGCAAGTCAATGGCTTGATACAATTTGGCTGGATTCACACAACGTAAATTCCACTTTTCATAAAATCAAAAGTTTATTTTTGAAAAATAAATCCCTTGAGGCTCATTGACGGATCAGCTGGTGCTTTACCCTTATCCACCCGGGAATATTCCAAATTCTCAACAGCAAAACTGCAATCCATATTCTCCTTTTCTTCAGCATTGTCACTCTCGCTCAAATAATCGCCAGTATACTTGGATGCATTAAGAGGTGGTTTAGTAAAAGCAGGTTGATCATTCAAGGCCGTTCTAGTGGTAAATTGATCAAGAGTGACCGGCTCTTGAACAACAGAACTTGATCCCTGAACAGTCGGCTGATGATTTATCTCATTGCGCGGCTTTTTTGGTTTAGACTCCATTTCAGTATTATCAGCTGATGGTTTGGGGATCATGCCTAATAAAGTGGTTTGCTTTCGTTTAACCGGTGCTAGCTCAGTGGTAGATCTTTTGGTCTTGTCAGCATCTAAAATTGAAGTAATTAGTTTCAGCAAATCAATTCAAAATCGCCATCAAAATGCAATGCAAGTATCACTACTTAGTTTACCTTGCTGGTTCTTCAATGTGACTGCGTTAGAGATTACTTCAAATAGTTTCATTCCGTTAACAATATCAGGTAGTAGTGGTTTCCCACCATCAACTGCGTTGTTTACAGAAACAGCGGCAGAATTTGCTGGTATTGCAAATGGATTGCGTGTCTTTTTGGTATTTGCAACGGGTAGTTTTGTAACCACTGCTTTGTGCGAATTCGACTCATCTATTCGCCAAAAATATAGGTTAAATAATTAAAATCTAGTATCATTGATACAACATAGTTTCTTGAATAAACAGTGCTGTATTTTCAAAGATTTACCTTGAATTTCGACGCTATTTACTTCAGCTTGATCATATGCAGTGCTGTTTTTATTCTCAGTTATATGTGGTGCTTTGGTCTGACCATCTACTTGAAAGTTGCGCACATTTTTCTGAGAAGTTAGGCTTTCAACCATACCTAGTTCAGAAATTCTATCAGCATGCTGACCGCCATATTCAAAATCACGTACAACTGCAGGATTTGTGGGATGATTATAGAGATGCCGACGCTCGTTTGCAGCTTTGCGCTGCTTTTCCGCCAAGTATCTTGCCTGTATACAAAAGTAGAAACAGCGTCAGTTTTTGAACGTACATGTCAATATTATATATCAAGTGCCAGTATGTATCCCAATCTAATATGTTTGACATGCCTCTTTGATTGAATTAATTCGAGATGCAAGATTCGGTAGATGAAGATGAATAGCCAGCTTGGTTGCTCCCTCCAAGGATTTTGTTGAATGCAACATAGAGCATAAGTCAAGCGCACGTTGAGAACGCTCGGCGGTACAAGCTCCATGAATAAGCTTCAACACCGTTTTGTCCAAGGCAAGATTTTCATGTAGGAACATGTCTGTATCATGGCTGTCATTATCAGAAAATTCATCCATATTCATTGAATTTTCTGCTATTTTGTGTCTCAAAAACAATTTTTGTTGAAAGAATCTAAATTTGATCATGTCAAAATCGGTATCAGTTGTGCCCAATATCAACCAGCGTAATCATTACCAGATTCATGTTCAAAAAACCAATACATACTATCGACTTACGATTCTTCCATTTGTGTGCTTGTCAGATTAAATTGACAAAAAGGTACTTGAAGCGGCAACTCGTTAATGATTGGTTTTGGAAACTGAGGAGTCTTGTCATTCTAACAATTATTTTGGTACAAAACTGAGAAAGTCGGCTACTAATAGTATTCAATTCTATCCACATAATTCAATCCAACGTACCTTGCAAATAATGCACATAAACTGGCTCCCAACAACACCGAGAGCCCAATAATGATCTTGTTTTGTGCCACGAACGACATCGGTATCAAGTAGAGGTACCCACGAGGCATCTTGATGCAAAAACATACCACGCAAAATGCCTTTTGTATCATACGTAAGCGGAATCTAATTTTATCATGATTAGGAATGGCAGTTGAGTGAATTAGCAATGTAACTACTAAAGTATTTAGTCATTAGTACTATGAGCAATATAAATCTCATGTGTACCATTGTATCAGAAAACCCAACCCACTCCAAAGTAGAAGCAGGCGATATTGGAAGATTGTCTCGATGGATAGTTTTTCGTTTCTCTGCATCCATGAGAATGAACGACACGCTTTGATTTCCTGTTGTTCAAACAAAATCAATAGTTATGATCACTACAACATGGTATAGTTCAAATCCATTTATAAAAAATACTCTAAAGGAGCGCTTACCATGAAAGGCTCCGCTGGAATGGTAGGCGATAAACAAGTATTTTGCATGGCCAGCCATAGTCAAGATTGGACCAGCAAGTGATTGAATACCAATCTGTGAGCCACCATACGAAAAATAACGAAGATAGCCCAGATCCGTTGCCACAACAATTCCCATCTTGGTTAGCGCCACGGCTAAAATTAGTTGTGCTTTTGATTAGCAATGTACCCCTTGATTGATATTCAGATTTGAAAAATCAGCATTGACTTACCAAGTGCAGACTCTTTAATGGCAAGTTGAACAGTCCATTCATCTTTGGAAGGCCAATTGTCTAATGGCCTGAAAAAAATGGTGCTGGGCGTAGAAGAAGTAGCCTGGCAAGCAAATACAGCGCCAGATTCGTTCAGCGCACTCATAGTATATCCATAATGATCAGTAAAATGAAACGGTCGCTGAGATTTATCGTGAAATTCCACATTGACTGTCCAGTGCACATCACTCTTAAGACTAGATACCACGCCTATAAGATTAAATGCAAGGTATCGCTTGTTGTTTAACTCAGCGGTAGATCCAGATTGAAACGCAGCTTGTATCTCGTTGGAAAAGGTTGAGCCCAATATAGGCTGATTATAGCAAGACAGCCCCCCTATATGCAGAAAACGTTAAAAATGCAAAATCATGAAATCATGATGGATCTTTTGAAATTTCGGGTGTATAATTGGTTTAAAATAAAATGTCGGGTGTACCTAATTGGAGTTCAGATAGTGCTGTAGCACGACTACGCTCCTTATATCGAAGAGCATCAGAAGGTCGCTTCAAGTCTTCCAAATAGCCGGCACCGTCATCATCCACAACAAAATCACACATTTCTTCGTATTCTTCCTCATCAATTTCCTCATTATCAGCATAATTATTATAAGTAGCCATGTTAGAATCTGTGGTATTGTTGCGTCGATCTGCTAAACAATATATATAGCATAGTGGTGTTTTGATTAGAGTCAAAAGTTATGAATGTTGCAAAGCATTATAGCTTGCCTGAAAATGTGTTTTTGCTCGCCAGTCTGTTTGGTTTTGAGATTGGCTCATCTTCTGCCTCAAGTTCGGCAAACAGTTGATCAAGCTTACTCTTGGACTGCTCAAAATCAGTTTTTTGCAACTGCTTGACTATTTTTTTTTCTTGGCCGGTAACTGGATGAGGAAGTTCTGCTGGAATCGCCTTTTCTATATACCCGATATTGTATATGCTGTCAATCTGGGGAGATAAATGTTAGATTGTATTTACCAAGAATCAAAACCAGTCAAGTACATCTACCGTCAGTAATTCGTTAGATCTTGGATGCCATGTTGCACCAGTTGCTGGAATAGCGAATTTCTCACTAAAACATCAAGTTTAAGGTTAAAAGTTGCTGTCAAGGTTGAATTCAGTTAAACAGGCATATTGTATCAAAATAAATACACTCTACTTGGTGATTGGAACCTCGCGATCTACCTCTGGACGCCAAATGCAAAAATGCTCCTTGACACCAACAGTCAGTAGATACATACCATTGGGTGAGTATTGCAACACAGATGCAGGCTAAAATCAATGGGTTTATAATAGTAATAATTAGCAAATAATGCCAAGCATATTGTATAAACAGTGCTATTAGTTTAGTTCAAAGTCAAAATAAACCCACGTCTGGAGTGATGAGCTTGTACATGATATTCCAAGTTCCGTTTTGAACCACTACCACCTCTGCAAGATCCATATTCAAATGATATACCAAGACATGATGTCAAGAAATCGCATATTAATTTAATTTCTAGCGGCTGGCTTCATACAATAAGCTTACCTTGACGACGGCCACGAGTGGCAAAATGAGATCCAGAAGGATGCCAGGTAATATAACCCAAATCATTGATACCTGCAGTTGGTCTGCTAATCAAATCGCGCATCACTTTGACAGACTCGGCTGAATCAACCATGTCTGAAGGTATTTTAGACACTTTATTGTCATGTGCTGCGTTTTTGGCATAGTTGAGTCTCCAGATACGAAGAGTCCCATCTGTACTGGAAGAAACGACAATATTGTCTTTGGGATGGAACGCAACAAACTTGATTGTATTTGAATGGCCCTCTAATGCGATTGTTCGAGTGGTGTCTTTAATGCATATTAGTTTCACTTCGCCATCGCTAAAACAATGTTAAAATGAGAGAACAAGGCGGTCAGGGTTAGATTTTACCATGCACATGTAGTCCATCCAGATTTAACATTTGAACCAACATGATAAGCTTACTCTGTGCCAATTGAAATCCATTTTCCATTTGGACTAAATGCCAGGTGAGTGATATCCAAAGTGGATCTGTAAATAACAGATTTTAATGACATGCAGTCCAAATCAAAGAGTCGGACATGCTGGTCCTTGCAGCCTGTAGCAAGCATGGATCCCTATAAAGATATGTGTTCAACAGCACGAATAAGTTCTGAATCGTTTGGATCGAGGTGATTGACTGAGCGCAAATGTCAATCACAATAGCATATAAATGCAAAGAGCCATACGATATACTTGCATGTGTAGCCAACGCAGTGATTGGCTGTGTATGTGTATCGTTCAGTTTAAGTGGAGTTTCGTTTCCACTTCGGACAAGGTTTGTTGAATAAATCTTGACCAAATGGTCAGCTCCAGCAGTGATAATTTTACTGGAATTATAAAAATAATATAATCAGTAAATCGATGCAATAATAATCGAGATTAAATGGCAATACAGTTGGACGTATTTCAGATATAGAAAGTCGGACAACAGATTTCAATTCAAAGTCGGTGAATCGTCCGCCATTGGATCCAATGGTGCATTTTTAAAACAAAGAGTGATAACAGCAGGCCACATACCTGCCATCAGCAGAGAATATGGCGCAGGAATGGCCAGTGTTCAGCGTGATCAATCGTTCCAACATCTGTCCGTATGTCAAGGTTTCAATTCAAAACTTGAGCAAACAACTTTCATTATCACGTGGTTTTAGCTCATTCTTTTGGCCAATATCATTCAATCGCTTTACATCAAACGAAACAGCTGTTTTTATTGTTGCAATAGATATGCTTGAACTAACATTCAAATGTCAGGTTTGAATAAACCGCTTTAATGAAATTACCAATAATGTTTTTAAAAATAGATCAAGCCAGTTGTATTTTTTTGCTAGTATAGTTTCCTGACGGTAATGTGGGAAGCAGATGTTTACCATTCACAGCAGCCAAAAACTTGCGAGTAAGTTCGTATTTGCGCTCAAAAATCTGTAGCTCTTTTTGACTTGCTTCAATTTCTCCATTGATAATCCCAGACTGCAATACAGCAGCAACAATAATAAGCAATCTGTATCCAGCCATAGAAACTTCTCGCAATCGCTCATAGGTAATGAGTGCATCCATGCGAATAATGTCTTCAACACGACGAATATCCGTAATTGAAATTGAAGTGTAATTGTCTTTGAGATTCACAAGCCATGTCTTGAAATCGTAGCGCGACATGATGCGACGAAGGACAGACCAAGGTGCACGAACCCGGCCAGGTCCAAATGCTATTTCATTATCTGCTGGAGGAGGAACTACTCCGCGCAAAATACATAGACACTCGCAAACCGTTTGAAGTTCTGCTGGTGGCGACGCATACCAAGCCACTTCAGTGATTTCTGTTGTAGATGAGGAAGCAAGAAATTGGTTATAGTGTATAATTTGAGGGCGTTTTATCGCCAGTAATGAGCGATGTGTAGAAGCCAAAGTATCACTTGTGAGTGCAAGCAACATTACAGGGTTCTTGAATCTATGCGACAGGACAACGTTGGCTAGTGCGCAAAACCTGCTTGTGGAAAGTCTTGCATTTAACAGTGATGCGGTGGAACAAAATTCAAATGCAACTAGAAGCAGCTCGTTGGGAAGACTGGCAAGAAACGAGGTGTGTTTCAGCGCATCTGTCACTGCGCCTACGCGTTTATTAGACCGCAGTACAAGCCGAGTTGAATGATTAAAATTGAAGCTTTTAGAGCCGATGTTATTGCTGCCATCTATAGTGTCTGTACTTTGACTCCTGGATGGCTCATGGCCTGTCTTTAAAGAAAATGATCGCTTAAGCGAAGTAAGACCGGCAAGTGAGGAGTTTTGTAAAAGACGAGTAGAGCGACGAGAAGGCGGTGAATTTGCTGGAGAGTTGACTGCAGTAGAATCAGATGATGACGATCGAATGCCATGGTTTAACGCATTCATGAACGAAGTAGACAATCTTCTTGATGATAGCGGAGATGAGGTAGAATTGGAGGGTAGAATAGCCATAGTGTACCTATAAACAACTAATAACAATACTTGGCTTTCAAATAGATTTACAACAATATAATGGACGAATACACAATTTCGTAGAAAGTATATGCAGAAATATCGATTCAAGCAAAAAGAACCAAGTGCTTCTTTTAAACTATTGTTTAAGCTGGCACAACAGCGCCATCTAAAGTGCCATTCTATTGTGGTTGATTTGCTTGGTGTTATTCGTACCCAAAAAGGCACACCAATGCGTGATGGTTGGCCTCATTTTATTTGTCATGATAGCTGATTGACTGACAACAGCAGTAGTTGTTGAGATCAAATTCAAATAGCAAGCAGTTTTTCTAATGTACGAGTACGAGTCATTAATATTGGCTGTCATGGTCAAAGTCTGTCCAACTCATAATGGTCAACAACTGCACCCCTATAAGCGGTCTAAGCGAATTGTGTATTAAGCTACCGCAGCTGGTTCTATTGCAGTGCGTTAGTTGTAAAGTCTCGGCATTCAGAATGAATAAACAAAAAGCCATAGCAGTTTATTGTTTAAAAGTATGCAAGACATAGGTTTGATAGTTTTTCAAACCAGCTGCAATAGCACCAACAATAATTGACTGGTGAAAAGTCAAATCCATCAGCATTTACTGTGGTATCTACATAAATGAAACATTAGTAAGAGTTCTAACACTCAGTCTCATGAAATGATGGATGTCTTTTGAGCTCCTTGACAAAGCTTATTGGTTCCTATCGTGGTGATTGGCATGGAACAACAGTTGCATTCCTGAGACATGCGATCATTGGTTTTTGGACTAGAACGCGAGCGTATCAGCGATATTCAAGAGTCTGTACAGTTTGATTGACAGCAGACCAAATATCTAGACTGTAGTGAATGAATCTATTCAAACTTGTCAATCATACAATTTATGGCTATGCCAAATGAGAAGAGAAATTCAAACTATAGTTTAATTGTGTGCATCATATGATGGATGTTGTGTTTATTGAATCAGATTGTAAATTGAAAAAGCAACCATTTGTAATGGGAAAGTACAACAAATATTCAAACCTTGTTTATTCCAAAGCAAAGGAAAATCACTGCAAATAGAGATTCATTTTACGTGAATACGGCTGTGAATTTGACATTTATCAATATTGAAATATCACTTGGATGTTGCTTTATTTTGATACTTGATAATGAATTTTGGATTTTGGATTTTGATATAAAAAAGAATAGCAAAGCAACAAGGACTTGTGTAAAATGCATGATATACTGAGAATAAGTAATAATCACCCTGCAGCATGGCCAAGCATTATTTATAATATTACGAGGCAGTAGCATCACTATAGACAGATGTGACTTGGAATTTGCGAATGTGATCTTGAGCCAGCATTAGCTCAATATGAACAACAGCATCGTCAAACAAGTTTGTTGCAGCGGCGACATCAAAGTTACTGCAGCAATCGTCTCCACTTTTGAAAATTTTGTCGGAATCATCGAATAGCTTCTTTGCAATTTTTGTCGGAAGATTGATTTCATTGACCGAATTTGATGCAATGAACTCGGACTTGATTTTTTCAAAGAGCTTTCGGGTGTTGGACTTTGTTGGGTTTTTTGTAATTTGACTTTTATATCCCTTGATTGTCTCGATAAAAAGTACATTTTCCATTGAAAATTCACGAGCCATGTAGATACAGAACGCATCTCGCAAAGCCGCATCGGCAAGAATGTGATCCAGATTTAATACACCTCTCTTGGTAGAGTTACTAGATGTACTAGAGCTATGGTTGTCCGTGGAATTTGCGTCATTCGCTCCGTTCAAGCATCCACTATTTGGGGTTTCGTTATTTTTAATTGAATACTCCCTATGTAGCTTTTTGGTACTCTTGGCAACTTTTTTGGTGGAAATACTGAAAGTACGAGGCCTAATCATGTAGTCCTTTCGCTTGATTCCAAGATAGTGGAGAGGCATGGTCTGATCAACCACCAACGTCGTAAACATTAAAAATGACGCAGTAGTAAGGCAGATATTTATAATGTACGGATCCTTCAGAAACATGGTTACAATCGAAAACACTGCACCTCCTATCGTGAGGACGGTGACGATATAAAACTGTTTCATGATAAAGAAGTTGTCTTTTTGGGACCTCGGCCCATACCATAAAACAAATACTATATCAAATTCAGAGTTATTTCAGTTAAATCAACAAGACTGCTTGATTCAAATACGTTTCTGTCTAGCCGCGACGGCATTCAGAAGTTTAAAAGGCATGCAATTTACCTGTTGAAATTAAAGTAATGATCAATGACCCATATGTTGTGCATAAAACTGTTGGGGTAGGGATATTTAGCGCCGTCTTTTTGAAATCAGTAATGATCATACAGTAAACAAGAGCCCCAAAATATGGAATGAAATTGATAAGAAAGAAGATCCATGCTCCTGTTTCGCTTGATAAGAGTCTTGTGCGATAAAGTTGTGCAGATAACGCCTTGTACTTTTCAGGATCAAACATGACATCATTGTCAAGAAGTTTGGTTTGTATTTTTGGCAGGCATAGTAGAAAATAATGCCTCAGATAAGTGGGCATGTATCCACAGAGGGTGGTGATTACTAGATTGAAAAGTTGAATTAGCAACGGTACAAGTGTTGTTTCAATGATGGCATATTTCTAGCAAAGACAATGGAAACTAATCATTTCAACCCCATCCTTGTTTCCAAAGTATTTGCAATGACACTGCCCAAGACTTACTCGATAGTGCTCGAACAATAAATACCACAGGCCGTGTACTACTGGTGGTCCAACCAGGCATTGATAGACATGCATCCATCCATAGCGATATGGTGACTGCAATGGATACTACAATGTTAAGTGTCCATGAACGGTGCTTGACCATGGAGTTTTTTCGTTCTCGAATGAATAATGGAATGGTTCCGATTACCAATACCGTTAACAGGGCAGACATGAGTACCTTGATTGGGCCATGTTGCCGAGTATGCGTGATTTTGTCTGCAAGCTCGGCTATTCGGGTTTCGTTCATGTTAATTTATATTCAAGTAGCCAATCAGTTAAACTTTAGGTTGATAGATTGTATGCAATCACAGATCAGGTTTGCTTAGTACTGTCAGTTTAGAGCTATAATGAAATAGTCGGTTTGCAACTGCGAATCAGCTTGGTATTTGAGTAAAAATGCCATACTAGCATTTAAAAAAACACCAGGCTTAAATGGGATGGCAGAGGGGTTTCAGCACCTTTGAGGGGTTTAAAAAAACGGCCAATTTGGTCAACCATGATCTTGCGCTTGTTGGAATGTTTTTTCTCGACTACTATCTTGCATGTTATGTGCGGAAGCTAATATGTAGCAATGAGGGGTTGTTTGATGTTCAAGTTTTGTTCTTGGAAAACTTGGTCCAATCAACTTGAAGTTTGGAGATTGGGCTCGAGCCATTATCAAAACTGGTACCCATATAAAAACATTGGCTTTTAGTGTGGATGCTTATCAAACATTAAAAGTAGCACCAATAGTACCGTAGATATCTGTTGAATTATATCCATGACAAAATTAGGGTCAACAACCCAATCGTGTTTTATCAAGGCCAGTATGGCTTAGTCTTATATCTGGGACCGCTGTATGACATGTAGATATACGATACGGTGCCATGTAACCAAGACTTGAATGATCTCAAGCTTCTTCACCAGCAACAAATCCTAAACTAATTACCCTCACCTTTCTAAATCCATACGATGTCAGTGTGTTTGCTAATCTAAAATAGGTCGATCGATACCACTTGCATACATGATAAATAGTACTGGCTACTGATGTCATTTTTTCACATTTGTAAATAACCCCTGGTGTTATATACTGTTGATAGTGCAAGTGGTAAAATCAGTATCGGTCCAACAAGTCATTGCTTTGGATAAACCTCGATTGCTGAGATTGAGCACATCAGACCTCAGATTGTCCCATACACTTTTGGTGCACTCTAGAATTGCTATTACAGTCCAAAAAGCTGACAGATATAAAATGTCGACGTTGAACCAGTGCTAGGACAATGCAATTCGAATGACTTGGCAAGTGTATTTTCTCAACTATGTCCGACTTTTAATATGGGATATTCCTTTTATACACTTCAGAAACATGCATCCATTGCATATGGGCAGCTCTGTCAGTTTAAAGCCATCCACTAAATACTTTGAAATTGGCTCTAGTGTGACAATCTGTCAAGACTACCCTGAACTAATGCTACTCATCGTTAAGTCATGCTTGTTTATAGGCATTCGGTGAAAAGTCAAATCCATCAACATTTACTGTCGTATCCAAGTAAATGAAACATTAGTAAGAGTGTCTAACAAACATTCAGTCTCATGAAATGATGGATGTCTTTTGAACTCCTTGACAAAGCTTATTGGTTCCTGTCGTGGTGATTGGCATGGAACAACAGTTGCATTCCTGAGACATGCGATCATTGGTTTTTGGACTAGAACGCGAGCGTATCAGCGATATTCAAGAGTCTGTACAGTTTGATTGACAGCAAACCAAATATCTAGACTGTAGTGAATCTGGCTATTGTACAATGCATGTCCACGAAATGAGGAAAAATGGATAGCCTCAGCTTAAACCATAGTTTGACCCTATATGCATTATATAATGGATGCTTGAAATAATTGACAATGACAAGCTGATAGAAAGTTACTTTTGAACAGTAAAAACAGCACATTACTTTTTCTAGCGCTAATGTTGATTAGTAAAGAAACCGCTATCCTTTCAAGCAAAATGTTCTTGGTCTACACCGGCTTTATTATACTGATACAATATTTTCAAATAGAGGGCTGGCTTGAAACTTCCTTAAATGATTCAAGGCAAGCATCTCCTCAATATGCCTAGCCGCATCATCAAACACGGTCAGTGCCAGCTCTACATTCAACGCATTGCCCAATGCAGTATGCAGGGCAGCAGTAAGCTTATTGACATCTTTTTTGGGAAGATTGACCTCATTTACAGAATTGGGAGCAATAAACTCGGTCATGATTTTATCTGAGATCTGCTTGACGTTGGCTATTGTTGGAACTTGTCGCACCTTTTCTTTGTATAATCGAACAGTTTCAAGAAACAGCAAATTCTCCAAGGAGAACTCGCGCGCCAGATATTGACAAAATGCGTCACGCAGTGGAGGACTGTCGATAATCTTGGGGATAGTGTATGTGCCGCTTTTTTTTGAAGTTTGGGTGCTAATCTTGCTCGATGAATCGCTTCCAGTTGAGGAATAGTCATTCACGTTAGTTTCGCTGCTCAAAATTACACCGTTGCTGCCAGCCATTTTATGAGCATGAATACCCATGTATTTGCGTTTATGAGCTTTGGATTTTTTGCTGGATGACAGTACAACAGTGTTGTAGCGTTGGTTTGTAACAAGGTATTGAAGAGGCATTAGGATGTCGACAGAAAGAGTCAAAAAAGTCATTACAAAGGCTATTGCAAAACATAGACGATTGGTGTGAAGATCTCCAGATGTAACACCTATCAGGAGAACAGTGGCCGTAATGAGGGACGATACGGTGACAACGTAAAACTGTTTCATAATATGAAAGTTTTCTTTTGGTGCTCCTGCTCCGTACCAAATGACAAAAACTGTATACTCGAGTTGATTGGATATTATTGTTAGCAATCTCGATGGAATAACCCATTGATCCACTGATTAGCCAAAAAGTATACTTACGTGATGATATAAAGATTACACTAACACACATTTTGACCATATAAAGATCGGCCGGGTTAGGAATGCCAATGGCCATCTCATCAAAATTAGCATTCAAGAGATAGTATATGCCAATCCCCATCAGCGGGATAAAGTTGATTGCAAAGAACATCCATGCACCAGCCTCGCTAGACAAAAACTTTGTGCGAACCAGCGACCTTGAAAGTTTCTTGTATTTTTCTGGATCCACCATTGTTTCATAGTTGAACAGTTGAGTCTGCAACACAGGCAGTCTGAGGAGATAGTAATGTCGCAGGTATATGGGGCCATATGAGCATACCGTAATAGTGACTGTTGAGTTTATGTAGACAGTCAAGATGTAAGCCACCCGATCGCAAACACAAAATAATGGTAAAAGTTGATCAGTGAACCATTCATATACATTAAAGAAGGTACAAGACTAGCTTGAATCAATTACACAACCAATAGAACAGATCTTTCAATCCATCAGGTTGCAAGTGAAATGTAAAGTTAAAATCATCAACTTACGACAAATATTTTTGAGCCAAAAGGTAAAGGGCAATGTTTCATAATCCACCCACCCATCCATTGATGTACAAGCATCTATGATTGAGCGAATGGTAATCGCAAGACATGCAGCCAAGTTAATCGTCCATGAGCGATACTTCACCATAGGCTGATCTCGTTCATGAATGATTATGGGTGAGCACACGACAATGAGTAGCGTTTGAGCAATCGCAAAGAATACTTTTAGCGGACCATATTCATTTGTACGACCCATGCTGCGAACAGCCATATTCAACAGCGTTGCATTTTGTAAAATTAAGCGCTCCATGTACTTATGAACAATTAGTCAATTCTTTATGGTTGGGTTTACTTGATGGTGGCAGTAGTAGTCAAGTAGCCAAATATGTATAGTATGGAGACTGCCGCGAGATGATGTAAAGATATGGGAACAGTATTAAATATGCAAGATTGAAGGATGCCAAAATAAAAGACTGCAAGGGCGGTTATATCATTGAATGACACCAAGTATCCAAGTGCCTCCAGAATGATTTGCAAGCACTACTGTGCACATCTTGTCAATAGTTTAGCAGTTGAAAAAGAAGTTCGCCGCACTTACTATACCATCAAAACACAACCAAGGGATATAAGCATTGAGGCTGAAAACAAAGGGGATGAAAATATTTATTTACACTTCAGCTCGATTTCGCCATGCTTTGAAAGCATTCAGACAACAACTAGACTGTTGTTGCAGCATCTCAAAAGTGTGGATCATCCGTTCGTAGCACTGCGATTGTTTCAGGTTGGCGCAGACTGTATGGGTGGACTGTCAAAACCCTCGTGTCAAAACAAGATCAAACGAGGAGTGTTGCACTGTATTCAATCGAAAGGATCAGCAACGGACCATGCCAACAAGTCAGATTGTCACCGTGGTACACGAGATACGAGCGACAGATGCTCATGCCATTCAAATCAATAATATATCGATGTTTACCAAGAGCATCATCAAGAAAGCACCAAACAATAACAAATCCAACCACACAAAAGTGGTCGAGTAAAATTTATGTGCCACCTAAGCACATGGTATGCACTGATGTTGATGATGGGACAATCTCCATTTATCTCCACCCCCATACCCTTTATATCACCAGGGCTAAATGACCCTGATAGTAAACTGGAATCAGACTCCACAACTCAATCTTTCAAGCTAGCGGAATATATAGGACTCGTATCATTAGATGCGTATACGTATCGCTCTCGTTTATTTCAATACATTTTACTAAATCTACAATAATTAGGTGGCAATTTCAACCATCAAAATGAACAAACGCTAAATCTTGAACAATTCTGCTATATTGCAGTTTTTCAAGAAACAGGTATCGGACATTATTATACTTTTTAAACCATATCCTACTTTGCTTCCGTCGCTTCACGAAATATGGAGCTTGCTACGAATTTTCGCAAGTGGTTCAATGTCAACATTTGCTCAATGTGTGCTGCGGCTTGATCATACACAGCCAAGGTGCTTGCCAGGGAAGATTCTCCTTCAAGAATAGACTGTAGCTCTCTATCGAGTCTCATGACATCCTTTTTAGGCAGATTGACCTCATTCACAGAGTTTGGAGCAATAAACTCGTTGTGAATCTTTTCAGAAAGTGCAATAATATTGTCTCTTGTTGGAGACGCTGTAATCTGTTTCTTGTACCACCTTACCGCTTCAATAAAAAGCAGACTTTCCATAGAAAACTCACGGGCAAGATACACACAAAATGCATCATAGAGAATAGGATCAGCAAGAATCTTTGGCACAGAAAAGTTTGCAACTTTCCCCGCGCAAGAAGATTGACTTTTTACTGAGCGAGATCCCTCAGATGTTGCACCTTCTCCACTTGAAATACCATTACTGAGTGCATTTTCTTGACTTAGGTTTACTTGCACACGCATAGAATGACCTGGCTTTTTGACTGAGCGTTTCTTTAGAGCTCCAGTAGATAGTCGAATTGGACTTAGTTTATACCGCTTGTTGGTAAGCAAAAACTGCAAGGGGATGATCAGGTCGACAGAGACGGTTAGAAATACCAGTACTGCTGAAAATATATGACATATTTTTATGACATTTGAATTTCCCGATACAATTCCTATCAAAGAGGTCAAAACAACTCCTATTGCCAAAGCAGTGACGATGTAGAATTGGGTCATGATTTGAAAATTATCTTTTGGTGATCTAGGACCATATGAAAGAAGAAACACTTGATGATTGCGGAACCAGATAAGTTATCATAATGTTAGACAATCGTAAGCAAAGCCATCATTTGACATATTGATGGTTGGAAAACAGTATGAATATTTGAATAGAGAATGGGATTTTAAATATACCTCCAGAAACAACGAGTTGTGCCAAACCGATATATGTAGTCGACGCATCTGTTGGGTTTGGTAGTCCAAGCGCCATTTTGTCCAAATTCGTGATGGATAAAAAATATAGCAGAATAATAAAACAAGGAATACTGTTGATTAAAAAGAACGTCCAAGCTCCAAGTTCACTTGATAAAAACTTTGTTTGAATTAATGCACGAGAGTGAATCTTGTACTTTTCAGGATCCACCATTGTATCATAGTCCAAGAGCTTTGTTTGAAGAACAGGTAATTGGAGGAGAAAATAATGTCGTAGGTATGTAGGCAAAAAACAACACAATGGAGTGATATCTACAAATTCAATGGGCATCGCGTTAATAATCGACTATTATTGCTCAATTGAAAGTCAAGACTTGTAACTAGACTATCTGCATGTAGAAAAAGCATTATTGGTGTTCTAAACGCAGTTAGAGTTTAAAATGTATACTTACAACAGAGGCTTTGAATTACAAGCCCAATTCGGCGATTTTCATAAGATAGCCAGTTGGGCATAGCAGATACAGCATCTACAGCTATACATGTTGTTGTTGTCACACATCCCAGTATATTAATTGTCCATGATCTGTGCTTAATCATGGGCTGCTTTCGCTCACGAATAAATAATGGTATGCATATTATAATCAGTACTATATGAAAACTAGAAATTACAAGCTTGAGTAAACCAAGTGATCCAACTTGTGTAAGCTGTCGCGCAAGCGCATTAAGATCTGTGTCGTTTTGCATAAATATTACGAAATTATTTCGTTAATGGAAACTTTAAATAAGCTTTTCAACGTTTATTTAAAGATAATTTCACGCAAAATGAAACATTTGCATTTATCTTGGATTGACTCTATTTTGCTTTGGAATAAACAGTGGTTGGATGTTTTACGCATTCCTGCTAGAAATTGATTACGCTGCTCTTTCTATAGAAACTTCTATATCCTAATATCAAATACGTTTATGCTTTAATTGAACAAAAGATTAAGCATTCCAAAAATGAAATGGCTGCTTTTATACCAGTTTTAAAAAGAAATCCGATAAACTAATGAGTTTAAAAAAATCCAGTAAGATTGTCCGTTTATTATGTATTTTGAAACTTTGGTCTTTCATTTTACGTGAATACGGCTGTAAAGTAATATCTAAACTTTTGTTCAAAAATCGCTCAATTATTTCTCAAAATCGTACAATTAACACAATCATTTATTCACTGAATCTGGAGCAATATTCTAAGCACAATAAAGCTGGTGCGCATTATTTGGTTGGATGAAAATTAGATTTGCAACAACTTGACGAGATTTTGCAACTATATATCTGGTTATAACTATGTATAAAATCTATTACAGCACAAATTTGGATTAGCAACATATGTTTAATTAAAAAATATTGGTGGAACGTTTTTAAATAGCAGTCTATCAGTATGTTTGAAATCCGTATGTTTTGAGCATATATAGCTAGATGTTGACATTAGCCACCGATTGTGAAAAAATATTAAAATCAGGGTAAAAGTACACGAGTAGCAGAGAAAAACAGCGGACTTGCTAAAAACTTGTGCATGTGGTTTATAATCAAAAGCTTTTCAATGTATTGTGCGGCTTCATCGTATACCGTTAATGACTTGCCTAAAGCAAATGTTCCGTTAGTGATTCCATGCAGATTTAATTCGAGCCTTGAAATGATCTTTTTGGGTAGATTTATCTCATTGATTGAATTTGGCTCAATAAAGTCTTTATGAATTGTTTCAGTTAGGAGTTCAACATTTTGTATAGTTAGGTTGTCTTGTAGTTGAATTTTGAATTGCTTAACAGCGGCAATAAACAATAAGCTTTCCAAGGAAAATTCTTGAGACAGAAACGTGCAAAAAGCTGCATATAATGTTGGTTCTGATAAGATTTTTTGAAGATTGTAGTTTGAAGTGGGTGGCTGAACAAATGAAACTGTTGACTTCACTGTCGTGCTGGTGGGCGTGATGGCATTCGAATGGACTGATTGCTTATCGCATATCCCACTATCATCAATGCTAACTTTAGGAGACTTGCAGTTGGACTCGCTAAAGCCATTCACCAGTGGTTGAAGATTGCCCGAGGTGTTTAGTGAGGTTGTGTATCTTCTCTTGGTGACGATGAATTGAAGGGGAATTGCAATATTCACAAATACGGGCACCAATGAAATAATTATTTGGGCTTTATCACTCGCCAAGAATATTGCTCTGTTTGAAGAAACACCTTTGATTGCTCCGGCAATCACGTTCATTAATGTAGTCCCAGTGATAATATAGAACTGATTCATGATATTGTAGTTGTCTTTTGGCGATCGTGGACCATACCACAATAGAAAGCCTATAATGATTGATTTATCAGCTGTAAATTAGCAATAATCCATCAGTTGATTTGTACTTTAAAACATGACGAATCAAGATAGTAATGTACCCTGTGATATGAATATTTGAACCACCGGCATGATCCCAATATATTTAGATAAGGGCGTAGGTAAATCAAGTATTATCATGTCAACATTGCTAATCATTGCGCAATAGATTGTGAATGTCACACTGACAATAAAGTTGATGGCAAAAAACGTCACCGCTCCCATTTCGCTAGAAAAAAACTTTGTCAAAGTAATATCTCGTTTAAACGTTTGATACTTGGCCGGATCAAGCATATCTTGATTGGTGAGCAGCCGCTTTTGTAGTGCAGAAAGGCGCAAAAGAAAATAATGGCGAAGGTATGTTGGCAAAAACACACACACGATGGCAGTATCTAAATATAATCACAGCATATGTTGATATTAGTACACTCGTTTAATTATGCGTTCTATCAATAGATTGCTTATTAAACTGTTAAAGTAAATTAAATTTTAAATTCGAGATCTAGATGCATTTTAGTACACTTACAGAAAATGTTGTTGATCAGATTTGCATAATAAAACATATCGTAAGCAACCCATATACCAACTAACTGAAACCCGGTTGTAAAGTGACATATCATTACAGAGACACATGCAAAAATGTTGATTGTCCAACTCCGATACTTGATCATTGGCTGAAGACGTTCGTAAACGAATATTGGAATTGCAGGAATGACCATGAGTGATACAATTGCGGCAACAGTAAGTCTTATTATGCCAATTTCAATATCATCAGGAGATGGTCTTGCGAGCCTGTCAAGAGCAGCATCGTTTTGACTCATTATAAACTACTTTCAGCTTTTAATAAGCGTTTAGATATGTATCGTGTATAAAGTGTATTTATGTCCAATGTCTAGCCAAATAGTGAACTGCCGATTATTGACGCGTTTCTTTTAGCAGTAACATTGTTAAGCCAAGGTTCATTATCCAAGATTACTCTATGATTATCAGATGCTACTAAACATTTATATGGCATAAAGCAACTATGTATTGTAATATTTAAAAAATTGAAATAAATTTTGAATATCAATAAATAAAAATACTAAGCAAGTTGGCAAAGATGACTTGTTTTGCATGTATCATTGTACATGTGCAGCTACAAAAACAAAAATATGGTTTAGTATAGAATAGTACCTTTGAATAATCTTGTAATAATTTATATATACACATTTCATCATATTCCACTAGTTCTTTTTCAACTATCTTTAAATACTGATTTTGGTGGGAGAATTTACACTAATTGATTCAGCCATATTTAGTAAAATGTAATACTTTTGTACTCATCTTGTGTTCAGAGCCTCTATTTTGCTTTAAAATACACTGATTACATATTCTTTTTGCTTGCTACTAGGAATTGACTGTTTCAGTTGGTATTACAAGTTCTTGTTTGGAATTGCTTGACAAACAACTCCACTCTTTATACTGAATAATTATTGGCAGGGCTCAAGAATCAACAATATAGAGCTCTACACCTTACGGTATTGCTGTTGAACGATTGGCAAATCGTGTTGAACTAGTAGACTTTGTCAAAGAGCTCAAAATAAAATGTTGTCCAGTAAACTGGCACCATCATTCATAAAACTGACTGTTTATTATACTTTCTTGTTTAGTGATGCATGCTACGTGAATATAGCAGTGAGCTACATTAGATGTTTTCAATATGCTACTGCGAAGCTGTGGCATTCTTGAACAATGATGTCGTCTGAAATTTTCGCAAATGGTTCAGAGCCAACATTTGCTCGATATGCTCAGCTGCATCATCATACACAGCCGAGGCCTTTTTCATATCAAACTCTCCTTCAAGAGCTGCAGCAAGCTCAGTATTCAGCTTCAAAACAATTTTTTTGGGCAAATTCACCTCATTCACGGAGTTTGGAATAATGAACTCAGCAGCAATCTTGATGGAAAGTTTCATGACTGTCTCTGTTATGGGCGATTCCTTGACTTTTTCCTTGTATATTTTCACTGCCTCAATAAAAAGAAGACTTTCCATTGAAAATTCCATTGCAAGATATTTGCAGAATGCATCATGAAGAGTAGGGTCAGCAATTATTCGTGCAATAGTATATGACATGTTTTTTCGTTGCTTGATTGCAGTATGGGGTATCATCGCTGTCGGACTCGTGGCAGGTGAGTCGTTGTTATAACTGTACGTGCTGACTCTTTCAATGGTATCTACTTGACTACTATCTGCACTACGTGTACTGTTTGATGCTTGCTTTAACCATAGCGAGCTTTTAGATCTGGAGTTACGCGTCAATTCAAGCTTATATCGCTTATTGGTGATCAAAAACTGTAAAGGAATAGCCAAATCGACAATCACAGCAGCAGCAGGAAGCACTGTTCCTAGAGTATGACAAACATATGATGCAGTCGGATTAAGATTGAATACAAGGGAAACTGAAAACAAAAGAGACGCTGTTGTCAAGGCAGTAACAGTATAGAATTGGTTCATAATTTGAAAGTTTTCTTTAGGAGATCGAGGACCATACGACAAGAGAAATACTATTTCAGTTGATAAAAATGTTTTACTGATTTTGCATAGTAAACAATCGTTTAAAAAGCCATTATAGCATTGGTGCTGATAATATACATACCTGATGCAACTATGACATGGAACAATGACATGAATGAAATAAAAGTGTCTACATCATTTGTCAAACTAAGGGCTATTGAGTCAAAGTTTGCTTTGTGAAGAACCCATAAACCAATGCACATTGTTACTGAAAAAATAATAGCAAAGAATATCCAAGCTGCGCGCTCGTTGGAAAGTAGTCTTGTGCGCTTCAAGGCCTTTGATAGTTCCCTATACTTTTCAGGGCTGACAACGGTTTCATAGTCTAGTAGTTTTGTTTGAAGAATAGGCAGCTGTAGCAAGAAATAGTGCCGGAGATACGTAGGCATAAAACAACACATAGGAATGATATCTATTCAAAACAAACCTTAAATACAATTAGTATTATTTCTCAAGCTAAATGGCTTCTATGAGAAAAGACAGTAAATGCCTTGACGGAAAATAAACGATATTTACGATAAATATGAGTTAAATTACAATGACAACCTACTTACAAGTAATAGTTCGAATATAAATAATTAGGGGGAAATAGTCGTATGGCACCCATTGATCCATTGACATGCATGCGTCAGCTATATTACAAATAGTTGCAGACATGCAAGCCAAGATATTTATTGTCCATGATCTATATTTAATCATGGGCTGGTTCCTTTCTCGTAGAAATAAGGGAATACATATTATCACCATCACTATCTCGATAGACGATAATGTTAACTTGAGCGTGCCGTTTGATCTCGTATGCGTAAGCTCTTTGGCCATTTCATATATAGTGGTTGCATTGCTCATCCTTAAAGTGTGTAGCTGATTATCTGGTTGTAAAAGGATGATTATGCTTTTTGGGATAACAATTGAAAAGTAAAACCAAACGCGCTAGTAAATCCAGCTAATATGCTCGAGTATTCTATCTACAAGACAATGGTATATCTATTTGATTCATTAGCCCTTAAAAAGTATCTCCAACCATACACAAATCAACTTCACTTTGAAAAATAACAAAGGCATTAGTATATGTACATGATGACAGGAATTAGTAGCAAAAAAGTGCATCTAGAAAAAAAAGAGTTGATTACTTTTCAAATCCCAGTCCATATATTTAAAAATAAGTGCACAAAGTTGTATGTATTATGTATCTCTATTTGAATGATCATTGGTTTCAAGAAAATACAAATTAATTTTTTTGAGAGTTGCTCTAGAAGGCGATGCCACCATTCGAAAACGTTGAATGTAGAGCAACCGATTACGAATAGTATCCTTGTCAAGCTGACCTTTTTAGTCAACACAAAAGATTAGGAAAAGTGTATTGAAAATGGCCTGCACAATGTAAATCAAAACATTTCGGAATAAACCATGAAAATGTATATACCTCTACAGGACTTGCCAGTGGGTGACATGATCCAGTTTGCGTCCATGTATTCTACTAAAAGTGCAAGGCAAATTCCAACTGACCGATCCCTTCCTAATAATAGCAAGACAGTAAGAAATCCTAATTTATAATTCACATGAATAAATACATCAAAATAAGCAGTCACATACCTTGCATACAGTGTACTAGAATACGACGACCCTGTGACATGAATTTTCCTTGCACACATTGAATGGCTGCAGGGATACAATCGAATAGTTTATTTTGACCTTTTTTTCCTTCTGGGATATCTAAATAGACATACAATTTTCCTTGCTCTGCATTTTTGTAAATTGTGTTTTCTGGAAACTCTCTGGCACCACAATTGATAATCACATCAAATTCGTTCCAGCATGATGATGGATCAGCAGCATGAAATGATCCAATGGCAATTCCTGTATCACCAATCCAATCAAATGCCGATCCTTTTTTTAAACTATAATGCATTGAAGATTGTATTTGATCGGATTGTGACTGAGAAATAAGCTGATGGATGTCATGATGACATTGCTGTGGAGTTGACTGTAGTAACTCATGCGAGTTTATATATTCCCAAAACAGCGAACTGGTGAGTCCAGGTGCCCACATCTCACTATCATCCGCCGCACCTTGTATGTAGACAAAATCTGTTTTAAGCGGGAAGATAGGAACATCACTCGTCTTCATATGGAGTGGATCCATTGATGCAGACACGCAAATTACTGGGTAAAAGTCGAGATCTGTTTTGATTTCGTTCCATAGCTGTTCACCTTGATGGCATCCCAAAAACATTCGAGTGACGGGTGTTATCCATAGTGGCCGAAGTGGTTTTAAAAGTTGTTTGTATATCAAAGTTAGATCTGCGCAGGAAGTCTAAGTGTACACAACAATTTTGACAAATCAGTATATAGATATTGCTATATATCAAGTCAAAGTGATGTTTGCATCAAAACTAGATAATTTACCAAGAGCTTTTCAGCAAAGATATCGATCAATTCGCTCATCTGAGCATGTTCAGATTGTGATACATTGGATGGACAATGTAGTTTGGTATCCCACACAAGGTTTGATGAATTGGTTTGATTACCATCTGTATCTACAGATAATCTATAAAGTTGAGTTGCCCTGTTGATAACAGCGCACCACAATGGCACTGTTTTTGCCAGCGAATCTGGAAAACGCTTTCCTTTTCGAGTTATATCTACCAAGATGCAGCTATAGTACTAAACAGGATTAGCTTCAATTTTCTATGTTTACAATCAGTAGGTTACCAAATATTTTACAGCAAAAGCTGTACATATTCCTACCCAGTGGAAGCTGTAATCAACTCAAGCAATGGCCGATTGAGTCTTCTAAGATTAAAATCCCACTGTCCATGATGCCCATCTGTTGATTTAAAGTATGCACTCGTTTCATGATTCTATGCAGATAAACCATACTGCAAATAGTTAGTGTGCGGATTTCAAAGCAAGCTAAACGTATATTTCTCGGTTTAAGTTGGATAATCGGCAATACTAGAGTCTTACCCTAAGTTTGGGATCAGTGTACCAAGTTCCTGCTCTTTCATTGGCAACAACTGGTAATGCCTTGATTCGTTCAGCGACATAACGAACAAAGTTGGCATCATGTTGAATTGATCGAAACCGATTGTATCTGCAAGAGTAATAAACAAGATAAGTGACATATCATCTCAACTTTATGGCATGACGATTGATATGATTTGATTCTACCCACATGGACTTGTTGTCATTGCGAACTTGCTCTATGGCATTCATTGCTCACGCAATAGGAAATTGGTCTGAATGAAGAATTGAGGATTAACACCAAGATTGCCAACAATTTCTCATTTTATTTCTCATTGTTGTGCCTTTGTCACCAGAATTAAAGAGTTTGGTAAAGACAATTTCTCCCAGTAAACTGTCCAATCATTTAATGAAACTGACTGTTTATTATGTATTTTAGTTTATTTAATGTTTCATTTTACGTGAATACAGCGGTGATGGCAGAAACAACGCAGAAAGGTTCAAATTAGTCTTTTCGAGCGATAAAATACTATAAAGTATTCAGGACTGCAGTGACTAGATTGATACGGAATGGCTGCAAAACATGATGAAACTGTTTCAAATAAATATTGCATTTTCATCTGTCATGTCATCGGCTGTATAAATTTCAAGTATAAAAATGAAAGGCAGTTATCAACTAGAATCTACATCGTTATCAGAGATCAGTCGGAAAAACACCTCCTCCAAAGTAGTTTGTCCTACGCCCCAATCAAGAATACCAACGTGAGCCTTTTGACCTTCAATAGTTTTGAACAACTTGGTCAAGTTCCCGCCAGAAGATGGAAATTCGTAGGATGCATTTGTTGCAAACGTGCCAATTAGTATCCATTTTTCAGGTAATACCGACTCGATAAATGTTGATGCCCTTTCCATATCGTGCTCGTGACAATTAAAATACAAACGATAGCCTGATCCATACAGCTGCTTTAATCTAATTGGGTTTGCAATGCATCGTAGTGATCCTCTCGCCATGATACTGATTCGTTGACACAAAGCCTCTGCTTCCTCCATCGAATGGGTAGTCAAAACAATGGTTTTTCCAACTCTGGCCTTGTTGATAATGCTCCAGATTAGCCGTCGAACTTCAGGATCCAAACCTGTCGTGGGCTCGTCCAAAAATACAACCTTGGGATCCCCAAGAAGAGCAATAGCAATACTCAATCGACGTTTCTCACCACCAGATAAACCTTTAATCTGCCGATGAGCAAGCTTTTCAAGCGACACGTCATTTAAAGCTTTTTGAACTGCCTGATTCTCTTGTTGGCTGGAAACACCCTTGAGTCGAGAATAAAAATAAAGGTGATCATTGATGGTCAAATCACCCCAGAGAATATCAAACTGCGGACAAATACCAATCCGCTTGTGCATTTGATCCATATCTGTGCTGATGTCAAATCCAGCAAGTTGAGCACTTCCAGAAGATGCTTCATATAGCCCAGTCAAAATACTAAACAAGGTAGTTTTTCCTGCACCATTTGGCCCCAACAATCCAAACACAACTCCTTCTTCAACTGCAAAAGTGACATCTCTCACTGCAATTTTTGGTGGTATATTATAGTGCTTGCGATAAACCTTTCGCATATGCCGTATAACTATGGGAGATTTGGAACTATGCTCATTACGATCAATGCGTAGCCGCTCAGCCTTGACATCGTCATCCTCTGTCTCGGTTTCATTGGTATCTATAGAAAGCGCTAAACTAGATTCATTGACATGATCTTGTTCAAAAAAACTCCGAGATCTAGTTAGTTGCCTCATTGCTCGAATCAAATCGGTGATTGGAAAGTGCCACGATTTAGAAACTCCGAAATCAGAAGGCAAAACTGCAGACAGATATCCTGCAAATCCAAGAAAAATCGGAATCTCGCATATCATAAACATCAAAGCGGAAAAAACCTCATCTCCGGGCACCAAGTTCCATATTTTATAAGGCTGTTGGTGATGCACATACGATGCAGTATTGATTTGACTAAGAGCTCTATAAAATGCAAATGGTGGCCATATAAAAAAGGGCAGTGGCATTTTACTTCCATCCTTGAATATGCGACCAAGAGCCAACGAAATCATTATACTTCCCAAGACAATTAAAAACACCACTACAAGCGCATTTCGACTTTTTTGAAAAAAGGCGGCAAAGAAAAACGTGAGCGAGATTTGATTGTGACCTAGAATAGTAATCAGGTAAGAATAAAATAATCGAATGCATATTGATCTTTGTTCATACGCATGCAAAAATCAATTTTATATCTTACCCCAAATAAAGAACAAGATTACCAAGACTCCGAGATGTGTCAATGTAAAAAAAGTTTGCTTGGAAATATATCCAGACACAATAAAAATAAACACCGATATGGCATAAAGCACATAAAAGGTAAGATAGTGGGTAGCATAGTACGACCAGGGTGTAACACCGTTCATCTTCATGACCACAAAAATTCTATTTTCTTTTTCTTGAATCAAAATGATCACAAAAATGGGTAATAGAAACGAGACGCCAAACGGAAACAGAATGCTGCCAATCAAACCAGCATACGAAAAAACTATTTTTGAGCTCTGTATTTCCGGAAAGATTCGAAGCCCTTGGGTAATTCTTGCACGACCAAGTTTCGGGATATCACTATTGCGCATAATGCCATTCGTAAGTTGTGTGAGCTGAAGAAGCATTCGATCTCCTGTTGAAGCAAATCGCGCAGAGCTAGATAGTCGAATGTCGGTTCCAAAATGCATGTCAAATGCATACTGACGCTTTTTATGATCAATTAGCCTAAAGTATATTCCACCATGTGGAATTGCAAAGAGAATTTTGGAAATCTCAAGCTGGAGTCTCTGGCCTGTTCTTGAACGACCCCGAGCTTCTAGAATAGCTGATCTGTTTAGATTTGCAATTTCATCAATAATCTGATGAATTGAGCTGGATATATAGTTGTCAATGGATAAGCCGTCTCCAGGAACAGAAAGAAACCAAGGAACAGCAATCGCGCTTAAACTGGTATTTACAAAAATGGTCTCCTGTTCAATATAATGTCGTGTAGGTATAGTCCCCAAAATGCCAGTATCACCATCCTGTGGCGATTCAAAGACTGGCTTGGTTGGAGATGTCAAAAACTGAATTGCAGGAACCTTTGGCTGACTATTTTTTACTCCAATAAGGTTTAAATCTACACTTGGATCAGCTCCATATACAGCCCATGAGTGTTTTTGAGATCTGAAAAATAGGCCAATGGATGTTTGGGATTGCTGCACATCTCTTTGATTACTTCGCACTAAAGTCTCAGAGTTCCGAATGACATTGGTCCATCCACCTAGTGGAGTCGAAAGATATGCACTATTTTTCAACAAGCATAGATACACGTTAGCAAAGCAGTCTAAAACGCTGTTGAAAACCAATTCAAAGTCGACTTACGAATCTCGAACAAAATTTCCTGATACACCGGGAGGAGCTTCATAGATGCTGCTAGCGTTGAATGGATAGCTTTCTCCATACCAATATACACCTTTGATATGGCAATGATGGTTTAAAAATTAGCAAATGTAATCATTTTCGCAGGCTGAGCGAGCATATAAAATCTTACACGAACGCTTGGAGTTCATCGATCTGATGTCAACTGAGTGAGAAGCGGCAGCCAAACCCCAGTTTGTATTGATGACGGTGGGTTCGGTAGCCTTGGGATATTCTGCACCATTGGATAGTGGAAGACGCGGGTCATTATTTGCCCAGATTGGAACATTGAGCATATCAGAACTATTAGAATTAGAGCAGAGCAAATATTCTAAATGAATCTCATGAGTTCCAGTTAGCGAATTTAGCCATGAATGATTATTTGAAACTTAAAGACAGTTTGATCAAGGCATTTAAAACTTACCTTCAGATGGTAGAGAAGAGATAAGACCAACAATGAGATTTCCCAAGAGTGTCGAGACCAAGACCATTAGTAGAGGACACGCACTGAATATAATGGTAAATTGTAATAGTATTGAATCCATGAGTATCTCGATTATTCATCAAGTATTGAAAATCTACTAATTAGCATCAATCTACCTAATACAGCATAAATTGGTAAACCACTGTCTTTGTTGGTATGAAATTGCCTTTTTAACCAAGGCAGTTAGGCGACGAGGCTTTCCAAGTGAAATTGTATAGTGGTTGATATCAGCTGCTGTATTATCATCTCGAGTAATAGTATGTCGATTAGTTTTCGAGTCTGGCAATACGCCAGTATTTTCGGTGGGCGAACACTCATGGTCTGGCATCATATGTTAAGAGCCAGATAGATTAAACGATATACAAGGGTAAACCTGGAATAAAGTCTAGCCAAGAAATGGCATGTAGTTTGAGGGGCTGCTGGTGCGGATTGTTTTGGTCGCTTGGTTAGTAGAGTATAGCATTTACATGTTGTTTGGCTATCGGATAATTTGCTTGTCGGATGGTCGGCAGCGAATAGCGCAGCCATGGGTAATATGACAAAATTTATCCAAGCATAATAGGGATGCACAACTCATAGCCACTACTCGGTATATCTAGGGATAGAATACTGGAAACAGTTGGAAAGAACTAGTTACTGCTGCTCTATATTCAGAACTGTATTCACAGGATGGAACAATGAGTAAAGATGCTAAAATACATAAGCACCAAATTTACTGAATAACATTGTGTCCTCTAAACTCGAGTTGAATGGCTTTTAGCGCGATGGTTGGTAGGAAAACAGTTGCATTGCTGATACGTGCAATCTTTGTTATCTTGAACTAGAACACAAACGTATCTGTAGTATTAAGACACGGCAAGATAAGTCTGTACAGACTTGACAACAGTCGAGTCCAATATCTGGATTGCAACGGATGAATCTGAGCGATCGTATAATGTATGAGTATACCAAAAATCAAGAGAGCCAAATTATGGTTTAATTGTATGCATCATACAATGGATGTTGTGTTTGGAAGAGTTGAAGATGTCTATTGAAGAAACAGTCAACTTTTAGCAAGTATAGCAAATATTCATTGTTTATTTTAAAGCAAAAGAGGCAGTGACCAGATAAATACAGAAAAGTGTTCCACTTTACGTGAATACGGCTGTAAATACAAAAATTACTATTCGACACTCGCACGCTGACTACTGAGGTGTATGCAACCAATTATTGCTGTTACTCGGGAGCCAGCCAAGGACATGGCAGATGCTAATGTTTCTACATCAAGGCCTTCTATTGGAAAGTCTTCCATCGAACACAAGGGTTTCTTTCGATCTTTTGTTAACCAGATGCAAATCATGATGCGACGTAATACTATCTTGCAGGTATATATTCATCAAGCAAAAACTGCATGACAGTGCATGTGCTACTTTGTCTTTGTATATGTTTGAATTCATCTGGACTGTTGATGGTTGCTATTGTTGTGATGAGAAGGGTGCTAGCAAAATCATCACTGGTAAACACCATTTCTCGGCCGTAAATGGCATACATTAAATCTGTATTGACACTATCAAATCCGATGATATGGGATGTCTTTAAATTTGATGGGTGCTTCAATAGATAAACTCTAGCAATGGTAGACTACAGCATTCAATGAATTACTAATACTTGCGTACTGAACTTGATTGGAATTTAGATTCGATATCTCAACTCAACCATTGCTCAAGCTTTACTAGCACCCTTTATTTTCCAGCTTCTCTTGTTTGTCCTGCAGCAGGCGGATTATGCTAATCAGCTAGTGTCCAACCCCCACCCCCCTCTTGGTGCTTTGCAGGGTGTTCCTCGGTGTCAGGTATGCTTGCTAACAACTCTGCTTCATTCCCATTGTATGTGGTTACACAGGCTACGTGTATTGTGCCTACTGTTCAGCCATCATTTTCAATTTAAGCGTGACAGCCATTGATTTATACTTTGTTATTTGATTGTCTTTTAATTGTACAATGAATGTGATTTATCATAGGGGCGTGACCCTGGATCACCGTGTGTGAGCATCATGTATACACCTGATACAACTGTAAATGGAGTCAATTACACAAAAATTATGGAAACTTTTGCCAAACTTAACCAGCCACGATCTGGATATCAGTTTCGATTTGAAGCTCCTATGACTGACTATACTATTGTGCCCACTCAAGTTTACGATATGGTTCCAGTACCAAATGCCGATTTTATCTACAACTACGCCTTGAAGCATCCCAACGCAACTTCATGGGGTCTCACTTTTAATCAGCCTGCTGCAACTACTCCCATAAATATCCAGTATCAGCTATGGTTTAATGCCACCAATTCAGCAAATGGCAGTGACATTTTTGGTCGCAACGTGCTTGCATTTGTTCGTGGTTTAGACGAAGCCATCATTACGGTTTTGAATGATCCCACCGCGACGATCACCACAAACATTGATGTGAACATCAAAGACTGGCCACTGATTCCTGCTGGCCAGCTTTCCGACTCCATTGTTCAATCATTAGGCCCTGTGTTTTTCTTTTGCGCAGAAATGATCATCTTTATCAATGTTTTGAATCAAATTGTTTCTGAAAAGGAACTCAAGCTTCGTCACAGCATGGAGGTTATGGGACTTCGACCTTCTGTATATTGGCTCAGCCATCTGATATCCAACTCTGTGCTGGTATTTATCAATGCTCTGTTTACCGGACTGTTTGGCTTAGCATTTGGCTTCCAGGCGTTTAGGAATACCAATTTTGGTGTAGGTTCATCTGTACTTGAAAATATTGATGCCAAGTTTGAAAGATGACTTTATGTGCACTTGTGGTATACTAACCAAGTTTTTCTGGCAATTCAAGGTTATTCTCATTACGTTTTTTCTTTTTGGAGAGGCTATGGTTATGATGGCATTCTTTATCACAACTCTTGTTCGAAAAACACGCGTTGCCATTTTGATTGGCATCTTTATTTTTGTGATTGGACTGCTATTCGAGTCGTTTGTCTTTTCGTCAGGATACCTTGGATACATTTGGTGGTCGTCAAGCACTGTTGATCCTGCTGGGTGGAAATGTCTTATGTTCATTCCCTTTTTCAACTTTGGCCATATGTTTCTTGATATTGCCACACTTACCACGGGCATGCTTGATACGCTTACCAACACCTACATTCCTGGCCCTGGATTTCCATGGGCTACACTATACACTAGTGTGCCTAGAGACTCATTGCCTACATACGGAGATGGCCTCCCTCCTGTCGTTCCGCAAACGATTCAGGCTTGGTATTTGATGATTATGGATTGCTTTTTTTACGGTATTTTGCTTTGGTACTTTGATAACGTGATTCCCAACGAGTTTGGTGCCTGTCAAGTTCCATGGTTCTTTTTGACGCTAGACTATTGGGGGATCGAGACCGCTTCAAAAAAAAGCATCAACAGAGCCGATTGGCAAGCCAAAAATACATCAGTGTACAGTCTTATTCCTCCAGAAGGAGATGAGGATTCAGATGTTCTTGCTGCTCGAGATCGTGTTTTGGATCCTAGTCACTTTCCCGAATTGAAAATTGTCAATTTGCGCAAGGTTTATCGAAACAATATTCTGTTTTCTTCAGAAAAAGACAAGGTTGCCGTTCGCAATTCATGTTTTGGTGTTGAAGAAGGGAAGTTATTGGCCTTGCTTGGTCAAAACGGGGCTGGAAAATCAACAACCATCTCCATGCTTTCGGGCTTGACTCCTGCCACATCGGGTGATGCCTTAATCTATAATTTTTCTGTCCGAAACCAAATCCATCGTATTCGCTCTATTATGGGCATCTGTCCACAACACGACGTTCTCTTTGATGACTTGACAGCCCGTGAGCACATTCATTTGTATGCCGGTCTCAAGGGCGTTCCATATAATGAGATTGCGTTGCTCATTGAGGAACGTTTACAGGCTGTGCGCCTTCTTACTGTTGCCGATGTGCGTGCTGGGACTTATTCTGGCGGCATGAAACGACGCCTTTCACTTGTGATTTCAACGATTGGCGACCCCAAGGTGATTTTCATGGACGAACCAACTACTGGTATGGATCCAGTAAATCGTCGTCATGTGTGGACATTTATTGAAAAATTCAAAAAAGGACGTGTGATTATTCTCACAACGCACTCGATGGAGGAAGCTGATGTTCTCGGTGACAAAATTGCCATCATGTCCAAAGGCCGTTTGCGTGCCATCAATAACTCGATTGCTCTCAAAACCAAATTTGGCACTGGATATCGTATTTCTGTTGTAGCAAATCCGGTTGAATTGGAGCATGTCAAAGGAATCATTCAGCGTATGGTTCCTGGTGCTGTCCTTGAAGATGATTCCGCCGGTGCTCTCATTTACCAATTCCCTGGATCGTCTACTGGTTCGATTCCTGATTTTGTACAGTGGCTTGAGGAAAACAAAGATGGTCTTGTCAAATCTTGGGGAATCAGCCAATCTACACTTGAAGAAGTGTTTTTGAAGCTGATTCGTGAAACCAACGAAAAGTTTCGCTGATAAATATTAAATTTGCTTCTCAAGTTTATAGCTACGTAATCAACATATATTCATTACATAAAGGATAAACAGCCTATTTTATTTTTATCTCTTATCATTCCAATTTACAGTCGTATTTACGTAAAATGTGACGCTAAACAAGGATACCAAAATACATAATAAACCGTCAGTCTCATGAAATGGTTGGCGTTGATTTGTTGCACAGCATTGCGTCCACTCGACCACTTACAGCTAGCGACAAATGATATGAAAATGGATATGCAAAATAAATATAAAACTGTCAGTATTCATCACCATCAGTGTGTATCATATATTTCGAGTTTGCTTGGTGTCGGCTTGCTCATACAGTCGCATCGGTACAACGTGAGCAAGCTGATAGTGATCCGAACTCTATTTCAACAAAAAGCCGACAGTCGTGTATTTGCTGCATCCAATCAATTACACACCGTTGCTGACTGTTGAGTGTGTATGCAAGCCAAGTTGTCACCAACCACATCCAGTGCGTACACGACCATTCCTAGAATGACTGTCCAAAATACTCGCGTTCAAAAGTTGACCGTGAGTTGATGGTTTGCAAGAACCGGACACAACCAACATGCTATTCGAGACAGCAACCTGATTATAGTTCAAACATATGGTGTGATACAGTGGTTCGTGCATCACAACACCCAGGTATTTGTAGTGTTGAACACGACGAACCTGTTGTCCGTGTAGCATCACATCAACTGGTAATTTGGAATCAAAGTGTTGTAACCACGGAAACCGAGTATGTCGCATTTGACTACACCAAAGTTTGACATTGTTCCATTCATTGTGCAAGTACACCAGATACAAACTGGAGTGACCGATCAGAATCGACAAATATTGCGACATTGTTGGCATACATGAATCCTCATACTGGTGGTGATTTGCGCGACACTCATGCAATGACAATCGGTTGATACCATCGGATATGTCGTTGATGAACATGCTGAACACGTTGAACAACAACCTGGCAGTGGACATCATTTTCGAACTTCACATTCAATTGGAAATGGACCGGAAACCTGTGATCCAGTCTGAGCATGAGCTGATGAGCATGTGTACAACACTTTTAGCAAACCACATGCTCTGCAGTTACCATGACAATGCACCAACCATGACAGTGTCGAATGCATTCCGAATGTCAATCAACACAATAGTATTGAGCTACACGCACAGCCGTCGTTAATAATATCGACTAGTGGAGCAATCTGCGCAACATACTCTTATTTGGTTTGAAATCGACCTTGTTCAGTGGTGACGAGTTTGTTGAGATCCACGACAATCAATGTGTGTTTGCAAGACCTTGCAAGCCAACGAGATCCGCATCAACCAGCGTAATACCGTACTTGCCATTAATACCAATGTGATCAATGTGATCACCGTCATTTTTGTTGATACATGCAATCAGTACAATCGATACAATGTATGCAGACTGCCAGCAGGTGGGATAGTGACTATCAGATATTGCTTGAACTGCGTAGCAGAACATGAGCAAATTTTGACATTGTTTTAATTCTTGTGTACTGCATTCTGGTTTGGGTCTAAATGCCGACAACTCAAACATTCGATAACCACACTTCAAATCTGGACAATAGCATGGATGTCTTCATGACACTGCAAGCCAACCCCAACACATCAGTCATGACGTTGAGTACTCCAGCCATATCACAATAGTGTAGTCGAATATGAACCAACTACTATGCATTTACCGCACGTTTTGGCTGGCTTGATTTTGCATTTACAAACTCTACTGATCCAGTCACTCATATTTACCAACCAAATCCTGTGTAGTCGATAGTCGGGATTCTGTTGATTAAAGCTGGTTTCAGTGGCGTCTTGTATGACTGATACAATACCAATGCAGTGTTGTCTGCTTGATATAATATGATAGATAACGGTATATTTATTACTAATGTTTTGAGTTGATGTGGCAAATATTGCTTTATGATGGCCGCATTATTATCAGTAATCCTCGTATATGGTTTGTACTGGCCATCACTACCAAAAAGCATCAATCACGTACTAGTTGTGACAATGCAGCTCGATACGGTCCATTATTGTAAATATGTTTAGACTACTAAACACATCTATTGTTGTAGTCATCCGAGTAAACCCAGAGTATTCTTTCAAAAACAGCGCATCACCAACCAGTTACTCGACATGTTTGAGTAGATATTGGTGTTGTAGTTTGGACCGCATTCAAACTCATGTATTTCGTTTAGACCAAAATTTAATCACACAAAGATCTAATCTGCCAATGGTTCATGTGTGGTAGATACTGATATAGTTGATTGAGCTGATATTTTATATCTGATTGAGTAGTTTGAAATATAACACCAGACGCAAGTTTAGTAATATCACCGAGATGGCATCACAAGTGATCTAGCAGTATTATCCTACACTCCAGCAATTATATTATACTTGCATTGCTGACATTCGAACTTGCAATACAATTTGTCTAGAGCAATACTCCAATCGCTATTGAGTTGTGTTGACCAAACTAAGCAAGAGTCCACAACTAACCTGATTCCAGCATGCTTTTACAACATATTACCACGTTTATACGGATCAGGGTTATGATTGTAGTCAAGCTTTGTTGGTCAAGCAAAATGGAGATTTGAGTAATGAACATTTGGCATTCTAATACCCTGACTACTAGAATTAAAAGCAATCTTTAAAACCTGCATTGCTTTGTTTTACAGTGTATACTATGACGATTGAGTTGTTCTGTAATTGTGCTTGAATACACCTACCGAACAATGTTCAAAAGCATGTGTGCTTTATATAATCTTGAAACGGTGGCTAAATATGATTTACTCGGTCCCATACTGGTTTAGTGGGGCTACCATTTACTGAGTACCCTTGACCACATACAAAGCTTTATGGCTATCCAAATATGATTTTTCAGATTGTTTCAGGTCAAATCTGCAATATAAAAGCCAGGTTTTATCCAACTCTTGGACTCATCAAACATTGTCTATTCCAATCCAATCTAGTTCAATCCAATCCAATCTATATCAACCAACTATGAAATTCACTGTCATCGCACTCATCACAGCATTAGTGGTATCTGTCACTGCCACTCCTCTTGGTTCGGGCAACCTGATAAATTTTTGCGATACTGACGAGGAGTGTTCCAAAGGCCGGAAATGCCAATCTTACGGTAACTTTGGAGTCTGCGATTAATGCCTAAAAGTCTTGGCTATATGCGTGTCAGCATCTGCTCTGGAGCCTGTTCAAGTCGCACCGACTAGTTTAAACTTGTAAATTTTGAAATGAATAAATCTCACTTTACAATGATATTTGGTTGATACTGTATATCGTGACTTTGTATACGTTTGATCACAAACTGTTGTGTTCCGAGTCGAGTATGACCTCGTTGTATAACAACGGTTCAACCTGTCGAGTCTGATTATTAGCGTATAAAGTATGGATATACTAATATGCTAATATATGCAAGTTTAAAAACAACCACATACTGCAATGTCTATCTGTACTGATGTCCCAGATTACAATCAACACACTCTGTTTGTAAATAGTCAAACCAAGTAATTACTAAAATGATTTCATTTTGAAACAGATACAGGTTTAATAATAGATTTTGATCATACAACTGTTCTATAATTGTTTGTCATTTTTAAGACGCAATAGTCCAAAATAAGCTTTACATTTTGATATTCACAGTTTCCGAATATTTGCAAACAAAACTTATTGCAAGATCAGCAAGTGTCAATACAATACAACCTTGACTAATCATTTGTATTCATGAGTGACAGACTGGTAAAAAACCAATCAGTTATTGGCTGCAATTTGGGACATCAGTACAGATAGACATTGCAGTATGTGGTTGTTTTTAAACTTGCATATATTAGCATATTAGTATATCCATACTTTATACGCTAATAATCAGACTCGACAGGTTGAACCGTTGTTATACAACGAGGTCATACTCGACTCGGAACACAACAGTTTGTGATCAAACGTATACAAAGTCACGATATACAGTATCAACCAAATATCATTGTAAAGTGAGATTTATTCATTTCAAAATTTACAAGTTTAAACTAGTCGGTGCGACTTGAACAGGCTCCAGAGCAGATGCTGACACGCATATAGTCAAGACTTTTAGGCATAATCGCATAATCCAAAGTTACCGTAAGATTGGCATTTCTGGCCTTTGGGACACTCCTCGTCACTTCTGCAAAAATCTATCATGTTGCCCGAATCAAAAGGAGTGGCAGTGACAGATACGACGAATGCTGTGATGAGTGCGATGACAGTGAATTTCATAATTGGTTGATATAGATTGGATTGGATTGAACTAGATTGGATTGGAATAGACAATGTTTGATGAGTCCAAGAGTTGGATAAAACCTGGCTTTTATATTGCAGATTTGACCTGAAACAATCTGAAAAATCATATTTGGATAGCCATAAAGCTTTGTATGTGGTCAAGGGTACTCAGTAAATGGTAGCCCCACTAAACCAGTATGGGACCGAGTAAATCATATTTAGCCACCGTTTCAAGATTATATAAAGCACACATGCTTTTGAACATTGTTCGGTAGGTGTATTCAAGCACAATTACAGAACAACTCAATCGTCATAGTATACACTGTAAAACAAAGCAATGCAGGTTTTAAAGATTGCTTTTAATTCTAGTAGTCAGGGTATTAGAATGCCAAATGTTCATTACTCAAATCTCCATTTTGCTTGACCAACAAAGCTTGACTACAATCATAACCCTGATCCGTATAAACGTGGTAATATGTTGTAAAAGCATGCTGGAATCAGGTTAGTTGTGGACTCTTGCTTAGTTTGGTCAACACAACTCAATAGCGATTGGAGTATTGCTCTAGACAAATTGTATTGCAAGTTCGAATGTCAGCAATGCAAGTATAATATAATTGCTGGAGTGTAGGATAATACTGCTAGATCACTTGTGATGCCATCTCGGTGATATTACTAAACTTGCGTCTGGTGTTATATTTCAAACTACTCAATCAGATATAAAATATCAGCTCAATCAACTATATCAGTATCTACCACACATGAACCATTGGCAGATTAGATCTTTGTGTGATTAAATTTTGGTCTAAACGAAATACATGAGTTTGAATGCGGTCCAAACTACAACACCAATATCTACTCAAACATGTCGAGTAACTGGTTGGTGATGCGCTGTTTTTGAAAGAATACTCTGGGTTTACTCGGATGACTACAACAATAGATGTGTTTAGTAGTCTAAACATATTTACAATAATGGACCGTATCGAGCTGCATTGTCACAACTAGTACGTGATTGATGCTTTTTGGTAGTGATGGCCAGTACAAACCATATACGAGGATTACTGATAATAATGCGGCCATCATAAAGCAATATTTGCCACATCAACTCAAAACATTAGTAATAAATATACCGTTATCTATCATATTATATCAAGCAGACAACACTGCATTGGTATTGTATCAGTCATACAAGACGCCACTGAAACCAGCTTTAATCAACAGAATCCCGACTATCGACTACACAGGATTTGGTTGGTAAATATGAGTGACTGGATCAGTAGAGTTTGTAAATGCAAAATCAAGCCAGCCAAAACGTGCGGTAAATGCATAGTAGTTGGTTCATATTCGACTACACTATTGTGATATGGCTGGAGTACTCAACGTCATGACTGATGTGTTGGGGTTGGCTTGCAGTGTCATGAAGACATCCATGCTATTGTCCAGATTTGAAGTGTGGTTATCGAATGTTTGAGTTGTCGGCATTTAGACCCAAACCAGAATGCAGTACACAAGAATTAAAACAATGTCAAAATTTGCTCATGTTCTGCTACGCAGTTCAAGCAATATCTGATAGTCACTATCCCACCTGCTGGCAGTCTGCATACATTGTATCGATTGTACTGATTGCATGTATCAACAAAAATGACGGTGATCACATTGATCACATTGGTATTAATGGCAAGTACGGTATTACGCTGGTTGATGCGGATCTCGTTGGCTTGCAAGGTCTTGCAAACACACATTGATTGTCGTGGATCTCAACAAACTCGTCACCACTGAACAAGGTCGATTTCAAACCAAATAAGAGTATGTTGCGCAGATTGCTCCACTAGTCGATATTATTAACGACGGCTGTGCGTGTAGCTCAATACTATTGTGTTGATTGACATTCGGAATGCATTCGACACTGTCATGGTTGGTGCATTGTCATGGTAACTGCAGAGCATGTGGTTTGCTAAAAGTGTTGTACACATGCTCATCAGCTCATGCTCAGACTGGATCACAGGTTTCCGGTCCATTTCCAATTGAATGTGAAGTTCGAAAATGATGTCCACTGCCAGGTTGTTGTTCAACGTGTTCAGCATGTTCATCAACGACATATCCGATGGTATCAACCGATTGTCATTGCATGAGTGTCGCGCAAATCACCACCAGTATGAGGATTCATGTATGCCAACAATGTCGCAATATTTGTCGATTCTGATCAGTCACTCCAGTTTGTATCTGATGTACTTCGCACAATGAATGGAACAATGTCAAACAAGTTTTGTTGTAGTCAAATGCGACATACTCGGTTTCCGTGGTTACAACACTTTGATTCCAAATTACCAGTTGATGTGATGCTACACGGACAACAGGTTCGTCGTGTTCAACACTACAAATACCTGGGTGTTGTGATGCACGAACCACTGTATCACACCATATGTTTGAACTATAATCAGGTTGCTGTCTCGAATAGCATGTTGGTTGTGTCCGGTTCTTGCAAACCATCAACTCACGGTCAACTTTTGAACGCGAGTATTTTGGACAGTCATTCTAGGAATGGTCGTGTACGCACTGGATGTGGTTGGTGACAACTTGGCTTGCATACACACTCAACAGTCAGCAACGGTGTGTAATTGATTGGATGCAGCAAATACACGACTGTCGGCTTCTTGTTGAAATAGAGTTCGAATCACTATCAGCTTGCTCACGTTGTACCGATGCGACTGTATGAGCAAGCCGACACCAAGCAAACTCGAAATATATGATACACACTGATGGTGATGAATACTGACAGTTTTATATTTATTTTGCATATCCATTTTCATATCATTTGTCGCTAGCTGTAAGTGGTCGAGTGGACGCAATGCTGTGCAACAAATCAACGCCAACCATTTCATGAGACTGACGGTTTATTATGTATTTTGGTATCCTTGTTTAGCGCTAATAGTAAACAGCAGAGGCATGGTAAAGCAAATTGATATGGCGACGCATAGGATCAATACTGACATAGCAAAAGTTTTGAGGATGCTCCAGAGGAAACAGCTGAGATACTGAGGATTTGACCTGAGTGATTTTGTAAATAAACGAAGCAACTTTAAGTTTGTTTGTCAATGGATCCTTGACCACCCTAAGCAAAGAAAGTAATAATATCAGTCAAGACATAATCAAGCCTGATATACAATATCTGAAATTCAATTTACGTGATTAGATCCTTGTAAAGTTTTTTTGTAACTTGCAAATATGGCTCAAGATCATTTTCGTACTGACACAGGCGACCACCAAGACACATTGCTTGAAATACATGGAAAATAAACTCGCGCCTGTCATCAGGCGAAAACAGGTCATATAGGTCAAACTCGGGCATCAACAGACATTTACGGAGATTATCGGCAACCAAAAACGAGTCGTGGTATTCATCCATACACTTTGTAATTTGTCCATTCGATCTGACAATTCCTAATCATAAATTCAATTCAAATTCGGCTGTTAGACATCAACAGCCTACTTTTATATCTGATGATAACAAACTGATTGAAATACAAATTCAGTTAATTTGAAAACTACGTACCATTGGTCAGAAGACGATCAAAGAAATCAAGAGATGTGATGGTATGGTTTGTTTCCTCCTTGGACACGTTGGTTACATTTCCAAGCGTTCCCCAACGGTCCATTGTTCCTTGAACCTTGATTTGTGGATTAGCATTGAAGAAATCGAGAAGAAACATATCAATGTCGTATGGTTTGAGATACTGGTCGTATGTAAAGCGTTTGATGTAGCAATGGTCCTGCATGCCCCTATATCAATGGCATTTAATGGAATATTGACATACGTTGGTGACAAGTGTCATGCATACAGTATAGCATTGGGTTCCAAGAACACATCAGTGGATAGTCAGATTTACAATGGGCACATTCGGCAAATAAAATACCCTTGGATATTCTGCATATACACAGCATATAGCAAATTCTTCATTTAGCATCTAGATACGTACCATTTGAAAAGACAAGCTTGAGTTTCCTTGTCATCAAACCCAGGGAACTTGGCATCCTTCAAATAGGTAAAGCTAAACTTTTTGCGGTCAGAAGCAGCAGTAGGCACACCAACATCTGTTTTGATAGATACATGGCTAGGAATCTCTGTAATAAGCGGCGGTGAATGCAATTCATCTTTTTTTAGTTCAGCATTCTCTGCGGCTATAGCTGCGACTACCATGGTGCTATCTGGTTGGACTTGATTGGATGAGATAATGGCAACGTTTGGAATAGAGCTGCTATTGGAGTTTGGCCCAGTTTTTTGTGAATGGTTGCTCTTTACAATATCTTTATCATTAGATATATCATAATCGTCTGGTAGTTCAATAATCATCAAGTTTTGCTCAGATCTTGTCGAAACTTGAGTAACTTGTAATTAAAAACTCCGATACAAAATCAAAACATCAGCTGTTTTGGTCCAACCATTGCATTAAAAACCACTGCCGAGTCCATCATCCAACTATTATCCAGAACTGAATGCCATATATTACAGTTGTATTCACGTAGCATGCATCACTAAACAAGAAAGTATAATAAACAGTCAGTTTTATGAATGATGGTGTCAGTTTACTGCACAACACTTTATTTTGAGCTCTTTGACAAAGTCTACTAATTCAACACGATTTGCCAATCGTTCAACAGCAATACCGTAAGGTGTAGAGCTCTATATTGTTGATTCTTGAGCCCTGCCAATAATTATTCAGTATAAAGAGTGGAGTTGTTTGTCAAGCAATTCCAAACAAGAACTTGTAATACCAACTGAAACAGTCAATTCCTAGTAGCAAGCAAAAAGAATATGTAATCAGTGTATTTTAAAGCAAAATAGAGGCTCTGAACACAAGATGAGTACAAAAGTATTACATTTTACATGGATACAGTTGTGATACTCCAAGAGCGCGAACTCGAAGCTTATATTCTCGAAATTACACTGATACCAATTTACACGACAATGAACAGTCCACTATGGGTTAATAACAGTCAACGGGTAATAATCTAGATGCATACTGTCTCCAAACTTTTTAATATGCATAGCCTTATTTATACAGTGCTACTAAGCAGCTATAAATGTCTGGTGCTGACTAAAGATTAAATGTATAATTTTTAAAACCTTGGCAATATGCTTTAGAGCAATACTTTAAAATACTAATTGATTGCTGCATTCATTCATCTTTCAAATTAAATTAATATATCAAGGTAACCCTCGATGCGACTGTCAAGGATTACAGAAAGCGATTTGATCCGGAAAATGTATTCAATGTGCCAACAACAGTAGATACTTTGGTTGATATTCCTCTCTATGAAGCAATGCAAAAAATGCAATCAGCCAAAAAAGAGCTTGCTATGATTCAATCAGAGTGGGCTTTGCAAGAAGTAGCACATCGAGCACGAACTCCACACCATATGGGAATAGGAATAGTTTCTGATAATGCAATAGTAGGTCAAGAGGATGGCATGACATCAATTAAAAGCTCCATCATGCAAGAGTATAACAACATTCACCACGAAAATGATGCAGATAGTGGCTTGAGCCCGCTTCATATTGCTGCACGAAACAACAATGTAGCAGACATCAAACTGTGGATCCAATCGTTTTCAAAAAACACATTAAACATACATGATTTTACCCCCTTGATGGTTGCAGCATCGCATAATTCGCTCCGAGCATTAAAGGTATTGCTGCGAATGGGCGTAAGAAAAAATGACGTGGATTCGGTTATGCAAAGAACGGCTCTGCATTGGGCAGTGATTCATGAGCATCATCAAGTTGCCAAAGCATTGCTGAGGTTTGGTGCTGATGCTCGCTTTCGCGATCGCGATGGACGTACTCCAGTCCATCTTGCCGCCATGCAGCCAAGTCCAAAATGTCTTCAAGTCATGCTTAAATTAGTTAAACCAGCAGCATTTCTTGAGGGTGATAATGAGCAAATGACGCCAATCCATCTGGCTGTAATGAATGATAATGTCAGGCAACTTGGTATGATTCTGGCTGCGCATTCGCCAATTGACTTGACTGCAAGTGATGTAGAGGGGAAAACGGCATTGCATTGGTGTGCTCAAAACGACGTTCCACAAATTTACTCCCCAACAATCTTTCACAAGCCCACCACATGTATAAAACTTTTGATTGACAACAATCCACAGTTGGTTAAAATCAGTGATCTGGAAGGAAGAACGCCATTGCACCTAGCATGCACTGTTTCCAACATGTCACTGATTTTTGCCATATTTAATCAGTTACTGGGAACATACGCACTAAAAGATCTTGTAAATGCACAGGATGTATTGGGTCGGACAGCAATACACTATTCTGCAATTGGTGGACATGCGTATATTCTCCGTGTATTGCAGCACTACGGCGGAAATGATGGTATAGCAGACAAGGACGGAGCAACACCCTTACATTATGCCTGTGTTAAAAATCATGGACAGTGTGTATCCGTATTGATAAGCGATAATCGACTTTATGAAAACTACATTCGTGACTCTCAAGGTAGAACGCCAATCATGTGGGCGGTTCTTAAAGGCTATGCAGAAGCCCTTCGAATTTTGCTAGAAGCAGGTGTTGATCCAAACGAAGAAGACGACAAAAAAACAACGGGTGAGATTGTTCACGATATACTTGTGTCTTAGTATCGCCATATTGCAGATTTGCTGAAAATCGTCTACTAAATCAATTTTAATATCGACACCAAATTTATGATAATATCCAGCACTACATATCTGTGCGTTGGGAGGTCATTCACATTGTGCATCACTTCTTCTTGAGCACGGCGCATCGGTTGATATGCAGAATAGTGAAAATCGATCGCCTCTTTTTCTAGCCACCCAACACAATCATGGTCAAACTGCCAACATTTTAATTCAAAACGGAGCCAATGTGAATCTGCTTGATATGGATCGTCAAAGTCCATTACATTGGGCTGCACTCTATGGACATCTGAGTATTGTCAGTCTATTGCTATCCTGTCAAGCTGAAATAGACATAGTGGATAAAGAGGGGAAAACACCATTTCATTGTGCAGCGTAGGTCTTGAAATAATGTCGATTGTCGGAAAAACTTGGATACTAAAACAATTCCAATGTAACCTAAATTGTATGAATAGATATAATGGCCACACCAAGGTTCTTGGATTCCTAGCAAAAAATGGCGCGGCTTTGGAACACAAGGATAACGAAGGTGTTTCAGCACTTCATTGGGCAACATGTGGAAACTATTTTGATTGCGTAAGAATGCTACTTCAACTAAACGTCAACCCTAATATTATGGACAGCGATTTGCTCACCCCACTCGACTACGCCATTTCTGTGCGAAGTATAGAATGCACTGAAATTCTAAATGAATATGGTGGTCTGACAGGCGATATTATTAGCGACGTGTATGCCATACGAATCCAGCGTGCTTGGAAAAAATACATGAAAAATAAGCATAAAAAAAGTGATGCTACCTACAATGAGCCTTCAGTGTTAGGAAACACGGATGGAAGGTATGGGTCGTATTCAAAGCTGGCGCTTGGAAATCGATACATGTCCATGGAGTCAATACGAAAAGGATCGTGCGACCAAGTACCATTTGAACGACGACGGCAATCACTAGTGACTGGAAGGCGAATATCAAGAGACTTGGGCATGGTAAATCGTGAGTACGCTGGCGCAAGTATTGATCCTTTAGGCGGGGAACCAGAATCTGCAGCAGCATACAAAAGCTCAAAGTGGTTCAAGTCCAAAATAGGGTTTCCATCTCGGCCCACACCCATCAAAGCAGTCGTAAGTCGATCACGCGGAGCACTCAACACTCAAACCTCTTGTCAAAAAGATATCATTTCCGAGTCTGGTGAAAAACTAGGCAAGGAAAGCATAGATATTGAAACAATGACAGAGGTAAAAGGCTCTGAAAAAACAATGATTCCAGCCACATCAATGAGTTCTTTTGAAATGGAATATTTCCAAATGGAAGCAGCTCAGCGAAAATTGGAGAGTTAGAAAACAGTTTAATATTTTTAAATTATAAATGAAAAATACATATATTGAGCCAAGTCCATAATATTGTATTCTAGGTATGTGTAGTAAAATCATGAGTTACAGTAACAGATCAGCAAAATATTCATCAGATTCGTCTTTTTTGGACTTGCTTGCTTCATCTACTTTTGCATGAGTTGGTGCATTGTAGACTCGAGTGGCCTCTTGCTTAATAAGCTCTTTTTGAGCAATTGGCTTTCCTTTCACGAAATCGGTACTTTTATCATCAATCTTTTCGTCCGCTATGCATCTATTATTTTCATCAATCTGAGATGTATCACTTTGAGAAAGGCCGTTTGTTTCATCGTTTGTCCTGGAGCAACTGTACTTGTGATCCTGCGAAGATTTACAAACACGCTTGCTATGTTCTTTGGCAGCTTGTTTTTCTTCTTCTCTTTGCCGCTTAATCTTGCGATAGTGCAGTTTATAAGTGCAATCAGCACATAAACGAAGCTTTACCAGTGCATTTTTTTGTTCCCTGTTCTCCATGTATGCGAAATTGACTTCCCATGACTTCAAGTCTTCTTTAGATGCACATTTCAAATTCCCGCACTCAAATTGCCCTAGATATATGCATAGTTGATAAGATCAAACAGTAAGTATTTAAAAGTGTTTTTAAACCTAAACTAAGTAGGAGAATTAAGCACCTTTTCCACAAGTCACCTCCTTTTGAGATCGCCATCGCATAGCAATCTTTCCCTCTTTGTATAAACTCATTTCAGCCAGACAGTATTCTTTAAACAGCTTATCATAGTATTTTTTGGCGATTCTTGTTTCCCAAGTTGATTCAGCATCGTCTTGATTAGATCTAAGAAACCTATTATATGTATGTAATAAACAACAATAGATGGATATACAGGATGATGACACTGATCAGTATTAAAGTCAAGATTGCCAAGAAGCAGTGCAAATACACAACACTGGTGTGGTGTCCACTCACTTGTGATGTTGTTTAAGAATGTCTGCTTCGGTCAGTCCCTGAATCTCTTTACCAGTGTATTCCGTTCTATTCGTGCCCAGACTATTTTTTGGAGTTGCATAGTTTGTCATATAGTCATAAACAAGCTTTTGGTGTCGTTGGAAGGCATCGAGACCAGAATCATGCTGCTGACGAAAAACACTGCTGATTTTAGTAGCACTAGTGACTGAATCTGATTTTCCAGAAGTGGTATCAGTGTGCAGAGGCAATGCAAAGTACGTAGACAGGTCAGATACATGTATGCTTTCCTTCTGGTCCTGTTGGCGAGAGGCTTGCATTTTATTAAACTCCATCAAGTCGAGCTGGATAATGAATTGAATTCAACATCAATTCTGCACGTGATGTAATGTCAAACTTGCATTCTGCTGGCATTGGAAACTTGACCATTTGTAGCAATGGATTCGCTGAGGAATTCAGTATTGGGCCAGGCCCATAAAAAGGAGATTCGTGTCAGTGCGTCTAGTGTGATTGATCTAAAAGCAGAGCTTATTTTCAAGCAAGAACAGTATGATAGAGACAAAAAACGACTTGGAGTCCACAGCTCAACCAATTCCATCTCCACCGCTAATCTCACTCGACTAAAGGTTTAGCCATCAACTCATGTTTTGTTGAATTTGGTAATGGTCAAATTACTTTGCTGAAAGTATGGCTTTTACTGATACTTTACTGGATTGTAGAATATCCCGAAAATCGTCAAGAATAAAGGAGTGGCAGATAGAGCTCAAAAGGATGACGCACAGATATCTGAAGAGCATCCGACTCTAGAAGCAAGCTGGGTTGCGCTTCAGCGGAAAACTAAACTATACGAGCAGAAACAGCAGGATTTGGAACCCAACGGTATAGTTGACTTGAGACTAATCTTGATTGCGGTTGATCATACTAACACTAAACTGCAATCCTGTATACTCGAACATGTAGATGAAGAAGGCTTGGTCGACTTTTTAGTCAAGAATATCCCAGAGGTACAAACTAATTACACCAAGATTGATCATTTCAAGCTGCTTTTGTGAAACTCATTCTTTATAAAGAATGATGATATTCGTGTAGATAATCAAGATGTATCCGACCCCAAGTGGGTACAGGTTACGGATGAGTTTGGCCGTACAAGAATTGTAAGAAAAAAGGAAGCAGACCTGATGGGATTAGGACGGTGTGTTTAAATTGCCTGTCTTGTCGAGTTGATTGCAATTATGTAGTCAAGGAAAATTCATGTGTCTTACTTGAATGATTGCTATAGATTTGTCAAGGCAAGCAGCAGCCAGAATGAATCGAGTAAATCAAATCATGCTTCTGGCGATAATCTGGATGAGCACGAGCGACAGGAATGGGAGAATGCATCCAACACAAACATAGGTATCAAATGCATTCTTTGCTATCATACTGTTAGATTTGTGCATTTTGTGTGATCCAACCTGATTGTATGTTTTAAAATATGTAGTAAATAAGCATTACGACACCACGCTAGAGCGACGCACAATGGGTGTTGGATTCTATCACTTGTCCCAAGACGAAACTGCACGACAAAAACAGCTTTTGGATCTTAAGAATATACGCAGTCAAACAGAAACAACTCGGCACACATCACAAGCATTGAAAGAGAAGCGCAAGAGTAGAACAGATGATCGGCGTGCATTGCTGTTGGCACGAGCTGAAAAGAGGAAACGTGGCACTGGGAATCTAGAAGCTTTTCAAGAGAGTAAAGATGGCTCTAATACAACAGATGTGCAAAGCGGTCGTGCTGATTTGAGTAATACAGATGAATATGGAGCTGAAGATGTTGACAGCTTTCTTTGCTCTGTAATATCCAGTTAGGCATATTAAGTATAATCCTCATAACAACCCAACTCTCACTATGCATATATTTATAATAAACTGAATGACCCACAATGAGGTTTGAGACCACTAGTTCCATCAATTCAATTATAACTGTTTTTCAGCACTGATGCAATCATGAATGGTTGTACTGCTTGGTCTGATGCAACAGACCAATTAGACTTTGCCACCATCACACCATTGAAATTTGGCCAAATATCGAGACTAGTAAGCCTAAAAGATTATGGGCAAAATCAATTGTTTGATGTCATGCTAATTGGTTGCAGATTCATCATGGGATTACTACAGTCATATTCACGTAGAGTCTAATCAAGCATTGATTCACACCAAATTTACTAAACAGAATTGTCCTTTGAACTCATTGGTTGACTGGTCTTTTGATACTTGACAATCTTTGTTCTCTTAAACTAGAGCATGAATGTAGTTTAGAATACAACAAAAATGAGTTTAAAACAGCCAAATTCGACATCTGAATTGCAGTGGATGAATCTGGTGGTTGTACAATGTATGGCTATGTCAAGTAGAGAATGGACAGTTTTGAATTATAGTTTGTATAGAATGGTCGTTGTGTTGAATTGAAATGCCAATTTTTAGTAGAAAAAAACAAGGAATATTTAACCATTTTTTACTTGGAGGCAAAATTGAGGCCATTGTAAGATAAATACATAAAAGTGTTCCATTTTACGTGAATACGGCTGTAATAGTGTTTGGATATCGACTTGCTTTCTATAATTATATATATATTCATAGGACTGAATTTTGCCTATACTCCAGGGCTTTTTCGAGTTTTATTTATTCGATATTCCTCTCAACAGTAGCCATCCATTGTCAATTGCATTCATTTATATAAACTATCCTCAAGAAACACTACTTGCCAGCAGCAATCAGCAACTGCTCCCAGTGGACCATTTTGAATATATTTACTTGTAGTATATCCGTCTTCTCTTCGTTTAACCCTCAGACCTATCCGGTACCTTTTCATTGACACAACAATGCAACATCAACCTACTCTGGATACTGCCATCACTGCTACATCTACGAATGCTGCATCATCAACAGACTCTTCCTCATCAATGAGAATAGGCGACTTTAGCTTTGGATCGGAGGTTGGAAGAGGCTCATTTGCTACAGTCTACAAAGCAGTGCATTTGCCTACTTCTACCACTGTAGCCATCAAGTCAGTGTCCAGAGCAAAGCTTAACCGCAAACTCGCTGAAAACCTTGAAACTGAAATACGGATCCTACAGGGTATCCATCACCCAAATATTGTACAGCTACTAGATATTCTTGTAAGTTTCATCACTTGCCACTCCTTGTAATTCGATGCCAGGCCATGCTGTATGCTGCTTGGAAAATAGCTTTTTTGACAGCATTTACATGGGAGCTACATCTTGTGGTAGACTGTGACCCAATATTCCATCAATTTATTTTGGCTTTATCCTTCAAAACTCTTAAAATGGGCCGGATTGGCCATTCCCTTGTAAATAAGCTAACCATAATTTATGCTTTCAAACCTATACCAGAAAACCGACACAGACATACATCTTGTTATGGAGTATTGCTCATTAGGCGACTTGTCCATCTTTATCAAGAAAAAGGGAATGGTGGGCTCGCTATCTGGCTCTTCACGTGTATCAACTGCCCACTTTAATGGCCCCTGGGGTGGACTACATGAAACCGTGATTCGACATTTTTTAGCACAGCTTGGTATGTTTTTGATTTTGGATATATTACGTATTTTACTGCATTATTTTGTCCAAATATTATCTCGAGTAGCTCTATTGCTTTGATGATACATACTCTGAGTTGCCCCTGCCAATCGTTCAACAATTCTTTTCAGTTACACACCAACTAATACTTTTTTATGCTTGACTTGATATCCCAATTCCAGTTGCCTCGTTGGAATTTATGCGTTCCAAAAGTTTAATTCATCGAGACCTGAAACCACAGGTATGTAGTATAGCCTTGCATGTAGTGTAAATTCGATCCTATAATACGTTTATTCTAATCAAAAGCATATGCCTTTGCATAAATTAAAATGCCACATTCAATTTATTGAATCAATAGAATCTACTTTTATGTCCAGCAAGCCTCGGACAGCCAGATGTTAGATTAAAGCCCATACGTCCAAACATTCCTGCGGTAACTGTTCCTGCTCTTCCTACATTGAAGCTTGCAGATTTTGGATTTGCAAGAGCACTTCCTGCACAGTCAATGGCGTCTACTTTATGTGGATCGCCTCTCTATATGGCTCCAGAAATTTTGCGTGGTGACAAATACGATGCCAAGGCTGATTTGTGGTCGCTGGGAGGAATTCTTTATGAAATGATTACAGGGCGACCTCCTTTTAATGCTCAAAACCATATTGAGCTGCTAAGAAAAATTGAGAGCCGTGGTGGATGGATCAAATTCCCTGGCGAGGCACCAGATGAGCGCAATGTGATGAGACCTCGAGAAGTTCCTGGACAACTGCGATTGCAACCACTTAATCTTCAGCAAACACAGCGACGACAACCATCTGCACATCAATCACAGTTTACCCAACAGCAGCCTGGGCATAGAGTTAGTCTGACTCAATTGGCTGCATCACCAATTAATCCCTCCACTCCACTTCATGTGGGATCATTAGGCTCTAGTCCAAAGTATGCAAATTTCACAAAAGCTCGTGATTTTCCTCCTGTTCCAGACGATTTGAAAGATCTTGTTCGACGGCTACTCAAGCGAGATCCGGTAGAACGTATGACTTTTGAAGAGCTATTTATGCATCCGTGTGTTGCTGTACTGCGCGTGGCGGAGCCTCGTATATCTACTATTCCACTGCGTAATACAACAACAGGGTTTAATCCTGCTGCTTTTCCTAGTGGATCATCAGATAATTTATCACAAATTAGCTCATTAGCAATAGGCATAAAACGGCTTCCCTCGAGATCTTCACAGTTGCATTTGCAATCGCACCCATCACAATCTCAAATGCAACACTACTCCCCTCCCACTGCTCTTCAGCAACTTCCATGCTCTCTACCGTCGCATATGGAAAACGCTTCAGCCGATATCAGATTTGTACAAAAACAAGGGTTACGAAAGTCTCCATCATTTCAAGCCTATAACACTCATTCACCGGTATCACCTTCTCCATTAAATCCCATGTCTAATCCTTCGCGCGAAGATATTTCTTATAATTATGTTGCTCATCGCACTTCAGCAGATAATATAACGACCCATTTTGGCGCTGGTGGTGGAGATATTCGCCATGGAGCAGGTATTGAAGCGAGTGCCAAGTCTGAAGTAAAAACTACTGCTAGTGCTCCATCAGATATATCCTATATTTCTAAAGCCACCACCAGTGTACGAAAGTTGGAGCCGCCATTTGCAGAGTATGGATTGCAAATGCTTCCGCATGATACTACTCGTACCGAGTCTCGAACGCGTTTCCCTCCTGCTTTAGAGCGACAGATTTCTGCAGTCGTTGGCAAACCTACAACCCCACATACCTTGTTACATATCACTACAGCATTACAGAATCGTCCCGAATACCAACTTGTACCTTTACTTCCTCCCACTCATCCCTCAATTGTACCCGTAGGCACATTTCCTCCTCCTCAACCGTCTTCAAAATCTTCTATAGTTCACAGTCAATCATCATTTGGCTCATCAGTGGGATCCTTTATTTTTAGCGATGACGATAGTGACGAGAAGCAAACTATACCAGCTTTAAGTCGGCACAACACAACTCCAGGCCGTATCATGACGCAGTTTCAAACAAAAGCGCAAGAAAAGTCTATTGCGACAGCCAAGGATATGCCAAAGACGACTGGACAAGCGTCTTCGATATTAAATATTCGAAGTGGATCCATGTCTTTAGCTGCTTCCACTCATATCACATCAGAATTAGATGACCATAAAACGCCAACTAGTGAATCTATGCAAGAGTCGGAAGAGTACGTTGTGGTTGAAAAGGGAGTAGTTGAAGTCAATTGGCTAGCAGATCAAGTTGCGTCTCAAGCTCAGCTCAACAAGGATGCAGCTATGTCCGATAGATTACGAAAAAGTTCTAGTTTAACTGACCTTAGTGGCAGGAATAATGGACCACAAGCGAGATTGCCGTTTGGTACTGCCAAGTCGTTCACGCCTCCGCGTAGAACAGACTCTATTGTTCCTACTGCGTCAGATTTTGTTCATAACAGACCCTACAGCGCACTGTCTCTTCGATCTGCCTCTGTATCTGGTATTATTTCACCGATAGCCACAAATACTGCTCCTGTGAGTATGTGTGATGTCCGTATGAAACGTACCAGTAGTGATGCATCTAAACCACGTGTTCTTGGATCATTGAGATCTCTCAATCCATCACAAGAATTACCAGCACAGACAAGTTTTTCAGATGCTCATCATTCACAAAATGATGCCAAGTATAGTTCGTTGCCATATATGACTGATTTAGACACCTCCGCGCTGGATGAGCCCCAAGCATCGTTTTTTTCTACTCTAAATCTCTGTGCTTTGCGAGCACATGCTGTAAATACACTTGCCGATGGCTATTTTGTTGAGCTGGAGAAATTTACTACTGCAAAAAGTTTGACACAGACAGGTTCCACGCCTACTTTGCCCTCTCACCAGGTCCAGGTCCAGGAAAGTATAGTACCCAGCACATTGGTAGACATGAGACCATTTGGTAGAGCTGCTGGACAATTTAATGTAGCGACACTTGCAGATGAGACGCTGACACTGTATCTGCATTGCCTTGCACAATACCAATACGCGATGGAGTTGGCAAGAAAGATGTGGGATCAAGAGCGTGAACGGCTGACACCCACTCAATCGATGTTGATTTCTCGTTTTGGGTTTGGAATACCAAAGCCAACTGCTACACCAGGAGAAAACAATATGCTTGCTAATCTGAGTGTTGTAGTTCAGTGGATTCGTGATCGATTCAATGATTGTCTTTCCAAGGCGGATATTTCTCGGTCGCGAGTTGGTAAACATGATAATGTGGGTAAACAGCAGGGCTTTGTTGCATCCATCACGGGTGATGGGATTACAAATACAGCATTGCCTACTCGATCTTCTTTTACAACCACTACTTTAGCACCAAATATTGCAGAGAAGCTCATTTATGACTATGCAATGCATACATCTCATCAGGCTGCAGTACAGGAGCTTCATCAAACTGGTATGGGGAGATGTGAAATGCTGTACCAGCAAGCAATTTTGTTACTCGAGTCACTCTTGCATGTGCCACCACGACCTTTGTCACCTTTACCTGGCGTGCTTGCTCACACAGATACGGACGGACATGATGGACATGGGAGTCAAAATGGAGAGGAAGAGTTGACGGACAATGATCGAATCATGATTGAAAAGTTTCTGCTTGGATTATACTCGAGACTTGATTCGTTACGGACTTGATGGTTTGGTACTGAGTTTATGACAGACTTTTAGGAATATAAATTTTTATTATTTCATATGTTTATACGAGTTTTATGAATCCAAATGGTGTAGATTTAGTCAAACCAGATTGAATTGCAGCGAATATGTTGTAAAATGAACGATTTTGAGCAAAACTCGAGTTTTATCAAACTTGACCAGACAATTTCAGTATGGATTTAGAGCGGGACCAGAAGCTCAAGATGGCTCGTCAAAAGGTAGTTTCTACTGCATTACATTTACCACACACTTGCATTAACTCTTGAATGTATTGCTCATGAATCAGCTATCCAAGTTTCAAAAGAAAAAGGCCGAGTCTGAAACTCCTGCCAGCAACGATGTGCCAGTGGTGCGTGATCTAACTTGCTATTCGTATACGTTGTATTAAGCCTGTATACTGATTGCTTTTGATTTATATGTACGTTGATACTTGGTATCAACCCATTCAAACTCTTGCGATTTCTCTGCTTTGAGCAGCCAGCAGAAGTGCAGCATGCATTCAACTACTTTGCTTCAGATCAACCACATCCTCCTGTCGAGTCTTCTGCTGATGAATCTACTACAGCTTCAATTGCAGCTACTATTGCAGCTACATTCTCGTCGTTTACTAACCCACTTCGTTTACTGGCCGACCAGTCACAAATGCAGACCAGCACGAATCATAGCATGACTGCAGATCCTCATTCTGAATTCAATGATAGAATGCAGCCTATTGATAGTCTTGAGATGGAAACTGTAAGTCTGTCCAACGAGTCTGGGAATCATATTCCGCTGTCATCAACTGGGTTCACTCAGCCTTCTTTCCAATTCGATTACTCGAAATCCAAGAAACGCAGCAAGTATGCTGCTGTTGGGATTGCTGGATTTGGAATGTCGGATACGAAACTGCCACCAACTGCTGATCACAGTGGACATTCGAATGCACATATTATGCCTCCTATTGTTCCACCAGTGCCAAATACCGCCACGCATCCATCAATTCCGTCACATCATCAGCCATATCCACAACCATATCAAGAACATGAACAATACGCAACCATCCAACCTGCTGCTTACCCTGTTCATGAAGATGTTACAAGCCATTTTCAAACAGATCCTTCTTGGACACATTATGATTCAACCTCGAAATCATCCATATCTACTGCTGCTGTACATACATTTCCCACTGAATATGCACCAGTTTCTTCATCAAATTCTGTAGCACCTGCAGCTCAGCCATCACCCACGGTTGGTATAGAAACGTATTTTAAAACAAACATAGCAGTAGGCAATATAAATGAAATCAGCAGTAATAGCTTTCATTTTCAATCAATTCCTGGAGTGGACGCGACTGTAATTCGTAACTCTTCTCCATCACATCGATCCGACAGTCCTATTCCATTTTTGTTTCCTACTGAGCCTGGTGTAGATCCCTTTGCATCTATTCCAGGAAATATTCATGATACACATATCGACGAAGCCTTTGCAGTGCATACTAATGCATCCCCTGTCCAAGGGTTTTACCCACACAATCCGCCATTAGCTGAGAATGATCGTTTTGATACTAATCGAGGATTTTCAGTCTCTCCATCAATGAAACCAGTCAACAGTAGACATTCACCAGCCGATTCAACTTTCAAATCTGCATACCCTCCTGTTGCAACCCTTCCTGTTCAGTCTTTTCCAGAGACTCATACAGGTTTCAATGAAATCTCTGAACATCAGTTTGACGCAATTAATGCACCAAGCATTCAATATTCAGAATCTCACTCCATAGCTAGTGAGAGATATCATCCAGGTACCGTTGAAAACCTGCAGGTCACGCTGGATGCCGTTACAAAAGAAAACATTGGTCTTCATGAATCTCAACAAGAGCTAATTGATAAGCACATAGAGGCAGAGGATAGAATTGTTCATTTGAAACAAACAAATCTAGAGCTTGAAGAGCGTATGAAACTTTCAAATCGTATATCTCCAAAACACGAAAACCTAAGCGCGCTTACTCCTATGCATCTCCAAAGTGATGTCAGTAATTTAAACAATGATCAAGAAAATGCATCAACTGACGCATATCAAAAACAATTTAGCCAAATGGAGTCCGATTTGGCACTTGAGCGACAAGACCTTGAACAGAAATGGGCTCAACTTGAACATGATCGACACGAGTTTGATTCATGGTCGTCACAACATTGTCAATTGATCAAAGATGATCAAGCCAAAGCAGAACTTCGTTTTCAACAGGTGCTTGATCGTGAGAACGAGGTATCTGGCATGGCTGATGAGTACCAGCGTAAAATGAACGAGATGGAAGAGGTGGTACGTATGCGTACGGCTCAAGCTATAGAGCAGGCTCGAGAGTTACAAATGCAATCAGAAACAATGCTAACTGGAACGGAAAAGGGTTGCGACACTATTGGAGCTGATCATATTGCATTAGCCAATGCTAAAACGCCAGATATGTCACTTTTACCAACATCGGAGTCGGATCAAACAATTGCACAGCATTATAAACATGTCGAGGCTGAGCGCGAAAAAGTAGAAATTCTTGTAGAGCAACTTGCACAAGATCGTAAAGCACTTGAAGCTGAAAGAGAGTTGCTTCATCAACGGGAAGAAGCATTAGGAAACTCGACAGAGCTGCAACAAATTCTTGAGCAAGAGTCGGCGTATTTGCAAGATTTGCGTAGTAGCATCGAAGCAGATCGATCTAATATGCGTGATTTAGAACGACGAACTCAAGAGCAGATTGCGGAATACAAAAACAAATATTCCGTTTTGGAAAGAGAAGAGGCCATTGTAAAAGAGTTGAAAGATCGTGCCAATGCTGATCTGGCTGGTGTTGAACATGAAAGGCAGACTCTGCAAGCTGTAATAAAGAAAAATGCAGAAACCGAAGCTGATTTGCGTAAGAGAGAAGAGCGCCTTGCTGATCAGTGGAAACAGCTGGAAGCTCGTGAGCGTGAAGCACAGTATAATTTGCAGGTGCACCAGCAGACTATTCAAGAGCAGTCACTTGCTATTGAGCAAGAAAAAAAACGTTTAGCCACTTTGGAAGCATCACTTCATGCCACTATTGAAAGCAAACATGGATCTCAAATTACAGAAATGCGTAACCATATTGATCAGGAACGCAAGCAGCTTCAAGCTGAGCAACATGCGTTTAGCATGGATCGTCATGCTGCTCAAGAACGCGATCATGCTGAAAAGTCTCGATTAGAGGCTGATCGATCTTTTCTTGCTGAACAGCTGTCCAAAATGGAATCAGAGAGATCTGAACTGCAGGCAAAGCTAATTGCAGCGGCTGAAAAGGAAGAGTCTATGGCACAACTCGAGGCTAAGATCAAGCAAGAAAAGACTGAAAAAGCTGCACAATTTGCACAGAAATTGGCTGATCATGCCAAGTCGGTTGAAGAATTTAAAGCTATGCAAGCCAAAACTGTTTCCACTCAACTTGCTGAACACACCACTAGCAAAGAATCACTTTCTGCAATTGAAAAACAAAAACGCGAGCTTGATCAGGACCGTATTGATTTGGATGACAAAAAAAAAGACTTGGATGAATTGATGACTAGTATCCAAACTCAGTCCAACCAACTTGCGCAAGAAAAGGCAGATTTTGAAAAAGAGAAATCCGATTTCGATATTGCACGCAAGCAGGCGACGAGTGATTTTCATTATGACGAACATGCTAATAATAGCAATCGTGAAACCTATGAATCTATTGCTGCGCAATTGAAGGCTGCTCTAGACAAAAATCAGCACTTGGAGCGACTTTTGATGGAGCAGAATGAATCCCTTATTGGAAACAGAATGAGCTCCAATCCTCGCGAGCCTAATACTCGTCGTCCATCCCTTTCAGTTTCAATTTCCTCTCAAGTTGATGAGCGAGTCAATTTCCTTGAAAACAAAGTTAATTGTGTGATGGAGGCTGAGGAGGATATGCGCATGCTGCTTCAACAGAATATGGAAATCATGGATAAACTTCGTCGTCAAATGAACCCTAATGATGCTGGCAGTATGAATCTATCTACTTCGATTCCCTCAATGGCTGAACGATTGAGTCGCACTGATTTGCGCTCTGCTTATAGCGGTGTGATGGAGCCTGTATACGATGCAAACGTTTTGGAACCACACAATTCTCAAGGAATTCTTCAAGCTGTTGCGGACTATACCAGGCAAGTTGATTATACGAATGATACTAGATTCTTAAACCTTGCTAACTTTTTTTATTTCTGTGGTTCGTCCAATAACTGATCATTAGAACAAATTTGGATGGAAATCGCACACAGGCGACATCTCAGCAACGCGACGAAGCATCATTTGGCTCTAATAATAGCACAGCTTCACAGCGACACCTTGCACCATCAGATGCATCCAGATACATGCAACTGGGTGAAACCAGTAGGTCCTCCATGACTAAATCGGCTCAACGCGAACCAGGAATGATTAGTCGTCAAACATCATATGATAGTATTTCACAGCGATATCAGAGTCAAAACTATCGCCGATTAGAACCACAGCGACCTTCTTCGTATGCTAGCAACTATGCTGGTCGTTCGCAAGCCAGAACTGGTCTGGATGATATGGGTGTGCGGAATGCTACGCAAAAATACAGGGCTGGTAGTGGCTATCGCGGCGGAGTTGACAGGTATGATGAGTACCGATCTGGACCTGGATCTGTTGCCGGAGGATCTGTTTCTGGATCAGTATCTGGCAGTGGCCAATACACCAATGGGTTAGCATCACTTCGACTGGCAACAGGAACTCCAAGTGAAATCGGAAGTCAGACAGACTCTGTGGTATACAAGGGCGATAATCAGTTGGACAGTGATCGCATTAGCAAAACACCATCTTATCATAAACCTTTCACCACTACACCACACCAATCGCAGGTGTCCATGTCAAAATCTCACAATGGCAATGCCATTACTAACCAGCAGCAGCCTTCTACTGGACAAGTCAAAGGACTAGGCACTTACTTTTCTTCCACCGATCTGGAAGGATTCAGTGATGCTACTCGCCGTATTCTGTTACAGGGAGCAATAGGCACCAATTCCACTGCTACCAACCAGACACATACTTCTTCCACAGCTGCTGGTGGTATTCCTAGCAGTTCAGAACGCAAGACCTCAAGCGAGGATATCAGACAACAGGTTCGCCGCAGACTACAAGAACGAGATGCAGCCAAAGCCGCATCTGCAGGCTCTGCAGCCATGCGTCCTTGGTAGAATGGACCCAGTAATAATACCTGCGTATTCCCAACTCTATTAAACCATCTTGTTTGAAATAAAATTTTATTTTTAAAACTTATTCAACCCAAGAAATGCAGACAGAATACAATACCATTGAAAAAACCAATCAAATCGAACTCAAAAGAAAAAGCCTCAGATTGGATATGTACTACTTATTGTACAAGGTGGTGGGGGCAAGTACAAATCTCGCTCAAGTCACACAGTTCAACCGTAAAGGCGAACGGGACTTTGATTAAGGTCACTCCACTCATCATCAGCTTTTAAAATTGGTTGGATAAGGAAAACAAATACTGAAAATACACCAAATTTATATTAATTTCAAACAAAATTCCTGAGGGTTATTTTGAAATCTATTGGAAAATAAGCATCTGTAGAATTCTAAATATCGAGATATTCACCGCCATATTCATAAAATGATTAGTTTACTGAACAGCATTGCCTTTTGGACTCTTTAGTTGACTGGACTTTTTCTGATGATTAACGTGTACAGTTGCATTCCCAAGAATGTGATCATTGCTGGACTAGAATGCCAACGTGTCTGTGATTGGAATACAACAGGAGTCTGATTGAGAACAGTCAAATCCAATATTTGAATCACAATGGATGAATCTGGTGATTGTACAATGTATACCAAAAAGGAACAATCTTAATTCAAACTATAGCTTGATCATGTAAACATCATAGGATGGACATTGTGCCTAAAAAGTTGTCAGTTTGTAGTAGAAAGCAACGAACATTCAACCATTTTTATTATCAACCAAAACAAGACTGCAAGGTTTGTTTTAAATCTGTGCACCATTCCTGCATGTCACTTGAGAGTATTGGTTTTGATGAGACAGTCAGATCTAGCATGAGAGATTGGAAACACTCAAATTGCAACCACTGAATTTGTTCAAATCGGACTCCATACACCACGTGATCAAACCTTGAGTTTTGGACATTTGCAAATCGATACTTTATCACAACAGAATGACACGCAAGGGCATGTCTGCCAAGGCTACTGCTGCGAATGTTACAGATGAAGCCAACCCTCCTACACAACTACGGCGTGGAAGAAGTGCTACTACTGAATCTACCTCTACAGATCCCATCAAGTTCAATCCACTTTCAACATTGGACACACAAAAACCTACAAGAAAGCTTCGCTCCACTACTCGTCGCCAGCAGAATTCAGTCCAAGATGAACCAAAACTGGCTGATGTGCCTGTATCTCTAGGATTCATTGCCAAAAAACCTGCTTTGGCTCCAAAAAAGATCCGGAAAAATAATGCAGTGTCTGTCTTGATGGATGCTGGATCTTCAAACAAAAAGGTGGTAAAGCCAGTCCCTTTTGTTGAAAATAATGACCCAGCTTTGATGGCTGGGCACAATGCTGATGATGTAAACATGAGCGAAACATCTGAATCAAACGACCCACTAATAGAGGTGGCTATAGATAGCGCAGCCTCAGAATGCGGTTTAGATAGAACTGAAGTGTTTAAAATAGGACATATGCTTGATAAGCCGAACACGATCGCTACCTCTGCCAATACTAATCTGTCGGGAATAGACAAAATACTATCCAAGCATTCGCTTATAGAACAACTATCTCAGGACATTGATCAGATATTTCTTACCACTGCAGGCTCATCATTGCCATCAAATGTTGAAACAGACAAACCCTTTAAAACTTCACAATCTCTCAATCCACTGTCAGATATTCTCCTATCCATCAAAAGATCATATTCTACAGTACCTATACATTTGAACCCAGCACCATCTAACCTTTCAGATCTACGTGCATCAACTCTCATTGATCCTGCTACTCCACCTGTCTGGACGAGCAAGCACACAAACACTATCAAAATAGATGACGATTGCAAGATCATTGATCTGGATATGTTTGAAGAATCGACAAGGAAAACAAACTCGCTTACAAATTCACGTATACCGGCAGTATCCGACACCGCACTTTATAATGCCAACAAGTCACGCTCGCTTGAATTAAACCATGACAAGCCAGCTTTAACTGTAGTGGAAAATGAAACTATTGCATGTGATAGTGAAGACCCAATGGAATATTCTCCGGTATTCCATCGAGCATCGGCAGCCAAAGCCATAATCTACGACGATAGCGAAAGTGAAAATAACCAAAGTGAAAGCGACGATGGCGATAAAAACTTAAAACGGAATGCATCCATAAATATTGCCTCGGAAAACGAAGCTGATTGGTTGAAAAATACAATTGAATCGATTTCATTAGAAGAGGTATTGATCAAGTCTATTGGAGATAAGATTAAAACATTGCAGGATATGTACCAAAATGAGGGTACGCCAAAAGGTATGAATGTGAAGCTATTACCACACCAAGTTTATGGATTAGCGTGGCTGATTCATATGGAGGAAAGCAGTCTCAAAGGTGGAATTCTCGCTGATGATGTATGTACTCATGTCTGTAATATATTGTCTACTGATTTGTAGCCTTTGCTCACGTATTCATTTTTCTGACTGCTACTTTTGTCTTATTTGACTTGTTAGATGGGAATGGGAAAGGTATCACATTTTTGAGGCACTTTATACTTTAATTCTGCTTAGCTGGCTTGCAAATGTTGACTTTGTATTCTTGATAGACAATTCAAATCTTGGCATTAATTGTGCACAACTATCGACCCCCAACTCGTGAACGAGGTGGAACTTTAATTGTTGCCCCACTTTCGCTTATTCGTCAATGGGAACAAGAAATTACGAGCAAGTCTAATATGGGGTTAAAAGTGTACGTGCATCACGGCCCACAGCGAACAAAGCTTAAAAATGAACTTCGGAAATACGATGTGGTGAGTCGAGATTTTTTAATTGTCGAGTAATGATACGTTTTATGCAATTTGGTTTAAACTAATGTTACTACTATCTGTGTTGACTGGTGATCATCAAGGTAATTACTACATTTTCTGTTTTATCCAACGAGATTCGTAAACCAGCGCAAATTTTGAATGGAGTATTTGTTTCAGCATCAAAAGGCGGGCCTCTATTTAAAATCAAGTGGAATCGTGTTGCGTTGGATGAGGAAAGATTCAATCAAATGGACTTGTTTAAATACAACAACTCTTGTTTAACATATATTCTGGTTTAGGCACAAATGATTAAAAATAAGGATACTTGCGTAGCCTTGGCATGTTCGTCACTTGACAGTCTGACTCGTTTTTCCATTACAGGAACTCCAATTCAGAATGTAAATACTATTGTTTTTGAGTAGATACACGTTCATTTGTTAAACCTCTAGACAGACTTTGCATTTAGTTTTCTGTATATGTTTTAATATTCTGCTTACTATTTGGTATTGTGTTTAATAATACTTCATCAACAGAACGTCGATGAAGTATACAGTCAGTTTCGATTCCTCTGCATTCCACATTGGTCAAATTATGCCCATTTTTCAAACACAATCACAAAAAATATCAAACGAGACTGCCCTGAATCCAGTCGTGTGGCTATCAATCGTTTACAGGTGATTCTTGGATCGTGCATGCTACGACGCAAGAAAACATCCAAAAACCACAATGGTGAACCAGTTTTAAAGCTGCCTCAACGCTTGATAGAGATTGAAAAGGTGACTTTGAATGAAAACGAAGCCGCGTTTTATCATGCTTTGGAAGCTTGTGCCACAAATCAGTTCAACAAATTTGTAGCAAGTGGTGAGCATATATTTCTGTACTGTCAAACTGTTTTATTTGCAAGATGAGCGGACTCTAGTATTCAAAAGTCACTGATGCAATTTTGTCCGTGTGTAAATATTAGGTGACATTTCAAAAAATTACAGCAACATTCTATGTCTTATTTTACGACTTAGACAGGCAGTCACTCATCCTCATTTGGTACAAGAAGCCTTTGAGGATGCTGATCGTGGTATATTCAATCTAAATTTCATGCAAAATGGAGTGAAAATGGACTTTCAAGGATTTAATTACAAGACAACCAATGTGTTGACTGACATTTCAAACACTGTTCAAAAATCGCAAATGTTACTTACATCTGCAAAACCAGCACTGTCAATGGCTGCTCTTCGATCCAAAGATAAAGGGGAATATACATCAAAACTGCGACTTGATAACGAGCTTGGCGACTCGGATGATGAAGATGACCAAACCAGTGATTCAAAGTTACCCTTTAAGCCTGATATATTTGATCGTGTCATGACGCAAGCTAGAGCTGATTTGTCGCATTTTATTAGTGACGAGTGTCCTATATGTATGGATGTTATGAACAATGCTCTAGTTACATCTTGTGGACATCGATTTTGCAAAGAGTGCATCTCTGAACTCATACTATCAAATGCATCTGATGTGGAAAATGACACTTTTAAAAAGCCGTGTCCGGTTTGTTGCGCTGATATCAAGAGCACTTTGCCAGCCTCAGTATTCGTTACCAAGATCATGAGTGAAAATAATGTGAATCGAAAGCATGTTTCTGTGTGTGATCGAGCATCAGGAGCTACTGTACCGGATGAAAGCAAAACTGCAGGACAAACTGGTGTATTTTTCAGACCAAGCAATATCCACAATATTCTTCTTGGACTTCATCCCGATGGGTGTGTAGTTTAGATTTATCAAGCATACCATATAGTTGTTTTTATTTATTACTAATTTGTATGGGTGTTTACTATGTTTAATTCAGTGACTGGACTTCTTGGATCTCATCGACAAAATTGGATGCATTGATCCGCATTTTGGAAAGAACACATGATGAAAACCCAACCAACAAAACCATCATGTAAGTGTATATTAAAGATTGAACCAAATTTTTGATTGAATGCCTATACGCTAGTTAATATTGTCTTCTACCTTGTCTACGTGCAGTTTTTCACAGGTTTGTCGAGCCTCTACTATTTGCTGATGTGTTTACATTTCATTACTTTGTGTCTTATTCCCATCACTTTGATAAACTAGTGGATCACGAATTTGGATTTAATTCAGACTGCTCTGACTAAAAAAGGAATTCGCTGGACAAGAGTAAGTTATTAGCGATCATTGTTGAAATTTAGATTTTTGTATTTTTGCTCATTGTGCAATTATCTAGTATGATGGTGGTATGAGTTTGGCTCAACGAGATACGGCCATCAAGACATTTTTTCAAGACCCATACATATCGGTAATGCTTGTGAGTCTAAAATGTGGTGGTGTTGGACTCAATCTTAGCATTGCTTGCCGGGTGATTATTTGTGATTTATGGTGGAACCCAGCTGTGGAAGATCAAGCCATTGATCGTGTGCATCGTATTGGACAGCGTGTTGATGTACGTGTATCTTACCTGGTTGCCAAAGACACAATTGAAGAGCGGATTTTAATCATGCAAGAAAGCAAGGTGTGTTGATTGTTTTTTGAATTCAAATTTGACTTTTATGATTGGGATATTTGAATTGACAGTTTGTTTGTCTTATAACTGTAATAAGCGGCAAATTGCCGCAGGCGCATTAGGTGAAGGAGAGTTTAAACTGGGTCGACTGAGTGTAGAGGATTTGCTTTTTTTATTCAAGCAGACATCCAATCATAATCCCAGCAACACATCTGACAATATGGATGTACAAGATGATAATAACGATGATTTTGACCAAAGTATTATTATCTAGCTTTTTCAATCAAATAAAATGAATTGTTTGACATAGCAGTGATTTTTCCCTGGTGATTGGTATGTATAATTGCATTTTTGAAATGCGAATCTTGTTTTTATGGACTGAAGCGCAAACACAATGTCATTTCAGGATACAACAAATATGTGTTGCATTGAGAACAATCAGCAAACGTGTGAATTGTAGACGAGTCTGGAGTCAAACTTGGTGATCATACAATATATGATTATCAAAAGTGGAAGAGATTCAAGAGAGGATTTCAGTCCGACCTATAGCCTAATTCTGCATACATCATATGACGAATGTTGTGTTTGAATCGAGAAAGTGTAGTAAATACCAATATTCAACAATTGTTTATTACAAAGCAGAATATAAGCAGCGACTGCAAGACAAATACAAAAGCGTTGCACTGAGTGAACATGGCTGTGAACATTGGATTCAGATGATCAAATCTGACTGTTGCTAACAGTTAGACGGGCTTCGCGATTCAAGCCAGTGTGTTCACATGACGTAGTGCTCAATTTTCGCCCATCAAATTGCTTTAAAAGCTGATTATTCAGCCATTCGAGTTGACTATCGAGCTGCTACCATCGAAAATGACTCAGCCTTGCTACACTGTGGAAATGGATTGTACTGGTGATCCAAGTAGTTTGATTGGACCTTCCCATCTGTCCAAGATCATTCCGCCTCCTGTTTATCCTACTCACAAACCTCATCTGGCCTCGTTTGAAGATTACAAGACAATGCATACTGAAAGCATCTCAAATCCAGAAGCGTTCTTTGGAAAGGTGTGTTGACAGAAACCCACTTGTTGCATCTGAGAGCTGTTGTGGCTTGAATTTGAGCATCATTTCCCATCTGTAATACCAAAGCGGTGTAGATCGTCCCTTTTAATACTCAAGGCTGTATTCAAATCTACATTTTAATTGGCCTTGCTCTGACTACTGGTGATCAATATCTACTAATAATATTTACTATCAAAATGTATAATTTGACCAAATATTCGGGCATTAAACCACTTTAGCTTGCCAACGAACTGCTCACATTTTCACACCCATTCTCGAGTGTCAAGAGCGGGTGTGTGGGTGCAACTCTACTGTTTCGGAGTTATCATGTGTTGATTTATTTCTTGAGTCTAAGTCTTTATTTTCCATCGATATCTACTAAATAGTGGTTTTAAACACGGAGATATCGCTTGGTTCCAAGACGGAGAGCTTAATGTTTCGTATAATTGTGTGGATCGCCATGCTCTTGCTAATCCAGACAAAATTGCTATTATTTGGGAAGCCGATGAGCCAGGTGAAGGTGAAAGCTGGACCTACCTCCGTTTACAGCAGGAAGTATGTCGCTTTGCAAACTTGCTGATCAAGTACGGTGCTCGAAAGGGTGATGTTGTCGCTATTTACATGCCCATGTTGCCTGAAACTGCAGTTGCTATGCTGGCATGTGCTCGACTTGGTGTGTTATCCAGTGTTATCTTTGCTGGCTTCAGTGCTGAAGCTCTCCGAGATCGTATCATAGATGCCAACTGCAAAATCCTCATCACAACCGACCAGGGCAAGCGTTGCGGAAAGGTTATTCATCTTAAAAAGATTGCCGATCAGGCTGTCAGTGGATGTCCTTGCATCAACAATGTTATCGTGTTTCAACGCACTGGCGATATCGAAGTTCCCTTTTCCTCGCCGCGCGATGTGTGGTGGCATGAAGAAATGGTACGGCGTATTTTAAGGCTATAATTAAATCATGCCATCTGCATATGTATTAAACAAGAATTTATAGAGTATCTGCTAACACGATTTTGGATTGACTAGCGCTATCAACGCCCATACTGTCCTGCTCCCCCAATGAGCAGCGAAGATCCTCTTTTTATACTATACACTTCAGGATCTACCGGAAAGCCAAAAGGAGTTGTTCATACTCAAGCTGGCTATTTGCTTGGTGCAGCTGCTACTTGTAAATATGTGTTTGACGTTCATCCCAATGATATAATTGGCTGCATGGCTGACGTTGGGTAGGAACAGTACTTGGTGCATGTATCAAGTAAATTATTTTTGTATTAATATATTTCATCGCGAAATAGTTGGATTACTGGACATACATATATTGTTTATGGTCCTCTCTGCCTTGGTGTGACCACAGTCATATTTGAAAGCACTCCTGTTTACCCTAACCCCGGGCGTTACTGGTAGGTATTTGAACATGTTCACAGATGAATATTCGCCAGTCATTAAAATGATTGCACATGGTTTGATAATGCATATAGGGACCTGGTAGACAAACATCAAGTCACTCAGTTTTACACTGCACCCACTGCTATTCGTGCATTACGTAGTCTCGGTGACGAACCCGTCAAAGCATACAAACTTGACTCGCTTCGTGTGCTTGGATCTGTCGGTGAGCCAATTAATCCAGAAGCATGGTTGTGGTATTATGAGGTTGTTGGACGCAAAAAGTGCATGGTTGTTGATACATACTGGCAGACTGAGACCGGATCTCATCTAGTCACTCCTATTACGGGCGTGACCCCAACCAAGCCTGGAGCAGCTACTTTTCCCTTTTTTGGAATTGACACTGCTATTCTTGATCCGACTACTGGAAAAGAATTGGAAGGAAATGGTGTTACTGGCGTGCTTGCCATTCGCAACTCCTTTCCATCCATTGCACGCACTATATACAATGATCATCAGCGCTTTGTAGACACTTATTTCAAGCCATATCCTGGATTTTATTTTACTGGAGATGGTGCAACTCGCGATGAAGATGGATTTATTTGGATCAACGGTCGTCTCGAGTAAGTTGGTCAACTTTTGTTAAATCACCATGAAAAACGGTTTGTTGAAACGTGTTACTTTAGTAACTAACACTACATTTTGATTTTTAGTGGTATCTATTGCTTTTAAATTATTGAAATATGCTGAATTTGGGAACCTTGTACTCATCATTTTGGTTTTGTGAATACTACTACATGCATATTGGGATGAATTTCAATTATTTTCAGATGTGATCAATGTTTCCGGCCATCGTTTAAGCACTGCTGAAATTGAAGCTGCGTTGATTCTCCACCCTGCCTGCTCTGAAGCCGCTGTTATTGGTATTCCTCACGATATTTTCGGGTACGACCATCTGCCCTTTGATTCGAGTACAACTTTGAATTTGTATACCAAACTAACCACTCTAATCAATACAATCAATACAATCTGATCACTACCAGTCAAGCCATTGTGTGCTTCTGTACTCTCAAATCTCATGGAGACATTGCAGCACTTGAACAGGCGTTTATTACCCAGGTTCGAACACATATCGGCCCCTTTGCCACACCTCAGCGGGTTGTAATTGTTGCTGATCTACCAAAAACGCGATCTGGAAAAATCATGCGACGTATTTTGCGCAAAGTGGCAACAAAAGAAGTCAGTAGAGAGGATGCAGATAATGATGAAGTGATTCATGCCAAACTGGGTGATTTGAGCACTCTAGCCGATCCTTCGATTGTCAAGCATTTGATAGCAAAGTTTTAAAAGTATCAACATTTTTTGATGCACCGAGTTTAAACTCCTCATTTGAAGTTACTTGCAATACGTTTTGTTTTTACAACATGGAATTGAGAATAAAGCAAACATATATTTTCAACTTATATCCATTGCATTTGAATGGCGGGTTCATACCGGTTTATTAAAATCGTGTATTTTTAATATTTAGCATAGCCTAAGGGAAAGGATAAAGTGGCATGAGCCCAAGTATTTCTCAGTGCATTGACAGAGAAACGTAAACTCTAGCATCCAAACTGTATCTGCATGTGTATCAAAACTCAAAATATGTAACGGAAAAAGTGGAAACAATAGCAGCATGTCTATATGGAGCAAGTATGCTGTATACCTACACCTCGAATCAATAAAAAGATAAAACGATAGTCAAAACAATCTACGTTTATCCTGAGCGTTGGCCCATGAATGAATCAATGGTTTGCGCAAATACATGTGATCCTTCATCAAATAATTCAGCAAATTCTGGGCGATAGAAGATCGCCGGATCTACTGAAGGATGTTCCATCAAGAATTGTTCTTGCGAAACAAATCCAAGACGACCTGGCACAGAAAGCAAGCGAATATGATCATTACGTGTCCATCCCCATACAATGGATGGAGATGGCAGATTCATTGAACGCGCATCTTGCATGATTTGATTGATACCTCGATGCATGAGATCAACGTATTGATCGAGACTTTTAAGAAACACACTGCGAGGAGCCATTTGAGTGATAAATACTGTGTTGCGTGACATATCCCAGTCCATCATAGAGAAAGCAATATAACTGCGATTGGACTCGATTGGATCATCTTGTTGTTGAGGTGTTTCGTGAAATAAGGGATGTGTAAGTGATGATGCGCAAGGCAATGGCATGGCAGAGTTTTGTGGCATGTGTTGATTTTGACCCGCACCGAGTGTATTGCAAAGAAAGTCAAATCGCATAGCATCCATGCCAGCAGAAAACGATTTCTGACTTGTAGGCGAGACGGACGGATGACGAGCTCCTTTGGCTTCATCACCAAGATGCAACATATTCGATGCCGGAGCAGCTTGCTCGACATTGATATGACTTAACCAAGACACAGTATCCTTGATGGAAAATTTACCTTTTCCCTTGTTGCGATGACGCTTATCCATCCATGCAACAGTCAAATAGCGATTCACACTAGGTGCGGGAGGTGAATTGAGCAGATTCATTACCGAGGTACGCCAAATCTTTTCAATGTCGTCCAGAACAGATTTGTATGTTCCAAACTTGGACAGCTTAATCATTGTGGGCACAGCATAGAGTGAAAGCATGCAGTCGTAAAACACATCTTGAATACCGTTCATAGTATCTGGTAAAAGCTCATTTCCAGTAACAAGTACCTGGTAGTGAATCTGTGCGTTACCAACACGGACATGTGGGAGTGAGCACGTACGTCTGGCAGCTTCAAACAATTCTTTGGGTCGCCATTTACCAGTACGCTGCTTGCCACCACCACCACATTCAGAGCAAAACATATACGTATCAAAACATGGTTTACAAACATACTCGGGCTTGGGAATGCCAACAAGGGGATTAGGTGTTTTGTGCACAACTCCGACAATATCCTTGCATACTTCGCAGCAAACGGTTGGAGCCATAGAACGACTACGTTTTCGACCCGATGTTGGAGAAATCTTTTGATCCGCAGAAGATAAAGAGGTCGCTACAAGAGGTGTATCGATCGTGTCGTTAACCATCATATCAAATGGAAACATAGCGTTCATCTCGCACAAAGTACCGCCAGGCTGACTCTCACATGCCTTGCAAGTCAAGTAGCTCAACAAAAGAACTTGGTCTTCAGGAATGGAAGTACGAACACTGACTTGGCCCAGCTCGGAACGGCAGTTGATACAAAAGAAAGCACGCTCAACCATTTTACGACGGTTGGCTGGCATAGTAGAATTGAAAGGCGTACTGTTGGAAACAACTGGTAAATCACCCATGGCACTATCACTCATTGCCCATGGAGACTGGAGAGAAGGTGAGATCAATGACGAATCAAATTGTGATAGCTCGAGAGATTTGCACATCACATTTAGATTGGGTCGAACACGTTCGCTCGAGCCGGATGTTAACCTTTCAGTTCTTTTATGTTTTGGAATGGGCACAGGAAGAGATTTTGGAGGAAAAGCATCCATTTGCTGTTGGCGACCAAGTCGATTAGATTTGGACTGCACGCTACGACGTCGTTGAGTGGTGCGTTTGGTATTGGAAGATTTGGAAGCCGAGTCTAAATTATCGAGTGTTCCGTTAGAAAAAGATCCAGTCACGTCATTCACAAACTTGACCGAGTACTCGGGCATAATAAACTGTGACATGTACGACTGTTGCATAGCCATTGATGGCATAGAGTTTACAGATGCCAAAGTGGTTGTTCCCAATGCAGGACTACATTGTAGTGCACTGTTAAAATGTTGCATCTGAGGCGAGCATAGCGGATGTTCGTAAAACGGATTATTGGGAAAGTTGACTGGACCTGAAGACGTGTTCAATGACAATGGCATGTTATACCGAGGTAGCGAATCCTGTAAGCATTCTTGCTGGAGTCGAGCTTGCAGATTTTGTTGGTATTGATGGATGTTTCCCAGCGACTGCAGCGGAGAGCTCTGCTCAAAGAGATCGTCGTTGGGATTGTAAAACTGAAACATGTTTCCTTGGTGTGGAGTTGACGGAGATAGAAGCATGCCAACTTGAGGGGTAGTTTGGACAGTGGAGCAACTTCTCATGGGTGACAGAGGGCCACGATTAGAAAAATTTGGAGTTGTATTAGTTATGCAAAACATACGCTGACCAGGCGTGGTGGACCCCGTAGGCATTGATTGAGATTGACGAATCGGAGTAGCGGATAGTTGATTGGTCATCATATCCGAGGCATTGATCGACATGCCTATGCCAGTCTGAACCAGCTCACCAATTGTTGCCGATAGCGAGTTGTCGTGTATCGATTGGGCCACGGGTGAGCTGGATAGCATATCGTCGGAAAACTCGAGAGTTGTTCCTGCAAGACTGTTATCGCCTGCTTCACCAAGACGCTCCATAAAGGACTTGCTAAATCCAGTTGTACCAAGAAGTGGTGGAATATCTAGTATGGATGTAGGAGAAATAGAAGTAGCTGCATGCGAGTCGATTGGGTAGCCCAATGTGTATGGCCATTGACTACCAGAATGGGCTGTTGACAAGGATCCCAATGCTGAATTTTGAAAAGTTTCTTTAACTGGAGTAGGGATACTGCCAGTGTTGGTGTCCCGTTTTTCGATGGTCAATCCATCGAATCCAGCTCGACATACATCACTGTTTCGTCGAGTAGATGTATCCGAGGTAGAAACCGACATTTGCAGACCTTCTCCTGATCCCTGTACAAGCCCTAGACCATGAAATGGCTGCATCGATCCATCCTGCATACAAGAGGACATGGGTGATGCAAGTGTAGCCTGTGACGACTGCTTGCTTTCAAAGTCAAACCGATCACTTGCAAACTTCTTTATAGGCCATCCTATAAACATATATCAAGCTTTAGATAAAGTACACAACGATGATTACAGGGCATGCTTTCAAGTTGCCCAATGTTTAGGGGTGGATAAAAGGCAAACATTTGAGAGAAAGCGGTGGGGATTGTGTAAAGGTGTGATCTATGGTAAAGCAACTTTGGGTATAGAATCTTGACGGGTTATAGATTATCATTGGCTATGAGGTATGTTTGAAGATAGATATAAAGGGATGCTGATGTGCGACACTGAATACCACCAAAGGGACTATATGCTTCAATAGCTCATGCGAGAAAAACTCGTGTATCCGACAACCGCTGGAGTGTTTTCCTAGTGTAAGGACGCAAATGAAATAATACTCGAGCAAGTTGAGCTTGGGCATAACGCTTTGGGACTATACACAGACAAGGCCACGACTCTCCCGACACGACACGAAAAAGCATAAAGTAGATACAATAATGAAAAATATACAGCTTCACCAACCCTGTGCACATATAGGCAGTACATCTTATCACACCCTCGAGTCCTGCTTAGCTACCTTTTGCAACAGGGGTTTGGGTGTTTTAGGTGTTTTGGGTGGTTTTAGGATACTTGGATAGGGTTGGGAGTAGGATCGGGTGTGTATAGGAAAACACAAAGGGATATTCAAAATAGTAATGCCTGACCATACCTGATTGAGAAAAAAACTGCAAAAGGCTTCCAGAACTTGATTGCTTGTCAATTGAAGGCATTATAATATCATCTAGATTATTGGTTGATGCAATTGAGCTGTCCTTGATCGCTTGCATCATCGAGAGCAAATCATCTTGGGCAATTGCATGTTGTATCGTGTTATCGTAACACGAAAGGGAAATGTCGTCCGCGTTTGCAAAATGGCTCATCATTGTGGACGGCATTCCAGATTGTGTTACATCATTTTCTTTGCAGAAATCCTGTGGTGTATACTCGGGAGATGGATGCGTAAACTGCATCAAATCAGAAGAGAGAGGATTGAGCAAATCTACTGAAGACAGTCTAAGATCCTTTAAAAGCATAGAGGGCTTGGTAGGTGTAGCATGTGCTAAATCAGCGGTACGACTAGACATTTTCTACACGATCTGTAAGTTATTTTTATGATTTGTATAAAAAGCAAAATCCTATATGCTGCAAAGTGATTTTGATGTAATTATCCGAGCTGATTGTTCTATGGCCTGAGGTTATGTTCGGCGACACTTGCACTAGGATAATAACGTATATAAATCTAAGTCTGGTGAAATTAAGATGGATTGAGACTAGCTAGATGGGCTAATCCAAATCTGTGCGACCTAAAGAATTACAAACTATAAAGGACAGTGAATGCTGGCCAAACTGATGTTTGATATTCTTGCTATTATGAAATGATTAGGCTAAAAAATAGGCTAAATTCAGGGGTGGAGTCTCGATTGATATAACAATTCAGTCTAAATGGATATAAGATTTGAACAATAACAAATGGCTGCTGGTTTTGAAGTTCCTGTTGAAAAGCTTGACGCATTTTTGACCTTGTTTGTTTGGCTATCCCCTCAACCTTTTAAAAACACTATAGCACCTACATGGTGTCACCCCTCCATTTTACTCACTCCCCATTGATGCAGAAGTCGACTCTTTCAAACAATGGAAATGCTTCATACAAGCCTATAATTCCACACATGGGGCTACAACTCTGGAGGGTATATATACATCATTCGACATTGAACCACTGCTATGTAGGATCTGTTTAAAATGGCCCTAGCACGATCTATGTATCATAAAGGAAACATGCTTTGGACGTTGCCGTTCTTGAAATTTCAGCAACCACAGATGCTGAAATAAATTACGTTTGCAGTTGTATTTTGTCAAAGTACGCGAACTGCGCACATTGTCTTGATAAATGTGCAGGCTGAATATATCTTGGCCATTCTCCAATATAGCCATATGATATGTTGATGCTTATTTAAACTAAACGGCGCCATGTGACGAACTTTCTAGTCATTATATTTATGAGCTGGTTTGTATTGCTTGTCTAGGGCTTTGTCACCCAAAATAAAGTAAAATGTCAATAAATTTCAACAAGGTAATTAGTCCATCGCTCAATGAAATGGCCATGTTTTCAATATATCCATGCCTGGCGCAACCCAAACTTTCCAACAAAATATAACTCGCACCTTTGCAGTAGAATTACCCTTCACGTATCAGCGCGCTTCCGATCGTCCCCTCGTGTATATAATAATATGCATTTCAAAAAACATTGAATCTTGGCCCTGGGCATCTTATTATAAACCTTGAGCTTCTTACCAGCCATTAAAAAACACTAGTTGAAAAACAGTATATTTCCGTATATACATGTAGCCTTGCTATTTTACATATTGAAACCCTACACATAGTGTCGACTTTGATATTTGGAGATGCTCAACACCACACGCAAGGCAATGTATTTGAGCTGCATAATCTAATAAAGATTAAAAACAAACTTGTTTAAACATCATATTCTCTATCTGATCTACCTCGACCAAGTGACAACAGTAACTAGATTCAAACACTTACCATGGTTTATAAAAACAAATGTATCAGAGTGTCAGGGCTGATTCACACATCATCATCATCATATCTGGCCATCGTAGCATATATTGGTCGATAGGATATACTCTGTCATCGTCAATTGTTGAGCAGGACTGTATAGATCGCTTGGCTGCTGCTGGTCCTATTGTGGCAGTCTGTATCATATCACTGTTTTTTGATCCAAAAGCAGAAGCATCCAAAGCATGTTTAGACTGCCCACCTCGCCTACTTTTAGCATTTGACAAATCTTCGCGAATCTCTTCTATAATCGATTCGATCGACGCTCGTGCAATATCCAACTGGCTTGCCTCCAATTCTATGCTTTCCATTAAACGGCTAAGCAGAATTGCATGCACCCACATCGTACCTACTGTTACTCTTGCAGGTTTGGACTGCAAATGGACCTGAGATATCTTTTGCCAAGTCGGTTTGGCTTTTGCTAAATGTCGAACAGTCACTGGATAAACGTTTGTTGATACAAGCGTGTGATCACAGAACTGCCAAAGAAACTGGCCTGGATCAAGTGTCTAATTGATAATACACAATATTAAATATGGGGTGTTCACCTCATTGTGATTGCAAACCTCGACAGGCGTATGCATGTAGACAATTGATGACTCAGATACCAAACTTACTCTAACAAAAGCAACAAGTGTTTGATGATAATGCCATTCAGTATTTAGTACGAGCGATGTGTCAATAGACTTATCCGCTGATCGACTAATTTTAGCATCGAGTGATTTGGACAGTGTTTCTGCTGCTGCACATGAGATGCTCATGTTTGAAAGTGATCGAATGATCTCGATGGCTTTTTCAGACAGTAGTTCGTGATAATCCATGCCTTCATTAGTACACTTGTATGCGCCAAACTAGATTTAATTAAAATCAAACGAGTCGAGAAATAAGCTATTTAAATATTGCATAGGATTCACAGGTCAATTCGAATTTAGCAACTTACTACATTGAACCACAACGAGGTGAAGCGAACCAAGTGTGTGGTAAATAATTTAACTGGTGATTTTCCTGACAGTTTCTGAATGGTATCAATGGCTTCAACAATTCCAGTGGGAAGACCCATTCGTCTACCAATAGATCCAATAACAACTTCCCTCATCTTGCATTGTTCTACAAATACCAGAATAGTATTTAGGAAAAAGTGTAATTGTATGACAGCACTCTAGAATGCAATACATTGGCAGTTTTACCATCATTCAAAGTGATAACTCGCATTGCTATATCAAGAAAAAGATCCATGATCAGCAGCATTCTACGAATCTAATTTCCGGTACTGGGATTAGTAATTGTTGGATTTCAAAATCAAAAACAAGCTCACCTCTTTTTCATCCTGCAATTTAATCGCTTTAAAAAGTTTATCCCATGCCTGTTCTACCGCTATCCAAAATGTACTAACACTGCCTTTTGGTCTAATCCATACATCATCAAACACCTCTGGGCCATGTATCAGGATAAGATTGGTGTAAAGCGTAACAAACATGGCAACCTCGTGCAATTCGACCTTTGGATCATGAAAAATCAATGCAAACAGTTTACTGGTTGTAGAACTAAAGTATTCCATTTACGTAAATGATTGTAAATTAAAAAGTTGATGCCATTTGGCTAGACCGTAAGCCAACTGATACAATTAAAACACTAGTATTACCTCTGAGGATAACTAGATTGATCAAGATACACTTGAATCAAACTGATGGCATCATCAACTATAGTAGTATGGATCAGGACTTGTGTACTTGCTTTAAACAATGATTACAGATATTGATCAACAAAAGTCACACCTTTCCGTTCATCTATCAAAATAAGAATAGAGTCAGCCAAAGATCCGAGAAAGGGAGTAGACTTGATTGTAGTTTCAGCACTGTTCAGCTGCGACTTTGTGTCTGAACTCGACTCTACTTTCATGGTGATGGCCAAGTTGAGTTTAGATTCCAAGTAGTGGATTTGGCCAAAATGTTGAAAGTTGAATGACAAATTCAATAAATCTTCATCTAGCCAACATCAACAAAGTTTGTTACATATTGATTGACTGCCAGTATGCGTTATTATTCCATTCGAACTGTCAGTTTATCAGTATTTGATTCCTTGTGGATTCAAGCCATTATGTCTGCCATAATATTAAGAAATGCCTATTTACAACTATATTCACGTAAAATGAATCACTAAAATAAAATATATAATAGTCTCATATTTGGTACCAATCTTACTGAACAATATTGTTTTTAAACTCATTAGTTGACTGATCTTCATGCTCATTCTTGTACAAAAATACAAAGCAAATGTTTGCATTCTTGACATCTTTAACCTCAAACTTTCATTTCCTTTTTTCCAAATACTGGGTGACTGGCATGTAGAGTTGCATTCCCGAGATATGTTGAATTAGATTGCAAACGTATCTGATATTAGGGCACAACATAACTTGTTCAATTCCATGGTCGTTCCAGATATTCCTTGATTTCGTGTAAAGCCAACGTCTCCAATGACAAGAACAAATATTCCATTTTACGTGAATACTACTGCAAAACCTTTGTTGGTCTTGCTAAAAGATATTTCAAGCTACAACTCCGTGTCATTGATGAAACTATGATCAACTTTGATATTGATATCACATGCAATCTCATATCACTCATGATTCCATGTCAAATGTAAGTTGATGATAAGTTTTTACTCAAATCCCAACAGAATATCTCAAAACAACTGATAAATTGGTATCAATCCAACGTAATCTCAGGATTGATTTGAAGTTGTTTAGTCATACGATTATTAATCAAGAAACGAAATCAGTCAAACACGATTTCATTTGACTGAAATATGAGTTTGACAACGCACGCCAGTGAAAACAAGATTGAAATCCAAAGCAGAAACAAGACAGCAAATGCTTGAATGATTCATGAAAGCAAAATACCATCAAGTTGCAGCGTGAAATTGTGCAGTTGAATTCAAGGTTCTTTCCTCGACAATCAACACTTGTTGCGGTCATTCGTTTTGCCATTGGACACTTCAATGACTGTTCTACTTCCTGCTTCGCAGAGCAAACATCAGTTGGCAGTTCTTGCTTTACTTCACAGAGAGTCTCCGGACCAGGTGTGTCGGGCTGTCCGTTTCATCAAGAATGCCATCATTGGCAACCCAACAAAGAAACAGTTATATCTGCATTCACTGCATTTGTCCACTAGGTAGTTATGCACAGTAACTTGCAGTCTAGTGCATACACCAGACTGCTTCTGTACTTCTTCGAGTCATTGTGTCTTACTATCAGATCTTGTTCGCTTGTCATTACCGTGTGCTTTAACTGCCTTGGCTGATGACACCGTCTTGTATAAAAACTCTTAATGAGTTATATTCATTCAATTTGGATGTTGTCTGGTCTCTAAACTACTGATTTACTCGTTTTTATCTTTTCAATAGCTTACTCGAGTGCTTGAAAATATACTCGAATCAATTTGATTTGTGCACAGAAATCGCCATAGTGATTGCATGTCTTGCTAATGGTAAATTCATTTAATGTCTTGAAATTTGGTTGATTAATCCAGGTGTTTTTAGTATTTAAATTCTACACTATGAATGCCTTTGCTTTTAGAACATTATTGTATCCACTTGTGCAAAAGCATGTGTTTTGGCATTAGGTTTGATCCATGGTTTATATATCATTGACTTGCTGACATCATTTCTATGTTGAATAGGCGGCAGCGAAAATGTAAATACTCTTGTTGAAGCAGGAGCGATTCCTCCACTTTTAAATACGCTTTTAGCATCAGATTTGAAATTAGTAAATGCTGGTGTACGTGCACTTCGCTCCATCGTTCAGTATCCATCATTAGTGATCTCCAAATCATTCGAGGTAACAGTCACGTTGCTGATCATTTCAACTGTTCCCCTGAACAGCCTATTGATTGGGGAGTTTATATTTACACGCGACTTGACCTAACCCAATATGTTTAGACCTCTCATATTAAAATTTTGTCCAGACTCATCTCGGATACGGACTCAAACGCATCACCTCTTGTTGTCCATATCGCCGAAGTTGCAGCAGGTACTCTTGCTCGTATTTCAGAATACCACACTGACATGCGAGACAGCATTGCAACGAGTGGTGCTGTTGCATCGTTGATTAGATGGCTAGATCCGCAGTGGTCCTCAACGCCTCGTGTACAAGAGGCGGCTTTGGATACTCTCGCAACTCTTTGTCATAATAACTCGCATATTGCCAAACTCATTGCATCAGCAACATGTACGTAGTAGATACACTTGTCTGATGTAATTGTCATTTTTTTAGGATTAAAATACTAACATGACCATGGTTTAGTACCAAATGGGCATAAAATAATTGATGTGCTTTTTGCGCTAGTTCGGGATAAACGGCCAACTATGCGCATGGCTGCTTCTACATGGTATTCAAAAGCACATTTGAATAGTATTGCTTAATTTGCTAAATGTACTTATATTGATAATATTTGATTGAATTAGCCTTACATACATCCACTGTGCATCCTGCATACCACGCAGTCAGTACTCGAGTGTATTGGCAGTGTTGTTGCCTACGATAATTAAACTTTTTGGTGACACGTCGCCTAATACCCGCAGTGCTGATACAACGACCACAGCGATTGGGGAGCGTTCTCTAGTCTTGTTTGCTGAGCTAGTAGCAGGAAGTGACGATCTTCAAGCTGCATCTATCGAGGCAGATGCAATTGCCAAACTTGCTCAGATTATCAACACATTAATGCCGGTTGATGGGCCTACAACACAGGGACTGAATGCTATAAAGCAAAGAAAATCTACCGCATCTTGGGAGACCACCTCGTCCACTGCTGCATCTCTTACATTTGGAAATTCAACAACTCGACAACTAGAGGTAATTGACTATGTTAAGCTGACCAAATATACAATGTAGTTGACTTTTCTAATCATCAAGTAATATTTTTGTTGGTGGCATATCTACTGCCTGCCTTTCATTATCATGATTACATGTTCAATTTCAGTTTGCCCTGCTAGCGATTGCGAATGTATGCTCATTAAAGGAAGAATGCCGAAAACAAGTCATTGATGTTAAATTGCTGCCACAAATTGTCACATATCTTGGCCATAAAAATGTCGGTATTAGAAAAAATGCATGCAAATGTGCACGCAGTCTATCCAGAAGTGTGAAAATGCTGCGAACGAGTTTGATGGATGCCGGTCTTGCACCACCACTTTTTGAGCTTCTGTTTGATTCCGACATTGAAGTGCAAATAGAGGCTTCAGCTACGCTGTGTAATATTGTGCTTGATTTTTCTCCTATGAAAAAAATTGTGCTTGAAAAGGGTGGAGTCAAGCGGCTCGTAGAACTGATTGATCAGCCAGATGCTATGTTGCGGAGGAATGCACTTTGGGCTTTGAAGAATATGCTGTTTCAAACTGACTCGATCACCAAAAATACTGTCATGGAGCATCTTGGCTGGGATAAACTGCTAAGGTAGCTTTCATTTATGATTGCACTCTAGTTTTTGTAAAATAACCTTTTTATTGCCGAGAATCTAGACTTTTGGACGATGAGGATATTGTTGTGCAAGAGCAAGCCCTTAACTTGGTGCGAAATGCTGCATGTGGAAATGAGCAGGTACGTGGTGTTTATTTATTTAACAGGTTGGCAATTATACTCACTACAACCCTTCAACTATCGTGTTTTTGTAGGATGTTGAAGTAGTTTTTAATGGATTTCGTGGCACCGATCTCCTCGGACTTCTTGAGCGCAAACTCAGCACCATGCCAAGTAATCATGACATTGTAACTCAGGTAATTGCATATTTGAGTGGTCGAGTAGCTAAAATGGTATTGTTATTGAGATATTGCTGTCTACACTTTTCATACAAATAGATACTTTATATTGTGGTTAATTTGGCTATTGGAACTGCTGAACGCAAAGCCAGTATCATGTCAAAAACAGAGCTTTTAAAGCGTGTTTTTGAATATATGGTGAGTAATGGATATATATCCAAATGCGTTGATATTTGCTATTATTGGGTTTGGGGTTTAATGTAATGGTGGTGTTTATACAGGATCATGAACATACTGAAATCCGTCTCGCGTCAGTGTGGTGTGCGATCAACCTTACATGGATTGACGATGAAAATGTGCAAAGTCGTGTTATGCAGCTTTGCCAACTTGGTCTAGAGGATCTTTTAACTCGTCGGTTGAATGATGAAAGCCTGGACGTGAAGGATCGGGCCAAAACTGCGTTGGCAAATATTCAAGGACTGACCCAGCCTGCTGTTTTTCCTGCAACAGCTCCTCATGGAGGGCCTTTATCAATGTCAAGCTCTATCATACCGGACACAAACGAAGCAATAAGCACAGATCGTCCATCTGGCACATTGCTTTAAACGATTTTGGTCAAGATTGGGGACTAGTCTTTTAATTTCAATCACTTATCAAAAATAAAACAAACCGCTTTATTATAGATGGGTAGTCTTGCCTCACTTGTCCAATTCTATATTTTGCTATGGATAAATAAACTTTCCGTATCTGAAATACTGCTTCCATTCGAGTCGGCTCTGCTGTATTTCTAAAACGTGAGTTGATTGGATTTGCCAGCACAACCGAAGCCTGACTAGACTGAAGAAGGCAAAACCAAAGGACCACCACTAGCTGCAATCCCAGCACTATTCTTTTCTGCCATGATTTTCAGCAATGTATTTGACTCCTGAGACTTCCAAGCCACCACTGTTTCGTCGTATGGGTTGAGTCCGGCACGCAAGTCCATGATGCCCGTGGTTGATGCAATCTCGTCACCAGTTCCTCCATTGCCATTCCTACATATCTTGTATACTGTAACGGTACCATAATCATCACCTGTAAGAATGGTAGGTGACTGCGATGCAAATACCACTGATGTAAGTTGCCGATCCAGCACGTAGTGGTTGATAATCGGATCCAGTCTACGCAAAATGGGTACCAACAATAAAACAGTCAATTTAAATACAAATGAATGACACATTGAAAAGTTCCTATATTTGATATTTAATAAACTTACACTGAAAATTCAAGATCCCATATTTCCAACCTGCCATCCGACGATACGGAACCAAAACACGTCGATGAGTGAGGAGACCAAGCAATGTCGGTCACCGAGTCTTTTCCGCTTTGAAATTTAAACACTTCTTTGTCAGAGTCTTGGCTCCACAATCTCACTGTCCAATCAAATGAACAGGAAAGGAATGCCCCAGAAAGAAACGGAGACCATTTAACTTTTACCACCGGCCCGTTATGACCTACATAAGAAGAAAGGTATTGCTCGTTATAGGAACATGAGCATTTATGGATATACCCATCCTCAGTTCCCACCAAGTATCTGATCAAGCAAAATGGTAAAATATTAGTCATAATGTTTGAAGTAACATTGAAATGCATTGAGCAATTATGCAAATAAATACTATTGCTTCAAGTAGTCAACAGACGTATACTTGCATGTTACTGTCTTTGGGGTTAAAATCAAAGCATAATCCACCAGTCTGGCGAGCAATAAATGAGTTGGATTTTTCGTTTCCAGTCAATGTGGTTGCTCCAGTTGCAGCTGGAGCAGACTTTTCTTTTGAAAGGCGTTTTAATGTCATCAAGTCTATTGTACATCAAGTAATATGCATAAAAAGTTATCTGGAAAGCATGAAACTATCTAGTGTATCAAACAGTTACAGGATATAAACTCATTCGTACCAGTGAATTCTAACCCTTTGCGAATGATCCACTGAGTAACTCGGCCATCGGTGGATACTGACACAAGGGCTTCACCTCGCGAGTGTTCGTCTCCAATTACTCGTTCGCGTTCAACCCATTTGAGCTCCCACACAGGATCGTGATGTTTTCCATTCATATCGCTACATGTTTTTATATTCAATACAATAATGTCAATGCTACAATTATTTCCATGCTGTTGTTATGATGATTATTGGTGAGATGTAAATATTCACCTGTCGTCCAAAACTGGGCAATTGTCTTTGCGCCGAACATCATATATAGCAACACGACCATCAAAAAACCCGGCAGCCAATAGACTTGGGTTCATGCGTGAAAAATCAATAGAAGTGACAGCAGATGAGGACGAGTAAATTCGTTCTGGCCACTACACAGAATATCAATAAGTATGGTGCACATTTCAATGACCCATGACAAATCTTGCTATAGGCCCATACAATCCAATTAGATTCTTGCCTCGGGGTTTTTAACAGACCAGCACAGAATCAAACCAGGCATTGCATCCGATGAAATTTTGGCTTCTCCATACGCAACAGCAATTATATCCTATCGAGTTTCATATCAAAAAAATATATCAGCATTTATTCCAAGTATACCTGTCTATAAGCGTTGCAAATTTACTTCGTTTTGTCGATTCCAAGCCATATACATGACGCTACGGCCTCGCGTTAGCTCACATCGATAGGACCAAAGAAGCTGCAGTGTTGGGATTTGACTGTTTGTAGAATCAGCATCGGCCGTTTCATGCCCCTCTAAATATTTCAATTTGTACAAAGTGAATAAACGACACAATTATTTCATATTAATTAAAACAAATACCAACCTTTTCCTAAACCCCGAAACAACCATAGTTATACAAATTCAATATGGCATAGATAAACAAAATTGCATCAGCCAAACATTATAAAATTAAACAGTGAAAATCTGTTAAAAAAGCAATAGCAATCAAAAACCTTCGCGATCATAGTTGTCTAGATTGTGTTCTTCGTTGGTTTGCTCGAGTGATCTCATAATTTCTTGAACACGTTTTTGCTCAATCATTTCCGCATCAGGAACGTTACGGTATTGTAAAAGCTTCTTTTCATAATTGTTGCCAACTACGGCTTGCTCCATCAATGCAAGATTATATGCAAGCCGATCTGATTTCAGCTATTTTTCAAAAATGGTTGATTGTCAGCAAGGTACATTACAGCAATCTGATGTATTGATGCATAGTCTACAATTATAAACACACTTACGTTGAGTGCAATCTCTTTTTCAGCAATCTGTTTTGCTTGAGCCAACTCAAGCTGGACTTGATTATTTGCGTTGGATGCATTCATGCCCACAGCAGAATGTGACAATGAAGCAAACGTAGATTCTGATTTTCTGATGCTTTGTGAACCAAAAGATGTAATGCTGGCGCCAATTAATGCATGAGAATTTTTTAAAGGTACGGGCTGCTCCATGAAATAATCTACCACAAGTTTTTCAGTTTCCGTGTCCTTGTTTCTATTACACATATATTCGTGTTGCATTAGCAAATTCAGTATAATCTATACAACTCGTTGCTTGACGCAATACTATACACCACTTGATTGAGTTGATATTCAGATCTGATCAAAAGCAGCAATACTTTACATACCCATCTCCGCCAGTTGAGACCATATGATTGGATTCTTCGTTATATGCATCATAAATCTCCCATTGATTGACCATCACTTCGGCATTGATTTGCCTTTGTGCTGTGGCCTGAATATCTTTTGATTTATGGGCGTTGTTGAACGTTTGCATACCTCGCTCAACAAAATTGTCATTGTTGACTCTAGATACAAGCAACTATACACATAAATCGCAATTCGTACAAATAAGTATATTTCAAGCTCCTATATGGAAAATTGCACGCCAAAATCCACCACGATGCGAGTTTAAATGTTACCTCTTTGTATTTTGCATTTGAAGCCTTGATGGCAGTCACTTCATCAGTTGATTCGCTAAACACGCATATGGAAGGAACGTCTAATAGCATGATGGTATCAGTCTCCGTAAGATTGACATGAACGAGTTTATTTGGGTTGATTTCGGCTTGTAGGCGAGGCTGCATTGACAGGCCCGTAAGCATGTTAGAGCTAGACTTGACTCCAAAACCAGCTCCTGATATCATTCAACATTTCGTGAAAATGCATGTAGCGTGCAAGTGTGATTGAATTAATCTGGCTTAATGTCCGAGTATTTTAATTTTAAACAAAGTTTAATTTTCCAACTCAGTGCTTACCTGTTTGTAAATGACTTTCCTCGCCAGAATCAGCACTTGTTGCTGATGATGATTCATCGTCTCGATCTTCTTGAATAGACTCTGATCCAGAAGCCATATGGCTTGTGTAGACGAAACTTGCACCGGATTTTCCAATAGCGGATGAATTCCACGATGAAGTAGTGAGTTGCTCTAAATGGTTCAGCACATCCGACACGGTTTCCTAATTCATTGTATACACCAGTCAAAATCAAAAACTAGATTAGATCATCTTGACCACGGTTTGGATAGACAACACTTTTATCTAGAAAAACAAGCCTTTTTAACCACTTCTAACCTTGATCATATTTGATATGGACATATCGTTAGTAGATACACCGCCCACATCTTTATGATGTGGTTTTTTCCCCATAAGACTTAAAGGCGTTACATCGTTTCCATCATCGTCCTTGATAGTTACGATGGGTCCGTCACGACTGGAGGCAGCACCTCTTTTATCCAGTACAGCGTGGGAGGCACGGATATTTTGGCGACTGCTGGTGCCGTATACAGCAGATGAGTTGAGTGCATTTTTTGACCTTTGGCCTTCTTGGATGCGTGAGCTGGAACGCTGATTGTGGCTGCTTGAATAGGTACTATGTATTACGTGTTTGGCAGTCGTTGGATAGAATGGTGGACAAATGTCAAAATATAAATTGATGAGTGGCAAGCACTATTATTGCCATCTGTTCCTGCATTATGCAGTGGTATAAGAATAACATACTTGCTGGATTTTCCTAGCTTAGTGTGGGACTTGTTTCCAGCGTCCATAATATAGCGGAGATTTGTATTGAATTTGGACAAGTTTAACAATAACTCTAATCTGTTCAATTGATGGCTAAGCAAGCTTAAACAGTTTTCTCTTCATCAAAATCACTAACACAACTCCTTAAAACACTTTACAATAATTGTAACATAAACTATATATACTGTTGGTCACCAAAGACTGTTATACAAGGCTGCAGAAATTAAGCTTTGAATCAACTATAAAATATCATGGATTTAATTGTGGTGTTCTTCCAGCCATCTTTCACAATCTAAAGCAGCCATACATCCAGATCCAGCAGCAGTTACAGCCTGTCTGTAGCGCTTATCCTGCACATCACCAGCAGCAAACACACCTGCGACATTTGTTTTAGACGTACCAGGCTCAGTGATGATATACCCATCCTTGTCTAGATTAACCTGAGGAGCAGTGCCATCTAGCCCACCACCAGTAGCAAACACATTCGTATTGGGCAAGTGTCCAATGGCATAAAACAGACCCGATACAGGGAGATCGCGCTGTTGGGCCGACTTTGTGTCCTGAACAACGAGCGTCTGGAGCAGTTTTCCATCACCTTTGGCTTGAATGGGAACTGTGTTCCATACAACCTCAACTTTGGGATGTTTAAGCAGTCGATCTGCCATGACCTTGGAAGCACGTAGTTTATCTCTTCTCACAAGAACAAAGACTTTGGAAGCGTATTTGGTGAGAAATATTGCTTCTTCAGCAGCAGAATCACCACCACCAACCACTGCCAAAGAACGATTGCGATAAATGGGTGCAGCACCATCGCATACAGCACAGGCAGAAATGCCGCGCTGCCAATAAGTTTCCTCGCCATCAATGTTCATTCGCTTGGCAGTTGCACCTGTTGCAATGATGATGGACTTTGCCAAAATGGGAGGGTCTTTTTCACAAGATTCTGGCCAGATCTTAAATGGTTGTTGAGAAAGATCTACCTTTGAAATAGTTTGGGTGTGAATGGTGGTTTTGAAGGCAAGGGATTGCTGACGGAAACGATCCATCATCTCAGGACCCATAATACCACCTGGAAATCCAGGAAAGTTTTCAACATCAGTAGTAGTAGTCAATTGACCTCCAGGAGCAACACCTCCAGCCATGAATCCTTCGTACATGGTAGGAGCAAGATTGGCACGGGCACAATAGATGGCTAACAATAGAATGGGATTCAAAACAGAAATCAGCATCAGATTTCGAGTCGCAAAAAACAGCACCTGCATTAGATCAATGTACCTGCAGTATGTCCAGCAGGACCAGAACCAATAATAACAACGTTATGAATATCTTGTTCTGGAGTATTAGAGACAATATTGGTAGTGAAATGGGCAGCCAATCCTTTCAAAAACGAGGAGGGCAGCCTTGCAGTTTCTGATGGGAGCGATAAAGTGCCAGCAGTGAAGGAAGCACGATTGACAGTATTAAAAGAAGCAGACATGACAGCTTTGGTGACAGTACGACTGATCGCTCCTACAGCAAACATTATTCCAGAATCTATGTCAAGTTCTGTAGGGATAAAAAGGGCAACTTGATTTTATTCATGCTTTTTATTGCCAACCCTAATTCAATTCAAAATAAAACTATCTCGACTTTGAAATAAGCAATGGTTGAGTATTCATTATGCTTACTGCAAATAGATATTTTCAACCCAATAAATAATATCCATCATATGATGCACATAAAATCAAACTGGTTTTGAGCTGAGATTGATGTTTGGTATAGCCATACACTGCGATTAACAAATTTGGTTTGACTGTTCTGGTGCTGTCAAACTGTATAAGTTCGTATACCTCTAAAAACTAGTACGTTCGCTTTAGTTTAAGACTGCACAAGTCTGGGATTGACTGGAACTGTGATGTAAACATTCGTTCAGTTATACGAAAATGGGCAGTGAAACCCCAATAAACTAAAAGCTCAGCACTGTCTAGTAAACTGACCCATCATAAGACTATTTATTATGCAGTTTGGCATATTAGCAATCTATTTTGTCAATACGGCGACAAAAGCAAAGTTTATTAATACACTCGAGTGTTCACACCAACATAGAATCAACTGAATTATAATTCTTTTCGTTTTTACAGTATTCCAAATGTTTGCTACTCTGCGTCGAACTGCTTTGGTAACTATTGGCACTGTTGATTACAACAATATCCTATTGATCTGTATAACCAGTTGAAAGAGTCAAGATTAGGGTTGGGCTGTTTGTTGCAGTTTAAACCAGTTGATAGATCCAACCATTTTGACTATAAACTTGTTCTACAACTCGAACATGATGACTATAGATCAGCTGGTTCAATAACTAATATTCTGACATGTTTATTTTCATGACAACATATCCAGACCTCCATCAATCGCTCTTTCCATGCCTCTGCCTTGGCTACTGCTCCACTAGCACCTTCTGCTGCTGCAGGGTTTTCCAAGATCGCAGGATCAAAGGCAGCACCTGTGATCCGTCGAGTTTCCAGTTCCCCCGCTGCTGTTGCTCAAGCTACTGTTGACAAATCTGCCTTTCCCAGTGCTGTCTCCTTTGAGAACGAGCTGGCTTCAAACACTAATAGTGCAGGAGTCGATGCTGGTACGCAAGCCTTTAAAGACGAGTCTCCTTTGGTTGAGGATCTCTCCCGCTCCTTCAAAGGTGTTTCCCACGAGCCCTTTCCTGAAGAGGTCTCCAAGGTTTTGAACGAGAGTATCAACCTGTCTGATATCGAGGTCAAGCCTGATGGCATGCTATATATTCCCGAGATCAAGTACCGTCGTATTCTCAACAAAGCATTTGGTCCTGGTGGATGGGGTCTTGTTCCTCGAGGCCCTCATACTGTCAACAACAAAAATATCTCGAGAGAATATGCGCTGTTTTGTCTTGGACGATTTGTTTCTCAGGCCCGTGGTGAACAAGATTTCTTTGGCGAGGATAGTCTCCCCACTGCCTCGGAAGGCTGCAAGAGCAATGCTCTTATGCGCTGTTGCAAGGATCTGGGCATCCACTGGGAACTGTGGGATCCTGTTTTTATTCGTAAATTCAAGGCAGAACATGCAACCATGGCCATGGGTGTCCATGTGTCCAATGGTACTAAAAAATATCTCTGGCGTCTCAAGACCAGAACTTTAGATTATCCCTACAAGGAAGATACTTCTGGATCCAAGGGATCTACTGCTGCTCCTCGTCGTTAAGTTGGTCTATACTTGCGTTGTAGTTTAGGACCGATCTCTACGCTTTCATTATCTGATTGTGCCGTTTAGAATCGTCCTAGAATGCGTATTTTTCAACAATCGCATCTTTGCGCATCTTATACTTATCTTGTTATAGCCGTATTCACGTAAAATGAAACACTTGTATTGATCTTGAGCTGATTCATTCAGAATAAACAATCGTTAAATATTTGTTATTGGATATTAATTATTTTTTTATTGAAAATCTGTTGTATTCTAATATCAGATACGTTTGCAATCTAATTCAACATATCTCGGGAATGCAACTCTACATGCCAGTCACCCAGTATTTGTAAAAAAGCAAAGGAAAGTTGGAGGTTAAAAAGATGTCAAGAATGCAAACATTTGCTTTGTATTTTTGTACAAGAATGAGCATGAAGATCAGTCAACTAATGAGTTTAAAAACAATATTGTTCAGTAAGATTGGTACCAAATATGAGACTATTATATATTTTATTTTAGTAGTTCATTTTACGTGAATATAGTTGTAAATAAATAGAGCAATAGCATTTTTATTATTGAATTCGTGAATGCCACTATCCTGTCGACCCGACTACTACACATGTTTACAACCAACACCCAGTAGCAAAATCAAAATTTAGCTGGGTTTGCATCATATCTAAAACTATTGTCTTGATGTATACTTTTCCAGTTGATAGCACATGTCAGTATTTATACGCAATCGTATTTAAAAGTACTTTTCAAGCTATTTCACTTTACAGACATATTCGAACGCAATTGGTCAATTTCCAATGAGCATGATTATCTATTCGAGATAATGCCCAGTCTTACAAAAACAACTGTTTCTATACTTGTTTTAAATGAATATTCTACCAGTTGATCATAGTAAACTCTCGACTTTTCACTACTCACCAGCGATCTACAGTCGTATTGAATGTATAATTCGTTGCTTTTGATTCATTAATAAAATTAGAATCTGTCATGCTATTGCGCACAATCAACAAACGATATTTTTAGCATATAATTATACAAATGCATTGTATGATTACGAAACAAAAGGTGTACATGGTGCATTGCTTTACAACAGGTGACAAGAATGTGCAATATTTGTCAAATCTAAATTATGTTTTTCCACCAGATTATGAACAATCGTATCTAGTACTTTGCACATTAGGTAGATTATAGGTGCAAAGATGCTTGGAAAAGTTGCATTATCATTATATGCGTCTGAACTTTTTGCAAATGGCGCTAATAATGCACACTTTGTCTTTTTGCATTTGAAGCAGATGATTGTTTCCTTTATGTAAAGGGGTTTGTTAAAGTTTTATTGAGTGATAAAGGCAATCGGGCATTCATATTTTGATATAAATCAACTGCATTTTCTCTACTTTGTTGCCTAGATTATATTCTATAAAAGTGCAGATTTTAAATTACAGTGCAAAGTAAGTTGCAGCATCTAGATATTGTAATCCCAGGCTTTTCTATTGGTGTGGGTTTATATGTTGCACTGTTAATACAGTTGCATATGGCTTTTGTTTGATACTAGCCATCTGCACAGATATGATTTGCCATTAGTGTTCGTGTATCTTCCACTTGTTTTGCAGCTGTTTCTTTGTATTTGCCTTACTAGGGAAGGGCCAAACGTGAAGCAAAATTGACAAATGTTGGTCATATATTATGGATCACAATATAACAGCGTGTTTAATAGTGATCCGACCAATTTTACGGCCGTATTCACGTAGAGTGAAATATTTGTACTCGACCTTTCGTCGCTGTTTTGATACGATTCTGATTAGTATAATTTAAAACTAATTTTTTTATATTTGTACGTTTTTATAGGTTTATACATATTATACTGTCCACCAAAAACCTATTTTGATTGCGAGTACATAGCACGAAAAAGTTATTTGTCCACAATACAGCAAAAACCACCATCAATCTTTTATATCTAAAAGTGTCTGAATTTTACGTTTTAAATAAGCAAAAGCAATCTGTTTAAATCATGTCAGCCAATGCGAATCAAACATCGGGGTTTGACCTCTACGCACCATCCAACATCACCTGGTACCAAGTTCAAAATAACAATGTTTCCAGTGCAGCATTTGCAGCAATTCTATTATGGGGTGCCTCCACTTTGTACAAATCAATCCAATACTTTTTTATGAAGAAAAAGCTCATCTACGGCCTGAACGTTGCGCAAGCTGCTTTCATGCTGATCAAAACCACAGCAGCAACGGTCTATGTTATATTTTTGGGTGATGCATGCGAGCCTAGAGCCTTTTTTCTTTCAGTGCCATTAGTTTTGTCTATCGATTGCATGTATTATATTATGCTGGTCAAGCTATTGTTGTTTACACCGTTTAAAATGTTGACGCGATTGGTATTCTTTTTGGCGCTGTTGGCTCATGCAATAATCAACTTTATTGGTGTGGCTCAAAGAACCACCAGACTGAGCTCCAGTGGAATGTGTAAAGATGTATATCCTTTAATTTACAAGCAGCAGTATATTATTGAAGTAAGTACATGTTTATTGCAAAACCATGTGTCTGGTATATGATTGAATGCTGTGGATCTAATTATACTGTTTAGGTTTTCCTTGAAGCGTTTACTGCCATTGTTTTGATTCATGGCCTGGCAATCAAGTCTCAAGTCAATGGCCAAATTGTATCGTCAACCTATTCCTTGCTTAACCAGCTTCGCAAAAACGAGCATTTGCGTGTGTTTTCAGTGCTGGTAAGGTTGCTATTGTAATTGACCAACATACCTGCTATTGAAAACTATACTGACAATTAAATGTACCGTTGATCTTAGGCTATTATTGGACTCAAGCTTTTCCTGACTTACTACACCAACTTTGTAAGTGTTTTCTAATTATGCAGTTTGCGGAATTGATAAAGGCATGAAGCTAACTTTTTAAACGACATTTGCAGTTGCCCAACTTTGATCATCTTTACCTTACGCATGGTGTTGACCAAGCTCGATCGGCTATTATTTGCTGGGCATTGATGCGCGACTATCGTAAACTCACACGGTCATCAGGCAATGCATCAAGTACAGGCAGTAACCCCAACATGCTCCAGAAATCAGCGGCCAAACATTCATCAGTATTTAAATCTCAAAAGTCTGGATTGTCGGGACAAACCAAGAGCCAGGCGGGCGGAATCACTTCGCAACACAGTATGCCGCGTATTCTTCTATCGGCTCCAATGACAGACCGTGTGTCCGTAATTGATGAAGCAGATGAGAATATTGATTCTGAAAAGGCCGGTCATGGAAAGGGTGAATTGGCTGTTGACATTGAACATTGTGACGTCAAGAGTACAGAGACGATTGCTGGCGAACTTGTCGGAGCCAGTCAGGAAATGTAAAAAGGAGTTTGAATTTATTCATACCATTTTGAAAATGTTTAGTTTATAGCCGTATCCATAATAAAAACTGATTCATCAACTGATTGGTCGAGAACCCTTATATGATCACGTGTTTAATAGTCACGTGTTAATGCAGTAAAGTCGGCATATTCAAAAATCTTTTTTCTTCGCTCTCGTCTCAACAAGCAGAAGGAAATTCAGAAAAACTACTAAAAAATCTCTAAAAAAACTACTAAAAAACCTTTAAAAACCCAAAAAAAACATCATTACTATTAAATATAAGATCATGGCCACTTCTGCACCTACTACTACTGCTGCTCCTACCATGTCCGCTTCTGCTGCCGCTGCTGCCGCCGCTGCCGTTACTGTACCAGTCGCTACCACAGGCACTGTTCAAGGCGCTGATGCTTCCTTTGCTCACCAGCAGCAGACTGCCTTTACCGGAGCTGCTGCTCCTATCATGACCGGTGCAACTCCTGCTTCGCTGTACATTGGTGACCTTGGTAAGTCAGAACGGCTAATGCAGACTAATGATTTTTGGTGTCTGAATTCAGCGGAATTTCAAATTCCAGCTAGAACTGTTAACAGTGCAGGTTGCTGACCTTGTGTTTTTTTGTTTCTTTAATGTACATGCCTTTTATAATACAATGGAAACCTACTGTTTGCACCATCTACTTTTTATCCCGAATGTATTGAACTCTATCATGCCACTTGCATCTTTGACTACTTTGCTTATTTCTACAATTGCGTATCAATGTTTCAAACTGATTGCACCGTGATGTGCAAATTGATATATTCTGGGGTCCGTTGCTTTTATGAATACCTTGGGTTCAACACCCTTTGCTTGTGGTTGTACTCTCATGGACCGAATTTTTCAATTTAAAGAGCCATCTGTTACTGAGGCTATGCTTTTCGAGGTCTTCAACATGGTTGGCCCTGTCGCTTCGATTCGTGTTTGCCGTGACGCTGTCACCCGTCGCTCTCTTGGATATGGCTATATCAACTATCTTGATATTGCTGATGCAGAGCGTGCTCTTGATACGCTCAACTACACTACTGTTCGTGGTAACCCTGTTCGAATTATGTGGTCCAACAGAGATCCCGCCTTGCGTCGTGCTGGCACTGGCAACATTTTCATTAAAAACTTGCACACCACTATTGACCACAAGGCTCTGCACGACACCTTTTCTGCTTTTGGAAAAATTCTGTCCTGCAAAATTGCCATGGACGGTGAACGTTCTCTTGGTCATGGTTTTGTCCACTATGAGACTATGGAAATGGCAGAAAATGCCATCAAGCATGTCAATGGTATGTTGCTTAACGACCAACAGGTTTATGTTGGTTTGCATATTTCCAAAAAGGAACGCAGCTCTACTATTGAGGAGAAGCGCTCTAAATTCACCAACATCTATGTCAAGAACATTGATGCCTCTGTTGATCAAAAGGCTTTTGAAGAGATGTTCCATCCCTTTGGTACCACCGTTTCTTGTGTGTTGATGGTCGATGAAGAAGGAAATTCCAAAGAGTTTGGTTTTGTCAACTATGAAAACCACGAGGACGCTCGTCGTGCTGTTGAAGAGATGCACGAAAAGGAAATTGGCGGTAAGCAGATCTACGTTGGTCGTGCTCAAAAGAAGTTTGAGCGCGAGGAGGAGTTGCGTCGTCAGTACGAGAAAATTCGTGAAGAAAAGCTTTCCAAGTACCAAGGTGTCAATCTATTTGTTAAAAACATTGACGAGTCTATTGATGACGAGAAACTCCGCCAAGAGTTTTCTGTCTTTGGTGCCATTACCTCTACCAAGATTATGGTCGATGAAAAGACTGGAATTTCCAAAGGATTTGGATTCGTGTGCTTTTCCAACCCTGACGAGGCTACCAAGGCCGTGACCGAGATGAACAACCGTATGCTGGCCAACAAGCCCATTTACGTTGCTCTCGCTCAGCGCAAAGAAGTTCGTCGCCAGCAGTTGGCCGCTCAGATGCAGCAGCGTGCCATGAGGGCCCACCAGCAAATGATGCCTCCTGGCTATCCAGGTGCATCCATCTTTTACCCTCCAGGTGGAGTTCCTCCCCAGGCTCGTGGTTACTTCAACCCCCAGCAAGCTCAACAACAGATGATGGCACGTCCCCGCTGGACTGGTCCTGGACAGCCTCCTCATATGCAGCAGCCCGGATTCCCTCCCCAGCAGATGCCTCCTCACATGCAACAGCCTGGTTTCCCACCCCAGCAACAGCCATATGCCATTGTGCCTGCCACTCCAGGTGCTCGACCTCCTCGTCAGACTCGTCCTGCTGGAGGTCGTGGTCAGGCTATCCACCACCAAGGTATGCAAATGCCCATGATTCAACAGCCAGGTGCTCGTCCCCTTGCTGGCTACGGTCAGCCAGGTGCTGCAGCGGGTGGTGTGATGCCTGCCAACGTCGCTGCTCGTGGACGCGGCGCAGGCTTCAAGTACGCTCCTAATGTCCGTAATGCACCTGCCACTGGCGGAGCGGCCGATGCCGCCGGATCTGCTACTGCTACCGGTGGTGCAGCTACTCCCGCTCCTGCTGCCGCTGGGCGTCCCGTTTTGAATGCTGCTACTTTGGCATCTATGCCTCAGGATCAGCAGAAGCGTGCTCTCGGTGAAGTACTTTTCCCACTTGTCCATGCTCAATCTCCCCAACTTGCTGGAAAGATTACTGGAATGCTGCTTGAAATGGACAATGGTGAGCTTCTTCATCTGCTCGAGTCTCCTGAAACTCTTGCTTCCAAGGTCAGCGAGGCCATGATTGCTTTAGAAGAGCATATGCGCGAGGCTGCTGCTACCACCGAGGATGCTTAAGTTGGCAGATATTTCTTAGATCTGATACATGGTCTACATTCCACTGTTTGACCAGCCCTATTGTCTTTTACTTTCATTACTTTTCCCGCTTGCACACATACTTTGCATTTTCGTTATATGACGGCGACCATTATTACTATTCCTAGTCGCTAAACTGTTTTGCTAAAGCTAATACAGATGGATTGTTTTTTTTTCAATCCAACAACTCAAACATCATCACTCAAGTTTTTCATCCGAATTTACTTCCATATATTGTTCTTTTTAAAGCGAATTCATATCATTTAGCTTCAATGAAATTATTTAAAAAGGTCGGTATTGTTGAGAGAGCAGCCACCAATCAATACAACTGTTTCAAATTGTTTCAGATGGAGTTGCCGAGTTACTGCGCACCCGAATAGAAAGCTGGGTTCCGCGTTTATAGCCATTTTTTAAAGCATAAACTTGCATTTGTGCCACCAAATCCAAAACTGTTTGTCAATGCAGCACCAATGCCAATACCAGTGCCAGATCTTTGCATTAGTTTGTTGGTATCGCGTGCCTTGTTTGCAACATAATCGAGACAAAACTCGCTCTTTGGCTCCAGATTGTGTAGGTTGAGTGTAGGTGGAATCATGTTCTATGTCGAAGCAATAAAAAGAGCAGTTAGCCATCTGAACTCGAGTGCTTTGCACAGGTACTGATCCAACCACCTACAGTATGAAGAGAGAGAATAGTAAAAATAGCCTCAACAGAGCCAGCAGCACCAAGTAAATGTCCAATAGCACCCTTGGTAGATGATACAGCAACATTTTGGCCCAGCACATCGCGGATAGCTCTGGTTTCTGCCAAATCGCCAATCTCTGTTGATGTAGCATGTGCATTTACATAATCAATTTCGTTTGGATGCAGTCCCGCAATTTGTAATGAGCGACGCATGGCCCTGGCGGCTCCATGAGCATTTTCAGGTGGAGCAGTCATATGATGCGCATCTCCAGACAATCCATATCCACTCAGTTCAGCATAGATTTTGGCACCCCTTTTCACCGCATGGTCCATTTCCTCCAGCACAACCACTCCAGCACCTTCGCCCATGACAAATCCGTCCCGATCGCGATCAAAAGGCCGTGATGCCTCGATTGGTTTGTTATTGTATTTAGTCGACAAAGATTTAGCTTTAGCAAATCCAGCCATAGAGATGGGCGATATTGCAGATTCAGTTCCACCAGCAACCATCACATCTGCATCGCCATATTGAATAAACCGCATAGCGTCTCCAATGGCATGAGCACCTGTTGCACAAGCTGTTGAAACCGAATGATTTGGACCTTTTAGCTTGTGCTCAATGCTTATATGGCCGGATGCCATATTGATTAATAAGCGAGGCACTAGATAGGGCGAGACTTTGCGAATCCCGTGTGTTACCATAACTTGACCTAAATTTACTGTATCGTCTATGCATCCCATCCCTGATCCAATGCAAATACCCTAGTAATAAAGATGGTATTCATAATGGAGTATACAGCGAATATTCCCAGAAAAACAAAGTTAGATCTGAATCTTGTGATTACAGTATGTGTTGAACGCAGATCTGGATCAAGGTACTTGCTGTTCGTTCTTGATCTTGGTTTGTAGATGGTATCCATGCAGCGTCTTTCAATGCTCTGCTTGCTGCATATCTTGCATACAGAATAAACGGTGGCATTTTCTTCTCATCCTAATTATTTTAAAAGATTCAAGTGGATTAAAATGGGTAAGCAGACAATCATGATTAAACATGCAGTCAACATCATTGATTGTACATTTTTTGAAAACTCGGCAGAAGCATTGAAGCTGTAAGGAATAGTTGGATCGGTTGGAACTAATGCAGCAACTTGGGAAGAAATGTCAGCATAGGTTAATCCAGTAGGTAAATGAGTACGGCCAGCAAGAGAGACGATTCCTGAGTCTCCAGAAAGCAGTCGACTCCAAACATGAGATACATCGCATCCGAGTGGAGTGACTAGACCCAGACCAGTGACCACTACTCGTCGTCGGGCCATTCAAATGTTGAGATCAAATGCAGCGATATGAAATCAAATAAAAAGTAAAATAAGTCACGTGTACAGTCATCTGACTTGGAAAGCATAATTCAAGTGGCTGCACTCAATTTCTGGAGAGCGCGTTTGTGCTCATGGCGATTAAGCAACCGCCCTTGAATGCAGATGGGAGGCTTGAGAACGACTATGCCGCTGGCATGAATTCAGTAGTTTCTGTTTTATTCTGCAACCAGTCCGTTTGATTTTTGATGAGTGCTGTCAATCACTATTACCAGGCGGATCGTCGTAGTCCATACTTGCTGGATCCTGACACCAATGCTGCTGTTGATTCTACTGATCTGAACGCTGTTGCTTCTTCTGAATTACTACCAATACCTATGCCACCACTTTCAATATCAACACAACCTCAATCACCTGCACAACATGAATATCAACCACAATACCACCAAGAAATTCACCCTGCCTATACTCCTTATATACAAGAGCCTGATAGTTTACAGTTAAAATCTGACAATAATCAAGCCTATCCGCTATCACCTCTTCGAAAATCCGAAGAACACCTTTCGGAGCAGGAATCGCAACACCATTTGCATGAGCAATATCAAGCTCGACATTCTTTGGAAACTGTGCAATCTCTGCAATCATACAATGAACTGTCGTTTATGTACCAATCTGACTTGTCAAATGAAAGCGGATTAAGTCACTTGTCATCCTATTCGTACGACTCTTCCCATATGTCATCACAATCGTCTTTCCAACACAGTAATGCTGACCACCAGCAAAATGATTCGGAACAATCGCAGATAGACCATCTTCCTGTCGCTAATATGTTTGAACAGGAGTCGATAGCATCGATTCGGGAGTACTTTAAAGCATTGCTCAACTTTCCAAAAAAAGCATTGGAATCATCTCAAACTTTGATAGAGTTTCTTTTATCGAGTATTATTCAAACAGCAGCCATTGACACTCCCTTTGGAATTAGGCCGTTGGTGATTGCAGACTTTACTACTATTGGAAGACCACTTCGATGCGTTGAAGAAGCAGTACAGACGCATATATTGGCCCATTATGGATCTGTCCAAACTGGTACAAGTGGCATTGGCCTGTCATTCATGTCCAAAAAACTCATTACATTTTCAAAGTAAGCAACTGAATATTTATGAAATGTCAAATATAAAAATGTATAGTAACCAAAACTGCTAAACAATGCAATCCTTGACATGAAAATCAGTACAATTGTCAAGGCGTCGTTTGGAGCCGAGACAAACGATTATGCATGCTTATTTACAGATATTCTCCCACGACGGTTTGTAGAACAGTTGATTCGGTTTTTAGATGTGTCCCCATTGCTCCCTGAGCCCCAGGCACCAATTTTGCTTGTTTCAGCTGCAGAAGATCCAGTAAATTTACACGTGTGGATAGAAGCTGGTGCATATGTGGTTCCAATCAGTATTAATGCTAAAGGCGTATTGAGTTTACACGATATTCAAGATGCATTGAAGGCGAGTATTTCAATATTGGTTGATATGAAGCTTGGTATGAATTGATTTATAAACTATTCAAAACGGTTTTGATATTTAGACATACCAAACAAGTCTTTTGGTTATTGGATTTTTCCCTGCAGTATGCGATGCCACAGGTGTTATACAACCTGTCAAAGACATTTCAACAGCAATTCACAAGGCCAATCGACTCGTGTTTTTCGATTACACGACTGCAGCACCCTATATCGATACAAAAATATCTGGATCAGTTGATCAATTGGCATGGCCTGATGGAGCAATATCTACTTCTCACAATCTGCTAGGAGGACCAAATGCGAGATCATTTATTCTAGTAAAAAAAAACTTGGTGTTGCCAATTGTTGCTGCTCAAAATGGAGTTCCTGCACAGCGCGAGTTTCTGTTGTCATTGTTTGATACAGGTTTGCCATGATTTATTTTACCCATCAAGAATAATTTCCATCACAGATATCTTAACTTGCATGTTGAACTAATGTAGGATCTAAACCGGACATGATTGCGAATGTACGTGCAGGGTTTGCCTGCACCATCAAATCCCTTTTAAACTCTGCTCACATTCAATGGCGCCAATTAAACATCACTGCTACTTATATCGACCGATTTAGACTTTCAAATCTTATTGTGATTGGTTTAAATCATTCAAATCGGCTTCCAATATTTTCATTTGTTATCAAGGGCCCTGAAGGAAAAAAACTACTGCATTATCGTTTTGTTGCACGACTCTTGAATGATTTGTTTGGTATTCAGACCTGGAGCGGAATGACAAGTGCTAGCAATTATCACTTTGATTGTATGAAGTTGGGGATCTCGCATCAAGACGGCACCATCCAATGCTTTAGTGAAGTTGAAAATGCGTATCGCCAGCACGCATCAGTGGATCCTGGGTCTACCCCCAAACTAGCTCCTATATTTGACTGTATTCTTCCTGGATTTGTGCGTGTTGAGTAAGTAACGGATAAAATTGAATCGGATTGTGTAATTGTTTGAACTGGGCAATACACCGACTTGATTTGTGTTGACACTTTTGATGAATCACTTTAGTTTATCGTTTATTCAAACCACCAAAGAGATTGATTACATTACAGATGCTATAGAGTGGATTGCGAGAGACGGATACACACTTCTTCCTCTTTATGAGCCGCAACGAAGCGGCGCTGATTGGACCATTTCTAAAAACCTGCCGATAGATCACCCTGACATGCCGTTACGCCCACATACAAGGAAGCGTCAGTTTGATATAAAAAAATATGTAATGATGGCTGACGATCATCTTCAAAAACATTGGCATAAAACGCAGTTTCAGCAGGTTGCGGGAATGACCAAGCATCCTGATGAGCCATTGTATTATAGAAATGGTAGGGGAAGTCTTGAAGCGGATGGATCAGTTGTAGATATGGAGGCAGATCCAACGCGTGTCGAAGGATTCTATTTAACTCGACAGGATGTAAATGATTATTTGGTGAGATCAGGAAGACTGAGGGTTGGGTTTTCTCATGTGCCTTTGATGAAAAAAGCTAGATGGGCTGTCACGCAAGCCATTAGCAGTATTAGGTTGAAATGAGGAGTTTTAGGCAAACCAGTTTATTTGAATTCATTGCTAATAAAGCCTAGGATAAAGTATTTATTGGATGTATAAAGGAAATGATGCTCTAGTTAAAAGTAATTATAGCTGGCGTTCAACACCATGCAAGGTTCAAACGCATTACAGACTTTATACCAAAACTGCATAGGAACTGCCATGTAGCACATCTAAACTTCGAATCAACTTTCAATGGAATAAGCTATGCATTAGAGGAAAAAGAGAATATAACAGGTCGAAAGAGTGTAGAATGAAATCCGATTTGGGATTCAAGAAAGTCAATTTGTCAAAATAAAGTCCCAAACAAGAAAAAGGCTCTAAGGCTACATTCAAAAGCATCAGCTTGTTGTCTGTAGTGGAATGTGCAAGGCGGAATCATCAAACTCTCGTAAAATGCCAAATGGTGAATGATCTGTCATCATGGACCGAGAAATAATCATGTACAGGAACTCGGTTTTGTCTGCCCAACGAGGGACATAGATGTATTTTAGATCTTTGGTACGCTGCTTGATATGGTCAATTTGGGTACTGATGGTACGTTTAATTGCCATCAAGGAGGCATTTCCAGGTTTACGTCGAGTTGTACGACGCCGTTGGTTGTCAGGCAGTTGGTCCCGGGGAACAGCTGGATTAGAGTATTTAGCTGAGAATCCGCGCAGTTTTTCAATATAGAGAATACGGCCGGGAACAAACATGGGTGGACATGTGCGTTCAATACTACCTCCATCTGTATTCATGCCCTCTGAACTGTCCTGACGCCATGCAAATGGGAGAGATCGAGTCTGTTTACGAATCTGTTTGAGTTGGTCCGCATGTGACTCGGTCACATCGACACCATGTCGTCGTCGTAGTCTATTGATGATAAACTTTGTTTTTTCAGATGGCCCACTGCAAGCATTGAATAGCACCGATCCAAATATGCGATGTTTGGGGAGATCGCATACATTGATAAGGCGGTCCACATCTGCCTTGAGAATATCCATCGAGTTACGACACAGGCGAGGAACCAAATCATCGCCCGTAACAATAGAAACACAAAAGGATTCAAAAATGGGAACGGCTTCCTCAGAGATCAAGCCGCCTGGTGGCTCATATGCATAGCATATTGTTGACAGATAGCCAGCTTTGCGTAAAAAGTATGCAACCAGTGCGCCAACTCCCTACAAAAACCAATCAGCATTTCATGTCAGTAAGCGTTGAATTCAATATTCACACTACTCGGAGCATGTGATGATACTTACAGCTCCAAGTGAATGTCCGCACACAACAATACCATAGTCAGCATATGCAGAGTTTTCATCCAAAAGAATATTTGCCAAATGTTGGTCAGCAATAATCTCATTGTAGATGTTTTTCGCTGTGCCAAGAATACCCGAATGCACAAACATAATACGCCCACTCTCTTCATCCTGATAGGGTTCGAGAACATCCAGATCAATCGACAAATCAACCAATACATCTGCAGCAGAATAAGTTCCTCGAATAGATACCACAATTGCTCTCCATTCATGATCAAACGAGATCATATAAGGAGACATGTACAGATCGTTTTTTGGTGAAACATGGATAAGCACATCTATTTTGTTGTAGTAAGCGGTCGAGTCAAAGTTGATATAGACAAGTTCAGCATAGTGGGCAAAGTGAAGGATGTCCTGGATATCTTCTTTAAGAATGTAGGTTTGACCAGGTCTAGAGCGGTGAGCAGTATAGTATTCGTAAGAACGAAAGTCAGTTGCAAGAGACATGCGACGAGAGCTTGTTTCAGATGCAATGCTCATACGTTTATGGCCGTCAATAGAGATGTTTGTCATGGATCCTGGCAGTTGTTGAGTAGCCGACACTGCCGCAGTTTCGCTTGCACGCGGCCACCGAGAGTGAGGACTCGATATGGCAACGGACGGAGTGGAGAGTGCAGCACGCGAAAGAACAGCATGCTGCAAAGGCACTGACAGTCCAGCTGGACGACGTTCAGGAGAATATCCTAGTCGTCGCTCATGAGATTTACGATCGTTGCTGGCTGGTATTTCACGAACAAGAGGACGAGTTGTTCTACCTGTGCTGTCTGTAACATTGGAAACAGACGAATCCATATCAATAGATTTGCGCAAATTACCACCATAGTCTGAACTTGCTCGAGCAGATATCATAGATTTCTTGGTATTTATCATACACGCACCTGGTTTAGGTTGCAATTCCACGTCTAAATTATTGGCTGAAAACTCGATAGTGTTCAATTTTTCCTCAACCACATGCATGCTCTCTTCAGATGAATCAATGGATATTTCCAGCGTATGTGGATGTGTGAGAGTTGTTGATTGGACAGATTTTTCCAAAGAGTTTGTTGAAAGTTCTTTTTTTTCGGTATTGGAATCTAAAGCTGACATGTTTGACTTTAGTATGCGTGCATCGGTTGTGTTTTCTGATGTGGCAGAGTTGCTGTTTGGTGGAGTTTCTAGAGTGGGAGTTTCCGATAATTCAATATTTACTATACGATCAGCCCTACCACTAGAATTCAAAGAACAATTTAGTTTTGATGGCATAGTTGAGTCAGAAAAGGCAGGTTGATCTACTGGCAGTGCGGATACTGGAGTTTCAGGAGATCGATGGCTGGTGGTCATTTCAATAGTAACATATTTATCTGGTTGAGTTGTTGCTGTAAAAGGAAAGCTCATTTTCCGTTTGACTGACAATGAACCGTCTGATGATTCTGAATATCCTTCCATGTGCCCACTGTTTGAATGCAGATTATTTTCAGAAGGTCCTTGCGTGGTATTCAGCTGAGGAAAGCTACTAGAAACCTTGGTTTTAGAAATTCCACCCCATGGATGATTTGATTTTACTGATGCAGGCTGATTCATAGATTCAGAGAGACCTTGACTGCTTTCTGCTGCAACCGAGTTTAACGAGGTCTCTACCAACGTAGGCAGCTGCTTTGGTTTAAGTTGACCTTGCATAGCCTGTTGCTGGTGCTGCAAATACTGTAGATGTTGCTGGCTCTTTTGGAGTTGTAAATGATGCACTTGTGAACCTCCACCTGCTCCAGCCAAGATACTTGATCCGGAAAATGACGACATGGATCTAATCCCTTCAGGTTGAGTACTGTTTATACAAAACGAAGATCCGGGAAGAGCCTGTTTAACCTCGGCAGCCTCACGGGCCATTTTCTGCTCTCTCTTGAGTAGAATAAGTCCTACAGCAATATCAGAAGGGGACCAATCGACATCCTTGAAGTAATCTGCAAGTTCTCGAGATACATTCAGGATGGCTTTCTGACCTTCTCGTTTTCTGTTATGAGGGCCGGAACATAGCCATTGAATGCGGCGCTGCCAAAGTCGCATATATTTGGCCATATTGATATCCCTTGATCGCTTTTTTCTCGAGCTATAGATAAACAAGCCGACAATAGTAAAATAGCCGATGGATGTAATGATTCCCCAGATAATCACAATATGAAGTATGTAGATGGAGTAGAGAGGCAGCGGGGTATGGCATTCTTTAGTGACTTCCTCGGTTTGAATTGGCAAGCCATATGTCGAATATGCACCAAAAATCTGACACCCAAAATCTAGAATAACCAGAATGAAATCAATATGGCACAATGGTCTATTCCAGAGTAGATGGACATGGTGTTAAAAGCGTAATGCAAATTCAGAAATTGTATGGCGTCCATCAAAAGCAAGTCAAAAGACTTACGAAATAGCCTTTCGAGGTTCTTTTTTAACAATGGTGCCTCGAGTCGATAGAAAGCAAATGACAGACTCGTTAACCCAAATGATGATGCCTATACACATGCCAATGAATACATAGAGTCGTACAAGCCAAGTCCAACTGCAGTTGTCGTTCACCAGATAATATACAAATGCGGTTGCAGGAGTCCTATTTGAATGATGGATAAAATTACAAGTTATGAACTGGGCGTTTACAAGATACCATGCAAGATAGAATCAGATAGTAAACTATCTTGTTGGAATATCGAGTCACAAAGACATTGGACATATCAAGTTACCATAAGGTTCTCAGAATCACTAAATACAAGACTGGTAGATAAAGGTCATCGGCAGATATAGGCAGACGACGGTTAAAAAAGACCAAACGACCCATTGGCCAAGATAGGAGCAAAACTTGAAAGAAGTTCTTGATCAATAAAGATGAATGTCCAACAAATGCAGCAGTGGATTATTGCTTAAACAATGGACAGTAATAATGCCCAAGTTGCTGATGGATAGCCAAAGATGGTTGCTATAAAACTGTATGTCGAGAATGCTAAGCAAAATCAAAATGTTAAATTACGATAAGCAATAGTCCGTTGTCCACCAGCAGCTGTGTACTAATGTTACGGCTTAATTAATCAAACTGTAAGACTTCAATTCTATCAATACGTTTGTATTCATGGGATCAAATCACTGAATTCAACTTTAACTGCCATTCGACTAGTGTTTTGGCATACTTGGCGTCTTGTTGCTTTGCATTGTTATTAAACGCATTTCTAGATTTGTTTCTATCGAACCAGCCGGGCCATATCAACTGTTTGCATTCATCTTGCACACAGGACAACCACTTGCAACCCACAAGATATTTTGCTGCTTATGATTAACAATATATTTATTATCCTGACCAAACCACCAATCCTATCTGTCGACAAATCAGTCCAGTCTACGATCCCAGTCACGGTCTCGTCCGCGATGATCACGCAGTGATTCTCTCAAGTCTCGCTCTCGATCTACTCCTTCTCTTCCTGTCGTCCATCCTGACCGATATCCAGAACTAGTCCCACCTGTACCACCGCCGTTGTTGGATAACACGCCAGAATGTAATCCACGCATACCACTCTCTTCACCATTACTTCGATCATACCCTCTATAGGATGCATTGGATGATGGCACGTCTGACCCGCTGGCATATCGATCTCGTGAGCGACGACCATATGGACTTACTCCAGTCAAAGGCGGCGGTCCATACTTTCGTGAATATGCTATTCCTGCGCTTGCTTGTCCAGCAGTAGTGGTTCCTGTCGGATATTGGCCAGCACCACCAGAGGACTGATGTGGCATTTCCGCTGATGGTATGGATGGAGCAAGTGGTGATGATACTTTGCTTCGTTCATTGGAATCAGTACCCTCTGCTGCCATACCAGAGGCAAGTGGTGCAAATACTCCCGCGCTTCCACTACTGCTTCCATGCGAGTTTACCCGCATGGATCGCGGTGAAGGTGACAAGGATGATTTTCGTTTTCTCACAGGCTCATGGTACTCAGAAAGTGGGGGTCTCGATGTGGGTGGTGGAGAACGAGAGTCGGACCGCTCAGGTGACCGAGAGGGTGATTTGGAAGGCGATTTTCCCTTGCTCCTCTTGAAACCCGTGCCATATGCAGGCCTTCTTACTGGACCACGATCGCCAATAGGACTCGCTCCATTCCGATTACCAGAAACATAAGGCGACACAGATAGTCTACGTGGACTGACATCTCCATCACCATATGTACCACCTGAAGTAGAAACTCCACCACCATATCGACTATTGCCATATGGATACTCGCGCACTTTGCTGCGATCATACTCTCTATCAACACCAAAGTCTCGATGTCGATCCCGGTTTCGATCACGCCCACCTGTCTCCATGCCTCTTGAATCCCATTCACGGTCATACTCTAATCGTGTATCAAACTCTCTTTCACGGTCTCGAAGTCGGTCACGCATATGCTCAAGATTTTGATCTTTGCTGCGACTAGAGCTTCTACTACGATCACGACGAAGACGCATCCCGCGGTCAGTGGATCCTCTGCCTCGATCGCCCGAGGTCATATGCAAATAACTAGGAGGCGGTGGTGGTGGAAGTGACGCTTGCATGACCCCACTGTTACCACCACGTGCATCAAAATCTCGTCCCCATCCACTAGATGCATACCGTGGCTCATAGGGTGCTGCATGTCGGTTTCTAGATGCAGATATACCAGACCCAGTTTCTTCAGCATTATACTCTCCACTTTCTCTTGAAAACAAAGAAACTGAAGTAGTATTGCGTCGATCTCCCCACAATCCTGAACCGTTTGATCCTAATTGAGCTGTATCACCACCCATCGACCGATCGAATCGCCTTCGATCTACCGAGGCTAAACGATCACGATATGGTGATGGTGGACGATGAGTATAAGATCTATAGCCACCACTATATATTGAAGAAGATCCTTTGGATGTGGAGCTGTCGTGGAAACCAGTCTCTGTGACATGATCCGGTTTAAGTTGTGTAGAAGGCGAATCAAGTCGCAATAATGGATCATAGTCTGCTGATGAATTCAGGTGAGGCTTGTACTCGGATTGAGAGGCATAAGTACTAGCATATAATAAAGCGCGATCATCTGTTACTGGGTCCTCATGTGTGTCGGTAGTGCCTGTTGTATGAATCAACGTAGGTGATTTCTTGGATTCAAAAGATAGTTCTTGTTTAACTGTTGGTGCTGCGGTATCCCCATTGCTTTTGGATGTAATGTCCAAAGCTGGTATCTTATGCAAACTAGGACTGAGCACGACTGAGTCAGAAATGGTAGTTTTGTCCTCTTTTTGGGTATCGACAAAATCTTTATGCAATGTTGCCACTGTATACACAGGTTCCGATTTGACAGTAGTGAGGCTAGATGATAGGTTTACAGGGAAAAGTTGATCACCATCAACATGAGTAGCAGGATGTTTAAAAGCGCTTGGTACAGAAACAGGATCAATCATCGTCGTCGTTTCAGGAGTTGCATCCAAAGTAGCAGCATCAGCACCAACATGGATCTCCTTGTGTCTTGAAACAAGAGTATGATATTTTTGCAAAAAGCCAACGTGATTCTCCTCTAGTTTTGGAGCTTGTTGTATCGTATCAACTATGCTGGACTCTGATGTTAAAGTAGAATGTACATTGACAATGTTTGATGATGTGGTATTGGTACCGGCTTCGATTTTAGAGTCTATTTCCATTAAATTATCTGCAAGAATAGCTGCTGAAGAAGCAGGCTTGCTGTTTAAACCAGTCGGTGATTCCAAAGCATTTTCCTCAATCGAGTCATTTGCTGCAACAAATGATTGCTCATTCATGCTTATATCCGCCATGCCTTCCTCGGCAATAGGAGGATTTAAATTAGTTGAATGAGCTTGACCACGTTTAAGCATAAAATCTCTAAATGACACTCGACGAACAGGAGCTGGCTCTTCAATATCATTTTCACTTGTCGCGGTATTTTCTGCGGCAGCTGGATATGAATCTACTAAAAAATCGTCGCCAACTGCGCTCGTAGTGTTGTTTGAAGAAAAAAGACCATCTTGCTCACCACCATCAGAGGTCAAGTCATTGTTGGCGACAAAGGGCAGACCAGTGTCATCACAAGGCAAATTAGACCGTGAAGTGTCCTCAAAAGATGATTCTCGCAGCATTATAGGCTTTTCAATATTTTCAGTATAGGTTTTCATCCATGCCTTTTTACATCCAACAGGCTTGATCATAAGTTGATTTGACGTCAATACACTCGGAACGGCTACATCAGGGTCCAGTTTGATACGCTTGGTATTAGGATCGTCGTCAGTTGCATCAATATCATGCTTGCGGTTGTGATGTGCTTCAGTTGGAGACGCCTTATGGTCATACGATAATAAAGATGGCATTAAATCATCACCTTTCAGCCACCGCTTCTGTTGAAGTTGCTCACAATCAATTCGAAGCTTTCGAAGTTGATCTCGTGCATTTAAAATAGCAGAATACTCGGCATTTGTAGTGTCGCCTTAAAGAATCAAGTATTATTTAAACCAAAAAGTGTCAAATGCTATTACTATCAAAAACACATGCCAGCCATTATCCGAAATAAAAATTCAACTCAAATCAACTTCTACTTACTAGTCCAATCATCCTGATGCTCTTGAAACATATCAATGCGATTTACAGTATCCATAACTGTGCATTTTGTAGAGCTCTTCAAACACGCACAGGGAAATGAAATGGATCGAGTCGAGTCCATGTGCAAGACTACTTCCTCATTCATATTGATCGGGGCAGTCGAAAAAATACATAGCCGCACTCTGTCATTCAGCAAAACAGGATGCTCCATTTCATCATCTAAAATAACTTGACCTTTTGACAAAGGACCCAATGTATCGGCAGTAGATGCATCGCTTGATAAGCTCGCGACAGATTTTTTGTTCTGTTTAGACTGTAATTCACGGAATTCTTGGCCTGTTACACAAACTACTGTATGGACTTGAGCATTTGCAACGGGTGAATTTTTACACCCACAGCTGAATCGAACGTATCGACCAGATCCTGTGCTTGCCTCTCGAGCATCCAGTGCGATTGGCAATTTTAAACCCGATGTCTCATCGTTCATCTTCAATGCATCACATGGGTGATAAAACGTATACGGCGGTAAAAGTGTTGTATTTAAAGGAGGTGGCATTGGAAAAGTAGAGATAAATCGCTCTTTAGCATCCAGCTGTTGATCACAAGACAAAACTCCAGAAATTTCACTAATAAATTGATTGGCTGCAATACTATGTGTAGTAAAGAGACCTCGTTGACGCGCACCTGAAGGAAAAGTTTCATCTACAATGGAATATACCGCATTAGGGTAAGTAGATGACAAGTCAGACGCCTTCATTGCAAGTAGTGAAGGAAGTGGTGAAAAGTCAGTATCGGCAGCGAATGCATCCTTGTCTGTAGTTGATGCTGCTCCCAAGACAGAGGTGGACTTGGCACTAGATCCAGAATCAGTCATATCATTAGTGGTAGAAGTTGTTTCTGTATCATCATCTACCACTAGTAGCTTTTTTGGCGAGCTTACTTGATCCAGATAGTGTGTATCATCCTCCACAATCATAGTTTGATCAGGTGCAGTAGAGCTTAAAGTAGATTCATCAAGGACAGCCTTGGAATGTTTTGCAATCGGTTTACACTGTGCTGTTTGCCGACTACCATCCACAAAAACATTACAAGAGTGCACCCCCATGCAATTTTTATCTAATGGAGGGTTCAAATACAGCAATGCAGCAGAGAATAGCTGTGGTAGAATGGACGTGACATGCCGCTCTATGGCTAAAGAGGCAAACTGAACAGTAGAAGTTTCGGCAAAATCGTCAATGAATGCAGCATACTCTGCTTCATAAATGGATGAAAACTGCAGCCGTGACTCGTCCACAATATTTCGGCGACGACGAATAAAAGGCTCTGGCGTGGTTCCTCGACTGTTGTTTAAAAGCAGATTACGAGCAGAAGCATCGCGCTGTTTTAGTGAGTCTCCATTGTGTGATATAGTGTGCTCATTCATATGAGAAATGGATCCATTCAAGTCGGTAGTGTGATCTTTTTGATGTCTAGATGTATTGTTTGTTAGATGGTGCAACAATCCAGCAGGTCGTGAAGATGAGTTGACAGTGTATGATGAGTCAAAAAGTGATTGAGAGGAACTGCCCAAGGAAGACTCGTTTGGTGGGCCAGTATGCTTGTGTGATCCTCCAGTTCCTGCAGATTTATCATTCTCTCGCTCCTTGTGCTTTTTTCGAGGAGGTGTAACCACATGCTTACTTGAATTGGATTGAACAGAAACTTGTGGTAATCCGCCCATATTACCATGCACATTGATATCACCATGAGAGTCGGACAAGACTGCCGAAAAGGTTGAATAATGCGAACCAGTCGCAAGTCCAGAAATGGGATTTCCACCAGCAGCATCTCTCACCCTTGCCTTGACTTTTGACTTTTTCGAGTCTAATGGTCGTCCATCTGTATTGTCCTTTTTCTTTCGAGGCGAGTTTTTGTCTAGATGACGTTCTAATCCAGGTAGTTTTTTAGGCTGAAGTTTCTTTCCCTCACGAGCCTCCTTTAATCTGCGAGCCTGAAGAGCAATGGCATTCTAAGAGTTGACAAAGTTGAGACCATAAGAGTAGCAACAGAATGAGTAAAATGAACAGTTAGTCGGCAAGGATATTGACAGTCCAAGATGGATGCTAAAGAGAGAAATGGCAAGCGATTACAACTTGGAGTGCAAGTGTTGCATGAGCACAGAACATTGACAAGACTGAAGCCATGAGAGAAGACAGCAAACTCACCTCGACATCCAGCCAACGAGGGTCGCAATCCTCACAAAGATACTGCTCAGGTACGGTGTTTGCAGTGATATTAACACAGATGGCATGCTGCCATACGAAGCATCGGTCACATTGAATGGTGAAACCATCATCGTCAGGGAAACCACAAATGCATCTGATTTCGCCTTCGTCCTCGGTAGCTCCGTCCTTTTCTATGTCGACAGGAACAAGTGATGCCATGAAGAATTGAGTGATGGACGAGTGCCAAGAGCAATTAAATACAATGAAATAAGAAAGGACATCTGCAACTTCATCAGTTGGATTTAACGAATAAATTTATCAGTTTGTGCGTACTGATAATAACATTGACAGTATCGAAGCTGACGGATCGATTGAGCTCATTGACTTGCAGTATCGAAGCAATCCAATCCAGCAAGCATTCATTCAGGCTTTCATTCAAGGCTGTTTTGTCATGTCTGCTGCCGACACTTTGCCATGCAAAGGTTCTCCTATAAATACGCCCAACTCGAGACTTTCTCTCATGCTGCATCAACCATCTTCAATGGATGGCCAGCAGTCATCCCATCCCTTTGGTGCTCACATTGCTGTCTTTGAACCTCACTTGGCAGACTCTCTACTCAACACTACTCCAGCCCATACTGCTGCTCCTGTTGAACCCTCCACCACCAGTCATGACGCTCTAGTCAAGGATGAATCCGAACATGGCCTTCCTGTTCATAACCCACTCCTCATGTACTCTGACGAGCTGCTGCTGCCTCTTGCTCCCATCTCCAACCTGCCTGCTACATATCCTACTGCCTTGATTCCTTTGGCCCTTGCCAACCAGCAGCAGAACTACCATCAGCACATCCATGCTCTTGCTCAGAACCATCTTCCCTATTCTGCTGCTCATCTAAACGGCTCAACTCCCCTAGCTGTTGCTGCCATGCAGCCTTGGGACCCTCATCAGTCGCATTCCACTGGTGTTTCCTCGCCCAATACCAACAGGAATCATACTTTTGGTCACAGTCATGGAATGGTTCATCCAGGTGCGAATATGACGGGTGCTGTTCCATCCCAACATTCTCATATGGCTGCTGCCGGACTTTCTCAAAACAATAGTACAACCGGATACGCTTCGGGTGCATTCTTTGATAACACTAACTCGGCACTAGCTTCTACTCAAGTAGACTATGCCCAGCAATTGAAGCAGCTACAGCAGCTGAATCACTATCAACAATCACAACAGCAACAATTGCAACAGCATCAATTGCACTTGCAGCAGCTTCAACAGCAGCAACAAGGGGCTTACTATCAACAACTTGCTGCAATGCAAGGTCAATCAAACCCTGCTACCTCTTCTACTAATATGAACCATCAGAACTATGCCGATCTACAGCAACTGATGGCTATGGGTGCATATCAACAACCTTACGTTCCTCAATTCCATCCTTCCAACTTTGCATCCATTCCCTCTTCGGCAAAACGATCAAAGCTTTCTGCTGATGGTACTCCTCGGCGTCCCACTACTGCCTCGGGTCCACGAACTCTGTCTGCTCTTGCCAATGCCGGTGAAAGTCTCTACGAAGCTACTTATTCAAATGTTCCTGTATATGAACTTGCTGTGGGTGACAACTCCGTCATGCGAAGACGTGAAGATAGCTGGATCAATGCAACACACGTTCTCAAGGTTGCTGGAATCGAAAAGGGCCGTAGAACAAAGATTTTGGAAAAAGAAGTGCATCATGAGATGCATGAGAAGATTCAAGGTGGATATGGAAAGTATCAAGGAACTTGGATTCCGTTGGATCGTGCAAAGATGTTGGCTGCCCAGTTTGGAGTAGATGATATCATTGCACCAATTCTTGATATCGTTTAGTATTTAAATTCATATCTATTTCCTTCTCTTGCTTCCACTCCTTCTATACCATTGCCTTCTTTATTCATCGTTCCTTTATAGTTTTTACGAGATTCTACTATCTCTATTGAATGGTGTGTTAGAAACTGGTCAATTTCTTTTTAATTCGGTAGACCTTTTTGTTTACGCTGATTTCATTAATGTTAGTCGCCTTTAATTGCTGCAAGGCAATTGCCTCTTTCGACGCTATATGTACTCTGTATATAGAAAATGATGGTTTGGTTTGAAAATAATAAGAGACAAATTTAAACATATCGAATTAAGCCATCCAAGACTATATCGTATAACTATCTTGAAGTCATGAGTCTGATCTTGTTCAAATCTCGCTTGAGCATTGTTTTTAAGCTCAATCCCATTTTTCTAGTTAGACGGATGGGTTTACTATCAATACACGAGGCTTGAATCTGTCTAATGACAGCAGGCACTAAAGTACACACCATCGAGCAATTGGTGCTTAAAGATTTGAAATATATTCCTCTAGCTCGTACAAGCGTATTTTTACACCAGTAATATCACCAGCTTTAAAATGATGCTTCAAAGTGTTATACGAAAAACTGTCGCGACCTGAATTAGTCGGCTTTCCACCATTCACCCCTTGCATCTATCAAGTCATGGCAACATCTATAGATACATCAATAAATGAAACGCATAATGGTTCTTGCTCAACCATGCAACAAGCAACTCTATCTCTTGCTAACCTAACTACTCTTTCCACTCCACGAGACATGCCAGACGCATCTGCCCCATATATGCCTCTCCTCATTCAAGGCCTCTCCAACATCAATTTTGCAGATGCAAGCTTTTTTGATATTGACCAGTATTTTGAAGCCAAGAGTGGTGAAAAAGCCGCCGTGTCGAAATACTTTCAAAAAGAAGCTCAGCTTATTAGTAAAATGGTATAGCATGAGCATGCATTGTCTTATTTATTAAACTACTGGTGCAGATATGTCCGGCTAGATAGAGTGGAAAAGTGGGCATCTTGCGCAAACTTGAGTTCATAATGGATCTTCCATTTCATAATGAATATTAGCAATTTCACCACCCATCTTGAAATAAATCACAACACTGACATTTGCTTTATATACATACTCACATTCATACCAACTATAGCACGATGTACTTAAAGAAGGCTGGCAGCTCATCTATACTCTTTATTCTTTTCGAAGTTGTGGTCGTGCCATTCCTCCCGTAAGCTTTCTTGGCCATTACAGCACGTTTACATCTCACATGTCTTGTAACGATTCAACTTTATTTTACAACTCAATCTTGTTGTTTAGGTTCAAGCTCATAACCAAGATAGCAAAGAATATCTTTATCGCTGCACCTATGAAATTCTTCGTCCAGAAATCGGTCGCATGATTCAACTCATGTCATTTCGTGATAAATTCATTATTGTTTTTACCGAGGCTTTAGCAAGTATCATACCTGATATTCGCGATCGAGAATTTTTCCCATCGGAGGCCTATTTACTCATGGTGGCCCATGTACTTGATATGGTCGTTAGTCTTGATAGCATGAAAAACATGAAAGGATCCATGAATAACGATTTATCCATGTATAAACGGTATGCAACATTGTATAGTCATGAATGCCACTGCTGCGTTTTACAATAGTATTGAATCTTGATCAAAACTAATTGCTCAAAATTGTTGAAACTCCATTTTAATCTACTGTTTTTGTATATTCATGGTATCAGGGCCATATCAAATTTCCCAAAAGAACAATCCGAGTCAGAACTCATGTTGCTTCCAAAACTTGCCTTTTTTGTTGCTCAGCAAGACCAATTTGCAACTGATGTCAAAAAAGCTTTGGCTACCATGAGCAACACATACGAAGATATTTTTCATGATATGATCAATATATGTGTAGATCACGTTGATAGTCAGCACTATCTAACTCCTCTAACCAAACATGTGTATCTAAGGGTAAGATTTCAAGTGCACCTGGCTTATTTTTAATACTGTTTTTTACATTTATAATTAATTTTTTAAATGAAATTAGGCAATGGCATTTGCCGTGTCATTATTGGACGGGGACACAGATGATCGCGATTTTACAAAAAGAAAGCGGTTTAAGATTGACAAGCTTGGAAAACTATTCAAGGTACATTGAGTTACGTCTTAATATTGATGGTTTTATCCAAACAAGATCTGCGTGTAACCAATCATTTTTTCAAACTATACTATATGAACTGTAAATAGGCTACGCCATATGTTACTCTATTTGGAGATATTGTCACATCATTGCCGTCTATATATGCCAAAGCACCTCATCTGACCAATGCAAAGTGGGAATCGCCTGAAGCAGATGAAGCAGGAAATATAGCGCTTTTTAAGGCATACCGCCTATCCACTGGTTTACAAGAAAATCGAAATCAGTACAAGGAAATTTTAGCCCGTGCTAAAGTTGCTTTGGTCAACGTAAGTTATAAAGTCAAACATTTCATTCAAAAATAGACATGCACATACACGCTCACATATTTGACCGTACTGACAAAATTTAAACCAGGCACAATTGTGTAAGCAACACAAAGCTGGCCATATTTCGGCTGATTTGGCCAAGTCAGTGTATAACGCAACTTTGGCAGGTCTGAAAATGATGTCTATGTTTACAATTAAAATCAATGAACAGACAGCATACAAATTGTTACATCCTGCATCACGAGCAACAAATTTAGACATTCCTGAAGATGCCACGAGTTATGAGTTGGTATGTAACGCTTCATAATGAGCTTATGGTTAAGGAATCTAACATGGTTTTTTCACTTTTAAAATGCCAACTTTTGGTGTTTCTATTAACAAGGCTGTCAGATATAGCTATAATTCCGAAGACAAGCGATCTCTAATTGAAGTATGTGCTTGCAAATTTAAATATGATTTAGGTTATGCTCATTTGAAATTGAAAGCTTACATTTAGATTTGATGACTATTCAATCACTGTTTAGTATATTGCCATGATCAAAAATATGGCTGGATTTTTCAACTCCAACATTTGTTTAATACAAGAATGTGTAGACAAGACGGTATTTCTTGAATTTCAGGCATTCATGCGAACAAACATCAGCCAGTACTATAACAGCGCACTCAAGAAGAAAAAGCCAGTAGCCACGTATGTTTAATGCATCTAAAACGTGTTGTGTTGCAAAAAGTGCTTCAACTGACATTGCAAAAATAATTATGTAAATGTTAAACTGTGTAGCCTGTTAAAATATATTCGCGATTCTGGCATTGATGGCGATGTTAACGGCGAGACACCAGTAAAATCAGGTAGTAATATGGACACGGAAACACTGCGATCTGACCCTATATCTCCTAGTCAGGTAATAGTTTGTATTTTTTCATGTAAACGTATATACTTTTGTCGTGTATACTAAAATCATTTTGGGTTTATTGCAATAGCTTCATTTTGTTCGCACAATTATGGACTTTATATTTAACGAAAAATCAAAGGGGATGAAAGGCAGCATTATCAAAGAAAAAACATTCAAAGATGCGCAAGTCAACGAAATGCAAAAATTCTTTGACGAGAGTTTCTATTATCTGCCCATGACAAACCTTTCTGGTATGTAAATCTAATTTCTTGTAAATGTTTTCGGTTTGTGTGATCCAACTCTGACAACATAACCTGATGTTAGAAACCATTCGTGAATGCTCTGATTTATCCACACTGTGGTTCAAGGAGTTTTATTTGGAACTTAGCAGACAAGTTCAGGTAAAATGCTTGCGTGGTTTTTAGACGCGACCATAGTAAAATCCAATGAATGTTACTTACATGATTCTATTCAAGTTTCCTATCAGCACATCATTACCATGGATTTTGACCGAGTTTATATTGGAATCAAGTCATGCGGACACCATTCAGTAAGACCAATTATTTTGGTGTGACTCATGCTCTAGCCTGTGATTTGGTATCTTTGATTTTAATCTTGATGAGCTTTAGATATATGTTTTATCCTCTAGACCTCTACAATGATGCAGCATATCGTACACTTTATCATCTCAAAAGTCGAGTTATTTTTGACGAAATCGAAGCAGAGGTGAATCTTTGTTTTGATCAGTTTATGTTCAAGCTTGGACAGCGTATATTTTTGCACTACAAAAAATTGGCATCAATGTAAGTTTTCAATTTGATTTTTGACTAGGTGGACAAATTTATTTGCCAAATGTATTGTTAATTGTGAACCTGGCTTATATTTGATGGCAAACAGGACATTGCTTCCGTCAGATTTAAAAGTAGAGATAGATTCAAACTATCGACCCGAAGCACTATTTTCAAACTCATATGTATATATTATGCAACAATCCAATTTGGAGGTAGTTTATATTTGAATTGGCATAATCATGCTACCTTGTTGCATTTTGAAGAGATTCTAACTCATAATCTAATATAGCTTCTTGGACGCAGCATCAACGTATCCAAAGCGTTATCTCAAAGTTTCAGTCAATATCTGCGACAATCTATTGATGTAGCTATTACGCGCTTTGAATCAAGTGATCTCTTGTACATATCAGTAAGTGTCATTCAATGATGACATGGATTGTGCTAAAAAACTCTAATTCACATTTGCTGTTATGTGCTTTAATATGCATTACCAAATTGAAATAGGAACTTGATTCGTTAATTAAGTGTGCACGTCTAACCCACGAGTTAATTTCCAAGCACATCGAATTGGAACGATTTGAAGATATCATGGCCGAGTGTGACGATTCATTGTCACTGTCTGCATCTAATGGTCGTATTATGTCGCACGTTATTCATGAACTGGTGAATGACTTTATTCCCAATTTTTGTTACAACTCAGTTACTCAAAGGTGAGCCAATCCGTTAAATCAGGCGTGATGATGAAAATATGTAGTTTGATGAATACTAATTGAGTACATTTAGGTTTATGAGAAGTCCTGTGTTTTACACTCAGCCAATTCAAAGATCACATTTTCCTAAAACTAGACCAATGTATCTTTTTGGCTCAAAGGTACACTATTGCTTTAAATGCAATCCAACTGCTCATTTTTCAAACTAGCTGTAAATCATTTCAATCTAATCGATTTTCGTTTGACTGTACAATGTGAAAATTACAAAGGCACTCGCTGCAGCGTATACAGCACAGCATGTCATTTTTAAAGAATTCTTTGGAGAACCACACTTTAAATGTTTATTAAATCTACTGACTTTTACGCAAATTGGTTTTGTGGCTTCAGAAATCACTCATCATGTGGAACTGCTGGTTAGTTTTGAAGAAAAAGTGGCAAATTATAATTTAGATATGTGGAATAGTATGAGCTTAATTTTTGTATTTTATTGTAGATCCAGCATACAATGAACCCGTACATTGATGCTATTTACACACGTAGTCCCATGCAGGTGCGTTCACCCTCAGTTTCTGCAAGCCTAGCTGGTGAGTGTTTAAATATTGATTTGACTAGTTCCTCAGATGCGTACAGTTATATTTTTATTCTGACTATTTATTGATGAGCATAGAAACTTTCGAGTATTACAACCGAGAATATAAGCCTCTGATTGCGTATGGAGATTTAAAAAGTGAAGTTCTTCAAGCATTTCGCGAAATTGGCAATGCAACTGTGACTATCAAGTCCATCAATGATCATATTGTATGCAAACACGTCTTAATGATCAAAACATAGGTATAGCATTTCAATACTAAATCGATAATTCTATATTCACTTTGAATTTTAGTCGGTATATAATTCTTTGGCTAAGGTGTCAATGCAGGAGTTTGTCGCTGCAGGTAAACTTGAAATTCATATGCATATTTAGTTGATTCCATTGAATATTTAATTTTATATTGCATTATTTTAGAAAACGGACAAAAAGCGTATATTGATCTACTATGTGACTTGGAGACTAAACTTCCGTTTGAAAACATGATGTTTCCACTTACACCCTGGTGTAAGGGTGTCTTGGAGCTTACGCAGACCACTTCTCACTCGGTAGAACACCTTAAAAGGTTTGTAAGCCAAGCGCGATCTACACTGCTGCAAGTGAGTGGAAATTGGGAAGTTGGAGCCGATCACCTGTTAGTCAACCCAAAAGCGTTTGTGCACATTTGGTCTGGATTGGAGTTTGTTTTATGCATACCAACTTTGGCAGGAAACGATCGTGTAGTTCGGTAAGCATACATTGTATTTTGTAGTTCAAATCTTGACCAGGTGTACTAAATTTACATTCCAAACTGATTGTGACATGCATGGCTAATAATGGTGCATGTGGGATACTTTGTTTTGAATGCAATCCAGTGAGCTTTTTGGCGATGGTCTCCTATGGGCTGGGTAATTTTTCAAATTTGTTGGCATTAATACACTTTGGCTATTGAATGATAATACATATTAACTTTTGTTGTACCGTATTTGTAGGTGTCTATTTTTACATATTCTGAACCAAGACGTGTTGTATTCTGGAGTCAGTATCAATACACAATTGCTTTCTATGGCTCAATCTGAACTAGGAGCTGGCTGGCCATTTGGAACGTTGCAGCAGCAAGGATCAAACAAACCGTTGGATCAGATCAACGCTCTTGATCCTGATTTAAAACGATACCTGGAAGCAGCTTATTTTTTCTCCAATGTGAACGAAACAGCTTTTGCAATCTTGAAAGCTCTTTAAAAAGCAAACTATTTACATTCCATCCACCAAACTCATTTTCTGATAATCTTCCAATCTGGAACTTTTTATAGCAATCAATAAATACGACAAGGGAATGCGCTTTTTATTTTTAATTGCTAAATGTGCAGTTTAAATTTCAACATCTAGTGGATTCAAGTCTACTCTTCTGGTGGAAACAAGAGTTTGAGTGCAGGCATCATTTTTGGAAATTTCCAAAAATACTGTATAGGAATCCGCATAAGATCAAATGCTGCTCCTACTATAGGCCCTGTTGCAGTCCCAACAGATTCGTTTGTGGGAGAATCAATGTTTGGTAATTTCGGATATCTTTGAGAAAAATGTGTCAATAATAAACACTTGGCTTGCATTCTACAAAAATAAAACGGGCTGGCAGTTAATTATATCATCTTAATGCATGGGGCTTTATAGTCAAATGCTACATTCACATACTCTTGTCCAACTTGAATCGCTTCATTGATTGTGCAATGTCGTCGATCAATTGCTTCCTGCTGCTTTTCATCATCAAATGTTGCTTCGTGTAGCAAAAAGTGTGCACCTTTACCAGCAATAGCAAAGTCATGGGATGGACGACAATCTCCGGAAAACCTACATCAAAGCATGTCAGTGCAAAATAGTCAAAATAAAATTGTAATCGAATCTTACCCAAATTTAAATCCAGAGATTGTTTCTGCAACTATAGCGTACGCTTCGGGACAGTGGTTAACACCAACCGTAGTCATCTTGGAAAGTCCGGCTTTCAAAAAAACACTGCCATAGAGCAATCAAGTTAAACTCATTAGTGTTGTTGTATTTAAAACATTTTAAAAATAGATATCATTTACCTGTTGTTCGTGGCATATGATTGATTGGCTCCATCTTCGCGCTTCCATTTGGTAGTTGCTGCATCAACGAATTCAATGCGATCTAATGGAAGCTTTTGAACTAAAGTATATTCACACAGCCAATTCCACATCTGAGTTGGAGCAACCAACAATAGTCTTTTACTTGTTTTTTCTGTCGCCTGGTATTTGCGTTGAACAGCATCAGTTTTGAAATTTACAAACTCATATTTGATCGCGCTAAAAAATCTAAAATACCTTGGCCCATTCCAAAAGAACAGTGATTGTTCCAAGATGATGATCTGCATGCATATGGGATACACACATAAACGACAATGATTCAAAAACTCGTTGCAATTCAATAGGACCAAAATGGCGAAATAGTTGTCCGTAGGTGCCCTCGCCTGCATCTAAAAGATATGCATTCTGTGGTGTTTGAATCAGTGTAGAGCTTACTACATAAAGAACATGTTAGTCAATGCATTTAAATGCATAGTTTTCAAAAATAGCAATGCATACCGTTACGATATTTTCCTGGTATAGCCGAACCTGTTCCAAGAGGTGTAACAGCAACTCCTTCTGTCGGATCAGGCACAGACAGTAGTGGCAAATCCTTTCGACTAACAGCCATTGCATCAGATCTTTCTTTTTCAGCAGCATTTATAGCATCTACTGTTTGTTTAGCAAGGCATACGTATTCTTTATAGGCATTTGTTCCAGTTTCCATGACAAGCTCTGATCGACATTCTGAAACATCTATAAGCAGTTTGGGCTCAAATTGATACGATAAAAGTAATTCGGCAGGTTTAGCAGACTTTGGTAAACCAAAAACAACTACAGTCAAAATCAATATATCAGTAAAACATGTTTGTTACAGACTAAATTACAAAACGTGTCGTGAAAGTTAAATTTACCAGGAAGATCTTTCAGAGGTGGTGCAACATAAGGCAATAAAAACATGCTACTATCAAGCATATGAAGCTGGTTCTGTATTCTGGTATAAGATTCAAAAATTAAAGTCTGTTTGTTGTGTTTTTCGCTAATATAAATGTGCTAAAATAGTGATATTCCAAAGTAAGCATGCACTCTGTGAATAAAAAATATCGTCAGTCCAAGATGAATTGGTATCAAAAATATTACCTGCGTAGTACTTGGAAAAGAATTCATAAAATCAATGTATCTCTGATCGGTTAAAACTTTATCACCGCAAATGTGCACAACACATTGCGCTGGTTTTTCCCCTGATGCTGCTTGTTTAATTATAGCATTTTCAATCAATGATGCTATGTACGATTTTGATGGACAGTCGAGAATTAAAAATACCTAGAATTCACAAACATTGAATGTAAGCGATAGCAAATGAATAATTATTTACAAATATAATACGTACTGGGCCAGGTCTACGAGGAGTGACGCATTGATCAGGGCTAATAGGAACTCCATTTATTGACAACACGGTCTGTCCCGATTTAAGTTTTCCTGCAACAGTTGAAATGAAAATCAGCCCAATTAATTGAAAAAAAAACAATTAAAGCAATAAGCCAGTTTAAACGAGCCCAATAAAAACTCACCCATATCTGGACCACGCTTAACACCAAGCTTCATTGCCAATACTGGATCCAAAGTTCCTGCAATCTCAGGTCCTTGACATATATAACAAAGCGATACTGCATCGTCTGCTGTAGACGGAAGTTGGTCCCAATTGTAGCCTCTAGATTTAAAATCATCCCATATATCTTGAACTTGCTTTTGCATTGTTATTCTACATAGACCTTCAGGCTGCTTGGGAAACATTTGCTTAATTATCTTTTGAAGAAAATAAGCGTCATCTTTACTTTCACGATTAGATTCGTGACTGGATCGTTTTCTCCCTGCAAGTGGAGAGATTGGGCAGATACTAGAATCTCCTAGTTCCGGAGTCAATGCAATGGCTTTTATATGGATATTTTCGTCGCTATAGTCAAATTTGGATGATTCAATATCCACTACTGATATATTAATGTTTGGCCTACCAGATTCATTGATATTAATTCGGATAAAATAAATTAGCAACCATTTCTCATAGATTTTAATCAAAAGTCGAATAGCATTGGCGGTACTACTTTTTGAGAAATACATGAGCTCAATCGGCTTGAAATATAGAATGCATGTTACAACCTAAACATAAATTTGCGAGTTCCAGCCAAAAAATAGGAAAGATTGCGAGGCCCATACAGTCGAAACGAGTCAAGACCAGCGTCTGCTACAGTAAGGATCATTCCAGGCAGACCACCGATACAGTCCCATTTTGTGCGGGTCATAAAGATTCCCCTTAGTTTTGATAGACGAATCTTGTGCTCATTACATAGCCGTTGGGTTCCTTCCCCGCAATTGAACAGATATCGACCAGAATCAAATCGCACAATAACCGAAGGGGAACAATCACCGGAATGCGTACCACTGATTTGCAGACTGTATTTCATGTGTGGATAAGAAGTGGTTGAAAAGCAGTAAAAATGCAACTTGGTTATGTGTAGCCTTGGCTCAAGCAAGCAGCGTTGAATTGGACAATGTAATGACTGGTATCTACTATTGAAGGCCAAAAATAATAAAATGCTCATAAGTTGAATTTACAATCGCATTCACTAAAATATAACATTTTTGCCTTGCAGTCAGGATTTTGGAATACATACTCGAATATTCGTTGTACTTTTTACTACAAATTGGCATTTTCAATTCCTCAAAATACAATGTTCATCATGAGACTAACTATTTATTATGTATTTTGACTCCTTAGCCTTTATTTTACGTGAATATGGCGGTGAAAAATCATTAGTTTATTGGGAATTACGCCAATTATATCGTTTTGCCCACTTTTGAGGTTTTGTAAACAAGCTCATCATTGCTATCGTATAATACAAACCATCATCTCAACTGGGCAAGTTTGGATTTTGCATACGCTGGCTGGAAAGATTTGGTATTGGACTCGGTCGCATTGGATCCTGGTCGTCGAACTCCATTGACGTTGCGATTAGGACTCTGTACATCCAGTCCAAGCTTTGTAGCAAACTTTTTAATAATTTCGCTACCGCCAGAACTTGATCGACTACTGGGTGCGTCGGATCGAACCACTGTGGCATCCTCGGCCTCGTCAGATACAGGGAAACAGGCGGATTTAGATCTGATCATGTCAGGTTCTGCAGCAGCTGCAATAGATGGGATATTTGCCGATTCAACCAGATCTTTAGCACTGTCAGTAGCACTGTCAGTAGCAACCACTGCAGTAGAAGCAGGAAATAGCTTCAAAATATTTGTCTATCATTACAGAGTATCCAATGTTATCTAGTGTTTAAAATTGCAGTTTATAGCTCATTCTACGCGACTTTACCTCTATGGCTTCAGTTTTTCCTTTTACTTCGACCCATTTCTCACGAATCTGGGCTTCCAAACGCACGTCTGGACAAGAGGTGTATGCTGAAATAAGAGTAACCAATTTTTGCATTTCCTGCATAGTTTCTTTTTGGAGAGTTTGAATAAGCATTTCATTATCCTTGGGATCTGTGTATGTTTAGAAATCCATTCAATCGTATAGTGTAATAGACATGGAAGCAGTAAGCTACTTGAAATTTTATGATATACTGTGTAATATTAATATACCTAAAGTAGTTTTTAAAACAATTGGTAAATCCCTCGGACCAGTTGGTCGTCTAGCTCTAGGATCGCGCGGAGTCTGGGGCGGTTGGTTATGAATCATCTGCATGGGAGTAGTAGGAAGTGGTCGGGCAGAATTAGCTCGCTGATGAACGGGTTTTGGAGATGGATTATATTGGTTTCCGAGACGAGGCGACATGGCAACTGAGGGCATGTATGGAATAGTTGGCAGAGAAGTATCGCGAGATACATTGTGCTCGTGAGCCATCATCGCATGATGGTAAGCCTGGTGATCAGGAGTGTGCATCACACATTCACTGTTGTAGCGAGCATGATGACCCGAACGATTGCTCTTCATCCCCCAGCCACGGAACATGTCTACAATGTTTCTACCAGCTGCTGCAGCTTTACTAAAAATCACAACCAAAATTTTAGTTAATTGTTTCAAAATCAGTTATAAAAATAATCAGCAGTTGAAAAGTACTGTTTTCAAGTTTAAATTCAGATAGATGGTCAAAACACCTAGTTTACAAAGCAATGAATAGACTAACCCGGATAGAAACGGTTTTCGTTTTTGAACTTGAATGCACGGCTGTCCATGATGGTTTGTAGAAGCCTGGTAAATTGATTGGTGCTGCAGGAATTGGCCATAGGAAGAATTAGGTGGGCGTTGGTTATACGCTTGACCTTGATGGTATGTGCCTCGGTCAGTATCACTTCCATACAAATCCAAATATGACCTGATACTATCTGTATCATCAGCACCATCTTCATAATTAACGGGCTTTCTGGTCATTGAGCCCTTTCTCGAGTGATGCAAGGATAGCATTGTTTGAAAATGGTAAGAGCCAACAACTTTTGGCTGAGTGTTCAGATATATATGCTGAGCGCGCCTGTTAATAACAAAAACAAGGCCCTATTTGGGCCAACACGTTGAAGACTTGAAGCAGATCTGTTTTATGAAATATATTCACGGCTGTATTCACATAAAATGAAACACTAAATAAAGGTGCCAGAGTATACAATTCACATCAAATTTACTAAACACTGCGTCCTCTAAACTCCTTGACAAACTTTATTGTTTTCTTGAACTAGAATGCAGGCATATCTGAGATTAAGATACAACAAAAATGAGTTTAATTGAGAACATCAAAACAATCAACCCAATATATGAATCTGGTGGTCTTATAGTGCATAGCTATATCGAAAAAAGGATTATTTTAGTTCAAAAATATAATTTGATTTTGTGCTTCATATAGACATTGTGTCTGAAGATTGATCAAGGAAGTTGTAAATGCTTTGATACTTTGGGGTTTTTGAACAATGGCATTAGAAGGACATTTTCTAATTTTCACTTGATTCTAGGCAATATCACATTTCACAAGGCTACAAATCCAGTGATTAAACATGGTTTGCCAACCGTCCAACAGAGTGTCGCGAGGTATAAAGTTGCATTGTTTATTTACAGCCATTGCCATTTAATAAAATGAATTTGTGCGACATGCGATTCCAGACATAAGGAAGGATTCAGAATGTCAATTGAAGAAGCAGTACAGTCAATTTGTAGTAGGAAAGCACAACAAATATCTAGCCATTGTTTATGTTAAAGCAAAATAGAGGCAATGACTGCAGGATAATACAAGTATTCCATTTTACGTGAATGCGGTTATAAAAAGTATGGATGTTATTGCAAGTACTTGTGTTTAATGTGATATGCTTTTAGATCAATTTTTAATTGAGCCATAGTCAATATAAATCAAATCGGCTGGTATTTCTAGATAAATACACAAACACGACCTAATCTAATACCATCATATTTCAAATTTCCACACAAAAGCTTGTTTTCAAGCCTACTGTATCTTTAAAATATGCACGCACGCAAGAAGCTTCTGGGTGAATACAGTCTTGGAAAAACAATTGGGCAGGGTGCCTTTTCCAAGGTTAAGATAGCCATCCACAGAGAAACGGGAGAAAAGGTAATGCCAATCAAATATTATATTTTGCATAGCCAATGATACTGTGCTGATATTAGAGTCAAGATAGCAAGCCTTCAAATGTATGCTGCGTTCACAACCTTTTTTGGTATTAATTTGCGACTGTAATCTATCATTTTCAGGTGGCAATAAAGGTGATTGATAAGAAGCTCATGGAGCAAAAGGCACAAAAAAGTAAAGCAATTCATTTGGAGCGAGAGCGTAAACGACAATTAGAGGAGCTTCGTATAGCTCGAATGGAAATGCATGCCACGTCTAAAACCAATGATACAGAGTTTGGAAAGCTTATATCAAGTGCATCTCGGCCAGAAAAAATAAGCGATATTGTAAATGGCCAAGATTCAAATAAATATACGCCAGCACTTATTAATGCCGAATTGGTACCTAGATCTCCCAACTCAGAACCGCTCCGAGAAAGCACCGTACTTCCATCTTCTCCTGTACAGTCCACTCCTACTTCATTGCCAGAAAAAACCCCAGAAAGCACCCAATCATTTATTTCAAACATGCAAAAAGAAGTGCAGCTAATGATGAGGTTAGACCATCCTAATATCGTCAAGATTTATCAAGTTCTTGAAACTGACGATGAGTGTTTTGTGGTTATGTAAGTTGGCTGTCAATATATCGCGTATTATGAGCATATCAATTGATAACTGCGTTGACTGCAGCCCAGACATCCAATCTTGATTTTGATTGGCCAATACGATTCTGAATAACTTTGAATTTACCCTGCTTTAATATTGCGCTAATAGGGAATATGCCAAGGGTGGAGAACTAATGGACTATATCGCAGCAAGAGGTTACTTGACAGAAAAAGAAGCTCGAAAGTTTTTCAGGCAAATCGTGTCGGCCTTGGATCACTGCCATTTGGCAAGTGTCGTTCACCGTGACCTCAAGCTCGAAAATCTATTGATAAGCCAAGAAAGGAACGTTTTAATTTCAGATTTTGGCCTTGGAAGAACATTTAATCCAGATGTTCAAGAGTACATGAAGGTAATTGGGATATCAAATTGATGAATCAAGTCATCAGATGGAATTGACTACTCCCAAGCTTTTTTTCAAATGCAAGTCAAAAGCGACTAGGTCTCATTTTGTCAATACTTGTCCTAATCTACTATTATCAGACATTTTGTGGTACTCCAAATTATGCCGCTGCCGAACTGGTCTCTGGTATACCATATGTTGGTGTCAAGGCCGACATTTGGGCAATGGGTGTGGTTTTATATATTATGATGACTGGCAGGGCTCCATTTCAAGGTGAAACCATATCGCTGCTCTACCGGCATATCAAGGCGGTAGAATATCATATACCAAATTATTTTTCACCGAGTTTGTGCGATTTATTAAGCAAGATTCTTGTTCGGGACCCAGTAGCAAGAATCGACATGGAAGGTATAAGATCGCATCCGTGGATCAATGCTGAATTTACTGAACAGCCGCTGCGAATTGTTCCAGCTGTTTCTGGAGTTGTAAACTCGGCAACTCTTGCTCAAGTCATTAGTAGCATTTACTATGATAAAACATATGTTGTTTACGTGTTTCGACGACATGGAAAGCAAGAAAACAACGACAAAGGCACCAAATCTACTACGACTGCAAAACTACTTCGACTTTCTATCAATACTGGTGCTCCAGTGACACATATGAGACGATCGTCAATCCAATCCGATGCAACAAAAGAGGAATTTGTACGAAGAAAAAGCATTAGCTTTGAAAATACATTGACCTCTCCAACTTCTCCAGGTATCAAGAAGGGTTTGGGTACACAGCTAGAAATCCCACTACATTTCAACAAGGTTGTGCCAAACGATATTTGTAAAAAGACTATTCCCGAAAATCTTCCACCACTTCCTAACTCGGAAACCATCACCAAATCACACTCTACTGTACGCACTGGTTTAAATCAATTAAACAGCTCATGTAATAGTATCAACAGCCAGCCAAGCGATACACAAAAAACGTCTATTCAGGAACAACCAATACCGGAAATATCTGCGCTTCACACCAATCCAGAGGTGCAAAGGTATCGTCCTGTAGATACTCGAACATCTTCGAAACGCAGTCGTCGTATGTCGCTTCAAGATGCAGTTCGCGTACCAACAGAATATTCAATACATCTCACTGAACTTGGACTGCAAGAGTCAAACCATCCATCCACGCCAAATTACGAATCATGTGTAAACAGTAGTTCTTTTAGTCCTATATCTTCAGAAGATGAGTTTAAATTGAGCCCCATAGTAAACTTTACAAAAGAAAGCATTCCAGAAAAAATTCCAGAAGAATTACAATCAGTACCAGAGTCCAATCGAGCTGTTAGAGTTGTTGGTCGTAAGCGATCAATGACTGCCAATGCTCTGTCGGCTATTTGTACAACTGTTCCATTAAACGATATTCAAAACAATGTGACCATGAGATCCAATGTAAACACAAATTACAGCCAAGAACTTGGCACTGACAAATCTTCAACTTTCAAACTATTCATGTTCAATAGAAGCAAAGGCCCTACATCTCCAAATGCATTGACTGCACTTTTTAGTAGCTCATCAAGTACAACATCAAATACTGCTTTACGTTCTATACAGACCAATCCAAAAAGCATGGTGCGTCGCCAAAGCTACAATGAAAATAATCGTGCCATTGATGTTATGCGGCGCATGTCTGCTATTTCACCACTTCCAACTACATCAGTCACTTTTGATGATCGGATTCAACTACAGACACATATTACTAAAATAGCCGAACCTCCGTATATTGAAGAAATATCTCAACTAAAGTCAGACGCGCATGATTTGAATCCAGGATCTCCCAACTCAGCTACTCGATTATCATCGTGTTTTCGCACAGCTGGCCTTTCTCCAAGTGCTGGGGGTGCAGTTGGTAGCAAAGCTTCTAATATTCCAACAGTGACGGTAGAGTATGATTCAAGCATGCCAACTCAGTTGAAAGCGGTTGGCATTGCTCAAAAAGAGACGTTGAATTCCAATGCATCTTGTACAGTATCGCCTAAACCAGTTCAAGAAATTCAGTTGAGCATGGAAGAAATTGAAGAGTGGCATATCATGCATAAATCAGCAAAAGAAGTTCGAACTATGCGATTTGTGTTCAACAAGGCTACAACATCAGCAATACTATCACCGGCCTTTATGTTTCAAGATATACACAGAGCGCTGATTTTTTTGAGTCGCATATACAACAACCAAATTAAATTTACGCGGGCTCAAGACCACTACATTTTCAAGTGCGAGTACCGTGATCAGCAGTATCCTGACATGACTTTAGATTTTGAGGTTGAGATATGCAAAGTATGGCTGTTGAATCTGCATGGTATGCGCATGAAGAGAATTGCAGGAAACGTGTTTTTATTTAAAGAGTTTTATACCCAGCTCATCAACGAAGTGCATTGGGAATAGTATATAAATCCGAATCCACATGATTCAACAATGACTGATCTTGTCCAAAACTCAATATATTTTCAGTGTGCAGTATTTGAATAAATTTATAAACGCAACCCATCAAGCGATTTTTGGTATGCAAGTCTAGTTGATATGAAATTATTTACAGCCATATTCACGTAAAATAAAACATTTCTGTATGTCTCAGTTGGAGTCTCTATTTTACTCTGGAATAAGCAATGGCTAAATATATTGTTTATTTCCAACTCTAATTTAAAGATCCATCTGGAAATGTGCGCCTAAGCAAGGTATTCACATCATATTTCAAGATAGAGCTTTCTGTGCCTAACCATTCGACAATCAAACAAAACATCAGTAATGAGCCAATTTTAGTCATTCAGTAAAAGCTATTGATGGCAATCTTTCATACCAACAAACACGGTGCTACTATCTGGAGAAAATGAAATTCCTGAAATATGCTGATCTATGTCTGGTGGTGTTACGCAAATAGACTGTCGAGAATCAAATGTTCTAGCATCTACTACATTGATATATGAAATATGCTACAATAAATTGAAATGTGTTGCAACAGTGAGTAAAGCTATAGCCATTTTGCCTGGTTCATAATCTAGAATAAGGCGTCACAATCAATAGCATATGCACTACCTCGCTAAATAGCAACAGGTCAATAGACCCTGTGTTGGAGAATTTGACACAACGGCAAGCACCTTTAACTTGAGGGTTCTATCAAACAGTAAATCAATAACATAATCTGCAAAATGTCAGCTGTATAAAATGGCAACCCACCACATCTCGTCTAGCCTGTTTTGATGAAATCTGGGCAAGTTTTTCAGAACTGCGAATATCCCAAACAGAAACAAATCCGTCTTGGCTAGCTACAGCGAATCTTTCAGATGATTGATTCCAAGAGCATGAAAACCCAGCATCGTTGGTAGCATTCATTACGTTGATTCGCTCATATTGCCCACCCGCTGATATATTGAACAAGAATACTTCTGAAGTATCCCCTACAGCTAATAGTTTGCGGCCATCAGGACTAACAGATGCATAGTTTACTGCAGTCGGAAGAGAAATGTTTGAGACTCGGCGAAGATCCGGAAGAGAAAGTATTTTGATGGTCTTATCATTGTTACAAATCAATAGGCGCGTGGATCCAGCGTGATTGGAAATACACATGGCATTGTTGATGGATCCTCCAACAGTTGTTTGTACGTGCCTATCAATATTTATGTAATGCCACAATTTTGACTTGTTAAGCCTTACATGCAATGATATTACAGTCGCATTCATATAAAACATTAAATAGGAATGTAAAGGTGCATAATAAACCACCAGTTTCATGAAATGATTGGTATCACCAAATTACTGGATATTATGCATTCTGAACTCTTTGGCAAAATTGACTGGTCTTTGTACTCATTTTTACATAAAACCCAAACAAATGCTCACATCGCAATTTCAATACATTCCATACTTGTTCAACCTCCAACTTCTCTTTCCTCCAACTCAAACGTTGACTTATCAGTATGCAAACAACAGTTGCATTGCTGAAATGTGAAATCTTTGTTCTCTTGAACTAGACACGAACGTATCAGAGTTAGGATACAACAGATATGAGTTTGTAGAGTTGTATTGAGATCATCATAGCAGTCAACCCCAATGCATGGATTGCAATACATAAACATGGGTTCAAGCTTGGTGATCATACAACTTATGATTACCAAAGAGGAAAAGGGAATCATGATCATTTCAGTTTAGTTTAGTTCAAAACTATGGTTTGTGAACATCATATGGTTGTTGTGTTTTACATGAATATGGCTGTAAAATAAACAATAATTACATGCACACCACCTTACCACGACGAATTTAGATCCCGAACTACAAGCTGAGACCTCTGGCCACCAGCGGCTAAATAGCCGCACCCAGTGGTCATAGAAGTAGGCGAAAACGATAGATTTTCCAATACATCTGATGCCTTATAAAACAAATTATGCGTGGTTAGTGCTGAATTTAGTTTGACAGCGACAATCTATCAGCTGTAAATAAAGTTTCACTCAGATAATAAACTATACCCGCTGAGTATCTGTGTTGAGTAACTTGACTGTATTTTGACTAACATACAACACCTCCTTTCGCGAAGTAGGACAAGCAATCAAATCACGAAGTTGCCTAGAATTAAAATTTAGGAATGAGCATTATCACAGGATGAATTTCAAGAGAAGTAGATCAACATGACGATTGTTTTTTGATGCAAGACTAGGCCAAAAATAAACAAAGTATTCCCTAACCCTGACCCATTCACCCAATAGCAAAGTATCAGACAGGTAGACTAATCGACCGCGACTGTTCTAGCACGGATGATTTAAATCTATCATAGGAGCTACAAAGCATTGTTCTCGTTGATGCTACATACTTGAAACAAACATGGAATTTGGTATAACAACACATCAACGAGCTCTACATTACCAATGCTGAATGGTTGTTTTCTGCGCATACTTGGAAGGTGGTGTCTTGAGAAACTCAATATCGTCACTGAAGAACGAGGTATGGAATAAGAATCAAAGCATTAGTCATTGGTTTGATTAAATGGTAAAAGACTCATTCGTGACCCCGGCCATAAACTGGCAAGAGCCTTACAGGCCAATGCATGCCATACCGTAAGAATATAGTCATTGAATTTAAATACTGTGTTTGGGTGGGTACACAAACCTTGAGTTGTATTCTGCCCATCCTCAAAGCAACCAATACCCTCAGGATATTTGAATATCTTTGAAGTGTTATTGCCGCTACTGCTTCAACTGTTCTGCAAAAACGGAGATATGTTTACCCTTGGCAAGTCTTGGCAGACCTCGATATAGTCAAAATCCGATTCAGCAGTAGATATGTGGTCGAATACACTGCAAGATCAATGTTTGGTTGAAATTGTATTACTAGCTTTATCATTTTAAACTTTCAACAGGATGCAATAGGCTCAGACAAACCTCGCAAACTATACACATTTATTTAGAAAAACTAATTCTATCGTTTTTGATACAGACGCAAATAGTAGCGCATGCTATTTAGCTTTGAGGGGAATGAAAGATGGGGACTGCATCTATACCAAATTGAATCATATGATACGCAAGTCTGAAGTGCATGAATAGCATCCAGTAACTTGAATGCCATATATATGCGCTGTTGAGGCTCTGATGATTGATTATCTGGATTCGATGATGCATTTGATCCCAACTTCACCTCTGAAAACGATCCTGCCGAGTCTACTACCAGCAGATATCCCCCAGAAGGCATGTGCTCAATCAACTGAGAGATGAGTGTCACAAACCCTCGCTTGGAGTTGGATAAAAGCTCGTTGAGAATAAACATTGCAGTGATGAGTTTGGCATTGCAGGCTACAGGAATGACAGTAGCCTTCAGATCGTCTAGCTCTAGTAAATTTCCGGTAGACTCTGTGACCTCGAGTGCAGGTGCACCAATGTCTAATAAAGCATGCATGGATTCCGAGATTCTTTGTATAACAGAACCATAGCTTGACAAATCCTGAAGATGCACTGTAAGCGAAGATATTGGCTGCATCCCATGAAGAGCCGATCCAATTCCAAGCAGCTCACTCCCGTTTCCTGCTCCCAGACATAGAATTTGACCACCCTCATGTAAGCACGTTCGAATCTCGTCTATCCTTAGAAATATGTCTCGATAACACAGTGCTCGGCATGGAATATACTCGGCTGCATAAACTGGCAGCAGTATCGGGTCGGTGAAGATGCCAACAAAATCTCGTTCTAGAAACAGGTCCTTGATGGTCCGTACATGTACTGGAAACTGTGGGTCTGCAAAAATGGCTGAAAAGGCATGCTGGATAACCCCAAGCAGAGCCTGCTGTGGCACAAGCACATCCCGATCACTAGCATCATTTACAGTGCGCCTTGTATTTAAAACTATGCTGTTTGTGCTGTCGAGTGACAGTAGTCTTGCTTGGATAGCAAGTAGCTGCGTATATTCAGGATCAGCAGGAAGCTCTTTGACTATAACAGGCACTTTAAACTTTCGCTGTGGCTGCTTGTGTTTTACCATTTACTCGTTGTGGTTGTATAAGATAATATAAAGACTCGATTTTAAAATAGGACAATCTGGAAGAAAACGACCGTTTTATAAAAAATGGTTTCAAACTTGGCGATCGTACAAATATGGCTATGCAAACCAAGGCAAAAGTGCAAGGTCTAAACACATCAAATCAAGCTATAGTTTGATTATGTGCTTCATATGATGGTCAGTGTGTTTAAAACTGATCAATGGAGCTGTGAATGTCATGATACTTCAAGACTTTTTAACCAGCATGCAACATTTCCAAACACGTATCTTATTCCATTCCAAAAAACAACCGTCTGATTAGACATGGTATACCAACCATTCAACAAACGACACGAGGATTGGAGTTTCATATTGCTCATTCTTGAACTGTGTATAAAACGACTCGAGCATAACAAAGGATGGGCTCGTGCGTCGAGAAAAGTGTAGTAGTGAAACAATGAATATTTGGTCATTGTTTATTCCCAGCCAAAATAACCAATTCAAGATAAAATACAAGTGTTCCATTTTACGCGAATACAACTTTAAACATGGCAGGAGGTTTATACGGAGATATAGAACTAGGGTGAGAATAAAGATTGTATTATACAGTATTTTATCATCGAGTAGTGTAACTAATTTACTATCATAATAATTAGACGGTCGCGGGGAAATTCGGCTGTCTGCCCACCATCGTTTATTAAGCCAAACCTACTCTGCTACGTATCTGGAAACTGTATAAATACAGTGGACATAACTCGTATAGACGAGATAAATGGGATTAGCAATGAAAAAAATGGACTTTCCAATGAATCAGAAAGTGCTGGTGATGCTCTACAACCTGGCTCTTTAGCGTTCAAGCTTGAAGGTGTTACTCAGCCAAAAACCCATCCCAAAATAATCGTAGCAGACACTCAAATCACGACTTTTGCAGTCTACCTTCGAGAGGGCATCATCGCCTATGTTGAAAAGGGCTCTACCATCCCAAAACTCTGTAAATACGTGCAAGCTGGGGTCAATGTGTCTAATATCTGCACACTTCCAGGTAAGCTAGATTCTAGTCATTCAACTTTTGCAGTTTGACAATAAATATTTAAAATTGGCCAGTTACTGAAATTCACGAGCAATTTGCATATTTAATGTAGCTGCTGCCAACGATCTTTCAATACAGTCAATGTGTTTTTCAGCCGATGGTCAATACCTTGCTGCTTTGGGAGATCTGCCTTCCTATCACGTTACTGTATGGAGCTGGCGTGATCGAAAACTACTAGCAAATGGACCAAATGAGTGTCCTGCTACACATATTTCATTTGATCCTCTTGATTCAAAGAAACTATGCACGTCAGGAAGTCAAGGAATAGTAAAATTTTGGAAGCTGAGTGTTGGTTTCAAGAAATTTTTACTTCACCCAACGTAAGTTTGTAAAGCTGATTTGTGATCATTCATGATTGATTACTATGTCATGTTAATTAATTTCATTCATTACCTTGTCATGTCTAGAATTGGCGCAGAGGCTCCTACTTGCTTTCTTATGGGGGAAGAAGCGCCATTTGCCACTTCATACCAGCCAAAGTCGCAAACCATCAATGAACCTAATCAACTACCTCGTGCTACTCCTGCGCGTCATATTTGGACACCAGGCCATACAATCTACTGTAGTAGTGAAAATGGAACCGAGATTTACAAATACAACACGGATAATGGCAGCTGCGATGTAGTGATTTCGACCCAAAGCGAATCGAGTTCCCTTGAAAACACAACACATACAGATTCAATTGATAAAACTCGGCTACCTAGTGGTAGCTTCAAATGTATCGCTATGAATAAGCAAGGATTTATTGTGGGAGGAGAGGTAATATATCCTGCATATCCAAAAGCGTTAAACTATTTAAATATGATTCAGTGGTTGGATTCTAACTATGTATTGTTTAGAATGGATTTATATATATTCTTGATGCAAATGGAAATACACTTGAATCCATAAATGCAACAAATGGAAAATTAATATCTGAGCTGATTCTTTCTCCAGAGTGCAAAACAGCAATTGTTCAGAGCAATGACTCGTGTATCTATTACGTAGATTTGTTGACCAAAACCAAAGTTTTGGTTATGCAAAGTGACACCAATAGCATTACTGGAATAGGTGCATTTATACTTTCTAACAAAAGCGTGACCATCAGCGATGATGGTGTGATGCGATTCTGGGATACGGAAAAACTGGTTTTGCTACGACAATTCTCAACTCAGTCACATCCTTCGTGTATTGGCGTAAGCCCAACATCGTATCTAATTGGTGTTGGATCATCAACAGGTCATGTCCGAATTTATGAAGCTGACGCTGCTAATGATTTCCTCCCAAAACTGGTTTTCAGAAAAAAAATTCATAAAAGCGCTGTAAAAAAAGTATGTGGTTGTCAACTATTGTGCAATTTTATCTATAATCAAATTATAAAACGCATAGTATTTATATTGTGAATTTTTAGATTCTATTTGAAAATGGTGGGCGATATATGATGTCCGCTGCAGCAGATGGGCAAATCTACATATACAATGTATTTGAAACATTCAATGTCATTGGATACGTTTCAACTAATGGAGAATTTAGTGGTGCTACGTGGCACTATGAGGAACTGGAAGACAGGCCAGCTGTAAGAGATTTAACTCGGGCATATTTATTAAATCCGTATTCATGGCTGATCCTAATCTATCTGTTGAAATGCACGCTAGTTTTTGCGATTATATGTATTAGCTTTTGAAAGTTCTATAAAGTCAACCCTTATTTACAGGTTTGAATTTCCAATTGACCAAAACTTGGTTGAATCCAAAGATGAAGGCTGGAAAATCTCAAAACTGCTTTATCAGGTAAGAATTAGTTGTTGCATATATTATACATTGTGTCATTCTATTTAAACTTGTGCCATTATCATTGGTGGTATCGAATAGCAAACAATTTATAAAACAGTTGGCCATATCATTGATATTGCCATTTTGCCCAGGTAATTTAATGATGCATGATTAGTTTAAATATCAGTGTATCTAATTTGTTTATTAAACAATATATAGCCATATTTCTGCTGGAAAAGAAATTTTTTACTTGGTATCCACTGATAGAAAACTCAAAATGATTACTGCTCCAACTAGCGTTTCCACTAGTTCTGATAAAATTATACTAGGAAATCCATCTTTTGAGGTATATTCTGATTGATTTTCGCTTTACTATAATATTGCTTGAAAGTATCTATTTAAACTATTAAATCTAAAACCGTTTGAATTTCACTACAAAAATAGTATCAAGATCATCAGCTCTCACCTGTGCAATTGATTCAATCAAATACTCGAGAATGGCTTTTAACATGGGCACCTGATGGGCTCATTACCATTCGATCGCTTTTAGAACCTGAGCGCAGTCTCAAAATATACGCTCATGATCCATATCAAAATGGAGTTCAAACAGCATCGTTTAGTAGAGACTGTAGATTTATTCTCACTGCTGGTGGCGATGGCATACTGCGCAAATTTGACTGGAAATACAATAGTGGAGGTCGTCGCGTGGCACTTGCTGCCTCAGAAAACGCTGAAACTCTGGCCGAAGCTCATCAAGCTCACTCAACAAATATTACAAAAAAAGTGTCTACTTTGCTTGAAAATACACCAGTGAGTCCTTTATTATCAAAATATAGAAAATGGATGAAAATCTATCGACATGCTAAATCAATTCAATGGTTTATATTTCAAACTATTGACATCTATAGGTTCATGACAAAGATGACAATGCTGAAGAAATATCTTTGGCCGAAACCCAAGACATACAAACAAATGCTGAAGTTTCCTCCAGCATTGCCAAAGATGCAAGTTGACGTGATTTTGATGTGTTTTACTTGACAGTATGTCATTAACAAAGATTCAACTATTGTGTTTTTAGGCCAACCAAGTACAACTTGAAAACAGAGCAAAAAGCATTCGTGAAAAGCTTATTCGTGTTATGGAAAAGAATAGTCAGGCACCACCAATGGAACAAATTGATCAAGAAGAATTTATTGTTGATTTCAATGAGCGTGATCGGCTTATTAACGAAGCTGATATACAGATTAAAAACATTCGCAAAGAAATTGAGGATGAAAATCTTACCAAGCAAGTTATTTGCAATCGCTTAAAGGTAAACACCATTGGGTCACAAAGATTGTGGGACGGTTTTTCATGCATGTCCAATTTTAATTAACGGATGCATGTGTTGAATACGGGGGTTCAGAAAGAGTTTTGGGACTCTATGGAAACGGTTGGCCAATGCATTCAGTCATTTAGCAGTGAGCCTATCACCAACTGTCTGACTGAAGTTCCAAACTATCCGATTCGAAAAAGAGAAAGCCATGAGCTTCAGTGGGTTGGCCAGATCAAGCGAATTCGCAGAGTTCAAATGACTGTCAACAATGCAACTAAGGTACATTGAATTGCTTGATTATTTAGACAATTTGACTTGATGTGTGCTAATACATTTAAACTGACATGGTGTAAAGAAAACAAATCACGAAGAGAATGATGCGGATGAGGTATAGATAATTGGCAATGCAATTTTGATATTTTGACAAAAACGTACACATGGCTTTGCTTTATATTTGATCTGAAGCCTGTGGTTTAAATATCAATGTATATTTGATACTTGCATGACTAATCTACTTTAATTATACAAAAGACTACTCCACATGCCGAGGAGACTGAAAATAAACTGCTCATCAAGGCATCACGCGAAACTACAGCACTGCTTTACGATCCATTTGAACTCAACACCAAAGAACGTCGGAGAATCCAGAGTGTACTATTAGGAGAATGTATTTTGGATATCAAAGTAAAATATTGCATTTATATATGTAAAGCTTCAAGTGTCTTGTGGTATATGGATTTGACTAACGCATATCTTTGATTAATAGGCAGAGTTTAATCGTCGATTTGATATCATGTTTAAGCAAAAGCAGGATGAAATCATCAAAATTGAGGAAAAGAATGAGCGCATAGCTGAAATTTTACTGCAGCTTCAACTTGAAGAAACCGTCTTTCATCCAGAGCTTAGTAACGATGAGCAACCACAGCGAGTAATAGAAGTTCAAGACTCCGAGGTCAAGGTTCAAAAGGTAAAATCAAATTTATTTATTTGCTGCAATAAACACGATCCTTTAAACTAATATACATTGCTGAACGATTGTTAGTTTGTAAATACAGAGGAACAAAAACGTATAGAGGAAAAGCGTCGTCAGGATGAGGAGCGCCAAAGGTTACAAGCCGAGGATAACTCAAGACAGCGCGCTCTCATCTCTATGATGGGAGGAAAACTTGACAACCGGCAAGTACATTTGGATTTATAGTACTATGGTTCAAATAACTGCATGTATGTAATGTAATCCGGAAAATGGAATATTTACAGTTTTTGATTTGCTACGAAATACTTTTATCAGAGCCGAACAAAACGAAAAAACCGAGCTTATTAAACCAGAGTGGATGAACAAGTCTAAAGAGGACATGACTGATGATGAGCGGAAACAGCTCAAGGAATTTGAAAAAAAAATGGCAGTTTTCAAGGTTTGAGTTGATGTTGATTTGGTTCATGGAATACTTGATCAAAGTGCAATACATTTGATGCGTGTGTTGTGGTTTTAGTACAACTGTGAGCTTATTATTATAAAATATCTAGGAGGAACAAGAAAAATACAAAAAAGCCCTTGAAACCGAACTACGAAAACTCCAGAGCTTGATTTCAGAAATTTTAGAGTCTTTTGACACTCAACTACGTGCATTTTACCGCTTAAAATTGAATACTGATCAAACCATTTATCAGCACGAGCTAAGAATGATCAAATTAGTTCAAGCATCGCTGCAAAGCGATGATGATGAACCAAAGGTGAGGCATATTTTAAAAAGTCATTGATTCATTATCATGCAGTACATGAGTTGCTAAAGTGTAATATCTAGGAAAAGCGAATTTATCAGCGACTTGAGCAGCTGAAGCAAGAAAAAGTTACTTGCACTAATGAAATTCCTGAAATCAAAAAGGAACTAGAAAAATATCGTGAAGAGTACGAGTCCGCTTTAAAACGAGACAAGGACATTGAACGCTTGTTTAAAAAAGAACTGCATGGGCATGATTTCTATAACGATGCTCTTATGCGACTATTCAAGCGCAGAAACTGGACTGCTTCAGAAAATGACGATACTACAAAACAACTAGATGAAAATCTAAATCTGTTTACTGAATACGAGCGTGAATCAGGACTGATTGATTTGGATGTACCTCCATTGAATCAAGAAGTTGACATGCCCGACGGATTGAGCAATGAAATGTGGCTTAAATTGGTGGAATTTCGTGACAACAAAATTGCCGTTGAAAAAGATGTTTACATGAGTGGACGAAAATTCAATGAAATGCAGACTCTGGTTCAAAATGTTTTGGAGGAGAGTGATCGAATTCGAACGGAATCAGAAAAGATTGCTACCGAGCTTGCTCAATTTCTTGAATGCAAATTTCAAAACACCTATAACCTCGACTGCTTATTCAGTCTAAAGCAAGGGCAGGCATGTTGATACCTTGTTCAAGAACACAATGATCTGAAAATGTTGTTAGACTAACCAATTGAAAATCGCAAATTTTACTCATGTTCTTAGGTTGAAGTGGTTCAAGCTCCAGTGCTCACTGACTATTCCGATGCAATTTTGATCCACCGAAACGTCGTTGAAAAACTAAACGACGCGATTGTTACTCTTGGCAAAGTAAAAGTGGAGGCATTAAAAGAAATGAAAGACTATCGCAAGGGAATTCATGCTTTAGAATGGTAAATACACTTTCAAGGTGATACTATGCATATGATGTTTCCTGGAATCTAACATTAGGCAATATTGATCAAACCAGGGAAAACAAACTGTCTGATCTACAAGCAGAGGATCTCATTATTCGAACTCGAGATATTCAGTTATTAAGAGTTACCAAACAGATGCAGGAATACATTCGGAGTGGAGACGAGCATAAGCAAATTTCTGAGATTCTGGCTTTGGAAAAACGTGCTGAATATAGTCAAAAGGTAAGTTTTGGCAACTATAATGTGTATCAAGTCGGCTACTTTAATTAAAGCTGTTTTTTTTCAACATTGCGAAATATTCATTGACTAGGCACACCTTCATAAAATTGATGAAAAGGTCAAGGTTGCAAACAAACTTGATCAAAAACTATGTGCCAAAGTAAATGAAAACGCATCTATGAAATCACTGCTTCAAGAACTTGAGGATTCTGTAAATGAATGCCAAAGCATCTATGAAGTCAAGCGTAAGATAAATCAGCCATTTGTTTGAAACCATTTGCTTTTGATTATATACAATTGAAACTATTTAAACTAACCACATTCATATCAGTTCAAAAAATGAACCATTCCAGCAAACCAAACCCACTTCGAGAAATCTATACAAGGCGTCGTCTGGTTGATTTGGCCAAATCTCAAGCGCAAGATATTACAATTCTTCGCGAAGAGGTTGAGCGTTTGCGTTTGCGTACATATCCTGCCTTTCAATCTTGATCTAGTCTGTTGATCAGTATGCATTACGGGATGTTCTTGTATCAACTGCTTGTTTGTTCTTACGGACTGTTGGACAAATTTCTGACGCTTTATTTGAACATACTTTGAAACTAAAAACTAGTAGTTAATCAGGAGTGGTTCAAACAATAAAACGTAGATTAAAAAAGCTTTATTATAATAGAACCCTTATTGATGTACTGAGGGTATCACAGACTCGGAAAAATCGCCAACTGGATGATTGTACCGAAGAAATAGACTTGTAGAAGGATTGATAATAGGCATGCTCATATGGCCCAGTTGATTATTTGAAGTCGCATGAGGTATGGAAAATTGATGCGTAGAAAATTCATGAAACTGGGGAGAGTATGCAGGCTGCGATGAATAGTTCATCTGGTATGTATTAGCAAACTGATGGCCATTGTAGGTTTGAGCAGCAGAAACATTTTGTGCCGCGGCTGCACAAGCAGTATGAGCAAAGGTGGGCTGCATATGGTTTGAAGGACACATCTCTACTATATTGGGAGAAAAACTGGCTAAATGTGACTGTTGCAGCTCTTTGGTGCTCTTATTTTCAAGATAATCGCTTGTGCTATGTTGAGACTCACTCTCAGTTTTTTTGTTTTTTGAAGGAGCAAAACTCCAAGAACTATATCCAGGAATAGATCCCAACTGGGCAAACTGAATACAAAACCTTTCTGTATTGGTACCCCTAGATGGAAAATCAACGTGATTGCACATTCCATAAATTGTCAGCGGTCAAAGCTTAAATTATGTATGCAAGTAGCATCACGAAACGTATAATATATAGCGCATATGTTGCTAGATACTTACATATAAACAAGCATATGCGAGTCAGTTAGCAATTTTTCCCTTCCCGTTGGTGTGGAAAACTGGATACGCTCATGGAAGAAACAGTGTGGGTAGTATAGAGCTCGAAGAAACCAGTCATTCTGCATATCCACACGAAGTAAAATATGGCATGATACAATTTCACCAGCAAGATATTTGGACTCTGCTGCCAGAAACCACTTTTTCATACGGATTAGACCAGCTTCATCTATGCCAGATGGAGGAGAAAGCCAAACATGACCATTCCATATTTTTTGTAAACCATCTTCTGCTTCTGTGTAAATCGTGTTGGCAATGGTATCACCGTGCAAGGTATTAGCAAACGCACAGCTAGCCGGATCAAGATCAAACTGTTTTTTCTCAATGACTTTTTTTGCTGCCATAATAATTGCTTTTGGGGTATATAGCTCATTATTCAGTTCAGTAAACGATACACCCGTTTCTATAAATCAATTGAATCGTTTCAAATCATGAACCCAGTCAGTGAAAATAAGCATCGATGTGTGTTCAAAATCAAATCTTCAATAAAAGTTTTGATACCATATTTAATTGTCATGGCTACCACATTTTCTTCGGTTATTGTTAAACCGCTGTCGTTCAACTGCTTCCAAATTTGTCGGCGCACTTCTGGAGGGTATTTGTGAAGAGAGCGGACGTGGGATATATTGACAGGGATTGGTAATGTTTTGTCTTCGGTGATGGATTCGTACACATAACTAGTCATGTTCAATATAGAAATGGAATATACATAAGCGTCAATTTGCAATAATAATAAAACGATGCTTTTTATCACAATCTAATGATTTATAATAGGATGAAACAACTTGATAAAGTTGATCCAACCTGTTGAGTTAATTACCTAGAGCATAGATATGTGTTTGTGGTGCGTCGACTAAAACCAAATCGTGATTTTGCATACGAGTAAACTGTTCGTTCTGGATCTATTGATCAATTACAAAAATTCACCTGTTACACATCATGCAGAAAATATTTGAACTCATAAAGCCATTCGATATTTCTTACAAAATAGTCTTTCTTCCTCGATGCAGCGGAGAGCAGCAGCTATTAATTATTGAATAATTTTTAGAATGAGCACGACTGATAAATGATGGCATAAATTAACGCAATAGTGTATAATACTCTTCAATACATAGACAAGCCGAAACCATTTGGCTTAAACCAAATGATGTTGTATATTTATATTTAGCACCAGTTATAGAAAAATAAAATACAATTGTACATACCAACGATAAAAAATTTTCCTGTCGAGAGGTGTTCAGTAATTGCCTTTTCTAGGTTGTGAAGGCGTTCCAGATGCTTTGGATTTCCATTATTTTGATCGTCTGACGCTATCTTTCGTTTTTTAGTAGAAACCAGCACAGAGGAGCGGGTACAAGAGTTATCCGTTGCACCCCAAGGTATGCTGGATGAAATAGGGTTGGCGGGTGTCAACATCGAGTTTCTTATTTTTAAATTAAGCACTGAGATCTAGTAGGGTATAACAAAGTAGCTGCTAATAAGAGTACTAGTCTGAGGGTATTTGAATTAGACGGGGTTCAACTAGACAGGGAATAGTTGATGTATTCTATCAAACTTGTAAAGATCGACGTGTCGCAGAGTTGAACGCGAAAGGATAACTATTCAAACGGACAAGTGTTAAAGCTTGTTAAATTAAGAAACAGTGTTTCAAACGGTTTGCAGGAGCCAAGACTGATGGTAGTAAATTAGAACAAGACAAGCTAGAGCAAATAAGTTTAGGAATAGTAACAGGTATTAACTACAATACCTTGCAGTTGGATACGTGTATGAAGGATATAAATGAATTAGTTTGTTGGATAACAAATGCAAGAAGTAAATGTTTTCTAATATATCGATTTCCCTCAAACAAACACCATTGACGCGACGTTTGGAGCGAGTTGCGGAGTTGAGCAAGACAAAGCATATTTGCAAAGAGTGTTGGAAGTTCATCCCATCGTTTCTACTAAACATTTTTGCATTCAATATCCCCCCATTGTTCATGGCTACAAACATGCTATTTGAACCCTATTATAAGATTTAATTTTGTTGGCGTATATGTAGGGGTGGACATTGACCAAGACCAAGACCACAAAACAACATTTAGATGTAAAACATATAGCAACAGTTGGATAATGGCAATGATATCAAGGGATATTATTTTATGACACAAGCCAAACGCTACCAATACACCACAGACAAGAGAATTTGTAAATCAACTACGGATTAGAAGCGGTAAAAACCAATGCCGAAGATGTGCAGATCTGCAGCAGACTAGTGTTATCAAGAAGCACTTTCTACACAAGCTAGATGCTATTCTGATGATGTAAGCAAATAGCATCCATGTTAGTCGACCAAATCGTGATAAGCGTCAAAGTTGAATACGTTCAAGAATATATATGGAAAGAATCGACAGATGACAAAAAGCGGATGCTAGAACAATCAACGCAAGTAGAGATTCTTAGTCGGTTAAAGCAGATGAACAGAAGCTTAGTAAACAGCAGTAGAATGCAAAGACGATCGGACTACAAGGTTGTAGTTTCCTTCTTGTGAACTTGCAATCGCGATGTGCTTCTGAGTCCAGTACTAATCCATGCCAGAAGGTGCGTTGGAGGGATACGCAGTTGCATAAATATGCATTCATGCTGTCTGCATAGACTGCATGGACTGCTGGTTCAACTGTCTGGACTTGCATTTGACATTAACCCTGACTTGGTTTTCTCATTATTTCTTTATTAAAACTTGACTTATCTGGCTTACCAAGCAGTAACCAGTACTAACCTCAACCCTGCTGCAAGGTACGTTCATAGACTACAAGGTCTTATTGTTTGTAAACGGATACTGTTGCTATGACTGTTGCTGTCTCTGGAAGGGGAAACCAACCCTTGCAACGGATTTCGAGCATATGGCTGATAATACTCTTATTGCATGCGAATCCATCCTCATTGTTGCTGCTGATTGGATTTTGCTTTGCTGACACTATCGTATTCTTCCCAGCACTCCTCACACTATAGTTGACCCACTGCCCATATCTTCTGCCTCTTCAGTTGCTTCATTTGCATCTTCATCTCAAAAACTTCAGCCATCCGATTCAACAACTGACTTGTCATTAGCCACATCTTCATTAACTAACAACCATCGTGAATCAGTGTGGAGAAACAACCTTTGGGCAGCACCTGGAAGGCAAGTATCCATGTTCAAGTCTGATTCATCTTGAAACTAGCTTTATGACCTGTCAAGTCGTACCATGCATGCTAACGTGTATTATATAGAATCAACACAGTAACCGCTCCTTCAATATCTCGGCAATCTATCCAAACTCTTGATTCCAATCTACAAAAACCACAATCCAGTCTCTTCTCTGTTCGTCGTGGACTAACTACCGGAATTCTAGGATCAATGTAATGATATTTTGCATACCAATTTTCTTTGCAATCTATTAAGCTTTGTCGAGGTTAGCGTTGAAAATTTGGAATCGCTAACTCTAATTCTTAAACCTCTTTATAAACCAAATGGAAGCAGTGATTATCAGCACTCTTTGAATACAATCTGTACTGCTACACCTTTTATTCCTGTAAGCAGAACCATCCACAGCAATAACATATCTGAGCCTGAAGCCTCTGCTACTCTTGAATCCTCGTCCAAAGCCTTTGTCAATCCTACACACTCTTGTCCAGTTATTGAAGAACTCGATTCAGTTGAAGATATGGAGATTATGCATGCAAAACAAGGCTCACAGGCTAGTCGTCGTAAGAGTACAGATGCTAGACCTAAAGAAGGTATGATACTGAGATGTTTATTCAACAAGTGTTTGGTTTTTAAAATTCTAATCAAAGCACCTTATATTCTTGATTTGCATTGATTTGACAGCCACTCCAATTCAAGTCGACGAAGAAACAAAAATGATGGCTGACATTGCCAAACTCAACTCTCTATCAATAAGATGCAACAAATTTAAAGCAATACTGGAACAGCCAAATGTTGATCTAGGTAATAGCCATACTATTGAGCAGTGATCAAGTGCTACGTTTTGCAATGTATTTTTAGCTTTTGAAATCACAATTTAGTAACTTTATCTGTAATCCATATCTAGAGCAATTACGAAAGCTTAGTTGGCCAGGAATTCCCACAGAAATTCGCCCTACTGCATGGAAGCTTTTGATGGTGAGAATTGTGGTATAATATTAGAATATTGCATGCTTGCCACTAATGCGAGTGTTTTGATTTCCTCAGGGGTATCTTCCCGCTAATTCAGATCGTCGTGATTCAACACTGATACGTAAACGCAAAGAATATGAGGAATATGTTTTGCAAGCATATTCTCGTGGCACAGAAGGACTTGACCAAGGTCTCAGTCATCAAGTAAGTTGAACCATTCAAGGCTAATGCATTGCTATTTCGAATTCCTGTATTTTCATATACAAAGATTTGGGCTTACAGTGTTGCTATTATATATCTGAATGCACTATTTTAATTGTTAGATCCACATAGATATTCAACGTACAAATGCGCATATGCCGCTTTATCAGCATCCAATCATTCAAGAGGTATAGAGACTTGGATTTTTAGGCTTAATGTTGATTCTGTATGTAGAAAGAGGTGTACCTACTGTCTATGACTTGGCGAATGACAAAATATCTAATTGTATTTGCAATAGGCACTTGAGCGTATCCTTTATGTTTGGGCTATACGACACCCAGCGTCTGGTTATGTACAAGGAATCAATGATTTAGTCACATCGTTTTTCCAAGTATTTCTTCAAGAAGTTGTTTGTAAGCTGTATTATTTTTTAATTTGCATGTGTTTACAATCATGCTGGTGATGCGTGGCTAATTATTTGCAACCGGCAATGGTTTTAATGAAGCGAGTGACGTGGAAAAAATAGACCCAGCACAAATATCACCAGAAACACTCACAAATGTTCAAGCTGACACATTCTGGTGTTTGACCAAGCTACTTGATGGAATCCAGGACAATTACACTCATAAGCAGCCTGGAATTCAAAGACAGATTTTTCGACTTAAAGAACTAATTAATCGGATTGATGGTAGGTTGCTACTAGCTACTGTAGACTATGATATGCAATAATTGTATATCACTCAACTATTTATTTCTATGGTTTATTCCGATATAGCACCGCTCCACAATCACTTGGCTGCACAAGGTATCGAGTTTTTACAGTTTTCGTTTCGTTGGATGAACTGCATGCTGATGCGCGAGATTTCTCTGGGAAATACGATTCGCATGTGGGATACCTATCTCGTAAGTATATGCAATTGAATCTGTGAAATTGAGAATGGACACACTGTAACAGCTTATGTTAAATAATCCAACTAATGCACACTCACGACATTATTAATGCAAATATACACGCATCAGGCTGAAGGTTCTGACGGGTTTTCCGACTTTCATTTGTATGTATGTGCAGCCTTTTTGGTCAAATGGTCTGCTCAGCTTCGAAGCCTTGAATTTCAGGTACTGTAATGTATCTATCAAGAAGGCCATGATTTTTAATTACGCTTCTGACACCAAGTTTTTTGTTTTTGTATTTACAGGATATTATGATGCACTTGCAATCTCCTCCTACGGCAGCGTGGACAGAAAAGGATATTGAGCTGTTGTTGTCAGAGGCATTTATGTGGAAATCGTTGTTTCACAATTCACCTAACCATTTGAGTTCAAATGGGAGCGGTGCTTCAAGTATGCAGCTACAATGAATCGTGTTTTTAAAACTCAGATGATAGTTTGAGCGTTTGGTTATATCGGCATATGTTTTTGACAAGAACGATTATATAGATCCGAGTGCTGGTTTGTACCATTAAAAAGTGAAATAATTACACGTGATTTACGCTTGACCTTTGCAACTCTGACTTGACTGCTTCATGACAATGTCGGACGCTCAACCAACATCATCCAGGATGCAGCTGGGCCAGACTCGCGAGACAATGGACCTTTTGTACGAAATATCCATGCTTCTCAACACTGGGCTGGATAGAGAAACCCTTGCTCACTGTGTAGCACTATGTGAAGGTGGTGTGAATCCAGATGCTCTTGCAGCGGTTATCAAAGAACTCAAGCGGGAAAGCAGAATCTTGCGGAGTGAGCAGACTCAACAACAGCAATAATCCCAACTTGTACACTGTCGTTTTAGCAGCAGTTGTCACATGCTAGACGTTGATCATGAATTTCTGAGCACATATCGAAACAATTGTCATCAGACAATTTGAATAATGAAGTTTAAGCATAGATTTGCTGTCAATGCACAGATCTATGAATTGAAACTTAAAACTTGTTGAATCTAGCGAGTAATGTGTTGGTTGATTATAAAAACACTATGTTTTGCAAAAGAATGCTCTGATAGATTGGACAATGAGTGTAGATGAATGCATGTGTTGTTCAGTCCGATCCGATTGAATTCATAAATCAATCGACGAGTCTTTACCAACTCTTGCCATCCAACAATAAACTGAAATGACAGCCATTCGACGTTTTGTAGCAGACGACCTATTCAAATTCAACAACATGTGAGTGCCAGTAACAGAATAACAACCCATAGAATCTACTGAATTCAAATCAATTCCTATGTTCATTCAACGACTCTTGATGGATGAATGCTTGATCAAACAGTCTGATTATAAACGGTTTCAGATGCTAACCTATTCAATTATAAAGCAATTTGGACCCTCTTACAGAAACAGTATGTCGATCTTGCTGATTTGAGCTTACATTGAAATCCTTGATCTGACTGCTCTATTAAACCTGAAATGCTCGACTTGCATTCTATATCATCTAGTATAACCTGTCATTTTATCTTGGATATCTTGCTCAATGGCCTGATTTGTGTATGACAGCGGAAAATGCCAACGGCACACTCATGTCCTACAGTATGTACCATCGATTATACATGTGTTTATAAATTCATGGAAACCAAGCTATTTCAAGTCGATTGAATTGACCCACCTTTATCCTTGTCAACAAGTTATTGGAAAGGCGGAAGGACACGATGAGCTATGGCATGGACATGTTACAGCACTCACAGTTGCTCCTGAATTTAGACGGTTGGGTTTGGCACGAACACTCATGAACTTTTTAGAGCGAGTATCTGAAAAAGTGTAAGTCGATCTAATGCCAAGATGCTAGTGGTTCATGGTTTAATTCAATGCCAGCACATCTTGGTTGATGTATGGATATATCTTGGTCAACATATTGATGCCTGCTGCGTCTATTCGTATTTTTATTTTATAATAATTAGCTACAATACCTACTTTGTGGACCTGTTTGTGCGGTCTTCAAATAGTCTTGCTATCGGCATGTATGAAAACTTTGGATATACAACATATCGACGTGTACTGGACTATTATACGGGACACGATCCAGAAGATGCTTTAGGCAAGTTGAATGCTCGACTCTTACTCTATACCTTTGTTTGCATACACTGTTATAAATGTATTTATTATTTTGAATTTGCCCTTTAATGGGTACCTCGAAAGGCAATGCTAACAAATTAAATATAAATAGATATGCGCAAAGCACTGCCACGAGACGTATTCAAAAAAAGTATTGTACCACTCAAGCACCCGATTACGGTAGACGAGTTAGAATGGTGAAAAGTATAACCAGGATCTAATTTCCTGCATGATTTGATTCATAAGCTACCATCAAAGATAATACGGCATGTTGGTTGTTTTGAATTGATTCACTTGCTCTGTATAACCATGAGCAATTCATTTATGGTTGGGATTAGCTGGATAGTATTGGAATAAATTGCACGGTTTCAAGAGAAATAGCTACTTGCCTGAAATCAAATCCAATTTTGCATCTGGATATGTAATGACCAGAAATATACGAGTACCATAGTGGGTGGTAGCAACAATCCATGTATCCTTGGATACTTTCATCTGAATTTCGTTCAATCCCATTTTTGAACTATTACAAAATACACTTGGTTAGCTCAAGTTGAATTTATCAGCCAGGCTAGCGTCGATCTTGTATTTAAATTTGAATTAAACTGGACTCTACCTCGCCAAATCCTCATTCAATTGACCAATGGCAACGGCAAGATTCGATGTAATTGATAGTAATTTGGTAGTGTTAATAGACAGCTTGACTGCCAGCGTCAATGAATTGAATGTGATGAATTTGAAAGAATACTCTGGAGACTCGGTGCTATTTAAAAGATCCACAATAAGCCAGTATAATACACAACCACATACTTGTCAGTTCATACATTTGCACATCAAGAATTTAAACAGCCGGAAAAATCATTACATGTTTTTTGTGTAGTCCTGATATGCAGAAACAAGTTTTTCAAGCAGCGGCATGGATATCTGATCAAATCGAGATTTTAGCTGTGTGTATATGGCTGGATCCAATAATGCTCGAGCCTTTACAGGATCCGATAGATCAACAAAAATGGCAAAAGTAATATCATCCTGGAACTAATCGAATCAATTTTTACATAAGCATGGCAAGTGTGGTGTAAGAATACTACACTAGTAATACAGTAAACAAATTTAGAACTATAATACAGGCTATTGTAAATCAATAAGTACCTGATAGACGATCAGTCCAAATGGTTTCAGATCTTCATCAAGATATACTTTTTTGATGTCAATAGGAATGCTTGAAGTATAAGGATGTTCGGGGCCCACCAAGAATCCAGAAAATGCGCGCTGCATCGATTGTGTAGCTCTAAAAAATGGATTAAATGTCGAGTTTGAAATAGCCGTGGTATGTGAAGCCAAAACAATTGGTTTACTATCGATAATAGCCTAATTGGTGCAAAATATAAATCCGTCAAGCAATTCCAAATTGAATATGCACATGACATCAACACATGGTTAATACAAAGCAGTGCATTAATTACACGACTCGAGCAGATGTGGTTTGATTTGATAGCAAATGCAGACTTGCCTCTCCCTTTCGCTTAATTTGATTAACCAAACCGTCATAGATCTTTCCAGTTTCTGGATCAGTTATATAGTCATAAAACGTGTGCGTATCTGCAGTATTGGCTAGTCCACTCCAAAGCAAATGATGCCCATAGAAAAGACATGTTTTTGATATAAAATCAAACGACGATTCCATCTCACTGATAGCAGTGATTATGCTGAGATAAAGCGATTTTTTCAATGGAAGTCGGTGTATGCCTAAACGATTACAAAGTTAGACTATATCTATAATTGATCTAAACCCCACACCTACCATTTAAACTTGAAAGAATATCCAAAGAGCCAATTTTAGACACACTGTTAATGTAGGTAGAAAAGAATGAATCAATGACATCCTTGAACAAAGCTGGCGAGTCCGTATATGTTTTAGAAACATGACTAAAGCTTTTAAAAAACATCTAAACATAAAAAGTGTTGGAATCCAAATGAAAAAAGTATAAAACGGAAGCAACAAACACTAATATGACTGCTGTAAACATAGACTATGTCACTATAAACTCAAAAGAGCTCAACACAGGCAGTTGCTTTCTGCTTGAAAAATACCTTGAAGCGGGCATATGATCGTGATAAAATAGAGTATAACACATTATTTGGAAGCTCGTTATCTAGATACTCGGCAAGTTTTCTGCCATTTGCTTCAACAGTGATTCTTGTGCCAAGTCTCATTTTCTATATGTATACAGTAGAGTGACTGTTAGCTGAAGCAAATTGATTTGAATGCAAGCATGTTCAAGCTGATTATAGATTCCGATTTTTGATCATCCAAGATACCAATCGTCATGTAGAGCTTGAATAAAATCACACTAGTGTTCAACATAAATGGCATGCGCTGGTATTTGAAATGATAAACCGAATCGTCAAGAGTCTGGTAAAGCATGAACCGTACCACATAAATCCAGTATCTATCTTCCATTTGCAGCATCAAACTTTTTGTTTTCCTAGTGCAGATAACCTCACATGGTGTAGAAACGGGAAATGTCAGGGTGAAGCTAGCCATTGCCTGCAGTAATCCCACTTGCTTCAACTGTGCATTAAGAGGTGTATTGGGTGGATAGAAAAAGCATATCTGCTGGGCAGCACCGGCAGCATCTTCACAAAAAGGTTTAGCTGAATCAAAAATAACAAAACTAGTAAGAACAGGCGGGACAGTAATTTTTTGAGAGTCGAAAGTCTTGAATGCAGACATGGGCGACAATCCCATGCAATGGAAGTATCGTTGGCTGCAGTTTGGATTGAATGTGTCGAGATGGAATCAATCTTGGCTCATCACAAACAACTCCTCAGGCGTATCAGTTGGAATCTTGAATTTGGACTGCATTCTGTTGGTGATTCTTTTGGATTCAAACATGCCAGCACTAAGCTTGTTGTGAATGCAGAGTCTCAAGTATCAAATCTGGAGCATTCCCTCAATGGAAAATAAAATCAAACGTCATTTTAATAGGAACCAGTGGGTTCAGAATCCATAGTTGCACATTTAGGTTATGAAATTCTGTTTTTAGTAGAGATTCTATGAAACTGGTTTTGCATGTTGTTGTGATTTTACGGCTATAATCAACGCGGTGCTTGACAACTAAATTTGAGATTTCAACCAAGGCTTCATTATACCAGATTAAGATTAGAAAGTGAGAATGTAACAAGCTTAGTTTTGCTCTTGATTAAACTTTGTAGATATAAGCGCATGCTAGGTATATGTCACCATCTCCTACATCAAAAACTGCAACTCCTGAAACAGTGCAGGCCAATAAAATAAGCATATCACTGCATACACCAATTGAAAATGGTCACGTTTGACCTGATAGTTGCTGTGCATTATTTTACGTATCCAACTCGAGTTACTTGGGCCGGGTTCTCCACATGACTCCCACCTGCACTAATAGCTACTTGCATGTGTTGTTGGAATTGCTATTTTAATTTTGCAAGTTGCTATAAAAATATTGCTTACGTGCAATAAGTTTGTGGGCAGGTCTCTACTACGGAACTGGCTACTGCTGCTTATGTCACCATGAAAGGATATACCAACTAAATCTAGAGTAAATATGCCCACCTGTTAATCAGCCTGTATACTAGTTTTTCCAGCTATGGATTACATCACTATCCAAACAATACTTTATTTTTGGGCTTTTACTTGGGTCAACCACCACTATGTTTTCATGGCAATAGACCCTTACTCAATTACAACCATTTTTAAAATTGCATCGTGTAGTCACATATTAGACCAGCCGATCAATAGGTGAAGATATTTCTTTAGACTTAGTCATGTTGATATATTCCCTGACTGTGTGACATAACCATTAGCAGTCAACCCCATATTAGAAACTTGTACCACGTGCGTAATTAAAGCACCACGCGGGAAAATGAAATGGTCTAGAAGAATTTGGCGTAGGATTTTTAGCTTTTTCGACCTGTTGACGTGATCCAATCCACTGCCCAATGAACACGAAGAAAGCACGGGTAGTTGTTGATATTTTCAGACCAAATGCAACACGAAAGAGGCAGTAGTAGCATGTGCGCAAATGACTAGAATAAAACTTGATCTTGACTGCGCTAAGTCTTTGTATAATTGGACATGTATAATTTGGGTGGGAGTCGCCAATAAAACTTATAAACTCGTGTATCTCCCAAAGTTGAATACTGCTACAAACTCGAGCAAATCCATCACAAGTCTATTGCAACCAGTGCACATCTCGCTCATTGTCGTGTACGATACAAATTTTGATTATCTTGCTATACCTGCATTGTGGTTCAGCCCGACATTGCCACATCGAAACATCAACCTTTTCAACACAACTTGGCTTAGCCTATTCGCTCCTGTTGCATCCTTTGCACACCCGCATTGTTTCCGCCTCCGCCGCGTTTGCCTTGTTGCTTTTGTATTAAATCGTTCTTTCCGCCCCGTGTGGTTCTTCTGCTTGCCACTGGCTACTTGACTAATACAATAATCCAGATCTAGTGATATTAGAATTCATTACATACAGAGAAATTCATTCGACATCATACCTGATATCAATCTGCACATCTTACAAAGTGCACACTGTTCTTTCCCCGCCCAACCCCGACGCTGCTTCCTACGTTTACCTCGGACACTCTTCCGTCCAGCAGTAATCTACTATTCTAGTCAACCTCGAAAGTCTGCTGGTGTACAAGAATCACACTATTAAGCCTTTCAATATCTGTTCGACTCCGCCAGACTCCTCTTGAACGCTAAATAATTACCAAATGATTGGTGTTTTACCTGACTCGGATGAAGCATTAACAATGGGCAGTCCTGACCTGGTAAAGTAGATCTTATATACTTGCTTTATTCTTTTTGAGAAGTACCGGACAAGAGTATCCAAATTGTTCATTTAACCCGAGGGGGTATTTATGAACTGCATAATGGCATTCATCTGACAGACAAGCACCTTTACCCCTATGATAGGATAATGGTCCACATGAATTTCCAAAATGGGGTTGCTTGGAGTTGTGTCAGTTAAAGCAACTTGGATGGATATCAAGTAGCCAGGGATATTCATAAGCGGCCTGTTTATTTTGGATTGGCTGCAGTGTTTGATACATTTATCCATGTCCGCATCATTACTGTGCTTTTTGTATAAACCAGACTGGTTATTTTGTAAATCACTAACTTTGGTTTAATCTAAACTTGAATTAAAATTGCACTTGTATTGCTCTGCCTCTTGGACTGAAACTGGGACTGTCTGCAATACTATAAATCCACATTAATATCATGGGATTCTACTATTGCACTTTAACCCTTGCCAATGCTGCTATATAATTGCTCGATTGTGCCTTGATCTGTTCAAACATACAGTATGCGCGTCTAGAACATTATGCACAAAATCCTAGTTCTGCTCCTAACCCATATGTAGTCACTTCCCATCTACGTCTTGCTAATTCTGGCCAAGTAGATTCTTTAAATCATGCTTTGTCATTTCAGCAACAGCCTTTATCTTTATATCCACAACTATCCTTTCAACAGGGTCAGCAACAACCGTTACAATACACCCTCAACCCAATTCAAAACTCATTCCAGCAATCATACCAGCCACAGTATCCATACCAACTATCTCAGCAGATGCCACTTTACCAACAGTTCCATATCTCATTAGACGAACCTGTGGCTTTGTTTCCATCTGCTACCAGCGCGATATTTGGAATGCGTGGGTGTGCTTCTAAAGCTGCTACATCGACTCTTGATATGACTACTAGTCTAAGTGCCACTACAAGCACTTCATCATCCACTTCTAATTCTAGTAGCAACACTACTGTCAAAAATAACCCGACTAATTCTAAATCTGTTGCAAGTCATAATCATCACATCTCTTGTGTCGAGTCAGGCACATGCACCTGTGGATTGATGTCTGTTGGATCATGTGGTATTGATAGTCTCGACTTTCATATTGCAAATTCAATGACTTCACCACATATGACACTGGCTAGTCTTGTCCCAATCGCATCTCAGACCAGCTATTCCAACCAATTGTCTGATATGACATTGTTTACAAGCCCCGCCACAAACTCCTTGTCTGAAAGTGCTTCTAGTGCCATTTCCATAGACACTCTTCCACTCATAGCTGATATCAATACAACTACCTCGGCTGATATTTTACAATCTAGTGCTGCCGAGAGCATAAGCGCGTCCATGGCTTGTTCAGCATCAGTTTCGGCATTTATGTCGCCATTAATATCAAGCAGCAGTTTATGTTTAAGCTCTTCTGATGAGTTACTGTTTTCACAGCCACCCCTGGACTCAAGCAACCAGTCAGAAAATGGTTTGCTACTGTCAAGCGACCTTTCTGCTCAGAATCCCTCGTCTCTTTCTCAGCAAATGCTACAAGAGCAAGAAAAGCAACAGAAGGAGCAGCAGCAACGATCGGAGATGCAAAAGCAAACTCTGAGAGCACTCGACTGCAATGCACTTCGTCGACATTCAATTGCTGCACCGTTTGCAAAAATGTACAGCTACAATCAAGCTATGGCTGCAAGTATGCACTGCACTCCTGCTAGAAATTTTGTGCAAGGCCAACATGGACTTTCATCTGGTCATGACGAATGGCAATCTGATCGTAGTCCATACCAGACATACGGAAACTGTGCTAGTCAACATACTAGTGCTCCGCTGTCAGCTGGTTTAGAAACTCCCATGTCGCTGGAGCTTGATCTTGAGCGTGTGCATGATATGAATGACTGCAATGGCATTGCTCAGTCTTTATCACTGTCCCCAGAGCTGAGTTTTCATCAGCTACAACTGCATCATCAGCTACAGTCTGCATTGAACCTTCAACAAAATCAACAGCAAAGTCCATTGGTGATGGGATCACAGCTTAGTAACTCCAACAGTGTATTCTCAGGCTTTGGCTCGCATGTATCCATTTTAAATCAGCGAAATGGTCAAATCCCAACATTTACTTCGCCCAACTCTTCTCAAATTTCTCCAATTGACGGAACATCCTTTTACGAGTATAGCTACGACCCTGTTATTGATGCACATGTGGGTCCTTTTGGTCCTGGATTTTCTGGCGCGAGTGTATTTGCCGATATGCCCTCACAAATATACATGAACTCTGTTCCACAGTCTTTAGGCCAAATCAATCCTCAGATGATCCATCCAGGAAATTTAGCCTATGCGCAGGATCCAGAAACTAAAACAATACAGAAGATCCGATTTCAGAAAAAATCAGAGCAGCTATCCCAACACTCTTTACATTGTCTACAGTCTTCAGCGCCATCTTCTAATGCAGCTACAACTGCCACATTGTTTGGATCGCCGCCACTATCAGCTACAACATCTCTAGACTCCCCCACATCTTGTTCTTCTCCCGAGTCTTCAACTCAAGAATCACCTGCACCGCTTTCCAAGTCGGCTCCTATAAAATCGGTTGTAGTTTCTGATGAGCGTGGTCATCCACAACGCAAGAGTAGTCGTGGTAGATCTAGTGCTCCACGCGGACGACGACACTCTGGCATGCGTGGTTCAGCTAAACGCATGAACGCCACAACCCGTTCATCCAACAATCCTCTCTTTGAGTCTACTCTTGATTTTCCCACCTTGTCTTCATCCATTTCCACCACTGCCTCACTCAAGCCTACTCTTTCAGGTGCCATGGTTCACAATGGTCGCCGCGTTCAAGTCAAGGTCGCCTGTGTAAATTGCAAATCCGCGTGTAAACGCTGTGATAGCCAACGGCCGTGCGCTCGATGTGTTCGAATCGGCAAACATGATACATGCACAGATGCTCCACGCAAAGAGCGGCGTGCAAGCGTTCCACATGAGACGGATCAATCTTTGTCAAGAAGAGCTTCAATTGCATGCACTGGTATTGGTGCCGAAACTTTGCATGCCACTGCCGTTCGGTTTGATGATGTCTAAGCTGAAGCAAGTGATCAAAATGAGTTGGATGGAAATTGTAAATTCAATCTTACATCCAACTCTAACTCTACACCATTCATGTAATTCTCTATTTTTGGAGTACTAATCCATTCAAACATTCTACTCTTATACTCATTAAGATGAAAATCACTTTTTGAGTTTAGATCTTCCTGTTATCACTTTTTAATCGTAAAGTTTTTTTGCATTTAATTCCATCTACGCTTGATGTGCAAAAACTACTTTCTGTAATTATTTTCCCTCACTATAGTTTGATTAATGTTGGAGCCTTTATCATTATTGTCTAGCATTTGTTTTTTGGATGGTATAATCCCTTTTTGTTCTAGTTTTATTATTTTTACCCACTTTTTCATTTTTACCTTGATTTTTTTGGACACGGCTGTTGAAAGGTTATTTTATTTTTTCTCGATCCCTAGGCGCTATTCACGAGCCATACCTATTTTATTGAATAAACCTTAAATTTTTGGAAATACGTGTGCATTGGGGTTTATTTCAAATCATGCTGCTTTGTAGGCGCAGATGTACCTATGACATGGAAAACAGATCAGCTTAAAGGATTGCAGCAACAAGAATCTTTCGAGTGTTTAGAATATAAATGCCGAGCCTTTCAAATTGTACTGTAAACAAAAATGCATAGTTAGGCCTTGTACATTTTTTTAATGTCAGCGCTATACTTGCTCAACACCTCGGCTCGTTTGATTTTTTGAGCTGCTGTCAGGTATCCGTTCGATGGGGTCCACTCATCAGCAGTGAGTGTGATGGCCTGAACTATTTCGGCTGGCTTGAATCCAGCAGACTTTGCCAAGCGCTTGAAATCATCCAATACAGCCGTCACCACCTCACGAGTCACACATAGCTCAGTAAGATCAGCAGTAGTGGCGCCAGCAAGTTTCAGACCCACAGCATGCTCGCGAATATGCTTTTCAGAAACAACAACAATACCTACAACAAAGGATTCCAAAGGATCTGCATGGATACAAAGATTGAGTGAAAACATGGACGTTTTGTAAAGCGCTTCGAGTTTTTCGAGAGCTACGTATTCGCCATTGTTGAGTTTGACCAAGTTTTTTTTGCGATCAATAATTGAAAGAGATCCATCTGGATGCCACTCGCCAATATCGCCCGTCATAAACCACCCATCAGAAGTCATAGATTCGGCTGTAAGTTGTGGTTGCTTATAGTAGCCCTTCATGATGGATTTACCACGAGCCCAAACCTCACCACGAGGATTGTTTTTGGGATCTTGGGGAAAAGGAGTGTAAGCAGTGTCGGTAACAGCAACTAATTTGATCTCATTGCAAGGAAAAGGTGCCCCGACATTGCCAAGATTGGTGACATCTCTCATATCCTGAATAAACAAAGTACTACACAATTGGTAGTGGTGTATAAGAATCAATGCATAGATTAACAGCTATATCATGGACAAAATTTTGCAATGACATCTAAAAGCAAACAAGTATAAACCATACCCGCAGGTCTCGGTAAGTCCATAACCTTGAATAACAGGACAGATACAAATTGATATAAACTTTTGAGTATCGGGGGCCATAGGTGCACCTCCAGAAAGTGCCAGCTTAAGACGACCACCAGTCTGATTCTGCACGGTATGAAATACCAAAGAATTCAAAAATCCAGTGGGAAGACCCATCTGCATAAGCGACCATTTTAAATGAAATGCAAGGTCAAAAACAGCCTTTTGTGTTGGCGGTATTTCTGCCAGTCTTGCTATAATTCCTTTGCGGATACTAATAGTTATGGTTTAATCAAGTTTGCATAGATTAGATTAGAGTTGATTGCAGGTGAAATATGCAGCACATGAAATATGTTGAGCAAAATTTACGTTTCCCAAACAGCTGGAACACCAACCATAATAGTTGGACGAAGCTCGCGGATATCACCCTTACAGTTGCGCACGGATCCATCAGAAAGGGTGCGAACACTTCCGTATCCAAGGGACGCACCAGCCAAAATACAGATATGCTCGACAGTGAATTCAAGAACGTGTGCGAGAGGCAAGTAAGCAAGATAAACAGTATTGTTGTCAAGATAGGCATGTTGAGTCTTGAAACCACTGACGGCTATATTTGTACAGATATGACAGTTTCAAAGTCAAGTTAGATTGTAAATCAGTTTAGCATTATATCTCCAAAGCTAAAGAATTTTGGCAGTGCAGATATTTTGGACATGCTATTTCAAAATGTAGTGATATGGTATAGCAACCAATCTATTGAGTAAAAAGCTTAAACTTACCAGCAGAAATCAGATTTCCATGCGATAGCATGACACCCTTTGGATTTCCTGTTGACCCAGACGTGTACATGATGCAGCACAAATCTTCAGGAGTAGGTGGAACAGGATCAACAGGGTTATCGATGCCAGTACGCCGTAATTCATCCATAGTATACAGATGAAGATGCGAATGAGCGGCCTTGATGGCAGAAATGTGTTCTTTTGTAGCATTTCCGGTGTAAATAATGTTGGTAAGAGTAGGTGTTTTGTCGCCAATTTTCTTGATCATGGGAAGCAAATCTGCTTGAGTAAAGAGAGTGGTGATTTCGCACTCATTGACGGAAAATGTCAGGCCTTCTTCACCAAGCGTATCATAGGCAGTAGATAAGGTTATGCTTTGGGTGAAGCAGCCATGGGCCATGAGCATCCAGTCACGACTAAACCCATCAAATCATTCAAGATATTTAATGTAGAAAGTGTAAAAGCGTGAGCAAAGACATGCAACAGATCTAGAGCACCGAATATATGTAATCTAGTCTTGGACACAGCTTGCAATATCAAAGTGATCGCCATGCGGATCAATTGCCAAATTATGCCAGCAAGAAACCAAGTCATTGACGGACATGGTCTGTGACCATATACTCTAATCAAACCCATTCAAGGTTTTCTATACGGCACAATAAAAACAAGGACACACCTGGTAGAAGCAAAGATGGCAACTTTAGAGTGAGCGGAGAGACCTAGTTTACGCAATCCAGCACCAATATGCAGGGCATCTTGCGCACACTGTCTGTATGTCATCCATGAGAATTCTGATAGTTCAAAGTACTTCCAGACCTTTTTTTCAGTCGTCTCGACACCACCAACAGTCTTGGTGACCATCTTCTCCTCCTCAACGACACGAACGACTTCACGAGAGCCGAATAGAGGCTGAGAAGGAGGAAGACGAGCAGCATTATATTTGAGCAACTCGTAAAGGGTAGTGATCTCTGGGTTTAAGGTTGCTATCAGAGCATCGGGAGAGTGATGAGAACGACGAGGTCGTCCAGCATAGTTGCCATCAGCAGCACCGACTTCAACAGTAAGTTTACGAGTTATTAGTGAATGGAACATCAGTCCAGGAATAACAACTCCTACAATGACCCATGCAGCAAGATCAATAAAAACTTGACCCATAGCTGCGAGAACTGTAATATAAAGAACGAGGGTCGGATCTCGAGTTTTTACGACTAGTAAACGGTGTGCAAGATGTACGCTTTAACAAGCGATTGCACATGGTTAATGTTGAAACCAGCTGGAATTCAGGACACTTGCTAATAGTATTTTCATCTCCAATCTAAATATGCTGAATAGTCTGAATATGAATGCAGCATGGTCAGACTATTGGGTCGAGCATTCAAATGGCAATCCATTATTCCTGACACCAGAACAGTTTCGCAGCCAGCACGCCCAATTGCTTCATCTGTTGCTTTTCAACCCTAATTTCATCACCCTAATCGTGTACTCCGCTTAGTGGGCGTATAATTGCTATATTTATAGAGAATCCCCTCGTATTCATGTCTGCGATCACCACTTGTATCAACTTTTACCAACTGCTCGAGTTTGTTATTATTTTGGACAAACCCTTGCAATAGAGCCGTTTGAATTGATATCCTCTTGTCCAAGCCATCTACTTTTGCAAGTGTTGATTATCAGTGCGCTTCATACGATTGCTTCCTGTCCGCTTGGTTGAATCGGTAAGTATCGATGCTCATGTATTTTCAAGCCACCTTTGGATAGTTGCCGAGCTGGATTGGTTAATCTCCAACATTAAAGCTCGTTCGTCAGACGATTTCACCTGGTGGAGTCGACTGATGTCATCCAATTCTAAATGACATTCCGTCAGCCCTTGTCAGGACTGTCAATGGTTTAAACGAGACCAACCTTGTATTGATTTGATTCCCAGCATCGTTGTAGTTGTCAATCATCTGTTTTACTGACAATCTCATTTATAATCATGCCATCAAGGCCAATCTACTGATAGTTTATGTATAATAAAGTTCTCTTTAAGCGCAAGAGCTCCATTGCTCATAAGCATCAAGACAGGACCTTGGTCGATGTTCCAATTACTGTCCATCAGCCAATCGATGCTTCCATCAATACTGCTCAATCTATAATGCAACCTCATTGTCCACAAGCAGTTTTAATCCCATCAGTAGGATCAAATCCTCCTGTTTCTGCATCTCAATCTTCTTTCCCGGAATTACAATCTCCAAGACCTCCCGGGACAGATATGAGCCATGAAGATATATCAGAATCTGACTACGAATCCGACCCCGAACCTGCTGCTCTAGCACATCACTGGCCTGAAAATGCAATGGACATGTTTGCTGGAGATGCTGATAATTACATGCAGACTAGTTTGGAGCTGCACAATAACCCTGCGTCCCTGCTCAGCTATAACGGCGCCTTGAACCATGCTGTCAATTTGGGTGCTCAGCATCGACAGGTATTATTCACTTGCTACTGGATTATCCATTAAACCATCTTCTTGCATTGCATACAATCACCTCTTGGTCAGATTCTTGTTTCTTTATGAATCAACCTTGCAAAATTTGGTTGCATAAATCCTTACTATGATTCTTACTTTTCCACACAGCTCTGTTTAGATACTGACTTTCATTACCCTTAATTTCAACTGTTTAGAATAAGATATCTTCTATATCTCAGACCTCAAATACCAATCACTGCCACTCTACCCCCAACCTGTCGACAAAAAGTGATTCATGCAATACCAACAACAAGATTTACTCTGACGACGACATGTATGAGGATATTGATGACGGGATTGTTCCTGGATCAATACACCCATCTGCAAACAGCCATGGTCAATTCCGTGCTGGACCACGAACTACTAGTAGGCGAAGATCAGGACTACTTTCTGTTCGTCAAGCTCAACTGACATCATCAAACAGTCAGAGTCGATCTGGCCATCTTCGTCGTCCAGCAGACGCAATGTCAAAATCAATGAACAATCTAACTAGCCAGTCCTTGGATCAACAATTTTTATCACGTTCTTTGCAACCAGATTCCAAAACGGGCTCTTTGGATCCAGTTGCTTATCAAGAGTTAATGAAAGTGGTCAATCAATACTCGCAACTGATAAACCAAGAAAATCTGCAAAAACAACCCCCTATGCCGATTGCCACTCCTACACTAAATATTGGCAGCGCCAATCTGGACATCTTGGCATCCCAATTACAGCCACAGCTGATAAAGGGTGATGTATCGACTCCTGAAAACAAGGAGATCCTGAACTGTGTTAGAGATAACATTGCAAGTGTCAGTGAAACTCTTAAACGCTTAGAGCTTATGCTGCAGACGCTTACCAGTCCTACTGATCTGCATGGTACAGATACTACGCAAGGAGCTCATCTAACTCCGTCAAATTCCGGACTACAGCACAGAGCTTTTCAACTCAACTCACCTGCCAATTCTACGCCCTCTGTCCATAGCGCTACTCGCCAAAATCTACCTTTACAACCTGCTAACGACACCAATCCTATTTCAGCAACCGCCAAACAGTTGGACCACGTAGAATCTAGTGAGCCGTCTCAGCTCACAGCTGATCAAGTGCCCGAAATTGATGTTGCAAAGTCACCCTCATTGGTCAATGATACTGGCTTGAATCCTTGTTTTGAAAGTTCCTCTAATTTACCTGCCAATGATCAAACCAAGATTGAAACTGTGGCTGATAGTTGTGATAAAGATCTTCATGTCAGCGCTGTAGCCGATTCTGATGAAAACATGCATACAAAACTTTGTGACGAGGAGATGCAAGCCGCTTCATCAGTTGAGGCTTTAGACACGCATAATCTGGCTGCTACTATTAGCGATTATCAAAGAAAAATTACGCTTCCACCTCAAAACATTGGTTTGCTTATTTCCAAGTACTCGGCTGTTATTGATCGCCTTGAAGAACCTCACCTGGTTGCACAGCGTACGGAGATCAAACCAAACCGAGCGCATGCAAAGTCTCCTCGTGTAACCTCTCGATCATCCATGTCCAACATCTCCAACAAACACAATCGACACAGAAGTGGACTACCCAGCAATTCAAAGCGTGATTTTCTGGTTCAAAAATCGTCTAGCTTTGAGAAATCGTGCAAAGATGCAGACGAGCATCTTCCCCGTACGTCAATCTCTGCACCCAACCTGGCATATATGGGAGAGTCTCAACAAACCTTTTATAGTAGACGTAGCAGCTCAAGTGGAAGTTTTTCTCTTGATGAAGACGATCCATTGAAGGTGTACGAAGTTCCTATTTCTGCCAAGTCCGATTCTGCTTCTAACGGAAATCGTTTAGCTAAACTTGTTAAAGTTGTAACCTTTGCTACCAAACGTAACTTTTCCAAAAATGCATCACAGTCCAACTCTAGTGTTGCCTCTTCATCTACTGATCGTGTCAATTTGCATTCCCCTTCCACAAATGAGCTTAGTGCAACACAACATGCCAAAGATTTCGACGATTTGGACAAAGTATTGGACCGTATGAGTCGACTTGACAAGCCAGATAGTCAGGTGTATGTGCGTGGTTCACAATCAAAGCTTGCTCGACTGCCGCGAATTGTTGAACAGCCAGACCTGCTGCAGGATTCGATGAACTCTGGCTTAAGTGAAAAGGCTGTTTCTATACACCTGGTGACTCCTACAGATGTGCAAAATGAGTCACATTCTGAATCCCAGTCCAGTGCTGTACCGATCAACTCTGCTGCACCTGCAGCAGAAGCTTTATCTCGTGCAGCTTACCCCAACGAGAGTATAGACAATTTAGAAGCTGAACACAATAACGAAAACTCGTTTGACGAATTGGAACGTGCACTTGATCGCATGGGTCGCATGACTCGTATGAATGATCAAACATACACTCCTGTATTGGATCGTCTATCCATCATGGAAGCCAGCACATTATACGAGGCCAGTTCGACCATGTCTACTTCGCCCCGTCGATCCCGGAATACTGAGGAACGTATTGAGGGTTCCACTCTCCGTGACTCTGTAGAAAATAACTTGGACACCGATATGACTTCTATTTATAGTGGAGATAACCGCCATGCCAGTCTTGATTCTGTAGAGCTACTTGCTTCGTCAAATCTACCTTTACATCGTGCAGTACATGTGGTAGACACAATGTCTGGGGATGAATATGATTCTGATTTGGAAACTTCTCCACAATATGCATTGCAAAGGTTGCTTCAACAACATCAGCATCAACCTGCGCAGCCGCGCTCGGCATCACTGCAGCATTCGATACTACCGCGAACCTCGTCATTGCAAGGTCGTGAAGTCCGAGCCTCGGCACTTCGCGGCAGACGACGGCAGGGAACAGCAAACGGGCTAACCACAGCTGGCACACGGATTGATGGAAGCGGATTATACTATGCCCATATTCCACGCGATTTGGATGGTAATGTTTTGAATGGAATTCAGGAAGAAGATTCATGGAACACTTCTACCGACGCAGATGAGCAACCTGCTGTGCTGAGTAGTCCAGACAAGCCTTTTGAGCGTGCTTTGCAATCTGAATCGCCGCAGACACCACTTGAACCGGAACATGTATCGCAGTCACTGCCCTCTGTTGCTTTAGAACCTGGCTCGCATCCTGTACAGACTAAAAGCGCCGTTGTCGAGGAGAAGGAAGACTCCAGCACTACTGTTCCATCTACGCCAGTTGAATCCATGCTTCGTGCATCCAGTTTTAACCGTCGTGAGATCACCATTATCAAGTCAGACTACCAAACCCCACGTGCTGATTCTCGACAATCTATTGGATCTCAGCATAGCGTATCTCGGAGCATTGTATCTGCCAATGGTTCTCATCAACTTTCTTGCGAAACCAATACAGAGCACGATGACGATGAGCTTGATAATGATGAGGATGATGTGTATTGGCATCAGCAATGTGAAGTTTTGGAAGCGAGACATGTTGGGGAGTATACTCATCACTTGCGTGATACGACCTCGTGGGGTGACAGTATAAGATCATCTGTACGAAGCATAGGGCCACGATTTTCTGCAGCTGAGCTAGCGATGCTGGGTAGAAACATTCACCTAAAACCTCATACAGCTCAATCGCGACCCAACTCTACATCTTCAATGAGTCCGTCACGCCAACTCCAACCAAGGAGTAGTATTGGAATGGATCGTGATATGATGATAAATCATGAACGGACTGCTCCTAGGAACAATATACTATCGACCTCCAAGTCACTCAAGGATGACTCTACAATGTATTCTGAAACAGTTGTTGCTGGTAGTGAGTTGCTGAGTACGACTACAGGACGTTAATGCACTGTAGTTTGATGGTATATACCACCTAATGTTTTTCACTTACTAATAAAACTATCAAATATTACAACAGTAACTAGGTTGTTTGATTAAAATCAATAGTGCCCAAAGTGTAAGAGTTTGCGTATGGCATTGGCATGAATGCTTGGCAGTGAATTACCAAACTACTGTATGCCTGATTTCAATATCAACCCAACCATACGATAATAGACGGTATTGAGTGCAAGTGAAGTTGAAATGTGCTGTGTCAGGGTTTGATTTTAATTTTAATTTTGCCCATCACAGCTAGCACGAATGGCCAAGAAAAGAACAGAAAATGAAAGAATACCAACACGCATCCATCCTTGACTTGTGATGTATTCGAGGCACTCGGATAAATTTAACTCCCCACTTTTAGTGAATTGTTTTTGGTGTTTTGCAAACATTGGTAGATTGCTGATTGAATAGCAGGAGCATAAATTGCTCGTGTTTCTTATACCGCGACAATCATCCAATGGTTGGCACAGCCAGCTTGCTGAATGATCTAATACTCTTTCCAATTCAATATAAAACGTCCCTCATTGAGTCTAGCGGCGACTGCTTGCAGAGCCTGCAGAGCTTGGTGATGCTCTGACACGAGAGCTTCCAGTCATGAGTATACACTAGCCTGAAGCAATCATGCAAGTTTAGTGTTTTCAAAGTGCTGCAGCGGCAGTCTGCTTAATGTCACCAAAATATTTTCGAAACGTGCCGAAATTGGAGTTTTTTAACCACCAAAAAAGATATTTTTCGTCCCGTTCTCATCTCCATTCTCGCCAGCAGTAAAACCTTCCTTTGAATTCAATAAAAAAATAAAAGCCAACTGGTTGGTGACAAACATTGCCGAGTATCTTGCCATTAGTTGTAGCCGTTTGAATATATTTATACTGCTGGACAAGTGCCGGATTAAGGTGGATAGAAAACATATTCTTGTATTGAATGGCAGTCGTTGTATCCATACAAGATAGCACTAACATGATATATTGTGACCAAGTAGTATGCTTACAACTCCTATAGGAAGAAAGCGCAAGACTGTTTCGTCAACCACTACACCAGCCATTCGTCAGTACTCGTCCACCAACCATCAAAGACCAAAAACTTCAAACCTTTCATCTACCCTTAAACAGCGATCCGCATCTGCTGTAAAAAGTATTCCATCTGCTGCTGTGGCTTCGCACAAGAAAGCTACCATGACAATTGATATTGATAGCGATCATTCAGGCTCTGATTGCAGCAGTGCTAGCAGCACTAGCAGTAGCTTCCACAACTTGAATTCACCTCTTTTATCCGACTCGTCTATATCCTCTCCTGCCACGTCCCCATCATTGCGATCCCGTAAACATCATATTCTACCCACCTCTCATTGTAAAAACCAGGACCAGTCCATGCATTCTAAACCCTCTTCAAAGAAACCAACTACTTTGCGGAACACTGCTCGGAAGAATGCATCTGCTGATCTGTCCATAGATCGCAACCAAACCAAACGACAATGTGTGCGTAAGCTCAACCAGCCTATTTGCGGTGGATGTCCTCGCTCAGTAGAGCCTCAAGACCCAATGGTTACTTGTTATACTTGTCTGGGTATGTGGGTTCGATGCATGGCGAGTAATGTCTTGAGAATGCAATATCTAACCTTCATGATTGGCTTGATGCTATTTTACAGTAAGATTTCATGGCACTTGTGTGTCGTCCAAGGCTCTTGCCAAGCCTCGCTTCATCTGTACGGCCTGCAAGCCTCAAAAGAAAAAGACTCCAGTCAAAAAGACTGGCTCCCACTATGACAGTAGTCTGTTGTCTGCTACTCCTGCTAATAAAAAAGAAAGTACGGGGGGAAAGGGAAAGGGGAAGAGCTATGGAACCATCATTACTGCAGCCTCTCCGGAACTAGATCTGCTTGATGATGATATATGTCCTGTATGTGATGGTGAATGCACCTGCAATCCCACTGTAACCCCTCAGCCATCTATACCTACCACTTCCCGTCAGTTCTTTGGAGAAAAGACATTGGCTGCTATTAAAAATGCTGTTTCTGCAGACCAATCCTTCATGGATCACAAGCACTATCTTTCATCTCACAGGTCTTCATCTACCAAATCTTGCAAAAACAACCCACCATCAAAATCATCCAAAAATGAGGGAAAAGATGACTCGCTTACACTCTCGGCAGCACCACTTGTTCATAAGACTGAGTCGATCGCAGATGAAGAGCCTGCCATCGACTTTTTTGATTTAAAATCTTGTGTTCCTACAAGCGCTGGGTTGCAACCAACCTGCAATCGTGAAGATACTCGGGCTGATACTATACCTACTGCTTTGAATCCATACTCGGAAAAGTTTGCAGATCTTGAAACAATCAGCACAATATTTGAAGATGCATCGGATGCTACTGTCACGACAGATTCGGATGCACAATCTGAGCTTGACGATGAAACGCTTGATCTTTTCGCCAGTTTGGACTCTTCAGATGATGAGTTGATTATTGTTGCTAAACAGGAAGTTGACCAGTCCCATGATATTGTCACTTCCTCTAGTGAAGAGCTCGAATCTGAATCTGACAATGATTTGCTGGATGTAGACAGTGACTCATCCGACGATATGGAGGTTTATGAAGAGCCTGATGATGATACAGACGACCATCAAGCGGAAGAAGAAATTGTCAATGAGCTTGTACAGGGAAATCTCATCAATGGGTGGATATCATCCGACGACGAGGAAAGCGAAGATAGTGCAGAGTTTGAATTGTTTACGTCTCCTGATGTACAAAAAATTGCTAATGCCTATGCTCTTTCTGAGCCCAGCTATGCCGAATTTAATCTGGATGCACTTCCTGCTATTTCCGATTCTGATGAAATAGATTTAGTTGCTACTCTTGACGAGACTGCTGCTGGATGCCTCGAATCTCGGACGGAACCCCCGCGACTTAAAATAGAATCCGATGATTTAGAAGCAAAGGATATTGAGCACAGCATTAAAGAAGAGTACATGAGCATATCTGACACTGTAATTCCTCACTCGGAGCTTTTTGATGAAGAACTGATTGACGAAGCCGAAGTTGCTTCTGGCTGTAGTCAAAGTACACAAGGAATCGCAGCCTTTGGTGATTCCGCGTCTGGAAACGTATTGAATCCCAAATCATTTGCTTTCGACATTCGCAAATCGTACATTGGTCCAAACGGTGAAATTAGAACCTCTACAAAAAGCATTACATTGCAAGTACCAGAACAAACTCCTGCTCAAATTGCAACTGCAGCTAATGCTGGAAAACGAAAGGGTAAACGCAAGAATAACGTGTCATCATTGAATGGAGCTAAATCTACAAGCGCATCGGCTGCTGATACTGCGGCTGCATTGGCTTTGGCTATTGGTCCGTTTCCGACAAAACGACCCAATCAACCCATTTTTGCTCATCCTGGAAAACCTCTGGCTCAGGCTGCTCCAAATACTCCGTCCAATCCTTGGTTGACACTTGCTGCGCTAAAGGCATCTGCTCTTACATCAATACAACAGAATGCTGCCAATGCGGCTAATGCGGCTGCAAATAAGCTAACACCCGGATCTGATTCCAAAGCACCAATGCAATCCAACATGCAGATCACATCAGCCTTGACTGCCGCTTTAGCTTCGTCTTTGTTGAAGCATGGCAATCTGAACATGAGTACGATTGCTGCTGCTGCCGCTGCTATGGTATCAAATCCTGCTGCTCTGTTGGCCTTTTCCGAACTTCGAAAACGAGAAATGGACTCGTTTCAGACCAAGATTAAAGCTGCTGCACAGGCTGCTGTAGCTGCTGCTGCTGCCGCCTCACCGTTTTATCGTGCAATGGATGGATCGCTGAAACTCAAGCAACAGGACACCTCTGCATCAGCCAGCACCAACTTACGTGGCACAGGAAGTGCATCTGCCAACCCACTCCCCAAAAACATTGAGGATTTAGTGGCAATGATGCATCTTCCTCAGAATGGTACAGCAACTGAACAGCATGCTGATTCTTCATCCTCAGCTTCCACGTCGACTCATTCGGTCATGTCCCCACCTACAGCTTCATTATCGACCAGCATTCCAGATACACCAAAACTAAATGACAGTCAGGATCTCACATTAAACTCTATTTTGTTGGATGATATTATGGACTCGGACAGACTGGATAGCGGCAATGACGAAGATCCCACATCTTGCTCCGAGTTTGAAATGGACATGATTGCAAATGGAAGATCAAATGCGGGGCTTTCTAGATGGAAAAAGATTCCCATTAGCACATTTTGGCATTCTCAACGGCGTATTCGCAAAGAGCGTCAGCGTCTTAATAGCAGTATGGTGAACAAATTATCTCCAGGTGTAAAGTCTCCGCTGCTAAAAGCCACCCTGTTTGATCGCCGGCATCGTGTTGCTCCTTTGCGTCGCCATCTTGCAATGCGTCGTGAATCTGATGCTGCCTCCATGTTTCTTGTATCACCCGTGTTGGTCCCAACAGGTTACGAAGAATATGTGAAACCTGTTTTGGAAGATCCAAGAACTTTTGAAGATATACCTGGCATGTCCACTTTGCCACCACTTTCAATCTAAACAGAACGTGTCGGTCTATGTTTAACCCAGATAGTTTTGCTTTATATTTGATACTTGGAACATTTGTTTTATTTCCTTGGTTCCATCTCTTATTCTTATATTGATACATCATCTCTTCGCTTTAAATAATAAATTCCATTTTTATATCTGAAAACTGCAATCTTTTGACTGCGATAACTAAATGAACAAGCTTTTTGAAAAAGCATGGTCCGACTTTAATTCCATTTGTATGCAACACATGGGCTGTGACTAGTGGCTCTTATGAACATTAGACGGGGCGACTGTCTCTTTAACACCCGATATCCACTTTGCAATAGACTTGATAAAATTGTTATTTTTTTTCTTGGTGGATTCATCTACATTATGAGGCGATATTGATTTTGTATCTAACAAATTCACAAAACAAGAGATCAGTCTAAATGCATCTACTATCCTGACTCTCCATATATAGAAACAAGGGAAAGCATATATACAATGTTTACCAAATGCTGGAAGTGTATAATCGTTTGCACTAAGAGAGATGAAGAATAAAAATGGAACCATCCAGACCAATATCGCAAAAAAACTGCCGATTTCAGATATACTGTAGTGCCTTGAAGAAAAATAAAAAAACCAGACAAAGTGATCAGCAACCGCCAACACTGGCCGGTTTAAACATGATCAAAGTAGAGCCATTCAAGAACACCACGAACACATTTTAAATTTCAACAGATTAGCTTAGTTTCACATCGTAACTCTTCAAACAGCTCACATTAAATGGATGCTTACAACAACTAATAATGAACTTGACACTTGTGGCTTCTATTGCTGGAAAACTGGGAAGCATTGTGCTATACCATGCGTGACATACAAGCGAAAATACGACTCCTGTCCATGGAAATCCATCCATCAATAACATCATATGTGATCCAACGGAAATCTGCGAGTAGAGATGAAAACAAGACATTTTATCAGAAATAGCTTGGAGTTTAGGACGGTAAAACTGACATATGCCAAACACGTTTCATGGCACTCTGATTGAATTTGAAGTACAAACACAATCTATTCACCAGCTCATAGGTCTTACCCATATTGCATATCCAATAATCTTTTTTGACAAGACTGTGTTTTCTTCGACAAATTCAGCTAAAAAGTACAGTCCGGATGCTAGATATGAATGTATAGGGATAAATAAATGGTTCAGCACAGTACGGCTAAATTTCATATCTACCATGGATAGGAATGCATGTATTAAACGAGATCTCTTTAAACTAGAATCCCAATTCGTATTTTGTAGAAACTCCACAGCACCGACGTAGTTTATAACAACAGTTATACATTCATCGCTTCGTCGCAACAATTCATTAGAAATCAGAGAAATGCAAATCAAGTATGTCACCAATGTTTGAGTCTAATCTGTTGTAGATTGGAGTAGAATAAAACATTGAGTAGTTGTAAAAAGCAGCAATTAAACCAAACTATTTCTTGCTGTTGTTTTCTATAACTATGTGTTGATGATAGTAGACTTTCCAACAGCTGGTGGGTTCTATTCCAAGAGATATAGCGAACAAAGATGTATATCATCTGTGTTAAAGTGGAAATCATATCAAGAAATACCTAAACACAAGATAGCAAAGACTAGACACAATATACTCCCGACCATGGCCAATATAGGAAGGAAGACCAGCATGATCCACCCAGATACAAAATGACGAGTTTTGATTAAATTGGTAAAACGCAACTACGACCGTATTCATGTAAAATGAAACATTAAACAAGGGTGTTAAAATACAAGCCATGAAATGGCAGTCGGTTTACTGGACAACATTGTAGAATTGGATGATTAACATGTATAATTGCATTGCTGAAACTGTAATCTTTGTTTTTTGAACTAGAGCGTATCTGAGATTTTAGGATACAGCCAAGTTGAGTTGGATTGGCAGCATCAGAACACTTGAATCGAATATCTGAATTACAATGAATGAATCTGAGGATTGTACAATTTGTGGTTATATCAAAGACGAGAAAGAACACGTTCCAAAACTATAGTTTGTATTATATAACGGACGTTGTTTATTGAATCGAAAATGCCAATCCAGTCAATTTGCAGCATAAAGTCGGTCAATCATCACTGCAGGATAAATACAAATATTCCATTTTACTCAACATGACTGCAGCTGCAAGCCAACAATAGTCACGTGGGAAATATCTGGCATTTTCTTGTCAAGTTTTAGCGATCGAATGATTGTTGAGCAAACACTACTATGCCCAGCTTTGCTCAGGAATCCAGCGATTCAACAGAAACCTTAGTCCATCCATCTCATTCAAGCTGGATAAACCCATTTCGTAGCTATCGTGCAACCTCACTATCTCAGCCAGCCGACACTAGTACTTTATCTGAATCGACGGAAACAGCAGATCCAAAAATACCTAGTGTAAATATTCATAAAGGCATGCTTCAAACCTCCGACCCAGCTATTGAAGCAGAAGATGCCATACAAAATGAGCGATGTCAAAAATGGAAAACCAAGGTTCTTGAATCAGGTAACTACCAAGTAAAAAGGTTTATAAATCCCAGCTAGTACTGAATTCACAATTTCCCTACAAGTAATAATTATTTTTTTCACAACCTGAATGGGTGCTCCTACGTTGATGGATAAACTTGGTTAGACTCGGTAGTTAAATTTATGGTTCAAAGTCTATCCAAGGTTGGCTGCCCTTTTACAGCAGATCACTTTAAATGCATCCGCTGCGACAAGACAAGATCGGGTGGATTTGCTCCTGATCACGGCGTTGTTCTTTGTCAAAACAACCTTATGGAGCAAAGTCACACTGCCGAAACCATGTCACACGAACTTATCCACGCATTCGACTTTTGCACAGTCAAATTAAATCTAGATAATCCTAAACACTATGCATGCACAGAAATCAGAGCTGCAGCGTTGTCTGGTGAATGCAGAATGATACGTGAACTCCAACGAGGGAATTTTGGAATTGCAAAACATTTCCAGGAGTGTGTAAGACGAAGAGCTGTAATGAGTTTAAAACAGGTTGAGACGCTAAAGGGCGGTGTGAGTGCTGAAGAGGCCGTTTTAAGTGTTTGGGATAGCTGCTTTAACGACCACGCTCCGTTTGATGAGGTTTACTAAACCTATTTTTAATAAATGTGAGTTGTGCTAATATGATTTCAATTCTACTATGTAGTGTATTGGATAAATCATTGCATGTGATTATCCTGCGAGTTGCTGACACTGATAAACTTTGGTTTCATGAATATCAACAAGCTAATTTGCAATGAATTTGAATCTTTTCAAACACACTTGTTATAAAACTTGGATTTAACTATTGTCAAACTCATCTACTGTATCCTAATCACAAATACGCTCGCGTCATGGTTCAAGAGATCAAATGTTGTACATCTCGTAATGCAATGGTTGTTTTCATGCCAATCACCATGAAAAAAATAATGTCCAGTAAACTGACCAGTCATTTCATAAAACTTGTGTAATCCAAGACACATTAAATTGTTAAAATAGTCTGCAGTTATAAGATTTTCTACCTCGATAGCAATATATATGTAAATTATACAAATATCATTGAGACTAAATGCACAGATACAAGGAATTTATTGGTTAGAAACCTCGTCACAAGCAAAATCTGGCAGATCATGAGATCTAAACATCCAATCCCATATCAACTGTACTGTTCCATCGACACCCATTTTCTCTTTAGAATCCATCAAGCTTTGTAGTTGTTTGGCAATCAAAGACTGATCTTTCAAGAGTGCCCAATGAATTGCAGCTTTCCACTCTAATTCAGACATGCTAGCTTCTACACCACGTGCAACCGAATTTTGAATGCCACAATATAATGATTCATGCTGGTCAAAACCCTGAGGCATAATTAACTGTACAAGACCCAAACTCAAGCAATGCTGAAATGTGCCCACACCGCCGTGATGGAGTACCGCTACTGGAATCTGTGATTTATTATTGGTGGTGTTTGGATAATAGTGTGGTCCATTATCCGCACCATATTTCTGCACAAGATCAGTGATACATTCCAAAGGTAGTGCATGGCTGTAGTTATATATGGGATATTCATAGTTGCTTTTAGAGGATCGTTCAAGGAAACAGGCATTTAGAAGATGGTTTTCTGTACAAGATATCCAGATGGCACGACATTTTAACGACTGAAGAGCATATTCAATACATTTGATCAAATGTTGAACTGTAGCATAATCATTAAATTCTTTAGAGTGCATCTCCATTGAGCCAAAGTTGATGATCAGTGTTCCCTTGGTTAAAGTTTTTTTGCACCATTCCGAAATATCTGCATATCCCTGACACGCTTGTAGAGCCAATGAGCATTGCGATAAAGGTTGAATAAATCCGGTAGATATAACACTTGCTGGTAAATTTACTTTTGAACTAAGCATATCGTTTTGCAACAGAAGCAATGGAGTGGCAGGAATCATAGTTTTTAGATTTCCATTCAGTTTGTCGCAAAGTTTTGCAAATGGAGGATAATCCAGTCCCAACTCTTGTCGAAAATCGTCATGATCGTCCACAAACAATCGCCACATCCAAAACTCAAGCTCTGCAACTTTAATTGGATGAATATGGATGCTGCAGTTGAAGTGTTGATTCAAGATTGGGTGAGTTTGGACTCTATCATTCATGGATTGAAGCATTATTTGGCGTGTTAGGAATGGTCTGCAAGTCGATAGTTCCTCTAGAAAGTTTGATGGAGTAGAGACGGTTGTTTTTGGATTAAATGGTGAGATTCCTATGCACGGAACATCCAAAGCCTCTGCAATGGACCACGCTCCAATAGAAAAAAGATTAAAAAGGATAAACATGGGTGAGAGTGGCTCGTTGATAGGAGTAGACGTATCTGTAGATATGGGGTTGATTGGACGAAATATTTTAGCCATGCGAATCATTGATGATCGTTCATGCTGGTGTTGGCGAGCGGCAAAAGACATGTCAGTTTCCTCTGGTAAAAGTCCACGACAAAGATCTGAAATTGGAAAGAGTTGCACACAGGTGTGACTGCCGCACAATATCAAAAGGTTGTTGCATACGCTATCACTGGTCATGAAGCATATTAAAAGTTTTTTATCAGACAATCTAGTTGCAGTGGTGGGTTCAGAACGAGAGTCATGACCACTGTGACAGATGCACAGATGGGGATCAAAGTGCCGATTGCAGGATGACCACTTCAAATCATGAGTGCAGTTTTTGTCGAGAGAGCGGTGGGCAAGATGAACAGCAAGTGTATAGAGTGATATGGCATCACCCAAACTACCTAGAGCATAAATCAGCACTATTGTTGTATCTGATGGAGGCTTGATGCATTTTGTATATATATCCATTCCTGTATTCACGTAAAATGGAATACCAAGTAAGGATACCAAAATACATGATAAACACTCGTGGAATGATTGGTATTACTGAACAGTCAAATCCAACATGGTTTAAACTGATGATTAAAAACAAAATGATTCCACCCGGGTTCGAACCGGAGACCTCGTCCGTGTGAAGGACGCGTGATAACCAACTACACCATAGAACCATCTGTTTTTTGAAAAGACTATTACAACTATATTATTTTTAATAGTAATGTAACCAATATTTTGGAATTTGTAGTAATGGCATTCTTTTGAGCGCTTCCACTTTAGATTCAATAGCCTTGCTCCAATCAGTCTAGATACTTCAAAGCTGTTTCTTGTCACTTGAATTCTTTGAATATACGTTTCTGCTTCAAACATGCATTTGTGATCATCAATACGACTATTGATGTCACCTGGCGCGCCTGTCAGTTTATCCAGCAGCTACAATATTTGTTCTATATCAATATATTTTGATCTTAGACTGTAGCCATCTCGCTCGATTCATAGTAGTATTCTTGGATTTTTCCAGCAGCATAAACTAGAGTCTGTTTCTAGACATTTAAAACATAAATCTGTTTAGTGACAAGCTGCAGCATGCAGTTGCATGTGTGTATGGCCAGATCCATCAACAGCAATTGGATAAGCCAAACAATTAAATTGATGTCATTCTTGGGTGTTTATTCGACAGCGTAACCAAGATTCGTTTTTTGCCATCAGAATCTATTTTACATTAGCTTACTGTCAATGGCTGTCATTGGCTTTTTTTCTGCATTGGATAGCTCCAACTGGCTTACAAATTTTAGTATGCATTGCTATTCATTGTTGATATCTTGCAATTCCAACTATTTCATGCTTGGTTGGGATCATTATGTCCTGATAGCAGTTTCTAGAACACCATCAAGCTTCTGTATCAAAAGACTTGTTTCTACAATACCCGATATTGTAGATTATTCTAATTTCAAATTCATTGGCAATCTAGTTTTAGACCAGATATACTCGTTCACATGTTTTCTGTTTCTTTATAAGCTATACAAACGGTGTGTGCGATTTATTACAGGAACGACTGAACTCCATCGTATATGCGACTGCATTGTTCGCAGCCAAAGACTAGACCATGTAATTCATGTTTCTCCAGATTCAGAGGAAAGTGTATCGATAGCCTTTGCCAACACTGCAGTGCAGCATGTTCATGTTTTGCCCGAGTTACTCCATCGAGTCGGTACGTTTTTGAATTCTTGCGTTTAGCTGTTGAAATCTGCTGACCTTTCAGGTGTTTTATATCTTGATAGAGCATTGCATCATGTACTCTTCCAAGCTATTGGTAATTTTAATTTTGTTGGCTTGTGTAAACCCAGGATTCATTGGTATGAGTAAATTTATCATATCTGTCTAAATCTGGCAGCTTGCTAGACGAGATCTGGAAGCAAGACAGGCCAGTTTGGAGCGACCCTTGTCAAAAATGCTGGAGCTCAAAATGTTTCCTCACAATGCAAGCATCTCGACGTATGTAGTATTTGGATTTGATTTGAAAGTGGATTTAATTTATTGATAACACTAGTGTGCGTTGCAATTAGACCACAAGCAATCGTGCTGCGAGCTTGTATGGAAAAAATGCTCAAAAGTTATCTGCTCATGCATTTTTTGAATGAACGAGCAGCTACTCGCTTTACTGCTTTAAATCCACTTCATGAAAAAAAATTACTTGAAGTAAGTAGTAGTAGTGTGGATGAAACTGTATTTCTGTATCATTAAAATCAACGTTTATATTTGACGTGTTGATAATTACGACTTTACAGATATGGGATGTTCTCAGTCCAGATAAACCCTTATCCCACAGAATTTCTTTGGATTGGCAACAGATTGGGTTTCAAGGACAAGATCCAGCAACCGATTTTCGTGGAATGGGTGTTTTAGCTTTAGACGATCTTTACTTTCTCTGTAAAAACCGCCCAAAACTTGCAAGAAAATTGCTCATTACATCTCAGTCAGATCTATCATGGTTTCCTTTTGCAGTTGCTGGAATTAATATCACGTCATATACACTTCGAATGGTGCGAACACGACTGTTGCAGAATACGTTTTACCATCACGGTATTAACGAGGACACATATCACGAAGTGTTTTGTAAGTTTTTTGCTACACTACCAAGTGTGCATTTGGCTTTAGATCAAAGAACAATAGTAAATGCTTGATTGATGGAGTGGCTAATTTAAAAACATCAATTTGGATTCAACCCATCAACCTAGGCTATATTTTCGAAGAGTTTGAAAAGTTTTGGGTCAATCAAAAAGAACTCCCAACAGTGCTTCAGTTCAATGCCATTATGAAAGAGTACCAAATTAAGGTGGAAAGGGAGTTGTTTCAAGGAAAGGTTTTGGTTCTTGATCCCGAGAACCCTGATCTAGACAAAGTTGAAAAATAGTTGAAGCTGATGTATTATGTCCACAAATATGATTGCTTTACCATTTACTTTTTAAGCACTATATAAGTTGCTGCAAGTACTTACTAAAATGAACTACTTAAAGATGAATCAAATGTTGTTGAATGCAAAATAAAGCATGTCCAAGCTATATCAACTCAACTGTTCCAGATCAAAAAAAGAAAACTATCTCGATTTTTTTTTATTTCCAATAATCAGAATAGGAGATTGAAAAAACACTCACCGCAGACAGGTTTCAATCCCAACTATAGTTAAACGATAAAAACTTGAAACCCACTGCTATTGACAAAAGTTGTATCAGCGAGATCGATTTTCAGGACTCTTATCCCTTGCAGATGACGAATGATGAGGAGATCGGCTATGCGAACGTGAGCGACGACGAGAGTCTCTCTCCCTACCATAGTCACGATCACGTCCGTAGTCTCTGTCTCGGCCTCGTTCAAGACTACTGTTGCGATATCGGTCACGGCTGCTATCACGGTACCGGTCACGACTACTATCGCGATATCGGTCACGACTACTATCGCGATATCGGTCACGGCTACTATCGCGGTATCGATCACGACTACTGTCACGGTATCGATCACGGCCACCATCGCGTCTATGGGAAGAATAGTAATCATCATCATCGTAATGGTACCGATTGGAACGATATCTGAAAAAGTTAAACAAGTTTCAAAAAGATACAGTGAGATGCAAATGAAAATGACTGATTAAATTCATTCAATGAGTTTACCTGCCGCTACGATCATCAGCACGGCGCATATCATTAGAAGCTAGTTCATTACACATGGTATTAGAACGTCTGACAAACTAGGAGCTTTGCAAACATTACATTCTCAAACTGATCAAATTTACTTTTTCTTTCCCCAGTAGCCCATTCAACGTTTAATGTTTGACCAAGGATAACAATAGAAGGAATTTTCTCCATTGCTAGCTCGGCATCCTCTTGTTTATCGAATCTAAACACAGGATAATAAGCAACCCCAAATAAAACATCGATAGTCGAATGACCAGGTAAATACAGTTAGTCTCAACTGCCAAGATCTCATTAACAGGATTCAAAGTCAAGCTGGAATTACAAAGAAACGACAAGAAAATCAATAGTGATACATACTTGACATAGGCAAATCCACGTGGACGACCATTGTGGTACGACTTTGGAATATAAACTAGGTAATAAAAGTGACAAGAGATTAAATGCATAAACACATTCCAAACATGAGATGATGCAGCATAGAGCATTCTAGGAAGTGGGATATCACAACAAATACCATGTCCACTTATATACACTTTAAAATGAAATGGTCACAAGTAATTGTCCAACTTACTGTCATTCACTTTTCCATACTCTTCAAAATGCTCCATCAAATCACTGGAGCTGAATTCGCATAGTGCATAGAAAAAAGTAATAAAAGTGCCAATTATATTGTCCATTGGGATAAAGATTAGCATGGTCGCAGCAAAGTCCAGATATTAACAGGCAAGAGCCCAGCAGAAAGAACATATGAGAGTAGTCATTGACGGACGAAAAAAAGCAAAGAGCATCGAGTGTTGTAATACATGAGAAGGGATAGAATTGAACTTGTTTAGAAACTTGAATCAAGACATGATTGAATACACTAGCATAGGTGATAGAAGCACTATGGAAGACGCTTGCTTGGTTTCTACTGCCCAAAGAAAGTGGTCTTGGCTTGCACAAACATCAAAAGTATTTCTGGTTGGAGCAAGCTCAACCCGAACATTACTGGCATTTGTAGTCAAGTGGACTAGTCCACCTACTACTTATAACCAAGTATCAGAAGCAGTCATCTTTCCCCTCTAGCGACAATGGCACTTGTACCTTGCATCGGGCGGAACTCCCCGAACATAGATTGAACGTGCAACCATTTTTAAAAACGTCGATTCTTTTGTGGGAAACCTAATCATCGACAACTCGACCATCAAGAAATCGCCTGAATTTGGCCCATTGGACGGTCGTTTGTGTAGCCAAGAATCTCCATTGACACTCTCTTGTTATTATCCAACAGCAGCTACAAAGTCAATGAACGCATGAATTCATTGTCTTGTTCTACCGCAACATTCCAGAGTATTTATTACAAGAGTCATTAGTGGCGGACTATAATACACATCTAGACTGAATCTGGTTCCAATCTCCGATTCCCTTGAGCAGAATTGCGTTTCGACCGTCGATGCTCCAGAGTACGCAAGATACTGGACCATCTGTCTGCAAGCGGGTTGTCTGTGTTGGGAAGTGCATCATCTATCATTTTAGGTTGAATCTCCTGATGAGTCGAGTATGCGGTTTGCATTGATATTGATTGAGGCCTGGGGGTTGAAAGTACAGTCTTTGATGGTGTTACATATAAACCTTGTTCAACAGCGCGAGCAATAGATTCGTGGGTATCTCGAGTTAACTTGAGTTGCCCAATTTCCCTTTTCTTTCGGTCTGCATTCAAGTCTATAGATTGAATATGGTTATCATCTACAAGATTCGATTCGATTTGTTCAAGTCTGTGTCGCTCAAGATAAACTTTGTAGGAACTTTCCATTTGGTCCATCTTGGCTTGTAGCGCTTCAAATCCAGAAACAACAAACTCTATACGACTGATAGAGTCAGATGGTACTGGATTGAAATTATGTTCAGGAAATACTAAAGCTAAACAGTCGGCCATTTTGTTGGTGGTATTGCAAATGGTGTTTTGCAATCGTTTCTCCTGTAGCTCAAGTGAGTTGATTGAGTGGGCGATATTACCGGTAGAGGCGGGGTTACAGTGTATTGTAGATGACGTGATAGTGGATGTAAGACGATCAATTTCTGCAGCTTGCTGGCTAATATGAGTAGATAAAGTCTTTACAGTCGCATTCAGACTGAATGTGTACGCATCCGTTGTTTCTGGCAATACTTGTTTATGCTTTGGAGATGGATTATCCGAATCCTTACAACTAGCATTTGCTCCTCCTGTATTTGACAATGAACCTAAAGATGCTTGCACTTTAAGACGGTGCTGTTTGGACTCGATGATTTCCTGCAATGTACGAATCTGATTATTACTGTAGTCCAGTTGGGATCTAGATTCTGTTTTAACAGCATCCAGCTCAGTTTGAAGTGATTTTATCTTTTTCTTGAGCGCCTGAAAAATCTTGCGCTGCTGTTCTTTTGAAAGATGAACTGTAGTGGGCGAAGAGTCTATATGAGATGTTGTGTCAGAAGTGAGTGATTGTTGACTTGGTGATGGAGTAGCTGAGGAATTCAATTGAACTTGAGCATTTGGCTCATCCATAGTAGCAATCTTGGTGGGTTGCCTATAACGAAGCGGAGTATTATCCAGTTGAGACTGAGCATGGGATGGAAAAAGGGGTTTGAAAGGCATATTAGAGCCAAGTTCTGGACCAGATCTGGCAATGGTTTGTTTTAGTGCAACACCGTGTGAAGGAGTGGATGATGTAGATGCATCAATGCTAGGTGATATGGTACTACCACTTTCAAAATGAGGATAGTGGCTAGATAGAGCACTACCACTCACTCTTCGACGATACGAAGACTTGTGAACAGTGTCAAACTTGCTGGCAGCCAGAGCCTTGCGCAGTTGGATAGAATGATTGTCTTGATCTCGTTCCAAAATGCGTGCCTCAATAGACGGGATATTTGATTGCACAGGAAGTAAAATCTCTACACTGTCTAGAACACGATTGATTGCAGTGTCCATCCAGATCCAGTTGAGCAGAGCAAAGCTTAGTGCAAATCGAACTGTAATTTCAATAAAACTTGAATTTGGGCAAATTAGACACTGCGTTTGGCCAAAACATAATTGGGCAAAGTGCTGTTTGATTCCAGACAAACCGGACTTGCCATAACACCAACAAGCCCATTTATCTGCGGATTGTTCATTCGACTGGCAATATTGGATTCCTTATCTGTATCATTTTTATCATTGCTATGCAGCAAAAAATCACCCGTTTGTTTCGTAAGTGACTTTTTATTAGAAAGGATAATTCAATGTCTGGCACAAATCATTTCTGTCCAGACTTGCATTGTAATGTTTATCTTCAAATAGTCTCTGGAATTGAAACACTGTAAACGAGTGTTATTGTCATGTTAAGAATATATTCAGGTTTTGATTTTTCAATGTCCGATTGATACTTTGCCTTGTTCCATGTAGAGCCTCTTGCAAAACCCACACATTCAATAAAGTACACTCCTTCAACGCTCGATTTTTCGCAAGACGAATTTGATTTGGCTATTCAAGCAAGCCTAAATGAAAAATCTTGTAATCAATCTCTTATTCACAGTCCTGATCGTGCTCGTCAACCTTTATCACATCAAAATGAAAATTTGTCGCCAGATCTACTGTCTACAACATGCAGGCCACACTCTGTAGCTACGCCTACTCCAGCACCTTTAAAAAAAGAAAGGCTTTTTGGTGAGGATTTAAAACTAAATGATTGTAGCAAATCTATCCATAATGCATGTCTAACCTTTTATGTTTCCCCATGCACTCTAGCAAACATGGATTTAATATGTAATTCTGATGACGAGGATTTTGAGTCTGACACAGTCTTTCATTCAAAGAAAAGATCCGACAATAGTCCAACTAAATCCAAGCCAAAATCAAGTTCTGTATATACTAAAAGCAAGAAATTTGCAACGGCGAATCTAGATAGTCTGTCTTTTGTCAATGGATCTAATACCAAGACACCTGTGCACAATTCAAGCATAAATCAGGCCCATCCATCAAATTCACCACAATCTTTTTTAAAAGAGGACGAAGCATTCAAATCGGACATATACTCTTTGTACGGTGTGTTAAAAAGTCCTATCAGATCGCACAATCCTAGCAAAACTTCCAGCTCAGTCAAATCCTGTCACAAAAAATCGTTTTTTGCCAAAACCCCACAGTCAGTGCCAGCAACTACAGCAAGTCGTAAAATAATACTTGAACTCAATGATCACGATAGTGATCATGATTTTCAACTACAACAGACTAAATCTGTACAGGCATCTCCAATACCTAAACGACCTATTTTTGATCGACAGCCTTTAAACAACAGCATCAAGAATGATAAATGCCCGCTTTTTGATTTTAGCTCCGAAGATGATGATCCTCACATATTTGACCAAGCTAACGTGAAATCTAATAGACATCACACATCAAACGGTTCTAGTGCTCTGTTACAATTCTTTCATAAACCCATTTCTAAAGATCATATGTCTGCAATCAAAGGGTTACATCAAGTTGAATTGGGCACTAAAAAAACTGTTTCTTCTGCTAATTCTACTGTTATAAATACCTCTCCAAATTCTGGACGATTGTTTGCAAAGTGTGTTGATCTGCCTGCAAAATATCAAACTAGTGCAGTTTCATTGGCAAATCAAACCGGCATGTCAACGATTGAAATTCAGAACACTGCTTTGCACGCCATGTTTTCTATGGATGACAACCCTGATATCAAATCTGCAGCTTCCATATCAAAACCAAATCGGCATGCTTTGCTTGAACCATCTTGGCTTTCTACAAAACACAGTAATAGTGATTTACTGCAAGAGATTGATCAACAACGCAGTAATTCACCAGACTTGTCACAAGAAAGTCCAACTGCTATACCCGACTCACAAACAACTGTCATTGATTTGAATGAGTTTGAACTAGAGATTAAAAATAAGAGTATTAGTGTAAACTCTGCTAGAGATTCTCAGTCTCATAGTAGAGCAATGCCATTTATTCATCCAGATCAGCAGAAGCATCATTTGCCCTATTGGTCCAAGTCGTCACGAGTGAATACACATAGAGGTCATGCTCAAGCAGATGCGTATTTCCACGACCGTACTATTGGAGCCAAAGCAGCTAAAATGAGCATACCTTCTAAACGATACGTGGCAGATGGCATTGAAGAAGTGGATCTTGATCATACATCCAATAACCAACACTGGAATGCGTCTTGTCTAGCCAATCAACACAATGTTCAATTTGATGATATCGAGAGCGACAATGCTGCTGGTGGATGCAATGTGGATGAAAATGATACTCCTTACGATGGATTTGTGAATATTCAGCATTTGAAAAATACAGGGCAGTCACTTGGATCATTTGGAAAGTATTTTAATCAATTTTCCGAAATAGAGTCCAAGAAAAAAGGAAAGCGTGCTAGTGGTTCAGGGCAAGACCTTGGTATAGTTCAAGAAGGAAACAGCAGTACTAGCAAGCGACAGTATACTGCCAAAACTAAGACACGTGGCACTACAAGTGCTTGCAATACCAATGGAGAAGAAAGCAAAACGGGAGGGCATGATGGAACAGGTAAAAAAGGTAATCAGCGGAGAGGACGAGCAGGATATTGGCGCGGGAATCGCGGACGATTTAAAAAACGGTAGTTTAGCTTAATATATCAAGAGATCACTTGGTCAACCTTTTCAATATATTGCGCATTTTAAAACCGTATTCGCGTAAAATGAAATACTTTTGTATTGATCTTGAACTGATTATTTTGCTTCGGAATAAACAATTGTTACATATTTGTTGTTATTGGATATTAATTGTCTTTCTATTGAACCTCTGTTGTATTCTAATATCAGATACGCTCGCGTTTTAGGTCAAGAGAACAATCTCAAGAATGCAACAGTTGTTTCCATGCCAGTCACCCAGTATTTGGGTTGAAGAAAAAGAAAGTTGGGGGCTGAAAATATGTCAAGAATGTGGAATGTATTGGAACAGGAACGCAAACATTTGCACTGTATTTTTGTACAAGAATAAGCATGGAGATCAGTCAACTAATGAGTTCAAAGACAATATTGTCCAGTAAGATTGGTACCAAATATGAGACTGTTTATCATGTATTCTGATTCCATTATTTAGTGTTTCATTTTACGTGAATACGGCTGTAAAATAATCAATGCATGAAATAGCTTTAAACTCAGCATCAAGGCATATTCCAAATAGTTATAAATAACAATATGGCTTTATGATTCAAATAAAATTGTAAGCATGCCTAAAATACACATTTCAATACATATACATGCGAACGGATCAAATCTAGCAATAAAAAAACCATAATATGCAAATTGAAAAAGACTGTAAACAAAAATATTCTATAGTATGCTTTATGAACCCAATGGATTAGGTGGAAGAGTGCATTGCATTTTAAGTCGACATGCTAGACTTGACTCTTTTGTTTGAAATACTAAATGATTTTGCAATTGGATCGCTTGTGCTTTTTTGGGGGTTGGATTCCTGTATTCATTCTCATTGCTAGTTCGGTAGCTTTGTTGCGATAGCGAATCTAGAAAAAATCAAAAGCAATTGTCCATTGCATGCGTCAGATCAAAATCAATCACTATTGCAGTATGTAGCAAATGTCCTTGAATGAGCTCTTGGAAACTCAGTCTAGATAAAAATACCAACGTACCTCGCGAACAAGTGCATGAAATGCAGCAGTCACATTAAAATTCTCCTTGGCGGACGTTTCAATGTAATGTGATTTAAGTTTTGCAGCTAGCGCCTGTCCTTCAACACTTGTAATCATTCTTTCATAAATTAAATCTGCCTTGTTGGCTACGATGATGATTGGATAGCGTTCCACATCTTTGACTCGCAAAATTTGTCGAAAGTATGGCTCGATCTCTTCAAAACTAGGTCTAGACGTGACAGAATAGACACACATGAATCCTTCGCCTGACCTCATATACTAATTGAGCAAACCGTAATAAAATCAAACCAAGTCAAAGACACTATTAGCCAAAACACCATGTACAGTATACAAAAGTAAATAATTAAGCAGTTTTCAAAACCAACCTGTTCTGAGTTTGGTAATGTATAGTTTCCATAGATGCAGTGCATCAGTAGCATTTTAGGAAATAATTACATGTAGATTAACGAATCCGCCACGTCAAGTTGTTTGATCAAGACAAATTGTGATATTTATAGATGAAAAAGGATCAAGGATGAAAGTTTAGCATATTGATAAAAATAAAGCAAACATTTAGTTAGAATCAGCAAATCATGTGTAGCGATACTCGTGTAAAATGAAACACTAAATAAGAGTATCAGTGCATAGTAAATAGCCAATGTTATGGAATAATGGTGCCAGTTTCCACCAAATTTACTGGACAACATTGTGTCCTTTGAACTTTTTAGGACACTGATCTTTTGATGATTGGCATGAAGCCAACTGCTGCATTTCTGAGACTGCAATCTTGTTTCCAATTAAAACGCGAACGTATTCAAGATTCCAAGTTTGACAATATTGGGATTACAATGGATGAGTCAGGTTTAAAATTTGTCAATCGTGCAATGCATGGCTATGCCAAAAGCAGAGAAAAACGGGCTCGAAACTGTAATTTGTTTTTGTGCATCATATGATGGACGTTGTACTTGAAAGAGTCGAGTGTCTACTAAATAAGCAGTCAATTTGCAGTAGGGAACAGTGAATATTTATCCATTATCCATTCCAAAGCAAAATAGTGGCAATGACTGCAAGATAAAGCGTTCCGTTTTACGTGAACATGGCTGCAATCTCAAGTTTAGAGTGCAACGAAAATGAAAATACAATCAATACAGTTGGAATGACCCGTAAAAGCAACAACGACAGTCCCATTTGCATAATCAATACGTATTTTGTGGCTGCATTCAGATACAGTTGCATCATGTGATTTGACTGTCTGCAAATGGAGAGAAGGCGCAACAGTCAAGTACTAGAAGACGGGATAAATGTACAAGTTATGGCAATGGAGGATGATCAGGTAGATTATACGGTTTCTATTTTAATCTCTCGAGAAAAGTGGTGTTTCTCCAATATGTAAGATGGAGTCGTTTGGGACTTTTTACCTCGCATCGCACTGTATTCTTCTTGTCCAGCGGTATCTAATACATCCAGCATAGCCACTTCGCCATCCACCACGGTCTGTTTGCGATACGAGTCCTCAATGGTGGGATCGTACCTAAACAAAATATAATAGTATTCCCCTATTCAGTTAGCCAACTGTGTAGTCATACCAACTCCCCAGCAAGATGCACATATAGGATTTAAATCCTCTGCAACTTTTGTCCAGCGATTGATGCATATCAAAATAGTGATTTCTGTATTATTGCAGATGCACACTAGAACGATCTGCTATATCTGGATAATATAACTTGATAAAGCCTGACATACTCGTCTACAAAATGCTCCTGGATAAATTGAATAGTAAGTGCTGATTTTCCAACTCCTCCTCCTCCCACTACAACAAGCTGCAATAAAGCAATTTCAAATGGTATCAAGTTAGCAAACTGTGATCGTTATAGGCACTTGTTAATCTGTTAAATATAAAGTATCTGATGAATCACTTGAAGTTGGATAGTATCTGAATTAGCAAGGCTCACCTTGAATTCACGCATATACGATGATTGCCGATTCGCTGTCATTGGTATTGACAATTACATGGCAGAATTGAAACTGCTTGAATATCCTTTGGTCGACAAATCCCTCACGTGAGTGAAAAACTGCTAATCTAAACCTTTTTCGTAGCCCATTTAGGAATCCAAATCTTTGGATTGCAATGAACGAGTCTGGTGATCGTACAATATATGGCTATGCAAACAAAGGCGAAAGTACAAGGTTTGATCACATCAAATCAAACTATAGTTTGACTGTGTGCGTCATACGATGTTTGGTGTGCTTGAAAACTGACCAAAGGAGTTTTCAAGGCCGTAATATTCCGACTTTTTAACCAGCATGCAGCATTTCCAAACACGCATGTTATCCTAGACATCATTTCATTCTACAAAACCACATATTGTTTGATTAGACATGGATTACTAACCATTCAACAAACGGCGCGAGGTTTGGAGTTTTATATTGCCCATTCTTGAACTTTGCAGAAAATGACTCGAGTATAACAAAGAATGGGCTCATGCGTCGATCAATTCCAGACACAAATCGTTGAAAAGGTTTATTAAAGCCAATTTGTAGTAGGAAAACAACGAATATTTAACCATTGCTTATTTTGGAGCAATCACTGCAAGCCGTATTTATGTAAAGTAGATCACCTGCATTTATCTTTATTTGCTAGATATATTTTGACTTGCATATTTTAATTGTAGTTTAAATTTGAAACCCTGCCAAATTACAATAGTAGCCTTTAGTTGCATCTCAACGATACGAAATGCATCCAACCATATTCGCACTTGACCAGCTTATTACTTCTCTTACTGACGACCTGTCTATTGAGTATCGACCCCATTTGCTGTCTCGCTCTTTGGATGATTTGGCTGGAAGACCTATTATGAAAATTGAACCACAACTTATGAAACTTCTTTCAGAGTGCCTCGAAAAGGCATCGAAAATGATGGCTATATCTGCACAAAGTCATAGGTATTTATCAAGTGAAAGCTATATCTCTTCAAACTCTTTGCTATCAGATGCCGGTCTGACCTCGATGGAAGACAGCATAATACGTCAGACCAAGCGTGTTCAAGACGCGACGAGATCAGAAGACTGCGATGAGGTGATTTCTACTCAACAGATTACCAATGGTTCTCAACAACACGAAGAAATTCAAGAAATCGGCATAAAAGCTAAAGGGGATGACAACACAAGTACTATTTTTCATCAAGAGGTGCCTACCCTTGTGTTGGAAAATATCTCGACTGTGCCCAAATTACCACAGGAGATCTTGAACAATACCAACCCGACTAAATCTGCTGATGTCGTAGATGTAGACCAAGGGGTTGTATCTGCTACTTTAGACAATACAGATTGTAAAAAAGAAGTTGAACGATTACTGCATGTAATTTGTGAACATACTGCGGGAATTACTGCTCATTTGGAAAACATGGGAGTGGCTCCGATTGCTGAATTGGGAGATTCAAATACAAATATCAATTACAAGGTAATCAAAATGGTATCTTTATGTATACATTTTATTCAAAACTGTATTCAGGCTATTTTATAAGTCTTTGACTAACCAAAAGTAATCCTACAGAATTTTCAAGCTACTTTAGACAAAGATATATCATACATTTTTACAGAAAAGCTGCAACATTCAAATAACAGTATCAAAAATAAGTTCATCTTAAATAATCCAACCAAAAGCTTAAATAAGATCAAGTCATCTGCCGATATAGAAAATAAAGTCACTACTGTCAGTCCATCTACGCGTATGTATACATCATACTTATCCATGGCAAGAAGATGTAATGATTGTGGCAAACTGTGCCGAAAAACCCAAAATCTCAAACAAATCATAAAGAATGCCGAAAAGTCGCGAAAAAAGACACGCAAGAGAATAGCCGAGCTTGAAGATAGGGTCGTAGCGCTAAAGTCGTCTTTGAGTAGCACTGAGTGTAATGTAGCTTCTATACCTTTGACTGAAAGCTCGATGTGTGAAACGAGTACAAAAGATCCATCTGTTTTAAATTTCAATCAGCCATGCAATGATATCTCATTTGACAGCAACAATACTAGCTCAGGTGAAAATAGCATCGAGTCTTCAAAATGTGTAGCTCAATCTAGTGTCAAGTCTTCAATAGTATCATCTTTCTCACCACAAAACACTGAAAATAACTCGGATCTAATGGCATTAGTTTCCAGTGTTTCTGAAGACTCTGATCCTAAAGAATTTCATTTATGCAGTATAAATCAACTAGAAATGCCGTCACATTGTTTTCAAGATGATCAAGTCCAATTTTCAAATCCATTATCAAGCAATGTAAATAATACTTTTGAGTTGACGGGTAAAGAAGGGTTTCGAGGTGACTCGAAAATGGAAAATACAGAGCTGGAATCAGCAGCAGCTACATTAGCAAATACTCGACAGATAAATTCAAGTGGTTTTCAAAACACACGATCCCAAGCAGTGCTCGACAAACTGATCCACTCAGTCAATCATAAGATTGATACCACTAATGGAACAAATGTAAAGATGATGGTTTCTAATCAAGATAGTTTACCGATCGTACTGTCAAAGTCTCAAGTCACTGAAAATGACAATCGCCTGGCTAATCAAGGTTTCGGCAATTCCAACACAATTCAAATCAGTCAAAACGACACTCCGAATAACTTACCAATTCACGACCATGACTTTATTCTTGAATCACTTTCAGAAGAAAATCAACTGGAACTCAGGAATTTGGCTTCAAACGCTACCACTTTGAGTTCACTTGCCACTACATTACATCAACTTTTTAAATCATCAATCCCAAAAGAAAATCCAATTAAACGCACATTTAACAAGTTTCTACTCAGGGATTGCACTTTAGATAAAGCAACTGCTGCTTACTCTGAAACCTCTGGGATCTCAGAAAGCCTTATTAAACCCAAATATATTGAAATTCTTCAAGCCTGGAAGTCGAGGGCCATTCAAAAGCTTAATCCCAATTTAAAAAAAGCTTCTATTTTTGACTGCAATCAGCAGATTCAAAAATGCAATGCACTGGAGCAAAAATTCAAATATCTTCAAACAAAAAGTGTTGTAGCATCCATGGAGCAAGATAAATGGATTAAAGCCTGTTTTGAACTCATTGCGGATACACGCTCTATATTGCAAAATGGACTGGTTAATTCAAAAGACAAAGATCCTGCTAGTCAAGAAATGTTTAGCATCCAGTCAAATAATAGATATTTCGGATTAACTGCGCAGAAACTCGCTCATAAGCATACGATGATACCAAATCGCCATAAAAACTGTAATAGGACGATTGAATATTTAAACAACACGATTCAGTCATTGGAACAGCATATTGGTACTCTTATGGATAAAATTCACAAAGAAAACCAAGGCAAAAGTTTAATCATGACAAGCCTAGACAAAATGATTGGAGCAGCAGCTGAAATTTCCACTATCTTGGAAACGCCCACTACAGCAAATGTAAATGATACAGAATATCAAGTTTCTTCAACCCATCCAAAAACTATATTTTATAAAAGCACACCCACACTGCTTGACGGGATGACACGTTTTAACGATGCTGCAGATTTGACTGGTTCACAGCAATCCATGCCAGATGCAGCATGTAAAATCGAATCAATTTTAGAGGGTTTTAAAATACTCAAGTTGCAGATTATAGATTTGGTTTTAGGGGTTCAAGAGCGAGATAGTTTTGTAGAGAAACAGGCTCAAGTACTTGCAGTTCTCAAAGAAAATGGCATTGAAATGCACAATGATTTCATCGCAGCGATTACCAATTGCAACAATGAAAATAACGCATTGCAACAAAATGTCGATAGACTGGCAGAGAATCTGCATAATCAAACCAGTACCAGTCGACAGATACGCTTTGATCAAACCAATGGATTCAAAAAGTTTGAAAGTGCGATTGAAAAAATAACTGCTTTAAAGGCCATCAATGGCAGTGTTTTGCATCGCCGATTGTCACTGCCTGTGAATACGTCCATCATATCTCGCCCAGAAATCAAATGAATCGCCTTGAATAAACAATACATTTTTTTATAATGACAATCAATAGTGCAATCACTACGCCAACTGGGCTTATCTTGAACAACTCGTACATCAACGAGCATCATGTATTACCTGAGTATCTGATGATCATCTTGAGCAAAAATTCAAATTGTTTTCATCTAAAATCCAAGCCAGATTGACAGCGAAATGGCCAGCACTCGACGTATCCAAAAGGCAAGTATTCTGATCTGATCTGATTGTGACCAAAGGCCATTAGATATACTAGCAATATTGGTGATTAGATGCTGCATTTTCTACATACTAAACTGCTACTTTTTGACACCTGCAACTCATGTTGCATCCAATTAAATACAGGAGCTTGCAGATCTTACAAAGAACCCCATGTCCAATGTATCTATTGGACCCAAGTCTGAAGATAATCTCATGAACTGGGAGGGTATTGTCACTGGTCCCGTAAGTCGGCTAATTTGCTTTATTCTGCCCATCTATGAAGGGTTTAGCGCATGTAAATCTACTCGAGTGTCTAGCTGTTACCCATCCAACATCATCTCCATGCAAAAGATTTAATTTATATATGAATCTTTCGACTCTACTGAATCTACTTTTGTTACAGGCCAATTCACCGTTTGCTCAAGGCATATTCAAAATCACAATTGATTTCCCAGTAGACTATCCATTCAAGCCACCACAGGTAAAATCGTCGAATACTACCATTGACTGGGATACCCACCAAGTCACTTGGCAACGTTCAAACTATTTACCAACAGTTGCTTTGATGTGTATTTGCTTGCATAGATCAAATTTGCCACAAAAGTCTATCATCCCAATATTGATCACGATGGAACAATCTGTTTGGGATTAATTAAGACAGATGCATGGAAACCATCGACAAAACTGTCAGAGGTGCTTATGGCTGTAGTGCAAATTCTTACCGAGCCTAATCCAGAGGATCCCTTAGTACCTGCAATAGCAGAACAGTTTCGGCAAGACTATGCACAATATACAAAAACAGCCCTCGAATGGACACGGAAGCACGCACAGTAAAAGGCTGATTTATATTATTGCATTTCGAGGTTCAGTTCAAGACGGGCAAAAGCATGATTAAATGAGCCAAGTTAAATTTCCAGCATCTATGGTTTCTGAATGTGATAGGGCATATAAATAGTGGTGGAAAAAATCACATTAAAACAACATGGTTTATTTTCGACTATTGATAAGGTTAAGACGTGAGTAGGATACAACGAAATCCTGTACAACACTCTCAATACGCCGTAAATTTCCTTCGTTGCATGCACTAAAATTCGATCAAAATATTAGTATGACAAAAACTTCCATTTCAAAAATAGTAAATACGTTGCTTACGTTGCAAATTTACGCAGAAACGATTCGCAAAGTTCAGCAGAAAGCTCAGATTCCAAGAAGCTCGACTCTATAGCAGATCGTACAGATGCCACCACAGATACAGTTCCCAATATCTCACACTCGACTTGAAGTGTTTTGGCTACATCTTTCACAACTTCTCGATCGCGAGGAAAGGTATACATTAACCCATCAAAAATAGCCTTGGCTATTTTTGGCCCACTCTGAGTAAGCATATCCCTCACTGATGCAGTAGTCATGTTGGTAGGTTCTTTGTTGGAAGGTAAACCAAGTGAGACTAAATCGCGCAAGAATCGAAGAACTGATGCAAGCGAAACAAGCGATGGTGCAGAAAGGCAAAATAAAGCACATTCAAGTGTATAGGTCCAAAGAGTAGACCCAAGGAAAGCATTTGGGCAGGTATCAATAAATTCAGAAAGCATCATGTGGTATTCTTCAATAACTAAATTGTTGTGTAGTTTGAAATTTATGAATGGTTAGTCCAAATCTCTGGAAATTTTGCAATAGCTTCAAACTCGCATGAGAGGTATACATGCCAGAAAAAACGCAAGTAGCATTTGAAAACTATCATCGTTCGTACCTTCATCGATATCTGATATGTTTTGTCCTGAAGCTTGCACTAAAGAAAACACAAGCCTGGCCATTTTCTCAACCATAGTACATATAAGACGACCTTCATCGGTATTCTCATTTCCAAAGTTACGAATACAGCGCGCTGCAATCCAAATATGACAAGAAAATCCGGTCAACTCAAATTGCTGTAGAAGCAATTCAATGATACTTGGAAGAAGTGGAAGAGAATGCTGATTGTACGAAGTAAGGATGTTTTGCAACAATCGCGACATGACCTCAGCTATGAAAGAGTCGCTACCATAGCGTTTATATACTTCTTGAATAATGGGCCACATCTGTTTTACAACATCAATACAAGGGTGTGGCTGCGACAAGGGAGTATCAGGCAAAATAAAGCGAAACAAGGTGGAAAGTTGATTGATGGCACCTAAAGCAGATTGAATTTAAACAAGCACATTAGTATAATAAAACATTTCAAGATATAAATGTTTGCAAACTCAAAAAATCAACTTACATGCTATTTCTTTTTTTTGATCGGCGCTCGGTTCATTCGAAAGTCCAACAAATGCATGTAATTTTTGAGCAATCGGTAGAGCAAACAGTTGCACTGCAGCAACGATTTCAGGAGATGGCACGATTTTGATGATATGTGCTACAGCTTCCGTGAGTTGGCGGCAGTCATCGCGGGAAACAGATTCAACGGTGCGTACATAGAATGAATATAGTTGAGGCAACAAGTTGACAAGATGCTATCGCCCAAAAATCAACAGCAAAAATGAAATGAATGCAATGGCAAGAGCATTAATTGTTATTCATGTCTAATTTAATGGCAAGCCAAAATAATATCCAGACAAATAATTTACCTTGCTGCAATATTTGCACAGATCACGAAAAGTTTGACTAGCGGCTGAAATTGTATCTTTATCTTGATCAAATGCAGAAGAGACATAGTCTAGTTGATATGAAAGCATTTCAGGGTGCTCGTTAGTCCATTCTGCATATCGACCTATCACGAGAATAGCTGCATATTTGATTTTTGGATGGTTTGGCAGTCGAGAAAGTATAGACATGATTTCTGGCAGATAGCGCGACTCGGAAAAGCTGATTTCACGGCACATTGCACGGAGCGAAAATAACGGAGCCTCAATCTTTGGCCAAGCTAATTCTGCTCCACTCTCTGTCAAAGAAGTAGTACCATTGACGGGATTAAAGAATGTTTGTAAAATAGCAAATGGCCGAGAAAGCGCTTCTTCATCTCCTAAAATTCGCACACAGTCCTTGAGTACATCGCCCATAACATGACGAAAATCACGAAACTCGTCTCGTTCCTGTAAAGTCCATGTAGTCAAATCATCTGGATATTGTAAATGCGTTAAAATAGTGTCAATGAGCTTGCTGTAAATAGGATGATACTGAAGCTTGCATGCGCTGTATTGTGGTGTAAGGAGTGCTTCGGCAATATAGTTCCAGACATTAAAGGTGATCTTGGCAATCTCTAGCTCATCGTGCGCAACGCAGAATAAAAGACCGTCAAGTAAGGCCTGAAAAGATGCCATATTTCCGGCAATGAGTTCAGCATAACGTTCTCCAGCCTCTGCAAAAATACGGCAAATTCCAAGAACAACAGTATAGTCGTCTGATGACTTGTGCAAAATTGGAATCAAAGAAATCAGTTTGGGATATATAATCTCCAAAAGCTTGGTGTTGAGTGGCTTTTTTGCTGATCGTACAATGATCTCGCAAACCATGTCAACTGCAGTATCAAACATTTCAGAAGAAGAAAGAGCTTGAAACCCAATATCAATAATAGGTGTGTTTTCGATCATGGTAGTAGAAATATCTCCAGATCGCAACCACGAGTTCATGCAAACGAGAATCTCACATCTCATATCATCGCTGGCTATTCCATAGATGCGTTGCAAAATTTTAGATTTAAAATTGCAGCACTAATTAGCTATAGATGTAGTAAAAAATTGATATAAATAGTAAGTCATAATATATCAATGCTTGGCAACAAACCTGCAAGAGGAAGGTAATGTAAAAGTAACTGCAATACTTTTTCAGAATTTCGTGTGATTAGCGACTGAGTTTGAGAAAGCATCACATTTTTCTATACAACAGGATTATTTAGTAACAGTTTGACCATCAACTATTAGATTTGCTTGATTGGCACTCAGATATGAAGCAAAATTCAATATACATACGTCAATCTGGATTTTGTTATTGTAAAGCAACTCTTCTGGTAAAATGCTAAGAAATTTGAATAAAATGGCCATCATTTCAGAATCATTACTGCATACTTGAATCATATGCGACACGGGATCGGTCCAAGAAGGCAGTTGGATTGTCAGATCTGCAAGTGACAAGCAAAGTTGTGTTTTTATGTTTTTGGTAGCTGATCTATTATCATAAAGCAGTTGAATGAGAGCATCACGAAGAGATTCACGACTAGCCACATCCAGTTCATCTAAATCATACTCGATCTAAAGCAAGAGTAGTAAGTTTGCACAAGATAAATCAAAACACATAGCCGAGTGTGAGTATATCTCACAGAATGATCCATCCTAAATATGATCATCAGAAGCAGTGCATCAAGTAATCCAAATATTGATTTTACCTTTTGACGAAAGGTTTGTACGGCAAACAATCGGGCTTCGCTTGGAACATTGGATTGCCGAACAATACTGTCAGAAATGGACCAAGCAGTTGACTAATGATCAAAACATTAAATTCTTGACGCATTAGAAACCATGGTTGATAATATAGAGTCGGGTGGGAGTAGATCTGGCAGCATGTTGCCAGCATCGAGAGTAGAATCAGATTTGAATCAACATTATTGCACAAGGTATTTATCAAATGTGGTGCAGCAAAACAATCGAAAGAAATCATGCAATTCAAGACATGTTTAGTCACAACTAGACTGCAGACAATAGATTGATTGCAACAATAAGACGAGTAGATTAATAGCAATAATAGGAATTAGCACAAAACTGCACCGTTTTCTGAAAGGTTTCCAGCCAAATTCCAGCCTCTTTCCTAGAATATTTTGAATTGTCTTTGGAATTGTACAGGGCATCGAGAGCCTCAAGGACCTGTTGGATAGTAACAAGAGCCGCACTACCAGACATGGTTGATTACTAGATTCAGTTCATATTCTTGCTAGTCTTCAAGCGTACAATCAAATCACATGATATCATGTGATTTGCTTTTGGTTTAACATGCGCTTTCTGGTTTACATTTTGTGCTGCAAATAACCTTGCCATGGTGGTGAGTAGCATTCAGTCAATGCTAGTCAATATAAATAGGAAACCAGTTTCGTCTTAAATCATTCAAGTTGACCTTTACCTAAATTTTTGAGCTGTTATCATGATCTGCAAAGACTGCCATTTCAACATCTTGAATTGTGGCAAATTCTCGCTAATTTATCAACTCTACACATCATTTGACTAGTCATTCAGTTTTATAGCTGGTATCTTGGCGATAGTGGCAGCTTTTGTGTTTGTCCTGGTATTTGGTGCAACCAAGACATTGTATCAAACATGGGTGGGCACACTCCACTATTTCATTACATCTACCATTCCAAATCTACTAGGGTAAACCATTTGAATTCAGCTGTTGATTTTAATAGGATAATTTGCTGTGGGTTGATTAGACTGGACAACATAGTTAACCATCCGGATTTAAAAAAAAGATATTTGATGCGAGCAATACTTGGAAAACGAGGTGTGGCTTATATGAGTCGACAACTGGATTGGCTTAACAATGACAAACACCCACTTGGCCAAATATTTTATCTGTTTCTTGTTGGTGGTGGTTTGATCGAGTTTTTTCTACTTACCGTATCTCGTGTCCACAAAGAAATGCAATGGTAATCCGAGTGTATATTTTATGTACAAACATCAGGTGCGATCCGTGTTGATACGATATTTGATTCTTGTCCATTTTTAGGTGGATTGTGATTCCAATTATCGTTTGGACATACACATCATTCTATATGGCATCAACTATCGATCCAGGGTTTATTACTTCAAAAAATGTTGATCGTGCATGCCAGATCTTTGATTACGATTATTGGTTATTCACGCCACGCAAGTGTACTACTTGCAAGACTCTAAAGTAATCATGGATTTGGGTTTATGCTGTTGCGATGAGATGGTTTAGTCTGCTAATTTAAAATTGCCCATCTTCCTGTTTTGAACTACAATTACTTTTATCATCAGGCCAGCTAGGTCAAAGCACTGCTCTGTTTGCAAAGGGTGTATTGCACGGCTGGAGTAAGTGATTTTATAATTACGCTTTATTGTATATGTTGCCTTTTGATTGACTGGTGCAACAGGACTCACAGAGTATGCATTGATTTTATGTCTACACAAGCCATCATTGTGTTTGGAGTAGGTTATAAATGGCCAAAATAATGATATAACAATTAAACAAGTTATGCGTATCAGAGCTTATTCAATGGTTTGCACTAAAAACAACACATTTAGTCAATAACTGCGTTGGGCACTACAACAATAGATGGTTTTTATCGTTTTTGATCTCTACTTCAATGTATTGCGCAATGGGTGCATTTTACTCTTTTCGTGCTCTTCAGCTTACGTATAAAGAGTTGGATCTGGGTCGGCGTCTCTATCGCGATCCAAGAATCAGTAAAATTGTAAACATGCCATTTTGGATACAGATGAATGTAGGTGGTTTCATTCCCTGAATACTTTTAAACGAGCCTTGTACTTAATGTTTGTGAATCGAACCATAGTATTTATCTCAAGCTGAGCCACGGATATCTGCGTTTTTTTTGTTCACGGGGATACTTGCTGTGATTGTATTTCTTTTTTTTCTATACCAATCGAGTTTTGTTATCTGGGGCATTACATGCAAGTTGACTGACCAACACCGATGGTGTAACATTGTAGATGTAGCACTCGAGTGTGGAAATCAAACTAACACTGTATATCATGTACACCAAACCCTTTTAGCAAACGAGTCGTTCAAGTGGGAAGATTGTGCATATGCAATTAAAGTCGGTGCTCTTGAGCATGTACCCAAATGTGTTTATGATTACAATCGCGATTATCGACGACTCAAAACCGCCGTTCTTGTAAATGGACCCAAAAGTCGTGCTGCACGAATATTTCGCCAACGCACATTGGAAGTTGACAAAATCATGCAATGCAGTAGTGATGAAGATGAAGCAAAATCGACACATACTCAAGTAAGCTCGAAACAAGATGCAACTCAACGCGGAAAGACAGTCGTAGATGAACCTACTTTGGTTGCATACTATCTTGCGTCGACCCACGGCAAACGAATGTCAAATATTTACAATTTGGGTATATGGCAAAATATCATGCAAGTTTGTTTCCCACAATCTCTCGATTTAAACCAAAATAAACGTTGATAAAGTGATGTGCAATGTATATTTTGTACTGAGAAGTGACAATGGGTTTTTTCAATGACTTTACCCAACTATCAAATACTTATCTACACAAGTATATAATAAAAACATGCAATCGATTTTTAAAAATAGAGCATTGACACGGGGAAAATCTGAGAAGGATTTATATCTGTAAGCAATAAACAAACCGAGACTAGTAATAGCTGTGAAAGAGGTTTGTATTCACTTTAAAACATAATAGTAAAGTGGAAATAGTGGTGGAGACGGAGAAGGAGTAAACAAATGTGCTTGATTGTTGAGTGAAATCAGCAAAGCCAAGATTTCAAGAGTGCCTTGCCAAAAATAATATTTGAATGTGGGAGATTGGCAATGAATAAATCCATGTGCTGCACTTATGTCGAAGGCTCGGGCAAAGCCTCTACGACAAAGCTGTAAAGTGATTCAGCGCTTGCAAGCTTGACCAATTCTTGAATCTTTGTGATGAGTTCAGGAGAAGTCATAATGGACGACGGAATGGGTGGGTAGGCAGTCGGGAGATGCTAGAAGTAATACATTGAAAAGCAATTCAGTTTACAAAAATTCTACAAAACATGTAGTCAAAAATAGTTGTAATCTACCTTGGGATCCTTAAAGGCATTGTGGTGCTCCAGGATGGAGTAGCAAAAAATGTACCGAACAATAAAGTTTCGTAGGAAATCATCTTGTGTAAAACGTTTGTACGATTTGTCTACATCAGGCATTCAAAATAAGTATTTGATATTAAGCAAAATATATACTACTACAAATTCATACCAATATTAACATCTTTTTCGATTAAATCAGTAATAATCTTTTCTGTTGCATCAGCGTGCACAACACACTGTGACCAGATGTCAGGAGACAGTTGGCTTTGGTCACACACAAAAGTGAAGCCTTTCACAGGAGCATGTAGAAACAAGGTAAAAAGACCGCCAATGTGGGTGGTATCTAAAAATATGTGCATCACAAAAAGTTAAAACAGCAACATACCAGAAATACAATATCAGGTAGCATATAAAATATACCTTTGATTGCAGTGGGATACTCAGTTGGGCTCATCAAACAAGCAAATGGCTGATTAAACACTTTGGGAAAATCCTGCAAAATATTCATGAAGTTCAGATTGAATAGGCGTTGGCAAACCAATACTTGTTGACTCGACAGATTTAAAATACAGCACAAGCAAAATATACCTTGAAAGCGACACTGTTGTTGCTGTCCACAATCACAAACATAGGTCTGCGAGTAAATGGCACAAGATCGTGTGGATGAAGAGTGTGGATTAAGGCATGTTGATCAGGATCAATCTTGTCAGGAGCAGGCTTTCGACTGTAGTTCACTGCAGTTGACACACCGCCAGAGTAGCTATCAGTCTGTGATGCGCGCTTGGCTCCATCCGCTGACAAGTATAGAAACATGGCCGAATTTTCCGAAAGATCCTTAAATGCCGTAGCAATGTAAAGAGACAGCTGAGCAAAAGTGGGGCGGTACAAGAGATACTTGTGTGGGTTTGTTCGACGAGTAGCAGTGGTTTTGTCTATATCATCTGCGCCTTCACGAGATTCAGTACTTGTCATGGGATCACCTTGAGGAACAGCTGGGCGAACCTGATTTGGAAGTGCATTTGGCTCGCGTTCCAGCGATTGCAGTATACGGTACATGTCCAATGTCAATTCAGAAAATTTAATCTGATTGGAAGTATTCCAAAAATTGATTCATTAGTAAAAAATCAAACCCTGTCTATCAATCAATAGAATACTACTAAAGTAATGTGTAAACAACAAACTTACTTGATTAGCATAGTTTCCAACCAAAATGGCTTCCTGCAGTTTAAGTTTGGGGGCGCCATCCTTGTCGAATTTAAGAGTGTTCTGATTTTGAATACGACTGGGAAAATGCAAAATGTTTCCTTCCATATCTACTGGTGCCAATCGGCGCTCGACCTAAAGTAGTGTAATTTAAAGTCAACATGCAGTCGCATTTTAGCATTGTTTTAATGATTCCAAACATAGACATTGAGAGTTTTTCCTAAAACGTAAAACTACAAGAACAGCATCAACACACCTCCATGAACATGGAAAGTTCAAGAAGAACAACATTCCATTCATCCGAATCGCTTGGATTAAAGGTTGAAGTGTAGTCTTCAATTAGGACACCAACTTCTTCGGTAAGACTCTTGACCATTTCTGTACGGTTCAGAAGAAGACACACAACAGCAAAGCGTGCAAAGTAACGAAGCTTCTTGATCATAAGCGGGGCACTACGGTACAGGTGATATCAGTAAAAATCAAATCAATCACAATAGAATACATTGTGAGAAATAAAAATAGGCTAGCAAAGAAAAGCAGTCAATTTTTACTACTGGCATACTTTTTAGCTTCCAGGACGTCTTTGAAATACATTCGATCGCGAATGGCTTCATAGAAAATGAATGATTCATAAAGATAGTTGGTTTCACTTGTTCGAAGATAGTAATGGTAATAGAGCTGGCCAATTTTCGAGGCCAATTCGCCAATCTCCCAACGCTTCAGGCCATAGTACTCCTTATTATCCAAAACAGATCTAAACACAAACTATAAGTACAGTCATTCAAGCAACAATTGCTTGAAAAACAACCCAATTTGTTCATAACGCATTTACCTGTAAGTCTGTTGAAACTTCCAAATTTTAGTGTATACTTCAAAAGTACGTTGAAAGTATGGCTGCCAATTTCGACCAGTGGGAGGAAGATCACTATACGTAGTGCAAAGTGAATAGGATTAGCATACAAATTAGCCAATAGCCTATGTAATAAAGGCAAACTACACGATTGAGTAATCGAGTTGATACGATCCAGCAAAAAGGGTTGACAATACTTACCGCAACCCAGCAAATAGCTGCTGTGACTTTTCCAGCAGATATTGAAACTCTAATTTTATTGTTATAGTATGAATAGATACATTACAGAATAGACAAAAAATCCAGTGTTTAGCAAGACAGTAATAGGATACAATTCTCAAACAGAATGGCTCAAGAAACCAAAGTAAGCTTCCAAACACAAATCAGATCCAACCAAGTGGAGAGAAATTGGGGTCTTGTGTAACAAAAAGGGTCTTGAGCCCAAATGTTGACTAGTCATACAAAAGATGAGTATCGTTGAGGATCACTACCCTCGTCTGAAAGACGAGTTAGTTTAGTAAATGTACAAGTCATACATGTCTGCAGTTTTAAGCAGTTGATACGAGTGAGCCAAAAGGCGCTGATAGATATGAAGCTCGTGTATAGATCTGGCAAGTTTTTTCCAGATTCTCAAGGATTCAGAGTAGTAAACCCATCCATTCGGGACATCTTGCAGTGGTACGATACAGATGGTCAGCACTACTCAAAGCAATGCCTTGACCCATCAGCTCCATTCAATCACTTTTAAAAAAACAAATTCGCCACTAGCAATAAAGAGCAATAGTGTCTATAAAACAAAGCAGCTTTTCTTGCATATGTGGATATAAGCGTAGTGCATAGCGACACACTTCAAAGTCATGACAATACGCCCTCCCATTACGGTTAAACCGTCACCATTGTATATCCCAAATCAAAGTCAAGATACTCTACAGCCTATTGAATGCAATGGCCAAGATACGTGGTATCATTGCGTAATAGCAATACTATTGAAACTAACAAGTGTCAAGGGTTGAGTAATAGAGTTGGGTTACCTTCAACAATTTTCTGGCTACTGGGAGCGTTTCCATGAAGCTGACCCGAGTCAGTAAAGGTCTCGCTGTGAGTGGTGTGAGCACTAATGATATCTTCCATCTTGTTAAAAAAGAAGCAACCCAATGCAAGATGCCAGCTAGTTGTTGAAAAGAAGGAAAGAAGTCGATAGCTGAGAATGGGCCTGAAATCTGGTTTGTTTTGTTGCTTATGCGCATCACATCCGACATTGTTCTGCTTGTGATATCTAACATACACTCAATTTCCTATTCCTGAATTCACAAAGTTATTCCGTCAGATCTCCTTGAAACTAAGGTGATAGTATAGCATAGCCTGTCGTCTTGTATCATTTATTTGCTACCGTCATATTGAAAGTTTGACGGTATCATATTTTGCTTTATTTATGCACTGGGGTCCAGTCAGTAAATGACCAAACTCGCATTAAAGTTGTAGCCGACTACCTGATTCAAACTATCCGTCATTGTCCAAGTGAACCGTGGCCAATACAAAAGATGAGCTCATGCAGCTGTCAAGCCGCGTGTCTTTTGAACAAATCTCCAGTCAACCCAGCACAATTTGTATATTCTGACATTAAAAGTAGAGCAAATTTCAAATTTTATTTGATAGTCAATTGTAATGTACCAAAGAGCAAGCAATAAACCCTTTATCAGATCCAACTTGAAATCAAGCAAATCATGTTCTATTAAAAGAAAAAGTGGTTCGATAGCAAGCACCAATGATCAAAAAAGCTGATTTTGTTTCAATAAAAATTGGAAGTCGGCATGGATGACCCCGACCAACAGAGTGTGAGAAACGTAATAAGAGAATCAATCAGTTTCTTCTTGAATTAGATAGGAGAAGGAAAACCAAGTAAGCCTCGTTGAGTTACAGTACCATCCCTTTCTAAAAAACAACCCATAAGGATCATCTCCAAGAAAATAAATGGAAACTGCAGTCACATAACTGTGCTATGACAGATCAGTACTTTCAACCACTGCCGCATGTCTCAAACTTACAAAAGCAAGAACAAAACAAACGCTCAAGGAAAATGCATTCAAAACACAATAAACCTCCTTAGCTAGCAATGGCAAAAGAGAGGACCTTTGCTATCAGCGACAATTTCTGCCATATGTCCGAGGACTTTCCCCAAAGCAATAAAGAATGCAAACTCGAACGAATTAGCAAATCTTCCGAGGCACTAAACAATGACCAAAGTCAATGGTCTCAACCTGCCGAAACAGGGAGACAACTAGGCACTCCGTATGTTCGCTTCGAATAGTGACTCATGGCCCCGTTGGTTCAAATGCCAACTCGCAACAATCAATCAACTAGTCAACTGCAGTTGCAGAGTCTGCAGAACCAACGGCTCCCATCTCCCAGGTAAAAAGAAAATTGAAAAAACTGGAATTTATAAGCAGTCACGGCCAGATTTGATTGGTGGAATTCATGATTGGTGAATGTTTGGTCGCGAGCTTCCATTCGCTCCTTTATCTATTGTTGGTCTGCGTCGTAAGCAGTCATACAACTACCTTCTATCATGGGAAAAGCCAGCAGCAAACTAAGTCCAGAGGTTTTGGACGAGCTATCAAAAAAGACTCGCTTCGATAAAAAGGAACTGCAGCTTTGGTAACCCTTATACTCCTTGAATATGTGGCTATTTGGCGTCTTGAGTTACTGTAGTATCTAAATCCAAAATAACCCTACACTGAAAACAAAAGGCATAGAGGCTTTCTTAAAGACTGTCCAAGAGGGAGTCTTGACAAAAAAGACTTTCAAAAGATATTCAAGCAGTATTTCCCTTTTGGTGACTCGTCAAAGTATGCTGGATATGTGTTTAGGCTTATGGATCTTGATGGCAATGGCGAGCTTGACTTTGTTGAATTTATGACTGCCTTGAGCGTATCAGCTAGAGGAGATATCGAGGACCGACTGTCCTGTAAGTTGGCTTGACCACCCTGGTTGCCAGCATGTATTGTTTATTAGAATGCATTCAAGCTCAATCATCTATTAAACTATAGGGTCATTTGCACTGTATGATCTGGATGAAGACGGTTATATTGGCGAGGCTGAGATGCTTTGTATTGTAGACTCTATCTATCGCATGATTGGAACAACAGATGGCTTGCAACCTAACGAACTAATGCCAGAACAACGTGTAGCCAACGTATTTGCCACCATGGATTTGGTGTGTAATGAAAACACTGGATATCATAGTGTACATAATCTTTAATGATGAATACTTTTTATTAACAGAATGTTTTTTGTTTTAATTCAATTCTATGGTACGGATAGGATCATGATGGTCGCTTAAGCTATGAAGAGTTTAAACAAGGTTCTAAACTGGACCCATCTATAGTTGCTGCAATGGATCTATATAGCGGACTTATTTAACTATCCTTAATCTAAATAAACCAGTATCTTTTTTGATTCGAGTTTGTTTAATATCTTGCATTGCAATCTAATATCTGAAATGGATATGGTCGAATATTACAGCCGTATTCACCTAAAACAACTTTCCTGTATGACACTATAGTATTCCATTTTACGCAAATACAGCTGTAGATGTGTATTTAAAACCATTTATTTTAAGCATGCTGCTTTCTCTTTGTTTGACTAGATCGGGTCAGAGAAACAGACTCTTTCTTTGCAGGCGTATCATCATCGACAATTGGAATACTTTCCCACAGTATATCGCTTTCATCCATGCTCTTGTTTCCGTTTCGTTGTTCAAGTTTCTCGCCATCATTAGTCTCATTGCTAGTTTCAGTTTCATCTCTGAAATATTCGTCCACAACCATGGCCGTTAAACGTTGCTTCAAATATACTTCTTTTGTAATTCGACGTTTACCAGATCGTTCAAACAACCGCAATTTACGATCAATTCCAATCGTTACAACAGTGTCATTGTCTACACAGCAAACCACCTGCGTTACTGCTCCAGCAATACCCAAAAATTTGCCTGAAACCACTCCTGACTTGCCATGAATAACTGTCATTTGACCTGTTGTGTCTGCACAGATGATATCGCTGATTGTATTTAAATGGCAAGTTAGCTTAGCGTCTAATAAGCAAAATCGTGATTGATTTAAACATGATGTTTTAATTTCACCTCGAGAAAAACAAATGCATTAGACTTACAGTTCATCAGAACCTATGGCTATGTTTTTAATGGGATGCTCGCCGACATTTACATCTAGTATGGGTCGTCGTTGCAGTTTTGTGTCATATATTCGAACTTGATGATGTCCTGTACCAGTAACAAGCCGTGTAGGAGAATCTTTTCCAATCCATTGGATTTCAGTTATCCATACTGGAACACGCATATCCAGAAAGTCGTGCTTTACCTGAAATCATAAAAAGTATGCATGATACCAACTCAGCTGATCAATTATCTGTAACAATCAATAATACAAGTTTATACAATTATTCCTACATTCTTGGCCATCCATATTGGTTCAAGTACTGGAAGAGTATTGTTTTCACATTCATTTGGATCAATTGACGGCTGAGTTTCTGCATTCTCCTGTCGTTTCTTTTTCAATTTCTTTTCTGGAATACTGCATCCTGTTTTATCGTGATCTTCAGAATTCATCTCTGCTGGCTTAAATAGACTGTTGATATCCCACACGCACAGATCTCGCTCTTCGCCACCAGTAGCAAAAATATGTGGAAAATGCGGATGCACTCTCATTTTAGATAGACAATCCATTCCTAACGAGGCAGTAGCATGTGGAAGCTCCTTGTTCTAACAGAGATTTTCAACCATGATTTAGTACGATACAACTGTACTCTGATATGAATAGTAAATAGTAGCTTCATCCACAAAATACCAAGGCAATGCCATACTTGAACCTCGTCGTCCTTGTGCTGTAAATAAAATATTTTACCAGTATTGGTGCATGCTATAATTGTTCTAAACACATTGTGGTTTGAAACAGCCAATAGTCAAAACTTTAGCTAATTATTCAAACCTAGATTGGATTGATATGTAGACTATTCAAACTGTTTGACAATCAGAGATAATTTACCCATTGTGCTCATGAAGGCCAATGAAATGCTCGGGTCGTTTCCTGATTTTAGCAATCGAAAGTCTAGGCGCTTGTTCATTTTGTTTCGATGCATCTAGAGCAGGGTGAAAGCAAGTATGTCGCTTCAAAATCGATCCAGTTTCAATCGAGACGCACTCAATAATTCCTGAAACTCTGGCAATAACAACTACATTAGGATCCAAAGTACTCTGTGCAAGAAATTGAATGCTTCGACTGCGATCCACTGTTCCAAAAACTCGAGTTTTAACGAGTGGGATTTCATCCTTCTTTACTTCAGCATCGGAATCAATTGAAGATGGGGTAGATTTCCCTCGACAAATGCTGGATTTCAGTTTTTTATTTGGCATAGGCACAATAGCCTGTTGCTTGATTGTGGTAACTGAGTAGATTATATTTGGATTAGTCAATGAATCATTTAAACCGCAATGAATAGATAATTTTACTAGAAATATACTTCTTCATACCCTACATATTCTAAAAATTGAGTGGTAAGGAATAGATGATAAACAAACCAGTATGTACCATACCTTTTAAAAGCCCAGACTCATCGCCTGTCACAATCTTCATTGTCGTGAATACGGCAATAAAAATCTAAAAGCAAGACCAAAAAAAAATTGTAGTCCAAAGTTTTGTCGAAACTGCACCAACACGTGTTTCTCAATTCAATCTATAGTGTGCAAAATAACAGGACACAAGTTTATAACGATGGTATATGATCGGATTCAAATAAGTAATAATTCTAATTCATTAATGATATTATTATGCCAAACTTTCAAATGAATAGCAAACACAATGGTCGAATCCATGCAATAGCACAATCAGGCAATTGTGGCAAAAGGAATACTAGATTTTAACAAACCTATTTTGTATGCAATTATAAACTGATAATAAGTTGCTGTTTACCATTGATTTTATTAGATAAAATTTACAGCATCAACACAATTTTTGATGCATAGATCAAGTCGGTTTGTGTCACAGGCATATCAAATAGTTTGGCCAACAACATTGTTCAGTCTAACGATCATCTTTTCATCAATTTGATCAATTAAAGCAGTTGGTACCATCAACTTTTAGTGCTGTCTAAACAGATGAGTTTATTATTTTTATATATGAACCGTATTTATTTACAGCAGATTCACGTAAAACAAAACGCTAGTAAAAGAGTCAAAGTATAACAAACGGCTAGCACATGTTTAATTGATGCCAGTTCCCACCAAATGTACTTGGAAACAACGTGCTCTTTAAATACAACCAGTTTCAAATCAACTATTTTCACTATAAAAGCAAATGGACAACAGTTGACCACGGGCTAGATAATGAGTGATGATAGCTTATTAGGTGCTTCAAAGTTGAATGGAACTCCACTTCCGGGCCAAACAAACTGAGTTCTCCAAGAATGTAACATCATACGATGATAGATTGGGACATTGAGTGCGCCATAAACACGATCATTTACGATGGGATGTCCAATAGATGAAAGATGAACGCGGAGCTGATGCCGTCGACCTGTGTGTGGTTGCAACTCCAAAAGAGTGACTGGTATTTGTGTTTCCGCAAGTGTACCTCGGCGCAAAACTCGCACAAATGTTTGAGCGGCCTTTAATATTGCAACATTGAGTCAGTATAAACAAAGTTGGTCAAAAAGATACATTTTGAATTGATTCCATTGAACAAGTAAATCAGCGATCCCCACAAGGAATCTAAATTGCATTGGCTAAAACCACACCTTTGTGTCTGGTACATCCTCTCCAAGCGTCGGGACATGCATTAGACGATCGTTTTCAGGTCGTGGGGCTAGCGGAAGCTGGATTTGAAATCTATGAATCATTTACAAGAATAAATTGATCGAGTCATTGCAGCTTAATGAAACCTCAAAAATTAACAAGGCCTTACTCTTGCTGGTCTACAGTACCACATACAATTGCCAAGTATGTCTTTTGAATCTGCCTGCGAAGAAACATTCTGCCCATAATCGTTGCCGTGTGTTTGGTTAATCCCCACATATGTACGCCTGATGTTGCATAGTCGATCTGATGCAACAAAAACAATCGCCTATATGTTGGAAACGTAGCCTTTAAAAGAAATTCTATGGTGGTTGTTTCGTCAACTGGGCCATCGATTCTGACATTCCATCTATTTTATAATTGATCAGTCAGGCTGAATGGTAGTATGAGGTGTATTCGTTCAAGTAGAATCAACTCAAGCCAGTAGGATCCAATGAATACATGTAAAAGTAAAAACATACGGCTTATTAATAACTAGTAGTTTTCCATCATTATATAGAATAGAAACTTCAAATAGTCGATTGTACCGACTGTCACAGGCAGTGATGGGAGAACATGGATTAGGATTCGGTGTTGCAGTAAACTCAGACTGTAGTAGCTTTGCCAAGGTAATTGCTGCATCACTTTCTGTTGGCATTTATTGGTGGTATTCGAATATCAGTCAACAATGTGATTTAGCCATTCGAGTTGGATAAGCATGGAATACAGTATCAAAATACATGATAGATGGTCTCATAAAGCGACTGTTGATTTTACTAAACAACATTGTGTTTCCTAAACTCATTGACAAAGCTACAGATTCACCAATTAAACATGGCCTATCGACTGCTCAACAGTAATGTTAATTATCGTGAGGCATAAAGCCTCGCAATCAAGCCATGGCTTTAAATTGCAACTTTCTCCTTTTGGAATAACCATACATTGTACAATCACCAGATCCATTCACTGCAATCCAAATATTGAGTTTGATTATTCTAATGCTGTCAATACAACTGTACAAGCTCATCTTTATAGTTTAAAATATCGATACATTCGCGTTCTAGTCCACAACAATGACTGCATGCCTCGGAAATACAACTGTTGTTTCCATGTCAATCACTCAATATTTGTAATATTTGGCTTGAATCAAATAAGAGTTGAAGATTCAACAAGTGCCAAGAACGTGGGATTTACTGAAACTGTGGTGTGAATGCTGTTTTAAACTATTTAGTTTTTATTTAGTATTCCATTTGCATGAATACAATTGTTGTTGTCAGAAAATCCAGCCTTTGATGTGATGGTATTACCTTTTCCAGTATTATACTGTGAAAAATGTGCACCTGAACGTAAATTCCAGAAGTCTGTGAGAATCGGGTTAAGCCTAAATTACACTACTAGAAAATAAGATTACCCATAAAGACAACAAACCATTCCTAAACCAAAAGTCTGCAAGATCTATCTTGGATTTATTTTGGTCCATGCCTACTACTAGTGCAAACCCTACAACAGAGCTGGTAAGGCTTCTTGTTTAATATTACTATAATTGGTAATATAATTTGTTTATCAGTAGACCTGCAACCATTTTGTATTTTATATTCAACTGATTTTTTATAAAGAATGCACCGCCAGCTTCTACTTCAGTGGCAGTCGCAGAAGACTTTTCAGTTACAATTGTGAATATTTTTGAAGCATTACAAAAGGGAAAGTTTCCTAGTAATGGTCAGATCGATGCTATTTTTACTAGAATTCAATCCTCTTCTGAGATGAAAACGATCGAGCCATTGCTTAGTCCTCAAGGCCAATGTCTATGGCATTATATCCAAGCAGCACTTGATACTATCCGTCAGGCAAATCGTGCCATTAACAGTCGAGAATCGTTGCAGAGCATGATTTATTATCTGAACCAAGCTGATCCACTTGGTAAGCCGCTGCCTTGGCTTTTTGTAATTTTGGACGATTAGATTAAAGTATATTTACATTATACTAACAGTTGAATGAAACCTCGTTGTAACTGATATATTTTATGATGGATTTGATACCACTATGTGCTTTAATGTAAACAGTCACGCTCACTGCTATAAACAATGGTAAGACATGTTATCCACATTGGATTTATATTTTCAGTTGGTTTGTAGGAGTATGGATGTAGCTGGCTTTATTTACAGCCGTACCCACGTAAATGGAGCACTTGTGTATCCTGCACTGACTATTTTGAGTTGGAATAGACAATGCTTAAATACTCATTGTGCTTTCCTACCAGAAATTGATTTTGATATACAGTTAATTCTTGTTCCAAATACAGCGTTCATTATGTAATGTTTCAAACCAAACTATAGTTTTGGACCGAGATTACCTTTCTCTTTATTTGGCATAGCCATACATGTAACTTAGTGATTAAGGTTGAATGCTCTGATGTTGTCAATCCAACTCTACAAACTCCACTTTGTTGTATCCTAAAAACTCGGATGCATTCACGTTCTAGTTCAAGAAACAAAGATTGTAGAAATGCAAGTTGGTTCATGCCAATCACCAGGAGAAAGACCAGCAAACTTGGTCAAGAGATTTAGGGCACAATGCTGTCCAGTAAATTTGGTGTGAATTATCACTCCATAAAACTGATTGTGTTATGGTTTGGTACTCTGGTGTTCCATTTTACGTGAATACGACCAATTCCATTGCACATTGATCGAGGATCAAATAAGGAGCATGAATAGCCAGTGCACCAACCGTATAAATCTCAAGTTTTTGATATGCATGTGATTTAACTGTATTTTAAATACTAGATGCCTTTTCTACTGGTCATATGGTTTTGGAGGTAGAAACCATAATAAAAAACATTCGGAGTCTATGTGGAGTGTTGGAACGTATTTGTTACGATCTCCCAAGTAGATCTAATGAACACGCTCCATTGTTTTACGATCCTCAGCAAAACCTAGAATGGGGAGAATCAAAAACGTAGTAAGTTGGTTATCGCCATCATACCTTGTTGTTATTGCATATATCAAATAAAATAAAATGGCGGAAATAACGACGACTTTACCAGGCGGGATATTATCAGACTAACAAGATACTTGCTTTATTTGCTAATTAACCCCAAAGCAAATCACTTGTATCAAGTAATCGAGAGGATCCTGGTACAAAAACTGTCGAGTCAACAGGTCTGATTTCTATAGCTACACAGAAGGATGAAGATACAATTTATAGCTCAGAAAATTTACTCGAGGTATGATATTCACAAGTATAGTCACATAAATCATGAATTTCATGTACGAGTCTAGTCCGTTAATTGCTTTATCTACCTTGCTATTATCATAAATACTTACAAATCCAATCTACTACTAATACTGGTAGAAACAAAGAAGCGAATTTGAAAATCTTTCAATACGGCCGCCGGCTGACTTTTCTAAAATGAGTACTAGTGGATCCAAGAATGATCATGAAGAAGCATTGCTTAAAGCAGATACTGGAGTATCCAGTACCAACCAAATCAATGTCACTTTTCGTTCATCTACAGTGCCAAATGATTCAGCTGAGCAGGATAGAATCGTTGCTGTTCAAAATCCGACAGTCTTGCCACAGCTTGTCGGGATCGCGTCTACAGCTGCTATTACAAACATAAGCCCAGCAGTTAATGTCCAATCCAGCAAGATAAATGCCAAAAGGACAGTGGATGTTGATTTTTCTGATCTCAACAAACTAGAGTGTATGACATATTCTGAGCTAATACTCACTAATTTGGAGCACCTCTGTCAGAATCGCATTCTCAAATCCCTAATCATTCAATCTATACAGACAGTTCAGGGAACGCTTCAGCCTATGGGAGGATTAAATTATGTTAATACCGATGCCATCAAAAATGTAAATTTTGCATTAGCACTTGCTAATTTAAGAGTAAGTACTATTAATAGATTGATTGTGCTGAGGGTTAAATCTTGTGGTTAATATGAGTGATTTTGTGCTAATGCCTGCTGGATTACCGATTTCAATTAGATACTTACTGAAGGAATATGTGGGAAAGCATCTCTTGATGCGTTGATTGTCTCTGCTGATAAGCTTCATGTACGAATTGCAGAGGATGCTGTATTTTGCAATATTCTCCAGCATGGTGCATCCATCATCATGCTGGCAGTTAATGCTGCTCCCTCTGTCACTTCCAAGCAGCTGCGTGAAAATGGAGCTAAATGTATTCACGATCTACGAAACCGTATTGAAGAAAAACATCCCAATGACTCGGCTGAATTGGTTTATCGAATCAATGATGTTTTGCTCAAGATCATCAACAACTATTATATAGCCACTTTGGCATCAAGATTTCAAAAAATATCCAGTCTTATATGGAGCATATCGTAAGTAAAGCAATACAAGACTCGAGTTTTTGTAGATACATTGGTTTTATACTTGCTAATATGCCATTACTTTATTTTCATAAATCCAATACTATCATTGATATTTTTGCAATGGCTTAGTGAGGGTCGTTGTTATATTCACCCACACTTGGTTAGAGATTTATTTTCTCAAATCATGCCTGCAGCAGTGCGTGAAATGGTCGCAGTAGCTATTCCTCGTATGGTGCACACATCGCATTCATATGATATTTGTCTTGATTCGTTTAAACTTAACATAAGCTCTATGATGCCGGAATATATCAGCGCAAAGGTGGTTGATGAACTTGTCTAATTGTTTCTAAAAGGATAATATAGCATTCAAACTAATAGACCAATGCATTGTACAAATGCTCGACTGTTTGGACATATATATATATATTGGTAATTTAACAGGTAGTTGACGAGATCTCACTTGGATTACGCAATAGTCTTACATGCGATACAGTAAAAAAGCTTTCTATTGAAATGTAAGAGATTTGACCTCGCCAATCTTGGCCTATTTTGATCATCAATCGCAGTATAGCTTACGCATCTATACCAATGCAATATTATAAATATAACCAAACATTTATGAGAGTAGGACACATATTGTTCCACAAATCAAGGATATTTCATTTGCATTTATTTTCAAAAACTTTCTCACTCGTATAGCTGACAAAGGTTTTGCCAGTGTTAATGTAAGTCGGCTAAAATAAGGCATTATTGTTTGGGTTTTTATGTAAATACACAATTTACATATACATGCAATACGCTATCCAACATACAGATGCCTATGGACACTGGATGTAGCGTGTCAGTAGATCTCGACATGTTTCCTGATCATCCGAGTCAGACCCTTTGCGTTAGACGGGTTAAAGTAGATTTGGAAAAGCTCCATATTACTGTTTCCAAAACAAAGCATGAGTTGAGTTAAATGGGTTGTAACTTTGTTCATCCATTCATATATACTATTTAAAGCTACATGTAATACATGCATTTACTGACTGAATTCGATGTTTGATTACGACTTATATCTGCAGTCTCATCTACCGCATGCTTTCCTCAATGATCGACAATACTATCCAAAGACATATTGCAAGAACACTTGAAACATACATTGCACAATCGGTTTCTACTCTAAATACCTTTTTGACCTTGATTAAAGGTCCAGGAGTTGTGCCCACATCATTCAAAGAAAAGTTAAATTGCCATTTTGATAGATTCATGTGCGCACTGAGATTGGATGGCGGAAACTGCGATAGTATGCTTCAGAAAAATCTGGCAGCGGAGCAGCAAGAATTATCTGATTCAGTTTGGCCTACCGCTTTAGTACTTTCCAAAGCATGGGATATTCCACAGGATGAACAGGCAGACGATATAGATGCATTATCTACAACGTCCCAAATCCAACCTTCTATTCAAGATACCACAGTAGTCGATTCCACCCATTTGCCGTGGTACACATCCGAGTTTAACTTGTCATCCTCTACTACCTAGATATTTGAATATGGTAGAAGGCTAGATTCGACGCGGATTCTCGCCCATGATAAATATGTTGGAAATCGATAGCATTTGAAATTGTTTGGTATATTTTGTCTACTTATTTCAAGTCAATGGTTTATTAGTCTTTTATTGCAATGATGATAGCCTTGCGGTCATTTTGATCTGAACATTTTTTTTGCAATACTTGAAGCATTGTAAATAAACGGATCTGCTATACTTTTATTGAGTCTATCACCATGAACCAAATGTTAAGCAATAAGAGGTGAAAATATCAAGTTTATTGGCCTATTGGTTTGCATAGCTGTCAGTATTATGTCAGTATTTCTCCTGAATAGTCCCGTCGAATGTGAATTGAAATGCCTTGTCTAGCAAAGCACTTTGATAACTCGGTTGATTCTAAAAGTAGATACATAAACCAAATCAAGGTGTAATATGTCAGCAAGTCAATATCATGGATAGGTAGACAAAGCTGGAGCAATGAGACTGAATTACAACGATTGGGATAGTTCAAGTCGAATAAGAATGTCAACCTACCTCCCATGCCAGGGAAATACTTTGGCGAGTACATGTGAAATGGGTTGGTGAAGATTACATCTCTGACGACTGTAGATGTCATATTTCCTCTAGTTTGTGCAATCAAATCGGAGATTGGATACAAAATAGTGTACAGTGATTAGCAAGACCATAATAGTATGTGATGATTGCTGCCAAGCAAAGCTACAAGAGTATAAATCCAATTTACCTTGTGGAATCCAGCTCAAATAGCTGGCATTTTAATGTGTAATCTCCCTGTACACGAACAGATAGATCATAAAAGACAAAGAAAAGACCAGGAGTTCCATCCAAATCCATCAGAACCTGCGGAGGAGTGGATGTGGTGCCTATGATTGTTTGACAATACTGGTTTCCTTCTGATGGACACCCATGTTTTCTAGACGAGGGCATATCACGAAGCTTGAGATTATGGCTTTTGTATCGAGGATTAATGACGGCACTACAGTCCGTTTGTCGATCTGCAGACCATAGTGAAATATGACATAGTATATGTAGATTAAAGTCCTGATATGCCTCGAGTACGTTTCGATTATCAAGCGTGACCAGCTGCAAGACAAGTGGTGGGTCTCTAATTGAGGTTCAAAGACAGTGTCAGCTGTTATTGTGAGGAACTATTACAATCATTAATGCCAACAAGCTCTTTGAGCAGAAATCTTAAAATAGCAGTATTCAGGGCATTTGAATGCATGAAAGAATGATGGCTTGGCAAAACCTAAGATGGATCGGCAGCTAGCTTACATAATCCGACGGTCCTTGACTGCAGAGAATCCACACATACGCCCCCGTAGGGGCTGCTGCCTGAGTTTGAATCTAAAGTTGCACTTACTTGATCTAAACAGGAATACAATAGTCAGATTTACACCCAGCAAGGCATATGAATGCCAGATAACTCAAAAGCAGTCTTTAGAATCAAATACGATCACTACACCGAAAAGATGTAGATAAAAACTAGGCCTGTGATCCTGGGCAAGCCAAATTCAACACCTATTTGCAGTAAAAATAATGCTTACAATAGCAGAGCGGCGTCCACTTCAGATTGTGATATTGATAGAGATGGCTCTAGAGAGTCTGCTTGGGTTGTGTTGCTAGGTGTAATGGTTTTGATGGCTAGTGATGGTTCGTTATGATGGCTGAGCAGTGTCGAAAATCAAATGGTCGAGCAAGCAAATTTAAGAGGTTTAACAATGCAAGTTAAAGAATGGTTGGCAGCAGGGTTAGCAAAGCTCAACAGTTACAGGGCAAGATTAACAGATGCCAGTCGCCAATAATGATATTTTAGACTGAAAAGTACGGGTAGATAAAGATTGTATTCTTCCAGCAGGCTGAAAGCACATTAATGCAGGCTGCATACAAATGCACAAGAAATTGGATGGCCCATATATAGGATACTGCAAAGTACAAAATTGCTTACAAGGTCGTTTTTTTGACAAGTGTCTGAGAAAGGCATTCTAGTGAACCTTCGATTCCTGACATACTACTGGTCGATTTTAATATATGCAATGAAGGTTGGGCAAGTATTAGTCCATTCCAAGCTACTTTACCAGAAAAGCTATCCCTCGACAAAAATCTGGTTAGAGTTTCATCCAAAGCAAAGGCGGAGAAATACGGTGGCTAGCCCAAATTATATATGGAAATGGTTTTTGAACATGATTTCAAGTAGCTAAACAAGCTCAAGGAAATGGCAATACCATGACTCAATCGTCATGCAAAAAGCTGGCCGTTGGTGGCTGTGAAAGATTACTTTAGGGGGCAAAAAATAGGGGTATCAATTCAAATCAACAGTCTGGCCACGTGTAGCTCGAAACATATCTGAGCAAGTGCGATTACTTCAAGATGGGTTGGCAACACTTGAAATCAATAGCGGAAACGAAGAGTCAAATTAACCGAGTGGCGAAGGTTGAAATACAAACAACCAAACATATACCAAGGTTACCTATGGGTTTGATGCATGCCAAACCATATTTGTTTATTTAAGTGGTTGTTCCTTTTGGCATTGTTACGGCCCTACTCCCGTAAAATAGGACACTAAATAAGGGTGACACAATATAGCAAGCACCAATCTTACGAGTGCCAGTTTTTACTAGACTTGCTAGGTGGCATTGTTTCTAAACTCTTTGGTCCATTGATCTCTACCCATTCTTGTACAAAACTAAACGGATATTCAGATTCGCTTCAGTTCCACTATTTCTTACTCCAACCCAAGCGTTACAAGTAAACAATAGGTAGCCAGCATGTAAACAAGTCGTTTCTGAAACATATAATCTTTGTTTTCTCGGACCAGAGCGCGAGCATCCGAGTTTTAGAATACAACACATAGGTTTCATTGATAACATCAAAGCAGTCGAATCCAATGTCTAGATTGTAATGAATGGATATTATGATCATACAATGTATGGCTATGCTAGAAAAGAACGATTTTAGTTTAAAACTAGTTTAATTTTTTGAATATTATACAATAGTTGTGCTTGGAAGAACTGGAAGAACTGGGATGCTTATTGAAGAAGCAGTACTTGATTAGTACAAAAGCACAATAAATACTCATTCCAAAGCAAAATAGTCCTTGCAAGATACAAGTGTTTCATTTTTTGTGAATATGGCTGTAAAACAATGGGTTTACCCATCGAACGAGAATTGCTGTTGCTAAAAGGGCGTATTAAGGGAGGTTTTGTAAAGCAAAGCCTCCAACTTACTAACTGTTGATATACAGCCGTACCCATGTAAAGTGAAGCACTCAATAAGGGTGTCAGTACACAAGCAGTCAATCTCGTGACATGACAATTTCCATTAAATTTACTAAAGTGTCTTGTAAACTTGTCAACAAAACTCACTGGTATTATGAATGATATGCGTGATTTTCGTCTTTTTGAACTAGAGCGCAAGCATATGTGATTTTAAAATACAACAGATCCTCGTATTCCCTGTTTAAAAAGAAAGGAAGGATTGAACAAGTGCCAAGAGTATGGGATTCACTGAAATTATGAACATTTGTTTAGTTTTCAATACAAAAATGAACTGGAAAAAGACCAGCCGACTAAAAAGTTTAAAAAACACAATGCTGTCCATTAAATTCGGCATTCATTATTCATGAACTTTCCATGTATGTATTTTGGTATTCATTTAGTGGTTCATTTTACGTGTATACAACTGGTTTGGATTGCGCTGCATTGAATTTGCCTGCTATCCAACATATGAAGAGTATCACGTGATACTAGTGTGAATGGCGGAGTTTACTAATTATTGCTCGCTATATCAAGTGCTGTTTAAATAAAGTTCATAATCTACCCATGGAGCGAGCATCCGAAAAGACTACCAACAAAAGTAATATCGTCTATATACGCAATATTTATCTTAAACTACTATAGATGCTAACACGAGGATTTCAGTTGATGAGCAGTTACTGCGGAAACGTGCAGAGCACAACGATGGTGAACTGTCTTCATTAAAAGAGATATCTCTGCACCAATTTGATATCGAAAAAATCGAAAACCTTGATGTCTATTGCCGTAACCTAGAGATTTTGTATTTACAATGCAATCAAATATCAAAAATTGGCAAGTCAATAGGTCGAGTTTGCAAATACTTTGATGTTTAACAGATTCTAACCAGTGTGTTGCTTTATACTCAGAGAATTTAAATAAATTAAAGAAGCTTCAGTATCTGCAACTTTCCCTCAACAACATTACCAAGATTGAAAACTTGGAGTGCTGTGAATCGTTAACCAAGCTAGATTTGACTGTAAACTTTATTGAAAATCCTTTGGAAGTGGAGTCTTTAAAGTCTAATATTTTTCTCCGTGAGCTGTAAGTTTGATCACTTTGTTTTGCGTTAGTATTCTCACACTATTTAGCAAGTCCGGTTTAATGTTGTTGGATGCATTTTGATTTTTGATTTTTGATGGTTAGATTCTTAATTGGAAACCCATGTGCCCAGGTTCCTGGGTATCGCGAATTTGTCATCACCACCTTACCACAACTCAAGTATCTTGATGCTCGAGATATAGAAAAATCAGAGCGAATTTTTGCTGCACAAGAGTATCCTCAGATTCGGGCTGAACTCATTGCGCTGCGTGATAAAACGAACGCAACTGCAGCCAACATTGATGATTCCAAAAAATCTGCTCTCAAGATTGCCGACTCCAATACAGATCTGCCAATCAAGGTGTATAACAAAAAAACAAAAGATGAGCCGGGTTTCAATCCAGATACTACTAAAGACGACGATTCTTTGGATGATTAGTAAGATTCTGCACTTGAAAAATCATCTTGTTTCATTTGGCATTCAAAGCTAATGCAATTTCTAATTTGTATAAATTTATTACTGATAGTTTGGAAAAAACAAGAATGGAATTTCAAACTAAACCTGTTCCACATACTCCAGAAGCTAGATTGGCTGCAGCGCGAGATTTAGCCAAACTTCGTCAAGGCAAGGCTGATCATAATGGTGCATCATTTAGTGATCCGCTTAAAAAGAAGAAGAACGATGTTTTTTTTGCTTCAGATGGACGAGTTCTTCAGCGAAATGATGGCAAATATGTATTTAAATGGATCGACTCACCCACTACAATCGTTCTATCAATCGAGATATCCAAATTTCTTGATACCAGTTTGATTGACGTAGATGTGCATCCAACGTGGCTACGTGTTACCATCAAAGGCAAGATTCTTCAGCTTGTAATTGACCAACCTGTTCAGAGTGATAGCATTGTCTGTGAACGTAGCAAGTTGACGGGCCAACTAGCTATAACAATGCTCAAAGAAAAAGTACAGGGTGATATTATTGATATCCGTAGACAAGAGCGTGAGAGTAAAGAACAAGAGGCTCAAAGTGCTGCGAGAGCTGCAGAAGCAGCCAAGTTTAAAAAAGATACCACTTGCAATCAACATCGTTCATCCCGGTATGGCAGATTGGATTATCGCAATATTGTCGAAAATAACAAACGCGAGCAAGCTTTTCAAAGTCGCCAGTGCAAGCCTGCATCTGTGTCTACAGAACTGCCTTTTAAAAGTATTGGTTTCAGGACTATTAAAGACTCGCCTATGATCAAAAGTGACATTGTCGATGAAGACTTTGTGGATGATCCAGATGTTCCACCGCTTTGCTGAGTAGGAAATGAAGAATTTCAAGTCAGTGCTCCACCTATATAGTCCAATCTAAACTAATCATGCAGTTTCAAGAGAATTTACGTTTCTAAAAGACTGCTGTTGCAGCCTGCTCGATGCTACCAGAATGTTATCAAAACATGAGATTGGCTGTTGAAATATAAATATTTTTGTCCTGTTCTCATCCTCTTTGTCTTTAGCCGTAAACACTTGCTGTTGTGATGTGGTTGAGAGTGCATAATCTACACAGAGCAACACCATTGGACATGTCAGCAACACTAGTCCATTATCCTTTCAAGTCTGTACTTAATCCATCAAGCAGTCTGTCATCATTGTCGCTAATGTCTAAATCAGGACTGCAAAAGCCCATCAAGTCTTCATTGTCATGGATGCAATTCAGCAGCAGGATGTACTCTTTGAACATCTGGAACCCAAGATCATTGTGGCCAACTTCTAGGATTAGATTATTTCAACGTAGTACAGGAAATAGAACTAGCATCAGCAAGTTTGCTACTGTGGCAGATTCTACTTTGGCTTCTATGCAAATGAAGAAACAGCAACGAGAGGGTGTGCATACCACCATCTACTACACCATGTCAGTATTTGTTGGCTTCATTGGTCTCACCTATGCAGCGGTTCCACTCTATAAAATGCTCTGCACTGAAACCGGTGTTGATGGAACTCCGTTGACTTCCATTGGTCACAAATTCGAACCCAGCAGCATGGTTCCTGTCACCAATTCACAACCGATCCGCATCATCTTTGATTCATCCATTGCAGATACGATGCCATGGAAATTTGTTCCTGAAACACGGCAGATTCGAGTGGTTCCTGGCGAAACAGCTCTAGCTTTTTTCCGTGCATCCAATCCTGGTACTGAAGACATGGTCGGCATTTCAACGTATTCTGTAACTCCTGCCAAAGCAGCTCAGTATTTTAACAAGATTCAGTGCTTTTGTTTTGAAGAGCAAAAACTGGTTGCTGGAGAAGAGATCGATATGCCTGTGTTTTTTTACATTGACCCAGAATTTGCATACGATCCTTGGATGGCAGATGTAAAGACCATTACATTGCATTATACGTTTTTTAAAAGTAAGTGATCTCGTTTGATTTTATTGCGATTGGGTCATTTGCGAATTCAACACTTTTCGTACTAACCCTAATCCTACTTTGTGTAATGGTTGTATAGGTAAGTACCAATAGAAAAGCAAGCAGTTTGTTATTGTATATTTTATTTCATTGACAAAACAGTCACAGATCATGGTAGTGGATGTGTCAAACAATACACAATAGTAAATTTCTCTTGCGTTTTTAATTCTCCATTTTGAAGCATCGATAGCTGTGGGTTAGTTGGTATCCATAGGATCATCGTGGTTAATTGAATGTGTTTGGACGGTGCTGGTACATACGGCATCTCTATCTGCAGTATGGTCAGCATTGTCAGACACATCTGCGTCTTTGGCTGAATTTGAGGGAAGCGTTGCGGATACAGGCATGTATGTTGTGGAAAAAGAATAGGCTAGCGGTCCTGGGATATGGCTTTGACCATCTGTAGGAGGGACACGGAATTCTGCAGGACTGGATAGGGGTGCAGGCGTATAGTAGGTATCTGGAGTGTAGGATGCTACCAAAAGCACTTTTTCCACTGCTCGGAGATACTTTTCCAACGTTTTATGGTATAGTCGTGGGTGTATGATCAACTCGCAGAGTCTCTGGTATGTAAATGGTGCACTGGGTAACCCGATTAGAAAGTGGTTAGAATAGTGATCAAGCGATACGTTTAAACATCGTGGCTACATATTCCTGCTGTATTTACAGCTGTATTCACGTAAAATAGAACATCAAGAGTGTCTAGAGTAAACAGCCAGTACCATAACATGATGGATGTCAGTTTTAGTAAATCCCACATCCTTGGTATCTGTCCAATCCCCAACTTATTTTCATCCAAGTCGAGCATTGGGTGATTGGCATGGAACAACGGCTGTAATCTTTGCTCTCTTGAACCAAACCGCGAATGTATGCGATTCTAGGATACAGGAGTGTGTACAGACTTGTATTGACAACAGTCAAACCCAACATCTGGACTGCAATGGATGAATTTGACAATACACAATGTATGGTGATGCCAAATGAAGAGAAAGAGCAGTTCAAACTATAGTTTGAATGTGTGCATCATACGATGAACATTGTGCAACATTTAATCATGGTCTATTCCAAAGCAAAAGGCAGTCAATGCAAGATACACATGTTCCATTTGTGTGAATATGGTTGTAAAATTGTTGATCGCAAGCAGGAATAGTGGTTTATACAATTTGAAAACAAATGTAATAGACAACTGCACCTGGATAATGACTCGAGAGCTTCCATGATTCTTTCTTCCATTTCAAAAATACTCGGAGTGCTTGCAGGATCTATTTGGTCTTCATGAATGCGATCTTGGATGACGGTGGTGACTTTGAATCGCACCAATTCTCGAAGTAGCTCCCAAGAATGTCTAAGTATGGCAATAAGGTTGTGTTAGGGTATCTTGTCAGTATCAGTAAAGCACGCCAGAATTTAGCAGCAATCATCCAGTCATATATAATGGAAAAAGTAGCACACTTGACAATTGCAGTATTGGCTCCGTGAAAAAATATATCATCCAAATCTATTGATAAAAAGTATCAAATCAGTACCGATTTATAGATTGGAATATGGTCTGGTTAAACCATTCAATGATGTACAAATAATTCTTTCAGTATTGACCAGCACTAGCATTGCCAATGGTCGCTCAATAAAAGCAACTTCTCAAGTAGATTTTATATCGCTACCTGGTTTCCATTTTCTTTCAGATGACGGCTGCAGAACAAACTCTATCGACAGAATAGTGAATCAAATTAGCAGTTTAAACCTTGATACAATAGTTGTAGCCACGAATGGATTTAAATAGAGCGTAGATACCTTTGAGTAAAGAATCATGATTGTCATTTGTTTCAGATGAACGTTCCTCTAGAATAGTGGTCATTGATCAACAATGGCTTCCCGCAGATAGAGTTGTAACAGAGTCAAGGATGAATCGACAACGCAATCTGACGCAGAGTCGAGTCGAGTCAAAATGTGAAATCTGCAAATCACGTTTTAGCTGTAAATCATCCACGTGATGCTCTGTCAAATTACATTCTAATTTTAGTCATTGCGTTAACCCAAAGAAAAGCACTTTATGATTGCCAGATACTCTCGAGGTAATGCGCTTGCTGCTAGATTAGGAACTGGCTCGTATTCTCTGCAATCTGCATGCAGGCCTGCATTACCGAGTCTTTGCTTTTCATCCAGACATGAAATCCTGTGTTTGAAATCATCAATGCACTGCATGGCTTCAAGACATTCTGGCCCATTGATCAAACTTGCTCAGCCTAATCCATTTAAACCCAAGTCTTCTTCCATGGTCCAATGTTAGTATCTGGTTTTCAGTTATTTGATTGTAATTTTTTGAATGCCTTTATTTATTCTCAATTCCGATCCATCAGCTATTATGCAATGTGACTAATCTGCCAGACCTGATTTATATCAATTCGACTCCAACAATAATACCATGTTATTTGAATTAGATCGCACCATGTTTATTCAAACTGAATCCACACCCAATCTTGATTCTCTCAAGTTCAAACCTGGCAAACTTGTTCTCCCCGAAGGCACTACCAGCACTCGAGAGTTTATTTCTGCTCGTGAAGCAATGCAGTCCCCTCTAGCTTCAACCCTATTCCGTATCGATGGAGTTAAATCAGTTCTTTTTGGAAAAGATGTCATTACGGTCAACAAATCTCCCGATGTGGCTTGGTCCATTATCAAGCCAGATATTTTTGGCGCTATTATGGACTTTTATTCGTCGGGAGTGCCGCTCTTTAAAGTTGCATTTGAAGGTCCAACTGATACCATGATCCTGCCTGAAGACTCGGAGACGGTCGCTATGATTAAAGAGCTGTTGGATACACGTATTCGTCCAACCATTCAAGAAGATGGTGGGGACATTGAGTATATGGGCTTTGTAAATGGTGCCGTAAGACTAAAGTTGAGAGGTGCATGCCGAACATGTGATTCGTCTGTCGTGACTCTGAAAAATGGAATTGAAAATATGTTGATGCACTATATCCCAGAAGTAACTGCTGTGGAACAGGTACTGGATGACTTGGAAATAGAGTCGAATAAGGAATTTTCAATGCTAGAACAGTCGTTGAAGAACCAACAGCATATTCGCGTGAAATCTCCTTGATTGTAGAAACAATCAATCTCGAAACTCGAGGACTTGACCTCTTTTTTTCCAAACCAAAAGTAATAAGAATTCAGTAGTAAGCATTTTATCATTCAAAATTCGTACAAGTGATATTCAATCATGATACAGCTCAACCATTTTATGAATCTCGAGAATAAACACATCTTTATTCATTGCATATACTTGGTAAAATCTAAACTATCTTGCAAAGTTGTCAATGTACTCGGTGGAAGTGGAGAATCTCCCTTTACTGCACTTCCACTTCCATCCAATCGCTCCCGAATTCGTTTTACTTGTCGTAGTCGCTCTCGTGCATTTGAAGCATATCCAGTAGAATGCTCCTTTTGTGCATAGATTTGTGAAAACATATTGGCATGTACAGCAAGTTGCCTCACATACGCAGCCAACGATCCACCTGTAACGATTTTAGGAACTTGTGCAACTTGTCCAGGATCAGGTAGATCTGATCGAATCAGAATGGATACACGGAAAAGGGAAGTGTAAAATTTGCTCATGCCAGTACGATGACTATTGTCCTGATTCGTATTGGCCACGTCGGTAAAGTTTCCTATGCTGTCTCGCAAACCAGCACCTTGAATTGGATCATGTCTCGAATCAGGTATAGGCGATGTGATTGGTGTGGTGGTTTGTGACTGCCCTTCTGTAGATATTGAGCCTCCCGTATTCCCTGTATTTTTACTGTGACGGCCTTGACGCCGATCGCTAGACAAGGCAGATGTGAACAATGTCTCGTTTGAAAAGTATGCCCCAGGTGCAATTGCGTTCTCTGAAAACGATAAACTAAGTGGCTCAACAACAACATAAAAGTAATTAAACTGTCCAGGAATCGTATCTTGCTTGTATATACCGCCCTCGTTCCATACAATAGATACAAAGTCGTTGCCAATGTGACGCTTTTTGCCGGTGCATGTTGGATCATAGTCTCGATTGGGCATAAGTGTAGTAACATGGTAAATGACTTGAGCAAGGCGCTGATCATCTGCAGAGCACAATCCAAATTCTCCATCAAGTGTATCTGAAGAAATATCCAGCCCACCAACATAAACATCACGGCACCCAGCAAGACGAAATAATCTTCCGAGCAAATGCAAAAAGTAAGTGTATGTTCGCGATCCATACGTATTGGAAAGAATCTCTACTTCAGTCGACTGTCCAGGTGCAACGTACACAATACCAATCTTGTGCAGCTCAATGACAGGTGTACGATCGAGAACAGCAATAGCACGATTGATGGCATCCGTATCTGGCAGTGGTCGTAACGCATCCTGAGACACTTGGTTTGATGGGTAGGGGAAAAACAGCATGGGAATAAATCCAGGCTCTATAGGTTGTTGTTCCTCACGCATTGATACAGAAGCTGTAGCAGAGTCAATTGGTGCTACAGTAGGAAGTTCAAAAAGTGGACTAGACGTCATCCGAGATGTACTCAGGGTTTTACGAGCAATAGAAATCGATCGCGTACGCCGAATTCTCGATAGTGGTGTCACATCGTTGTTTATATCCAAGGGCTGTTCTGAAGCAGTATCCGACTCGTTAAGTAGCCATTTGGGATCCATTTTAGGCATAGTTAATGGTGTAATCGACGTCCCTTTTGTAGAGCCTGTCGAAGCAGAGCGAGAATGTGCATATTCTAATCGAGCTAGTAAAGACACGCAGCAAATATATATCAGATTAGAATATTATAAACAAGACAGCAATGCTCAAACCAATAGTTTACCATTTGTCGCTATAGGATTTGTGACCATCTCTAACGATGGTAGTGTAACCAGAGGTGACAAAGAAAAAGTTTGCGCAAGCCAATCAGACTGTCCAGAGCTATTGATTTTCTGTGTTGCATTGTCAAGATGTATCCAAAGCGATACAACTCCAGAAGGACGGCGAACAATAAGTTCTGTCCAGCCGGTTTCCTTGGCAACCACAATGGATAGCAGTGCATTCCCTTGGATCCATGATCGCGTCGCTAGTTTATTTCCAGTCAAAGAAGCAGTAGTCATACGATTCGATGCCGCATTGTTAGGCTTGGGCCAACAATCCACATATGTGTTTTGTGCCATCATTTCCAACACAAGCTCAACATGCTCGTTGAGTTGCAGTGGAGCGGGTCCCATTCCTGCTGCTTGACCCGTTGTGGCAAGCAAACCAGCAGAAGTAGCAGATTGCGGCATATTTGACGTAGCGACAAGATTATGAATAATGAATGGAACAAATTTGCGACGTTCTCCAAGTTTTAAACTCATAAACCACAGAGACATGACATGAAAAGCAAGCTCAGTAATGTAACTAGATACAGAGGAGTCTCCACTACCCAAGTTACTATTGAACAAACGAATATACTGGATTGAAACGCCAAACACGCGACGGTAGTCGGCTTCGGTGAAATTGATATACAATTCAGGAACACGAGCAAGAGCAGAGAGGAATTCCAAATTAGGAATAGACAGCGCCTGTGACGTAGTCTGTGATATTTTCATTAGAATAGAGGGCAGATGTTTAGTAATGCTCATGGGCATCTCAAATAGTGCCAACGAGAGTGCCTGGATGCAAAACTTGGCGTTTGTAGGCCATCGATTAAGAGTCAGCTGAAACACCGATACAAGCTCATCCTGTTGTAATTTAGTGAACAAAAACCGAAAGCCAAATAAAAGCACAAGCAATTTAAAAAATGAGAGATAAATGTCTGCTTTGCGAATTTCTTGTGGAATAGCTGAAATAGACACGGCGACACGCTCTGTAATAATAATATCACAAAGTAGTGCTCGAAGTTGCCTCATTTGCAAGTGGGCATCTTGCCAAAGAAGATGGTTTTGTATCTGCAATGTGATATTAACAAGAGTTTCATGCAAAATGCTGTATTGAGTTTCCAGTTTGAAAATAGTCATCACCGCCTCCAGGTATTCTCCAATAGGCAAAACATCGTGGCGTAACATATGTGAAAAATTAAAAGTATCAGTATGTGCAGTTCCACTTGGTAATGATGAGGTTGGTGAAATAGTGTTAGTTGACGCTGCGGCAGTTCCAGCTGTAGTCGCCGTGGCTGGTGATATCAAAAAAGATGGCATTGAAGTATTGGTAGATAGTACTGGCCGAGATGTGGAAGCAGGTGTATCGTCAGTAACCAAAGTGACTGCAATGGCCGAGGCGTATAGTCGTTGTGAATGCACTCTTTTGGTCGAGTCTGCGCAATCGTCTACATGTTTATCCATGTCTAACAAAAGACTATATGATATTCCGTAATGATCATCAGCGCGAAATGATCCAAGAAAACGACATGCTACAAGGCGTGATGATTCAGGTACTACTTTGTCCCATTTAGACAGATTTACAATCCAGCGAAATACTATAGTGGGAGCATTTTCAGGGAGTTGTTGACCAGGACGTTGAACTATTAAATGAAATAGCGATATTAATGAGTACATGCCGTGAACCGAGCTGGTAGAGTCTAAGCCAGCAGGCTTAAACGAGGATTGCGCCAAATCCAGTATTGATCCTACAGTAGACTGATATTTGGATTGAGTTTCCATAAACAAGTCAGATACTCGTGATTCTGGAGAAGCAGTGATATTGGCGATTCGTCTCAAAAACGTATCCATCAGCTGTTCCAGCTCGCACAGGTCTGCATCTACACATAGTTCAAGAATCCATTCCGCCACTGGCCGAACAACATCAAGCATTGTGTCTGTGCAGAAATTCACGAGAATGCGATCTACAAGAAGATTTACATGTTGGTAAAAAACAGAGTCTTCATCTTCCTGAATAGACCATGTTCCATAAAGTTTTACAAATAGCGAAAAGGTTTTGGTTCGTATCTCGGGCCAACTCTCATCAGAGATGGATGGAGGGGGCTGTTTGGGAAAGTATAGCGTGTCCATCAAACGTATGATGGTCACAGCGTATTCAGGAAGATCAAGCAGATACTTCAACGTCAAGGGAATTTGTTCAAGCAAAAACAAACACTTTTCCGATGAAAGCTGACTCGATTGGGCAATCAAAGACCGAATCAGAGTGGATTGTGCAAATAAAGACAGCTTAGAAAAGAATACAAATTGCAAACGGTCTTCAAGTTGTGAATGAAGTTGACGTAATGTTGATATAGGAGCACTATCATCTGGTGTCGTGTCGGATAGTGAATGGGAGGTCCAGATAAACCCAGACGCGGCGTGAATATCAACCAAGATTTCCCATTCTAGAACAGAGAAATGAGACTGCTGTATATTTAGAAATAAGACAATTGCCAAAAGTGCATGCGATGCCAAGATGGTGAGCTGGTGCTTGAGTGGAAATGCAAGATGAGAAAGAATAAACGAGTTAGGAAATAGAGAGTCTAAAAAGGCGGGCGTAGTAGTGGTGGATGTTAATGCCATGGCATTCTCAAACAACCGCTGAAATAAAGAAATACTGCCAAGAACAATTGTAATCCAGACAGTGTCGTCATGATCGTCACCCAAAGAGCTAGATTGTGGAGAAAGTTGCATTGCTTCGAATAGTTCAGCAGTAGCTCCAGCAGAGTGATGAGAATGCTGGACATTGTTAAAGATGGCCCAAGCCTGTTCGTCCAGATCTGGATGTTGAGCAGCAAAACACAGACTCTTGATCATTGGACGCATAAAAACAAGCGGAATCGAGCCATATCTTACCAATGCATCCAAACAATTCAGACACTGTATTTTTGTAGGAACGTTTACTATAGGTACCTGAATGAGGCGAGTAATATGTGTCAGCAACTGAGCCAAGATATCGCTACGCAGATGAATGGACGAGAATTTTATAACTTTTGATATAAACACCAATAGCTTATCCAGTTGGACAAAATCAGGAGTTAATAAGGGTGAATCGGATGTATTGCCAAGTTTGTTGAGCGCAGAAATACCACACTCTAGTGTTTGAGCAGAAGCCAGCAACAGCGGACCCAATTCATGTTCAATATGGCGCAAATCTCGGCCATCTTTAGTCAGCACACACAATATAGTAAGTCGTGGATCAATGCTGGCGGGATCTGTAGAAATAGGAGCAAAAGGCTCAATCTCTGCAATTGCATTAAAGAAAGACAGTCTCAGCAAGTCACAGGCTTCAAAGTGGGTCTCTAGCATGGCCACCATGACCTGCATTGCAGGCATCATCAATGGCTTGATGGCCAGACATGGGTGAACTTTGTTCCAAATTTCGGATAGCATGGACGCAACATCAAAAGTACAAATATATTGTTGTAGTTGGACCAAAGCTGTTTCTTTCTGAAGGTTTGTAGTAATAGTTTGAGGTGTGGAATGAGTATTATCCAGACAGGCCAAGATAGAAGCCAAATCCAGATGTGGAGCAGTGTGTTTTAATGCAAGATTGGAAGCTCTAGCTGGGCCAGTTGAGGTTTCTAAAGACAATGAATCGGTAGATAAGAGTTGTTCTGTAGTATTTGTATCAGAAGCCAAACTGCCCTTTCTAGAAAAGGTGGTTTTAAGTCGTTCCAAAGTGCCAGTCATTGCATTGTCAAATGGTAAGTCTAATACAAAATCAAACGAAATGTTCAACACTTTGATAATCGTATTTGAATTGACTCTCAGATTCACTCCTTGAATTCACTTTAAATTCACTCCTTGAATTCACTCTAAATTCACTAAACTTATTCTTGAATTGACTTTCAGATTCGCTTTTTGAACTCTTTGAATTCATTTTTACAGCAGCTTAATTTACACGTGACTAGGATTCAAAATCACGTGTAATTTTATGCTACAAACCAACACGCAAACTAACTCCAGTTTCCTGCACTTTTGTCAAAGATGGTAAGGCTGGACTTGTTCATCCATCCACTGTGTGCATGCCTGATGAGAACCATCCAACTAACATGCTTCATCCATTGATCATCCATCTATAGTCTCACTGTAAGTTTGAACATCCTCGCCACGGTTCGCTTGGTTTCCTTCCCCGTAAGCGTGCACGTCGTCATCGTGGAAAGTGCAAGTCTTTCCCCCGTGACGATGCCAAGAAGCCCGTTCATCTTACTGCTTTCCTTGGATACAAGGCTGGAATGACCCATATTGTTCGTGATCTTGACCGTCCTGGAGCAAGTATGTCTCTTGCATTGTTGTTGTGATTGTATTCATACTAATGGCTTATTGTGAAAAAAAATCGTAAATTTCAACAGAGATGCACAAGAAAGAGATTGTCGAGGCTGTCTCTGTCATTGAGGCTCCACCCATGGTTGTTGTTGGTGTTGTCGGCTATGTTGAAACCCCTCGTGGTCTTCGCTCCCTCACTACCGTTTGGGCCGAGCATCTTTCTGAGGAAGTTCGTCGTCGATTCTACAAGAACTGGTACAAGTCCAAGAGGAAGGCATTTACCAAGTACGCCAAAAAGTACACCGAGGCAGATGCCAAGCCCATCGAGTCTCAGCTTCAGCGTATTCAAAAATACTGCCAGGTTGTTCGTGTCATTTGCCACACTCAGATCCAAAAAGTCAGACTTGGAACCAAAAAGGCTCACGTTATGGAGATTCAATTGAACGGTGGATCTGTTGCCGACAAGGTTGCTTGGGCCAAGGATCATTTCGAGAAAACCGTCGAGCTTTCTTCCATCTTTGAACAGGATGAGATGATTGACATTATTGGTATCACCAAGGGTCACGGTTTCGAGGGTGTTGTTGCTCGTTGGGGTGTCAAGAAGCTTCCTCGCAAGACTCATAAGGGTCTCCGTAAGGTTGCTTGCATTGGTGCATGGCATCCATCTCGTGTCCAGTTTGCTGTTCCTCGCGCTGGTCAAGACGGTTATCATCATCGTACAGAAATGAACAAAAAGGTCTACCGTGTTGGAAAGGCTGGTGACAAAAACTCTGCTTCAACCGAGTTTGATCTTACCACCAAGGATATCACTCCTATGGGTGGTTTCCCTCACTACGGTATGATCAACGAGGATTGGCTCATGATCAAGGGTTCATGTCCCGGTGTCCGTAAGCGAGTCGTTACTCTCCGAAAATCTCTTCTTGTTCACACCAAGCGTTCTGCTCTTGAAAAGGTTTCTCTCAAGTTTATTGACACTTCCTCCAAGTTCGGTCATGGTCGTTTCCAGACTTCCCAGGAGAAATCTTCTCACTATGGCGTTCTTAAGAACGACTTGCTCAAATAAACTGCAACTTGAAATGAATTTTTCTATCATAGTATTTTCAAAACTTTATTTTTTACTCGGAACTGTTGGTTTTGGGCTGACTAGTAGCTGCATCTGGATCGGATTGCAGTGGAGTGATACTCTCCATCTGAATCGATGTTTGTTGAACCGGTGCTTCTATATTCTGCAATCTCTGGTCTAGCGTCCGCAATGCCAATGCACTATATTTAAATATTACATGCAATAACAGTTTACTAAATATACTTTGCAGCCAAACCCAGATCTGACTTCTTACCGCCTTCGCTCAGCATCTGCACCATCCGAACCTGCAGGCAACCGTTGTGGTGTATTGTCCATACCACCAATCACCGGTCTAGCAGGCAGTGGTGGAAGTAAGTGGTACTTGACCATAAACCGATACGTTATAGTAGAAATGGGTTTAAGAACTGAACTGAAACCATTGCAAACCAGAATTCAATAAATCATTTGGTATCTTGCCAAACATACACTCCATCTGTAAATAAAAGGCTTACTGAAATGCATCTGGAAAGAAACTAGCAAAGGAAAATGTTTCGCTGCGATCGCCACGAATCCCGTCCTGAACCTTGTAGAATCGAATATAGATCCACGATGCAATCATGCCAAACGTTTCAATATACAATGCCACATGGATAAACCCAATAGCGTATAGAATAAAATGTGCTATAAAAATCATGGATGGAAGATGCTACTCAATTCAATAAGTCTCAATAATAGTCACATCTAATAGATTTAGAACAAAAGTAAATGGAAAGTTGAAAGTCGGCATTCAACCAACCTTACCTTTACTCGAATATGCACCAATTTGAATACTGATATGCTATGCTCTGGAACTGCTTGTTTGAATGCAACTACAAATCCACATAAAAGTCCGCCAAGACCATTTGCTTGAACACCAAATCTATACAATTAAATTTTGAAAAAGTAAACCAAAGATACTTTTGTAATGGTAATGCCAGCCATCAACATACAGATACTGAAGATCCAAGGAGGCCGCATAGGTGAGATACAATGCAAGAGTTGTAGCCGTGTACGTGCATAGTGTAACCACAATAATGTATTTTACGAGTTCTCTGTTAAAGTTGATAAAATAGTGATTGATAAGCTGGCTGAATTCAATCAATTAAAATAATGCAGTCATTTACAACTCGGATTGTTATGCTCGACATGATCAAACTGATCCCTTTGTCAATTTATACTTGCCTTGTTCCCCAATTGTTTTCAAAATACCTGCTCATAAATAGTAACGATGGGATATTGATGAGCAACTAACTCATGCATAGTTAAAAATCAGTACTGTAATTTATGCACATACTATCCAACAACCTTTATGAAATAGGCTATTTCATGATCACCTATTTTTAAGAATCGTATACATTATTGGATACCAAAGACTTACAAATACAATTCGAGATTCGGTGAAGCCAGCTGTCAGCAGTGTCCAAGGTCGAAACAAAACATAACTGGGCACAACAGTCAACAAAGGCTTGACACCACCCAATGCATCTGGACTAGACAAATCAGTTTCCAATGGTGGTAACAAGACCAACAATCCAGACAGAACAAGTGTAAGAAATGCCACAGCTTTAGTAGCTATTGGATATTCCTAAACATTACGACTCCTGTCAGTACTTGATGTAAAATCGATTGACTGGATCTTGGAATGGCTCAGTACAAATGCAAGCCGTCTTTAAAAGAATGATACAGTCCGACACAATGGATTTCTTTCAACATGGTTTCAATAACTAAAATATAAACTAGCACAGTCCACTGACCAGTACGGATAGAAAGCGCATTTGTGTTGAATGTCAATAGTGCGAAAAGTTGGTTTGGATATTAGTTACATCTTGAATTCTATCCTCAGATCTAAACCGGATTTACAGTTGGAAATACTACTAACATATATTTCCCGTTATTTCTGGCTGAATGGCAATGCCATCACTCAATATTACAAATGCATTTACCAGACATTGGACTGAATAAGCTCATGATTTCTCATTCTTTTAATATCAACTCAACTTGCAAGCTTGTTTATTTTTCTAATCAATAGTGACTTTAAAAGATATCTATGCAGTCATAATGGAGCAATAAAATGCTAAAATCTCCATTCAATCAATGGATTTTAACTCTGGCTAAATGTTTTCAACTTTATGTAGTTGGGCAATCATCGAGATTGTGCTGTATTGGCAGTTGTAGCGCGACGATTTGTATTGGTGGTGGTGGATGCAGACTTGCATTCCACAGGTTTGGCGTATCCAAATATATTGCTGTATTTACGATCAGTGGAGCGATTGGGCACGGTTGAATCACCGGCATTTGATTGTTTTGGAATAGCAGTGTTGTTGGTGAGAGTTTGTGTTTTGATTTCAGTATCAGGTCGAGCAGATGGCTTCGACTCGACAGGTTTGACATATCCAAATACTGTATTGCACAAAGTTTTGGAAGTAGGAGCAGACACGAACCCTGCTTCAATTGCAGTTTTTTTCGATGCCTTGGTAGTTGATTTGATCTCGGTAACGAGTACTTTGGATGTGATGATTGGTTTTTTTAAATGTAATTGTTCTGCAGGTAATTGGATATCGTCGACTTTTGTGCGACTAATGGTAGTGCGTGTTTGATGAGATCGTTGGGAAGGAATGGGAGTTACTGTTTTCGAATTAGGAAAAACAGGAATTGGATCACCCAAATTCCAATCCCACCAAGACTAGAGTTGAATTGGAGTCAAATTCACAATAATTAATACAAAATGGGTGCTTAATATCAACCATGACCAATACATTTGTATCAACTCACTGTAATTACAGCCTTTTTTGACTGTTTTGATTTAATTGAAGGTGCTTTGTTTAATTTAGACACATCGTTCTCATCAGAAAGAACCTCTGCCTGTTGTTGGCCAAGATCGACAGCAGAGTCAAGTTTGGTGTCCTAACAAATGTAAATACCAAAATTAATACAATTCATATAAAGTAGGCAGAAATTAGAGATATAGCAAGGCATGGATGCTTTAATGGAGCGATAGTTGCAAATTACCTTGAAATTATAGCTCAAGGTTTTGCTGGTCGTGTTTTTGCATGGGTCTAGAATTGTATTGGTATTCGAGGTATTGCCAATGGTCAAAGTTGTTGCGGCTGCTTCAGCTACATCTTTAGTATTTATTAAAGATGTATCTATTTGAAGAGTGGTTGCATTTGTCTCGATTGATGCTGTATCAGGTAAAGGGATATCGAAAGGCTCGATGGTGGTTGATTGAATATGACTTGGCTTGGCAATAGAAACCGGTAAAATGGCTGGAATCTCTGGAACAATAGCAACTAAATCTATAACAGGCCCAGCGATGGAATAAGTTTTTCGCGTCGTATTTACAGCTACAGACTGGATTGGACAAGCAGGATTACATATGCTGTTTGGAACTGTCGTGGCCACTGTTTTAGTTGTTATAACTTGTCTGGCAGCAACCTTTGAATGTGCCGAGCCAGTCGTGTAGATAGTAAATAGACGTGCAAGTTGTTCAAGCACGGTAATATCCCGTATATGAACTGCATTGGCAACCATGCAAATCACTTCATTTGAAAAAGGATATCTTGACTCATAAATTGGTTTCAATGCAATACACGAGTCAACATGTGGCAAGATAGTAGAGTCCACATTGCTGGTGCTTTCAGTTAAATTCGAATCAATGGTATGGTTCACAGAGTGTCTAGTACTCTCAATAGCCAAAACAGACTTGTCTGCCGTGACAGCTGGTGCTAGTATGCCGAGATGATAAGACTTGGTCGGAATACCACTGTTGAACAGTGAAATGTCATCAATAGGATTATATTTAGTCGAAGAGATTGTCTTCATGCTTGACTTGGCCGGTATTGCAACTGAGATGGGTTGCGTCGACACCTTTATCAGCAGTTTAATATATCATGAAATGTAATGGTTAGCAAATGCATATATTCGATACCACATCATATCGAGTATGATACGTTAATTTAATACCTGAGTAGGAATAGTTTGTGGGGTCCATGGTGTGGTCAATAATTGTGAAGCTATACCAGAAGCGCGACGAGGAATCGTGCTGGTTGAGTTGAGTGTTGTAAAATAAGTCGGTTTGATGGGTACATCAACAATAGATACTGTATCTTCACTCGAGTGCTTTTTTGGTAGGGCATTGTGGCCCACTATAGTCGAGTTAGTGAATGGAGATACACGAGTAGTAGCTGATGCTGTGGGGGCAGTCATCAGTGGCTCTACAAGAGAAATCTGGCAATTCCAGGTGGATGAAAATTAACGGGTATTATTAACTAATAGATAGTCGTGCTCAAAATACAGTCAAACTCACCTGCGCAGTATTCTTTTCTTGATTTATGGCGCGACGTATGGTCTTTTTAGATGGCTTTTTATTGTTGGCCGAGGCAGTGGATGGTGCCTATGAATGCCAGGGATTCATTTGAAGGTAGATATGGAAAATTGTAAGTGCTGTAATATCGTAAAACTATTTCACTGATATTAAGGCATAGTATGCATCAATTGCAACTTGATGCAGACTGAATATGGGATAAAATACCATTTAAACAATACTATTATTTTAAAAAGCATGCTACTTACCGTGAATTGACACTCGGGCATTTTAGTCATGCTTATCTTAGCCCACGGATACATATTTAAAAGTGTAAAAAAGTAATAAGGTAATAAGTATGCAAATAGCAGAGTATAGCAAAGTTTGAGACAGGACGAATGTTTGGTTTGCAAAAATTGCAAGATTTGGTTTAGCTTAAATTTAAATGGAAGTTTAAATGGAGGTTAAATTAAAACTGAAATTGAAAATCCTGGCGACAATTTCTTTTTTTTTAATTTAAAAAACTATTGCTTAGCATCAGATGCAAAATGTCGCGATTGGCGACAATACAAAGTTGGTTGGAAAGAATGGCCAAAGTTGATTAGAAACATAAATAAATGGCCCTAGTTCAGCAATATTATATACAGCCGTATCCATGTGAAAAGAAACATTAAATAAAAGCCAATTTTATCAAATAATTGACACCGAATTTACTGGATAGCATTGTGTTCTTTGAACTTTTTGACAAAGCTTAATGATATTTCTTTTCCGTGCCTATTTTTGCATAAACAACTGAACGGGTGTTTATATCACGACTCTAGCAAATCCCACATTGTTCAACTCTCCATTCATCAAAGCCAAGCACTGGATAATTGGCATGGAGACAATAGTTGCATTCCCGGAGCGTGCAACCTTGAACCAGAACGCAAACGTATGTTTTTAAAATATAGTAAAGTGAAGTCTGTATAGAGTCTGATTAGCAACATCAAAACAGTCCAACCCAACATATGGATTACAACGAATCATTATACCAAAATAGGAGAAAGGGTAGGTTCAAATCCATAGTTTGATTTTTAAACATCATATAATGGACTTTGTGTTTTGAAGAATTGAGAATGTCTATCCAAGTTAATTTGTAGTAGGAAAGCACAAGATTCAACCATTGTTTATTTCAAGATAAATACGAGCATTTCATTTCACGTGAATACGGCTGTAATTCGAATTGATTTGTATTAGATTTCAGACATGATATGCAGACGAGTCTAGACATGAGAATGAATGCGTAGTATCAGTGCGTTTATAGGAAGCTATTTGATCCAAAAACACCAACACAAATTCCTGAACAGTTTGAATTCTGGTAATTACTTTTATTGCTTGACAAGACCAACACTCTAATGTGTTTACTAAACAAATTCTTTTTAGAGTTTTAATAAAATAAAACATCGAAATGGAATGAGAATGGCAGGCCATTGCTCGATAAATAGATTTGCGAAAGCAATAAATTGTTCACTTTTTGTTTGCAACCAATTTAAGCCAAAAATCATGTCCGATTCAGACACTGCAACTCTTGTGCTTGCGGACATTCCTGCTGCTGCTGAAGATACTCTGCAGCCCATAGAAGATATGATGGACACTCAGGAACTTACTATGTGTGTAGACTGTTGCTTTGTAGTTTGACCAAGTTGTATACGAGTATTGGGTTGAATGGAGATTCTTGTTTCTAATCTGCAACACTACTCGTTCATTCGATTCCAACTACTTGAGCTTTTTGTTGTTGCAAAGTTTAATCATATACAATCAAGTATGGTTTATTCAAATCATTAACTCATTTATATGCTATTCACCAATGATAATTCAAACTGGATCTAGGCTTGCAAAAGAACTGGATTCTCAGGAATTCTATTTCAAGAAACTAAAAGACTCTTTTATTGCCAAGTTCCAGACAGAGTTATCTGCTGGAGATTCAGGAAAGAATGGTGACAATGTTTTGCTTCAAGCTGGCCATGGTCAGGTATTTCCTGATAATGCAGACAACCGTACAGAAAAATTGGACATCCGGCGATTATTACTTGCCCATCCACAAAACACATGTGCAGAAAAGAACTTTCATAAAGAGTTGTTTTCAAAGCTCAAGTTCAACTACTTGGAGCAGGCTGCCAAGGAATCGTTTTTAAACTGTATCTTGCAAGTGTCACCCCAGTTTGCAACTGCTCAAACTCTTCAGACCTTTGGTATAGCTTTGTTGAATAATACATTGATTACACCATAACTTGCTTTTATGATCGGTACAGCTTTCTAATCCATGACATGATATTTGTTTAGAGCAAAGCGTCAAGGAAAGTAAAGAGGTTCTCAAAACCCAAAAGACCAATTTTGAGGCACAAAAGACAGAGATATACGAATTGATTGAATCTACATGTGCAGGTAATTATCATTCACGTAGATTAGTCAGCATCTTTGATTTATGCTTTATCGATCTGAGTTCTGGATGATCTGGAATACCGAGCAGCTCTAATATTTTTTGAAAATTTAGCATATGAGCAAGCCACTTTACAGAAACAACAAGCTTTAGATCTCGTGTCTGATATTACTGCAGACTATTCTCAATATCAAATCATAGTCAATACTGTAAACCCAAATACTGTAAGCTACTCGCTCATGTATCACTGATGCTTTGAATGTAGGTTGTTTTAGCGCATTAATTCAATATATTTTTGGTCGTGTCAGAGCGTGGTTGAAGAGCTGGAGAAAAGCACTTTGTCGCAGACACAAAAACTTTCAGAACTTCGCTCTCAAATTGCCAAACAAAAAAACGCATTGGCCGAACAAAGGGAGAAAAGGACACAGCTCAATACGGACAAGGCTTGCTTAGATCTCAAGAGAAATGAAGCACAAGAAAATGCAGCCGAAGCCATGCGTATATCAAAAAGCAAGAACCCTCAAGTAGAAGAACTTGGAAAATGGCAAGTTGGTCGTATTCAAGGATGAGTGGATAGACTATTGCCACTTTTTTATGCAGGCTGAGAAGATAGAAACTAACTACTGGCACGTAATTTAAATAGGTATCAAGAAACGATTGCTCTATTATACAAGTGTAGTGGAATTCGCGAAATCCGTGCACTTTCCGACTCCAATATGGAAATTGTATATGAAATGGGGGTCGATACAACATATTCTGTTTTAATTCGAATCATAACCGATCCACAAACTGATGATTCAAACACTCGGCAATTCTATCATCGCGTTGAAGCACAGGTTGTTGATGCCATGATTCCCGTAGATGATATACTGGATGTGGCTGCTGGGTTTTCAAAATTGGACAGTGCGTTGTCGTTCACAGTGCGTGCGGTATATTCACGGCTTCAAAACATGCATATACGAAATCAGGAAATGACTGAGTTGCAAAAGGTTAATAGCAATGTAATGTTTGATGCACATCTTGGAGAAACCATGATACATAATACACAAAGCGGGCGAATGTTTGTGTTGCAATTGGATGTGTCTTATCCCACTTCAAGTTGGCAAGGAATTCGAATGGTTGGAGTTGAGCCAGCTCGAGTGGAAAAGGAGGTTGAGTTATGGCAGGTAATATTTTTATTAGACATTGACCAGACTTGTAAAATGCATCGTGTTTAGTCGATTTACGACATTCCATACTAAGCTTGGATTGAAAAGCAAGCAAATCTTACTTGGATGTACTAACATTATTGTGTGTTTAGAACAAAATCAACACGCTAAAGCCTGCCACCTTTACTGAACTTGTTATGCATCTTGAATAGATTTACAGTCGTATTCACGTAAAGTGAATCGCTTTTGTATTTATCTTGCAGTCTTTTTTGCTTTGGAATAAATAATGGTTAAATATTCGTTGCACTTTTTTGCTAGACATTCTCAATTTTTAGATCAACACAAACTCTAAGCGTGCATGTTGTATCTTAAAACTCGAATGCGTTTGCATTGCAATTACTGAAATTGTGATATGAATAGTTGTTGTTTTGATCCAGTATTCCATTTTATGTGAATATGACTGTCATTGGATACTGTAAACTCAAATATTTTAGATTTTATATGGTAAACGTCTCAAACCAAGTAGTTTTGCCACATTTGAAAGTCTTTATTTTCTCATTGTAAAGTAAACTCGTTCCAAATTGGTGGTCAAGACAGTCAGTTTCCATATGAAAATGCAAAGAAACCAATAAGAATTTTCTTTCAACGGAAACCAAGGAATGAACTCGGCAAGTATTAGTATGGTTATGCTTTTCCAACGCGAGCATTGACGTGAATCTACAATGAGTTGGAAAGCATGTTAATGACAACTAGATCGAATGGATTCAAGTAAATCACTTGATCAAAAGGTGTTACCTTGGGCTCGCACTTGACGATAGTGGACAAAAGCTTATCAATAACAGCACCTTTGTTTTTAAGAACAGCAGCATTAATTTCAACCAAAGACTCTTCGGTTTGCTGTTGTGCCTTGATGACGGAATCGTCCGAGTCACCGGAAAACTTGAATATTCACATGGAGATAAACTATGTTAGCTCCAAGTCAATGAAAATATGTGTATTACAAAGTAGAGTATGGCTTGATCAAGCCTAGTATGTCGTATCAACAAGACCACTCAACACACCTGCTGCTCAAACTTTTGAAACTGAATGGATTGCTGGCACTTGAGAGCCTCGATTTCCTTGGATGCTTCAAGACGAGCATCCTTTAGACGCTGTACTCGATCTACAGAATCAAAAACAATTAAAACTTGCAACAGTACAACTCTATTGGGTTGCAAAGCATGGTTTGAAGGCAGTCGGTTGGTATCGTCATTGGACAAGTACCAAGAATGTGCATCAGCAACCCTAGGAATAAAGTCACCAAAAACAAAGCTTTCCTGTCGACACTACTCAACCACGAGCATAGTCTGCCAGGGTTAAAGTGGTTTCGACTTGAAAGCTACCTTGCATGATGGCATTCCCAAAATGGCTCTTGCTCAAACACATGCACTTGGTGCAATACAACTTACACTGACGGGACTTTGCAACAATCTTGGATGCTTCCTTCTCGGCCTCGAGCAGTGTTTGAATACCTTGAGAGTTTTGTGCCTATTATAATGATGATGAAATAAATGGAATCAGACATGGATTGAAACTAGAAAGAAGCCAATGATCCTGGTGCATGCTGCAGTCCCATTCCGACGAGTTGCAGTCACTCAACTGGCCGTCAGTGCTGGTCATGCACTTTCCTGCCATGCCAGCACACACTCAGCAAACCATTTCATGCATGCACACATCGAACCCTCCATGGCAAGTATCTCCAGTATCAATGCAGTAAGTTTATCACTCACCATTTTGTCCGTGTCTTGTCAAGTGTTTGGGAAAACAGCATCAACCGCCCTTTGCTTTAAACAGCGTTTGAATTCGCCATTGAAGATGGCAGCAAGAACTTGGTTTGAACAATGAAAGGGAGTGACCCTTGCACAGTGTTGTGCATTCAATGAATATAAAACACTGTCAAGTTGGCTGTTTAAACTCGTCAAGATATTCATTGCTAGATTTTATTATCCAAGCCAAATCATGTCATGCTCGGCAATCCAAGTTGGATTATAAACTCGCTTTAATTTTTTAATTAGATTTGCGTTGACAACACATTTCAATCCATCATGAACATCACAATGCGACTACAGCAGAGACTACTAAAACATTGCAATGCCTTTTGTCCTGCAAAGAATCTACTTCAACTCTCATATTTATTACATCCAATCATTCAGAAACAATCAATCTCCACTTTAAATCCATCCTCAATTACAAAACCAGACCATAAACCTGTGTTGTTAGTGCCTGTAGTCGATATTCTTTCTCCTGAATTCGATCTTCAGTCCAGAGAAAGACAGAGTCAGCGAGTCCGTTTTCAACGACCACGATTGATTTGTGATGCTACATTTGGCAATGGAGGATATACCAAGGCTCTACTGGGTAAAGATCTTTTTCATCAATTTGTATTCAACACTCGAACCATTACTCTATCTTTCGAGTTTTATTATTTAAACCGATTTTGTAGTATACTCTATGCAGCATGGCATTGGGTTTCTGGATATGTTGGTCTGAATAAACTAAATCCTACCACTTTTGATCCATTGATGATGCTCAGATCCCACTCAACTTGCTGGTGAATCAATCCAACTGTTGAAATCATTCACAACTAATCTTGATGACTAGATAAAATGGATTGCAAGGTGTTTTGTGTAGATCAGGATCCGCTCGCTATTGAACGAGCCATGGATATGTCACTCAAGCCAGAGTATAAAAACCGTTTAATTCCCATTCATGGCAAATTTAGCGATATTCAAAATCTAATTGCACCTTATACAGCATCACAGTACGTATACTCTCAATCCAATCGTTACAGTCGGCTTGATGTTGGGTTGATTAAACCACTCGTTTGTTTTTAGTGAAGCATGTCTGGATGGCATCGTGTTTGATATCGGTATTTCATCCAATCAATTGGACGATGCATCTCGGGGCTTTTCGTTTCGTAAAGATGGACCTTTAGGTATATTAAGAAAAGGTTGCTTTTGGCAATAGTTTGAGTCATGGGAGTACTGACTGGTTTATTATACTTGGGCTTAAACAGATATGAGAATGGCTTCACGTGGAAATCTAGACGAATCTCGACAAGTATCACGAACCATTACAGCCGAAGCAGTAATTAATAGTTGAGTCAACAGTATCTTCAATATCTGCTTGTATATTTTTATTGATGATTTGTTTTTTGAATTGCCGCAATCGTTGCTCGATTAGACTATCCTGAGATGGATCTTGTTCGCATTCTTCAACAGGTATGACCAAATTCGCTCTTTATAGTTGTGCAACTCATACTGACTAGTGGCATGTTTACTTTTGTCTTGATGTGGAACCAACAGTACGGAGAAGAAAAAAATGCATACAAGATTGTACGCATGATTGCAGCTATCCGAAGTAAAACGTACATCAATACAACAACCCAACTTGCACAAATTATTGCCAAGGCTGTTGGAAAAGAAGAGCACTGGCAGCAAGGTCACAAACATCCTGCAATGAAAACGTAAGTCATGACAGGCTATTCCTTTAACTTGATCGTATAGATTGACTCGGAATGAATGGTATTCTTTTTCAATGTTTGAATGGACGTGGTTGCTGAATTAGGTTCCAGGCGTAAGTTGTATCGCTTTATTTTGTTTGCTTCCAAACTATATATTGATACTACTGTTTGAATTGCTACACTAAAAAGCATACGGATTTATATCAACGATGAGCTCAAGCAACTTCAACAGGGACTAGTCATGGCAGAGCGTCTGCTCAAGCCCGATGGAAGATGCGTAGTGGTTACATTTCATTCTCTAGAAGATCGGATTGTAAAACGTTTCTTTCAGGCATGTGCTCAAGGTGTAACACCAGATGAACTGCCTCCGCCCATGACTCAGCAAGAGTCACGACGAGAATCGACACGAGTCAAGTCTCAGATTGCTCTAGAAACTGCAGAACGAAAACGGGAACAACAGGATCGACAAAGAGTTCGGAGTGGGTTTAACCCTGACGAGGAGTTGAGTATGGATCATTATACTCTCGTCACAATGCACGATCAGCTGGCGTCCTTTTCCGCTGTAAAAGAGACTGGACGTGAACCATCCATGATTCCGCTGTCCAAAAAAGCAAGTACGTTAAACTTGCATTTGCCCACTCTTTTCTAAACCCTAACCCTGACTCATTTCCCATCCAGTTGTGCCAGATGAAAAAGAAATGCAAGAAAACAGCCGATCCAGGTCTGCAAAACTTAGAGCTGCAAGACGCACTAACCACCCAACCACTTACACTCAAAATCTTTAGTGTCAAATAAAATTTACTTGTAAAAACGATGTTGTAATTTGATCTTGTAAAAAAGGTGGAGAGATTCTGTACACATCCAATATCTTAGCGAGGCAGAAAAAATAATGATACCCACCACTATATGCACATTTATACACTGTCCACAACTCCAAAAATGGGTTCAGACAGTGAAAAAGCAGTGGTAGATCAAAATTCAAACATTCTACTCTTGACGCATAGGGTTTACTGCGCACATCCAAATGCGCATCTTGAAAATCTTGAAAAGCTCACGCACTAGCTCACGAAAGTCGACACGACGCTCAGCAACAAAATAAAAGGTAAGCTTACGACGATCCCATTGGTACTCGGCATCAACAATCTCCATGGCGAGTTTACGCTGTCGAATCTTAACCTGGCACACATTCATAGCCTTGGCTTCATCCTGTCCCTTGGACAATAGCATGCCGATTTCCTGGCCTTGTGCAAGACGGAAAATACGCTTGGGATATACTTCCTTATTGGACATATGAGAATCCACCAATGCGTCGGGGTGTGTCGCTTGATATAACTGTAAGTCTTGAAACGAATTGATACCAGTATCAATGACTTTTCCAAGATCTTTGCCACGATCAGCCTCGACGATAGCTAAATCACCAACACTAATAGCGCCGACCGAACTATCTGTTGTGTAAAAGTAGTCGACACGCCCAGCCTTGAACTCGACAACATAAAGAGGAAACTTGAACATCTGGCGTGGAACGGGTGATACGGCTGATACTGGAGACTCGGGAGCGTGATTCATTTGCAGATTCTTACCTGCCTCTGCCCAGGCACGCACACGATTTTCGGTATTTTCAAAATAGTCGTCAATCTCCTCAATTTGATCGCTAATAGCAAGTGTATTGATTCCGTCCTTCAAACTACGCATATTGGCCTTGCGATTCTGATCCAAAGCAGATCCACCAAGCGAATGGCGACGACGTCCAATATCGAAATCAGATCCACTACCAGAGACATCAGCAGCATCAATGTGATTAGTAATAAAACGGTTTACTACACTGGGTGCGACAGAAAAGCGTCGAATTTGTGCTGCCTGTTGCTGTCGATAGCGTTCAAGCAACTCCTCAGTGTTGATGCCATTCATATCGTTTGCTGTAGCTAGATTGCTGGAACGCATTGCCTCCCACATGAACATTTGATGGTTGGGCTGAGTTGATGAACGGCGATGAGCCATTAAATCGTGAGAGTAGTCTGTTTCAGACTGACGCCAAATTGAGCTCATATCAGGAATTTGCTCATGGTTTGGCATCATGGATGCAGAGCCGTCATTGGGATGGGTTCTATAAATAGCTGAAGAGGATTTTGAACGAGATCTACTCTTTGGCATGGCGGCATACTCTTCCTCGGTCAACTCGGACGTTTCAAGAGAAGAAGGAAGGGGCATTTCGCCTAAACGAGTTCGGAAAGCTTCTCCAGCGGCAAACTGTTGAGAAGACTGTTCCGCATTAACAACAAACGACAATGATCGGTAATGGCGGGACGGCAAATCCGATTCTAAAAATGCCTTTTCGGCAGAAAGTGAAGCAATTGTCGAGGCAGGAGTGCTATTGTTCCAAATCGAGGCAACAATGGCAGATTGGTTGGGAGCATTTCCCCATTGTTTAGAAACACCAGCCCAGGATGCCTTGCTAGAAGGACTGTTGGTTAGACTGCGAGTATTGTCGCCTTTACCAAACGGGCTGCCCCCTACAGCACCACCATTGTGATGTCCATGAGGAACGGGACCGAACCCTGGTGGAGCATCCAGATCGGATTCAATGCCGTTGTGTTGGTGGTTGGGAGTGGTTTGTGCACGGTCACGTATAGCACGACCGGATGGTAAATCTGACGCACGAGCAGCCATGGCTGCTAGTACATCCTGGGTACCATCTACAACAGACGCACGACGAGCAGGACTTCCAATCACTTTCCACATGGCATTGGCATCGTCCGCAGTAGGAGGAGAGGGAGTCTGGCATGGGTCAGCAGATGAAACAGTCAGATTGGGAGGAGTCTGGCTAGTTAGAGTAGCAGACTTGGGGCCATTGCCATCAGAAATGGCTGGGTTGGACATGGGAGGATCTACAATACAAGAGTCAGGTCAAAAGCCATGGTCGAATAGAAATCAAGGATTTAAAACAATGATAAACGAACCGTGAATTGCAGCAGAAACTTGTGCTACCATTTGAAAAATCAAGAAGCAAGGTGGATTTGCTATAACCCAATTCAAATCATTACAAACACGAAAGTTAGCAAACCGGAGCTAGTTATACCGTAAAAGTATCAAATGGGTCCAAAACGAAGATGGATTGCCATGAAGAGTCGATAGAGTAATTGGTGGAGTTTCAGAGTCGCAAACATCCACCCAGTCGAAGAGTTGGGTGTGGATGTAAATAATATCAATTGTCCGCAAGGTCAGGCCAAACAACCACATCTCCAAATAAGCAAAGCAATATTCTGCTCCAAAAAACACAAATGGGTAGATGGAGCATGATGCCAGTTGACTTAGTGTAGCAGGATAGAATCAAATAGAAACCATCGTCGCCAAACATGATGGACCAATGTATTCCCCATCCATGTTTAGCTGGGCAATCCACTGACCACTTCAGATCGAATTGAAAAACTAAGCAAAATACGATGCTTTGAATACAGTTGAATCCACAAGAGCCAACTAACAACTACTACCCAAAAGAAAGGCACGGCCTGGAGTATAGATGCCGATTAGCATAACACAGCAAACACACCGCCACTGCCAACAGTAAAAGGCTCTCCAGTCCATCAACATGTCAGATAGTCAACTGGCATACTGACAAGTCCATCCTTTCGAGTCAACTGACAGATACAAAGAGCAATCGCTTTTTAAAACAATTAAAGGTAACAGTGACTGAGCGGAGTGTTGATGGACTGCATGCTAGCAATGCAATTCTCCAGTGGTTGAGATACAAAGTGGGATGGAAAGTACCTCTATTTAGTCAAGGCTGTATTCTGTAATAAGTAGTAGTAAGCTCTAAAGTTTTCTAATCAAAAGAGTTGCACACCGAGTCCAAATCAACAAGAAACTGAAGGTCAGAACAGACTCGGCCAATGCAAGGTTTTGGTCAAAACCAGGGATGAGTAAGCTAAATTTGCCCATATTTCCAAGCAAAATGCCCATTTTGTCTGGAATAGCTTCAAACTCAAAAAGCCCAAAATTGGGCCAAACTCTGCACATCTTCACGTGTCTCCAGTTCAACTTGTAGCATGCATTGGCTGCTTGTAGTTATGCATGTAAAAATGAATGGAGCATTTGAAAAGCTATCGACTATGCAGATGAAAACTCACGATCGCAACAAGGTGCTTGGGAATAGGATACTCAACCAGGGTTCAAATGCTGCATTTCACTGGCTGTGAATCAAAACCAGAGTACTTACTATTTAAATAATAGACAACGTGAAACGAGCGTCCTTTGCTAATAAACTAAATGTCAAGGTTTAAGCTAGAGTTGGACTTTAAAACGCAAACTCAGTGGCCTTGGAATTGTGAATTAATGAGCAACCACAGTATATATGTATAGTTCCAAGTAGGAAATGGTAGTTGTGGAGGCTAACAATGCGTAGCAACCTAAATAACAAATGCGAGTTTGCAAATAGAAGGGGACAATAAAAGCTAAATAGCGATGGCAATCCAGTCTGTCTTTAAACAAAAGGTCAAACTCAAATTTAAACAACTGAAACAGCGTTGCTAATACATTGATTGTGGATTGGGTCCAGGTATAGTTGTTTTTGTTGGCTGGTTCAGGATAAGCGCCATGCTTGATTATTTGGCCATGAGTTTTGAGCTGCGGCTCACTAGGAATAATTCCTGTATGTAGGGGTGGAATTGGCCAAGGGGTCGCTGGTAGAAAGCCGCACACATTATGAGAACCCTTGTTTGAGCGCTCCATTCAGCGAGCCGATCATAACTTGCGCCAGTCAAAACATAGAATGACGGAATTGTATGAATTTGCTTGATGCTTTCATTGGTGTATTCAATGGTCCACTAACAATGGAGCCGTGAGATGGATCATAATGAGCGACGCGTTCAACCTTTTAGCTTCGCGGTTTGAATTCAAATGGGTGGCAACCATCTAATCCGCCAATTGTTACAGGTAATTGTGCCTCCCATAACTACTTGTAATAGTCTGAGCTGCTTATTGGCATTTACTTGGTTTTTCCATCATGGTTGAGCTGTTACAAGTTATATCCTATAGCACCGACCATGCATGAATATTGAAATAACGGGCTACTCAATTTGCCCAAGTCGGTTATAAAACTCTTTGTCTTGTGCACTCCTATTTCAACAACTTTAAACTAAACCACTTTTCTGGATATCTATTGTTGCTTAGTTTGTTATTTCTCTTGACCAAGTAATGCAGAGTATCTGTTTGTTTTTATCATACATTTATATCACAGCCGCATTCATGTAAAATAGGACACTTGTTTTATTCTGAAGTAATCTCTTGTATTTACTCCGGAATAAACAATGACTAAATACTCATTATGCTTATTAGAAATTGGCTGCTTTAATATATATTTTCAATTTCTGTTTCAAACACAATATACATTATGATGCACACAATCAAATTATAGTTTTGGATTGGAATTGTTTTTGGCATAGCCATACATTGTATGATTACCAAGTGTCAACCCGGATTCACTCATTGCAACCCATATAGAGTTGGACTGTTTTGATGTTGCCAAACTTTTATTACATCCTAATGATCAGATAGATTGTCGCTGTAGTACAAGAAACACGATCGATAGTCGCTATCATTCAAATCAGCAAACAATCAACCAATATTTGCAAAACAGCATCACCAAAGATGACACTAGTGTGATTGAATGAATTTTACGCAAGTAGCCCAAGCATGATGTACATTGATGATTTCTGAAAGTTTCTGTTTCATACTCTTTGTTGATAGCTGCAATAAATGGCTAGTAATTTCAAGTTGATGACACGAGTTGGAATTTAAAGGTTCATCTTTAAACTGATGCAATATATCATCCACAATGGCTGTATCTCATAAAAAGAACTCGCCCGTACCTTTAAACTCTGACCATATAACGGAGCCATTTTTTGCAGGAATTCAAATTGTTAGCCAAGCCATGCAGTAGTAGGCACCATGATTGAAACAGCACTTGATTCGGTAGACCTATCATATCTTATTGACATTTATAGTGTGTTATCAATGCAATTAGTAACTATCGAGGATGCTTAAATCTACTAGTTAAGCATGATTATGTGCAAGCCATTGCAGATTTTTCTCGAGCCATACATCTTCTTCCAAATGAGCCTGCATTCTACTGGCATCGTGCAGAAGCATATGTCAAAGTATCCGACTATGATGGCGCTCTCATGAATTTCCGACAGCACGAATACCTTACCACTCCAGAAAATACAAATAATTTGGATAAGGAACCATTACCACCATCAAGTGGACCACATCACAAACTTGTCTTTCCCCAAGAAGTGGCAGATGGCCAAAACAGGAGTATCTCGACTTACGTGCTATCGCGTCGAATGGGATTTGTGGCATTCATATTTGGCCAATGTCTTTTCGATCAACAACGATTTCATGATTCCTTGGTGCATTTCAAGCTTGCAAAGCGGCTAGAGTTTAATATTGAAACGGTATTATTACGAATGTAAGAGCATGCACTCTATTTCAATCAATATTTTAACTTGCCTTATTTTCAAAGTATAGTTGTGATCAACATATTGCGAAAAGCACAAGTGCTATATATTCAGGTGACTTTCTCTAACCAACTACTATATATTAGGGTCTTGTCAAAAATTGGTCTTGGAGAAATCAATAGCGCATTAGAAGATTTGTACACACTTATAAATATACAAAGACATAGCGTTGACTTGTATATCTTGCGTGCAAAAATCTACAAATGCTTAAACAACCCTGATAGCGTCAACATTGATTTGCAAAAGGCAATCCGACTTTCTCCTCAACATCCTGAAATTCACGGTCTACAAGAATACGTTTTAACTGTAGCAGTCGATCTTAAAAATAAAGCATTTGAAAGTATTCAAAAAAAACAGCTCAATAATGCTATTTGGTACTTGAATCGCGCAATAGAATTGGATCCACAGGATTGGACAGCCGTTTTCAAGAGGTATGCTTTTAGTCTGAATTGCATCTGCATGATTGGTTGTAGTCCAAGTAAAATTAGACTACTACTTACCAATCGGTTAAAATGTATATTGGTGTAGAGGTGTTGCTCTTGCTGAAATTCAAGACTACGACGGTGCATTAGAGGACCTTCTTAGCATACTCTCCAACAATATCAGAGATACTTGCCGAGATCAAGAAATTAAAAATCATGTTGGGAGTATTTACAACAAAATTGGAATCATGGCTTATCAAACTGGTACATTTGATATAGCGATTTCCAAATTCACAGAAGCACTTTTATACAATTCTTTGGAGCCCGCTGTATGGAAAAACAGAGCAGGTATGTATTGCTCAGCTCAAAGTTGATTCTCCATCCTTTAATTTATCATAGCATTTGTATAGATCAAGTGTTCCAATAGAGTGAATGTTGATTTAAAGACAGCTTTGAAACTAATATTTTAATTGAATAGATTCACTCATGGCTAAAAAAGAATATGCAAGCGCGTTGCGAGATCTGTATCAATGCCATGCTATTAGCCCAGATAGCAAGGAGTATTCCAAAAGTCTGGCAGTTGCATTGACAGCTATTGGGACCCAGTATATCATGCAAGGAAGATATCAGGATGCAATCAAAGAGCTTGAACAAGCAATTACATTTGATTATACGTCTGGTGATGGTTACTACGAATATGCACGAGCCAACTATTTCCTTGGAGTAAGTATACCGACTTATACTTTTAAATCCAGTTTCACGGTTTAGTTTTGATCATTGGTTTCTATCTCATTATGATGGTGTTGATGTAAATGAGGCTGCATTTTGCTAATTTAAAGATTTCATGAATAGCAAATACAAATAGCTTGGGAGTCTTTAAATATGGCACTTCAATTGGATCCAAACCATCAAGGTGCACAAGCACTCAAGTCTTTACTGGCCTCAGTTCCCAATATGGATGATCTTGGACCACTACCAAAACGACGCCCTTTACAAAAATCTGATGTTATGAGCTTTTCGTTCGTCAACCAGCAAAACTCTACAAATAAATCACAACCCCACTCACAAACTAATCAGACAATACCACTCTCACTTTCTTCAGCATCTAAACATAGAAAAACACTTGCATCAAGTATAGAATTTAATGTAGAAGATTCAACTGGAGATTTAAATTTACTTATAGATCAGGATGAGACTAATCAAGCTGACGTGTCAAGCAATGAAGTTTTGTCAACCTTGCAGCCAACTACAAATCCTATCAAGCGTGTCACTGTATTTCCAACAAGCTCGATTCCTATGCTTCCAGCACTACAAGGGGGACCAAACCCAGCCATGATTGCTCGAAAGGAAAAATACAGTTTATCAAAGCCTCTTTCACTGCGGCAATCAGATGTAGAGAAAACATCCAGCACAATCAACAATGCAGCATCCAAACCCAAACCCAAACCCAAATCAGCTCATCGATTACACTCCCCTACAGTACAGTCGCGTTCAATAAAAGAAAGGTTGCACCATGGAGCTCTTTTGGGGGAGGAGATGGGAAGCACAATAGATGCGTACTTGAATGAGCAAAACGATGCACACAATTGATCAAATGCTGATATTTGAGATCCGCATTGTTCGTCTTTGCCTGCTAAATCTATTTTTCACAAACATTTGGTTTAGAATTATGATTCAAGATTGGTTTTGGTGCGAGTTGATAACTACACGATTCTCCCTGAATACTCAGTTTGCCTTTTCAACACAAATAAACATTTATTAGACTATTTTTATGTGTATATCGATCAAGATGGTATAAAAGGTTAACCAAGATTAGTCATGCAAAATAAGACCTTCAGGTTGAAAGTCAAATTTTGAATTCCAAAGCCAAACGTTGTACCCATAAACGCAGCATCAATGTCTAAACAGATGCTTCCTATTGGTAAACGACCCACAATTTTGGATAGGAACTTGAACAGAACAAGAAGCAGCGAAGTGAGTGTCAATTACGAGCCTTTTGACCATGACTAGACTATTTATCTGGACAACTGTCAGCATGCATGTTCTTTACTTTCCTAGTCATATCACTAGCATGGCTTGCATTAAAAGCTAGATCTACAGAAATGCATAAAGGCTCATTCTTGACAAGACTAATATCATTGACCTTGTCTGTATATAATCACTGGTTCTTTGGCATGCCTTGATGCACATTTTATGGATTTTCTGTACTGGTGTAATAAAAGTATGCTGACTACAAAAACCTGTACCCAACTATTCCAACAGGTCAGCTTGTCCGCATATGCATTTTTGTTTTCTGAGATGCTACAGTATGCACAGAAACGAGTAAATGGAATACAGGACCTGGAAAAAAAGTAAGCATTCTACACATGATGATCTGGGTCTGACCCATTAGATTTTCGGGAATAGTCTTAATGTTCAAGCTAAATTCTACTTTTCAACCTCCCTAGATTGAGTGACTTTGGATACCGAGTCGGAGTCCGTATGCTAGAGTTTATTCTTTGGCGAGATCGTACAGCGAAACGAGAAACTCGGATTCTTGGTGCACTCTACTTTATCAACACTGCAGTTTGGAAAACATTATTTGGAAAACAGGCAGACTCTCTTGAGAAAGGCACAGATAATGATGATGAATGTGAGTTGATGCTCTAGTGCATTGATTGAGTTTGAAAATAAGTGCATGCTTGCTGTTTAGCTTAATCTCTAATTTGCTAATTAATGGTGTATATCAAGATATGATTTCAGATAATGAGCCGCTAATTACAAAGTATATATCTGTACCAAGAGAAATGTCGAGTCTGAATTGTGGAGCATTTACAGCTGGCGTTGTTGAAGCCATTCTTGATGGATGCCAATTTGTACGTATTTGTGGTCATTTGTATTCTGGTCTGATTAACGAGTGTGAATATTTCCCCATCAATCAAAGTGGGTTTAAATCTAGATATTATGACTCACCCAACATACTTTTTAATTGTGTACCCTTTGATCTCAGCCTGCTCGAGTCTCTGCTCATTCTACAGGAAACGATACTTTTCCTTCACGAACTACGATTTTGATCAAGTTTGATAAAAATGGCAAGTATAATGCCACGAAACTCGATTTATTATGTCCATAGTTTTATACAAGAACAAGCTTGTGATTCTAAATACTTACATCCTGAACTTTTTGGTACCAATTATATTTAATCATGAATACGGAATATCATTTGGTTCGATGATCTGATTCTCAATAATGTATACTGATTTTCTTTACTTGATCGATTGCTGTATATACACATTTACGGCAACTCTACTCAGTCATGCTTAGGGAAAAGGCGTTGGATGCTGGACGATAAATGGTGCTCTAGCACAAGACTTTATTTCCATTTAAAAAGCAATCTAGCAAACTGACGCTATCAGCAGTCTACTTTCTTTTTTTGGACTTTCCTTTTGTATCCTTTTGCTCTCGTTTAAGAACACCAGTGACCACTATAATGAAATGATGTTGAAAAAAGTAGTTTTAGTATGTCATGAATGGCACATTAATTTAGATGGTGGAAACCCAAAACTTGATAAAGGAGATATTCAACCGGTACTTGCCAGAGACTCGGACCACTTTTCCTCTTGCCTGCAATGCCTCTTCTCTGGTGCGCTGAGTCTCATACCACACATCCTGCAGTTGAAGTGGTTTCAGTCGAGGATCTTGAGATGATAATGCCAAAAGGTCAATGTTTGGAGGATAGTGATGAAGCAGTTTTTGACGCATGGATGCTTTAGCAAGTATATCGCTTCCAGTGCGCATGCCCAAAGCAGCTCTATCGATATGAAAGATCTTGTCCCGCAACTGCTGGACAGCCAATATTCGACTAGCAGCCATATGAAAGTGTTGATGCTCGACTGGAAAAACAATCGATGTTTTTGTGGGTCAGATTCCAACTTTGACAAAGTTCAACTTTACTTTTTTAAAATCGAGTGAATTGAGAAACAGGTTTAAACCCAATTTTTATGAAGCCAAGTGTTGGAATTGGGTTGGCTTTTTTATGCCATGGTAGAAATCTGGTAGCAACCAGAATGGGTGGGTCAAGTGCTCGGCTCTTGTTTCGTCAACATTCAACTCGTCCTAAAAACGTGGAATATCTCTATGGAGCCAGTGTTGTGATTCCTGCCATGGAGTTTGGTGTTCGTAAAATAAAAACGCTTTTGGTAAAGGAAGACCAGCGATTTGGCGGTATGAAGATTCGAGGAAACGGCGAGGCCATACTCTCCTCTAAAATACTACCCAAAATCAGTTCAGCTGATATGGGGCAAGACAGTAGGTAACTTTCATTCTCACTCCACTATCTGCCATGATTCCATATTTACTCGTCACTGGATCGTCAATATTTAATCTCGTTTCGTGTATATTAGAGCACTGTTGGATTATGCAGTAGCACTTGCCAACCAAAGGGAGATTCCAGTCAAGGAAGTGCCAGTAAGCCATTTAGATCGTTTGGCTGGTAATCGGCCTCATCAAGGACTAGTACTTGCCACACTTGCACCAAAAGTAACACATCTACATGCTCTGGGTAACTGTGACTTGGATGCCAACGATGTTGACTTTGAAAAAAATGTTTACGAAGTAGATGCTGGAGGTGATGGTATTCTAAGGCTAAAGACTCGAGAAGATCGTAAATACCCGTTTTGGATAGGTTAGAGTCAATGCTTTGTACAACTTTAGAGCAATATGAAAGCTATTGATTCAAGCGTGGTCCAGCAGATCAAGCTTATAGCTCGTGTCGGCTAATTGGACTAACATGCCCATTATTTTTTGTAGCTCTGGACCAAATTGTTGACCCTCAAAACCTTGGAGCCATTCTACGATCTGCTTATTATTTCGGAGTTGATGGCGTGGTAGTTACTGAGCGAGATTCAGCCCCTTTCAGCCCTATATCATCAAAGGCGAGTGCTGGTGCAATGGAAGCCATGCCTCTTTATTCAACAGTCAATCTTGGAAAGCTACTCCAGGTAACCAACATGGCGAATTCAAAATTGAATGATGGTTTACTCTCTACTGTATAGTCTAAACTATCCTGGACATATTTCTAACCAAGCGTTTCTCCATTTTAGGAATCCGCAATAAACGGATGGCAGATCTTGGGCACAAATACGAATGCAAAAAAAAGTGATCTCATTCCGCTTTGTCATTTTAAACAAAGATGTGACATGGAGGTATCGAATGACTTGGACGATCTAAAAACACATACTCCACTATTACGGCTGGACAGTGCACCAACTATTTTGGTGCTTGGAAACGAAGGACATGGTATGCGAACACTGGTTTCAAAGCACTGTCATCACCATTTGATCATTACTCAGGATCAATTTTCACCCAACTTCAAAAAAAGCAGAATAGATTCGCTAAATGTCAGTGTAGCAGCTGGAATTCTTCTCCATGAGCTTCTCCTGAGTGTATGATTTGAATGGCTATAATGAATGCGACATGATGTCACGCAAAGTGCGATAATATAAACCATTGCCTTGTGAGATATGCCTCATGGGAATCAATACCATCCACCATTGTCTATATTTTAAAAAGGGTTAAATCTTGGCTAATACTTGGTAGCTATGCGCTACTTTCCAAAATAAAATGATCAAAGTTTGCCCATCTACCTGCTAGAAGAAATACCAAAAAACTCTTTAAAATTTCTTATAGTGCCAAGATCATATTCGTTAATAAATGACTACGTTGAACAACAATGATTAGATTGCAAAAATAGTTCAAATGGTGTTAGTTTATAGACTAAACAATCAACAAGTTAGAGCAAATGCAAACCTCTCCATTAATGTCATAACTTGATGATAAATCTTGATTAACAAGATGTTCAATCGAGGTTTGTCCAGTGCCAATAAGCCAGCTATGCCATGCCACAAAACCAAACAACAACGGCGACATAACGGTCGACATCAGGAAAGCCAAAATAAATACTGGCTCTAGTTCAATCACTATAGCATCATCCTATAAATGCATGAAAATGCAATGTTCAAAGGTTTGGTTCAAGCATAAAGCAATGTCAATTCATTCCCGCGATTTAAAGCAAGAGTTTATCAAGATTATTGGAACAAATGTTGTATACCTTTCCCGAGAAAACCCTCCATGCGGCTCCCATAGATAAACAGGAAAAATATGTCGTTGCAACCGTAGTATACACGAGAAACAGATAAAAGTATTCGTGATTAAATATACCAACACAGTTATGGATCCACTATATGTTTGGTTTTAAAATGTGTTGAGTGTAACAATCAAAGCAAAGCCTGCAATTCTATCAAAAATAAATCAAAATCTTACTGGACAATGATGATCCATCTTCATGATGCATCTAATATGCGACACAGTTTATCCAGAAATCAATATTAAATCACGTTTAGAGTAATCAAGACCTCAAAGACAGATATCTGCAACTCTACCTCTTGCATATTGTACAATGATGAGCACGAGCAGGTTTGGGAAGTGTACCTAGTCAGTAGAAATCAGGTTTGCATCAAAAAAGCATAGTAGACATCAAAATCCTGGTGATGTAGTATGGAGAAAAATCATACATTTTCGACAGCGTCTTATTAATGGCTCTTCAAGATCCGAAAGAATGGGCGACGACGTCAATCCTTGACTGGGAGTCTGCTAGACGTGTTTAACCATATTAGCACGACTATTTGATGAATAGAAACAATTTCAGCAGGACATCAGAGAGCCAAGATGACAACCGCATCCAGATTCAACTAATCAAAAAAGACTCGGATTATACCTCTCCCAAAAGACACTCGACAAGTCCTTCATGTGTTCGCCCCGGATCTGTCAAAATGGATGCAATGTAATGGAAGCAGATGGAATATAGCAGATAGATAGATATTATAATATGGCCCATTCGACATATGGTTGTGATGGTAGACTCTCGATACCCCAAGTCAATCTGATCCGATGAAAAAGAAGGAAACCATATAGGAAGAGCAAACTTAAAAAGGCTGTAGCCCAAGAGACCGATTAAAGCAAAGGCTATCATAATAAGAAATGGTCCAATGCCGTATGCACAACCGTTGAGTATTGCACTGCACACTCGCATAATAATGGCTGGGTCTTTCCATAGAATCTTCATTGTAGCGAGTTTATCAAAGCTGTAAAATAAATAGTATCGAGCAATAGCTTTTTGCAGTTGGACTGTAAATATCCAATGTTTGGCCAACTTTATAATTGACTACAAAACATGACTGTATAGTGCCATTCGACAAGTACTAGAGGCTGAAGACACGTTTATCCCAATACCAAACACGACAGCAGATTTGGCTGATAGTCCAACATGCAATACAAGAACAGATTCAAACACAGTTCATTAATAACTGAAATTGTAACAGAATTAGGTTTATTCCACCAAAAATAAAAATACAATAGAAACAGTGAGAGTATTCAGGATAAACAGGATGGTTTTAAAGTGTCGGAGCAACACAAGGGGAACATTGAACCATTAGATATTCCACAATGGACTCGGCGAAAGAAATGGGAGGTATTGTATGCGACAGACATTGAATCCTATTATAAAGAAAAATTCTTTGGTTCCATCTTATCAGATAGAATGGTTTCAATCGGCGCTAGAGTGGTAGATCATGATGAATCCCGATGGCGTGCTCGAGACGTGGACAGAGCAGATGAGCCAACAGCGATTGCACTCTCATTTCCATGCATAAACCCGGATGAACCAGGAACGCCCGTACCATCATAGGCAAATTCCTTGGAAGTTCGAGATCCACCCATATTGATGCTGCCAGTACGAGCACGCAATCGTTCTACAGTAGTGGATTCGTCTCTTCCCATTTTTTTTAAAAGGTCTGTAATCATTGCAGTGCGTTCGCGACCAACAGCTTCAAGATGTTCGACTTGAAGACGCACTAGTGATAGGTCTGCTTGAAGCAATTCATTTTGCTGAATAACACCCGAAAGATCAGATGCAACATGGTCAATTTCGTCAAGATCAAATGTCCCCGTTTCCTCTGAACTGTTCTTTGCAGTAGATTTTGTGGAGTCTCGAGGTATAGAGTCGGAAGCAGAACCCATATTGGCATTTGAATTATCATTGGTTTGTGTAGAGACCTCGACAGAAGGAAGTGAGGCTTTAACCTTTTGTTGCAGTTCTTTTTTTATTGTGTTGTTGCGCACGTCATATCCAAGAGAAATCAAAGTACTCTCCAACTCACGGCGTTCTGCAAGCGAGCCCTCGAGTTGACTGATTAGTCCCTCTTTGTCGCTTTCCAGCTCTGATACAACACTTACAAGCTCGTTGATATGGCGTGCAGTATCCATGATTGTACTTTGTAGATAGCGATCACGAGCTCTTAATCTTGCCTCGGCAGACTGCAGTTTTTGCTGTACATCGCCAGTGTTTCGAACAATCGCGACCATTCTAGATACTAGAGACTGTAGTGGCGAATACTGTTTAGCCAAATGATCGGCTCCATTCATAAAAAGTGCGTCATAGCTGGATAAAAAAGTATCAGAACTCGAGCCATTTCCATTATTCTCCTGATATGCCTGCACCATGTCGTTCATGTATGAGAGTATAAGATGTTGTTCTACAATAGACTGCTCGCAACATGTAGAGTTGGACGTGTGGCTGCAAAATAATGGCTGGGTGATTAGTGGTGACATAACGGTGGGCATTTGCTGAGCATTGGTGCAATCATTAATAGGTGAGGGAATAGCATGCGAAATTGATGACCTCTTGGTTGAATGAGGAGGGGAAAGCATCATATGAAGGTTGGGTATGGAGAAGTATTGAATGAAATGCAACTAGAAATAATATCAGCAACAAGCCTCGCACTTCAAGTGAATGGGTTGGCCAAACTCATCCTCAGGCTTGGATTGTTGTATTTGAAACAATGACAAAAACACATAACAAATCAAGAATCGGCTGCTAAAAACAAAGCAGTCATAAAGAACTTGATGCTGCCAATCTTTTGGTAATGGATAAAAATCTTCAACATTGCCACAACTAATCAAACCATGGATTTTGAATGCCACTGAAATGCATTTGTAAAACTTTATCAATTCTATTTGGCATTCAATCAGATATCAACCACAACACTATTTTCTCCATTCAAATAGAATCCACAAAGCATTCATTTTAATAACATCCAAGTATGGGTTAAACAATACAATGTGTGTAAAAAGCCGCAGTATTGGTTTATAAAGTGCCGGTTAAGCCATTGCCATATCAAAATACAGCAAACAATAGACTGATTGACTTTTTAACCTGAAGCAGATAGACTACAATAGATGTCAATCAACAATAGACATTGTCAAAATATTGGTTAAAATGACTTGGCATTGCCAACAGAATAGCTTATTTCCAATTCTTTATAAACCCATATGGGTCCTGCAACTCTTTAAACCTATACTCGGCGATTGACATTGTATAACCATCAAGTATGTTTTTTAGCTGAAATATAATGTATAACTTGTCAATTCAGTAGACGCCAGTAGCATATGTCGAATATTTAATAATCTGTTGTGCTGAAAACAACAGTCAAACCCAATATTTGTGTTGCAATGAACAAGTCTGGTAATCGTACAATGCATGGCTATGCCAAAAAACTCCAATTTAAACTTATAATTTGATTGTGTGCATCATATGATGGATATTGTGTTGACACATCAAGAATATCCAAGCTAATTTCTACCAAGAATGCGCAATAAATATTTAATCATTGTTTATTTCAGGACAGTCACTGAAAGATCAATACAAAAGTGCTCCATGTTACATGAATACAGTTGCAATGGTCCATGTCTTAGTATACATTTTTGTCTCTAAGCTCTAATAGACCAACGAGACTTGACTACTGTTTATTATAAAGCTTTTGGCTTTGTAATCAATAGTAGACTTAAATCCATGAACAGATAAAAATAAAAATCATTAAAATTCCTATAGCCGCTATGATATTTGATAGTGGAACCAAAGGCTGTTTTTGAGCTGGTAACACATTGTTTCTGTTGACTGGTAAAGTGGACCCACATTCAGACTTTATCCCAGATTTACAATCATGTAACGCATGTGAAGATGCATCTTTGGAGGTGTCGGAGAGAATAGGTAAAGTACGATCGTGTTTGGATAGCTTGAGAACAGTCTCCATTAGCTCAACGCTTTGAACCCCACCGAAAAAATCTGTAACGAGTGCCTGGAAGCAATCAAAGGATTCATTGCGTACGTTTCAAATTAGTAGACATGATTGAGATAAAACGATTGCATTATAATATCAAGGCATACTGAAACAATACCTTGTCAAGTGGTCGGGAAAAAAGATCGCTTCGAATTCCAACATGAGATTGCATCTGCGCAAAATTGTACGTTGAAAACTAATATTACAATTGAACAAGATTAGAAATTAAAATGGTCAAGTGATACTAGAAATCAAAAAGTTTAGGTCAATCCATAGCAATGACCATTACCAATTTAGCAAGACTTGCTTGGTCTTCGCGCTGAAGATGCTCCAGTGTTTCTAGATTATAGTAAGTAAAACGATCAATGACAGATACGCCCAAATCATGATCTACATGGTGCGAATATGAGCTTTCGCCAGTCAAACTAGAAGCAGCAGCCAATATATTCGGACTGTAGAAGCGAGAGTACATGGATGAAGCCTGGCAAGTGTCAATCATGAAGAAGATTTCGTGGTAGCGCTTCTTTTCATACATTTGAGCAAAAGCATCAGCAATATCTTGAGCACCCAATTCTTCGGCATCCTGAAATTTAAGAAAGTCTTCGCCACCATGGCCGGTGAGGAATACGAGGATGTTGGATCTGTCATCAGTAAGCAGACGTTTGGATCTAGGGACATGTTCCTCCACACGACCGGTAAGGAGACGAATAAAGTTTTCGACAGTGACTTCGTAACCCCTGTAATCTACTTCAACATTGGAGCCATATAAATCAATGATGCGACGATTGTTGTTGTATACGGTGGCCGGAAACTTGTTTCTAGAGTTACAAGCGACGTCATCGGCTAGCATGAGAATGATGTTGGAGTCAGGAATGCCAAGTCGCTTGACAGTACGATACATGGACAAGGTGTTTGCAATATGTCTATAGTTGAACCAAAAACGAGAAGTGCAAACCAAGACGGCCCAATTATTGGTATGGCCACCATTGGAGAAGAAACCATCAGCGAGATGGTCTCTATCTTGCGAGTTATTGACAAAAGCCCAATTTGATAAATTCAAAGACCGAGGCTCCTTCAAAGAATGGGTGTTTTTAGACTGAGCATGAGTGGCAGTAAGTAGCAGCGAGAAAAGGACCGAGATGCAAGCAGTAGTGATGGCCAAGAGCATTGAAGTATTCGCAAGAAACAGTTCAAAGCTTGAAATTTGAGTGGTGATTGACACGTGATCTGTTGAAGATTCAAATACAAAATTTATTGGATTGTTACTATTGATTATAGTCTTGATAAGATGCTACATCACAAAACTATACCGAATTCAGACCCAAAACTCTCTTCTCCGCTCGACTCTTCTGACAAAGAAAACTTGTCCATTGCTAACAAAAGGTCAAGTCCTCGATTGGCTTCTACTCCAAAGTCAGCAGTTATTAAATCCTCTGCTAAATCTACTCCAAAATCAACTACTACTAAATCCTCCGTTAAATCTACTTCAACATCAGCAGCTACTAAACCCTCCACTCAATCTACTGCAAAATCAGCAGATACTAAATCAACTCCTAATCGTACTTCTCTTTCTATAGTTCGAAAGCTCAGAGCTGGTCTTGTCATAGATTCTACTCCTACTACCCCCACTCGTCGTCCATTACAGTCAGGCCAGGATGAACTAGAACAGCTTGCTAGTCTTGTTGGGGATGATTTTCCTACTCCCTCTAAATCAAAACTTTATTCATCTACTGTCAATTCCACGTCTGATTCTCCAAATAGTGTCCGGACATTGTTTGCATTTGAACAAGCGCGATCACTAACAAAGTTTATGAAAAAACATACTGAAACTACTCAGATTTTGACTCAGACCGCCTCTAGCGAACCTACGCAGCCTGACTCCCCCTTTATTTCAAAACGAAAGATAGATTCTGAGTCACCAGATGTTCAACCATCTGCTTATAGACGTTCCTCAAGAATTGCCACAACCCCAAAAAGTTCTGGTGCTCGTATCATTGTAGATTTATCCCAAAAAGTCAAAACCCAAACTCCAAATGCCACTCGAGTACAAAGAAAGCTTGCTGCTAACCACCGTCTTAAATCTGTTACATGCTCAGAAAAATCTGATTTATCCTCGGAAGCATCTATCACCAGTGAAGAAATGAGTGACGATGACGACTCGACTACCAACATAGCTGGAAATGCATTTGTTGAAGCTCCTATAAATCATGATATTGCCATTATAGCTGATCATACCCATGAAAGCGATGAAGAGGGTCTTTGCGATACTGCTCATGATGGTTTGAGCCTCGATGTCGATCAAATTTATTCCCGCTATTTCCGCGAGCAAGTCATGTCTAAATCTTCTACATCCAACAATACTTTATCAAAACTACCTGTTCTTGAGTCAAAAAGGTTTTACGAAATTTTGGCTACTGTCCAAACAAAGCATGCAAAAGAACTCGAATTGCTTCATCATCGTCACCAACAGAGGTTCGGACAATGGTCATTTGAACTACATCAAGGCTTTAATATGCTGTTTTATGGATTTGGATCTAAACGAGATCTTATTGAAGAATTTGCTGTACAATGTCTATCCGACTATCCAATCTTGATTGTAAATGGGCTGTTTCCTACTATTTCACTAAGGGACATTCTTTCCAAAGTTCTCAACGATGTTATTCAGCACGATGGTCAGTGCGGATCACTTTTTGACCAAGTTTCACACATCACATCCTATTTCTCATCCTGCACCCGCCAAATTGACAGATTATATCTGGTCATTCACAATATCGACGGCATTAATCTTCGCAATGAAAAAACCCATACTGCCTTGTCGCGTTTGGCTGAATGCAGAAATATCTACATGCTAGCAAGCGTGGATCACATCAATGCCGGTTTGCTCTGGGATACTGTAAAAATGACTCGGTTCAATTGGCTATGGCAAGATGCAACCACTTTTGCTAGCTACATTGAGGAAACCAGTTTTGAAAACTCGATGATGCTGCAGCAGTCCGAAATTGGTCTTCAACGGACTTTGCAGGTTCTGCGCAGTCTTACTGTCAATGTGCGCAAAATCTATCGCATTTTGATTGACCACCAAATTACTGCAAACAATGAGTTGGCTGGTCACACATCAAAAGACGATATGGATCAAATGGATGAGGTTGGGCAACCTAAAGCGAAACAAGGGAAAAAGCTAGCAAAAGCTTTGCCATTTAAATCGCACCTTGTCACCAAAACGCATTCCAAGAAAACTGATTCATCAATATTTCCTGGCTTATCCTTTCAATTGTTTTATCAGCAGGCAAACGAGCAATTTTTGACAAACAACGAAACTACTTTTCGTACTCAGCTTACTGAATTCCGGGATCACAGTATTGTCAAGATGCGTACTGGATCGGACGGTACTGAGATGTTGTATATCCCACTTGCTACAAGCGTTCTTTGTCAGCTGAGCGAAGATTCTGAATGGTAATGATACCTTGGAGACCACGGCGTTTAAATCATCAATGACAATGGCTATTAGTATACTTTTAAATAAAATTTTGTTTGACTTGATTGCTGCGCTTTAGTCGTGCTTGATTATGAGTAAGTAGACGGTTTATTTTTTAGATTTGCGCACACCACCTTCAAATCCAGGCCGTTTCTGTCCTTTGGCAGGAGCAACCTTTTTGCCAACTTTGCCATCGCTCTTTTTCCCACCAAACTTGCGATCACGTTTAGCATCGATCCGAGTTTGAATATTCTCTTGTCGTTTGTCTTGGCGCTGTTTTTGTTCCTTAGCAACCTGTTCCTGTCGATTCTTCCATTCACCTGAACTCTTCTTTTTCTCTTGTGTTTGGCGCTTGACTGTCTTTTTTAACAATTGCAGATCATCTTTAACTTTGACTCCCTCGGCCATTTTGATGAGCTTATTCCATGACTGCGCTTCTTCAATCTTTTGTGCCTTTTCTCCATCAGTTTTTTTTAGGGTTTCAAGTTTTGCTTTTTTGGCTTCCACCTAATAGTAGTCGGATGTAAAATACATGTTAGCACTTTCATATTTAAAATCAATCACCAATATAAATACCTTTTTCAACAATGCTACAGCATCAATCGATTCCTTTTTCTTTTCTTCAAGTCCAAAATCAATCTTGCCAAATGATACATCCATTTTGAGTTCTTTGGATGCATTGGCATGACTTGGTTTTTGTACATCCATTCCCTAGTTCAAACAAACGTTTTAAAGTTGGCTCTATTTAAAGTAGATGTTGGTATAGTATTGTGAATCTACACCTACCATGGTATCATCCATTGCCTTTCGACTGTCTTTTTTCTTTAATAGATCCTCTTTGCGTTGATGTTTCTTGAGTTTACGCTTTTCAATAATATCCTGCCTGGTTTTAGGAACAGAGGGAGATGAGGCATTATCTTTGGAGTGATTGTGGTTGCGCTGATCACGAAGAGCTTGGATACGCTTTGCAAGACGATCTTGGAGCTCAACAGCTGTCGCAGCAGTCATTTTACGTGCAGAAAGTGGTGCAGTATGCATGGCTGTAGGTTGCTGCACCTTGGAATCTGTGTCTTGGTTACTTTCTTCATTTGCAGCTTGTATCGATTGAACCATCTTTTGCTGAATCTCAGATACTGTTTTTGGTGTTTCAGGATCAAGCTATTCATAATTACATTGAAAGCAATGCATTAAAATATTGGTCAGCCAAGTCAATTCCTACCATCACATCATATACTGTGAATCGTATTCAGCAGTATATCCATCACCTATACGATGATGGGATCAGCACACCATTTAAAGCTACCTTTGTCATCCTGGCTTTTCTGGTAGCTTCCTTGATCGATTGCTTGGGGGCCTTGTTCTTTTTATTATGGCCAAAACGACCACCCTATGAACATTCAACAAGTAGTTTAAAATTCATTATAGTGAGCAATTGATACTCAATTCAATGAACTATCCAGCCCCATATCACACAAAATTCAACATACTTGGTGTGCATCATCGTCTAGCTCCTTGGGAGGAAAGTAGTGTTGGGGAGCAATCATACCCACAAGTGCTTCAAAGCATTCATGGTGGTCCAATAAACGAGTCTATATGTATTGTATATATTAAAGTAACATTAAATATATTGATTCAAAAAAAAAACCTTGACCGACTCACTCGAACCATCAGACATTTGGTCATGACTCACTACCAAATAAAGGTACCAAGACAACATACTGCAAGTGCATTACCTTGATGTCGTCAATGCTATATGTGACTTGTGCTACCGTAACCATTTAGTTGATGAAGAAAATTAAAATTGCCGAAAAATAAAAAAAAGTCAAATCTCGTTGCGACAATTTGTATTGGGAAAACTCTTGTTTGGATTGGTTTTATTCTATACAAATTGTCTTGACTTTACATTTTGTTTTATTATTGAATCACTTGCTGCGTGGTTTGGTTTGACAGATTCAATGGTAAAACAGGTGAATTAAACTCTTATTACTACAACAGAATATGGATTGAGCTGCTGTAGAAATTAGACGCTAATGGAAAGCACAGTTTGACAACAAAAACTCATTCACTAGTGTTATGTCAAAATATAAGCTAGTTTCATTTTGATGGGAAAAAGACCGAGTGGCAAGTCTTTGCATTTACGTTGCAATAAGAATCTAAACCAACATCAAATGGCAGTTTCAAAATGGAATGGTCAGGTTATATTCAAATCATACGGCTTAGCATTTTGTGTAAATACAAGAAAACGTACCAGCCATGCAATAGTCATGTAAAATAAAAAGATGGGATATACTGCCAAGATTCGCTTCTTGTCCAGATTGACATTTCCCATGAAATTAAGTGATGCTATCGAGATTTCAATCAACAAAATACACGACACGTCGAGGTAAGCTTCCATCAGTGTACCTTGACATATGTAGCATTAAACCAAGCATACTATGCAATAAACTAATCAATACTTACCAAATGTAGCCCATGCAAAGGCGGCAATGACTAGAATGAATTTCAAAAAGAAAGGCAAGACCCAAGTGATAATACTGACTGCAACTAATGGAAAGATGCAGTATCCAAGCACACACACACTTTGAAAAAACGATCTACAAATCAAAGTAAAAATAAATACATAAGCTACAATACACTACAGGACTCCAACAAAAAGAGTAATGCATCAATACGCCCATATTGGGGATCAAATGTGTTTGGATAGTCATACATTTTACCACCAAGAAGCTTCGAGTTTACAGTGACAACAGCAGATCCAAACCAAATGATAAAAAATGTCGCTGAAAACACAGCGGGACCTTGATCAGATCTAGCAGTGATGCTCAATCGACTACAATATTTCACAGATGATATGAAGAGTGTGAGAAATTTCATATTAGCCATACAGTAGATACTATAAAATGTAGCACACCACATATAAATCTACAAATAACTGATGTGTATATACTTACACAGAAAGAGCCAAACATAGCAAAAGCGGACCCCACCAGTCCCCTAAAAACCGTTTAAAAAGCATATTGATGACAAATTGGTTAAATCAATCACTATCAAAGAGTCGGATCGTACATACAAAGCCATGGATTAAACTCACAGTCACGCAAAATATTTCTATCTCCTTGACTAGCAGGAAGCAACACTTGTTTGACTTTTTTACCAATATTGTTCAGATCACGCATCTGGAATCAAGACAAAATACAGGTGATATACAAGTTGATGAACATCCAAGTCGAATATTAAAGCGTATAGTCATGGAAAACATAGCATTAAAATGAAAGCACATACAATAGTAACTGAAACAGGTTCATCCAGCGTGTTTCCAATAGAATGAGTAGCATCTGATCCAGAGCCAGAGCCGGAGCCGATGGAGCCAGACAGGCCATGAACAGTGGTGGCTGGAGCAGCATGAGTAGAGCTAGAAGAAGAAAATCCAGTAGTATTACCACCTAAAGGTAGTTTTGTAGATCCAGAAGCAGAAGTAGAAGCTTCAACAGGAACATTGATGGCATACGAGTCTGAGAATGGAGAAGCATTGGCAGTTGGATGAATATCCTGACTACGGTCATCTTCTAGTCGAGCATAAGCACCATTTCCAGACGGCCACTTTGACATGGTTAATATTAAACAATGTTTTGAATCAGATCCGAACTTGCAGAATAGAGTTGATGGAATGCAAGACGTTCAAGTCCAAATCGGGTTTCACAGTTGAAGACAAGGAATGAGAACGGATGAAATTTATTTATATTTCAACTGCATTTTGGCATCTTTTGATAGCACCAAGTAGACTGTTGCAGCTTAAAACCTAGAGTCTTTGATTTGTAAAACTGAAAGATGGCTTTAGGTTAGCGTAGACTCTACAAGTGGAATACTGAAGCTCGCGTCAGAACAAGATCAGCAGATAGTCATCATTAGACTAAATGAGGAACGTTGTGCTATATTGCATCAGAAGGATCAACAAGTCAGATTGTCACTGTGATGTAGAAAACACAAACGATGGATATTCTTGCCATTCAAATCAACAATTTACCGATGTTTGTAAAATAACATCACCAAGAAAATACATTTTGAACTAAACAATCTGATTGCAGTAGACTGACAACATTTTTGAGCAGATACACTTGATGTATGCGGAGCAACAGGCAGAACACATTTCATTTGATGAATCGTTGATACTTGTGGATCAAAAAGGACACAAAACACATTTATGGATCAAGAACACAATGTTAAAGGTTAAACAATGAATTCACACCATGTGTCACAAGCAATACTAGATTGTCATGTAAGACAGTGTTGGCAACTACAAACTGAACACTTGATAAAGACGACGCGAACTTACAGTCCATGCAAGCTTACAACTCCAACTCTCTTCCTCAGAGTTTCATGGTGATCGTCTCACAAACAACACACCAACAAGTACGGTTCAATTAGATTACAATTACTTTCTAAATGCATTATTACTCTGAGACTGTCGACAATTTCTTGTTTTTTTGCCCGTTTTCTCGCTGCTGTACAAGGAAAAATCGCAACTTGTAGGCTTGAATTGCTCCAAACTTGTCAGGAATCAGCTATTGGAACCTTCATACCACTGCCATGTCCTCATCGATTCCTATTATAAGCAGTACTACACAATCACAGACTTCTATTACAACTTCCTCTTCCAAGTTTCTTGAGCTGCCGCAACTGTCGTTGGAACCATTAGAGATTCCTTTTGCCAACCCTGCTGTTCCATTATTGTATTCTGCATATATTGATCCTTCTGCTAGTCTATCCACTTCTACTAGTACTGTCTCCACTACTGGTGGTGGTTCTGCATCGGTCGATACCTTTCCTGGAACTTTATTTACTCCATCTCATATAGATGGCAATACCTCGCACACAACTGCCGCTACTTCAATCATTACAAAACCTATTCCATCTGTTGCTGCCATGTCCTCTCTACATGCTGAGCTGGCTTCCCTGGCCAATTTGGCCACACAAAGAGTCTCTAGTCTACTCTCTAATCAAGTCAGTTTGTCTGAATGGCTAAATAGAGTCGATCCCCATCGCACTCTCAGGCGAGATATTGAAAAGGACAAAGGTGAGCGTCGATCTCGTTCCGTAAAGCTCAAGATGCCCACTACTACTGCTGGTAATATTACTGCCCCATCTACATCTGCCATTGCAACCGCTGCTGCTGTTGCATCTTCCGGTGGTGTTCATAATGACCGGAGAGGTGATTTGTCCTCGCAAGTACTATTAGGCTTATCGTCATCTACTGCTTCGCGTTCAAAGGCTACAGCAAATGGTCTTGGTGCATTGGGTTCATCAACACCATCTTCCGATATTCAAATTAAATCAGAGCCTTACTCTGCATCCATCTACAATCCCAAAAAACGATCCTATGAATCAGACAAGCCTATTGCTAAATCTGGAGGCGAAAATGGTTCCATCAGACTGGCCATCACTCAAAATGGCATAATCAAAATTACTCCACCTGTAAATATTGCTGCTGCTGCTTTGGATCAGACTATGCTTTCTTCCAGCACTCCTCAATCTTCATCTACTTTAATACGTACTGATCGAGAGCGTAAACTAGTAAGTTTCACTTTATTATCACTTGGTTGATGGATCTTGTCTAAAACAAATGATGTTTGAATAGAGCAAATCACATAGCATTCAAAAGGAGCGTAGTCGACGGCGTGGTACATCTACTGCTGCTAGCGTAAATGACGATGCATCTACTCGTGGCACTCCTGAGCCTGAAATTCGCCTCAATCTTGATGGAGATTTTTCGACTTCCAAAGCGCCTCCAAACCAAGTTCCCATTGCTCAATTTTGGGCATTTTTTGAACAGTATTATCGAAACATGACAGAGGATGACTTGCGAGCATTGAGCCAAAAGGTAACACTTTGATGTCACAGTACAAAAAGTATATTGATTTTTAACCATGTTTTTTTAGGGTGATGATGTGACACCATTCCTTATTCCTCCACTTGGAATCCATTTTACAGAACAATGGCATGCAGAAGATCAACGCATATTTGCCATGTTTGAAGAGGGGGCGACCAATCCAAGTTTGATGGCCAATCGCGAGTACATTGAAATAGATGAAGTCATTTTTGAGGGCGATATGATGCTGGGTACACTGAGCGAGCGTTTAATGAGTGCCCTTGTTCAAGAAGGCGTTGTTCCTGATATTAAATTCACGGATGATGATGATGATATGGGCGGTACAGGCACAGGAAGCAAAGTAGGTAATGGACCTACAAAAACGTTTCTATCAGGTGCAGCGAGTGCGTTGGGGTTAACTGGAACCACAGCGTCAGCGAGTGCGGCAGCAGCAAAACATCGAGCTCGAGCAGATCTAGCAGTATTTGAAGATCGACTGCGACTTGAATTAGGGTTTCTTGGACTAATTGATGCTCCTGATTCAGAAGGCGCTGAAAATGTTCAAGATGATGAAATATTTTCGGAACTGAGAACAAAGCAGGAAGAGCTACGGGAACAAATGGCAATGAATTCTAGACGCAAGAAGCGTGTACATGATATTGCAGAGAAATGGATGGGATGGCAAGAATACAATGGGCTATTGGACGAAATCAACAAGAATCTTGAGCAAGGATTTGCAAAACGATTGGTGAGTTGCAAGATTCCAGTATTGATTGTTTTAGTTATTGCAATGCCTTATATTTGATTGATATTGTAGAAGTCGGGCAAATCACGAAAAGGCAAAAAACAAATCAAAGATCATCGACCTGTATCTGAATCTCTCTTGTCTGCACTAGAAAGCCGAAAGAAACTAATTCATGGAGTTGGAGATGTGTTTTTTCCTGTCGATAAATTTCTTCCCCCAACCGAATCCATCTTTAATCAGCTTTCACCAGCCGATGCGCCTTATGACACGGCTTTGCCAGATTTTGCCAATGCAAGTCCAAAATCTATTTCAGCCAGTGCACCTGCTCTATCTACTTTATTCGAAGACTTTAAAATCCCGTCTTGAATTTTGAATAGACTAGAGAGCATAGCGCTTGATTTGGTTCGTATATCTAAGAGTAGCGATATTGGGATTAAATACTTTTTGTAAATAATACAAGGCATGATGGTATTTGAGAATTCACTTTTGGCTATTGTATGCTATTTCAGCTACAACCGTATTCACATAAAATGGATCACTTTTGTATTGATCTTTCAGTGATTGTCCTGAAATAAACAATGATTAAATATTTATTGCGCATTCTTGGTAGAAATTAGCTTGGATATTCTTGATGTGTCAACACAATATCCATCATATGATGCACACAATCAAATTATAAGTTTAAATTGGAGTTTTTTGGCATAGCCATGCATTGTACGATTACCAGACTTGTTCATTGCAACACAAATATTGGGTTTGACTGTTGTTTTCAACACAACTTTTGTATCCTAAAAACTGATATATTCTAGTGCAAGAAAATAGTCTCAGGAATGCAGACTTGTTTTCATGGCAGTCATCCAATGTTTGATTTAAATGGAGGAAAATGAAGATTGAACAAGTGGAAATTACTGCAATGTAAACATCCGTTTACTTTTATACAAGAATGAGCACCGAGAAAGACTAGTAAGCTTTGCCACAAGTCGAGAGGGCGTAATTTTGACTAGTAAATGTGGTGAAAACTGGCACTCAACATGTCATGAGACTGGCGGTTTATTATGTAGTTTGGCATTCTTGTGTTTCATTTATGTAATATGCTGCAAACTTGCTTGCATGTCAATACTTGATGGATGGCAAGGAATAAACTCCGTCGACTGAAAATTGGCTACAGTTTGTGGCACAATAGATCTGAAGATACGGCGAAGTAATAAAAGCAAAATGGTTTCATTTTTGGAGATGACCGGCTATATCAAAAAGTGCCATCTATAAGGTGGCGAACAGTAGTAGATTAGCTGGGATGGAAAACACAATGACGAGCAAATCAAAGCACTACAATTCCAAACATGCATCGCGACTCTTCAAAGCAGAAAATCGGTTACCAAAATCAGCGAGTAGCCCATGTGGTTGTGGCCTATTACACGGTTTTTGCAACATTTTTGATTGCAAATACAGAGTTTAGCAAAATATATTGGCTGCTGCTGCCTAAATTTCTGGTTGGGTTTGCATATTTTCCGTAGTGGCCATTCAAACACATTTTATAGTTTCTTGGACTCGTTTGAATAAACATCAAAAACTTACAAAAGCCTCTTTCTCTGCTACCGAGTTTCTACTGCAAAACACTCTAATAGTGCTTTATATAGCAACATCCTCTGCTGAACATACTATGATCGGCAATGTAAGTCATCCTCTATAATTTGCCTATTGGTTCAAGTGATTACTGGTTAAATCTATCATGTTCAAAGTATGGTGCATCTGTACGGCATGATGCAGCCATCAATTTCGATTTCATTTTTTGCAGCAAGTGATTATCCATTGCCGCCAAGGTGTTTAATATAACACTCGGTCGGTACTATTCAATGCACTATTTCCAGCTCTACTTTCGGTTGTGTTTCCATCAAGGACCACTACTGAGCATGCAGCCATAAAGTCTGATCTTTTGGAAGCCGTTTTGGAGAATGAATTGCCTTGAAGAGGCTGGTACTGCCACATTCACATCCACCTGAGATGCAGTGCTAAAATATACATGATTGTTGATGCCAGTATGCGATCGTTGGCTACTTGATGCATCAAGATGGTCGTTTTTGTCTTGACGGCTACAGCTACCAACCTTGCTATAAGCTTTGGTTGACGAGCCCTGAGCTGGTACATGAATTTACTAACATCTAATCAATGTAAAATATTACACAACAGATAACCCCAGAATCTACTCAAGTAGAAACCACTACTCATATGGACGGTGACGAAGAAGTCACCGTCATCAAAACCACTTTTATTGACCACAGTGGTAACAAGCGCATCAGCACTCGCACTCTGCGTTCCAAGAAGGTTTTGAATACTGTGCCAGTCAAAACCATCTTGACAACACGCACTGCTGAATCTTCCAGCAATCTGAGTGCAGACAACAGTCACGAATCGCATCCTCAAGTTGGCAGCGATGCTGAATCTGTAGCCACCACTATGGCTGCCAAAAAAACTACTGTTGTCGAAACTGCTTTTGAACCTGAAAAGCATAGCAACACTGCAGAAACCAGCGACTTTCAAGAAAAAGACGTATATCATGGTAAGACTCTTGTTCCGATACTTGAATATTCAGATTGAGAACAGTGCTGCGAATTTCTCGTACACATCAAGTCATTGTCATTTCCGCCTCAAGATATAAATTCCTTTATCACACTCCAGTCTCCATATGATCATGGCTTGACAACCCGTATTATTGAGCAATGCTTCAATATAGTTTTAATTCATCCAATTTGGGATAACCTGTTTTGGCCCCAACTCCAATTTGAAAACGCCGCTTTTGGGGGTTTGAGAGCACTTTGCAACACAATTATTGTGAATGCGGTACTTGTTCGGTTCTAATATTGCTTCCATAGATTTGAATAGCCACATTTAGATGTTGTTTTCTGCAAACTATTTTAATATTAAACTATTTTTCTCAATATTTAGTTTCTGCGACTGCTGTTGACTCGGATGCTTTTCAAACTGCCACTGCCAATGCTCCCCATATCTCCGGATCGACAGTCCAGGAATCCATTACCGCCTCATTATCCCCTCCACTTGCCTCTCATATCCAACTTACTGATCCAGAAATTCTCGACAGCACCAAGAAAACTATCATTTCTGCCTCATCTCCCGTCGCGAAATTGGAAGATTCAGAAAAAGCATCTTTATTCGAAAGTGTATCTGCTACCACTATTGAATCTTCTCAAGTCCCCATTGTAGATGCTACTATAAATACTCAAGCCATTTCCCCTGTTACTACTAAGAATACGATCCATGCATTTCCCTCCAAGGAAACTGTTAAATATGCCAATACCACTGCTACCACTCCAATAGACACTATTGATGTATCTTCCTTGAACGATAAACTTACTCTTCCATCTGCTCATGATGCAGGCCATAGTGGAAGCACTCTATTTAGCGAGGAATCGCTTCAAAGCCTCTCCAAAGACTCCGATGCCGACAAACCTTTCCAACATGTCGTTGATTCTTACAAGACAGGTAAGATTTATATGAGCCTTTTAATCAATAATTTTTATAAGCCATGGCAAGATTGCTTAGAAAAACTAAGAATTTCAATTGTTTTATCATTATCGATTGTCAAATTAATTAACTGTACTATTTATTGGTTCAAGGTACTGATGTCAACGCTGCTACTATTCCAACTACTGCATTCAAGAATGCCGAAGAATATGGGGAATCTGTTTTGGCTGACCCTCAGTTTGCTTTCAAGAAGCTTTCTGAACCCCCCAATGATTCTACTATTGAGCCACTCAAATCTCTCGCGACTGATAATTTTAAATCAGGCACCTTTTTTGCTGATAAACCCAATAGTCCTGGTATGAATCTGACTCAGGATACTACTGAAGCAGATGCTGCCACATACTACTCAGTCTTTGGAAGTAAGAGTGCACTTTCTCCAGTTACTTCAGACTATGTTGTACAACACGTTGCTGATCCCACCGATCATGCGCACCACCTTGTTGAGCATGCTGAAATGGTACAAGATGCTCATATTGAGACTCTTAAAGGTATGATTGAAACTGTTGTTGCAACAGAGCATATTGATGCGACTTGTTTGGGTTTTGTTGAAAAAATAACGATTGTTTTCAATACATCAACTCTAACAATACAATTAAAACTGTTCATTATGAATCCGGTTTAGCCGAAGATATTAAAACCGCTCATGCCAAAGAAATCCCGAAAATCTCAGACATGTCCAAACACATTCAAGATGTATATCCTGTTACATTTGTTAAAAATAACGATTCTGTAGAATATACTGGAAGTCCAATACTGGAATCATTGGATTCACATATCTTAAAAAATACTACACAAACCACTGAGGATACAGGCCATGCTATTGGTCAAGGTGCACACGCAGTTGGTGGTGTAGCCATTGCAGCTGGTACAGCAGTCGTAGGCGGAGCTGCAGTTGCAGGTACCAGCATATACAACAAACTGTTTGGTCGCAAAAAGAACACTGGAACTACCGAGACTACCGAGACCACTGAAACTACCGAGACTACCGAGGTTGTCGAAGTTGTTGAAGAAGCTGCAGACACTCATGTCGAGCACGTTGAACACGCTGAACATGAGATCGTGTCACCAGTCAAACAAACCGTTCATGAAATGTACGCAGTTGCATCCGAGACCGCTCCAATCGAGCATGTCAATGTCGAAGATGTGACCGAGACTGTCAAGACTGAAGTGGTTGCCGATGAACATATCGAAGCAACACATACCAAAGAAATCACTGATGCCATCGAACACGTTGATCAGATTGATCAGATTGAGCACGTTGAACACGTCGAACATGTTGCACATCCAGATGTGGTTGAGCACACATATGAGGCTGTTACTGAACACGCCAATGCCACATATGAAGATGTTCGTGAATCAGTCGAACACGTTGACACACCTACTAAATCTAGCACCGATTTGCACATTGTTGACACTGTCAAACACACTGCAGAAGATGCAGGCCATGCTATTGGTCAAGGTGCACACGCAGTTGGTGGTGTAGCCATTGCAGCTGGTACAGCAGTCGTAGGCGGAGCTGCAGTTGCAGGTACCAGCATATACAACAAACTGTTTGGTCGCAAAAAGAACACTGGAACTACCGAGACTACCGAGACCACTGAAACTACTGAAACTACCGAGGTTGTCGAAGTTGTTGAAGAAGCTGCAGACACTCATGTCGAGCACGTTGAACACGCTGAACACGTTGAACACGAGATCGTGTCGCCAGTCAAACAAACCGTTCATGAAATGTACGCAGTTGCATCCGAAACCGCTCCAATCGAGCATGTCAATGTCGAAGATGTGACCGAGACTGTCAAGACTGAAGTGGTTGCCGATGAACATATCGAAGCAACACACACCAAAGAAATCACTGATGCCATCGAACACGTTGAACACGTTGATCAGATTGAGCACGTTGAACACGTCGAACATGTTGCACATCCAGATGTGGTTGAGCACACATATGAGGCTGTTACTGAACATGCCAATGCCACATATGAAGATGTTCGTGAATCAGTCGAACACATTGATACACCTACTAAATCTAGCACCGATTTGCACATTGTTGACACTGTCA